CCGATAGGTATCCTCTAAGGCTCGCTAATATCTCCGATCTTATACCTTATCTATAATACTAATCTTATTAAATTATACAACGATCTAAATAGTAAGACCTCCGGCTATAGCTAGGTTAACGACGTTAGTGCTATAGCTATAGGCCGGAGTAAAGCAGATACTATTTAAAAACTCTAACGCATTTATATACTCGCTATATAGTAGGCTTCCCGCTATATATTAGTCTTTAATATTAAGAAATATATATTAATCTACTTTATATAACGCCCTGAATATACTCTATTACAACTAGGGAGTATAGTTATCTAGCTAGCCTCTAAGCTTTCGGCGGAGCGCTATCTTAGCTTCTAGCTTAATAAGAAACTATTATTTAAATAGCATAGACAGAAAATACTTGCTAAGGCTTCTACTAGCCTATAGGCACTAAAATCGCTATCAGGGTCTATATAGGGAGCTTCCCTACTTACTATAAGGAGACTTTACTAAGCAATTATTATCCTATAAGTATTAATAGGAGTATCAGCCTAGTTTAAACTATAATAGTTATTAGCAAAGCAGCAATAGGTAGCTAGGCCCTTCGCTATATTATAGTATTAAGCAGCCTACGTAGTTAGTAGTGCCTTCCGCACTACTACTACTACTACGTTATACGTCGAACTCTCGCTTATACCGATACCTATCCTTATAACAAGAATAGCAAACGAGGTAGCGCTTCGAATTCGTATAGGCCCTACCTATATAGTGCCGAAGTCAATACTCCCTAATTATCAACGATCAAAGGTATAGCGAGACCGCTTAGGATAGTTACTAATAGAAGCTTAAGCTTAGAAGAAGGGCGGATACTTAACGGCTTCCCTGGATAGCTCGGTAGGTAAATAGGAGAACCGTGTTATATTCGCCCGGGCACCTTAGCAAGAGCCTCTAATAGTGATTATCTCCGAACGGGAAGATACAAGAGAATAATATACAAGAATCCTAGATAAATATAAGAAAGAGGGAGAGAACTACAAGGTTATCTACACAGATAGCAGCGGTTATAAGGGCTGTGTAGGCGCCGGAGTAGTAGTATAGGGCAAGGACCCTGTATACTACCGCTCGTAGATAGGAATAGAAGGAATCTCCACTATTTACGCTGCAGAGCTGCGAGCTATCGATATAGCGCTGTCAGTTGTTCGTCAATTATTCGTCAACTAATTAACAAACTAATTAACAAACCAATCAACAAACTAATTAATAAACCAATCAACAAACCAATTTAACATACTCAAGAAAGTAGTGATTTTCTCCGACTCCTAAGCTGCACTGCAAGCTATCCGCCGACCAAGGATGCCTTCAGGCTAAGCCTATCTCATCTCAGCGATCTAATATCTCTAATTCCTTACCGAGGAAGCGGGAATTCATGTTAAGTTCCACTAGATCCCTACGTATAAAGGCATCCCTAGTAATAAACTTGCTAATATAATAGCTAAGGAAGCTACCCTCTCCGATTCTAACTACTCCTACCCCGACAATAGATACCTTATCCTTATATCTATAATTAAATAATATATTCGATAACGAGCAAAACAGGCGTAGGAAGCAGCGTAGTAGAAAGAGAAGGGCGTAAGGTTAACAAAGCGCTTAATCGAAGTAGTAGGGAAGAAAGATACTCTCGATTACTAGCAGGGCCTAAGGAAAGCGATATCGTTAGTACTAATTCAACTAAGAATAGGCAAGATCAGGCTATCAAGCTATCTTGCGAAGATTAGCGCACGAGACTTATTAAGATACGGATACGGTTTAGGTAACTAAATAGTAGCCTATATACTACTTGAATACCTAGACCTACAAGAGATACGTAAGGTTATAAGAGACAACCTAGCAAATATAGGTATCTCTATATAGCTCAGCACTAACGAACTACTTCGACAGCTTCCCGCGAGGCTATATCTAGCCTAGTTTATAATTTTATCTAGCCTACTTAATTAATTTAAGTATCTTAATCCCGCGGCCTTCGGAATAGAACCGGAGGTCGACAGCGTAGTAGACTAAACATAAGCGCTTAGGTAGTAGTCCTGTAGGACCGATAGGGCACAAAACTAAGGGTAAGCTACTAGGAACTCAACTCGCCCTCTTAAATACTAACAGCAAGTAGGAACGGCGACGGCCGCATATAAGAAGTAGTAGGAATAATATAGGAATTAGAGAGCAGCGTAAAATCGAGATCTAGTAATTCGGATCTGCTACTAGCAATAACAACTAGCAACCTAATAATTCAGAACTCGGTAACACGAGCTGCTAGGGAGTTTAGGAGCGAGGAAGGGAGTAGGATATAGGATATATATATAGACTAATACATATAGGATGTAAGTTGTGATACGGGATACGGAGGTCGGGCGGTAAGATTCTACCACTACATAACCTTATTATCAATCTACAGATAAGGCCGGCGGTGTAGTTCTGCTGTCTTATCATTATTCTGCAAGATAAGGCCGGCGGTATAACTCTCCGCCCGTATATATAGATAGATGTTAATACTAGATATTGCATACTAGATTGCTAAGGCTATAGTGTATAGCAGGTGCACTCGGCTCCGCCGGGACACGCGGGATAGCCGCGGAGGCGGATCCCTTCTTTCGTTATTATTTTCCTTTGTCGTTCGATTTCATCTGTTCGTTCCAGCGCTATGCTGGCCCATGCCTCGATAGCACCTTCTTATGCGCACTAGGCTGGCACTAGAAGGCGCAAATCCCTGCATAGCACCTTGTAATAGAGGAAGCTCCATCAGGAATAAGATTATTGATTGATACGATAAACTAGAAAGGTCGGAAGTCGCTATAAGAACCTAATAGTTCGTAGAAAGAGTAGTATTATTATATCTAGTAGTAGTACTAGACTCTACTCCACGATTATTAAGAGTAGAGGCCTTAATACGTTCCTTTTCGAGATACTCTAGCTCTTCCTTTTCGCGACACTTAAGCTCCTCGAGCTTAGTAATATCCTTATAATTACGAGTAATAAAATTACTAGCGCGGTTTCGAAGTAGTGTTTTATAGCGATCTAAACGAGCTAGACGAGCTATAGCTTCTTAACTAGCTTAGAGAGTAGCGTAGCGCTACTTAGCGATATCGGCCTATATACGAATAAGGTAACGCTACTCCGCGTTAATTTATATATTATTACTTATAGTTATATTTAAGCTTAATAATCTACTATCTTTAGTAACGTAATAACCTTATAGTATAATATAAGGATATACTCTAACTAGGAGGAACACTTAGTAGTTATTATATAACTACTTCGTCGACTAACTAGGCGCCCTTTAACTATATACGTCTTTAGTCTACTCTATAGATCTAAGCCCGTGTAAGGCTAGAGCAGGTAATAGTACGATTGCGAGATAGATCGTTGGAGATTACGAGAGAGGTACGTTACAATAATATATATTTTACGTTAACTAGTTAGTAGCGCGTAACACCTAACTAAACCGGTACTACTTATTCTTTATAGAGGAACCTACCTTTATAATACCCTTAGTGCTAGTAAGGGAGTGTTCGCGGCGATAAGCCTACTTAGTACTATCGAAGACGCGGTAAAGATCCTACGAAGCCTTAGCGATCTCTAAACAAATATCCTAGTTATAAGGCTAGACTCCTAACTCTCCGGTCTCTATATTTACTACTATATTATCCTAGAATAATTTTTTAGCCTATACTAAAATATTAGATAGATTATAGGTATCGCCTAATATAGCGGTAGTAGACTAAGAAGAAGTTAGTATAAAACCTAGTAGAAGGCCTAGCGAAACCTATAGTAGAATATATAGTATTCTAGGCGGAATACTAGCGATATAGGATAGATACTTTAGTATCTAAGACGTAGTTAATTAATAGAGAGGTATCTATAATTAGGGATAGACTACCCGAAGGCCTGATAGTAGTCTATAAGTAATATATATACTAAAAATACTTCGGTATAATCGGTACCGTATAGGTAGTACGAAGACGAGGAGGTATAGCGAATAAAACGTAGACGATATAATAAAGAAAGGATAATAATAAGAAGTAGAAGAGAGAAGATAGAAGAGTATTAAAATAAAGATAGTAATATAAGGTAGGGGATATAAATAAAGAAAGCTCTTACTTCTATAGTATAACCCTCTTTATTTACTTTACTTATATAAGGATCACGGCCTTAGGATTTAATCTATTTATACTATATAGGCCTACTAACTATTTAAATCTCCCGCTTAGAGGTAAGCGGTTATAGAGGGAGGATAATTTATTATATAATATTATAGTATAAAGCTATTCCTAACTTCACGCCTTAGGTATTAGTTCGATACCTTACCGGTCAGGCTTCGTTATAACAGCCCTACTTCTCCCTAATATAGATATATAACCTATAAGGCCCTAAGGGTTCGGTACCCTTCTATTAGGGATTCGTGAACCCCTCTTCTCTATAGCCTTTACTTACCTCTATTACGTAGGGGCTACGTTAGACCGTATATTAAAATATAATCTATCGTTTTTGCTTTAGTTATATAGGAAAGTGTTGAAGCTTATACATAAATTAAGGATTATAGAGAGATCCATGATAGCAAGAAACAGTGTTTTGCTTTCCTTACTTGACGTTTATCTTCCTACCTAGTCGATAGGCTTTCTACCCTGTACAAGTAGTTATTCTCTAACAGTTAGGCCTTGTAAGAAGCTAGAACGTTCCATCCTTCCACCTGCCCTTAAAATAGCTCTTGTCCCCTCTCTTACCATTTTTCCTGTCTTTCGCTTCTTTCACCCTCTTCCGCCCCCGCCCCTTGACTCGTTCTTTACAATTTTCCTTTTGCCCTGGCGCTGTGCATTCGGGTGTCCCTTCATTTAAATGAATATATCTCTTCACGGACTCCTCTGCTCGGACTCATGCTCCTTTACCGTCTCTGATTAAAACACAGCACACTTTTGTCTCAACATGCAGTATCTGGCACGTGGAGATTCAAAGCCACGCTATTCGCTTTTGACTTACCAATGATTACCAATGAAGGATCCCTCCTCAAACGAGCAATCGAAATTTCAGAACTTCGCGAGATCTGGAGAAGTGAGTACCCAGGAAAGGCTGTCACGAATATTGCTGCTGATTGTCAGTTTCCCCATTCGCTTCGGTATTATCTTCTCGCCCTTCAGTCACTCCCAGAAGTAGAAAGGCAGAATTTGGTCGCTCAAGCGGATATTTCCTCGCTCATTTCATTGACGCCTTCACTTGCAATGCCAAACCAGTCTGCTTCTGGGCTTTTAGTCAACGATGCATGCTCTCTTCCGCTTCATTCACTCCAATCTTGTCCACGAGATATGCTCGCTCACTAACGTAAGTATGCGTCTAGATTCCAAAGTAGCCACGAACTCGATGCATCTCACTCCGACAATCGATCCGCGAACCTTAACTTCGAACTGCGAGATCGCAACACCAAGCTTACAACCCGAAACGTTGTCCTACCCGACCCCTAAGTCGCCCCTCAGCCCTAGTTCAGAAGATGATGATTTGGACCCTGGCATTTATGCATCGTATACGAAGCCCGAAGATTTCCACGCTTCGGTTGGGTCGGTGGCCACGTCTTCAGACGAGGCCCAGGCCATTCATAATTCCAAACCGGAACACTTAAATCACATGGGGGGTGTTCCGCCTTATTTCGCGACCGTCAGAATGGATGCGCCTGATATATAGCCATCGGTGTCAGGACTAACAGTCCCCAGCTCACAAATGGCAGAGCAGGCTCCTTGTTCAGCCTTGAAAGATGCGTCCTGCGGGGACTACTTACACAGAGGGTTTCCCTCACCCGAAGCTAGGCCTGATCACGTTGAAAACATGATACAACTCTATCCTGACTTAAGTATCAACAAACTTAACCAAGCCATGGAATTAGGCGACCGCCTGTTTCCTCCGAGCTTAAATCAGTTGGAAGCTCGTGTCAAGCACTTACAAGCTGAAGGACTTTGGAACCTTTCGGAGCTTGGGATCCTGGCAAGTCTACCTGCACGGCAAAAAATAGTCGAAATATTTAAATATGTTAAGACATCGGGCCTACCTAATGCAGGGAATTATATGAGGATCCGACTTGCCAAGGTTCAAGTCAGCATACTTTACGACGCCATTTACGATGAGGAAACTAATAAACAGCTAGAATTTCGGGACAAGAAAGTTCACCACGCATGTTCTCAACTGCATCGAGGCATCTATTAGAAACCCTCGCGATCGACAGCATCCGGCCCCTAGAAAATCGCTTGTTCGCGATGCCATCTTTCGATACCAGCAGGTTGGTAGAAAGTGGAGGATATTATCGGATATAAGTATCATGCTTTTCATTGACTTAGCAGGGTCACTCACATCTCCTGTCTTACAACACCAATTGGCTCATGTTGATCTGTCTCAAACTGGGCAGAGAGACCGCAAAATTTACAGAGACACAGATGAGAGCTCTGGTATCTTATGTTTCGGCAACTAGACCATATATCATCAGTTTCGGCAGCAAGTTGAAAACCGCTGTCAAGCATTTTCTGACCTATCATCAGCTGCCTGCGAGACCAACAGTTGACGAGATTAGAAGCATGATAGGAATCCAAGCTTCAACCACAGCGAGCGTAGATCAGCATATGGACGACGTCACTGGTAATTACGCGATATTCTCAAGCAGAAGCTAAGAAAGCATTTAGATAGGGTTTTCGAAGCCAGAATAACACGTGCTATGATTCAACTTGTATTTGCATCATATTCCCCAGTCCAATCCAAGTTCGATTTTCTCTCAAGAACATCGGTTTATTTCCCGTAACAGGCAGAGCCGACTCACCGAGTCAGCCTAGGACACAAGGTTTGACCTGTTTTGCTCTTTATTGCTCACAGTTGAGGGAGCTACCGATATTCCCTCCACATTCTGGTGAGCTAAATCATCCAGCGCCTGCGACAGCGATTGCGGGTTGGAATATACTCCGGTAAGAGGCGGTTGCAGAATTCGCGTTACGTCCTTGCGCTGCCGTAGACCCTCAACTATGTATTGAAACGCATTTTGACAGTCGGCAACCTTATCATTTGGCAGTAATTCCTTGTTGATTCCCTGGCTTACCATAGCTCTGAGCTGTTATTACTAACTACATAGATTGCAGCTCCCTCTTTCGACTCACACATATAAATCAATCGCAGCAATGTACACTGCCGCTGATGCTCGCCCCTTGAATTCAAAGACGGCCAGATTTCTTAGGTGCATTATCGCCCTTCTCCTTCCCATCCGCTTCAGTGCTAATCCTTCCTATTTTTAGTCTTGACGTCATGATGTGTACCAATTGTAACCGACCTTGGCTCTGTCGGGGCTAGATTCATTTATATGCCCACGTGACGATCGCCTCAAAGTTATAATTAGTTCTAACCACTCCTCAAGAGCTTCCACGCCTACCTTGTAAAAAATCAGGACCTCCTAACCACCTGCCAGCTGGCCGCGGAAGTTCCCGCGACTGCCCACGCCCAGCAAATACTCAGCAAAACATGGAAATCAAGAACATACTCGCGACCCCGGCTGTTAAAGCAGCAGCCCCCACCTATGCGCAAATTGTGATAGACCCATATATACTGAACCCTTCCACAGATACGATCCTCGTTTAGACCCCGAGAGAACCTCATGAAGCTGAACGAAACGGACCCCGAGAAAACAAGGCGCCGAGCAATCGCCGAAGACGTAAAAGAAAAGGTCAACAACACGCTAAAAAGTGACCAGGACTCGACGCTAAGAAACCCCAAATCATCTCAGTGACGACACCCCAGCGGTGATCTGACCCTCTTTACCCGGGACCAACGGAGCACGGAACAACTCATCGCACACCGAGCACAATGGCGGCAGATGACAGGAGAGAAGGCAGTGGTGAAGGTGTCGTCCTTCGGCATCCTGGTCCACGGGGTCAGCACACAACAGAACGGAAATTGAGGGAAAGATCCAGTGGAACAACCCTTCCCTGGAGAAAGCGAGGGTGATCTACTCGAGCTGGCTGAAGTGCAGACTGGGAGAGAAGCGAGCGTCCACGAACCACACCAATACGTTGACTGAAAGACAGGCTCAATTAAACGCAAATAATCCTCGTATTTCACGCCATCCGCGGCCCGACCAATTCTGACATTCACCGCGTGGGCGGCAGCACCAATTCCCTCCTTCTTTTGTATTGTAGAATAGATAGAGTGTTTTATCCTGGGCAAAAGTCTATATATTGTCGTCCTCGCGATGCATTGGTGTCTCGTAGAGGTGAAGGAAGAAATTTGGTTTGCAAGTCCAGGCTGAGACTGATTAGTGTGAGCAGACGGCTTGAACACTGCTCAAATCCTTAGGCTAGCTTACCCCACGATAGAGAGCCAGAAGCCATACCTGCCTATACCTGGCGCTGAGCGGATATAGCATGCGAATAGCTCTAGTTCTAAGACCAGGAGATGGCCTGGCCGAAGAACGATGGCATGACCACCGATGCCCAGGTGCTAGCAGTGTCTCCGCCCACCCACACCGCTTCGCGTTGTGGGTGTGCCACACCCTAATGCATAACCACACCCTAATGCATAATATTTCCTATTTCCCCTATCTATCGCTGCATCCCACTAGTATCTAGAAAGAAACCCTGCCCGTTCTGACGTGCTTCCTCTGCTCTATCTAACGATGCCAGGCTTTCCTGTGTAGGTTCTGGTGGTGGTGATGTTCCATATGTTTTCTTCCACTGCTTCCTTACCCGCTTCCGCTCTATATCCGCTTCCTTCTCCTTTCTTTTAGTAATAGAACGATTGGTATCTCTAATAGAGAGAGCCCCTGTTTTGCTAAGCGGTGTTTTAACCTGGCGCTTGGTGATTAGGCGCTATAGTGGTTGTTGAGCTTCCCTAATCTTGCGAATAGTATCGTTCGCTAGATTTAGGTTCTCTATAGCAATCTTGTTATAATGAAACACACGATCAAGATTACGTTGCTGCCTTAGTGTAAGATCCTCTTGATATCTAGCAATCTTCCTTTGATTCTTTTCTAGATCCTGTATAGATCTAGGCGGCGATTAGTCGATACTAGAAGAAGATATAGGTGGTAGTGAAGGTGTTGTTGTATAAAGCGGTTGTAGATCTAGCGCTAGGAGATCTAGGATTTCTTGGATAGGAAGGCTATTAATAACCTTTCTACTATCGACTGGATAGATCCCACGATCTTTGAACGATTCACGAATAATTCGCTAGCTAAACGCTCTATTCCGAATATCACCGATTATTCGAAGGAACTCCGATCTTCCGATAGGGCTTCCACCCTAAAACGCGTGGTCGTTATTCGCTAAGCGGAAGTGTTGCTTATAGCTTAGAAACGGCTTACCGTCTAGCGGTTAGCAAAGGTATATAGTATATAGTAGAAATCCTATTAGTAGGATATCGTTCTCTTCGCAAAGGTATAGGAATTCGAATGTAAGATATGAACCGTGACTGTCGAAGATTAGGATACGTTTTTCACCCGATTTCGTACAGTCGCGTGTTGATTCTATAAAGAATCGAAGCTACTAAACTGCTATATCGTCGGTTATCTAACTGTTTAGCGATGTAGTGATTGTAGTATGTGGTGGTAGGCCTTCTATTTGATTAAACCAAGATTCTATAAAGATCCCGTTGCCTTTGAATATAAACCAAGGTTCTAACTACCACCCGTCGGTAGCGATACACTCGATAGTCGTTATATTTTCGCCTTAGTCTAGCTAAGGAAGATCTACTATCTTCCTACTACTACTACTACTAGTAGTAGTAGTAGTAATAGTAGAAGATATAACGTTTCTAGATCTTCCTTCGCCTAGTTGAAAGCCGTATTCATCAAAGTTATAGACTAAGCGTGGTAGTGTAGTCTTCTTGATCGTTTAGGCTAGTAGATCGTACTAATGCTGTAGTGCTGCTGGATCCTCTGCTAGAATTCGCTTCGACTCCTTCGTATACTGCTTAGTAGGCCCTAATTGAAGATGTTTAGGAAGCCTATTAATAAAGCGATACGCCTACATCTTGCTAATCGGCGGCTTCCCGACGCGTTGGCATGCACGATTCGCCCACGCTTCTAGTATCCTAGGAGTGATAGGCATATAGCAATCGTTCATATATTGGATCCAGCGAATCAAGGCCTCTTCTTGATAGGTTTCTAGAGCGTATCCGTTCCCGCTTCTAGCTATGCGAGGCCCTGTTCCCTTTTTAACACGTCGATAGAGAGTGCTTTGATTAACACCAAATTCGCGTGCTAGACGCGCAATATTCGGCTTCTCTTCGCGTGACGCTGCTAGGCAGGCCTCAGCCATACGGAATTCATCAATTTTAGGCATATTTAGATAGTGGTGTTGGATAGAGAAGCAAAAAATAGGGTGGTGGGAAAGATTATGCATTAGGGTGTGGTTATGCATTAGGGTGTGGCACACCCACAACGCGAAGCGGTGTGGGTGGGTGGAGACACTGCTAATGCCTACCTTCCTATTTCACATGGACTATCCCACGCCAATACAGACACAAGCGTATTAACATCTATATCGGAGCGATGGGCGTTTTCCTCGTAACGCCCCTGTCACTGCCTCCTTCCACAGATGAAGTAGTAGTCGCCCGAGGAAGTAAAAGGGAAGGTGCGATGCGACCCATTCTAGGCATGACCAATACTGTAAGTGAGATGGATCTCCCAGCGAAGTTACAGTAGGTATATTGAAGGGACAATCAATAGTGAATCAAGGTAATCAAGAAAATTAATAGATGGACTTGGGTCAACTACACGGGGGCCGGCCTTTGCATTTGCAGAACGAGATAGGGAAAACCACACCGGGAGATAAAAACCTATATCAAGGCACTACCTAAAAAGACTATGAGGCATGGGGGAGCCTGCCTATTTCAGCTTCAGTTTCAACTTCTTTCCCTGGCGCCCAACGAACTTGGAAATGCTTCCCTTCTGCGAATATATCAAGGCAAAGACCGGTGGCGACGAGTTCTCAAACTGGTTGATCCACGCATTATCGATGAGCACATTCCCTCCAACGTAAACTATGAACGAGGCAGCCGGGCCGACGACTGGAATCGCTTCTACTGCAATGGCAATGAGCTGCACCATGAAAGACGCGATCTGCTGCTCAACAGATGTCGGCTCGGGCAAGTACTGCATGGTCAGGCCGAGCTCAATCTGGATGAGGCTGGGATAACCGATTTCGTTCAAGGTTATGATCTCTGTGTCCTTGCCGGCAAATGCCGTGTGGTTCATAGCACCGTCAGCGATCTTTACGTCACGACAGGCAAAGGTGACGACCAGGTTTCGGTCGTAGAAGTTGATTGGGATGCCCGTTTCGCCACCGTTGCTCCGAGAAACGTTTTGGTAGCCGACTTCCTTTTCCCCTTCGCGTTTGACCATGTTGCTGGGCAGGGCTAAGAAGCATTGAACCTCGCGCACGTCGATTCGAAGCGTAACATCTGGATGCTCCAGGCCTAGGCCTAATGAAGTGGACGTTGCGAAGTCGATGTGGCCTGATATAAGACAGTCCGGCTGGCCTCCAGGGGAGGACAACAGCGCGAGCCGGTCATGAAAGGACCAGGGGTAAAATTTGGGCACTCCCATATACTCGTCCTCAGTACGGGATATCTCCTCCCAATCCGGAGCAATCCATGCACGGAAGGCTTTCGCCTGGAATTCTGTTGCAGCTCCCGACCCATACATTTCCTCTTCCCTTGACTCGGCAAAGAAGAGTGCTCCGCTGGTACGAAATTTTTCCACCAAGACACCCACAAAATTTTTCCTCTCCTTTCCAGTCTGGCTGGCCAGCGTCTTCAAAGTCATGTCCTTGAATGGCAGTTGCTCCACTAGTACAGCATGTCGTTTCTTCACTTGTTCATCGGTAGGTTTCTGGTCAAGCGTCTTGCCGAAGTCCTCGAGCCACTTGAGCAATTGCTCCTTAAATGTGCCAGAAACCTCAGTGATAAGGTCATCCTGATCAATCTCAGCACGATAAAATTTTGGATTCCGGTCAATCCCATGCTTCTTCGCCACTGCATCTAACCTTTTCGCCTTTTCCAGTTCATGCTTTGGTCCCTTTCCGTTGCATTCCTTGAGCCACTTCTGCAACGCGGCCTTTGCATCTTTAGACGAAGGGTCTTGGAAGAGCCCCTCATCAGACGGCTTCCCATCGGAATTGGCTCCCTTTTCGCCTAGGATCTTTTTCTTGAAGCGGGTGGTGTTTTGCAGAATGGGATGTAACTTTTCATCGATTAGACTGCGCTCGGGCATGATCTCCAGTCCTGCCTTCTCAATCTGCGGCCCGAGTAATTCTCTTTCAGGCTGGGAGTAGAGCATTGGGTCGTAAGGTCTGGCAAACGGCAACCGAATATAGCGGTGCGTAAAATCCAGTCGGACTAACTGGACGAGGTCTTCATACGGCCACGGCGTATCGAAGCAGAGTGGGATATAGACACCACGGATCGCATAGGTAAGGTCAATCCAGATAAATCGCTCCTCGGGGCTAGGCATCGGAACGCTATGCAAACTTGCTTTTAGGCTTTGATTGATGTGGCGTCCATCCTGGTGGTACGTGGCATAGCTGGACATCTTTCCGGGTTCCTTCCCGTACATAACAGTAACCCGGTCGAAGTTATCCGAGCCCCCATTCACAGCAAAATCCGTGCGTGGGTGTTTCTTCTTAGGGTGGTTGCTTGTATTAGCATTGATTGCCAGGTCGAGCCAAATTCTCGAGTAGAAGAGTTCCGCCATTTCTTTCATCTCTTTCTCTCGCTCGGCAGCCGGACGCTTGAGGTCGGGGACGTAGTAGCCCAGCGAACGCTTTGTCAACCAGACGATACCTTCCGGGGGCCCGAACATCTTGAAGAGAAATACAATAGAAGTGATATAAATATATGATGAATGATTGAGTGGTTTTCAGTGAATCTGTTAAATGGGGAATGTGGATAGCGATGTTACTAAGTTGCAATTCAGTTTCAGATGCCACAGTCAAACCTAGCCATCGAGCGCCTTTTTATTATATCTCATCAAATCCTCTCTTCGAAGGGTTGACATGGGTTCGGACAGATTCTTGGGGGAATAAAAAGCAAAGGAGGAAATGAAAACAAGTATATGTACCAGACACGCCGTGTAACATGAGACTTGAGCCAACCATCACTAACAGACGCGTGGACCGAGAGCACCTCTTACTTGAACGGAGATCGCTCGCAGACTCTACTGTCATGGTGGCGTTGCGCGGTGAGCCTATATCGAATCTGTGTACAAGCTGCCCAGCACTAGTACGTATGTAAGTCTGCAGGCTCCTGTTGCGTAACACTCCCCTAATGTTGGCCACTGAGCATTCAGATCTGGGGTTTGAGTCAATGTTGGCAAACTGAAGAGCTCATCGCATTACTACATACCCCTACAAGCTTCGGACGATCTCGGTCAGCGGCTTGAGGTCTAGGAGGCAATGTGGTTGCTGGAAGATCCTTGTCTTGTCTGGTGGGTTGACAGAGGCTGGATAGAGCTAGCTAGAAACAAAGAAAACAAGTATCTCTACCCTATATAAGCATACTGTTGTTATTTTATATACCTAAGTCACGATTCTTAAGTATGTCATGTGTGTGTGTGTGTACGTAAATTGTATTAGGATATACTCTAGGACGACTGTCTCAATACAAAGATAAAGATAAGAAGATATACTCAAGTTCTTGAAAGCGCACTCCCGAGACAGCAGGAGGGGTAAGTCGTTCAGCTTATGCAAGTTAGATGTATGACTGACCCTCGACTGCATGACTGACCCACAAATTCATGTCCAGAGCCAATTACAAACATATATTTTAACGCATCTTATGATGCTGCCACGTAAGCATATTTCTGTAGACATTGTGAACTTTCTTAGCCAAGTCTGGGGCGATGCTGCGGAGGATGACCCGCGATGGACATCAACAGATACAACACTATTCTGCACCTTGTGGCAACCAAAACCGAACCCAATAGCATCCAATGGATTCTGAGAAGAGCCAAAGTACTCCTTCATCAGCGCAACACCCATAGCGAGACTCCATTGGATGCTCTACTGGGAAGCCTTGAGAGCGATAGGACAACACGTCGCTTCAACGCTTTGACCGAAGATATTTCAGATAGGTTCTCAGGCTTCGATTGCCTGATCTTTCTTAATGGTGATACGGAAGTGACTGACGTCGATCGGTAGCGCCTCAGGTACGGATGTACTTGTAGAAAATGCATATCTGGGTTCTTGAGTCCGCGGATGTGTTTCGCCGTGGAGTGTCAGGCTGACATATGGTCAGACTTGCTTCGTGAAGACCTTGAGGATGGAAATTTTTGGGTCGAAGACAATGGTACTTTCCTTAGTTTCCTCCCGCACAGTGTGCAGAATAATCTGAAGACTAATAAGTCAATGAGGAACGGGGTCATGAACCTCTGCAGCCATATCGCTACGTGTCTCCGAGAACACCTGATCCCAAATGAGTCAAATGTGGAGATGGTGTTGCACAATGCGAGTGAGTGGCCTCCGACATCAAGGAGTTTCTTGCAACGAGGTGGGAGCGTTGGTTCGATCGCTACCGCTACCATGCTTTTCCAAAGAGCCATGGAGAGCGATGAATTAGCAGGGGATCCTCTGCATATAGAGACTTTTGGGAACCAGATTCAGAAAATTTCCGAGTGCAGGAATGACCATGAATTTGGTTTTGTCAGTGGAATATGTGGATATGAGAGTGTCAGCCTTTTGAACCCTCCCGTGACTACTAGGACGGAAAATTGAAGGCAAATGTTGAGGACATGTTACAAATGAAAAAGAAGCGAAGCCAACGCGTTCGCTTTGAAGGCATAGCTGTTACCGTGTCGGTTAACGACAAGTTGTTGAAGGATTTTAAGAAATTCTATAGTTCTACTAACATTGATTAGAAGCTAGTAGGGAAATAGCTACGAATTGCTCCGTATAGGTAAAAAGATTAGGGTTCTTATTGCCTTTAATTACGGACACGATAATAGCGATTAGGCTAGGCTAATATCACGGAGGGTTAAGAAGAGAGGCCGCGTGTCGGCAACTAGTAGGATGCTAGCTAAGCGTGAAGTATATTTATACGGAAGAAGAGGCTACCGGACGGCCTTTAACCTAGAGTCTCGTGTATAATGGTATACGATATATTATTCGCTTATATCTACTTATATCTAATTAGTGCTAGGAGGATCTAAAGGATAAGAAATATTATAAGCTTAGAGCCCCGCACCTTAAACGACTTATTAATCGTGTTAATAAAGGTAGTAGTCTAAATAACTATAGTAATATCCCTAGTAATATCCGTCGAGACCTTATTTTAGAAAACTATAGGAAAGAAATCTAAGAGGGGTAGCGATATAACCACGGGATTATTATATCCCCCGATTAGTATTAATATTCTCCTAGTATAAGCCGCGTATACTTTAACAAGCGCTTTATTACTATCTAGACTAGTTTCTTATAAGAGTCTTATAATTCCTAGATCTCGAGAGTAGGCTATAAGGGAATACTATAATTAGCTAGAATCACGCGCTAATAACGACGATTATAAAGCCGATTTCCGAAAAATATACTAGGTAACTTTGGAAAATCGCCTAGATTATTAATTTAATCCTTAAAAACCCTGATACTAGCTTCTTAGTTCAGCGAGGAAATCAAATTAGAACTACTCGTCGCTTTTTACGCGATATCCGCGACATCAACGAATAGGCAATAGTTATAAGCTGAAACATTATATATATACAGACCTCTAGCGAGATTCTTAACGTTGCCGGGTAGAGCTAATAGCTGTCATATTTTATTATCCTATATTACTAGCTCCATATAGGATTAACTAACAGCATAGTATTAAGGCGTAACGTGTATTGTATTTAGTTCATAATAGCTCACAATTACATTATTGTCCTACAGAATTATTATATACAGAGCGTCCTGTAACTAGTGTTACTACTAGATAGCGCGGATATAGTATAGGACAAATAGTCGCGTCGTATAAATAAAGCCGAGTAGAAGAGAACCAAAAATCGGCTAGATCGGACTCGTGGCCTTATATCTAGAATTCGCCCCTATTCGTTAAGTTAACCGCTTATAGGTCGCAGCGATATATAGTATGCTTATAACTGTCATATGATATTGCAGCATGAAGCTATTCCCAACTTCACGCCTCAGGTGTCAGTTCGACACCTTACCGGTCAGGCTTCGTCATGACAGCCCTACTTCTCCCAAACATAGATGTATGACCTACAAGGCCCTAAGGGTTCGGTGCCCTTCTATTAGGGATTCGTGGACCCCTCTTCCCTGTAGCCTTTGCTTACCTCTGTTACGTAGGGGCCACGTTAGACCGCATATTGAAATATGATCCATCGTTTTTGCTTTGGTCATGTGGGAAAGTATTGAAGCTTGTACATAAATTGAGGATTATAGAGAGATCCATGATAGCAAGAAACAGTGTTTTGCTTTCCTTACTTGACGTTTATCTTCCTACCTAGTCGACAGGCTTTCTACCCTGTACAAGTAGTTATTCTCTAACAGAATTGTAATAGCGCCAACCTCATCTAGTGCCGGGTCGGCAATCAACGGCCTCTTGTTGAGAGTCAACGCTCAAATTTTACAACGCCCAATAATATGATATTTGCGTTGATTCCCGACCAATTTTTGCGGCGAATTTGAGCGGGATTTACAAATAAATTACTGCAGTATGCATTGATTCGCTGATTGACTGGTGGATCTGCATACTATCACCTGTACAATGGACCTATTGTTTCTTCGGCTTAGAATCTAGCCCCAGATCTTTAGTCGGGTCTGAGAAAGAAAGCGATTTCTCAATGACACCAATTGGCCTCAATTCGATCCATCTATGTGGATACACTGAGCAAATTGTTTCAAGAGCCCCGGATCCCGCAGCCGACATTTCGTCAACAGACATATCAAGCCGTTCCCGAATGGCATGCACTGTGAGTGCCAAGCTTGCGGGGAAAAGCTGATGTCAAAATCGGGACTACTGAACCATGCGGAAAGAGTGCATAGAACAGTCTCCTGCTTACCTTTACCAGCTCTTGGCCTATACCTAGCATAATATTAGTTTGTATTTCTTTCTCTCTTTAGCTGTGTCTTACAATGCGAGGTAAAGCGTGAACAACATCCCAATATCTAATCGCACACCTGTTGATTCTGAGAAAAAACCACAATGACCACTCGTAGCCGAGATATTTAATAAAAATTTATAGTAATAAAATCAGAGCATTGATATGGTCGACAAATTACAGCAGCACTAGCTGCGTCGAATCTTCTTACAACGGCGAGCATTCAAATCTCCATCTAATCCATCCAAGTGTCCCACGCCAATCACGGAGGCTAGAACTTCACTCAGCAGGCTACTGCGTGGCTCTTCAGGAAAGTAGTCCTTCCTCAGCGGTTCATCCGGCACTTCCTCACACTTCTCACAACCCTGAGATGTACTCTCATGATTCCCGAGTTGATGGTTGATCTCCACTGTGCTGGCTTTCCGCTCCCACTTGGCATGAGCTCTTCGGAATCGATCGTATATGTTCACTTCGAAGGTACGGCCCTTATAGCGGAACCAATCTTCAATGGCATTGTGAAATCGTGATATCTGCCAGCAGGCTGAGGTCAGATGGGTGACCCCGCCTTCCATCTGCAAAACCTCCCGCTCTAGCAAGGCACTCAGGTCGGGAAATATTTGCTCCATGCATGACACATGATAGTACTTGTTCGGTTCTACCACTCGTAAGATTCGAGATAGGTTTTTAGGACATTGTGAGGACTTACCAAAGTATCGACCGGAAAGGTCCTTAACATTGAAACGAAAAGCAGACCTGATATTAGGCTCTCCATTCAGCTTCCTAGGAACACAGTCCCAGAAGCGACAGTGACTCCTGCTGCTAGGATTTTCTTGCAATATAATTACTCGTTTTTGATCGGTAAGCTCATCTTCAATGCACTTTCTTTCAAACGCGACTCGCTTGACTGGGTCTTGTGTGATCCTCTCCCACTCACTATCGTCGTCATCCAAGGGATCATCGGAGTATGTTTCCTCGAAAGAGAGGGTAATCGGCTTGGGCATTCTTTGAGAAGTCATGCTTTTTGTGACAGACTTGACCACGAGGATATATGAGATGGAACAGGGCAATAAATAGGAAGAGTAGAAGAAGAGTAGTAAAAGAAAAGTAGAAGTGAAAGAGTAGAGGAAGAGGAGCAGGAGATTATATGCTTGCCTCTTGGGCCCCAAGAGCTGTAGGAGGGGGGCCAGTAGCCCTCATAATCATGTGACTGAAGCACTAAGCCAGTAATTTTATCCCACTTTTATTGTTTCCCGAACTATTGTCTGTTGATCAGATTTCCATACTGGGAGGGCCTCGGCTGGTGCTGTCCCTGGGCAGGGATGAACCCGATCTAGGACTATACTTATTGGAAAACGGTGGAAACAATGTCACCACAACGCTAAGTGACAGTAAATCGAACGCCCAGTTCCAGATCTTAGTCATATTTGCATCACGTGGTCTAAATCAAGCGTTTTTATCGCTTCCCTTGGCCCTCCCGGAGCCCTCCAGGAGCCCTCCCGGAGCCGTCCCTGAGTGCTCCCTGAGTGCTCCCTGAGTGCTCCCTGAGCTCTCATAGCTACTCAGCGATCAGCTTCACCATACTCAGGGGACTCTGGTTAAACAATCAGGCACGTCATCAGTATCTCTCTTCTCTGTCCCCTGATTACAACCGCTCTTACAAATTTTAAGGATCCCTTTGTCAAACCCGTTTTTGAGCCCAGTGAAGATTTCGGTGATAGACAAATAGTCCATCCTCCCGTTTCAAGATATTCATTCATTCTTTCATTCATAACTCACTATTCTAATTATTTTAGCTCTTTGTTTCTATCTTGGTCGCTAGCTTTCACTTTCTTATTAACGATCGATTATACGACTTAAATTTTCCTCTTCATTCCCTTCATCTGCCTGCCAATTACCCAAATTCTTCGCCGCCATTTGCACGACAATTTCTAACGCTTCCTTTGTCTCTCGTTTGGTTTTCGGGTTTACTTCTTGCGATTGATATTCCCAGATATAACCCCTTTGTAGGAAACATCGAATTATCCATGAAATATTTTAAATTCACAACATTCGAGATCTATGTTTCTCCCCAGCCTAATAGCTATCTGCCCCTTGCTGGTAAAGGGCCGTCGGTTTCTGCCCTACCAAAGGAAGGTTTTCAGATCAATAACTCCATCTCAGCTGTCAATATCATAGCGTGTCCTCGTGGGCTAGTATTCTGTTTCGAATTCAGTTTGATCTTACACTCTTTTGACTTGATTTGGGGGAAATAGAAAGTCTAAACATGCGAGGTCTGATTAGATGCTTTCTAAAACAGTCTATGTATCTTACAAATATAGAGAAATTCGAAAGCAGTTTCCCTTCCAGGGACACAGCGCTTTCTTTCCCAGGGCCCCAGATTGTTCTAAGCCTGATATGAAAGAGGCTATGCCTCTTCTTTGAGAAGAGACTAGCCCCAGACCTTGGATGTTTCCTGAGAAAGAAGGCGGTTTTTCAAAGACCGCAGCTGCTCTCGTAGCCTCATCTGAGCACCCTATACGACGTTTGCGGTAGATTTTGCTCTCCCGGGAGCAACAGTCGAAGCTCCTCGGGCCGTTGACCGCCGTTCCCAGGACTCTCCCCACTAATTCCCTAGAGACTAACGGCTCCTAGGAGTGCTTCCACTAGCCCCTAGGAGCCACAACTTATCTCCTAGGGCCCGTTAGTACCGAGGAGACATGAATTCTGCATAGATCATTCCCATGCCGCATCACTCCTAAAAGGCGGCTCCTTCGCTCCAGGAGCATGATGCCGCTACGTTCTTACAGAGGCCGCACAAATAGTTTTCAACTCTTGTAGTCTATCCTATGAGAGGTTCCATCTTTTGATTTGCTATACTCGACTTCTCTTTGGATCCTGGTTGTGATTGGAAACTGATGGCTTCGTCACCGGGTATTCTTTATTGATGCTTGTGCCTGTGATTCAACTTTCTACCTATTTTCTGTACATCTCTAATCATCCAGTCCTCTCTGCCGTCTAATCCTCCAACTCTTGAATAAAATATAGCTCCTAGATGATGATCAAATTGAGGACACCGTATACTAATTCCGAAAGAGGATTAATCAGTTCACGGTTCATTAGCTATGCCTTTGTTCCCGAAATAAACATGTCGACATTCACCTGATCAGAGTATTATTGCGGGGTTGAAAGGCGAGCCAAAATATTGTCAGAAAATTCTTAACTCAGAGATTCGTTCTCGAGAAACAATTTTTGCGAGGTATGTCTATTGGTATATGTCTATTGGTATATACTATCTCAAGACAAATCGGCGATATTAGAAACTAAAGTTGGCTCTAGATACAAGACGTAGCGTGAGGAAGCAAAAGTAACCGCAGAAGTTTTCATGACTACATAACTAAATCTAGCCACGGTGAGTCACCTACCAAAGGGTTATCGCATAAGCTACTTTGCTACGTAGTAAAAATTGTAGTCCTTTTTGCTATGCATAATTTCTGCCCTGCCAAAGGAAGAGTTTTAGATCAATACTGGACTCCAATCTCAAAAGCTCTAGAAAGACAGAATCATTGAGCCTGCAATCGCCTTGATCGACGAAGCAGAGGCGCTTTGGGAGCTTTCATGAGGGCCGACTTCTTGTTCCCTCGTTGTTTTCCAGGCGAATGCTCTTTTGCATTCAGATTTCTCCGGGATGAACGCTTCCGATTTTGAGGTTTACACTCCGGATCAGGAGCAGGCGTGAGCTCTGTTACTTTTGCAGTACCCCTCGTCGACCGCCTAATCGGAACTTCGACTGAGCTGGGCTTAGTATTTTTCAATACAAATCTACCAGAAGAGTCTAGAGTTTCAGTATCCGATTGATACGGCAAGGAGTTCGTAATGGGGACAGGATAATCCTCTAAGAGGCGTGGGTCAATGTTTCCTAACTCGAGTTCGACGGAGGAGGCAGGAGTCTTAATTATTGGACGCTTCTCCGATTCTAAAGATTCTTCTCTAGATAAGATATCGCTGTAGTTTGTTTGTGTCGTATACGGAAGATAATACAATTTGAGATTGATATCGTATGAGTGTGCAGCGTAAGTATGAGCTAGAAATTCTGTGATCTCGCTGAAATAGGGGATATTGCGACACTCTTCCTAATTGCAGCTGATTCCACCGCGTGCATAGACTAGGTGCATATCGATTAAGTAACGCCGAAGCGAATCCAGCCGATTTGAAGGAAACTTATGTGGAGGAAGGCTCGATGATGATTGACGAGATAGGCCGTAGTAAATAATGCAGACATTAGTTGCGCATTTTATGTTGTCCTCCTTAGGGAGCGGCGATTCCTTAGGTCGGTCAACTAAATAATATTCATCGTTAATATTCTAATTAACTCGGTTACCTCGTCTATTCGGTTCGCAAAGCTGTAGTAGTGCAACTCTGTCTTTAGTAACCTATATACGTCGAGCAAGAAGCTTGTTATCGTTAAAGGTCTCTATATTAGGCCTATAAAAGTTTTCCACTAGGCGTGCCCGTTCAGCAAAAATATATTCTAGGTTTAGCAACTCCTAGCTTTTATTACTAGAGTTTTTATTATTAGATACTTTATTAGATACTTTATTAGAATTTTCGAGGAGTTGTCTTATCTATCTATTAATTTCTAATACGGGCGTATTTTAGAAATAGTCTTTCCTAGCTATTTCCCGCGTGTCGGTTGCTAACCTCTTTCGAAGCTTAGCTATTTCTTTTTTGATATCCTTATACCTTTAATATAGGTACGGAAAGGAGATTCGGGTATTCTTAATAGTGCCGGCTAGGGATCGTATCTCTGTATAGAGCTCTCTCTTCTCTCGTCTTAGCTGCAGGATATCTAGATTTTAGTAAATAGTATACTTATGCGAATCGGTAAGCTTAGACGGGGCGTGAATATCCCTTTTTCTAAGTATACTTCCGGTAAAACGTACAAGGCCCTCCTAAGGCGGTCGAAGAAGAACAACATACTAGAGATCGCGTCTAATAAATTATGATTAATAATGCTTTTCGAAGACGGCGTCGCCGGACTAACTAAGCACCCTTTGCCGTTCTTAGCTAGTAAAATTCCCTTAAAACTTTTAGTTAATATCGGTAAGACAAAATTCCTCCGCCTTCACGGATAATATACTATTTATTATTTTAGCGTACTAATAACTTACGATTAACTTCATTTGCCGTCTAACAGCGAAAGTTGTAGTGTCTAATATCGTCTTCGAATTTAGCGTCTCGGCCTAACTCTTTAAGGGCTTGCCGACTTGATTCATAAGTTATCGATAAAGACTTATAGAGTTCGTAACCGTACGGAGTGCGCTTAAAGCGTCGAAGAATAGGGGTGTTCAGAACTTCTAGTTTCCACCGAAGAGGAAGAGATGAACTATGCTTAGGAACTCTTAGCCGCTAAATAAGCTCTAGCGTGAGCTCCGTATTGACAAAAGCCTCGTCACGGAAAGCGAACGAGATTATCTGAGCGATCGGGCAATATGCTAGTTGGTAGTTACCGTGCATAAAAAACTTGGTTCTGAAAAGAAACATAAGCGTCAGATCAATTGAATATAAGTTTGCGGTATAGTTGTATCCTTACCTATCGGCGCCTTCCGGCTGACCCTTGAGATTGCGAAACTCTATTATAGCACAGAGAACGTTACGTTTGCTTTAAGGATCTTTTAGATAGAAAAGTTCAATATCACGATAGCAGACTAAGTCCGGAAGATCTTTCAATAAAATATACTTCGGAAGGTCACTTTTAAACGTGTAGGTTCGTTTGCGTTTACTAAGGGAGGAATTATCGGGTAGATAGGTATTTTGTGGAAGCAAGACACTAGGGCGAGTTCCGGTAATAGCAGACTATAGCTGCACTATAGCGAATTAAACGATTATGTTCCTATAACGAAAAAACCTCGAATAGACCTAGTGATGACGGTAGATCGCATAGAAGACCTCTACGTCTAAAGTATTCTTGTCCTTCGTTCGTCAGGGAATCTTGCGCTCGGCCTAGAAGGGTCCATCTAAAAACTATACTATATTAGTCTAATCTCTCTAAGCAGGGAAGGAATACCCGTACTTGTCGTATCTATTTATAGATATATTTATTAACACAACGACGAGCAAACAATTCGAAATACTAGCAAAGTCGGCGCTAGTACTTATCGTAAGACTACAGCCTCTTCTCTCGTGATATTCTGAATATCTAATCGAAAAAATTCTTAAAGATCGCTTTATCCTCTAAAAGAAAAAAGTCTATATAGTCCGCCTTCGACTGAATAGAATACCTATTCTCGTGAGTTAACTCTACTAACAGTGCCTAATTCTAAGGATATCCACACTCACTTTCGCTAGTAGCGTTCGACAACGGCAATACCTAGCAAGGTTCTTAGCTTGAAGTTTAGCGGTAGCTATCTAGAACGACGGAAATGTTCTAGTCTAGCTTGAGTTTCCTCGTATAGGATAGGGTCGGTCTAGTATTAGTGCTTATCTTTCTAAGCCGACCGAACGAGAACAGGAGCTATCAAGAAAAGCCAGGATGGATAACCGAGGTGAGGATCCGAGTCACGGGCAACAAGGTTGCTAAGGTCGATTTGAGGAGTGAGCGTTGGTGGTGAAGAGAGACTTTAGGTCACTGAGAGGGAGGGGAGGAAAGGGAACCATCTTATAGGCGCCCGGCGAGACGAGACGAAAAGAGAAGGCGCCTGGACAGGGCTGCAAAGGGGAGCTATTTTCGGCGTCGTTTGGTGGCAGGTGGAATCGCAGGGAAGGAGCAAGTGTCGGACGGGCGCTAACTTCTTCGCCGGAGGGTGACTAAGAGTATTGGGTGGGTGCAAAATAGATGGGTGCTGGCAGGAGGGCGGTCAAGCGGCTGCTTGCTGTCCAAAATTACGGGTGGAAAGGCGGCCGTTTCTGGCGCCAAAAGCAGCCATTTTCGGCGTCGATTTCACAGGTCCTCATATTCTATGTGTAAAATTGGAACAAATTGTGGATCATAAGGTGCTTAGCCTCCAAAAGTGACTAGGGCAGCCCGATCGACTATCATGGTCCAAACGTAGGTAGGAAGTTAAATGATTGTCTTAGTTTCGGACCATACGGTAGTAGTTATTGTCAATATAGTAGGATACGGTATCGGCTAGGAAAGCTAGGATCCAATGGAACGAGATGCTCAATATAGTGATGTATTGGGTGACTGAACTATCTAAGTGTATGGGCGGGGGAATGTTGAATATCCCCTACCTCGCTGTCTAGCGTGTTACGGCGCTGGGTTCCGAGTATACCCGGGATACCATACAAAACACGTAGCAAATCGAGTATCCCTGTAATATCCTGACGCGCATGGAGATATGTGGGTCTCGCCCGTATTATGCAGTCTTCCTTCTCGACAGTTATACTTAACCAAGAGCTCCATTCGGTAGATCATCATGATATATATCAATTTACGAAGCCGAGATATAACTCTCCTTAATACTTGGCGGCTGAACAACCATGGGGAACCCGAAAAGCAGCTTGGATAGGTTGGTGAGTCTCCTCTATTCTCAGCTTTCTCCTAAATTCTCCACCTAAATGCTCACTTGCATGGCTAGCTATCAATCAAATCTATTTCTGGTCAATGCACGTGGACATTTAAGACAGCAGTCTTCCCCGGAACAGAGTATAGAAAATGAAGCATGGGGTCTGTGGATGCCAAGTAGCGAAGACATGTGATTTTACCTTGTCACAATTGGCACAAGTGAAGGGGCCAATTTTTCACGTAATGTTGTGATGATGCTTTGACTAGTTTCAACTTCTCGATCTAGTTTCATTCGCTGCCCTCGCTTTGCAGCTATTGTGACAAAGCTTTTGTTATGGGTCACTGTCTGATTTCCCGAGACTGGAGGGTGGATTCTACATCGCTGTTTGGCCTTTCAGCTCCACTATTCTACTTATGAAATTCCCAACACTGGCTGCTGAGGTCTTTCAGACATATAATCTACCAAACCCAGCTGTGCCCCGGCCGTTTATCAATCAATGGCAGGAGGTGCGGACAACCTCTTCCTAACCAATGGTGCACAGTGATGCAGGCACATGAGGTGTTGAATCATGCGACTGCCACGGTGCCTATACCGAGTATCATTGCTTTAACCTATCTTATGGTGTGAAGAATATGACTATATAATTCAAAAGGATGCTGGTCACCCGGCCTAAGACTTCCCTTGCAAAGTGTCACTTCGTGATCCTATTGCAGAGTGACTAATAGAAGAAAATGTGATTCTATTAAAAAATACGTGAGTGTCCCCCAGGAGAGATCTTAAATCGTATGACAGAAACCAAGTTACATCAGAGGGTTCTATTCTGCTCTTCATTCTTGTTTCACTCCATATTAAGGACTACATTAAATTTCTCTTTGTGCAACGATCAGTATACTTTGTGGATCTTGGAAGAGCCCCCGGAGTGTCCTTTTATTTATACTAGAATAAGGAAGAGCTAAATCACATGGCGGGGCCTATTAAAATGAAAGATCTCGCCTACTGATACATTTGACAGACTGAAGTCAATTTCGCTTTCAAAGGCTTCGTAAAAAATAGGATAACATTAGTGTTATGAACCATGCAGTCTGGTGATCAAAAGGTAAACCCTTATAGAATTTACCATTCTAAGGGAACCCTCCTGTCTGGACCTTGAATACTGAAGTGAGCTAATTATAGTCTTCTCATGGCCTAAGTAATCAGTTCTGAGCATCCGAGAGCCAAACGAGTACCCCATCAAGAAAATGAGAGCAATGTTTCACTTATGCAATCCTCAGCATGCGGAATATTGAGCTCGGTAAAGACCTCAAAATCTGCCACATTATGTAGGCTGTGTCAACACTGGCAGCTGTCTGATATTGGAGTGTTCGTGGTTGAATGTCCGCTGCAGCCAGCACAGTTTTCACCAGTGGAGACGGATAATTCTCACGTAAATATTCAGCGATCAGGTCATGTCCGTTGGTAATTCCCCCTATTTCGTCAGCTAGGCACTCCTGTAATTAAGCCAGCCAAGAAACCCAGCACGTACCACACATCCAAAGGTTTCCATCCCGCGTCACTCGCATCGAGTCATCCCACAATTTGGTCTCGGGGAAGTGTTTGCGTAGGTACGGAATCAAGAAGCGAGGCGAGGTGCCGACTTTGCCCTTCGTGATACCGGCATGGGCTGCGACCAGGGACCCCGTACAGATAGTCATTATGGTTGCTCCAGCTGCGTTGTGTCCACGAACAAATTCCAGATATTCTTCTGCGGGCGGCATGACCCGAGGTGATGGACCAGGTACGAACAGAATGTCAAGTTTTCCGGGTGCGACCGTCTCGTTGTCGACAGAATCTGTCAGGCGAATTGACATATGGGACGTGACAGGAACCAACGCATCTTTACCTTCCCGGCCGATGTAGTAGATTTGGCAAGGACGACCTTGGTCAACCAGAGTCTTGGGCATGCCAATGTCTTCAATCCATTCTGGGCTGGCCATATAGAGCAGATCGAGTGCGGCAAGGTCCAACAGCTGGACACAATTTACGAGAAGAACACCAATTCGGAGAGGTGCGGAAACCATGGCTGTGTCTTATTAGTAAGGGCAAGAAAGAATGTTGGAAAATATCAATAACAGTGGGCATCGAATGCAGGCTGCCTTTTGATAGAAATGAGGGCGCAAAAATAAGGGTGCAGTGCACGAAGGTGGTATATGATTTGGTCTATGAAGGAAGGTGAGGTGCGAAAATACTCAGTGCGGTTGCAGTCCTCTCCATCATGATCCTCTGTCTGGTTGCAATCAGCGTGCCAATTTGAGCGGATTTAGCTTCGGCTCACACCATTCAAATTATGACATTTTTGATTCGTCTTCCATACTTCACCGAATAGATGTCCAGCCATCGTTCGACATGATTGGTAATGCGCGCAATTGAGCTCACGAGGACCGACGCACGTCGTACGGTCTGGCGGTGTGCATGTTGATTCCTGTCGGTAGTCTACAGTTGCATGTCTTGTGCATATCCTGCATCTATGAAAGCCTCATCCAGTGGATGGTTGAGGTTTGCTGTGGTACGTGTATGACTTGGGGCAGGTAATGACCATCTTCGGGGTCATGCCGACGATGCCGATAAGCGGGTATGAGACTGAAAGAGAACAACTTTCATGTGTGGACTCGGTATCATGCTTGAAATTTTCGAAGCAATGGATATCAAATGGCATAGCTAGAAAATAAGCTAGGATGGTCTTCTGTATGGCATCTATTTTTGTTCGCATCGAGAATGTGGACATGCTACCGCTGCTTCAATACCTTCCCGTTGCATAGTTCTCTCAAACTGGCAACTGGGCTGCCCGTTCCAAAATGGAAAACTCAATGAAAATCAAACTTTAAAGGTTGCAAAGCACTCGGATATCGGAATATCCCCGACGGAAACTTGGGTCCCCGTGCTTGGCTTTCGGCTTGCTGTCCCCCGATAAACCCAGTTTCCCCAGTTTCTCCTTTGTTCTCGCTCGGTATCACATCCGGTACAAAGTTGGCGTCTAAATTATCCTGATTACCAGAGCTGCTCAGGGGCTTTTCTTTGGAACGCTGCAAAACGTAGACTGTTGATACAAGAAACTGCGCGGCTCTGTCTATAATAGAATACACACCCTGCGTCACCATATCGTCCCCGCCTTTCTTTCCGCTCAGGCACGCGCTACTCCAACAAAACAAACCTTCCCCGCATTCCTATGACCTTAAGTATACGCTCTCAGCCAGTTAAATAAGCGTCATTGGCTGGAGCACATCACTCCGAAGGGGCAAATCTCTATTTCCATGGAGTGAGTATCTGGACTTGGGACACTGAATGACTGTGATCCTGTCAAGACGGCAGCTTAACGAAGATCTCGGCCAGTCCGCACAGTTTGTGGGAGCCAGTCGCGACACATATAAATAAGGTCGGCCTGACATGTATCGCCAGTCTGCTATATTATCACTCTGATGGCTTGGAACGAAATTGACTCGAATAGTAGACGTTATTGTCACCATGAGTCCTTCAGTTGATACACCGCCAGCCAATAATGGCTTTCGCCTGATTCTACACAATCCATATCTTTGCGGTGTTGCATCGGTCAGCCCTTATCCACCGATAGCAATCGACTGGTCTACTGACAAGATGACAGTTTTCGACCCTTGGCGGTTTGCTCTTCGGTTATGACCAAGGCGTCATCAGCGGCGTCATAACTATGGAATCATTTGGGGCACGCTTTCCTCGCATCTTCTCCGACAGTAGCTTCAAGGGATGGTTTGTATCTACGCTTTTGCTGGGTGAGTTGTCCCTGACTTTGATACCTGAGGATGTCGGATGCCAGAGACTTCACCCGCGACGTTGGGACAGGGCTAACTGGAAATGCAGCTGCGTGGTTCGGATCTTTGATCAACGGCCCAGTTGCCGACCGCATTGGGCGGAAAGTGTCAATAAATCTAGCAGTTATAATTTTTGTTATTGGATCGGCTATTCAATGTGGCGCGGTTGACATTCCAATGATTTTCGCAGGTAAGTACCATAGAGTTCCAATACCCGGTCGGATTCTTACTATTTTAAGGCCGAGCAATCGCTGGTTTAGCTGTCGGTATGCTGACTATGGTTATACCGCTGTATATTTCCGAGGTATGTTTGTTTGATGTGTTATATCTGTGTATTAGATATTGACTGTGCTGACCGACACAACAGGTCTCTGTTCCGGAGATTCGTGGCGGTCTGGTGGTGGTACAGCAGTGTCAGTCTTATATCTTCCCTTAAATGTCTCACATAGGCTGACTCTCCGTTCTCTTAGTATCCATCACTCTCGGCATTTTGATCAGCTACTGGATTGACTATGGAGCCAACTATATTGGCGGTACCCGCTGCGCCCCTAATGTTCTCTATACCGGTGGGACTGCCTCCAAACGCACGTTTGATCCATACCACGATGTCCCAGTTGAAGGCTGTAACGGTCAATCTGAAGCATCTTGGCGTCTTCCATTGGCATTTCAAATTGCGCCAGCGATAATTCTGGGAATCGGCATGCTCTTTTTCCCAGACTCACCTCGTTGGCTTTTGATGAAGGAACGAGACAATGAGTCAATTGCTGCTCTCTCCAGACTTCGCCGCCAGTCGTGCGACAGTCCTGCTCTTCAGAACGAATTTCTCGAGATTCGAGCATCGATTATGCTTGAGAACACTTTTGCCCGGGAACACTTCCCAAATTTATCCGGATTTAAGCTACATATGGCTCAAGTGAGTGTACACGATGATAGTTTCGATCATTCAAATACTAACATAGGTACCAGTATATGTCTTTCATGACAACCTGGGCTCGCTTTAAGCGACTGGCCATCGGGTGCTGCGTAATGTTTTTTCAGCAGTTTATGGGATGTAATGGTGTGTGTCTTTATACCATATGCATCAACTTCACATTTCTGACTATTTTTAATAGCCATGATATACTACGCGCCAACTATCTTTGGTCAGCTTGGCCTTGACGGCAACACTACTTCACTCCTTGCAACTGGAGTCTATGGGATCGTAAATTGTTTGAGTACCCTGCCAGCGCTTTTCTTCATTGACAAGGTTGGACGTCGGCCTCTGTTGATGGCGGGTGCCGCCGGCACCTGTATCTCGTTGGTCATTGTAGGTGGCATTCTTGGAGGCTACGGCTCTAGTTTGGTCCGCCACAAGTCAGCGGGTTGGGCTGGCATTGCCTTCATATATATCTATGATATCAACTTTTCGTACTCATTTGGTGAGATTATTGATATCTCTCCTCGGCTTATGTGATCTGACTTCGTTTGATAGCCCCAATCGGTTGGGTTCTACCTTCTGAGATTTTCAACCTGTCCGTCCGCTCCAAAGCGATATCGATTACAACTTCCGCAACCTGGATGTGTAATTTGTAAGAGGGATGATCTGCTCTCAAAGATTTCAGTCACTCACTAATCACCTTCATACTAGCATCATCGGTTTGGTAACTCCTGATATGCTCAATACTATCACTTGGGGTACCTACATTTTTTTCGCCGCATTTTGTTTGCTGGCTCTAGCATTCACATTCCTCTGCATTCCCGAAACTCGAGGAAAGGTACTTAAATCCTTCAAATTGTGACTCGCCTCTGCTCTGCGTTTACTGACTCCCTATACATATAGACTCTTGAAGATATGGACCTGATATTTGGAGACACAGCGGCACATGAAGAGAAGGAGCGCATCAAGCACATAGAGGCAGGCTTACGGGGAACAAATATTGACGATGATGAAGAATTGAAGCCAGAGACTCAGTACATGGAGCTCACCGATGCTGTCTAATTCCGCAGTGAAGCAAAGCAAGTATACGGGGCGTATTTATACATATTTCCTGGGGACTCTCAATACCTAGGCGCACTATATCCACAGCTAAAAATCCTCTGCCTCCCCCTCACCTATGGCGAAACTTCTTGAGCCAGAGGACCGCACAATCCTTCAATCATATGAAGTGAGACGGAGCAAATTGGAAAAAAATAATAGCGCCACTGGATTATCAATGAACATTACCTCGGTTATGTTAGCCATGAACTTGCTACCAAGAATGTAATTCTTCTTTCTTTTTTCAGTGATGAGACCCTGCCATCTGCAGAGCAATGAGCGAATGTGGCATCTACTTGTCCTCATTTGTTGAATGACATGGGATATATATTGCCGACACGGAAGAATCTCTAACCAACGCAACAACGAGAAAATGTAACTCTGGTCAGCTCTCAGTCGAATCAATTTTTTGTAACTAAATTCAAATTTCCATAATATTATGGGCTCACGTCGATTTCACGTCTACTTGGTTATGACTTGAAAATGGATAGGGATCTCGATATTCTAGAAACCTTGGCTGCAGTCACGCACTGCTAAAGCGCGAATGGAAGTCCTTCTCGTTTCGTAAATGGTGTGCCAAGGTACGGGTAACTGAACACGATCGTCCTTTCTGTGGAGCGGCCATTTCTTATCGCCCCCGATAACTCCACCTCATCAACTTCGATCGCCTCTTTCCATCAACACCGACCGCCATGTCTTCGCAGAAACCCCAAGCTACATACTTTTCCAATGGGCAGGCTTTGCAGAGGTGAGTATTGTTGGCTCTACTCCCATGTCTCCTGTTAAAGGCAGCTGCTAACCACCGCTGGCGGCCCCCACAGCCCGCCTTTGACCGTCCGCCTGAACCGCTTCGTCGAGAATGTCTATCTCTTTGTCGGCTTGTATTTTGTGAGCCTTATGTCGGTATGGTGACCTTGTCTCATTCACTTTTTGCGCTGTTCTCATTCCCAGCGACCTTTGCTCCTCCGCCTATGTGGCTATGATTTGCTGATATTTTTGTTCCCGCCCACAGTTCGAGCCATACGCTGCTGCCCAGAGTTCACAGTTCAACATCTACAACAGGAATACTGCTTCTGGGACCCGATCTAGCTGGGGTGCGAGAACAAGCAGCAGCAGCCACGGTGCTGGCGGTGGAGGCGGTGGCCGCGTCGGTGGGCCGCGCATCGGCCGAGTGGATGATGTCCGAGGACCAGAGTGCAGGAGCTGCCAGTAGAGATACCCCTGGATTCAAATGATATGGATTGCAAGAAGCGGAAGAGAAATTAGGCATGAAGCAGAGATGGAATAGTGGAAGATTCCTATCTATTGGATCGGACACTCTCGTGTTGACCTAATGGAATACCTGAACCAACTGAACGGATTTCCCTCCATGATACGGGCATAGACCGAATTTTTCGGTGCAAATTTGCCTGGGAACTCATATAAGCCGCTCTAGAGGCCTACGATCTTCATGGTATCCTTGAGAACACAGTCTTGCAACTTTCAAGTCTTATTTGATCTAGTCCCGGTGATGGACATGAATTCCGAACGTAGCCCAATGGTGTACCTCTATCTCAAAGGGTTGTACTCTCCCGCTCTCCGCCACTGCGTCGCCGCTTCATGTCAAGATGAATCCGCAGCTCGTCATGATGATGAGCCTCAACCTCACGTGACGGGACCCCTCCTCTTCGTCGATGCGGATGTCAATCGAAACATCCTGGTGACGTGGAGGACCTGAAAGCAAGCCCGCGGAGAAAGCCCAGCATGTCTTCCACTCCATCCACCGATGCCGAATGGGCGAATCTGATTCATAACTTCAATGACCGGGTTCCAGAACGATCATCCTCGCAGCCCGCGATCCCGCTAGGTGTCCCCCGAATGATTGACCATACCCTGTTGAGCTGGCCAGTTGAATCAAAAGATATTGACGCTCTGTGTGCCGATGCTCAGAAGTACGACTTTGCGTCTGTTTGTGTCCGTCTGGAAAATGTCAGCCGCGCAGCCGAGAACCTCAGAACCACTCCGAATATTGCGGTTGCTTGTGTGGTGGGGTTTCCGGAGGGCACCCATGATACAGTTGACAAGGTACGGGAAGCCAAGGATGCCGTGAACCAAGGAGCCAGGGAGCTCGATATGGTTATCAACTACCCGGAGCTGAAGAATGGCTTGTACAAATCGGTCTATGAAGATATTACAGCGGTGCGCAAAGCCGCCCCTAGCCCGATCATCCTGAAAGCCATCGTCGAATCCGCGGAGCTGGACAGAGATCAACTCATTGCCGCTAGCGTCGTGGCATGCATGGCCGGAGCAGACTTTGTCAAGACCAGTACCGGGTACAAGGGACCGGCGACCGTCAGCAGTGTCACCATCATGCGATTGGTGGTTGAATTGTTTGGCACAAACTGCAAAGTCAAGGCAAGTGGGGGAATCCGAAATGCGAGCGATTGCCTGAAGATGATCAAGGCTGGGGCTACACGGATCGGAACCAGCTCGGGAATCAAGATCGTGCAGGAGCTAGATGAAGGGGAGATTCTGGAGCAAGGGGCGGGCCATGCAGTATATTGAATTTCCTTCGAGAACAGCCTTGTGAAGACTTGGTCTTGATGAAATGCTCGTCGGTGATAGATTTGGAAGGACGAGATCGATTCCCAAGCATGTCACATCAACGCCTCACATTAATGGCGCGATTGCCCCGTTGAGAATATTTCAGCAGAGTCAAAAATAGAACAAGCCCGGAAGCTGTCTCTATCTTCATGTAGACCTGTCCATCTCGTTGACAAGCATTCCAGTGGGGAGGTGCATATGCGGCGGCTGGCCTGATGGGTTGAGCCGCCAAGACCTCGGGACTAATCGCTTTTGCAGCTCGAACAAACACAGTCCTCTCGGAGCCGAGCATCACCTGGACCTAACTCCAGTATCTGGCGTAGCAACAGATCCTGGCTTCTGTGAACCACCTGGATCCCCGACTTCACAATGACCAAAGGACGCCCTCTCAAGGCTTCTGAAAAAGCTGCGGATACCGTAGGCAAAAGTCTCCTTTGCGTGAACCCCAACTGTCAGGAGCTGACCGGAACTGCTAGAGACGACGAACACAGATTCGTGAGGCCCAGAGAGCCTATCGAGCACGGCAGCAAAACCGACTTCTGCAGTTAGAAGAACGGAATTCTTTGCTTGAGGATGTTGTCGACTCACTTTCTCAGGCCCTGGATTTGTTCTGCAAACAAGTCAAGCCAAGTCTATCAAGTGCATCCCCTCTTGCGTTGCAAGTGTCAGTCTTAGAAGAGACTACCAGGTCGCAATTGCGGCGGGTCCGAGACATCTCCGAGGATAACAGCGCTGATGCCACGCTATCGATGCGCACCGCCGAGGAAAAGAGCCCCCATGAGGTGTTCTTTGAGCCTCATTCCGGCCTACCAGACATTTCTTGCAAATCAAGAGCGCATCCAGGAGGATCGGGCTCTGGATTTTGGCCTTTGTTTTTCCGTACATCATCCATAACTACTCCAAATGTTGTGCCGGTGGATCCCCATGTTCAACTCGAGGCCCCAATGGTCAATTCAGGGATTGCATATGCCACAACTCCATTTACGCAGAGGTTGTATCATGCCTGTGCGAAGAATGGATATCGCTTCGTGAGAGCTATGGAGTTTACTGATCAAGATGTATGGCCTCATTTTGGACCAATCTTAGAATCTGTGCCACGGGCACATGTGGTGTCATACTTTCAACGTGTGCTGGCAGTGACGCCATGTAATCCGGTCACAGATCATCGCTTTCCCTTTATCAGTCTCGGCGGCGCTGGAACGCATTATTCACGAACGGCAGAAACATCCAAAACATCAAAGAAACATAGAAATCTTCTCCCATTTGAAATCACTAACGGCATTCGGGAAATTCCGTGTGATGAAAAATGGTTTGACGTTCATGATGTTGAGGGTTACTTGGCTAATCAGGGGATTCAAGTGATACAAGTCCCTTTTTCCACAGCGAATACGCAGCACATAAGAAACGAAAACGAAGCCCTTGTGGATAGTGACTTATCTATAATACGACATAAAACAAGGCTCACACCCATTTCATCTGATTTGAACCGCCAGATCAACGACCCACCTAGAATGGTGGTCCGAGAGGATGTTTTCATAGAGGGTAAATCCCCTCTTTTTCATTCATGGGTCTTGAATCGAGGACTAACATAACGTAGGTTTAAGTATGCTCTGTGTCTGCCTTGGCTGTGTTGCTGGATTCCGTCAATCAGATGTAGAGACTTTCCTCTTACAAAATGTCCAGTGGGTCTGATTAATTTCAACTCAGCACACAAAGTACGTGGTTAATGACCGGGCCACTTTCTATCACGATTTTTGAATGTTCCAGCATCTAGGATTAAGACCTTGTGCATTTTCATCCATAGCCAGAATTCTCAGTCTTTGATCCGACCCATGGCTTTTTCACGATAAAGCCAAACCATTGCCGCGGTAGCCCCGGGTCCAACAACTATGAAACCAGCCGCCAGCGCACAGCACATAATTTGGCTGTTCAGATCGGTCAGACCAGCTCTGTACAAGTCCCAAGTGCTCACCAAACACCAAAGGAGGGTTGCCGCTGTCATGAGGAGGAAGTCATATTGGAAAAAGACAAAAACACCCTCAGCCAGTGTACTTTTGGGGCTGAAAGGATCTGTCGGAATGAACATGCGACTCAAAGACAGCTGTCCCGAGATCAGGCATCCTACGATGATACTGATATGGACAGTAGCGGCAATTGCCCCGGTGCTTTGATAAAGGGTTGACAAGTACAGACGATCGCTTTTTCTCTTGGCGGCAGTGATATGCTTGTGATTATTGGAACGATTGAAGATTCCCCATGCTCTGGATATTGTCTCCATGGCAAACACCACTAGTATCGGCGCGGACTGCCAAAAAGCTATGACGGCTTGGAGCACATTGCATTCGGAGAATGGGAAAAATAATAGCATTGTCGGAATCACATACCCTATCAGGACACCCGGGAGAAGAAACTTTGCTGCTGGCACATCTCTACCCTCGCGGAGAAGGAATGTTGGACTGCGTGACACGAAGAGACTTGCTGCAAAGTAAATTGGTGCGACAAATCCAATTCCACGGAGCTGATACACGACGGCCCATAAACTTGGACTGATAAACTATCAACATGGAACCCTTGAGATGAGTCATTATTATCATACCTGGCAAGCAGAGTGAATCTGGATTTTTCTCTATATCCCTCGACAGTGAAAATGGAGATCAACGGCAGCATGCACGATAAAAAGTACATCAACTGCAAAGGCTGTTCCGGAACGGAAGTGTTTGTAATAGCCGGTAAAAATATAGTCACAAGCATGCTGGTCATCTTGTCAATAGAGAGCAAGCCAGTGAAGGATTGTCGCAATGTCAAGTCCATCTCCGTGATTGAGTGGCTGGCCAGTGACTGGTGGAGTAGTGCCGCTGTTCCATTGCTCTGAATCGCTCCGAGAAGCAGTTTGGACGCGAGAATAGCCATAAAGATGTACACAAGGTATAGCACATACCCAGCGATACCACGCGGTGTCGGAGCCCTCAATAACTCATCATAGTATGGTATTTCCCCAGAGGTCCTAGGCACTGGGAACATGTTCAATGACACGGCGGCTGAGTATGTCTCAATCCAGCGGTCCATTATCACACTTTTTGGAATGTATGGAAAGACATACTTTCCTATGAATCGAAGTAATGGCGTCTCCATACATTCCAAGCGCTGTCTGGCATGCGAGGATTCAACGAGGCGCGATACACGGCCTTCTCTTTGTCGTTGTGTCTTCGCAAAAATTTCTGAAAGTTCAGCTGTCGTAAGAGGTTTGGTTGAATCTTTCAACGCGCTCATAAGATGGTTTGTGAGTGCCGCGGCTGTTTCGATGGCGTTGTTTCCTCCTTGTCCAGTCAACGGTTCAAACTAAAGAGTATAGGTCCTATGTTAGCCAAAAACGCCATCACTCGATTTCAAGTAGTAGGATCCTCAACCTTGTGTGCTGCGTCGCCAATGGTCATTGTTCTCTGGAAGTACCACCGTTTGTAGACATACTCTGGTAGTGGAGTATACACCGAGCTCACTCTTCTCTTGTAAATTTCGGAGAAGCGAATTGTCGGAGTGATTTGATCGTCCAAATGTTGCTTGACAAATTCTTCTTCTTCTTTTTCGAAAATCGAGGAATATCGGACCCATGGAGTTTCTTTCCCATGTTTGTGACCAAGAACCAGTAAGACCTGTCATCAGGACCACTAGCAATGAGATATGAGAAATGTTGGTTGAATACTGAACTGAGAGATCCCCTCTCGATCCCCGATACACCTGTTGAGATTCCAAAAATACAAGCGTACGTTGCTGGCAGTGCTATATCTATTATCAGCTCTTATCGAGTATACTATCTCCAGTTGCTTTCGCGTACCCTCTGCTTCCGATGGATCAAACCATTCTGGATCAGATTTCTGCGCTTCCTGCCACATTTGCTTTCGAACGGATGAATGAATTCCGTCTGCTCCGACAACGAAAGTGCCTTTGAAACTTTTGCCCGATTGGGTTTTGACACTCGCGTATTCGGGATGATTTTCAATCGTGATGACTCTCTCTGATGTCAAAATTTTTGACTTGTCCTCAATGTTGTTGTAAAGAATTTCGATCAACATGCGACGATCGAGGAAAAAAAAGGGATAGGTGAATCTGTATATCATGTAGGCGTTAATAGAAAGATAGAGACTTTCCTATCTGCAACGAACATACTTTCGGACTATCGTCTCGTTGAAATCCTCTAATACCCAGAACTTCTCTCCTCGAGAGTCCCTAAAGTTGACTTCGTCAACAGGATATTCGGCAGCTTCGCAAACACTTTCATAGCACCCAAGTTGGTCAAGGATACGAAGCCCATTTGGCAAAACACCAATACTTGCTCCCACTTGGGGCGCAATCTCTGGATATGCTTCTAGAACGACAAAGTCAATCCCATTTTTCTCTAGCATGAGTGCCAGGGACAGCCCAGCAATGCTCCCGCCTACAATAACAACTTTGGGTTCTCTGAGCGCCATCAGGAGCTGTGCTTTGCCGTTCTTTACGAGTTGGGTTCTGGCAGAATGCTTCTTTCAAGCTTCGGAAGTATTTGTTATGTATGGTTTCCATTCGCAACAAACACGAGTATTGAAGTCCCAACGTGCCCCTGATTAGTATGAAGTCGAAATCCATTTGGCCGATGTGTGCCGATCCTTTCCTATATGGTAACACGAGACCCACTTCGATTGGCGCAGGATTCATCCGAGCCCGACATGATCATTAATCGTCCCAACAAACGACGAGATCACAAGAACGTCTCACTTGTCCATCGTATTCTGACTCACTTTTCCATCGTATTCTGACTCACTCCGCAAGATTCCTTCAAAAGCCAGCGAATGAAGGCCCTAATAGTTGATCATGCACCGATTCAAGGACGTGAATCGATATGAAATGGCATGTCCTAGGATGCTTTTAATTGATTTAGGGTCCTAACCTAACTATAAATGTAGCTCGCTGGAGATGTAAGTCTTTTTAAGTCCCTATTATTTTTTAGAAAGCCTACATGTCCATTTTGCGCAAAGTCTCATCTCATACACTTCAGACCGGCAAATTCCAACCAAAGTCGACACCCTTTATACTTAGTATTCTCTCTGCTCGAACCAATCCATTTCACTTATTGACCTTAAGCCCTCAGAGAACCCTGAATGCTCAAAATATCGATCTTATTTCTTCTCAGTATATCATGTTTCAAAGTATTGTCGCATCATATTCACAGGTCAAGGAGAGAATGTCACCCGTTCCCAGTACCGCTGATCCTACAACCGAGAGGATTAAAAGAGAGAACAAGGACATCCTAGTTCATCTCAGATAGAGCATATCCCAGCCACACAGTTGGTGATGGAAAAATGATGCACCCAAGATGCACCAGTCAACGAGATAGAGCACAAGCTTGTCTCAAGCTGCTGACAGAAGCATGCAGTACGACCTGACCCACCAGAACAAATGGATACTACTTGTCACAGGGCATATCAAGCCAAAGATATGTAGAGAAAATTCTGTATCATCATGAAATAACAGGGGATATCTCGCTGCTTGAGAATTGAATGTTCTTCGGAACGAACAATGGAAGATATGCCTCCTGGATGCTTTGAAGGCCAAGGCGATAAATACCAAGAATCCAAAGAGAATAATTGAAAATATGACAATAGTATTTGTGACAAGGTCAGGAGATGTAAAAGGTGGTCTTATTGGTTATGCTCTGAGCTAGCTAGGAGGGTGCACTGGGGTCATGTGACCTGTCTTGGAGGGTAACAATAGTAATACAATTTTGCAAGACCTCTGACGTTTCATTTCCCGAAAAGCTTTCAGCTTGGACTTCTACGAGAATGTCGGTTTTAGTAAAGCAGCCGATAACATCAACAGTACCCAAAGCACTGTGGTGATGGCTGTTCGGTCTTAGGTTGTCCCTCGAATGGAGAGTATTATAGTTTCTTCATAACTCTAGAAGGCTTTTCAAGGCGTTTATAGGAATAGATCGTAAGGCTATTTTCGGGTCGACATGTACGTCTCCCACCTAATTTTGGACTACAAGAAATTCAGCGATGGATTATCAAGTACTTCCAAATGCTATATCTTCCCCAAAATTTACATCTTTGATTTTTTTCTCATGGAGTCCGGGCTCACTTAAGCTTAGGTTAAATCCTCTGTATCATGCATTCATCAAACCCCTTTCAAGAAATTTCCTAGCAAGGCTGCCGGTTCAATTGCCGCAATATGTTATGCAACCCCCTCGCCCACCTGATATGCCAGTATATTAAGCGAGGAGGGGTTTTCTGAGACCTTTTAGAAATATTGAATCAGTCGAAATTTTTGTTATGAACACAAAACGAATATTCCAATGCGGATGCTTTCATTTTGAAAGGTAGGTGCCGAAAAAGCCCAGGGGATAAACCGCTGAGTAAGCAGTAACCCTTCACGAACGGTATCCAAGTCCTGTCAATTATACGTGGTTTCATGTGACTTACAGGGGTAGCGCGTTGTGGGATCGGTTTTCGAATTATCTGGACAATGGCAACAATACCTCGGCTCATTATTTTAACATTATTTATGCATCGCCAAGATAAGACACCTTGGCTGGTCGGATATCGGGATCAGCAGACCCGATCTCCGACTTGGCCAATCTCGGCCGGACCGTTGGCTAACTACCGACTGTCAGGATCGAGATGCGGCTGTAAATCTTGGGACGAAAGATCGAGGGCTTTTTTCTGGGATACATGGACGGGCGAATTGTGTCCCGGTACCGCCCTAATTTGAGCATGTGGGACGCCCATCCACAGATCATTTTGCGACCTGTACATAATTGATGGTCTGAATTCCATAATCACCAATTGGCCGAAATAAGCGAACAAGTGTTAAAGATATTTTCCAGGAAGAAAAAAATGATGATGATGATGATATTAGGAAATAAATCATGAACCAAGGAGCTAGTCACTTGGCAAAACTTAATCTCTGAGGTCTCGTTGAGGGATGGCATCACATGCTAGAAAATAGATGGATGCCTACTTCCGTTCAAGATTCGGTTTGAAAAGCAAACTAAATACAAACAGTAATGACACTCTTAATCTCTTGCCTTGGGGTATCCGATTCGAGTGATTTGGTTCGCCCGATCCTGTCCTGGGCTTCCGGGCTGTCTGGGCTGCACGGATGCAGAACTACAGGGCTGGGTTACCAGCCGCTGAGTCAGCGGGTTTCATAGTGTGCCCGAAGCAGCCAACAGCTCGGTGATCGACGAGAGGGAGGCCTGGCGTTCGGGTCCTGGGACTCCGAGCCCCAATAGTCCGGGCCGTTTCATCATTAATATGGGCCTCTGGCCAGTCCGGTCCCCGGCACTGATCTCCTTCCGGCCCCGACATTCTCCACTGGGTCAATAGCAGGGGCCGCAAACACTGGAATCCAGTCTAAGTTTACGTAGTCGTGCTGATAGTCCCAAACTTCTTCCGGCCTGCCCTGTGGCTATGATAATCTACCCGATATTTTTATCGTATTTTTTCCCTCTGTCTCGCCCTTTTCCGAAGCTTGCATAAATTGAACGCTATTGCACTTTTAATAATTTCCGGCCTGTCTGAAGGTTGTTTCCTTGTCTTTCCAAACGCTCGAGACCACCCTTGCTATTGCAAAACTTAACTAGTTTGGTGGTCAAGGTTGCAATCATGGCTTTGGATCCCCTCAATGAGGACAAAATCACTATACCACACGAGGATGACGAACCGTCATTCGAGCCCATCAACTTAATTGAACAGAGCGATGTGGAAACCCTCACTCGCATTGCTACCCAACAATCCCGTCGACAGTCAACCGTTACCCATCGTCTCGCATCTATTGCAGAACAAGACCCGGCCCTAAATCCTCAGGGACCCAACTTTGACCTACGAAAATGGCTTATTGCCGCCATGAATGATGTTGGACGCGATCGTACGAGGGGTCAGGGTATGGGCATTGTCTTCAAACAGCTCAACGTCTATGGATCCGGAGCAGCGCTGCAATTTCAAGAAACGGTGTCATCGCTGTTGACGGCGCCTCTTCGACTACCGCAGGTATTTCGGGAAGCTCATTCCCCTCGCCGGCGAATCCTCAAAGACTTCAATGGCGTTCTCAAGCGCGGAGAACTATTGCTGGTACTGGGCCGACCCGGTGCCGGCTGCAGTACATTCCTTAAATCGCTTTGTGGTGAGCTTCATGGCCTTGAGCTTGATAAGGACACTGTGATTCACTATAATGGTATAGTCCTCTTGCCCTATCTTCTTCGGCCATTTCTTCTTCTGACACCTATATACAAGGTATCACACAATCTCGGATGACGAAGGAATTCAAAGGCGAGGTCGTTTATAACCAAGAGGTATGTACACTTTCGCACTCAATTCTTCTCAGGCGCGTACAACTTAACTCATTGGATTCTTTTCCTAGGTCGATCGACACTTCCCTCATTTGACTGTCGGTCAAACCCTCGAGTTTGCAGCCGCCACTCGCACGCCAGCACATAGATTTGAGGGCATGTCGCGCGCAGAATTTGCTAAGCTCATGGCTCAAGTGGTTATGGCGGTATTTGGACTCAGTCATACTTATAATACTCGCGTGGGTGATGATTTCATTCGTGGCGTGTCTGGTGGTGAGCGAAAGCGCGTGAGTATCGCCGAGATGGCTCTCGCAGCCTCTCCCTTGGCTGCGTGGGATAATTCGACGAGAGGACTTGATTCTGCTACAGCCTTAAAGTTCGTTGAATCTCTAAGATTGCTTTCGGATCTGACTGGTTCGGCTCATGCTATCGCTGCATATCAAGCTAGTCAAAGCATTTACGATGTTTTTGACAAGGTTGTTGTTCTCTATGAAGGACGTCAGATCTTCTTCGGGCCTGCCTCGCAAGCAAAAGCTTATTTCGAACGACAAGGCTGGGAATGCCCCCCACGTCAAACTACTGGCGACTTTCTCACCTCTATCACCAACCCACAAGAGCGCTCGGCCCAGCCGGGTATGGAATCCCGTGTTCCTCGTACTCCTGAGGATTTCGAGAATGCTTGGCTGAAATCTGCCGAGTATACGGAGTTGCAGAACAACATCACTGCATATGAGAAAGAATATCCAATTAGCGATGATGCAGCTGCCGTTGTTGAATTCCAGGAGAAGAAGCGTGGCAACCAGGCAAAGCATACACGTCCAAAGTCACCATATATCATCAGTGTTCCTATGCAAATCAAGTTGAACACTGTTCGTGCCTACCAAAGACTATGGAATGATGCTGCTTCCACTGTTTCTACAATTGTCAGTAACATTATCATGGCTTTGATTATCGGTTCCGTTTTCTATGACTCTCCCAACACCACTTCTGGCTTCACATCAAAGGGTGCAACTCTGTTCTTTGCTGTCCTGCTCAACGCTCTCACAGCTATGAGCGAGATTAACAGTCTCTATGCACAACGTCCCATTGTTGAAAAGCATAATTCTTACGCATTCTATCATCCATCGACCGAGGCCATCGCCGGCGTGGTCGCTGATATACCGGTTAAATTTTGCTTGGCAGTAGCATTCAACATCATCATTTATTTCCTTTCTGGTCTGCAGCGTGAACCAGGGAACTTTTTCCTCTATTTCCTTGTCACGTTTTTGATTACCTTCGTCATGAGTGCTGTTTTCCGCACACTGGCTGCCGTCACAAAGACTGTCTCGCAGGCCATGGGGTTGGCCGGTGTAATGATCCTTGCGCTCGTTGTCTACACAGGTAGGTATCTATCTCAGGATATTCTATCCCAGATAACTAATCCATTTAATAGGCTTTGTTCTACCGGTTCCCTCAATGCACCCTTGGTTCGAATGGATTCATTATCTGAATCCTATCTACTATGCCTTCGAGATTCTTATTGCCAATGAATTCCATGGAAGGGACTTCCCCTGTGCACAGTTCATTCCATCTTACGCGGACCTTTCTGGAAACTCGTTCTCTTGCTCTGCCTCTGGATCTGTGGCAGGTGAAACGACGGTAAATGGCGATCGATATATTCTGCTGAACTACGAGTATAAGTTTAGTCATGTCTGGCGTAATGTTGGCATTCTATTCGCATTCCTCGTTGGCTTTATGGCAATCTACTTCATTGCCTGTGAGCTGAACTCTTCCACTACCAGCACCGCCGAATCACTGGTCTTCCGCCGCGGTCATGAGCCAGCATACATGCGCCAGGACCTGAATAATTCTGGATCAGACATTGAAAGCAAAGAGACCGCACCTGTAAATGATTCTACGGTCGACAAGTCTGATGAGAGAGGGATGTCCGCTATTCAACCGCAAACAGATGTCTTCACTTGGCGAGATGTGAGCTATGATATTGAGATCAAAGGAGAGCCTCGCCGTCTTCTAGACCATGTCTCAGGATGGGTGAAACCTGGTACTCTCACTGCACTCATGGGTGTCAGTGGAGCGGGCAAAACGACTCTTTTGGATGTCCTAGCGCATCGTACTTCAGTCGGTGTTGTAACTGGTGACATGTTTGTGAATGGAAATGGACTTGACGCAAGCTTCCAGCGAAAGACGGGCTACGTCCAGCAGCAAGATCTTCATCTTGAAACGGCAACAGTACGGGAATCCTTGCGCTTTAGTGCTCTTTTGCGTCAACCCGCAAGTGTTTCGATACAGGAAAAGCACGATTATGTCGAGGATGTCATCAAAATGCTGCACATGGAGGATTTTGCAGAAGCTATTGTTGGCGTCCCCGGTGAAGGTCTGAACGTTGAACAGCGAAAGCTTTTGACCATTGGCGTTGAGCTAGCTGCAAAGCCCAAGCTTCTTCTTTTCTTGGATGAGCCTACAAGGTAAGCTTCGCACAATCACTTACCCCAATTTCTTCTTTTTCGGTTCGTTACTAAAACCTTATTCTAGTGGTCTTGATTCTCAGAGTTCATGGGCTATCTGCTCGTTCCTCCGAAAACTTGCCGAGCATGGACAAGCGGTTCTTTGTACCATCCATCAGCCCAGCGCTATCCTTTTCCAGCAGTTTGACCAACTTTTATTCCTTGCTAGAGGAGGCAAAACTGTCTACTTTGGGCCCATTGGTGAACAGTCGCGAACACTACTGGACTATTTTGAATCGCATGGTGCACGCAAATGTGGAGACAGTGAGAACCCGGCTGAGTTCATGCTTGATGTCGTGAATGCTGGTTGTAACTCTCAAGGTGAAGACTGGTTCAATGTCTGGAAGCAGAGCAAAGAAAGTGGACTGGTCCAGACTGAGATTGATCGGATCCACAAGGAGAAGCAAGGCCAAGTTCAACAGTCCGATGACTCCTCCGCCAGCCACCAAGAGTTTGCAATGCCCTTCTGGTTCCAACTATACCAGGTCACCTATCGTGTCTTTCAGCAGTACTGGCGTATGCCATCCTATATTATCTCTAAGTGGGGACTCGGAATTGCCTCTGGTCTTTTCATTGGTTTCTCGTTTTACCAAGCCAAGACGTCACTCCAAGGAATGCAGACAATCATCTATTCAGTATTCATGCTCTGCACCATCTTCACTTCTCTCGTTCAACAGGTTGGTTTACTTGATCTTGTCAATTAAATTTTATTTTGACTAACTTCCTCCTAGTTGATGCCTTTGTTCGTGTCACAACGCTCTCTTTATGAAGTCCGTGAGCGACCGTCCAAAGCATACTCGTGGAAGGCTTTCTTGATTGGCAACGTAATCGTCGAAATACCTTATATGATAATTACCGGTATTCTCATTTTCGCCTGTTACTTCTACGCTGTCGTCGGTATCCCGTCGTCCGTGAGCCAGGTTACCGTCCTTCTACTCTGCATCCAGTTCTTCATCTATGCCGGTACATTTGGTCAAATGGCCATTGCCGCTCTTCCCGATGCGCAGACTGCTAGCGCAGTTGTGGTCCTGCTTTTCGCTATGTCGCTTACATTCTGTGGTGTCATGCAGCCTCCTTCCGCACTCCCTGGGTTCTGGATTTTCATGTACCGCGTTTCCCCCTTCACCTATTGGACGGGCGCCATGGCCTCCACTCAGGTTCATGGTCGTCACGTTGAATGTTCCTCGGCAGAACTTGCCACTTTCGACCCCCCCTCTGGTCAGACCTGTGGCCAATATCTTAGCAAATATGTTGAGTTGGCAGGTGGCCAGTTACTTAACTGGAATGCCACGTCGGACTGCCAATACTGCTCGGTCACTGTTGGTGATCAGTATCTCGCCCAATCTGAAATTTACTACTCCCAGCGCTGGAGGAATTTTGGCATTGTTTGGGCCTTTATTGTGTTCAACATCTTCATAGCCACCACTCTTTACTATCTCTTCCGCGTCAAGCGCTGGAATCTGGAAGGTATCAAGCAGAAGCTTCTTCCCTCCAGATTCTCGAAGCCCAAGGCATGAGGTTTACTTTCTCTTTTTTTACCCTCTCTCAGACATCATTTCTCAAACTTTATTTTTGTCACTTCACATTGTGCTTACTTCCATAACCTGGTTTTTCCTTCATGTTTATACATTGCCTATAGATTCCGTCTTCTTTTATTTACAATTTAATAAGATTTCAATCAAAATTTTCGGTGGCATATGGACTCATATTATCCTTATTTACAAGTCATCCTGACAGCCTATTAGTATTATTAATTTCTCTTTTTCTATTGAGGGTGGAATAATAGCCCTATGGGCAGAATGATACTCGGAGGGCTGGAGATTGCTCTCTCAAAGTTACTTAAAAGTAGCTAATCTACACCAATTACGGCTGATCTGCGGTCAATTCCAAACTTGATGGCAGTAGAACCATTCCGCGATTGATTAATTGCTAAATCCTCGGATGTGATGTGTTTCCACATTCTTCTTGTAGACCGTAGAATAGACGCTGGACATATTATGTACTATTCATTGATCTATGGTTTCCAAATTAAGATGTGCTTATCACTCCAACCACGCATCCACGGCAGTTTTAATTGCATCCTTCAACCATGCTTCCTCGTACGGGACAGCCGAGTCAAACCCATGCTCTCCGTCCCGCACTGTCAAAACCACCCCGTTGCCAGGAAGACCTTCAGTGACTTGTTTTGCCCGAGTCACAAACTTCTCGACATCTCCAAGAGGGACTACAGTGTCTTGGCGGCCGTGAATTACTGCAATGCCGCCCTGTGGGATCTGAAGGTTTGGCTGCTCTAGGCGCTCCATGGGATAGAGTACCTCGCGTGGCACGCCCTGCGATCCACGCTCGTACATTCCCGTGATAGCCCCGTGCTGCACAGCAGCTAGCATGAAAGCCAGGCTATCTGGCGTACTGATTGATGACTTGACGGTGTCTAGAACTACCGCTTTCATGTTCTCATGTATGACGGATTCTGGGATGGGATGGTTGAATGGCGCGGTCGCGCGGGGCGAACTGAATGATTCTGAGCTAGGGTCCAAGAAGGGATATGCGAGAACTGCGGCACGAATCTCTGTTGGATGCGAAAGTGCGAGATACAGGCTGATAAGGCCGCCGGCGGAATCTCCAGAGGTAAAAATACGGCTCAGGTCGACCTTTGTCGGGCTTGTGTGCTTCGCCAACAAGTCCACGAACTCGGCTGAGTGCACCCAGGTCCAGAAATCTTCAATGTCGGCATAGATATCGGCCCCAGTGGCTTCTGGTAGGAGACGATAGTTTGGACTGACGATGACGGCTTCATTTTGTAAGGCGAGATCGGAGGTCCATTGGGGCCACCAGTCCATGTAGAGCGAATCGCCCATCATCTGCGAGATGAGTTAGCGTGGAGCTAACCGGTTTGGGGGGTTTCTCAGGAAGCAATTACCAAGGCACCGCCATGGGTTCGAATTATAAGCGGTCTAGCACCGTTATACTTTGTTTTCGGGATCAAAATATCAGCTCGGATCCCATGGTCGCCGATATGCTTATAGTTGTGTTGGAGGATTTCGAAGCCGTCCAGTTTGGGGTTAGAGGGAATAGACATTGCGAATGATGGCAATTGCTGTCGTGATGAATTCTTGGAATGAATAATCGTTGAATGCAAGTCCTTCAACCATTAAATAGATGCCATTACTCGGCCTCGGACTAAATGGTTGCCATGCACCGTTAAGCCGGTGGGACGGAAGCCCCATCTCCGGCCTCCACGGAGACATTCCGGAAACCTAACATAATCACCGCGCATTAATAAGACAGATTGCTTCGGCTTACGAGTGTAATTCCGGCGGTGGAATCTGCTAACCTCATACGATTAGTTGGTCTCGGTTGGTTGGTAATTGGGAAATTGGTAACGTGTTTCACTAGTGAGCTGCGCACACCAATGAGCTGCGCACCCCATCCAAAACGCGCTTCCCACGCGTCACCTACTATCTTCTACCATACACCATGCCACCAAAACGTTCTGAAAAACGCTCAAAATCACCAGATAGGGAGGGTAGGATACTACTTGCTATCAAAGCTATTCAAAATGATACTACCCTATCTATACGAAAAGCAGCAGCGGTTTATAGCGTGCCAGAGAGCACGCTTCGAACGCGTATAAAGGGCGTTCCAAATCGCCAGGATACACGATCACCACGTCTTAAACTGACACAAGAAGAAGAGGATTCGCTTTGCCAGTGGATCCTATCGCTTGATACGCGTGGTGCTTCCCCTAGGCCTTCGCATATTCAAGATATGGCAAATCTTCTACTAGCAACGCGTGGTAATAACAAGCCTTCTTCTATTGGTGTCAATTAGGTAACACGCTATATTAAACGACGACCAGAGCTCTGTACACGCTTCTCTAGACGCTACGACTATCAACGTGCGCAAAACGAAGATCCTACTAGTCTACGCGCGTGGTTTAGACTAGTAGAGCGTACGATTAATGAAAACGGGATCCTTCCTAATAATATCTATAACTTTGATAAAACAGGCTTTGCAATAGGCTTGATATCTACTACTAGAATCGTTACACGGAAGGATCTATACGGTCGGAAGCCTCTACTACAACCTGGAAATCGGGAGTAGGTAACAGCAATTGAATCTATATCGGCATCCGGCTACTCGCTTCCGCCGTGTATAGTATTTAAAGGGAAGGTTTATATTGCTAGCTGGTTTGATAACCTACCGAAAGACTGGCGAATCGAAGTATCACCGAACGGCTGGACTACCGATGATATAGGCCTGCGCTAGCTAGAAAAGCTCTTTATTCTAGCAACTACTAGTCGTACGCAAGGCAAATATCGCTTATTAATATTAGACGGTCATGGAAGCTATCTAACACCACAATTCGACCAAATCTGCCAGCAAAATAACGTTATACCACTCTGTATGCCGCCGCATTCGTTACATCTTCTACAGCCGCTAGATATAGGATGTTTTGCTATCCTAAAGCGCTCATACGGTCGCTTAATCGAGGCCCAAGCCCGCCTAGGATATAACCATATCGATAAGCTCGACTTCCTAGAAGCCTATACCCTAGCACGACAGGAAGCCTTCCTACCTAGCACTATACAATCAAGCTTCGCCAGCGCCGGCCTAGTTCCGCTAGATGCCGACCGAGTCCTATCAAAGCTTAATATATCGCTTCGAACACCTACACCTACTACTAGTAGGCCTAGTAGTAGGAGTAGTGCTTTCGTGCCTACTACACCACATACGATTAAGCAGCTTAACAAGCAAGCTTCATCTATCAAAGCTCTACTACGCAAGCGCTCGTGCTCGCCAGGAAGCCCTATAGAGAGAGCGCTAGATCAATTAATCAAAGGCACTGAACTAGCGTTTCATAACACTGTTTTACAAGCGGAAGAGATTCGGCAACTACATAGATTCAACGACAAGAAACGTCAAAAACGCACACGTTCTACTCGCCAGATATATAGGCAGCAAGATCCTACGGTCGGCGAATCTATATCTCTAGATTCAACGTTGCCAGCAAGCGTTGAAGCTATTCAAAACGATGATGCAGAGCTTCCTCAGCAGCCTACCGAGGTCGCTAGGCCTACTACTAAGCGTGTATTTCAATGTTCTGGATGTGGGAATATAGGGCATAAGATTACTCGGTGCCCTAGTAAATAGTTGAATTAAATATATGGCGTTTTGGTGGAAAAATAGTGTTTTCAAAAAGTAGTGGTTGGTAGGGTGCGCAGCTCATTGGTGTGCGCAGCTCACTAGTGAAACACGTTACCTACTGACCGATTATGAAATAATTAATTAAAAAGTGACTATGCGAAGTGTTGTCATACTAACTTTGGTAGATGCAATGATCCCCGCGAGGCCACAGCAGCTTATCGGGGCGCTCGGACCAAGGGCGATCTTCGCAACGTCTTCGATGATACAATCTAGGAGAGGAAACGCCAACCATCCCACGATCACCGCCAAAGCCGAATCGCCGTTGCAATGGATCCCGATGCCAGTGTCCCCGCCGAACCGGCCCCCTCGGTCTTCAACTATGTCCTCTCCTTCCTGCTTGTCGGTGTAGCGTGGGGCTTTACGACCCCTTTTATCCGGCGGGCAGCCGCCGACTTTAACGCGCGACAAGAAAAGCAGTCCGCCGACACGGCTGCCAATCGTGGACGATCGCAGACGCAGTCGTCCCCGCAGCCGGGACTCGATGGCGATGGGCAGGAGGAGCAGGAACTCCTTGACCGGGACGAAGATGAGGAGGGAGTGAGGAGAAGAAGCAGCAGCCAGCAGCGGCTGGAGCTCGATAATCGCCGAGCCACTGGGAGGCAAGCAGGACAGGGGCCTGAGGATGAGACAGAGGATGCGCCTGCTCCGGTGTGGATGCGATCTTCCTCCCAGCAATCCTGGTTGCGAGCGAAAATCGTGTCCCTGTTTTGGACTGTGGTGAATCTGCTTCGCACGCCGGCGTACTCGATTCCTCTCGTAATCAACCTGACGGGCAGCATTTGGTTTTTCTTGTTAGTTGGGCAGCACGGTATGTTGATCTACTTTCCTTCCCTTCGGTGTCTTCTCCGCCATGGATGTGGAGGAACTGGCCGTGATGGTCGTGGGTAATACTATGCTGACGACGGCTCGCGCAGAACTCTCTCTCACTGTGCCGCTAGCCAACTCCAGCGCGTTTATGTTCACCGTGCTCGGCGAATGGTACGTGGAGAAGAAGGTCATTGCCAAAGAGACATGGCTGGGCCTTATTTTGGTACTGGGTGGGATTGCCTTATGTGTGCACTCGAAGAACCAGACTGGGTGAGGTGGACAGTGAATAGAATGTTTTATTGCTGAGATAGAAATCAAGTCCGAATACTACGTATGTCTTTCAGGAAATGCGGATATGCATCCTTGATCCTTACATCTCCACGCACATTCCTTCATCACGATTCTCGGCTTCATTTCATCTATACCAACAGCATACAACCCGCCCACGTACACACAGAATTGGAAACAGACGCCTAGCCAGAAGACCAGCAGCTCGTATATACAGATACAAAGACAGATCCAGTGCGACCCAGCACATCATACATCTATGGGACCAGAGCCGAGAAAAAAAAATCCAGAAACAAACCAACATACCAGATACATCACTGTCATACATGTATAACGGCCATGAGCGAAGGGTCGTCACAAATTTTACACGAATCCGATAGCCATTGCCATACCAGACCGGACCCGCCGTGGTATCAACGCAAGTCAACAAACGCAGCGTGGGATATATTGAAAAGAATAAGACGGAAGCAAGGCTGAACGAAGCATAATCGTCATGCTAGAAGGAGATGTCGAAATTCAAACGCCTCGGAACTAGACGAAAAGTTAGTAGATCCAAAGGGTGGTTGGTGAGGGAAGAAAGCGGAACTCACCATCCGAACAATCAAAAACCACATGGCGCCACAAAACTTGAACATTGACAACCCAGCAACACTCCAAAGGACGACTTCCATGTATATCATGGACCGTTCGCTCTGGGTTTCATCTTGGTTGGTGCTATCGGTGGTAGATGTGTCATCAAAGGTCTCCAGGCCAGCAGCACTCAACACCACAGCTCCAAGAGCGAAATTGCAGAACACCCAAGCCAACACAACAGCACTTCGGAACCCCTTGTAGTAGTCTGCCTGGCGCTCTTCATCCGAGATGTTCTTCTCTTCCTTCGGCGCCTTGACGGCAAACTTCTGAAGTTCAGCCTCGTATTGGGCGTTCAGGTCACCGTCATCCTGAGGGATGTTGACATCAACCTTGCCGCCAGGCTTGAGAGTAGCAGACGGTAGCTTCTCGGCCTTGTCATCACCCTTAGTGCCCCACGTGATGTCGTGAGTATTACAGAAGGCGTAGATGTTGAGCACATTGATGTAAGTTGGGGTGAGGAGAATGTACTGAATGAACGAGGTGAACATATGCCAGGGGTCCATGAAGATGAACGAGGCTAAGAACCACATGACATAGGTCGAACCAAGTGACACGATGATCGAGAAGAATGTCTTGTTCGTAAACAGCTCGCTGACTGAGAAGTTGTTTTCGGCCACTTCTGTCTGAATGGACTTCACCGTGACAAACACTGCTGCAAAAGACAGGTATATCATAATGAAAATCCAGAAGTACACCATCGTCATATAGAACTTGTTCGAGCCACCAGGACGGTTTCCAAGGGCGAGGACGAAGCAAGTAACCAGTGTAGCCAGATAAAGCCATTCGAAAACAATCCCAAGAACCTTACCAGCAGTGCCCAGGAGGTCATCGCTGCCCAAGTATGTAGTAAGAATGTGGAAGACCAGGAAGAAGTTACCCTAAAAGACGCGTTAGCAAAGGCATTTGTAAAATAAAACGAAAAGCAGGGAAACATACAATGCCAAACCAGGCAAAGATCATAGCAATGGTTTGATAAATGAACTCAATCATCAGCATGAACTTGCGCAGGAAGCTATGATCACTGCGGAAGATCTGGTAGAAGTGAGTAATCGCATAAACGGCGGCGAAGAAACTACCGTTCAGCCAACGACGGCGCTGCAGAATGAATTCGGCCATGCGGTCAGGGACATCAGTCTCGCCTGTCGAGGACTTGACATAGCGCAACAGCCAGCGGCATTTCCGTTTTGAAACGATCTCAAAACAAAGGATACGATCCTCGGCCAGGTACATGTTAGCCGTGAAAATGCCGGCGTTGGCGCCGTGCATCTTCTCACCCAGAAAGTACCGCTCGAGCGGACCTTGTCCGTTCTTGTCATTTTGCAGAGCAATGTAACGATAGGCAGAAAAGGCACCTGGCAACACGGAGATGAAACCAAAGGCTGACTCCAAAGGCTTGTCGAGAATGTTGCTCAGTTTGTATTCGAAATTCTGGCCGGCAACAAGCGGGTTCAGCAGCTTCTTGCCATGCGAAAGCATGACCTTGATCTCTCCACATGCACCACCGCACATGGGCTCCACATCAAATGCCTTCCAGAGGTGGTAGATCGAGTCCCTACCAGGCTTCGTACCGGCATCCAGAAGAACGCAAATGTTGGGATCTAGCACGCGACCGAAGGCCTGGAAGAACCAACGATGGGAGTTAATCTTCTTCTGGTTCTTTTCCTTCAGACAGAAAATCATCTGCACGGGAGGGCCCGATCGAGGCTTCAGATGAACTTGAGTTCCCTTAACCTCCAAGCCAACCTGTGTGGTATATTCATAGATGTGAGCTGTCACGTCCTTGTTGTTCACCTGCTGCTTGGCGATTCCGTCCTGGTACACGCCCAAACCGGCAAGCACAGCACGAGTTCGCGGATTGATCTTAGCACGACCATCACTGATCACGCAAACAACAATCTTCTTCCAGGCGTCCTTGCCCCAGGTCTTGCTGCTGGTGCGCGAGCACATGTGCTCGATATTTTTGAACACACCAGACATAGTCCGCGCGAACAGGAAATCATCTTCGTTGTACATGGTTACCACAATGAAGAGTTCCGTGTGACGCGGTTTAGCGAAAAGCTTCTGGCGCAAAGTAAACCGTTCCTCAAAGAACTCGGAAGGGTCACAAGTTGCAGCAGAGTAACGCATGTGCGTAAACTCATCACGACCAGGGGCCTCGGCATGTGGAACTTGGCTAAGCAGCTTGGGTGCGATGGGACAGTCCAGCACAAGGTTGCCATTGAACAATTGAACTTCTTTGACTGTCTTCCAGCGCTTGATGGGAGCAGGACTGGGTGTCGGTCGCGGCTCGTCTTGGTACTCTGCATTATATGGGTCCGGGCCAAAGGGATTCTCGCCGGCTACCAATGGGGCGTTGTCATCGTATGGAGTACGGCCATCTTCTGGATACTGGCCAAGGTCGTAATCATCGTGGGGTGTATGCGTCGGTTCGTATGGTTGCGTATAGTAGGCGTCGTGGTGGGCTTCGGGGTCAACCGTGTAATCGCCATACCCGTAGGGTTGGTGAGATTGGTGGCCCTCGTAGGCCTCGTGGTGACCGTAGGAATTGTGTACATTCTCAACGGAATACTGAACAGAATCCAGCATCAGTCAGTGTCTCTCTCTCTGCTCATCAGCGCATGGATTTTGTTTGCATGCGCCTAAGCACTCCGATTACTTACAGTCGGTTGTTCAGCAAGGCGATCGCTGGAGGGCATGGGCAGGTGGCCAGCAGGTCCATAGGGATTGTCCTGGAGCTGATAGCTGTCTAGCGGTCGCCCTGGGGATGGCGTGCGATTATTGTAGGCGTTTAGATTGTGGGGATTCATGATGGGCGAGCGATGTTCGTCCCCAAAGGGATCTGAAGTGGATGACAGTCAGTTGCTCTTGCTCCAACCAAGCTCTAATTAGTTCTCCAGAAGCCGAATGTTTCAGTCGCACGGCCGCAAAACCTCCAGTCCCGTGGCTACCGTGCGCTCTCAGTGGCCAGCACAGACAGCACGACGTTGCTGGGATGGTCACAACTGCGGCTCTTTGCTCGTTGTTTTTCGTTGTTTTTTGGCCGGCTCCGTAGATCGAGGCAGGTGAGAAGAGAAAGGAGGGGACACTCACCATCGCCAACACGATTATAGGCCATGGCGCCTAAGCCTCAGTCTTGAGTTTGAGTCCAACAAACAAGATCCCGCCCCTGTCGTTAGTTACAGGGAGGTTTGGTCGGTAAGAGATTGCGCCAGGAGGCCCGAGTGGAATGTCCGTCGTCGAGTGGTGCAGGATAATCACTAGCCCGAGCCCACGCAGCAACGGAGCCAAACTCTCGGCAGCGTTTCAGAATGGGGGATTGGTCCAAGCGAAATTGAGAAGAGGAGGAGGGGCGGTCCTGGGGTTGGAGATTCGTAGTCGCTCTTGTCGCACGATAGGAAGAAAGGTAGGTCACGTCCAGACTAAAATGTTGGACCGCGGGATAACCCCCCTCTTGTGTTTAGTGTTTACGACGCTTCAAGAGGTCGATCGTAGCGATGACGGTGGAGTGGACTGGCAGACGAATAGGCGTGCTTGCGCTAGACCCGCACTGCCCCGTGGATATGTGGATATTCGCCGAGTTGCAGTAGTGGTGGCAGATGCAGAAGGGGAAAGGAGCCTTCAAACTTGAATCACAAGGGTCAACGGATTGAAGACTGGTCCAAATGATGAAGACCGAGGCGGGCTTCGAGAGAGCAGCCGGTCAATATTGCAGGAGGCCCTTTGAAATCTGAAACCACGATCACCCACGGGTTGATGAGTGGGACCGTGTTCAGGCCCAAAGTCACGGGCAGAACCGTCACTGGGCCAACCGCAACCCTGCCCCAGCACGGCGCCACACTTCGCCACACTTTCTCACAATCACTGGCCCTGGCCCACGGTTCGCCCGCTGCGCCCCTGGTTGTGGCGGCCGTTTTGCAGAGTCTTGTTCTTTTTATAGCGAAAATCTCGTTGCCTGTGATCAGACCATTATTGCGCCCTGGAGGATAGAAGACGCAGTCCAGAATACAGGTAGAGAACAGACAGGGTACAGACAGGGTACAGGCTCGTATCCGGTACTAAGGAGGATCCTTGATTTCAATAACATCTGAATACTATATATAGCCACTGTATATATACCTTGCAAGCGCTGGTGTTATAGATCTGGGCCCTGTTTGCCAGAGCCTGGTTTTGGGGGTTCCAGGGTTGGTTGTTCTAGAGGCTCTCCAAATATAATCGACAAGGGCTTGACGATGCCATCTCCCAGCTCCTATCGTTTTTTTATCTCTTTTCTTTTCTTTTCTTTTCTTTTTTTTTCATGCTCATTGATTGCGTAAGATGTAGCTGTCCAACCAAGTTCATTGGTCTATCAAATCGTCGGGGCGGTTTCAACGAAGGCCTCGTTAAGACGGGGCCGATAACAGCGATAACCATGTCCCACTTTCGCCCCGATTTCCCAGTCCGCAGTTCCTCCAACCACGACGCAGTTGCTACCCCCCTTTCCCTCCTCGACGAAGCCAACACGGCGGATTAGCTGCAACCATACACGAAGAGTCACGGGTCACAATGTCGTCCAACTCCAAGGAACGCCCCGCGAGTGTCTTATTTGTCTGCCTGGGAAACATCTGTACGTCATTGGTACCCCGCTCCGAAGCCCGGCCTCCGCCCCCCAGTTGTCCAGTTCCGCCTCGCAAGGCTTTGGCTAACACGACCACTCTCAAGGTCGGTCCCCTATGGCCGAAGGTGTCTTCCGGAATGTGGCCGAAGGAAACCCGACGATCGGAGAGATTGACTCAGCTGGCACTGGCGCCTATCATAGCGGCGAAGGCCCTGACTCGCGTACCATGAGCACCCTCAGAAAACATGGAATCACGAACTACGATCACGCCGCCCGGAAGGTCACCAAGGATGACTTCCTCAAATTTGACTACCTGCTGGCAATGGACAAATATAATCTGCGCGACCTGCTTGACCTGCGGGAATCGGTGATCACGTCCCTGAATCGAAAGGCGGGCCCCAAGTCTGCGGCAAAGAACACCCGAGCAGCCTCCGAAGCCGCGATTGGGGCGCATGGCTCGGACACAAATGTTGCGGAAGTCCGCCTATTCGGCGACTATGGCAAGGAAGGTAAACTGCACGATCGCGTGGGCGGCGGTGAGGTGGTCCAGGATCCATACTATGGCGGTGCAAATGGTTTCGAGGAGGTCTACCAGCAGGTCGTGCGGTTTTCTCAAGGCTTCCTGGACTACCTTGAAAATGATGAAGAGTAAAGTCACACATGAGTCTGTGGCATGGTGAGTGATAAACCAGTTTTACGGAACCATAGATCTAGATGGGTGGGAGCTGGTTCCTTGACGATACCCTGCATTTTCCATGAAGACCATCTCATGAACTACGACGTATGACACCAACTTCACATGAAAGATATGACATTTCATGGAAGAGAAAAGAAGAAGGAATCATTGGCTAGAAAAAGAACATTCGATGCGATGGCTGTACACTATTTTACACATACTATGACAAGATATATATCGGGGCACCTGAAGGTCCCTTTCCGCTGAAAAACATAAAACGTGTAGGAAAAGCTAACGGTCCCCCTCAGACCTTCTCACTGATCTTAATAGCAGCTCGGCAACCGAGACGAATGACATCCACGAGCGGGTCATACGGTTTGGCTTCTTTGGAATCATTGGCCACTGCATGGTCCAGATGCTCAAGCTCTTCATCGCGAATGCGTCGGAATGTGGACAACATCTCCTTCAATTCATCATCCAACTCCTCTCCTCGTCGTTCAGCATCGGCTTCCCATGACAGAATCTCTCGAACTTGCTCGTTGTAATGTGATCCGATCTCGGTCTCCACTGCTTCCGTGCAGGCCATGGCGGCTTCGCGACCTAGGGCGGCGGTAGACCATCCGAGAAAGGTGGCCATAACTTCCCATAGTGGGTACATCGCAGTTGGACGGATCTCATGCTTCGCGACTAGTTGATTGAATGTTTTCAGGTGTCCTGCTTCCTGGTCGTACATGTGCTTCATCAAGGGCCGGAGGTGTGGGTGGGATCGGACGACTTGGGGATTCTGGGCGGTATAGATGAGGGTTGCAGCAAGTTCGCCCGCTTGGTTGACGCGCAACGCACTGTCTAGAAACTCGCGCTGCTGCGGGCTGAGGACGTATCGAGGCTTTGAGCTCCCGGAGGATCCGATAGAGGCATGTCGGCATTGAGAACGCATGGCCATTGGGGCAAGGAAGTCGAGGTAAATTGGAGACACTCGGCGAACTGGGCGCCGACATTGTGCCAAAGCACTTCTTCGTAGAGCAGGAAGGGCCTCCATTGTTGGTACTAGGGAAGTGCAGCTTTCAGTGTTGAGACTCAGCCTTGAAAGATGCTGGGAAAAGGTCTTGGCGCCAGCCGCGCGCTTGGGGTCTTGGCAGCCGAACGTCATGAACCGACGGCAAAGGCCAACTTGCGGCGAACATTTACGCGGTCCGTCGATATCTTCGCCTCCCCTGCTTGTCGCATCGTGCACAGTGAGTCCGTTGGAGCTGAGTATTTTGTGTGGATTGAGATACAGACATCAGTTCGACGGCTCAGTCCAAGTTTCTTGGAACGATTGGAACTTTGCGACGCCTTGTCAGGAGTGACACCTCCATTGAACCGAAACCCTCCCTCTGGACAGGGTGTCTGGGTACTTGCTGTTATATATTGTCGGAGCTTAATCAAAAAACCAACGGGGTCAAAGAGCCGCTAGTCATTCACCATGGCGGACGATTTGGATGCGGAGCTGCTGGCTCTGGCTGGAGACTCTGAGGAGGAACACTCGCCTCCCCCACAAGAAAAAGATGATTCACCAGCACCTTCTGGCTCTCCTCACTTATCAGAGCGTGATCAATCACCCGACACAATGGGGCGCAGAGGCACCGCCAAACCTGCTCGTCGAGCCCGCAAGGCTGTGAGGGATGAGGAGGAGGGAGAAATGTGAGTCGCCCATTACTGTAATCATCTTCATTAGGCAGCGTCCACTAACGCATTGTGTTGATCATTTATAGCTCTGATGCAGAGTCGCACAACTCCCTCGATTCTGCTCCTATGTCCGAGTCGGATTCCGAAGGTAATAATGCTACGGACGACGAGGATCGCCCTATTTTCCCATATGATAAGCTCTATTACTCCGCTAAGGAGAAAGAAGAAATCATGGCTATGCCTGAGATTCAACGTGAGGAGCTGCTCTCCGAGCGCGCCCAGCAAGTGGATCGTCACAACCAGGATCTTGCTCTGCGTCGTTTGTTGGCCTCACGGGAGCGCGAGGAAGCGCGGGCTGCCGCCAAACAAGCCAAGCGTAAGGCTGGATCTGCCGGACTCGATGAATCCCAACGCAAGAGTTCTCGTCAGAAGACTACACTTGGGGGCCGCAAGGTTGGAGAAACCTCCGCAGCCATTGACGCGTACAAGCGCCAGCGTGAGCAGAAGGGCAAGCGTGATGAACTCCGTCGTCGGATAACTAATCAATCGCGTCGTCGCTCCCGCTCTCAGGGATCTGACATTTCTAACGAGGATGCCGAGGCAGAGAGCGACTTGGAGTTGGATGATCGTGTGGGTCGTTCGCCATCAGTACCCAAGGATGATCCTCCTGCCGAGCTTCGAGATATTCAACGTGCTCGTGTCGGACGTAGCAACTTTGCGCAGGTTTGCTTTTACCCTGGATTTGAAGAAGCTATTACCGGCTGCTATGCTCGCGTAAATATTGGCCCCAATATGGAGACGGGACAGAATGAGTACCGTCTCTGCTTGATCACAGGTAGAGTTGCCTGTGTGTTATATTCTATTTACTTCCCGATATGGCTAACGATAGTTTTTTTCAGGCTTTACCCAGGGCAAATCCTATGCGATGGAAGCTCCGAATGGTCGCCCTTTTGCCACCGATCAATACGCAAAGCTGGCTCATGGAAAGGCCGTTCGAGACTTCCCTTTCATTGCCTGTTCAGACTCTCAATTCACCGAGGTTTGTGTGACGTTCGACCATCATCAAACTCCTGACTAATCGATGATAATAGAACGAATACAACCGTTACCGCAAGACGATGACTGTTGAAGATTGTAAAATGGCCACTCAGAGCAAAGTGGCCTCCAAAGTTGGGGATATCAATCGACTCATCAACCACCAATTTACTGCCGAGGAGTTGAGCCACAAGCTGCGCCGCCAGGGTGCTCTTGATGAGAAGTCTACTATTCGTCGACGATTCGATCTCGAGCGCGATTTACATTTTGCCAAAGTCAACGGAAACACAGAGGAGGCCGAGAAGCTGCAGAAAGAACTCGATGACATTAACAACCCCAAGCTGTCATGGGGCACTACACTCGTCAAGCAACAGGCCCCTGAAAAGACACTCTCTGAAGCCGAGCGAGTTCATCAGATCAACCTTCGCAACCAAAAACTCAACTATGAGAACGTTCGTCGTGCCCAGCTTGAGGAACGCAAGGCCGCTCGGAAAGCTGCAGCAGCTGTGGCTCGCGGCGAAGCCGCAGCAGACCCATTCATGCGTGTTCGTACGATTGCCAAGACCCACCACGATGTGAACGAAAAGCCCCAGGAGTCGAAGTCTGTTGATACCACCCCGGCCGATACCCCCAAGGACTCACCCAAGCCTGTCACAAGCAATTCCTCGCAGTTGGCCACTCCCAAGTCCAGCCTCACCCCAAAGAAGACAAAGAGTGGCTTTATGATTAGTTATCGCAACAATGACGATGAGAACATTGCGGCCCTGGATTTAGACATTGATATCGATATTTAGGGCCATTGCTTTGATAGTGACCTTGGATTCGGATTTGAGGAAGCAGCTAGCATGTTTTTCTCGGTTCGCGCTTAAAGTCCAACTTCGGACAATTTAGAGGATCTAGTAGCAGATGGGATGGGGGGTCGTGTTTCTTTTCTTTTCTTTTTCCTTTAACTATATCTGTCCTTACCAGGAAAGCGGCGGGGCGTCTTTTGTGAAAAATCTTCACGGGGCACACATTGTATTATGAGCAATAACGGAACTGGAGCACAGCACTCGAAAGGGAGCAACCAATTTGTTGATAGACCAGGTTTCGCAAATATCCAGTCATACTGTTAATATGTAGCCTACTAGGTGATCTGCCATCCACGTCCTTAAACATCCGCTCACGAAATGTGTCACTAAAGTCTGCATATGTATGAACTAATTCTTGTTTCATGCAAATAATATGCATTTCCCTGAAATTTTCAGGCTGCAGGAAGGATCATAAGATCAGGTTAACCTGATTGCTATCTCCAGGGAGCCATCTCACTCTAGCTGCCCAAGATGGCCCCATAACTTGTCCTAGGATGGGGACCTAGTATTTTGCAAATACAACTTCTTCCTCTTGACTGTAGAATTCCAAGCCTTCATCCAAGCCAGCCATAGCCTGGGCAACCTTCATTCCTTCCTCTTTCTTTGCCTTGATCACCGTTCGTGTTCCAGTATCCTTTGCTTCAAGACCCTCTGAAATGTTAACCGATGGAAGGAGGTTGCAAGCCTCAAGGAAGATCGCCGGCGGAACAGTGATACGTCCCTTTTTGAATGCGTATTTAGAGATACAGGAAGCATAAATGACAGACCGCTTAGAAGCGCCCCTGGCTTTTACTGCCTCATTCTCAGACTTAGAGCGCTCAGCGCCCCGCCAGGGCTGATCAGAGAAAACCACAGGAGCTCCGGCTCCCTTTTCGACGAAATGGGAGATCAGGTATACCCATTTAGTGTCCCATGAGAGCACTCTGGTCCAAATCTCATACGGAGTGTAAGGTGTTATTTCGCGCTTAAAAGTGCATGTCACACCACCCAGGGCGGGATAGAACGGACCACGTGCATTTGGCTTCAGACTGGATGAGGATGAGGAGGTTTGCTCTGGAATGGGAATCGGCGGAGCATTTGGAGAATTGAATTTGTGAAATCCCTCTCGGAAAAGACAGTACAAGTGATGGCCCCGAGCGATGTCCAGGTCTGTCAGGTAGGTGGAATTGGACTTGTGCAGATTATAGTCCAACTCAAACAGTGGAGCCTTGTTGGTGTAGATGGTGGCTTGGAACAAAGTCGGCAAGCCAGAGGGACTGCTCGATGGAAGCGGGCGGCGATCGAAGTAAAAGTGTCTAAAGTAGCCATAGAACAGGCGGACCTGGAGAAGACTTAAAGCTTTAGGAGAAAATCCATATTTCAGAGCCATGTCAGGGGAAATTTGAACGTACATGCCAGGCAAATGGAAGAACTTTGACGTTGAGAAGGATCACAAGGAACAAAGGAAGAAGGATGAGAAGCGGCTGCCATGAGTTGAAACCAAGCACAGCTGGGAAATCCAAGAATAGCCCATTAAAGGCCATGACTTCCAAGGGGCTCTCTGGAGAGTTTGATGCTGAGTCGATCTCCAAAATATTTGATTGTACCCTTGGTTGAAAGGATAGATGGCCGGAAATGCCGCCTGAACGGGTATCAGTGGAGTTGAACTGACCAGATAAAAAAATCAAGAGCTAGTCGCAAGAAAATTTGGTGAGACAGGATAGGAGAAGTGACAATGTCGGAGATTCGTATTGTCGTATTCTCGCGAGGCTCTAATTTTTAGAGGCTACCTAGAATGTCTCATTGGTGTATGGTTAGTGAGTCTGACAAGGGAGCCTTTCATGGGATAAACTCATCAGCATCCTCCTAGGAGGACTACTTCTTGCATGTAGCGGCTTTTGGTCAGGCACTCACTAAATACCCAACTAAAATAACCCCAGGCTTGCAGCTCGATATAGTGGAAAGCCCTAGTCCATAGTTGTATTCGAGAAGCTACCGCCCCGTTGTTCAACCCAGCGAGTATCCATGCAGAAAATGAGCACGGGACCTGAACCACCTATGGTGCCTTATCGTGAAAGGTAATTTGCCATAGACGTACCAATAGGATTTTGAATCTATCTTGGCGGCCCCCCATGGGCGATGATATTTCACATAGATTTTGCCCCAATCAATATTCTTCTTTGTCCACATATCAGACTTGAAAGATATTGATGCTTACACTGATTAATGGCGGTGGCCTAGTGGGATCTGGGACGATTACGCGTCGTACATGGATCAGACAGGGGTCAGAGATCGGACCCTGGTCTCAAGGCACGACGGCAACAGCGCCTAATGTTGTAAATGGTCCGGTCTCTGGGAGGCTTGACAAGGCTTGGGATCATGAGCCGATGGTATTATTATTCAAAAAACATGTAATTTCGAGTATCAGCTATCAAGAGACGCCATCTAAACGATCTGGAAACGGGAAACTTTGCATCGTGCTCTATAAAGGCCATTTGTGCGATCAAGAAAGTCCATTCTAGTCACAATAATAATCCATTCAGCCTTCTGGCAGCTTGAACTTCAAAAAATGCGTTTCTTATGCTTGCATGGTGCTGGAACGAACAGCCAGGTATGGTTACCCTGTCCATTCATTGTTGCATTCAAATAAACCTGATAATGTATTTTTTAGGTCTTTGAAACACAAACCGGTAGGAATAATTGATGTGTCGCATTAAAGGAGGTAATTCTTACAGTCTCAAGCTGCTATCCGGTATGAGTTGGAGGGTCGACACACTTTCGACTTTGTCGAGGGAAGTTTGGCTAGTTCAATTGCACCAGGTATCTGACCAATATTTAGGCTGGAACAGGGTCTAAATTTGACAGATTATTACTGATACTTGAGCATAGAGATCAAAAACTACTATCCTTTGACAGATAGCTATTATCGATACTATGAACAGTTGTCTGCTCCTAGCATGCGAGCTGCTTTGTACCAGCTCTCCAAATATATTGAAACCGAAGGCCCATTTGACGGCGTTATTGGGTACTCGCAGGGCGCAAGTCTGGCAGCCACGTACTTGATCCAGTGCTCGAAGCTCCGTTCTTCCGAGCGAATGCCCTTTAAATGCGCGATCTTCTTTTCAGGTGGAATACCATTAGATCCTATGGCCCTGGAATCTGGTGATCTAAAGTTGATCACTCCAAAGAAAACTGGAGCATTATTGACTCTCCCAACCACACATATCTGGGGAAGTAATGACGAGATTTGGCCAGGATCCAGTGAGATTCTATACGAGGCATGCGAGGAGAGCCAGCGAAATGTGTCTGTCCATACTGAGGGGCATGATATTCCGGGAACAAGGGCTAAGGAGGCAGTGCAAGATGCTGTGAGGGCCATTCGACGTACTTTGGACAGATTACCAGCAGGATGGGGTCAATAGTCGTGTTTGTATGCGCCAGGCTCCTCTTTTATTTTAATCTTACGAGATGTTGTTATTTCGTGATAGCAAGCGATCAAGTTTTTGTAAAGATCCACCGAGCTCGTACATCCCTATAAATTTCGCTCATTGCTCCCTTCTCTTGTTTGGCTCGCAGGTTTGATGAGAATTTGGGTTAACTGGCTAATGTGAACTATCCTGTCTTGAGCTGTTTTCCCTTTTGCCACAACAACGCTGATACTGGTATTTGAGCGGCGGCAAATCCAATCATAATTTTGAACTGAGAGTCATAACTGTCTGCAAATATCTCTCGTATCTGCTCTTGCATCTCAGGACTGAAAGTAGCAATGATCTCAGTACTCTGCATGAGAGATGAAATATCACTGTCCGATATGATACCGTGTAAATGCTTTTTAAGCAAACTGTTGAGCACCGTTGATGCAATTGCCAGACCAATGGCACCTCCGAGAAAACGCAATTGAATAATTGCGCCCGTTGCAACAGCTGCCAACAGAGGAACAGTTAGTGATATAGAAAACTTAAGTTGAGTGTGTTGACGCACCGAGGTCTCTCTTTTCTACAACAAACGGAGTTGTGAGGATCAATATACCAAAAGTAGTGCCTATCCCTGCACCTGCAAGAACCTCGTATCCATAACCTGCGGTGATAAAGGTGCCCGATTTAGGTAGAGTTGTAAATAATGCCAAGCCAACTGTTTGTAGCACAGCACCGAGCATGAGGAGGTATATAGGAGGTATCTTGCCTTTTGAACAAGCGATATTTGCAATTGCAGAGCAGACTGCAGCAACCGTTGAGTAAGGAATAAGTCTTATGCCTGCTCCCAATGCTGAAGTCTGAGATACAACTTGAAATCTCTGAGGAAGTGAAATTGCAATGACATTGAACGGAACACCGACAAGGAATGTGATGCTAGAAAGTGAGTCAGTTATCATGGGAACGTATAAATATGTTTAAATAGATTCGTCTCCAGAAGAAACGCACATGAGCATGGCGAGCCACGATCTGCTCTTGAAGAACCTCCAAGGAAAAATTGGCTCTGGCCTTTCGGCTTTCGTAACATGCCATTCCCATAAGAGAAATGCCGGCCATGAAAGGGCAGAAAGCACTAGAAGGGCAATGATCACACCAGATGCCCATGAATAGCGGGTCGAGGCTTCTGAAAGGGCAGTGACTAGTAAAAGAGAGGCCGCTAAAAGGAAGAAAGCGCCAACGAAATCTAGCCGTCGGATGCTTTTCCGTGAGAAAATCTTGAGGATGGATGAAGATGAATGAGAATGTGAGCCAAAATGCCTCGGCATTGCAATGATGAGAAGAATGACTGCCAATGCCCCAGAAGGAAGACTGATGTATGTTAAATAAACGGGATTTAAACATATACAAGATGTAATAAACTGACTTTAGATAGAATACCCATCTCCAATTTAAAGATCTGGCAAATAACCCACCAAATATGGGTCCTGTTAATGTAGCCAAGGCAATTGTGACCGAAATAAGTGCCCCATACAGCCCTAGCTTGGCCATTGGAACCATATCGTAGACCGCAAGAATTGACATCGAATAAGTTCCTGCAGCACCAATACCTTGTAGTGCCCGAAATGTTATCCTTGTATGTGTTAGCTTTGACCAAGGTAGAGATTTGTCTTTTGCCTGCAGTCTATCTCACAATTCTGTCATAGTCTTTGATGCTCCACAGCCCGCCGAAAAAGCTATGAAAGTTACCATGGTGGAACATATCGCAACTTTGCGACCTGCAACATCACTGAATTTAGACCAAATAATGATAAAGCCTCCAGATATGTTAGTTTGCGGCAGTGGAACCAATGGGGCAATTCAAGTTTGATTTTGAATACCTGTATATGTCACTAAGTAGCTGGTAATAACCCAACTGCTTCTATCAAACCCGAGCAGATCGTCCACAATCGTTACCAGAGAAGTGCTGACGATAGTGACCTCGATGTTGACCAAATACAGGCATAGTAGCACACTGAAAGATACATAACATATATTAATAGGGCAAAGGATTGTACTGGCTGATATCTTACCCTACAGTGGTGAGGTGAAGTCTCCATCCGGTCAACCACGATGGAGACTGCTCTAGTGATTCTTGTTGGAGAGGTTCTTCAACATTATCTGTAGATGTGCAGGAAGTAGGATTATCCTTTCCATATTCTGTCTGAGAATTTTCATTTCGGTCTACCACTTGCGCCATGGGTATGGTAGAGAATACCGTGCAAGATTTCAGATGGAGGGTTAAAGTGAGGTGTTGGCTGCAGGAGGAGAGTTACTTGGAGAAACACAACCTAATGATAAGACACGATAGAAATTATTCGGTCTAATAACACTCCGCAAGCTTTGATTCCGTAAAATACAAGAGCCTCGATTGGAAAAACAGAAACTGAGGCCTAGTACTGGGTTTTAAGGCCCCCAATTTTCAACCCTGGTCGTGGATGGGCTTTTTAGCCAAATAGCACAGAGGCGGAATTTGGGAAAATAACGCATCTCTCACGGAGATATCTTTTTTCTTTCCTAAAAAAAAAAAAAAAACTGGTAAAAAACTAGAAAAGAAACACTCTTCTGGATAATGGGGCGAACATCCTGGGCCGAGGGACGGTCAATAAGTTACATCATTATCCAAAGAGGTGGTGTGTGGCTGTTTGCTGACACACTTTCGAAATTGCACTTATCATGACCAATTGAAAAAGCAGCATTTACCATAAAATCTGGAAAATGCCTAGCAATCACTTACTGACATAGGAATTTCAAAATCAACCGTCTCCGTAGAGGAAGGATTTTCAAGTGCATCCATAGACATATTTATGGGAATAATGGATAAGAATAATGGACAGCGGGTCAGTAAACCTTGATCCTCAGGCCCCCAGTTGCTAAACCTAACCTCAACTGTCATTCAAAGACTTTTCGACCTTGAACATGATAAGGGCCAAAGATCAGAGCTACCAGCCGGCACAACTGCATATATCCATCTGAGGCTGCTATAGTAATACATGGATAAAAGCACCCTTGGATGCATTGACTAATTCAAGCTGAAAATTTTTTAACTATTCCAAACCAAGAAGAATGTCTAAGATATCATAATCTGACAGTCTGAGGTGCATACGTAGACCCGGTAGATACCCCTACATGATGCAGCAACCCTTACCGAAGCAACATTTAACGAATCATCCGAAGTGAGTCTGTTGGATGAAGCTTTAATTGGACGATGGGCTCTGCGAACGAGAATCACTTCAGGATCCTTGCAAGAGGATCTAGCGTCCCAAGGCGGCGCGTCGTTATGCATGAGGATGCTCTGAAAATTAGGGGGCCGCGTGAGAACCAGGGTGGACTGTGGGGGCCAGCTGAACGTCCTGGAAATAATACACACTTTGCGATATTCTGTACAGAACACCCGGGTTATGCGCAATACTGTATTTATATTAGATATGTCAAGAATGAGCCCCGAGGATTTCAACAATGGGAGTTATACATATATGGCGATCTACAGCTTGTTGAAAAACATAGTCAACTTTTGTCCACAATTTACATTTCTAGAATATTATACAGCGTCTCAAGGGAACTGGTAAGCAAGATATGCTGTTTCTATTATGTTCAAAACGGAGAGAAGAACAGATCTCAGAAGACTGATTTGCCAATTTATTCTAATTAGTAGTTTGAAATAGCTGTTAATCGCGGTGTTGAGAATGTATACGAGAGTGCCAGGACTCTCAGATATCTCAGCTACGATGAGCACTTCCACAGCGAGAACTTCAAACGGGAATGGAGCGTCAAGTTTCTCTCAGGAAAATGATAAAATAGAGCCAATAGCCATCATTGGCTTCTCTTTTGGATTTCCACAAGATGCAACATCCTCTGATGCATTCTGGAAGATGTTGATGGAAAGGAGAAGCTCTTCTACTGCCATTCCTGCAGAACGACTCAATGCTGCTGCTATGTATCATCCCGATGGAGGTAGAAGAGGCCAGGTACGATATTACTTACCAGCACTGGAGTTTTTCATTAACTGGCCTGCTAGATGTCCGTGAGATGTGGACATTTTCTGAGTGGAGATATTGCCGCTTTTGATGCTCCATTCTTCTCTATCTCTGCTAGTGATGCGGCTGCAATGGATCCCCAGCAGCGCCTTCTTTTAGAATACACGTATAAAGCTTTGGAAAATGGTGAGTAACCCGATTTCAATGCCTTTCTTTATGAAGATCTGACATTATCGCAGCGGGATTACCGCTTGAGTCTGTGATAAGGAGCAAGACATCGGTGTATTCCGGATGCTTCACAAATGACTGGCAACACCTTACATTCAAGGATTCAGAACAATGTGATACGACGGCAGCCTTGGGCATTCAGCCCTGTGTGAATGCTAACAGGATCAGTTGGTTCTATAATTTCACCGGCAATAGCGCTAATATAGACACTGCATGCTCTAGTAGTTTGGTTGCTCTCGACATGGGATGCAAGGGTCTACTTTGTTACGATACGGAAATGGTATGTGAGACTTTTTTTTGGAAAAAGTACGACTGCTGAATATTTATCAGAGTGTTGTTACCGGGTCTAACCTCATCTTCTCTCCCGATACGATGCATGCCCTTACAAACATGAACATGTTATCCCCTGATGGCCAATCCTACAGTTTCGACCACAGAGCGCACGGTTATGCTAGAGGAGAGGGTATTGGGGTCTTGGTACTGAAAAGATTATCAGACGCTCTTCGAGATCAAGACACAATCAGAGCCCTGGTTCGCAATACGGGCTGCAATCAAGACGGATATACTCCTGGCATCACACAGCCAAGCAGTCTTTCTCAAGAAAGCTTGATCCGAGAAACATATGCTCGCGCTGGACTGAGTATGGAGCCCACTCGGTTCTTTGAGGCACATGGAACTGGAACTCCCGTTGGAGACCCCATCGAAGCCACTGCGGTTGGTGCTGCATTTCGGAAAGCTCGCACCAATGAGGATCCTTTGTATATAGGGGCAGTTAAAAGCAACATTGGTCATCTCGAAGGGGCAAGTGGTATTGCAGGAGTAATCAAAGCCATTATGGTACTTGAAAAGGGAATCATTCCTCCAAACTACAATTTGGAGAAGATCAACTCTAAGATTGATACGGAATTTTTGCGAATCAAAGTATGTATTCCTGGAGCTAAGTGGTTTCAACTGGAGCTAATCGTTAATCTAGTTTCCCCTTGAGCCCACCTTGTGGCCCACCAAAGGCCTTCGTCGTGCATCCGTGAATTCATTTGGATTTGGTGGCACCAACGCCCATGCTGTCCTTGACGATGTGTTTCACTATCTACAGCTTCGTAACCTCACTGGTCATCATATGACTATAGACGACCCACATTCTTATACTCGTGGTACCCTGGATACCATAATGCCAAATGGGACGCATGAGAAAGATTCTGAAGTCTCGTATGTTAGATCCTACTCTGAAGCATCTTCTAAGAGACTGCTCATTTTCTCTGGACATGACAAAGGAACTCTGAAACGGCAGATTGAGAGATACACATCCCATTTCAGAGAGCTTACTATTTCTAAGAGCCAGTTTGAGCCGTACTTACTTGACCTAGAATACACTCTGCTCAAAAGGAGGACACCTCATCCTTGGAAGTCCTTTGCAGTCGTTAGCTCAGTGGCTGAACTAAAAGCTCTCGAGGTCAATATCTCCACTGCATTCAAGTCCTCTCCTAATCCCAAAATTGGTTTTGTTTTCACAGGACAGGGTGCTCAGTGGGTTGGAATGGGACGTGAACTCCAGAAGTTTCCTGCGTTCCAAGCAAGCCTCGAAGATGCCCAGCAGTATCTTCTTGGCCTAGGATGCCCATGGCGTTTGGTAGAAAAATTATGGGAAGAGAGTGAGCTTTCGAATATAGATCATCCAGAATTTAGCCAGCCTCTCTGTACTGCAATCCAGGTGGCGCTCATCAGTCTACTGCGCAGCCTTGGAATCCGACCGACTGCAGTCATCGGTCACTCATCTGGTGAGATTGCCGCTGCATATGCAGTCGGAGCAATTTCGGCCAGAGCCGCCTGGAGAATTGCATACTATAGAGGAACATGTGCTGCATGGCTGAGAAACAGCAACAACAAAGGTGCTATGGTGTCTGTTGGCCTCTCAAAAGAGCAGGCTGAAAGATACCTTAACATGATTGCGCCAGGCTTTGAAGCTCTTGACTTGACAGTTGCATGCATCAATAGCCCGAAAAATGTCACTATTTCAGGTGATGTCAGTCAAGTAGACGCATTGCAGAAATTGCTCAGTAACGAGGGAATTTTTGCGCGCAAGTTAAGGGTTGATGTTGCCTACCACTCTCCTCATATGAGAAATATTGCAGAAGAGTACAAGATTTTGATCGGAGAGATCGAAAAAGGCGATTATCAAGACAGAACAGTCATGATGATCTCTACGGTAACTGGACAACTGGTGACAAATGAACAGCTTGTTTCGCCAGAGTACTGGGTCTCGAATATGATATCACCGGTCAAATTCAGCGATGCGATGGGAGGTTTATGCATAGAATCGTCCGTGAAAGCCCGGAAAAAGCTGGACCTCAGTCACCGCAAACAAGTCTGTATCGATATTCTTATTGAGATTGGCCCTCATCCGGCTTTGCAAGGACCAATCCGAGACATCCTAAATGAGATACCTGACTCGACCAGGATCAACTATGTTTGCCTTCTGGCTCGCAAGATATCGGCTATTCAGTCATTCCTTGGGGCTATAGGACAACTTCATTGCCTCGGGTATGCCGTGGACTTTCGTGAACTCGAAAGCTCCAAATCTGAGATACACAGAGTGCGCAAGACACTCACGGATCTACCAGAATACTCTTTCGACCATTCAAAGAGCTACTGGTACGAAAGTAGGCTCAGCAAACAATTTCGTACCGGCCCACAAGGTAAGCTGGATCTCCTTGGGAAGCCTGTGCCCGATTGGAATCCTCTGAAAGGGACTTGGAGAAACATGATTAGAGTTTCGGAGATGCCATGGGTCGAGGATCACGTTGTAAGTAGTCCTGTCCTAGTGTGCTACTCCCTGGGTGAGATATGACTGACTCAAAGATGAGATCAATGGATCTCTTGTTTACCCTGCGGCAGGAATGCTTGTTATGGCGATAGAGGCAGCCAACCAGATGGCAGATCCCAGCTTGACTGTTATTGGGTTTGAACTCAAAGATGCGTTATTTCGCAGACCTCTCACTGTTCCCCAGGATACCACTGGGGTTGAAGTGCAACTTACACTTCACCAATCGGAGGAAGGCATGAAGTCCTGGTCTGAATTCCAAATCTGCGTATTTGAGGAGAACCAATGGCAAGAGTGTTCTCGTGGTTCCGTTCGCGTCCGGTATCAACAAGCACCAAACGATGTGACTGGAGAAAGAGAACGGCAAGAGGAGCATAAATCGTGCCATGAATTAAAGGAGTCCATGGCACGTTCTTTCAACCAAGTGATTGACCCAAGCTCACTCTACACAATGCTCCAAAAGAGTGGGTTTGGCTTTGGACCGGCATTTCAAACAGTCACTGGGGGATGCTTTGGAGAAAATGGTGGAGCTGTCGGGGATGTTCGTCTATTCCAATGGCCAGAGAAACAGTATCCTCAAAATCACATCATTCATCCCACCTCACTTGATGGCATGCTCCATCTATCAATCGCTGGCCTAGCCCAGGGAGGGCAAAAGGCTGTCCCAACAATGATACCAACGCTTCTCCGAAATCTGTGGATAAGCAAGAGCGGTCTCAGCAACAACGAAAACAGAAGCGTGGAAGTTTGCACTTGGAAGGTCAACGGAGATAATCGAGGGAGTGATTTTAATGCCCTGGTCTTTGATCCCTCACTGGGCACGGTCCTGGGAAGAGTTAATGGACTGAGATTAACCATAATTGCGGATGTCGCTGCCGACCAGTCGAGTCTAGCGCAGAACAGGCAAATTTGCTACCATCTTGAGTATCGGCCAGATCCGCAGTTTCTCACACCTGAACAGACATCAAAATACTGTCATTTGGGTGGAGACCAAGCCCTCCAGCAACTGTCTCACTACTTAGATTTGTTGGGCAATAAGAACCCGGGTCTGAAGATATTAGATCTAGGTGTTGGAGATCGTGAATCAACTGTCAAAGTGATCGATGCGCTCCTGTTGGATGAAGATGCCGAAGCCAAACGATACCTATATCAACTCTACCATTACACGGATACCGATTCATCATCTCTCGATACAGCACGAGAGAAACTGAGCCATTATCCTAGAATCGCGTTTGAAGAATTCGATGCTATCTTAAGCTCAGAGGAGTCTGCTTATGACCTTGTCATTGTGAACGACATGCTGTCAACATCCCAAGATAATGCTACTATATTGCAGGACATCCAACGAGTATTAAGCCGCGAGGGTCGCTTGATCACTCTCAATTCAGAGAAGATAGATCCGGCCATTTTCACCAGAAACGGGTTTGCTGGTGTCGATTTTCAGATTTCAACAGCAGACCAAAATATCATGGTGGCTACTCCACACCCTTTCATCGTTTCCGAAGACTCCAAGAAACAGATCGTGTTCGTACATGATCCCCAATCTGCCTTTCAGGTAGAAGTGGCTCGGCAGTTGGCAGCACTTACCCCTATGGGCTCGCACCGACCTCAAAGTCTCAGTCTAACCGAAGTCCATGGGCTGCGTGGTAAAAGCAATGTTGTCTTGATTTTCCTGCTGGAACTCGACGGTCCCTTCCTTTACACGCTCTCGTCATCGCAATTTGATATACTGCGGGAGATCTTGATTGTCTCCAAGGATGTGCTTTGGGTGAATGCGTATGGTGGGTCTCGTCCAGGCAAGCCAGAGTTCGCCATGGCAAGTGGTTTAGCTCGAGCCCTTCGCAATGAATATGAAAATCTAAGCTTCAGCACGCTGGCCTTAGACCTGCGAGGTGAGCTTTCGAATTGCCAGCTGCTAAAAATTCACCACATTTTCGAAGCAAATCACTTGGGCCAGAATACAACCGGGGGTGAATGGGAGTATATCGAGATTGACGGGCTACTGAACATTCCACGGATCGTGGAGTCACGTCCTCTAGGGCAAGATATCCACGTAAGATCTCTCCCCGAGCAATCCAGTATTCATGAAGTCGGAGAAATCCCCCCCGTGAAACTCATAATTGGGTCCCCCGGGCTTTTGGATACACTCCAATTTGTCGAAGATGATATCTACCACAAGCCCCTTGATGCCGATGATGTTGAGATCCGAGTTCACGCCATTGGCGTAAACTTCAAAGATTGCCTCATCGCACTAGGCCAGGTACCAGGGGATACGTTGGGTCTAGAGTGCGCGGGAGTTGTGACCCGTGTAGGGAGCAATTCAGAGTTGAAAGCGGGCGATCGAGTGGTCATGGCCACTCCTGGCAGCTTCAAGACCCATGCCCGTGGGAAGGCTGGCACAACGTGCAGAATCCCCCCAGAGATGTCATTTGCGGAAGCAGCTACTATCCCTGCGCAGTTTGGGACTGCATGGGAGGTTTTACATGAATTGGCGAAAATTCGAAAAGGAGAAACCGTTCTGATCCACGCGGCAGCAGGAGGAACTGGTCAAGCCGCAGTTCAGATTGCGCAGCATCTGGGGGCAACTGTCTTCGCAACTGTGGGTTCAAAGAAGAAAAAGGATCTTTTGGTGCAAGAATACGGCATTCCCGAGGAGCGCATCTTTTATAGTCGAGATACAAGCTTTGCGCAAGGCATCATGAGAGCGACGGGCGGACGAGGAGTTGACGTGGTCCTGAACTCCCTGGCAGGAGATAGTTTGCGAGCGAGCTGGGCCTGTATTGCCAACTACGGTCGGTTTGTCGAGATTGGGAAGAAAGACGTCTTGGAGAATGCCAGTCTACCTATGCTTCCCTTTGGCAGGAATGCCGCATTTATTGGCTTCGACGCGTCAACCTGGCAAAAAGAGAGACCATTAGAGGCGAAGAGAGATTTACAGGCCCTGGTGAACATGTTTGCAGGGAGTTTCTTACATAGTCCTCGGCCGTTGCTGGAGTTTCAAATTTCTGAAGTCGAGCATGTCTTCCGACTGCTCCAAGATGGCAAGACGCCAGGCAAGATCGTAATCAAAGTGGATGAACAATCCCAGATCCCGGTAGGCAGCTCTTCCCCAGCCTCGAGGCAATTATTGCGATTGCTAATTTCTCTCATTCAAAACAGGCCACTCTCAACACCAGGCCCAGTTTTTCTATGAGTGCAGAAGCAACCTTCGTCATTGCAGGTGGATTAGGTGGACTGGGTCGCTCTATATCTCGCTGGATGGCCAGCCGTGGCGCGAGACATTTGATTCTCCTATCAAGATCGGGGCCACGTACCGAGATGGCACATGCCTTCCTGAGAGAGCTCAGAGACGAAGGAGTCCATGTAGAGGCACCAGCATGCGATGTAGCTGATACCGTTCGATTGAAAGAGGTCTTTGCGTTTCTGACTGGCAAGATGCCTCCGATCAAAGGGTGCATTCAGGGTTCGATGGTTCGAAGAGTAAGTCCCAGCGCATAGCCAATGTCCATCGTCCGACGCTGACTGGCTCTACAGGATGAATTATTTGAGAATATGAGTTATGACAGCTGGAAAACAGCAGTCGAATGCAAAACAGTGGGCTCCTGGAACTTGCACACTCTGCTTCCAAAAGGAATGGATTTCTTCATTCTGCTCTCTTCGGCATCCGGGCTGGTTGGCCTACGCGGACAGACAAACTACGCTGCTGGCAACACATATGAAGATGCTATCGCCCGTTTTCGAGTCGCACAGGGAGAAAAGGCAATCTCTCTTGACCTGGGTGCAATGATAGACGACGGCTTGTTGGCGGAGAACCCAGAATTGCTCAATCGCGTCCTTACTTACGGCTCCCTAAATCCAGTGCGCAGAGAGCAGCTTTTTGCTATCTTAGACTATTACTGCGACCCATCTCGGCCCCTCTTGGGCCCCAGGGAAAGCCAGGCGGTCATTGGCCTTGGAACAGGTGGTGGAACGGGGCTCGACAGTGTTAGCCTTGATCGACTCCCATTGTTCCGCCATCTGATCCAGGACAGCGACCGCCCAGTGGAAACGGAAGAAGACTCGGTGAGCCTTCGCCAGCTTATAGCTGAATCGACGTCCCTCATAGATGCCGCGAACATTGTCACCCAGTCCTTGATCCAAAAGCTTTCGAAATCTATTTCGACGATGCAGCACAATGAAGTGGATATCCACAAGCCCCTGCATGCTTATGGCGTCGATTCTCTACTAGCCGTGGAGTTGAGAAATTGGATCGCAAAAGAGTTTCAGAGCGATGTAGCTGTGTTCGAGACATTAGGAAGCTCGACCTTTTCGACTTTAGCCATGCTTGTTGCGGGACGGAGTGAAGTAAAGCATCCTTTATGGACGATGGCACACAATTGAAATTTTTTGGAGAGATGTGGGACGTTAAACACCTGGATTTGGACAATTTATATATAGTTTGTGATTCGAATCCAAGTTGAAATGTATTTCTGCAGTTGCGAGCTGTGTTCCTCAAGTTAGTCTTCTCAGTCTTCTGTAGGGTGCCTAATATTCAAGGCCTACGTAGACTCGGCCTCAAGATGGAGACGCGATAAGATAAAAATCACGTGGCGCGTCCGGGCAACGCGAGGCACGCGCATCGCGTCTTGACTATGCGCCCTTGCGATCCGCGGAAGTCTCCCTCCGCCACTTTATCACTTCCATCAATTGATACCGGGAGGATCATGACCCGCTTTCTCATTTGAGACCTGACTTTCAACATATACCTCAGTGTCCTCTAAAATGACTTCGCCCTCCACGCCACGGTCCACGCGCACCGCGTCGGCGGCGGGCGACTCTCCCAATATCCTCACTCCAGGACAGAAGATCAAAGCCATGATGGCTCAATTCGACAGTGATTTTGAATCCGACACCCAGGCCACCAACTCTTATCAGGATGTCTCGAGGCTGGACTTCAGACACAATAAGACATCTATGGGGAGAGCGTCATCGCGTCAAACCAATGACTCGGCAGACGACTCAGATGACGCAGACGAGGTCGTAAGGCCTAAAGGTCGGATGGCTGCCCGCATGCAAGGTGATGCGAATAATGTGAATTCGCTGGAAGAGCAACAAGTCTCTGCATTTTTTCGATTGTCCAAGGCCCTTCGATCTGAGAGAGAAAAGACACAGAAGCCGCAGCATCAAAGCGCTTCCCCCCAAGCCGATTCTAGTGACGACGATCTACCTCCTGCTGGATTCAAGAGAAGACAAAATGCCTCAGCCAAGCAAACCACAACGACGGCGAACGAAGACGAGACTGCTTTACACTCAGCACAGGATGCAAACTCCACCTCTCCCTTATTTGTGTCTTCTCCAGCCGCCCCACAAACTAATTTCAACAACGATGACGAGAACGCCCACGACAACTCTGAAGAGCAACCAAAATCCAATGCTAGATTTCTGGCTCTTGTCGCTCAGAAACGTAAAGAACGCGAGGAGCGGGAGCGAATCGAAGCTGATAAAAAGGCCGCAAGGCGGTCTCAGATGGAGCAGTTCAGCTCCGAGATACAGTCTGGCGAGGGAGAGGAAAGTGAAGCGGATGATGGAGGGTATGGCCAAAAACTGAGTCAGAAAACGCGTCAGCCGCGAAAAGCAAGCAAGAAGGCCATGGAGGAGATGAGCCGGGAAACACAGCGCATGAGCCGAAACATGCAATTAGCCCATCAAGCTCAGACCAAGAAAAAGATCACCAAGGAAAGCCTTTTTGCTCGGTTCAATTTCATGCAGCCTAGTGCTCCAGCAGAAATATCTGCCGCCAATTCCTCTTCGAATGCAGGTTCGCAGAACTCTTCCGATGGAGAGAGTCCTCTTAAAAAAAACGGTACCCCACATACCTCCCCCATCCTTGGACCGTCGGATACGGACAAGTCTGCTGGCCTAGACGTGCCTAAGGAGGGGTTGGCCGCAATTGATGAGAAAGCCAAGGATACTTCGCTGCCCACCCTTGGAGAAGCCATGGCTTCTGCCCATGATGTCCAGGAGCAGGCCAAACAGCCGAGTGTGCCCGCTGTCCTGAATGCCGACCTCAAGCCCGCTTTCAACCCCGCTGGTCACAAAAAGGAGCCGCGCAGACCAAGACAGCCCCCTGTTCGGGTACTCATTTCCCGACATGAAGTCGCACGGGGCCAACAAGATGACTCTGATAGCGACGATCTGGAAGTCGTCACATCACCTGGCAAGTCCCGTCGGGTTGCTGCCTTTGAGAATCTGCCGACCAGGAAACTGCAAGAGTCTGTCTCGATGACCAAGCTCAAGGCTCTCGCTCATATAACCTCACCCAATCGGAAAACAACGTCAATGAACCCCGCTGAGCTCTCTGCTAGCTTGTTATACAAGGCTAGACAGCAAGCTGCGAAAGAACGACGCGAACGTATCGAGGAGCTCAGGGCCAAGGGTGTCGTCATTGAAACTGCGGAAGAGCGTGCAGCAATGGAAGACGACATGGAAGATCTGGTGGAGAAGGCTCGCCAGGAGGCTGATGAGATTGCGCGACAAGAGCGGGCTGCCAAAAAGAATGGACATGATCTTGATGACGAGGAAGACGACGAAGACTATGCTCTTTCTGGCTCTGACGATGCGTCCAGTGAAGAGGATGATGAGGAAGAAGATGATACCAACAGCATCAATGACAACCCTGGATTCGTCGACCAGGAGGCGGAAGAAGATGATGAATCCGCTGATGACCAGCCCGAGGGAGCTCTATCGGACACAGACGCAGATGTTGGGGTCTCAGGAACTCGACGGAAGCGACGAGCTCGTGTGGTCAGCGACGACGAAGAGGAAGATAATCAACCCCCATCAACTCCAGTCAGACAGCAATCCCATGTGCTCCAGTCAGCCGAGCCGCCTCCATTCCTAGGGATGGGAACCACTGGCGATCAGCCTATCGGTTTGACTCAGGCATTTGCCGGGACACTGGCAGATGATGACACTGGTAGCCAGCCAGGCTCTACATCAATACCTTTCTCTCTTCCTGACCCCGGTCAGCCTATTCCAAGACTCCGTGCTGAGGATTCTGAAATTCTGGTTCGAGACAGCCAGGAGCAGCACCATGATGAACCGGAGCTTTCGACCAGCTACTCTCAAAATGTCACCCGAGTCTCCGAGTCCCCTGCCGCGCACAATTTCTCCCAATTTTCTCAGCTTCCTGATCCGACTCAAGACGAAGGATTTGTCTTCTCTCCATTTGATCCGGCTAAGCGGTTCCGTGGCACCCCGCCAGTATCGACTGTCGATACAGTCCTTCTGAGTCAGAACCAGTCTCCGATTGCGGAGAGAAAGGGCAGGCAGCTTCGACGGGGTCGTGCTGCACATCTGTCTGCTGTCGAAGAGGAGGATGGTGAGGGCGACTTTGAAATTAACCCTAGCGCATTTAACATTATGAAGAAAGCTGCCAAGAAGCCTGCTGTTGCATACGACAAGAAAAACAGTAAAGCAAAGGGCATTGTGGACGAAGCTGCTGAAGAGTCTGAAGATGAATATGCTGGTCTTGGAGGTGCCAGTGACGACAGTGAAGGTGAAGAAGATGCATACGACCACCAAATGATCAATGACAACAGCGGTGAAGTCGTTGATGAGAAACAGCTTGCCGCATTGAACGCGTAAGTTGCTTTTACTTATGAACCAGTTGCAGAGGATGGAATGCTAAAGCCATTTACAGTGACCACCAACGAAACCGGGACCAGAAAGATGTAGCCAAATTGCTCAAGGATATTACCACCGGAGCACTGCGTCGCCGTCGTGGTCCTGATGACGACTTTGACCTCGATGACTCGGACGACGAACATCTAGCACGTCGTCGCGAGAAGCAACGCGAATTCGCCAAGATGCGTCGGGCCCTCCTTGCGGATGACAAGATTGGTCAACTTGCTGATAATCCCAAAAAAGCGGCCTTCTTTAAGGCCATTGAAGATCGTGAAATTGAAGACGACTTCGAGCTGGAGTTCTTGGAAGAGGAACACGGTTCTCAAAATGAATCCTCCCAGGACGTTCACGCCCGGGAAAAGAATGATTCAACAAATGACGGCAAGAAGCGCAAGCGTCCACTTGAGCCCTCTGCTGAAGATGCCACCAACCGTCCCCCACCCCATCTTCGTCGCACCGCTGCCAGTGTCATGTCAAAGAAGCCAGCAACGCTCGCTGAGATCCGCGAGACTTTGTCTTTCCTTACTGAAACCCCCGAATATGACTCCTTCCATGAAGACGCGTCTCTTGACGAAGAAGATGCTGCTGCCGAGGAGAACGAGACTACATCTGCCAATGATGACGCCTACTCCGATGACGCTGGATCGCAGTCCAAAGATCGTTTCGCTGTGCCCGGACACCCACGGCGGACCCGCGGCAATATTGTGGATCGCATCGCCCTGCTCCGCCAAGCTTCGTCCAACTCCGCCTCTGCCACGTCTGGGTCTTCTGCCAATAACAAAATGGCCTTCCACAACGGTGGAGGCTCTGACGGACCCATCGGTTTCCGGCCTCCCCCCTGCTGCGCCGCATCACCACGGGCTCTTCATCATCCAGCTCCAGCACGACTTCAACTTCAATTAGTTCCAACCGGGTGAGTAAACCCGCAGCCTCTGGGCCGAAGAATGGTGGTGCCGTCAATTCTTACACCGCTGCCCGCGAGAAGGAACGCGAGAGACAGCTGCGTATGAAAGAACGCAATGGCGGGTCCAGCATTGCTAAGCTATTGAATAAACATGCGGGCGGTGGCCTTGGTGCATTGGCTGGTAAAGGCCAGTGGGATTAGATGAAGTCGCGGATCACGAACGAGCAGACCATGAATGCATGTTCTGCTGCAGTATAATGAATTGGTTTCGTGGGTTTATTAACGGTTTTATTCTCGGGAATAGCGTTTGCTCCAATGGCTTGGCGTTTTAGGGGACGGATCAAGATATCATATTTTGTTTTTGAGTATTACGGGTATGACTTTTCAACAAACGAACATAATACATAAATTAAGATCCTAGACATCACACGCGATCAAGTCTCGTCCGAGCACTACGTATTATTAAGAGTGAATTGCATTTTAGGGGAAAAAAGCATGTATCTACCTACAGTTGAAAGTACGTTACATGAATTCCCGCCAAGGCCTGTCTAATGTAGATGTCTCTATACTGTGCAATATGTATATTGTTGGCTGTCGGCGATGACAATGCCTGTCCATGCGCGTACATCAATCAACCCAGCGACCGAGAAGACGAAGACAGGCGGTATGGAGATTCGTATAAATTAGGAGCAAGGATAATAAGCTATATATATCTGTAATAAGAATAGATTATTTACACCTAAAGATAGGAAGAATAGAAGGTTATGACCCAATTTTTAATTCACCCAGCAAATCCATCAGCGAGCGAATCGTCTTTGCAGGTCGTTTCTCGCTCTCGCCATTTTGACCACGAGCCAGAAAATAGCTTTGCCAGCCTGCATCCATGGCCGCAAGATAGTCCTTCTCATAGTCATCACCCACATGCACACATATCCAGTCATCCATATCTTCGATACCGACCGGAGTGGACCCATGCGTGTGTGCCTCTGCCTGAGCTAACAAGCGAGCCTGACGCCTCGCAACATCAAAGATCACTCGGTTCGGCTTCTCTTCGCCCGCTTCATAGCTAGTAATGACAAGATCCAAATCGGCATCTGAGCTCGTCTGGGATTTCGCGCCAATTTCCTGCAACCGCACCGAATGTACGGAGGCTCCTCGCTCTTCGAATCCGGGCAGCTCCATGCTAGATAAATCTTGGTCCGCGCGCATATCGCCGACTCGTAAACCCAGCGCCTTCAACACATCCGGGACCCGATCGTCCGAGTTGGAGATTACGCCTATGACCACGCGGTCAAAGGGCTTGGTTGACGTCGTTCGAAGCTCGCGCATGCGCGCGAAAAATGGCACAACGTCGTCGTATAAGGTGTAACCCCCGGCGCCCGCGAAGCGATCCAGCAATGCGTTCACCAGGCCCGGTGGCAGATCGACATATTTGTCGTCTTGTAACTTAGGGGCTGTGGGCTGCCTTGCCCCGTCCGCGGCTAGCACCTTTGCGAAGCTTCCCCGGATCACCTCCTCCCACCACTGTTTCGGGCCCCCGTACCGACCGCGGAGGACATCAGCACGGCCGTAGTTGGGGTGCAGCTTGGCTTGTGCACGATATACATCCTTGAACGCGGCTTTGACTCGTTCCGGGGTGACAACAGTTCGCGAGAGACCGAACCGGTGCGCCGTTGTTGCGTACTGCTCTGGGACCGGCGGGCGGGGGTGGAAGAGGGTCTCAAAGGCATCCAAGGTGAGAAGCAGAGTGCGAGGGTGTCGGGCGGAGGTCGTCAGGGAGCGCGCGCTGGCGCAGAGCGGAGCGGAGGTCATTTTAGGGCGTGGATGATGTTGATTGTTGACGCGGTCGCGATCTTGCCGACCCTTTCCCGACTGCGCGCAATCAGTCCGTCATCGCGGGGAAGCCGAGTGCTCGGCGGCCCTAGAGATACGATATGCATAGAGATTACTGTTATGGTATTCTATACTACATGGTCAAGTTAGCTGAGAAGTTGGGTGCGAAGCAGGATGGAGGAATCGGCTATGGCATTTTGATCTACAGTATGTCCCTTTACAAGCTGTTAGCCCGCACTCGAAGCCCCTATAGTGGGCTGCTTGCCCATAGTGTCGGCCGAACAGACCCCCAGCTTTAACAGCGGTGGAACACTTTCATTTCGGTCCAGCAAATTCCCATAGTCCGATGATACGATAGTCCGATCGAACCTGTTTCTCGGAAACAAATAACCATTTAAAGTGTTTAGACTATTAGAGTAGCACTGAACTTGCCCAGTGCGTCGGCCGCCCCAATCGATCCAATCACCAAAATCTCAGTCTCGCAGGGGCAGCCACGTCACTTAAGTCTAATGATCCAAGCAGCAATGAAGCCACAGGCCACATCTAACCACTACTTCCGTCAAGTGGGCTCGGAGAAAATTGCTGGAAAGCGGATGGTGCTGAGCTAGTGGCGTGATGACGCGTCTTAAATTGCCCAGCCCTAATGCCCATCATCAGATAAGCTGCTGGGCAAGCTCCGGGCAGGCACTCCCTCGCCTCTGAGGATATTATCTGTCGCTCAAGCATCCGCGTCTATCGAGCAGTACTCAAACAAGAGGGCCGTTCTTTTCACAATGCGCCTGTCTTCGTCGTTGCTGGCTACCGGTGCGCTGTGGAGCCTCGCCAGCGCTACAGCATCGCCCGAGACCGAGCCGCCGCTTAAAAATGCGAATCACATCTTCAATACTATCTATGATTCCATGCGCCAATGGGGATCATCTCTCCATCATAATGGAGTTTCGTTCTTTCTGGCAAGTGTACCAGCCGGGACCCAGTTCTATCATGGGACTTCCAAGTCCAGTCCGGTGAACGGCACGGAGTGGCTCGCGTTTGAGCCGGAACATGCACTGATGTTTGCGCGGCCGCATCATGGCCCGCCTCCCCGACACCCAGGCGATGACGAAGGCGACCACCGCGAGGACGGTCCGGGAGGCCCAGAAAGGTCTCACGATGAACTGCGACGCCGCCAGCCTCATGGCCCGGAAGACGGACACCACGAGATGCCGCCCCTACCGCCGTTTGAGGCTTTGGACGAGTCTGAAGCCGGATACCTCCACACCTATGTTGCCGCGAAGGACCTTCGTCTTCTTTATATCGATGGCATGTCCGCGGCCAAGACCAATAAGGGCACTCTCGAATCCCAGGATGTACTTCTGTTCAACAACACGCTGGATGACTCGCCGCAGGAAGGAGAACATGGGCCACCGGGCGAGTTCCAGCGCGCGGTAAAGGCATGCGAGCTGGCTAAGAACGAATGGGGCGGCCGCATCGATGGTGTCATCCGTATGGAAGCTGGCTTCGAGATTATCCTTTGTGCTTTCGAGCGCGATCTGACACCCATCCGGATCTCGCAGGTGAAGTCGGATCCCCAGGGTCGGTGGGCTAAAGGCAGACAAGACCGGAAACACGGTGGTCCCCCTGGATCTCAGGAAGATGACCGAAAGAGACGCGGTCCTGGAGGGCCTGGCGGGCCAGGTCGGGGACCGGACTTGCCGCGATGGATGCGTGCTGTGACATCGCGGTACGATGGAATCGGAGGCGGCCGAGTGATTCTCAACTATGACCACTTCGTCACTGCATATGCCTATGATCTGGACCTGTTTCCGGACAACTCGTCCCTACCTCGCCTTGCACAGCTCTCGCATGCGGATGTGGAGCCTATCCAAAAGGACTTGACAGCCCTGGTTCTGGCTCACGACGCGGGTGAAGCGTCTTGGAACTGGCAGGCGACCGCGGACATGATTGTCACCCGCTACAGCCAAGAGTTGTCGTATATGGCCTCGGGCAAATTCTCTGATCTCGAGTCTCTGCAAAACCACCTCGAGGTTTTCCTGTCGCCATTCATTGACTACAGCGAGCGGGATACCGCGTTGGAGGCCCGGCGATGTGCCACCCAGTTTTTGCCCCTGGAGAAGCAAGATGCGACAGAGCTAGCTGGTCGCGCAGTGTATAGCGTAGCAAACAGTATTTGCTCGACCTTACTGGCGGCATGGGAGGCGCAAGAGCTAGAGTCGGCGGTGGAGAAGATTCAGATCTTGAATGAGTATCTGGGCTGGGCCACCTGGAAGAAGTGTCGCGGCTGCGAGGACAACGAGGTCTGCGTCGTGCCGATCTGGCCCATGGGCACAGTGGCAGATTATGAGAACCCTCGGTGCAAGGATCTAACAGGGCCTGTTCAGGACCCAGATGGAGAGAGCTACTGGGGCGGGCTGCATCCTTAATTTTCTGTGTTCTATTTCTTATCCAAATGACCATTTCTAGGGGAGGGCTTGTGAGATATAGAGTCATACATAATTATGGCTAAAGGTTAATATTCAAAACAGCACATGGTACCTAGTTCCAAATTGCGGTAACATTCTTCAATGTTTGCGAGCCAGTAGTGAATCACTTGACGACGGGCTCAGGAGGGCATGCACGAGGAATCTATTGAGCTACTAGCTGCTACTAGCTGCTATCAAAGAGCCTCAATGCGTGGTAACCCCTGATGTACTCCGTACCTGACATACGCCCTCCACGAACGAGGACATGGGAAGGCTGAAAAAGAGAAAGAACATGGCATTGCAATGCAACCTTGGCCCCATTTAGGGCTTCCCTCCCCGCGCAAGTAAAGTTGGCCAGTAAACCTTACCACGACGGGAGACCAGCCCGTTCAGCACTTCTTCGAATCAGCGACGCCCTATGCCTCTTGATTTTGAGGATTTTCAGGGGCACCACTTCTTACACTTTGCACTATTCCACCCCCTCTTTTGGTAGTGGAGAACCTGGCAACGCTGTCGTTTCAATCCCGTGGAGAGCATATGCCTCTATGCCCCATTCTGACTTTTCTAGCTCATCTTTTTCACCTCATGGAAATAGTCTGCTGAAGGACCTTGATAAAGCTACTGGGAAACTATTCAGGCACCATAGGCAAGCCCTAACAAGACCTGAGAGCCCGACTCCCTGGAACAGGAGGGGGGTTGAGGGGCGGCATTCATGATAGCCAATCTCGAAGGATGATGATGATGATGATGCAATTGTAGCGCGGCAGGCCCCAATCCTGCGCCCATCACTTCGTCACAGGGGTTGTCTTGCCCCTCAACTGGTTGTTATCGTCCTTCACAGGGGGTTCAAAGGGGACTGGGGCGGCTCCACCCCGCGACGGGGAAGGCTGCAGGGTCCACCGGCAGCACTATTTGACTTTAGCAGCCGCCTAGTGACCATGGAGCAAATTGCAATCAGCGACTCTTTTTTCCGTTCGAGTGGGGTTCACGCCGTTCAATGTGCCTGGAGGCGGGACAGCGCAGATCGTTGTCTTTACCATCATTCTTGTCCAATGCTCGCAATGACTGCCTCTGGCGGTGGAGGAGTCGGGCGGTGCAACTGCCGATCCACTCGCCCCGAAACGGGCTATCCCAAGCGTTTTATCCTGGAAGCCCGGTGCTTGGACCCAAGCGCTCGAGAGAAGGGTCTCGGGCTGGAAAGATTCAGAGAACTCCGAGGACCCTGGACACCGGGACTAGTCCCTGCGAACCATGTGGCAAATCCCAAATCCCGACCTCGTGGCATCCGAATTCAGGGCCTCGTGATGCGGCGTCTACAAGCAACTTGACGGCCTGGTCTTCATTCACGCTCCATATTCACGACATCCTTCTTCAACATCCACTCTCCTCCCCGCTGGACACCCGTTATTCCCATGGGGCAGAAAGTCAAATGCTGCTACCCGCAACCTGTGAGACTTAAAGCGGAGGTGGCAGATCTGCAGAGTGGCTAATGAAGATGAACCTCCGGCAAAGCTTATGGGAATAGCCAAGAAGCTAACAGCAGCCCCCGGGCCTCAATTCCCCTTTGCCGGTCTCTCCACCTGCTGTGTCGTGGACCTCTTCCCTTTGATATGACAGAATGCCTTGCTCCGCTTCTCTTTTTATGGGACCCATTGGGCTGAGGCCAATCCTCTCATCAGCAGGCCCCACTATCACCCTACGACGGTGGGAGTATCATCCTCTTTGTTTCCTGGTCTAGCGGGTGTGGAGTATATGCTCTTCCACGACATCAAGCACGAAGATGTACTGGTGGGAGGCACCAGAGACGGACGGCTGCCCCTGAGCAAGGGCCAAACAATGATGGAGGAGCATCCATAGATGCCCATGGACGGTCTATAAAGAGCTGCCAGGGCCATTTGACTTTCTCGATTCTTTCCAATCTCTATCCAAGAAGCTCTTTCTGTGTTTTCGGTTCCTACACCTGTCATTCCTTTTCCGGTTCCATACCGTCCATTCATTACTGCTGTTCTAGCACCGTCATTCTCTCAAATCCCATCAAGATGAAGTCCTTCGCCATTGCTGCCATTCTGGCTTCCACCGTCGCCGCTCTGCCCACCAACGTCATCTCCGAGGCGAGCAGCGTTGTGCCCTCCAACATCCCCTCCTGCGTGCCCTCCGGCGTGATCCCCTCCGGCGCTCCTCTGCCCAGCGGCATCCCGCTCTGCTCTCCCTCCGCTACCCCCAGCGCTGTCGCTAGCACCTCCGCCAAGTCTGTCCACAGCGTTCTGACCGTTACCAACCAGCAGTCCAAGAATGTTTTGGTCGAGCTGGAGCCTACTGTGGCCAGCTTGCTCACTGGTCTGAACCTTGGAAGCGCCACCGACCCCGTTGGCCAAATCATCCAGGTGGCTGACAGCGTCGGCGACCTCAACATTGGTAGCGGCTCAGGCCTTCTGACTGTCGCTACCAGCGAGGGCAAGGTCGCTCTGGTTAAGCTCACCTCCACTGTTGGTAGCCTGCTCTCCAGCCTCGGTCTCTCTGATGTTACCACTGTCGTCGGCTCCCTGGTTGGCACCCTCGAGAGCGCTGTCTCCGGCAGCATGAAGCGCGATCCCCTCAGCGATGTCATGCAAATCACTGGCCTGAACGGCAACAACCTCGTCGTTCAGCTCGAGCCCACTGTCCTCAGCCTCGTCACCGGCCTCGTTGACCTGTCCTCCGTCCAGGGCACCGTCGGCACCGTCCTGGCCGAGGTCCCCGCCGTGTCTGGCCTTGCCTCCGCTGCCGAGAAGGTTGCTGCTGACCCCACCCAGCTCTTCGGTGTCCTCGGTGAGGATGGTACCTCTGCCATGCTTGTCAAGGTCGAGGGCACTGCCCAGGGTCTGCTGGCCGTCCTCGGTCTCTCCAGCCTGGAGAGCACCGTTGGCAACATTGTCTCCGCTGGCTCTCTGTAAATGATTCCCCTCTTATCAGCCCTTGAAGGGATTTCATCATTCGCTTCTATGGGTCCTCTGTTGATGTGCTCAGAGCTACTGCTGCACTCTGGCTTTCGAGTGTGTGCTCGCAAAAACGACTGAACATGAGGAGTTCCCTGTTCCTATTTCTTTGACCAATTGGTTTAAATTCATCTGTACTTATTATACGTGAAAGCGTGAACTTCGTGAAGACAATTTCTTTGACAATGATTTCCAATATAAACTGATAATGTCTAGCTGCTATTTCATTTGGTATACTTCCCATTTGATTCTAGAGTCCGGACTATAGCATTATTTCATATAAAGGGCCCCAATCGATGCCTCAAAATACGATGCCAGTCTCATTTAGTACTGCACCACCCCCAAGTGAAAATCTTCTCATCTCTTGTTGCCAGTCGAAATGGTCTCGCCGATAGTATGTTCCATCAAATGTATCATCCCGGTGGCCATAAGTAAATGGCCAGACCCAGCCACGCACTCAGACAAGACTTGCACACAATCATCAGGATCCTTTCAAGCTTTCTGCGGCTCGGTATTTGTGCTGTAACCAATCAAATGATTGAATGATTCCTCACGGACATCGTATGGCTTATGCCTCGGCACATGCTCAGTGCTTAACCCAGCAAAGTTGGTTCACACGCCCCCTGGAGTGACGATCAAGAACTTGATATTCCAATCCGGATGCATCCGTGAATCCTTCATGCGGAAATTTGCTAGACTCGCAGTTAGTCAAAGATAGCATGGTAGAAAGAATGCCCGGGGGGCCGTGAGCCAGCCGTCGATCGAGCAGACTTGAGCAATAGTCACATTCTGTCCCCTGGGATTGACCTCTTGGAACACATGCATGGCTTCCTGGATTGCGTGCATTGGGCCCCAGAAGTTGAGTTTGAGGTGTCACCTGGCATCGGCTTTAGGGGTACCCTCTATGTTCTCCATGAGCCCGTAACCGGCGTTGGTTTAATAACAGTGTCAATATGGTGAAATCTATCGATGAAGTCAGCAACTGCTTCGACAATCTGCTCTTGAGAGACCACATCGAGACAAAAATTCAGTACAGTGGGTCCGTCTAGTAAATAAGAGATTATATGTCGCGAGCATTGGCAGCGATACGATGACCCGCATTGTAAACAATTTTTGCAGGGGACTTTCCGATGCCAAAAGAGCACCTACTTACTATATCTTGTGAGATGACAGGACCAAAGCCTAGTGGAAATACAATGTTAGCCAACCGAGCTATATTGTATAAGTGAATAGCGTTTTATTTGAAAGAGGAGAGACATCTCCTGAATAACGATTTAGAAAATTTGCAAGATGATGATAATTTTTTTTCTTGTGTTTATCTGAATATCAATGTAGGGACTTGAATATATCCGCCGACATACCGCTTATAACTAAGGAGTTTTTATTACTTTTTAACAATAAAAGATAATCTATAAGCTCCTGTAGTCTATTTTAATGCTCAAATTAAAGATTTAATAGTTATTTATAAGATAGCTTAGCTTTATAACCTACCGTACCTACTTCTCTTTCACTATGTACACCTACTAACCTAGTAGAATTGACTAACTGCGACAACTTGCTACCGCTGAATCCTATCTAGAGCCTATTTTACCCGGATTATATAGGATCATATATATATCGAGGCTTTCACATCTCTCCCTGTGAATAGCGTTGTTTTTACGCTCGTAAGATAGCAAACCGACTCTACGTAGCCGAACATTGTAAACAATTTTTGCAGGGGACTTTCCGATACTAAAAGAGCACCCACTTACTATATCTTGTAAGATAATAGGACTAAAGCCTAGTAGAAATACAATATTAGCTAACCGAGCTATATTATATAAGTGAATAGCGTTTTATTTGAAAGAGGAGAGATATCTCCTAAATAACGATTTAGAAAATTTGCAAGATAATAATAATTTTTTTTCTTGTGTTTATCTGAATATCAATATAGGGACTTGAATATATCCGCCGATATACCGCTTATAACTAAGGAGTTTTTATTGCTTTTTAACAATAAAAGATAATCTATAAGCTCCTGTAGTCTAGTTTAATACTCAAATTAAAGATTTGACAGTTATTTACAAGACAGCTTAGCTTTATAACCTGCCGTACCTACTTCTCTTTCACTATGTACACCTACTAACCTAGTAGAATTGACTGACTGCGACAACTTGCTACCGCTGAATCCTATCTAGAGCCTATTTTACCCGGATTATATAGGATCATATATGTATCGAGGCTTTCACATCTCTCCCTGTGAATAGCGTTGTTTTTACGCTCGTGAGACAGCAAACCGACTCCACGCAGCCGAATGACCCCACGATGCTATTCCTTACCTCACTAATCTTTACAAGACCGTCTATCAATCTAGAACTTGCTTCAACTCCCGGGCCCCTCTCCATAGCTCCTATCAGCTACAAAAGAAGCGTAATACAGAGATGGTCCACATTCCGATGAAACCGGCATTCTGGCCGTTCATAGACGCCCACGCATGAGCCCGAGGTCAAGCCAGCCACCTATTATGGTGGCCTCATTCGGAAGTGCCTGCAACGCAGATTCAAGTGCGCTCTGCGCCGAGCGATTTGAAGATCACGCTGCATCAGACCGACCTGGAGAGTTTCTGGGGCCCACTTCCCGGGGCGCTCATCTGGCTTAAGCCCTCGGTTCTCGATTGTTTCAGTTGGGCCTTATGGAAAATATGGTTTATGATGCAGGTCACAAGAATGACATGTGCTTTGCGTATGGGTTCGTGCGGAGCAGTGCCGAACAGCCTTCGGATGGTGCTGGCGGGCCAAGCCGGGGCAGAAGTATGTCGACGGGGGAGAGAGGGGGGAGAAGTGCTGCGCAAGGTATCTGGGGTCATAACAAGATATATTTATGTATATTTAGATCGGCATAGATATATGAAAATACGATCGATGTAGATAATGCGCTTTGCTGGAACCCATCTAGATCTAACGCGCTGTGGAGCTATTATGTGACGATGCTGTCCTGATAACGCCCCCCTCCTCCCCACAACCAGTCGTTTATTATGGAGGACATACGTATGTGCGAGGGACATGAGCATGAAACAACGAGTGGCAAGGTATTACTACTCGGCAGTTTGGGTTGACCACGGCAACCAGACTTTCTCCGAGTGGCTCCGGACGCCGAGTCCGGAGAAGGCAGCACAGCCGAATCAGAATGTGGGGAAGCGTCTGGGGCCGCGGGGCAGGCGATCCGCAGGGCAAAACTCCTATCTCCCCATCATCTTCCCGCTATAGAGTGTGTGGCCGAAGGGAGGATTTGCTTCTTGGCAAGTCCTCGTCGCTAGAAGCCATCTGTAGTTGCCCACCAGGAATTCCATGCATTCTCTCAATAGTATAAGTTCTGCATAGTCACATTCTCGTCGAGGATGCCCTGGAATCGGCCACCCGAGGATTTGATTGGCTGGAGGACCCCTACAGTGCGACTATCGATCTGCCCCTCGTTGATAATTCTTTCTCCCTTGGGTCTCCCGTGAAGCTTGCCAGCGAACTGGAACCACTGGAAACAGTTGGAAACCCGGGTAATTTTCCAACCGGTCATGGAACTCCTGCGACGGTGGTTGGCCACCGTTCCAGCGCCCCTCCAGACCGGGCGTGTGGGGATCTGTGGGAGAAGCGGGAAAAATCTATCCCGCCATCGTCATGCTGAGGCAGCACGTATGCGACGGAGCGCTCGGTCAACGACGCAGAGAAATTTAAGACTCGCAACTCGCCCTGTTCTTCCTTTCCAGATTTTTGGAACCTTTTTCTTCTCCTCGTTCTCTTCGTCTTCTTTTATCTGTGACGGAAACGTCCCTCTTCTCTCTCCTCTTCTCTGAACATACCGCCGCTTATATCCGACATTATGGCAAAGGCCCCTCAAGATTTGCAAATTGCCATTCTGGGCGCTGGCATGGGCGGTTTGACCACTGCTCTGGCTCTGGCTCAGCGTGGCTTTAAGAATATCGACGTCTATGAGAATGCGCACAACCTTGGCTTCGTGGGCGCCGGCATCCAGCTGGCCCCGAACATGGCTCGCGTCCTGGATGGACTGGGTGTCTGGCGAGGCATTGAGGCTGAAGCTGTGAACATTGAGGATACTTCTGTTCGAGGTATGTAACTGACCGGTCATTGGAGCCTTTGAAGCCCTGAAGCAGACGAAACGAACGTTTGGAGCTAACCGAGACAATGGAACAGTTGGCGCAACCGACAGCGAGCTGGCTCATGTCGAGCTGCAGTATATCGAGAAGTCCTATGGCTACAAACATATGGTGGGACACCGTTCGTCCCTCGCCAACGGTCTCTACCAGGGCTGCTTGAAGCACTCCTCCATTAAGTTTCACTTCGCCATCAACGCTGAGAACGTGGATTCGTTCGGCCCCCGGCCCTCATTCACCGCCGTCCCCCGCGACGAGGGCAAGACTCCCTTTAAGGTGGAATGTGACGTGCTGCTGGCGGCTGATGGAATCAAGAGTCAGACTCGCGTTGAGATGCTTAAGCGTCTGAATGTCAACGTGGGCGTCAAGGACACCAACCAGGCCGCCTACCGAATCATGATCCACAAGGAGCAGATCAAGGATGACCCTGAGCTCCTGGAGCTCATCAACAGCAACACTGTCACTCGCTGGATCGGCGAAAAGCGTCACATCATCGCCTACGCCGTTTCCAACAACACCATCTACAACCTCTCCACCGCCCAGCCGGACAGCAACTTCGCCGCCGCAACCAACGCCACCTATACCACCCAGGGATCCAAGAAGGCCATGCTGGAAGTGTTTGGCGACTTCTGCCCCAAGGTTCTGCGTATGCTCGACTATGTCCCCGAGGGCGAGGTGTGCGAATGGAAGCTGCGTGTTCATGATCCGCTCCCAACCTGGATCCAAGAGAGCACTGCCCTGGTCGGTGATGCCTGCCACCCAACCCTGCCTCACTTGGCTCAAGGTGCCGCCCAGGCCATCGAGGACGGCGCCGTGCTGGCTGTTGTCCTGAGTCGCCTTCCTGACACCACCCCCGAATCCATCAATAAGGCCCTCCGTGTCTACGAGAAGGTCCGCAAGGGCCGTGCCGAGGCTTTGGTCGAAATGGCCGCCGCCTCCGGTCGTGCTCTGCACCTGGGCGATGGTGCCGCGAAGGAGGAGCGTGACCGCCAGTTTGCCGCGCTTCGACAGGGCAAGGGCCCCGTGCCAGACAAGTGGGCTGATGCCGATGTCCAGCGGGAGATCTACGGATTCGACTGCACTAAGGTCGCAGAGGAAAACTTTGATGAGTACTTCTCGCAAATGTAAGCGCTGCCGGTTTTTTTTTCTTCTCTTTTATTTTGCGGTTCGGATTTTTTTTTTTTTTTTTTTGGCGCATCATCCATTTGGGGGCGATTTTATCAACTTTTGATCCATGTAACTCTGTCCTTGACTCCTTGATGTATATTCACGGCCTCCTTTGATGAAATGAGACTTATGAAACACAATCTTCCACATATTGTCCTCGGATCACCTGAACTAAACCTTTGTCTTCATATCTAGGGGCAGTACTCCGCGAGACGCCAAGCTTGCGTAAAAACTGTGATTTATGAATGCTTTATGACTATGATGAGATGAGGTGATAGGCGAGTTCCTGCTGAAAATATTGTGTTTTTTTTTTCTTGTTGTAAATAGCGTTCCATGGCATCATAAAAGAAAAGATGCTTATGTATATCGCGAAGTCGCTGCAGGTATAGAAAAGCAGAATAAATTAGATGTATCTCATTCCATGCAAGGTATTTAGAAATCATGCGCCAAATCTAAACTTAAAAACGCAGTTTAAACGCCGTACACCCAATCCTCTGAAATCAAACCATCATTATCGTAACGCCAAGTGCCACTCCGAACAGGCTGGCTAGGCTTGGAATGCTGAGAGAAAGTGCCAGGCTGCGGCTGGTATAACTCTTGCAGTAATAGCCAGTTGAGGCCTCTGAAGAATTCCTAACTGGTGAGGGTAGACGGCCCTCTTTTTGAAGCTGGTTGAATGTTGTGCAGCTAAAGTCAGACTGATTTGAGGGCGTGACGCTGAACAGAGTCAAACTGCTGCTTGAAGAGGAATTTTGCCGTGAGACAAATGTGTCACTGTATCAGTGTCAGCGGTGCTTGTGATGGAACAACATCCACAACCGGATGGATGTGGGGGGAGCCTACAAGAATGAGTTGGATACATCTGCGTTATAGATGTAGATGGATGAAATGTTTGTTGGCCAGTACCAGGTCTGGTTGCTGCTATCATCGACACTGTACATGGATGACAGGTTTAAATATGGGCACTCGTCAATATTCAGCTGAAATCCACCTGTGTAGTTGACAGCCTGAGCGGGGAGACGGATGGTTTGAAACTTCTCATATTTCTCCCCATTTCGCAACCCTAGGGCTTGCAAGTCGTCAAACGGAACATTGAGAGAGGTGGTATTGTCGCCAGGACTGAATTGCAAGCTGTTTGCTTTGAGTGTTTGCACCTTGGATCCCCGTTCTAAGGCCGATCCAGCGTCGATTTCGATAGTCTCAAGGTACATCTCTGTGGTGTTCGAGCCCCCGAAGATCACAGTAACATGTGAACTGACTGCCAGCAGATTTGTCGAGTTGAACCCGATAGTCACAGTATTCATGTTTGGCAGCGGGTCCCAGATATAGGCGCCTCCAGTAATATTCAACGGGTTGTTGAACAGACTGTCAACCGAGTCTAATGCGGCGTCATCAACTGTGATACTTGACGCATTACGCAACCGCGTATGATGCATCGTGGTAAGACTCCTCCCTCCGATCCATATTGAGTTCACTGATTCTAGACTGGTGATGTCCAAATATGTCAAATTGGAAGACCACACGCCCATGTAAAACGCGCCATTGACTCTTCCAAGGTTCGGCAGAGTGAGGTTTGTCAGTCCAGAAATCCAATCTCCAAATTGAACATCGCCTCCGACTTCGACTAGGGTTGTGCTGGAAACGGAAAATGGGATCTCAGTCGCATCATAATCTGTGAGGCCCGACTCATGCAACAAGCTTCCCTGAATCGTTTCGATGCCGTCCAGGTCGATATAGAGCGAACTGGCATTCTGAGAAAACGGACCAATCGTAAGGTTGCCAGATATTTGGTTGCAGCCTTGGCGCACAGTCTCTGCGTCCGCTTCCGAGGTAATCGAGGGCGAGGTGCAGTTCACTGCTAGCGTTTCTAAACATTTCGTGAGTACAATGATTTGGATCCGAAGGCAACTGTCCAACTGTGACAGTCAGTAAACAGGAAAACTGGCAAAATCGCTTACTGGTACAGAATAGGGCCAGGCCTATACCCAGATGTATACGGATATGGCCCAGCATGGTCCAAATGTCCGCGCCGTAGCTACCACAGATATCGCTCAAGCAGCAAAATCCACAAATCTGCAAAGTGGACTGGAGGCCAATTATAACCTCTGCCCCGAAAGCACTATTGCCGCCGACCTATGGCCCCCTAGCAATCTTGGGTGCTTGGTAGCAGCGCGGCTAAGCTCAACTGGGTTGGAAAACACGTCGCCTTGCCCCATAGCGTAATGTCGTTCTACGGCGAACGTCCCGGGTCGGCTTAGGGCTGAGCGACGTGGGCCGCGTACCTCATAAGCGTCGTCGGCTGGCAACATAATGAACAAGAGCGGCTCATAATGAGACCCATGTCGCTGCAGGCTATTGCCACAGTCGGCTTGCGAAAATATTGTTCATTATTTTTCTTGGCTTCGCCAGACTGACTGGATCTGTGCTGGATCGCGCCCGCATGGTCCTGGTATCCATCTTCTCTGGGCCCCACTTCGTGAACTATTGGACTTGCCCTTATGGCGGAAAAGATATAGACAGAGGCTGTCGCTGTTATATCGCTTATAGCTTGAGCCGCATCAGCGTCTGTAGAGACTAGACTTGATGGAATCCTGTCGTAAAGCATAGCGTTATGCTTGAGATCCTCGTGGCTTGAAGGCTATGGATAGCTCTATCTGGGCAGGTCGCTATGCGCCCACTCAAGACATACAGTGAATACGATAGAAACGCCAGAGAAGTTTAAATTTTTGGGAAGTGAAATATATTGTCATTTGCAAAACCTGCCGGTAACACCTCCATATGCTGGATCCGTGGCAAATGTTCAAGGAAATACAAAAAGTCTGCGATTATGCGGGATGGCCGGTCCCGGTTCTCCGTCATCTGCTGACGACGCCCGGCGACGCGAAACCTTGGCTCCGCACCTGCTCAACGCGCCTGCACAATGCAGCCGGCTCTTGCGCCCTAAAATGCACCAATGCCTCCACCAGTGGTATGGATGCCTCTCGAGGAACCTTATAGCCGAAACTTATGAAATACAACCTGCAGACACCGTCTCCATTTCGCCTCCCGCGTCGCCAACCTCCGGCGCCCCGCAGCGCTGGGCCACAGTTCGCCAACTCACCTCGGTTTCTTCTATCCCAGTTGACCCCGCAAAGGGGGGCAACAGACCTCGATATTATTGATGATGATGTGCGACCATCAATCGCTGGAGTTGTCCGCACCCCAGCTCATTCTCGAACGGCTCTTCAACCTCGCCGACCGAGAGACGTGATCGATGATTTCGACAACAAGCCTTCTACGCAATTTGGCTCCCAAAACAAACATACCAGTCATATTAGCGATGACGATATTGACAGCTCTCCACCGGAGAATTCAGAAACTCCTGGTGTACTAGACCCTGAATTCGACGTGCTCTTTGCACCCACGAGGGATGGCTCAAAACGGCAACGTTTGTCTGCAGGGCTGCGCCAATCGCTGGAGCAAAAATTAGCATCTGAACCTGAATCGCCCGACACACGAAGAATTCTGTCTGCAACCCTCGAAACACCAGCCCCATGCCGTATTGCGCGAAGCGCTGTCACCCAAGATCTAAGCGTCCAAGCAACCCCAGGCAATTCTATGAAGCCTGATGGCCCAGGAGTATCGACTCCGGGAAGTATCAAAACGCCTTTTCGAAGCCGGCCTAAATTTGTGCTCTCATCAAATAAACCGCCCGGTAGTCAAAAACCTTTCCGCGGGGAGATGCCCACAGCATCTCAACCGGCTTCCCCACCGGAAAGGCGCAAGTTAGCTTTTGTCCTCCCTCGGTCACCCTCGCCAATCACGGCAGATGAAGATATACCGGCTCCATTTTCCCCATCTTCGCGGACACTTCATCGACGTGGGCGACATCGTTCGGGCACGTTGGGTTATGCTGCAGGCGGTATGGCAGCTGGCGTGCGCAGCTGGGTTCTTGAAACAGGATCTAAGCGCGAGCAACGGCCCATTCGCACATCCGTGGAAACAAAAGCGGACATTGATCAGCACTTAGATCGATATCTAGTGGCTGCTCGTGCTCGTCATGTTAAACAGGCAATGTTCGTTAGTTCTGGCCCTCTGGCATTTGTCCAAGCTGAACAGATTAGCAGCTTGTCTGGAACAGCGGAAGAAAGTCAACCTCTCAACCTACTGTTAATGGGGCCCCCTCGGACTACTACCTCCTCACATCTGCCCTCTGCGACCCGAACGGGGATCATTCAAGAAGGGGCTCTCGTTGGAATCTATCGTGGCCTAGCATGGGATCTAGAAATTCAAGAATTCCAGTCCTTTATAAATAATAAAGGCCTATCTCCCAGTCTATCCGAGACGGTCGACCCTGATGACCGCAACCGACGCTGGCTAGTGGCCATGGAGTGGGATCTTATTGATGGTATTGATGGTGGCCCTGGGTGAGAAGAGGTTCACCACATTTTATGATAATTATGAGCTATGAGCTATGAGATATGTGCTATGGATAACGAGGAAGACTCCAATATCCATGTACTCAATCTATATATGTGGTGGGTATATTTCAGATGAAAACCAAGAGTAAAACCTTGGAAGCAATATACAAACATTTGTCTTTATCAATCGGAGACAGCCTTAAGTGCATCCACTGCAACATTACAACCCCAGCGAACCAATTTCTGCTCCTTCTCCGTCACGATATCAGATTTCACGACGACCTTCCGAATGAAGTAGATCAGGCCTTTAGCGATGTGCGGGGTGTCTTGGACACGCAGGAAAATTTGCATAAGCGATTCCTCATCCTTTAAATCCTCTGTGCCGGTCTTGTTGGATTTCTTCTTTTTAAGCGCCCTCTTCGTCTTTTGTGACTGCTGGATGATGCTGATGATCAACAACTCAACGAAGGTCTTTGTCTGGGGCTGGAGATAGGCGAAGTTCAGATTCTTCAGGACAGCAAGTGTCAGAGTTCCATCGGCAATGAGCATGGCGTACATCTTGGCCAGGTTGACAACGGCCTTCATACTAACGCCGTTGTCCCCATCCTCGGCGTCAAAGTCTGGCTCTTCCTCGTCGTCGCCTTGCTCGCCCATCCGCTTGAAGATATTCCAGAGAGCGAACATAAACGAGACTTTGATCCGGCGACCCGATTCTCCGCAGAATCGGCGTGCAATCAGTGTGTAATAAGGATTGTGGGCCTCCTCTTCCATCGCACAATGCAGGAGTACACGGGGTATTTCAAATTCCTGAGCACGCTTCAGGCGCAGCTTAAGTAGGCGAACATTTGCATCTTGATAGTCTGTCGCAGACATGATAGCCACAAAAATAGACCGGCGGACATCAGTATTCATGCGATGGGCCTTCGCAAGCTCTCTCAGGTCAGGCTCAGCCTCGCTGTCATCTTCAACAATCTCGGCATCTTTCGTTGGTTTATCGGACAGCTCTTGCCGAGCAGCCACCAAAGGATCCTCTTTCCAGCTGGCACCGACGAGCCACCATTTGCCCTTCTTCGACGAATTGTGGATATCGGATCGGGTGATGTTGATAGGTTCTGATGCTCGAATGACCCGCGAGTTATTGAGGGATCCGAGGATCTTGCGCATCTTGGTAATATGCTCAGATGTTATGTTGGCACCAATCCCGGATTTGACACGATTATTTTTCAGATCCGTGATCGTCTCAATCATGAACTTTGTGCGGACCGAAAGGTTGGACTCGCCAATCTTTGCCACGGCGGGCTGAATGAGCATGACAATGTCCTTGAGGGCTGTCGGATCATCCTGACGCAGCTGAGGACCGGAATCTATATACCAGTTGGTTATTTTCTGGTCCATTGGACATGCCCAAGAAGTACTTACTGCGAATGACTTTCAGCAAAAGCTCAGTATTTGTCTCCGTAATCTCTTCGAGGAAAAGTCGAATATAATCGAATATCAATGGACTTCCAATAACGTGAAAATTGTAGAGCTGAGCCAGCAGGGAGACTAGGTTGATAGCTTCTTTGCCCTGAAATTTGCCGCGCTCATCGCCATCCGCGTCTAAAGTTTCAACAACCTTCTGCACGATCTCTGCACCAAAGTCCATGCCCATGATCTTGTAGACAGCTGCAATAAATCCGGCATGGAGGACAATGAACGTATCTTGCATGACGGCTCGTTCACAGATCAGACCCATCAACAGATCCATAAGCGTAGACGTCACATTCTGGCGAGGATAGTCTCGATATAGCTTCTCAAACTCGGCGAGAATAGAAACAAGGTTTGCCTCAGACAGCTTGTTGAGGTGTCCCTGGGCTTGGCGGCGTAGACGGGTAAGAGACTCCGTCTCCGGGTCAGAAAGTGCTCGTAAGGATGGCGGAATGTATTTCTGTGTTGCTGTAGTATCCTGCTTCGGCACCGGTGCCACATACGGATTTTCACGTTTCTTTGCAGGCCCTTTTTCTTCCTCTTCGAACCCTCCGAATTCGCTGTCTTCCGCGCCGTACTCGCTGTCATCAGATCCGAGCAATTCCTCGTCAAGGTCGTCCATGCCTTCGTCGCTGTCGTCACTTTCGTCGAAGTCGTCTGAATCATCTTTTTCCCGCTGCTCTTCCTTAGCTTGACTTTTAAGAGCTTTCTGTCTCTTGCTCTGTAGCCATTCATCTGCTTCTCTCTTGCGCTTCTTGCTATCGTCTTCAGAATCGTTGCCTAAATCTCCCATCAAATCTTCGAGGCCGTCGTCTGCAAATGCCTTAGGGAGTTTTTTCCCTTTTTTTAGACCGAGCTTCTTTTCCAGGGCAGCGATCTCAGCATCGTCTTGGGCTAATTTCGATTTGACCGTTTCGGAAATACGGCTTGGACGTGAAATGTCCTCTTCAGACTTGTCACCGAAATCATCTTCACCATCTTCACTTGCCATATCGCTGTGGCCCTCCGCATCTTCATCATCGTCTTCATCAAGTATATCGCTGTGAAGTATATCGCTGTCGTCGTCAAGTTGCTGCTGCGTCGGGGCGATTGATTTGGACTTTTCTTGGTTCGGCCTTTGTTTGCTCTTGGGGGGGGCAGGTGCATATTTACTGAATGATCCTTCATTCACATCCACATTGTACTCTTTCTTATGGAGTTGAGGCTTCTCAAATCTTCGAATGGGCTTCTTGGGCAGTGCTACCGGTTTCCGTATCGACTTCTTTTCGTTTCGCTCGGCTTGCCGGCGCTCTTTTCGTGTCGCTGGCCCATTGCGCTGGCGTTGCTTGTCACCATACGTGTCCCTTATCCCCAGCTCCGAGCGCAGATCACGCGGGAGCGAGGTCGTATTGTGCTGAGGGCGCGGCATGGTAGCTGATTGCTCCAATCTGTTGCGTCGTTCAGTCGAAGAAGAGATCGAGACCTCAGCGGTGAGCGGACTTTTTCCACTGCCACTTTTTCTGCCCGTCAAAAGTCAAGGCGGCGACCCACACACAGCGGAGTTTCGTCCCCCACGAGCCTCGTACTGGCCTGTTGCTTGTGACTGCTTCAATTGGAAAGATCGTTCAATAGCTGTGCGCCTCAATCAACTTCCGACTTCGAAATGGCGCCACATTTGAGCAACGATGAGGTATGCCCCAACTGCCCTTGTGTTTGCCGAGGATGCTGCGCACAGTTGGCCACGAGACCATACTCTCGACAGCACCGCTGATATTGTTATCGCTGGCAGTTCTTCTCATCTCTCACCGGTCTTCTCTCCAAGACATCTCAGAAATCCCAGGGATCCGTATTTCTTTCTCAGAAGCCTCTCATCGATTCAGTCTCCAGCGCCCCTCCGTCCATTCTTATACGTGCCACCGACGGCAACACCGGTGCTCCGAATCCCAAGAAGGATGGCAAGATTACCAAGAGCAAGTCATCAAAGGCTACGAAAGTGAAATTTTCCACTGTTGTGAATGCGGATGAGCTTGAAGCATTCTACACACGCTATGCGGACATCTGCAAAGCCGGTATGACAGGATTGAAGAAGCGTGATCGCAGCAAGCGCAAGGCGAAGGGCAAGGGCGGGGCTGCGAAGGCCACGAAGGCTTAGATCTTGGCTGGCTTTTATTTGGTTCGTGATGGCTTAATCGGTCATAATGTTTCCTGCATTTTACGGCGTTCAAGGGTGGCCATTGTCTCAAAACTTGCTTGGCTATTGTTTTTACGAGCTTCTTGAGGTGTACATATATACCTTTCTCTCTCACACTGGTTCTGTAGCAAGTCTATTTTATCACCTATCGTTGGCCAACTTTCCATATCTATCGCATCCCCTTAGAGATATCTTGAGCTCGCCTGTTCTTATTAACCTATCACCAGTGAGAATTGCGATTTGGCCTCCTGAACATGAAAGTCCCACTTGACCCCCTTGTACTCCTTGCGATGCTTCACGTTGACAGGGAATTTGCTTTTGACAGGGCCAGTGATAGCTACCATACTTGGCACGGTTGGTGGTGCATTCCAGACCCCATCGACAGGTGTAATGTCATAGCGAAGAATAATCATAGCTGTGAGAAGGAGAATCTCGGAGGCAGCAAAATGCCGTCCAGGGCAAATGGTAGGTGATATCCCGAAGGCCATGAATCCACCAGCTCGCCGTGGATCTTTTTTCTTGTCTGATTGATCATCGTTTTTCATGAATCGCCGTTCGTCAAAGACGCTGGCAGTGTCACCCCAAACCTCGGGGCGTTGACCCATTGGAACAGATGCCATACTTACCAAACTACCAGCTTTAAGCAGATATTTATCTGCGATAAGAGTATCTTTTGAAACAAAGCGAGTCGGAGAAGAAATCGAGCGGAAGCGAAGGACCTCCTGAAAAGTAGAAAGAAGAAGCGGACATTGGTCTCGTATAGCAGCCAGTTCAATGCTATGAGTACCACCCTCGGTAACGGATAGAGCATTAGCCTTGATCTCGTCACGTACCTGCTCAAGAAGATTTGTTCGTGAGCATATCTCGAAGATACACCAAAAAGTGGCGGGGACAGTGTTTGAAACAAAGGCAATCAACATTGCGACCTCGAGCTGTGCGTAGTCTTTCGTACTAATTCCTGCTTCCAAAGATTTCTCCAGTCGAACCTTGGTCAACTTTGAGCTCTTCTCGGGCCCGTTCTTTTCCAGGTATTTTAAAATCGCCCGTGCGACTTTGTTGCGGCCGGCCCAAGGCTTGCGGGCTATGAGCCATGGCAAGGTGTTTGCCATGAGCGCAGCAAGACCATCTTCAAAGTCCCTTCGAAGGCATATTAGTATAAGACACGCGTGCTCCCTGGTTGCAGAACACTACACTTACCACCATGCATCTATAATCTCCGGGTCTTTGTAGGGATTCAGTGGGCCATAGGTAGCGTCTGTGCTAGCAGCCACAATAGCATCTTTACACCATTTGTATAAGTCGACTGTGCCGGATTGGCCCAGATCGTCAATGAACGGCCGCATTAGTTGAGCCATTCGGATGTTCATCGTATCTAGAGACTCTCCCACGAGGGTCGGGGTCATGGCGTGCATGAGTTCGCTCCCAAGGCCATGACCACCGGCATCTCGGTCACGAAGCAAGTCCAGAGCTTTCGGGTTCGTTATACCCGCAATATTATGTGCGCTTATGAATAAAAGGGGCTCAAAGCTAAGAGACTTGTTGTGGCGCTGAACAGCCAGCATCAGATCAGGCGAGCTGATAACATAGAATTTGGTGAACAGCGAGTCCAGTGTAATAATTGGATGCCGAGGATGTTTCTTCCTGCTGTTTGATTAGATTACCTCCACCCACTAGCAACAAGTTCGGAGATGCTACTGACGCCTGTTTGCCCCAATATCCAACTCCGTCTCGCATCATGCCGATTAGATGGCCGATCACCGGAATTCCATTGTGAACTAGGGGCGGTTCCCGAGGATCGCGTCGCAAACTAGTATAAAATATCGCATATCCCAGTGCTGCAACGACCCCCAAGAACAAGATCTGGCTCATGTCTAGCATTGTGATAGTTGTGGAACAAAATGCCCCCTATATCGCGCTATCGTAACGCGTGTTTGCGGCTATTGTCGTCCAAAAGTGAAGAGAGGTGTCGATGTTCTGGTATCGGCGATTATTACGAAATGCCTGATTGTAAGGGGCCAAGGACAAACTCCACACCAACCTCGCTCTCAGGAATACTTCAAATTGGTGGGTTGTTTTGATGAGCCAATCATCGTTGCGTAGGCGGGCTCCACCAGTAAACACAGCCCTGCGACATCTGGCAGATTCGGCTGGCTACGTCTGGCTGGCTACGTGAAACTGGAAAAAGGCCTGTGAAAGAGGAAGTTTGTCCGAGAAGCAGGTTATTGGCCCTCCTCATTTTTTAAGCTAATAACTATTGCGTTCTTTATCTGAATAAGTGACCATGTCGTGGGTCTTCTAGAATGGAAGACTTGGCATTGAGAGCAAGAGCGGCCCATGTTTTTGGGCCGGCTTCCAATGGTCTCTTTCTGGCTGTAGTTGGATTGAACAGCTTGTTTTATTCCCGCAGATATGTATCGGAAGCCAGGATATGTCGGTCTATAAATTACGCCATAAAGTACTAGATTGTGAGAGAAATCAAATCCCGAAATGGATGTTCAGTATCGATTGTTGACTTCGAGCTTGATCGATGTAGTGTAGCGATATATATTCAATAAAAGTACTGCGATCCATGTAATTCTAGACTCAAGCCAAATGAAGGTGTGGAAGTAATAGGGCTAACCCTCCCATATTCATCCCTCGGACATTGCAGCTGATGACGATATTCTTCGCGAGCTTCGGTAGTCTATTGTGGAGCCTCAAAATGCGTAAAAGATTCCTCCATTCACCAAGGCTGTACACAGTCCCCGTTGATCACTTTGCTCATATCAGCATCCTGCTGTCACTCGACGACACTAAGGATAATCGGCCGCGCCACCGAGGGATCAAGGGCGCTCATCTTCCAGTAAGAATCAGGGTTGCTCCCGAGCCCTGTGGCTAATAAACTGGGTACGACCTGTACTCAAGCCGGTCTTGGGCGACCGATTCAGCGGCACTTTGTTGACTGGCCAAGCGAGACTTTCGGTACCAGTTGCAGCCAACGTTCCTGAGGTGATAAACAGCAGGCGATGATTCGTATGCTCTAATAAAAGAAATGCAAATGTACAAGTCAGAATTTATATATGCCTGTGGGGTTTGCATTCTTAGTATGGTTCCACATCCCACGTCTCCCATTATTCTTCTAACGCATTTTAATAGCTTGACTTTTAAGAAATACTCAAACAGCGTCACTTATCTCGAAGGGAATTTTAGATGCTATTTATGGTCATCTGTTAGAATTCCCAAAATAGACTAATTACACAATATATACATGCAACGCTAGAATACAAAACAACACTGCGGATCACAAACTTCCATGCTCAAAATATCCTCCTCATGATAGCAATGCAAGTAAGTATTAAGATAATCATCAAATAAAATAGGCGATTCGTGGTGTCACATGTGAAAGGTGGTACATATTAAATCAGTCATAAAACGAAAAGAAAATCACAGAGAATAGAAATGGAACCTAAGGGTTAGAAGGAGAGGACTTGTACAGAGCGAAATTAATCAAGATCCCAAGGATCTAGCTTCCTGCCAGTATGGGCCTCTTCGTATTCGGAAGAAGCCTCGCGCTCCAAAGGAAAACTGAAATCATCTTCGGTGGAAGCCTCTGTACTGGATGGCTGAGCCATGACTGGTTCACCAAGTGTAGTGTTGAGTGCTGGGCTGATGACAATGCGTGCGGCCACATGAAGAAGAATGATGAAAAGATGGATTGGAGGTACCAAGACGAGGGCCAAGGCCTTTGATAAGAGTGAACCAGCTGGTTCGCTGGACGATGGTTGGTAAATAGCAGACGCCGGGGGCATTGGTGAGATATCACGTTGCCTTGTCGTCGCTTGCGCACGACGACGGAACTCGGTACTCATATGTTTGAAATCCGTTGTCGGAGATGCAGCTTTGGGTGCTGGTCGGGAGATTTTGCTTCTGTCCGAAGGGATACTTAAAGAAGGCTTCTTGGGCGGATCCTCGCGGACGATATACTTCGGCATTATGATACTCCCTGAAGAAGTGTCGTAATTTTCGGAAGAGCCTTGCGTGGAAGGTATGTCGATCGTTGATGGAGGGCTATCTCCAGCGAGATGAGATATGGATGGTGTTGTCGAGCTCATTATCCTACCTGCACCTGGGTCATTTGAAGGCTTCATCTCAGTGGCAATTTCATGCAATGCAATAGGTGAAGTATTGGCAGAGTGTGTGTCCGCCGAAGAACCGAGATCTGCGGAATGGAAAGATTCAGGAGAAGACGAAAACGAGATATCGTGATCGGATTCGAAATCCGAACCAGGATCGAAATTGACATTTGGCGTCAAAATCTCGCGTCGGTCGTCATCTGGAACCGAACGGTTTTTGGAACAAACCGCTTCCGCATGAAGAGATGGTTTCAAGGGAATTTGGGTCTCACGGAGAACTGCATAATCATTCTGATCTTGCTGACCCAAGGTTTCCACGCCTGCGTCGGGAAGAAGCGGTTCTCTCAAATTCTCAGCGACCTCTAAAGCAGATAAGGTCAATTTATTCTCGACAGCCGCAACCCTCGCGGATACCAGGTCTTCCTCTGGTTTGCTAGCATCGTCACAGGTGCGATTGTCCTCCGACTCCAGAGCCTCCTGCAGCACAGGGAGTTCTTTTGATTGCAAAATTGTCTCTGAAGCATCAACTAGGGGGTTTGAAGCATCTTCTATAGAGTGATCGTCATCTACTGCCTCATGTTCTGCCGAACTCAAGGTACATGTCTCAGCTCCCCTTTGGCCTTTAGACGCAGAATTCTCTACAGTTGATGGGTTCATAGGTCCAGGGACATCTCCTATAACGGGAGCGGCATCGAACTTCGCTAATAGACTCGTGAAGGTCTGTGGCGTATCAGTTACCGACCGCCGAGCTGGCACTGGTTCGCGCGAAGGCTCGGCGCTGGGGGCGAGAGTAGATTGATCACCAACTGGTAAGGCCTCGGAGGTCGTGCTATTCGTTACCTGTGGGGTCAGCCCACTATCATCAGTGCCAGCTCCATCAGTGTCCTCTCCAGTACTAGCCGAGTCTATCCATTCAGAATTAATTTCAGATGACAGGCCTGATATGGGAGTGAGGCTATCTTTGCGTTCCTTGGGTCGCCATGCTTTCTTGCGCCGAGGTGCCATCGCATCCTCGGGCAGTTCTACCGTGAAGGTCCGCTTGAAAGGGCATGGCGTTACCTCGTATCGGAGAACGGTTGGCAGGGCGACCTTTAAATCCTCCACAAGCGATTTATTTTCTTCGGAATCGTGGGGGATCTCGATCCGATAATAAGTGAGAGGGCGAATGCGCAAGACGAATTTCGACACCCCATCGACGCACCAACACTGCGAGTTCTTCAGGATCGCATGAACCACATTGCCGCATTTCAGGAACACGGTCAACCCATGGACCTTTTCCAACCTTAGTGGCGCTGTTGCGACAGTTCGTTCAGTGGCCGAGCGCCAGGGGAGCGTTTCGATGGTATCGACCGGGTAGTCGAAATCGGACGGCGCGGAACTCGACGGGATAGGAACGAGGGCTCTTGGGGCGAAATGCACAATCTTTGCGGAGGGATGATAGAAAATGACGTTTTCTGAGAGATTTATAGGAGCGGTACCACGTTGCGCCTGTGGATTTAACTTCGTGGGGAGGGTGACCGAGCGACGAATGGACTGTACCGGGCCCGAGATCTCACTCGACGACTCAGGCATCATCAAGAGTCGATATACGAGGAAACGAAAAAAGAGGGAGCATCGGGGATGGGGTAATTAGCGAAGCATGGTGGGGACACAGAAGTCCGCAAAGTGTTTGAGGCTTATCGTCCCCCATGTTCGCGCGCATTTGCGCGGGGGCATGTGAGTGCCGCCTCAGGCATCATTAGTCATGTGACCAATGACGCAGCCTGTTAAGTGGATGCCTGCATTATTGACGCCAGAGCTTTCTGTGTTTTTTTACCCACTCCTTCCATGGTTCGCGACGAAGACAAACATATATACGTGCTGAATCTTGCCTCAAAATGGAGGGAAGATTGACAATGTCCAATTTTGAGCCCAATGCGGTGATCCGAGGTTTTCAGCTTACTGTGGTAGGAAGTATGCTTCCCAATGTTGTTGCGTTGACAACTAGCCTCTTGGCGGGGTGGGATTTGGATCCCCTCAGCACTCGACCAAGCTGATCCTGCTTTTAACTTGATACTGACGATTTGTCATAGCTGTTCGAGCTCTGCGGAATCCTGAACTCTTCAAGTATGAGCATTTTCGCCAGGCAGCTCTTGCCATAGCGGTGGGCGTAATAATCCAGCTCATAATTCAAATCCCAGTATGTCTTGGCCTTGTTATTGTGCCATTGAGTTCGTGTCTAATCTTCCCCTGAAGATCATCACAGTCAAATTCTGCCTCTATGTCGTATCATGGATTATCAACTTGGAGCACGTGACATGGGACAATGCACTGCTAAACACCTTGGAATTTATATCCAAGTCTGTTCTCCAAGTACCCTTTCTTCTGATGACTTTGATGGGCTATGTGACCCCTACCTTGGATGAGATGTAAGTCATGACATGTCACTTCACCCAGGATTCCTTGTTTTCTTTCTTCTTACTGGTCAAATATAGCTTCATGCAATCCATCCAATGGGTGGATACGACGTACATTCAAAAGCACAAATCGGAAAACCCCGACACACTTCGGGCGATGTATTACCCACACCTGAGCATGTTTCCCACCAAGGGGGGTCACCGTTCTTCGCAGCCAAAATCGGAGGCTATCATGGCTTTCATGCATAGGTACACTAAGAAGATGGGAACGCTCCTCGGTATCTATCTTCTGTCCTTGGCGCCTTTTATCGGTCGATTTGTCATACCACTGGCAAGTTACTACACTTTTCGAAATCATGTCGGCACAGCGCCTGCTACCGTTATCTTTGGTGCTGGCCTCTTTCTACCAAAGACATTGATCATCAGATTTCTTCATACCTATTTCGCTTCGAGAAGCTTGATGCGAGAGCTCGTGAGCTGCAACTTTCCATTTCTTTCTGCCTCGGGTAATATTTTAACATGGACTTAGCTGGAACCTTACTTTCGCCGAATCAAATTTACGCCAGACCAGAAGCGCCGTTGGTTTCGGGACCGCGAAGGCGTTCTTTTTGGCTTTGCGTTTGCATTTACAATCGTACTGAAGACCCCATTCATTGGCGTTCTTATGTATGGCGTAGCAGAGGCATCTACTGCGTATCTTGTTACCAAGATCACGGACCCACCACCGGCGCCTTCGGAAGGTCATGGGTTCGCCGAGAGCCAGGTGAAGTGGAAAAATAAGCATGATTTCCTGCGCCTATCTCTCGACAATCTCGACAAGCTCAACATAGCGACAGATGAAAAAGATGGAACCATGGACAACACTTCTTCTACGTCGAAAAAAACGTTCTCTTGAAGGAATATTTACCTTTCCAACCCAGTAGGGCTAGTAATAACGGGATTCAGCTCTGGCACGAAAACCTTTGTCTTGCGACGACACCTTGTCGATTGGAATATTTTCCTACTATGCTGTGGTGCACTATACTGTGGTGCCAGGCTTAAAGCCAGAGAACTATATCCCTGCCCTTGACTCTATCAATATAGTTGTTTATTTTAGTTCAAGGAAATGTATCAAAACCAAGCTGTTGCTCCCTTCGATCTGTGTGCCCCTGTCTTGATGTTGGCGAGATCACTCCAAATGCCCTTGGATACATGCGCGTTGAATGAGAGTAGTCTTGAACCCGTGCTTTCATCTGAAAAGACATCTTGATTCCAATGGAGAGAATCTAGAGGCTTGTAACCATTTAAAAAATTCCAAAAAAAGATAAGATGGGCCACGTCATTCAGTGGTTCAAGCATTCATAGGTGGGTCCGTCAATTCGTCGACACCCATTCATTTCCCGCCATTGTACCCAATGAACTTTAGAAGATCCGGCAGCCTGCCGAATTGTTAAAAAAGCTTCGATTCTATTGCCAAGTATTCGTTGAGCCGCCATGACCTGCCTCTCGGCTCTCGGCTAACAAGGCGAACTTGTGCTCTACGAGGCGTTTCCCAAGAATCACCGTCAATATTTAGGAAATCTTTATTTATCAGATCGCATCCCAAATCAGGACACGGAAATTGGGTGGGCAGTGTCAGCCTCAACAATTCCCTTTGGTATTCGGCCACGAATCTCATACGCACTAGAATCTTGGCATCTCCCTAATATTCCTATACCAACCAATATCCCCTATTTCCATGCCAAGGGCCCCCTTCTCTAACGACAGCGGTGGAGACAGGGTAAAATGTTATCCGGATGATGTGGAACTAGTACAAGACTTTCGATAAGGCTGGGCTGGGAGGTTCAAGTGCAAAGATTCAGGTGGGTTATTGGATAGGAGCTGATGCCAAGAACTTCGAAGAATAGATTAGGTATTCTGGTGGGCCCTGGTCAACACACAGGTGACGAAAACCCTACATACGCCCTATCATTTCTAGATATAGCTTTGATTATGGAGTTTCTGGAACCGCTCCAGAGGCCCAGCCTTGCAACCTCGTATAGTTTTCTTGCCGCGTCAGCATGCCTTTAATCTTACTCATTGACCACCAGATAGAAAATGATTATTGTATCGAGATCTCATTTGGAATTCCTGGTATTGAATGATACTCAAATAGTAGAAGTTTCCAATGATTAAAGATACTCGATACAAAGTTTCCAAAGTTTTTGAATTGAACCAACCAGCCAGTAAAATACCAGGTCTCGCTTTCGAATAATCATAGTCTATTCAGATAAAGCGAGATATTGGTACTGTCTACTGGATTCCGCAAATAATGCCTTTCAAGGTGCCGCTTAAAAGGCAAACGCTTTTATACCAACCCAGTAGTGCGTTTCATCATTCGGCATAACCACATATTGATAGGGGGGGGGGGGGGTGAGGGGGGGCTAACAATTGTTTCCTAAATACAGGCCCCGTAATTCTGCCCACTAGGGTAAGGTAAATCAGCTCACCGATGCTTCACAGTATAAGAATAGTCTCTGCTGCTGCCGATAAAGGATTTTGAGTTCTATCTATCACTCCCTTGTGTTGTTCCCATAGGGTGAGGCTTTCCTTTAATTCTTTTCTAAGATGCGTTTCTCAATTTTGAGCACCGGGCTAGGGCTAAGCTTGATAGCTTGTGTGGTTGCTACCAATATCCCCCAGTCTCATTCACGACTCCACGTTCGAGCTTCGAGCCATGAAACCAAGATTCCAGGGTACTTCACAGGTACCTGCACTGAGGAGAAGATGACCATTCGCAAAGAGTGGCGCCACCTTGCGAAGTCCGAGCAAGACAAGTTCCTTGATGCTGTCCAGTGTCTGATGGATAGTCCTGCCAAGTCAGGCTTGACCGCTACGACCAGCCGGTTCAGTGATCTTCAGGCCCTGCACCGTGGTATGACCAATACTGCCTTTGCAGACATTATCCACCATGTGGTATGTGTACCCTCTTAACATATTGTTGTGATGTGACTGACCACTTGAAAAGGGCCAATTTCTGCCTTGGCATCGTTACTACATGCATATCTACGAGAAACTTCTTCGTGACGAATGTGGATACACTGGTTCCATTCCGTAAGTCTATCACCCTGGATGTCAACAACACCGATAGACCGATCCTGTTCAAAGGTGAAGACTAATTCAAATCCAGCTGGTGGAACGAGCAAAAGGATGCAGACAGTGGCGACATGTGGCAGTCTTCTATGTGGGGTCCAGACGCCTTTGGGGGAAACGGAACTGGATCTGGGCTTTGCGTGACAGACGGCCGCTTTTCGAACTATACACTACACATTGGTCCAGGCGACGAAGATACCGACTACTGCCTGCGACGTGCCTGGAACAATGAAAAGGCCGTTGCTAATGCGAATAGCACTGTTATCGACATGTGCAGCTCTTACAACACGTATTCACCTTGGTGGAACTGCGTTTCTAACATTCCCCACAAAGGTGTTCACACCTACATTGGCGGTGTTGTAAGAACAAACCTTCATATCTAAAAACACCCATCCACTAACATTTCTCTTCCCTTAGATGGCCGATATTAAATCCTCTCCAGGTGATCCGATCTTCTTTATGCATCATATGTATATTGATCGCGTCTGGTGGATGTGGCAAAAGCAGGACCCTGCCAACCGGTTATACGATATCAGCGGCCCTACTGTGAACCACACAGCAAATGTTGAGCCTGCAGGTGGCTGGCAGAACGCAACACTCCATTACGAGTTGTCTTCCTTCAACATCATGCCGAACACCACAATCGGGCGGGTCATGAACCCCCAGGGTGGCTATCTGTGCTATGGTTACGACTAATGCAGCTACCCAAGTGAAAAAAGATTAGATTGATCTCAAATATGATATCTATTTCAAGTATGAGATGATCATGTTCCATTTATTAAAGAATAGATTGTGCAAGCTGGTCGTGATGTGGTTTGCGAAATTTTGGGTACAGTCAATAGAGGCATCAAGGGTGATAGAAGCTGTGATGAGTCAATACAATTTTAAATTGTCTACCACCATTACCACCAATAATATTCCTTTGGAACGCAGATGAAAAGATGCAAGCGGGGGCAGTGCGCTAAAATTGAGGAGATAAAGCTATCTAGGCCGGGCCGTGATGTAGTGCTACTTCCGTCTTACCCCTCTGCGGAGAAGGTCATGGCTCTTATCTCCTCGTTGGATACATTCGCTCTATCCCCCCTCACTTTTCTTTCGAGAATTTCCTGTCTTCTCGTATTTTCCGTGCTAGAAATTTCGAACACTCCACAAAGCGAGATCCTATCATTTCATTAAGGTAACCAAATATTAGTGGGATCATAATGGGCGTCAAAGAAATTCGCACTGCTCTAAAGGTTGATTTGAACAAGCATGCAAGGGAACAGCCCGGACTTCATGTAAGCTTCCATATTTTCTTTTCTTTTCTTTTCCTTTCAAGACCAATACATGATAGGTTGCTGACAGTTCAGAATCGATGGCACCCTGAGAGTATGTTCATACAAAGGTGCACTGAATTCGGGTTCTTTTACTAACATGGTCCTTCTCACAGTCCCCGTGTGTGGCAAAATTGCAAACAACGAGGTTGTGAAGATCGAATGCTTGGACTGGACTGGTGGGCAGATCGGCAATAACGACTCGGCAGAGGATGTTCGGACTGTGGACTTGACGGAAATTCACTATCTATCTGGCCCATTTGATATTGAGACTGCTGAGCCTGGAGACGTCTTGCTTGTTGAAATCCAAGACGTTCAGCCATTCCAAGATCAACCATGGGGCTTTACAGGCGTCTTTGACCGACAGAACGGAGGAGGCTTCTTGGATGATCATTACCCGAAAGCGTGAGAATTGATCCTTCAGGTCGAGACATATATTCTAATGAGGAACATAGAGCAAAGGCAATCTGGGACTTTGAAGGCATATTTTGTTCGAGTCGTCACATCCCCGGGGTTCGCTTTGCAGGGTTGATTCACCCTGGAATACTGGGATGCGCTCCGTCTGCTGAAGTACTGGCCGAGTGGAATCGCCGAGAAGGCGAACTGATTGCAGCCAATACTGTCACAGACAGAATCGTTGCCCAACCACCACAGCCCATAAATGCTCATGCAGGTTGCTCGACTGAGGAAATCAAGGCGAAGGTGGCGAGAGAAGGCGCGAGAACGATTCCGGTACATTGCATGTTAGAATGACTATTTCTCGAGAATCAGCTGACAGATCGAATAGGGACGCCCTGAGCATGGGGGAAATTGTGATATAAAGAACCTTTCCCGAGGTTCCAAGGTCTATCTGCCTGTCCATGTCCCGGGGGCCAAGTTTTCGGTTGGCGATCTCCATTTCTCCCAAGGCGATGGCGAAATTTCGTTTTGCGGTGCCATTGAAATGGCTGGTGTCATTACTTTGAAGTTTACTGTTATCAAAGATGGCATTGCAAAATTAGCCATGAAGTCCCCAATCTTTCTGCCTGGGCCTGTGGAGCCGCAGTTTGGTCCTGGGCGCTACCTCACGTTTGAAGGCTTCTCGGTGGACGAGCATGGAAAGCAGCACTATATGGATGCCACAGTAGCATACAGACAGACCTGCCTCCGCGTTATTGAATATCTTCGGCGCTATGGATATTCAGACTACCAGATCTACCTCTTGCTGTCATGTGCCCCAGTGCAAGGACATATAGCAGGCATTGTGGATATTCCAAATGCCTGCACTACACTTGGAGTCCCCATGGATATATTCGACTTCGATATAAGACCTGAAGCCGAAGTTGTCAAAAGAGATATGGGGGCCTGCGCTTTCGCAGAGGAGTAGCTCAACCACAGTGGCATTAGTTTGGCAGAGTCTGGTGTGTGAGAGGCGTTGAGCTTCATGGTTATCAGCTATATTGTATAGTTCCCGATATGTCCACAGTATAGCTTCTGTTTTCTTTAATTTGAGTCCACTCATCTGCTTTCACATCCTGGAGGTCCATGACCTTATCAGGACCTCCAAAACGGTCTTGTGTAGATTTCCAATCCCGATTCTTCGCAGCTTCAGGTCGCCAGCGTACCACGCGACTTAATTCTTCTGGAAGTTTTCCTTCCAGTGTATCTGAGATGAAAGCCCCGGTTGACGGTATCTGCATCGCCCCGTTGCCTGATCCTCCAACAGCAACAATAAGGGAAGGATGGTCTGGATGTTGATCAATCAGAAATGCACGATCAACTGTATCGGCATCCCAGCAGATCCTAGCAAATGAAAACGGTCTATCTGCAAGATGCGGCATTGTTTCCCGCAAGAAGTTTCTGGCGTGAGACTCGGCCTCAAGAGGAATTTGATGTTTGGCAAATGGGATGCTCCTTCTCTCCCCGGTATGAAGTGAGTCCAAAGCGAAATTGCAGTACCCTGGGTGCTCATCGCATATCTTCAACTCATGTTTGTCCTCATCGGGCTCTATGAAAAACCCCTTTGCGATATTAAAAAGAACTGGAAGATTTTTGTAGAGCTTTGCTTCTTTTGGAGTCATAGGAATGTGCGACAAGGTCCAAGCTGCTGGTCGCAGCTGTTTTTTGAAGTCTAGAAGACGGTCACTTTCAGCCCCCGCTGCTAAAATCGTACGATCCGCTCGATGAAGTATTCCGTCTACAGTTGAGGCGCCAACGACATCTCCATTTTCGTGAGCTAGTGCAACAACTTTGCTATGTGATGTGCCTGTTATGAATGCCACACCAAGACGTTTTGCTTCGGCATATGCCGATATAATGGCTTTCTGCGCATGAAACCATCCTTTCCAACTGACAAAGTCGCCGGTCAGTACACCCGGCGGCATTGTCCTGCGAAAGTCTTCTGCTGTCTCGAGGGCCACAAATTCTCCTTCATATAATGCAATCTTTTCTTCTTGTATGTGCCGAGTGAGAGCGGGGGTGCTAGCAGAAACAATCAAACCTGTCTCATGGAAAAATGGTGAAAATACAGGGTCGTTTTTTCCAACCATTATGCTGCACGGGTAAAAGAGGCAAAGGCGACACTTTTGGGGTCATGTTCTTGTCCTGTAGACTGTAAATAAAATGACATCGGTTCGTCAATCCCACCATACCTTCTTTCAATTCCTTATGTTCCATTATTTCGTTGATACCATTCCCTGCAGCGATAACAGACGGAATCTCGTACAGATCAAGCACCGTAACTTTTCTATAGCCCCGGCGAACCAAATGAATGGCAGTGGAACACCCCCATGTCCCACCTCCTATGATCAAAATTGATGATTCGAGAGATAATGGTGGCGGTGCCATCTTGATTTTCAGCTCCGCTATATGAAGTAATTGGTAGGTTATGGTCTGGATGAAAAGATACAGCCTAGATGAAATTGCCGAACCTTTTCAGGTAGTACTTCTGCTCGTATCCAGTGCCTCCGATAAACGGCGCGGCGTCGATACGCTTATCGAGTGAAAGCTTTCGCGTGGACCTTCCTACCCCTCAATCCGGGGTTGACTTCTCCGCAACGACCGTTATAATGTCTGTTTCTCGTAGCTAGCACTAGTTTCGACATCGGTTAATTAGGTAGTCAAATGATAATAACTGTCGCTTGTAATTTCCATGTTTAAAGCGATAAAGCGTTCATTTTGGATTTGCATCTATTTGTTCTGCTACCATGGTGACGATCCAGGTCACCTACCACAGGTTAACCAATCGCTGTTTTAAATTCGATCTGGAAATGAGATACCTCTGAATGATACCCTGCAGCCGTAATATAAAAAGGCTACAGTACTCACGACTAACCAAATATCATGTTTCCTCCTTTTGTCTATGAACATGACGCGCACAGACGATACATTTACAGATGTACCTGGTACAGTCTACTTGATAGACAGTATGTATAACCTGCATTTCCTTTAGATGAGATACACACATGGCTTCAGTACAGTGCACTCACATCGATATCAACAGCCTCACATGCCTTTCAAGATGCAGCCTTTGCTAGTCAGCAAGACATTCTTCTTATCCCGCAGCCGTCAAATTCACTTGCTGATCCATTGGTGCGACTACGCCCTGATTTCCTTGTGATGTGGAGCTCACCAATTGTGGCTATTGCATGCGTATGTTCTTCATAATTGCAGCTCGTAGTTGGATTTTGGCTAAAACTTCGAAAATATAGGGGGTTCTCTTACTGCTATTATATCTTTACCTTTGACGGTACTATGTTCCCCAGGTACCGCTTCAATGCTATACCTGACCCAGAGGAATCTCAGGCAAACATCCACAAAAGTCCTCAGACAGAGAAGGAGAATCCCAAGGAACTCCCAATATCCGAGATCGCAAGTCATTGTATTAGTGAAGATATATCACCTCGAAGCTATAGGCAAAGATCACTCTGATCCATTATTATGCTGATGATGAAACGACATGGCTCCAATACTTCCGACGGCCATTTTATCTCTTTGCTTTTCCAAATATTGTCCTCGCTGGCATTCAATTTGCTTTCGGGTGCACAGCAGGTATTATGTCCTTCAATACCATATCAGAGATTATGACGGAAGCGCCTTACAACTGGAGTGCTGGGTCTACGGGGCTAATTTTCTTGGCCGCTCTGGTTGGCAACTTTCTGGGGTAAAGTATCTCTCTACTGCAAAACTCAAACGATGCTCAAGTTCGCTAACTTGGGCAAGGATGAGGGTTGGTTCCTTATTTGACTGGGTAGTTCTCGTTCTCGTGCGGCGCAACAAGGGATATAAGGAACCTGAGATGCGCATCTGGGCGTACATGTTTCCATTCTGCTTCGGTGCAATTGGCTACTTCACATATGGTTGGGCAGCCACCAATGGTGATCATTGGATGGCTATCGCTGTCGTTCTCTGCTGTCTCATCGCTCAGCAAGTCTCTATTACTAGCCTGGCAACTGCTATGCCATGGAGTGCTTTGACGGAGTAAGTTATAACGGTTTCCCTGTCTTTCCTGTTATTGATATCGCGTTTCTGATTATATCGTCTCCTTTCCAGATATCCGGGGAACTGGTCGTCGTTCTAGCCATTTGTTCTTCTTTGATCAATTTTGCCATTTCTTATTCTGTGCAGCCGTTCATCGACACCACTTCGTATGGATGGGCGCTCACTTGTTATGGATTCTTGGTTGTTCTTTCCGTGGCGATGGGTGCTCCGATGATAATTTGGGGGAAATCCTGGCGCCCGCGATGCAAAACTCGATACGCGCAGTTCTTGTCTGAGACTGGTCGTCATAAATCTCCAATCGTACACTTACCCATGATTGGAAGTTGAAAGTCAATCAAGCAATCTCATTTACTCACAGGAAGACCTTGTCACTATAATGTGAGGTATTATGTCTACAACAAACTGTATTGTCGATCCCAGCCTACGGCGGTGATAAGAAAAGTTACCCAAGTAGCAGTTGTATTCGCCTCAATGATGTGTTTATCATACATCATGCATCGTGTAGTAAATAAGAAGCAGCACGTCGTGAATCATGTTTGATAGGAAATCGGGGAGGTAGGGAGAAAAATCAAAAGGCCCGAGCTTTTACGCGAAGAATTTCTTGGCCGCCGCACGATCTTTCGCCTCACGGCTCTTGACAGCCGCCTTGACCTTTGTGATCTCGTTCGCAATACCAGCATCAGTAGGAGCCAGCTTCAACGCCTCCTGGAGATCTTTGAGTGCGTCCTCTTCCTGCTTCAAACCCTCGTAGGCGACAGCACGACGGAAATAAACCTTGGCCTTGTCTGCATCCTTGGCCTTCGCAGCCTCGGCACCCTGGATGGCATACGAGGCCCAGGTCTCGGCCTGCTTGAAGTTGGAGAGCTTGTTGGCAAGCAGAGAGGAATTGGAGTGTAGAGTAAACCGGAGGGCCTTCAATTGCTCACCGAGCTCCTTGGGATCGCTGTCACCAGGCTCGGGGAACTCGTTGAGATACCGTAGACCCTTTTGGTACTTCTCCAGGCCAAGGTTGAGGTCGCCGCTCTTGAAGGCGGTGTTACCGAAGCCCTTCAGCTCAGAGGCAATCTTGAAAGCAAGAGGAGCGGTGAGCTCGTCGCCCTGGTGGTCCTCCGGGAAATCCTCGTAAGGGTCACCGGTGGCATCCTGCATGCGCTTGTTGGCATTTTCGTAGTCCTCGCCCTTGAGCTCGCCGCAATCCACCACGGTCACGTCGACATTGGGCTTGTCGGCCTGGGTCGGCATGTTCTCGATCTTGCGGATAATGCTCTTGCCGTTGATCACCTCGCCGAAAACGACGTGCTTGCCATCCAGGTGCGGAGTCGGAACGGTGGTCACGAAAAACTGGCTGCCGTTGGTGCCGGGACCGGAGTTGGCCATCGAGAGCAGGAAGGGACGATCATGCTTGAGATCGAAGTTCTCATCGTCGAACTTTTCGCCATAGATCGACTCGCCGCCGGTACCGTTGAATGCAGTGAAGTCACCACCCTGGATCATGAATTGCTTGATTACGCGGTGGAAGATTGAGCCTAAATGCACCTTCAGTTAGCTTCACAATATCACGAGCGATGCGAATGAGAGGCCAGGGTCGACAGGTGGACTGTGTTGGACATGCCTTTGTAAGTCAATGGCTTGCCCTGCTTGCCAGTGCCCTTCTCGCCAGTGCACAGAGCACGGAAGTTGTCTGCGGTTTTCGGGACAACTAAAGGACAGGGATTGGATTAGCGACGTTCCGATCTGTCGAGGTATATGCGATTCCTTGTCGTACCATCGTCGAACTGTGCAAGGGGGCGCATTAGCTTGGCAAGCTCTCCAGCCACTATCATTCATAGACCGGCAAGGACTTACCAGCTCAAAGGCAACACGACCGGCTTTCTGGTCACCAATTTGAATGTCGAAGAAGACACGAGAGCGCTCTGTAGGACTCTGTCAGCAACTGCCACTCCTCTTTAACGCGCGGGTAGATCGGTGGACCCCGCACTGGGCTTGCTACGCACGCGATTCCGCCATGAGTACGGTTGAAATAGGAATATCGATAGTAGGAAGGTAGAAGAAGTAGGATCAGAGCGGTGGGTGGAAGTTCAAGAGGGTAAGATGAGAGCGCGAGGGAGGAGAAGAGGTTATTGTTGGTGGTGGTGGGGAGGGGGGTGTCCGGTGGTTCGACTGCGATTTTCTTCAGGAAGCTTCCATGCTCGGCCCCGAAAAATATACTGACGCCTTGGATTGATGCAGCATTGAGGGGTATAGGGCTATGGTACAGATACAGTACAAACATCTTCTACGTACAAATTCCATCAGATCTCTCCGTTTTCTCCTTGTCACTGCAGTAATTCCGGGGGGATCTGAAACTCGAAGGTCTTTCTGATCTCTGAACCTTCCCCGCTCTCGGCGTCCTTCTCCGCGCCTTCGCCTTTGGACTCCTTCGGATTCTTGGGTTCTTTCTTTGGGAGGTTGGTATTGATCTCAATTGTGACCTAAAAGATAGGACGAATCAGCATGAATCCAATCGCGGCGCAAAGGTATAAAGCCAGGAAGGCAAATGTACCGCCGCATCTTCACTGCGGTAGTCGACACCCACCGGCCCATCGTTCTTCAACTCCACCTCCATCATGGCCTGGAACACGCCGTTCTTGACTCGTTCGGGCACATAGGAATCGCGCATCTTATTGTAGAAATGGTCGTAGACTCTACGTGCTGTGGTGGCGTCGGCCGCATCGTGGAAGTCGGGCTTGTTGCCCTTCTTCATCTTGCCGTAGAGAGTGAACTGAGACACTAAGGGAAGGGAAACGGATCAGTTGATTCCATAGTCCTGGAGAATCTGGAAATGCAGAAGAAGTTCTTGTACCACATAGAATCTCGCCATCAATATCTTGGACATTCTTCTTCCACTGTTGGACTTCGTCAGCACCAAGATCGCGTCGCCGCTGTGGCTCACCAATCCTCACCTGCCCTCCGTTCTCATCCGGCCAGAATTTGGCCTTGAGCACCTTATTAACCAGATTCTCTGCCTCTTTCTCTGTGTCCTCTTTACCCACGCCTGTGAGTACCAGCAGACCCTTGCCGATGGATGAGATTAACTCCGAGTCGACCGTGACAGACGCTGATTTGACACGTTGGATAACGACTGGCAGAGAAAGCTTAGTTTTGATTTCTCAAGCCAGTCTGGAAGATTGGGGGGATTAGAAAGATTGGGAACAGTGCGCACCTTTCATCTCTTCTATTTGGGAGAGCCTGGGGTTCAAAAAGTAACAATTAGCCACCAGCGTTGGATGCCCCACGGAGCGCAATGTGCACTTACCCTCCGCTTTGAGATGACGCAGCTCAGATAAACATACAACCGCCCCGGCCGAGGCAGGCTTCTGCTCGAATGATACTCACAAACAGGAACTTCACAAATACCTTTGGACACCGGAATTGTAAATGTTGTGAAAGGATTTCGTTCACATCAATCTACAACTCGTTCCAAGATCGTGACTTTCACATATCAGAGACTGACCGCCTTCCCCAAAGGGCAACCGCGGAGCTTTCCCAGACGAAGGCACGACAAGAAGCACATTCCACCTGTGCTTTGCATTTCTCACCTGTCGACAGCAAGTCGCATTCTACCATACTCAATCCTCGACATACCCTCGAGTGATTGTGCCCAATCATTCACCTCTGGTCGGAGCGCATTAGCAACCCGCGCCCACCGCATCAATACTCGAAACGTCAGTGGACGGACCCCCCGTCCACGCCAAAAACGAGAGCACCATGACGTCTCGGAAGACGCAACAAGAGATCGATAAGACATTTAAGAAGGTCGCAGAGGGAATTCAGACCTTTGAGGGAATCTACGAGAAGATCCGCTCCGCTACGAACCCCACCCAGCGTGATAAGCTAGAAGAGAACCTCAAGCGCGAGATCAAGAAACTCCAAAGGTTCCGCGACCAGATCAAGACATGGGCTGCAGGCAATGAGGTGAAGGACAAGACTCCTTTGCTAGAGCAGCGGAAGGCCATTGAAACGGTAGGGCTACTATTTTGTGAGGTGGACTGTTGAACCCTGTTAACAAAACCTCGACACAGTGCATGGAACAGTTCAAGGCCGTCGAGAAGGAGATGAAGACAAAGGCCTATTCCAAAGAAGGGTTATCAGCGGCATCACGTCTGGATCCGAAGGAAAAAGAGAAGGTTGAGGCTTGCGACTTCTTATCATCGATGGTCGACGAACTTCAACAAAGGATCGAGGCCATGGAAGCTGAAGAGGAGATATTGCAGGCGCAAATGAAGAAGGGCAAGAAGGACACGAGCAAGACCAACCGGATGGCGGATATCTCACGCATATCGGAACGCCATAAGTGGCATGTCAACAAACTAGAGTTCCTCTTGCGATCGTTGCAGAACGGCAATTTGGAAGTCGGCCAAGTGCTGGATCTCAAAGAAAGCATCAAATACTATGTGGAGGAAGGCCATAACATTGACTACTCCGGAGAGGACGAGACGCTCTACGATGACTTGAATATCGGTGAAGAGGTTGAGGCGCAGTTTGGCATGACAGGAGACAACGACCGCGTATCCTCTCAAGATACTCAATCGATTCAAGATGACGAACCTGAGCCTAAGCCTAAGCCCAAGGTGGATGCCACGACAAATCGACGCCCATCTGCACAGATGAAATCCCCGCTTCCCGTCCTCGCCACCCTTCATCCCGCAACTTCATCCAGTGCCGCCCCAGGCATGAAGCCGGCACCCCTTCCGACACGACTTCCTGGCGAGACTTTGAAGTATGCTTCGGCCGCCGCGGCCGCAGCTGCAAGTGACAAGAATGGTGTTGGGATTCTGCCTTTACCGCCACCACCTGGTGCCAGCCCCGCTTTTTCCAATGTTCTGCCGGTCTCCAAAGCGTCTTCAACTGCTTCCCCAAGTGTTTCCTCAGTACAACCGGTCGTCAAGGCTGTAACAACAGCAGCAGCAGCTTCATCTTCTGAAGAAGCTGTGACATCAGCTGTACGGTCTATAACGCCGGCAGGCACAGCAGCGTCTGGCACATCGTCACCCGCCCCGGTAGATAAAGCCGAACCTCTAAAGGAGGAGCTGAAGACCAATGGCAAGACATCTACAAAGGATGAGAATGAGAGCGAAGAATCGGTGTATCACTTGCCACCGGGTCTTCAAGACCTTGTCCAGTCATGGGAGTTGACCAAGGATCGTGCTGTAGCTGGCACTTCATCACCAGCCGTTCAACGTCTTCTTGCTGCCTCGCTCACAACGTGTCCGGAGCCTGGGGATGCGGAGAAGCCTCGTCACTATAAACCCCAGAACCCCTACAATACCCCTCTCTATTACCCGCAAGAGCCTCTTGCCATTTTTGATGACCCCCGGCTGTACGATACTGGCAGGATTGATACGGATACATTGTTCTACCTCTTTTACTACCGACAAGGGTCGTACCAGCAGTACTTGGCTGCCAAGGCCCTGAAGAACCAAAGTTGGCGCTTCCACAAGCAATACCAAACATGGTTCCAACGACACGAAGAGCCGAAGAACATCACGGAGGAGTTTGAGCAAGGCACTTACCGATTTTTCGACTATGAGAGTACATGGTAAGTGTATACAAGAGGCTGGACATCCAAGCTCTCACGCCCCCTCCCCTTCTGCTTTCTTACCGAAAAGCAAAAACAGTACTAACTCTGGTGCCCGACAGGATGAACCGGCGCAAGGCTGATTTCAAATTTGTGTACAAATATCTTGAAGACGAGTTATAACTCGTCCTTTGAACATGAGTGCCTTCTTTTTTTCCTTTTTGTGGCGTAGCCATCAATCAGCCTTGGACCCACGACCTTTCTTCAAAAAAGCCAGCCTCCTTTTCTTTTCTATTTATTGCTCGGCTAGCGCTATGACCGGATGGATTCCAAGGGATGGGGCAAAAGAGTGGATATGTCATAGAGGGAGATCACTGGGAAAAGAATCAGGGGAGCGGGTGCTTGGTCTGATCCTCTGCGCGTGTTTTTTTCTTATCTTCCGTCATCTTTTTTTCTCGACTATTGTTTCGCAGGACCGGCATCGGACAATGAGTACAATGAATGGGCCTCAGGGGAGACCAAGGAGTTTTTCTGTGCTATTTTGGGCTATCCCCCACCTTACCTGGTGTTGCGAAATGAATCATACTATGTGTGTGTGCGTGCGTGTGTCTGTGTGTGAGAGAGAGAAATATGTCTGAATGCGCGATCGAACTATGTGACCTGTTTGATGGGGGTTTACATTCGACCTAGCCCGTACTGTTTGCCTGACTCGAGCAATTGTAGTATCCGGGGTATCGAGTCGCCACGGGAACCTCGAGCCTCACTCCTGCATGTGTCCAGGGCGCGGGATGACGGGCCGGAAACTACAGCATGGGATAATGCTGTGATTGCTCGATATGCATAAGGCCCTAACGGACAAGTGGCCCTACTGTAGGTACAACTCAGCAAATGTACGATTCCTGAGCATTGTACTTCCTTCTGGATCCACCATAGAGTCGCTTCGACAGAACGAGTAGACTGCGATTGGCGGGCAGAAGGCTGTGACGAAGCCTCACTGTAGGAACGGGATGCATCATCACTTCCCGGGCATTCGCACCTTGCCTTAGCGTGGCTGCTCTGGTCCAACAGGGTGAGGCGTTGACTTGGCGCTAGCGATGCGGGATTTTTTTCTAGAACGTCAGGGCGACCAGGATCAGAGAACAAACAAAAGAGGAGAGTGGAAGGAACACCAAGCCCGCTAGACAGACGCTAGAAGGGTTCACCAGAGCCAATAGAAACCAGGTGTACATGGGGGTTGTCGTATCGCACGGGATGGCCCATTATCCCATTGTATCATGGGGTTGTCGATCGGTTGACCCCAGTTTGGGGAACTGCCCTGCTTTGTTCATGAATTGTCTCGGCGATCTCCACAAGATCGGGGATCGTGTTTGTTTTGTTTTTGTGTCTAAGCGATCCACTCGGCACCCGGTTGCCGGCTGGCATCACAAGAACTGTGGTCCGAGTATAGACTAGAAAGAGTGGACGCTTTGAACAACGGCGAGGCTCTTTTGACCCTGACTCCACTTCTGATCATCCTCAGGCAAGGCAGATACACTACCGGTGCCCTAGGCCAGACTGTTTCCAGTGTTTTGAGGCCGCAGTGCAAACTGCAGTCAGGCCAACGCCATGCAGCAAACCTGAAACGAGCACCCTTCACCACCGGCCTCTTTAGTTTTAGTAGCTATTAAAGGCGACCGGCTGGGGAGCGAGACAGAGAACAGGGGAGGGGGGCCAAAGCAGGACCTCTTCACAGTTTTCCTGTCAGATTGCTTTTCTGGGTGGACGCTAGAAGGCTTCCAGAAGGGCTTCTCACCCGCACTAGCCATGAGCGGTGATGATCGATCTCCCAGCCCGTGTTGGTGCGTTGTGACGAGAGGTATCCGCAAGCCAGACGCAAGACGGGGGAGGGGGCTCGAGCGCAGCGAGTCTGACCGCTCCTGGGATCGTGCAGCTTATCGGGGACGAGGATTGGCCCAGTCGAGGATCGCGGCTTAGAGCTGGATCATGACTGGCTTCTGGCATGTCTGCTTGGCCCCCCACGATGACGCCAACCACCACATATCCGACGCACTAAGTGAGAGGGGCCTGACACTAACCCACGCTAGAAGGATTCCAGAAGGCGCAGGGAAGTCAGCGCGGCGAAGGGATTCCCTGGTCACAGCCGCTAATGCAGCTCGTCGAGGATCCACCCTGTGCTTGCAGAAATTCCCGCAGGCGATGATCCTCAATGACGCTGCACTGGTGCGGGGGCTGTGTGGTATACCTGGACCAGTCAGAATGCGAGGAATCTCGGGGATTCTAGGTAGAGCCCATTCAGAAGCCAATCTCCGGCCGTGTTTCTCTGGCGGCGTGGAAAGCCAGGTGATGACTTCGTGTTTGTGCTTTGGAAGAGGAGGAGGGGGGGGAGGAAACCGGGGTGAAGAGAAACAAGAAGCCCAAGATCCAACGTCCCGTGATTCTTGAGTTTGCCTTGCCAGGGATTTAAAACCAATGCCCAAGAACGTCTATAATTATCTTTCTTACTTTCGTCGACTTTGGAACATCCCCTTTTGTTGTCCCCCATCTTCCTGATTCTGCCATTCCTCGTGTCCTCGTATATCGTCCTGTCCCATCGTGCATGGATGCTTCTCGCTCGGCCCCCAAGCCACCATCCCCCGCCAACCACGCCAACGTTTACTAGTCAACCCTCGCACAGGTTCGACGAAAGGATTCACGCCAGCGTCTCACGATGGTAGGTCAATCCTCACTAGTGACCTTCTCCCGCGCTTCTAGAACTCGGCGCTGATCTCCATTTTTTTCTCTTTAAAACTAGACCGCGCTTCCCATTTCTGCATCGATGTCTACTGTAACATCCGAAGCTTTCTCCTCCTCCACCCGCACTCCCCCCATCGACATCATGCAGTCTCCGTTTAGCTATGCCGACTCAGCCTACTCCTCCTCCCCAGGTGGCATGGACTTCTTCTTCTATGGCCCTCCCCAGCCAATCTATGAGACCAATATGTGTGACTTCGATGCCTCAGCGAGTCCATTTGCTGTGTCCGAGATGGTCCCTGAAGCCGCATACTCCTTCACCAGCTCACCCTACATGTACTCCTCCATGAATGATGTCTCGCCGCCCGTCTATGATCCTACCACCATGGCAACCAGTGTGCCCAGCTCGGCCAGCAGTAGCTGCGGCAGTACCTGTGGGAATAACACCTGGAACGTGCCCGAAGAAGTCACCATGCCCTCTTACCCCATCGGCCCATCCTGCGATGACTCCTGTCCCGACTCTCCTTCCACCCAGTCCAAGTAAGTATCTCATCGTCATGAAGTCCAATCCCAATCCACGTCGCTCAAAGACTAACATCAATTCCTCCTTCTCCCTCTAGACCAACCAAGCCCTTCGGTTGCGATAATTGCGGCAAGTCGTTCACTCGCTTCGCGGACCTGAAGCGACACCAGACCAGTGTCCACTACCCGGTCTTTCGCAATTGCCCCGTGGAACACTGCTCCCGCAAGGGCAGCAATGGGTTTCCCCGGCAGGACCACCTTGTCGAGCACCTGCGTTCCTATCACCACTTGGATGTGCCGAAGCGACGGGCGTTGAAGCGCTCTGCCAAAGACGCAACACTCTAGGACAGCCTTGGCACACTTACCAGCCGCCTGCACCTTACCCAGCAGAGCAATGTCTCCGCTGGTTCATGACTCGTGACGACTTGTTTGTCTTTTTTGGTTACCCTGTTTTCGCTTCTTCCGCCTCTGTAATGGCATCCCCATTTTTATTCTGATTTAGCCTTTCTTGCAGGTCGCAAGTCGCGGCTGCTTTTTTCTCTCTTCTCTTCTTATTGCCCCTGTTGCTATAGATCACATTGCTCTTGCTTTGCTTTGCTCTGTCTTGTATAGAAGATCTTTGTGCCATCTTGTTCTCATATCCCCTTTTCTAGTTGATCGGTTTTTTTTTTAACATTTACTGCCTCAATTTCCTTGGAGGAATGCTATACGTTGCGAATAGACCTGGGATGTGGGGAGGTCTATAGACCGGAGTTTCCCGCCTGGAAAGGCCTTATGTTGTCTATCTTTATTTTGTCTTGTCACGGTGAATACGCTTATGATTACGGTTTGGGATATCACAGGAAATCAAGACAGTACGCAGTACTTCATTGGACGACAGTTGAATTTCACTTGAGCATCCTTCCTCTTACCCTCTTCCTATGCCTCGATTGCGTAGTGCGCGACGTCTCAACATCGCGGTCTGGCCGACTCTTGGAAACCTCAAGCCGACCAATCTATCTTTCACCCATGGCATGGTCACATCTACCGGCTCCTGTTGCAACATTACTGGAATGCCTGTGCAACCTGGCGGGCTACCACGTTGGGTCCACCTGAGGCCGAAGACCTCAGACTCGGCCAGGATCCGTATCCCGGCAGGATTCAGGAACCTCCTGCAGCAGAAATTTTCCTTTCCTTCCCTCTCTCTCCCCTTTTACCCCTCACTTTCTACACCGATACCGATCGCACGAGTATGGACTAGCTCCAGGTCTGTCCTAGTTTGGTCCTTGGCTCATCCTCGAACGACAGCACTCGGGTGACAGTCCTGGCATCCTGGCCGGCAAGCCCATCAGGAATCATGCAGAGTCCCCACCAGTGACGCGAATCCTGCCCACATGGGCCTGCTAGGTCCCTGTCACGCTCCAATGAAGACGGTCGGCGTCCCCGACCCAACAGAGCGAAGGATCTAGAGGAGCTAGCCAGCACGGACTACTAGCTCCGATCCTTTTGGACAGGTGAACAGCATTTCCCCGCCGGCGTCTCCGGTGCAGGCGTCATTGTTGATCGCATTGGGGATGTTGGAGCACCACACGAAGCAAAAGGAGAAAGAGAATGGATCAAGTCTTCACCACGAATGCGACGCGGGTACTTTGGCTTCTTGTCGACCACAAACTAGTTTAATGGCGAATGACAGGCCCCGGAGGCCCGGGTCTGGCCGACCCGGGGGAACCAACAACACCCAACATTAAACCAAGGCTATCGCGGCTCCTGCAGATCTCGGGCATACCTTTCCCGCTCCATACTGCATCATACTTCCCGTGCATGTAAGTTCCAGGTTAATACAAATATCACGTAGTCGAGACGGATTCAAGACTACGACTTCCGACCCCTGCTCTTCCTCCTAGTTCGACCACCAATCCGCACCACCATGGCTAGCATGACCAGGGGGGTGGTATTTCAGCTACAAGCGAGAAATATGATCCATTGCGATCTATTCCCCGACCCTCCATCAAGCAAGGTGTTTGAAAGAGAACCTCTGTCAGATCCAAAAGAAAAATCTTATAACGTATATTCTACCCACCCCTAGGGTCTTTATTTTTCTTAAATCAATAATCAAACATTTCGAGACACCGCAAACCCGCCGGAAACCCCATCAAACCCCAGACCCATTCTCGCTCCACTCATCTCCCCAGTACGCCTCCCACGCGCGACACGTCTCGCCCATCGCACTCCGCTCGCGGCTCCACGTTTCCTTCAACAACGTCCGCACCTCCGCTTCCCGCTCCATAAAGGATACCGCAAACCCCTGCTCCAGATGCCACCCGATATGGCAGTGCAGCAGCCACACCCCCGGATTATCCGTACGAAAGGCCAGCAGCAGATGCCCACCCGCCGGCAACAGCGCCGTATCACGCTTGGGCAGGGTGCCGGGGGCATAGTGCAGGCCAGCCACTGGGGGCACGTAGGCGCCAGTGCCCTGAGCGACGAGCAGGAAGTCGTGGCCGTGGAGGTGAACCGGATGTGGGGCGGGGAGGTCGGTTTCGATGAGAACGAGGGTCCAGATGTCGGCATTTGGCAGGGCGAGGGCGGCACTACGGCTGGGGCCGGGGGCGAGTAGCGTGGACAGGATTGGGGAGGTCCAGTTAAGAGCGAGCGAGGTGCCGTTCAGGGTCCAGCGGTAAAGGCCGCGCGAAGTGGTGGTAAGGCCAACCGGAAGGGATTCGTTGTGAAAGGGGGTGGTGAGGTCGAGGTCTAGGGCGGGCGAGATGATGGGGCGAAGGTCAGATGGTGTTTCGTCGACACAGGCGTCGGCGGTAGGCCAGGGGGTGGAGGACGGCAGGGCGGGAGTGGGAGAGCGAGGAGTGCTGGGGTCATGGTAGGAAACGATGCCGCGGATATTGTCCACGTTCGTGTTCTTGGAGCAGGCGAGTTGGGGGACGGCGCGGAGCCAGAAGGCGTTGCCGATGGTCTGGTTGGCGTGGACGAGTACGTCGTAGCGCTGGCCTGGGCATCTGTTAGTTCATAGATTCTTGCATTCATCGATAGATTTGAATATAGATTGGAATGGCCAAGGCCAGGGTGGAACTGGGGCAGAACAGAAACGCCCATCTAGGGCTTGAAAGGCAAGGACGAGGAGAGCGCTACCAATGGCGATATCCAGGACAGTCGTGGTGTACGGTCTGATAGGAACGAGATCGTTCGCAATGACCGTCAGCGAGTGGTGGTCGATACTGAACTTGAAATGCGTGTCGCAGGCTGCATTGCCCAGGCGCAGTCGATAGCTTCTTCCCGGCACAAAGGACATCTGGAATCGTCTGCCAACCTGCCTGTCGTCGCTATCAGCTCCAAATACATTGGTCCCATTGATGAGCGCGTTATCCATCGTCGGCGCTCCAGCGAGCTGGGCCGTGGCCCAGAGCTGATCGACGGTGTGACTGTCCCAGTCGTTCAGGAGGATCACCCCTTGGTCTTCGTCATAGTTGGCGCTAGCCGGTCCATTGATGATGATCGCTCCGAACACGCCCTCCCATGTTTGAAGCCCAATATGCGAATGGTACCAGGTGGTGCCATACTGTGTTGCGCGCCATCGGTAGGTCATCGTCTCGCCGGGGCCAATCGGGCACTGCGTGATAGATACGACGCCATCCATCGGGTTTGTCCGGTACTGGCGCAGGCCATGGAAGTGCATACTGGTCCCATTCTTCACGCTTCGGGGCAAGCTGTTTCGATAATGAATGACAGCCGTGTCACCCCAGTCCAGCTCAATTATAGGCCCAGGAATCGATCCATTGATGGCTAGGGCCCACCGCATTCGACCATCCGGGGCAACATGAATCTCCCCAAGCTCGAGCCAGAACTCCCGGACGACGCCCGTGTCGGGGATCACAGTTGTATAGTCCGTGTTGATATCATAATCGCACCACTGGTGTCGGTTCTCAGGGGTATTTCCCGGACAAGGGCCAGTAGATCTTTTCTGTGGACTTGGAGACGAGACAATCGATGTCGCTTTTTGAAAGGAGAGGGTTTCTGAGAAGGAATGCGGTGGTCTTAGAGGATTGCTTGTACTGGTTGTTGCCAGAACACTCCATACCCAGAACAGCACTCTTCTCATCGTCGTGGGTAGCTGATCGCAACACGATACCTCTCTCTCGCTCGCTCGCTCTCTCTCTCGACTGTGCGCGATCTGAACGATAGAGTGCAGCCAGTATTTAAAACAAGACGTCTCCAGGTAGCAACATCTCCTCGTAATGGCGCCGGTGCGGCCTCATCGTAGTTTGTCGAGAGTGACCTTCGGTCCACGCAGGATGCTGCTGCTGATCTGCAACAAGCCGGCTTGCCAAACCGCACCTGAACCCCTTGGCCGGTCCCAACATGGACCCGGAAACACGGGCCTGGCGTGGACGACGCAAGTTTCCGCGGTTGGGTCGAGCATGTTCCTTGTCGTAGCATCCGACGTTAAGAACTGGCCTGATCGTCCCTGATCTCATCCTTCCCGCTCGAATGGTTCCTGTGTCGTGAACTGCGGGCTGGGCTGGAAACGCACTGGTCGTCGTCGGCGTCAGCGCCCGAGTATGCATGCTTGATGCGAGGCTGAACTCGAAACGTGAGCTCGCGGTCGGATAAGCGCCACATGATTTGAAATGAAGTGCATAGCGAGAGTGAATCTCGGAAGTGCCAGGGCCCTCGCCAGAAGGCAAAATGTATCATAGTGTCATCGTCGAAAGAAATGGTGTTCGTGACTCCGCCAATTTACCCTCAAGCAAAAGCATGCCTCTTCCACACAACACCCAATCACGGCCGCAAGAAAGTAATCTTAAAGAAGACCAAAAAATAACAACAAGCTGCACATCCCAATCCCAATCCCCAACAGCCTAAGCCCCCTTGGGGGTTATAATCCACTCCTATTTCGCCCCCAAATCTTTAAACTCCAAGAAACACTGCCCTCCCGCCTTGCCTGCTTCGAACAACACCCCCTCTTCCTCCAAGCGTAATCGCTTTTCCTCCCGGAATGAGCCATCGCCGATCTTCGAGCTGACCCGCCACTCGCCCTTATACCCGCCCAGCGAGCCGTCAGCCGCCAGGACGCGGTGGCATGGCACCGCGGGCGCAAATGGGTTCGTGCGCATGGCGTTGCCGACGGCGCGTGCGCTGGACCCCAGGTACGTTGCCAAGGCGGAGTAGGTGGTCCAGCGACCGGGCGGGACGGAGAGGAGCACGCGGTAGACGCGGCGGCGGTAGGGAGTTAGGGTAGGGTGCAGGGAGATGCGACGGAGACATTTTTGGGTTGTTGGGTCTGGATGGGTGGATGTGTCGGACATTTGGGATGGTGCCAGGAGACAGGGAGTTTAGGGTAGTACAGCACAACGCAGATTGTCTTCGGAGGTGGTTGAGTTCGATGACTCGCTGATATGCGATCTGGGACAACGACGCGATGAGACGCGTCAGGCCCGATGAAGCAGACTGAATCAAGACTGGTGGATAGCCCACGGGCTCCTTGGCCTTGGTAGAGCTAGGGGGAGGGTTATTGGAGTATCTGAATGAATCTGGACTACCAAGAAGAAAGAGAGTTCACAAACGCGCCCAAGGACCTTTTAAGAAGTGAAGCTGCTTGAGACGCTCCCAAATGTTGTTCTGAAAGTGGCCAATCAGAGGATCCGGGGAACAACTCAAATCTCCCGCTTCTCGCCTCCTCGTTAGCGACACGCGCATTTTGACTCCTCCTATTTGTAAGCCATTTGGCAGTATGAGAACAAAGTAGCCTATGGAAAGTCTCCCACATGTTGTATTATGACGCTATGATCGTATTTCACATGACTCATCAGGTTACTGTATTTCTGTTTAGGATCCCGGGCTCTGCCTAATTACATCGGAGCATCCCCGGGCCCACCCTGTCTACTCGAACGAAGAGCCTCCTAGTCTGGACGGATCGCTTCGTAGCCTTCTCAATCTCGGGTCCCAAGGTGGTCCACATGTTCGGCCGCAATGGCATCCACCGATAAAGCCTTGCCACTCTCGGGATCAACCACGCTGCCCTTGCGACTGACGGTCTGCACCATACCGGGGTTCTCGGCCTTCAGACGAGCAAACGTCGCCTCGGCGTCCCAGGTCCACGGGGTCTTGGCGGCAAACAGCAGGTCCATGTCCTCCAGCGTTCGCTGATTACTCTCCGGGTACAGGGCCCACACCATGGGAATAGTAATCACATTACTGGCGGCGAACACGTAGAGGGTCTTTTCGCCGATAGCATCAAACATCACGGGGCACAGAAGCGTCTAGAAAAAGGAAACCAGAAATGGTCAGAATTGACTACAAGAGAGTTCAGGGCCCAAATAGGGCACTTACCAGCCATCCATTTCCAATACTCCATCCAACCACACCCCAGGCGTTTCCGCGAGCCCGCACCGCCAATGGGAAGATCTCAGCGGGGTACAGCCACGGCACAGTCAACCAGGTTGCGCCGAAAGTCGACGTAAAAATGAAAATCATCGACGCCGCTGCCGCACCGTATGAAGAGGCCTGGCTTATGTTGCCATCGGCCTTGGCGTTGATGGCCAGGCGAGAGAACCCTCCAGCCAAGAACATAGCGATACCCTGTACAACTGCGCCCCAGTACAGAGTCCAGCGACGCCCAATACGATCCAGGGTAAATACACAGATCAGGGTAGCGAACTAGAGAGCAGTGTTAGTGAAGCGAGATGGAACATCCCCCCCCCCTCCTTTTCCCTCGCTAGGCTGTGCAGACACATACCATGTAGAAAATATTATTCAGTCCGCTAATCCACTGGCTTTTCATCGAGTCGAATCCGGCGATACTGAAAATGGTTGGCGCGTAGACCGTCACGCCCGCAATGCCAACCCACTCCTGCATGATCTGCAACCAAACGACGAGCTGGACTCGGCGGCCGATATGCAGATCGCCGGACTTGTAGCCGAAGAGCATGGACAGATATGAATTGCCGTGGACCACCGTCTTCTCCATCTCTGCAATGCTCTGAATATCCAGAAACTCGGCTTCAGCCCGTACCCGGTCCTCGGGGCTGCTGCCACGCAGCCGCTGTAGGATGTAGCGGGCCTCATCCTCACGGCCGACCTTGACAAGCCAGCGAGGCGACTCGGGGAAGAACCACACCGCGGCGAAGAGGACCAGGAGGAAAATGATCTGGAAGGCAATAGGAAACCTCCAGCGGAAGGCGGAGTTACCACCATCAATGAAGGACAGGCCACTAGACAAAACGATTGATTAGACATCAGATGGACGATATGGGAGATGGGAGTTGTTTGGGACTACATACAATTCCAGCCAATAGGCCAGGACGACACCGAAGATATTTAGGGTAAACTCGATCGCGATGAACTGGCCGCGAGACGTATGCTCAGCCGTTTCTGTCGCCCAGACTGGAACAATGGCATTCAGAATGCCTGTCCCGATTCCGTTGATGAACCGAGCTGTCCACCTGTCAGCGCCTGGTCTCCGATATCTAGATGGATTCGACCTGCTCCTTACCGCAAATCATCCAGTTGTGATTCTGGGCCGAGCACTGCAGACTCGCCCCGAGCACCGCCCAGGCTGCACCAACGGCAATCGACTTGATCCGGCCAATGCGATCCCCCAACCAACCACCGAACAGGCCTCCAAAGAGCGTCCCCAGATAGTATACGGAAACAATGCCACCCTGAAGCAGGGAATTGGTGACTACCGCAGTCACCTCGCCATCGACCTCCTTCGTATATCCAAACTTCATCAAGTCGATATAGTCCTTGGCGTTGTTAACGCCCGACATCATGCCCTGATCATATCCGAAGAAGAGAATGGATAGCGCCGCGACGCAGTTGATGGCGACGAGCAGCTGGCGTTTCTCCAGCTTGTGGACGACATTCCAGGAGGGAATTTTGTCCATGATGGAGGATTTCGATGAACCATCCACAACAATACTAAAGCAACCCCACGGGGTAGAGACCAACCAGAAAGCAAGGCAAAAGAAGAAGAAAGAGCTCCAAGGAAGAATCGCAGATCGGACGGTCTCACGGTGGCCCCTCACGTCCTTTTAAATCCTCGGTCCGGACGCATTGAGGGTGATCGGCCAAGAGTCACCCCAGAAACAGGCCCGATGCAGCAAGCGACGGCCGCGATTCCGGTTACATCCCGGGCCCGTAAAGACTGGACCTACGCCTGGTCCAATACCACGTTTGCTTCCTTCCCCATGTTTGACCCCACAGGAAGTCAAAAGCCTAGATCAGCAACGAGCGGGGCAAAATGGCCTTTTAACCGGCCAGGAACTCGAACAGAACTTGGTTGGAACTCAAACCGAAATCGGCAGCCCGAAAGAGTCTCATAGTTTCGACTATTTGCCTCTGCATATGTCCGACTGCCTGCTCCATGCCTTTTGAGTCTGGACTGCAGATCGTATAAACGACTGGACTCCCAATCTCAAGTATAACTCTCACCAGCCGACCATTAATTCCTACGCCTTTCGCTGTTCCCGAGCCAGGGACATTGCGCGACCTGATGCGACCGTCTCCTCCATACTTCGAGATCGCGGCTGTTCCTTCCCGGTTAATTAACCGACCTGTTGGCGTCGGTCTACGATCGCCACGCCGTCATGCTCCAGCCTCCGCTAGCCAAACTAAGGATGACGAAACGCCAACCGGCCGAGAAAACCCGGGCCTTGCTTTCACGTCGCGCCGAGGATCCAATGGACAGCAGGCTCAGCGCCGCTCCACTCCCCCAGAAGAAACGTAAACCGGCAGTCGGACACGCACCCCTGTACGCGGAGAACCCGGGGTTCTGGAGTTGCTCACGTCGAGGTTCTCGGCAAGCCGCCCCCAACCTTCGGGGATGATCGAAATATCCTACGCGAATTACCTGCCGGCGGATCGAGCCTAGTATGGCCGAATTGATACTCGAGACAGTGCCAATATATCATGACGCTCGCGGGCTCCTTGTCTCTTCGAATTTTGCTTTCATTCTCTCGCCCGTTCAGATGTTCGCCCCTCTCGGCGGCTGGGGAAAACCCCGGCCTCGGAAGTTCGCCGACTCCACGGCCTGCCCAGGCTTTCTCCAGCATCGGCCCACCCGCCATGGTCGTTTCCGTGGAAAATTGACGTCGACTGGAATATTAACCGAAGCGGACTGGATATACGCTGGTCATGTAGGTCTGACTCAATAAGAGACTCTCAAACATAATGTGGTGGATAACTCATCTTGCTCTTGGACTTGATCTATCATCTCGTTGACTTTCAAAATCAACCTGTCCCTCGTCTGCCACCCCGGTTGAGGCGAAGCTCATCTGTCAAAAATCCGGGCTACCTGGTCGAGCAATACTAGAAAATTTATGCTTAATCGAATTTTTCGGGCATATTATTCATTATGTTGTTACAGGTGCGTGGTTTTTGGGCTCCGGGACTTAGACTTGGGACAACATGGATGTTTGATGAGGGCCGGCGAATCCATGGCTCGCTTCAGCTTCTATTGTGATCCATCTTTGGACATGGCTACGCATACGGATTCCTTTTCCTTTCCAGGATATGTCTCATTGGTCTAATGGATGCAGAAGAGTACCGTTTCTAAGCAGATAGTGTTCCGCAAATACCTATCTAATGCACTAGTAATAGATGTGTCGAAAAGATTCGAGAATCTCCAATATTGGTTTTATTGAGACTGCTTTTGTAATATTCAACCTCATCGTTCTTGTTTAAAGCGCAAGTAACACCTTTTTGTTGCTTTTGATGATGAGATCGTGCCTCTCAAGCGACTCGAATGGTTTTTTCCCTGGAAGCAACAGTTGGTTTTCCGAAGACCACATGAGGCTTGGGACTCCACTCTATGTGAACCTTCCATTCCTCTGAAAGACGCGTGTCTATCATAGGACTATGGTGTTGTAGGCTACAGCCCAAGTCCTTTGGCTTCTAGTGGCCTCTAAACCGTATGTACATTGCCTGCTTCCAATTCCCCACCACGGTGGCAGCGAATTTGTTGGAAACAATTTATGGGGTAACCCGGACCATTCCATTGGATTAGTTCGGAGTCTATATTCATGTGTGTAACAATTTTATTTGCTCTCAGTTCGATTCAGACGAGATATAGCAGCAACTAAGAGATGTGCTTATGCTTGAATTCGGGGCAGTTCTCGCTGAACATGGGAAGTCTTTTCCTTTAAGGGCTTAGACTGTGCAGGGTCTTCAGAAACTAACACCTAGAGATATGTGAGCTGAAGAAGCCAGAGAAGGTAACAGTCCATTTCCGGACGGAACTCACAGTTTCTATGCTCTGTCCGGGATGCGGTGATGCGAGGTCCATACAGTCTCTTGAACTGATCGGGCGGAACCGTGGGTTTTGGGTACCTCTATTTACCACCACTACTTGGACTCTTGCTTTATCAAAATAGCGATGCGAGTTGTTCGATTACCGAACGGGCTTGGAGTGTACATAACAACCTGAGAGGCTACCTCGCCAATGCGATCGTCGTAAATTGGTAACTTGTTGGCGACAGCGTCGATGGACCAATGGACCAATGGACCAATGGCCCTTCAATTCTTCGATAATGGGGAATGCAAAATTATGCACCGTGGATAAACCGGTAAATGTGATTTCTAGAGATTATTGTCAATTGATAATGAGCGCAACACGATGGATTTTGAAGGCTAATATAGTAGATCTTTGGACCGAGCTGACTGTGTTCTTGTGATTGGCGGGACGGGGCACGAACGCCGTCCCCCAAAGCCAAGATCATTGATATCAATACACATGACAAGGCCGACGCTGAAGTCTACAAACAAAAGCTTCACTAACTTCAAGCGGATAAACTTGCAGGAATGAACTTCTAAAGGCGGTTCAAAACGTCAATTTTAGAATAAAGTGTCGGCGTCGGAGGTTCAAGCCATTGATGTTTTCATAACATCCTGCCGGATGAGTAGTACTTTGTTCGGGGTGCTTGGATTCCCCTAGCAGAAAGGGGCCAAAAACTTTCCGTTTCTCGGAGCTGAGAAATTTTTTGATAGAGCTGGTCGATAGCAACTATCGGCGGCCCTGAAAGGGCTATGGGATTTGGTAGTATTTTGAACATATTTAGACTAGATGAAATAGTTGCGGTCCCAATTCCGTTGTTTGCCTGCAGATATATAGGCAAAGTTTCAATCTGAACTGACCACGTCAATATTGTGGGATTCTTTAAAACTGTCACGGAAAACCTGTTAGCCTGAATAGGCGAGAGGTTTAGTTGAAAAATAAACTCTCAAAGATGACAGACATTCATGTGGAAGATTAATCTTCTCTAGTGGGCCACAGCTGGTCTGTTGGCGATGGCTTCGGGCAAGGAAACTTGCATCGGGAAGGCCACCGGCGAGATGATAACACGCCGAAAAGATACCTGTAATGTATATCGACCTAGCTAGTATCATTTCAACCTGTACCGGTGCTCTGCCACCACATATTTTCGACACTTCATTGTCCATAAAGGCGGCTAGGTAAAGACTTGCCGAGTGTAACCGCGAGGGGTTGGGCGGAGCTGCCCGGCAAACCTGATCCCGCTGATCTCATACCCGCGGGCATCGAGGGATCAAGTTTGGGGCACTTATTCCAGGGATTCACGCTAGAGGAAAAGCAGAAGAGGAGCCTCTTTTCCCCGGAGTCAATGGCTGGCCGGATGGGTGGAGGGCGGAAAAGGATTTATGGGATTTTTCCGGTCACCGTTTGGGCCGGTCCGCATGTTAGTAGTTATACAGTGGACTCTCCGTACTTGAGGGAAACTGGTAGGAGTCTCCTGCTACTCCAGCCTGGCCAATACCGTATACCCTTTAATCAGAGTCATCGAACCATCTTATCTCCTCTCCAGATCTCTCATACTCCCAACCCCCAATAGAATTCCCAACAATTGCCTATTCGAATCGGCATCGTCATCCGGCAAAGGCAGAAACCTTACCGAGTCGACCCGAGTGTGCTTACATAACCGCATCGGCGGCGAATCTCAAAATACCGCAAAAGCTCAGTCCTCATCTTTCCCGTACCTTGAAGCCACCTCTCTCACCACCTCCCCAATTGTCTCTTCCCACCCCTCCCTCCAAGCCGATTTTCTTGGAGGATCGATCGGTCATTTGAAGTTCTTCTTGCCATTTACGTTTTCCTGCCGCCATGTTTCGCGCTGTTTTGCCCCGGGCTACGCCGCGGGCTGCGCTCCGCGCTGCCGGCCCGAAGGCTGTTCCTTCAACTTTCATCACTCCCCCCATGGTCTTCATTGGCCGCTCAAAACGCGGCTATGCCTCTGATGCTGGTGAGTCCTTGCTGCGATGACCGTCACGGAGCGGTCAGGGTGGATTCTTATGCTTCCCGGAGTGTCGCGATAGCTGACTTTTTGCCCGGCCTTGCCGGGGTGCTTGAAACAGGCGAGCACGATCTCGTTATCATCGGTGGTGGTGTCGCTGGTTACGTCGCTGCTATCAAGGCTGGCCAGGAGGGCCTCAAGGTATGGCTTTGAATTCCTTCTCGTGGGGAACGAGACACTAAAGGCCGCCCCCGACATTGCACCTCCCACCTCCCAACACAACGTTTATTTTGCTAACTCGCGACTTCTTTTCTCTCTGCAACTAGACTGCCTGTATTGAGAAGCGTGGCACCCTCGGTGGTACCTGCTTGAACGTCGGCTGTATCCCCTCCAAGTCCCTCCTCAACAACTCCCACCTCTACCACCAGATTCTCCACGACACCAAGAAGCGCGGTATCGAGGTTGGCGATGTCAAGCTTAATCTTGCCCAGATGCTCAAGGCCAAGGACCAGTCCGTTGAGGGTCTCACTAAGGGTGTTGAGTTCTTGCTCAAGAAGAACGGTGTCGACTACATCAAGGGTGCCGGTTCCTTTGTGGACGCCAACACCGTCAAGGTCGACCTGCTGGATGGTGGTGAGCAGACTGTTCGCGGCAAGAACATCCTCATTGCCACCGGTTCCGAGTCCACCCCCTTCCCCGGCCTCAACATTGATGAGAAGCGCATTATCACCAGCACCGGTGCCCTTGCCCTCGAGGAAGTCCCCAAGAAGATGGTTGTCATCGGTGGTGGTATCATTGGTCTGGAGATGGTACGTTTTCTTGACTGCAGCACTGTTTGAAATTGCACACTTCTTGCTGGGAACATTATTTAGAGAAACTGACGAAATTCGCCATTGTTCTAGGCCTCCGTTTGGTCCCGTCTTGGCGCTGAGGTTACCGTTGTTGAGTTCTTGAACCAGATCGGTGGTCCCGGCATGGACGCCGAGATTGCCAAGCAGGCTCAGAAGATTCTGGGCAAGCAAGGTATCAAGTTCAAGACCGGCACCAAGGTCACCAAGGGCGATGACAGCGGTGCCACCGTCTCCCTGAGCATCGAGTCTTCCAAGGGTGGCAAGGAGGAGACCCTGGACGCCGATGTCGTTCTCGTCGCCATTGGCCGTCGCCCCTACACTGAGGGTCTGGGTCTTGAGAACGTTGGTATCGACAAGGATGACCGGGGCCGCCTGGTGATCGACCAGGAGTACCGCACCAAGCTGCCTCACATCCGTGTGGTCGGTGACGTTACCTTCGGCCCCATGCTGGCCCACAAGGCCGAGGAGGAGGCTGTTGCCGCTATCGAGTACATCAAGAAGGGTCACGGCCACGTCAACTATGCCGCCATCCCCAGCGTCATGTACACCCACCCCGAGGTCGCCTGGGTCGGCCAGAACGAGGCTGAGATCAAGGCCTCCGGTGTCAAGTACAATGTCGGCACCTTCCCCTTCAGCGCCAACTCTCGTGCCAAGACCAACCTTGACACTGAGGGTGTTGTTAAGTTCATCTCCGATGCCGAGACTGACCGCATCCTTGGTGTCCACATCATCGGCCCCGGTGCCGGCGAGATGATCGCCGAGGCTACCCTGGCCATTGAGTACGGCGCCTCCAGCGAGGATGTTGCCCGTACCTGCCACGCCCACCCGACTCTGTCGGAGGCCTTCAAGGAGGCTGCCATGGCCACCTACTCCAAGCCCATCCACTTCTAGACCGTTTTTTGGTGATGCTGTGTTGTGATTCCTCCGATATCCTCAAACCCCCTCTATGTACTACCCTTTTGGATTTTTAATCTAGCCCTGCTAGCAAACTACATGTAGCATTTCATGTAATCATTTATCTTTGTTGTTATTGATATCTCTTATTTTCTCTGAAGTCAGCACCCGCCGGGCTTATATCACGTGTCACATGCATAGTGTCACGTGGTACACATGCAAGGTACTTTTGTACATGCAGGCTGTGATAGAGACAGTAGTAAGTAGTTCGTACATATAGTCCGTTTGTCGTCCGCTTTCGCCATATCCAAAAAAATGCTTTGGAAGAAGGAACAAAAAAGAACTCCGATAGGGGGAATCGAACCCCCGGCTGCCGTGTGAGAGACGGCGATGTTAGCCACTACACCATATCGGACTGTGCTTGTGAAATATTCCTCCAATTTAGAAATATTAACTAAAATTTAGCATTAATGTGTTGCCATGCGTAGTTCTGTTAAGGCAAACCCCCCTTCCCCTCGCCCTCCATCTCTCGACATCCTGCGATCTATCGCTTGTTTGCTTCTTAGCTTACCCTGTCGTTAATCGTACCCTACTGAGGTATTCTTGCTATTCTGGATCGCCGAGCTCCGATAGTCCCAGGTAAACTCCGTCGCTTCCACTTGTAGACTAGATAAAGATAGGTTATAGGCAGATTACTTATTGAATTATAAAAGTCCACAACGGGGTACCCTCTCCTGATGTTGCCTGAAGGAACATAAAATAGGAATTATCACACGCGACTCATCATATTTCCATAGCAGCGATTCGTGTATATTTAGTTTGCGATCTATGTTATGACTAAATTGCAAAGGTACTAACCTACTTGTCATTGTAGTGGGCTGTCGATTAAGTAAGGAATTGTAGATGAACTAGATATGAAAGACATAATAGCTCGTATATTGATAAAAGACTGAATCTCGAGAAGACTCAGTAGAGGTCCTCTGCCTCCACCTTTAAGATATATATATAAACGATTCGATCACGAATATTCAAGGAAGTATAACAGAAGCTGAGTTGCACTGGCTCTATGTACGACATAGCATGGTACTCCAAACCGGACCTTTTACACATTTTTTCAATTAAAATCTTTGCAAGTTAGTGAGACTACAATCTAGTTAAAAACAAGAATATATATGCCAACTACGAAAAGTTTTATCACGAATATAATATACGGAATGGCACTTAAGTAGCTACAAACACGGGGTACCACAGTGTAGATGTGATCGGCTTAAGATAAATGCGTCTATCGTGATAGGCTTATAGTACGTAGCTTCTACGAAAGCTCATAATATAGGATGGCCCGAATACGTCCGCGTTATTCATAAAGACACCATTTGATACTCTTAAAAAATAAGGATTATTAGACCATGATGACCGATAAGCAGTTACAGCGCTTCCTGGAACCTCTCGACAAAGCCCCTAACTTTCTAGCTAGGGCGACGCAAGTACTTATCTAAGTACTTTCACCAGTAAGGAAGAAATGAGCTAAAGAAAAAGCATAAAATCCATCAGTATCTACGGGAATCAGAGGCTGGAGAACTTCAGAATTGAGCGGGTCCTTTACTAAATTTCATTATTAGATCATTATATGCCTCGCGCCAAGCGAGTGACATAAACCGCGCTCTAAATTTCTAATTCGCTCCGCCCTCAAGCTTCTATGGTTCACTAGTAAGATGAGAGCACAGAATTCCCGAAGCGGTCGACCCACTCACATATTTAGCCTAGTACCTCTTTCAAGCATTGATCCGACCTTTGAACCATCCATTGCCCGTACAAAATATTTCCATTCCCTTTCATCATCCCAAACCCCGGCTATCTCTTTTGCTTCTCCTCACTCACTCTTCTCCTTTCCTCCCCTATCACGTCTTAGTTCCCGAAACTTCTAAGACTGCTATATATTGTCAATATGTCCAGAATGTCTGTTTCTTGATACCGAGTCTGGTTTAATGATGGGACGCTTCTCGCCTGAGTTTATGGTATTTATCTCAATGCGAAATCCGGGAGACTGCCTGGAGAGTGTTTTCGAAGACTAGATACCGTCGAAGAAGAATTGATTTAGTTAAAATTCGCTCAATATGGAAAAGATACGCCGAAGTGGCAAGGAAAATTTAAGTCCTCTCCTCATCTATCCTAGGACATGCCGATACTAGCTTGACCGGATTTTCGGGATCAATATTCTCAGTAGCCTTTACCATCTTCCGTTGTTTTCAAAGCGCGAATCTTGTCCCCCAGGTATAGCTATATTGCTTGTTTGATTTGTGCAGTTTTGAATGTGCAATCCCGCATCGTTGTGTCAAAGAGGGACATAAAATAAATGGTATTAAAAAAAGAGGTGATACTCACTTTTTATTTAAAGTGGTGAGAAAAGAAAGGAAAAGATGAAGGCAGGCCACAGAATAATGACTTCAGCCTAAGAGACACATCTACCCTTGAGGCTTTCAGATTCCGAATGTCTTGCAGAAATCCCTGCAATACATGACTTTTCCAGGGTAGATAATCTGAAAGAGTGAATTTACAAAGGCATAAATGATCATACTTACTAATGAAATAGGGTTGGCAAAAATCTTCGACCAAAGAATCGGAGGAAAACAACAGTCCATTATACATATGATCGCCTAAGTGCGAAGACTGCCATATTTCGATCTTTGACAGTGCTTCCCCTCCTGTTATAACGGGTAATTTTGCAGGGTTAGTGGAAATATAATGAAAAAATATTCATAATTTTGGGTGTATAAGGCGTTGGAGAGTATCGACGCGATCATCCATATCGCAATCATCCGCGATGTAGTGGATGTGCGGTGGTGCTCCTGGCGGACATACGCAGCGACTTATGGCGAGATGAACGAGAATGCTCATATTTACCCTCGTATCGAATACGAGAGCGCCCGCCCCCTCCCGCCCCGCCCCTTTTCGCAGGGTCTTCGCACTCAATACTCAATATAATAGCCGCTGTTTCAGCAGCGTTTTAGTTGGAGAATATAATGATATACGGTCAATTATTATCACCATACTACCGGAAACCATGATTAGTAATATCAAAGTAGTATGGACTTCCATGGTCTCGATTTAGAGATCGCCCGATTCTTGGATTTAATAGCTAAGGACTAAACATCAGTTTGATCTTTCGCTGATAGAGACCCCTCGCTGCAAATCTCGCTCGGAATTCTACCAGCCCAAACGGCGGATCAGTATTTTTGTGACCGGAATAGCGGAGTGGAGAGCCAACATCCCCCATGAATACCTGAGTGGCTGGTGCCTGCCACATCGCATCCTTACACAACTACAATAGCGCCAGCGCGAGATAAGACAAGTGGACCCGCATTACCGGACTCGCCTGTCGATCTGAATGGACGGTCTTTTCATTATTATGTGGAGCCCTCTCCATAGAGGATACGTTGACCGGAAATATAGCTGGTTGGTGATGTCCTGGGAGCGCTTTCAGCGGACAATCCTGTGGGCATCGTAGCCTTTTTTGACCAGCTCCTCCTCGAAACTAGACGTCTGCCAATCCGTCCAGAAAAAATCTCTAGAAAATCCGCTTCCGAAAACCCCTACAATGCTTCCTTTGTAGCCGTATATTCAGGAGAACAATGCTGTTTTGGAAGAACTTCTTCCTCCTTGTTGCCCTTACACCCACGGCTTTGGCTCTGCCTACGCCTGAGTCGTCCCTACTTCCGCGGAGTGCGTTTCTCAATAAAGGGGACAACATTAAGTGCTTCCTGTTTGGTACGAGTTGCAAGGGTACTGCGTATTCATATTATTTGAAATATGAATCTGCTAAAAAGAAAGTGAACAAAAAAATCTCAAATGCCAAAAGTGCTGTGACCGATGCTTATAAATCAATGATATCAGCCACCTCAGATGCTAAAAAGGCCGCTTCTGATACTGTATCTTCCGCTAAAGACGCTGTTTCTGATGCAACATCGTAACAACGTGTATGCGACACCACTATGGGACCCATTTTAAGAAATATGTTTATGAAACGATTGATACGCTCTGTGCTAGCACTATGGTAGGAGGCCGTTTGAATAGGGTTCCTGCGACGGGTACGAGAGCAATATTGGTACATCGGGAGAAGCAACAGGATTGATCGATTCATTGCCTGAAGCGTGGCCGAATTTCCAAGGATTTCGTGAGATAGATTATTTACTACATAACAATAATACCAATACGAGCTCGGCACTGTTGATTTGAGAGACAATCAGATTGTCCAAGGCGGATAAGTAATCATGCGCAGATCCTGGAATTCTGGCCTTTGCGAACACCGAGACAGAGAATATCAGACCGGTAGTCAACGAAGCACGGTAGAAAAGTTCAAAATGAAAGCATTGCTTTGTAACAACCGCGCCCCAGGTCTTTATATTCCTGGTTTAGGCTTGTAGAAATTCCTAGAACAAGAAGGGCTTATTATACTTCTATTCGAAGGGGTGAATACAGATCGGTGTGTTGGTAATACAGTGATGGATGACTTTAGTAAAGGATACAATTGCATTATGCTCCATGATACTGCTACAGCTTGAACAGTAGTTGGATCAAATGAAGTCTGGGAATTGATTGTTATTAACTGCTGGGGGTTTTTAACAACCTGTGAAGCTTTGTGAAATGCTTCAAATAGTGGCCCACCATCGCTATAGATTGCAACAATCTAGAAGAGGCACTGCGAGATATCTGAGCTCGTCAAAAGACGTATCTACATTCTCGAACTGATATAACAGTATATGCATAGTGGAAATCGTTGGATAAGTGGCATGGCAATGAGACTGAGAACCTACTAATGACTATCGCTTTCGAACGGCTTCATCAGCTAGGCGCGCAATGCGTGGAAACTACGAAATCCATGCCGATCCTTATATTTGCTTCTCTTTGCTGTTTGATTATTTGAGCTTACGTTTTCGCTGCTAGTCGCAGTAGTTAAGAGCCTAATTATAGTTCTTTTCGAGATTGTTTTCAGTTGGCTACTTGCAACTTTATCCACCTAGGGCTCATAGCTACAAAGTACGGTCTTTATTATCACTGGTAATATAGAAGTTACTACTACGGTATATATAGTCCTAACTCCTCAAGAAGCTTTAACGGCTAATGAGCTCCTAGAGGCTAAGCGTTAGCGCCATGTCACTTTTATCAAGGCATACTATTAAGGCTCCGGGTCTCGAGAAGAGAAGCATTTCACCGTCTAATCATGCCTACTAAACTTACAGGTGATCGGACCTATTTATAGATTTTATCTTGTAAATATTGTCATGTGGGAGATGGTGGCCTGCAGCAGCATGATTCAGGGTTGATGTATGTAAGACTACCCCGCTCGCAGAGGGCAGACAGTCAGAAATCTTCTCTTCTTTTTACTGCTATGTATCCTGCCTAGCAGCCATAATATCCCACCTCGGCTGGACCTGGTTGGTTCGCAGAGAGGTGCAACCTTAGCCTCGTTTAATAAGAAGAAGATATAGCATCGAAAGGAGCCGAGGAAGTGCGTTAGGAAGGTGACACTCCGTTACAGATATTGTCGGGCGACGTTGAAACAGTAGACAGACAGGCAAAATTGGAAATCTGAGTGCAAATGAAAATCTGGGTGTTAGCACTATTAGTGAGTACTAGACTTCGCCGAGGCTTCACGGCGGTTTCACGTGCGTGCGCCATAAGACAGCCCAACAATGGGAATAGCAACTGGGCCACAATATACCTTGACAAGGCTCTAGGTTCATATAAGGAAATTAATCACACTATTTGTATGCAACCGAGAATATATATGTGATATAGCCTGCATATCGTCTGCGAAATTGATCCACTAGACTGTAAATACGAGTCTGTGACCAGACTAATGGGTAGTGATTGATCATTCACTTTCTATGACGCATTTATGAAACGACGACATAAAGGCTCTGTTGGGCAATTTTTTCTGACAAAGCTCTCACCGAATGCGATCCCAAGAACTCGAACGACGATAACTCAGCCCCCATCTCCCGCGATACCCAATTCTGTACTTCGGTTGCTTTGAGAGAATCCACTACAGCTATTTTAGCACCACCAAAAAGAGAAAAATGAAAAAAAAGGGTGAACTGACCACCTAATGCTGAGAGAGGTAATTCCGGGTCGATGGAGTCGGGTGAAGCCGCCATGGCGCTGGCTAGGTAATCCTGCATTCCTTGAACGACGACCTTGGTGGCCTCATCAATAGACCCAGATCGTTTGAGCAGGCCACTAGTCCGTTCAGCGCCCTGATTAAGCTCTAATGGGAGCAAGCGGATCCGATGATCCAACTTGCGGTCGTAATGCCAAGAAACACTCCCGTCACGAGGCAAAGTGTCGGTCATTCCGGCGATGATTTGTGCCGGAATAGACACCTGGCGCTGCAAAATTAGCCGAAGAAGTGTCTGCAATTCATGCGTGAGAATTTCTGTGCCTTCCAAATGACTATATCGTCGGCGACGCTCGTCCGGTGACTCTAAAACATCGCCAACTCCACTAGCATCGGGGACTAGACCGATATTGATACTATTTCCAGGGAGCCCGTGAGCTTGGCGCCAGGCCATCAGATCATCCATATATGAATTCCCTGCGGAGTAGTTTGATTGTCCGATGTTGCCAATCACACTAGAAACAGACGAAAGTGTAATGAAGAATTCCAAGTCTTCGCTCAGCAGGAGTTGGTGTAAATTGAATGTTCCCAAAATTTTTGGCTGAGTAGAATAAGTCCATTGCTCGAATGACATCTTTTCAAACATTGAGTCCTTCTAAATGTCAGCTTGCATGTAAGTTTCCTGAAAAATTTCTCTACTTACATGAAGCACTGTTGCGCACTGCAGAACACCCTTGATCTGCCATTGATGCCTGCGGGCTTGTGAAAGTAGCTGTTGAATGTCGCCCTCCAGAGAAATGTCACAGCGCATGATATCAATACGGCAACCTTTACCTATGAGGCCATCAACGGCTGGTTTTAACTCATCTTGAACGATTCCGGAGCGAGAAAGAAATACAATATGACGGGCTCCATTCTCAACAAGCGAAGCAGCTAGTGCCAAGCCCAGGGTGCCAAGACCGCCAGCCAAGATGAAGGTATATCCCCGAGGTAGAGAGAAAGGTGCCACTCGCACAGGCTCAATAAGGACTTCACCAGACCCACTGAGGTCGATGATTACGCGAGATCCTGTCTTCAGGGCATGGCCTTTTGCATCACTCCAGTTGGCAACGGAAAAGACAGTCTCAGGTTTAAGGCAGTGGTGTGAGCACAGGGCTTTGGAAGCTCGACGAAAGTAGTTGTAGGCTTTTTCTGGCCGCTGTTGCAATATGACATCCAGGTTGACGACGGAAAATGTGCAAGATCTCTCGATGAAAGAACTAGGTAGAGCTGTCGTTTTCATTTGGCCACTGATGTCAACAAAGTGGCCTCCGTAGGCCAAAGTACGAGCAGCGAGGCGACCAGGTGAGCCACTGACACATGAAATAACTGCGGTAATGCCCTTGCTATTGGTCATGTGCATGACTTTGGTATCAAGGCCACCTTGTATGATCATGATGTGATTGGATGGAATGGCATATTGAGAGGCCAGTTCGTCACGCTCTTCAGCACTTGTCGTCGCCACAAAAATCTGGACTCCCGGGACCATCAGGGCACTGTTCAAAATGGCCAAAAGTGTTTGGCTAATAGATCCGACAACCAGAAGCGAATCATCAGGCCCGAAGCGTGCGGTGTCAAACAAACAGATATAGGCAAGCGTGTATGCTAAGGGCACTGAAACTGCTTGCTCCGGACTGAGTCCCGTCGGTAGTCTCATAACTGCTGAAGCAGGAACTCGAACACGGGTCGAGAAACCTATTTCTGACCCAATCGCAGGCGACAACAGTATAACAGTATCTCCCACCAGGATATTTCCCTTAACAATACTTCCGAGCTCCCTGACAGTGCCGACGGCTTCGACTGCATGCAGGAGTGCCTCGGGATTAGAGCCCACAGAGTTTTTGACCGGGGGAATAGTCTGTAGTTTCAATTGCACCTCCACGTGATCCGAGGGGAGGGCAGCAGCCAGCGCTGAATCCTCCGACCAATAAGCATGCTGGGTGTCTTGAGAATTCACATCGAAGCGCAGTGGGCGAGCATCATCGACTAAGCGACCAAGAGCTGGCCGCGGACCATGTAACAAGGTACTCATTGCCTCATCCACCTGCTCAGCAGCAACCACTCTTGGCACCATGAGTCGCCCCTTCTGCAACCTGTACTCCAGATCGTGACTGAACCGAGTTAGAGGTCCTAGCGTCATTTTCATCACTTGAAGTATCCCCTGAGCCAATACATCAACACTGGCTTCATCGAGTGGGTGGAACTGTAGCTGTGGTAAAAGTACACTTCGTTTCTCGTTCCTCAAAGTGCGAAGCAGACCTGTCGTTGCACCAAATCCGGTAGCACTGTCGTCCATTGTCGAGGTGGAACTTGGAGAGACCCATAGAACATAATTGGCATGTAGCAGTGCCTGAAACTGAGTCATAGAGCTGGCAGTCCAGGAAGAGACCCAGGGGCGCTCGAACTCTACCAAGGATATGACCATTTTGCCAGCGAGACTTCCAATCTCTGGTAATGTAACATGACAGATTTGAATACTCATTGCGGCAAATATTTGCTCCAAGCTGGATTTGAGTGCGTCTGGCAGTTGCGTTGAGTCTGCCGCGAGCAAAAATATGGTGGAATCAAGAGATATAGGGCCCATATCTCGACAAGCGAGAACGAAGTGACCATCCTGAGTCTCACCTGCAAAATTCCAGCCAAGGGTATTAGTGATGCCATTTGCAGCATCTTTATCAATAGAAGAGATGCTCAACGCCATACATGCATTTGGTTGCGTGGCCAAGGAGATTGACGAAAGATTATCTTCGATACTTGGGGAACTGCAAATACCTGGGTGGTCTACGAAGACGAGGTCAAATAGCTTGTCATCAGGTAAAGATGTAGTGAGTTCATGCAATCTTTCGATATGCTGCACCTGTGCGCCGGGTAGTAACTCTTGCAACTTGATGGTCTGAGACTCTGTCGGCGCATCGGGTCCCCAGATAATGACCACGAGCTCTTGCAAAGAAGGTCGATGCCCAACGCCGGGTAAAAATGAGTGAAAACTCTTTATCACGTCGCTGCTCTCACTCGGAGGAATGATTATAAGAGCTTTAGCATCGCCATATGTGTGGCAGACGCAATGGATCCAATCTTCAAGTGAGCCGGTGTGATTTTGGCTTACCCCTGCCCCACCGAATGAGGTCGGATGCGCTGCCCAAGTTATCGTTGAATACTGGCTTGTACTGTTCTGACCAGCGTCTTCAGAGGACTTTTTTGCGATTGGTACACGACCAAGCCGGATACCTTGCAACACTACACTAGGATAGTCCCAGGAAGGGTTGGAGGCTATCGAGTCTGATCGCGGTGAACCGGCTTCTTGGAATCTTGTTGTCGTATGAATAGTGAAACGATCGCCTGATCGAAGGTCCAAGTTGGTTGGAAGGTAGAGCCTATCAACACCGATCGGAATATTGGCATTCTGGTTGCTAAGTGCATCTGAGCAAGAAAGGACTGCCGCCTGCAAGAGGGCATCAAGAGAGGTGGGGTGCATGAAGTAGGCGGATTCTTGCTCATAAGGCGCCGTTCGCTGCGTGTCTTGCACAATGCCGTCAATCCACAGTTGACGCCCACTCTCGCAGAAGGATATATTAGAAATGGATCTGAATGTGGAGCCTAGTGAGACACCTCCGGTGTTAGAGAGCCATTCGTAGACGCCGTCGGATTCTCTGTTGGCGGCAGCAGCTCGACTATATTTGGAGTCCTCGACAATGTGACTCCAGTCTTCCGGATGAATCGGCATACCACTATCATCATAGTGTAAGGTAAACGCACCGGTTGCATTCTTGATCCAGGATGCTTCCTTGGGCAGGGAAAAAATTCCAAATACAAACCATCCAGGAACACTATGATGCGGCGCCACGTGCAAGACTGTTTCGAGGCCACGATCATCATCCGGAATGACGACACTTTGCAAAAATGCAAGATCATGGAACTCGATAGCTTCAAGCGATTTAGAAGTCTCTGCAAGCTGACGTGCAGACTCGGCGACCATTGCAACCATGCCAGCAGCTGGAAGGATGATGGATCCAGCGACTATGTGATCTGCCAACCAAGGCATCTCAGAAACCCGCAAAAAGTTACGCCACTGGGGTTCAAGATCATTTTGATACTCCCAAGGAATGCCTAATAGATCATGGCGGGGCTCTTTACGTCGACGGAGCCGAGCTGAAGCCAGAGGCTCATGCCAGAATGAAGATTGGTGATTCCAGGGGTATGATGGGAGATTAGTAAGTGTCTTTGGGTCTGTAGGATTGACGCTCATATTGACAGCCTCAATGTCGATGGCTGTGCCGATACTCCAGAGGTGCCCAGCCGCCTGAAGACCGGTCTGAAGGGCATTTGTATTCCGCTTAACCAAGGCTTGATATGGAAGTGTGGCCAAAGTGCTATCAATAGACTGCAGGGTCTGAGTGAATGGCCCCTTCAGTGCTTCGTGCGGGCCAAGTTCGAGAAAAAAACTCCATTTCACGGCCGCTGCGCGACGACGTCCTTTGCGAGACTCGGTCATTGTAGCCAACTGCGACACTGCAGAGGCAAATTCCACTGTACTGACCATGTTGCGCACCCAGTAGGCTGGGCCCAGGTCTTTCGCATGTACAGGCTCTTTGGTAACAGATGAGAACATCTCAACTGCACCTTGGCGACCCTCCATAGGTACGATCTCCTTCAGAGCTGCCTCGTAGTCATCAGCGATGTCGTGCATATGCGGAGAATGATACGCCGTCTCGACGCGCAACTTGCGTGCAAAGCATTTATCCGCTTGAATTCTCTTCTCCAGCAGGTCTATCTGATCTATATCGCCCGAGAGAGTGATGCTTGCTGGACTGTTGACGCATGCTATCACAACAGACCCGGAAGGAACGTCGACTAGATACTTGTCAGCATCGGTGGCGGAGATTCCGGCAGCAAGCATGCCGCCTCGCCTTCCATTTTGGGCGATTCGCAGAGAGAGGACACCTCGGAAAAATGAAACCCGGATGGCGTCCTGGTGAGTAAGAAACCCGGCTGCATATGCTGCTCCTATTTGATTTGTTAGCGTTTGATCCCAAGTGATGATTTGGACATCGAGCTTGCTTACCTATCTCACCGCTAGAATGTCCAACTACCGCGCGTGGATGCACCTGCCAACTGGCCAAGAGATCAACCAGGGCAATTTGCAAGGCACAGCAGATGGATTGACTCCGATCGGGCTGACTTATGCGCGAGGAGGTGGCGTCTGCCTTGATTTCTTCGATCAAATCCCAGGTGCATCCGACGTTCGTAAGTATTTCCTGGCTACGAGCCATGCTCTTTGCAAAAATTGGAATTCTCAAGAGACTCTGGCCCATTCCCGCCCATTGTGCTCCCTGTCCAGTGAAGACAAATGCCAAATTCGAGCTTGTGCTCCGACTCGCACGCGGAAACTCAGGTAGACCCTTCTTCAATACTTCGCAGAGTTGTGATTCAGAATCAGCGACTGCAAAGCTACGAAAGGGCAGTTTGGAGCGGCGAGAATCCATAGTATAGGCCATGCTCTGCAGATGCTCATCAAAGCCAGCCTCGAGCCGTGTTTGCAGAAATGACGTCCATTTGGTGGCCATTCGATCAAGACCGGCCTTGTCGAAAGTGGAAAACACAACCACCTGCGGGACCTGTTCCATTGAATCTGAAGGCGGCTCTGCGATAGATCCCAAATACTCCGAGGCGCTCTCGATCATTGCATGGGTATTAGAGCCACCAAAGCCAAATGAGTTGACGCTTACACGTCTTGGAAGATGAGAGGGCCAGTGAATATACTCATTACTAAGTCGAAGTTTCCAATCGTCAAGGTGAATCCTTGGATTCACTTCAGAAAACCCGGCATTGGGAACAAGAACGCCCCTCTCAAGACAAAGCACTACTTTGATCAGACTCGCCACACCAGCCGCACCTTCCGTGTGTCCAATATTACTTTTTACTGATCCAACATACAGGGGCGGATCATCAGCAGACCGGGCTGCCCCGAAAGTCTCCCCAATCGCTGACAATTCAGTTGGATCCTGGGACCAATATAAGTTAGCATCATTTTTGAGTAGCAGACAGCGTTATGCAGGTTGATTTTTCTGGGTTATACCTACACCGATCTCAGTACCAGTTCCGTGGGCTTCAAAGTATGTGGTTTCCAGCATAGTCGGGAGACCCGGCCCATAAACGGTTCGGATCAAATCAGCCTGTGCGTGGCGGTTTGGCATGGTGATACCGGGGGTACGCCCATCTTGGTTTGCGCCAGTTGCGCGGATTACGGCACGAATGGCATCCTTGTCCTTCAGGGCTTGGCTGAGCGGTTTCAGTAGCAATGCGCCAAAGCCCTCACCTCGTCCGTAACCATTTGCTTTCTGATCAAAAGAATGGCTGATACCATCAGCACTCAACATGTGCATATAGGAGAGTCGCTGTGTGAAGTTTGGGTGAAGAATGAGACTGGCACCCGTTATAAGAGCCTGTTGTACCGCCAGCAGCGTTATTAGTTCGGTCTTTTTCGGATTAAGGGGATCACACCGCGGGGACGACTCACCGCATCACACTCATTGGCCCGCAAAGCCTGCGTAGCCAGATGCAAAGCCGTCAAACTAGAGGAACAGGCTGTATCGAGCATAATACTTGGGCCTCGGAGGTCAAAAAACCAGGACAAGCGATTAGCAAGCATGGTTCTTCCGTTGCCTGTTGCTGAGTTGTGTGGCATATCATGCATGTCACTGGTTGACAGTAGCTCGTAGTCATTCGTCATGCACCCAGAAAATACAGCAGTTCGGCTCCCAGGAAGACTTTCCATGGGTACTCCAGCTGCGAAATTTTAGTCTTAAAGATTATTTTCCCTTGAATAGATCAAGATATCAAACCCACCATTCTCAAATGTCTCATATGCAACTTCGAGGAGGAGCCGTTGTACTGGGTCCATGCCAGCTGCCTCTTTTGCAGTGATTGAAAAGAATGGAGCGTCAAAACGTGAAGGGTCTTCTTTCAGAAAAAATCCACTGTCATGGTTGATCTGATGATAAAATTTTCAGTTTTAGTTCACTATATGTTCATTGACAGGGTGATACCCTACAGCTCCCTTACGATCGTGACTAGGATGATGCCAACCCGATGCTTCATATCGACTCGATGGAACCTTGCAATGGCCCGTTTGACCTTTTCGTATCATATCCCAGAAGCCCTCCAGAGACGAGGCTTCCCCCGAGAAGCGGCAACCCATACCAATCACTGCGATCGGCTCAGGGTATGTTGCTTCCTCTTTCTGTTCCGTGAACATCCTTACAAATAAAAAAGTAATCTAAAATATGTTCTTAATCAAAGAAAATCCTGTTGTGTCGAAATTTTAGCTGCTGAGATCTCATCTTCTACATTCTTATAGAAGGTTTCGACGTTCCCTAAACTTGATCAGAGCCCGGAAAATTATTCCTGTATGCATAAATGCCTAGACATAGGTTACACCAAAATTATCTCAAGTATATGTACAAAGAGCCTGATCAAGTTACGTGCATGAAAATCTCGCTCTATCTAGTAACGATCCCGTCGTCCACATTTTCGCGACACCGCATCTCACGCGAGAAAAAATGACCTGATAAGTGAAGTGGATCATGATTTAGATTACCCAGGCATCTGATTCATAGCTCATCTTGAATGTGTACATGAATAAGGAAAGAGCAGCATCATACATCAAAGCGTTCACTCCGCACCTGCAGGAGAGGATGATGAAGACCTGCAATCGCTTGTCGATCGACCTTGCGAGATATTTGGATATCATCATTATCCCATTGAAGTGACATAATTTGATGTTTTAAGAGCTCAAACCTCCTCATCATTTTGAGTTATGAGAGCAGTCATAGACTCCGTTGAAACCCCCAAAATTTAGTTCAGAAGTCTCTGCCTCATATCGAACGAATTATCATGTCTACCATACGTGCTATCCTTGTAAAAGCCCGTGGCCATGCGGTGATGCAGTCTATCACCCTTCCTATGATTCCCGACGATTATATATTGGTAAAGACCAAAGCTGGTAAGATTTGACATAACAAACCTGGCTTTCGGAATTTTGCTCATCAATTATCTCCAGTAGCTTTGAATCCCACAGACTGGAAACATATCTATCTGGAAGACTGTACTGATACCCTCGCCGGCTGTGACTATGCGGGAGTTGTGGAAGCTATCGGCGCTACCGTCAGCAAGGAATGGAAGAAGGGTGACCGAGTGGCGGGATTCGTACATGGCTGCAATCCGGTAAGGCTTGAGAGTGGGGCCTTTTCCGAATACGTTCTTGCCAAAGGCGATATCCAGTTTCGCATTCCTGATTATATGAGCTTCGACGCTGCATCAACCTTGGGTGTGGGTCTGACCACTGTGGGCCAAAATCTCTACCAACACCTGGAGCTACCTATGCCGCAATGTGAAGGTTTAGCTGACGGATGCTCGGTACAAGATCCAGCCGAGACTATTTTGATCTACGGGGGTGCGACAGCCACCGGCTCGCTGGCTATTCAATTCGCTAAACTGTCCGGTCTTCGTGTTGTGACCACTTGCTCGCAGATTAACCAGTCATACATGTACGACCTAGGTGCAGATATCGTCTTCGACTATCATGACCCTCAGGTGGGCGATCGAATTCGTGACGAGACAGATGACACATTAGAGCTCGCCTTCGACACTATCTCAACTCCGCAATCGGCCGCAATTTGCGCCAATGCGATCTCATCTGCAGGAGGAAATTATGCTGCCCTACTCGATGTACGTTGCCCACGTGCAGATGTGGACACCCAGGTGTCAATGGCGTATGCCATGATTGGTGAAAAATACCATTTGGGAGGTAAAGTGATCGATGGCAAATCTTCTGATCTACAATTTGCGATGCAATGGACGGAGGAAGTCGAAACTCTGCTCCAGGCCCGTTGCATCCACCCCCATCGGTATCATGTGAAACCTGGTGGTCTCGAAGGTGTGCTTGAAGGGCTGAAGCTTTTGCGGGAAGGTAAGGTCCGGGCCTGCAAGCTCGTCTACCATGTGAATGAAATCGAGTAAATCCTACGCTTAACTGTCTTTATTGTCCCTCATCTCAGTCTTTATTAAATGGCCTAAGAAAGAACTTTCTGGACACCTCTTAAACTTGTGGCGGACAGCATTATCAGGTGCTTGATTCTGACAATTTCACCCATTTCTGCTGAGAACTTCATCCCGCTCATTTGTATTTAGCTTGAATCTATTTTGCCTTCATTATGAAGCTATTTGATTCTAACTTGAATTCAAACCCTGAATGGATGAGCAAACTCATGGAGTACGTAGTGTAGTGGACAAAATGCCTACGATAGGTGCCACGATTGGAGGACATGTTTCATAGCACACTGCCTTTACTGATATAGCTTCACATTTCCGATAAGAATAATATTACGCCTTCACCCTTTTTGCTCAGACAATGCCTTTTTCCTCTTTAGGAGGCCGCCCTCCATCGTGGTGTGCGGTGGTTTGTTGGCTTGTTCGTGGATCAATCTCATCTTGCCTGCATATCAGGCTTATTGTAGAGCGCCCAGGTTCAGTAGCCAATGATGCATAAGTTTATGTCATATATGAAAATTGTTATCGATCATTACGAAATTTGAAGCCAAATTCGGTAGTGATCTGCAATTCCAACAGGGATTTGACAGACGCAGGTGGTCGCATTTACTGTCAAAAACCGGTTTGTTGGTTTTACAACGCATGCAGATTGCCCAAAGGCTACATTATGGGACGTACTGCAATGATTTTGTTTGCATCACACTTGGAGATTAACTCCGGGCATGGGCAGTATATGGCTCACGTTATTGCGGTCCATGGAACCTGCCAAATTTGATGGTCATCCATTTTGAGTGAGTTTTCTAGCTCTTCCCGTGGATACTCAAGTTCAGCACGAGCTAAGTTTTATTTCTTCCTTTCTCACTCTGTCCTTGATCAATCCTTTCCACAAATTTGGAGAATAAAACTAAAATAATGCGGATTCTTTGTCTTCACGGTCATGGTACAAGCCCGGATGTTATGAAATACCAAATGTCTGCTTTGGCAAGGGCAGCAGACGCTAGTTGGGAGTTCCACTACTTGGGTGGTGAAGAGGCCTGCTTACCAGCACCCGGTAAGTACTTGACCGACGCACTGAACATTTCTCTTCAAAAATCATTAATTATAGAGACGTTTCCCTAGATATTGGTGGTTATTTCCCTGAGCCGTACTTCTGCTACTCTCGCAATTTTGATCAAGAAAGCGAAGATGCAGCACATGCTCTCTTGGAGGAGACAATTTCTCAAAAAGGTCCTTTTGATGGCGCTTTTGGTTTCAGCCAAGGGGCATCTATTCTCGTCTCCTATCTGATTGAGCAGAAGATGGCGTATCCAAACAACATTCTTCCTTTTCAATTTGTCATTCTCTGCTCCGTTACAGTACCTTTGGCTTCTAGTTTGGAATATCACCAACTTTTGCTTGGCTCTCTCACTGCTCAAGATGAGGCACGCATTCGGTCCTGTCGAGACGAAGAAATCGCCCAGCTTCCTATTGAAACGCGTACTGTTATAGCCTTCCTTGTATCTGTTCTGGACGCCACTGAAACAATCACACATGAGTCGCGCAGCTATTTTTTGGATCGGCCACTGTCCAAAATCCCATCCATGCTGCACCCAGACATATGTGATATTCGTCTTGAACTCCCCGTACTTCATGTACGTGGGAAGACAGAGCTCCCTGCCATACGGGACAGTGGTTTCCTGGTGGAGAGATTTTTTAAGTCCGGGAAGCAACGGGTATTTGAGCATACAGCAGGGCATGATGTTCCGAGATCAGGACCAGAGGCACGCCGGATGTTGTCTGCTATGGAGTGGGTAATAGCGCAAAGTCAACTACCCACTTATTAAAAACTCATGCTGTGTCTGTCTTTCAATTTAGAGAACTACAGTATAACATGATATTTTTAGAATACAGGTATATTGAGTAGCTAGAGAAGATGGAATCTGTTGATTATCGATTGTCTGGAACTCTTTCTACAATCACATTGCACCAATCATTACTCAAAGCCACCCAGTGCGTAGAATTTCGGATAGATCATATATTTGAACGATGTGATCTTGGATTGTAGAGAAGCCAAGGCCGGCTTTTGAGACATGTGCTGGATGAGTCAACTCAAAATTCTCGTACTTCTTTGCATTGGATCCATCCAATCTCACAAGCTAGTGACAAGAATAGATACTCTATCTCTATCCAGCAATTCACTCACACTGTTGATTGATTGGCTTGGTAAATTGACTGGAATCTGGGCGACCAGAATGAGCAACAAGTCTTCGCCTAAGATTGGTCCGAATGATTTGCGATATGCAGCACTCATGCTAGCATGCATGAAGCCATGTCATGTGGCAAGACCATGCGTAGTAGAACAAAGGCGGATATTCCTGCATGATGCTGTGGTCTCTCCACCTTTCGTATCTCGAATTGATTTAGCGTGTGTCTTGATCTTTATTTGCCGGTAAAAGTGGAGGAAATTCTTACCAATATCATTGAATTCATTCATACCAACTTTTTTCCGGGTTTTCAGGCTGTCAATGCTAAACCAGCTCTACAGCACCACACTGCTTTTCATTCAGAATTATACGGACTGAGGTTACACATTTCAAATCCACGTGAAGGCCCCATTGATTAATTAAAGGACTAATTCATACTTTATTCCAAGGTTCCGACACTTATATTACTGTTTGTGTACATATTGTAGTGGAGGAAAGGCCGACGATAGGTTGTCTCCGGTAGGAGAACATATTTCGTACCACACAGTCTTGACATATATAGCTTCAAATTTCCGATAGGGAGAAATACCACCCCTACACTCTTTTCGCTCAAACAGTGTCTATCTCCTCTTTGGGAGGCAATGCCGGCTTCCCTTTAGGAGGCCCCACTCGATCGTGGTGTGTAGTGGTTTGCCTTGTTTGTTGATCTGTCTCATCCTGCCTGCATGTCAGGCTTACCGTAGATCACCCTGGTTCAAGATGTGACGCACACGGTAAACGCACGTACGACCATACAACAAGCCTCCGTGAACAAGGAGGATTGTTGCAATCAATCTTGCTTTGAGATAGAGAGAAAATTCTCTTACAAATGGGATTGATATTGTACTAGTATTTACACAATTTGCCCCTATCCAACACAGCCCCAACAAGCTACCGATGTAATGGAGGCGATACGAAGTTGGCTTCTCTTAACGCTTTCAGTCAAGCAGCCGAACTTTAGGAACCTGTTCATAGTTCTTGATTCTTCCTAAAGATCCCATTTTGGCGCCTTGCATGGCAGACTCATGACGATATTGGAAGTATTATCCTGGCCTATCGCTCCCATTGCAGCATCGGCAGGCCAATAGGATTAACATAGTAAGTGTCACTGCCTCATTCTACCTGCGTTGCTCCACTATTTTGCATTGTAACACAAGGCTTTTCGGTCTTCTTTCATTTGGCGAAGTAGTTATTGGGACGTGATAGGATGATTCTTTCTTGCAATGACCGCACTGCTCGCTTCTTTCAGCATGCAGTAGAGCGGAGAAAAAGAAAACAGGTTCTTTCCTAGCAAAATTACCGATTTGCACTTCTATTACTTCACTGCGAATTGAAAATTGCTTATTGAGGTGGTAATTCCAAAATGAAGGGCTGAATGGAGCGCTTAGATACAGAATGCTATCCGGATGTAGAAAATTCCGGAGCTTGGATGAGATGGGCGCTGCCTAACCTGGTAGGCTGTAGGCGTGAAAGACCGGGATTCAAATGCGCACTGACGTTTTGGTTTCAACAAGATGACAAGGCGACTCCTGGATGCAATGCACTCCTGGTTTGAAGGCGGGTGGGGGTAAATTCAGATTTGCTGCCTATGATCAACATCGGGTATTTGAAGGGCAGCTGCGCCCTCAACAATGGCAATTCATTTACTCTTGAATACGACAAACGAAAAAGACGGCTTAATTCTTCTTTCTTCCTACTGATCACCAAGAAGCAAAATTATGGATTTTTTTAGATCTGAGGGGCGTCTGCTGCCCAACCTAGTTGACGAGCTAGCTGTGTCCAATCCAGGTCAGCTATACTGTATCCATGCGAAGTCCCATAAGGTGGATGATGGATGGCACGAAATAACTTTCCAGTCACTTGCAAATGCAGTGAATCGTCTAACTTGGTGGATCAACGAGTGCCTGAACGGTGATTCAACGTCGCAAATTCTAGCCTACGTCGGTGCAAACGATCTCAGATATTCTGCTTTTATCCTAGCTTGCGCCAAGTTAGGCCATGTAGTAGGTACTTTGCGAGTGAAGCAGAGGAATCCTTCAGAGCAAATTCTAAATGCCAACTAGTAGGCGCTTCTTCTTTCTACGAGAAACTCTCAAACGGCCTTTCGTCACCTTCTTTTAGCGACAAATTGCTCTATTGTTGTTGATGGCGCCGAGAAATTACAGCTAAAACAAGCGCTAGATGAACTGGTTGACAACTGCAAGGATATTTCGCTTCGGCGTTGGAGCATAGCACCTCTCGCAGAGGTTTTTGCGGAACAGCATAGCCCGGTGTATCCCAGCAGGCTTACTTTCAAACACGATGAAGATCGCACGGCAATCATAATTCACAGCTCTGGAACAACTGGTCTCCCTAAACCAGTTCATTTAAGTCATGGTTATCTGTCAACAATAGATAACATGCAGTATTTGCCTATTCCTGTGGGGCGGAAGTCAGCGCAGATGTTCCTTAATCATAAGGGAGACACTCGCTTGATGTATGGTCCTCTTTTCCACTTTATTGGGCTTGTATGCATGATGGAGTGTATTTTCTTTAAGACCCCATTTCTACTTGTTCCCGATGGGCCGTTGACAGATGATGTTTTTGAGAAAATTATGACGAGTCCCTTTACCCCACGATGGGGTCTGATGGCCCCTTGGGTGTTAGAAGAGCTCAGCAGCTCAGAGAAAGGTCGAAAATCTTTATCTAAACTACAATCACTCAACTATGGCGGAGCTCCTCTCTCCACAACTGCTGGAGAACGAGCATTCCGACTTCTCCGTCTCCAGACGCTCATGGGTAGCAGCGAGACGGCCTATACGCCGACCCTTTTATGTGAAGATCCGAATGATTGGGAATATATGGAATGGAATCCTTACTTTCAAATCAAAATGGACAGCGTGGGGGGAGGGACTCTACGAGCTCGTCATTCCTAGGCAAGAAACGCGTCATTTCCATGGAATTTTCCACACAGCGCCAGACCTTGACGAATATCGGACCGGAGATCTCTTTCAGCCGCATTCCTCAAAACCTACCCTGTGGAAGTATGAAGGGCGCCGAGATGATATAATAGTTTTGAGTAACGGTGAGAAGTTTAATCCGATTGATGCCGAACAGCAAATTCGATCGAGTGATTGGGTCAAAAGTGCTGCGATTTTTGGCCAGGACCGATTTCATCCCTCTCTCATCATTGAGCCCCATTGGGACCAGCTCCCGTCAAGCTGGACAGAAGCCTGGCTGAAGGAACAGATCTTGCCCGCGGTTCAGCGCGCCAATTCGGAGCTGCCCGCTCACGGTAAGATTCTCGAGAGTAACATCGCATTTGCAGTTCCAGAGAAGCCTTTTCAAGTTTCACCCAAAGGAACTCTGCGCCGCAAAGACATACAGTCCACCTACCTGGATACTCTCGATCAGCTCTATGTAGAGAATACACCGAGCGACCTGCCTGGCATTTTGGGCAAGGATGTCGCCCTGTACAGTCTGCCCGAACTGCAGCAGTGGCTAGAAAATCAAATCTCTCGAATTTTAGGCTTCGATATCGGAAGTCATGAGAATGATCTCATTGGTCTCGGGCTCGACTCTCTTCAGGCTATGCAAATCGTGAAATTAATTCAGGAGGTGGTAATAGCTCAGCCCACTGAAACCCCTTTCAAATGGACTACTGTGCAATTGTACAAATTTGGCAATCCAAAAAGGATTGCACAAGAGCTCTATGCGCAATTAAAACAAGGAGAGTCCGTGGAAAATATTTCAAAATCAGATTCGCTGTCTTTTGGTTCTCGAGATGAGCAACTTGCAACTATGGTCAGAGAGCTGTCCGGTTTCCCTCCCCTGAGTGGCATCAACGTGGCCTTGACTGGGTCAACAGGAGAACTAGGTAGCTATCTGCTACACTCATTACTGCAGAGCCCCCTTGTCAACCACGTTTTTTGTTTAAATCGAGCTCATAATGCGGGCGCACGGCAAAAATCCAGCTTTCGGGAAAAGGGGTTGTCAGAAGCTGGATTGGAGCGCGTCACCTTTCTCCATACCCGCCTTGACGCAGAATTCCTTGGCCTGGAAGCCGAACCGTACAGCCGACTGCGAGAGAGTGTTGATATAATCATTCACAACGCTTGGCATGTAAGCTTCAATCTCCCGGTGGCAAGCTTTAAGCCACATATTATAGGGACAAGACGCATTTTAGAACTTGCTTCCCATTCGACACGATCTGCTGAGATTCATTTCATTTCCTCTGTGGCGGTCGTGACTGGAAAATCTACTGGTTTTGTCAAAGAACTCCTGCATGATGCTTCTTTTGTATTGCAACAAGGATACGGTGAATCTAAGTTTGTAGCCGAACAGATGTGCGGCATCGCCTCCATGCAGAGCAAGTCACGAGTGGCTATTCATCGCATCGGCCAACTTGGAGGACCCTCAAGCTCCCTTTCTGGCATGTGGAATCCTCGAGATTGGTTCCCCACTTTAGTACAGTCGTCTCAGATGCTGAGCAAGTTACCTGACAGTCTTGGGGCCATTCAGGTAGATTGGCTACCAATTGTGAGTATCCCCGTTTTATGCCCTTCAATTTACCCTTGAGGATGATTCTAAAGTTCTACAGGATACCGCCGCAAAAGCAATTGTGGAGATCATTCAAAGTCGTATCCATAAAAGCCTACCCCGCTTAACCGTTTACCATGTCAAGAATCCACATGCAACAGAATGGAAGACGATCAGTGGCCTTGTAGCCAAGGCCTGTAATGCTCAGATTGTAACCATGCAAGAATGGATCTCGAGTGTAGAGACAGTTATGCTCTCCAAGCCAGCCCTCTCTGATGGTGTTTCCGCCGTAAACTTGCTGGAGTTTTTTACAGAAATGCTGCAAGAGGGGAGCATGTCCCCACTGGTGCTTGAGACGCACAACGCTGAGCGGGACAGTACCATTTTGCACAGTCTGAAGCCAGTCGACGAGGGTCTTGTGGAACTATGGCTGAAGCAATGGCAAAAGTGGCTCCCTGATCTGTTCGTATAAATCACAATTGAATATCAAAATTCGCTTGTGACGAATGTTCAAGCATATCAATACCATATTGCAAATATTCTTTCTATTCCTGCTTGCTTTTGCCCAAGCTTTGCTTATATCTAGATCCGAAACCACTCCCTGTGCACTTTAGGTCAATCACGATAGCTAGACATCTTGATACAAATTGTATCATAGATATTTAAGTTCAGATGCCATATATATGATTTATTTCATTTCTGAACGATTGAGTGAAAGTAAGCTTGTAGGTAGAAACGTAATACTGATAGACTGGTTGAAGGCCCTGGTAAAAGAGGTTGGGTGATGCTCAGGCATCGCATGGCTAGCAGGAAATCGGGAAGAATCACCCTTTGTTCAAGATATGGTTGACCCACCCATAGTAGCTTTTGAGCAAAGGCTGTTCAAGTCTTGAGTTTTGTTATTTTCGAAGATGGTTGGATGGATTTGCCTTTGCTGGAGACAAAGAAGAAAGCGGCGCAGGAAAGGAAGAAAGAATAATACACTAGCCTGGTGCTCACAACAGCCAATCAACCCAGGATAATAAAATCGGAGACATGGTTCTCCAATCACGCTACCTGTTGCTCATATTTTCCTCTTTCTTGCCTCTTTCTCGTAGAGTGCTTCATATTTAGACTTTCTGTGGCACTCTATCTTGTGAGGGGTGGTTTTCATGACCCCTTTCTGCTTTGTATTCTATTTCTTTATCTCGCAAGGGTAAAGATTCGAGAAAATGAACTCCCTGAATAACTGTGATACTGTAACTGACGGAGGTGTCTTTTCATAAGAAGTTGTGAGAGACCAAACTACCCTGAGCTTTTGGTTTGCCTTCTTATGTGAACCGATTAACAAACTTAATTGACTACTCCAGGACACTAAAACATCAACATCTGTTGCCGCCGTAATGCCACTCCATAGGAAGAGAAGCGCGAGTTCCTTGTCCGACAGGGAGAGTATTTGGCCTCCTGCTGAGGATGAAAAACCCCAGGTGATATCTGATGTTGATGTCGAATTCGCGGATATCGATCCTCGAATTAGGAGATGCCAGGAGCGAATCGCGAATGGGATCTGCACCAAAGGCAACGAGATAAAATTGACTGCCTTGGAAGCAGCGAAAAACTATCGAAAGTAAGAGCTGCCCCCCGAAAAGTTTCAGAATCAATGTCAATGATATAAACTAAACGAAAATAGGCAGCTTATGGACCGTGAGCCGGGTCTGAATTGGGAAACGGTCAAGCGTTTACAAACCCTGGAAATGATTAAACAAAGTTTGGAGGAAGATGATCACTACAAAGAGCTTGTGAACGTCAAGGCTATAATATCTGCCTATCGATCGGGCAAGCTATCATTTGATGGGAACGCCACCTACTGGTGTAATGGGAAGCCCCTTGAAGGACCTAAGCCATTTTCCTGGGAAGACTTCCGAAGATTGAATACAGCAGAGCACAGACAAGGAGGGGGATTTTGGGTCGAGGGGGTAAGTCGGATTAGCTCTACTTAGCGTCAAGATATATTAGTTTGAGGACTTAAATTAAGGAATTTTGGCATCCATTCAAGACAACCGGGCCTGGCCCCGTTTCTCTAAACAGCTTATGTCATATTACGGATCCCAGAACAGATTTTTTTTACGTGAGTGAAACAATTCTTTGAGTGAATCAGCCAGTTTGTCTTTGCGGGCATTTCTGAGTAGTCGAATGTTTAGTTGACAAAAACACTTCGGTACAAATCGGATCACGCTCATACCCCACAAGAGAACCCCGAGGTTGATCTTGTGTTTGCCGACGACACGGGAGCTCAGATGATGATGATGTACAAGGACGATATGGATAACCTCATGGGAACTACAGGAGCCACGGATTCTCCCTGGGATCATATTATGGGGTTCGACATGTTCAGGGGAGCGATCGGTGAGCCTGCCATGAATTTACTCTTAGCAGTTGAAGTGAATATATGCGCGAAAGGACTTGCCTCGAATCTACTTCCGGGACGGACTCCGCTAAAAACTTCATGGATGACAGTTCCTTGCTGTATCTCAGCGGCGCAGTCAACATGGTTGGACGGCACCCCCAAAACAAGACTTAGTGGCCCATGGCTGCGACAAATGCTATATACTGCAACGGCCCCTGAATTCCCAGGATCCCCATCCAGGATGTATATTAGCACAACTAAAAGTGGTCTCTCTGGAAGAAACATGCTGCCGGCTCACAGCATCGCGACTGCCGTGCCTCTTCAATTTGAACAGCCGCAGTGGGGAGTAGCCAAGGTTGCAGACCCTGGAACAGGTCGCGTAGTACCATTCGCAAATAAAGCTATACCGGGACGGGTGCCACCATGAGAATGAAGTTTTAGCTTGAGCGAGATTTTCTGAATGGATATTAATGGGTTACCCTTGTTTCAACAGATGATCATCTTAATCTGGTCGCATGAGAACTTGTGCCAACCATGAGTTATACAGCGGGTTCAACTTCCTGTTTATTATTTAGGTATTTGTTTATCAAGTGGTACCTTCCTTGGCTGTTTCAATTCTGTTAGTACTACGTATTATCCAGATGTCTTCAAGTGAGTAGGATCCGTTTTGCTCTTCGACACAGATCCACCGACTTGAGAAGCAGTCTCTCGGACATTTAATTTCTCACGATTCAACCATTGCCTTTAAGCTCTTCTCTTGAAACGAGCATTCTCAGGCTTTTGTGCACTTGTCATTTAGTAGAGGTCTTGATTGAAGTGATCGCGGCGTCCAGAAATCAAGCCAATATAAGGGGGAAAAGTCAATCATCAACGGTAAAAAAATACAGTGACTTAACAGAAAAACGCTGGAGTCGACCTTGAGGTGAAAAGCACGGCTGCTTGTAGAAAGGCTCTCATGAATCCCCAGCCTCGCTTCGACCGAGGTGTTTCGGCGCCGCGAATTGGTCACGAACCACGCCCCTAGGCCGTACTTTCCACCTAATTAACTGGAGATGCAAAACGTAGGACTATAGTTTCATAGTATCAATCAAAAACAGCTCGTCATTTATTATCCGATATTTTTCTCTTGTTTTTCGGCAGTTCGGGGCTCTCGTGAAACGGACTCGACCAGACTCATAGCCAACTAGAGCCTGGGTTGTTATCGGACAGACAACCGGACCCCGCATGCGATGTGTGACATCCGCGTTGCGATAATTTCCTCTCACTATCACACCATTTCGACTGACTGCCGGGCATTCTGAGGGTCTCATCATTCATGAAGCATCTCTCGCCATACTAAATGCTATTCCGCATTTAATTCGCACCGTCTAGCATTTTGCCCCGCTTCCATTTTGACCTCTTCCTATTTTCACATTTCCACATTTTCAAATTCTCCCACCTCGGCAAATCAACCTCCTCATAAACTCTTGATTATCTCAAGTGGTCCAGGAGGTTATGGTTTCTTGATGCGATTCAAAATTATCCCCTCCATCATCGGCGCCTGAGAACAACGAGAGCGTGTCAACATGGCTTCAATACGGACAAAACTCGCAGCCTGGATCTGGGGATCCGATTCCCAGGACCGTGCCTTGCTGGCAAAACTGGACGTGACGCTGCTCCCGTACTTCTCGTTGATCTGGTTTCTATTTGGTGTCACCCGCGCCAGCTATTCCTCCGCCTATATCAGCGGCATGAAGGAGGCGCTCAACTTCCAAGGGAAGGAATACAACTATATGAACACTGCGTATCTGGTCGTTTATGCCGTTTGCCAGATGCCAGGAACCAGCCTCTTGACCGTCGTGCGGCCGAAATATGTTTTCGTTACAGCGAATGTGACCTGGAGTGTCCTGACCTTGATCACTTATAAGATGACCCATGCCTGGCAAGTGATTCTCTTAAACGCAATCGAAGGCGGGTTTTCAGCCATCGCATAGTAGGACTCCCTTCTCCAATATTCAGAGAAACATGTGTCAAAGAATATAGTCTGACGAAATAAACAGTGTGGGTGCCCACTTTATTCTCGGTTCTTGGTATAGGAGATCGGAGCTTGGCATTCGGGCGGCCGTCTTCTGCGTGTTCGGGCAACTTGGGACAATGTCGGGAGGCTGGATCCAAGCAGGGTTGCTTAAATCCCTGGCTGGGAATGGAGGTCTTCCTGCCTGGAAGTGGATATTCATCATTGTTTCAGTAATGACGGTGCCTGTTGCGCTGTTCGGTAAGTTTCTCGATCCGTACCTTTTTGGAAATATCACAAGAATACCTAACCGGAAGCGCTTTGCAGGCTGGGTCTTCATTCCTGATCTTCCAGTACATCGGGCTGCTTGGTTCTTGAACAATGAGCAGAAGGAGCACGCAGTGAATCGACTGGGCTCTCTCCGTAAGCAAACATGGGATACAACGGTGTTTCGGCGTGTTTTGCTGAGCTGGCAATTCTGGCTTCTGCCATTTATTTTCATGTGTGAGTGTCGACGACATTGGAATGGGCCAGAGTCATTTGTTTAACTGATCATTGTGTAGTGTATTCACTTTGCGTGCAAATGCTGCAGAACAACGTCATGGCTTACTGGATGGCATCCCGAGGCTATACAAAAATCCAGCAAAACAACTACCCTACCGGAATCTATGCGAGCGCCATTTTTGGCACTATCTTATATGCTGTCATCTCCGACAAGCTGAAGTCCCGCTGGGAGGTTTCTATTGCTATTGGCCTGACATTTGTCATTGGGTCAGCCATTCTTGTGTCGAGCCCGTCCACCGACGCGGGCTACTTCATAGCATTTTATTTACTCGGTACCACCTTTGCGCCACAGGCAGTTTGGTACTCATGGATGGCAGATGTGACAAGCCATGATTTTCAGCTTCGTGCTATAACAACTGGATTCATGAACTCGTTTGATTTCGCCTTTGTGACTTGGTGGCCGCTAATTTTCTACCCTGCCACCGCCGCCCCGGATTTCCATAAAGGATATATTGCAAGCCTAGTGACCGGAGCATTGACGCTCCCTTTCATATTATTGATCGCCTATCTAGAAAAAAGGGACAGGGGTCGAGGTCTCATCGGACGGGTTACAACTACCAATTCTTTAGCCGAAGAAGATGCGCTCGTGCAAGGCAATGGACCAGACAAGGCACGTAATACATCGGCCAGTGCGAGAAGATCTGAGCTCAGTATATAGTCATGATTGGAAGCTCAGGCTCATTCTTAGATGTGGAGAGTTATGACTTATCCAGAGAGAGCCTTTTCAAAAATACGTTTTCTTTCAAATTTTCTACCAGTATGCATCTGCCACCTCGACTGTTAACTGGAATGCCAAGCTCTGGAACCATCAATTTTCTCGATGCTCTTCATTGAGTTCCTTTATGACAATAACAAACGACCTAAAAGAAGAGTTCCTTCGGATATTTGGAATTAAATTTCCAATTTGTGCTCAGCCGGCCCAGTATTCGTCAAATTGGTAACTTTTTATACAGAAAGCGACGTGAAAAAGCGGTATTGAGGGTGTATCAACTTTCATACTAAAATAAGAAGATATTTAATAAGAAAGGGGACTCAAAGCTAAATCGTATTCGGTACTAATACGTGTCATTAGAAGTATAGTCCTCATTGGGAGCAAACTTCATCTCGACAGCACCAACGTCAAATACCGTCACCACATTTTTCTGGAACGTATCGCCCAGAATGTACAAATCCTCAGAACTATCATCTCCTCCGTCGGAAATACCTGAGATGCAAACAGCATTTCCATCGTCATCGGTACCAATATACAAGATCATGTCAAGCGGATTGATTGTGAATGTAGTGCCGCTAATGGTAATACCGTGAGTCGGGGGAGTTGCGTCGCAGTCTACAATGTAGGCGCCTTCATCAGAGCTGTATGTGGCGGCGGGATCAAAGGCATCGTTCACGGCGTTGGCAATACTAGTAGGGTAATAGTTCAAAGTGGTTCCAGAGTCGACCTAAGGTGATTTGTTAGTATAGTTCCCATTTGTACTGGAAGGAGCCGTTAACTAACAATATATTGGATGTCAGAGCCCCCTGAACCGGAAACGCTCTTGCCAGCCACAGTGACCGCATCGATATTGATTGTATAAAAATCATACGTCTTCGGATATCCATCAATTGATGTGATCAGGATATCGGTAGTTGCGAAAGTCTCGTTGAAATCGATTGGAGGCAAGCCGCCCAGGGTAAGATAGCCTGCATCGCCGGAAACATCACGGAGAATAGCGAGGCTGAAATATGAATCGATCAGGCCATCCTCGTACATGGTGGTGAAGATGGGGTTGTATTCCTCTTGGTCCCCCGTCTTGGTGGAATAGGCACTTGTCCTAGTTCATAAATTAATTGATCTGTTTTCCCTCTTGTGATAAGACAAAAAACACTTACAAAGCAGGGTATGCCAGCCCAGTTAAGCCAGAGGTTGTACCATCACCTTCCCATGCTGCCTCAGTCACAACGGCCACCTCCTGCTTGACAGTAACGTCGGCAAGACTGACAGTCTCGGTACCCATGTATCCATAAAGATATTCACCATCTCCATACTCGATTTCGAACTCCTCACCGGAGATCTTCGAAAATGTACTGTCGACAGTGTATGTCGAGCCAAATTCACATTCAGACGTTGACACTTTCTTACCAGTATCGAGATCAAGACACTCGAACCCTTCCTTGACCACCCACGTATCACTGGATCCAGTATCGACAATAACATCAAAGGTCTGGGTGCCAAAAGTAATTGATGTGGCATATTCCTCGCCTTCAGCGAGAGAGGTCAGTACGCTGCTTCCCGAACTTGTCGCTCTACTAGTCAAGCCCAAGAGATATGCCGCACTACGGGGATTGGCACGACCTGTTTTGATCTTCTGAAGACTCATCGCATGTGAAGACTTCGAGACAGTACGTGAAGTCGTAGAGGAAACAGGCTTCCAAGTTGTGACGTTGAGATCAACATTTCGCTGCTGCAAATTCCGTCTTGCCAAGTGATTTATTGGGGCATCATCGAAAGAAGCTGCCCCAACTGCTAGAGCTAGAAGAGAGACCTTTGTGATAATTGTGGAGTCAAACATGATGAGGTGGGAGTCAGGTCCACGCAAAAGGGTTGTTTAAGGACAGAGGTCTTACCTCCATTGCGGATTTGAGATGCTTTAAATACTTTGCCTGTCTTCTCCTTAGTACCATTTGTTGATAACTAGTTGGTAAAGACCTCACGCAGTGATGAAGCTAATGAATACTGCGGGAACCTAGCGAGGGCATCTTGGCCATCACGGACATAGTCTGTGAGCCCAGGTAGCATTGACTTTCCAGACTACCGATAACGCGAAGGCTTGCTCACCAATCAGTCTGGTGAGACTAACCAAGCAATTTCGTGAAAATGCTTAGCTGCAGTTCTAAATTTCACTCCGACGGAGCTCCGTAATGGCATTTTCATCTTCGTGCCAAATCTTGGTATTAATGGTAGAGAAAATTACCGGAGTAAATGAACACTAGGCCTGAAACGTTGAACTGAAGTACGCTAATGCGCACTTCTTCAGTCGGCTAGATGCGGGGTTCTTATCTGGTATCTCTGAAGAGCCCGCCGAGCAATTTTGAGACTTTGAACGATTAAACTTGATCCTGAATATTTTCAGCATTGGGCAAGAAGACGGCGTCGGAGCTGACTCCGTAAATTGTGGGCGTAAGGAACGTAACGCAACATGCTCGCACCATGGTGCGAATGGGGCTGTGTTATGATCCAATGGGTTCAAGTACCAAAGACATAGAATTGGCCAATGAAGGATTATCAAACAGAGGAAACGCCGCGCAGAGTCTATTAATCCCAGCTTATAAGACGCTTCAAGGTATTAGTAGACAAGAAAGAAAAGGCAAGCTCTTGCCTCTTGATTATACCTAAACCTAAACCAAGCTTATTGTTCGAGCTCGAACCAAACAATCCGACTTCAATTCATCCTAAGAATCAATGATGATTGGATCCTTCTACTATTACTAGATCAACCTTTATGATAGACCGGCGAATCCCCTTTGTTCAAAAGCATCAATATCAACAAGGAATTCTTAAGGAAGCCCACTGTTTTAGTATGATTCCCGTAATCATAACAACTAGTTCATTCGTAAATTGCGTGTTTGCATGCATTCTAGTTCTTCAAAAAGGAAAGTTTAGAAAGACAATAGGACAACCGTAAAAGAAGCGTCGAGCTCAAATCACGAGACCTGGCCTATTTTTGCCCTTGTCAGCTGGTGGTTCCTACCAACTGCCTTAACTCCATTCAGTCCGTTGCTGACCTTCAGTCCCAAATATCCCGCTGCCTCTAAGTTTGGTGTCGCGTCCAGGTTGTCAAGAACCATATCCATCATGCCCCCTTCTAATAGACTCTCATACACGATGCTGACCCAGCTTCCGATGCTCTTCTTGCCTTCTGTAGACAGTCCCTTCTGCGCATTGTACAAAGGGTCGTCCTCGATACCGCAGTGCAGAGGTATGTTGAGCTTGGAGCGCAACCATGTATACAGCAAGGCGGTTCCCTCGCCTAGCTGTAGACTCACCTCTGTCGGTGAGATAGTTGCACTGGGGTAGAACATTGATTCTGCAGTCTTTGAAACGATATCTGCAAAGCTATCTTTGAAGGCGACTATCTTTGCGACCGAGCAGTCATGCTGAATCTTGACTATGAAGTTGGTGACCGGTGACACGATGGCCTCAACCACGGCAGAGACGCGGTCTTTCCAAGTATTTGAGTTCGATTGGTACCATGTGGCTTCGACCACAGGGAACAACGATAAAACTAGTTTATCGATTTGTGAAGCTGTTAATCCAAGGCCGTGTAAGGCTCCGGATGGGCTGTTGTCCTTCATCTTATTATGAAGCGTTGACAGGAATCGGACGTGGGCCGCTCTCAAGTCAACTGCCTGGCATGAGACATAAAGGTGGCAGGCACTCATATGTGCAAGAATGTCGACAGCCTCCATTGTTCGACGGGCTGAGATCAGAGCTAGCGAGTTGATCCCTTGGTTATGCATCTCGGCTGACATGACGTGTGCAGAGACGGGATGTGCCAGGGCTGCCAGCTCAGACATATAAGCCGACATATTGATGTCTATGCCTTTCATGGTATAATTCTCATGTGCACTGGCATTGAGATTGGCCTCAAGGCCATTATTTGTGGCAGGGTTGATGATTTCAGTGACTTGGGACCAGAGCATTCGCCCGATCATCTGAATAGCCAGACGAGCCTTGTCCATAGCCGACGTGACCACTGCTGCTTGAAAATTTCCTCCAGAGTACACCCCTCCACTGGAAGCACCATCTCCATCACCCGTGTCCACGAGCGGGTTATCTGATGTAGAATTCAGCTCCACTTCCAGCTGCCGTTGGGCGAGTAGAAGGTCCTCTAGATATGGTCCAACCCATTGAGGGGCTGTTCTGGTCGAGTATCGATCCTGCCAGAGGCCGTCGCCATTTTTCTTCCTCGAGTCCAACCCAACAACCAACTTGGAGCCTTTCAGGAAGCCTCTGATGTTGCTTGCAACTTCTATTTGCCCAGGGTGCGGTCGGGTGGCGTGAATAAATGGAAGAGCCCATTCCACATTGCCGCCCAGGGCTTCAGCAGCAAAAGCCGTCAACATTTGGGACAACAGCGCTAGCTGCTGTGTATCGTAGAGGACCAGACTAGCCACCGCGACAGACGGAGCAGTGCCATTGATGAGACCAAGTGCCTCTTTGGGGCCAAGACCCGATGGCGAAAGTCCGCTGATCTTCAGCGCCTCCGAAGACGGCATGACCCTGGTTTTTGGGCCCTTGCCAACCTGTACAAAGACATCTGGATTGCCGGTAATTGCACCCGCAATATAAGACATCGGCATCAGGTCTCCTGACGCAGATATCGTTCCCCGCAGAGGGATCAGGGGAACTAGGTCGTGGTTCAGTAGGTCAACCAAACTCTTGAGCACGGATTTGCGAATGGCACTGTGGCCTCTGAGATTCTGGTTGGCTCGGGCAACGATGGTCCCTCGGACCCAGGCTGGCGGCATGACATGGCTCGGCTTTCTCTCCCAATTCGCCGCCGGATCCTTATCGGCGGCGGTGATGATGCCGCTCTGGATAAATTGCAGGAGATGGGTCTGTAGATCAATGTGATCATTGGTTCTGGTATCGGCACTACCGCCAAACCCCGTATTGACACCGTAGATGACATGTCCCCGTGAGAGATGATCAATCAGCGTCTGGACGCTGAGATCCAGCTGCTTCGAGAGCTGTTCATCCATACTGATGGTCGGGGTGACCTCATGTCGGGCCACGGCGACAATGGAAGCAATGTCTAGATTGTTGCCATCGAGGACGATTGATTGTTTCTTGTCCCTCAGGTCACGCAGGCGTCTCCAGAGCTGCAATGTTGCACTCGTATGAGGCGAGTGTTTGGCAGTCCCCATGATAGGGCCGGCAAGTTCAGAATTGCTCTGTTTCAAGTGTAGGGGAAGGAGGCGGGGGAGGGGGTTTCCTGGGTTTGTTCCCAAATGAAAGTTGGAAGTTTTCCTGAGGCGTCCAGCGAGTGGGAGAAGAGAATTGAGCAAAGATAGGCATCTGAGACGGGGGATGAAGGCGCGGTATGGATCTTTATCGACTTGGAATTCGTGGATCGTCCGAATCCGGCAGCAGAGTGGAAATGCAAGGCGATGGGATCTGCGGGACTAGCCGGGCCCTTGTTCATGTTCACGAGCCTGACTGGTCTTTTGGACCGATCACATTCAGCTGCACCAGGATTCAGGATCCGGAATTCGGGATCCAGGAACTTTCCCCCGATATGCTTTTCGCGCACCCCACGACCCTGCCACCGGCGTGGACACCATGGAGACTAGCATCTGCAGAGCTCCACCCCCGTCCCGATCGCTGGTGTCCGCCTCTCCCTTTCCACACACGTGCAGAGCCGATCCCTACTCGCAACTCTGTTTTGAGATTGGATTGAATAGTCTGTTTTTCGCGGGCCACACGATTTTCTTTGCGCTCTCCCTCTCGCCGTGCCTCCCGTCTTGCCCAGCGTGCTGGATCCCCGTCAAACTTTGACCGTGGAAAGTCTAATCCAGCATTCCCGCCCGCTTTCTGGACACCGAAGAGACAAACGGAGTACGGAGGATAGAGGACAGAGTCCAGTGGCTGACGGGAGTGGGGCGCGGTGCCTGGAGCCCAGACCAAAAAGTACGGTGTACTCGCAATGCCTGAATGGTTCCTGGATAGTACCAATTTGTCAAATCCCAACTCCCATCGGTGAATCTCACGAGCCTCGGGGCCGTATTCCGACCTCTCCCGCGGCCGTTCGAGTCTGCGCGAATCAGGATTGCTGTCTCTCTCTTTTGATCGCGGACAACCTATTCGCCGAAGTCGCGGGGGGATCCGCGAGATTGATGTCGAGGATCTAATTTAGCTCGCTGACACGTGGCTTGGCGATGCCCAGCTGAGCCCAGCTGACGATGTGCCTCAATGTGTTATCTTCCAGTTCGATAAAATCGATGGACGCGATGGTTGCGTGAGAAGAGGATGGGCATCCGATTGTGAGTCACCAATTTGGATCCTCCTGGATGATGGACGATCGGCTGTGCTACCCCAGAATATCTATTGCGCATTGTGTACAGTATCGCTGTGGCGTATACTTCAGGTCATTAGGAATTGGCACGCCATTGGGTTGAATGTTGTACTCGCCCGGAAAGTAGAACTTGCAAACTTAAACTGAAAACACCCATTCTCCAACTAAAAGCAAAGAATTTGAATAATGAGAATAATTATCTGAATGAAAAGAGTCCAAGAAGATCTCGCTATGATTATTATTATTATTTTTCTCTTTTTTGGTCTTTTTTTTTCTTTTCTTTTGTTGGCTGAAACCTCGAGAACCAATCCCGGTAGTTCCATATTGATAGTACCCAATTAAAGCCCAGGGATAGTCTAGCCTTTGGATCGCTGTTCCTGTGTGCCAGGCGTCCTTCTTGGCGGCCCCCGTCGTTCGCCGTTATGATCTATGCACTTAATATGCCCATCCGTGCATTGCCGGGCCGGATCGCCGATTCCTTGTCCCCACTCAAGGAGCACAGGCGCATCCATTAGTGATTGACAAGACGGCAGAATCAGCGCCGAGTCATGACCGAAAGCAAATCCCGAAGCGTCAAGTGGCTTGGGGATGGCGGGCAGCTAGCAAGTATAGAGAGAGAGAGAGGATGACGTGCGTCAACTCTACCCGACCGACATAGATATCAAGGATAAGGCTTTGGGGGGGGAGGGGCGGGGGTTAGATTTCGGCCGAGGGCGCTGTGCCAAAAGCACCTTGTATTTGCTTGATCTGCTCGGAATATGGAAAGATTCCTGTGATCCATAATTTAGCACGTTAACGGCAGCTCTGCAGCTGAGGTAGCCCGGTTCGTGGTAGGAACGATCGCCTGCTAGTGGTCTTATAGTTGGGCGACATTGTAACGCTTATCAATGGACGTAAACTCTGAAATCTTACGTTGACTAGCTGCATATACCCACTAATCACTAACTAGTCATCTAGTAGTCGACTAATGGGGAATAATACATATGTCTATCAGCTGAAGGAGAAACAGCGTCCTGTGGATAGCCTGCCGGATCCGAAAATCCAAAGGAAGAAAAAGTCATGCCGACCGGAAATGATTGGGGGAGCGTCTTGAAGGAAGATGATGTTCCGGATTTCAGTGCTCCTCACAGAGCTTATTCCGAAATCCTCGTAAGCTTCCCAATCTGAGCTCAGTCACGCTCAAGCGACGCAAACACTAGTGGTTTTCGCCTCACGATCTACAATCGCGGCGCTCAATTTGCTTTTTTTCAGCCCTTGCCTAGTCCGGCTTCCTTTTGCTTTTTGAGACTAATCCTTATGAGTGGCGTTGGGTCATGGATCCTTGATCTATGACACGGGAATCTCCCACTACTTGGAGTAGGATTCCAGGCGCATAAGGACCATTTTGGCCGTGATAGTCTAGATGTCCCGAAACGGAAGAGACTATCGGAGTGGGTTTACCCCCTGTGATACATTTGTAAACCCGATTCAAGATAGTCTAATAGCTAGCTAGTGCGGGGTTAAAGGTTTCTCTCCACTCTTGAGGTGAGTTCGAGTCATTTAATCACAGATCAGGAGGTACAACCACCCGGAAATGCCGTTGTCGGACAGGAGAGATCTTGCATAACCCGATGTATATCAAATTCTACCCCCATTATCATTTTTCCACCCTAAAGATACTGCCTGAAGATGTAGAGAGTTCATTGTTGTGAGTCATCGAAGGGGTATACCGCTGAACCCACTCCGTCATAATGGCTAGAAAAACATGACAAACTGCCTTGACGGCATCATTCTGAGATTTTCCACAGCATTCGATGTAGACTGTAGAAGAGATGAGTGATTGTTTGAGGTTTTGTCTCACAGGGATCTCGTTAACAGATGCCACTTACATTTGACTTTTGGTTCTGTGCCCGAGCCTCGGAAAGTGAATCGCACCCCGCCCTCTAACCACAGCGTAAGCATTTGGCTGGTAGGATCCTTGGGGAGGTCAGGCATATGATCCGGGGTTTCAGAGTCATATCCTTCGGTCAAGTCTCTCCATCGAAGAATTTTAAAAGCACCGAGTTGCATTTCAGCGAGAAATGGTCCACTTCTGATTCCACGGAACAGCTCGAGCGTCAGTTGGGGATTTGGAGACCGAAAATAATTATTGAGGGTCTCATGGTGCCCATATTCGACAAAAAGGCTTTGCAGTTTGTCAAACACCGTCAATCCCTGGCTCCTCCATTTCGCTGCTGCCATGCTGAACACCGCAAGAGCGGTTATACCATCCTTATCATAGCTGATGGCGGGAAACATATATCCCAATGCTTCCTCGTACGCAAAAGGCACGGTCTGTCCAGCCTTTTCAAGATCCTGGGCGATATTGCCCATCCACTTAAACCCGGTCAGTGTCTCTTCGAATTGAATACCTTTAGCGGTGGCCATCTTCTCGAGCATGCCACTCGACACGGTTGTTGTCAAGACGGTTATTTTAGACGTATCAGCGTTGACATCGAGAGCATCGAAAAGGTGAGACGCGAGAAGGACGCCGGTGTGATTTCCTGTGAACAGGAACCATTTTCCCCTGTTAAAAAAAATAAGCCATAAATCATTATTTTAGATTGAGAAGAAGACCCTTACTCGACTTTCTCTGCCACGGCAAATCGATCCGCATCTGGGTCATTGGCAAAAATCAATGTCTGTCCTACTTTATCTGCAGTCTCGATTGCAAGATCCAGTGCGCCAGCTTCCTCTGGATTCGGGAACTTGACCGTGGAGAAGTTTGGATCAGGAGATGACTGTCGAGGAACGGTGAAATATTCTTTGCCTTCGTAGATTCCCAGGTCGTTCAGCAGAGGGGACAGTCGTAGGCCACCTACGCCATGGAGTGGAGTATATACGAATGATCTCGGAGTGTATGGCTGTGATACGGTCGACATCTGATCCAGAAGCAAGGTCAGTCTATCATTCGGCAGATTCAGAGGTGCTGGATTGCTTTCTGACCGCGTATTCCTTGACCTGGCGTTGATACGGGCGAAGGACCTTCACGAGGGCGTTGTCGTCAAAAAGGTCCCCGGGTTGTTGGCTTTCTGCCCAGGCATTAAGCCAAGGTTCGAGATTTTCGAGAATTGACTGAGCGATTTCCCCATCTTCGGGCCTATTGATTTGAGCGCCATTGCTGGAGTATCTGAGCCCACAGTCAGCGGCCAACGCGAATCAAGCGAGTGTTAAGGATTCCTTACACTTTATAGCCTGGACAATTCATTAGCCTTTGTAGTTAGCCAACAAAAAAAATCATATTCAAGGAATTAATTAATTACCGTTATCTTGCGGCGGGTTCTTTCAACCTGCATGTCAGTCCTTGTTTCTGATTTAAGCAGAGAAATTGAACGTACATGGCTTGCTGTCACCACCACACCCGCAGCTGTGTTGAATTCGCGCACTCCAAAGGAAACAAATGGGGTCGGTGCAGGCTCATCGATGAACCGCACGGGGATTTTCTGAGAAATGAAGGCATTGGCTGCGAGCTGGGCAAATCTATGGGAATGATGGCGCGCATCGTGTCCAATGATGACACCCCTCGAGGCGATTTCTGGGCGCTTAGTTCTAATATATTTTGCCAACCCCTGCGATGCTTGAATCACGGTCAGGCAGTTCATATAAGAGAATCCTGCGGCCATGCGGCCGCGTAAGCCCGCGGTGCCAAACTCAATGCCTGGAAATCATTGTTAACGGCCGCACGTTGATAACGGACACGATCCTGAAGATCAACCTACGCTTCCGTAGAATCAGTTCCAGTATGTTGATGGAATCCGCATTGCGTAGCTGTTCTATTTCCGCCCGTGTGGCGGGATCCTATAATCCAATCGAAGTCGGTGTGAGATCAGCCCACAAGGAATGGATCAGGAACCAAGGATGGCGGGTTGTTTACCTGGTCCCACCGGAGCCATGTTTCGACTAGCGACGACAGCGATACCTACAAAGGGTTAGAAAACACCGCAGCCACTGAATAAGGGCGGGTTCGCACCTGGTCAGCCATCGTGCCACCGTTGGATGAAGTCAAGCAGTAGTTCAAGCGAGTGGGCAGGACTCATGCACTGGAATCACGGGCGACCGCGGCCGATCAGTCCCCGCCGGTCTCCACCTCCGCCCCTGCTACATTTCTGCTGCCTTCCTCTCCACCTGTCCTTCTTCTGGGTCTCTTCATCCTGTGCATGAGCCTGCTCTCTCGATGTCATGTTGCACTATTGAGCCTGATACTGCTCATTTCGAGGTTCCAACCCCCAAACCCCTCTCTGTTTCCTAGACCGATTCCCGCATCCCGCATCTTTCACCGACCATGGAGAAATCCGCCCCCCGACCTTCCCGGAAGGACACCGTTTTGAGTCGACGATACATCGAGGGCTTGATCGCAGAGGGCAAACATGTGACGATATTTGAGAACCGCGTTCTGAAGATGGATGCCTATATGAAGTTCCACCCGGGTGGTGAGAAGCCCATGAAGCACATGGTGGGCCGAGATGCGACAGATGAAATCAATGCGTATGTGTGAACGGAAAACTAAGTCAGACCTGTGACCTATGACTGACATGAGCATGTGTTCTGGATTCTAGACTTCACTCGAAGGAAGCCCGCACGATCATGCTCTCATACCAGATCGGACGAGTCGAAGGCGTCTGGTCCAACTTTCTGCCTCCAATCCAGGGTGGCAAGTTTCGCCGGTATACTCAGGAAGCCTGCGAAAGCAGCGAGGGGGACCTTCCCAGCCAGGACAGCTCCAGCCCAGAGAGATCTATCCCGCCATCCCCGATCTTCGATGCGATCGATTCAGAAGCCACGAATCGCCGGAAGAAGTCCACACCTGAAACCGACAGCTCGGCGAGATCCACCCCTCCAAATGAGGAAAACCCGTCCAAGCCGTACTTCCTGGATGCTCGAACGAAAGAAGAGATTATCTTTGACACCGCCAAGTACCCGTCGCTGGATACCGAGAGCCAGGAGAGCATCAAGCAGAAATATCGCGAGCTAAACGAGCGCTTGACAGCAGAGGGATTATACAACTGCAACTATTTCTCATATTTCATCGAATGCTGTCGGTATACCTTGTTCGCATTTTTGGCCTACTTCTTTCTGCGCCTGGGGTGGTGGGCGATGTCCGGGTTCTGGATCGGTTGTCTCTGGCACCAGCTTGTTTTCACTGCCCATGATGCTGGCCATATGGGTATCACACATAATTTCCATGTCGACACGGTGATTGGGATTATCATTGCTGATTTCATCGGGGGGCTTAGCTTGGGCTGGTGGAAGCGGAGTCACAATGTGCATCACGTCGTGACCAATGAACCAGAGCATGACCCTGATATCGAACACATGCCTTTCTTTGCTATCTCGCATCGTTTCTTCGACAGCCTTCAAAGCACATACTATGACCGAAACATGACATTCGATGCTTTGTGCAAGATGACGCTCAAAATCCAACATTATTCCTACTACCCCATCATGATGTTGGCACGATTCAACCTTTACCGGCTCAGTTGGGAGTACCTTCTTAAAGGTCAGGCTCCGAAGCGCGGGCCTGCCTGGTGGCACATTTACCTTGAGATCGCAGGTCAGGTCTTCTTTTGGTACTGGTATTGCTACCTGGTAGTTTACAAGACAATTCCAGACTGGGGCAGTCGGATGACCTTCCTCCTGGTATCCCACATCATCTCCTCTCCGCTGCACGTCCAGATCACTCTCTCGCATTTCGCCATGTCTACTGCCGACCTCGGTGTCCGCGAGTCGTTCGCTCAAAAGATGCTCCGCACCACCATGGACGTGGATTGTCCTCAGTGGCTTGATTTCTTCCACGGCGGTCTGCAATTCCAGGCCATTCATCACCTCTATCCCCGAATGCCGCGCCATAACCTGCGCCGCGCTCAGAAGCACGTAGCTGAGTTCTGTCGCGACACCGGGATTCCCTACGCTATCTTTACCTTCTACGACGGTAACAAGGAAGTCATCGGCCGGCTCGGTGACGTGGCAAAACAAGTCCGCATTCTTGAAGAGTGCCGCAAGTCGATTGCGAAGGAGGGCGTGTTCTCCCATCACTAAGGCGTGGGACTCCGTGCGCTTTTCCTTTCTGTGTGTCCTGGCCCACCATCTTATATAGGGCTAGTGCAGCCATCTGTCTCGGTAAACTAATGAATTGAAATGTCCTCTTGTGCATTGTTTTCGATTGTATCATCTCTATGTCTCCAAGAAATCTAACCAGCATGTACAAGATATGTGAGAGAAGAAAAACGCTTTGATGGTTCATGGCGGTCTTCAAATAGCACCTGAAGTCGAGCCTGGATATACAGATTAGCCCGGTAATCCACCTCCTCGCGCAATCTTCTTTGCTCGCTGCTGTCGACGATTATGATTTGCACGGCTAGCCTTATTCTGCTCTTTTCGTTGATTGGCGATTGCATTGTTCTGTTCTCCAGACTGAGGTGGGCGACCCCCTCCCCGACCACCTCGTCCTCCACGTCCACGGCCGCTCCCACCTCTTCCCCCTCTTCCACCACGACCAGCAGGGGTTCCAGATGACTCGCCGTCATCAGATTCATCTCCATGCTGCGGCTTCCGATACGATGTCGGGGCAAGTTCCGGCTGGTTAAGCATACCGCTACCGGCCCCAACAGCATCAACGGCAAGCTTATCTTCCAGCTTAGCAAGACGCCTGGAGTCTCGTGAGAGCATCACAGCCCAACCCTCGATCGCCTCATCCGTCATGTTGGTCTCGCGCTTGAGTGATGCCCGTGGCTGTGAGCGGCGGGTCGTAGAATCCCGGGCGAAATTAGCCGGATTGGACTTATACGCGCGGAAGAGAAGCATGTCAAGTTGTTCACCACCAATCCGTCGATTTTGTGCGTCGCCATCAGCGTCAGCGTCAGTACCTGCCGTAGTGGAGTCGACTGTCCCGCCCACATCGGCAATGTCGTACGTGTCGTCGCGCTCATCATCATCCGAGTCAAATGTTGCCAGGGCAGATAGGATGGCTGCCTTGTTGGTGGCATGTTGACTGCGATCGGCGAGAACAGCGTCTGCAGTGAGATCAGGATCAGCACGGCCGAATCGCAACTTGCCTTTAGCAGCATCAGAGCGGCTTAGCTCAGCAATGTCGACATCGTCGTCGAAAACATTTCTTCGAGCTGGCATAAGCTCTGCTGCTGGTGGCGGCGAGGCCGTTCTTGGGGGCGTGGTTCCAGGGATCATATGGCTATGGGGCTCCTTTTGTGGGGGAAGTTGTTCAGACCGATCTAGAGACTGAAGCTCTGGAGGGAGAGAATCATCCAGGAGATGAGCTACCACTGTCTCCGGGTTATCGCTATAGACATCAAGTAGCCTAACAACAAAACCAGATCCCAGATCAGGAAATAGGTCCTGAACTTGTGAAACGAGCGACATTTTGTGCGCGTGAAGCTCTGCTGAGACAATAAGCCCTGTTGTAGGCTCCTTGCCTTTGGCGGCTTTTCTCCGTCGTTGATACCGATGGTGAAGTGGCTTGGATTCGATCTGATAGGCCCGCAGGCTAGCTAAGAGATCTTCTCCTCGTTTTTGGGGATTGCTGGTAAGATAATTCTCCAATCGTTGCAGAATATCGGAGCTGCAGACTAGATCAGAGAGCAAGGTCGCCTCCCTCTTCTTCTTGGAATTTCCGACTCCTGTGGCGGCAGCTTTGAGGCTGAACAGCTGATCCAGCAATAAGGAGAGGTTGGTATTGGAATCCTTCAGTAATGAAACGAGTCCAACATAAACATTGGCAACCAGAATCCTGGATAACTCCTCTATGGACCGCCGTGCTTGATATGCTTCGGATAAAGTGTCCAAATAGTCGGAGCCGGCCATGAGGACCTGTCCGCAAGGTGGCATGATTGATGCCAGGACCGTCAATCGCCGAATATCTGGGATGATAGAAGATAGTGATAAGCTCTCAGAAGATAATTGCTTAATCACGAGTAATTTTGCTTTCTCAACGCTCGATGATATTTGTTCCTTATGCATGTCCCATGCAGTTGATAATGATGTCTTCAATGCAACGCTGGAGGGATGGCAACAGCATAAGTTTCCAAGGAGCTGCCAATCTAGAAGGCCTTCTGGTGGTTGTGAACTGCTTAATAAATATCTCCGTATTGTCAAAAAGCAGAATTTCCGGAGCTGTCGAGCCTTGGGCCCGGTCTGTAAACCCGAGTCACCCGCTGCTGCATGATGATAGAAGGATTCCAAGAAAGAGACAACTGGCTTATCCAGAACTGCAGCTTCTCTGAATTTCTGATCAGAGGCATTCAACCGGAGCCCAAGTAGGGCCATCCATGCATCTAAGCATGTTTCCCTGTCATTTGATGCGATAGTACTCCACACCGTGGGGGAGGGGACAGGAGCTAGAGGCGGAAACTCCGCCATTGGCGAGAGGGGAATCAGAATAGCAGCCGTGTGGAAATGAAAAGAAATCTCAAAAACAACCCAGAGCTCCGAAATACAACAAAAAACCTACACGGAAAGAAAGCCCAAACAACATGCATCCAACTCAAGCATCTTGCCGTCATGTCTGCATTTGGTCCCCGAATATGCTGAGTCATTATATCTTAGTCAGCAATTGCTCCCCAAAGGGGCTAGTGTCAGATAACCGAACTGCCAAGATTTCCCGCACTGAATCTTTTTCGCTTCGCTCCACACAATCTTTATCGGCCATCATCACCTTACCGAACCGTGCAGTTCAGGTCTTGACCGGCTATTCGCCTTCACACTATCAATCAACTCAAGATGTCTTTCCAGAAGAAGGAGGATCAGGCCGAGGGCCCCGTACGTGATCCCCCACCCTACAATCTCTTGTCTATATGCATATTGGCAATCCACACTGTCGCATGGCGGGCAACCATATCGTCGCCCGCATGTCGGCATCGCAAAATAAGATAGCAATTGCTAATATCTTGTACAGAAGGTCCACAAGATCCGTATCACCCTCACCTCCCGCAAGGTCGCTTCTCTCGAGAAGGTCTGCCAGGAGCTGATCGACCGTGCTCGCTCCAAGTCCCTGCAGGTCAAGGGCCCCGTCCGTCTGCCCACCAAGACCCTGCACATCTCCACCCGCAAGACCCCCAACGGTGAGGGTTCCAAGACCTGGGACAAGTACGAGATGCGCATTCACAAGCGTCTCATCGAGTAAGTCTATCCCCGCAGATATAAGTCGGCGTGTGGCAATTTTCCCACTAGTCTTTCATTCTACATAGAACTAACCCGATCTCTTTTCAGCCTGCTCGCCCCCACCGAGACTGTTAAGCAGATCATCATCAACATCGAGGCCGGTGTTGAGGTTGAGGTCACCATTGCTGCTTAAATGAAATAGCTCCGCAATGGATTCAGGGAGGGTCTTTGGACCGACGACCTTGCCAGGTACTGGATCTTTTACCAGTATCTCAGAGATTGTTGGTCATTTCCTCCGAGCCCAACTTGGAGGATTGTGTTAGATACCCGTTACAACCTGAAAGACAAAAAAATGGAAACATCTTGAGAAATCAAATAAGTGCTCGTAAATTGTAATGGCCGCTATTGCCCTCGTAAGTTGTACATTTGTAGTGAGAGCTAATGAGATGATAATGGTCTCCTGGATTACTTAGTAGACTGTTTGTTGACTCATGCACCAGGCCCATGCTCCCATTTCACCTGAAACTAAAACGACATTTTGTGAAAAAAAGACGCCAGTTTAGAAGTCAAAACTTATTAGGCCCTCTTTGGGTGGCACAGCTGGAACCACCCCATCTTTGAAGAAGCCATTGTTCAGGAAGAACTGGTACATCTCTTCGACCTCAGCTGTGTATTCCTCGGCCTTGCCCTGGGAATCACGAAGACTGAATTTTTCAGGGGGTCCGTCTGGAAAGTTTATGCGAACAGGGGTCTTGTTGTCTTGTGGGTGCAGATAACAGGGCGCATTATTGATGTATTGTACCGGGCGTCCCTTCCATAATATAAGGCGATTGGAGGCAGGGTCGCGACGGGTTTCGCCCTGCAGGCCAGGAAGAGGATTTAGCTCGTTGGGATTGTCGAGTTTGATCCAGGCACGAGGTCCGATGCTAGCTCTCGCCGGTCCATCCTGCTGAGCGGGTGATTGGCCAAAGGGCACAGATGGAGCGGCAGCTGTTTGACTATTGATAGTAGAGGAAGCTGCACCGAATGGATTGGCTGGTGCAGGGGGAAGGCGGCTGTTTGTGTGCTGGTACCAGATGGAGCAGCGCCAAATGGGTTGGCTGGCGCAGATGGTTGGCCGAAATTATTAGTATTTGGCTGTTGTGGCTGCTGCTGTTGAACTTGTCCAAATGGACTTGCGGTTTGGCTCGGCTGGCCAAACGTTGCAGGTGCCTGCCCGAAGGGATTTTGGGCAGGAGCACCAAATCCTTGCCCGGTATTATTTTGTGAAATTTGGGCGAATGGAGATGAAGCCGACGGCGCACCGAATGCACTTCCTGCCGAGCCCGTCGGCTGATTGAAACCGCTCCCCATACCCAAGCCAGGTTGAGTTTTTCCGGCTTGGCCAAATGCCGATATGCCAAATGCAGGATTTTGAGCCCCCAAGTTTGACGGCTGGCCGAAGGCAGAACCTTGGCCTAGCGTGGATGGCTGCCCGAACGCCGAACCTTGCTGGCCCTGACCTAGAGTAGAGGATTGTCCAGATGCAAATGGCTGATTGGTTCCAGGTTGCTCTGCCTGGTTCGGTCGTGTGGTGATGTCGATCCGGTTGGGATGTTCACGGCCACCATCGTTGATGTACTTGACAGCGCCATCAATATTGTTTAATGCAGATTCAATCTGTTTGATAGACTCTTGCCACAATGCCTGAGCCTCTTGAATGGCAAAGTCCTTATTGCCAGCGGCTGCAAGTTCATAATGCCGTAAACGCATCTCCTCCATACTTTGCTCGCGCTCACCTCCAAAAAGATTTCTGGGAACATTGCGCGCAGGTGCATAAGAAGAAAAGATCCACATCGGTCGACCTTTACCCTCTGTCAAGTCGTGTTGGATGTCTGTAGCTTTCACGCCATAGCTGTATCAAAAATCAGTACATGGCCATATCATTGCAGGGTTCTATTTCTTCTTTTTACTAACTCTGGAGCGTTATAATTTGATCCCGCGTTTTGGTTTTGGTTTTGGTTTTGGTTTTGGTTTTGGTTTTGGTTTTGGTTTTGACCTTTGAGAACATGTAAGTCAGAAATACGAAGACAACATACAGTATTGCGCCATGAACAGTGTTCAGAAATGACATTCCATGTTGAGATGAAAAAGAAAAGACCAGATGAAAGGACAAGAAAGCTTCCAGTCAAGATAGGGAAGGGGAAGTGTTGAAGCTTAGATGGAAGAGTAAGGTAGTGAAAACCAGCATGCGTAAAACGACAGGCACGGAGACCTGGATCAGGGTCAAGCAACCCGTGACAAGAATTGGCAACTATCAAGCGCAAAAGGTGGCATGAATTATATAAAAACAGGCAATGACACTCACCTCCAAATCCGGAACCAGAGAGGGCACTGAATCTGTTTCCCGATGTGCCAGTAGTGGCTTGGCTCGGATGTTCAAATCTGCAGCGATCTGGACAAGAATTAGTCTCCATAGACTTCAAATTTGCTTAACTTATAGCTTCGCACCTCCATATCTACAGCGGCCTTGCTGATAGTAAGTGCAGATGGTCATTTCCACAGGCTATGGCCGCATAGAGGCCCGGCAAGCTTGATTTGAAAGGCTGGCTTTGTGAGGGTGATTTCTCGAATTTCGTCAGTCTAAGATCGCGTCCTTTGGGTTCTCCTCAAAGTTTTTCTTCTATGAATGTCGGATCGAGGAGAAAGATGGAATGAATGGGTGTTTGTGGGTGAGCAGCGGTGTTGGATGGAGTGAAGCTGTTTTTCGGGGTCGCGAGAAGCTTATCTCACGGACTTTGTTTATCGTTATCGGTTATCGGTTATCGCGCTCTGCCGTCTGCATTCCAGGGGACCCGCCAGGTTTGGTGCAACAAAATCCCATCGGCCTATTTTGTGGTCAATATTGTTTCGTTCAGGCTCGATTTAAATTCTAGTTGATAGAAGAAATTCTGTTTTTTATGTCGAAGAAAGCCCTCGTTGGATAATGTGAGGTCGATCTACACCATGAGATATCATTGTTATCTCCCAATTTATTGTATATATATTTGGTGCTCTACACATTGTTCTGGCTGGTTTTATTTTTGGCAAGATCTGTTAACAAAGAAATAGCTCTGCATTTTAAAAACCTGAAACTCCAATGACTCATTTTAATTTCGAATGAAAAACAAAGTAGATTATTCTCGTGAGGCATGTCAGGATGATGGATATATGCTTTGTGTGTGGCGCATGCTTTGCCGCAGATCATCCCAATTCAACCCATCTACTTTCTTGCCGCCCAACGATTCCAATTCAGTCCCAAGTCCCTCCATTTGTCCAGTTGCAAAACGTCGCATCATCACTGTGTCTTTAGCCCCGGGGAACGAGCTAGCATCTCCATGGAGCAAGGTTTCTTCAAACACTTCCTCTTCGGTCTCGTCAAGCGGTAGCCCGACTAATTCCATCGCACGCTTGCTCCGTGTTTGTCCGGCGGGAGTCTGATGAACAAAAGCGACTAACTGCTCGAAATAACTGCGGCGGAGGTTTTCATCGTATTTGCGAGTGAAATAGAAGGCCTCGGTGATGCTGGACCGACAAAGGGTTTGGAAGAAGGCTCGTTGCACCTTCTCACTGACAAGTGGGGGAGAGGCGGTGAGGTAATAAGCCATAGCGAGGCTGTCGTCATGTTTCGGAAGTTTGGACAGGGTGAGGGCGTAGAGAATCTCGTCAGGGAAAGTGGGGATTAGAGACGGCTCAGCGAGATATTCAATTGCGCGCTGCGAACTGATTAGAGACCCGGGATCTGTCGATATTTCACGGGAGCAACTTACTCTGAATTCAAGGCGATCCATATTCCAGAGGCCTTCGATAAAGAGGCGATACTTCTCCGGTAGATGGCATGATCGTGCGAACTGCACCGCGGCGTCCGGCGCACTGCGGCAGTCTTTAAGAATGTAATAGATCAAGGCCTGCTTATGATGGATATCCAGTTCGGATGAGACAATGTGGTCGACAAGCGATCGTAGGTCGGCGTTTGTTTTAGGAGGATAAACCTTGGTCACTACATAAGTCAAAAGACGCAGCGGTTAATCTCAGTCCAGTACTTTTTTTTGAAGCTTGTTCACTCACCTCCTTTGATCCCGAGGAGTCCTAGCAGGCGATCAGCGAAGAGCCGGTTCTCCAGCGCACGGCGGTTGGAGATGATTTGCTCGACGACTTTCGCATCATAGGCATATTTCTTGTTGAAGCTAAAGATATGATTGAAATCTTCCCACTGGGCCATTGTGGCAGATGTCAAAGAGGTCTGATGGAGGAAATTCACCAGGAACACTCGGGAAAGCTCCCGCTCCTCCACAGAGGGGTAATATTACAGAGGTAATATTACAGGGCGGTGAGGCCGCTTGTTGTGACGGAGCTGCGGCGCTTTGCCTGTTTGGGGCCAACGTAAACAACCCACGTTCCCGCTGCATCTCTTTCACTACCTTCCCCCTCCTCGATATCATCTTCTACTCCCCCCTCCCCTACCCCTCGCGCCGATGAAGCAGGTGCTTCACTAATCAATACGTGCGACAAGAAATGGCTTCGCTCGCAAAGGGCCGACCCTCGCGCCGCGCCGCTGCGCGCCGGAGCTATGTGGTTGAAGAGACCTCTGAATCCGAGGACCCTGGCAATGTAACACCCACGCCCGAGACACACAACGACGATGACGATGAGAGTTCAGAAGAGGAGGACTATACCCCAATTCCTAACAAGGCAAAGCGCGCACCAGGGAAGCGGATGACTCTTGACCCCGTCACACCCGCCACAGTGCGACCTGCGCAAAAGTCCCGAAGGTCGGTCGCATCGGTCGCATCAACCGAAGACGAGTCAGATGCCTCTCAGGCCAGTGATATAGACGACAATGACGAGAATGAGGAGAGCTTTGCTTCAGTCGCGGTGGACCCGGACTCTCCATCGAACCAGGCGGCGTTGAAGAGAAAAAGTATCGAGCCCGCGGAGGCTGATCCTGATTCTCCTTCGAACAAGGCGGCGTTGAAAAGACAAAGTATGGCTGCTCCCCGCAAGAGTCGTGGCTCAATCACGCCCAAGCCGACAAAGGGCTCACTTCCCACTCCAGAGCCGTCCGCGTCGCCAGAGCCAACTTCAGCACGCGCACATCGGGAAAGTGTGCCGCCCCTCTCCGATATCACTGAATCCGCTGTCAACAACTCGTCGCCGTCCAAGCAAACCGAAGATCCCAAATCCCAAATCTCGATCATCAACCCGAACTCGACCGTCTTGGAGAAACCGATGGACATCGTGATGAAGTCGAGGAATATGGCAATTCCAGCACCGGAGGAGCCAGCAGAGGCAAAGCCCCGGATGATCATCGAAAACTTGATTCTGACCAACTTTAAGAGTTATGCCGGTAAACAGGTTGTTGGCCCATTCCATGCTTCTTTCTCGTCAGTCGTCGGTCCCAATGGTTCGGGCAAGTCCAATGTCATTGATTCACTACTCTTTGTGTTTGGCTTCCGTGCTAGCAAGATGCGACAGGGCAAGATTTCGGCACTCATCCACAATTCGGCCCAATATCCAGACCTGCCATTCTGTGAAGTGGAGGTGCACTTCCAGCAAGTTCTGGACCTCCCAGAAGGTGGCCATGAGGTGGTTCCGGATTCTCACTTGGTAATTTCGCGACGAGCCTTCAAGAATAACAGCAGCAAGTATTACATGAACAAGAAAGAAACAAACTTCACTGCCGTGACCACCTTCCTCCGTGAACGGGGGATTGATCTTGACCACAAGCGATTCCTGATCTTGCAAGGTGAAGTCGAATCCATCGCTCAAATGAAGGCCAAGGCTACTGGTGAGCATGACGAAGGTCTTTTGGAGTACCTGGAGGACATCATTGGAACATCCAAGTATAAGACCCCAATCGATGAGGCAGCCACCGAATTGGAAACTTTGAACGATGTCTGTGTTGAGAAGAATAATCGAGTTCAGCACGTTGAAAAAGAAAAGACAGCACTGGAAGACAAGAAGAACAAAGCCCTTGCCTACATTCGTGACGAAAACGAGCTCGCCGACAAGCAATCCGCTCTCTATCAGATTTATATCGATGAATGTGCCGATAATGTCCGCGTCACCGAAGAAGCAATCCTTCAAATGCAAGAGCTGTTGAATATGGAACTTGAGAAACACGAAGGAAATGAGTCGGGCATTAAAGAGCTTGAAAAAGCCTACAAGCGCGGGGTTCGAGAATATGAAAGTATGGAGAAGGAATCCCAGAGCTTGACGAAAGAAATGGCAAAGTACGACAAGGAGACTGTCAAGTTCGAGGAAAAGAAGAAGTTCTTGCTGGGCAAGCAAAAGAAACTCGAGAAGACGATGCAGACTAGTCGCCTTGCTGCCTCTGAATGTCAGAGCCTGGTTGAGAAATTCTCCCACGATATCGAAAAAAGACCGCCGAAACATCTCAGCTAGAAGAAGAGATGAATTTGGAAGAGGAAGAGTTGAACTCGATCCGAGAGAGCTTGAAGGGCAAGACTGAAGGTCTTTCAGACCAAATTACCATCAAGCAAAAATCTCTGGAGCCATGGAACGAGAAAATCAATCAAAAGCAGTCCTCCATGGCTGTTGCGCAGAGCGAGCTTGACATTCTACATGAACGCAGCAATGCCGGGGCTGTCTTGCTGGAAGAGGCTCATGGCAAGATCGCGACCATCGAGGAGACTCTGGAAACCAAACAGAGTGAACTTGAAGAACGCCAAGCTCAGAAAGAGACCCTGGAAGCAGAAGTGGAGAAGCTTAAAGGTGACTTGAAGAAGTACTCTGCTCGTGAGCCCGAGGTTCGTTCGCACGTTTCCAGCGCACGACAAAAAGCCGATGAGGCACGCGTGAGCCTCGCAAACACACAAAATCGTGGCAGCGTTTTAACAGGATTGATGCGGCTCAAGGAGTCGGGCCGAATCGACGGTTTCCACGGTCGCCTGGGTAACCTTGGGACCATCGATGAGAAATACGATGTGGCCATCTCTACTGCTTGTCCAGCTCTTGATAACATGGTGGTTGAGACTGTTGAGGTTGGCCAACAGTGCATTGACTACTTGCGCAAGAACAACCTTGGTCGTGCCAATTTCATCCTTCTCGACCGCCTTCCTCGGCGTGACATGTCGACAATTTACACACCTGAGAGTGTTCCACGTCTCTTTGACCTCGTGAAGCCCAAAGATCCCAAGTTCGCTCCGGCATTTTACAGTGTGATGCAGAATACTTTGGTTGCAAATGACCTTGAACAGGCGAACCGCATTGCTTACGGTGCTAGACGGTGGCGAGTAGTGACTCTGGATGGTCAATTAATTGATGTCTCTGGTACCATGAGTGGTGGAGGTACTCGTGTCGCACGTGGTGCTATGTCATCCAAGCAAGTTGCAGATACCACCAAAGAGCAAGTCGCTCGTCTGGAGTCCGACCTGGAGGAGCTGGAACGAAAATTCCAACACTTCCAGGACAAGCAACGAAACATTGACGCCATGATGCGTGAGAAGACCGAGGAGATTCCGCGCGTTGAGACCAAGATTCAAAAGATCATGATCGAAATCGATAGTGCCAAGCGCAGTCTCGCTGATGCCCAACGACGAGTGAAGGAAATTAGCGCAGAGCACAAGCCTTCCAAGTCCGACCAATCCCAGGCTGCTGCCCTCGAGAGGCAAATTGAAGCCATGAATAATGAGATTGAGGAGCTCAATAGCGAGAAGAGCGGCATCGAAGAGGAGATTCAGGAATTACAAAGCAAGATCATGGAAGTTGGTGGTGTTCGTCTTCGTGGCCAGAAGGCAAAGGTTGACGGCCTGAAGGAGCAAATCAACATGCTGAACGAGGAGATCTCCAATGCAGAGGTCCAAAAGTCTAAGAACGAGAAGCTGATCACCAAGCATTCTAAGGCTCGCGATAGTTCCGCGAAGGAAATTGGCCAAATCACAGAGGACTTAGAAAGCCTCGAGGCAGATGTGGAGAACCAAGCCAACGATGCTTCTGAATGGAGACAAAAGGCCGACGAGGCTCAAGAAGCCCTTGAAACCAAGAAGGAGGAACTCAAGACTCTCAAGACGGAGCTTGACGATAAGGTGGCTGAGCTCAATGAGACCCGTGCTACTGAGATCGAAATGCGAAACAAGCTTGAGGAGAACCAAAAGGCACTTTCTGAAAACCAGAAACGTAGTCGTTACTGGGAGGAGAAGTTGTCTAAGCTTTCCTTGCAAAATGTCAGTGATTTGGGCGAGGAGCCAGCATCTACTGAGCTTCAGACCTACACCAAGGACGAGCTGGACGCCATGAACAAAGAGTCACTCAAAGCCGTCATTGCTGCGTTGGAAGAAAAGGTCCAGAATGCTTCGGTTGATCTCTCAGTCATTGACGAATACCGTCGGCGTGCCGCGGAACATGAGTCTCGGTCCGCAGATTTGGCTACTGCCCTTGCGTCTCGAGACGGCGCGAAGTCGCGACTTGATGGTCTTCGGTCCGCCCGCCTTAACGGTTTCATGGAAGGATTTGGCATCATCTCTCTCCGTTTGAAAGAAATGTACCAGATGATCACAATGGGCGGTAATGCTGAATTGGAACTGGTCGACTCATTGGACCCCTTTTCTGAAGGTATTTTGTTCTCGGTCATGCCTCCGAAGAAGAGCTGGAAGAATATTGGCAACTTGTCGGGTGGTGAGAAGACGCTATCAAGTTTGGCTCTTGTATTTGCTCTTCACCACTATAAGCCGACGCCGCTCTATGTCATGGATGAGATTGATGCTGCTTTGGATTTCCGAAACGTGAGTTCTATTTATTTCTCATTGCCACGTTTGACACGATACTAACTAAATGGCAATAGGTCTCAATTGTGGCCTCTTACATTAAGGAGAGGACCAAGAACGCGCAATTCATTGTCATTTCTTTGCGAAACAACATGGTGAGCGATTCCGACTCTTCGTATGCTCGGAATCTCCGCAAAGCTAATATTAATCCAGTTCGAACTTGCGTCTCGTCTTGTTGGAGTCTATAAGGTCAATCATATGACCAAGAGTGTTACGATAGAAAACAGAGACTACATCGAGGGTCGGTAACGACTGAAGAGATGAATTTTGCATGTTTCTTGTTTTTTTTTTTTTTTTTTTTTTTATAGCATCCATGGATATAGGTTTCCTGGCTGGACACGGTTGCCTCGTGCTTCTTTTTGATGATATCATGGGCTGGGAGTTTTTGGATATTTCAATGAATTTTTCTTTTTTTCTTTCATAAACTTCTATGCGTCTATCGAGTTCTTGCAAAGTCTTTCGTCCCGTACTTCAGAGAGAAAGATGTCCAGCAATTAATGGGTTGGATAGGCCAATCTGCAGGTCTACTTTGCTCCACCATTCAGGCCAACGGCCTAATTCTGTACTCTTTCGTTCGCACTGATACTCTAGCAAGCTTCGGCCAAGACCACTTTTCGTTATGCTCAAGCTTCGACCATGCCCCATAATGACGAAGTGTCTGTCGGGTGTTACATTGCCTTTTACTCCGCTAGCCACTGCCGATCAACTATGCCATGGCGCAAAACCCCCCACGGACCACAGGTTGCCGACACTCGCAGGCCATCCCAGATGCCATGTCGATTGATGCGGGGTAACCACGAGGCAGGCATAGTACGATGTAATATGCTGTTCCCAGGATCTACAAAATTTCTATGTCAATCGCTATGTAACAAGTAAAGGTTACACTGGTATTTGTACACTAGTGACAAAGGTCGGTCTTCATTGCGCGCTGGAATGTATTAAAAGGCTGGGAGGTGCGGTGTGCGCATTCCGCTCTCCAGAATTTTTGTTTTCTTTTTGGGCCTGCTGAATATGACTCTATAAATATTTCTTTGGTCTCCAATTTACTCGTTTCTCGTCCGATCAGATGCATTGGAATTCTAGACTAACCCGGGCTTTGGAGCTAGTATATCTTGTTGGTACAGCGACGGCTAGCCAGACAGACCTCTCAAAGTATGTGAATGCGCTTGTCGGGTCCGAAGGCCCGGAGGCAGGCACAGGTTTTGGTGGAGGAGACATTTTTGTTGGTGGTGTACGACCGTTTGGTGTGGCAAAGGTGGGAATCGATTCTACAGCCGCAAATTGGAGCACTGCGGTCTTGAATGGCGGGTGGACGCCCGATGGAAATGTTACGGGCATTAGTATGATGCACGAGAGTGGGACTGGTGGTGCTCCAAAGTATGGGTTGATTGCGCAGATGCCATTGACTTCTGTTGATGCGCCAGTGAACATACTGGACAATCAAACATACAGCCAGCCGAGAGTGAGTCTCACATGAGCAATATTGTTTGAAGTGAGAGGGTTGCTGATGTGCTTTGGAAATAGGTAGGGCAAGACGTGGCTCGTGTGGGGTATTTTAAGACGGAGCTGAAGAGCGGAGTTACAGTTGAACTATCGGCATCTCGACATGCTGGTATCATGGAGTACTCGTTTCCAAAGGGCGAGAAGCATATTCTCGTCGACCTGTCCCACGTATAGTTCCCTGCCAAGATGATTGATGACCCTATCTGACATATCCGAATAGTACCTGCCTGGATCTCCTGGTGACGCGAATAGTCAGTTCTTCGCTGGCGGAGAGATTCAAATTGAAGAAAGTGGGAAAGCCTATAGTGGTTACGGAACCTATATTGGTGGATGGAATAATGGTTTGTTCCCATTTAACTCCTATCAACATTAATGGTTAACAAAAGCTCCAGGGGCACCCTTCACTGTTTACTTTTATGGAGAATTTTCAGAGGCTCCGGACACTGCGAAAACTTTCTCCGGTGTCAACACAGATCCCATGCCCCATTACCAGAATCTCGCAAATGGTGGTACCAGTGAGCCAACATACGAAAACCAGGCCAAGGTGATTTCTGGACCAATGAACAACCGTATCGGCGTTCTTATGAGCTGGAACAATGGGCCCGCCTCCCATATCAGCTCGCGCGTGGGCATCTCCTCCATCTCTGCTAAGAAGGCTCGTTCCTATATCAAAAACGAAATCCCATCGTGGAAGTTAAATGACACTGTGATAGATGCCGTGAAGGAATGGAATGAGGATGTGTTTCAGAAAGTTCAAGTTCCGTTGGATGATTCCGCAAATCTGACCAATATTCGACTGCTGTATACTTCGCTCTACTTCATTCATTTGATGCCATCTGATCGGACAGGAGAAAACCCATTATGGCAGTCGGATGAGCCATATTGGGACGACTTTTACACCATGTGTAAGTACCTATATGGTCGACAAGATGTTTGTTCTGGAGAGTTATATTAATGAGTGGGCCCTAGGGGACATCTTCCGCTGTACTGTCAGCTTCTACCACATATTCCAGCCTGAATACTACGAGTCGATGATTCGAGGTCTGATTGATATCTATAAGTAAGTTGGACAGGGACGAGGCTCCATGCTTTCTCTAAAATAATTCATGAAAACAGACATGCAGGCTACATGCCAGATGGCCGCTCTGGGAATTGGAACGGCCTAGTCCAAGGTGGCTCCGACGCAGACAATGTCCTTGCTGACGCATACGTCAAAGGCCTTCGCGGGGGGAATTAACTGGACTGAGGGCTATGCAGCCATGAAAAAGGATGCAGAGATCACCCCGTACAATACATTTGACCCTACCGACTTCACTGCTAGCACCAAGGAAGGACGAGGTGCTCTAGATGACTGGAAAGAGCTCGGATATGTGTCCCAAGACCGCAATACCCGTTGTATCTCTCGAACTATTGAGTACAGTCTTAATGACTTTGCGGTCAGCCAGGTAGCAGCAGGGGAGATGCCTAGCGACCAAGAGAAATATCGCAACCGGTCTGCGGGCTGGCAGAATATCTGGGATGCTAACGTGAAGAGCCTGAATTTTACTGGCTTCCTAGCCCCAAGACTCTCCGATGGGTCCTTCAATAGCAGTGCTTATGATCCACTCTACTGCTACGACTGTGAGTGGTCATCGTATACGTACGAGGCCATTCCCTGGGGTATGTCGCTCTAGGAAATTCACTCAAAGAATGGGGCTTACCTAGGTTTAAATAGAATATTCATTTGTCATTCCTCATGATATGCTAACGCTCATAAAATTCATGGGTGGTGCCGAGACGTTCGAGTCTCGCCTTGATCTGATGGTTGGTTCGATTTTTCTGACGCTCGATAAACACCTCTAATGGTGGATTCTAGTTTATACCCAACACCTCGGTCCAGGATCTCGGAGCCAACGGTGCTGGTATAACTACCTTGATTAACATTGGGTCTGTCCCTCAACTCTAAATTTGTCTTGGCAAATACTCTAACGTCCTCGATTCTAGAAACGAGCCTGATTTTGCCACGCCGTATCTATACAACTACGTCAATAAGCAAGCTAAGAGTGTTTTGCAATCTCGCAGCCTTGCGACCCAATAGTATGTTTTCCCAGTGTACGTACAAGACTGATTGCACATCTCTAATGGTGTTGAAACCCGACAGCTTCAAGGACACGGCCTACGGTATTCCTGGAAATAGTGATGCAGGGGCTATGAACTCCTGGCTTCTGTGGCAAATGCTTGGTATTTATCCCGTTGTCACTCAACCGGTGTACCTCCTGTCCTCTCCCTGGTTTCCCGATCTGAATATGACCGTCAACGGAAATCAAACGTTGCGTATCATAGCAAATGGGCTGGAAGATGGGTACTACGTGCAAGATGTGAAGATAAATGGCAAGCCATGGAGTAAGAACTGGTTCGAGCATGACGACGTTATGACCAATGGAGGCACTATCGAGTTTGAGCTTGGAGCGGATGCAAAGGCGTGGGAATCTGGAGAGGCGCCACCATCACCCGGCCATGTGGAGCTGGCATGAGAACGAGAAGAGCGGTCACGGTTGATTATACTCGGAGATGGAGGACAAGAAAGTTGATAGGTAGCAAGGTAGTGTTTAGAGAGTCGGGTCAACAGACTAAACATGATCATTTTCCCACCGACGAGCGATCCGCCTGGTATTCCTGCGCATATCAGCGTATCACCCATCAGCTTCTCATCTTGTGATAGCGTCGCTGTTCAGCCGGGCGAATCAATCAACCCCGCCCGCAAAACGGCCAAAGTGTTGGTTGGCGTGTTGGCCCGTTGCCCCCCGTTGGTGACTCGGCCAGCACCGCCCCAATCGAGCAGCCATTCGACCATTTCAACGAGCTCATGTGGCAGCATAGCTAGAGCCCCCGCAAGGTTTCTTTATGATTTTATATCGTATAAATAGCTGACATTTGGAGAGAATATCAATATGTGGGTCGTTGTTTGCAGAAAACAACCATCTGGGCCCATCTCGCCCTCTGCATGAATGAGTCTTAGCTCTACGGGAACAACCAACATCAACGATCTCACGATAACCAATCCCCGAGGCCCCTGAGCCGCGGGTTTCCGGATCGCGCAACCTGCTGTGAAAACCAACTGCAGTAGCGCTGACGGGCACATCCCCAACAAAGACACAGCCATAGGGCCAATGGCCTCAGCCCGCAACGACAGGGTTTCCAGGTTTGTGTTCTCTAGGAAGCAGATCGCTGCTTCTCGGGGCCGCCAAGACCAACGTTTCTTTGACGTCAGCGCGGGACAGTCCACGAGAGGATGCGGTTGGGGGTCAATTGGATCGCGCTTCTTGTTGCGGGGCGGAATGGGAGAAGATGAATGGGGGTATAAGAGGGGCAGATATTCTCCCCAGTCACTGCCGTTCTTTTTCGCTTTCCTGGTTGGCAGTTAGTACAGTTAGTGAGTTAAGTCACTGTCGAGGTCGACCATCAACAAGTCGAACCTGTCCAGCGGACCCCACGCGGTGCTGTATATTGTTGTCGGCTCTCCAAAAGCGTCCAAAAAACCATCAATTATCCCACTGGGGACTTGCCAGACTCGAAAATAAGCAGATCGTCTACTTCAAATGGTGAGTGTGCATATATTTTCCACGGATCACCTCTCCAAGTCCGGGCGGCCCGTCATGCTAGACCCATGGAAATGATCAACTTCTCGAAGCGATCGTTGTTCTGACCATTCCGCTTCTTGCCAGGCGCCAGTCGACTCTCATCTCGCCCCGCGCGATTCCAATGGGTGTCCGAGTACACTGTCAGGCGGTGCGATCGCGGGTATTGTGCTTGGCTCGATCGCGGGCACTCTAATCTTCATCGGGCTTTGGCGCCTGCTCACGCTCCCCGGCGTGTGGAGCAGCGAAGGTGATGTCGGATATCGACCTCCTGTGACTCGGACACGCGGTCGCCGACGGCGGAGAAGCGCACCGTCGTACGTGGAGTATGTCGAAAAGCCAAGAAGCGTTTCAGTCAGTCGGCGGTATCATGAGGATGTGATGCGACCGACCCAGGTGTATCTGAGTTGAATGGGGGGCGCGGCTCTCGACGGGACTGTATGGATGAGAATAATGGGTAATGGCTGATGGCGTTTCAATGGATTCTTAGGGTCATCTTGTTAAAATCTGGATCTTGTCTTGGAAATGGGTTACTGGTTATATGAAAAGGGTCAAGTTGGGTATGGGACGAGGCACTCCACGCCAACACGCCCCTTAGATGAGTGCCAAGAGTTTATGAATTAATGGTCCTCTTGTTTCAAATTCAGAAATGGAAATTGATTACCAATTTCGGTTCTCCTGGACTCTCTGGGGACTCCCTGGGGACTCGGTTTTTACTAGCTGATCTCTGCCCTGTAGCAGAGTGGAGGCACGACTACCCGAAGGATGATATATCTATGGTATTGGGCAGCTTCCGGCGCGTCCATCCTTGGACTTCGTACTCATCATCATTCTCCATACCACGAAGGGATGCAAGTGTGTTTGCATTACACAGGGGCACTGTAGACACTGTCGTGTACTCCGTACAGTAGCACATTAAATGGTACAACCTGACTGGCCATGGTTCCTCTTATTGCTTGGTGGGATTTTGGGCTTGGCCGGCACTTGAACGGCCAATTGCTTCAACGGCTCTTGTACGGGGCGGCGCCCCTCCAGCTTCCGTATCGGCCTGTATTGGAGCTTGGCGAATGAACACGTTCGGTTGCGGGTATCTCGAAGAATTAGGCTTGCTCGTCTGAGCAGCGCGAACCGGATCCATATCATGAAGGGGTGGGAGCGCCTGCACTGACGAACTGATTGGGTCAATCCCGGAAATTTACCTGGCAACATCGAGATCCGTGGGTCTCTCCATCGGGACGGGGACCAGATACTGTACTGTACTCCGTTCAAAGCTCCGTCGGAGCTGGGCCTCGTCGGCGTCGTGCAATTGGTATTTGAAGTGGAGTTCCATGAGCGGGGAAAGGCCCACAGCAATCGGTCGCTTCAGTTGGCGGAGAACAGCAGGTTCTGCAGAGACAGGTGGAGCAACAACAATGCTGATCCTAACATACAGGACGTGGGCTTGTGGGATTTGGGGAGGTTCGAAAAAGGGGACAAAATTACAGGGACGACCACCGGCTCTCCTGCACTTCCCCTCTCGAATTTCCCTTCCCTTTCGTCTCGCTATCTATGCACGGTGTGCTTGTTGTTGTGAGTGCTGGATTTGGAACTATCATTAGTGCCACGTCCACACCCGCCGGACACAGGAGACATGCAAGATCACCATGGCAGAAAGTGCATAGGATCCTGGACCTCTTATCTTGGAAGGAGGATGGACAAATTGGTGTCGCGAGGACTTTCTTTCACGCGCGCCTTGGCCCTTCTGGGGCAAGCAGGCCTAGACCGGGATCATCGCGGAGCTAGTATTGGTGCTGTTTTTGCTTCTCTTCAGGCTAGAGTCTTGTGTCACTTGGCAGATCAATCCTTCGGTCGTGGAGCTCAACGAGGCACGCGAAGCACAATGGGGATGCACGCCTGGAGTCATCGAGGGATGTGCCCCCTATGTTTAGTCCGATCGGGGACCCTCCGGAGAGTACAGAGCCAAACTGGGCACAGACGGACCCTCGTTCAGGGCCCAAGTGGGTTTGGACCGGGCCCCTGATGACCCTGACGGAACACCACCTCTCCTCCCCACTTTCCCCCATCAACTCATCTGCCTATCCGCCCATCTTACCTATCTGGCTCCTGTCTATTATTTCCCTGCACTTGGCCGTGGATCCTGGTCTTATCGGCTGCGTGCGATCGGCCAATGGCGATCCCCAACCCCCGTGCAGACCCGGCGGTTGCGGCCGCCGACGTCCAAACAAGTGGTGCCCTGACCCTGCCCGGACCCTGCAAAGGTTTTACAGCCTGGCACTGGGCCGGTGGTCACTTGCTGCATGGGGCGTAGAGGGTGCAGATCAGTGTAAACTTGCTTCACCTGGCTAGCTGCTCCTGGTTAGCATGGAACAAACCATAATAATCAGCGTGCAGCGTTTTTCCCTTACTGTCCGCACCATCAAAATATACACAGCACTAGGCCAGAATATGCCGCGCATCCACTTGCTAGGCTGGTGTGGCGTTTCTTTTCCCCCCCTCCCCAGCTTTGATGCTGTGACTGTTCTCCTTCTCTTTACTCTTCTCCTCTCGTTCAGACTGATAGTGTTGTTGGTGGTTTTTTTCCCACCTGTCCAATCCTTTTTTTTCTGGCGTGCGATTCTGTTCGCACATCCACTCTTTGATATACTTCATTTGAGGCGCTTTGACGTCCTCTGGTTCATTCATTCTTCCGCTATACCCCTGCGTGTATACTTGGAGCAGTAATACTGAGAGGAGAAACGACGACACCGACTTCTGGCATTCATTGGAAGCTTCCAATCGATTGTTCTCCATCATGAAGGGCCTCTCGCATATTGCCGCTCTAGCGGCCCTGGTCGGCTCTGTCGCTGCTCAGACCTTTACTGAGTGCAACCCCCTCGAGAAGACATGTCCATCTGACCCGGCCCTCGGTACCGAACATACGTGGTGGTTCAATGAGACCCTCGACGACTCGATCTGGAACATGACCACCGGCACCATTGATTACGTCAACGATGGCGCCGAATTCACCATCAGGGCCGTCAATGAATCTACACTGCTCCAGTCCAACTTCTATATCTTCTTCGGCGTGGTGGAATCTTGGGTCAAAATGGCGGTGGGAAATGGTATCGTGAGTAGTGTGGTGCTAGAATCGGACGACCTCGACGAAATCGATTGGGAATGGGTTGGCTACAACACCAGCGCCGTGCAGACCAACTTCTTTGGCAAGGGAAACACCACCAGCTACGACCGTGGAGAAACCTTCGCTGTCACGAATGCCGATACCGAGTTCCATAACTACACGACATACTGGGCTCAAGATAGGCTAGAATGGTGGCTCGATGGCACGCTACTCCGCACCCTGAACTATGACGATCCCCTTGCGGTATACGGCAAGAATTACCCTCAGACACCTTGCCAGGTGAAAGTCAGTAACTGGCCTGCTGGCCTAGAGAGTGCGTCTCAGGGAACCGTTGAATGGGCTGGTGGCATTGTTGATTATGACGATGCTCCGTTCACAATGACTGTGCAACGAATTCGTGTTCAAGATTTCCATACCGGAAAGGAATACACTTACGGTGACAAAACAGGCTCCTACAGCAGCATCCAAGTTACATCGTGAGTCTCATCTTGCTATTCATTCATCGTATCACCTACTCTAACACAATTTTTTCTCAGGGGTAACTCGAGCGCTCTGAACGAGCTCAACAAACCCCCTGCCAAGAGTCTGGCTGAGAAATGGGACGATCTTGGCGAAGGTGCCCACATTGGCATCTACTGTGGCGCTGCCGCGGCCGGTGTGCTTGCCATCGCCGGTTTCCTGATCTGGTGCCTGCGTCAACGCCGCAAGGGCCGTCTGGAACATGCTCTTGATAACTCGCGCTATGCCGAGGAGCGCACGGAGATGCAGAACTACCAGAATGACTGGAAGCAGACCGAGTTCAAGAACAGTGGCTATAGCAAAGTGCACAGCTAGTCAGATTCAGAGCGCGTTATGTTTTTTTTTTTTTTTTTCTTCATGACTCTCGTTTTCAATCTCTGTGCACAGCTCCAATTTCTTTCTCTCTGCTATTGCCACCGGTTCTGTGACCCTGTGCTCTTCGTGCTATTCCGATCATTCAGATGCTACCATGATTTTCACCTGCTATGCCAATGAGAAGAGGTCTTTCTCGCCTTGGCATCTTGATTTTCTTCAAGTGGGTGTCTGCGTGGCCAGAGAGGATAACTCCGTAATGACCCTCTCTCATACTCTATCTTTTAGCTGTCGACCTTTGACTAGGTGACGACCTACGCTCATTGGATCGGTGGCTTCCTTTCGTTGTTGATATCCATTTCTCTCCCGAGGAATTTTGTCCGTTTTCTTTTCCATTTCCATACGTTTTGTGTTGTTTTTTTTGGGGCCAAAAGCCGTCGGCGTTTATACGGGCCTCTTTCAGCCATCCACTCAACGACTTTTCGTTCCCTTGGGAACACCAGAGCTTGCGCACGCTCGCATGAATTGTACATATTTTTCTCACAAGATACTGAACTTCCAAAACTCTAATTCGCTGCACTTTCTTGTAGCTGAGAAACACAGGCGTTCAAGGGATGTATATCCTTACATGGACCAGCCTAGTCCCATCTAAAATTAGGCGTGCCCGATGAGCCACATGTAAGATGACCTCATACCTACACTGACCCACGCTAATAATCAATTGGTGAAAATTGCTCCGAGCCCGACAGCCCTGTCACTCTATTCACCTTCGGTCGGACCGGTCGGCGACAACTCACCGTCTCCGTTTCCGACCGGCACGGCATGTCTCTTGGCCAACGGCGAACAACCCAATTCTAACGAGGAACTTGGCAATTGCTCCGCGAGCGGATCGCATCGATTGGCTCTCGCCGCAGCCGAGGCATCTTGGTGGAACCAGGCGACTACGAAAAGTTTCGCTCTTGTCCGCGCGATTCAATTGTGCGAGGCAGTTGAAGCCTCTTGTGAAGGAGATCTGTGTATAGATTGAAATCTTGCAATGTGGTATGATATGTGCAACCTAGATCATGTCATGGCGTTGCCTGTGCCATGGTTTAAATACCTGATGCAATCTCATCCCTAAAGTCAATACTCGGCGGTGCAGCTCCAATTGAGCTTCGACCTTAAAAGCCAACCAGAACGCGTCAAACGCCCCAGACACCACGGAAGAGTTACCAGGATTGGTCTATCGGATTTGACGACTCGTCAGGCCCTCAACCCCGCTCATCTGACGATCCGATAGCGATCGCCTTCTGAAGGTTCTCAACTCGTTTCTTTTTCACATATAGTTCACTGGATTCCTTTACCAAACGACTGCATCTCGGTCGCTGAATTTTTTTCTTTTTTTCGCCGTTGACGGCCACTTCAATGAGTGCATCCAAGGAGATCCCTATTCCTGGCCCCAAAGGGGTCCCGATCTTGGGAAACATCTATGATATCGAGCCTGAAGTCCCACTCAACAGCATCGATTTGCTGGCCGACAACTATGGTAAGCTTGAGAATAATGCCATGAATAGAGTAGATCTGGGTTTAAAAAAAACTGACTGAATAATCTACTTTACACAGGTCCTATCTTTCGGCTCACAACTTTTGGCTCACCACGAGTATTCGTCAGCTCCCATGAGCTAGTCGACGAGGTCTGCGATGAAGAGCGCTTTGGAAAAGTGGTCACGCAGGGGCTGAAGGAGATCCGGAATGGAACTCACGATGGCCTCTTCACCGCTAATTATCCTGGCGAGGAGAACTGGGCCATAGCGCATCGCGTCCTGGTCCCTGCATTTGGACCACTTATGATCCGTGGCATGTTTGATGGTGAGGAACGCCTGGATGTGCATCGCTGTTTGAATTGATATCATTCTAAATACATTGACTAGACATGTATGATATCGCCGGTCAGTTGGTTATGAAATGGGCGCGACAAGGTCCCAATGTCCCGATCACCGTTACCGATGACTTTACTCGCCTGACGCTCGATACTATTGCGCTATGCGCAATGGGCACTCGTTTCAACTCCTTCTACCATGACGATATGCACCCCTTCGTCGAGGCAATGGTGGGGTTGCTCGCGGGCTCAGGCAACCGGGCTCGGCGTCCCGCTTTGCTCAACAACTTGCCGACCAGTGAGAACTCCAAGTATTGGAACGATGTCACCTACCTTCGCAATTTGTCCCAGGAGCTAGTGGATTCTCGGAAAAACAACCCAGAGGATAAGAAAGACCTTCTCAATGCGCTTATCCTGGGCCGTGATCCTGTGACTGGCAAGGGCATGACTGATGACTCGATTGTGGACAATATGATCACTTTCCTGATTGCTGGTGACTTTGAACCCTTTCCCTGAACCCCATGTCTATGCACTAATAGAGAGACAGGTCATGAAACTACCTCTGGCATGTTGTCATTCCTTTTCTACTACTTGCTCAAGACCCCGCACGCCTACAAGAAGGCGCAAGAAGAGGTAGACCGCGTAATTGGTCGACGCAAAATTACAGTGGAGGACATGTCCAAGCTGCCTTACATCACAGCAGTCATGCGTGAAACCTTGCGCTTGAAGCCGACCGCTCCTATGATCGCTATCCATGCCCACCCTACCAAGAACAAAGAAGATCCTGTCACGTTGGGAGGCGGAAAATATGTTCTTCAAAAGGATGAGCCCATTGTACTTCTCTTAGGCAAGATGCAGCGCGACCCGAAGGTATATGGTCCTGATGCCGACACATTCAAACCAGAGAGAATGCTGGATGAGAACTTCGAGAAGCTGCCTAAAAACGCATGGAAGCCATTTGGCAACGGAATGCGTGGCTGTATCGGACGCCCATTTGCATGGCAAGAAGCGCTTTTGGTTGTTGCAATACTGCTTCAGAACTTCAACTTTCAGATGGATAATCCTAGCTATGACCTGCGTATTAAGCAGACTCTTACCATCAAGCCCAAGGACTTCCAGATCAGGGCATCCCTGCGTCAAGGGCTTGACCCGACAAAGCTTAGCCTATTTCTGAGTGGCACAACTGGTGCGATTGACTCAGCGAATGTCGCCGATCGGGAGCGAAAGCCAAGGCCGGCTCAGGTAAATGGCAAGCTAAAGCCCATGCACATCTTCTACGGAAGTAACACCGGCACCTGTGAAGCCTTTGCCCGCCGACTTGCAGATGACGCTGTTGCATATGGATATGCGGCACAGACCAGTTCTTTGGATTCCGCAATGCAGAATATTCCTAAGGACGACCCTGTCGTCTTTATCTCTGCATCTTATGAGGGTCAACCTCCAGACAACGCAGCCCATTTTTTTGAATGGCTTAGTGCGCTCAAGGGAGATAGCTTGGACGGTGTCAATTATGCTGTGTTTGGTTGCGGTCACCGTGAGGACTCTAATCCACAACGTGTTTTTCAATATAACTGACTCTATTCAGATGACTGGGCATCCACATTCCACCGTATCCCCAAGGCAGTGAATGAGCTTATTCTTGAAAATGGGGAAACCGTCTTTGCGATATCGGCCTGGCCGATGCCGCTAATTCGGACATGTTCACTGATTTTGATGGATGGGGCGAGACTGCATTCTGGCCAGCAATTACAGCCAAGTTTGGAGGCAGTCCTGACAAGACAACCAAATCCAAATCTTCACTCCAGGTAGATGTCACATCAGGAATGCGCGCCTCTACTCTTGGCCTACAGCTCGAAGAAGGCTTTGTGGTTGAAAACAAGCCCCTAACGCAGCCAGGAGTTCCCACAAAGCGCCTTGTCCGCTTCAAGTTACCATCTGAAATGACTTATCAGTGTGGTGATTACTTGGCTGTGCTACCTGTGAACCCAAACCCCGTTGTGCGTCGTGCAATTAGCCGTTTTGACTTGCCATGGGATGCAGTATTGCGTGTGCAAAAACCCTCATCAGGCTCCAGCGCGCCGCCGGCAATTCCTGTCGACACACCAATCTCGGCGCTTGAGCTCTTCTCCACATATGTCGAGCTATCCCAGCCTGCATCGAAACGTGACTTGAACATTCTTGCAGATGCTGTTTTTGAGGACGCAGAGGTACAGGCCAAGCTGCGCTACCTAGCTTCTAGTCCCAGTCTATTCACAGCCGAGATTGTGCAGAAGCGTCTTAGTCCGCTGGACCTTTTGATGCGTTATCCGGCGATCAAGCTGTCCATTGGAGATTTCCTGGCTATGCTGCCTCCCATGCGTGTCCGCCAGTATTCAATCTCATCTTCTCCGCTCTCCGATCCTTCTGAATGCTCAATCACTTTCTCAGTGCTTGACGCACCCGCCATGTCCTCTGATCCTGGCAACGAAACCCCCGAGAAGTATCTTGGAGTGGCTTCAAACTACCTCTCCGAGCTTCAACCCGGTGAGCGCGCGCACATCTCTGTTCGGCCATCTCATTCGGGATTCAAACCTCCCGTCGATCTCGGAACTCCGATGATCATGGCTTGTGCAGGCAGTGGCCTCGCACCCTTCCGTGGATTCGTGATGGACCGTGCCGAGCGCATCCGTGGACGGCGCAGCTCCATGAACGCTGATGATGCCTCGGAAAGTGACCAGCCCGCAAGAGCTATCCTGTATGTCGGCTGCCGCACCAAACATCAGGACGACATCCATGCCGATGAACTGGCCGAATGGGCTGCACAAGGTGCTGTGGATGTTCGATGGGCATACAGTCGTCCCTCCGATGGCACAGAAGGCAAACATGTCCAAGATCTGATGTTGGAGGATCGCGAAGAACTCGTAGCCCTTTTCGAGAAGGGTGCGAACATCTACGTCTGCGGCAGCACCGGCGTGGGGGGCGGTGTTCGCGATGCATGCAAAACTATGTATTTGGAGCGACGACGTGAGAGAATCAATCAAGCAAAGGAGACCGGGGAGGAGTTGAGCTCGGAAGCAGAGTTAGATGAGGATAGTGCGGCAGATCGGTTCTTCGACCGACTTCGGACCAAGGAGCGATACGCGACCGATGTCTTCACTTAATTGGTACTGGTTGTCGTATTTGGCGCTATTTACTGTTTTTCTGACTTGTATTATCCTTCTTTTTACCAGTCTTACCAGTTTGAAATTGAGCTACATGCCGAGTTCCATATTATCACAATTTCACACCCAACCTAGCTTGTAATCCAAAATTATGATTTCAGCTCATGCCACCTTCAGCTGTCCTATGAACCCTCTCGCTCCGTTATTTTCGCCTCACTCCTAGTAGAAAATAGCCCCAGACTTGGGCGTGTGGGGCTGCCCCATCCTGACTGAAAGAATATCAAGTCCTTCCCGTATCCTCCCAGGGATTGGCACAATCCGGGGGAAATGTGGAGGCATGCGGGGAAAACAAGCTGTAGGTTTGGCTAGCCCCATGTTTTCTGAAAGCAGTCAAGGCTAAGAATTGGTGCCATTATTAGGGGTGAATTCATCCCAGAAACTGAGGAGTCTGCAAACCAGCTAGCGTCCCCCTAGGAGATAGGGATCTTTCAGAACACCTTACTACTTCATACTTCTTACATTCTGAGCAGTTATGGAGAAAGGAGAGGTTCCAGCCGATCGAATGCCTCATCTTGTGCACAGGTATTCATTTAACTAAAATGTGGTTCGCCTCATTCTGACTTTCTTATAAGCCATGCCCATGAGGGTGAGATTCCCGGTACTGTTGACTTGAGTGCCATTGAGGGCGACGATACAGCCTATGGACAGGCGCTGTACCCTGTTCCAGCCGAGGATCCCAATGATCCACTTCAGGTAAGGTGTCTCCCCCGATGTTGAATTTTTCTCTATGTTTCTGATGCATGCTTCTACTGCCAGTGGCCCACATGGAAGAAAAATATCATCCTAATTGTCGTTTCCGTATACTCATTTCTTGGAAATAGCTCTCTGACGGGCCCGTCTGTCTATATTAACCTATTCAGCGAAGAATTCAGCATCTCTCAAGCAGAGGCATCCGGGTTAATTTCCTATCCAAACCTAGCTTTTGGCTTTGGTGAGATCCTGTTCTTGAATTGAACACTCTTCAGAGCACTGATGGCGTTTAGGGTCCCTGATCCTGGTGCCAATGTATCTCAAAATAGGCCGACGTCCAGTCATACTGCTTTCAATAATAACCGCAAGTTTTGAGTCATCCTTATATTTTATTCGATTGTCGCTGATATTTCTTAGTTTCTCGCCGGGCTGATCGGTGCCTCCAGGGCGACGACTTATACTGGATTGATGATTGCGCGAATTTTTCATGGTTTTGGCAGGTATGCTGTCTTAAGCCCTCTTACTCCAAGCCATATATCAATTCATTATATATAGCGGAGTCTGTGAGAGTCTTCCTGTACAGCTGGTCAATGACATCTTTTTTATCCATGAGCGTGGGAAAAAGATAGGTTACTATACTAGTGAGTAATCCTCTCGCTAGCGTAGCGCTGAAAATATTTAGCTCATAAAAATAGTCTGTCTCTGTCTAGGATCAACCGGTCCTTTATATGCCGGCTACATGCTTGCGGGTGGTTTTTCATGGAGACTCTTTTTCTATGTTGAAGCTGCCTTTGCGGGGGCCTTACTCATCATGGCTTTCCTGTTTGTCGAAGAATCTACATATCACCGCAAAGAAAATTTACCGCCATCAAGTTCCTCAATTCATTCTTTTGAACTTCAAGATGGAAACGAGAAAACAGAACCTCCTGTTCAGCTGGAGAATACGCCGTCCACAACCGTTCCACTCCGAAATACATTTTTGACAACTCTCAAACCCTGGGGTTCCATTGACCCAGAGGCTGAGTTTTTCATGACTATTGCCCGATCCTTCACATATTTCCTCGTACCAGCAGTGTTCTGGGTTATCACCAGTTACGGTAAGAAGTCCATTGACACAACGTAAAAGCACGGGCTGATATCAGGTTTTAGGTTTATACATTGGCCTTGGTGCCCTGGCGTTTAACTACACCTTTCCAATTAAGATCACTGCCCCCCCTTATAACTGGAGTGAAGTAGGTCAAATTGAACTCCCGCTAAAAAGGAATCGCATTAACAAAAACTAGACGAACTCTGGCCTAATTGCCATAGCCAGTTTTATTGGCTACCTTCTTGCTGTCCCCTTCTCCTCGACCTCCGATCGACTAGCTGCCTACCGGACGAGACGTAATAACGGAATCCGTGAATCTGAAATGCGTCTCCCAGCTTTATTTCCTGCACTTCTTCTCGCCCCTGCGGGCCTGATTGTGTATGGATTCAGTGCTCAACGCAATCTACATTGGATTGGATACTTTGCCGGAGTAGCTATGAATCAGTTCGCGTCTTATTTTTATTTTACGTTTACCTTGGCATATGCCGTGGACTCTTACTACGCGAATACATCGGAGATGCTTATTGCAATGAACTTGGGCAAGCAAGCTATCTCGTTTGGAATGGGCTCCTATCTACTTGATTGGATTCTGACGAGAGGATATGCGGTGGTAATTTCGGGGATCTTTGGAGGTGTTGTTCTCGCAAACAATCTAATGGTAGTCGTCTTTGTACTTTTCGGGAAGAGAATCAGGAGATGGACGGCCGCATCTTGGCTGGGCAAGCTACACAAGAGGACTGCGACAAGGGATATGACACACTAGAAATGCGCAAGAATGGAAAGACCAAATAGGTGCTCTCAATCGCACAAATTTGATCTTTGCTATTTTTTTTTATTTTCGGCTGCCACCAATATTTCCATTTATAGCTATTCGCACGTTGGAGACGATGGGGATAGGGCTCTAACTTCCCAAAGCCTCAACAAAAAGTGGATCTCTCGCATGTGTTGAAGCGGGTTGTTTAACTTTCAGTTCACGACGAAGATAGTTTATTTGAGAGATCAATACGGTGGTTTCGATAGCAATTTTTATATGGCGTTCATCTGACTCTGATTTGCCTTTAAGCAGTTTAGAGAAGTCAAGGTATGAAGTTCATAGATATTATCCAGATCTAGTAGAGATTTAAATCACTTTTGTCACTGTTTATTAACAATTGTCTAACCTTGCCAAAGACAACGCATTTGCGTTATGATCCTGAGAAGTATTTTTGCTCTTTAAGGGGGTTGCAAACTCAACCAAGAACCGAACCATCCATCTATCCATGCGGAAACTTGTATCTGCAGACTCTCTACATGCCCGGTGAAATGCCATAAGGCGATCCATGCAGACATCGAGCGTCGGCCAAAGCTGGCAAAGGTGACTGAGTATGCAGAAGTTTTTCTCCAATCGCGATCTTGATCTTGCGACCTCTATATCATCATTCTCAAACAGTAGACTGTGGATCTGGACTGTTGATGCGATCAATAAGACGTGCCCAACCATGTTATACTTGGCATCACAACCAGATACCTCCTCTGAGGCATAGACAATATCGCATAAATTACTCGCATGCTGCTTGCATTTTTTAGCATAATATCTTCTTTGTCTGGCTTCAGTTTGCGAGTCTTCGTGAAGAAACCTGTAGAAGAGCATCTGCCCGAAGTGATAGTACCCTAGGTAAATGGCAACAAACATTCTGCCAAGGCCTAGAGCGGCGAAACGATTCAGATTCTCACGCGTGTCTCGTATGTGATCGGGCAATTCTTTCAGCCACACATCAAGTTGCCCAGAAAGATCTTCGATGTAAGTCATAATCGAATCAGGACCTGGTTCAACTTCCACAGCTTGTATATTGAAATCGTTGATTTGTTGCAGTATTCGGTTGAGGCGTACCATCTCCGCAAGAAGAGACGATTTGCTATTATTTTTTATTATGATATCGAAGCAGTCATTGCGTGATAATTGCAAGAATGCTAATTCATCCATTGGCAATGGAACATTTTCTTTTGGCGAGAGAAGCCGGGGCAGACGCACGCCTGTAGAAGACCATACGTCTATCATACATAACGTCCACCATACTAAAGCTCTGGAGTTAACCTCGGAGCTTTCATACAGCAGACAGAAAGACAAACCTCGAATATTGACTTCTTGCTCGATGAGACTCGCACATTGATGATTTGGAAGGTCTAGAAGCTGAGCTATCCGGCAGGCCACTGCGTAATAAACATTTTCTGTTGCAGACCTTCCCTGTGTGATGGCAATGGCACCAAGTAAAACGCAGGCTTGAATAGTCGTCAATGAAATATCATTCCAGTCGACTAAGAGTTCACATTCTTTTGCATAATCCTTGCCCCTTTCTCTGGGATCTACATTAGAGAATACTGGATTTGTAGAAAATCTATAAGCCGTTATAAACGTTAGTCATGTTTCAAAATGAAATATATGATGCTCATCCAGCTTTCAGGAACATTGAGCCTACCGTGCCGATAAGGCCATCATCCCGTACACTAAAATCATAGGAGCCTTTTCAAGGCTCAGATCTTCTTCAAAGCTTGGTTGGTGGAAAAGAGAATGAAACTGGTCATGAATGAAGTCGAAATAAAGCCTCACCAGCTCTACACAGAGGGACTGAGAAGTCATTCCTCGGTGATCGGTGTCCTCCAATCCCGAGGCGCTGGGTAAAGACCTTCCATCTTCAAATTGAACTTTGTTCGGTACTTGGCCGTTTGTACATGACTGCCGGTGCATCAAACAGTAGACACAGGGGGACCCTGGTGCACGGACCTCACATTTTCGTCGGCGTTTGCTAATTTAGATCGAGTTGTTAAATTGGGCCCCCTTGGGAGCAGGTATGGTTGTTTTGCTTACCGACAGGCCGCACAAGCCTTGGCCTTTCTCATATCTCCGTAATTCCCGAAAGAAAGAAGCTGACACCAGCCCACGCAGCAATATGCAGGAGATGTAAAAGGGCCAACGGATCCCCAGGCGGGGAGGGGTCCTTGCTCAAGAGAGGCCACTACTTCGCTTCACCTTCGAAGTCTTGGCAAATTTGCACGGAGGCGGAATTGGCATGAAGCAAGCCAATAGGAAGCATTCAAAGCCGCCGCTAACAATCCTCCCCCGCTGTATCCTCCACTGTTGGCACCGGAATTTCTTCATATCTGGACATGTCCCCGCAAAACATATGCACAGGCTGCCTCAATAATCAGAGGGCTACGCAGAATGATGCATGATATCATGAACCTACGTAAACGGCCCTTTATTGGGCCTTACATCCGAGACCGGATCTATGTGCCCATTGGAAAATATATAAGGGAATGCAGAACTCCTGGAAGCTCTTCCTGCTCTTCTTTCTTCAATTGATCTCTCCAAGAAGGCTTTAATATGGTTCGTGCCGCGCAAATGACGACAATCATGACCGGCGTGGCGACTTCTTTAAGTCCCCTAGCGGCCGCAACAGACACATTTGAAAGTAAACTACACACAAGGATCTCAGGACACAATCACAAGATACTGACATTCATGTTTCTCCATAGCGATTGCTATTGACGGCACTACATTCGCTCTCAATGGTGACAATGTCTCATACAATTTCCATGTTGACAATAGTACTGGAGATTTATTGTCAGATCATTTTGGAGGCAGCGTCAGAGGTCCAATTCCCACAGAAACAGTACCGGCTGTGGATGGCTGGGTTGGAATGCCCGGCCGTGTTAGACGCGAATTTCCCGATCAGGGCCGGGGCGACTTCCGTTCTCCCGCAGTTCGCATTCGACAATCTGAAGGATATACGGTATCCGATCTACAATACAAATCGCATGATGTGATCCGTGGCAAGCCTACCTTGAAAGGTTTACCAGCAACCTTTGGGACGGAGAGTGATGTGACTACTTTGATTGTTCATTTGTATGACAAGTATAGCGCAATTTCCGCTGATTTATCATACTCAATTTTCCCTAAATTCGACGCTGTTGTACGAAGTGTCAATATTACAAACCGAGGCACCGGTGATATTACTATCGAGGCGCTTGCAAGTATGAGTGTGGACTTTCCATATCAAGATCTAGATATGATCACTCTGAGGGGTGACTGGGCGAGAGAAGCCCACCGCGAGAGAAGAAAGGTTGAATATGGGAGACAAGGGTATGTCCATGTCTTTCCCACCGCACACTCTAGCATTATGAAGCTGACCTTTAGTTTTCAAATGGTAAAGATTCGGAAGCACAACGGGCTACTCTTCACACCTTCACAATCCATTCCTTGCAATCATGGACCCGGCCGCTACCGAGTCTACGGGTGAGGTGTGGGGCTTCTCACTCATTTATACTGGATCTTTCAGTGTAGACGTTGAAAAGGACTCCCAAGGGTTTACACGAGCTCTTCTCGGACTCAACCCAAATCAGCTTTCTTGGTCACTTGGGCCCGGTGAATCTTTTTCCTCACCAGAATGCGTAGCGATTTATTCTAACAGCGGCATCGGTGGCATGTCCCGCTCATTTCACGGTTTATATCGGAAGCATCTTATCAAAAGCAAATTTGCTACAAAAGATCGCCCCGTGCTTCTTAATAGCTGGGAAGGACTTGGATTCAACTATAACGAAAGTACCATTTCTAAGTTGGCACAGGAGTCAGCGGACCTTGGGATCAAATTATTTGTCTTGGATGATGGGTGGTTTGGCGACAAATATCCCCGAACCTCTGACAACGCTGGTCTTGGTGACTGGGTTCCTAACCCAGCCCGCTTTCCCGACGGATTAGCCCACGCTGTACAAAACATCACAGATTTCAAGGTGGCCAATACCTCTACAAAGCTACGATTCGGAATTTGGGTTGAGCCTGAAATGGTTAACCCCAACTCAAGTCTGTATCGCAAGCATCCAGACTGGGCATTACATGCAGGGTCGTACCCGCGCACGGAGCGACGTAATCAGCTTGTGCTGAACCTGGCCCTTCCGGAGGTCCAAGATTATATTATCAAATCAGTGGCCGATATTCTTAATAGTGCTGATATTACATACGTGAAATGGGATAACAACCGAGGCATCCATGAAATGCCCTCTCCTTCGACAGACCACAAATACATGCTTGGAATGTATCGAGTTTTTGATACTTTGACGACTCAATTTCCAGATGTTCTTTGGGAGGGTTGTGCCTCTGGTGGGGGGAGATTTGATCCAGGTATTCTGCAATATTTCCCTCAAATCTGGACATCAGACGACACTGATGCTGTGGAACGCATCACGATCCAACTTGGTACCTCTTTGGTATATCCTCCCAGTGCGATGGGTGCCCACTTGTCTGCCGTTCCGAATCAACAGACTGGAAGAAGTTTACCTGTATCTTTTCGTGGCCATGTTGCGATGATGGGTGGCTCATTCGGTCTAGAACTCGACCCTGCTGATATACCCGAAGCAGACAAGGCCGCTCTTCCGAAACTTATTGCTCTCGCTGAAAAAGTCAACCCAATTGTCTTAACAGGCGATATGTATCGACTCAATATTCCCGAGGAATCAAATTGGCCTGCTGTCCTTTTTATTTCCGAGAATGGCCAGCAAGCAGTGTTGTTCTATTTCCAAATCAATCCCAACATCAACCAAGCAGTACCATGGGTCAAGATGCAAGGGTTGGACCCGAGTGCAATGTACAACGTAGATGGGAATACGTCATACTCGGGATCCGTTCTCATGAACATCGGATTGCAGTTTCCGTTCAAAACAGACTACGGAAGTCAAGTGATCTTCATTGAGAAGCAGTGATATTTCATCTCGCTCCTATGATTCTAAATTTGCATGATCTTGGATAATTTCTCTGTCTATCTCCTGAATTAATTTTGTTGAAATATAGAAAACTCATTTGGGTATAATGTACGCAAGAAACAAAAATCCTGTAACAGAAATCCAAGCACCAAGATTAAGAAAAATGTGGTTTGGACCGGTCCTCAAATAGAAAATCCGGGTTCCCATAACAGTCTGTGTGCGCGTAACTAGCAAATGCCAAAGGAGATCTGCTTGGGTCAAGCATCATTCATGTGATTCTCGAAGCTGCTCCAAGTATAAAGAAATGAAGCGGTCGCGAACTTGGACCTCTAGGCGTAATGAGCCACAGGAGAGCTCTCCTTTGGAGGGTGTATGTCATTGGTGGATGGGGTCTGATATGTTGTGTTGGGATACATGGGTGCAGCAGAAGCATCGGTAGATCGATAATATCCAGAAGGGAGTTGTGCCGCATATTGGGTTGCTGGGGGCGGGTAATATGGTTGATGATCATAAGGAGCCGACGAGTTGTACGGCTGCTGCATCGTATCCGTGAGAGGAACAGCGTGGTAATATTGAGCGTTCATTTGATCTTGGCGGTAGCGACGGCGCTGCATACAGTGGACAATAAGAAGAACCCAGGCGATCAGTTTGAAAACGGCGCCAATAATCACACAGATGACGCCGCCATAGAATTGACCATTCTTTCGGCTATAGCATTGAGTATATTCATCCCAGGTCTCGTTGTAATCTGTCACAAAGTCGTCGGCGCAGTTTGAGGTATGAGAGAGCCAAGTGCCGATGAGCACGCCACCTGTAATAAATAATATGATAGCAGCAATCATGAAGCTCAATGGCCACCACCGAGTGAACGGTTGTTTGACCTTGAAATTTTTGTCTGCCGGCATATTATACGATATGTCAGGCGCCTTTTGTTTTGAAGAAAGAGAGAATAGCCGACAAAGAAAAATCAAGTCGCGTTGAAACAGCAAACGTGGAAATAGTCTTCGTTTAAATGAAATAAGGGGTCTGCCCAAAGCGTCGCTACAAAACACTTATTCTCAATATGGGGCCCAGCTAAGAGACAGTCTAAAAACCAAAGCCTATCAAATGTCAGCAAACTTAGTGGAATGTCGTATTGAGTGAGACCCTTCAAGGCTGTGTGCTCCGTTACTTCAGGGTCCTGGCCCGCCACAGGAATTGGCGAGGACGCTAAGGTTGGGCGGGAAAAAAAACTTTGCCCCTTTCTGCATGAGCCTCAACTTGCTTAGCATGGCTTTGTTCTGGAACGCAACCATTTGCCACTCAAAAATAACATTTGCAATGTTAAAATTCTATCTGGTTTATCGAACCGGGGCCTAAAGTTTGACTACTCCTGGGTCATGGATACCAGTGCCTTGAGAATGAGAACGGGATCGTGATAACTGATGCTTTGGTCAATCATTTGTTTCAAGCCCATGACTCTGAAGCTGGCAATAGAATGGCACAAGCCAATATGGATATTTTGTAGTCGCTCATGTATAGGGGTTTTTGTTATTTCCGGTTCAGCCAATTTATCTTCGCGAAGAGTGCATTTATGAAGGATCCAATCAAGATTCAGTTCCTGGAACGACCCACCACGCTAAATTTCAGCCAATGAAGTGAATGCTGAAATATCTCGGGAAGTGAAATTAACCGGTGAGGAACTGGATTTTCTGGAGCAAGTCCACCGGCATTTAGAATCCTAGAGTCCGAAGGATTATAGATTGCTTCTATAATAATTATCACGGGTTAGTGGTCTACTCTGAATACCAAAAATTCTGAGACGCAATCCATGCATAATGACTGTCTTTGATTGGCTCTCCTTGTCTGTTCTTGCGTGAAAGAAGGCTTGATGGCGTGACGGTGTCTGACTTTCTCCCTAGAGAATCAATCGGCCAAGACATTCATAATCCTTAAGCTCGGCCGAGAAAGTCAGGACGAGTTTAGGAAGCAAACGTGCTTCAACTTTATTTCAACGCATTGTGTCCGAACTTGCCCCGTTTGCTCCTCTTGATAGAGCTTCATCAATCATGCCGACCGTAAAGAATGTGGCTGTTATTGGAGCGGGGCCTGCAGGTGCCATTGCGGTCGATGCTCTGATGCAGGAGAAGGTATTTGACGTTATTCGTGTCTTTGAACGCCAGGAAAAAGCTGGTGGATGTTGGTTTGTTACTACTTGTCCTTAATCGCCATTGGCTTCCGCATGGCATGCTGACTCCTAAGCAGGGTGTCAAGAGATGATAAGCCACCCCAAAAGCTTAATTTTGACGGCCTGGCTGCCCGCACAGCAGATTCACCGTTAAGAATTCCTAAGCAGCTTCCCTGCTGGACACCAGTAGTCGTTCAGGATCGCTTCACAGATTCACCGGTCTACCCTGGTCTGGAGACGAACGTTGACGCAGGCGTGATGTCCTTCTCCCAAGAACCAATTCCTACAATTAGATCTCAATGGTCAATCGATCGTCATGGCCCAGAGACTCCATTCCGCCACCACTCAATCATCAGAAAGTATATCGAGGATCTTTTCACCCATAAGGGCCACGAAAGCCTTGTTCAGTACAACACCACCGTTGAACAGGCAACCAAGGACTTTACAAGCCAGAAATGGACTCTTACTCTTCGCCGCACTATGGAAAATAATGCTATTTTGTCCGATTACTGGTGGTCCGAGACCTTTGACGCGGTCGTGGTGGCTTCCGGTCACTACGCTGTACCCTATATCCCCGCTATCCCTGGCCTGGAGCAGTTTGCCACCCGTTTCCCTGGTAGTGTTGAGCACACGAAGCATTTTCGTGGACCAGAGAAGTACAAGGGCAAGGTAATGAGAATTTCAAACGTGCTATCCTTTTTCCTCTGCTCACCCGTTCAATAGAAAGTCATTACTGTCGGAGCATCGGTTTCAGCAGCAGACACGGCAGTCAACCTCATCGATAGCGCCCAGTCGCCGATCCATGCAGTTGTTAGGGGTCGTTATAATGTATACTTCGGCGACGATGCCTTTCAACATCCCAAAATTCGACGGCGCGCACCGATCTCGCGTATCGAAAGCGAAACTCGCACTGTTCACTTTGAAGACGGCACCTCCGAGGCAGGAGTAGATCACATCATTTTTGGTACTGGGTTCACTTGGACTTTGCCATTTTTGCCGCAAGTGCCGACGCGAAACAACCGAGTTCCAGATCTGTATCAGCATGTGTTCTGGCGACATGATCCGACCTTAGCATTCGTTGGAGCTGTATGTTTTCCAACCGGGCACTGATATTAGTATTGATCTTGCTTTTATGAATACAACTAACGCTAATCTATTCATGAATATAGGTTGGTGCAGGATTGACATTCAAGGTATTCGAGTGGCAGGCCGTTGCCGCTGCGCGATATTTCGCTGGGAAAGCGACTCTGCCGCCTGTTGCTGAACAGGAGAAATGGGAAGCCGATCGTATTTCCCAGAAAGGCGATGGACCAGCATTTGCGGTGATCAACCCCCATTTCAAGGAGTACTTTGAAGAGCTACGCCGTTTTGCGGGGGATCCAGGCGCTGCTGGACGGTCTCTTCCACCATTTGATCAGAAGTGGGTGGATGATTTCGATGCTGGCCACGAAAGGCGGAAGAAGATGTGGCGACGTGCGAACGCGGCTGCTGGTGCGAAGTTATAGATCCATCTTTTCGGAAATAAGACTTATCCCGGATACCAATCACATTTCATTAACTAGAAATAATAGAGAGGAAAGAAAGAAATCTCACGTGAGATTTCTCGTATCGCCTCGCTGCTAACTGGAAAAAATCCTTCATTCCTATCAAATGTCCTCTGACGTAGAAATTCTGTATTTCGTAGCCCTCTTCTCAATTGACTTATTTTTCAATTAGTAGCGATCGGCACCCACTGAATATATTTTGGATCAGGCCGCCTGAATGTTGGATTCTTGTTATTTCTGTAGCTTCAGCCCCCAATTTAACTTCGCCTCGTGGACCCTAGCGCGCCCTAGTGCAGTGCCCTGCGGACCCCTCGTAAAACCCATTTGGACTTGGGAGATTAAAAACAAAATACCGACCTCAGTCAGGCTATGATTCTCATCTTTAGTTTTTGCAAGACTTCTTGTCCCTTTTCACCAGCCACAGGCGCAAGGAAGACCAAGAAGTGTCGATTTTGATGCTGCACATCCTCTTCCTATCATGGATGTCACAAATAGCACGGTCAATTTGACTGCCTTGCTACAATGCAATTATACGAAAGATGCGATGCCATCCCTTCCTTTCAAGATCGAGCGCTACACCGAAGTTCCACTCTACCAAACGGACAAGCTCGACACAAACTTCACACAGATCCTCCAGTCCTGCTGTAATACCACCGTCTGGATCTATTCAAACCCGAAGCCGTGTACGGCGGTCTGCAATTCTACGACATGGGAGGATGTTGCGGCTGTCCGAGATTGCCTGAACCAGCAGCGATCCGACTTTGGGGGCGATAATGAGAAGTCGTCCGGGTCTATGCCCCAGATGGCAGTCACTCGCAATACATTGACTTTATTGCTTGTGAGCGGATTAGTTCTTACAGGACTCTTTGTATAGTATGCAAGCTAGTATCTGGTAAACTTTACTCGATGATTGATTCCTCCGGTCTGCAAGCCAGCTTGATCATTTTTCATCTCTTTTGAAGGACGAAAGGAAGCAAAATCACGTTGATGAAAAGATTGTGTACTTTATTTTGTTTTTCAGGTCACGAATATTCAGTTCCATCATTTGACCATGTATGGATAGCTATGTCTTCTAGCTATATACGTCTATAATTTATTCCAGAAACCAGCGCCCATTTCTAGCCAAAATCCTTCCCATATCGTTGGTTTCTCATCTAGTCCCAGCTGTGCAAGTGTCCACTCAATTTTGTAAGCGACGCTCGGGCCTTACTATTCGTATTTTCTTAGTATGAGGTCCGGGCACAGCATATTCGTTTGGCTGGAATGGGTCATGGGCACATCCAATTCATCGTTCTGTGCGCAGCGAACTTTCTTCCACTAGCGTGAGACCCGATATCTAGTATCTCCTGGATTGAATAGAAGGCGATATAAGCGGTCAGCCGAGCGCCACTGTACTTTGACGAATCGCGCAGAATGAGCACAAGATATTTCCTCGTCTTATTGATATCAGTCCAGGAAACACGTATATTGGGCGGTCCTCCGAATGGAGATACAACAGGACCGTCGGGGCCATATCTGGAATGTTATAATTTAGATCAAGGTATTATAAAGAACCATAGAGACAAGCGACTTGACTGGTTTTGTCGACGGGATGAGATCGTTCAAGATATTCTGCAGAGAGATATAGGATAGTTATATCTTTTCAGATTCAATCATTATCTAAGAATTTGAAACAAATAGAAAACTGTAGATGATTTCTCCCCAGGAACAAATTTAGGCTCTTGATCCAAAGGGGTCATAATGAAATGATTGATAATAACTCTCCAAATATTGATTTATCTTACAAAACTGGCCTTATAACTACCATTTGATGTTAGGATTGTGGTTTGAGGACCTGGGGGATCATAGTCTCTGGATCCTATTTGAAGCATCGGTTTCCATTTCTTATGTTAGATATAGTATGCGATGAATGCGCAAGTCCATTTAGGAGCCACCAAATATGCTCTGGCGAAGAAAAAATCACGGTGTCTCCTCTTTCTTCACCCCGTCTAATCGTTGAGCAAGCACTTGACAAGGCCAGCCACCTTCCAGGGTCAAAGTTTCAGATCGCTCAAATCCTTGGGACTCATAATATCGAACCAACTTGCCATCACCACCTGCATAGCAATCCACCCGCAGTAATGAGGCACCAGCCTTTTTGGTAAGATCACGTGCATGATCCAAAAGGCGTGTGCCAATCTTGTTACCCGCCCATCGTCGATCAGAGATTAACAGCCGCACGTACAGCTCGGGCTCAGAGACATGGGTCACATAAGGCATCTTCTCTCCAAGAGCAAGCGCTCCTACGATGACCCCTGGCACCTCTCCGCTCGGAGTTTGGATGTCACTATCGGGAAGTCGGGTTTGATCTGGCATGGACGTGTCATCCGCAACTCTGATAGCGAGCCACAGACCATGGCCGGTGGTTGCAAATTCTCTGAGTTGTTCGGCACGTCGTGGATTCTCTGAAAACGATGCTGCTCCCCACTGCCCCGTTCTGTCATTCGACACCAGCCATTCGACTGCGGTATCTAGAAGATGGAGGACAGCCGGGCCGGCGTCCACTGTTCCCCGCACGATGGCGATCTTGTGGGATGCATTGTGAATCGTGCTTTGAAACCCGTTAGTTTCTGTGAAAGGCTTTTCGATTTCGGTCTTCATCTATCTTGTCGTCGTCTGATGTACCTCTTCGTGGGAAGATTGGCGCTTTGGTTATAGTATATAGTACTTACTTTGATGCCATTTATTCAAACAGTTTTTTGTCTCAAGAGAGATGATGGTGAAAATCACTTCAAGAAAAGCCTCAAAACACTCGAATGATTCAAGATTCCTGGCGAGACCTTGATAAAGCGGGTCCCTATTTGGGTGCCTTCTGGATGAGCGCGGGAGTTCGACTGCCTTCGATGTACTTTCGTGTCCTCCGCGTGTAGGATGAGAAAAGAAGCTGCCTATTACGAACCAGAGACTCTAGTTAGCTCTTGACGGCCTCGGGGACCCGCACTGCGCCTACCGCCGAGGGAAGCCGGGCCCGCGCCTGTCATAAGCCCGGCAGGACAGGGTGTTGGGTACGGAGTACTCCTACCTGCTCTGTACTGTGTATGGCTTGGCCCACAGCCCGAGCCCCCGGTCGAGTCCCCCAGTTCACAATTTAGCCGCGGGCAATTAAACATCTCCAGTCCACTAGCGGAGGTTCAAATTTCCCGGTATTCTCCCCCGCATCCCTCCCCACGACAGTGACATCAAACCAAGTCACTGATCAAGTAATGATTCGACACGGAGTCCCTCCGACCGATGCCGGGGGAGTCCCTCTGAAATACTCGCCGAGCGCATGCTCCCCTTCTCCCTCTCACTCTTAGTTGCCCTCTCCCAAATATCGTCTTCCAACCGCACAACTATGGACTCCTTCCACGACAAGGTCTACGCAGTCACCGGGCTCGGTGGCATCGGGCTCGCCGTCGCAAAACAGCTCCACCGCCTGGGCGCGCGCCTCTCCCTCGCCGACATCTCGTCCGCGACGCTCTCCAACGCCGTCGCCGCGATTACGCCCGATACGCCCGCCCCAGCCTCGATCCTCACGACAGTCGTGGACATTGGCTCCGCGGCCGCGGTGAACGACTGGATCGGTGCGACAGTCGCGCGCTTCGGGCGGCTCGACGGCGCAGCCAATATGGCGGGCACGATCGGGCCGCAGCACGGGGTGGGCCGGTTTGTGGACATGGACGATGCAGAATGGGACATGCTGGTGCGGGTGAATCTGTCCGGTATGATGTATAGTCTGCGGGCGGAGCTGCAGGCCATCATGGCCAGTGCGCCGGGTGGGGCGGGAAGTATCGTCAACGCCGCGAGTATCCAGGGGATTCGCGGGTTTGCGCTGCATGTAGCGTATGCGACGACGAAGCATGGAGTTGTGGGGTTGACGAGGTCGGTGGCCAAGGAGGTCGGGCCTGCGATTCGGGTGAATGCGGTTGCGCCGTAGGTCTTCCTTTTCCTTTGTGTTATTAGGGTTGCGTGTTTCGAAAGGCGTAGATCGGATTATGCTAATAGTTCCGTGTCATGTTGGTGCATGTAGGGGTTCGATCCAGACGCCACTGCTGGACAAAGCCGTGGAGATCCAGGGGTGTGCGACGGTTCCCCCGACGGTGATTCCACGTGTGGGCACGCCAGAGGAAGTGGCGCAGACGGTGGTGTTCCTGCTCAGTGATGCGGCATCCTATACGACAGGGCAGGTATATAGTGTAGATGGGGGATGGGATCCTTGAAGATCTGTACCATGCAGGTGGGCGGTGGGTAGCGCACGGTATCACCCGGTGCGCTTGCGATCTTGATGGGGCTCAGTGGTTTGCAAGTTCGAGGATTGGTTGGTCTCTGCTTAAGTCTCTGCTCAAGTCTAACGGATATGCATTGAAACTGAACTCTCTAGAAACCAAATCAAAGTATATGCCGGGCATGATGGGAAATAACATAATATGTGTCATGGCGTGATATATGCATAAAGCCAGAAGGATTTTCTCGCTGGCGAAGGGAGGGGGGGAGAGAGATCATAACAAGACCCGTAACAAGCCATGCAAGGATATGTGAAAAACGCCACCGTCATGACATCTATGAGTGCAATCGCTAAGGAAACAAGAAAAAAAAAACAACCAGGGAAGAGCTGCCCGATCTACGACCATATATACAGCCATGAGCCTATCAGATTCGAGATTAGCATCGGGTCAAAATCACGCAGGGGGTGAAAGAGAGGAAATGACTGTGGAAGGAGACATACACATAACCACAGTCCAGTAAATCCAACGCTGCAGACTGAGAATGGACCCTCCATTATGAGACGCCTTGTTCTCGGTCTTGGCCTCGGCCTCGGCATGTTCAATATTCTCGCCTTCGAGGGCCACCGGCCACCCATCGTCATATTTGAGGAAGTTCCAGCCGAGTTGGGCATCCTATGGAGAAAAAAAAAAGGGGGTAAGAATCAGCACAAAGAATTCTTGGTATTTTTCCATCCCGAACCCAAAAGTTGAAAGGGCACTTACATCGTCGAGAAACCCAATGCTGGTGTTGAGATAGTGATAGTAAAGGATATCCGGGGTGGAATCATTCCCCGCCAACACCCCAAGCCCACCTGGAGCATAAATTTGCCCGTGGTTGGACCCGTATACCACCGTCCCACCGCCCTCTACGAGCTCCTTGCCATCTTGATCCACAAAGGGCCCCCGCACGTCTCGCGATCGCCCCACACGAATACTATACTCGTCGCGGCGGGCTGGGAAACCGGCCGTATCGAAGCGACAGCACCGGCCGTGGCTGAACCACACGTAATAATAGCCGTCGTGGTAACTCATCCACGAGCCCTCCTCGGGGCGGACTCTCTGGTGCGGGATGAAGGTCAATTGCACGGCGTCAGGGTTGTCGGGGTCCTTGATGGCGAGCAGGTCGTCCGTCAGCGGAACCTGCCAGATATCATGCCAGAAGCTGCCGAAGTTGAGATAGGCCTGACCGGTGCTCTGGTCGGTAATGAAGGAGGCGTCAATGGCATTTGTGATCGTGAAGGGCCAAACGTCGGAGCCGTTGCCTTGGCCGGTACGGATAACGGCGCCGTGATCGGTCCAGGGGCTGCCGTCGAGAGTGGTCGTAGTCGCGACGCCGATGGCACTGTTGCGCGAGCCATGCGTGCTGAGCGTGTAGAAGCAGTAGAAGGTACCGTTGCGCTCGATGGTGGTGGGCGCCCAGGGCCGTGACCGATTGCCCTGGTGAATCACGCTATCGCCGTCAAGGACGGTGCCGACCTGCGTCCACGGCCCGCTGATGTTGGCAGCCTTGAAGAATGGCACATGGTGGCCCCCCTTGAAAAGATAATAATGGGCGTCCCAGTAGACGATGTTGGGATCGTGCACTTGCAAGTTGCCGAGGTTGGCCAGTGGCAGTTTGTCGGTGGTGTCGTATACTTGCGAGAGAGTGGGGCCCAATTGCGATGCGGGCGATGCGCCCGTTAGTCCGACGATCCAGGCAGTCAGCAGCAGCAGCAGGAATGGACGAGTTGAGGACATGGTGGTTCAGCTACGGCTGGCGCTCCCGGGATAATTTGATAGCGTTGCGCGCTGCAGAACTGCAGCAATACGCCGGAGGCCTGTAAGATCTCGTACGCTGAACTAGACCAGTGTGAGAAGCCCAACTGGCAGCAGCGCAGACACCGGACCCACAGAATTGCGGTCTCAAAGGGCCATCCGAGGAGAGCGAGACCGGATCGTCTTGGAGTCGAGATGCTATTTGGGTGTACCACACATGCTGGGATTGAAAAGAAACAAGAAACGAACCGAGGGGGACCAAAGAAAGAAAAGAAATAGGGTCAAGTCGCACACGGAGTCCGCAGGAGGTATGTCGGAGAAGAAGCGGGCCAGCACATGGTTAAAATATAAGCAAGGAGGCCAGCAAAAAAAAAAAAGAAAAAGAAAGCCTACAGACCCTAGAGACCCTAGAGACCCAGCGAGCTACACGATCCACCGGGCCAGAAGAGTCAAAAGAAGCCAAAATCTCAAAAGATGGACTAAAAAAAAGGCGAGACGAGCCTGGCAGGGCGTGAATCAAAGCCAAGTCTTTTTAATGTTTTAGGCGGCCAGATTGACGGGCACTGGATCCGAGGCGGGATCTGAGCGGGGATCTAGAATGTACATGGATCTGCGACTATCTGTCTCTGGGGGCCCAGGGTCACTGCTGGGTCTCTCGCGGTATAGAGATACAGGGGCCGGACGGGCGGGAGGTCCCCACCGGCGCCGGCCTGTCACCGCCCGAGTTGGGCTCACGCAGGGGCGCCCGCCGGGCCTGTCGGTTCTTCTCAGGCAGCCTGATTGGCCCCCAGGCCTCGCTATCTTTGTTTCCCTGCCTTTTCCCCTCTCTCCTGCTGCATCTCGTTTTCTCGTTTCCGCCACTGCGTGCTTCGATAGTTAATTCAGACCGACAGAGTCGTATTTTTCTTGCAGTGCCGAGAGCGAAAAAAAAAATGGATTCAGTCGGCTCTGTTTCTCGGGTCTCGCCGTTGCGGAATCTAGGCTCCCATCTAACCAAGCCTACTTCTTGGCTTACCCCAATCCCGTATGAACCGGCTCGCAAGATTCTTTCTTTCGTGGCTTCGCCACACTGTTCTACATACTTCCAGAGCCCCCACTCCCCCACATAAAGATTGAATCGATAGACTGAGAGATAATAAGAAAAAAAAAAAAACCAAACCAAGACAACCAGGCTTCAGCCTTTCCTATCCCCCAATGGACCCCATAATTCTCCACACCGATGAATTGTAGCGAGACTCGATACTGTCGCACCTGCAAGGCTTACGGCTTGGGTTCGGCCAAAAAAACTTGCATAGACCATCAGAACTAGTTCCTCATAGTTTCTCATCCAATTGTAGCCCGGCGGCACCCCGAAGCACTTTCTCCCAACATCGTGATCGGCGCTCCCTTACAGGGTTGCCGCGATCGTCGCTCTGATCCTGAAAATCGTGATATCATGGACACGCGAGCATAAATCCTGTTCCCTGTTGCTCCGGGGTATAGGCTGGATCCGCGAAGGACGGAGCAGCGAGGTTCCGTCTACTCGGAAAGTAATATCAGGCAGACTCGTCCTACAGTACGAAGGCTATATAATCACACTCCACCGATATTCCCCCCCCACACAGCGTTGACATCATATGTAGGAACTGCCATTATTCAGGTTGGAAGCGAGGTATATTCAGCGCCAAGGCAGGCTCCCCACCCGAGATTATCCTGATATACATCAATTGCCTATTATTACAAGGTCTATCTAAGTCTAATCAGTTCCCCAAGGCGATCCCTGTGAGGTCTTCCCAATCGAAGACATCCAAGAAAGGATCAAATTCCCCGGGCGGCTATCACATGGCAGAGAAGAGAGTCAGTCAGCAATCCCAGAAACACAAACAAGGCAGGAACCGGTGTGTCAAGAAACAGGGGGAGCCAATTCAGTTCAGCATACGTACAGTGATCTCTAGATTAGGCGGTGGAAGAATGCCCTCAAAGTCCGAGGGTAGCACGGGTGCCATACCTGGGGCTGCGATGAAAGCCGAGACCTAAAGGGAAAAAGGGTGTGTGTAAGCAAGCTTGCAATCAGAAACACCTCCAAAAAATAAGAGCATGAATATGCAGGCAATGAGTAGCATACCTGGTTGTTTTTGAAGCTGCCCATGCCGGGCGTTCCCAGATGCTCGCAGACCGCGTGTCGGGAGAACATGGTCTGTGCGAACGACAAGATCCGCTCCACGACCTGTTGCTTGTACACAACCGCCTGAGAGGGCCAGATCTTGGCTTTGACCAGGGCCACTATGGTCGAGAGGAAAAAATAGTCTTTGGCGCCCTTGACCACGAGTAGGAACCGGCCTTCTAGAGAGATGAGACCCGTCTCTACAAGGGACAGAAGGGAATCGTGGAGACCGGGGAGGGTGTGGAGGAGGGATAGATAAGATGACGATTGAAAGGGTGTTTCTGAAAAAGAAATTGGTCAACTTCTCTGGTCCTCGAAGGGAGGGAGGGGGTTTGTGCGAGAGTCCGGACGTACGGTTTTGAGAATCTGGGACATGGAGTGCTTGGCACACGGAGAGATACGCCTGCAGAGTCCATTCACCAAGCATACATAAAGACAAAGGCTGTGATGTTTCATGAAGTCGTTTTTGGGTTAAGAGAATCATGACTGCTGCGTCTAAACCAGACCGAGCCGAGGGTGCAAAAAGGATCTCGCGCCGGGCCTCGATCGCAAACGGGGTATGGATAGAAAGCAGACATTGAGCCAGCTTGGTTTCAATCATGGCTCTCCAAAGCGTAATTTTGTGCTGAACGACGATATCATGAGGTTCTTTGGCAGCCCATGCGGGGATTCGAGGGAGATGGTGTTGCACCTCCCAATCCAGGTGTTGAATCTCCTCGTACCGGCAACTGATCCGAGGTGAGTGTATTATATGGCATGCTTTGAGTCGCACAGCCAGTGAGCGGCCAAGGGCAGCTTGGAATGAACAATCGGTGACTTCTGTGAGTGGGTGATCCTCAGGAGGCTCAGTACTATCTTCGTCGATGTCATCATCGTTGATGTTCAAGGGGGGCAGGGTATCGTAATCCATAGTCTGGATAGATGGAGGCATCCCTCGGTCAATGGCCACCTGCAGGTCCAATTCCACGATAGTCATCCATATGCGACGCCGTATCTCCTTATTAAACTCAGATATCCGCGCATACTTACTAGGATCGCGGTGGTATCCTGACAACATCGCCTGCTTGATTAAGAGACCTGTCGAAAGCCAAGCTTTACTGCGTTTCATGCCATGGCTGTTCAAAGCCGTAATCAACAAAATATGGAGGCGCAATGCACTGATCTCAAACCGCTTGATATGTGCATTGTCAATCCATTTTTCAGCATGCAGGACCCATTCGATAGCCGTGTAACATTTCAACGGTGTTGCGCTTTTGGATTGTAGACTGGCAATGTTGGCTAGGTTCCATGCGCATGCGAGCACTAATAGAAGCTGGACAATGAATGAAGGAGCGACATTACTAGGGGCATCCAATATCGCCCAAGTTTCGTCCACTTCCCTCAAGAAGGAGGGAACATGGAATATACGGTGGGTGGATTCAATGTATGTCAAAAACAGTCCGATGAGCTCATCGGCGACGGCCCGGGTGGGCAGTAGCGATATCAATGAAATGATGGTCGGTTCGGGGAACGGCTCATTAAGTGGCTTGCGTTTCCATAAGCCTCGTTTGACTCGTTCCAAGTCTGGTCGGAGCCGCGACAAAATAGGATTTGCCGTCCTGATTTCCTCAGCGAATGCTCGGATATCAGGAAACTGGTACCCATGGTTAGACCTTGATGTGTCTGATATTGATCGAGGTGCATAAGGAGGAGGCGGGAGGGGGATGTCTTGGCAAAATCGCCTATCACATACCTGTGCAACTAAATTGGCATAAATGCCGGATCCGCTGAAGCGAGTCTTGGTCTCCCGACCTCTCATCATCATGCGCGGGGAGAGATCCAACTGGTGCGATGGCGATAGCAGATCGTCTGTCTCCCCGTCCTCGGCCCCGTCGTGGTCTAGCGGCCCGGATGAGGTCAACTCGAGCTCCGGCGCGGAACGCTTCGGCCACTGTAGGAGACCCGTGTTCACATACGACTCTTGGTTAATAGCCGCCTTGGGGGCACCTAGGACGGTCTCTAAGAAACCTCGTTCTCTGCCTTGGCGGCGACCTCTGGGGTGCGGGCCACCTCCGGTAGGAATTGGACCCGGGTCGGGCGCGATAGTCGAAACGAGAGCTTCCGACCGAGTTGAGACGACCCCTAACCCCGAGTCCGGGGAAGGTTGGATCGTAGACGGTTTATCTGTTCCGGGAGGCATGGTGGAACCTCGACCGGGCGCAAATGCAGCGGCAGTTACGGTGGTAGGCTGCTGCCACAAGAAGCCATCCTCGTAGGTGCACTTCGTTGGCGTCCGACTCTTCACACAACGGCCACAGGCGGGATACTCACGATCGCAGCGCAACTTCCGGCTGCGACATTGAGTGCAGGCCATTGTCCGGCGCCGCCGCTTGCGAGGCCGTTCGGTGGGCGCGGCAAAATTCTGAGTATCGGCCATGTTCATATCCATAGCGGGAGGGGAGGATGACAGGGGCGATGGGGAGGCGAGTATAGATGGGCATCTCCTTAGCCCCGGGGTGCCTCAGGTTGCTATTTGGCTTCCCTTCAGGCTTACGTGGTGGCCTGCCCTAACCCGATCCGGTAAACGCGTCCGACGCCTACACTCTGGTGATCGCTTGCCCTGAGCACAGAGGCACCCTATTTGTGGCATAGTGGCATCTGTTCCCCTTGATAAGGCATGTCATAAAAGCTTGGTATCGACTCTTTTGGGTAAATATCCATCCCTTTGCTCAGTCCTTCGGATGGCAATGCCCGTAGCCCAGCATCCGAGGTCTGCACCCGCCAAGCCGCATGTTTCACCTAGTGTCGGCATTTCCGAAAGGGGCAGTTGACCCTTTCGCTTTCTGAACCCTTGTTTACACTCTGACCTTCGAATTCAACAGTGGCTCTCGTACATGTTTAATTCTGAAGTTTCCAGATCCACACCCCGTTTGCGCCAACGCCTTGGCCAAAATTCGGGTTGGCGTCTAACAGAAAAGAATACGTTGTGCCAAGAACCCTGCACGGTGAAATCACAAAAGCAATTTACGTATTGGTAGATCTAATTCGATAGTTAGGGTTGCATATCGATTGATAGTTTGATAAGGGGCCCAGAACCTTTGCGAGGGATTCTGTCTGTACTCTGATGACCGTTGCAAACCAGCCTCCGCGCTCTCGTCTCTCTCTCCCACTGAGCAGCCGTTTAAAGACGAACAGAAGAAAAGGGAAGCAGGCAAGGAAGACGACGGGGAATCTCGAAAATTTACGAGGTTCCGGTGACGAGGTAGTCAGCAACTTGTTCACGAACACTGCCGACGCCAAATAGACTTCTCGTCTCCCTTGGTTTCCATTATCTTATGCTTAAATCTAAGCGCGGGGCCAATCGAGCAATTGTACCCAGGACCTCCCGAAAATCGTCGACAATTGGCCCTCCCATCGCAAAATGGATAACAAACGTCCACCGTAGGTTTCAACATCGGCCTCATTAGGTTCCGGACAGGCAAAATCAGTTCGACTCTTTACCTTGCTAACTGGCCAGTGCGGGGTCATTCGTTCCACAGTTGACCGCGGTATATTGAGGGCTGACAAACGAATGTAACAGTCGGACAAATGCAAATAAGCAGAGAATATTCTCCGATCGTTCGTGAGTCCTTAAAAAAAATTTCGACGATCCCGAATTTGGGGTTCCCCGCAAAACCTGCGGTCGGGCCTGGTGTGAACATGCTACCCCCATACCACTGACTCCATTCCCCCATGGTTTTATGGCGGAGCGCTCCAAATAAGAGCCTCCGTTTAAAAAAAAATACATTTATCTTCTAACCATGACTAGCCACCTCATAAGCCGGTAAATATAGCGCTGGAAAATGAATTTCCAGTTTTGCCTACATAAGTGATATACGTTCGTTTTCTATTCCTTTGCCCGAGTTGTGTGGCAGTCATTGATAATTGAATGAACTCGCCAAATTTATACCCAGGACCGTAGTTCTTCTTTCCCTATGCAACTAAGGGATCAAAAGACTTCTCGGTTTAACTGGTTGTGAGATCCTTGCTTCATTCCCCATACTGTTATACGTAGACAATGTCAACGTCGGTTGGTCAAGAGCCATAGTTGACACCAGGGATCTGCACCATGGAAATCGACTGCGCGTGATTGGAGGGAGCCCAATTGACCTCAGCTATCCAACGGGTCGGGCTGCCAGAAAGGCCCTGCAGAGAGCCCCGAAAGAAGCAAAGAAAACCCCGAGGTCGGCATTAACGGTCCGGGGAATCGAGCTCGGAGATAACGAGGAAAATGGACCTCGAAGAACTATATCAACCCCAAGGCAGCCGCCATCTCAACTCAAACGACAAGTTTTTCCTCCAACAACGGCTCATATCCGGTCGCCCGTGGTTTTTGCGCTTCTCGGTTCTTCAGATTGCATTCGCCGCCATGTTACGGTCGCTTCTGTCCCTGGGCCGATCGGCGGAGTCCAACTATGTTTTTCCCACAGTCGACCCGGCGAGGGACGGGCCCGACTGCTTGAAAGACTGCGCAGACTGCACCACGAAGTTCCCATCAAGAGTAAAAGTGGAAAATATTCGCCCTCTGTACGGCCATATCAAGGAGTTCCATTCCCATGTCCTGGTCGCGACAGGGCGCTCTGACTGGAAGGAAAAGGTCGGGCAAGAAAAGGGAAGTCTAATGGAGGCATTCGAGGACGCAGAATCAAAGCAGGGAGTATGTTATCTGCGCATCTTAAATTACTATTGCCGTACATAGCGGAGTTGTGCTGACCGGTTCCCCCAGCGTATGATGGTCTCGGCGTCTAATATCCAGCCCCCAAACCACGAAAGCACGGAGGATTACACAAAGCCAACGACAGTGCTTATTCTGCCCTCGTTTACCTTTGTGGACTCCGTCTCTCAGGCTGATGTCCCGACGCTAGTCAAGCAATATATTGACACGCCTATGGACGAAAAAAACGGCAACGGCACGGCTTCAAACGGGACCTCCATGAGCACACGGCCGTGCGATTTGGATTATGTGATCTTGCTTTGCTCGCACCAGCGGCGCGACGCCCGCTGTGGCATCACAGCCCCTCTCATCAAACGTGAACTCGAGCGACATCTCCGCGCACTGGGGCTCAATCGTGATTCGGACGATTCGCGGCCGGGAGGCGCAGGGATCTTCTTCGTCTCCCACGTCGGCGGGCACAAATTCTCGGCCAACGTCCTCATCTATCGGAAACACGACCAGCAAATGATTTGGCTCGCCCGTGTGCGGCCCGAGCACTGCGAGGGTATTGTGAAGTACACGATCCTGCAAGGCAAAGTGGTCCACCCGGAATCGCAACTGCGGGGTGGGTTTGATCGCGTACGGGGGTTGACGAGTTGGTAATTGCGTGGGACTGTGCACTTCTACTGACCAATATCGCATGATTTTCGATGGGCCTAGTAAAAGAATCCTTGAGCGAACGATTATTTAATGACTTAGTGATACCAAGTATTGACGAGGCTAGATGTTTTGAATAAGAACGGAAATGGTTCCTCTCCCTCCCTCCCTCCCTCTCACGACTCAGTCCGGTCAAACCAAATCTTTTCTCCCTTTAGACACGGTTCAATGTCCAATCCCACTCTTCTAACCGCCCCAGAGACGTCGATTTCAAACTCGATAGCCACGGGAGCAAGAGAAGCAATGTTTGGGTTCGTGATCCTCGCTATAAAGAACTCGCCGCTTGCATGCGTCAGAACAAAGCGGCCAGGTATCGCACCATGCGCTGCATCGATCGTAAGACGAGCATGGTCCAAAGTGATGTTAAACCATGCATCAGCTGGGTGTCTGTAAGCTCCAACATATTTCTCCAGAGGCAGTATATGGGGGATCGGGGGATCGGCCAATGTCGGGAACAATTGTCGCTTGAGGACATCTATGTCTTCACGCTGATACTTGAGCTGCTTGTCTCTGGCCTCCGCTTGCTTAGAGAAACATGCAGCCATGCGCTCCTTATGAAGCGGGTCGTCCGAGGGCCCGAGCAATTTATCCAACAGGTGAATGGCCAGTTTAAAATCGACAAAACGCCCCAGGTGAGCATTAGACATGATCACGAAGCCAAACTTCTTATCCGGTATGAATCCCACAAGGTGGCCATATCCTACCCAGCCCCCAGCATGTGTGTACAGGTGTTGGCCGCGGTAGTTATCCACAAACCAGCCGAGAGCATAAGCATGGTACGGTGCCGGTATGTTGATATCGCCATCCTCATAGTGCAAGATGCGGGGCTTTACTAAAGAATCGTGGCCCTTCAGAGGCCCAGTCTGCTCAAGCAGCTCTCGAATCCAGCGCGCGTAGTCCAGAACATTCGACACAATCGCTCCGCCGCCCGTATTAGGCTTCCAGTATGGCTTGGGCTCTGAAAACCATCGTCCAGCTTCTTGCTCGGGGATCCAGGTATATGCCTTGACCAATTTCTGGATGACAGACGGGTCGTTCTCGGCATCCGAGGGGGCAAGATAGGTGGCGTTCATCCCGAGAGGTTCCCAAATGCGTTTTTTCATGAATGCCTCCAGTGTCTCACCAGTATGTTGTTCCAGGGCATGCGTGACGGCGATATAGTTTGCGTTACTGTACTGGAACTTAGTGCGTGGCGGAGCCGAAAGGGGCTTATATCTACAACTGCGCACAAACTCGCGTACCGAAGCGTCCTTGGAGCCGAAGTGAAATATCCACTGGTGACCCGGTAGTCCAGACCGATGTGAGAGGGCATCCTCGAGCGTAGTATGTGCAGTCACATATTCGTCTGCGAGCACGAAGTCATCGGGGATCATGGATGAGATTGGCGTATCCCACTCAAGTGGTGACTGGGTGCTTTTGCTCTCCTGAATCATCATTGATGTCGCGGCGGCGAGGAATGCCTTGGTAGTGCTGGCAGTTGGGAACAGCGTATCGGTGGTCATTTTTCTGTCGGGAAATTCCGCTATGCCATAGGCCTGGTAGACTTAGTATGTGCTTTGATCGCATGTTGAGGTGCTGCAATAGTTTACCTTGGAATATGTATTGGACCCGTGCACAACGGCAATGGACAAGCCTGGTGTCTTCCATTCTTCCAGGGTCTCTTCAACCAAGGCATCGAATTCTGCATCGAAGGGAGACGGCTCAATGGGCATGATCGCGGATCAGTTGAGTTGTAGCCAGGGCTAGCAAAACTATATCTTTTCAGTGGGGACTATCATGAACCTGATCTTTTAGACGAGGAGGCCGCTACCTATATAAGGTCATCCACGGAGTAAAATCAGGCACCCCGGTTTTCTTGTCTATCGAATGGCATGACACCGACTTTTGGAGATTCATTTCGACTCGGTTGCTAATTGGTGTTTGCGTAAGCCACTTAGCAAGTCTGACCCAAGGGACCCGAGCCTCTGCGGCCTTTCTAGGCATATAGATTTTGGTCCATTCACAGCAAAGAGTCAACAGGAGTTTAGCCTGAATCAAGCCAGATCCTAGAGTCGAGCTCCGGCGGGCCAAGCGGCCTGAAGGCGTTGCGGGGCCGAAGTGCAGGTCCAAACGCGCGACGTCACCGCATTCATCGGGTTCGCGTTCGCGTCGCTTCTTCCTCCCCTTCCGTGCGCCGCGCTGCTTTGCGATATGCAACAATGACAGACAACGTCCTCAATTCAAGTGCTGGAGCTGCCTCTCAGGCTGCAACAATTCGCGCGGAATTGAAAACCTGGGAGAAAGAGTTTGCGTCGACCCACAGCGGCCAAAAAGCCGGTCGCGAAGACATCAAACAAAACCCTGAGATAGGTAGGCCGACTCTCGGCAAAGACCCTGCCGATAAATCAAATACATGGACATGCCCTCTTGGGAATAACTTGTCACTGACTGTCGCTTTTTTCCGTCCCTTCAGCTGCCAAGTACAAAGAGTATGGTCGGCTAAAAGCTCTTGAATCCTCCCTCAAGCGACGCGAAAATCGAGGTCCAGCGCCCGACGATACTCACTCCAAGAAACGAAAATATGACTCTTCTACTGTTTCAGAGCAGCCCCAACCCGACGTGACTCCACGAAAAGCGTCCAGGGGTCCCTTTGCGACACCATCCAACCGCCGTACTCGAGATCCCCATCCCTCAGATATCGACCCATATGGCTCGCCTTCTACGTTTCGAAAGTTGTTCAGTCCCAGCACCCATCGGCAAGATGTACCTCTTCAGTCACCTCTGAAGACTGCGATCGGACCCACGCCTCAGCGCGATGGGAAGGCTCTCGGGCTCTTTGATATCTTGTCCGAGTCGGGTGGCAGTCGCACGACCCCTTCAGCAAGGAAGCAGAAAAATGTGCCGGCACCAGAATTCCAAACCCCATCTAAACCCAAGAGATTCGATCCCATCGTGGAGGCCCCAGAGGAAGAGGAAGAGGAGAATGCGAGACTCTCGCGAACACCAGCATCTTCCACCAAGCAGTTCTACCTAGCTAACCTGTTCGCGACCCCCACAACCATGCGGTACGCGGCCATGGTAGAAGCGGATGATCAAAAGGCAACAACCCAGAACGCATCTCAAATAGCATACCCTGCAGGATCACCAGAGCCCAATCCATCAGAGACACCTTCCTTCCTGCGCCGCTCAAACTCGGGACGATATCCTGCACCAAGTGCAACCAACGAGAGCTCCGGGCTTAGCCCCATTGCTTCTCGAAAGCCTATTCAATTCGCTGGGAGAGGTCTCTCCCATTTGGTGCAAGGACTTCGTTTCATGGAAGAGGAACGTGAGGATGACGAGTGGGATATTCTTCAGGAGATTGAGGCCGAACAAGAAGCAGCTATGTTCCAAGCCCCCGAGACCCAGTCAGCAGCCCAGGATTCTCAACCCTATAAAAAGAAGGGCCAGAAGCGAACTACACGCAGGATGAATATGCGGCCAGTCATATCTCGGCCGAAGCCTCAGCCGGATCTCAATGCCGTCCCCGATGAAAGTGATTCAGAAAGTGATGATAAGCCGGCGACTGTTCCAGAAACACAGCTTCCCACTGGCTCAGAGATAATAGACGAATCGGAGACCAAGGAGAATGGCGCTACTTATGGTAGTGCTCCTTTGCACAGCATCGCGGACCCAGAGCTAGGATCAGATGGTGAGACTGATATTGACTCAGATGGCGATCCAGAGTATGGTGAGAAATCCAAGCCTTTACCACGGGCCAAGAGCTTCTCAGAACGAATCAAGGAAGCTGTGTCGATAGTCCGGCTGAAGCCCAAGGAAGTTTCAGTCAAAGCTCCTCAGTCTGCCCCAGAAGAACAGAAGAAACCTGGGCGGAAAATCAGTGCCCAAGCTCATGCCAACTATCGCAGCCTGAAGATCAACAACAGAGGCTCTCGTGGCCGTGGTCGCTTCCGTCGAAGATAGAAGATTGTCTTCTGAAAGAAATGTTTACGAAGAAACGACTGCATCCATCATTTGCATATATAGATTTTTAGTTAATCCATTCCATTCATTCCAATTTTCATAAAGCCGTTTCCTTATTGAAGTCATCTCCGCTCGTAAAAGCAAAACCATGGATCAACTTTTTGCGTGGGCATAATATCATCAACTCGTTTATTTCTAATGTACAGAATAATTTGTAAACCTTCAAGCAGTTTCTCAGTCAGGGATGTATCGATCTAACATATGAAGGCTTCTGTCGGTCCAAGGTCGTGGATTTGACCGCCGGGGTTGAAACCGCCTTCGATGCTGCGAAAGGGGCCTAGGCTCACCAGGCCTAGACACTCGGTCAAAAAGACTTCTGCTATGACCCCGAACCGGAGATGCACTCCTGCGCCGGCGCCGGCGCCGGGTAGGACTTGCAGATGAGCGACGATCACCTCGAGCATTGTCCTCGCCATTTCCGACGGGATATCGTTGCGTCGGGCTTGGATATTGAACATTGCGATCCCAGTCTTCCAAAGACATGTAGGGGCTTCTCAACCATGCGAGAAGCTCATGGAGAAATAACCGTGCGTTTTCACGACCGACAAAATCCCGCAAGAGCTCCTCCGCTTGCCCGGCGCTGCCCTTGATATCCACTGTACGCAGGATTGCAATGACATATTCTAGCAGAAACTCCGCATTGTTCGCCCTGCGCTCTTCCAATCTGCGATGGCCAGGACGGGAAACCCTGTCATGCTCGCGCTCCGCCTCTGCCTCGGTCTCGGGATTCAGGAAGCTGAAGACCTGAAGCTCTCGGCGGATCCATTTCCGAGCACGCGAGACAAGTTCTTCATCTAGATTAAAATTCTCTGGTGCAACTTCGCTATATCGAGAAAGACGATTTGATCCAACACGCAGGGAGTATAGTTGGTTTCGGTAAACATTGCGCCGCACAGCGAGGGGGTTGTTGGAAGGTGGCGGGCGCTGCGGTGAATGAGCTCGTCGACGTCGACGATGTGTGCCTGTAAGTCCTATAAACTGATTGTTGTAGATACTATGACCTTGTCCAGAGCCTGGAGAAGCTTTCTCAGTTTGCACAGGTGGAGGGATGTGGTATGTTTTCGGTCCTTGCGGGCTCTGTAGATCATATTGAACAGCAGTAAGTTGAGTCTTGCCTTGTTTGCCGTTAGCTGGAACAGTTCAATTCACACAACATTCAGGTGCATACTGACATAAAGGGCAGGTAGCTTGTTGCTCCACCCAGCTCAAAAGACATAAATAATCGAAGTTAGTGTGCTTGCATGGCACTGCGATGCTTGGCTCAGTGACGGTATCTAGACAAATGACGCAGGGGTCTGTTCCGGCCACGTCTTCATCTGCTACTTCCTTGAGGGTCCTCTGCAGAACTTGCTGTTCAAGATCAGCAATTTTGTCTGCCATCTGGCACTCGCTATGAATGACGGAAGTGGAACGACGGAAGTAACTCCGGCGGGCTTCTGCTTATTGTCAAGTCACGTTGGCGCAAGCGGGACCGCCCGCGGCAAAAAACCGCAAAGCTCTCAAGTTATCCAGGATCACAGTCGCACCTGGCACAGCATAGGATCTGATTCCGATTGCTGATATCCTGAGCTGCAAAATTTGAGCGCTTTTTCGGGATGAACTAACTTGAACAGGCATTTGGCCCCCTATCTCGCTCCGCAGTTGACTTGAGAAAAACAACCGCTCGACCACATCGATGCGCTCGGCCAAAGCAGTCATCTCAGAGAAACTCGCTCGACGAAGTCCTACGGCGTTCAAGATGTCGCCTGGAACAATGATCGCAAATAACAGATCGCCACTGCACACCCTCACGTCGCTCAAACGATGGTCAATCGCGAATAAAGACCTACCAGGTTGGGGGATACATGTTCCACTCGTTGACTCGTGTCGCGAGATCCCAGCGATAGTTGGCTAATCACTACATTCTATTTCAGCTATTTCTCAGATCCGTACAATCCATGTATACGACTTTGACAACACATGTGAGACTTGACATTTTGCCCTCTTACCCAGAGTTCCACCAACACATTTGCCTATAACAGTGTTCTTGAGCCCATTACCGAACCCGCAATTATGGAATGGTTCAACGATTGGATTTCTACAGGCGTGGGAGACGTTCGCAAATGGTGGTTGGTGGCATGATCCCAATATTCTTTCAGCTACTGGCAAAGGCATGGAAATCGAAGAGCCTCGCGGATGGGATGGATGGTGGAACGAACAGATTGTACGCACAGGTCTCGGATCACTTGACAGAGACTTGTTGAAAGCTGACCAGAATTCAAGTTTCGCCTTGTAAAACTCAGCATGGAACAAAAGGATGCGCTCACTGTTCTTCTGACCGGCAGAGGAGAAGCCAACTTCGCAGATCTCATCAAGCGCATGGCGGCCAGTAAAGGCCTGGAATTTGACCTTATTGGACTGAAGCCAGAAGTAGGCCCTGCAGGTCAGCGGTTTTCATCAACAATGACTTTCAAGCAACAATTCCTCGAAGAACTTGTTTATACTTATGATGAGGCTGAGGAGATCCGAGTCTATGAGGACCGCGTAAAACAGTTCGCGCTAACCAACTCTATTTTTTTCGGTCCATGATGCTAACTTTTCATATAGCGTAAAAGCATTCCGAGATTTCTTCGAAGTCATGAACCGGAGCCTCCAGGACGGCCAGGCCCCTGTCTCTCGGAAGCCGCTCAATGCTGAAGTGATCCAAGTAACAGAAGGATGCACCTATCTTGATCCTGTAACCGAGACTGCCGAGGTGCAGCGCATGATCAACTCGCATAATCTGGCCAACCGCAATCCATCATTGAACAAGACCAAGTCTCCTTACGCAAGACTGCGTATCAAGAGGACCGTATTCTACACAGGATATTTGATTTCACAAAAAGACTCTCATCGCATAGTCCAAGATCTTCTGAGTCAGATTCTTCCCCATGGTCTTACTGAATCGAATGACCTGAAATACATGGCTAATAGCATCCTTATTACGCCTCGCCCGGCTTCTCGCCCTATTTTAGACAAAGTCGGCGGCATGGGCAAGAAACTAAACTGGCAGATTACTGGAACTGGTGTTTTCGAAAACAGAATCTGGGCTGCTCGAGTTGCTCCGGTTCCACCGTCGGCGAAATTCCACACTGAGAATCCCTTGCCACTGATCGTTCTGGCTTGTCGTAAAGGTTCACGTCCTGCAGATGCAGGCAAAATTCAAAATTGGCAGCCTGTTTCGTCCGAAATGGCCCTTTCATTTCAGACCGTGGTGGGAGAGAAGGTTGTCCTGAGAGTAGAAGAGGACAATCCCAATGAGGGTGAATGGGAGAGCCAATTCATGAACAAGAGCCATAAGAGACGCCACCAGCAAGAAAAAGATGAAGACATTTTGTATCCCCAATCAGGACAAGGCAGCGGCTATGAGGCACAAGGTTCCGTCCAAGCTCATGGCTATCATCCTTATCAGCGCCCAGGTAATGACATCCGACATCAAAATGAAGACGGCCCTCGTCGAAACACTCAACGTGGTCGTGGTCGCGGCAATGCTCGTGGACGGGGTGGTTCCGCCCGTGGAGGTCGTGGCCGTGGTCGTGGGGGTCGCGAGACTGGATCAAACCCATATTACAAGTCTCTCGATGACCAGACAAGTGGGTCATATGATGGGCCTAGCAATGGCGGTGGCGGGCCCGGGGGGTTTACGATGGACTACTGAGATCTGGTCACCTGTAGCCATTTCTGTTATCCTTGCACGCCGTCTTTTCGCATCTTTACCCTTTCGAGCTTGGTGGATTCCTCTCTTGTCTCTTTTTCTCATTATTTGTTGCATCACGCAAGGCGCATCTAGGTTAACGAGGTTGGCGCGTGCCGAGGCATGCCTCATTGCAGTATCATGGATATTCTTATAACGTTATGAACATCACATAGAAAGCTCTTATCGATATTAAATATAGTGTATGACCTAGTTGGCACCAACAATTATACGTAGGAAACCTGGAAAGATATCACCTGTGCAACAAACAGAAAGTCTATCAATTTAGCCATCGTCGAAGGCCTAGGAAAAACACAATGTGAGTATAGAGTGAGAACCTACTGGCAAATTGAATATTCTTCTGGTATCGATTTAAATAGGAGTGGGGGAATTTCGCATCGTTTGCTTGTGTAGAAAGGAGGAAGGAGGAAGAATTTGAGCACCAGAATTATTCTCATGAAGTCATCGATTCTCTAATTGTAGACACTTCCACTCTCCTACTGCATATTATGACCCGTGTCAGCCAGTACTAGATATCATGTCTCGCATATTTACTCGCCAACCGAATCCTCCGACCTCGCCACACAAGAATGAAAGGAAATGGAACAAAAAGAATGGTTAAGCAGCCAAGAAGAGTGCATGCCCATCCAACCCCAAGATTGTGAAACATAGCTGAAGCAAAGAGAGGAAAGCCTGCACCAAACGAGGATCTCAGGAAGTCGTTCCCAGCCAATACCGAAGCCGCATATCGCGGATAAGCATGGGCTAGGTAACAGAAAATACAATTGAAGATCAGACAGCCACCCACAGCAAAAAGCATCGAGGCAATTATCGGTACGATCCAGTGAACACTTTCGAAGTTCCCGGTCCAGCCAAACCAGAATAACGAGATGGGGAGGGCGAAGGCACCTACACAGGCAGGGGGCATTTGCATCTCGGGGGCAACATTCCCATCTTCATCGAAATACTGCGACTGCCAGCGGTACTTCCAGTAAAAGTAACCCGGGATCGTGATACAACAGGTTGAAACAAGGATGCCCAGAAAAGCAAGACCGCTCTCGCCGGAGTTGAATCCATGTGTTTCTTCGAAAACGATGGGAAATGCCTCGAACCAAATGTAAAGGATACCGTATATGAGAGCAATATAGAGATTAAGCAGAAGCACAATTGGCTCCAGGAAGCAAAGCTGGAATGGTCTGACGAGAGATTCGAAAAGAACATCCTAGTAAGTAATCAGTCAATAAGTCCATTTTTGGCACCATTTTGAAACATACCATCGGCTTGACTTCTTTGATCTCGATTTCAGACTCAGACATATACTGCGAATTTCCCGTGATGCGGCGTACCCGACGTGCTCGCCGAGCAAGAATATTTGGCGCAAAGGTCTCGGGTAAGAACAAAAACAAAAGAACGAAAGTAAACGCCGAGACCCAGAGAAGCTGCCAAATAGTCCACGTCCACCCTTTGGCGGACGCTGCGAACCCTCCAAGCATTGGACCCAACACGGGGGCGGAGATAGCAAACATACCCCAGACTGCGATCATATAGTCGCGAATCCGAGGACTCCATATATCACCCATCGAGGCAGCACCGGTCGCTAATGCAGGAGATCCCACAAATCCGGTGATAAAACGGAATGCCAGAAGCATACCGAAATTTTTGGCGTAGATCACGCCGAATTGAAAGAAAACAAATACGAATAACGTCAAGACGTATGTTGGGCTTCGACCAATCATAGGAATCTCGGAAAGAGGAGACCATATCATTGGACCTAGATAAAGTCAGAATAACTTAGCTCCGTGAACCGTCTGGGTTCAACTAACCAAGTCCATAGCCCAGCACGAACAGGGTTAAGCCAAGGGTGGCAGCAACGCTGCTAACGCCGAATTGATCTGTAACGCCCGGGATTCCAGGCGTATATATTGCAGAACCAACGTAAATGGCAAAAGTGAGCAACCAAATCTGAGTACTGACAAGAAACTTTTTCTTGGTACTCCAGTTCTGGGGGTTCTGTATATCACCATTAGCATGCGTATTTTAAGTCCATGTTGCTAGTCGAACTAACTTCTGGATCATCGGGCCCCCGCCAACTGATGACGAGTGGCTGTGTAGCCTGGGAATTACTCGTAGGTCTATCATGAAGGGTAGATGCACAGGACATGCGCCGCGAGCGCGTCGAAGTTACCTGAGACATAACGGTATATAGACCGTATGCCTCTAAATTCTCCTGGTTCTCATTTTCAGTGACGGGGGTAGGCGCTTCTTCGTCTTTCGTCTCGGTCTCTGGCTTGAGGTATTCAGGCCAAATTGAGCCATCCTGCTCTTCCGGATATTGCATCCATCTATACCGACTGGAGAGACGAACCAGCTTTCCAAAAGCGGTGTCCCGAAAAGTCTCCATTGTCGCTATATTTGAATGGTTCGAGCAATTGAGAATGCTTGATGAAAAGCGCAGTTAAAATCTTCCAGGCATCATCCGTGGGAGGAGTTACATTATTATATGTGCCAATGATCTAATGCTTGTCTGAGAATAAACTCTGGAGCTACACGGGTCTACAAAGCCAAAGTTTCTTTCCGTAAAGCCGTAACTCCGAGGATCCGTGGCAACTCGACCTGATTATAGAATCACGGTCATAACATTTTTTACTTAATATTAGTGAAAATATTTATCAAATTTGAATTTATCAGGTATCAGAAATAAATCCAGGGTCTCAGGAGTTCCTCAAGGACCATTCAATATCTATTCGTCCCGATGATGTCATGACTCGGCTCTCGGAATCCCCTCCTATGACCAAGGAGATCTCTTCTGAATACCCACCTCATATTACATTGGCTGAGCAGAGAAATTTGATTCTTTGAGTGACAGGAATGTAATTTAGTCTTTTGAAGCATTTGATGTTTGTAGCAGTGATTTGACAATACCTTGATTCCCATTATGAGAGCATATAGCCAGAACGGGAATCAAAAATAATTGTCTCATATTCGCGGAGGACAGTGATCACTGATAGTAATATATTGGAGATGATAAATATCGAATATTCCTTCTACCCTCGTTATAGGCTCTTCATTTGAGATACTGTATTCTGGTGACTTTACGATCGTTGTCTCAATCTTGATCCAGCGCACTGGTGGTTTTGATTGGCCAACTGCAGCGCTCAGTCCCGCTGCCCATGGCGCTTACCTTACACAGAACACTCCCCTTAGAGTCGTTGATTGCCACGCGACGTGACCAAAATTTGGTTCCTACCTCTGTATGTGTTTTGATTCACTGCAGATAATAAATGGCCACAACTGGGTCTCAAGAACCTCAGAGTCTGATCGCCATTGCACCAGCACCTAATGATGGGGCGAACCGTTCCATCGTTCAGGGACCCTTAGCACCCCAAACCTGCCAGGCTTGTGCACGACGCAAAGTGAAATGTGACAAAGCCTTGCCAGTGTGTTCCAGCTGCCGCAAGACTAGGATTGAGTGTACCTATCATATACCACCAACTCGTCGGAAGAGAAAGCCAGATAGCGATGTTTTAGAAAAGCTAGCGCGGTATGAACGCATTCTGCGAGAACACGACTTGCTGGACCACATTTCGTCTTCCAATAATTCTGGCTTAGGTTTGAATGATCCAATATTTCTCCATTGGAACAATGATGGCATATCTGAATCCAAGTCCAATCCGGCTGATCGAAGCAAGTCAAACTACATAAGCAGCAACATCTGGCGTAATCTTGGTGGTGATGTGATGCAGTGCATTTCTGACAGTGAAGGACATGGCAATGAACAGCTGCTGGATAATACAGGAAGAATCTCACAGGACCCTTTGACCGGCGCATTTTTGGATTCTGAACAAAGTCGCTTCGAATATCATCCCGATTACGCAACTGCCATGCTTCTCTGGAAAGCATACATTGAGAATGTTGAGCCTATTTGCAAAATCGTGCATATGCCAACCACAGAAAAGATCATCGAGACGGCTTCAAGAAAACAAGAATTTGCAACAAAATCTGAGCAGTGTCTTGCATTTGCCGTGTACCATTTTGCAGTTGTTTCCATGACTGGAGCAGATTGCTTCGAAAAGTTTGGCCAGAGACGCGAGCTTTTAGTGCAGCAATATAATGCCGCGACGCGCCAGGCTCTTGTCAACGCCTCATTTCTAAGAACAACAGATCTATCGATACTGCAAGCACTTGTGTTATTTCTTCTCGCTTGTCGAGATTCATACGACTCCAACACGTTCTGGATCTTAACAGGTGTTGCAGTTCGCATTGCACAACGTATGGGACTTCATCGAGATGGCGAAGAATTAGGATTAGCGCCATTTGATATTCAAATGAGACGACGACTCTTCTATCAACTACTTCCCCTCGATGGAACTGCCAGTCAAATGGCAGGAGCTGGCATAAAAGTGGCCCCGGAGGTTTGGAATACAAAAATGCCTCTCAACATAAATGACAATCAGATTTGGCCCAACATGTCCGAACTGCCATTAGAGCACAGTCGCGCCACGGAAATGATTTTCTATCTATCCCGCTTGTCTACGGGGCAGCTGATAGCCAAGTCGAGAGGGATAATTGGAGGGAGGAGTGTCCAGAACGCCGATACACAAGAAGCAGAACTATATATCGATCGAGCAGAGCGAAAGCTAGAGGAGAAATACATTCGGTACTGTGATGTTGCTGACCCACTCCACTTTCTTACCGTTGTGCTGTGCCGGTCTGGAATAGCCACCATGCGTCTTCGAGTGGGACTTTCCAGGATCAAGAATCAGACGGCTACGGATTTCGAGAGGAAAACGACCTTTGAACTAGCATTGAAGATTGTAGACAATGATTCATCGGTCTATGCTCATTCGGAGCTTGTCAGGAAGTATCGGTGGTACGTGAGGCCGTTCTTCGTGTGGGGTATGTGGGATTCGTTGACTTTGCTTCTCATGACTCTATGGAAAAGGGGCGATCTCCTCTCGCATGAAGAAACTGTCATGACATGGACAAAGCTGGAGCGAGTATTCAAGAATCACAAAGAACTTATCGAAAATGAGCGAGCGCTATATGTGGCATTTGGCAAGGCGGCACTGCGGGCTTGGGATGCTAACGCACTCAGCAACGAGCTGCCTGAGCCTGCATTCATTGTACATCTACGCCCACAAAGAAAAGGCATAAAAGGTGGAAAGCAAGACCAAAGTGGTGATGAAAGAGGGAACGATGCTCAAACTACGACAGCGATGACGATGGACTCCCTGTTAGAGAGTGACGCGAGCCAGCTCTTTGACGCAGGATCCCAGGATATGACTCTTGTTGCAGGAGATAGTTTCGATCTAGAAGGCTCGGATTGGGCATTCTGGGACCAGTTGATTCAAAATAACCAAATTTGAGATATCTCGGAAACAAATCCATCATTTTGAAACCGCCTCGCATGTACAAGAATCGACTTGCTGTGCACTGTTCTGTATCGGAGTCATGATTGGCTAAAGGCTCGGGTGACAAACGGCCGAAGGTGTCGGGTTTGAGGGCCCGAGCCTCCAACTGGTTGAATATTCAACGAAACTATAAAGTCAGAATGCGGCACATTCTTGAACGCCATTAGAAGGTACAACCCTCCTTCACCTCGGTTTTTCTTTCTCAAATTTATTGTCGAAAATGCCGCATCTAAGGGTGCTTATTGTGGGAGCATCCATTGCTGGCCCGACGGCGGCTTACTGGCTATCCAAAGCCGGTGCTGAGATCACCATAATCGAACGTTTCCTGGAACTTCGCACGAATGGACAAAACGTTGATATACGTACAGTTGGTGTGACAGTCATGAGAAAAATGGCTGGGATGGAAAAAGCTGTCAGAGCCAAGGCTGTCCCTATGGATGGAATCAGCTTTGTGGATACCCATGGTCGATCCTATGGGATCATCAAGCCAACCGGAGACCCAGATCAACAATCGCTTGTATCGGAATATGAGATCTTTCGTGGTGACCTGTCACAGATACTTTTCAATTTGACCAGAGACGACAAAAACATCAAGTACGTTTTTGGTGAGCAAGTGGCTTCAATGAGACAAATGTCAGATCGTGGACCCATTGCTGTGGAATTTGCCAATGGGTACCCATGTTCTGAATTTGACTTGGTTGTTGCGTGCGATGGGGCAACCTCACGAACTCGGGCAATGGGTCTAGAATGCGGTGCTCAGGACCACGTCGTACCGTTAAACTCGTGGGCAGCATTCTTTTCCATCCAGAAAGACTTACTCAAACAATACAATATTGGAGAAGCCTACAGTGCGCCTGGTGGTAGATTTATAGCCATTGGATCCGATCCATCGGGCATCAGTCGCGTTGTTCTCATGGGCATTCACAAACGCAGCGAACAGGATTCCACCCATATGTTTCGCGAGGCCCTGAAGCAGGGTGAATCTGCGCTGAAAGGTTTTATAAAAAAACATTTTCAAGGTGGTGGCTGGAAATGTGACGAAGTCCTAGAAGACATCATGGATTCCCAAGACTTTTACGCGAACGAAATGGTGCAAATTCGAGTGCCTTCTCTTTATAATGGGCGCTTTGTTTTGGTAGGTGATTCAGGCTATGCTCCGGGTCCAACTGGTACTGGAACCAGCCTCGCGATGGCTGGTGCCTACTTATTGGCTGGCGAGATTCACAAGCACAGGTGTGACGTCGAAGCTGGCCTGAAAGGTTATCAGGAGCGCATGCAGCCTATCGTCGATGATTTACAAAGGATTCCACCTCTTGTGCCAACCGTTCTTGCGCCACAGACAACCGCTGGAATATGGCTTCGAAATATGATATTCACATTCATTTGCTGGAGTGGGATTATGGAATTTTCCCAGAGATTCTTTGCGGGATCATTTGCAAGAAATGAGGTCAATAGGCTCCCAGACTACGATTGGACAGAGTAGAGGATCCGGACAGGTTTTCTGCCTTGAATTTTCTGGTTATTTCGTGATCTTTGAGATAATGGGAGTAATCTGAATCCTTTATATATCCATTTTGCATCTCAATCTCTACCCCCTTTTATCACTGCTATATTTTAATGATGGCTGAGTTTGGCTATTTGAAGTTGTGCACCGTTTCGGGGTCTCGCTGAAAGAAACAAACTTTGATTTAGTGATTAATGGACAGCATTTTGATATTAAAGGCAGAAGCAGGATGGATTTCATTTCAAATACAAGCATGGAAGAAGCAATATTCACTATCCAGCCTTATAGTAAGGCGCTCGAAAGGCCTAGGTTGAGCCAGGCAGAAAACTGCAATTACTCACAGTCTACTGGAAACAAAGTAAGGAATACTCTTGGCCTCAAAGATGTCCTTGTGCGCGGCTTTAATGATGTCGGCTCCCTAGGTCAAATATTAGAATTATTATCAATTTCAGACCGAAGTAGGGCACTCACCTTCTCGCCAATCATATAAACCGAGTTTTGAATGCGGCAGTCCGGAATGACGGGGATGACGGACGCATCCACAACTCTGAGATTGCGAACTCCATGCACCCGAAGCTTCGAGTCAACGACACCGTGGTGGACGCTCTTGGAGAGACGTGCAGTCCCGCAGGGATCTGTCATATATTATCAGTACAAATTTGAAAAGTCACAAGAAACCAAGAATCATACGGAATCCAGTTTGGCTCCGGTCCAAAACAGCCCTCTTCATCTCCTCATCGGAATGGAGTGGCATCTTCCAAGGGTATTCCTGGACAATAATGTCCTTGAATCCAGCCCCAGTGGTAAGAACATCATAAGTCCAGCGAACACCCTCGCGCATTGCCAGAATGTCAAGGTCATTGCCAAAGAAATTCAGGTTGATGTTAGGCTGCACCAGGGGGTTACGACTGTTCAGCTTGACCTCTCCTTCGGACAGAGGGCGAAGAAGATCGACAATAACTGTCATATAACTGCCCTTTTCAGGCACTGGATAGTGCCATTGGAAAGCAGTGCTGAACATACCAACGAAGTCAAGCTCAAAGTGAGGCTGCCCAGCAGGACCAAATGGGTCCAGTCCGCCGTTCGCTGCCTTGGCTTCGCGATATGCTGGGTACTTCTCAAGACGCTGGTCAATACGAGGGAACCCGACAAGCTCCAAGAGTCCCGAGCTAATTGGGCCTGTCTTATCCCGCTGGTAAGCTGAAACAGCAGCATCCTTAAGTGGACCTGATCTCAGGATGTGATCATCTAGGCCATAGCCATCTTTGATTTGAAGGACAAACGGCACGATGGGGTGGTCGAGAAGATGTTGTCCGACGTGAGGTGAGTCGACCACAATATCAATGCCATGTTGTTTCAATTCAGCAGCGGGCCCAACTCCGCTCAACATCAACAGCTTAGGAGTCTCAAAAACACCCTGGGACAGAATGACTTCGCGGCTAGCAAAGACTGAGATTTCGGTGCCAGATTCTCCACTAACAACAGTGACACCGGAGCAGATACGGGTGTCTGGGTCGATAATAAGACGCTTAGACTGGACTCCATAGAGGATCGTCACATTTGGTTTATCTTTCAGATATAAGAAGCTGCCTTGACGCTGGCCTTGATAGATGGTATCAACGCAGTGGGTAAGACCTCTCATCTCTCCTGAATAGATATCTTCGGTCAATTCCTCGCCCTTGGAGACCCAGGCTTCAGTTAGAGCATCGCGGAAGGGCTTCATTTCCGGAACCAAGTCGGCATGTGCAATTTGTACTGGGCCTCCACTTCCGATCTTGCTCAGTTCGGCGGGATATAGCTTCTCATCATCATGGTAGGTGGCACATTTGCGTAGATACTCTACACAACGGTCCCAGTTCCATTCATGACCACCAAACTCCTCCCAGTCGTCGAACGTGGGCTTGGAACCGGGGATCCAAGTGAAGTAATTGGCACATGAGCTTCCACCCAAAGCTTTGCCGCGAGTATTTGGCTTTTCGATTCTTTCATAATCGTCGCGCTTGATCATAGTCGTCTTGTAAGCCCAATCATATTTGCTTCCGCGAAGCTCGAAAGCCTTTGCAGGAGTAGTGATTTCTTCGATCTGGTCTGGGTTGGGAATGCCGGCCTCAACCACCAGAATACGGACGTCTGGATTTTCAGCAAGGCGGCCGGCGACAGCATTACCGGCAGTACCACCTCCAACAACAATGAAGTCGTACTCGGAGCCGTTTGATACAGTTGCCATGGTTTTGAGATTGGCGCCTCGAAAGGACAAGAAGGAATTGCAATAGGTTCTATGTTTAGATAGAATGATTGAGGATCTTGATGGATTAAAGGATACATAAACGAACTAAACGTCCAAGTTTATATATGCTCAGACTCAATGAAAAACCAGCATCTGGGCCGAGTTCCGGACGCCTCATCTGAAATGTACTGGGCGTCATCGTGGAGCTGACAGGTTGTTCAAAAAAATCGCGCTTGAAATGGTAGTACTACCTCATAAGGCTGGCCATACGGCTTGTGGCGTTTGTTGGGGGGGACTCAGTAAGCTCAGTATGGATAATAATAGGTTTCGGGGGCATGATATCACGTCCAGTAGTTTGCAACAAGCTTCTTCATGTTGATCGAGGCTTGGCCGTGGGCTCCGAACTATTGCCGAGAGGCTTGCCGAGTTAACTCCGCCAGATTTGACGAGTGCCCCCTCATGAGGGGAAGCATCTCCGCACTCCAAACCTACCTTGGCAGCCTGCAACGCTTGCATATGTTTTCCAATTTTTCACGATGATATCGGAAGCCAGACTGCTGGAATTTCGACTAATTCCGTGATAGCCGATTCATGCACGTAATGTAGAACCCGAATTTTAGAAACATACGATCGGAGAAGACTCGGCAATCAACGGGCCTTCAGTAGCCTCAAGGCAAATGTCTTATCATTTCAAAGGGAGTCCAATAGTATCACCGCCCTTTGTTGATAGGATTTCTTAGGCAAAAATTGACGGAGTTATTTCGGATCGCTGGATAGAGATAAACTGCTCATGGAAAGGAGTGAGGCTATAAAAGATAGCAGATCGCAAACTATAGATATATAATACCAACACAAGCTATCCTGGATTGACTGTCGAGCATAATCTATCAATTATCTAGAGATATTTTAAGATGGATCAACGAGGATTTACCCTGGCGGAAGGTGAGCGACAACAAATTGACCGACGTCCTTGATACTGACCTTTACCAAAGGTCAGCCAATTTCTGACCCTTCCGTCAGTACCACTTTGCCCATGGCAGGTGGTGGTGGCTTTACAACATTAGGAGATACTCTTCTTCTTGAGACTTTGTCTCATTTTAACCGAGAGCGAATTCCAGAGAGGTTAGATATCTTCTAATCACGTCAATTCGGATTTGCTGACGTGTAGCAGAGTTGTTCATGCCAAAGCAGCAGGCGCCTGGGGCACTTTCGAAGTGACTAACAATGTCTCTTCTCTAACTGGGGCAAAATTTCTCAGTCAGATTGGCAAAAAGACTCAAGTTCTCTTTCGTCTTAGCACCACCGGAGGAGAAAAGGGTAGTGCCGATACAGTTCGAGATGTACGTGGATTCTCTGTCAAATTTTTCACCGAAGATGGAAACCATGATATTGTCGGAAATCATATTGTAAGTTTCAGAGATCACCAATTTGCTCCTATAAGACTGATATATAAAAGCCCGTTTTCTTCGTACGCGATCCCATGCGATTCCCTTCCTTGAATAGGAGCCACAAAAGACATCCCGCGACTAATCGACCGGATCCGACCATGGTGAGTACTGTTGAAAAAAAAAAAAAAAAAAAAAAAAAAAACAGATGAGCGATTCCTGACAGGTCTAGTTTTGGGACTTTCATGTCAACCAACCGGAAAGTGTACACGCTCTTATGCACCTCTTTGGGTCACGAGGTCTTCCTGATTCGATCCGACGAGTGACTGGGTTTGGTGTTCATACTTTTAAACTGGTGGCCCCGGACGGAACTTTCAGATACTGCAAATTCCACTTCCGCCCTGTTGAAAGTCCAACGTATTTGTCTAATCAACAGGGTACACGACTGGCTGGTGCCAATGCCGACTTTCACACTCAGGATTTATGGGAATCTATCTCCCGCGGTCATTTCCCAGTTTGGAAGATGTACATTCAGGTCATGAACCCCGAGCAGGCGGAGGAGTTTGGCCGCGCTCTTTTCGATATTACCAAGGTCTGGTCACACAAAAGCTTTCCATTGATAGAGGTGGGCAAAATGACTCTCAGCAAAAACGTAAGACTACATGTTGTATAAGATTTTTTGGGGGGATACTAAAGAAACCTCAGCCAGAAAACTACTTCGCGGAGATTGAGCAAGCTGCATTTTCCCCTTCAAACATGGTACCTGGGATTGCGATGACTCCTGACCCCAGTATTTATTCCCCACCTATACTTACTGGAATTTGAAAATATATTGACAAGAATCATGCAGTGCTCCAAGCTCGAATGTTTGCCTACCCAGATGCGCAGCGATACCGTCTTGGGGTGAACTATGCGCAGCTTCCCCCAATCGAGCAATCTGCCCTGTTTACGCCCCCTTTGAGAGAGATGGACTAGGTACTGTGACCAAGAATTATGGATCCGATCCAAACTATGTGCGAAGCTCCCTTAGCCGAGTCGTGCCAAACCACCCGGTCTCTTTCGTGCGCCACACTGAGCGCCTTCAGCGCGATGCTATCCTTGGTCCACATGAGATACCGGTGGATGAAGAGGATTTTCAACAGCCAAGAGATCTGTGGAGCAAGGTATTTGATGAGAACGAGAAATCTCGGTGGATTTCAAATGTTTCCGAATCGCTGGAAGGAGTTTCTGAAGAGTTGAGACAAGCCGTGATTGCCATGTTCAGCAAGGTCGAGCCTGAAATTGGAGAGAGGATCGCAAACCAATTTAGAGAGGTGTCTCGTCTGTAAGAAATAGCTGGATAGTCTTATTATGACATAGAGTTCATTTCCGTGCAAGCTAGCTTACTTGTTGTTTGATGATTATACAATCTTTTACGGCTTATTGATATAAGTACCATGTGTTGCACATTCTATTAATCTTGCATGAAATAGAAGTTTCTTTTTCCGACATGCCTCTAGCTTTTTTGAATGAGAAATATAGAAATTTCTCTTGCATGAGAATAATGTTATGCAATAAAGCACGCAATTGTTTATCGAGTTCAAGAAGCCACCTACAGTGGATACCGGGCCCCTCATCCGATATTTTCCCCACTCTCCGGGCTTGGAAACCGGGGTTTCTTCCCCTCAACAGGTTAAAGCACGCGGGAGCTTTGCTAGGTTCCGGGAAAGTGCCCGATTTGCAATCGGACAAGCTAGTTGTTCTATTTAATAGTATTTTTTCTCATGGTATTCGTTTTTTTTTTCATCTATCGATAAGCAAGCAAGAAAACTCCAAGAGTAAGTTCTTCGTTACAATCGCGGGCGAGATTGGACAAGAAAATAGATATTAGCAACCATTCCAGAGTCGCTAATAGTGTTCATTTTGCAAAGTGTCTAACAACCTTGTACCTCTTACCGTTATCAAAGGCGCTGGCCATGAGTTCGTCTCTCTGCCCCAGGGTGAGAACGCAATTACAGCCGATTTCCATTCGACTCACACCCAGACCGAATCCCCCGCAGACATCACCTCAGGATTCTATAAGATTGTGGCCGGTGCTCAAAGGCCTGCACACTATAGCTACGAGGAGTCAAAATATGTCCTGAGTGGTCAGATTGATGTTTTGGTATGTCATCGAACAGGTCACACGGGAAGGTCTATTTCGAAATGTGTTTTGAAAATACTAATAACCTGGCTTTCTTTTCACTATGCAGGACGAGGCCACTGGAGTGACCCACCATCTCGTTCCGGGAGATTTTGCCTTCTTCCACGTTGGATCTAAGGTCAAAGTTCGTTGCTTCCAAAAAACCCATGTTCTTGCACCGAGGTGCTATCGTCTTGAATGAGACGAGCAATTAGCTGACAAAAATTTGTTGTTATCTAGTTCTCTACCAAGTCCCAAGGCTTTGCTTTCTACGTTGTTACTCGGCCCATCCGATCTCCTCATGTCAACTTGGCAGGTCGAGAAGAGAGCAAGGCGAAGTTGTGAGAACCCAGCAATGACGGAAAATCCAAATGGTTATCAGGGTTGAAGTCATATAGGGAGTAGATGGACGATAGTCCGTATATGAGAATCAAAAGATCTATGAGCTCCTACACTCGCCACGGGTGCACATAGATACAGCTGCTCGATGATGTCATGCATTGAAAGAATAGACTACCTCATGACTGTATAGAGATTCAAGTGCTTCCATAGGATTCTTGGGTGACTAGCAAGCATGCCCAAGCAAGAGATAGAGGCCCTTGGTGAATTAGACTTTGAGAACATCTTATCATAAAATCATGCTCAGAGAGTTGGATACTCATGATGGCTTTTATGTTACGGCTAGAAATATTTGTTTGAAGAGGAAGACCCTGCCTATCTTCATGATATATGAGTTGATTTCTGAGTAGAGGTTTATGAATTTTTGAGTTTGCATTCTTGGAGCAATCACTATCTAGAGCAGCGCTTATTGACATCAGCAACTTATATGCATAACCACACAAAGCCAGTCAATAAAATCAGAAATTTTCCAGTTTGGAACTGAAGTCGAAGAAAAGAAAACATGTTTTATACATGGCCGAATGAAAAACGCCTAGAGCTCGAATAGCAAAGCGGTGACATAACCAAAAAAAACGCCGGCCAAAAGGCTTTACAAAGATAATCACTTGGAAGGTTTGATGATAATCTTTCCATGTCAGATCAGTATATCCTGACATATGAACAGAACAAGCTGACCAATCCCATGACCCAGATACACGGCGTTGCTTTTCAAGCCGGTGTAAGAGAGAAGGTGTTGTAGAAGATCCTGATCCTCGAAGTATGTTCATAGTTCCCAAAGTGTCCAAACCCGTCCGTATTCCGTAGGGATCAATTGTCCCAAGTCCCGTAGTCCGTTTCATCCAGTCCGTGTCACAAGCTGTGGTCGTTTGTGCTTGTGAATATTATTCATTTCCCATTTGTGTCGTGCAGGTAGAAAGATTGAGGTGTGTGGTATTCAAGGTTGGAAAAGATAAATGCAAAAGGTGAGAAGATTTCAATAATGAAAGCAAAATGGCGCATAAATGAATCAATCAACTGGTTCACTCAGGATGGTTTACTCGTCGTCGTCGGTCAACTTCTTGATGATTTTGATGCTGAGAATCATGACAAGAAGGCCGATTGTGACAATGACTAAAAGGACAAAGCCGAACCAACCAAGCACCATGGCGGAAGTGCCAACACCGCTCTTGACGACACCATTCCCGAAATCTTGGGCGATCGTACTGGCTGCAACTGATGCGGTGTGTTGCCATAATACTGAAACAAGGACGAACACGGAAGAGACAAAGATCAGAGCTAGAGCAACTTGGGACACAGGCCGGGAAGGAAACGGGCGGACTTCAATATCTGAACCAGACTCGTCAATTTCGTCGTGCCAGCCGGGGAAAGTGGCGAGTAGAATGAAGCAGAGAAAAGCGAAAATGACAGCAACAATGCTATAAGACTATTAGCTTTGCTGAATAATTAAGAATTCATAGGTAAGTGACTTACAGGAGATAGGGGAAGACTACTGCATCTTTGAAGGTTGAAGCAATCCAGATCAAGTTGAGAGGGTCTGCATCCACAGTGACAATCTCAGCTAGGGCGGTAGCATTTGCGTTGCAGATGAAAGAGCCACCATCAGGTTGCACACAGATACCGAAGTACCCAACTCGAACCTCTAGCTCGGCACTGCGGACAATATTCGACATTGCTGTTACGACGTCCGGATATACTTGTGAGCTATCGAGAACAGGCTCGTATCTTTCGTAGTACATGGAGATTAAGAAGATATCGGGAATCTGGGGAGATGATGAAGAACATCCAGCCAGCAATAGTGCTGTTGTGTGTTAGCATATGTTGGGTCAAAACAGCATGGCCAGCTTCGCTTGCAGGTCTTTGGGAGCAGACTTACATAGCAAGATTATTGATACGGCGATGATGATCATCAGCACATGATGGTAACCGATCATCGGAATGAAACCTATTAACCAAGTCAGCCAATTAACCCATATGAGTCAGCGGTTATTGTCAGGATGTCACATACGGCCCAGGCCACCTCCGATTGCAACCGCCATTGCGACTTGTTACGGCGCGGAAGCAACCACTCCTTTCTTTCGCTTGTTGATCGACTCACTTCTCGGATCTCCGAGAAGGAGTAATGGAGATCGAGGGTTATTCAAGCCTGTACAAGAACGCCGGTTTGCGGCGCTAACTTGATATTCAACAAAGAAGCAGGAGCCTGTGATCGGCCTGATAAGATCGTTGGTATGGAATGTGGAAGGGAAGAATGCGGGAGATAAGATGCGAGGACGAAGAGCGGATTGATTCTGAATGTCGTCAATGGTGTCGAAGGCAAGCCCGGACGCTGGCAAGTGTTGACAATTAACTGCCTCTTCAAAGTCGAATCGCACCTAGAGAAGAGTGGTGGTACAGGTCAGAGATCTTGAAGCCTTTCGCACAGCAAGTGTGAACAAGGTGTGTTGAAAGAGAGAAGTATGTAGAAGGAATGGAAGGGGGAAGGGAAAAGATCGTAGCTGGAATACACAGAAACCACGTTAGGCTCAAATCTGGCGAAATGAAGCTGCTGGAGGCTGGGGATGGAGACGATGTATGAGAATCTGGGAGGCTGGGCCAACCGCCATTGTTTACTCGGCCGCTTCCTAGGAAACGGATCTCCGACCGCCTGCTATATCTAGCATTCTGCCGGGCTGATCGGACACAGCCCACTTTGAGACTCGTCTGGATCGGGTCTAGCGTGGGGCGACTTAAAGTCCGCCCCACCGCCCGTTGCCGCCCCAGCCTCCAGATTATCGCCTACGTCGATGGCTTCATGCACAGACAAGATCACATCAACCGTGTTAACCGCTAAATGAATTGTTGACAGAAAGACCCTAGAAATGCATATGCGAATGATAGTAATAGAAATATGACATCCACTCCCTCCTCGCGTTCAGAAAAAATATGGCAAGCCCATCGGCCAACAAAATAGACGCCCCATGATTGATGCTGTGTACTCCATTTGATCCAATGCTCCATACCCATGATCACCAAATGCGTATTTCACTGAGCAGTGAAAGAGAAACGCTTCAGATCCAAAGGTGTAGTCTGTCCCAAGATGCTGTGGTCTATCTCTTCTTCATCCTCGCTGTCAGGAATGATCAAGTCCTCACTACCTTGTGCAGTGTTAACTTCGCAAGAAAGCTGTTCAAATGTATTGGATTCCATCTGATCCGTGTCGTGCTTCAACGGAGTGACTCGTAGTTTTGTGGGAAAATTGATTGTGTGCGATCGAGTGAGTGCTGTCTGGCCCATGCGTTGCAATGGGGTCAGACGCTGCCGCTGAACGACTTGTGTTTGGTTAGCCACCGAGGATGATGTTCTGGGAGATGTAAACAATGCAGGCTTGTGTACTGTCCGGATAACCGGGATTCTAGACGCAGTCGGACGGGGTATCGCGGACTCCTTTGGTCCAGACTGAAAAGTGAATTGGGAGGTAATTGTAGAATTTTGACGCCGAACATGATATTGAAGAGCAAGGTCAAACGAGGTATCCTTGCATGGCTGACTCGTCTTTGAACCCTTGTCATCTTCGGTGGAGGGTGGACCATCCACGGTCTGGGGAATCGAAGGGTACTTGTCTCCACTATCCCCACTGTGGTTCACATCTGGTTTCTGTGTGATAGTCTCCACAGTCTCCGACTGTGAATCTGGTTCGGGGATATTGCAAAAAATATCCTCTGCCACCTCGTCAGAGAAAACATCAAGTGTTGACTTCCGCTGTTTTTTTGTGCGGGACGCTTTCTGTCCACTAGGGCTACCTTGATCGGTGCTAGCCGCAAAAAATCGACTACGAGCGCTAGGTCGAGCAGGCAGTTGATCGTCCTCGGTTTCAGAGCATAATCTTTGCCTCTTGATAGGCTGTAGAGTGGATGATCTCGCTGTTTGCGCCAAGAACGTATTGCGTTCAACACTCCGCACCATGGGACTGAGGCCTTGGTCTGAGAATGCCCGCAGCGGTGTTGATCTCATCGTATTAGAGCGTAAGGGAGCCGAATTGGGCTGCCAGGAGTTGTTCACATTCCGTTCCAGCAGCCGCTGTTGGCTCGGAGACGGTGTCAAGCTGTTGGGATCCAACTCCGCCAACGGAGTTCGCTTCGGTGTGAAGAACGAACTGATGGGCTTGCTGGGCTTCAGCTCTGAAGAAGATCCTAGGGTTTGACGGCGACTTATTGCCAGGGGCAATTTACCTGCAGTCAAAGGCTTCATCTGAATAGGCTCCTTGGTTGTAGGGTCCAAATCTCCGCTTGCAACGCCAGCCGCAATATGAGCTTCCACATCACTGCCGATAAAAGGCAGTTCGTCCAAGTTCACACCATCTTCGGGGGCCATCAATGGGACCAGCTTTTGAGCATTGGGACAGAACACACGCTGGTAAAGGAAGGTAAGCTCAGCTTGTTCAAACTTGGCAAGATAGTCCGCGGGAACCTGCAAGTGGCTCTCAAATTGTAGCATGCGAAGAGCTTTCTCTACTGTCCGATGTTTGCGTATGCTTCGATATGCAGTTTTCAATCCCATCTTTGGGATGTTAGCCAAGTAGTCACAGCCGCTCAAAATGCACATTCGTCGAAAATCAGCATCAGTCCAACCGACCAGGCTGACCTCGCGGCATGCTGTAAAATCTGCCCGATTGATCTCAATGCAATCACCATGCTGATCTAGCTTTGATAAAAGTCTCTTGGCGCCAAATACCAACAAGTCAGAGTCTTCTGAGATAATACCATCAATGATACCCTGCTGTTCAAGGTACACCAACTGGGCATCTGCCTCATAGGGCGCCACAACATATTGTACATTCATCTTCTTCAATTCTTCGATCAGTTGTCGAGCCATGTAAGGAGTGACGTCGACAGCCTTTTGGAACTCTTGGTAAGCTTCGGGCATTCTGCCTTTCCGCTGCAGCTCCAGACCCAAGGCTTTGCTCTCCTGACGTCGTTGATGTCGGTCTTGCTCTGTGCCCGCTTTACTGGGAAGATTATCGCCATCGAATACAAGGTATGGGGTGACACCGAAATAGAGAAGCATGCGGACTCGGTGAAGAACGAAATCAAGATGTCTAGAGCGAATTCAGCTTTTGTGGACGCTCACATGTAATACACTTGGTGGATGGGTGAAGTACCTCCTTGTTGGTCGTTCCAAGACCAAATCCACCGAGCAGGCGACCGTACCACGGTGGAGCCATCCATAAGCGTCAACACCAAGAGTCTGTCCGCTATATTTCTTCAAATGACATGGCTTTTGGATTGACTTTAGCAGACCGTGAAGTCCTAGGTTTATGAAGCGAATTAGCTCCCTTTCTTGGCCAGTCCAGGGGGAGGGCATACCTTTGATACCCATGGTGGGCACCGTTCAAGGAACAGGCGGGTCCTCGTATCGAGTCAAGAAGGAATAACATGCGCTTCCAAAACCCACAGAGGACCAACGCGTGGATAAGTCAAAAGATGAAGAAAGGACCAAAGGGACGAGGATTTACCAAGTAAATACCTCCATCGCCTGTTAGTGGAATGTTTGTTCTCGTTTGTTCCCCTCGACGCGCAGACGCGATGCATGGCGTTTTAGGGAAGGCGGTGATTAAGCCGTCACCGCCCGATTCTGCAGGCGCCCAAAAAATAATTGTCGGCGGGCCGCGCAGCAGGAAACTACGATAGCACAATCTCAACCATGCCTCGTACTCTTCAGAAGGTGCACAAGCACATTGCTAAGAAGCGTCATGGTGTGGTCGACTCACTCCATGAAAATAGTCGAGATGCCCGACGTTTGCGCCGTGCTGGCGCCCGGGACGACCGTCTGTCCCGCCATACGGCGATGGTGCTGAAAGCTCGCCAACCTTACAGTGAGAACCAGTGTCTCGATTAGCGATTGCAAACTATTTTCTGATCAATATGCAGTGGACCGAATTGAATATTTCCACGAAGCCGTTCAAGCCATCGACCAACCGCTATCCGATGCCGAGCTGGCGGAGATTGTCACACAGTACGTGCAAAACTCTACATTGACTTTATTATCTCGGACCTAATACCATGCAGATGCATCAACCGAGACGCAGAGGAGCTCGAGAAACTTCAACAAGAGCGTCGAAAAGGCCGCCCCCCGATTAAACGTGAAGAGGCGTTGACACAGCGGACAGAAACGGAGCAGAAGGAGTTCAAGACTGGGTTCTGGGTGCCTGAATTGGGCGACGCGGATGTACTCCATGCATTGAAGCACTGGAATGGCGAATGGACAGGTCTCAGCTCTATGAAGTTCTGCCGCCTGACTCAAGATGGCGTGAAGCAATCCTCGAGCTTTCCGCCCAAGGGCATGTCATGATGATTTTAAACATCCTCTCTATTTCTTCTGCTTGTTTTCTTCTCTCCGGTGTAACCGAGTGGACAATTGGCGCATATGGGATACATTGGTTCTCTCTCTTTCCATCGTATGAATATTCTTTATCATTGATGAACTGTTAAAATATTTTGTCATGTTACATACAAAAATACTCCCCAAATTCCCATCGAGGAATTATCAGAATTATCGACTTTGATTTTGATCATCCTACAGTAAATGTGTTGAGATAGCGTATCAAAGAAAGCGATACGCCGATCAATAGTTAATTGAATGCTTCGCACGCGCTTCTAAATAATGTACATGTTTTATATTACGACAGAAAATACTTTCTGTTTGAAAAGTCTGATGAGACAGTTTGGACACTTGAGCAATGGAAGGATAGCCAAGACGTTTTTTTTGGTCCTGAAGATACACTGCCAATTTTCGGTCGTTTTGTATAGGTCTCTTTGCAATGGTTAGCGCCGATAACAAAGTCTAGCAAAGAGGGGCTTGTTTTTCACCCATCCATACGTCATATCATCGGCAGACGGGGGTTGATCCCAGGCCTGGGGCTCGGAGGTGTTGGGTTGGTTGGTGGGCATCTGTTGGAACCATTAAATTTCTCCTGGCAGATTTTAGAATTAGCATGGTGACCACATCATGAAGCTTGGCATATCTCCCAACGAATGAGAAATCGTTTGCGAGTCTCATCTCCGACCAACAAAGTGGATACTATCTTCATGCTGTAGCATGGAAGTACGAATCATGAATCGCTTGGGGGAGAGAAACAAGGCAAAAATGTCCGAAGTGAGTTCAAAACCGCTCTTCTTTAATTGATTGGCAGTCACTATTCTGTGGAATGGTGCACTACACGGTCTGTTCTCTAACCCTTTTGAACGATATACCTTTGAGATGTCGTCGTAATGTGAAATCACATTACGACAACATCAAATCCTGTGGTCAATATTTGAAATGAGATTATGACAGTATCACAATTGAGCTTGCCATGTACGGGGCCATACGGATGAATGAATGACTGAGAAAGTTTCCGGAATTCGAGATGCCTAGTTTGGCCAGCTTGTGGTCGGACCTGGCCCCGGGGGCTGGCACCTATCTCGTGATCTGGCTGGCTACTATTGAAAAAAAAAATTTCAATTTCAAACTAAGATAGTTATCACTGATCTAGCAGCTTACCATGCTAGGCTGGTTAGCTTGTACCTCCAATCAGTAAGTAGCAATGAAATTCAATATAGACGGGTCGTTGTATGGAATGGCAAGGGATCTAGAACGCCCAAGACACACTCCCTCTATCAATTAGGAAAAATAACCAAATTTAATATGCTATATTACTGAGCCTGTCGGGATATTAAATTTTATTGTTCCGTATGCAGATCTCATTAAGCAGGTCTCAAAATCATTTCATAGTTACTCCAGACGCAGATAGATCATTAGTCAATGATTTTATCCTCCCATAAATCCATCATACTCCTCAGAATCCGAGTTCCCGGCGGCCGTGTGTTTCCTTTCATGAGAAGTCAAATCCATTCTAATTCCGTCAGAATGCTCGTTCGGATACTCCGCGCCCAGAAACCCATCAAACTCTTCAGCCTCTGCCGACGCTGAAATAACTTTCACAAAGCGACCTGCATCAAAAGGCTTCTTGAAATTCGTTTCTATTATTTGGGTCGAGGGAGGAGCCTCCAGAAATGCCTGTAATGACTCTTCGTCGAATACGATACATGTTCGGTATAAAGCGGGGTTATTGCGCCCCTCTCGCGCCTTCACCCAGGATTGAAAATGTAAACGAAGTGAATCTACCGATGCTCGATTGAACTGGGCTTGGTGGGCCATAACGATTGGCTGGTACTGGGCCCATATCTCGTTACAGGTAGTCGCGTCCGGAGCGTGTCGGATATCTCCCTGTGCCGTCGCGCATGGAGAGAACAATTCGTGTTTGATGGAGGAATTTAGAAGATCGAGGAATTGAGGGAAAGCACCGTCGGATTGAGAAGTGTAGGTAGTGCGGTAAATGACATAGCCCCAAGTTGCGCCATCTCGTACGGCTTCATGAAGCTGCTGGGTAGACCGAGCTAGCGAACCGAGAGTCATAGCGGGTGTTTCCCTGGGCGCGGAGATTGTGCGGTTTGAAGACGACTGAGGATTCTCAAAGAAGAGGAGAATAGTATTTAGGGATTTTTGATCATCGACCAAAGAACCACCGTGAATAATCTCATTAAGAAAAGCGATCGTGGAGTGTTCACTGTTTGGTATTCGTAGCCCTGGACTCGGGTTGCGAGTCTCCTCTCTTAACCGCCAAGATTACGCCTGTATGAAGCTAATCAAACCCATAGGCTAGCCGATAGCCGAGTGATAGGACATTATATTACTTCATGGCCCGATTGGCGCTGACAGAATCCCGGCTGTAAAAGGTGGGGCGAAAGACGGGCCCTTTCTCTGCAGTGTCTCAGCAAAGCGTCCACTGCGGTTAAGTCGAAGGGACTTGATCCATAGTTATCTTTTGATTGAGACGATGAATTCAACCCTGGGCCAGCTGCCAAAACAGAACCTGATTAAATTCCCCCCCACGGTAAGCTTCCGGCGTCCCATGGTGTTTGTTGGCGGGCACGGGGCCAGGGGCGGAGGGTCCCGAGGGTCCAGTGGGCCACCGCGAGGTGGAGCCCGGGGGGGACACGGGTGGGTTTGGCCCCGAAGAACCCCTGGATTTCCATGGTCGATGGGCATGGACAAGAGTCATGCATCGACAACATCGATTGGGCTTCCGGGGAGATTATGTTGGCTGGGATGATAGCCGGATATGCGCGGACCTATCGACCTCAGCTAGTTATGCGAGCTGCGTCACTACCGTTGCTTCGCTTCAACTACTCTAGATGTCAATCATTATCTCCAGTCTACTCCGTATGGTAATCGGGGTGGTGGGCCAGGGGGCCAAAAAACCACCCATCATAGCACGACCCCCCATCGCACTAACTGCTTCTTTACCAGTCGTTTGTCACAGCTTGGCGAAGCGCAGCCGTGGAAGCAGTTGATCGCCTTGGAAATGAAGAGTCTGTGCGACGGAGGGGTACTCAGGAGAAGAATGGCTTCCTGTTTTGTGGATTTTTGAACCTTTGTTCTTCAATATTACGAGCCTATTTCCTGCCATTCTCTTCTCTTCCCTCCCCCCAGTGGCGGTGGTTTAATAGGGTTCGACTTGACAATCCACCATGGCGACCACCACCAGCACCAGCACGGCCAATATACCACTGACCACCCAATTCGTTCCGCCTTCATCCTGTGAGAGTGTACACTGGGTTTCCTCAGATTGCCAGTTGAGCACATGTTTGGGCATCTACAATATTGTGCGCGACACCGCGACGGATTGTTATCCATCCGGCTGGGCAAAAACGGCCACAACTTTTTCCCCGGGGTTGATATGCCCGAGTGGCTATTCGATTGCTCTTCAATCCTCCAGCGTGCTCGGTGCAGCCCTAACGGAGACCTATGGAACATGTTGTCCCAGGTAAGATGGTTACAGTATCGGATGCGCGAACACACAGGCAGAATCTGACCTGGACTCTCCTCTCTAGTGGCTTCGAGGTAGTGACCGAAAATCGTGAGGCTTGGTACAGCCTAGAGCCTTGTGTCATGACCAGCCACGATCCTACCGCTATAACATATACCGTTCTCGGCGTCACCCCGACGACAACCACCACAATCACCTATTCCACCCCGATTATACATGCGATTCCAGTCGGACTAGTATGGCAGTCATCAGACCTTTCCTCGGCATCAACGGCCGCCTTGACCGCCGCGTCGACAGCCGCGTCGACAGACGCATCAACAGCCGCCTCAACGGCCGCATCGGCAACAACAAATACCGCGGTCGCTACTTCTTCATTATCAGATTCGGCAGCAGATTCTTCAGCAGGGAGCAATTCAGGTTTAACGACTGGTGCGAAAGCGGGCGTTGGGGTAGGAGTCTCCATTGGGGTAATCTTGATCGCGGTTCTCTGTTGGATCGGCTTCTGCGTTCGACGGAAACGAAATCAAAATCCCACGCCACCGGGCGAGGATCTACCAATTCGCCATCATAACGATGTTCCCGCTGAGCTGCCTGGGACATCACCTACGGACTGGAGTGTGGAGCTCTCCGGAGACTATACAAAGAAACATGAGCTGCATAGTCCTTAAGTTAAGAGTGGATGAATGCAATAGATAAAAATTTGGTAATTAATGTTGACTCGATCGGCCTTGGGCCTCGATTCAATTTGATGGAATGGAAGGCTATCAAGGGCCTTATACCTGTACAGTACCTAGTCACGCCGGATAATTCAGCGAAACCACCTATGCAACCATGCGTATAGTATATGGTTAGTAGCTTTCTCAATCAAGTACAAACTTACATAATGAAAGGGGATCTCGTTGAAATTTCGAGCAAAAAAACACACCAAAGTGAGCAGTGCATCAACAAAGGTGTGGCATGAGATTGGCTGCCACCCCTTTTTTTATTGTATTATTTGGCATTGCAGAACGAGAGACCAAATTACTTCAATAGGTCAAGTTTTGGGGCAAATCAGTCGGTTCATCATGATATATATCGTCCACCTTTGTTACTTTCAAAGCTCTCATTATGTTTACCAAGCCATTCACGACCTCACGCACAGATTTTTCAAAAGCTGTATTTTCATAATGGAAGGACTTGCAAACGCATTTCCAGTATAGCTTTAATCATTACCTTGGAGCATATCCAGATCGCTGTGGGGAAACCAGCTTCGTCAGATCTGCAGACCCAAGTTAGGCGGTGCCAAAAAAAAACGCAGGTCTTGGCATTCGCATCATCGGATTAGCTCGGCCGGATCCTTTCCTCAAAAGCTTTCTCCATCAAACCTCAACCGGATTTCCCCCATTCACCGTCACAATGCTGTCCCTTCGTGCCTTTTCTCGCTCTGTTCCGCGTCTGTCGCGCACTGTCGCTCGGACTTCTCTTCGCCCGGCCGTTCTGCCCAAGACTGCTTTCGTGCAGCCCTGGAAGCAGGCCTCCAAGCCCGCCTACGCTGCCTTCTCAACTTCCACCATTCGCCGCGAGCCCGCCGCTGAGAGTAAGTGAAACAGCCTTGCGTTTATGTGAAGAGAATGGACCGACTGTTTTGGAAACCTTTTCCGATGATACTCGTGCTCCGAGGAGATACGCTAATGCCTGAGGTCTGGCTTAGGTGACGTTGAGCTTATTGCTAAGCTGGAAGAGGAGCTGAAGCATGAGAAGGCTTCTGGCCAAGAGGATGCTCGCGAGCAGCAGGCCAGCATTGACTACACTTTGCAGACTGGCGAGTGGAAGGCTAAGGATGTTGAGGGTGAGCAGGAGGTTGTCTTGACCAAGACTTTCGGCAACGAGACGTTAGTATATTTGGGTTTCTTTATGGCAGTCTGTGCAATACTAATACGTCGTCGTTTTCCATAGAATCCGTGTCACCTTCACCGTCGCTGATATCAACAACCTCGCCGAGGACCCCATGGACGAGCTCACCGACGATGCCCTGGGCGACGAGGGCGACTTCCAGAGCCAGAACAAGCCCGCTGAAGGCGAGGACGAGATTCTGCCCCCTACCTTCCCGGCTCGTATCAATGTCACCGTTGAGAAGCCTAACAACGGTGCTCTCCTGATCCAGGCCGTTATCCAGGATGGTGACCTCCAGATCGAGGAGATCTCTCACTTCAAGAGCGCCGAAATTGCCAACGCACAGACTGCCGAGAAGGACTGGTCCCGCCAGAGCCTCTATGCCGGTCCCCCTGCCGAGAACCTGGACCCTGAGCTGCTTGCTTTCTGGGGTCGCTATCTCGAGGAGCGTGGCCTGAACATCGAGTTCCAGAACATGGTCACCGACTACATTGCCTTCAAGGAGCAGAAGGAATACGTTCGGTGGTTGGAGAGTAAGATCCTCACTTGACTCAGTTTGCGTGTGATCTGTCACTAACATAGCCCGTCATAGGTGTCCGCAAGTTCGTCGCGGCTTAAAATGTCTCTTCGGATTTATGCTACTTCTCCACCCCTCTCACCTTGACTCGCCTTTGGCTCTCTGAAAGTCTTTCACCTCATACCTTTAAGCTCTCAGCTCTGTATTTTTCTTCCTTTTTGTCATAGCCTATCAAGTGAATCGGTGTCCACCTTGGCGCTCCGAGCCTATCACCACCAAACATGTACCAATAACTCTCCACAATATATGAACAACGGATCGTTGAAATCACTCATGCGTTTTAAATGATATTTATCCTGCTCCCCAACATGATATATGCAAGTTCCACGTCATTCATAGTCTGATCCCGACTCAGCTCCAGACCACGCTCTGGCATCTCCCTTCCCCCGACCCTTTGAAGAAGAATACGCAGGGTTCGGACTAGATGATTCCCCTGGTCGCAGTGTTGGTCTCGGCCCATAACCAAAATCCACTCCCATTGGCATTTGCAGACCGGCAGGTTCTTCGATTGATTGCATTGCCATGCTCCTCCGTGGCACTGTAGGTCCCATTCCATATCGTGGACTGTGACTCTCAGGAGCCACAGGTATTTGGGACGGATACATTCCTTGCGGCGCACTCGTGTAGGCTCGAGTGTCCCAATCCTGCCCAATAGATATGCCTGGAAAGCCGTGGGGATGTTGAGGTATATTCCCAACACCGGTATCAATTTCGTAGTCCACCGTAAGATGCTCGTGCATTGGCGATTGCCGTAGTCGAGAAACATGGTCGGCACGATTACCTTGCTCCAGAGCAAGTTCTGCTTCAGTCTTTCCCACTGTCTCATGCATGTACATCTCAAAGTGGTGGCTCGTTTCGGCAACCGTCTTGAAATGTCTTGCCTTGAGTTCGCCTTGCAGACATTCGATTTCAGATGCCGATGCATTCAATTTCTTCAGCTTTTGCGCCGCCGAGCGGGCTTCGAATCGAGCTAGTGCTGCGGCGATCTGGAAAGCGTTCCGGATTTGCCGTCCGTTCCATCGACCCTTGCCATGTTGATGTTGTCTCCAGTAGCTAACCGCAAATTCTAGAATACTTTCTTCCTCCACTTTCAATGGCAGCTCCTTGAGAGTGTCCGAAGATCCCCTGCTCTGGATGTTCTTCAGTCGTTCGTTCTCAATCTTATTAAGCTGTTTCAAATTCATTTTCCAAATCTCTTTGGTCTGCTTTTCACTCAGTGGTGGATAATACAACTTGACGTGAATTCGGGACCTGAAGGCTTCGTCAAGTGTGCCCACTCGGTTCGTAGTGAGAAATAGGATCCCATTATAGTATTCGAGAATCCGTAGAAAAACTTCAAAAGTTGCCACCTATCAGCCTCGCACTCAGCAGCTCCAGTGTCAACACCCAGGACTCACCGGAAACCAATGCATTTCGCTTCAAATCCCATGTGGACCGTTGAGATAAGAAAACATCCGCCTCATCCAGCAACAAGACACAATCCCAAAGGTGAGCAAGTCTAAAAATCTCCTTAAGAGAAGTTTCCACATCTGAAGGCGAGAAGCCCAGGTCCCCACAGGTTATTGGAAACAGTGGTTTCTTTTTCGCTTGGGCAACGGCTTCTGCAGTACTTGTCTTGCCGACTCCAGGTACACCGTGCAAGAGAATAACCAGCCCACGTCCTTTGTTTCGAAGGGTGTCTTGGTTCAGACTGACCATTGTAGGGTCATTTTCGAAATCCTTTCGCTCAAAATGCACATCCACCAATGCATTTATCGTGTGCTTGTGCTCTTTTGATATAATCACACTTTTAAATGCCTCGCCTTGATTGACGATATATCTCAGGTTGCGTATGTCGACCGACACGAATTTCCGATCTTGAAGAGAATAGACAAACAACCGTCGGGGCAAGAGAACATAGTCTTGCTCGCCAACAGGGCCGGATGAAGATCTTTGATCCAGTATCTTGCGCTTATCTCGCCGCTCTTCAAGGAAGCGGTCGTTCTTGAGACTCGCGTTTCTTTCCAAAATATCGATTGACGTAGCAGTGTATATCTCGTCATCGGACTTCCAAGCAACAGCAGATCGGTCACGATCTGTCCATGTTACAATTGGGATGCTATCTGTCACCATATGATGAGATTCTTCGTCGTGCAATGCTGGGGCATGTGCAGATGTTGTCCATCTTGGGTGGGCCTTCAAGGCTTCAACAAAATCGACAATCACATCACTGTCAATATACTCTGGGTACTCGTGGTCCCCAAGAGTCCATCCTTTACACGACACAAACTGCTCTGCAATGTAACTTTGGAACAGTTTGCCTTGGTCGTACAAATCTTGTAAAATCTGAGCGTGGTTGAAAGCGAAACGTATGGGGTAGATGTCTAGCGACCGGATCTCTTTTTCACCTTCGAAGTAGGGTATCAGGAATTTCTGCTTCACTGGAACATAAGCCTCTCCATTAAAATCGATAAAATAACATCGCACTAAGACTTTGTCATCGTTCGAGTACCCCTCGGTGCCGTGATTTGGGTATCCGATCGAGTAGACTCTCATCACCCGTCGGCTCCTGGACGAGACGTCTCGTTTCAGGGAGGAGCTAGGGTCTGGCGCATCGGGATTGAAGACCAGCTCGCCAAGGCGAAAAAGATACCATATGTCATCGAATCGAATCCTGTGGGGTGGGATTTCACTGTTTGAGTTGTCGAATTGATGATAGAGGGGCATTAATTCCTTGTCGACAAAGTCCACGTATACTCGCATTGCCCGCAAGGCCTCGACACTGTCAACGATTTCGGCTGTGTGGGTGCCCTCCGAGTCGCTCCTATTTCGAAACTTGCGAATTTCTCTAGCTTTTCCATTCGCCGGGTCGCTTTCAAGAGGTGGCTTACTCGTCTCGTCGACTTGACTGCGCTCGGCTTCACCCCATTTAGTCTCCAGCTCAGCCAGGTATTGCTTCATGGTACTTTGATGGTAAATAAGAGGCTTGAATGGTCGGGCAAACGTTGTTACTTCCATTTTACGGTTGTAACAAATAAGATTGTTCAACATAATCAGAAGAGGCAGAGACCTTATTCGGATTCTGTAGGGAGAAAGCTTGTTCGCCGAAAGAGTTGTCTCTGATCTTAGTGACGGCTTATTATCATGGGCACTTAAACCATGGCTGGTCATGAAGAAGGGCATGTTCGGAACCTGGTCAGCAGCCAACCTTTGGGCTTCTTGGACATCGCGCCTAATATCAAACCCTGCCATGAGGACTTCAATAGCGTATTGATATTCATCATCTCTGAATTGATTCTTAAAGTCCTGATAGCCGATTCGACGTACTTGGGGAAGAATCGGAATGGTTGCGCTTTCGGACTCTTGTTTGCTATCCTTTGGTTGCTCTGCACTCAACGTATTCCTCTGGCTGCTTTTCTGATCAAGTTTCTGGAATTGCGCCTCGAGAGCTGCTAGTCTTTGTGTTGACTCTAGATGTTTTTTCTCCGATTCAGCTAGCCGTTGTTCCAGCACTTGTATGTATATTGATTCGCGCGAGGGATCTTGGGATGTGCCTATTTGCGGAGGAACGTGATACCCGGGAAATGGCTGATCGTTTCCAGACTCTGAGTCTGAATTACTGTCGTTTTCATTTCCGCGGCTTGAGTCAGAATCCGACTATAGTCCGGTTAATGATCAAACTGTGTTCCGAAGGATGGGGATAAATGTACTGCGACAGGCCGCGTGATTACACGTCTCCTCTGAGGATTTCCATGATTTCCACTTCGAGTAGGTGCAATTTGAATAGGCATCTTTGTACCGGGAGATTAGCGAATTATAAAATTAGAGTGATAGAGGATGGGGAGGTAATTTTGAAGCGAGATATGAGGTTCGCAGATAGATTAAGGGCGAAAAATGGGAGAAATTTATTATTGAAGCGTTTTGCTCTCGAGAACCCCCATCTTCATTCTATTACCGAGTTTCAGGACCAGTGGAAGACAAGGAGGCTGAAAAATAATGCATAATATTCCACAAAACTGCTCTTGTGGCAGCCGGAGATGGATTCCAATCTACAGGAAGTCTATGAATAAGAAATGAAAAATTGCATGGGCCAATCAACAGAGAAATAGCGAATGCATGCACTCGTATTGGGATCTCAGGCCACGGATATCACTACAACCTGTTTGGAATAAACCAGATTGGAGTATCCCTCTGCGTGACAAGGCAGAGAAGTCCCATGCATTCTTTTTTCGGTAGATGCACCAGCCAGCCGTCTGACACCCTCGGCACATGGGCTTGGATTGGGGCTGTACATGCGGCACGTAAGCATCAAATCCCTGTCTCTCACCCGGGTGAACTATGGACAGCAGTTTCTCATTAGATTTCTGCGGCTTAATGGGGCAATCCGCACATGTAGGATCTAATATCCGTGGTTTATTATCCATTCAATAACGGAGATTTATGAACGAAGCGGCGTTTTGTGGGGTGCGGGCGCCCGTGAATTCTGATTTCTGGGATCAAGAAAGGACGAGGCTGATTCATAAAAGTATGTGGCTTCGTGTTCACCTCTGATTAGTGAAACGAAATGTTATCCTCGGCACAGAAGCCTCAAAATTTCTCAATTACCGGGAACGTCATGGCTGTGCACAATCCTGTGATGATAGAGGGTCCAGAATGCTAACTTTATTATATTCGTAAGCTAAGAAGATCAGCATAACAAATCAAAAGTTCAAGCGTACAAGGTTTGAAATATGGCGGTATGATTTAGACAATGAAATATCACCAGCCAGCTTCTGTTCCCTACATCCCGATGTATCTTCCATAATCACTTTCCGCGATACAACGCAATTATCCTACGTACCCACCTTGAAATGAACAGGCTACGAGATAAAATCACCAACTACCAGGAGGAAATAGCCCAAAAGTTCATATCTGAAGAAGCGCAGAGCCATCATGAATCCTTTCAAACGCGCGGGTTCTTTGATAAGCGACAGCAACAATACATTCCCTGGGCGCCTCATCAGTATGTGAAAAATATCGTCTGATCGTCTTGAATTCAATAAATAGCTTACTATTAATTTTAGTGATCTTCAAATAGCCTTAGAGCGATATTTGGAACAGACACACCCAAACTCTCTATTCATATCCATCAAAGAGTGTGACTGGACAGATGTACTCGATGAAATGAGAAAAGCCGAAGAAGGGTACATTGCTAATGGCCGCGGACCGAAGAATCTCATTAGAAAGGGTATCAGGAAAGCCGGAGACTACACGCCTGCAATTAATCCCTGGCTCGACCTAGTACCAGGTGATAATTGGATGAAACCCCTAAGTGCTGGATTAAAGCTAGTCTTCATAGTGAGATTATTCTTTAAGCATTTTGATGGATAATGACATTGAACTTGGAATTTAGATTGCACAATCACAAGCAGATTATCGAGAAAAAATACTCTTGGCATTTAGAGAGTTTGTCACCATTCTCGACACAACTCAAGAAAAACGCCGACTTTTTCGTACCGACGCGAAGCTCCGGTCTTATGCGCTCGATATATATGAGGCGGTCTTATGCGCTATTACGAAGCTGGTAAACAAGTTGAACCACCGAAGCTGGAGTAAGTTAATTGGCACACAAGAAAGACACATCAATAATTTCTGATACTCTAATTCAGAAGAACGCACTACAGCTTTGCTCCTCGGGCCATTATCTTCAAAGGAAATTGATGAAATTGTTCAAGATGTGAACATTAAGCTCGAAAAATTTCGCAATTACCTCGATAATTTAAGAGATGAAAGGCTCGATTCGGTTTACAGGAATGTTACCTCGGGGAAGGCAGAGATTAGTGCAGTCCGGTTGAACACTAAGAATATTGAAATCGGTGTTCGTGGTATTCACAATGGCGTGAACAGCTTGGTGGCTCAAGCACAGGGCGACCGCCATAAAGTTGGCAGTATAGAGCTCGGAGTGCAGCAAATTAACGAGAAAATTGATCAACTCATCATGAATCACGCACTTGACGCAAAGACAGGGCTTTATCATCTTCTGGTAGATACGATTCGAGGTAAGTGGATTCTCTGCCTTGAAGTACAAAGTTCAAAATTCACCATTCATCTAGCCTATCAATCACAAAGCCTGGAAGATCACCAAATCAGCATACCTCGCTACCATATGTTGGAACTTCCACAATTTCTCGAAACATTACAGGTTCCACACCTTGGCCCAACTCAGGATCTAGAATACGTGGCTAGACAGAGCCTCAACTTTGAAGCTAAAGCTCAGATGCAGGCTCAAAACCTAACAAGAGCCCCCGAATTCCAAAGCTGGCTTATTTCAAGAAAATCCGATCTTCTCATAGTGGACGGAAATACAGATGGCCCCGCAAGGATATCAGCTCTATCGGCAGTGTGCGCAACTCTGATCATTGCCCTATTGAAGAGCGACAATCGACCTATCGTTCTCCATTTTTTCTGTGGCCAGCACACATCAACAATGGATAGCTTGAGTGGCCCAACCGGGCTCATGCGAAGTCTGATCACACAATTGCTATATTCTGCAAGGTCATTTAATATCGACTTCATCAACTCGCGAACGTATCGGGAATCCCTGGAAAGGCATTCTCTCCAGCATCTTTGTGACGCATTTAGCAAGCTTGTTGAGCAGCTCACGCTGGATAGAAACGTCTTCTGTGTCATCGATGGTATCTCGCTTTATGAGACAGATCTTTGGCTTGAAGAGCTTGCTTTTGTCTTCGAAAGATTGAACGACATCACCATAAATGAGCATTTACGGCCTGTATTCAAAGTACTATTCGCTAGCCCGTATGCTAGCCGGCAGCTAAGACACCGGGTCGCGCGATCACGGCATCTTGTTCTTCAGAGAGGAACATCTAATGGGGGCCTCATCTCTGAAATGTATATAGGAAGGAAAGCGGGCATGGTTGGTAGACACGAGATTCAGGATGCGGTCCCTTCAGACGGTGAAAGTTCTTCTGATGATTACAATTGGGAATGAGTCCATGAAGCTTGTACTTCAATTGGAGCCTCGATTCAAGAAAGAAAGAAAGAATGTAAATAAAGGTATCAAGGGAGTTACTCGGCGAAATATGTTCCTACATTAGTACCAGAGAACGCCTTCAGAAAAATACACAAAATTATCAGGGACAGTACACTTCTTGGCTGATCCTCATCGCAAAAAGGGCATAAGTTCATTAATGTCCGAGAGACAGGTCATTTAAAATTCCATCGGATCGGTCTTGATCGGAGGAGCAGTCTCTTCGCGCTCTCGCTTGCCGGCTCGTTCTTCCTTGAGCAATCCTGCAATGAAAGAGCGGAAGAAGTCGATGTATGGTTTCAGGCTTGTCTTTTCGTAGTCTTGAAGTTTGCGGCTACCTTTGATATCAGAACCATTCATCGCACTACCCTCCACGTCGGGCATCTCTGAATCAGCAGTAGCGGCAGGATTTTTCGCGTCGTATGCGTCGATTTCGGCCAAAAGATTCATGACCGTGGGAACAGATAGAGGGTCAAAATCCTCAGCTTTGGAAGGATCGATGGGAACACAAACCCGACCAGTGCCAGGGTGGATCACAAAGGGGCTTTTCAGCAAGTGAATCATTTTCTTACTGACCTCCGCATCGAGACGCGGATATGTATACTCCAGAACAATATCTTGTTTCGCATCTCGAAGGGTGGCGGTATTCAGAGTGCTGCTTTTGCCTGTTTTGGCAAGGGCATCGATATCTGCCCACTTGCTGGTACTCGGACGATCCGGGGACGAGTCCCATTTCCTTTTCAACGAGTCATTGAGAGACTTATCTGGAAGCAATGCTAAAAGCCTCTCGACTTGTTCAGAGCTGGCAAAGGTGTCTTGATCCACTAAAGTTGTCTGGGCGAAGTGGGTTTTGAGAATGTCAAGGCTGCGATTGATGTGAGGATGCAAAGGACGCTTGAGGTTGATTCTTTTTCCACTTTGTGATCCACCTTTCAGAATCTCAAGATACCCCGCAATTGCCCTTCGACGATCGTCTGGCAAATTGCGTGCGCGGGGGTCACACACCCAAGCGTGCGCACCACGACGACCCGAGTAAACCCAGAGGATATGCTCGAAACCGAAGTCTTCCCGCAGTGCAGCGTCGATTACCTTAATAGCCATAGTCACAAATGCCCAGCATTTGTGGCAGATATTTGCTTTCTGACAGCATGTTCGGATATCGTCGTAATCTGTCATATCTATATCGAAAACCAACTCTTTCGAGACTGGCTTCATCTGGCCTCCACGAAGGGTTTTGCGGTCACGAGGGTTGGTGCTGTATACGGGACCGATTTCGAAACGAGAAGGATTCATCTTAAGAATATCTTTCCGGAAACTGGAACCAATTGTATTAGATTGGAAGCTAGTCTGACAATGTGGACGGTTAAAGTCAGGATCTCACAGGTCTGCCGTGGGGTAGGACTGGTATCGCAGGTAGGCGTCGTTCTGCAAAGTCAAGGCAAACTCGCGGTTACCAAAGTCTCGTGTGGGAACGATTCCATGATTGAGCCACTGGAAAAGGTATCGAAAGGGGAAAAGACGTTGGTAGAATGCGAGCATGATATCAGTGTCGACGCCCGAGGGACCAGGGGCAGGGATACTGTCGCAAGAGCTCCGTCAGTGATTCAGAAATTCTTGAATTTATTGCAAGCTTTCCCCCTGACGTACCTGGTCGAAGCTGGAGAAGACTCCATCTTCACATCCTGCGGTGCACTGGAGGCCGGGAACTCCTCATCGTCATCGAACATATCCTCCAACTTTACCCCACCATTCTCGGCGGCCGTGTCAACGGGGGCGTCCGGAAGCTCCTCTTCATCCTTTCGACTGGCTGAATCAGTAGGTGATACTGAGTGCGGCATAATGGGCAATGGATCGTGAGATGACGATGAAGCAGAGCCCGAAAGGGAAGGAAAGCGACGCGTCTGCACGCGACGCGCCCTAAACCCTAGATCACGTGATATCAATCATCTTTCCGAAAGCGGACAACACGTCCTTCGATGGCTTCAAGGGACTTGACAGACCCCGAGAGCCGGTCAAAGTGATAGTTCCGAGTGTCAGCAAGCCACATAATGGGCCTGTCTTTGCCAGTGTCTCCCGTCTGGCTCTCGTCGGGCTTCCCCTTGCCGTTTGCGGCCAATCTCTCTGTGCCTGCCGCCCACCTAGAATCGCGAATGACCACAAGACTTCTTTCCTTTTGCCAAATGAGCCGAGCTGGCACCTGAATCCCACCTCCACCGAGCAGGTTTCTTTTCTCTTGAGCTCTATGGATCACTTCTCCGGCTTCGGTTTGGGTTGGGAGGGTCAACTTCTTCTCTGGGCAACCTCTGGCCTCACCGGTGGAGACCAGTCTAATCCGGCCAACTGAGTCCAATGGCCTCGTCATGGACAAACAAGTGGCATCCCGGCAATCAATCTCGATCAGGACACTGTTCGCCATGATTGAATTCAATCATTTTTTTTCTCAAACGTTTGAGTGGGCCCTCGTCGAGGGTGTTACCTTGACTCTGATCCCACATTCCTGAACGGTAGCAACCTCCAATTAGACAAACACGTCCACAGTCGACCAAGTGCTCTACATTCCTTAGTACCCAGGAAACACTCCGATTGGTACTTCCGGCTTGACGGTTGTTTTTGATAACTGCCGCTTGACGGCTCGAAAGACGTGGGTCTTGCGAGGAGGAGCTCTTCTCCCACGATCCAGAAGCCTCGATGATTGGCAGGTGAAGGATCTTGCATGCATTTGATCGTCTGCATCGCAGTGGGGCTTTGTGCCTTCAGTTCCTTTCTGATCTGCTCCGCTTCTGGCTCAAGTCCCTCGTCACAACTTGTTTTCAGCTATGCAGGTCCTTCAAATTCAACCTCACGCTGGCCATTTCCAATGTATTTACACAATGACCACCCTTGATGCTATTCTCTTTCCCTGAATTTTATCGGGAAGCTGGCCACTGAAGCTTTCGGGAAATTGATCGGCACAATCTGACATGAAAAATGTTCCGTTCTTCTGGCTTCTCTCAATCTCGTAGATCATGAATCGGAAGATCTCGACGGCTGCGAAGCAAACCGATTGCCGCATTGGGAATTCACAGTGGACCCTCGATGCACTCCATGCCCAAGTGATACAACACGATGTCACGTTTGCATTCCGGATCGTTAACTGGATGTATCATGACCCATATTTTTTTCTCCTATGCCTGTCCATCGGTGCCTCTGCCACCCACGGATCCGCTGTCACTGTTCCTGCGTTCGGCCAGAGATAGCGGGTTATGGATTCAGGTCAGCCTTTGCATCTCCTGGACACAACCATGGCAGCCTCATCTCCGTCATGACTGAGTCGGGTTCCTGGCTCATCGAAAAGTGCATATAAACCGGCAATCGCTCTGTCCTGGGGAGCTCTTCTTTCCTCCACCTTCTCTATCAACTTCACTCGTTTGAACTTCTCAAGATTTTTATTACCAAAAACTTTCAATCTCTCGAAATGGTCAACGCTATTACTCTCCTGGCTCTTGCCAGCCCGGCCTTTGCTGGTGTGATGCAGGCTCGCGGCGAGGAGTTCATCCGCCCTATTGCTGAGAGCAAGTCCGTTGCTGAGAGCAAGGCCGTGTCTTGGTCTCACTCTGCTGAGGGTGGTCACTCGTGGACTACCCCCTGCACCACCTCGACTAGCACTAGCTCTACCCCCACCTCGACTCACCACTCCACCACCCCGTGCACCACGTCTACCAAGACTACCCCGACTCACCACAGCACCACCACTCCGTGCACCACTTCTTCCAAGCCCCCTCACACTCCTGTGAAGCCTGGTACTACCAAGACCATTACTATTGTGACCACGACCTGCCCTGGTAAGCTCTCTACCAACGTTTATGATAGTTGAACCTCTGTGCTCATATATCCCAGTCACCTCGTCGACCGTCACCTCCGGTACCTCCACCTGGACTGTCCCGGTCACTCAGACCAGCACCATCACTCTCACCAAGACCACTGTCTGCACCCTGTGTGAGAACGAGAAGCCCGTCACCTTCCACAACGCTACTTCCGTCGCAACCCAGGGCCCCACTGCCCCCGTTGTGCAGACCACTCCCGTTGTGCAGACCACTCCTGTTGTTGTGCCTCCCCAGTCTACTCAGCCTGCTGTCTCCCAGCCCGCTGAGTCCCAGCCCGCTGCCTCCCAGCCTGCTGTCTCCCAGCCCGCTGAGTCCCAGCCCGCTGCCTCCCAGCCTGCTGCTTCCCAGCCCGCTGCTTCCCAGCCCGCCGCCTCCCAGCCCGCCGAGTCCCAGCCCGCCGCTTCTCAGCCCGCCGCTTCTCAGCCCGCTGAGTCCCAGCCCGCCGCCTCCCAGCCTGCCGAGTCCCAGCCCGCTGCTTCTCAGCCTGCCGAGTCTCAGCCCGCTGCTTCTCAGCCCGCCGAGTCCCAGCCGGCCGAGTCCCAGCCCGCTGCCCAGCCCTCTACCCCCGCCGAGTCTCAGCCCAGCTCATCTAGCGTCCCCTTCACTGGTGCCGCTTCCAGCGTCAAGCCTGCTGCTGGCCTGCTGGCTGGTATTGTCGGCATGATGGCTCTTCTGTAAATTGGATGCTAGCCATCAAGGCCAGTATATTTACCATGAGCTTTCATGTTGAATAGCTGATCAAAAAAAGCCCCTGCTTTTTAGCTTTTTCCGATCTGTGTGGTGCGGATCAAAAAAGTTGGAGACTCGGGTCAATCGATTTTCTTGTGCTTTTGGCCATTAGTGCGTGTCGATTATAGACCCGCTTGGTCTTCTTCCCGCCGGACAGGGCCGGGAGAAGATGGAGAGAGTTGCTTGGTCATTTCGAGATTTTGTTCGTTTTCACTTATTAAGGCCCTTAATATATTTGGTAATAATAATATATGCATATTTTAACGAAAATTCTCATATCTATTTGTCTGATTGATTACCGCAAATAACTAGTAATCGAGTATATAAATCAACGAACTATAATATCTATGCGTTTCCTTGTTGATAACCTGTGTATTCTCAAAGTGCCTCCTGGCACCTTGCTTTCTTAGACCTACTCATTCCATATTCCCTGTCAGAAAATCATCCAGGCCCGATGTGAGATTATCTCTGTAGTATCCCTTGTACCCTAGGATAAAGACCCTGTTGGTTAGAAGAACTCGATGGCATTGAAGTCTAGTAAGTAAGGAAGCAAGTAGATTAATTTCACTTCATAGTTGTAAATTAGTAATTCTATAGTATTAAATAGTCATAGTAGTAAGAGCGCTATCTATCACTAGAATAGAGATATAATCTAGCTATTTACTGTTATAGTGTCCAAGATTGATGATGATATTCAATTAAATCTGGAATTAGCACGATTCATCAGCTTCGTAGCTAATTGAAAGAGAGGGTATTGTAAGATTGCAGCGCTCAAGTTGCTATGGAGGTATCTGACGAGTCAAAACGAATGCCAGTGTTCATTTCATGCAATCTGCTGACACCACGTGCGTTTGTTGTACAGAGAAACGGTTCATTATGATTCACGTATGATCTCAGAAGAACTAGATAGCTCAGGTTTGCATCTCAACTACTTATTTCTGATAACTGTTCCGACCGTGCACTTGAAATTACCCTATAGGGAATATCATGATTCGTTTCCACTCCTCGAAAATTTTCCTTTTTGGGAAAGCTTTGCAAGACCGTATACCTCCAAGCTTCAAATTTTGTGACTATTAAATACTTCCCAAGAATCTTAGGGTAAACGCCAATTAGCGAATCCATCACACCTACTACGAACTCCTTAGCGAATGTACTCTAGAAACGTCCTAAGTGCATATGGAGTACATTAACATCGTCAACAAAGGGACGCAACACCGCTGGGCTACTGGGTCACGTAACGAGATCTGTTTTACGGTAGCAGTGGCAAAAGTCGAATGGCGACAGTGGAAGTAATATCGACTAGAAGATTTCCAATACTGTGGGTTAAAAGGGTGTACATGCAAGTCCTTTTTGGAGTCCGGTAAAATAGAGATACAGGCAATGACTAAATTAAACGCATAAAAAAATACAAAGAGAGAAACCAATTCTATCACGTTCTGTTCAGATTCTCGCTTGGAAAACACCTGGATTAAAAACAAGCAGCCTCAAAATGCAGGGACGGAGAAGGTTGCACCCTCACAAGAGGCTCTAGAGGAGATCCAGAATGTCCTGGCTGGAGCTGTTTGCTTGATTGGTCGGCGGAGGAGCGGCGTTTGTAGACAGATTGAGACCAGAGAATCCATTCATCAGATCATTCCCATTCGTACCACTCGATGAGGGTTGCGCCGCACCAGAGTCACCAAATACGCCCAGCAAGTCGTCCAAATTGTTGCTCGCCTGCGGAGCAGGGGCACCGGCGGCAGGGGATTGGACACGGACAGGAGTACCCGCCAAACCCTCCAGGCCGGATAACTCGCCAGATGGTTCCTTGTGAGCAGAAGCCGGGGCGCCACCGTCGAAATCGATGTCCAGCAGGTTCTCGACGTTGCTTTGCGCCTGCGCAGGGGCTGCGGTACCGGTGACAGCAGCAGCAGCTGCTGCAGCCAAAGGGTTTTCGCGTGCGTTCTGGATTTGTTCTCTGTGGTAACACATTAGCTTGATCACCCGTGTCGAAGAAAATTGCCTGGAAAACATACTCAATGGCGGCCCGCTGAACTGCATCGGCGCCAAATCGGCCTTCTCCAACAAACTGCTCCGGTGGTTTGTGATAGACGGATGAAAGAGTAGAAAGCTCCTGAAGAAGTTGATCCAATAGGGCTGGCGGCAATGAGTTGATTGTAGTGACGATGGGCGGCTTCTCCGAAAGAACAATGTTCTTCGTGGCATTCTGATCGCTCGTGTTGGAGAGCAGACGCCAATAGATGTACGCTCTGTCACGGACATCTGGATTGTCATTTTCGGCCGTGGCTGCTTGAAGAACTCGCTGGACAAGGCCCTGGGCCTTGTCAGGCCGTTTGAGGAAGAGCTTGACAACCGCTGTCAGGATTTGCAGCTGAGTTTGGGAAAACTCCTCGTTAAATCCATCCACAAACCCACCCAAGATATCACCTGCATTGCTAATCTTTTCGGCATATTCACCAACGATCCAGATTAGTGCAGCTCTAGCATTGGGCTCATCAAGTTCATCAATGCACTTGCAAAGGGTAGGAATGATGCCCTCATAGCCAGGGTATTTGCGAAAGATGTCCTTGATGACCACAATGGCCTCCTGGACAACGTAGTTCACTTTTGTGTTGATCAGATCCAGCAATGTGTTAACACATTTCTCACTGGCACTTTCGATCTTTATGGCAACTTGGCCTATCGCCCGGACGGCACGGCGGACGAAGTCCATGTCGACCTCAAGAGCGTATTCTTTGAGTTCGGCTAGAAGCTGATCGACATTGCGGTCATTTGCTATCCGTACCATAATTTCTAGCTTCTGGAACTTGACGTATGGCGGGTCATTATATTTGCAGAAGAAGACCCGAAGCTCTTTGTTCAAGATGTCGGGTTGCTTTTGTAGCAACAAGTCAATATTTCTCAACGCCACATACTGCACCTCAGGCGCCGAAGATACCAGTGTCACTTTGATAATCAGCTGAAATTATACATAGGAATTGACCCTAGGGGAGACACATACCTAGCGGAGGCGCCATTTTCTTGAGATAAGTCTTGGCTAACTCGGGACCGACAAACTTCATGTGCAAGAACACTACCTTGACAGCGGCAAGAACGACGCTAGCGTTCACATGTTGGAACTGTGGCGCGACTCTCTCACAGATGTGTTCGGACTCCTTCACATCGGCCGTCCGATATTCCGCAAGTGTCGAAAGAATGGTGACGCGACCCCATTCTGTACACTCGTTCAATGCCATCAGCATCTTCCGCAGTGTGTTGGGAGTCACCTGCAAGACCCCGGTCTCTGGGGCTGTATGGTGAATCTCAGACAGCGCGGTCACTGAATTGGCTACCACCATTGGATTCGGATCCCCAATCATCTCCTGCAGCATCTCTAAGAATCCATTCTCGAGGCACATGCCCGGGTTCAGGTCGAAAAGCTTTGCGACACAGATTGCTGCGGTCTTGCGGACGTATGGCGACTCATCTCGAAGAGTCTTGCGAAGCGGTTCCTCCATATAATCGACCATCTTGTCCACTCGAATGCAACCCATCGTACGAATAGCGAGAGCTCGGATCAACGGGTTCGGGTCTTCAGAATCTTGAACAAAGGTGTTGACGGCTAGAATGCAGAGATCCGGATGCGATTTGGCGTAGTTCCTAAAGGGTAGACCGCTGGTTAGCCAATGCGCCGAAACTCTCAATGCACCGAAGGCTACCCACATGAGATACAGGTAAACCAGTTTCTTCTGCTCCAAGTCCGCCGTCGCAATATTCTTCAAGACGTCGGGGAAAAGAGCAGAAACATCCTTGCCCAGGGTCATCGCCATAATTGTCTTCTGGATCGACTCTTTCCTGTTGGGTTGTCAGCCTCGCCATGTCTCTCCCTATTCCATCATGCTTTTCAATTTGCCGGATTGGTGAATGCCAACATACCGTTCGTAGGCATACTGGGATCTGTTCTAATGGTTAGCATTACCAATTCTGTGTTGGGAGAAATGGCGATGTGTTCTTGGGCGGAGCAGGGGATCCATACACAAGGCCAGCTCGCAATTCAAATGTCTCTCCTTTCCGAGGCACCGCAAAGGCACCGCGGATCTTGTTCATCGCCATGACGAGACACGGAAGGCTTCAGCAACGACGAAGTCGTGCCTCCACTCAAGATAATCGGGAATAGGGTTGGGCGTAAGTCGAGGTGCGGAAGGCGACTGCGGGGAATCGAGAGCCCACACACGGTCGCGCGACTCGGAGGTTGGGGAGGTAGCGATCGGAGTTCCCAGTTAAACCATTCCCCCTTCAATGAGCAAGCACATTGAACAGCAAAGGAAGTGGCCTGTGAGTGGGGGGAGCGTGAGGAGAGAGCGGAGGATAGAAGGAGAGAGAGAAAGGGTGTTTGGACGATCAAAAGTTGTCCACAAATGGCGGGCTCTCGGCCCTTCCGCTTTATGGCTCTCGACCCGCGATTACTTGACCTCACTCCTCCCCCTATTGCTCCTCCCCCTACACTCCGCTCCCCACAGGTCATTAAAACCACTAAAAATGGTGAGTTGCCATGGTTTAGCGAAAAGGCTACCTATACGATGAAGATTGACTAGTCGTACAGGCCAACCTTCCTAACCTGCGCCGTCTCTTCGTCGAGGCCCGGACGGAGGTCGAAGAGAACGAATACTCCCGAACAGCGGTACGGTTCCCCACTCTACAACAATCGCCGGAAGTCGACACAATTTCTGATATTAAGTGCAGTTTTATAACCTCGTTCTTTTCATCTCATCCGTGGCGGTCTTCAGTCTAGCTGCACAACGCATGAGCGGACAGAAAACCGCCCGTTAAAGAGGAGTATGCGCAACTGGAACTCTCTGGAACACCTTAAACCAAACAATCAAAGGATATATATGGATATGCTTTCATTACCGGATAGGATGGGAAATACTGGGCTTCTAGCTTTCCACCGCATACAATGGTTGACAGCCTGAACAATGCGCATACGGGTATCGATCAATCGGTCTCCTCGCCATCACTTTCCAAAAACGCCAGCGCTTGTCGCCCACGAGCAGCCCGACGTCGTGGAGCAGCGTCACTACCTTCATCGCCGCTCCCAGTTCCCCATTGCTTCGCACCTTGCTGGATCTGCTCCAAGTCTGCTTTGAGCTCACGCTCATCCCGGATCTGCCGAGCCTTCTCGATGGAATACCGGCCTGTCATCCCTGCATCCTCAAGCATTTGCTTAAGATGCTTGATCTTCGCCTTGGAGGTCTCATATGGCTGCAGCTCCCGCCACCACATCTTGCGAATGCCACACTTGACCAGCCATCCCTGTAACCGTTTGATCTCCGCTTGGTCAGGATCAACGTCTTCATCTTTGTTCTTGGGTGTCGGCTTCTTCTCTTTCTTAGCCGGCCCATCGCCACTCTTGCGCTTTCGTGGTAGCTTGGTATTGGGCTCTTCGTCAAGAACGACAGACATTTCGCTCTCCGAGTTATCTCCGTTGGCTTCTGTGGTCGGTCTGGAACCATCGGCCGCATTGTCCCTATCGGAGAGCTCGGGTTGATTGATCTTGGCTGATCTTGATTTGGAGGCTTTCTGTACAGGGGGTTTCCGTGTCTGGGGCTGCGCAACTTCATCTTCGCTCTCTTCGCCCGAGGGTCCGGAAGGTGCATTCTCCTGTTCATCTGATACCGGGGTTTGTGTCTTCTGGCGCTTTCGTGGCTTCGGCGTGCTGCCACCTTTGGGTCGCTTGGGCGCGACCTTATTTGGCTGCGGGGAGAGAGAAGGCGAGGTCTTTTTGGTATTCGCGTCTGCTGCCTCTGACATGTTGTCGTGCATTTCCTATAGCAATAGAACACCTTCAGTCAGAACTGCATTCGTAACGCTGGCGCCTGAATGATTTCAAGTTGTAGACACCCACCGCTTCTTGCTTAATAATTTTGTCACTCTGGGCTTTCCAATTGCCTGTGCCTTTAAAGAATCCTTCCTCGAGTCCCAATTTCTTTTCGACTGCTACGCGCACACGCTTCACAGTTAATTCCTCCATGTTTCCTGCATTGAAAATGGCCGCGACTTCGTCGCGCAGACCTTGTTCCAGCACATTATCAGCTGGTACAGCAGGTGTACCTATCTCGGCCTCTGATTCGGAATCGGATAGTTGGTATCTCGGACCCATAGCTCTGGCGCGATGGGGTCGTTGGCCGGGGGTCTTATATCGGGGTTGCGTGGTTCTGATTTAGTCTTGATAACGATTTGACGCGTTCAAGAGAATTGCAACGTGTTAATGCGTCCGAAGTGTATAATACCGATGGCTGATATGCTGATCTAGAGTCGGTTGTATCGTCACTCGCGTGGTCACAGGTTGGAATTGACGTCGCGAATGACCGACGCGGCTGACAAAGCTTAACGGCGATCCCCTGAGGCCACTGACAACGCCCGAGGAGCGCATGGTGTACATACCATGTACCTACAAGCGCTGCCCTGTCTCGGAAAGGTTATCAAGATCTAGATGATTGCTTTCATTTTGTTGCATTTATGCTCAGTCGGAGCGCTCGCTATTATGACTAGCGCAGCTGTTTGCCCTCTCTCGAGTTCCCATAGTAAGATCACAAGATTCGGGACTGTGGCAAGCTTCTACTCTATAGGGTTTGTTTTTCTCCTCCCTTCTCGTAGAGAACCTGAGCTACTTGCCAGTGAAGCTGATCAAAACAGTTAGTTGATCTTGCCGTCCACGGTATTGATGTATAAGACATGAATTTATCACTTGAAACGGGGCCATTATAGGGCAAGGAATACGAGCCTCTTCTGTCAATTCAAACGAAGTGGGTACTGATGGGCTGAACCGCTCCCGCTACCCCGCCTAGTGAGATTAAGGCCAGCCATGACTAGACGAGCTTTTCAGACTTGGTATTTCACACTCTGTTTTCGTTCTCATCTACAGAGTTGCACTCTGGCGCCGTGGTTCGGCCCATTGCGTTATCATGGCGGACCCAATCTCGATAACAGGCTTGATCATGGATGTCAGCAACATCGTGGCTAGCCTGATCAATTATGCCAAAGCTGTGCAGAGTGCCAAGTCAGAAATGCGCAAATTAAGCGAAGAGCTATTTGCTCTCAAGGGAATTCTTGAGTATCTGTCGGCTAATATGCCTAATGATAAGAATAAATCCTTTGAAGAAGAGACAGAGCGAGAGGGACTTTGTCTCTTCAACCACGATGTTGTAGAGAGGGTCTTGAAGACAACGAGTGAATTCTTACAAGCCTTGCTCAAGGACCTCGAGGAGCCGGCGTCTAGGTTTAGAAAACTCAAACAAAAACTGGAATGGCCATTCACTCAAGATCAAGTCAATGAACACCTCGTGAGGCTGGAGAGGGTCAAGTCTTGGCTGATCTTGGTTCTGACTGCCGACCATGCTACGGCAGACAGGGAGTTACATCATGAAATAGGTGGGCTGGCTAGAACCTTGAAAGAAGATCTACAACTTCGGCATGAGGAACGGAATGAGAAGTTCAATCAAGAGCTTTTCACATGGCTGTCACCTGTGAGCCCCTCGGCTTCTCATCTTCAGGCATCCAAGGGGCATCGAGCTGGGACAGGAAAATGGTTTATTGATGGCCATCTCAACCGATGGCTACGAGATACCATCACCAACAAGCAAGTCTTTTTTCTAGTAGGAAAATGTAGGTCCCCTCCCTCCATGTCTGTTTTCTCAGTCCCTGGCTAATAAGTGGCTAAACAGCTGGGGCCGGAAAAACAACCATTTTGTAAGTTACTCTACAATGGAATGGACATCTTGCAATCCATTTAATGTGCTAATCTTTATAGCGCCCAAACTGTGGATGACTTCACTTCAAGAGCCGTATATGATGCCTCGATAAATCTAGCCTACTTCTACTGCACTATCAGCAACACTGCATCTCAGACGCTCGTGAATATTCTAGGCTCCCTGGTGGTCCAACTATCTGCCTCAGATCCGTCAATACTGGATAATATCAAGGCGAGCTATGAAAAAATACCTCAAACTTCAGCACATCGACTCCCCATCGAGATACCGACTCTTGAGGATGCAATTGTCAAAAGCTCATCAGAAAAACGACAAAGTCTCATTTTCGTCGATGCAATCAATGAAAGCCCACAGACAGAGAAGATTGAGAACTGTCTTTTGAGATTGGCAACTTTATCACCAAATATCCGTATCTTCGTCACAACAACTACCACCACCGCTTCTCCCAAGGTAGCGCATATCTTAAATCTCAATGCGGATAAAATGCGAGGAGATATTGATGCATTTATCAAATACCGGCTAGAAAGAGATGAAACCCTGAGAAGCCTGCCACTGAAGTTGAAGAATGACATTGAACAACATCTGCTTCAAACTGCTGACGGATCGTGAGTACGCCTGATTAAATTTAGTCATCTGCGTTAACCATGCATCAGCTTTCGCTGGGTTCAACTATCAATGGACAACCTCAAGTCACAAAGAACCGCAAGATCGATGCGACAAGCCCTGAATGATCTTCCTGGGACGCTGCGGGAAACTTATGCCACCACATTAGAGCGCATCTCTCCAGAGGACTGGCATTTCGCCCGCGAGGCTCTATTCTGGCTGTGTTTTGTCCGTAGTCCGCTCACGCTTGCTGAACTTAACGAAGCCGTTGTTCATGAAGAGCAATATACCGTCTTGGAAGAAGACTCTATGCTTGTTCCTAGGAATATTCTTCTTGAGATTTGCCAAGGACTAGTAGTGCAAGACCAATCTGGCTTCGTTCACCTCGCACACTCCTCGGTCAAAGAATTTCTCACATCTGACTGGATTTGCACGTCCAAGGTCAGCTACTTTAGTCTAAATACCACTACTGTTGACGCTACTATCATGCGAAAATGTCTCACCTATCTATGTCTTGATAACTTCAAGGATGGCTACGTTGCGTCTGGAGAACTTGAAGACATTCTTGGTCGCAAAAGGCAGCACCCGTTCTTGAGATATGCTGCGTTTTATTGGCCACATCATGCATCCTCCTGTGATTTTGGAGAGTCCGAGAGAATGTTAGTGAATCGTTTCTTTGATACAAAACACTTATTCCATCGTGGGAACTTTGGTGTCTGGGTACAGATGTTGATCCCGGGCGTTGATGCAAGTGTCATTGAAACAACTCAGCCACTGTACTACGCCGCATCATTTGGAATGGTGTCTGTAGTCAACGCTATCCTGAAATCGGACCCTGAAGTTGACATCAATGCTCGTGGGGGTCGCGTCGGAGCTACGCCATTATTTGCTGCGTGTTGGCGACATAACTACGAGGTTGCAGAAATCCTTTTGAAGGCAGGAGCAAATCCAGCACTTGCGGACCCTGGGACTGGAAGTGACGTATTTCATCTTTCTAGAACGTCTAAATACAAAGCTCTCAGAGGCATTCTCCGTCGGTGTGGCGCCATATAGCTCAATATATTCCTACAGAGTTTTGGGCTGAGCAATAAGCTTGTGTGCCAAAGCAATCGAAGCACTCTCATATCATTTCCTTCTAATTATATGATAATTTTGTGTGCACTGACTGCATTTTGAGCCATGAGGTCAAGGAGGTCAAGTGCGTGTTGCACGTTTGGAAGCCCACCCTCCACGATCTGAGTACTGGTTGGCACGATTTACCCATAACCCCCCTAGGTAGATTTTCCTTGAATAATCAACACCAAGCTCTTGATGGTCACCCTCAAAGTCCTAGCCATATGATGCAAACCTTCTCTGCGCTTTATCAGCAAAGGGTTTTTCGCCATCAATCAGAAGAATGAACGTGCTCCTCCACTAATGGCTGATAGCTATGGCACAACGATAATGGTGACCAGTATAATTTCAATAATAACAAGAATCTAATCGCGTGGGGCCGCGAAGATGTTCCAAGGAAAATTTTCAGGCGCAAAGACGCTTATATCAATGCAAGATTTGATGTGATGGTCATGCAGATTGTCTTTCCCGCGAGCGACGCTGGCGCGGTCTCTGGTTATCAGAGAAGTGACATTTGGGCGAATGGACTGAACAATCACGGCGCAGGAGTTCCAGGATGATTTGGATGCTTCAATGGTAAATTTTGGATCTGCTGATATTAGCAAGTTTGCAAAGCACGGAGAGTGGGTTCATCGAATTACTTCTATAACTTAGATTCGATACGATTGAAGGTGATCACATCTACTTTCACCAAAATCTCGTCTTCACCAGACGAAGAGATGTCAGGATGTTCAACCACGGGACTGGCGAACTTCTCTTTGATAAATGCAGCTTGGTTGGCCATTTTGATTATTAACACTATCTAAGCTAATAGACTGGCGATAGATTGGCTTGCTTTTTCTTAGAAAGCTACTTGAATAGATCTCGACTTTATACCCTTGTCAAAAGGTATTCCATGTGCACTATCCTCTTTGTTACAGAAGTTGAATCTCTGGATGCCTGAAGCTGAAGGATTGTGATCTCTCGGGCATGGTAAGCAGAATAGATAGACTGGCTGGGATTCGAGCCACTCAACGGCGACTATTGGATCAATTACCATATGTCCTTTCAAATAATACATTGATCTTAGCTTCTACGAAGATATGACACGGGAATCCATGGACTATTATAAGACATGACCCTGCTTTCGAGTCATGACGTTTCAGTCTTCCTCCCACTTAGCCATGCATCGGCCTCGACAAGGCCATTGCTCCGAGCACAGTACAAGATCCCATTAAATTACGACTTCATTGCAAAGCATTCAAATACGCCCGAATAGGCCGTGGAATATAATCCGGGTTCAAGTGCCTTTTTTCTCTGGTAAATTGAGGCTTTGAAAAAAAAAAAAAAAAAAAATCATAAATTGTCCAAGGCCAAACAAAATCAAATGCCATGTTCGTTTTAGGTGCGGGGCTACTGATTTTAGGGAAATAAAGGGGGCATAGGCGATATCGCATGATCAATGAAGGTAAATGTTAGAAGAAAGAATTTTCGTGACTGATATATAATTCTTCAATCTATCGGTTGGATAAGAAATTGGCTTATCATCCATATTTCTGGTCATCGATGGGCCAGGCTAGACTGTGGGAGCGTGCCTGATTTAACGATCGCCGAAGCTCCGCCGGCGCCGCCGATCTCCGCCCTCCGCATTAGAAATCAGAAATCAACCGGTCTTTTGGATGGTCCCGACAACATCACTCCTCCGCTACTGCGACAAGCTGAGACAACATCATGGCGGAAGTACAACCGGAGCAAATTGCTGGTCAATTTCGTGACCAGGCGTTCCGATTCAACCAAATGCCTGCAAGCTCCTCGAAAGAGGCGCAAGAGGGTGATCCCAAAGCCCCGTTACCCAAGGGCGTGGTGCTCGACAAAGATGGCAAGCCGTAAGTACCACACTGCCCACTGGTTAGGAATGCCATAAGCGCCCTGTGTCTCACAATCTATCTTCAGATGCCGAACCTGTACCTCCGCCGCTTCATGGCGCGCCCTCGCCAAGCAAGCCAAGTCGCAACCCTCCGCCTCGCCGTCGTCCTCATCCTCAACCTCCAATTCCAGCACAGCAACGATTGCCACGCCGGCCCTCGCATCGATAGCAACCTCTTCCCCCAGTGAGACTGCCTCGGACTGCCCTCCGGACGTCGAGGCTCTCGGCCGCTCGACGTGGACCTTGCTTCACTCGATGGCGGCCACATACCCCGAAAAGGCGGACACCCAACAGCAAAAGGACATGCAGGGATTTTTGAAACTTTTCTCGAAGTTGTATCCGTGCTGGGTATGCGCGGATGATTTCCAGACGTGGATGGCGCATCCGAGTGGGCAGAATCAGCCCAAGCTCGGCGGCCGGAAGGAGTTTGGGTGGTGGATGTGCGAGGCGCACAACGAGGTGAACCGAAAGCTTGGGAAGAAGGAGTTCGACTGTCGCCTTTGGGAGCAGAGGTGGCGTACTGGGTGGAAGGACGGCCGTTGTGAATGAGCTGGAAGGGACCGTGGTGACCAATATTTTGGAATGACAATTGGTATGGCTTGGGTCAGGGTTTGTGGTTGCAATCTCTCTGCTCTTGGTGCTTTGCCCCTCTCCTTTCTTGCGCATTTTCGCTGGTAGCATATTTTGGCGAATGTTCATAGATATGTATTTGTACTGTATACTAGACTTTATTGACCTGGACCTACACCCAGGGCTGAGACATTGCTTTTATCCATCGTGTGTTATAAGGTAACTGACTGTAATGCAAGATTGAAAACAGAAATCACATACAAACTAAGACCGCTAAGCAATTATAATCTCGGGTACAAGAACATCTAGACAGGGGATGGATGTGTTGGAATGGGTGAGGAAGCAGGAGTTTTCATTTTGACTCCCTCCCAAAAAAGCGCCGCCATACAACTTTCTCCTTGGTGCAAGAAAAAAAAATGGAAGTGTAGAAGAGAATAAAACATAAGATGCCCCATTTTATAACTTCATGTCAGGAAGGAAAAAGGTGGGAGAAAACCGTCAAACTTCGTCATGCAGTCAGAGTGAACTAGAACACAGAATGTGTCTAAAATTGACCCGGAACAAACAAGCGCAGGCCGCTGGCCGGCGCACCAATCTCCGACACCTCCGATATCCGGCAGACACTGCCCTTGTATTGCTCGTGGTACTTCGCACCGGTGAAGGGATCGGTCACACAAGGCGAACCGCTGAAGATCGGGGTGTATGAGGCAGCGCAGATATCAAACTCGGCAAACTGATCAAAGTCAATATCGATCGCGTCCTGTGGGTTTCGCTCGCATTGAGCCTTAATCTTCTTGGCCTGTTTGTTTTTGCAGTTTAGTACTTAGAACTTTATATCGATTGAATTTTTAAGAGTTGGAGTTTTCTTACCTGCTCCAGAAGCTTGGGAGAGCCGCCGTTGGCCAGCATCCGGTTGGCAAACCCCAGGGCAGAGTTGTAGTTCTTGTTGGCAAAGGCAAGCTTCATGGCAGCCATCAGAGCCAACTGCCTGTGTGCTACCTCCAGCTTAGGGATGGTGAAGTAGGCCGAGAGCTCGAGGCTGCGCTTGAGGCCCTCGGGGGTGTCAGTGGAGAGAGACCGGCGCTCAAGCTCGATTGACATAGCCAGGATGTATTCCCGTGCGGTAGAGATAATCTTCTTGGCCTGTTCCACCTCGCTCTCAGACGAAACAGTGTTGACGAGAAGAGTGTGAAGAATCTTCTTGAAAGTCATCACACCTTCTTCCAGTTTGTTTGAGCGCATGGCGGCGTAGCCCTCTTGCAGGTCAACGCTGGCAACAGTCTCCAAATCCCGGGGAATGATAGGCAGAACCTTGCGGCTATCTGTCTCATCAGTGGTTCTCCGGACATAGTTGACCAACGGCGGCAAGCCAACAGACGCAGGAAGGTAGGTCTTAGAAGACTTGTAGACCTCAAGGAAGCGGTCCTTTAGAGGCGCGAACTGAACCGCGCCGACTTGGCGGTTGAGTAGCTGCATGGCGGTATCAAAGGAACCAGCAGCGACATGATCAGCAGCCAAAGGCGAGTTGCGAGCCCACAGATCGGCCTCTGAGCTACCGGCACCAGCCTCGGTGCTTTCCACGTTGACGAACTCAACATCTTCCTCCACATTAACATCATCCCCCATATCCCAACCAGACGCATCCTCCTCGTCATCATCCAGAGTATCCTTAGCAAGAACGGCCTCTTGCTCGTCTTCGTCCACGTCGAAGCCATCCGCGCCAGTTACCTCTTCCTCGGCACCAACCTCGCCAAGGAGAGCCTTCTCAAACGAGGAGTGACCGGCAGCCTTGACAGGCCAGTTAGACTTGAAAGTAGGGACGAAGGGTTGCGGAACATTCAACGGCTCCTCGAGCGAAGGGAGCGCAATTTGATCCTCTGTTAGACCACAGGCTTCAAGAATGGACTCGGCCTCCTCAGTCAGGCCATGCGACTTGGCAGTCAGGTAGGCCAGCGGGTATAAGTCAACTTCCTTGAACATCTCAATACGGTCCTCGACATCGCCACGATAAATAGCGTTTTGGAAGCGAGAAGTAAAGTCACCACGGTGCTCGGCAATCTTGGCCATACGAGAAAGCTTTTCCCTGTCACCGGTGGACAAATAGAGGAAGGACAGCTTGTCAAAATTGCGCTGCTTCTGATAGGTCATCTCAACAGTCTGGTGGTTACCATGAGCCAAAGCCTCGGCGCCAAGTCGGCTCCAGAAGTTGGGTCGGTCAAGCTCGCGGGCCATCTCGATAGCAACTTCCAGGTTACCGCATTCCAGAGCCAGGTCAAAACGAGTCTGAGGATCTTGCACGAACTGCAAAGCGATCTCCGGATAACCCTTCTTCTGCAGGTATGAGATGATACTTTGACCAACCAAGCTCGAGGTCTTGATAATTTGGAGCATCTCATCGTAGTTCCGCTTAACCAGGGCCAATTTGAATCGGTATTCGGTGGGGTCAATCGAAAAGATTTGAGGCTGAGCATTACGGTCTAGACAGTAAACATTGCGACCCTTAACGCGGACGAGGTACACAGTTTGGTCAAGAGTGCGAATAATTCCATTGTCACTGTGACAAGTGATGCGTCAGTCAATTTACAGTCCAGGTATGGTAAATTAAAGTGACTTACCCGTTAAGAAGGGAGTACTTCACGTGGTTCAAAGTCGAGTAGATCAACACGCCGGAGTCATCCCAGGTTGCGCTCTTAATACGAATAGTCTCATGCAGGGTGCTGACTTGCTCAAGGGTCTTGGTGACAATAGTGACATTGTGCTTGCTGAGCAGGGCACAGTATAGACCATCGTTGGACCAAACGACATACTTCACACCGCTAACAGTAAGTTCTGCCAGCTGCTTCTTCTGTTGGATATCAAAGAGAGTCACGGTTGTGGGAGTGATGAAAAGCAAGCAGCCGGTGCCGCCAAAGTAGATGTCGGTGGTGCCAGCAGGGGGCTTGATAGTTTTGGTTGTCGAGTTACTGAGATCCTTGATGTCAACCTGTTGGCTAGAGGGGTTGAACACTGCAAAGCGATTGCGGGCCACAAAGACCGCAGAAGTGGCCTGGCCGCGCTTCACGTCGGTGGGCTCAACAGCACCAGTGGCATCCCGAGGTAGGTGAATAAGCTCATAGGTACCATTGTCGGTAGGGGATGTGACGAGAATGGCACGTTCCGCCGGGTTGTAGGAAACTGTGCGAGGAGGAACCCAGGGCGAGCCGAGTTTACGCAGCGAAAGCATCGGAGGAGATTCGACGTTCTTGGCAAAATCGTAAGACTTGACATGCTTCTCTTTGGTGATGTAGAACAGCTGGTTCTGGTAAACAGCGGAAGCAGGTCGTTCACGCTCAAGCTTGAATACCATAACACCAGTGTCGTGACCGGCGGCGAACAGGTTGATCTTGGGGTGAGCGGCAATCACCCAGAATCGGTCCATGTCACGCTTGAAGGATTGGACGGAAGTGCGCTTGTTAAGATCCCACACACGAATGGTCTTGTCTTCGCCGACGGAGAGTATGAGGTCTTGATGCGGGTGAAACAGACAGGCGGAGGCGTTCTGGAAATGGCCACGGCAGGTATCGACTTCCCATGCCTTGGTGTCTAGTGAATGAGAACGTTAGTATAGGGAAAAAGAACAATTCATGCCATATTGGTAGTGGGAAAGGAGCGCACCACTCATCCGCCATAGTTTGATGAGTCTATCATCGCCTGCTGAGACAATTAGTGGCAAGGAGGGGTGGAATGACACCCAGTTGACACCACGATCATGACCCTCCAGTACAAATTTCACAATAGCATCGGTGTTCCCAAACATATCGGCCTGATTGGGATTGGCGCGGGCCATCTGATCTTCGAAGGAAATCGAGGTCGGGGCGGAGTGCTTCTTCCGCAGGCCGGAGATGTCCCAGATGCGAACGGACTGATCCAGGGAGGCGGAAGCAATGAGGTCCTCGGTGGGGTGGAACTGAGCACACATAACATAGTGATTGTGGCCGGTCATAGTACAGACTAGAGAGAAACACCAGTCGTCAGCAATGATCATTGTAGACAGATAGCTCTTCGATATGATTCCACTCACTCAGTGATCGGTTCTGCCAGTTCCAGATTCGAATGGTCTGGTCATCGGACGCAGACAGGATCCACGGGAGTTCGGGGTGGAAGAAAACCGTGCGCACATAGTCCAAATGACCATTCAGTGTGAACAGACACCTCCGAGTCTGGTAGTTCCAGACCTTAATCTTGTAGTCATCACCACCGGACACAAACAGGGGTTGGGTTGGGTGAAAGTCGATGCCTCGGACGGGGCCATCATGTTCTTCGAACCGGTCAATGAGAGTTCCCATGCGGTAATCCCATAGCTGGATGGTAGAGGAGTGAAGGGAGACGAGAATCCATGGTCTTGGGTTGAGGTCAGTGCCGATACTCGAACGTGTTAGCGTGTCCCGCGGGCACGACGTACCGTGTTGGGTGGAATGCGATTCCCTTGGCTCTGGAGGATTTAGACTCAAACTGCGCAACAGAATGTGGTTAGCAAGCTCAATTGAGGTGAGAGTTTGCGACCGGGGACGAGAAGGATCAAAGCCGAAAGCCCTCGGGGGAGATGGTCGAGGGGCGTACCTTGGTGAGCATGTTTGGAGAGGACTGCATCTTGGAAGAGTTGGCCGGAGCCGCACCACACAGTAGCAAGCTCCGCACACGAGAATGGGAGAGGTCACAGAAGCAACCACTGCATCCACCAGGGATCGAAAGGGCAGAGGGGCAAGGCGCAGTGGTCGTTGGATGCCTGTGCTTGGAGGGAGAGAAGGTAAACTAAACGTGGACTCTATTGTGCAAGCGAAAGGCGGTGGCCAATCATGCTGCCGGGCGGTGAGTGATCAGGGGGTTCCAGCTAGCAACTGGCCCCGACAAAGCACTTACGCCCCCAATGGGGTTCTTTAGTCTATCTAAGAAGGGGCTGTCGAGACGTATTCAGCACGCTTACGACTTGCTCCTCTAAGGCGGAGCAGGCCATGGCTCTGATGGTGGGGTGAGATGCTTTGGCAGTGCACCCTTCTCTATTGGGCGGCGATCTGGGGGTTGTCCCCTTTCCCCGCTAGAATCATCTGGAATACACCGATGATGCCATGTGAGCGTGCTTCTTTATTTCAATTGGATTCTGGGGGGTTTGGATATATCTGGTCGTTTCTTGGAAATTCATAGCACTTGTGTTTATATTTTACCTCATGCAGCCACGGTCCACAGAGTATGTTCCTTCCATTTGCGTGGTCAGTGACGTGACTTAGTTGCAGTCCGACAACTCGGGCCAGATATATACACGCCACATATCTCGTTTGATCAATTTCAATCCCTTTAGATGATCGGAGAGCTCCCAATGGAAGGCTTCGAGGGTCCGGGCGACTCTCATGGAACAACCAGTTGGTCAGAAAACCCGACTTTTGTGTCAACTGGCGAGTTCACCGATACTTGTCCCACGGATGACAATGCGGATGGCGATGGGCAAAGTCTCAGTGACTCGGGGCCCCCAACACCTATGGACAAGTCCAAGCCGGAAGCCGAACATGTTGCAAACGAGAGGTCATACTTTACGAACACCAAAGTCATACGGCCATATGCTATTGAAGAGCCAGATGATGAACCGGTACCACCTGTCCAAAGATTGGAGCTACCCTGCCTCCCGGATTGCCTGGAGCGTTGGCAGCGCGATTTACTAGATCGCATGAACGATTTGAATGATGATGCTGCAAAGAGTCACAGTAGCAAGCTCCGTGCTTCTCCCAAGAGAGGCCAAAAACGAAAGCCCGGCAACCTGACTAGCTCTTCCTCCTATACTTGGCCTCATCGATTCAAGTCTAATGCTAGACTCGAGGATCCTGCATTGTCGATTCCGGGTCTCAGCCCAAAGCGACAGCGCCGACGCAGTAAGATCGTCGGAGATGCTGCCAGGGCTGACCAGTCTCCTTCGCTGAATGACTTCCGCGAGCCCCGATCCAATGGAAGCTCGAGTTCGGATCTACCCTCAACCGCAAGCAGCGCCGCCATGAGCAACGATTCGGCCTTGACTGATGAAATGGACATTGATTGAGAAGTTAGAACCTTAGAGCCGCCCTCCCTGCATACCTTGTTCCAAGCAACTTGCTAGTCCATTCTGGAGGCCTCTTCATAAGGTTGACGATTCTGAACGTCCCAAGGAAACGACGCATGACGTCATCCGTATATCATGCTCCATGGTGAACCTCAAGCGTTTGACTGCCAGCCTTCCGAAGGTGTTCTGATAACCTGCTCTACCAAACTACCATCTTCAAGCACCCAGAGAGCCCTTTCATGAATCTGCCCCGACTTGGATTTATTTGACCACTGGAGGAAAATTGAATCGTGATCATGGCTCGGACATCCACGCGACAGGCTGCACAAAAAGCAAAGGAAGCCATATCGATAAACTCCGAGACAGGAGGGAAAGCTGCTGCTGGATCTAAGCGAAAAGCCACAGAACCGAAAGCCTCTCAACCCAAAAAAGAGAAGAAGGAAGAACAGGGTGAACTCGAGACTGAGGTAGCTCAGGATGCTGGAGTGGATGGGGTTCTGGAGACAAAACCAGCAGAAGAGGAGCAAAAGTCGCACCGACTCCTGCGCCAGCTTCTGTATCTGAGCGAGCACCGGTCACTGTGTCACCAGCCGCTACTGTCCCCGCTCCGCCTCCATCTACACCCTTGGATGCAGCCCCGGCAGCTGCGCCGACGGCGGCACCACCGGTCTCGATTCCAGCTGAACCGTCGATCAAACACAGCCCTACCCCAGAGGAGGGTGGCGTTCTCAAATCAAAAGAAAGAGAAACCCTTGTGTCATCGACCATCTTGGAGAAGGGCATCATATACTTCTTCTTTCGGCCGCGTGTCAATGTCGAGGAGCCCCAAGGGGTGAGCGATGTTGCACGGAGCTTCTTTGTGCTTCGTCCAACTCCGCTCGGTGCTGAACTTGACGGGCGCCAGGGACCCCTTGACAAAGATGCTCAATGCCGTCTTCTCATGCTCCCCAAGAAGAAGTTCCCTGTTTCACCCAAGGAGAGAGATATGGGGTTCGTGGAAAAATCCCGACTGTCGATGAAGGAATTGCACGATAGCTTCATCGCCAGCTCAACATATCAGACTGCCACCCGTGGGGAGCGAACGATTGAGGAGGCCCGGCCCTACGCCGAAGGGGTCTATGCAATCACGTCAACTCAGCGCTCATCCCATCTCGCATATGTGTTGACTATCCCAGAAGAGCCGGGTCCGATCCAGGAGGATTTCGGCCTCCACTCACGCGGTAGCTGGATCGTCCAATCTAAGAACCCCAAGTTCCCTGGCCCTTCCTTCGCCCAGCTGCCTAAGGAACCACAGTATCCGGAACAGTGAGCTTTATATCCCCACTACTTGCTAGGCCGTAATCATTCATAGGGATGCTCATAGTTCTTTTGCAGGGTGCTTCAGAAGTTTGGTGACCTCCGATGGGTGCCTCTGGAACCCGAATTCATTGAGTATCCCAATGCCCAGTTTCTCATGATCGGCGAAGCCCACGATCATCTTGGTAAAGCTGCCACCGCGGAGGACCGCAAGCAGCCATACGAAGAAGAGCCCGGCCAGGAACTAGAGAAGCTACAGCAAGAAAACGAGCAGCGGATCGATGCACTGCAGGGTATGGTTCTGAGCTTCCCTCTGCTCTTCAGGGATCTGCATTCCTGCATCATTTGGCTGAAACTGACGATCCTGCAGGCGATTTGACGATCTACAAGGACCTTGGCCTATGGGCAAAGCAGTACTCAGCCGTACCAACGACTTGGAACAGCTGAGATCGAGTGCCTTGTGTGGGGAAGAGTGGTGTTTGGTTTGAAAAGAGGGGGCGTGGGGTTGGATGCCGCTATGGAGACCGGAGTATTCGTAACAATCAATTTGGTATAATTTAATAGCGATTCGATCAAACCAGATGTGCGAGGCTATCGGACCCCCCTGTATGTCAAGCAGCGAAGGAGCCAAGCGTAGCGTTGCGGGTAATCGGAGGCTCGACACATCCGTGGTTGGAAGGGGATTGCCGTCTCCGCTCGTACCGCGCATGTGCTTGGCAGGAACATCGCCCCGTGCTCCAGCATAGAAACCTGCTGGAAGATCTTGGACCTGAAGGATCGCAGATTGATAACCGACGCCCCGTTCTGCCATGCTTGGCGATGCCATGTGTTGATCAGCAAATGACGATGGCCTCCCCAGGCACGTTGACTGGTGCATTCTCTGATCCTGGTCTAGCGTCTCCGCTCCTTCCTGGGCATGCGACATCGGGCACAGGAGGTTGTGAAATAAAGTCGTTGAATTTCCGCGCAACAAACATAGTGAACAATATCTGTCTGTATCCCAGCCACGATGAAGTATACTCTGGCAGTTGGCCTCCTGGCTGTGACCGCAAGCGCCCGCACCGTGGACCATGTTGTGAACCAAACAACTTGTGCTGGCACAACCTACAAGTATACCGGGCTGGCCGGCTATGGATATATCCCATCCAATGCCATAGATAAATATGGAGACACCATCGGTGGTATCGGGAGCTCCATTGCCATCGATCAGTCTTCCTGGCGGAAGACAAGCAATGATGTATACTCGGGGACCATCTATACAATTCCCGATCGGGGCTGGTAAACACTATCCCAAACAACGCAGAGAAAAGGATAGAGCTAACCAGAATTCCAGGAATACCAATGGCACTCTAAACTTCCAGTCGCGTATCCACAAATTTGCGATTTCCTTCAAACAGGCCCCCCATGCATCTGCGGAGAATCCTTCTAGCCCCAATCTGCACCTGAAGTATCTTGACACTATCCTCCTCACTGGCCCTGATGGGAATCCCACCACAGGTCTGGATGCCGATGTTACCGGAGGCGCTTCATATCCCGGATTTCCTCTTCTTCCGGCGGCTACATACACTGGAAACGGCTTTGGGGGTGCTGGTAAGGGCGGTAAGAGAATCTCCGTGGACTCAGAGGGCCTGGTACTCGCCAAAGATGGTGGTTTCTGGGTATCTGATGAGTATGGCCCCTATATCTACAAATTCAGTGCCTCAGGTCGTATGGAGCAAGCCATTCAACCCCCGCAGGCTTTCCTGCCGCGGCGCAATAACACGATCAGCTTCAATTCGGACAGCCCTCCGCTGTATGATCCGGAGGCGATTCCAAACCCTGAAGATACCGAGACCGGCCGCGACAACAACCAGGGCTTTGAGGGCTTGACAATCTCCCAGGATGGCAAGACTCTGTACGCGCTCATCCAGTCCTCGCTCGACCAGGAGGGCGGGCCCAAGAAGCGTTATCGCGCGCCGGCTCGTATGGTCGCCTACGACATCTCCGGTTCAACACCACGTTATATTCACGAATGGGTTGTTGTACTGCCCAAGTACTACGACTATACTGAGACCGATGCTGATAAGGCGTACAAAGTTGCCTCTCAGTCGGAGATCCACCAATTGCCAACAGGGGACTTCCTCGTTCTGTCACGCGATTCGGGCTTCGGTCATGGACAAGCTGAGTCGCGGTCAGTATACAGACAGGCTGACGTGTTCTCGGTTTTGAATAACCACTCGGTAACGGATTTCAAGGGCCTCGAAGACTATGACAGTGCCACCGGAGCCATTGCCTCGTCGAAGGGAGTATTGAATGACGATATCACTCCTGCCGAATACTGTTCTTTCTTGGACTTCAACGTCAACTCAGAGCTGGCAAAGTTCGGTCTGCACAATGGCGGTGCACAGGATCAGTATCTGCTGAATGAGAAGTGGGAGAGCTTTGCTCTTGTTCCGGTGGATCCCTCTTCTTCAAATGGTCATCACAAGCGAGGAGAGAAAGAATATTTCCTGTTCTCTTTTAGTGACAATGACTTCATTACTCAGGATGGTAAGTGGATAGGCCTTTAACAAAAAAAAAGCATTCTTGAAGCTAATATGACTTCCCAGGTTACATGAACTTTGGCAAGCTTCAGTACAAGGATGAGTCTGGATACAACTTGGACAATCAAGCACTGGTGTTCAAGATCAAGTTTTGAGACGAACATACGTATTTTGCTGTAACGAAGCAAATTGGAAATGGATTCGATGAAAATACGGAGAATTCAGAGGATCAGATCCTTCCCTAAATACCAGAGCTTAGAGTAATGCAATGCATGTAATCAAAGCATACGATCTTGTCCCTGAAAAGAGACTAAAAAGGACTGAAGATGCACTGACAAGCCAAATAATTCAGAGCCAAAATGTCATGAACCCCACGGCACAAATATTTCCTGATTATCCAGACTGGTAAATTGATGGACATGGAAACACAAACTTCATCAAAGAGAGTGGATTAAAACATAGGATAATCACTGAACGCAAACCAGCTGCCTCGCTATTTTTTTCGTCGTATTCTGGGTTACAAAGGTCTCCAGTAACTAACAACCTGCTCTCAGAAAAGATTGAAACCTATGCTTTCACTAACTTGATAGCATGCAGAATATCTTCAAGCGACCATCCCGGCCCGCCGGGAACAATTTCTGTCCATACCTCCCTCCGGAACTGCATCCATCGGATCCAATAGGCTCCAATTCGGGCTAGGCTCTGGTTTAATCCATTTGAAATCTTCGACCTGGCTCCAGCGATCTTCGTGATCGGAACGTTCGTGGTCTAAGGCCTAGAAAAGGTTATCAGTAACGGATTATCATGCATATGGACGATATTTCTTTTTGAGAGAACGAAAGAAAGAGGGAAGTGTTACATAAGCCTTAGGTATCCGGCCGAAGCGGACATTTGAGCAGTCCTCGATGATAGGATTGCTAGAACAGCTGAGGTAGACATCGACATCTTTGCAGTTGTGCATCCGGAACTGACGGCACGACACAACAATCACACTATGATCAACGCCAGTGATATGGGCTGGTCCATTCACCTGACCGCAGATCAGTAAGCTCTCCTCTATGCTCTTGATTGTCAGACTAGCAAATGGTTTCCCGTTGGCGGTAGGAATAGACATGTCAACAATGCAGTGATGCAGAGAGGTGATTGATGCTGGAACGGTAGGGCTTGACCCAGATGCTGGTAGCATAATGTGTAAACCATAATGATTATCCACGGCCACAGACGAAATACCACTGGCAGTAAATCCCGAGCTGGTCTTTTCATGAGCTTGAGGCTTGAGCTCCGCCTCGTTGACAGAAATAATAGGAAATGAAGTCGGTCCAATCTCGGGTCTCTCTTGGTGCTGTTTGTCTGGTTCGTTAAGAGGGGTGGAAGGGTAGTTCGGGGTTTGATTGGCAGATGAGCCCACTGATGATGCCCCCGGCGAGCGATATCCAGGGATACTTCGACGACCCTCGGCCGCCAGCGTAGCTGCGTCAGACAGAGAAATCGCGGAAGGATTTTTCTTTGTCTTGAAGCTGAATTTCGATCGAGGTTCAAATGCTGCGCGGGTCTCGTTTAGCTTTTCCTGCAAAGCTTTGATCGCCTAAAGGATTGTAAGCATGATGACCGTGGCATGAGTATCGGAAATATCCGTACTTCTGCATAAACCCTCTGATCATAAGTAGGAATATAGCTTGCCGCGTCCTTAACCTCGTTTGATAGCCGTACAATCCCGGCCAAGCAATGGTCTGTAGCATCAGCCCGCTCACCACCAACTAGGGAGGTGTCTGCAAGGCGATCCATTTGCTGTTGTAAAGCTAGATTATACTTGTTAGGGCTGCCCGTTTTTTAATCTTGTTCATACACAGTCCGGTAGATATTTTCACATACCCGTGATCTCATGTTGGAAGTAGCGGAAGAACCGTTCCTTTATGGGGATTTCAGATTTGGAGATGGTCTGATTTTCGGCCGACAAGCGGCGAGCTCGCTGTGGTTCAAGCTCTGCCATCGTAAAAGATGTTTCGTCTTACCACGACCACTCAAGATAGTAGGCGTTGAGCGAGGTAGCGAGTGAATCACGTGGGTTGAGGAGAGAATGGAATGTGGGAATGACGTCGATAAGATCTCAACAGATCATACCATCCAGGAGTGCAATGACGTCCGAGAAGAGATGGGCCGAGTTTCCCTCTTTACTGCCAGAGATCCGTAAAATGGGCAAAGGACCAGGGAGAGATCAGGTCGCCGTAGAATAGACTGGAGGATGTAGACAAGCTAAGACCTGTCAAATAAGACAAACTCCATGCACAAGCGGGGTTCTGCAGGAGCCCCAAGCGCCTTAGTAGGCGAGGCTGTCGACAATGCGCTGGTAGATGGTTGACAGCACAGCGTCGAGGTAGAGAAATCTACAGCTCTTCGAGGTAATGAGCAATGATGTTTGATTTCTGCGAGAAGACACCAACTGTCTGGACAAATTACATGCTCTGTTCACAGTGACGTCGATCATCCCGCACTTTGTCGGATGCCGGGATCTGAAATGATCCGCAGCCATTTCAGGCACCAAGGCACCAAAACAGGAAGTCTAGTAAACGAGGAACTACAATTATTAGGCGTCCACTGGGCTGTAAACTTGAATTGGTTTATTTAATTTGTTGCAAAAATAGGTCAAGTAATTCATCATAGAGAGTGTTACCAGTGGGCTTTATCATCTTCAATTCGACCGAAGGCAAGTGCCATTCCTCATGACTTCAGTTCAACATGGCCGTAAACAGTTGCCATATCTCACTTTATGGGAGCAGTCTGTCTAGCAATCACTACTGTGCTCGCTGATAGCCCAGTGGCCGTGTGTGCTCTTGTAAGCACCGGCAACCTTGATGCAGTCCCCACCACAGTTGAACTGCCAATGCTTTAGGACCTTGTGCGCCTCATTGGCCAGCTTGTCACACCGAGCACTGACATGCTTTCTCTTCTATTATTGATGTCAGATGAACGGCTTTATTCAGCGTACAGCAAAGTTGTAAAGTATAGATTTCATGAACTGAAAGGAAGAAGATTTAAGTGACCCATACCTTGTTGTGCCAAGAGATAGCGTTGTTATATGAGCAGCTGATCCGGGCATATCTTGCGGACCCGATACCACAGTCACCGGGTAGACTGTGCAAATAGCGAATACCACCCTGAATGCTTCCAGATCCATTGGCGTATGCAGGGTTACTCATGTCAATAGGCGTAGCGAAATAGAGAGTCTGTTCTCATGAACCGAAATAACACTTGTTTTCAGAACAAATGACTTTGTCCTTGATGTTAGTTGCACGTTTGGAAGTTCCAGTTTCTTGATCAACCTTTGCGTCTTCCTCCTCAGCATCCTCAGTAACAGAGGAACCAAATCCAGAAAAATCAGAGATGTTGAAGCTGGGGTTCTGCTTCAGGACCTGCTGATAAATTTCCTCGGCGCTGGTTTCTTGAGCCCAGGAGAGGGTCTAGGTTGATTAGAAAAGACCATATAAGAAATCCAAATGCAAATGGCTCGGAATCGTTACCAAAAATGAAAGCACAAAGAATAAGACCCTTCTTTGCATTTTGTTTGCTTGGATCTGAAGGAGAATCTTGGTGAGCTCAGGAAATCATGAATGCTTGGACAAATCGAATGCTTGGGTTGAACCTCAATATCTTCAAAAGTCCTGGATTAGGTGCTCCTTTTATAGCCTTCATTAAATTTTGATCGCAAGGACACCACTTTATCGATTTTTTCATTGTCTTGGCAGAAGTTTGGGGTAAATTTTACACCAACTAGATCCTTAACCGCGCTTATCGAACCGCGTGTGATAAGATCGTCAGGCCCCCAGACGCCGAGCTGAGATTGAGATTCAGTAAGCTTTCTCCAATTTGAGAATTGAAACGGCCGATACTCCTTTTATAGCCATTTCTCCAACCACTGAGGATTCACGACCGAATTTTCACTAGTTCGCAATGAATCATCCCATCCACTAAATAGTTTCTTTTTTTAGCATGCGCGCTACATTTTCACGGGGAAATGAGGCCTTTTCAGCTCTGAATTAAATACTCAAAGCTCGGTTGACACTTGTTCAGTTTAAATATCCTTCGGCTATTCGTTGTAACAAAGCCGACAACAAATATATTTCTATCTTGGGGCACTGCTGGAAATTTTGAAGATCATACAAAGTGGATGCAAGGAAACCTGGCAGTACTATTTACGAAACAAGAAATATCAGAAGGACCATCTGGAGAGAGAAAAAAAAAACACAGAGAGAATTGAAATTGAAGTCGGCTCTCCGGTGCATGATTGAATGATACGATGCTTGAATGTTCTTTGTGACTGATGAGTGCGTGTAATCCAACGACGAAGCTTGAAACGCCAAGCCTGTCAAATGCCGTGAGTTTTCTCAGGAGAAGGCTTTTGACTGGATAAAATGGCTCCAAGGAGTCACATTCACTGGGACTTTCCATGCTTAGCCCTCAAGTAAAAAGACCAAACGGTTCAACACTTCTGGCCTCTCGTATAGAGATAGCAAGCTTACTGGGCCAAATTCTCTCCTACTACGAGTGTTTATGTACCAACAAATTGACTCTGTAACACCACTCAAATTGCGTCCTATCAAGTACGATTTCGATCGACTGCCTCCATTGAGAGTCATCACGTTGTGACTAGCTTTGCACCAGCCAAAGACCATATCTCCCTGGAAAGCGGTCATTATAATCTCAATGCCGGCCAACCAGATGCTTAAGCCCTGTGGATTGAGCATTTTTTGGTTAGCTTCATGCCACAAGATTTCAAGTATGCAAAACAAGTTCGGTCTATTCTTCAACTCAAATTGCTTCTTGGCCGCAGCAAGGCGCCTCTTCTTCAAGACTCGATTAGTCCTATCAGGACTATCTCAAACCCAACCTATTTTCTGAATTAAGTTCTCTTCTAGACTTGCCTATCAGGGCCCCCAATGGATCGCAAATAGATAATATAGATATTAGTGCCTTACACCGCCCCCCCAACCCTTCCGGGTTGTGGGTGCGCCACGTATGAACCGTCACCCACACATAAACCGTCACTTTTCCTACTACCCTATTTTTTGCTTCCCTACCCAAAACCACTATCTAAATATGCCTAAATTCGACGAAGCTCGTATGGCCGAGGCCTGCTTAGCAGCATCACGCGAAGAGAAGCCGAATATAGCGCGTTTAGCACGCGATTTTGGCGTGCCTAGAACAACGCTCTCTGATCGGATCAAGAAGAAAACAAAGCCTATTATAGCTAAACGCAATGCTAAATACGCTCTCGAATCCTATCAGGAAGAAGCTCTAGTACGCTGGATTCAATCTATGAACGATTACTATATGCCTATCACTCCTAGGATACTAGAAGCGTGGGCGAATCGTGCATGCCAACGCGTCGGCAAGCCGCCGATTAGCAAGATGTGGGCGTATCGCTTTATTAATAGGCTTCCTAAATATCTTCAATTAGGGCCTACTAAGCAGTATACGAAGGAATCAAAGCGAATTCTAGCAGAGGATCCAGCAGCACTACAGCATTGGTACGATCTACTAGCCCAAACGATCAAGAAGACTACACCAGCACGCTTAGTCTATAACTTTGATGAATGCGGCTTTCAACCAGGCGAAGGAAGATCTAGAAACGTTATATCTTCTACTACTAGTAGTAGGAAGATAGTAGATCTTCCTCAGCCAGACCAAGGCGAAAATATAACGACTATCGAGTGTATCGCTGCCGACGGGTGGCAGTTAGAACCTTGGTTTATATTCAAAGGCAACGGGATCTTTATAGAATCTTGGTTCAATCAAACAGAAGGCCTACCACCACATACTACAATCACTACATCGCTAAACGGTTGGATAACCGACGATATAGCAGTTCAGTGGCTTCGATTCTTTATAGAATCAACACGCGACCGTACAAAATCGGGTGAAAAACGTATCCTAATCTTCGACGGTCACGGTTCACATCTTACATTCGAATTCCTACACCTTTACGAAGAGAACGATATCCTACCAATAGGCTTCCTACCACATACTACACACCTTTGCCAACCGCTAGACGGTAAGCCGTTTCTAAGCTATAAGCAACACTTCCGCTTAGCGAATAACGACCACGCGTTTTAGGGTGGAAGCCCTATCGGAAGATCGGAGTTCCTTCGAATAATCGGTGATATTCGGAATAGAGCGTTTAGCTAGCGAATCATTCGTGAATCGTTCAAAGATCGTGGGATCTATCCAGTCGATAGTAGAAAGGTTCTTAATAGCCTTCCTATCCAAGAGATCCCAGATCTCCTAGCGCCAGATCTACCGCTTCGTTTAACACCTTCACCACCACCTATATCTTCTTCTAGTATCGACCAATCGCCGCCTAGATCTATACAGGATCTAGAAAAGAATCAAAAGAAGATTGCTAGATATCAAGAGGATCTTACACCAAGGCAGCAACGTAATCTTGATCGTGTGTTTCATCATAACAAGATTGCTATAGAGAACCTAAATCTAGCGAACGATACGATTCGCAAGATTAGGGAAGCTCAACAACCACTACAGCGCCCAATCACCAAGCGCCAGGTTAAAACTCCGCTTAGCAAAACAGGGGTTCTCTCTATTAGAGATGCAAATCGTTCTATTGCTAAAAGAAAGGAGAAGGAAGCGGATACAGAGCGGAAGCGGGTGAGGAAGCAGTGGAAGAAAACATATGGAACATCACCACCACCAGAACCTACACAGGAGAGCCAGGCATCGTTAGATAGAGCAGAGGAAGCACGTCAGAACGGGCAGGGTTTCTATATAGATACTACTAGGATGCGTTGATAATTAGTGGAAATATTAAAAAGTGACGGTTTATGTGTGGGTGACGGTTCATACGTGGCGCACCCACAACCCGGAAGGGTTGGGGGGGGCGGTGTAAGGCACTAATAGTACTCTCCAGCAAATCCTCTGATTCGTGGAAGCCAACCAGTCAAGGTCCCGGCAGAAATCTCACCGCCATTCTGAATATCACGTGCTATGCGGCTGACCGCCCACCGAAGGAGCTCCGTCATGAGCGAACCTCCAACAGTCAACATTCAAAGCCTAAGCCGCCTTCAATACTCTGTGCTATTTTGACATCGATATCAGCTAATTGCTGGGAATCTCCATATATTCTTTTAATCTGAGCTCCTCCATCCACGCCACACGTCATGTCGGACCTCAAGTCCATCGTCCCAGAGCTCCAGAATGCTCTAGAACGCAAGCAGCTGGATGTCGCCAACAATCTTCTCAGCCGAGCCAAGCGCGCCCTTCTCCTGCAGAATGCCCTGATTCCGACCCCTTCAACACAACCTGAGCTCATCGCCCTTGCTCGACAGGTGCTCGAGTTGGGAGCGCTCGCCTCAATCCGACAAACCGACGCCCAGACCTTCACACGTTACTACCAACAACTCCAGCCATTCTATGATCTCGAGCGACATGCCGGTGTACAAGGCGATGGCTCTCAGGGTGTGGATTTTAGTACTAGTCAACGCAGCAAGATTATAGGCCTGTACCTGCTGCTTCTGTTGAGCATGGGTGACAGCGCTAACTTCCACACCGTGCTGGAGGGGTTGGTCGAAGAGGCCAGCTTGAAGGGCAGTCGCATTGAAGATGATCCTTACATCAAATACCCTGTCGAACTGGAGCGGAACTTGATGGAGGGAAGCTATGATAAGGTGTGGCGGGAGACGAAGTCGGAGCGTGTGCCGTCCGAGGACTTTGGGTTATTTTCCAACGTGAGTGATGTGCAAACCTGTTCTGAGTCTGTCTTCAGGAGGCTCCTGACTAACATTTATTAATTCTATCGCAGGTTCTGGTTGGTACCATTCGCAGCGAGATCGCAGACTGCTCCGAGAAGGCGTATCCCTCCCTTCCTATTTCGAACGCCAAGAATCTCCTCTTCCTGGAATCCGAGGGTGCCGTTATTGAGTTTGCTCAGCAGCGTGGCTGGATTCTGCGTGATGGACGGATACACTTCCCCGTGGAACCCGAGGCGGCTACGAGGTCGGAGAAGGATATTCTGGTGGCTAGCGGCACGGTGATCGAAAACACACTAGGCTATGCTCGGGAGCTTGAGACGATTGTTTAATGCAGTTCATTCAGATGGGTGCATTTCAACCACTGGATATGAATGGTTTTCTATTTTCTATGATTTGCCTTCGGTTCTGGCCTGGTCTCCAGGTGCAGATGTACTTGTATACCTGTTGGTGTTGCATTGTTACTTGATCTAGCGTGCTCATGACAAAATCACGACTAGGCACTTTGGTTCCAATCTTCTATGGGACTGTAATAGTAGATTGGGGTTTGTAAGCTGCAACCACCTGCCGCGTTATCAAAGTCTCGGAGTAGTCGAGTGAACCTGAAGACCGTGAACTCTTTTCTATATGTTGGCGCTCCACACGCACACACGGCGATCGTAAAAGCTACTTGACACACAGACGAGCTCTGAAGATGCTTGAGCCTCGCCCTTGCATACATCGCTCGCGTAATTCATGCTCTCATGTTCCGTGAATTCAGCCAACACTTCAATGCTCCAATCTGAATCTTGCGCCTGGCCCTTTTGAATGACCCGAACCACCCTTGTTCCAGCGTGCATGCAACTGGCTAGTATCAGGAAATGGTGCTCTGATTCGACCTGCACGGTATTGAGCAGCTGTAATCGCCAGACACCACCACCAAGGCTCTGTTCAGCAAGAACATCCCCTCGCCGCGTGGCATGATACACACGTAGGCCTTCATCATAGCTGCCCGTCAATAGCACAGGAGCATCGTCCAGCAGTGGGACTGGGAGCGGCAAGATTGAGGTAACGCCGGCTGTATGGTGACGAGCTCGGTCATCGTGGTCCAGCAGGAGTGGTGCGAGCGGCTCATCGTAGTTCTGCTCCTTGCTCAGATGTGACTCAAACCGGCGAGTATGAAGAGACCCAAAATCATTGCCGGTGAACATGAATGGTACTATGTCTTTCTTCTCTTCTATTCCCTGAGAGGACACAGGTATGGCAGCCAGTGCCACGAACCAGACTTCAATCATCTGCTTCGCCTCAAAAGATCCCCACTCAACCAACGCAGTTGCGTCGGTAAGGGCATCTTCGCTCCCGAATACAACTGTTCGGCTATCCGAGAAAGTGACTGCAAATCCATCTGCCTTTGATCCAGAACACCAACTCTCCGGAGTCCAAGCGAGGAAGAGCGCGGGGATGGAAGTGTCCTCGTGGACTTGCTTTGTCCAAACCTGGTGGATGGTGGGTGGGGAGGTCGAGACATTGAATAGAGAAACGCACCCGGTACTGGTCACGATGGCAAACTTGTTCCTATCCCTTGGGTGGAAGTGCAAGTCGAAAACTGCATACGGCAGGGACACTCTTTGTACTAATGATCTAGAGGATGGATGTTAATAATCGGCCGTCTCTATATCATCGCGTCAGTTTGCCTTACAGCACTTTTGTGGTTATGTCGAGTTTCCACAGTTGCACACCGCCTGTCTTGGCCTGTTGAATATCTCCATCCTCGTTCTTGGTCTCAGAGAGAAGATAAGTGCCCACCACGAAATGATCTGGGATTTCGGGGCAGAATTCAAGGCAGCTAGGTGGTTGGTCCAAAAAGATCGTCGTTGTCGATTTCGGATATTGAATTGCGGTCATCTTGGATGTGCAATTTGGAAATTGATTTCCAGCGCTCACGTCCATACATGTATATGTAGCTTGAATTGGCGGCTCGAGAGTTGGAGGGGTTCCGTATATGAGCGCATGCAACCAAACTACTATATATCGATCTGCAAAAATAGGGCGGATCCTAAAAGGCCACAAACAACAAAATGCAACAGTCGATAGCCAGGACAAGTGAAGATGGGTATATTCTCGCCAATTGATGCAGTGTCTTGGTTTTATACGGCGAACAGCTCCCGTCGTTATTCGAATAGGGACGCCGGGTGGGTTCCGAAAAATCCTAGTATGCACAGAGAACCGCGGCGGGGCGGTGAGAATCCGCGTAATAGATCAATGGAACGCAATCCATACATTCTCACGATTTGGTGCAGCCTGTATACGATACCATAGGTTCTCTCCTACACTATCATAAATCTTGACCTGGCAATGTCGTTCGGACGTGTGAGCCCAGACTTTGGAGGAAATTCCAAGGGACTACATATTTGATTGAAGTGGCCCCTCCAAGCAGATTATCCATGTCGGACTCTCCTACAGTCTCCCATAAAATGACATGAAAATCTCTGACCCAGCCCTGCCCGATGGATGCTCAGCTCCGAGCTTCAAATTGTCTGTCGAAAATCACTGGACACCCCGCACTATGCACATGACCGGCAGCCCCTCTCGCGGCTCGGGAAGTACTGGTCCGGGAACCAGTGGTTAATCGTAGGCATCAACAAATAAACCGCCCTTAACTTCAAGATCTCTACTATATTTTCTAGCCTACTCATATATTACTATGTCTCGTCCATTTAGCACCCTGCCCTCCACGGCCCGGGTCACCCCGACCCCCTTCACCATCTCCATCCCGAAGCAGCAACTCGCCGAGATGGAGACCCTGATAAAATTGTCAAAAGTTGCACCACCAACCTACGAGAACTCCCAGATAGATGCGCGGTACGGGGTGACGTCCGCTTGGCTTGTTACTATGAAGGAACAATGGCTGCGATCGTATCATTGGTAAAGAGACTCGAATGACGTGAATGGGAAATCCTGTGGCTGAATGCTATCGATGCACACAGGAAGACCTCCGAGGATCGTTTCAACCAGTTCCCTCAATGGAAAGTAGACATAGAAGGGATCGCCATTCATTTCGTGGCTCTCTTCTCTGAGAAGAAGGATGCAGTTCCCATTGTGTTGATTCATGGATGGCCTGGTAGGATGAATAGACATTATTTTATTTCTTTCACTGCATAGGACCAACAAAGCTGACTGGATCATACAGGAAGTTTTGTGGAGTTCTTACCCATGCTCGATCTATTTCAGAAAGAGTATACTCCAAGTACACTCCCATATCATTTGATTGTGCCGTCCCTTCCGGGCTTTACCTTCTCTTCTGGTCCGCCTCTGGATCGGAATTTTGGCACGTCCGACATAGCTCGTGTTTTGGATCAGCTGATGAAGGACTTGGGATTTGAGAGTGGTTATGTTGCGCAGGGCGGTGACATTGGGGCCCGCGTGGCCCGCACTTTAGCCGTGGACCATGAAAGTTGTAAAGGTATATCCAAGGTTCTTCTCTTTTGATCTCATCAGAGAGCCGTGTCTGACTCAATTTTAGCCGTGCATCTTAATGTGTGCTTCATGGTGCGCCCTGAGGGTACATCAGACGATAACTTAACCGCCTTTGAAAACAATGGGATCAAGCGGATGGACGAGTTCAAGATGACTGGCTCTGGATATGCAATCGAACATGGTACTCGGCCAAGTACAATCGGCCATGTTCTCTCAACAAACCCTGTTTCATTGTTGGCATGGTGAGTCGGCAGATTGTGGGATTTCACATGGCAGATCAACTTTCTATAAAGTGCTTCGCTAATTGATGCAGGATCGGGGAGAAATTCCTGGAATGGGTAGACGACCCTTTATCGCCAGAACAAATTTTTGAATCGGTCAGTCTGTACTGGCTGACCGATACTTTCCCTCGCTCAATCTACACCTATCGCCAGGTACATGTCAACTACTTCAGCGAATTCGCATAATAAGAGTATAGTTGACTGACAAACACAGAATTTCCCATCCCCGTCGGTCCCTGCGGCCAACGACCCCCGCTGGTACATCAAAAAGCCATTTGGATTCTCATTCTTCCCAAAAGAACTGGCCCCGCTCCCTCGATCTTGGATTGAAACAACCGGCAACCTCGTATTCTACGAGCGCCACCAGAAGGTATGCCATGGCACTCCGATACAGTTCATTCCGAAGATGCTCATTTCATTATCAGGGCGGCCATTTTGCGGCACTTGAGGAGCCTGAGGTTTTGAAATCTGACATAGAGAAATTTTTAGAGCAGGAATGGCCAGGAATCCAGTGAATTTGTAAGATTTCAAATCTGGCGAAAAAGGTGAATCAGGAACTGAGAGAAAGATCGACTTCGGTGATAGAAATAGATAAGAACGGCCACTACCATACATACGTATTATAGTATATCGCATCAGAGAGATTAAGTTATTATTCGTAAGCTACATAGCGTATTAAATTCTTCGAAAGACTTCAGGAAAATCAGATAGGACCGAGCAACGTGCGATCCCTCGCTGCTTGTATTATATATATCACTTAAGGAACTTGATAAAGAGAAAGCTTTAGATTGTATTATTTAGGTGCAAATTTTAATTTTTAATTTGTGCGCAGCTTTCCACTTGGTACTCGATCTCAGGGATCGTTCACTTTAAAAACTATCTAGACTAGCAATCAATTTGAATACCTGTTACCCTTTAAGCTGGGTCAGCTTAAAGGGTAACAATACCTTGAAAAACCAATCCTATTATTGGTTACAGTCCTCCTAAGTCCCGGGCTGGTGACTTCACCATCGGCGTCGGTGTTGGGAGACTCTCTATCCATTTTTGTTTCAATCATGATTCAAACCCCTCCAACAGCATGGGAGAAGGCTCAGCAGAGTCTAAGTCAATAGAAGGACCGCTCTCTTCCGTCGAGGTCTTGTCTCGCCCCCTGGGTCGGAAGCTGAAATCGGAGAGCGAATCCATTTTTTTGCCAGTGTGGAGCCACGTCTTTCTTCATACCGAGTTCACCAAGTGCAATTACGCTTATATAGGATCCCAAATCTCCTGCCAATGCCCCCATCTGAATTCCTCATTGCCTCCCATGCAACGCTGAAGTAGGCAGACGTCAGAGGCCCGATTCCGGAGATAGAATACAAAATCACATCTTTGATCAACGGAAAGGGGCAAGTCCAATCTCGAAGGAGATGCAGGCTTCCATATGACCTCCACTGCAAAACTCGTATTTATCAAAGTTAGAAAGTCAATCATCTCTGTTGCACGTGTAACTGGGCTGGTGACCATCACATGATGACTCTTGGGCCGGATCACCAGCACTTTCTCTTTCCATATGTCGGTAGAGCGGATTTGTCTTGGGATTGTGAGAAGCCTGACCCATTCTGACAGAGCTTTACCCAATCAGAAAAATTAGCTCTCATAGCAGAAAAAGAACTTTACTAGCAACATCGATACCGATAGTTGAGTGAACATGGCACCCAAACCCAACGAACGAGACAAATGATCCCCATAAATATTCAAGTCCGGCCCGAATAAAGTGCGTGTTCGTTGCTGTTTAAATTGATATAAACATAAGTGCATAGATGAGGAAAATCTGGACCGGTTTGTTGGGAAAGGGGAAGGCAAACCCCACGGATCAAAGATAGGGCCTGGGGAGATACATGATCAGATACCTATATGTCCACAAGAGAAGCATGAGAGGAAACCAGAGGCAAGTCTGGCAAGCAGACAGGATGAGAAGGATCGGCGAACAAACCACTAAACCACAACACAACGCGCTAGGAGGGCGGCCTTCCGAAGAGGATATAGATGCTGGCTTTTGGGGATAAGTATGTAGAAGTTGTATTTCTCTCTATCAGAGATCCGAGGCTATATTGGTAACGACTGTGTATGGGAGAAAACACCAGCGTAGGTTGTTTCCCCACTACAGTAGATAGGACTGCGTGCTTTGATTGGTTTAGAGAACAGGGCTTTCCGTCCTCTCAGCTATACTTAAGCTATACACTGGTCAATCAGTAGTACAGTAGGGTATACGGGTACTCTCAAACCCGATTAAGAGAACACTAGCCACAAATATTCATTCGAGATGGAAAATCAATAGTCGGGATATATGAATATCAAACGCCAGAGCTCTGTAAGGCGATGAACCCGGTACATAAACTAATCATAGATCTTCTTCCAAATCCATAAAGAGCGCGAATTGCAATAGGCTTTCATCCCAGTCATACCCCATTCGCTTCCAAGTCCTGAGAACTTATGACCGCCAAAAGGAACATTTGGCGCGACATCAAAGTGGGAATTGACCCAAACGCTTCCAGCTGACAACTCTCTCGCCAATCGCTCGCCTCGAGCAAGGTCTTTGGTCCAAACTGAAGCCCCCAGGCCATGCTCGCCGCTGTTAGCCCGCTTCAGAACTTCATCTTCGTCAGTCCATTTCAGCAACGGGATAATTGGGCCAAAAGGCTCCTCTGTGACGATACGAGAATCGTCGGGGGGTTGTCGATGAGCGCTGGGGTAATAAAGTATCCTTTCGAGGTTTCGATTACACCTCCCTCCAAAGCAGTCTTCCAGGAACATTTGCTAATCTCTGAATACATGTCCTTAACCTTTTCATACCTATTCTGGTGTTAGAGCACTATATTGCTGGAGGGTAGTTCCAAAGGGGCAGAGCTTACTGCATGTTATTCTGAAGGGGCCCGACCAGGACATCAGGTTCGAAACCATCACCTGTCTTGGCTGTTGTCTTAACAAATTGGACCATTGCATCCCGGAACTGATCATATATCTTTTCGTGGATAAAAAGCCGCTTAACAAGCATGCAAATCTGACCAGAGTTCAGGAACGCAAGCGTGGCAATTTTCGGCAAAATCTTATCAATGTCGACATCCTCACAAACAATAGCAGGATCATTTCCACCAAGTTCGAGGGTAACGCGCTTCAGGGTCTTCGCGCAACTTGCCATGACCCTTTTTCCGGTCGCAATGGACCCAGTAAAGCTGATTTTATCAATTCCTGGGTGCTCCGTAAGCATGGGGCCCAAATCATCGCCGCCACTGAGCACCTGAAAAACACCTGGCGGAAAAACTGCCATGCCGAGTTCACCCAATTTCAGGTCTGTGTACGGAGTATATGGTGAAGGCTTCATGATAAAAGTGTTGCCTGTCATAAGGGCAGGGCCTACTTTGCCCAAGCCAAGTAAAACCGGCCAATTCCAAGGAACAATACCACAAGAGACACCGATTGGAGGAAATGTTTGAATGATTGTCCGCTCATCATTTTCATCCAGCACCTCATCCTTGACTTCCATTGTCGCGAAGGTTCGTAGCCATGTTAGAGCCATGTCGAACTCGGTCTTTGCTAGACCAAGAGGTTTGCCTTGTTCCTTGACTAAAAGCTTTTCAAGCTCGACCCGATTGGCTTCTACAAGATCAGCATACTTTAAGAGAAGCTTTGCTCTCTCTTCAAAGGATGTCTTCGACCATGTCTTGAATGCTGTTTTAGCGGCATCAACTGCGGCATCAACATCTTCCTGTGTTGCGACAGGAACTTCGTAGAGTGGAAGCGCATTGGAAGGGTTGAGAGAATGTCTGGTTTTGGCGGTTGAGACGAACTTATTGTTAATAATATTCCCAGGGTAAGTCTAACATAAAAGCTAGCTTAGTTTTGAGACCCAACAAGTGGATATCTATCTATCTACTGACCGTGGTATCGAGCGTGGTAGCCATTTTCAATGTGAGTCGACGAGGCAGGAAAAATCAACAAGACATAGAAACTTGAGATTCAATAAAATTGGGAAATACGGGAGAGAGTGAGTGAGCTCCGAAGTTTAGGAAAGACTTGAGGGGAAGTAACGCTACCCCTCCACTTGACAGTTGATCTTCCTGTGGAGAAGCAGTCGCAGGATTCGAGCTAGTCCGCTAGGTAGTTAGTGAATTCTTGGGGTATTGAGGGGTGTCCTCGTCTTGGTGAAGTAATTTTCCTTTTGCTCAGGGTGTACAAAAGCCAGCTATTCTTTCAGCTAACATATACTGTGTACGTTGTCCATCGGAGCCCAGCCTTGCATAAATTCCATTTTTGATTATGATATATGTTTATCCCTCGTCAAAAGATCGCAATGAAAGACCACTAATGCCCATTTCCTGGCCCCTTCCCCTAGTATCAATACGGTAAATACCTGTGGTCCAATGATATGTGTCAGTAGAGTAGGTAACTGTATAGGCTAAGAAGCATGCAATCCAAAATGGAATGCGATGCTCAATGAGATGATTTGTGTTCCATCTACGATTTCTGACAGGGAGCGTTGAAAATCTCTATGTTTTCCCAATCGAATTGGGGAATTTGGATTGCCACTGGGGCCCACAGCGGGACGAGGAGAAGCTGAGACGGCCGGGCCCATTCGCTTAGCTTTAGTGCGTTGGCGATTGACGGACTCCCTCCCGTGAGGTCGCCTCAATCCTGCCGCCGATGCACACCGTACGAAGGACGGAGGTCCATTTCAAAAGAAACGAGCAGCGCACTGACCATCCATATTTTAAAAGACTGTATGCATAGCGTTTCAAATAATACCACCACCACCACTACTACTACTACTACTACTACTACTACTACTACTACTACTACTACTAGTCCTTCCCCCTACCCTTTTTGCATTCGTTGCCACCTTCCAACGCTATAATGTTTTACAATATGTGTAGGAATTCATTCTATCCAAGCCTGAAACTGCTGCTGTGGTTCTTCCTCCCACCCCTGCAATATCAAAAACACGTTAATGGATAGCATTCTTATATGCCGGGGGCCCATCCTCTTGACCCACCGTTTTTGGACGTTGAAATAGTATATACTTATACAAAGGAAGAAACTTTAGTTACAGAATCACACGCTAATACCTATACCAATCAATTCCATTTTTACCGCTTCAAATCAGCGCATGTTTTTTAACAACCATAAAGATCATTGCGCACCTTCGATAGAACGTTATCGAGTATTGAAAACAATTACTTGCTAGGCTTTCCCGAGCGAGAATTATCTTCAACATATTTATCATCGAATAATGTATGAACTGGATCAAATTCTCGGTCAATCACAAGAGCATATATCTTGTTAACGCTGCTAACAGAAAGGCCTCGTGTTTTAGAAACCCGTTCACCTGATTGATGGGCGTAGCCACGCAGGGCAACTACTATTGCACGCTTCGCAGGTGATGACTTCTTTGCCATCTAGTAGTCGTAGTCGTAGTCGTAGTCGTAGTGATGATGGTGGTGATGGTTGGGGAAGGGGGGGGGGGGGGGGGGGAGTGTTAACATTTGAAATGATACTCTTACAGTATTTTAAAATATAGATGGTTAGTGCGCTGTTCGTTTCTTTTGAATTGGACCTCTGTACTCCAGTTCGAATGAGGGTTTGCCTACGGATACGCAGAATTCCGGCTCGGCTCGGCGGGTGGCTGGGCACCCCGCCCCCACAGCACCTGGAAAACAAGTCCGTTCTCCTTTTATATTAGCGGTACAGTAATGGGAGAAGCATCACTGAAGGAACACACCTATACAGCGCGTCCTGTTTTTTTGGCCCCTCGACACCAGTACGGAGAATATACGAATTTGACAGGGCTAGTTAGCAGATCTCTCGACTTTTTTTCCCTTTCTAGCCTAGGCTCTTCCTGATAAATTAGGAGATCCTTCGTTTGAATTGTGGGGCCTTAAACCTCCTTAGACAAAAGTACCAGCGTCATGGAGCCAACCGCAGGAGCTTGTTCAACCTTTCAAATATATTGATTGCCCCCTTTTCTTCAGTTTCTAGTTTGGAATCCAAAACGTCGCTGCTGTCGCACTGTGTGAAGGTTGAACAAGAGCATCAATGTTCTCTTGGGCCCTCCTGTACCTGAGCACACATTGATTTATTATCTACATTGAATATGTCAACCAATTTCATCGCGGAATTATGGACATATTTGGCGATCGACCTTGTGATTGTTGGCATCCGAGTTGGCTGGCGAATAAAGACACTGGGTATCCACAAATTGGCGCCTGATGATTACCTGATGGTAGTTGCAGCGGTAAAGCTCCTTCTATATCCGATTCACAACTCCGTCTTTTGATGAATATTGACAACTTTTAGCTTCTCTATACAGCGGAGTCAGCAACTGCATACTATGTCAGCGCTTGGTGGTTTGGAATGGCAAATGACCAGTATGTGGATTCAAAGATTTTCAGTGAGTGACTAAACTGACAATGCTTTTGAAGCATGACACCAGAGTACCGCGCCTCATTAGATCCTCTTGGTCATGAATATCATCTCAGAGTCAAGGGATCTCAAACACAACTTTTCGGCTGGCTCGATTATACTGTGTTGTTATGGACGTTAAAGCTATGCTGGCTCTTCTTCTATAAACGCCTTGGGTTAGTATCAATCAGAAGCTGGTGGTTACAAATCTAACGAATGTCAGGGATGGCGTTAACTACATGGGCCTAAAAGTGAATATTGGGTTTGTATTCGTGGTTATCACCTTTCTCGCAACATTCTTTACTATTCTTTTTGGATGTTATCCTGTTTCAAAGCATTGGCAGATCAATCCAGATCCAGGCGGTATGTTTTCGATTCGCCGAATAACTTTCGAATTTGTTTCTAATAAGGTTCAAGACTTTTGTCAGCCCGCAGTCTCAAAGCTGCAGGTTTATACGCTCATTTCAACAAATCTTTCTACAGATTTCTATATAATGTCAATTCCCCTTCCGGTTTGTTAGAACCCTGATCCTTAGTAACATATCAAGCAACTGATTTCCATTTACCAGATGATCTGGAAAAGCAAATTAAGTCTTAAGAAAAAGCTGGGGATAGCCATCCTACTTGGTGGAGGTCTCCTCACAACTGTTGCTGGTCTTCTCCGATGCATCTTAATCCTCACATCGGGTGCGCAGGGACCAGAGCAGGCCGGGGAATGGTCATGTCGGGAATCCTTCCTTGCAGTTCTCGTCTCGAATGTACCATTCCTCTTCCCCGCGGGTCGGCGCGCATTCAAGAAGCTCACAAACCAAACCTTAACTGAAGACGATTACTCGAGATCAAGATCTTTCGGTCTTCACAGCCTGAAAAGCTCTCAGAAGAAGAAGTTCAAACATCCACTTTCAATCCCGGATGATACTATATATGAACGATATGATTCAAAGGAGAATATTGTATCACTAACCAAGAACCTCGAAGCTATACATGAAAATCACTCCCATGATAGCGGGAGAAACGAAATTCGAGTTGCGACAGAATGGGATGTGGAAAGCAGCCACGTGCATGAGGCATGAGAAAAGTTGACTGTATAATTAACTTTTGACGTTCCCAAGATTTTATAGAAATGTTGGAATTTTAAACTATGGAGGCCGTATCGCCGAAGTGTTTACATTAATATTTGACGAATCCCATGAGTGACTTGATTATCTTTGATTATTTTGATAGAGGATACATATATGAAGGATTTTGAGCGTGGTGTTCAGAAAACGGCGACAGGGGTCTGTCCTATCCTCGATCTAGCCAATGTACGAATATCCTGTTTCTTGGAACCAGATCCGCATTTGATCAAGAAGTCTAAGGTTGTTGGCTTGTACATCGGCAATTGTATTTACAAGATCAAAATGAACGATGAAATTTCCTATTTCTTCCAGACCAGTCAAAGTGAAACATGGGACAAACGAAAGGGCAGGTGCCTCGGGGACAACGAAGCTTCCCCACACCGATAAATAAGCGTGTAGCACTTATCCGCTCCGCGCTTTCTTTTGTTCCACGAAGCAACTCAGTAAAGCTACAAAACCGAATGAGGCATGCCTTCCAACACAATAAGTCCAGAGCAGATTTTCTCAGATGATTCTAGCTTCTATGGTAAGCCCAACCATCGAACAAGAATGCCAACATCTATCTAACTTCTACACAGGTGATGATGACGAACGAGGTCGCCTGGAAGAGCTAGCAGCCTCCTATGACCCAGAGCCATTCTGGGCTGAAATTCATCCCAGAACGTTGTCTCATGTACAGCACACGCTTCGTACTCCTTCTCTCACGGTTAAACAGGAACCAGAGTGGGTTTCGAAACTGGAAGACGAGGCGGCCCCGTCTACTATCCTCCCGAAATCCAAGCGCGGCCCAAAAGAATCCATCAACGGATTTCTAAACCGATTACCCCCGTCAAAGATAGCCACTTCGGTCGTGGGCCCATGGATCTGGATGACCAAACCGCAATCTCAATTTAGCGAAGGGGATATTGCGGCCTTCTTAAGAAAAGGCACCGACCTGCTCCACAATTACGAAGAGGAGAGTGCGAACCTACGCTCTGCACATGAGAAATCAGGGGCCAAAACAACGGCTGCACTGACACGCAAGTTGAACCCGAAGCGTAGAGCCCTTGAGCAGAGCATCCTCGCTGCCGCGCGGGAAACCGGCGTGACGTCAGGCAAATGGATGCTTTTCCCAACGGTCGACCTCGTGGACGAAACGTGGAGGTCTGTTGTCATTGCCTTGGACCGAGGTGACCTGGGAGAAGTAGCCAAAGTAGCTGCAGACGATGGAGCTGGACAAGCGCGGCTGATCTGTGTCTATACGGAAGACTTTTCAGATACTGAAGACGTGAAGCGCGTACTCAGGGCGCTGGTTCAGGAAGGACTCGTGAATGAAGAAGGAAGGCCCATTTACTACAAATGCGATGCCTACACGCATCTGGATATAAAATCCGATAACGATTACGGCTTGAAAGCGAGTATGTTTTCGAGTCGAGATGTCCTTAACGGAAAGGTATGAGAGTGGGGACGCTTTGGCTTCCGGAGGCGCTGGAGATCTCCTATCACGGGTCGGAATGCTACAATAAATGAGGAATGATAACCATGATAAAATTTTGAGTGTATGGATTATAGATAACATATTTGGGGTATCTGATTGTAAATACAAAGTGGTTCATAACCTGCAAAGACCACGAACACATGCGAGAAGGCGAATTTGTCATACCCCCAAGGCTGATCTGAGGCCCTTCTAGCGCCTCGCGTGCACTGACTCCCTGAAAAAAGGATTCGAGGATTGAGAGGTTTGATTGATGGTTTTTCGCAAATTATTTGTTTGGGGAGTGCAACCCGCGTTCTGGAAATGGGCGAAGGGGTTGACATGTAGCAAGCCCAGTTCAAGCCCAAGACGAATGAATGGCAATGACGGGCATCTCAATCACCCTGGTTTGCATTGTCCATGACTTTCTCGCAGGTTTCCCGAATCTCAGCAACGCCCTTCACCTGGCCCCAAGCATCCAGCAGCTGCTGAATCTCTTTCCAGTCCTTCTCAGCCTCTTCTTGTTTCTCTTCCGCCAAAAGGGCTTGAAGGCGATCTGGCGTACCAAGCACCCATCTCACAGTCTCCTTCTCTGTGACTTTGGTATTCGATCCCGACTCGGCCTCGCGTTCTTCCTTCATCTGCCGTCGCTGTTCCTCGCCCTCTTTGATTAGACTACTTGCAGTCTCAGCAACAAACGCAATTGCCGGTCCCAGAGTCTTGGTCATAGTCAAAGGAGCACCTCGCTCATCCATACTTTTTCGCATCTTGCCAATCGTCTCCACAGCACGGATTAATTTGGAGTAATTGTCGTAGACAAGAGCCTTGCGTTCTCCATCCAAGGTCCGAATGTCTCCCACCAAGGTGTTCTCGGCTTTCAAAATCGTAGAGAGCGAGGAAGTGGATAGGAGGTGGTCGACATAACGCTGCGGTTCGAAGTCTGCATTGTCTAGTTCCGTCCCTGAGGCCAGGGTCGAGGGGTTGGATATATCGCCCGCATCGGTATTTCGCGGAACGCTGCGGGATCTGTACGCTCCTCCAGAGCTACTTGTCTCCGCACCCGGTGGCTTGAGATTGTAGTAATCCCGTAGTGCAGAGCGGTTGCGCCGGGGAATGGGGGAGATGGCTCGGGTGGTGGACGGGGTGGAGGAGGCGCTCAGCCCACCGGCGACATTAGTATTTAGCGCATCGAGCGATGGGCGAGAGGAGGCTGGAGTCGGAGAATGAGCTCTCGAGGAGGCAATGGAGGGGCGAGGGGAGGATAATGTTGACATGGTTGTTGTTACAATGGATGTCGATAGGCCGAGTCGCGCGGGTTCAGCCAGATCACCGGCTTTAAGCGGTGGTCCGTGCGTCCTTGCTTTCTCGGAGCCCTGAACCACCTCTTTCGCACTGCGTTCCAGTTCCAGCAAGGCCTCGCAAGTGGATGAGGATAGAAGCTCGAAATGGCCAGCGCTGAAGAAATAGCCTCGCAGATTCAAAACACCAAGTCTCTCGCTGTCTCTCTGTCATGGCTCAATGCGTTCCTCTCCTCGCAACGCAATATCCCAGCTTCCGCACTCTCGAAAACCGCCTTGTTCCGCATTCTGGCCTCGGATTTCCGTGAATCACTTTCGACTAGCCCTCTATCAGTATTTCCAATCGATGTTTACGATCCAAATGTCCAAGAAAGACGCCTCAAAGGTCCCATATCGGTCCAAGTGCTTGATTTCGAAGACATTGGTGCGAGTTTATGGAGCCAGGTTGAAGGAATAGAGCGCGTTGAACGAGGGGAGGCCATCCGAGGTCGTGAGATCGTGCGCACTGTATCGGTCGGCGATGATAATGAGGCATCTGAGAACGGCCAGACAGGCAACAACGGTGTTGGCGCCCCCAATGCGTCCGGGAGCAATGGATACGGTCCTCATCGGCTGATCCTTCAAGATGCAGCGGGGACGAAAGCTGTTGCTATTGAGATGCGGCGTATAGAAGGTATATCAGTGGAAAAACTTTCTATTGGCGCAAAGTTTGTGCTTCAAAATGTTACTGTCGCGCGTGGCATGGTGCTGCTGAACCCAGACACTGCTACACTGCTTGGTGGAAAGATCGAAGTACTGGATCGGCCTTGGAGGGAAGGAAGAAAAGCCAAATTGTTGAGACAAATCGCTGCAGCGGAGGGAGAATAGTCTTCAGCAATTACAAACGCGAGGAGCTAGATCTCACACAACATGTGGAAAGGCCAAAGTGGAAATATTTGAAGGTAAGTTTATATTTCAATGGGTTCATGTTTCAATGTTGACTCCTGACAAGCTTGTTGCTTGCGCACACCCCAGGCATGTTACATTCGGTGCTTTAACATTTCACATGCTTATTACCTAAGCCACTAGACCAGATACGCCGTGTTCCAACTCCTTCCAGCCTTCACTCCTCCATGGCGCAGCCATGATAGCCCGGTATGCATCACCTAGCTTGCCGGTTTGTGCATAAGCTTGGCTGAGATCCGAGGCGTCAAGGTTTCCATAGGGCGGCACGCAGCGGAGCGCTCGATCAACCGCCATCTCAGATGGGTATTGGTCATCTGAGACAGCAGACAGCTCCATCCAGCCCTGTGGCTGACCTGGCCCCAGCATCACGGCTGCAGTAGCCTCGCCCCTTTGCCGAATTTCTTCAGGAAGATTGGCGTCTTCCGTGAAACCCATGGTTGAGATGGCGCTCAGAAGCTTGATAAGTTTAGCTCGATCGTGGATGTCGATGTCTTCTCGTGTAATCATGGTATGGAGATCGGATTCCACGGCCTCAATGGCGTCCTTATCAGCATCCAAGAGAGCAATGGCCCCCAGAAGAGTGACAGCTCCAACGTGTTCTGGATGATTCTCCACGCAGTCAAAAAGTTGTTGGCGAGCCACGGACCTTTCCTCTTCGCCCCCTTTAGCCCACAGAACTTGAGCCAAGAGACATACCACGTCTGGTGCGCTATCGGCTTCTTGAAGAGCGTCACGGAACATATCAATGGCCTGGTCCATTGACTTCATATAATAGTGTGCCAGACCTGCAGTAAGGTGTGCTGACAGGCGAAGTTTACCGCATGCCTCAGGATCAAACTTCTCTGCATCTTCCTCCCCTGAGAGCGTCAATGCAGTCTCCGCCTTCTCGGCGGCTTCCTCGAATTGGCCGTTCGCGAGAATAACGCGAGCCATATCTGCGGTGGCCTGTGCATATCGCAAGAGAGAGACAGGGGATTCTGTCTCTTCGAATACGGTTTCCATGCCGGCGCAAACAACCTCCAGGCTGGACTCAGCATCAGCAACCTCGCCCATCCTCTCAGCCAGTAACGCAGACAGGTGCATAAACGGCAGGTCTGATGGATCTTGTGAGCATAATTGGTGAAGGGCGAAAAAAGGCTGTATGAGCTGAGACACTTCGTTGGAAGCTAAGGGGTCAGAAAGGAGATGATCGAACAGCGTGAGAGTGTATTGACGTTTGGGAAGAACATCAGACGAGTTAGATATATCGAATGCATGCTCAAATAGACCTCGTGCCTCCTTGGCATCCCCGTAAAGAAGGGCAAGGAAGCCCTGTCCAACCCAAGCAGCGGGATAATCAGGATCCGTAGACTGGGCACGCGTGAACGAGTCATTGGCAAGCTGAATGTCATTGTGGAGGAGGTAGAGCGCTCCAAGGTTGGTCCAGACCTGTGCACTTCGATCGTTGAGGTGCAAGCTTCGCACAAAGGCATGCTGCGCAACCCTAGGGCTCATGCTCGTGGTCACCACGCCCAGCGCATTCCAGAACTCGGAGTTGCCAGCTTCCAGCTCAATAGCTCGCTTGAAGCACCGCATCGAGGCTTTGAGGAATTTGCGGGGCTTCGTCCCCGTGTGGCTCGAGCCGGTTTGCACGCTACGGTGTGCGCGATATTCGGCCCAGCCCAGGTTATACCAAGCGACTGCCTGAGCATGTGTATCATGCACAGCAACATGGATTGCACGCTTGTACGCCAAAATTGCCATGTATACACAGAAATCAGATGACATATTATCACTGTCGCTTGAGTTAAGCCAGCTCGACCCTATGCCATCCACGTCGGTCATAAGGTCAATGGATATTGGGTCTAGCTCAGTGAGCAGCAAGGCCTTGCAATCTGAAGCTGACATCTTGTCAATTTTCTTCTTGATATAAGAGAGATTTGCACATGAATCCCCAACAGCCTTCCAGAGATTAAATATGTCACTCCGGACAGCGACAAGTGCCGAAGATACTTGAATGACTTTGCATGCAAGCTCCGCGGCAGTGTTGAATAATCCTGAGGCCAGGCTCTTCCATGAGCTTTCGCACAATGTTTGAAGAAGCGCAATGGTAACACCGATATCATTCGGTCGGGTGCTCAATATGTCCTCGTAGCTTGTAATAGCATCTTCATACTCTCCAAGTTCTCGCCGCACGTTGGCTAGCATATATCGCGCAAACCAGATATTGTCTCTTTCTCCTTCCGATAGGTTAGACTCCAGGTATTTTGCATGTTCGAAGGCCTTGGTGGCGGCAATATATCGGCCGGAATGATGGTAACTTTCTGCGAGACCGACCCAGGAGTGATAATCACCAGGTGTAATTCGCAGGGCTGCTTGAAACGAGACAATACTCTTGCTGTATTGTTGCTTGTTGATTTGGACCGTTCCAAGTGCGGCATATGGCCAGCTGTAACCCCGTCGCTTGGAACCGGGGGTAGGCTTGACCTTACCCGATTCGACTACTCGCTGCGAGATAGCTTCAACGAGGTCCCATTCTTGTTGATCCGCAAATCCTCTTGCAAGACGTTCAGCTGCCTCCACCTCCGACGAGGACAATTCAAATGCTTTGTGGAAACATCGGCGTGCCCTGGTCTTGTCCTTCTTGTAATCTGCGTAGTAGAAGCCCAGACTGGTATATGCCGGGGCATAGTTCATATTGGCCTTGATCGACGCGAGGAAGTTTGCATAAGCGCCATTCCGATTCTTCCTGGCAGCGGAAGAAGTATCTAATTCCCATTGACAATAACCGATGCGATAGAGTAATTCGGACTTGAAAATTCTGTTTTTTGGATCCAATTCATCCAGTGTTGCGAGAGCATCCTGGAGACCTTCAATCCCGGCATCCAAGTCACCGCTCAAGGCCTTGCACCAAAACAGCTCGCCTCGCACTTTGAGATTAGAAGAATCACGTTCTAAAGCCCGCTCCAAGAAAGTGACAGCATCTTTATAGTCCTCATCCACTTTCAGAATCAGACCAACTCCGAGAAGAGAAATGGTAGACTTCGGTTTTCTTTGGAGAATGGCGTCGAAGATTGCCTTAGCTTCCGGGTGATGCCGAGGGGACTGGTAATGAATCAATGCGTTGGCAAGGCTGAGGTTCAATGAATCAATAGTGTTGGGTGCCTTGCCAGCGGTCTTTCCAACAAACTCCTCCACGTTTTCCAACCCTTTCCGTGCAACCTCTACTACGCTCTCGTACTCGTCGAGCGAGAGGTAGAGGTCGGACATAATCCGGTGGGCAATGATCGATGAACGAGCGTTGTCAAGGCCCTCAGCCATCAATATCAGTCGGTCTTGAGCAGCTAACTCGATAGCCTCAGTCGCTGTTTCAGCGTCCTTGGTAGAAGCGTTGTTTTCTTGGTCGTCATCACTCGGCTCTTCCGGAGGAAATGGACTCAACTCGCTGGTCAGAAACCCCTTGAGGATTTTAGAAAGTCCGGAGTCGGGGAAGAACTCAATGAACTCGCGCAAGACATTGACATCCCATTCCGAGTAATTCTCAACATCCTTCCATTCGAGTACAATCGTCCATGCCAGCTCGAACGGATGCTTTATGGTCACCATATCTTCGGCTAGGCGATAAACTTCCTTCTTTTTGGCGGGTTTCTTGCCGGCAGCTAAGACTTCAAGCTCTTCATAGGCGCGCTCGAGGACTTTCTCCTCATACTGACGTCGGACGACATCGTCATTCGTCCAATCAATGATGCCTTTGTACAAGGCTTCCAATCCACTTTTCCGGAATGCCTCCCGCTTGACCTCAGCTGTTGTGCCCTGTTTTGTGGCCCCAAGACGGAACTTGCGTTCCCCAATCTCCTTGTTGATGTATTCTTTCTCTTCCGCTTCGGTGATCTCAATCAGGCGCTGGTAGGTTTGGGATGGGTGGGGAAGACGTCCTTCAAGAAAATCGTACAGCGGAGAGTCTGGGAGATGAATCTCCAATGCCTTCTTGTAGTACTTATCGCCATTCTTCTTAGCAAGCTTTACATATTTGTCCACAACATTCTGGCAGCGTTCCTTTTCATCACTTCACAAGGCAATCAGCTTAGTCATAACGTTTTATTCGCGAAGGAATTCACCCCTACCTATCTGCAAATATCTTCCCAAGCCTAAGGACGGCTTCGTGATAGGCGTCTAGCTTTTGACCACCTTGCTTCTCGTACAAGCTGATCAACCCTTGCCACGCTGTACGATCGCTATCCTTAATACGGGTAGCAGCAATATAGGCGTTCTCCGAATCATCGTTCTTGTTCAATTTGTCATTTGCCAGTCCGAGAAAAACGTGACTAGAAGAAGAGGCGACAGTTAGCTCTCTGCCTTGGCATGGTGGAGGGGTGATTGAGGCTCACGCATGATAATTTTGGGGATCATCTTGCACAAGTTCCTTGGCCTTTGCAGCAGCAGCTCCAAAGTCCTTTGCGTCTAAAGCTGTGCGGACAGCTTTCAATGCGGCCTTGCTCGACATGGTCCCCGAGCGCGCGCAGCATGGATGAGCGGGGAGGTCAGAGTGTGGTGGAGACGAGGATCTTTGATCGGTTAGCGCCGATACGTCACTTATCGTCTTCCGCTATCAACACCCCCAGCTTCAACTACACTCTTCGCACGCCGCATCATCTTCTGGAAAGCTCTCTTCCGCAACTTGTCTGGTAATCGGAAGTGTCTGAGATATTGCCGTTGGATATTTGGGTCTCTATTGGATGCTGTGCTGGCTGTTCCAGGTTAAGGTGCGCATGTGATATGGCTGACCGCGAGTTTCCGGGCCGCCCATCGCCCTGACTGGGCTCGTAGAGCTCTTACCCCATGTCATATCTGCGAAAGTTGACAGGACTAACTCCAAGAGTAATTAGCACAGTTCTACTATCTTCTTCCAACATTTCTTCCTCCTTGCCTTGGTAGCTAGCGTCTCTACCTGGGAGATCGCCTTCTCACCGTCGGTTACTCCACGACTTTAGGTAGAATGGGGTTGTTGCGCCTGCACATCGATGGGACAATTTTTCGAGATTCCCAGAATCGAGAGGTTGTTATCAGGGGTATCAACGTTGCAGGTGACTCCAAATATCCCAAAACGCCTGACGTGCCTTCCTATGTCCCAGACCGGTTCTTCGACGGAGATAATGTCTCGTTTGTAGGCCGGCCATTCTCGTTGGAGGATGCCCATACTCATTTCAAGCGTCTGAGAAAGTGGGGATATAATACAATCCGGTATATCTTCACTTGGGAGGCCATCGAGCACGCAGGCCCGGGGCGGTATGATCAGGAGTGGATTGCATTCACCATCGAAGTGCTGAGAATAGCGAAGAAATATGAGTTCTATGTCTTCATGGACCCACATCAGGATGTGGTAAGTCATGCTCGCGCTAAAGTGTGAAGAGTGTTTTTGACCATGTAAAGTGGTCTCGATTTTCTGGCGGTTCCGGAGCACCAATGTGGACGCTCTATGCAGCCGGTCTGGATCCAAAAGGTTTCCTTAAGACCGAAGCGGCTCTAGTCCAAAACACATACGAGAATCCTGCCGAATTTACGAAAATGATATGGAGCACAAACTACACCCGCCTTGTGTGTCAAACGATGTTCACCCTCTTTTGGGCTGGCCGCGACTTCGCCCCAAAGGCCATAATTGACGGCATGAATATACAAGACTACCTTCAAAATCACTTTATCGCAGCCTGCAAATACCTGGCTCAAAGGATCCACGAAGCTGGCGATCTCGAGCATGAGGTGGTGATTGGTTGGGAGAGTATGAATGAGCCTCATCGAGGTCTTGTTGGCATACAGGACATCTCTGTGATTCCACCAGAGCAACAGCTCCAGCTTGGGACATCCCCCACAGCATTTCAAGCAATGCTGACTGGATCTGGTCGTGCATGCGAGGAGACAACTTGGGCTGTTGGTGGATTCGGACCGTACCAAACTGGCAGAGAACTTGTGGACCCAGAGGGAGAGTCTGCATGGCTTTCAGCTGATTATGATGATAGTAAATACGGCTGGCAACGAGATATTAATTGGAAGCTTGGGAAGTGCCTTTGGGCTCAACATGGTGTCTGGGACCAAGAAACCGATTCCCTTTTACAAAAGGATTACTTCTCCAAAGTCCCGACTACAGGTGAAAAGCTGAGCTATGAGATATTCACTAACACTTACTTCTTGAACCACTATCGCAAATACAGAGATGCCATTCGAGACGTGTGGCCTGCTGCTATCCTTCTTTGCCAACCACCTGTGATGGAAGTTCCGCCAGACATCAAAGGAACCATCGATGACGATCCCAATATGGTCCACGCTGTTCACTTTTACGATGGCTTGACTCTTATGACCAAACACTGGTAAGTATTTATCCTGGGATCAGTATGTGTCTGATAGTAACGTTTTTAGGAATCGACTCTATAATGTGGATGTTATTGGCGTTCTCCGTGGGAAGTATTGGACTCCCGCTTTTGCAGTCAAGATCGGGGAGACCGCGATCCGCAACTGTCTACGTGACCAGCTCATGTTCCTTCGCGCCGAGAGCTTAAATTACATGGGCAACCATCCGTTGATTTTCACTGAGATTGGAATTCCATACGATATGGACAAAAAGCATGCATATGAGACAGGAGACTACAGCAGCCAGACTAGCGCTATGGATGCAAATCACTTTGCGCTTGAAGGGAGCATGTCTAATGGCTTTACATTGTGGCTTTACCAGGCAGAGGTGCGACCATTAGCTTTCATAGGGGATATGGACTGTTCCAGCTCGCTAACGCATTTCAGAATAACCATGAATGGGGCGATCGCTGGAATGGAGAAGATCTGTCTATTTACTCGTTAGATGATTTGGAGCTTCCAACAAAGACTGCAACGCGGTCTCTAAATCCCCATTCCCCGGCATACTCCGAAAGCCACAGCAGTGGAGATGAGCCAGAGGTTGGTCCAGGGAATCTGAAAGGTGCCCTTACATCGCCTTCGATTTCCAGTATCAGCTCTCAGCCATCGCCAAAGGGCTACCGTGCAGCCGAGGCCTTTGTCCGGCCAAGTCCCATTTATGTTAGCGGCACTCTGGATAGTCATGGTTTTGATCTCCAGAATTGCACGTTCTCCATGTCCCTGACTGCCAAAGCATCTACTCCGTCCGAGAGCCCGACTGAAATATATATCCCTGAATTTCACTTCCCTGGGAACGAAACCATCATCACGGTCAGTGGTGGTAAATGGGATATTGACTTTCAGCAAATCGGACCCATCAGTATGCAACGACTTCGATGGTGGCATGCAGAAGGAGAACAGGACATCAGGATTGAAGGGGTCAAGCGCAAGACAGGAGAATATGCTAATCCTTCCGGGGAGGACGTGACTTATCTTGAACAGTGTCAGAAAGGCGATTGCCAAATAATGTGATGTGATGCTATAATGAAATTTGCCCTCATGTCTGCTATCTTATCTTAAATCAACAATAACTTTGATCTGACGTTTGTATCGCGATTAATTAATTGAAAAAGCAATGTAGATTGCGGGCGCTAAGCGGTCTAGTTTTGGGACCCATGGATCGCGTGCAGGGAGATAAGATAAACAACCGGTGACGATTGAGGGGCAGAGCTATGAGAACCAGGCAAACAGAACAAGGAAGAAAAAAACAAAAAGAGAGAAACGAAGCAATTGAAAGCCCTGTTAAGCCGGCATATAGTACGTTCTTCTTTGTTATAGTTGCGAGGGAAGAGGGAGCGGTGTGCCTTCATGGTGGCCAGCGGAAAATTCTCAGCCCGGCAATACTCAAACTTCGCTCCGGCTCCGTCCCGTTGCTCACCAAACCCATCCGCCTAAACCGCCAGCCGCCGCCAACAAAGACCCTCTTGCCCCCAATCATACAGCTGATACTGTCCTTCCTCACTTCCAATCTGCACCCACCTTCGTTTATCAACGTGCAAAACTTTGCAACCCTTTGAATGGCCGTTGCTACTGTCTCCGATTACTAAATATCTCACGGACAGGGTCAACGGCCATACCAACCACCACAGACACCCCGCGGGTTCGACTTCCTTGGCCTTGAAGGGCAGTGCTGCTTCCAACTTTAAGCCAAATACCTCTTCCTGAACGATTTGAACTGCTAGAAAACTCTTTTGCATCTTGTACACCTCTCGCGCTTCGCACCCCTCTGACATCTCTCCCATTTCATCGCCTTGTGGTACCTGGCGCGCCGACGACATGGCTGCGGAGGAGCTGTCGGAGGCCGGCATGGCTGATATTATTCGTGCACTTGAAGTGATTCATAGCCCTACGTCCACGAACCAACTTCGCAAAGAGGCTTTAGCCTTTGTGGAGTCGCTGAAAGACAACGATGCTGCCGCTCGCAACGGCTTTCTGCTTGCATCCCGCGTGGACCATGCCCCTGTGGTGCGGTATTTCGGCCTGACACTCCTGGACCATGTCCTCCGGCATCTCTCATTCACCAACCCCGGCGAATCCACGAACCTCCGGTCGATGATACTGCAACTTGCCGAGAACATTCGCCCCGAGGACCCAAGTTACTTCCGAAATAAGATCCCTCAGCTTTGGTCGGAAGCCGCCAAGAAGAGCTGGGGCTTGGACTGGATGGACATGGACGAAACACTGGTCAAGTTCTGGGGAGCGTCGCTGGTACACAATGAGTTGGTCCTCTCGGTTCTAGAGACCATGTCAGAAGATGTCTTCTTTAGGGAGGATACAGTTTCGTCTTTGCGCGGATCTGAGCTTAATCGCGCACTTGTAGAGATATTCACACCTGCGGGGATAGTTGAACAGATTAATCCGGACAAGAAGACCAACGCCTTGTTGCGATCTGGCCAAGAAGGCTGGCTTGTTCGGATATGTGAGTTCCTCGAGAATTGCATTCAGAACGTGTCGAGCTCAACCCAAGCTCGGGATTCCGCTGTCAAAGCTCTCACGGCTCTAAGATCCGCGCTCTCCTGGTCCGTTTACAAAGCTGTCGTGGCAGGGCAAGTCGTTTCCAGCGTCTTCAGGGCCTTGACCTGTGAAAATGAACAAGTGTTGCTGGTGAGAAAAAGCTAGACTCTGGCGTTGGTTGAAATTGACACTTGATGCTAACTCTATTTAGGCTGCGGTGGAAGCTCTGCATGCCCTTTATGGGAGAAATAACATGGGAAATGAAGAATCTCATGGTTTGGTTTGTCTAATCTTCGAACCAGATTATCTCAATACCCTTCAAAATCTATATCAATGGTCAGTGGTGGGACCTAGTGATGTCGATGAGCCGAAGTATCTGATTTCCAAAAAGCTTTCTGAGGTAGGGCTTCCGAAGACTTGATTGTTGATCTCCAATATGCTAATTTAATTAGATGGTGTCTTATGTCGCCGGTTGCTTGGAAGATGAAAGATTCCTCCGAGACACCATGCACCGGTTGGACCTGCCGCCATTTTTCAATTTTATGTTGAACATCATGCAGCATCAGAGTCTTACAGTTTCTATTCCAGTTTTACACTTGTGGTCTCGACTACTGGGTATTCAGAAGGTTGGCAGTCTTGAATATGTTGTAAGCCAGACTCCGGTTTTCCTGAACATTTGCACTCAACGTTTGATACGCTGGGAATCTCTCCCGGTGGAGTCAGAAGATCCAACTGTGGAATTCCTGGTTGAGGATATCGATACTATCCCTGAACGTCATGCATTTTGCGGAAACTATCGACGGTACTGCTCATCGATTATTGAGACAATTACACAAAAGCGCCCCCAGGAAGCCGTACGCGAGATCCTCGGTAGAGTGGATGACAACCTCAACAACTTGTACAGCGGCGTGGAGCATTTTCAAAGTAACATTCCCCTGCAATTCTTATAAAGCTTAGTGCGCATATTAATCAAATTACCGCAGTGCAAACGTTCAACAAATCTTCCATTCCTCTCATGCGCGCCGACGCTCAATTTGCAGTGGTTGAGGCCGTCATCAAGGGCTATACCAAATGGATCGATGCTCACGGGAAGGCGCCACAAAAAGATGTAGGCCTCTATGTTGACCCTTCTTGTCAACTATCACTAACATTCTTCATTCTGTAGGAGCAGGAGCGCAGCCAGCTGGAATTGGCAGTGGAAAGCTGGGCTTCCACACTAATGCAACGGACCTATGAGGTTGGACCAGAATATGCTTTTGCGCATATTTATCATGCTAACAACTCTCCAGGATCCCGTTCTGAAGCAACGAGTCATCAAGTTGGTCGTTGATATCTCGTCGCGAGCTTTGGACAACCACCCAGCCTTTGCCCTCAAGGTTCTAGAGCACATTCTGATGACACGACTACCAGACCAGCCTCAATTTCCTGCCTATTCGGAAGCTGTCAAGGAGCTTCATGGATTGGCAAGCCATGAACTGCGTCGCCTTGCGATTCGCTATGCAGATTATTTCTCCACGTTTTATGACCTACTTGAGCCAAAGATCAGAGAAATTACACAGACCAACCGCGTGGATGACAAGCTGCAGATGGAGCTGACATCAATCCTGCTCATTATCATGCAACGTGCAAACAATATTGACCCGAACTTGCGTCAGACCCGTCTGGCCTCTTTCCTTGCGCCTATCAGAGATGCATGGCAGGACGAGGAGTTCCGCCGCATGAGCTCGTCTTTCGACGGATTCTGTGCTATGCTTGGATTAGAGAATGTTGGTACGTATATGCAGGCTAAACAAGCACACAAGCTCGATGATTGGGCTTCGGTTCAGTTAGATAGTGAAGGCAAACTTGTCCAAGAGGAGATGACCAGAAAGTTCCAAATGCTGCCGCTTCGTGGGACGAAAACAATGCTTGCAGTCTCGACGGATAAGCTGAAAAGATCCTCGCCTGCGTACAATGTGTCTTGCGATATGTGGCAGGAGCTTATTCCTCTACTCCTTCCTACTTTGCTTCAGCTGCTGAGCCATGCCCACGCTTTCCACAACCCGGCAAACTGGGCCGTTAGTGACGATATGCGGGCTGTTGTTGAGCGGATTTTGACAGATCGATTTTGGCAAGCTGGTATCTCTACTGGCAGCCGCGATGATTTCTACGCTAAAATCACTGCATCCAAGGCGACGCTGGAAGGATTTGCATCGTCTGTTCGGGGCAAAATTAGGGCAGTTCGTGAGTCCTGCTACTCTATGCTTTTTAGCATGAGCAGAATGCGTCATCAGTTCTACGGATTCGCGGAACTCCCCACTCCCTTGTCCGAGGCTCTGTTCAAGGACGCTGAACATCTTTCCTCTCACCAGTTCTCGGTGTTGCTCAATATCTCCCGTTGTTTGATTGACGATTGCCCTGTTCAGTATCGCAGCCAATTCCTTCCACCTATGCTGGCTACTCTGTTCAGAAGCATCGACCGGAAGATCACTAACGAGTGGGAGATCATTGAGCAACGAAAAAACGTGACTTCCGATGGTGACCTGACCGATGAAATGAAGTCCGAAAGTGTCCTGCGCCAATTAACTTATTCAGCCGTCATCATGGTGGCCAGCTTGTTTGATCCCCAAAGAGGAGGTATGAAACACCATCGTTGCTTCCTCCACCCAGATATGAAAACACCAGATTTTTATATATGAGACCATTTTTATTGAACCTTGTACTGATTTCTCACATTTGCACAGATCCCGATCGGACGGAGACAGATCCCAGCGCACCACAACCAACCCCTGAACTCGCGGATTCCCTTCGCCATTTCGTTCTATCTTCCGCAGATATTTTTGAGCCTGTCATGCTTTTCTGTACCCATGCTCTTCGCATGCGAGATACTCGATGCTGTAGCATCATCACCCGTGTGATCCGCTCTATCTTGGCTGATTTTGCTCCTCCCAACAACAGTCCAACAACGGTCACAATTCGCGAATTCATCTGTACTGATGTACTTAAGGCCTGCATCACATCAGTACACGAGTCATATTTTGTGGATATGCAAAAGGAGCTTGCTCAACTGATCGCTTCGATCTGGGTTCTTTATGGATTCTGCAGCCAGACTCCTCGATCCCTCTTCCTCAGTTTGCCTGGTATCACCGAACAGAAGGTGTCCCAGACTGAGACAGCTCTTCAGCGGTGTACTTCTCCTCGTCAGCAAAGAGCGCTGATCCTGGAGCTTCTCGAACCTCTTCGTGGCGTCAGTATCGCTGAGCAAGGGAAGATCCTTGGCTCTCGAGAGGAGCGGCGCAAAGCAAGAACTGCCCTCCAGGAAAGATATATGACCAATGAGATGGAAACTCAGCAGGAAAATCACCGTGTTGATATCAATGACGGACCGGATCTTTCTGGGGTTGCCGATATGTTCGGTTAGATAAGGTATTCTACTATGCTTTCTTGCGGCATCATGTTTTCTGTGCCATTTCCTAGCCACCCTTACAACTGGTCGTGCAGACCTCGTCACACCCGTTTGCATCCCAAGCGCATGATCTTGATGTTCCCCCTCCCCTATATTCTTTGTCTCATGATTTTCTTCTGTTCACTTGCGACCTTGCGGACTACCCCCTGGAGGCGGCGCTCTGAGAATAATACCATAGACGGGCATCTATCATCCCATAGACGCTCAAAAACAAACTTGAACGTGCCCAAGCACCATATACATACGAAATTCAAATCCTTAAATGGAATAAAGAAAAAGCCTTTCGATTCATGATTTCCAAGGGCTTACAAGGAATCGGCCTGCCTCGGGAATGATCTTTTGGCCATGGAATGTAACATAAAAGACTTATTGCGAAACAAAAAAAACTAGATCCTTCCTAGTAACGATATATCTACAATGTTTTCCTTGAGCCTGCCGCTCCTCACGACTGGGATCCACGCCTTTATGAGATCTCCACCACCTTCCTTCCGTCTTGCTCAATGAACTCGAGTCCCAATTCTCTTCAATGCAATGAGGCATTCCACAAAACGACACCATATGCGACCAGACCGTAAAAGAGAAAGAAATACAGAAGTGGCCGGGAGGAGAGTGATCGAATCTATTGGGTGATCTTGGACGGGGTATAGACGAAAGTAGGGCGGACGAAACTGTTCGAAATGAGATATAATTAGAGATAATTCATCCACAATCAAGACATAAGTCAAGAATATTGGCGGTATGACATACCGATCCGAGTTGTAAATCTTGCTCTCGGTACCGAGGAGCTCCTTCTCACGCGCCTTATCAGCGTAGTACCGACGGACCTGGTCGCGGTCTTCCTCTGCCTGGAGGAGAGGGGCGAGGTAAAGACGACCCCACATCTTCTCACGGGCAAGTTCACTAAACAAAGCAAAGGGAATGTTATTAGCCTTTGTCTATATAATATACCGGTGCTCCGTCCGAATCTCGGTTTCCAATTGCAGTATTCGGGGCCGAACGGAAAGGCACTTGCCAGTGCGCGGGACATACCGTTGCTCGCGGACACCCTGGAAGTATCGGTAGAATCCATAAGCCATGATCAAGTGCATGCCGGCCATGTAGTAAAAGGGTTTGAAGCCACGGGCGGGGACATTGCGCTGGAGATCGAAGGAGCGAGTCAGTTGATGCTGGAGTGCAATGGGTCGGGAGGGGCCGGTCGCTTCCAAAGCGCCATCAATTAGATACCTTATATTGCACCTGGGCATAACCCCCCACGGGGGGCATATCCTGAGGCATGGTGGGCTGGAATGGGCTGTTGGAGGCTTGAGGAAGCAAACGAGGAGTCGCCAGAGAAGTTGGTGACGGGTATCACGTGAGTGTGCACAGTAATACCCGCTGCGGCGGCTGCTATTGGTTGGCGGGGCTCGATGGACTTTTCTTCGATGATCTACTGTTTGACAGTCTAACTCTTTCTGCGGTGAAACACGGATTTCATGCCCGCCAGTCATACAATGGATGAAGAGGAGAGACCAAGAAAGCTCGCAAAACTCGACCACGATGAGGAGACAACCAATCACGAACTCGGCCCAGCAATGACCGGCGCTGTGACAGTTGACGATGAGCTGCATTTAGCGAACGCGCCCGTAAATGACGGCTCGAAAGCTGGACCTTCAGAAATCCTCGACGCGCACGAATCGGAACTCGCTATCTCATGTGCACCAGCTGATTATACCCAAGATGCGGAGCCGAAAATATCTAAGAACCAGCTCAGGAAGCTTCGCCGCAAAGAGCAATGGGAAGCTGGTCGCGAGGAACGCAAGGTCAAGCGAAGGGAGCAGGCAGCCAAAAAGAAAGAGCGACGGCACCAGATGATTAAAGAAGCAAGAGAAACTGGGGGCCAGGAAGCAGTGCTAGCTTTGCGGAAGCAATGGGAAACCACCAGGTCGAAATCCAGGAAGTCCACTCTGTTGCCCATCGGCATTATTATTGATTGCAGCTACGACGAACTTATGAAAGACGGCGAGCGTATTTCTCTGGCGGGACAATTGACGCGTTCCTACTCGGATAACAATCGGGCCACCTGGCGCTCACACTTAATGTTTAGCTCGTTCAACAAACTACTCAAGGAGCGATTTGATACCGTGCTGTGGGCGCACAAGAATTGGAAGGGCATTCGCCTGATCCCGGAGGACTTCGTGCATGGCGCCGACCTTTTAAAGGCAGATATGGCCTCCCCTCGAGGTGGACAGCTAGTCGGTCCTTTCGCTGACAAGACTGACGCCAAGCCCGAGGATGGAGAAGTGATATATCTCAGCAGTGACAGTGACAACACACTGACCGAGCTGAACCCCTATGGCACCTACATTATTGGTGGTCTTGTCGATAAGAATCGCCATAAGGCTATCTGCTATAAAACTGCCGTGGAAAAGGGCATCAAGACCGCCAAACTCCCCATTGGAGACTATGTCCAGATGGCCTCCCGCTCCGTGTTGACTACCAACCATGTGGTTGACATCATGTTGAAATGGCTGGAAGTTCGAGATTGGGGTGAAGCTTTTATGACGGTAATCCCACAGAGAAAAGGTGGCAAATTGAAGGACTCAGCAGATGGTGCAGAAGATCACGAGGTGGACGGCGAGGAGGAAGAAACGAACCTGGAGAAGCTCGCGAAGCAAATGGAGGTTGAGCAAGAAGAGGTTGGGGATGACGACGCTGAGCGCGAAGCGTGAATATCAAATGAGAGAGGACTACCTCATTGGTTCAATATTTACAAGGCTTCATGGAGTGTAACTTATGATTCAATCTTCCGGTATGGAGTATATACTTATTTTCGGACTTCAAAATGTAGTTCGACTGGCGAGTTCTGCCGCTGATAGCCGGCATGATTACCTCATCCTTCACTAGCCACGCGCTAATAGCGCCACAGTCGATGACGGAGGCGATTTTCTTGTGATGCGTTTACCTCTCTTTTTCTTCAGTTTGTCCCTCTTCTCTCCAGACACTGGCAGGGAGCGCCTCTTTCCGGTCGTCCCTTTTTCCTCTTTCCTTCCATATAACGCTCCTTTCTTTCCCCCGCCCTTTTCTTTCATCTACATCTTATCTCACACCCCTGTCATTTTGGTAGCTGCCCCTCACAACCATGTTTATGCTCCGCAACGGTAAGCAAACACGCTCCTGCCCCGCTACGAACCCCTCCATAACAACAACAACAACAACAACCATTTGTCGTTACCGTCGGAAACAACGTGATAGAATACTGATTTTAATACCTTTAGTGGGTAAATTTCTCTTCGGCGATACCTCGAAAGAGGCCATCATCGAAATTCCTCAGGGACAGCTGTACCTGGTCCGCCCTTTGTCGCCCAAGGGCTACTCGGAGTTGATCTTTAAAGACGCCGCCGCTACCATCCGACGAACTGGCCAAGAGTTCCAATATCAGCTTGTTATTCAAAGAGCCTACGAAGAAGGCGAAGAAGACTTGGCAGAAGACGACGGCGAGCAGGGTTCCGCCGATATCCTGGACAAGGACGAGAAGGTTTTCTTGCTGGATCAGACACTGCATTTTCGCTCCGAGGTCCGTGAAGGTGGAGTGAAGATTCTTGCGTGGGACGATCTAAGCGGTGACGAGGGAGATCTCTTTGAGTTCGTTTGCGACGCTTCCGTACCCTCTGACAAGGTCGCGACATTTGAGTTGGCCGCTTTGCAGTGCCAGTACGAGCGCAAGTTCCGTCGCAGCGCCCAGAAAGCCACAGCAGACGAATTGGAGGAGTTCTCATATCAGGAAGAGAAGCCTATTCCCTCCGCCAGCCCCGTGTCTCCAACGAGCAAATCGCGTGGCAACCTCGTGACTTCAGCTGAGTCGGCCGCGGCCATGGCACAAGATGTCAAATATGCCCAATCAAAGGGCCAGATCAAGTCGGCTGATGCAGAGGAGGAACCTACAGCCGCCCCTCCATCAGCTGCCCGGCCCGAGTCCAAGGAGATCCTCGCAAATGAGAAAGCTGAATTGCACATGTTCGACTTTCCTACCGGAACCTTTGTCATGCAAGACTCCGAGGTCACTGCAACCGTGTCAGAGATCGGTAACTGGCAATACTGGCTGCAGATCAGTGGCAACGACAAGGAATGGCTAGGACAAGCGGTTGTGGGAGACATCAATCCCGTTTTCAACTTCGAGTATCTTTCATTTATTTTTAATCACTACGCTGAAGATGGCTCGGCGTATTCTTGGCTTCTTCGTTTCAAGGACCAGCCGACAGAGGAACGTTTCCAGGAAGGGTTGATGCAAGCCCTTTGGGAACAGCTCAACGAGATGAAATGGAACAAGGTTAAGGAGAATGACCGGGAATACGTGCTCGATGCTTTCCAGGATCTAACAATGGAGGATGCCGATGCCATACCCGAGGAGGAAGAAGAGGAGGAGGAGGAGGAGAGTGAAGAGACGGATCAGGACGATGGCCAGCGCAGTGAACACTATGATAGTGATGAAGAGGAAGACGATGTCATTACCCGGGATGAAGACGGGAACGTTAACTCCCAGCTAGCGGTTGGCTATAAGCATGATCGCTCTTTTGTGGTCCGCGGATCGAAGATCGGTGTCTTTAAGCATACACCTAACAACAACCTGGAGTTTTCGACAAATATTTCTAAAGTTGAGACGCCCGGTGGCAAGCTCTTCAGCCCCAAAAAGGTTATGCTGCATGCGGAGGATACCAACATGATTCTCCAAAACTCCGATGATCCAAACTCTCTGTATAGGATGGATCTGGAATATGGCAAGGTTGTTGATGAGTGGAAGGTTCATGATGATATTCCTGTCGAAACCTTTGCTCCCGAGAACGTAAGTGACAGCCTTTCGTCAGTCTTCTTAAATTGGCGCTTTCCTAACTTTTTCTTTTTCAGAAATTTTCCCAAATGACCTCTGCTCAGCCTTTTGTGGGTGCATCCAAGAACGCCCTCTACCGTATTGATCCTCGTCTCTCGGGTAGCAAGCTTGTGGACTCCGACTTGAAGCAGTATGCGAGCAAGAACGATTTCTCTGCAATGGCCACTACGGAGAAGGGCTACCTAGCCGTGGCCTCTAACAAGGGAGACATTCGCATGTTCGATCGTCTAGGTATTAACGCGAAAACCCATATTCCCGCCCTTGGTGAACCGATCATCGGTCTGGATGTGTCTGCCGATGGCCGTTGGGTACTTGCCACTTGCCGCACTTATCTCCTTCTGATCGACTCGTTGCAGAAGGACGGTAAAAACGAGGGCAAGCTTGGTTTCGAGAAATCCTTCGCGAAAGACTCCAAGCCCCAGCCTCGTCGCTTAGGTCTGCAGCCCGCGCATGTTGCTCAATTCCAGCACGAAACCAAGCAGCCTTTGTCGTTCACACCTGCTCGCTTCAACACGGGTGTTGATTCCGCAGAGACCTCAATTATCACTGCCACGGGTCCCTTTATTATCACCTGGAGCCTAAAGAAGATTATTGCGGGCCGCAAGGACCCATACACCATCAAGCGTTATGCCGAGGATGTTATGGCTGATAACTTCCGTTTCGGCTCCGATAAGAATGTGATTGTTGCTCTCCCCAACGAGGTGAATATGGTTGCCAAGCGCAGCTTTCAGAAGCCCACTCGTGAGAGTATCGCTGGACCGGCTACTCCCAGTCGGAAGAGCGGCAGATGGAGCAGCCGCCTGGGAAAAGATGACATCGTCAACTCGCCTTACTAGTTTTATTTTGACCCTTTCATTGCTCCTTCTTCATTCATTTTCATGTATCTGATTTGGTTTTTTTTTTTTTTTTTTTTTTTTGATTTTGTACCATTACCCATACCCCCTGTCGTTCATGCTTTTCCCCTCATCCTTATTTGACGGTCTTGATAGTACCTTTGGACTTTTTCGACTAGTTTTGCTCTCGATCTTTCCTTTTCGGCGATCTTTCGAACGGTAGCTAGTCAAGTATCTTAGGAGACCTTAATCAAAGATGGACTTTCATAATGATGACAAGAATTACTAGATGTGGTATTACACATATTCAAAGACAATAGTCAATTATATTCTTCTCAACCAGCCAATCTCTTCGTGCTAACTCAACTTGAAAAACCAAGTTGCAAAGGTAGTGGAACATTATCACAGAAGATCTCTGGGTATGACCATATTGAATGTCCATTCTCTGTGGCACGAAATTTGATGAAGACCCGATCTATACTCAAAAGAACCAGGTTCACGGCGGTCGTTCTGGGTATGGATTTGACTCGGGGATGAGAGACTGGTTTATGATGAAGAGAAGATTTGTGACTAGGTAAAACGCTGACGACTATTTACCGATGATGGTAGTAAGCGCGTTTCTTATATGCCATATACACCTATTGGGAAGAGCTTGAATTGGAATATTTCTCTTTTGTGAATACTAGCATGTATAGATGAGCTGGCTCAATTTCTAGTTCCGATAGCCGCTGGGGGTGTCCGCGGATTCCTCCGCGGAGGAATCCACAGGGGAATCCACAGGAGGTTATCCAAGATGGGCTATCGGAGTTAAAATCAAAGTTTGCGTCTTGCATATTACTTAAAATAATCTTACCACAGGCTCAGCCTCAAGAAATTGTTTCTCACAAAGTTGAGGATCCACATGTAGACTTTACAGGTGTTAGCGGATGTTCAGTGGCGTCTAACATCACGAGCCGGCGTTAGAGTCGGACATAAAAGGACCGCCGGGCGCAATGCATGAGGCGTTCTGCCGACGTCAGCAGAGCCCAATCTTTACTGAACTTATGTTAAAGTATAAATAGCATCTGGTGCTGCTCAGTTAGAAGCAGACTTGTGAACTAAGACCAGGAAATCAGTTCAAGCACTTATTCATCCCTGCACAAAAAACTACACACAATGGCTCAGAATGGGAATGTGAAAATTGTCTTCGGGGCAATGAGCCTTGGAAAACCTGGTAAGGCGATTTGATGCTTGCCGCTGTTCGGAATTCGCAACATCTTCGATATGATCTGTATTGCTAACAAAGAGACAAAGACACCATGGGTCCTCGTGTACATGACATCGCCACGGCTACTCAGCTATTTGATGTTTTCCAGGGACACGGTCATCATGAAATTGATACAGCGCGAATCTACGGAGGTGGATCATCAGAAGAAATGATCGGTGATCTTTTCTGGAAAGATCGTGGTCTAGTAGTCGACACCAAACTTTATCCTAATGCTGGAGGGCCTGCTGCCTTCGCAGACGCCTACACTCATCGACCAGAAGATATCCGCCGTGGCCTGATGAACAGTTTGAACGCTCTAAAAACCGAAAAAGTCAATATTTTCTACCTACATGCTCCGGATCGCAATACCCCGTTTGAAGACACTCTCCGAGAGGTCAACAAGCTACACCAGGAAGACCGCTTTACTTTCCTTGGTCTCAGCAACTACATGGCATGGGAGGTTTCACAAATTTGCGAAATCTGCAAAAGAAATGAATGGATTGTGCCGACAGTCTACCAGGGAGTTTATCACGCCCTACAACGTAGCATTGAGGGCGAGCTGATTCCGTGTTTGCGAAAATATGGTATCTCTTTGTACGCTTTCCAGCCGCTAGCAGGGGGACTTCTAACAGGCCGATATACTCGAGATCAAACGGAGTTTGAAGAAGGATCTCGTTTTGATCCAAAAATCATTCAAGGGGCTGTGCATCGCAATCGATATTGGAACGATGCTTATTTCAACGCTTTGGAAAAGATTCACACTGCGGCAACAAAATACAAGCTGACCGATGCTGAGATTGCTTTGAGATGGTTAAATCATCATTCGGAGCTTAGAAAAACTCGCGGTGATGCAATAATTGTTGGTGCAAGTCGTGTTAGTCACTTGGAGACTAATTTGTTGGATATGGAGCAAGGACCCCTACCAGATGAAGTTGTTCAGGCTGTAGAGGATTCCTGGTCCCTGGTTCGAGGCGTTGCTCCAAAGTATTGGCATTAGGTACTTGCTAACACTGGGCGTTAAGTTATGTCATTATAGAGAAAGAAATTATACTCAAAAATGATTCAATTATGTTGATACATGCATATTCTTTAACATCTCAAAGATATGCCTTATCATGCACAGTCTTCCCGATAGATATAGTCCTCTCACAAATCAACTGTGATTTACCAAAAAGAGCAAGCACCCGGCCGCAGACTTGCTCTAAGATAAATATTTGAACAGTCGATAGAGATCTAGATTATCTCTTTATTCCTCAACATAAATCAATACCATATTGTCTTTGCATATCATGAAAAGATGAACCAGTGGAATGATCGATTCAAGCTCATCAAATTGCTATCCATGATGTACCCATGGGTTGTATTTTCGTTGCAATATTCTATGGTAGCTCTTCCTCCAAGTTTGAATCAACCCGAAGACAGATTTGATGACTGTTGGTCTACGCATATTTTATTTTATTGCTAGCCAATGTAACTATCGATCATTATATCGTTGAAAATCGATTTTTCCTGTTAGAATCAACACGTATGTGAATTATGATATTCTCAAAGCACCTGAAATGTAAGCTCTCCGGTATAATTGTCACGTACAGCGCTTTGTTACACTTGTTCAGAACGCTTAAATTAGTGCGAGCTTTATGACTATTGCCATCAGCTGTTTCATATATTATCCCCTTGCTAGGCAACATCCCTCACATTTCAACAGTGAAAAATAGTATGATGAGCGCTCTTGCAGGCATCGATTAGCTAGGTGTACATAATGTGTGCTCAGGCAACTATGCAAGGTTCACACTTTCCTGTTTGCCTTTGGCGACCTAGGCTGTATATGAGATATCAGAGGCATCTACAAGCTCGCGATCTTAGGCATCGAAATTCCTTGATAGTTCCAAAGAGCCAGGCAGAGTCCATTGCACTGTATAACTCCTTTCTCTCAGGCTCAAAAGCGGGCCCTCTGATATTCAAAACTTATCACGTCAAGTTTAATAGTCTTCCTCTCAGTCACCTTACCCTCGCTCTTCTTTCCTTTTCTTGCTTTCACTTGAACATCTCTCGTCAATTCTTTCCACCCTCTTGACAGAACAGCATGTCGGATGCACCAAGCCGACGGGCTCAAATCAGGTTTGCCATTCGAAAGCTTCATATGGAACTTCGAAGGCAACAAGAGGAGTCTCTCCTGGAATTGAGTGGTCAACTTTCACATATAATCGATCAAGCACTGACAGGAAAATACCAAGATGAGTTTTTCCAATGGACTGTGGATGATATGAGCCCCAGTGATCTCGATGTGCGCTTTCTTCACTCTGTCATCCTGGAGTTGAGCGATAACTTCGCTGAAGCAATGCACGTTAGGGGGTGTCAGAGACCCATTATTGGTGTCACTTGCACGGGAATCATCGAGATACCTCGATCCAATCCTTACATCGGAAGCTGGACTCCAACTTACTTGAAACGTTCGGAGCTCGAGACGGAAATTAGATCCCATATTCGTCATGATCGAGGATACGAAGAAGTTGCCATGGTCAATCAACTGCTTGTTGGCCGTCTGTTTCGTTCTCTATCTCATTCTTGGGGCCAACTCGCCCTTCATAACGCGACCACCATATGGCAAACAATCAACAACTTTGTCATTCTCCTATTGAGCACCCTGGTCACTGAGAAGACAAGTAAGAAGATTTTGGCAGGCGTTTTGAAGCCAAAGCTGGACAAGATGAAACAGAACTTCACAGAGAGAATCGGACAGTTGACTGAAGAGTTCAAGAAGGGCAAATCACTGCCCACAGGGAAAGACTTTGTCTCACGTGTACAGAACACTGTGATTGAGAAACGACGTCTCAGAACGCAATCCGGAATTTGCAAGGCCGAATTCGCGGCGTCTCTAGTTATTGATCAGGCATACAACTATTACAAGGTTTGTGGCAAATCTGGATCCTTGAATGGCGATGAATCTGATTAGCTAACAGAGATATAGAATGCCAAAGGAGATTTCGTGGACAAAGTCAGGGCATTGGTGATCGAAGACTGCATTTTAACACCTCTGAAGCATATTTTCACGTCGGAGGCTGTCAAAAACATGACGTCGAAGGCTCTTTTCTCCCTTGCCTATGACATGAGCAGCAACTGCGAAAGTCAGTGCAGGAAGCTCCATGGCCTAAAGCGACTTTACTCTGCCCTTCAATCCATCGACCAAATTTCTGCGACACACTTGAAGCCTGCACCTATGATACTATCGTTCCAACAAGATAATTGTGAGCTACTGACTCCACCGAAAAGCAGCTCTGAAATTCTTGATCCGAAGACATCACTTCCGCCAAAAAAACCTGGAAAACGCAAGGCAGATGACGATGGATCTCACCTCTTCGCCCACGAGACCAAGAGGAGAATGCAAAATTCTCTGCCACAAATACTAGCCATCGAGGATCTACCAGCACTGACGTCTACGGAGGCTTCAAGTCCTGTGAATCGTGCTATTTCTCTTCTCCGTTGATCTTTTTCATGCATACTCCATCCCCTTCGAGGCTAGCTTATCAGGGAACGCACAAAGAGAGATGGAAACAAACAGTCGTGTTGAAGAAGGGGGAAATACGAATTGCGATGATCGCATATGTTGAATGGGAGGTTATCAGACTGAGGACATGGAGTCATAAATGCATTTCTAACGAGAATCTATCATCGAGAAATACCTGCGCTGCTCTTCCCGAATTCTGCTCCGGACATGTTTTATTAATGGAACCGCTGGTATTCTCGAATTTTTCAATGAAGAGATCTTTCCTCAAACATTTAGGCCGAGCTGTCACTCCCATCTCGGTACTGAACACCCCGGTTGATAACCCCGCATTTTCTCAAGCTCCTTACCCGAGCTTAAGCCGCGGTGTTTTAACTGATAACATTTCAGCAAGCACTTAGTAGAGAGAACAGTTCCCTTTCTCACTTTATCCATTGCAATAATTCCAAGCTTTTGTGTTTATTTATGCATATATAGTTCATTTCAACTATTTATAGGCTTCTACAATGACATCCCATTCGACCATGCCTCGCAAATTATGGGAGCACCCTGACCCGGAATCGACTGAGTTGACACGATTCAAGCGAACTCTAGAACGGGAGAAGGATATCAAACTTCCTGATTATCATTCCTTATACCAGTGGTCCATTGCCAACCGCACCGCCTTCTGGAGATTCTGTTGGAGGTATTTCCCGATTGTCCATGAAGGAAGCTCGGACCAAATCATGGACGAAAACGCTCGAATCGACAGTATCCCAGACTGGTTCCCTGGCGTCCGTCTCAATTGGGCCGAGAATGCTCTATTTACAGCAAGTAATCCAGGTGAAAGCCCATCAAATGTTACAACGACCGGTAAGGAGGACAATAAGATTGCCGTGACCGAAGTCCGAGAAGATGAAGCCGAGCCAGAAGTAAACCTTACCTGGCGAGAGCTGCGACAACGCACTGGTCGCCTTCTACAAGCAATGAAAGCGGCTGGAGTCCAACGGGGTGACAGAATTGCCGTCGTTGCTAGCAACAGCATCGACACCTTGACTGTTTTATTGGCGACGACAGCTCTCGGTGCTATCTTCTCGTCTGCTTCTACCGATACTGGTGTGAAGGGGATTCTGGATCGCCTACTACAGATCAGGCCCCGTTGGGTCTTTGCAGATGACTTCACGGTATACAATGGGAAAACAACGGACCTCCGTCCTAAAATCGCCCAGGTCATTGATGGCATGAGTGGAATCAAAGAATTCCAAGGTATCGTCTCGATGCCGCGGTTCAGAAGCCAGCCGGCAGACATCAAACACATTCCGCAAGCTCGCACCCTAGCCGATTTTCTAGCAGGAGCATCTTCCGATCAACTAGAATTTACTCGCATCGGATTCCGTGAGCCTCATTTGATTGCATTTTCTTCGGGCACGACTGGGGATCCAAAATGCATTGTTCATTCTGTCGGAGGCGTTTTACTAAACAACAATAAAGAGGGCCGCCTCAACCGAAGCATGAATGCGAACGCAACTACCCTTCAATATACCACTACGGGCTGGATTATGTATCTTTCGTGTGTTTCGGGATTGATTTTTGGGGCTCATCCCATTCTCTACGATGGCAGCCCGTTCTTACCAGATGCGACTCGGCTACCAAGGCTACTGGAAAAGCACAAGTAAGTTCAATAATCCCGATTCGAGTGCCAGAATATTTTGAACATTGGAAATCTGAACTTTCAATCAGAGTAACTCATTTCGGTACCTCTCCCCGTTGGATGCACGAAATGCGGAAGAATAAAATCAGTCCGCGCAAAATCGCCGATCTCAGTCATCTGAAAGGGGTCACCAGCACCGGAATGGTTCTTTCCGAGTCACTATTTGAGTGGTTTTATGATGAAGGCTTTGAATCACACACTCTACTCGCAAATATTTCCGGCGGAACAGACGTTGCAGCATGTTTTGGCTTGGAGAACCCGATCTCTCCTTTGTATGTTGGAGGGTGCCAGGGCCCAAGCTTAGGAATGCCAATTGCAGCTTTCGAACAAGCAGATGAGGATGCTCATCTGGTGAAAGGTACTGAGGCGCTCGCCGGTGAGCCTGGTGAGCTGGTTGCAACTGCGGCTTTCCCAAGCATGCCTGTTAAATTCTGGGGCGATCATGAGGGCAAGAAATACTTCAATGCTTATTTTGCAAGATTTGACAGTAAGTCCTACATAGTCCAGGGTGTCATCTACATAGACTAAATGACGTTTAGATGTCTGGACCCAGGGCGATTTCATCGCAATCAACCCAAAAACACACCAGATTCTCTTCCTCGGTCGATCGGATGGTGTTTTGAACCCTTCAGGAGTTCGGTTCGGGTCTGCCGAGATCTACAATGTTATTGACACCCAATTCACTAAGGAAGTTGTTGATTCAATTTGCGTCGGCCAAAGACGCTCGACAGATTCGGATGAGTCCGTTGTCCTGTTTCTTCTGATGCGTCCGGGACTCAAGCTTGAATCGCAATTGGTCACTCGTGTTAAGGATGCTATCCGGAAGGCTCTCAGTGCTCGCCATGTCCCAAAATATATTTTTGAAACACCAGCCATTCCTGTATGTGCTATTCTCTGATCATAAGTGATGTTTTCTGATGGTATTTTCAACTGACTTTTTATACGCCAGGTGACTGTCAACATGAAAAAGGTTGAGCTCCCTGTGAAGCAAATCATTTCAGGCAAAAAGATAAAGGCATCCGGCACATTGCTGAATCCCGAAAGCCTCAACTTTTACTACAAATTTGCAGAAGTTGAGAAACTGGTTCCACCTCAAGCCAAGTTGTAGAACATGCCACGCATAAAGGAATAACAGTCCTGATAATAGTTTGTGCAAATGCTGGGTATTTTGTTAGACTACATGAACCGACGCCGGAACCGTTGACATTTCTCCGGGCAGGTATGTCATGGGCCATTTCCAAATGTGTTTGAAAGGCTATTTGATCATTCTGGATTCATCAAATAGATAGGTGTGACAGAATGAGCATCGCGATGTACCCCCTGGCCATTGGTGAATAGGTTCTCCAGTCAATGCAGATCGCACCACGCAGGTCGGACCGGGATCTATTTGTCGATTGTTTTAACCATGAATCCGGAAGATCCGATAGATCGACTATACCATCTAGTTTGCCATTTTTTTTGCAGCCATTGAATTTAACGTCAATTTAATTTCTTTATTCCCTGGTTGCTTGCCAAGCAATATCACCTGGTTCATCACATAAGAACTTGATCATTGTTCCTTTTCCGGATAGAAATTTACTACGTCCGATCCATTTACAACATATCGCGACTATGAATAAGGTTCTTGATTTAAGATAGCTATTAATAGTCTAGATGGTAACTCGGAGCATCTGAACTGTTTTTTGTGTCACCTCTCTACAGGGAAGGTCCTAGACTGTCTCAAGTAAATAGGCAACAGGGTGTAGTAGGTTTACGGAGATAGAGAGGACTTCGCTATATATAAGGACTCCTCAACACCAAGAATTGTTTTTACGAATAACGATCCAATTATCGCCTGAGGCATTATCAGACCTGGCAAGTAAAATTGATCTCCCTGATCTTAAGATCGATATTAACATAAAGGTGTTTGTCAAGATTCAGCAGACATCATGAAGTACCTGCAAACCATCTATCTTCTCGCCACTCTATCAGCGCTTGTCACTGGAACCAAAGATGCGGAGAAGCGTGTTAAAGAAGACACTATGGCTCTTATGGAAGGAAATGTCAATCAATATACTACATGCATGAGAAAATGCTCCACCGACGATAAGACTTGTTTTAGCCAGCCCGGGTCCCAGATCTTGACTTGCCGAAGGGAATTCACGAATTGCATCTATACGTGCCAGCAGCCTATTTCTACTAGACCAATTATGTGTCTCAATAGTTGTCTTATTGTTGACAATAATTGTGTGGTACAGACGGACATGGATTTGAATACGTGTCAGAAGAATCTGAGCAGCTGCATGACCGGATGTGTGCAGCAGGGCATGTAAATGGCCCTAATAGGTTCAGGGGCTAATATGAGATTTCTTTGCCTATGACATCTGATGGGACAGATTGATTGATTGATTGATTGATTTACTTGTGGAATCGAATTTCTTTCATTAACTGATTACAACATGATCTTTTTGAGCAATGTGCCTGAGCCAAAAGTAGTCCTACCGTACGAAGCTTATCTTGAACGTTGATTCCCTGGCCTTTACCAAATTTTGAAAATTCGAGTTGGGTAATAAATGCAATCAAAGAAAGTTAGAAGACCCTGAACCCAGTCAATATATGGTCATGTCCGCCAACATTCATTGGCGCTCATTGAGAATTCGAACGAACTAAATGTGTTGTCCATGGTGTAAACACAACAGCAAGCTCTTAGTGTTATCGGACTAATTTTGATATTATTATATCTGTATCTAGAACCGTAACTCAGTGTCATGGGGTGATTTCAAGGGTATAGATGGTAAAACTTATGTACAAGACCTTCCCAGGAAACAAAATTTGCACAGTGCCATGAGAGTGGTAAGAAAAAGGAAGGCATAGTAAAGCCTTCCAGGGTGATTAATTCACAATGAGAGTAGCAATGCCGAGTTATTCACATAGCATCATTGCTTGGGTATTCAAAAGTAAATGCAGTCATGAAGTGTGCGCCTTTGGAGTTCTTCCCTCGCGATGAGTCCAGATTCCTCCCAAACAGAGGTAGTTAAGATTTTCCTGCCACAAGATGTCGCCATTTGAGATATGATTTTGGTACTGGTATGCTCCCTTTCGAGGCATGCCACTTCACTTCATTATATGAAGGCCTGTTTACGAACCAACGTACCAAACTTCAACACCAAGGATGTCGAATTTCTGGCCTTCATCGGAGAGTGGCTCATTCCCGAAGGTTTGGCAGTGTGCACTGACGCCCTTTTCAAGGCCCGAGTCCACCCACAAACCATAGCGCCCGTCACTAGAAGTACTGTTAGCCTGATGATAATGAAGAACGAGAGGGAAAAACAAACCCGCCACCAAGACTGAGAAATCCAGTCTCACAAAACATCATGTAGTCGTTCACACCACTGTACGGGAAAGCCTTGAAACGAATGCGCTCCGGTGTACTGGCGCCGCTGCGAGATGGAGTGTTGATTGACGACGGTGACGGGGGCGCCAGCGCACCGCCACTAGCAGCCGCTAGATTGGTCTTGATGTTCATGTTGAGATTATGAGAGGGCGAATCTGACTTCAATTTGGCTGTAGGATCACTGCGGAAGGTGCTCCATCGCCCGGCATGTGTAGTGTCAGCAGAAGGAGGAGGGGGCAAGCCCGCGCGCTCCAAAGCTTCCTCAGATTGAGGTCCATCGCTCGAAAAAGCCAGCCCGAGGGTTGAAGGCGGCGGCAGCACGCTGGCGCGCCAGAGAAAGCACTCGCCTGTGCCGAAGAATTGGGAATCCGGGTGTGGCGCGTCAGTCATATAGGCGCCAAATACTGTGCCAGAAGGGGAGGAGTCGTGAATAACCAGAACATAGCCCGCCCGCGGGCTGCGATGCGAGAACTGCTCGCAGTTCTCATATAGGGTCGCAAGGGAGGCACCATCGCGATCGAGGCTGTAGGCAAGACGCCAATTCTCGCAGAGCTGAAGACGCGCAGGCACAAGCAAGCGGATTTCCTCCGCAAGCGCACGCGTGAGCAGCTGTTGTTGGAGGAGGTCTGCGCCTCTGGGGATGGTGAGCGTGAGCGGTGTGAGAGGAGGCGGTTGGAAGGGTGAGGCTGTTCGGCGCGGGGTGAAGACTTCGGACGAGGACATGGAGGACCAAGGGGTGGCGGATGGCATGGTGGTACCAATATTCGGGTCCGTTAACCGTCGGTAGAGTCCGGAGACGACGTGGGTGACTGGATAGGAGAAGTAGGAAGCTGCGGTTTGGGAGTAAGAACTTGTTGGTTTTTGCTGGGGTGTGTGAGAACCGGATCTGTTGGTTGAGCTGGGGGTGGAAGCGGTGGTGGGGTTGTCGGAGAGAAGATCTCCTTGCGAGGAGGACGACATGTGGACAATTTGGGGGCCAATTGCTGGGGAACAAACTGGAATTATAGTGGCAGAAGGAAGAGGTGTGGAGGTCGAGGCATGAGGTGGTTGGAGGGTTGATGATGGGTTGATCCAGTTGATTATGGGGGGACCTGAAACCGACTTATCGCTTATCCGCTTATCGTGCATTTGAGCGACGAGTCAGGACACTTCGAGCCGCCGCCCATCTTGTCCATTGCAGCCATTGTAGCAAGGACGCCATGGACCAAGCGGCAGGCTGCCCATAAGCATTGTGAGCCGATGTTTCACGATGTCTCGTATTGTCGTATTTCTCATGGTACCAAGAACACGGGATACTCAAGCACCAGGTTCCGATCACGCGAGTCTTTATGTAGCGATTGTACAGCAATGATAGCTATCGTTTGTGGCCTACAAATCTATAAATATTTGGTCTTGAGTCTCTGGATACACCAGATTTCTGAACCCTGGAAAGACAATTGCCTCCACCAGGCTCGTTCGCCTCCAAGGATTGAATGACGAAGTTGTGGCGGATTCGATACTATATAAATATTGGAAAGTGTGGAGCAGCATCTACAGATGTAGCATTTTGGTTTCCTAAGATTACACAGTTCCTGTGCTATCTTCACCCAGATTCGTTTCAACACATAAGTTTTTGAGGCTTTTTTTCTATTTCGAAATAGGACAACTTTGACCTAAAGGATTACCATGGCTTCCGAATTCACGGTGGAAGAAATCACCCAAGTCGGGCTCAAAGGACGCTCCCACGGCCACAAATATGACGGCGCCGATTATGATCCCATGAAATCTATGGTATGTACAATATATTTACGCATGTAGATATATCTTGATCCTGTCACTCGATAATCCAGTGGCCACGTTTCATTGGGCACCACCACTTCCCGGAACTCCGGCCAACGCACAGACGAATACTTTCAGAGTGACTAACAGGTGACTAGAGTACACACAGGAGCCACCGGAAATCAGAGGGGCGTCGCTCTCCAACGATGTCAAACAAAGCCTGTGCTAGCTCGGGGTCGGCGTCGAAGAGACGGAATCCATCCAAGCCAAAGACTGGACATCCACACCACCCGGCAGAGTAGTAAGGCCCATCATTGGATGGTTATTAGGATGTAAAACGCATAGGGGGCCTATTCTATGGCCACATTAAAATAGCTGCGCAAGAAAGAAGTGAAATTAATGAAATGGGTATCATATTCAATCGAATAAAATAAATACTCCGACCACACAACAGTTGAAATCTACGATCCCTTCGGACGCAAGTCTACAGTCTCGTACTCCAACCCGTTGACTTCGAACACATGGCCTGGCCTCAGTGCACCGGTGTATATATTCTCCTCTGCATGGGGATGGAACAGGCCTGTTTGGGTACAATTAAGTACCGTTTTCAACCCTGGTGGATCGGTAAGGCGAAAGACCCCCCAGTCAGGGTTTTTGCTCGGAGCGCAAACTATGGCGATACTTTCTGGGAGCATCACTTGGTAGCCAGAGTGGGTATGCAGGTCACGAGAGCTCATAAAACACGTCTGAGACGGGTGGGTATGGATCCAGCCAAGCATAATCAGGTCCTCAGAGTCGCAGTATTCGAAGATGGCGGATTCATTAGTCGTTTCACATGTATCGGACGTGGAGACTTGTTCGGGAATGATCAGTCTAGAGATGAAAAGGGCATTTGAGACAAGTGTGCCGCAGAGAATGCCACAAGTTTCCAAATTCCTTGTAGTGTTGGAAGCAGCCAACGCTAGAAAACGAGATCGCAAGCTGGCAGGAAGAAAGACAGAGCGCAGAGGGGTTCCATTCTCAAGGTATGCAGAAGGTTTGAAGGTGTAACTAGATGGATCCAGATCTGATTGCGCAGAGACTGATTCCTCAGGCCGAACTTTCTCTGGAATTTGAGGAACAGGCGACACTTTTGAAGGACGGGGAGGCGGCTCTAGTGTGACAGCCCCATCAACAAACGGTGCCCCACCCGGTCCGACGCGCTCTTTCGGGGGCAAAACGGGAGGCTGATGCTTTTCGGTCCGACTGTCACGAACGATGATCTGGGAAGGTGCGATCACGGATTCCAAAGGTTTCTGGCGTGGTACACTTGGATACTTGTATGCAGAAGTTGTCGTTGACTGTGTACCCTGTCGAGGATCTTGGAAACGTCGGACCGGGGTATCAGATTGAGTGTGATCGATGTTAGCCCTAATATTCCGCATTCTCTGGCTCAAATCTTGCTCGGCCGGCTGGTGGTCCGTATTGTACGCCGTTTCCCAATCCCCCCAGACACCGCCAGCACGGCGACCGTCGCCATCTTGGCCCTTGGATCTGCGAACGGTAGCACGGCGACTGAGCTCTGATTGTGCTAGTCGGACGGCTAGGTCTCGATTTTCCCCCGCTTCTAAGGGCTCTGCAACACCGGCCAGTGCGGGATCGATGACACGTGGTCGTGACTCGGGATAGAGATTGGTTTCAGAGGACAGCTTCCGTGATTGTCGCTCGCGCATGAGCTGGGTATATCGTTCATATCGTTTGTTTATTCGCGGCTTGAGCACTTCCAGCTTGGCAAGATTCTTCTCCACTTCCTTCTCAGCGCTGACTAGTGCCTTGCGGTCCTTCTCGTCCTTTTTCGCGTCTGGGTGTGTCGACAAGTGCACCAGCACCAGCTGGGCATGGCGGAAGAGGAGCAGGTAGGCTTGCTCATCATGCCCTTCATTTTCATAGATTTGAGCCTGTGTGTTGGCTTATAATTTAGATTCAGATAGCCACGAAAGCGAAGAGAGCGATTCAAAAGAAAAAAAAGCCACTGACCTCTCGGATTAGCGTGGCAGCGGTCCGTAGCCAGTACCGCAGCGGGACGCCCGCGTTGTAATCGTAATCTTGGGCAATTCGAGTGATCTTCTCCACACTCTGTGGAGGGCTACCGCCGGTGTTGGAAATTGAGATCGAGGAAGCCATGGCGACGATGGCGAGGTCGATCGCGAGTGGTGAAGCAAGTCGAGTGTTCCAGGTCAAAGCCCCTCTTCACGCCGAGTCAGAAGGGGCATGGTTGACGCGGATTAAGCGGGGCAATCTCCGACGGTAGGCACAAGGACCAGTGACTACCGACGTGGTAGGAACTGCATTTAAGCAGTGAGTTCGGAGGGTGTAGGCAGACAGGAAAATGGTGAAAAGGGCGAAGCGTCCAGGGTTCGATGGCGGGAGGAACGCGGTGCCTGGTGGCATGTGCGGCGTCCGCAAGGTCTCTCCGCTTCCTCAGCGCAGGCAAAAAAACCCTCCTTGGCTAGCGATCCTGATCAATTCATTTTCCACAACTGCCCACCATGGCCTCACTTTTCGCATATGGGCCTTTGGTTTGATCTTGACATCAAGACCCACCCGCCGCGACAATGACAAGCTACGTCCTCAGCACCAGATGGGCGCCGTTATCCAAGTATCCGGTGACCAAAATTCTCCACAAATCCCTACAAGGGAAGCTGCCGCGACGCAATGCGACGCAATCAAACATAGTTGATGAACAACTTTGTTGTAAGTACGGAGGATCCTCACAGTTTGGTTTATCTTTGTGCGGACGAGCCTCTGACAGCACCTTTGTGCAGCTAATATCCTCGATCTACTGTCGCCGTACCTTTCTAGAAATGCTCCAGTCGACGTACTGGATTTATGGCCCAATGCTGGCGTTTTTTCATCCAAAGTGAACAATTTCCTCCGACCGCGACGTCATGTTCTCATTGAACCCTTTCTCGATCTATACAAACCGTGTCTTGAGCCGCTTGCGAAGAGCAAGCCATGTTACGAGCTTCTGTCCACGGACATATACACTATGAAGGATTGGGATCAAATATTCAAGAAACACCTGCCCGAGCAGACAATACCCAGGACACAGGAGGCCGCGGTCTTACCGAAAAATGATTCGTTACTGGTATTGGCCAGTCCACCCTGCCAAAGTCTCAAGTCGGATCACTTCACGCCGCAACGATGGTGGTGTGCCATGATGGAGGATTGTATGAAACAGAAAAATATTCATCAATATGGTAGCGTGCGGATGATAGTCACCCTGCCCCCCGATGAGGTGGAAGCCATTCTCCCCCGGAGCATAGGCGAGCGTCGACGTGCGGCTGTTTTGACTGAGAACGTAGCCTTGCACGCGATGGAGGTTGCCAGCCTTTATCAAGAAGAGCCGTCATGGGTGACTATAAAACCATTAGACTATACGAAGTTCGGTATGGAACGCGTTGCTGAAAAAGTCGCGGAGCAGAGTATCGCCATCCCTCCCTATCGCGAACGGCCCCCACTGGAATATGCTCCCGAGTGCACGTATACGGGGAAACGAAGTATTCCGCACAGCCCGCGACTTCGCACGAACCGGCATCAGGAAGTGAGCAGCATCATTAAGGAAGAGGAGGCCTCGAGGGTTGGCAAGCAGCGCGCCAGCAAAGCCCTTCAGGACGCCACCAAGTATCTTCATAAAGAGAACCAAATTGCACATGTCCGGGACGATATCGCTCGTAAGAAGATCGATATTGAGGAGACAATGGGCGACCTATGCTACGCAGCTGCGGATGTGACTAAGAGCGCCAAGGAGCTCGAGGAGCTTGATCAGAACATTGCACAGCAGGAGGCTGCATGGCAAGAATTGTTCTCTCAGACTCACTACCGTTTATACAAATCATGGGATCGCATTGTCGATGATTACCGCATGCTGAACCATTTGAAGAAGTATGACAAATCCACTCTGTTATATGATCAACGGCCCTTTGAGCCTCTGAGGGTGTATATAGAAGAGATATACCCCCGCGACCCTCGATCCGTGATATATTTCGAACCGGATTCCAATGCTCCGGCTCTCCAGCGACTGCAAAATTTGTCTCCCGAAAGGGTAAGCAAACTGCAGGAGTTCTCTGAAGCCCTGACACTGGTATTTGGAAACCGCAATCGCCTCACTCTGGATGAGCTTTTCCAGCAGATGTTTCCTACCCGCAGCACCAACGATCTCGTCAAAGCCATCCCGGGGTTGGCTGGGATAGCTCGAAAACGGCTTAAGCCCGGCTCAGGCCCTATTGCGCTGGCGGATACGTCGTCAGATCCACCCCTGTGCTTTCAAGATAACATCGATTACGACCTGAGTGAGACTCGGATCCGGAGTATCCCCACCCCGGTCATCTGGGACATTCTGCTCGAGTACGAGAAGACTGCGACAGACTTCTCGATCGTCCAATTTACCCGCCAGTTGGGAGGGACATTGACCTCCTTCCGAGCCGGATATTCGGTGGCCAGCGATAATTCGAAACGATTACGCTAGAACCCCGGATTTGAAAGATAGTGGAGTGGATTCGAGGGGGTGCCCCTTCCCTTTTCCTTCAGCCCACGTGTATTCCCTGAGGTATACCTCAGTCCGCCTTATACCCTCTTCAATTGTATACTACTTGCGCCACTGGCCTGTATGATAAGTGCTTAATTGATTTTCGACCCGATTTCTGCTTGATAGGTCTCCATGTTACTCGGTCGGCAATTGTATCATTCGCCTTATCATGACTCGTTTTGGTCACAGTAAGCCTCCGAGATGACTCCGATTCCCTATGAAGTATAGTTTTGCTGCATTGGTCCGATAAATATGCTTGGCGGGGACCAGGGTTTGCGGGCGGGCGGGCTGTCGACGCCCACGGGCCCGAGGGATTGGCCGCTAGCGGTTATCGCCCGGGCCCGGCTGGGGGGGCTGGTTGGGATCCCAACCAGGAGGTTCTCAATCGGGGGCATGCTCGACACGCATTAGTTGATCGGGGCAAACGAAGCCCCCAATAACCATCTCTCCTCTTGCGTCATATTGATTACGCACTTCCAAATTAGTGGCCCTTGCAAGTCTGCAGAGCTCTAGCAGCCGTCAATAATCAATTGTGTCGTGTGTGCTCGAGAAGTATGACAGCCGTTAGAAAACGCTTGCGGTGGAGCCGCGCGGCGCCTCGGCGACGCTTTCGTTTCCTCGCCACATGGGGATGTACAATGATGTTATCAAGGTGATATGACAAAGGAAAATAAAGATAACTCATGTGAAGTAAAAACCCTTGAAGGGGTCAGAAATCGAGAATAAAAATCCGGAGCCAAGGTTGGCGGAAAAAAAGCTGGTAACCCACTGCTCATCATTTACCCGATATTTGTTCGTGTAGTAAAGAAAGTGGAAAAACGAGAAATAAAATGAACAGGTGGATCCCTTCCTGTCGCAAACCAGTCGATCAGCGCAAACGAGCGTCTTCATATCCGGGAGCTAGACTATGTTGATGGTTTAATTTCCCACTGCGCTTTTCCGACCGTTCTCGTGATGTCTTTTTTTTCTCTTCGCACGAACCCTTCGCATCCATCATTTTCGAAGTAGAAAATACCTCTCTTCTCTACTGTATTCTAGGTATCCGTAGTATGTTTCCATAGTATCCATAGTACCCATAGCATCTTGCGTGGTAGGTGTCAATGGTTAGTCACTGGCAGTGCTAGCCTGCCATTCCACGGTTACTACCGTCGTATCGTCAGTATCCCACGCTCTGGAGGTCGATCGCCCTGGGACCCTGTCACGCTCTCAATTCCCGCCTGGTCGAGACCAGCCAATCGCCCTCGGTGGGTAACTAGTGTTTTTTTTCTTGCTTTTTGCCCCGAGAGTGCTCCGGCGTTCGTTTTATTAGAGTGGTCCCAGCGCGGTCGCACTGGGGCGCGCTGCTGTGACCTTTTTGACCTTGAAACTCGTTCCTATCAAGCCTACCTGTCTTGATTTTCACGATGAGTCAATAGCAACAATCACTACTATACCGCAGCGATACTCGACTGATCGACCTTTGGATTTCAAGTTCCTCTAGCACAACGGGCACTTCGCCTTTTTGCCTCCACCACGTCATACCCGAGCCCTAGACCGTGGATTATGCCGAGTACTGGTATTCGGAACTACGTGTATACGTCTCGCCAGTGGCGTTACTGATTGACCTTTCTTGGATCTTTGGGGGCCTCAGCTGGCTTTTTTTGTCACTTACATGATCGTCACCTGTGCCGTCTGATCTTTGCTTTTTCTTCTATCGCATCGATTTAAGTGGACAGTTCGTCCCAGCAGTTGTATAAGCGGTTGCTTGGCCAGTTTTATAATCCTGACCCTGACACTACCGATTTGCGCATCGATGACTCCTCAATTTTCAACCATGCGCTTGTCGCTCAGTACGGGCCATGATGCGAAAGACCTCGCGCCGCATACCCCGACCTCGATGTCGAGTCTGACGCCCCCGGTTACGCCGATAGCAAAGGATGCCAACGACCCAGAACGATCGATCCCAAGCCCACTGGAAGACACCGTCAGCGAGACAAGCGCCTCCCTTTTGAATTATCGCGCAATTGATACTCCACTTCGTTTCACCGATGATCTAGAGATATGTCATGGTCAAGATGGTCGCCCGGTCGAGTTTGGCCGTGGCGCTTGGAGTATAGTATACAAGGCACAATCTGCGGCATCCCCGGCGGGCCCGATCTACACTCCTCCAAGTTCACCCATCATTCCCAGCCGAGTGTTTGCAGTCAAGGCTCCGTTGCGCCGGGACGCACATCAAATCCTCCAAGCAGAAGCTCTCACCTTGACCCGTCTTAATTTGACTCCTGGCTTTGAGAACCACGTGGTGCCATTTTATGGCCTGCATTCCGATTCGAAGGCCCTGGTCATGTCTCCAATTCCTCTAGCCCTATCGACCTATATTGAAGATCAGGCCGATCTCATGCGTAGGGGCCAGTCAACCACATTAACGATGTTCGACCCCGTCCAGGGCGTCGACTCATGGCGTGACATGGCGCGCAAGTTGATCAGCAGTCTTGCATGGCTCCATAATACAGCGGGAATCATTCACGGAGACATCAAGCCTCACAATATTCTGCTTCGTTGCATCCCGGCCGAGGAGTCCAGTACGGAAGCCAGTGCCTTCCCATACGAGCCTCTCCTGGCGGACTTTTCCTCTGCCTTTGATATCCCCTCGGACTCGATGGCAAAGCCGGATCCTAGCCGCACATCCATGTCTGCCTTCACACCACCGTTCACAGCCCCAGAACTTCTCTCCCTGGCATCTTTGAAATCAGGCGATGTAGCGCCCACCTCGGCCTCGGATGTATTCTCCCTTGCTGCAACTTTAACTGCGGCTGCTACGGGTGACTTGCTGTTGTACCCAGGATCCAGCTCCATGCAGCGCCTGGCTATGGCGCGCGACGGCCACCAAATCCTCGAATTCACGCGGGCTGGCTTGAATGGCTGCCGAGTGCCTCGCAAAGGTGGCGTGGAGAAGCTGATTCTTCCGGCCGTGGCCAAGGATCCGACGCGGCGGATTTCAACCCAAGACTGGCTTGTCTTAGCTTCAACTTAAGAATATCATACACGGTCAAGCAAAGACAGTTAAACCGTCAGTCTTTGATCACATCAGCCCGAGTTTTCTTTTCATGTGGTTCTTGTGTTATTTATCTCTTTTTTGCATTGTTATATAGGATATTTCGTCGCATATTGGGAGCATTTGTGGGGATTCGGTTACTATTTTGTTATTTTATTGTCCTTACGCTCGCTTAGAGGAGATACCCAAATTCTAGACGGAGTTTTTGAAACACAAACCCCCCTTGAATTGAAGATCCGTGGAATTAGATACAAACTTTGGTCCAATATTCTGATCACTTCCACATCTTATACCATAGCCCAGGCTTTCAACCCTACATTCAACCATGTGAACGCAGATTGACAAAGGGTCTTGCATCCTTGCATACCCACATAAGCTTAATTTACCTTCCCGGGGCGGGGAAGCTTCAACGCATGATCCCGGTTGACTCGTATCTCGTATTCGGGTTTTCCCGTGCGATCTGATGTTCGGGATCTCAGACCTCCGGCACGCTAGGATAAACACTCGCAAGAAAAACAGCAATTCAAAAGCGACATGTATATAGGCTCCACTCTCCATACCCCACGTTTTCTCAAGCATCTAGCTAGACGTGCTGCCTTCCACGTACTTTTTCAAATCACTAACCCACAGCTCGAAATTCGCCTGCAGCTTCGCACCCATCGTCCACTTGATCATATATACCATCCACCCCACCTGCAGCTCCCAATTGCGCACCATTGTGCCTGCCTGCCCGTCCTGCTCCATATCGACCACCTCATGCTCCCGCTCCGCGTTCAGTAACATCTGCGGCATCGCGCCCGCCACATCCCCGTCAATCACCCATACAATGCGCCCCGGCGTTTGAGTACTGGGATTCGGCGCCGTGAACTCGGTAACAGTGAGGAAGACGTCACGCGCGGCCTGAGGCTTCGGCGAAGTAGGATCCATGCGCACATGGAAGATCATGCGGGTGCCGCGCCGCAGGACCGGGGATAGCGGCGCATCGTCGGTGCTGTCGGGGTGAGAGCGGATCGTGACGCGCGGGACAAAGGTGTTCCAGGACGGCCAGGTTGAGGTGTCGAGGAGGGCGGCCCAGACTTGCGTCGAGGGAGCGGCGATGAAGGCGGAGCTCCCGAGGTGGCAGACGGCGTCAGCAGCGGCGATGTTAGGGGTGGCGCGGGTAGAGTTTGTGGGGTCGGTGATGGTCGCCATGGTGGTTTCAGTACTGGATGGATATTGGAATAGACAGGCTTGCTTAAGTAGGTTTTATGGAAGGTTAGTTTGCTTTTTTTGAGGGGCGACTTCAAGTTACATGCATAGCAAGGTGGTTACGTACAAGCTCGGAGTCGGCTTGTATCCGAGCCGATAGAGCTACTAGCCTTATCGTGGCTGTGGCTTATCGGCGGCGGCGAAGATGTCATGACCTCAAGCTGGGGCTGGAGGTATGGACGTCGAGACCTATGAGTCGTATGTGGGATCTCAGTATTCCCTTGATATTGAAACAGAAAGAAAAAATGGGGTTCAGAAGTCTTGCAGGATATGCAATCAATAGTCGCGTTGATATGTTGTCAAATTAATAGCTCCCAAATCTAGTCGCCTTTTTAGTGACATCTACAGTAGACGAGGCAGAAACTTGTTGACTAGAAGGAACATTTTGAATTATTTATAGTGATAAAAAGCCTGAACCATATGCAAAGATCCTCTAGCCGACTCTGTTGTTGATGGATGCGCAAGAATGAGGCGGAGGGAGTTTCCAATTCGTTGCGTCCATTCTACTCACAATGTCCATGTCTTAAATGCAGTATAGAAAGCAGATATTAAACCACATGACTATAGCTTATGTCCTTCCTCATTCCTCCCCGGAATTAATGCAAAATCCCGGGGTATACCCTGGTCCTGTTGCTTCTGAACCGCATTGCCGTACTAAGCTTGCCGATCTCTGCTTATTTCCACCAATGAAGCAAACCTCCCCGCCGCCGAAATAAAAATCCGTCCATACAAAGCTATCAACAGAGGTATTTCTCCGCATCGTGGGGAGACCTTTGACTCGATTCATCTGGGGTACTGGCGATCGCGCTGCTTTCATACTGGCAAATTTTGACCAAAAAATGTGTATATAAAGGACGACCAAGGTTTGTGTCTGCAGTGCTCTTGTTTCAATTCAATAGTTCAAATCGCAATGTTGATCCCTAAAGCAGCAACCTTTGCTCTGCTACAGTCAGTAGCATTGGGAGCTTCAAGCCGCCCTCATCGTTGTGTCATCCCAGCTTCCAATGCCACGGCTGATGATTCTGCGACCGTGAATCGAGTTTTGGCCCAATGTGCCACGGATTCCGTCATTGTCTTCCAGGAAGGAGTGGACTATAATATCTTCAACCCAATCAGTGCCACCAATCTCAGTAATGTTGAGATTCGGATGAACGGAAATCTTCATCTACCACAAAGTGTAGCAGAAGTTCAACGCATTGTGAACGGGACGAACCGAGTCCTGTATTCGAACGGCCAATATTGGTTCACTTTCTCGGGACCCAACATTGACTACATTGGCTCCTCCAATGTCGAAAACGGCTGGATTAACTCATACGGTCAAGCCTGGTGGGATGCCAACCCCGTGAACGGGACTGGGATTGACTCTCGTCCGCATCTGATGAGCTTCAAGACCACTAATGGAACGCTGAAATATTTCAAATCACGCAAGCCGATTGCCTGGAATGTCCAATTGAAAGGGGGATAACATTGCCGTTAGCCATGCCTTCATTGATGCTGAGTCCACTGGCTCGTTTCCGTTCAATACCGATGGGTTTGATGTCACTGGGACCAACATCCGAATTACAGATAGCGTGATTTATAACGGTGACGACGCGATCGCCGTGCAAGATGGCTCTCACGACGTCGTCTTCGAACGGAACACAATCGGATATCAAAGCCACGGGATGAGCATTGGCTCGCTTGGCGAGGACCAGACCGATTATGCCAACGTATCAAATATCCGATTCGAAGATGTCACAGTCATCAATGCTGTCTACGCCGCACGTTTCAAATCGTGGATGGGTGGACAGGGCATGGTGAAGAATGTCACTTGGAAGAATATTCGTGTCTACAACGTCACTTTCCCCATTTTTGTGACCCAGAGCTATGTCAATCAGGGCTCGTCCCAGACTCAGCTAGGAAATGGGGCTACCACCGGTCGAGTCAACAATGCATCTGTCATGATGGAGGACTTCACATGGTCCGACTTCACTGGCACCGTGAACACATGGAATCCGGGCGATAGGTCATGTGTGACAGATCCCTGCTGGTATAATAATGGGTTGCCAAATCTCAAACATACTGAGGCGGCTATCATTGAATGTAACACCAATTCTTCTTGTAAGAATTTTGCACTGAGCAACATTGAGGTCATCCCACAGAGCATGGCAGCATCTACAGTGATTTGCATCAATGCCACTGCGGAACTCAATCCTCATCTGGGGTTCAATTGCAGGAATGGCACCTTCGTTCCTACCTGAGGAGTGCTGAAAATTTTGATGCCTTCCTTCTTGTTTTCTGTATGTTGTGAGTTCAGATTTAGATAGAGTTAATTAGGTAGGCGCGATAAAGAATAAACAACAAAATATCGACATTCACTACCAATTTCTCTCTTCTCTTCCTCTTCTTCCCCAACCTGCTTTCGTCTCTTCATCTTTGATTGTCTGTCATTTCTGAAAGCTTACATTCTCTTCCCGTACACTCTTTACTTCGCTTTTTGGCCAGTCGATCTCTTCTGATTCTGAATATACACTCGGTATCCCGATCATCACTATGCAGTATCAGCCACTTTACCAGATGTCATTTTCTCATCCCCAGCCCCAACCTCGCCCCCGGTTCTGTATTTTCCGTCCTGGTGGACTCTTAGCACCATTGATTCCGATCGATGAGCTTCCATCATGGCTGCAGATTTGCAACTGGAGTCCGGATATGTATATGGGGCTGCAACCAGTATCTCCGAGCTTCATTCCCCGTGAGGGCGAATACGATGTGATCTGCCATCATTGTTCCAGCAGTGTGGACTCCCTACATCAAAGTGTTTCCGAACGAAATACCGATTCTCAGTCTCCACACTCGTCACCCAAATCTGCCGCGAGTCAGTCAAAGAGCTGCCCTGGGGGGTTCTTCGGTGCTCTGCCCGATTGCGATGCGCCCCCTATGGTGTCTAGAATGCCTTTTGGAGCCGCTATTCCATTACCAGGACACCCACCTTTCCAATCAGCACTCCAAAACCCCTTCCTAGGCATGTACATGCTACAAATGCCATGTGCCACAGCCAATATCATGCCAACGGTTATGCCAACTCCCGCCGCGCTGGAAAAAGCTTTGGATATTGCGAGTACATGTTCTCAAATGGGATCGGCTTTGTCCAAGGGCTCCAACATGATGCCAGAAAATTGCTATCCGCTAAATCCACACTCTTCGGGCTCAGATGCAGACTCGGAAAGATCTGCCAAGTCACATTCCCGCACACCTGTTCGAAGTAAGGCAAGGCGCTTAGACTCACCGGACCCCAGATCAAAGCCGCCATCCAGTCCGAACTCAAGAATTGGCTTTGATCCAACAATGGAAGAACCATCTCTTTGCTCCACGACAGTCCTTCATGAAACGGCGTCTCTTCTGAATGAGAGCATTGCATCGACTGTTTCGCTGACTGCAGCTGTGGAAAGGCTGAAAGAGAGACTCGGCACGAAACTGCTTGCTCGAGGCCCGACTGCTCATTCAATTCAAAGGAATGCGGTGAATGTTGTACCTCAATCTCGAAGCTCTTCAAAGATTCACAAGGTGCGAACATCTGCTCAACGACGAAATGTTCGTATTCGGCATCGCCGCCGTGCGAAAAAACCCCCTCAGTCTGCATCGAAGACAAGCAATGCAAACAATGAACCTCTTGCTGAACAACCTAATTCAGCCACCAAAAGACGGGATCGTCGTGAGAAGTTATTAAGAGGCAAGAAGGGCTCGAATGCGTCCATCCGGTGTATTCACAATGACATGCTGCAGAATGGTCGTTTCCATGCTCCTCATCGCTAAGCTTGAGGATGTTTTGATTTCTGTCTTTGTTAACCCTTTGGTTCATGATTCTCGAGCTGGGCCTTCTTTTACCTGCATATTTCACGGTCTTGCTATCCGTTGGTCACTTGTATGTTTCTTTCGTTAGTCAGTCCTTACTGCCAGCATGTTCCTGTTTTTGCATTATTTGCTTGTCGCCAGCACGATTTTTCTCACGCCGCTTGTTTTTGGTCCATATACACTCTTTTCACTTTTCTTTTGTACATATTTTTGGGCGATCGGGTGTTTTCAGTGTTGGCTGAGTCATAGCTAAGTTGTCACTCCTTTGTCCTTAGATTAGAGGTTTCTGGTTGCACCGAAATGCTTTTGCAATACATCCACTCCTTTGACATTAAATTTTTTCCCCATGAAATCACGAAGTAGTTCCAGATTCTCTCTGCTGCAGCAAGATTGAGTGGACCTTTGGTTGTGCTTGTCTACCTAGTTGGGGTAGTCATACACACATCCTTACTCAGATCAAAGGGGCAAATGGAGTAGCTTCCCCGCACTCTTCTTATCTTCCGGCAATCTTGCCGACTCGCCTTTGCAGTGTTCACTATGCAACCAACAGGGTCATGGCAGGTGCTAAAAAGCCTCGGGGTATTCGGCATGATCGCCATTGTGAACGCTGTCGAGAGAGACGCATTAAATGCGACTTAAACCGCCCCAGGTGCCAACCTTGTCTTCAAGCTAGAGCTTCATGCAAGTATCCCCAGAGAGTGGTCTGGATGGGAGATAGAGAGAAAAAGTCACCAGCAAGGACTTTATCACCAGAGAAGGCTCACACCTCATTGTCCAAGCGTTCTCTTGGAGTACAGGGGCAGCCAGAACCTGAGCTGCTAGCTCACACAAAAACTACCGTCAATCTATACGGATTCATTGATCTCCTATCCGGATTTTACCAGGATATTCAATCCAGCAAGCAAGAGCTACCGGAAGAAACTATCGAATTGATTTCTCGCACGTTGCAATTCGCACGTTTGCGACTCCAAGGAGCGAACGAGGACGACTCTATCCAATCGCATGTCGTCGCACTTACAAACCTGAGCAAAGTTATTGGCTCGGCTCACCCTGTCGCATTATTTGGAATCGCGACCTTTGCTATCTTCGAAGTATGCTGCGGCCCATTTGGCAAATGGCAACGTCATTTGCATGGTGCACGCTCGTTACTTGACCTTCACTGTCAGACCAAAGCGGAGCTGGACAGTCTCACGCAACGGATACCCGGAATCGCCGACGTCTTAGGCTACCTAGTCTGGTTTGATGTCACAGGCACATTGAATCGAGGTGACCAAGCGTTGATATTTGATGACTGGCATCGAGAGATCTTGTCTCCTGAGTTCTTCAACTCAGTAGGCTGTCCACCGGATTCATTCGACCTCTTTGTGCACCTTGCCAAAGGAGGAACCGATCTGGAACCGATCGACCTGAGTTCCCGAGCAATGGCCCAGATCCTACATCTTTCTACGAATGACTCTACAGATCGTGGTCTTGCTTGTATCGTATTCAGAGGCTCGGCCGCGATCGAGGCGTTTGCTCGTGTTGGTGAAAACAGTCTTTCTCCAACACCCTCAACATATGCCAATGTAATTTCATTAATGGTGGATAAAGTTTGCGACGCAATTGCAAGTATCCCAACATCGTCGCGATTCTACGTGCATCTGGCCACACCCGCTTATCTGACGGGAATGTACGCTACCAGGTCTCCGCAATGCGAGGTGGTGCGGGCCTATTGGCAGAATTGCCAAATGTGCGACTTTCCGCGTTATCCGGATGGCCAAGAGCTATGCGAGCAGAAATGGAGGAGCGAAGGAATTATATAGAAATAGAAATTAGGGGGGGGGGGGGGGCTATTGAGTTACTCCGCTTATGAGTGCCTGTCTGCTTCGGCGAGTCGTGCGGGGCCGTTTGATTGCTTGCCGGAAACGGCAACTAATCTATGCGCTCCCCGCTCGGCTTATCTATAACCTCGTATAAAGATCGGACGTCCGGTGCAAATACCACTTGAACTCAATCTGTTTTGTTTATCGGTATTTAGACGAGAAGTTTTCTTGATTTTTGATAAGAATGGAACAAGCTGCCTCATATCTAGATCGCGCCGCTCAGAAGCGTGCTTCCCAATTAGCCCTCATTCCCCCAGAGTGGCGACTCACCGAAATCCCACCCCCAGAGTCACATCCAGATGCGTTGGCTTATATCCGGCAAATACTCTCTCCGAAGGAACTAGCTCTGACTGAGGAAACCAACATCACCGTTCTACTCCGCAAGCTATCCTCTGGAGAACTTGGCTCGTTAGAATTGGCTAAAGCGTTCTCCAAGCGGGCGGCTATAGCCCATCAACTCACAACATGCTGCACTGAGATCTTTTTCGAAGAAGCCTTCGAGACGGCCAGAGCTATGGATGAGTATCTGGCCAAGACAGGAAAAACCGTCGGACCTTTGCACGGACTTCCCGTCTCCGTGAAGGATTTATTCTCTGTGAAAGGAGTGGATACGTCCATCGGTATGTTTAATGAACTTGAAGAGAGTGGAATCGCAAACACTGATGGAGGCTTAGGGTGGGTTGGCTTGACGAACAGCCCAGCATCAGCCGACAAATCCGTCGCCAGAACTCTGCGCCGACTTGGTGCAGTGCTTTACGTGAAAACCAATCTGCCACAGTCGATGATGATGTCGGACTCATACAACCATGTCTTCGGCCAATGTGTCAATCCATTGAACCGCAACTTAATTTCCGGTGGCAGTTCTGGAGGCGAGTCCTCACTTGTGGCTGCGCGAGGCAGCGCCTTGGGGATTGGAACGGACCTTGGCGGGTCGATTCGAATCCCAGCCAGTTTATGCGGGTTGTATGGACTATCGCCAACTCCTGGACGACATCCGTATGAGAGAGGCAAGTAAGTACCATTCTTTTTAATCCCTTAGCGGATGTCGTTGAATATACTTCTAACCATAAGTGAAGTCCGGGTCAGGACATTGTTCGCTCGGTCGCGGGCCCCATGAGCTGCAACTTGGCCAGCATCGAGAGATATATGGAGGTCCTTCAGTGTGCATCACCCTGGGAGTTAGACCAACATACTGCACCCGTGCCGTGGCGGCGAAGTTTAGCCTCGCTGAGGGCCAAACGACTGAAGATCGGGTTTTTGGTCGATGATGGAGTTGTCAAGTGCCAGCCACCAATTGTGCGAGCTGTTCGAGAGGTGGTTGCTGCGCTGAAAGCTGCTGGCCATGAAGGTAAGTTGTGATTATCATCTCAGTTATGGACGATGTTTTGATCTTTCAATTCAATCTAGTTTTTGAGTGGGATGCATCATCCCATGGTCATGCCTATCACCTTTGGGAAAAGGCGATTCTATCGGATGGCGGCGAGGGTTGTCGCAAAAAGACTGAAATGACGGGCGAGCCTCTGATCGAGGGCATGCTGGTTGGGACCGAGAAAGATCTTTTGACGACATCAGAAACACATCAGGTATTCATGAATTTATAATCCCCTACTGTTTCTCTGTGGAGACGCTGATAAGTCTTTAGCTGAATGCTGATAAATATACTTACGAGACACAATATCTTGAGCGCTGGACATCATCCGGGATCGACGCCCTTATCATGCCGAACACCCCATGGGTTGGATATAAGCCTTGGACTTGGGTGAAGTCCAATGCATATGTCGGATACACCAGTATTTGGAATCTTCTGGGATATGCAGCCTTGGCTGTGCCAGTCACGAGTGTCTCGAAGGATAAGGACGTTCTTGACACGGAATGGTTAGGCCATCTGCCTCGTAACGCAGGCGATCAATTTAACAAGCAACAATGTAAGTTTTTCAAATCTGTCTAACAGTAATATTGAAGGATTCTGATGCAATGATAGACGATATTGATCTTGTTGACGGTATGCCTGTTGGCGTTCAGGTCGTGGGAGGGCGCTTTGGTGAAGAGAAATGCGTCTCGGTCGCCAAAGCAATTGAGCAAGCTATGCGTTGGAGAGATACAGCACGTTCATCTCTTTAATTATCAAATAATATTGACTTTCCAATACTATTTACGTTGAAAAGCTCATCATTGGCAATGGTATTCAACTGTCTTGAGCTTGTAGGCCACCTCTTGAAGCCAGTGCCTCTGCAGTTGTCCTCATTATAGTAGTCAGGTTCCAACTATGCTTATAGTAATCATAGATTAGACGACAGAAAACCCTTGATTTAAGTTCATTGTGATGCCATGATGCCATATTCAAGTAGGACCCTCAACGATGCCGTTTGTTTGTGTATCAATATTGTTGATTCAAAAGCAAAGTCTAGAAGGGAGGTGTGTTATTTTTCATTTGCAGGGCAAAATATGTTTTCCCGCTGCAGAATCTTTCCGAAATTTAGAGCCGCACGCTCCGTAAGTCGACAGATTCATACCATAAGGATATTGAACCAGGGAGCTTGTACACAAGTGACAGAGCAAACAGGTCAGGTCACGGATCGTCAAATCAGTCACCAGAACATCGCACACTTATTGCGCAAAGAGAATGGTACCAGGTAGGAACAGAGAATGGAAACTTTCCCTCTTGGGATTCTTGGCAGAAGAAACAAAAGCCCGAAGGGGATAAATAGCGCCAAGACATCAAAAGTACCTTTCACCCGGGTGAAAATCAAGCCCGCGGTAATGCAATTTTTGATTATTTATCAAGCTTTGCAAAACTTCCAGATAATATCCATCCATATTGTATCAGATCACCCATTTGGGACATGTACACTATTATTAAAAATCTTTCGTGTGTTTTGGTCTGAAATTTATCTACTTTCGTGAATCCTGCTACTCGGGAAACCCCTTTTCGATTGCCTCTTTTCTTCTTATCATTGCTCCACTTATCCTTACAATCATACATAATCAGTCTGTGCGTACCTGATCTTGAAGAGATCAGCCGGGCGAGTTGGATCAGTAAGGCAGCAAAAGCTTATTCAGATTTAGTCTTATATACTCTGCACAGTTTTGGGAACAGTGAGTGATCTTATGGTGAAAACTAACACATGAATGCATTGCCATTGTGTTTGGAGCACAGCGCAGAGTCGGAATTACAAACGGGCAAAGAGGCAGCTTTCCAAAGATGGCACTAGGAGTTGCCAATGTTGTATTACCATCTAAACAAACAATTTAAATTGCAATAACAATAACAAAGGAAGTTCCAGTCATCTGTGGTTTTGTGTCATTGAAATTCTCCTTCTCCATAGTGGTCAATCAGGTTTATTCTGGCCCCTTCCTTTCTACAAATTTCGGAGAACTGGATGGCCAAGAAAAGGGGCACGGTGTATTAGCAGGAAGTGAGAAAAAAGCAAAAATCTGAAACTGCAGGTGCCAGGGGGCAGGACCTTCTTCAGCTTTACGTGTTAAAACACTGAGCGTGAGAAAGCGGCCGTGGCCAATGGCAGGCAGCCCTGGCTGGCAGGAGGTGTCGTGTGGCTCTACGTGCTCTACTATTATTCGTTGAGACCAAAATGATGGCAAGCAACTCGGTTTCTGGTAATTAACTTTCTTTTTCTGTCTTCATTGGGGCCAAAAAACGGTGCAAGGACCAAGGAAAAGAAATTTTTCGACGCATTCTGGTGAAGACCAATGAAGTTCCAGCTATGAATTCACTTCACATAAGCTATCAAGCTCAACGAAAATCTGGAGTAATATAAACTGAATACGAAATCTCCCGCTACGAAGTCGTATATTTCCACTCAAATTAAACCGAGTGAAATCGATACTCATGCCTCGGTCTGAAGAGGCAGACGCCCAATGGGAGATTTATAAAGACGAATTGGAGTCTTTATGGTTAGACAAGCGCTGGAATGCGATGCAGATCCAGGAGTATATGTCACAGCAATATGATTTCCACAAAGAGTGAGTTCTTGATTGAACACTTGATGGCTTTGAACGGCTCGAGGGATACTAATTTCATCAGTCAGTCGCAGTACAATCGTCGATTCCATAAATGGGGGTTTGAAAAGAATCTGAGAAAAGACGAATGGGAATTTATTGCTCATCGCCAGGCGAAGCGTAAAAGAGAAGGAAAACCACCCGGCCAAGTCAAGAAACATAACAGAACCATCCCAGATGAAAAGGTTCGGAAGGAAACCTCTAGATATGTGAATCTATCCTCTCAATACTTAAATACTGATGACCCAGGTAAGTCTCTTTACTTTTTCCCTCTACTCTGGATTCAATGATTATAACTCAGTCTTCCTAGGCCCTCCGACTCCAAATGGAATAGCCGTGGACACTCCCCAGCCTGAGGTTGAAAGTTCTGTATCTAACAGTGCGGCAAATAGTCTTGGGATGACGCGTTCTCTGGGCGTGGGTAGCGATCTTGGGAACCAGATAACCCCAGTTCCGTTCCTGCTTGGGGATATGGCTTCTCCTTCACTAATGATTGACCTGCCAGAACTTGAATCACTCAACCATTATTTCAGTCAGGCTCATGAGTTTCTGTTGGACTCCTGTGGCTCTGAAGAAAATTTGAAAGACAATCTTCCGCCTATGTCGACACCTTGGACATCCCCATCCACTGTTGGAAGGGGTTTTCTTGATGCCAATCGCGATTTCATGTTCAAAGATCTTCCAACAGTGACCGAACAATGTGAACTTGATGAAGTCCAGGCATATGCCTTGCAAAACTCTGATGAAGGCGGCGTGGAGCCTGGCTCTTTTAGAGATATTAAAGCTTTCTTGGCTAAAGAGACCGATTGGAGCTCTGCACAACCTTCAATGTCGACCCTAAAACGTTGTTTGCGAAATTTCATTTATCTTTCATCAAACGATATGCTTTCTGACCATTCAACACGAGACCTTGTACTTCTCATCGCAAAAAGCAACGCCTATTCAGTCCTGACAGCAGTCTTGAAATCTCGAAGCACCACTATTGAAATCTTCATGAGCAATCTACTATCAGCGGCGGTGGGTCTAGGTGAAACACAGATTTGTCGTATCCTCATTCAACACGGTGCAGATTTAGATGCTCGCAGTGGAATGGGAATGTTGACAGCACCTCTTTTGCAAGCAGTGCAACATAATCATCTCGATTGCGCAAGAATGCTCCTGGATGGGGGTGCAAACCCTAACTTAAGAGTTGGGGCCAGGTCCCCATTACATGTCGCCTGTTTGAGCGGTTGTCCACTGGAGGCCGTGGAACTCCTTCTACATTTTCAGGCCTCAGTTAATCCACCTCAGGATAGTGCTAAGCTGACACCCTTGCAAATGGCCGTGGATGCTGATAGAGCGGATTTGACGGAGCTTCTGCTAAGGAGGAAAGCCGATCCGAATCTTCCCACAACTTCAAGACTCGGAACGGCTCTACAAATAGCCTGCCAATCTTCTTCAAACGCCGACATTGTTGAGCTACTGGTGTCTGCCGGTGCTGACATCAACATGCGAGTGGGATCTCAAGGTGTTCAAATAAAGACGACGTTTTCCGAAGGTTGCCTATTCGACTTTCTCGATTCCGACAGTGACGATTCTAATTCTGACATTGAAACGAGCAATTATTTTTCCAACTGCATTTGGATGCCTAATTCTTGCAAGCCAGCTGTCTTGATAGCAGCGATAAGGGAGAATTGGGAGGCTGTCCAACTCCTGCTAGAAGAAGGAGCAAATATCAATGCCACTTTGAGCAAATATCCAACAGAGATCCTGCATAATGAAATATCCTGCAGTATTGAATCTAGACCTGCAGCCTTCACGCCACTCCAAGCAGCCGCCCGAGCCGGCAATATTACAATGACTCGCCAGCTTTTACAACTCGGAGCACATATCGATGCGAGACCGAATGGATCAGAAGGCCATACAGCACTTCAAATATGTGCGAGCACTGGGAATCTACGACTTGCCAAGATTTTGCTTCAAAAAGGTGCTGATATTAACGCTCCGGCAGGCGTCTATCATGGGCGGACCGCATTACAGGCTGCAGCTATGCATGCAGATGTTTCTTTATTGATCTTTTTGCTCGAGAAAGGGGCTGATGTGAACGCTGCACCTTCCAAAAAAGGTGGGAGAACAGCCCTTCAAGTCGCAGCAGCGAATGAAAACATTGAGGGGGTAAGGATTTTATTAGAAGCAGGTGCAATTGTCAATACTGATCCGAATCGCACTGATGGCAAAACCGCACTCCAGGAAGCGATTTTGATTAAAGGAGACGAAGTGGTGAAGAGCGAAATCATTCATCTACTCCTCCGTGCTGGAGCGCATACCAAAGCCCCCAAAGATGGTGATTATCCTCATCATCAACTTGTTTGGTCACCTCTTCATGCAGCAGTGCAATCAAGAAATTCAAGGGTGACAAGGGAGCTTTTGGAAAAAGGAGTCAACTCAAATCCGAGCTACTGTGCGACTACAAGACTCACACCCCTCCAGCGTGCGGCATCTCTGGGCGATTCGGACATTGTACAACTTTTGATATCTCACGGAGCGAAAGTCAACTTCCCGCCTCATCCGGATGGTGGTCGTACAGCTCTCCAGGCAGCCGTTGAGGGTAATCATATGTCTGTATCAAACACTCTTTTGAAGTTTGGCGCTTCCATAAGATCCAAAATTGCAGCAAAAAAGGGAATTTCCGCAATCCAAGCCGCCGCCGCAAATTGTAATTTGGAGCTCATCCAGATGCTCCTAGATCAAGATCCCGAGGCTATCTCATCCGATCATACTACAAAAATAAACATACTCAGGAGAGCATTGTCAACATGGAGATGCGAGGTAGATCTACTGAAACTTTTGATTAAACACGGCGCAGAAATCAACACAGTACCGGCCTCATCGGAGGTGTCGATTCTCCAAGCGGCTGCAATGAAGAGCAATTTTGGTTTTGTGCAGTATCTGATTTCCGCTGGTGCTGATCTTAATTATCGTTGCCATCCCAATTATGCTGGACCAACCACCGCTCTTCAAGCAGCCGCAGATTTACGGCATATTGACAACGTTGCGTTGCTTCTTAAGAGCGGGGCCGAAGTCAATGCGCCGGCGAATGAGAAAGGCGGCATGACGGCACTGCAATTTGCAGTGAAGCGGAAACACCGCGTTATGGTGAAGCTCTTGATAGAGCATGGAGCCGATGTTAATGCCTTACCCAGTCCAATGCGGGGCAGGACTGCCCTTCAACAAGCTGTTAGCGAGGGTTCCTTGGATCTCATTCGTTATTTGATTGCTCGTGGTGCAGATATCAATGCTCCAGCTGCTCGCTTTGCTGGCGTCACGGCTTTGCAAGCTGCTTCCATTCACGGTGATCCCTCAATTGTCATACTTTTACTCAAGGCCGGGGCTCATATCAATGGAGCACCTGCCATTGAATCTGGTCGTAATGCTATCGAAGCAGCTGCTGAAAATGGAAGAATAGATGCTCTGCATGCTTTGCTCAATTATCATCCCGATACAAAAGAATTTGATATCTGGAGAAGGCGAGCAGCCAGGCTGGCAATGCTTCATGGCCGTGTGGCTATTGAGAGATTTTTACGTGCGTATCGGAAGCATAGTAATCAGCGCGGGTGAGAATGGGGTTTAATGTATTTCTGAAAGTGAGAACATCTGAAATGATGGGTTTTTATTTTTTATTTTTATTTTTTTTTTCAATCTCATTAATATATACATGGATAAAAAAAATACGCTTAATCATTTCACTATGAACTTCGAATGGCCGGGGCGATACTATTGTGACACAACCTGCCAACTGAGAGCTCCACTAACTTCTGGATATATCTTCACAATTATAATGTCATCACTACCCTTCCTACTCTTCTCACGGGGCTAATATATACGTATATCTAGCTAGTAATCATTTATTTCGAGTGAATGTCATACAAATTGCTATCGCCATATAGCGTTCGTAATATAGAAGGTCACTCCCCTTGGCCATTCTATTGTTCCTTGATCTTCTCTTAATCCTTCTACTAAAATCAAAAGCACATTCTTATTACCCAAGGGATATCTATATACTACCAGCTAGTATTCAAGAAGTTCATTCAACCCTTCGGCAGTCGCTAGAAGACTTGGCAAGGATTGCTTTACGAGAAAAACCAAGAAGTTCTTTCATCATTCGAGTCACCAAGGTGTCTAAGAAGTCTGCATGACGGTTTAAAGATCATAAGGAATGTGCTAAACAGATATTTATAAAATATTCATTGATTGATTGACATTCAAGACAATAAAGAGAACATGAGAACTTGCGAAATCGATGCCAGAAATGATGGATCTTTTGATCCGCGCAAATCCATTTGTAGGTTTGCGCTAAATCTCAGGTGATCGACAGCAGGCTAAGCAAAAGAACTCGAACAGCGCATCCAAACCCAAAGGATTTAAGCCAAGAACTTAGCCAAGGACTCAGGTCAAGGATTTGACTAGAGAGAACAATATCTATTCTGCTGCCTGGAAGTTTCCCTGGGAGAGAAAATTGTCTTCTTCTCTCGTCCCATTTGCCCTGTCCAATGAATTGAGACCCTGTGGAGTGCCACTAGATCGGTGCTTCTCATTTACATCTTCATATTTGCCACTGAAACCAGGCCAACGCAAATCTCAGCGCTGTCTCAATCTCAAAATGCACCATCTCCGTGATTCCTTACTGAGCCTCTCGCCACGAGGTACCTCTTTACTCGCCACATCAGAAATTGTTCGAGTAGACCAAGAAAACGCACGCCAGTGCATCGCTCGGGGAGAATTCAAGGAAATCCGGGATGCCGCCTTCAATAACCGAACCTGGATATCTACATCAAGTTACTGCGAGCTCGGAGACAGCGTAGATTCGCTCGAAGAAAACATCCATTCTATATGGTATATGTATTACCAACTCGGGCGGAATATCTCTCATGAAGTGCCTGATCACGAGGGTCTGGTCCTCGACATTATCCGCATCAAGGAAAGGGTCCGCTGATTCGGTCTGTGCGGGGGAATTATGGTGTTGATATTGCCCGAACGGTCGAGGGCACGCTCTGGAATGATCTGCCCTTCTTGACCACCGACATGACCGACTTCTGGAACCGCGATTTTCCGACAATGTGCGGCACACATCGACTAAACTTTGCGACCTTCCTGGCAAAATTAGCATCAGCGCGTATCAGCAACGATAGACTTCGCCAGGTTGCGCTCGTTCTATTTCGTAATATTTTCGAAGAAAGACAGGAACTTCGGAGCGGGGAGGAGTCGGATGACGAAGATCGGTAACGGACCATGCGTCGACTTGAGATCTTTCACTTACTGCCATCTGCCACGGCCTGGCTCCGTCACGCAGGACACAATCTTATTCTACTCTCAGAGGTCTATTGGAACGATTGTCCCAACAATATCGGCAAGGCTAGCGAGAAGTTCATTGATTCTGAGATCTTGGGCAACGATCGCCCACCGGATTCTCGCCATCGAGATATATGTACTGGCTCAAGCGACTCCATGAATTCAGGACCAGGCTAAAGAAGCAATGCCCAAAGAAGAAGTCTTAGAACAGTATGCCGCTGATGCCATTCACTATATGGTTGACAAAGTCGAGCAACGGAACTCTGAGATTTAAAAGGCTTACCAGAGCGGCGGTGATGCATTTCATCAAGATAAACATCTGTCATGTCTTCGGAATCTTCTGGAGGGTGATGCCTCAGTCAATCAAGACTCAAATTAGTAGATAAGATGCAAAGAAGGGAATGACGAGGCTGGCTCTTTTGTATCAAGGCGACCAAGAAAGGCAGGTTATAAATTACGTGAATGGAGGCCGAGCCGGAATGATAAAATTAAACCTCAAAGGCAGTTCAGAGGTCTGCTGGTCACAAAATATAAATATGACAACGGCTCAAGGTTTTCTTTTTGGCTATCGGGCTTTCGAGTTGGGGATGCTGAAAATTTGGGGCACCGGGGATGGGCACGCTGGCTTTCGGTGTTGGGGCCTAAAATATTCCTAGAAGTGATTCACACGAACAGGCAATCCGGAGTATTATAGAAAAGGATAGTATATTCAATGCTATCATTTGTACATGCGCAGGAAGACGCTCATCGTAGAATCGTGTTCGTTATATACATAGCATTTGCCAGCACAATGCCATTGCGTCAAATTAAAGGGGAGCATTCATCCGCTCCTTATAATCCGGGAATTCAAAGTCGCCAAGATCCCACTCGATACTGGGACTCCAGGACGCATTTCCAGCACTTGCAAAGCTTGTGCCAAGTCCACTCTCCAGTTCAAAGTCGCGGTCCTGGATATCGTTGGGTGCGGTGTCGAGGTTAGGGTTCATGGTGTCAGAAACCATGCGCAACTCCCGTACCACTTTGATTCCGTCTCGACTTGTGTCGGGTTCTTCTTTATTAGTGTTCATGTTTGAGATACTGGCAGTGTAACTACCGGGTCCAGCGAAAAATATGTCATTATAGAAAATTCCGCCATCAGGGCTCATAATTTGGTCATGAACGGAGTGCTTTCGAGACGATGCGAGGTGGGTCGTGTTGGATGGGAGCTTCGAAGCTGGTGAGGAGTGTAGAGGTTGTGGGCGGAAGCAGAAGGAGAAGATACGGGAAATTAGCGGGTGGATGGGAGGCATGCAGGCACATATTATGGATACATTGGCTTCGAGGGATGACCAAACGGCTGCATCTGCGTTTTTTCCTAAAGGATCATCAGATATGAACAAAGGGAAAAAAGTGAAATCCATTTGAGGTAGGTGGTACTTACTTGTGAAATCTTGCCCGCGAACCATCGTGCTTAATTCGTAGAGTCGGGCGGAACTGGTAGCGACCACACTGAAATGTTATCAGTATCAATATCGCTTGAAAGGCTCATGGTGCAACTTACAAGATTCCAAGTCCGAAAACGAACATGAGACCTGCTTTCTGCCTCGTTGGCAGGTTCAGCCTCGACAATAAGGGCATAGGTAGGATCAGGATTATGACATCGGTGAAGATCTGTATGCCTGCATTGGAGAACCAAATAGGCCCTTCGGGTAAGCAATGGCTGATGTGATATTGGTGATCGAGGCTCCAGAAAGCCCTGACTGGGACACAGAAAATGAAACCGCTGCCGACCATCCATAATCCCGAGATGATGATAAAGGCCATGGAGAGGTAGGTAGTGATTAGGAAACGTCGATTGCGGAAGATACGAGTGTAGAGCACAAGGGCGGAGAGCTTGGAAAGACAGAGGGATAGATTGTAGAAGGGAACAGAGAGCCATAGATACTGTAGGGACAAGAAAGTCAGTATGTGATAATTTATTCTGAGCAAAGATGTACATACGCGCAGCTGGCCTTCAATGACATGTTGCGGTAAAAGATTCACTGGAACCCCGAGGCCATAATGTCGCTCTATTGGAATTATTATTAGCACCTTCGTCATAGCAAGCGATTCAGACGATATACGGCTAACATACCGACAAGAATGAAGGCATAGAATAAAATAGACGAGAGCTGGGTTTCACGTTAGCACTTTCCTAGGAGGTTCCTACCGCCATGAGCTTCGCTGCTCGGCTGATTCGAGCCAAGGGAATTGAGATCAAAACATACCACAGCCGCAAAGATGAGAAGATCATCATAGCCGGGGCTTTTCACAATTCCAATGCGAGTCCAGATTCGAATAGCGACGAATAATGCAGCCAGACTTGTGAAGATCGTGGTCACTATCAGGACCTTCATATTCGTTTTATGACGCGTAATGTCAACGGTGCCATCGAATGAAATTGGCATGAAGTGAAAGATGAATCGAATGTATTGGACAGGTTATTGTCATTCAAGGAAGTCGAGGAAAGTGGCAGAAATGTATTCAGGTCGAACGACCATGACTCTATGAGGAAGTCTCAAATGAATGACCAGATCAAACGAATGCAAGGCTTTGGCTGCCTATCGGTAGACGCAGAAGTCCGACTTTATCGGTTTAAAAGCACGAGTCTTCGATCAAGCAACGGCCGGCTGATGTTCGGCGTAATATCTGAATATGATGTAGGTATCACCCCACGGATGCCAATTCTTCAGTTCAGAAAAGATAAGCGAACAAGAATAGAGTCACGATTCTGCACGATGATCGGGGTCTGCAAAAGAGAGCCCACCCCTCGCACTTGATTTCCCAAAGGTGCATGAGATCACAGGCGAGCAGCGTGGTTGGTCCAACCGGGGGTTCGAGACAGCCGGATTAGGAAATTGCCTGAAGTCGGTTGCGTCAAGGAGTCGACTACACTCAAACGTCTCGCCGGGTCCATAGTGAAGGAGAATCAGAGCGAGTGGGTATAATTGGCGTGAAATAAAGTTGTGGAGACTTGATTTATCTCTCCGAGGCGTCCCCGAGTCCTGGACTTGGCTGTGGTTCGCGCGATAGCAAGTCTGTCATGGCGGTCGCCGTCCCACCCCCAACTGTACCAGACTCACGCTACACTGCATGATTGATCGATTTTTAGTTATTTCATCAATCGAAAACGCGGTTCAGAGAAAACCTTATGATTTATCGGGTCCGAAATGGCCGCTCACGACGTCTCGTTCGCCCCATTCCACACCCTCGTCGCATCTGGACCGCAAATCAGATGCCAATTGGTACGGTCAGTCGATTATCTTTGCCTCCTGTAGATACTACACGATTCAAGGATAACTGAACTAGGCTGTGCGTGGAGAACATCTTGACTCCGATCGACTCCATCTCTGCCACAGATGTCGAGTGGAGCAGCCTTACAGGAGGGTGGGCTCGGGGATGCCGACACTGAATATTGAGTCTAGCTGAGTGGGACTTACTCGTTGACACCGGGGAGGAGATGTCTTCTCCTGTAATCACGCGATAATGAAGAATAAAGTGGCTCGCTGCCTCGGAAAAGCCGATTATGATCAATTGGCACCGAATTCTCCCGTCCTCTTGGAGGCTGAACGGAGAATGTAGGGACCAGCGGCTCTTATGGCTCATGGCGTTAATGGACGGGACTGGACCGTGTAGGGCTGGATGGCCGAGCCTGGGCCTTCTATCGGCCGGGGTAGACGAAAAGGGAGAAGATGTATTCAGCCAACGTGATAAATAGTACTCCTTTAACTCTGTTGAAGACTTGGTCTGCCCCTGCTGCTCACAAGTGGCGCCCAATGGGGATTTCTATCAAGTAATTAGTATGCTTCAAGTACTGATAAGAATCATACTTAGAAATAGCAAAGAAGCGCACTATATCCTGCAATCAACAAGCCTAGGCTCCAACATATCCGGTATCTTTTTCTTCCCTCAGATCCATCACGCCTTCATGGAACGGATTGAACATTTAAGAGAGCGAGTATCGTGCTAAGTCAACTAGATTGACATCTAAAAGCGAGAAAAGAAAAAAGAAAACGGTAGAAAAGATTTGGAGACAAAAAAAAGCAAATTTTATTCGTCGCAGCTGTACATGGCGAAAGCTAAGACCAAATGTTATCCCCAATATCTAACGGGGACACAAGGAAGACATTTAACAGGAACGGGGTTTAAAAAAAAAAGAGAAACAAGATATCGTATAGAAGTAAATGCCCTCGATCAAAGGATTGATGGCACGAAATCATCGCATGTCACCGCCTCAGAGAACCACGTCTACAGACGAGCACTGAGGTTGGACTTCAGGCGCCGCTCAACGGCAGCCATGTACTCTCCAGTGGTGACCCAGGCCTCACGGTCCTTGCGGCCGCAGGCAAGGGCGAGATCCTTGGTCATGATGCCCTCCTCGTTGACGACGTCAGTGCAAGCACGCTCGAGCTCCTCGGCGAAGGCGACAACGTCGGGAGTCTCGTCGAGCTTGCCACGCTGGATCAGACCGCGAGTCCAGGCGAAGATGGAGGCGATGGGGTTGGTGGAGGTCTCGCGGCCCTTCTGGTGCTCGCGGTAGTGACGGGTCACGGTGCCGTGGGCGGCCTCGGACTCGAAGGCCTCACCAGTGGGGGTGACCAGAGTGGAGGTCATCAGACCGAGGGAGCCAAAGCCCTGGGCGACGATGTCGGACTGGACATCACCGTCGTAGTCTAAAAGATTGCAACGTTAGTCGAATATGGAGAGGGTAAGGTAAGAACGAAGGCAATAGACTCACTCTTCAGGGCCATGACGAAGCCACCCTCGCTCTTGATCATCTGAGCGACCATGTCGTCGATCAGACGGTGCTCGTACCAGATGTTCTTGGCATCAAAGTCCTTCTTGTAGTCCTTCTCAAAGATCTCCTGGAAGATATCCTTGAAGCGGCCATCGTAGCGCTTGAGGATGGTGTTCTTGGTGCTCATGTACAGAGGCAGACCCTTCATCAGGGCCATCTGGAAAGAGGCGTGGGCAAAGCCCTCAATGGACTCATCAGTGTTGTACTGGCACTGAGCAACACCGCCGCCGTTCTGGAAGTCGAAGACCTGAACGCGCTCAGGCTCACCGCCGGCCGGGGTGTAGACCAGCTCGAGCTTACCGGGGCCGGGGATGACACGGTCCTGGGCACGGTACTGGTCGCCGAAGGCGTGACGGCCAATGACGATGGGCTTGTTCCAGCCAGGCACCAGACGAGGGATGCGGGGAATGATGATGGGCTCACGGAAGACGGTACCGCCACTGCGGGGGAGATCATCAGTGGATCCATTCGGCCGTGGCCATGCAAGGCAGTGATAATCAGGTCCTACTTACAGGATGTTACGGATGGTACCGTTGGGGGACAACCACACTGCAGACACAAGATTAGCATTGAAGTCATTGTTACACAGCAGCGGGGGCCGCCGGTGAGAGAATAAAGCGTACTCTTCTTCAGCTTGAACTCCTCAACACGGGCCTCATCAGGGGTGATGGTGGCACACTTGACACCGACACCATACTTCTTGATGGCCTCGGCGGCATCAACGGTGACCTTGTCATCGGTCTCATCACGGTACTCCAGACCCTAAATGCAGTAATGGATCAGCACGATAATTCCCCATTTCTCAGGACGGCGACGTCATCACGCAGGGTTGAACATACCAAGTCGTAGTACTTGAGGTCGATGTCAAGGTAACTTAATTGGGTCTCAGCTACATGCCGGGATAATCCGTTGGATATCGGAGATACTTACGGCAGAATCAACTAGAGAACGCAATGTTAGCCTCCATTGAAATACCGAGCGGGGGGCAGGGAGCCAATGTGATGCATCATTTCCACATGCAGCTGGAACCTGCAAGCCGCAGAGGCGGGATGATCATGCAGGCCTGGTCCAGAACATGGCCGATGAGGGGATAAAAGGGGAGAGGGAGGACCCGAGGCTTACCTTCTCTCTGATTTCTTGCCAGATGATACGGGTCATCTACAGTGGACCAAAAGAACCGATTAGCACATGCTTGGATATCCCAGACGGGAAGTTATCGTCTCTTGCCGACTGTCTCTAGGAGCGGGTAGTGCAGTGTCATATCCTCGGGTGGGTTGACACATGTATCGGCATGGAGGGGTTTCCCCGTGTTTCCCCGCGTTGGGAAGGACGAACACGGCGAAAACCCACGACAAGCCGAGATTGCAATACAAAACAAGCTTGTGATACCCTCCCGAGACCAGCGGAGACTTTAAACTATAAAAGGAGAGACAAGGGCCATACCTCATCACCATCCAATTCCACCACCGGGTTCTTAACCTTGATCTTGCCTGCGGAAGCCATGGTGCGGGTTTGGGTGAGGTACAGGGAGGGAGTCGATCCGGACCAGCGGGAGGACGCGAGAGAGGAGCGAGGAAGACGAAGGGGAGCAGATGAGAAAGATCTCTGAGAGAGAGAAGAAGAAGAAGAAGTGAAGGAGGTGGAAGAGAGAAGACGAGAAGAAGAGAGAGGGGCAACGGATGGAGGGGTCAGGGACCGGCGCGCGAAAGCGGAACTGGACCGGAGAGCGTTCATCGTGGGAATTGCAATGGCAATGGCTGGATGGGCTAGTCGGGAAAGTGTCAGCACGTCTTTCTCTCTTTCTGTTTGGCTCTTGGGTTCGGGAAGGGGAAAGAGGGTCGGGCTGGGCCAACGCCGTGACGAACAACCGAGGGACGATGTTCGGCAGAAAGGAGACGAGAGCGGCAGTGGAGTCGCGACTTTCTCGGAATATCGGAGTATCAGCGCCCACCACGTCTTCCGGGACGGAGCCCTTTGGGATTTGGAGACTCGATTGTTCGCCGAGCGCTCTCCAGCACTCTTGCGCTCTCGAGGTCTCGTGCTCTCGCTCTCAATCTTGCGCGCACCCTGTTGCGAAGACCAAACAACGTCACCTGGCGGTCACGGCGGGTGAAGACTGTTTTCCCGGGCGATGCGCTGCGTCTGGGGTTCCCGGCTAACAGAGGGGGGACCCGGCCCAGTTGCGGCGACTCTGGGACTCTGGGGGCAAATGGACCGGGGCAGAACGGGAGGGTCCGGAACAGCACACAACCCGCAGGGCAGATGGAGACGGGGGGAATTACCGAGTCAAAGCAACGATGCCTGAGGAGAGGATCAAAGGAGGAGGAAAAAGCCTTGTCCGGGAGCTGCAAGGAACAAGGTGTTGTCGATTTAACGATCTCCGCTGGAAAAGAAGTGCCGAAGCCGGACGTCACGAGACAATCTCACTACGACCGAACTATATGTGGAACGAAATGAAACTACGTCCTCGTCTCGCTTCTTATGGTAGACGGTGGATGCCTCGTCTTTTATCGGCCTCTGGTCCTTATTCTGTCGTCTGGGTGAGAGAGCTCTTTTTTTTCTCCTTGACTCACGGGCGGTTGCTGCCAGCGGCGAGTCACAGTGCGGCGACGGCACTCCACTGGACCCGCCGTGTTGGGCGATTTGCGGGAGCGCAACCGGAGCTCGGAGCGTCTCTCCGCGGCTTCACCGAGGACTGCGCCTAGGAAACCGGGAAACGATCTTCCGAATAGCACGATCAGCGACAAGGAGAGTCATCGGATAGACCACCCGGGATAACACTGGAAAAACTCGTAGGATACAAACCACTAACATTGCCATAGAGAGGACATAGACCGGACACTGATTTCCACACAGAAAGGACACCGAACTGACGCCGATAGAAGCCGAACCAAAAAAGACTGGCACTACATAAGATAGAGTGAATGATGTGATTGATTGGATTTTGATCTGATTCGTATAAAAGAAAGATTCCCCGATATAGTGGTAGAGTGGTACCCCATCCATCAACCTCAATTTCATATGCAATCAAGCTGCTTTCTGGTGTTGAATATGTCTTTCCGTCTAAAAAGCCCTGCTCCGATCGGACGCCCAAATTATCGTCGTATCGTGAAGATGTGTGTTGAATGTTAGTCCCGCCAAACGATCCCGAAAAAGATATAATCATCCAAAATAGGCCCTCATCATGGGACTTCGGCCTTTCTGTCTCTGTCTTTCTCTATATACAAACAATTTCCAATTATCTGTCCCAATAATATTGACCCAAGAATTGACGGTTCGCTGTGAGATCGGCTCTAGAATAGACCGTCGATCTCCCCGGTCTCGGTATCAATGTCCACATTAAGGTAGCCCGGAGCAGTGGGCAGACCGGGGATCGTCTGGATATCAGCAGCTAGGGCGTAGCTAAAAGAAGCACGTTAGTATGAGGACTAGGTTGAGCGCAAGGACCCCCAACTTGGTGTGGACCTCCCGGAAGAAATCAGCGGGGTGAGAGAAACAAAAATACTCACAGATATCCAGCGCCCACAGCCAATCTAACATCCCGAATGGGCACAGTGAACCCAGTCGGGGCGCCCTTCAGGGCCGGGTCGTGACTGAGCGAGTATTGCGTCTTGGCAATACAGATCGGCAGATTGGCGAAACCCTGCTGCGTGTAGGTATCAACCTTCTTCTGCGCCAGCTCGCTGAACTCCACCTTCTCAGCACCGTACATGGCCTTGCCGATACGTTCGATGCGCTCCTGGATGCTGCCGTTTAGGTCATACAGTAGCTTGAAGTCTTTAGGCTTGGAGCTAGAGGCGAGCACAGCCTTGGCAAGGTCGACGGCGCCCGCTCCACCATCAGCCCAGTGGTTAGCGGGAATGGCGTCCTCCGCACCCGCAGCGATGGCCTCCTCCTTGATGACGGCAATCTCAGCCTCAGTGTCGGTCTCGAAACGGTTGATGGCCACAACAACCGGCACGCCGTACTGCTTGGCATTGGCGATATGCTTGCGCAGGTTGATGCAGCCTGCGCGGAGAATATCAACATTCTCGGTGCGGTAGATCTCGTGGAGGGCACCGCCGGGAGTGATCTCGGGACCACCGCCGTGCACCTTGAGCGCACGGACCGTAGCCACAATGACAACGGTGTCAGGGGACAAGCCCGATGATCGGCACTTGATGTTGAAGAAACGCTCACCGCCCATGGTGAAATCGAAGCCTGCCTCAGTCACGACGAAACCAGTCTTAGCATCGTGGTCCTCATCAGGCTCGGTACCAGCCAGCTTGAGGGCGAGCTTGTCGGCAATGACCGAGCTAGCACCGATACTGATATTGGCGAAGGGGCCAGCGTGTACCAAAACGGGGGTTCCCTCCAGACTCTGCATCAGGTTTGGCTTAATAGCGTCCTTCATCAAAGCAGCCAGGGCACCACCAGCGCCAATGTCATCGCAAGTAACGGGGTCCCCACTCCGGGAGGTTGCAACAACCATGCGACCAAGACGCTCACGCATATCATCCAGGCTGTTGCTTAGGGCAAGGATAGCCATGCACTCACTGGCGACGGAAATATCGAATCCGGTCTCGCGAGAAAGACCCTTCTCTGTGGGGGCCTGACCAACGGTGATGCCACGGAGGTGGCGGTCGTTGACATCAAGGACACGGCGCCAGGTGATGGTCTCCGGGTCGATGTCCAGGCGGGCGAAGCGACGGATCTCCTCCTCGGTGAGGTCATCCGGGTTGGTCTTGTCAATGCCGAGCTTCTTGAGTCGGCGGAACATAATGGGCTTGAACTCACGCTTGCCCTTGCTGGCGGGAACAAGACGCTTGTACAGCGGACCATCCTTTTGGGTGGACTCGTGAAACATGCGGGTTTCAATGGCAGCGGCGAGCAGGTTGTTGGCCGCGGTAATGGCGTGAATGTCACCGGTCAAGTGCAGATTGAACTCATCCATGGGAATGACCTGACTATAGCCACCACCAGCAGCACCGCCCTTGATACCAAAAGTCGGGCCTTGGCTGGGCTGTCGGACATTGGCGAAAGTAATGCGATTCAAGTGAGCACCCAGGGCCTGGGTAAGACCGAGAGTGGTGGTGGACTTGCCCTCACCGAGGGGAGTGGGTGTAATACCGCAAACCAGGATATAGCGTCCATTGCGACGGTGAGAAAGACGATCCAAAACACTCAAATTAACCTTGGCCTTCGTGTGGCCATAAGGCTCAAGCTCATGAGAAGCAATGCCAACCTCCGATGCAACCTGGGTGATGGGCTTGGGGTACTGAGCACGAGAGATGGCGATGTCGGATGGGACGGGGCGCTCCAATCGAATGGGAAGTGGAGTGATGTGACGGTCCTTCTGCTTCTCGAAGTAGGACTTGGCGGCGTGGACGACGTTCTTGAGGAGCATGGCAACGGTCATAGGGCCAACACCACCAGGAACGGGGGTAATCTGAGAGGCGACCTGGAAGGCAGACTCGAAATCCACATCACCAACCAAGCGCTGGCCTGATTTCTTCGTTGCATCAGGCTTGTAGTTGATTCCGACATCAATGACGACGGCACCGGGCTTCAACCAGTCACCCTTTACCATCTCAGTCTGTCCAATGGCAGCGACAACGATGTCGGCGTTCTTGACCACACGAGCGATATCAGGGGTCTTGGAGTGACACAGGGTGACAGTGGCGTCGGCATTTTTGAGGAGGTAGCTAACAGGGCTACCAACAATGTCACTGCGGCCCAGGACAACCGCCTCCTTGCCAGCGGGATCAACTCCGCTGGCCTTCAGGAGCTCCATGACGGCGAGTGGGGTGCAGGGAACAAAGAGCGGGCGGCCGCCACGCTTGGCCAGCTCACCAATGTTGATGGCACCGAATCCATCGACATCCTTCGCGTCTGAGACAGCCGAGGTGATCGCATGCTCGGACATGTGGGAAGGGAGGGGTAGCTGGACCAAGATACCGTGGACGGAGGGATCATTGTTGGCCTTTGTGATCTCCTGGAGAAGCTCCAGCTCGGTGCTGGTCTCGGGAACGTTGATCAGAGTGCAGATGATGTTGGCCTGCAGGAGGGTTGGGATCAGTCAGCTTCGCAGATTTAGCAATGATAAGGAGGGGTAATCTCACCTCCTCGCAGGCCTTCAGCTTCATGCGCACATAGGTACCTTGGATCTTGTCAGCTCGTAGTTCCTCGATCGCAGTTCAATTTTATTCATTGAGGTGTCTCACTAGAATCGGACCGGTTTCCAACTGTAAAATTTCATGATCTGTTAGCCATTGTTGTCACCCGCATATGTATCTGCAAAAGGTTTTCCACGAGGCGAAAGACCAAACTTACCCTGAAAAATGACCAGACTGGGCTTGAATCGAGGATTGGTAACTTGAGTCTTCTCAATCTCTGTCTTCAGGCCCTCACGGATGCTCTTGGCAATCGCGGTGCCGTCAATCTTGGCTGCCATGATTGCGGAACTGCAGAACGTGCGATGGGAAGAGGCGGCCGTGGGGCTTAAAAAAGCTGAACTCAGCGGAGGCCGACCGGGAAATGACGACGACGATATAGCAATTCCTCTAACCCCTCGTGCGGAGGAGAAGTTGAAAGAACGGGAAAAGCACGGAGTGAGGGTGCGGAGACGAAAATTGCCCGCGCGCGCTTGAAGGGAAAAGCGACAGCGGGGTCCCGTGGCGGGGAAGACGGGCATGAATATTATTGCTTCTTTAGGGGCGAGAACCCTCGGGACTGCTTGCTGCATGCACTTCGGGATCACCAGGGATCGATGGAATCGAGGCTATTGAGGAGTGTTGGATGCAGCAACATCAAGGATTGAGCCGGAAGACAAGAAGGATTCACATAACACATCTCCTCAGTCGAATTTCCCCCTCGCCCTTTGTACACCGTTCGAGTGCCTTTTTTGGGTTGCTCGACGGGAGGCTCGCGGACGCCGAAAGAAGGCGCCGGGAACACAGGGGCGGATTGTGGCCTGAGGCCGCAGATAGTTTAACTGGTTGGCGGATCTCCCAAGCTCAGCTTGCAGCACGGGATCGCTGAGTCAGCCGGGGCTCGGAGAAAGTATGAGACCCGGGCTGGTTCAGGTAAGTAGGGTTAGGGCTGGAAAGGCGCCATCACGTGTAGATACCGGAACATTGTTTTCTCCGGAAAGCGGGATTCGATACGGCCCAAGTCTTGGCGCTGAGTGGCCGAGTGTGCGATGAAATTCACTAGTCAAAGAAAGTGAGGTTGACGAGATTGACGACCCCCTCCGGTATACCCGCCCTCCTTCCACCCCTCGAACGCCGATCGCCTTCGACTTTACCTCGATTTCCGGTCGAATACATCAGTCGCACCGTTCAAGATGCGGCCTATTTTGCTGTCGGGCCATGTGCGTGCGATTTCTCCAATCTCTCTGGGTCCACAGAAACTGACCGCGGCCATGTCTTGGTCCCCTGCAGGAACGGTCCCTCAACCAAATCAAGTTTAACAAGGATGGCGATCTCATCTTCTCAGTCTCCAAGGATAAGGTCGTGTGCGCGTGGTGGTCCGCCAACGGCGAGCGTCTCGGAACCTACAGTGGTCACCAGGGTGCCATCTGGACCGTTGATGTCAGCCCCAACACCGTCCTTCTCGCCACCGGCTCAGCAGACAACACCGTGCGTTTATGGAACATTAAGACTGGCGAGTGTGTGAAGACCTGGGATTTCCCGACGGCCGTCAAGCGGGTCGCCTTCTCCCCGGATGGAAGCAAGCTGTTGGCCGTGACTGAGAAGCGTATGGGTTTCCTGGGTACGATTGCGGTGTTCGATATTGCCTATGGCGATGGTAACCTCGGTGGCCTGGAGGTCCAGGCTGAGGAGCCGAGCTTGCGCATCACTTGCACCGAGAGCAAGGCTACTGTGGCGGGGTGGAGCTATCTGGCCAAGTACATCATCGCGGCTCACGAGGATGGCAGTGTCAGCCAGTACGACCCGAAGGTATGAACAATCTTGATTTTGCCTCTGCTACTCGTTGGCATCTCTCGTTCGTGATGGCTTCGGTGGTTCAATACTGACAATCGACTGGCTCTCTAGACTGGTGACCAGGTGAAGAACATCCAGGCCCACGAGTTCGACCACCAGATCAACGACCTCCAATTCTCCCCCGACCGCACCTACTTCATCACTGCCTCGAAAGACAAGTCTGCCAAGGTAGGCCACGATCGCAGGATAACCATGTCTATCGAAAGAATCTCTACTTACTGTCGTCTAGCTTATCTCCGCCAGCAACCTCGAAATTCTCAAGACCTACATCGCCGATACCCCCCTCAACTCCGCCTCCATTACTGCGAAGAAGGACTACGTGATCCTTGGTGGTGGTCAGGCCGCCATGGATGTCACCACCACCTCCGCCCGCCAGGGTAAATTCGAGGCCCGCTTCTACCACAAGGTTTTCGAGGACGAGATCGGTCGTGTCCGTGGCCACTTCGGTCCCCTCAACACCATCGACGTTCACCCCGCCGGTACCGCATATGCCTCCGGTGGTGAGGACGGCTACGTCCGTGTCCACCACTTCGACAAGTCCTACTTCGACTTCATGTACGAGGTTGAGCGTGAGCAGCTGCGAAAGTAAAGCGAGAGCGAAGAGCGATGAAAGCTATGACGGAAAAGAATAGGTGATGGGAGTGATTGAAAGAGCTCAATCACACGTGGTCTGTCTGAATGTGTTTTTATGATGCGAACAGGACTCGGGACAAATTTATCCTGAGCTCCCATGAGTTCTGGCATACGGGATGACATGATGACCTTCCGAGGCACAATGTCTCATTCCATTTCTTGATTACATGATCAACCGGAGTTGGTACCCCCCCTTTGTTTTTGATTTGGTTTTTTTAATAAAAGATGGCATGCTTCACATTCTGGGTTTCTCTCGAGGTTGCTGTTGTTCCTTTTGCTGGGAAGGTAGTGCGTGGTGACTGCCAGCGGAGGATGTGCATATCGCGAAATAGACAAAACGAAGCTTTGCAAAACGTTCAATCTGGTTTTTTCACCCCTGCTCTTTTTTAACCATAGAGATTTTAAGTGGTTCTTAGTACCGCAGTCTGCCTCTAGTAGATGGATATCAATTACATGTAAGTTGTGTTAAGGGAAATGAAGTCGATGCTGAAGCTAGGGCGGAGCTTACTGGGCGCTTGGATCGGTTGCACTCTCGTGAGTTTGAGGGAATAACTATATAGCTTGGTCATTATGATATAGGTGGTTAAAACAACCTTTGAAACCAACACGACTCAGAGATCAGCGCTAGAGATAAACTACGAATAGTGCGATGAATTATAACTGTCGCAAGCAGTTTAAATCATTGAGGTATCTCATTTATACATATTTTCCATCTTATTTTCTCTAGATCCAAGTCCATGTAGTGGCTGACGCTAATCCGACCAGCAAAAAAAGCAACCCAGAAAGAAGTCGCATGAAGAAGAAGGGGGGGAAAGGGATTTCGGGGGAGGACATGACAATCATCAGAATCATCAACGGGGGGAAAAAAGAAGAAGAAAGGTTGAGGTCAAAAAAAGGAATGAAACCAAAAAAAAAAAAAAAAACGCAAAACTTCAATTTGTCCCGGTCTCATCCCGAAAAGAAATAACAGCCGCGGGCTCACCCCCGATCCGAGTTTACTTCTTCTTGGGGAACTTTTCTTGACCGATGCCATTGCCGCGGAGCTTGACGTTGAGCACGCGCTCCATGGCACCGAGGACCTTCTGGTCTGGCGCCGCAGTGCCGCGCTCGAAGTCCTGGATGACAGTGATGGTGGTGTTGCACTTGGTGGCGAGTTCCTTCTGGGTCATCTTGTAGCCCTCATCGTTGCGGCGCTTCTTGATGGCATCGGCCACCTGGGTACCGACGGTCTTGGGCTTAATGATGTCGTCACTGCGGTCGACCTTGGTCAAGTGCTGGCCTTCGGGAGCGCCAGACTTTGCGGCCTGGTTGAGAGCGGAGGTTGTGAAGTTAGTGATGTATTTTCATCCCATCCGTCTGAAACGTGGATTAAAACATACAATGTTTCCAGTAGTATACTTCTTCTCGGTGCCAATAAGAGTACCGGAGCGCTGGGCGGCATTCAAGGCACTCTTGCCCTTGACAACGGTCTCGCGGGGGCCAGTGCCGGTGCCGCGGGCCTTGCTGCCAATCTTGGTGACGGTGTCCCAGTCGCTCATTTTGACGTGTGTGGTGATCGGAAGGGGAGGAGAAAGTGCGGGTGGTGGGAGAAAGGGGTGCGGTATGTCAATGCTCGTGTGAGGTTGAAGATGCAATTTATACTGCACAGAAGCTTCTCGACTGGTGAAGGAGGGGAGTCACGCGCTAGTCCTCTTTGGGATTAATCGAGGGAGGGCCCAACTCCTCTTTGTGGTCGACTCGGCGCCCCGGCTTGACCAGCGATGAAAAGTTATAGACAGGAGATTCAAGTCCTAAGGTCTTTGTTATCTCCGAGGAGCGAGTGAGAAAAGATCTGTGCTTCCTCTTTGATCGTGGATTGAAAGCCGTTTGTGCGGTGCGGGAAGAGGATTTACAGGATATCGCCACAGTCGCCGTCGAGCCCTTCTCCCTGTTCTACTCTGTGGCTCTGCGGCTTGATTGCATACGAATTGAAGTCTACTGGATTGCCGTTGTCAGAAGAACATGAACAGTATGTTTAACCATATTACACTCTTAGTCGCCTTTCATCTTTCGCTTTTTTCATCTTTGGAGTACTCAGCCTATGTGATCTCATCGCCCCACTTGATGTCATACTTTCTCGGGCTTGTCGAAGGAAAGCATGCTAGGAACAAAGGCGTCAAGATAAACAACCATGGAATAAGCCCGGGGAAAGTCCATTTGATGAGTTTTGTGAGTCACTCCTTGTCACTAATCATGGCGAGCGGTTCTGCTTTGAGCAGAGCGACAAACATAAATCGCCCGTTTGGGACGCCGACTTCCCCGCCCTGAGGCTGAGGAACCCCAGAACTGCCTGTCTCGTGGAGACTGTCCTCGTCAATCTCTCTGGAGAATCGACTATTTTGCATCTAACATCATTTCATTTCGCTCGTGTAGCTTGCTTCGTGAGTCGTGCATCAAGAGAGAGCACTTCCTTTCGGCGATGAGAAGGGAATGTCAGGATCGGACATGATCCTCCGCTCGGGGTTAACGGGCTTTCCCCTTTAGGGGTTTCAACCAGCATCCATCCACAATCCGATATGTCCGAGTAGCTCGTAGTATAGCAAGAACGAACTATAAAGGATGCATTGGAAATGCGGTATACTCTGAAAATAATCAGACGCAAGCAAACATTCTTCGCAATCAAATCCGATCAATTCATCTCAAGAGGTCTGAGCCACCATACTAGACAAGATGTCGACCATCGCAAAGCCACATGCGCCCGAGCCGCGATCATGGTGCTTGGTAGGTATATAAAATAACTAATCTTTGATTGGTTCTCTGATCTCTCCTATTGAGTATTTTGAGTATTCTTATTCTGACTGTTCCCAGGATGGACGAGAAGTTGACCTCCTCCATTACATCTATGGCCGACCTGATCTCAAGCAGATGCGTGGCAACCCACGTAGGGTTCTTGCTGCGATTGACGATTACCACCACAACTGCAACAAGCTGATCAATGTCGGAGCTGTCAAGGGGAAATCTATTGTCCACCTCATTGCCGAGCACAAGCCCTCAGTTATGATCGAACTTGGTGGCTACGTCGGCTACTCTGCCATTCTCTTCGGAGATGCAGTGCGATCGAACGGTGGAAAGAAATATTTATCAATGGAGAAGAACCCTGAGATGGCGGCTGTCGCAAACCAACTTGTTGACCTTGCCGGATTGGGAGATGTGGTGCGAGTCCTGGTTGGATCTAGCGATGAGCTACTGGCAGAGCTGATCCGCGATCGCAAGGAGATTGATCACATTGAGATGCTGTTTGTGGACCATTGGCAGGAACTGTATCTTCCCGATTTGTGGCTTTTGGAAGAAATGGAAGCCATTTGTCCCAACAAGTCACTTTTAGTGGCAGACAATGTAATAATGCCAGGCGCGCCGAAGTACATGGAATGGGTGAAAGCCACGCCAGAGCAGAAGCGAGTGATCTTGAAGAAGTCGAGCGTGACAAGCTTGAAGCCGAACCCGAATCTCATCTATGAGACTGATGTTCTAGAATTTGAAACTGACTTTGGAAAGGTGCTGTCCCAGTGTTCAAATTCCAGTTGAAAAGAGCTGAAGCTAATCGATCAAATATAGGATGGCCTCGCCGTCACAAAGGTTTTAGGAGATGAGAAGGCTTAGAATGTTCGGACGCCCGCCAAACAGATGACTGCAATTACTCTCGTGACTGGATCAAGTTTGTTTATGTTCTACCTGTACACTCTGTTCCTCCAATATCTCAAGCTCAAGGACGTTAGTGCCACTCCATGGAGGACCATTCCTCTTTGACCTGTCAATTCTATCTCTTTGAAATGAATATCAGCTATAGTTGAGAATCACAGCTCCCCTGCTTACCTTCTGGCAACCTTTTGATTAACAGCAAAATCCGTTTCGACAATTTCCAGCCTTAATCCTAAGGCATGGTGAAGAAATCATCCATCGTCCTAATTAATAATTTCAGTTGAAGAATCAGATACCCTCTTCAGCCCATTTCTTGTCTTTAACTGTTCTTCTTTGAATATTCAAGCCCACGGAAGACAACACAATACGAAAATTTCTGATTTATATGGACCAATACCTGTGTTTGGGAAGATTAGAATGGCGACGAGCTCACAGCAACCACGAACTGCGACTTCAGCAGATGTCAATGATCCGAGCTTGAAATTCCATAACTTGTCTAAAATGGATAAAAGCGGCTAGTCATAGTGTTTCTATTAAAAGAATGTCACAAATTAACCTAGTATTGGAATAAAATTGGAAGAATCGATCACGATTTCGCTCTTTTAAGATTACCCGCTTCCTCCTCTCGTACTACGTACTTCCGGAGTTATGCATTCCCCACCAGGCACCAGGTACGAGTACGAGACCCGTCGACTTGGCGAATGGCAATAGCAATATATTTGCTCTGGCGATAGAAGTCTTATTTCTCGGCAACGTAAGTTAGTCAATCTGCTATACAAGTTAAATACCAGGAGGTCTCACTATACTTCCCCCCCCCCTTTTTTTCCCGGTGGTTGATTTGGGAGAAGTGGAAACTATACAGTCCACGGGTGGATGTGCCGGCTCTTGGCCCCCCAGGCAGACAAGACACTGCGGCTGGGCAATCCACACCTTGCAACCTCCGCGCCGACGCAGACCCGACCAGGACTCTCCGCCAACTGTCCTCCCCTGTCTCTCATACTTTCTTAAACTCCCTATTTCTCTCTTTCTTTGGCACATAACTTCTTTGACTAGCATAATCCTACCCGTCGCTCACACCATGGCGAACGACTTCCAGTCTGCCATGACCCTTCGGTCGCTCCGCATTCTGAAGAATGTAGTGTCCCACCCACTGCGCCGCATCCTTGAAAAGATACTGACTGACGGGGAAATTGCTCACTAGGAACTGGAATTTCTTTCTGATTCATCTGTCATTCAGCGCCATCAGCTGAATGCGATTCTGGCGCAACTGCCCTCCGAGGCCGATGTCCGTGCTGCGACTCCTGGCCAGACCCAACGAGCGCCCTCACCAGTACAACCGCTACCTGTGCCCGTTCAAGCGCAACCCCCTCCAGCCCCATACTCACCCCCCGTATCTCATATGTCGAATGTCTCGTTGAACGAGAAAGCGCCAATCCCGGTCCACAACCAATATGTTTCCCCGCCGCCTCAGGCGCCGCCCGCTTATCCTCAGGTTCCGCCAATCCTAGCAATCGCCTCAGCTCTGTACGCATATACACCCACTGATCCCGGCGATCTGGCATTGTCACCAAATGACCGCATTCAAGTTATTGAACACATGAACGATGACTGTAGGTCCCGCAATTTTCTCAATCTATTGTACCCCGTGGCTAATCGTGACAAACAGGGTGGCGTGGTCGCAATGAACGCACTGGCCAAGAGGGTATCTTCCCTCGAAGTTATGTAAATATCATTAACGAGAAGGGCAATGTCTCATCACCCCCTCCTCCTACCAATTATGGAAATATGCCCTTGGAGGTCAGCCAGAGCGGATCCGGTCCACAGAATCCGGACGAGCCCAAAGATAAGAGCAAGTTCGAACAGAACGGAAAGAAGTTTGGCAAGAAGCTAGGCAATGCTGGTATGTTCCAATATTCGTTGATTTAGGTGGGTCTCTTCACTGACATGATTTCAGCAATCTTTGGTGCCGGCGCTACCGTGGGCTCCAATATTGTCAACAGCATTTTCTAGGCGGAAGTTATCCAACAACACTCTCTTCGGTAAAAACATTCATTTTAAATTGGCTCAACTCATTCATATTTCATTGAACGGCGTTGGTGGTTTTCTTTTGATCCAGATGCGTTTCGCCCTCTCGCTCGATGGTTGTGTTGGATGTCTTACTTCGCATTATGTCTGCGGCCACTGGCTATTATTCATTCTATAGCTTTAAGATCAATTGGAACTGGGTCCTAATCATGTCCAAACTAAAATGAATCCCCACGAACAATCATGGATTGGCTTTTGGCTGTCCTGGTGATATTAGATGCAATGTTTCAAGTACCAGTCACCAAACGAACATGTTGTCGCTCCCACCGCCAACATGACATGGAAACAAATTAATCGGGTGTCTGACCTAACACTAAATCAACTGGCCACCGATACCTCAACTACTTCCAAGTGCACATTCTGAAGCTGGGCAGCGGAGCCAGACCCACCATCCGGGACGCTACCCCCATGCGGGCCGCAGCCTAGTGCGTGGATAACGGACGGGTTTGCTGGCACGGCGCTTACATACATGAAAGAACTACTTTAGTGGTTTCAAGCCCCGACCACAATCGAGTAGTTGCCTGCGTGGGGCTGAAAATCGATCAAACAGGGCGGTAGAGGAGGGGAACACCCCCTCTATTTTGATCGGACAGGGGCCAGAAGTACCTTTTGGTCGGGCTCATAAGAATAGCCGCCGGGGCACAGAATGATCCCAGATTGGATTTTACTTCTGCTGCGTTGGATACGCCCAGTCTAAGTTTGCTGGAGAATAATGTATCTCAAGTTATTGGTTATTTTACTCTTTGCACCGTTTGTCTTGGCTGATGACTGGGAAGACTTTACGAACAACCTCGCAACGGACCTGGTAAGCTGAGTGACGCGAATCATGGTGGGAAATCACTAACAAATGGGACGTTCAATAGGCGCCCCTGATCACTCTTTTCGGTGAACGTCTGACCAAACAATTCCTCTCGGAATCAATCAGTCTTTTGGACAATGTCATCTTTGCACTGTCACCACTTGGGGTGTTGACCGCGGCCGTGTCCGTGATTAGGGTTTGCGGTAGTTCGTCTCTTCGCGCATTTGTTGGCCGAGCACAAGAGGGCCCAGCCGAAGCTGAGAACGAGATTTTACCATGCGTGTCAGGGTCTACAGCCGAGCTCTTCAACGAGGGCGGTATATCTCGAGTATTTGGACGGCCTAAGATCCTTGAGATCGTTGCGTGGGAGGAGGGCTCCAAAGCCGGGGAGAAAACACTAATGATTGGGACATTGCGCGATGCGCTTAGGGAAAACGCATGGTCGATTAAGAACCCCGAAATTTCTCCGAAGGATATAGATGAATTTTTGGAGCTGCCTGAGCTGGAAATCCCAAACCTATCGTTGAATAAAGGGATAAAAAGGCAGCATCAACTTTGGTTTCGCTGTGTTGCTATTATCGGAACCGTACTTCAAACAGGTCGGTTTGCCCGATAAGGGCCGTTACTAGAATACTCAACTAATATTACCGTCAGGTGTGGTTGTCTATGCTGCAATCACGGTCTTTATATTCCCCGGGTCTTTCAAGAAGGATGGGAAAGCTGTTCCCAGCTATGCCTTTCCACTTTATATTACTGGCACGAGCTTCCTGTTCCTGGGGATGCTCTATTGCGCAATCATCATTCAGCGCTCCTCGAAAAACTATAAGTTCATGCCCGAGAAGCCAAGTAAGCTCTATTGGTTACAGCCCGGAAACCAAAACGTCGGTGATCAAGTTTTCAGAGCATTTCTGGCATCTGAAGAAGAGCAGTACTCGAAACTGGCAACATCAGCAGCACCTTATATCAAGTCAATGAGGTTTCACAGAAATCCCGACAGGTACATGCAAGTCTACTTGGCTCTTTTCTTCACAGTGACCGGATATATTTTTCAATTTATAGGGCTGAGAGGACTTCATGCATCTGTCATCCTGGCCCAATTGGGGTCAACATTTGTCATGGCTGTGTTACGAACTTTCCTTCGGACTGAGAGGATGACCCCGGAAGAGAACAAATTACTGGCTGAACGAGACCTCGTATGTCACAAACAGCAGGAGCTTGACTATTTTGCTTTTCATTTTGAGGGCGTCGATTCTTTGAGGTTGGTGTCGCCTCCAACACCTCCAGACACATCAGCAGATGATTCATCAGCAACTACTACACAACAACCTGAGGACCCTCTCGTTAGTAAAGTAATTCAGAGAAGAGCTCGACTCGCAGAAATGACTCACAGCTCAGATGACAATTTGCATCTGGGCTGGGACAATATCGCCGCTCGTGAGCAGGCCCAACGCCTCGCTAAAACGATAGAGGCAACGATGGACTCAATGTCGAGCTGGGGCCAAGACTTTGGAAAATTATTTCAATTCAATCTCACTTTCGAGTGCAAATTATCACCTCCAAAGTCTACAACTTCAACCCAAGGAACCTTTCCAATCAACCTACGAAGATGCGGGGACGCCCTGCGATGGCAAGTCAATGCCAACGAGCTGGAAGCTATTATCGGCCTATGGACATGGTCACTATACAAGCCAGAAGAGAATTGGCAAAAGCCATTGTATCGTATGATTGGTTTGGATCATGCCGAGGCAGGCAAAGAGGAGACATATTTATGCTTTCGAAAATGGATTTTTCGCCAAACAAAGGCAAAGCTTTTTGCCACGAGCATGATTGATGCTCGACACCAGCTCTTTGGCTTCGAATCTGACGAATATTCCAACGACAAAGACATATTGGCTGTACGAACAGAAAATAATCTAGAGACAATGGTAGCCCAGGACATTTATATTCATTTTCTGGACCAAGCAATGTCGGATTTGGAAGAACTGGGAGGCGATGTTGATGTTGTATCCGGACTTCAGAACTCCTGGTTGGCTCAGAATAACCGCGTCAACGAGATGGTGCAACATTTTGAGGACTGCGACTTCGGCTCTAGAGAAGATGCTCTTCTCTGTATCATACCAGTTTTGAAGAAGCATAACATACTACCCCCTCTTGCAGCTGATTCCCGCAACGTGAAGAAGCGCACAGAAAATTTTATTGAGAAGAGGGACTGGGAAAGTGCATTTTCCCTTATACGTTGGCTTTGCCAGCGTACTGAAGGACCGGAATTCGAATATTCGGTATACCAACTAGGCTATCTTTGTCAACTTGCCATGTTGGATGGAAACAAATCCGCCATGGAGTATGGTCTAGATCAGGCATGTTCTCTTTTCAAAAATGACATTAGAGACGATTCATATACACAATGGGGGTTCTGTAAGCCTTCACATTGGCAAATGCCCCAACAACATGTCGAATGGTGGCTTTCGTTCGCTCGCCAGCTTAGCTGGACCGCCTGGACTATTTCAACCAGCGTCGAGAATGCAAATTGGATGCAGCCCATTTTAAAGACTTACAATGTCCCACAGACAATCCTTGATCCAAAGGATATGAGCTGCACCAACGAGGATGCCCAGAAGGGCCTTGACGCTTTTCAGATGTTGATGACTGCCAATAACTCCATGATTGACACTAGCCACTTGAATTATCGCAGTGGAGAAGCCATGTTTTTCCAATGGGCCCACAAAACCTCCAACTATGCGTTGATTTATTTTTTCTTGATGAGGATGATGAAGTTGAGCGAAGAACACCCGGCTTTGATTGAAATGGCCTGGACCCTCGCGTCTAGCATACACTCAGACTGGGTTATCGAAATTCTTCGACGACAGAATGCCGATATTGAGGCAGTTGATGACTATGGTGCTTCGGCTTTAGTAACTCAAGTTAGATTGAACGATCTAAAGGCGGTTGAGATGCTAGTAGATAAAGGAGCAGATCCGAACGCAAACGACATCCCAAATTTTGTCAAGCCGCTGCTAGAAGCTGCCAGTGAAGGCTTCACAGATATCGTGGAGACTCTGTTGCATGCCGGTGCTAATATCAACATCAGGAGTTCCATTGGTCATACTGCAGTGCATTTAGCGAGCATTTATTCCCACTTCGACACAGTCCGTTTGTTAGCTGGTCGTGGTGCGAATATGGACTTGTGTGGAGTTGATGGAAATAACCCTATCTCCTCGGCTGTGACAAATGAAAAAATCGAGATGGTAGACTTACTTGTGGACCACGGATGCAATACAAACTATTTGGATGACGCTGGTCGGACCCCGTTGATGCTGGCAGTGTTATGCATGAGGGACTCGTCAAAAGGTGTTAAAATGCTACGCTTTTTGTTGTCCAGACACGCCGACCCTAATATTCGAGATCCTCAGGGATTTACCGCTCTTGATCTAGCTAAAGATCGGGGGTGGCAGGAAGGAGTGAGTGTCCTAAATACCGTGACGGGCCAATAAATATCCCAGGTGAATATGTCACCGTTTCAAGGCTTCCTATGTAGTGTTTGAATGTACATAATCCAGGCACAAGTAAATTAATAAACTGCGGTTGTCCAAAAGATCTAGATGATTGCGCTTGAAGTCCCAGACACAAGTTCATGGGGTTGAAACGTCGGGACTCCAAAACCCCAAAAACGAAGTCCGTCGGCCATTTAATAAATCTGGAATATATTCATTGTCGAGGGCAGGATAAAACACGAAAAAAGAAATAGAGTAGCCGTCTTGATTTGACATATAATATCGAGCTGGAGATCACTCGCTAATGGAAAAATTATGTATAAAATCGATAGCCACCCCTTGCTGTCATATGATCCAAATGGAATGTTATGTCTCCTATTTACCCAGCATCGTCCACAATTCTTATCATTTCCAGATACCTGAGCTACCCTGATTTAAACGTCAACGCTGACGTGCCCTTTTGCCAGCTTGAAGCTTCCTCCTAGGAGAACCACAAAGGCATGGCATCCCACTGTCGAAGAAGGTAGCTCGGCAATCCGCACAGCAAATCACGGGGCGAGAAATCCAATGATTTCTGGCACTATGGCACTATGCTCATTACCAATTAGGATCAAAACAAGAGAGCTTCCTACTTGAGGCCCACTTGTCGAGGATAGCTGCCATAGTAACTAAGTGCAATATTCTTTTGCCGGAATAAAATAAAAACATATGAAATTTGGTGCATTTGATCTCGAAAATTTAAGCGTGAGATAGGTTTTCTTTTAATTTCCAGATCTCATTTGTTAGAAAGAAAGAAAGAAAAGGAGAATATGCATGGGATTCATGAGTTGTGGAGACATCAAATTTGCATTCACAAATCTTTAGATTCTTGGATTCCCGAATGCCGATAGAACCTGTTCAGGATATCCATTATTAATTACCTGGGCCATTTCATTACATTCCTCCTCTAGCGAGACTTGGCTTCATACTTCAGATACTTGCTACCCTCCAAACCCCATGAGCCTGAAATTATTGTGCTGTGGCCGAGAAAATTGAGTGTTAGGCCTCGGCATTAAACTTGCAACTCTAATTGGCCAGAAACGTAAGTTACGCACAAGCCATGGGCGGAACGCGGTTGAATAGCGACCCCGTCGGCATTTGATTTCGTCATGCTTGGTCCCCTTGAGAGATTGACATGGATCTCTTTGAATCACAATTTTCTCTCTCTCTCTCTCTCTCTTTATCACATCCGTCTACGCTGATTTTTGACGATTTCTTTCGACCATTGAGCAAATGCATCTCCTCGTTCTAGGTGCGACTGGGCGGACAGGCGTCTACGGTTATAAATATGCCCTGGAACAAGGTTTGTTTCAACTAGTTAAAGTTAATGGGCATTATCACTGACTTGCTCCAGGCTACTCGGTCACAGTTCTTGTCCGTAAAGCCGATGCGATCGAACCACAGCACCGACTCACTATCGTTGAGGGTTCATGCTTATCAGAGGCAGATATGCAGCGTGCTTTTGAAGCTTCCGGAACTCGTGTTGATGGAGTTCTTATATTTCTGAACGCACAGAGAGTTGGTCAAAACCCCTGGGGAACGTTCATTGGGCCACCTCGTTTAGTGGCCGACTCGACTAGTATCGCCGCTCGAGTTCTGCGCTCACAGAAGCCAAAGGCAGATGAGCACCGACCTCGATTGGTCGTGATGAATGCTCTCGGATCGGGTGAAAGTTATGCAGTCACACCTTACATCATTCGCTTCATGATCAATTACAGTAATGTGTCCAAATCTTACGAGGATCACAATGCCGTGAGCGATGAGATTGAGAAAAATTGTGGTGATGAAATATCATGGACTCTCCCATTGCCAGTGGGACTCAGGGGTCAGGGTCAGAAACCTGTGAAAACATTTGCTAGTACGGAGTCTGGTGCAGGGTTTTTGATCACGCGCGAGAGCTGTGCTCAATGGATGGTAGATGTGGCGTCCGGTAAAGAGGACGATAAATTCAGCAACAAGAGGGTCATTTTGTCTAATTAGTGCTGTTTGGTGGTATTCAACATGTCAGTCATCTTGTTTTGATCCATTGGCAGAGAAGGATCTGGTACGAGAAACGATATTCATTTATAAAAGATGTCGGAGAACCATTTATCAGTCTTTCGAGGCTGACTATATGAAACCTAGACTAGCTAATCCATAGGTAATCAGACATAGTCCCAATCTGTTGTACGTCAACTAACCTTTGCAGAGATGACCCATTTTTACGGGATAATAGTACTTTAATAATTAGTCTATAGAAAAGTAACCCTGTCGGTAGATCAGCGTGAAGATTGATCAATTCGAGTTTCTTTCATAATAGAATCGGCTTCAAAAATCGATTTTGAGCCACCCCCTCATTTCACTCCTTCGAACGAGGTTGCTCCTCTTGGCTGGCCTGGCTAAGTATTGACGGAGGCCAATCAGGGTTCCGGATCCACTTCGTTGCTGCATGAGCCAGCCCATCATCTCCCGTGAGTGTCACCGTAAGCGCCCGCCTAGAAGTCATCACACCGTAGCCCACTGTGACTCGATAACTGCTAATGGCTGACTACCAATCCCAAAACTCTGTCGAAATTTTGATACGTAGCCAACCTAATTATAACCCAGGAGCTCCGGTGCGGGAGGGGGAGGGGGTTATTTCATCTTCGACTAGCCCCCGCATGCATTGTTTCTGAGCCTTCGCTTTTTTTCCTTCTCTATTTCATTTGAATTGAATATTTCTAATTCAACGAAGCCCTGGATCGGAGTTATTTAAAAAAACCCTCCCTCCCCTCGCCCACCGCAACCTGGCAGGTTTGCTAGCTCCGCTTCGCTATCCTGTCCAGTAACACAGTTGTCATCGGGACTGAGAAGCACACCCAGTGGCTTTATTAAGAATTTGAGCGTTGAGGGCAGATAAATTAGGTCCAATCATTTTCTTGAGGAGTCAGATATCCCATCGGACACCATGTCGCAACAACCACACTATCCCCCTCCTCCCATGTCTGGTGAGTTTTGGCAAGATCGCGAATTGGATATCAATTCCATGAACTGACTGACCTCCCATAGCTCCGGCTCATGTAACCTGTAACGTCTCCGCTACTCTTCAATGTACTTCGAGATAGCCATGTACTGATTCAAAATTCATAGCCTTCCCACCACCTCCGCAACAGGCTACTGGAGTATCGCCTCCAAACTTCAGCTACCCCCCACCTCCGACACAGTCGCCTCCCTCAAACTCAACATATCCAGGGCTACCGCCATCAGTGAGCCCTCCTGTTTCGGCTACGCCTCCTTCTGCCACTGCAGAAAAGCAACAAATGCAACAGCACTACTACCAACAGAACAGGGCCAGTTTTCAACATAATGCCAATGCTAGTATTTCGTCGGGGCTACCCATCAATCCTCAATCTCCTCCAATGGCGCGGATGGAAAAGCATCCGGGGGGCGCACCGGCGTATGGGCAATTTGTTGGAGTGCAATCTGCAAGTAGTGCCTCCGATGAAGTCGGCACATTTAATGGAGGCAGTTATCGAATTAGCCACAGAGACACAAATTCCATTCTCACTATACAACTCGCGATGGGATGTCCATTGACGGCAAAGCCTGGTAAGCCCCAATGCGTCGCTTTCATGCAATTCTTAACGTATCAAGCTTAACAAAATCTATCGGTTAGGTGCTATGATAACTATGTCAACCACAATGACCCTGCGAGGTGTTGTTTCATTCTCAATCAAGAAATTTTTAGGAGGTGGGAATTATGGCATGTCTCATTACACTGGGCCTGGAGAGCTTCTGCTTGCCCCTTCCGTACTGGGTGACTTGTTTGTTCTCCGCATCGATGGCACACCTCAGACAGAATGGACCATTTCTCGCGAGTGTTTCTTAGCTCACACCAATGGTGTAGAGCATAAGCATGAATCTCAGGGACTTATGAAAGGGTTTTTCTCTGGGGCAGGCTTTTTCATCTACAAGATCACCGGGCACGGGCTACTTTGGATTCAGAGCTTTGGAGCCATTATAAAAAAGGAGGTATGCCGTAGGAAGATGACCCCTCCAGCGTTAACACTGACTAATGCGGTACCTCTATATAGCTTCAAGATAAGGAGGAGTATTTCGTCGATAACGGACACCTCGTCGCTTGGAATTGCAACTATGCGATGGAACGAGTCGCCTCCGGAGGACTGATATCTAGTTTCAGCTCCGGCGAAGGACTGGCTTGTAGATTCTATGGGCCTGGAACAGTTTATTTGCAAACTCGAAATCTGAACGCTTTTGCAGCTCAGATGAAAATCAGCACGGCAAGTGGCTAGGACTATGGCATTCAGTTTATTTATATCTGGGATGAGTGAATGCAGTTATAAGGGATAGGAATGGATTTGTTCTCGGGGGTTATAAATTTTGTGTATTATGCTGTTTACCGCGGGCAAGCAAGTTCTCACGCCTGTAGTATGGTTTGTGTCCCTTTTTGCATAATGTTGCCAGTCTACCATGTATAGCAATTTTCAGAGCTGGTCTCTTCATCTGCAGCAGTATATATTACTATTTTCTCCTGCGTTTGGAAATCTTGGAATGGTACATAGGCTCAACAAACTTGAGCTATCTATGATAAGTGGCTCCAAAAAAGCCTTACGGTGGGGGAGCAGACATTTCCAGATGTTCAAAGAGAAAATATCTTAGTCTAGCGTCCGATGGACCCTTTGTTATATGAAGGCAGAACAAGTATATAGGTGGTCATAGCAGTCCATTTCATCCGAAACTATTTCTATCCTTCAAAGTCATTTGCTCATCTCAGTCCCCATCCGGTAGAAAAGATACAGTGCCGGGGCCCTATTTTCATCCACCACGGTCCTAATAAGTGACACCATATAGAAGAGATAAGAAAAGAAAAAAAAACTCCCTCCTCCATAAAATGCCGAATGAGACTCTTTCCAAGCTTAAGCAGCACGCTTGCGGCGGCCGACTTGGCCACGGAAACCAGTCTTGATAGCGGCGACGGAACGACGAGATCCGCAGGAGTTGCAGGTAACGAAGTACAGACGGTTCTCGCCCTTGTTGAGCTCGGTGTCGGGGCTGCGGCAGGTCTTGCAGGTAACATATTCGACTGGGGACAAAAAGTTTAGCTATCAGGGAATATAAGTGATTTTGAAAGTCTGCAGGGTTTGATTTACCGATATAACCTGATTTTCCAGTTAGCTTGGGTCAAATGAGGAAATAAAGAATGGACGGGAAGGGACATACGTCTTAGAATCTGCTCGACCTGTTTCTGTGTGAATCGACCCTTGATAACCAAACGACGGGAGCCGTCAACACTGCCACTGGTACCCATTTCAGCGAACATGAACTGCATGACATGATCGTCGGAACGCTTCATGCGTTTGCAGATATCGGCAATGTTGGCGAAAATGGTACGACGGTTGCCTTCACGCAGACACTGAGGCGGAGGAATCTTGTAAGACTTGGTACCGCTGGATAGAAGGTCGGGGTGGTGGCTCTGGATTAGGGAGAAGAAACGGGAGACGAGAAGAGAGTAGGGAATGGCCTGGGTCGCATCGTGGGCCCAGATGCCGGTGCCGGCCTCGAGATCACCCTCAGGCACAGGCTCCTCGACATTCTCCTCGCCAGCCTCCTCTGCGACACCAGCCTCGGCAAGCTTGGCCTCGAAGTCGCCGGCGTCAACCTTCTTGGTCTTCTTCTTCTTTTTCTTCAGCGCGGACGGGTCGAACTCGCCGTCAGCGGCGGGGGTCTCTTCGCCATCGGCGTCGGTATCCTTGGACTTCTTGGACTTCTTCTTTTTCAACAGTCCCTTGAACATGTCGGTAGCCTCCTCAACGGGCTGGTCTGTAGTGTGTTCTCCGTTAGCGGGTCCAAGCTTGCTGGAGAGCGGAAGTCGAATTGTGGGGAGAGGTATGGGCAGAGGGCATCATTGCGTACCGACAGGCTGCTCGGCGGCCGGGACCTCTGTAACTTCGCCGTTGGTATCCATGATGACGGAGCCTTCGCTGAACGCGACCGACTTGCGCTGTTTCTGTTCGACTTCCTGTTTGGAGAATTGAAGGCACACGGTTAGCGGTGGCGCGGGCAAGCCAGAAAATATTCAAAAAGCGGAGAATCAGCTAGTTGGCTTGGTTTATCAAGAAAAAAAACAGGTCCCAACTTCAGACTGAAGAATTTGTGTTCTGCGCCAGCAGTGTGGTGGTTGTTGGCGGGGGGAATTGCGAGCACTCAAAGAAAATGTGGGAGGGTCGGTAAAAAATAAACCAGTTGTGACGTACAACGTCAGCCATATTGTAGGGCTGCAAGATTCAAATCACTCCACCACCGGGGGGTATAAAAGGCGAGGGAAGCGGGTGCGCGATTGAGGACACTTGAGATCGGTCGATGAGGTCAAATTTGTCGCTGAAATCAGATATCCACCGACGCTGGAGGAGGCGAGCCTGTTATCGCGGAACTGACACGTGACCGTGACTCACGGGGGTATTACCAGGTCACGTGTGGTCCATGGCGTTCGGTCAACAGCAGTCGACGCCGGTTCACCAATTCCAGCTCCGTCTATTATTCTTCACAGCTAGTCCAACCAATGCTTCGATCTTGAACTGGGCAGTAGGCAGGCCACTGCTCGTCTATCGTTTTTCTCCTTTCCTTTTCCTCGCCTGTTTCCAACATCAACATCTGCCACTATGTCCGTCTCGCCTCCTGCCGAGTCCAATCCCTCCTTCTCCATGTCTGCCTACATGGTCCCCTCCACACAAAACTCCCACAGCTACGAGTCCGATGATGAGATTGCCTCGCTTCCGTCAGAGTCAACTACCGATTCTGATCTAGAGACCCTCTCCGACGATGAATATTCCGATGCCGAGGAGGAATGGCGGGAAAGCATCGAACAGCTGGAGTTACTTCTGACAATGGTCTTGGTTCCATTTGTGGGGAAATATCTTGGTCGAAGATGCGCTTACTGGAGTATGTAGGCTTCCTATAATGCTTGGGATTCTAGGGATGCTAACTACGTGTTTTCTTTTTCGGGTAGGCTGGACAAGATTCATGCAATGGAAATACCCGGTTGAGGTAGTCATTAAGAATCCTGGTATTTTCAAGGGAGTTGGCGTTATTGAGGCTGCCGCTACTTTATGATCCCAGCGATCGAATCTTGTGTCAAGGATACCTTGTCTATGCGCTCCTTAACACCCATTCTACCTGCCCCGCATCTCCCATTCATACATTCCGCCTAATTGGCAGGCCCTTTGGAACCGATTTGTCCTACCCACAGGTCGGGCTCTTTACATCACAATGTCTGTGTGTAGAGAAGCAAACAACCTTCTCCACAACTTTAATACTCTAACCCACCTTTTGCCTGAGAGGATGGTCCGTCAGCTTGCCGCATCAGAGGCAGAAAAGATCAGACTCCATGCATCCAGTGTTAGATATTGATTTGTGGAAGACCTGACGTTATATACCCAATCAATTGATTTTTTTTTACTATGCAAAGGACTAGAAAGCTGCTGGAAAGGCGTTGATGGAAAAATTCATCCCGATTTTTCTGTCCTATTCAAAAAATGATACCAGTAGCACTTCTGACCAAAATTCTCGGCATCTATTCATTGAATCTCGTCTTTTAGCTGTCATCGAAGCACGACAGTTACACTTGAGCCCCATTCGTTGTAACATCGCGAATCACATCGGCCACAACCTCTGGCATACTCACCATGACCGCGTGCCCTGCTTCACATGAATAAGTACGAACCACCCCCTCTCCCGGCATGGCAGCCATACTCTGTTGGTATTCAAATGGTATAGACGCATCTTGCTTGCAGAAAAGGAATGCGGTGGGCACATCCCGCCAGGCCTCATAGGTAAGGGGCGTGAAAAAGCTCGGCTTTGCATGAGGAACCAGCGTGGCGACATGCTTGGCCGCGGTTTCATCATCGAGATCGCTGAAGAACTTTTCCCTGGGATCTCTTGCATGGAAGACATCACCCTATCCGATAATTAGCCTGTCCAGTAACTCCAGTGCTCTTTGCATGCGTCACCAGTCAATAAGGACTTATCCTCAGGTCCGACGTACATCTTCTATCATGGCATGCTCCATATTATCTCCAATAATTGTCTGCACGGTAGTTCCTTTTTCAACCAAAAAGGCTGTTGCATATACGAGTGCAATGACACCGCCCTTTTTGCCTTGTGCTGCAAGGTCCTTGCGTGCGAGTCCTTTTATGCTCTCGGTTCCTGGGATTCCGCTGTAAGAGTGCATGACCACGACAACTTCTTTTCCCTGTGCAACCAAATTCTTCAAATGCTTCTCTCGAATATTTTCGGCATCATCTGCAACCGTAGTGGAAACTGGTCCACCTGCAGATAGGAGAGTCATGGTTTCAGCAGGATACCCATGCAATCGAAGTATATCGGCTACGGGTTCAAATGAGCTGCCTGGTATCCAGGCTCCGGGGATAAGGAGAACAGTAGGTTTCTCAGCTGACATATTGCGAAATCAGTGGAATTGTGATCAAAGGGATATTTTGCAAGGGTGTGGATAATTTGAAATATAAAATGTTAGATGTACGATTCAGCTTGTGGCACACTTCAACTTTATATAGGAACGAGAGGTACTCCCAAGATTTGTGAGTTAGATCTTTATAGATGCCATAGAAACATGGGTATCGGGTCGGACTATTCAATCGGTCCGCTCGGCCTCAAAAACACCCGAGCAATAATTACGCACTGTTTCTTATAGTGGTATAGAAGGATTAATCTTATTGGATGATACCTAGGGGCTGAGGTGTTTCGTGGGGGCCAGAACTTCAACGAAGCCAGCAGGATAGGAAATTTGGATGCCCTTTTTAGCCCACTTACATGAGGCTCCCAGTAGTACGCCCCATGGTTGCCCTGAGTCTTAAGCCGGAGACAAGATAGCAACGGTTGCAATATTCTTTATGTTATATATAGGATGCTCGCATTGCATAAGCTGAGCAAGGTACTATCTCCAAAAGAAGACATAAAGCCTCAAGCATCAACCTGCTCATTGGACTAGTTAAAGCTCTTCCTTTAAGATTCAAGACTCAGCCCCAAATATCAGCCATCGAGACTGATGATCGCTTAGAGCTCGTTTGTCAAAGGCTTAGCCCTAGACCTTCGACTTATCACGTATTTCATCGTATACATAACGGATAATGGCTGGTAACTCTTCGCCGCCTCAAATTTATCCATACGATACAACTAATTCCGATCATGATATAACCAACATTTATCAAATCAACAATCTCCCGAAAGTTGAGACAACATCCTTGCCCCATGTGAGTTCAAGAACTAAACAAGATTTATTAGTCTGCCCCGTAAGGCGTTTACGAGGACGTGATAGCTTAGTGGGTATTTGTCCTTTGCTTCGTTTGATATGCTTGTATTCAATGGCCGATAGGCTGCTTCAGTAATATTTTTTGTTTCTGGAGTCTGGCCATGATATATGTTCACGAAGTGCAAACCACCGTTCGCATGTATCACGCTGCTTACATGCCAGACGTTGCCAGAATCAGTCCTTACTGCAGCCTTCTGGGCTTAGCTGATCCATCATATAGGGTGTGGACCCAACCAGAGTGAATGTATGAGAGAAAAGGCATTGCCAAAATAGTTCCAGTATTGATTTCGATCACTTGTATTGACAGTTCTGGGAGCACCGGTTGTTACAGATTGCAGAGAACAGCTAAATGGAGTTGACATAGAATGTAACCTATCACAGAAGAGGGAATATTCTGATTTGCGTCTCGATACATGACTTGATTCGGTCCAGGATGAGGTCTAACATGCTCAATGGCACTGTGGCCAGATACCGTCTGATTTAGTAAAGCCTTGTTACGTCCGACGCTGATCCGGTACAGAGCACAAAATTGGTATTTTCTGTTAGCATAAGACAATTATGCTTCCGTGTACATCGGAATAACTTTATAAGTTTGCTCCATCATTGATCAGTACAGCATATTCTTCTTCCAAAACCCAGTAGGGGGTGTAGCGGGAGGCGATTTTGCTGTAGTTGGAAACAAAAACGACTCTTGTGGGTCGAGTAAGGACAACGAATCCAGTTGCTGGTCATTTCCTTGTTTGAAGAAGATGCTGGATAGGTTTTCACTGGTGTGACATGGGTGTGAATCTGCTGTGGGCGCTTCCCAGGTGGGATTCTGAAAAGTAGCTAACGACAACCCTTGTTGCTGCTCAACTTCATCCTGGTTGCATAGCATGGTATCAACGGACCCACAAATTGACGACTCATCTCTGTGAATAATTCGCAAGAGATCATTTGACCTTTGATGTACACATGATTTATTGGAATTCGTACATACGTCAAGCACCGCTTTAGTTAGCTGTGGGCTCCCATTTTCTGGATTCCACACCGTGGGACTAGTTGTTTCCCAGGAGGATTTGCGGCTTTCCAGTAGACCTTTGAGGTCTTGAAGGCTGTGGTAAACTCTTTGTAATTGAGGAGTAACAACCCCTCGGTTGTCTTCATGCGCAGAAATGCCGGTATGTAGAATATCCAGCAAACGTAGCTCCACCACATGGTTCAGCTGTGAGCTTGGATACGATCCCAGACGCTCACTCTCAGACCAGGTATATGGAGTTGCAGATCGAGACCCCTGATCCCTTTGGCCCATTCGCTCTTTTGGATCCCCTCTGATATCCTGTGTACCGCGGCAGTCCCCTCGTATATCTGGACCTGCAGCCAGAGAATCGGGTTGCTCGCAATGACGAACGTAGATCTTGCTGGTCTCTCTTCGATCAGAAGGAATTTGATGTGGGCCATTTTTTGTCCTGGTTGGCATACCAACGATGTCTTCTCGCGGCTGGGGAGCAAAGTAATGAGACAATCGCTGGTAGTGGCCGTTGTTCTTCTCCGGAATATTTCCTCGTTGCTCGTCCAGAGAGACCGGCAGTTCCGAGGGCTTTTTATGGTTTTGCAAGAGAAATTGCTCCTCACAAAACCTGGTACCAAGACCTGCACCAACGGTCAGTCATTGTTTCCGGTGTACCTCTGCCTATCAGGTGTCTGAGAGGCGAGTGTACTCACCACCACGCAGATTGATCGGAGACGATGCTTTCCCTTTATTGAAAATTCCCATGTTTGTATTGACTCGGAGCTGCGGAGGAGGCGTTAAGAATTGATAGCAATATTCCGCGGCTGGTAACTCACAGTCAACCTTTGTGAGGCAACATTCGATGCATGAAACTCATCGTTTAGAGTATGTTTTCTAGCCCGGTGCAACCGCTTTTTCCTATATCTGCGAGACCGTGACGCATGCTCGTTTGCTGGAACGAGCCCTTTATACTCGTACCTGTCGTCTCGAGTCTTGCGTCGAGGCTGCCGTTTGAAGTCATTGCTTTCTGTGTGGTCCATGGACTGCTGCCGAGGGTTCTTGTCCTGGTCTTCCAACCCTCGAGTCTGGTTCTTAGGACATGACGTATATCCTCCCGGCGTGGTATCGGAAGTTTCCAACGCTATTTGGATTCCTCCGGTCGTGTTATTAGGATGGACCATTGGGAGTCTGGCTTCACCTAGTTCTTGATCAATTCACTCGGCTCGGCATCTCCGACCTGACGGGGCTTGTAAGCTCACTATGAGCCGATTGCGGCTGCGGGGGATCTGAAACCCTTGCCAGCCATCGGTATATCGGGCCGTGATCACCATTGTCCATGAACGAGGAGGAGAATCAAAGACGAGTGCCAGTGGATGGCGTATCGATGCGGAATGCCTTCGATAGGTTTGGGAGTCTCAAAGGTCAGCCCTTCAGCAGTGACAGTTGACTCGGATCAGTCAGCGGGTTGACCTGGGGAAACCACCACCGTCAACATCGCCCATTCCAGTCACCTACTCTCCCTCTTTTGCTCTCTTCTCTGATCCTCTGCTACTTCCTCTTGTCTACACTCTGCTCGCAATAGCAACCCCCTGCTCTTTGAACATGCAAGGACATGTGCCATAGTTACAATTTCCAGGATCCAGTGATATCGCAGCTAGGTATCAGGGAAAGATGGAAGACCCAGCCAGTGCAATCAACCTTACCACATGCTATTTACCGTCTCCAGTGTTGCTTGGGTTTTCTTTCTCCCCGGCGGCCAATCTCTCTGCTCGTTTTCTCAACCAGCGCTTTTTATTTTCAGTCGATGCGTCTCAAAAATACTGTTTGCACCCCATTTCCTGGCGACAACCCAAGCCAATCCATGTGCTGATCCTCACGGGGACCCTCCGGAGTCCTGCCGACGGCCCAAGCGGCCTGTGGGTCCCTTGGCCCCTCTCCGAGAGAGACGGGGGGGACATTGATTCTGCATTGATCATGGCGGTCGGAACTGGAGTCCACAGAGAGGCGTGACAGGGCTCATCCCATCTCCAAAGGTCCAAAAAGGTCCTGCATGGTGCATGGTGCCTAGACCACTCTGTGTGCCCGTCCCACACCCCTCCTCGCGGATGCAATAGAAGAAAGTCTGGGATGCATCGGTGTCCCGCATTGCATACGAAAACTACACTGTGAGGTACCGCGTGAATCCAGTGCTGTCCGCCCCCTCGGCCATTATGAATCTCGGACCTGAGCCAGAGTCTTTTGTTTCAGCCCGCTGGCCAGAGGACCATGGTCGGAGACGGATCATTGGAGGCAAGCCCGGTGAGGGGTTCGTGGAGAGTGAAACCGTGAAAGTATTCTCCACGCGGTGATGAAGATTGCATGCGAGCTTGCCAACTTGACAGCTTCAAGCACGAAGAAGGCGCAGCACCCCCGGCTGCTTTGCACGGTCGAGAGGTCCCCCCAGCCCGCAATGGGCTTCCAGGGTTCTTTCTACTTTTTTTTTTCCCTGCGGTGCTCCTCCCCGGTTCTACCAACGCACTTCCAAACACTACTCCAAGATCTGTTGGCGGGACCCGATGTTGTGTCCCCCTGGATCAACGGACACATGCCTATACAAGGTTTTCATTGGGGCGTTTTCTGACTTTCCACCGTGTCTATTTTTTTTTTTTCTCTCTTGAAGTCAATCCTTGCAACGGTTGTAGATCCACCTGGAGAGGTGCTATGTGAGGGGCCCGTGGGATTGCAGATGTGCAGCATAAATAAATACCAGCGAAAAGGCGACCAAATGAGGGGCCGTGGCTCATCCGCCGGTGCTTGGCTAGCGTGTCTCCATTCATCCAGATCCAGCCTCGGGTAACATCTGATTGATGGAGCGCATGAGAAGACAAGCCGCCCGGCCCCGAGCATCAATCAGTTTCATGGTTCGAAGCGGGAGACTCTGGGCTATCACTGCGGTTGCTGCTGCTGCTGCTCCTGTCGCTGCGGCTGCATCCCCCACCCCAGACGGGATAACAGAATACATCGTGAGAGGGGGAACTAAAAAAGAAAAAGAAAAGATAACACGCTTGGAATAATCAAACGCAAACGATCTCCGTGTTCATCGGGGCGTCTCCATCTCCTCCACTCGACTCCTCCCCTCTTCCCCTCCTCCCCGTCTCGACTGCCCCTCAACCTGGTACTGTCGGTGTTGGGCCTCACCCACTGGTCACTACCCGAAATCCTCGTAAGCATCATATTTCCCTTTCCCGCCCTGTGATTCGTGCTGGCCAGACTGGAAAATCCCAAGGATGCGGAAGCCCTAAGGCAGTGTGATTGTTACACGGGTTTGACTGCTGACTCGTTTCGCAACCACTAGGATCTCCCTGCCTCTCGGCTCTGACCACAACCCTTTTTCTTCCTTGTCTTCCGCTTACCACAGGATTGTTCTTTTCTCTTCCCTCCTTTCCAGCCTCAATCCTTTTCCTGCTTTATATTTCCCGGTGACTGTTCTTCGACGGGTTCATCATGTCCAAGCTCTTTGTTCAGTAGGTGTTCCCTTCCCCCCCTCCCCTCTTCACCCCACCTCGGTGCGGGAGGCGAAATATAGCGCGCCTTCACATGGGTTCGGTTGTTGTTTTGTTTTTTTGGTTATTTTCTTTTTTGTATTTTGCGGGGAGAGGGGAAGCGAAGCTGTGACAGGCACCCCGACTGAAATGAGAAAATGAGAATCAACAATGTATCTAACATGACCTCTAGCGGCCTGTCCTGGCATACAAATGATGACACTCTGCGGGAGGGATTCCAGAAGTTCGGCGACATCCAGGAAGCTGTTAGTAGTGCACGATCAACCGGCAATGCGCATCATCCCCCACCCCATCCTGATGGAACGAGATGCCTAACACCCAAATTCCACAGATTGTCGTGAAGGACCGTGCGACCTTGCGCAGTCGTGGATTTGGCTTTGTCCGCTTTGCGACAGATGAAGAAGCCGATGCGGCGATGGCCGAGATGAACAACGTTGAGTAAGCAGCGTGATCACCTGGTCTTCCTGCGATCCAACCAGGCCCCTGTGGATGAGTTGAGCTCATCATGATGATAGATTTGATGGACGCGTCATCCGCGTCGATAAGGCCTTTGACCGACCCCAGCGCCCCGATGGTGGCTTCCAGGGTCGCGGCGGATACAATGCGCAACCTGGATATAACCAAGGTGGATACCAAGGCGGCGGTGGCTACAACCGCGGTGGGTATGGCCAGCAGCAGTCGCCCGGTGGCTACGGTGGCAATCCTTCCCCTGGTGGACAGGGCGGTTATAACAATCAGCCGGGTGGCTATGGTTATGGTGAGTACGCTCCTCGGTGGTTCTCTTGCAGGAACCTCTCTCCCCGCATCAACCTTACGAGAGATCAAGGATGTTAATGGATCTTTCCAGGCGGTAACTCTGGGTTTGGTGGCGGTGGTGGTGAGCCTTTTCCCTTTGTCAAACCCACGCTCCCTCGAAGATCATACTAACCGCATACGTGTCCCCCCCCGTCTTCCAGGCTGGAGAAACCAGGACCAACCCCCCGCCGAAGGCAACTAAGTATCCAGACATTGTGATTCTGAATACCCCATTCAAGTTTATTCCGCACACGCAACACTCTGCTTGATCTTCGTTATTTCTCCCTGCTGCTTTTACACGACAGAAATTGATGGTATCGACTCGAGAGAGAAAAGATGCAATGCAGCGGGCGGCTGGCTCAGCTTTCTCAACTCATGCAAAATCACACGGCAGTGTTCTTTTCGCCTATTTCCTCTGTCTTATCGGGCTTTAATCTTCACTTTATGCGTGCTCTGGGGCAACGTTGGCTGTATGGTGAGGCTGCGAGGAGAGAAAGGGAAATATGTTTTTTTTTTCAACGTCCTAACCTTAATTTGACTCATGTCTGATCTATGATATTTTTGTTTCTTCATCGGCTGCTTTCCTGCGGCTCTCTTTGGTTTGCCCTTTGTCTTACCTTTATCGTACCTTCGGTGTTCCATCGTCATTTGACGTGAGATCTCACTGGGTGCGATGCTATTGCTCCAGTATTTCAGGATAAATGTCTTATTCGACGTCCAAGAATCGTGCACTCGACGCGATCGATCAGATATCAGATGTTGCCATCGCATCGCGCACTGGTATCATGCCAACAGCCCTCCTTTGGACTCGTACCAAGCGCTACATGCTTACAGTTAAGTATCATGATAAGCCGTCCCCATCCCCATTTCCTGTTTTCTCGTCTAGTCTATTCCGTCTATGTCACAGACGAGGTCCAAAGAAAGGAATCATCAAGAAGTCAAAAAAGCAAACTCGGCCAGCCTCGCACAAGCTTTCGGACCTCCCTTCCCTGCCCCCCTCCCACTTCCCCTCAAAAAAAGAAACCAAATCATCACTTCACTCAATCTTATCACCATGCATTGACTCCGTCGCAGCGGTAGCCAAGTACTTCTGCACGTCCCGTTCAGCCTCTTTCTCTTCGGCCTCCGCCAAGCCATCCGCCTCGATCGCCCTCACCCGGCGAACCAGGTCCGTAACATGCACATCGGCCGACCCGAGCCCAATGCTCTCCAGCGCCTTCTCGAGCAGGAACAAATACTCCGTGTTCTTGCCGCTCTGTCCATGCCCAGCGCTGATAACCTGCGCCACGTCCTGTGGCGCACGCTGCACCGGGTCGCGCAAGAATTGCGGGTTCGTCGGCTGCCCGATGTAGACCATGCAGATGATCGGGGCGGGGGACGTGGTCGCCGGCGACGCTGTGGTCCCGGCCGTCGGGTGGAATGGCGTGTAGTGCGCACTATAGCCGTCAATCTCGCGCTCGTCCAGGTAGTCGTGCACCTCTTCGGCGTGCGAGGCCGGGATGTGATACGCCGCACCCCAGACTTTGCCCGTGGAGGCGGACTCGGATTCCAGGTGTGCTAGCTATGGGACCGGAGAAGTGTTAGCGGAGATACTCTGATTCCGGTCCCCTCTCTCTCGCTCTGCCTTTCTCCGGAGACCGTGCGGGATAGGGCCCGTTGGTGCGTGTTTGCGGCTGAACTCAATTACCCTGCGCCCCATCCGCAGCCATTCAGGCCCCAGAGCAGAGCACCAGGTAGCCAACTGTAATATCAGGGAACACCAGGGAAGATTTAGGCAGAAAAGATTCGAGCCGAACCGAAAAGAAACACTCATACCGGATCATCCAATGTTTCCCAGAACTCTCGCTCAATCACGGTCACCACGCGGCCCGGCTGAGCGGGTGTGCCACGATGGTCAGTACTAATGACGATCGAACAACTATCAGCCAATCAAGATCCCAGAAAAGGAAAAGTCCTTGTCCCCAAAACAGGGAATAAGGACAAGAACAAGATAGGGCCTCGGAGTCCAGGTCCACAACCAGCTGTCCAGGCCTGGACACGAAAGGAGAGGTGGTCACCAACATACCTAGCCTGTAATCGCGAAGCGCCACGACGCCTGCTGTCAGCTTTGGATCGCTCTAGAACTCGAGCCGCTGGCTCCGCCGCGCTGGGACCGGAGGCCAGGTCATCGCACGTGGAGGACAGAAACACAAGAAAAATAAAAATAAAACGCAGGAGGGTTTCATACCTGCCAGAACCGCCGTACGTAGCCACTGATGTAGCCGGGGACTCGCTGGTCTAGGAGTATCGGGGGATATTGTTAGTTCCGCGGGACAGGACCCTGAACCGGCGAGGACGGGGGAATCCCGTCCCCGATTCTAGGAGACGCAGTGGATCCATAGAAGGCTCTGGAGATCAGAGATACTGGGGGCTTTGCGTACCGTAGTGTGGCGGGGGCTTCCAGATCAAGCTCCTGTGGGTGGGATTAGCGGTTGGGTGGTCTAATGCTGAAGGCGATCTGAAGCACAGGAAGAGACGGAGGGGAGGTGATCTTGAATATAGAAAGACCAACTCTGGAGACGAGAGCTCATGCTATACTCACCCATAACCAAAGACCCAGAGGTCTCCCTGGGGAAAATGGGTTTTCCATGTCCGCCCTTCCGGGTGCACCTGGTGGCCCTGCAAAGTGGCTGCCATCGACGATAAGATATCAATTCGGCGGTGTGATCGGAATGCGGGGTGTCGAAAGTTCTGGGTTGATTAGGCGTGAGGGCTTGAGGGGAATGAAAAGGGGTTGAATTCGGCAAGATTGGATGAGCGCAATTGGGGTTTATTCTACAGTGTCTTGTGGCGGCGTGACGATATAGATGGATTTGGTCCGTTTTCGTGCCCGGATCCGCTGAGAAATCCAATTTCCCGCGTGGACTGGATTCCCCCTCTGTCTGTTTGCAATGTTTGTTTCTATGCGCCATTCTGGTGCGAAATGAGGCGGTTGACTGGCACGGTAATGGGTGGGAATGAGTGGAGCAGAGCAGATATACATTCCATAGGAGTCTAGATAGGCTGTGAGGGTAATGCTGTCAAATTGTATAGCGGGGTACTAGGGATAGATGACCATGGGGAGGACGGGAGGAGATGGCGAGAGCTCGCGGGCTCTCGGCATTTGGAGGGAGCTTCATAGCGCCAAATTAAAAACTTAGAGACTCGAACTGCTATTGGGCTTCTTTTTCCTTTCTAAACAAAAGGGTAGACCAGCGTAATCAGGAGTTCTATTCTCACTGTTAAAAAAGAGAACTATTGTTGGTTCGTATATCATAGGTTGCATGGCCTGTGATTGGCTCTTCACAACTTGAACTACAGTACAAAGAAAGAGAATATCGAATCCTGACTCAGCAGTTTATGCCTCAGGCGGCAGCTCCATCGCATCTGGGAAGCCCATGCTTCATCAGGTGCCAGATACCACCAATTGTCGTTCACTTTTGCTCTTTTGATCTTTCTCTTTTCAACATTCAACCCTCATTCAGAAGAGAGACTATCACTATGGCTGGTCTATTCCGCCTCCTGAAGATGCAATACACACCTCCCACCGACCCGTGTGTCTCCCTCGCCGGGAAAACTGTTTTATTGACAGGTGCTACCTCTGGTCTCGGCTATGAGGCCGCGCTCAAGTTCCTCAACTTGGGAGTGGATTCCCTGATTATTGGCAGTCGCAGCTTAGAACGGGGCCATCAGACGAAGACCGAGCTGGAGCAACGGACCAACCGACCCGACGCCATCCAGGTTTGGGAACTGGAGATGAGCAGCTTCGAAAGCGTGCGGCGTTTTGCCCACCGCGCCAATCAGGAGCTCCCCCGACTTGATGTCGCTCTATTGAACGCCGGTCTATGGAACCGTGAGTATATCAAGTCACCCGAGAACTGGGAAGAGACGCTGCAGGTCAACACGCTGTCCACGTCACTGCTGGCCTTGCTGCTGCTGCCAAAGTTGCGAGCGAGCTCGACCGACGCTGATCCCACTCACTTGAGCGTTGTCTCCAGCCAGCAATTTGTGCGCGTCAAGGCCGAGAGTCTACGGACGGAGGGGCCCTTGCTCGACTATCTGAACTCTCCAGATCGGTTCCACGGCCCGAAGCAATATGGCATTTCGAAGCTTCTCCTGGAGTACGTGATCAAGAAAATGGCGGCGTTGATGTATAATGAGAATGGCACCGTCCCGGTCATTGTCAACACCATCAGCCCGGGTCTCTGTCGGTCCTCGCTGGGGCGACAATATGACCGTTTCTACGAGCGGTGGGCTGTCTGGCTGATGTACATGCTCTTCGCGCGCACGACCGAACAAGGCAGTCGGTCGTTGGTCAGCGCAACGCTTCAGGGTGTCGAGTCGCAGGGCAAATGCTGGCGGAGTGATGGGTACCTCGAGTAAGATTTCAGCGATTCAGCAATCTCCCATAAGGGGGGTTCAATTAGATCAGTATCGCTAATCTTCATATTTGGCCCAGTGAATCCATGGCGCTAACCACTGGTCCGGACGGGAGCCAATTTCAAGCCAAAGCATGGAAGGAGATTACGGAAGTGCTTATAGCACAGGCAGCCGAAGTACGCGCTATCGTCGAGGGCGCATAGTGTGTTCGAGAAGAGAAGGAGGCTCGTATCGCTCGTATCGCTCGTATTCCCACTGGGGGTCTTATTTATACCCCAAGTGGAGCTTCATGCAGCGCCGTCTGGGACTTATCAACCTCGGAACCGTGGATATACTGGCTTTAGCTTCGCTAATATATTTTTGGCAACCGTCACTGCCCAGGTCCCGGTATTTAAGGACTTCGACAGGGTTTGATTTGGCGAAGCGCGCAGGGTTGACGGGGTAGGGCTGAAGGTTTAACGGGGATGGGTTCGGGCGCTTACAACTGTTCGATGGGCTTTCGGGGCGTTGACTGCCCGCCCCATCCCCGAGATTGAGTCCTCCCCGGCACAGATTTGGAATATAAACTGGTCTCTTGGCTCGCCTATGCGAGTGGGGGAGCCGCAAATTGCGTCGCAAGCTTTCTTCTTTCAAAAGCAGTTTTCGCCCTTGGCATTAGGCCAAAAGCCAAAGCCAAAAAAGTTCGTCGTGAACCGCCCCACCAAAACTCCGCTTTGAGAAATGGGACAACCCTGAGACTACTCGCATTCGACATTCCTCCTTTCTTCCCCCCCTTTTCCACATCTCTCGCCTGCTTCATCTTGTCGGCTACTTGCTCTTGTATCGTTGAATATCCTTAGATACTCGCTCGGGCGAGAGTCTCTCGCCCCCTTCTTATCTCAGCTCCACCCTCCCTGATTGCGTCAGTGCCTAAACGACCATGGCCTACAACCGGAGTTACAACCCCGACGCCCTGCCAGCGTAAGTGTGGACTCATGACTACACATTAGACGAAGGAGTCCTGATCGCTGACTGCACTGGATTGGCATAGACACGCTGAACCCGAGCAGGTTTGCACTCCCAACGCAGTTCCGAGCTGCGTGCAAGTTCCCCCGCGCTTCGTCTGCTAACCCGCCAACGTTCCCCAGGTCGCGCAAATGATTGGCAATATGCGGGTGTCTTCAGGACAAGGCCAAACGACTGGTCAAAAGCCACTGCCCTCTCGTCCACCACCGCAGACCTCGCCCAGTAGTGGTATACCTCCACGCGTCCCCGTGTCCAGCGGTCCTCCGCAGCATCCATACAATGCTCCTTCAACCTCGCGCCAGCAAGACACACAAGCGCCGCACCCCTACAACGGTCGTCCATCGCCTGTCAATCCTCCCCCATCAAGCTCCTACCGACCTCACCCATTACATCCCTCTCCGCCTCCCCAGAATTACGGCTTTGGCCCTCCGCCGTCTCAGCCGAATCGTAACCGCCCACCCCCATCCTCGCGGCCCCCGCATTCCCCCAATCCCCCGCTGTCTGCGCCCGGCGATGACCCCAACCAGCTGCTGCCACTCTTCCGAGCTGCCAACTCCTCACACTCGGGCGCTCTGACCGAACACGAGCTGGGTTCAGCCCTGGTTAACGGCGACTATACTTCTTTCCACCCCCGCACGGTCAAGATGATGATCAGAATGTTCGATCGCAACGGAAATGGAATCATCAATTTTGACGAGTTTGTCTCACTGTGGCGGTACCTGGCAGCCTGGCGCGAGCTGTTCGACCAATTCGATGAGGACCGTAGTGGGCGCATCAGCCTTCAGGAGTTCGAGAAGGCTTTAGTCGCGTTTGGATACCGCCTTAGCGAAACCTTTGTCACGGTGCTGTTCCGCGCCTTCGAGAGCAAAACCCGACAAATGGTGCCCTCACCCAAGAGCCCGCATGAAAATGGGATGAGCTTCGACCTCTTTGTGCAGGCGTGTATCAGTTTGAAGCGCATGACGGATGTTTTCAAGCGGTACGACGAAGATCGTGACGGTTACATCACCGTTAGCTTTGAGGAATTCCTGACAGGTGAGTTTAATAGCTCCCTTTAATGCTTCGGTCGTTGATTCTGCTCGCCTGGGATCACATCGCATCTAATAGATCAAATTGGCTAATGGTTTTATATTTCCTTTGGCTTGGCAGAGATCCTTCAGCTACAGGATTAACCGTTCGGTGTTGATTTCAGTGGCTGAACAGACATTTTGCATTGTGTGCATGGGTTTTCTTTTCTCCCCCCTTTCCATTTTTCAGATCTGCGGGGTATTGATATCTCGTTTGCCTTACTATCTATATACCCATCCCCGCTTCCTCCCGTTCCAATCACCAACCTCCAATAGCTCTCCCCGCTTTTCTTCCATCCCTTCATGCCCCCATACCCCCATCTTCATGCCCATTGTTTATCTGGCTTCACAAGAGAGTTAGAGGAAAAGGCTGTTGCATTTTAAACCAGGCGTTTTCCAGTGGCCTCTTCCCTTTACCGAAAGAAAATATTGTCTTGCTCGATATATAAATGGACCTTTTTTGCCGTTCACGTACTGGCTGCTGCATATTTGCGATTTCCGTAATGCGATATCTCGTGGTGCATTCTTGTGCTCTACCCCCCTGGTACTGTAAGCTTATGAGAACCCTTCCGAAATATCACTCAGAGGTTTCGCCTTTCCACACTGTTGCAGGTTGAACTACAGGGATGGGTCCCCAGGATTGCTCTGTTTTTGCTGCCTGTCGATGAGGAGAGTCAATTGGTCTGAGGGGGATTCCCTGCACTTATGATAGGCACACGACGATGATCACGATGGTCATCCTTTATTCTCATATGTTATTCATCCTGCAAATTAGGACAATGAATCCCCAGCCCATATCTTTATCTGACATTCACAGGGCCTCCAATACGACCTCTCAGCATATTCCTAAATTCATGCTCCGTGTTCGGAGAAAGACAGTGTCTCTGGCATGTCAATCCGCAGAGATGCATGTGGCACAACGAGAAAGCCTTGCATGCCAGCCTATAGTCCCAGAGTGATGATTGGATTCCGGAGGAGTATGGGACCTTGCTCATCCCTAAAGATCAATATCTAGGTCTCTGTAGGGGAATCATTTCTTATATATCCGCTCGCCGTATTTTCAGTGGATGATGCGTGCCTTTTCTGGATCGATCAAGTTTCCTATGCTCTGTCAGTCGGCAGTACCTATAGTACCCCTTGTATAGAGTTGGGGATAGTCAATCTATGTATATTTAGAAGCCGAATAAGATGGTTTAGACGATATCGTCTACGGTGCATAGGAAAACGGTAGATGAATCACATATCACCGGAATTGCCCCACTTTTTACATCTTCCCCTTGCTTTTTCTCACGTTGTGCCACGCATGGCAAGGCGAGTCATTGGCAGATAACGTGCAGACAGAGCACTGCAAAATCCCCGACCCCACTGCATGTGGTATAAAACAGTGCCCACTTAACTTGACCGCTACACGTCGACAGTAGCATTACTATCACTAGGGCTCCGTGATGGATCCAATTGGGCTCGGCCTTTCGGGCGTTCCAGACTTCCGTCGGCCGATCCCTTTTGGGGAGGTCGCGGCTTAAATCCGAGCACCAACGACGACAGACAATCGATGACTCCCAACACGAGCTTCGCTTTATAAACAGTTCAGCCATGCAGCTTTGATCTCGAGGGATCCCAATCCCTGACAATCTTGCTGCTTCCTCTGCTACCTCTGACTGCATTTGCGCCTGCATTTGCGCTTGCAGACCCCATTCAACGACGATCGATTCTAATCGCCGACGCGCTACCGGATTTTAGAGCCTACCCTCGCCTCGCGCAAAAAAGTTTTCCTAGTTTCTCATCAGACCGCGGCGCCTCTTTCCCCCTCGCAACTCGCGACTCTCTCCGGGGATTTCTGGCAAGAGTGAGAATCCATGGCGGACACCCAGCACCAACATGACGCTTCGAGCGGCGACACAGTCGTCTCGCGGGTCTCCCCCGAGAAAGGTCCCGTCGAGGTACCCGCCTCCCCCACGCAAGAGCCCAACGCAGACCCCGAAAAACTCCCCTCGGATGAGAATCCGGATCAAGAGGTGGCAGACTCGGCGCTTGAGAAACAATCTTCGGGGCCCCCACTCGACCGCACCGTCTCGCAGGCTGGCAGGATGGGCAAAAAGAAAGTCGCCGTCGTCATGACGGCGCTCTGTCTCGCCCTGTTCCTGGCCGCCCTGGACATGACCATTATTTCGACCGCTCTGCCAACCATCGCGGCAGATTTTGGCGCCTCGGAGAGTGGGTACTCGTGGATCGCATCCTCTTATCTACTCGCCAACGCCGCGTGTATCCCTCTGTGGGGCAAAGTCAGTGATATCTGGGGTCGCAAGCCGATTATCTTACTGGCCAATGTCTTCTTCCTCGTTGGCAGTCTGGTCTGCGCTCTGGCGAAGAATATGGCCATGATCCTCGCCGGTCGAGCGGTCCAGGGTGTGGGTGGTGGTGGAATCATCATCCTGGCGAATATTAGCGTCACGGATCTGTTTAGCATGAGGTAAGTGAAAGCTCACGATTCTAACTTGATATTCTTCCGAAACAGTTTTAGTATCTGAACTTAGCTCACCTCAATTTTGTCTTGTCTTGCAGAGAACGCCCGATGTACTATGGTCTCTTTGGCGCGACTTGGGCTATTGCCGGTGCGCTGGGTCCGATCGTTGGCGGTGCTTTTACCACAGATGTAACTTGGCGCTGGTGTTTCTATCTGAACTGTATGTGAAGCGACACCCAAATGGTTTATTTTCAAATCGCTGACCGTTTACTTTGTGCAGTGCCCATTGGCGGTTTCTCTTTGGTGATCCTGTTTTTCTTCCTCCGCATCGAATCCCCCAAGACTTCACTGCTGGCGGGTCTCCGAAGCATCGACTGGGGCGGCACGTTCATGATCATCGGAGGCACTCTGATGTTCCTCTTTGGTCTGGAGTTCGGCGGCATCAACTTCCCTTGGGCTTCGGCGACGGTCATTTGCCTCATCATCTTTGGTGTTGTCACCTGGGGCCTGGCGATGCTGATCGAGTGGAAGTTTGCCAAGTACCCGATCATCCCGCCGCGTCTATTCAATGAGTGGTATAATGTGCTCATCCTGCTAATTTGCTACTGCCATGGATTTGTCTTCATCTCCGGCGCCTACTATCTCCCCCTCTATTTCCAGACCGTTCTCTTGGCATCTCCGATCATGAGTGGTGTCTACACCCTCCCCATGGTCCTCTCCCTATCCATCGTTTCCGCTGGCACCGGTGTCATTATGAAGAAGACCGGTCGTTATCGTGAGATGATCGTGGCTGGCTTGTTCTTCATGACCCTCGGCTTCGGTCTCTTCATTGATCTCAAGCCCTATGCCTCCTGGGCCCGTATCGTCATCTTCCAACTGATTGGTGGTATCGGCGTGGGTCCCAACTTCCAGGCGCCTCTCGTCGCATTTCAGGCGAACGTCCGTCCGGCTGACATGGCCACGGCCACTGCCACTTTCGGCTTCGTCCGCCAGCTCGCTACCTCCATGTCTGTCGTGCTCGGTACGGTCATCTACCAAAACATCATCGGCCAGCAATCCGGCAAGCTCATCGCTGCCATTGGCGTCGAGCGCACTAAGATCATCTCCTCCTCCTTCGCTGGCGCCTCCAAGGAGCTCATCCAGAGCCTATCTCAGTCCCAGCGCGAGGTTGTCCTCGAGGCCTTCACCTTCGCCCTGAGCCGCATGTGGATATTTTACACCGCAATTGCCGGTGTCGGCCTTATCCTGTCTCTCTTCATCCGACCCCGCGAGTTGAGCAAGACTCACACAGTGCGGAAGACGGGTCTTGAAGAGCAGGAACGTGCTCGCCAGGAACTGATAGATGCGCAGCGCAAGTCGGAGGGCAAGCCTGCCACTGAAGTCTAATTCAACCCTTCCACCTTCTCTGATACCCATCCCTATTTACGATCCTCATTAGTCTCTCCCCATCACGCTCTACATCTTTCCCGCAGGATATCCCTTGATTAGGCCATGCATTTGCCTTGCTTCGGTCTCTGTCAATATTTCATTTTTCTTCGATATCATATTTTCTAATTTTTATTCTTATTATTTTGCAGGTGCGGTTATCATCGCATCCGGTGTGCATGCGTGGTGGATGTTGTTCGAGACCGCGAGGTGGCTGGCATTTGCCTTCGATCTTCGGGGTTTGCGGCCACTTCAAGGTTCACATAAAAGCATAGAGGAGTGCGAACATAGCACTTACGTAGTAAAAATTTCAATTTTATCATGCACATGACTTATCTCATTCTTCGGCGCACTGTTTGTAGTTGATAGCATAAGCCTGTAGACTTATAACTTTACGACTTTCTTGAGCTAGCCAGGAGCCAGGACTAATCTAGACATGAATAAAGCTTTCTTTGGAAGAATCTGTTTCATGTTATTCCGGCGAGACCTCTGTTCAAAGATAAAGTCTATGGAATCCCGATAAGCTTTCATGAACTTGCTAAATTCTAATTCTGAGTCGGACATCTCGCCGACCCGGTTTGCCGAATGCAGAACCTGACGGCTCCACCCGCTCTTGTAAAACTGAGTTTTAACCCGAGACTCTGACTTGCAAGGTTGCTCGAACAGTCCATATAGTTGTAATTTTAGGAGCCTGGAAAGACAATTGCCGGTTCTTTCACTATTTTGCCGCTCATAGAGCAAAAACATGAGCAAAAAACAATAGAATAAGTGAACATCAACTTCATTATTGACAAATAGCCACGCTCGGAGGCCGAGCTTACTATTGATCTCTGACCTACGCAATAGACCCACACTCGGAGCGACAGTATCTCTCCGAAATTCACCCAGGATTTATCAGCACGGTGGGTCACGATCCTATGACTGAATGCAACAGATTACAAAAAAGCATGGTTCTCAAAGCCCGAGTCTGAACGTCCCTCATTCCTCGATATCCCTCGGACTATAAATCAACTGCAGGCGAAAGAATTCACGAAGTGGCCCTTAAACCGGTGAGAAAACAACCCAGGAACGCATATACCTCAGTCTAATCCAGAGGTGTGCAAATGCAGTCTTATCTGCAGTATCGACGATTGGGCAACGCTGTGCGTGCACAGCTAAGCACCGCCCATGTTCAACATGATGCCTCCCCCGTGAAAGAACATTCGATCCTGAGCCGAGAAACAACGTCCGAAACAGCGAGTGCTACAAGTGCTACACCTCGCAATTCCGACTTCGAAATCAATCGCAATGATCCTGAGACGAGACCCAATCCCCTGGCGCAGAGTAAATCCCAGCGCTCCGAGAAGACCGCCCTAGCGCTTTCCCTGGCCGGCGTCGATGTACAAAAACAGCGCGAATCGACGAATCAGCCCATCGACCTTTTCATTGTTGGCTGGAATGGCGAGGATGACCCCCAGAACCCCCGAAACTATTCCTTCTCGAGGCGTTTGGTTGCAACCCTGCTTGTCTCGGCCCTTGGCTGGGTCGTTGGCGCAGCATCGTCGATCAATTCGGGTGTCTTACCTCAGAACACTGCAGCTTTTCACGTTAGCGACGTTGTTGGATCCCTCGTGACTGGTAATTCATTAGCACTAGCCTCTTTCCAATTGAACGATTGTATGTTGGGTCTCAAAGCTAACTCTTCTAGGAATCTATCTCCTCGGCTTTGCAGCTGGCTCCCTCTTTAGTGGCCCGCTATCTGAAATTCTCGGTCGCAATGCTGTCTACGCGGGCTCCCTAACTCTCTTCATGATCTTCATCATGGGCTCTGCGCTCGCCCCAAATATTGGTGCCCAGCTGGCTTTCCGTTTTCTCGCCGGTATCTTCGGCTGTCCGGCCCTAACCTGCGCCGGAGGCACCATTGCCGATCTATGGAACCCGCTCGAAAAAACCATCTACTTCCCAATGTATGCGGTCCTCTCTTTCGGTGGACCGGTTCTTGGGCCCGTGCTTGCCTCATACATGGGCCAGACAGGTGTCCTCTCCTGGCGCTGGACAGCCTGGCTCATCCTGATCCTATCCGGCGCTGTCCTCATCCTGATCGTCCTGTTCCAGCCTGAGACTTATGCACCGCTCCTCCTCAGATGGAAAGGGAAACACCTGCGACGTGAAACTGGCGATTCCCGCTTTCGATCCGAGATGGACATGGAGAAAATCGCGCTGTTCACCCGTATCGGCGGCGCCATGAAGCGCCAGTTCCTGATCACCATTCACGAGCCAATCATCCTGCTGATCTCGCTGTACATGACGGTCCTGTATATCGTGCTGTTCACTTTCTTTGACGGTTACACGTACATTTTCACAGATACTCACGGCCTGAGCCAGGGTTTGACCAACATTGTATGGGTTGCGATGTATGTTGGCATCATCCTCGCCGCAGCCCTGGTTTTCCCCATATACGCCTGGACAAAGAAGGACTTCACTCGTGCTGCACAAGATGCAAATGGCACTGATCTGGCAACAAATCCGCACGCCTTGGATAACGTGCACACGCAACCAGAGATCCGGCTGTGGTTCGCGATGTTCGGGGCCCCGGCGATTCCGATTAGTTTGTTCTGGATGGGGTGGACGGATTTTGTAAGCTGATCTATTTTCATTTCCACGCTCAACTTGCTTTCGTAGAAGTTTCCAGCTCTGGACATCAGGCTAATTTCACATTGTCCCCAGGCCTCCGTCTCAATCTGGTCCCCCATCATCGCATCCTCCGTCTTCGGCTTCGGCACCATCTGTGTCTTCATCAGCTCCTACATGTACGTGATCGACTCGTACAGCATCTACGCCGCCTCCGCGCTAGGCTTTATGACTGTGTCCCGGTACTGCGCCGCCGGTGTCATGACCGTCGTCGGGATCCCGTTCTATAGTAACATGGGAGTCCATTGGACTTTGACAATTCTGGGCTGTATCAGTGCGCTGATGGTTCCGGTGCCATATGTATTCTATCGCTATGGACCAGTTATTCGGCGTTGGAGCCGTTATGCTGTCACGGAGGACGTCAAAGTGTGATTATTCACGTGGAGAGAGGCGGAACATAGAGATTACCATACATTATGTTTATGGTTCGTTGTGCATAGTGGATGGCAGATGGTTGATCCTAGATTGCGTGTGAAAGCATGTCTACATGTGATGACTCGAGAGCAGAATCTCAACAAAGTCCAACTCAAGGATGGCAAGAGGACATCATGAAGATTTCTTAACATGACTATTAATATAAACTTCATTTTCTCAGCTTAGCACTTAGGTATCAATAATAGTTTTGTATGGTCTTAAGTAGATGTATATTGTCAGGGATTTCCAGTGAAAATTATCCTAAATATATCTACACATTCAAAAATGAATTGTTGAATTTATTCTTAACAGATTTTCAAAACTCGTCAAGCTTGCTTAACATCAGAAAAAAAAAAAAAAAAAAAAAAAAGCCCAGTTTTGGGACGACGGGATGAAAAGAAATCTAAAGATCCAAAAGAAGCAAACTTTTAACCAATAGTCATGGTAAAGGCGGCACTGGATGAGCAGCTGCGTGTATCCACATCATCAGACTCCTGATAAGAATCCGCACAGTCGGTGTCACCAGCAGAGCACGAAGCGGTTGCGCAGCTCGAGTCATCAGAAGTCACAGCGAAGCCAGAGGAAATGAACTCGGAGGTAGACGCAAGGTTAATGGAAGAAAGGTCCCACCAAATTGTCTCGTCGGTCTTGGTGTATTCAAACTGCAGAACGCTGTCCTCGCTCTCGGTGGTGGCCATCTTGATGGAGATGCCACCTCCATCAGAGTTGGTCTGCCAAGACTCAGAGTAGGTACCACCGTTGGAAGACAGTGTTTTCATGCTGCTAGACTCATTGGAGGTGGACCACAAGTAGACAGTCTTATCGAGGTTGTTGACGATCTTCACGCTGCCGCTGGTGCTGGTGCTAGTGCTAGCGGAGGCAGTAGAAGACGCGGTAACCGAGGCCGAGGCCGATGAGGTCGAGGAGACCGAAGAGGCGGGCACAAGAGTGATGGTGGAAGTGGCGACGGTTGTTGCGGTAGGTTCAATGACGCTGTCACGAATGCCAAAAGGCAACGCCGAGGCTGTGGCTGCGAGAGTGGCAAAGAAAGTAAGGCTTTTGGAGAACAACATTGTGTATAGTTGGATAGTTGGATAGTTGATATATATTCAAGGATTGAGAAAATAGCTTTGTATTGAAGTGAGGGATCCGGAAAATTCGGCTTGGAAAGATCGAAGTGTCTGATCTACAGACAGAGAGTTGATATCAAATGATTGTAGATGACCGGCACAGCCAAGGTCAACAGAGGATCCAAAAGGAGTGGAAGTGGTAATGGTATGCTGAAGAAAGGAATGAGACAGCAAAAATCGAGTCAAATGTACGAGGGCTTCCTTCCACCTTTATCTTCCATGGTGGAGCAAGCCTTGACGCTGAATTAGGGGCGATGAAACACACAACCCAGCGCATGAAAACACTCGCCCTCCACAGGCCGACTGGCCGACGAGTCTAGATGCATTGTTAAGCCCCAGTGGTGTCTGGATACAGCCAAACGCAGGATATCATTGGAGGGATTGCTGGTTGGCTCTCTTCGACTGGTCAAACGCCTTAGGGCTGGAACGAGGGCCCGTTTTTCAAGCATTCGTCCGCGCTGAAAAAGGCACCAGGAACAAACCAACGACGGTGAGTGTTCGACCCCACTGGGCGAGTCTGTAGATGTGGTGGTCCAGTCAGAACAATGAACGGCCTGCGCTGGAACAGTGGGTCCGCTCTGATTGGTGAAGACTGCGGCGTCATCGCATTGCGTGTGGAGTGCCAACGACCTTTCAGAACAGACTACAGATCGACCGACGCAGTATGTGGCGCAGGGAGGGCCACTTTTACGTAGCGTCTTGCGCAACATTAGAGCAAGCCTTAGGGCAGGCGTCAAGGCAAGGCGATCCAGACCATTGGCCGTCGGTCGGTCGGGTCGTGAAGTCTAGACGAAACCCAGTCCGCAGAGAGTGTCTCAATTGTTCGAAAAATACATAGAGACCATCTTGTGTGACCTGACTAAAAGGCTTAGCAAGAAATGGAAAAAACGAAGGAAAATATTGTCTGCGACGTTCCAGGTTCTACTGGTGACATGGATGAGCCCGATGCGACCGCGTGGACGAATATGTACTGAGCAAGTGTGGGAATCCTCGATCTGGTATCAGGCTTATCAGGCATGAAAATCCCGGCTGGATCGGGTCTATCAGTGGGTTGGGCAGTCTTGCCCACGAAATATATAGCAAATCGTGAAGGATGACTTGTTTCAACTTCGACACCTGCAGGGATTAGAGGGACTGGGCGGCGACCCATCGCATCGCTAACCCATGTTTGCCAAGCCGTCATGGTATTAGACGCTCCTATCAAAGGGCCCTTTTATTAATATGAGGTGATTTAAATCGATCCGGAAAAAAAATATCGTAATGTAGGGCGTTACTTCGGACGAATTCTTTAACTTTGATTATCTGGTTTTATAACTCAATTTGACCACAAAATTTGTCACACCGAAAATTTTCCATAGTCGCCGAGGTATATCAAGGATTGGTAATAGCGAATGGATGACCGTGGGTGAATCAGTCTGCTCATGATTCAAGGCTTTTTCCTTTGGATCATCTTACGGTGCTGAGTGCTTACGAAAAGACGGTTTGATCATCTGCCATTCAACCAATGTTGGTCTCTAGATACTTGTCGAACGGTTAGAGAAATCACCATATGTGCCTGAATTGGCTTAGATGGCACTTTATACCAGTGCAGGGGTTCCGGGACGCTTCACGCGGTTTGTAGGATGGACATGGTAGCCATTCCCACCTAGGGTTGATTACCTTTGAAAGTATAATTATTCTCCTTATATGCCTCTCCTGTGTTTCTCACCTCCTATGGGTCCTCAATATGGACAGCTTTGGGGTATTAAACGGGTTTCAGGGAACTGAAGTTGTGGAATATGTTCGATGTGGGATCAATGCTACGAACGAGGAAGACCTGGAAATCTATTTACAGTCCGCCTATGCACTTTGGTAGATTCAACCCTTGATACTGATGAACGATGCTGGGCTATAGGGGCTTTAAGTATTAAAGGGAGTGATAAGAAAAAGAGACCAAAGATTAGAGTTACTCAGATGATAAATCTTGGTAGCAACCCGTGAAAGTATATATAATCAGCTGGTCACTCAAGAATTTGACCTCGAACAATAATCACAACATCATGACAATATCGAGCCCGGTCTATAATAGGAGCATTTGAAAGATAATATTCTATATGGAAAGGTATACATGGACAAAAAATACTTAAAAAAGGGGGCTTATCTGAGCGGATATGATCTTTGTCCCGGGCGAGAAGTCTTTCTCCTGAGTCATTCCTCTTCAAAAAGCCCTTTATAGTAGTTAATCTAGCCCTCCGACTTCGCAATCAAACCCTCGATGGTGTAGTTGGATATCACGTTCGGCTGTAATGGATAACATATAACCGAAAGGTCACCGGCTCGATTCCGGTTCGAGGGAATTGCATTTCTTTTTTTTCCCCTTTCCTTCATGTTTGGAAATCATTTCTCTCTCTTTTCCCATCAGTTCCCATCAGTGCTTCCTAAGCACATTCTAATACTCAAATATAAGTAATTTCGATTGCCCCGCGCATCGGGGCAAATAGGGCCCCGGTCGCATCAAGCGCATCAATCAACCTTTACAACTAATAAAGGCCGAACTCCATCTAATGTCCACTTTCCAGTGAGATGAAATCTTTACTTTAGTAATCAATCGGGAAATTCTACTTTATTATACCTGAGGCAACCCCTCGCTCATGAATGATATGAAACATAGAACAGCTTAGGTGACAGATTGTGCAGTGGATGGAACTTGAGGAACCACTGGGCACTGAATAGAGGTCGGAGAGATTTTTCTGCTTCTCAGATTATATTCTTATAAAAACGACAGTCGTCGTAACAAAACCCTCGATGGTGTAGTTGGATATCACGTTCGGCTGTAATGGATAACATATAACCGAAAGGTCACCGGCTCGATTCCGGTTCGAGGGAGTTACATTTTTTTTTTTTTTTTTTGGTCTCGCCAAAAATCTTTACTTTCGTTATCTTTCTTCGTCATGTTTTGAATTGGATTTGCCACGGTGAACCCTTCTCCTTTCACAATTCGAATTAGAGATGTCGTTTTCACTAATATGGAATCCTTTGGAGGAACGCGCCCGGAAAAGCCGCCACCTTATCATCGGGACCTCTGCCGATGTCGCGTGTTCTGTCTCGGGTCTCGACCTATTGGGAACCTGGCTGGATTTGCCTTCGGGCACCGGGTTCAGTCGGTATCATGTATTACAAGTAATGAATTAATGGCCCGAATGCCTTTTCCTGGACAAGGAAAACGCCTCCCTTTGGGTTGTCTTTCCCAACGAGGAATGTCAGGTGTTTATCTGGTTTCACGTGATCGGATTTTATAGATGCTTGCAATCCATGGGTAATTGAATGGATACTTATAAAACCATCATGGACACTGCTCAAGAGGTATTCCAAACAATTCTCATACATTATTTTTGCCACTATATCACTCGAATTATATTTCTCCCACGTTCGAAATGGCGAGCTCTATGCTGAACTACTTTAAGTTTGGTAACTCCAAAGATGCAACCGCAACTAAAGCCACTCCTGTTCGAGCTTTACCAGCCTCATGGTATACTTCGCCAGAAATGTATGAGCTGGAACGGCGGGCCATTTTTTCCAAGAAATGGCTCTTTATCACTCACAATTCGCGTCTCAAGGAAGCTGGAGATTGGCTTCGTTATGAGATCGCAGGCTTCGATTTCATCATTACTCGCGACCGCCAGGGTGATATAAATGCATTCCATAATGTATGCAGACACCGTGCCTACCCTGTGATCGAGAAAGAGGGCTCTGGAAATAACAAGATTCTGGCTTGTCGCTACCATGGCTGGTCTTACGGTCTCAATGGAAAGTTGGCGAAAGCTCCCGGATACCAAGATTTGGACGGATTCAACAAGGATCAAAACGGCCTTTTCAAGATTCATGTTAAGGTCGATGTTAATGGATTTATCTGGGTCAACATGGACTCAAAAGAAACACCCGAGATTCCCTGGGAACGAGACTTTCAGGGTGTTGACGAACAACCACGATACCAAGCCTATAACTTCGACGACTATAATCTGGACCATACTTATGAGCTGGACGGTGACTATAATTGGAAGGTACGTTATAATTGCTTACGAAGTACTTTTATTATACCTACACCAGCCCATTGGTACACCATCCCTCAAGAGCATTCCAAGGCGACTGTATCATGAAATCATCCTAAAGCCTTCTCAAGAAAGTTCTATTAACAAGTCAAAGGTGCTGCAAGACAATTTCAATGAATGCTACCATTGCCCAACTACACACGCCGATATTCCTGAATTTCTGAACCTCGAATCCTTCGAGAGTGATACCAAAGACGGCCATATCCAGCACCATTGCGTTTCAACACCCGAGCAGCTGGCCAAGGGCCTTTATACAGCGAGTACCTACTATTTCCCCATAACTGCTATGGTTGTTTCGTGAGTAGTATTCTCGGAATAAAACATCTTTGTGGACTTGATTCTCATTGATGCATACAGGCCCCATTTCATGATGATTCAAAAATTCTTCCCCAAAGGCCCTGGCTCTTCGAAGATGAATTATGAAATCTACCGAAACAGGAATTCCTCGGATGCCGACTTCAAGCTTATCAGTGAGATGTATGCAAGGGTTATGTCGGAGGACAAAGTTCTTTGCATCAATGCGCAGAAGAACCTCGACCGCGGTGTCTTCATTAGTGGCCAGCTACACCCAAAGTACGAAAAAGCGCCTCTATTCTTCCAAAGCACTGTTCGTGATGTCATCACAGAGCATTTTAATCGGGAAAAATCAGAAGGACATCAAATTTGGCCCGCGCGACAAAAGTTGCCTGAAAATTCGCAAGTCGGCGATGCAGATGAGGCTATCTGTACAGGCCTTAGCTGTGGAGCTCAGAAAGAGGTTTTGGCATGGTAATCATAGATAGATCATGGTCGAACTAGAGAGATGTTTTGCAACTTTTTGGCGATTCTATTAAGCGATATCATGTCGTTCTTTCACATTGTCAACTTGGTCCAACTACTTTTTTTTTCACACAACCCTACACCAATATTGTTGCTGTATTTCGAATTGAAGAGATTGATAGAAGAATTCGAAAAAGGGGTTCTCAATGAATACTCGTCTCTGCACAATACGAATTCCTTGTCCCGGCCAAGTATCACAAAAAGCCAGATTTCATGGTACTTTTTGAGTTTACTTTAGTGAGACAACAGTAGATTTTATATCTAAGATCTATAGGCCTCATGTTTAATACAAAGAGTTTTCTACCCAAGCTCCCATCAGTTTGCATACGTATTCTCCATGCATATGTATTCTCCAGCAACAGTTCGTTGTCTTCGTTGTTGGTGGCGCTTGCAGATGGTCTTGTGACCGGAAACGCAAAGCCAGAGAGCATGGAAGTAAACAGGAGCTTAAATAAAGATATCATGACTGAACCTTCTTTTCATGTATTAACACGTCGCACAGATAGTTCAAAGACTTGCGGCAAAGCTTCCGATTCGCGGATGACAGAGCGACTCGGGTTCCCGTTCCGAGGACGAGATAACTATGGTTACTGGATTCTTACCGAATCCGGTATAAAAACCCGCCGCAAGATTTGAAGGCAAAAATAGACGGGGTATACGATAAAACAAGTTGGAAAGCTTCGTGAAAATATCATTGGTAGTGTGTATACCTCATTTCAAATGATGTAGCCGACTTCAATAATATGAGCAAGGTCCAAGGTGAAGTCTCGGGACTCCCGAAACATGATGCTTGAAGGAATTTGAGAAGCTCCAAAAGGAGAACTCTAATTTGGTGAGATAGCAGAGTTTGAGAGATGAGCTGTAAATGAAGTTTTGATCACAACCTTAAGGTTTCATAAACACCCCCAAAGACATGGGTCAACTTCACTCTTATCTTCAAGTTTGAACCAATCATGGACGCTATTATGTTATATAATGGGAAGTAAATATTTGAATTATTGTTCAAAATAAGATCTCAGGGGGAAGGAGCCACCGCGTACTGTGTGAGCCCGCAGATAACGCTGCTCGTCCAGAAATTATAGGAATACTCGATTCCTTTCTTGTTTTATATTGTATCCTGGGTATATTCGGAGCCTAGCGCAGCAACACGTTGGTCTGTGAGATAGGGAATGCTGAGAAATTCCTGCCAGCTAGTTTAGTTCTTTAGAAATTATCATATTAAGTATCGCATCCTATGAAATCCCACCTTTCTGAGCCTATACCGTATTTTACCCAATTAACATCAATCTAAATAGTAAGACGATCAAACTGAATACGAAAACTCCTGCCGATCGAAGAAATTCAATTCGTGTTTTGTGCAAAACTTTCCATGAGACTTCTTATGAGAGGAACACTTATGGACTTGAACCAGTTGCGAGACCAAGAACTGTGGCCATTTGGGGGAAATAGCGGTCAATTCAAATTTCAAAGACCATTCCCTCCTTCTCACATTAAATATAAATACTGATTTCCATGACATACATAAGACTGGCCTCCCTTCCTTCCATTATCGGTACTCTGAATATCATTCAGCGAAAGGTCCAGGTTCTACAGTCACTGGTTTTCAGATTTGAACGGTTTAATATTCGATGATGCCCAGGTATAAATTTTCAAGGGCCGCAGTACTGCATATACCGTGGACTAAGGCTGCATTGATGCCATCCAGTACCCGTGGAACAAGGTATCTGTAGATAACTGCACTTTTTCATTCAAGTTCTTCTCCCGTTCTCGCGATGAATTTGGCAGCGCGCGCATGGCCCTCTATAGCAACCTCGGGCATGCCCAAATTATTGGCAACTCCAAAATTCGCGTGAACCCCATTGAGAGCTTCGTGCAACTCCACCTCTGTGCCATTCTTTTTCATTCTCTGGGCGAATTGCACAATGTCATCGTAAAGCACCTCCGAGGTGCCCGCTTCGATGAAAAGCGGGACACTCAATTTCAAGTTCTGCTCGCTTGCAAGTGGCGACAAGTATGGGTGGTCGTCCGACCAACCAGGAGGGATATAGCCACTCACGCCCCATACCCCAAGCTCGTATTCAATGTAGTCTGATTTAGAGTTCCGGTGTTTGATCAAACTTTTAAGAGCCCGTTGGGTCAAATCTACCCAGGGAGACCACAACAGGGCGCATCGAGGAAGAGGGATGGCGTGGTTCTCCTCCGTGATATACCGTAGGATGGCCAAGATGAGATTCCCTCCTGCAGACTCCCCGGAGAGCACAATCTGAGAAGGGGGAATCTTGAGGGTCTTTAACGCGTAAATATAGGCCGTGAGTCCATCCTGGACGGCAGCGGGAAAGGTTTTATCTGCGTCCAACGAGAGCCGATACTGAACTGAAAGAATCGGCCACCCGGAGCTTTCACTGAATGTCGTGGGCCCCCAACCGCCTCCATCACTAGGACGTGGACCAAAGAATACAAAAGCACTGGGGTGAAAATGGATGATGAGCCTGCGCGGCGGCTGTGAAGGGGTATTTGGGTACCAGACTGCACCAATGGGCACAGGTTTGACCAATGGGACGGAGGTCAGTGTTCCTTTATAGACCGCTGCTTCAGTTTTCAGGTTTGGATCGGAGATTGTCGATTGTGGATTCAGCACAATAAACCGGTCTCCCTCTGCGCCTGGCTCCAAAGATTTAGGAGTACGGTATCTAATAGCTGTCTGGTATCGGATAATTAAGATGATCACTTGGAGAGTGACCGCTGTCTTCCAAGACCAGGCCGGATTGGGGCGGTTGGACTTGGGGATATAGTACAACCACCATGTCAACAAACGCGCGGGGAGAGTGAACAAGGTATAAGCAGTGTACAGAATGGTATAAACAGACGGCATGGTCGTTGTCGAGGATTGATTTTTTGGAAACCAATCAACTCATATGGAGCGCCGGAGAAGTTGGTCAAGGGGAGAATAAAGAGGCTTGGGAAGTTGGTCCCTACCCAGCTGAAAGATGACGTGGGGGCTAAAAAAAAAGCCCTACCATTTCGGGGATTTTCAGGGCGGCTCACAAAATTTGCCCCAAGCTGCTTCTCGTGGGGAGGACGTCTCGCAGTGGCTACGTCTCTGTCTTAATAACATTCGCATTCATTTCCTAATCGGGAAGCAATTAGACTATTAGCGTCGATGGGAGGGGAAGAGCGCTTAGACATCCTCGCGGCGTCATAGCGCTTACTTGGAAATTAGTCCCAACGACACTGAATGTCACGAATCTATTATGGCATGGTGTTCAATAATAGGCCACAGGCATGCGGGGGACTCAGTCTCGGTGGCTGCTACGGGTCTGTTATTCGCTGTCAGGACAACATCTCGGGAGGGCCTTCGTACATGCACAAGGGAATCCCTAGCCCCCAGGGCCTGGAGCTGTGAAACAAATAGGTTCAGTCTGCTGCTTTGATAGAGACCCCCCGAAGCTTGAAAAAAGTAGATAAAATCACACATTACCCGAGTGTGACCTCTTTCAGCACCTAAATTACAGTCCCAGGTCAAGTTAAACAATATTTAATGCCTAAGGCTGCTGAAAACGCCAGATGTTCCAAACTTTAGATACACACTACAGGAATGAAGACAATATGGACATCAGAACTGACTTGAAAACAACATTACCGAGGGTATCTTCAATAACCTCGAGGTCTTTCAAGTAGAACAAATTGATATTTCTATTGCATAATTTATCTTCTCGCCTTCTCAAGATCATGGCAGGAATTCAAGGTTGGAGTTGAGTAGTAAGATCTTTAACGAGTTTCTAGCTTCCTCTCCTTCAAATGATGTCATGGATAGGCGTAATAATTGGGAAATAAGGCCCCCAAAGCCTCTGGCCCCCGGCCCCCAAAGCCCCTGGCCCCCGGCCCCCAAAAACCCAAGGCAGCCCCTGACAGAATATGTACCTGACCCACCCACGCATACATCTGCGTTGCACATCTTGCTTTATGCATATGCCTTTTTTTTCATATTTGTTCTGCGACGATATTGCCCTTTTGCTCGTCAATTTTCTGCTCGAGGAATGATAGGACCACGTTTTAAGTGTAGCCATTGCCAGCGGTCGTCTTTGCCGAGACATTATGAATGGGGCTTGAAGCGGCAGTTTATCACACGGACCTGTCAAAGAACATAGCCTACCTGGTACGTTACTTTGATATCATAATTTTGGAATGCGCAGGCCACGGGGTCATGAGGTCACCTAGGTTTTTCTAATTTTTTTTCTACTTGTGTAGATTAATTGATAGGAATAATTCTAGGGTTCTGAGGGTCACGCGAGGATAAGAAGCTGGGGTCGTGGGGTCGCGGGGTCGACCCTATGAGCTTTTTTTGCAAAGTAACTACTAAAATTTTATAGTAGTTACTATTCGGTAAATACGTAGTCAAAATAACTACTCTCTAACCCCGTGACCCTATAAATTCTTAGATATAGTAGGTACTAGAGATAGCTGAAATGCGAAGGCAAAAATCGCAGTAATGCTAGAATTTTTGTCTAGGCTTCGCTCATAAGAACTGGAAAGAGCACCTGAGTACTTGGGCACCGTTATCTGGTTGAGTCCTATCCTACCGTAAAACCCATCATCTTCATCTTACATGATAAGTAAAATATACAGAATGGCAAACCGAAGCAGCTCAGTTTAAATCCTAAGACAGGTAGACATTCGCTCTTTGTCCACTGCCAAGCCTGGATTCTTTCCGGTGTCTCAACTTCGTTGAGTTTTGTCGGAACGTCGTGCAATCAGAAGAGGTTAGAAATGAGCCGGCTAATTGGCCTCTCCGGTGTATCGGTGATTCAATATTTCGTTCCGGTGGAAGACAGTCCATTTTCTGATGTCCTATTGGATGATATGTGTAGCCCTGAAGAGGGGTCGGCGCAGTTGAAGTCCACCGGAAGATTCAAACCAGTTAAGTTAGCCGTTGATAGACCCACTATGTTAGTTTGCGGGGATGTATGGAGCGAGTTTGCGGGGAAGCGAGGGTCATTTCTTTCTGAGTATCGAGGATTCTATATATTTGGCTATCGTTAGCCCACTCCTTTTACTTTATGTCTTTTTGTTTTGTTTTGTTTTTCAAGTATAACAAAACCCAAATCAGCACAATGCCAAAAAGCGATGCACAAAGCGAATATCTTCCGCGAGACGATGTCGAAAAGTCGACTGCCCATCACGAGGAAATACTCAACTCAATGACACCAGAAGAGGAGAAAAAGCTCATTAGAAGGATTGACATTCGATTAGTCATAACACTGGGATTCCTTTATTGCATTAGCTTGTTGGATCGGACCAACATGGGTGCAGCATCAGTCGCGGGGTACATTCTCTACCCCCCTGGTTCATAACAGTATTCAGTAAGGAGACTAATTAACATCCCAGCATGCAAGATGACCTTAAGATGGATTCAGCAAATAATGGGTATAGTATTTCATCACTAGTGTTTTTCATCACATACACTATTTTCCAAATTCCTGCGACTGCCATCATCAGGAAGCTCGGCCCAAGAACTTTCATCTCCACAATTGTATTATTATGGGGAGCAGTCATGATAGTAAGCAATTTATTTTTCCTTTCAAAAATTGTCTGGCATAAAGAATTTGACCAACAATTGAACAGGCGTTCGGATTTGTTCCTACATGGCAATCCTTAGCAGGGCTACGAATAATCCTAGGAGCTCTCGAAGCAGGATTTTACCCTGGGTGTATATTTCTTTTGAGTACATGGTATACCCGCTACGAACTTCAAAAGCGAAATGCTGCCTTCTACCTTATTGGAAGCACTGCTTCTGGGTTTGGAGGTATCCTGGCGTACGGATTGATGCAATTGAATGGCACGGCCGGGAAAGCTGGCTGGAGATGGATCTTCATTGTAAGTCCTTCTTTTGGTCATGTCTACCTGTTTTTCATTCTTTTGTTTCACTCATTCTTTGTTCTATTGAGGTTTAAGGCTAGATGGCATGGTCTTGCTAATGAACTCGGCCAATTTAGATTGAAGGGATCCTGACATGCTTTTTGGCTATTGTATCGTGCATTCTTCTGGTAGACTTTCCTGAGAAGTCTGCCAAGTCATGGAGATTTTTGAATGAAGACGAAGCTTCATTTATTGTGGCAAGAATCGAGAAAGATCGTTCGGATGTCCATGTCGAGCCATTTTCCATGAAATCTTATTTCTCAAATGGCCTTGACAGCAAAGTTTGGGCTTATTGTATGCTCTACCTTCTCACAACGGCTAATACTTACTCAATTGCCTACTTTCTTCCTATAATCCTGGAAAAGAGCATGGGATTTTCGGTCGCAAAGGCGCAATGCTTGGTTGCACCGCCATATGTTGCAGCTGCAATTGTTATGTTTCTGCAGGTAAGTCATGTTGTATGAGGATGACAGATCTTGATAGATTAATGTTTGTTTCTGCAGGCTGCCTTCGCGGATAAATACAGGATCCGAGGGCCCATAGTTGCCGCCAATGCTGCAATTGGGATGATTGGGCTCGGCCTCTTGGGATACCTTGAGAGTCCGGCCCCAAGATATTTCGGAGTATTCTTAGCTACTATCGCCGGTATGTTGTCCACTCAGGAATACTGAAAATACTGTTGGGAGGATTAAAATTGATCAAAGAAATTATTAGGCAATGCAAACTGCCCAGCTCTAGTATCATGGCAAAGGTAAGAAATAAATTTACACCTGCACGAAGATAGAAAAGGGCTGTGATAAGCCTCTATGTGAAAGGCATGCTAATGGAATTAAATTTTCTAGTAACAATATAAGAGGCCAATACCGCAGAGCCTTTTTATCGGCGACCCTAATCGGCGGAGGAAGCATCGGTGGAATCGTGGGTACAACAGTATTTCGCGCACAAGATGCACCGACATATCACCCTGGACTTCTAGCAACTATGCTGGCTAATGCATTGATTATTTTGATTGTGGCGGCGTTATGTTGGAAGTTTTCCCGGGCAAACAAGCGTGTTGATGCTGGTGGAAAACCAATCGAGGGACTTGCTGGATTTAAATATACTCTTTAGGCTGTTCTGGCCCTATCAGTATGGTCGCGCAGTTGTATAGATTGACTAAATAGCTATATCAAGATATAGGTATTTGGATTAGCGTGATAGAAATTTATATTGCTAGTAAGCAAATATAGTAAACAACAAATGTTTATTCTTTTCATCAGCTATGTAATCCACCTCAAAAGTATACTGGACAAAACTCCCTAGGGCTAAATCATACGCCTGCAGTAGAATTTTCAAGTCAAGATCAATTGGCTATTTGTGTTTATTTTAAGATACCCTGAAAATGCTGGAATAAGCCTTTCCATGGAATCTTGCGGCCTACAGATTGGTGGGATCGGAGGCCATACCAAGTCAGATGGGAGTTTGATAATCTTTTCTAGCAGGTGTTGAGTTGAGCATCAGCAACAAGTTGAATTTTCTTTGATGTGACTTTTGACAAGGCGAAATAATCTTGCAGAGGATCAAATTCTCTCACCTCCAGTGCTCGAGAACCGTACATTTTCAAAACGATGCATATAGTTTGTTTGTTGACTCAAGTGTGTCAGGAATAGGATCTGATTGCGACAAGAAATCTTCATTAACTAAAGAATGAATGTAGTTGAATCTAGTGTGTATTCATGGACGAAGGAGACAGTCTGAAGTTTCAATCCATAGAAGGAAGAGAAGCGAGCCTTCTTCTACAAAATCTTTTTATCGGATTTTCAGCACTTTCTATATCAAGAATCATATGCCCCAAACATCAAAATATGCATTTGGAGTGATTAATTTCTAGGATATGTAAGGTACCAATAGGATCAAGTTGGAACTTGGGTAATATGTGTCATGATGGTCGACCCCAGCCCCAGGCACTACTCTGGTCGTCAGGTATTAGATTAAACATCACTATTAACATGATTATTAGTGAGTGAAAGAAAGTGAGATATATGACCGTATTCTTACACTCTCCAAATGCTCCGAAGGCGTCATCTAGCTGCTGAAATATTGGACCGGATGGAAACAGAGAATTATCTGGAAGTAATGCAACAGGCTCAGAGGGAACATGGAATCTGTGGTGATTTTCCTGCAGGGTATAAGATACTGCATCTTGATGAATTTCGTCAGGTGTTAGAGCCGTGATCTCGCTCTCTGGTTCTCGATGGAAGATGGATGTTCCTTCGCGGCGGTCGATGACCATCTCCGATGACTGTGGATGCTGCGAATTGATTGTCAATACACTTTCACTATGATTTTTCATGTCATGAGGGTCTTGGCATATATTCAGGGCAGAGGAAATTTCGCGTTGACTCGTAACTTTGAGGAGCTCCGTCAAGAGTTGGTTCGTTTGACGGGCGATTTGATTATGGCCACTCAAAGTAGAACTAAGCCGAATAATCCTAATCACCCCATTCTTGGCTTCAATGGCTGATACAGTAAGAGGCTGACTTGTGGGTAAAATACAAAGAATGACACCAGCGGTGAATTGATGCATGACAGCAAAGCTCTCAGCAAAATGATTTCGAAAGTGGTCGACTGGGATGCGAGACATCCGAATTGCAGATGTTGTGGCGACGTATAGCGAGCGTTGTATAGAGTCGACAACTTCTTGCGAATAGAGATCGCGATGCTTCATTTCCAGAAGAGGTCTGTGTATTTGAATTGTTGCAGCATCGTAGGTGAGTTGAAGGGTAGCTGCCTGGAGAAATATTGTCTCGGCCTGCTGCCTAATAGGAGAAGGAAGCATTTGAAGTTGATAATCGAGCCGCTCACGCTGACCATCGTTTATCCAATGATCAACATTGAAAAGCTGTGGGATGTTTCGGTGCAACTTTGCAAGTAGTGTTTCTGCATCTCTTACTACTGCAGCGACTGCATGGATGTCACCTTCTGTCACTTCATTTTGTGACTGAAATCGCCGAATGCGTACCAAAGCCCTCCGAACAATGTTATAAATCTCATATTTCACAGTATGAAACGCGGCTCGTGTGAAATTATCACTAGCACCGCAGAATGATGGGTTTCCCAGAATAAGAGGATCAATGAGTAGGTCTTCCAAATTTCGGAGAGGATGCACGACCGCAAATTCGCTATCAATGGCGGTTGGGCGTCCATATATCATAGAAGTAAAAGCGTCCGCGACAATGACGTGGTTCCAGCATCGTGATCGAATCTCATCCAAAACAACATCGTCGCATATATGTGCCTTATGATGGAGGTCTAGGGCATACGCACAGCGCACAGCCATACCGGAGACCATCCAGGCAAGATTCGGTGCACTGTGGTATACATAGTAGGATGAAAGTAAAAGACATACTTGAACGGTTTCAATCTGGGGGTTTGCGGATAAATCAATAAGATGAAGCATAATCTCTTTGATAAGGCTTTTCAGCAGACTCTGCTCATCGATTCCATGTGTGTGTAGCACTTTGTGCCCAGGCCATTCCTTATCTGATAAAGCCGCCTGCAACCCAACTGCGAGTACCATCAGCACTGCCATTGCAGGCCCTAGGTCTTGATTTCTCCATGAAGTGGAGCTTATGATCCGCTTGGCCATCTCTCTGAATGAGTGCTCGTGAAACAGAAGGATGAACCAGTGCATACGATTAAAGTATGCGTCGATCAATTCCAAAATCACAGGTTCTGGTGGCAAGATCAATTCTGTCAGATGCCAAAGACCACCCTCCGACTCAGGAACACCCGTATCTCCCACGATAGATGCCCTGGTAAAAGCTCTCCCAGCTTCCTTTTCGTTGAAGACATGCCTCGCAAAGTCGATGGTAGAACTGTTTACCCCCGTCCCTGGCTGCTTTCTAGAATCATTGCTGCTGGATGCTGAGCTGAGAAGGCAGTCTTTTTTTGACGCGTTAAGTGGTAGATTCGATCTTCCTGACGCTGCAGGAGCTATTGGTCTGGGTCTAGTAGACGAATGAAGGTAGCTGTTCCCAGCTATCTTTGTATGTCTTTTTCGACTTCGAGCTTGCACTCTATGGAATGTTTGACATTTGGTGCCTGAACGCACACATAACACGCATGGTCTCGACTCGTCACACTAGCAAGAGAAAAATGTCAATGATCAAGTTTGAACATCGGGATGCACAATACACGTTCCCGCACGTTACCTTGAGCTTTTGCCGGCGACATCTGTCACACGCCTGCGGGGTACGGGCTGATCTTAGAGACATAGGTGGGTCTACGTGGTCACTGGACATTCTGTGCTCACAAAGGCGACCATAAGGAAACTACTTGAGAGTAGAAACCTCGCGGGAATCGCTACAATGTGGAGAAATACGCTTCCCGAGGTCTGACTTCCCCACACATCCGCCCATCCTCGGCCCGGGGAAGGCATTAGTCACCCACGATAAATCTACCAGACGTAGAGTATATTGACGACTTTTGGCCGTAAATATTTGCCAATTGTAATGCCTGTGAGATAAGTATGATAGATACCAAGCTAGCGTTTCATATTGTTATACAACGCTCTTCTTAGGGACGGTATAATCTACCTATTTTCACGGTATATCCTATAGTATTTCTACCCAGGATCCAATAGTTTCCAAGACCATGCAACTTCTATCCATGTCTGGATAATAGTAGATTACGATAACGTATATTTTACGTTGACCAATTAGTAGCACGTAACATTAGTGTGCGTGGAATACTAGTCAAATACGTTATACAATATTCACTGATCAGATCAAGGTGCGCAGAGACGTGCTCAGACCTACCCAGTGAGCAAAAGCGGCGAGAGTCTGCGCACCAAAACTGAAAGAGAAAGCGAAGACCTGGCATTGGAAATCCGGTACATAGGACCCAGGAATTCCTTTATTTTCATCAGAGGATCGCAGTTCTATGAAGTTTCTTGCCCCCGGAAAGGGTGTGGTATACCCAAATAAAAGCGGCGGTGGGCTTGCCTAACCCGCCCATTATTATGTTGTCGATATAGCTGCGTAAATGCGAGAAATCTACCTTCAGCTACATCTCAGAGGGTATCTCTGCTTTTTTCAGCATCAAATACGTTCAAAAGCGATTATGCGTCTCCCAAACTTCCACTTATCCAATTTTCGAACTAATCGAGCTCTCAACCATATTTTTCGGTAATTGATCCGCCCTAACAATTCTCCGCCCCAATATCAAAACATCGACCTCATCCCAATGGCCTGGAACTAAACTGCTCTACCTCTACCCAAACATCGGCTCCTGCTTAGCACCCTCCACAGGCGCAAGATAGCTCGCGCGGTCCTTCACGTAAAACTCTATGTCGATCTTGCCGCCGAGGTTCGCAGCGTTATTGTCCAGCGTTCCCGCCTTGATGACCGTGTTATCGGCCATCACCTCCAGCTCGGTATATAGGCTGGACCCGCAGCCCTGGCAGAAGAAGTGCTTGTTGACCTTGCCGGAAGCTCCTGTGACGTCATATGTGCTTGGGGTACCTGATAGGAAGAGAGGGTAAATGGTTCTGTGTCATGCGGGTGTAGATATGGCGTGCGGGGATAACCGACCCTTGGTCACTTTGAAGCTGGAGCGGGGAACGACAGCATTGGAAGTAAAGGCACCACCCGTCCACTGCTCAGGTGGCGAGTAATGTTAGATGGGCTCAGAGGTATATCTAGAGCTGTAGGTGCGGAGAAGAACTTGCCTTTTGGCAATCAAGGCAGTGGCATAACGCGGAAAGATATGTGTCGACTGTGAATGTCTTAGACAGGTTTCCCTTGAAATTGCCCTCGTAATGGGCCCTAAAATCATGATCATGGCTCGTGAGGTAGAACTTACCGTCAGCAGAGTAAGTGATGCTGCCGCACATGCAGCTTCCTGTAAGAGGCATCGTAGGCTGTTCTAAGCAGGAGATAGATGTATAGATCTATAAAGGTCGTTTAAGGTTGTGTACCTTGGTGGAATCACAGTCTTGCAGAAGATAGGGGAGAAAGAGGGGTTTTACCGCAGTGGGGACGTTTTATACTCCCTGGGCTTGTTGCTTTCGGGCTTTGGTTCTATCGCACACGCGCCCACCCCCACTTCCAATCGCCGAGACACACCCCTTCGCCGAAGTGCCTTAAGGGTCTAATGTGGGATTATGTTTTGAAGTGGATCGCAATATAATTGGATGACATTGTGCCTTCTTCTGGGTGACAAAAAGCAGGGGACTCAGCTTTATGACATGTAACGCTAGCCTGGACTGGAATTAGGCTTGGTTGACTGACGTATGGGGCCGTGAGTTTGGCTTCCATTGTACGAGATTTCAGAAAAAATCAATATGAGATCTTTACTCGCAAATCATTTTAGCATTGAATCAATCAAATTTCAATGGTTATTCCTAGTAAAAGGCCTTATGTACATCATCCAAAAGTGGCACGCATCAACGCCGAATACCAAGAAATGGCGTCCAAAAGGAAAGAATTAAAAGGGCAGAAGAAAAGACCAAACAAAAATTTCAACAGATCGATACAGAATGTCAAAAAAAAAAGATAATTTGAAGCATAGAAGATAAGAGAAAGGAAATAAATGGGTGATATGAACGTCCGCAACGCAGATCATAGACCATCACGAGACGAGAGGGATGAAAGAAATTGGAAGGTAAAGATGAAGGAATCAAGTTGACAAGAAGAGGTATCAAACTGGGGTATAGAAGTATGAAGAACCTGGACCCTAACAAGTCTAGGAGACAGGTGAGAACAGGACAAAGGCCTGCTCATTGGCAGAGGAACGGAGTATCAACCAGGATATCCTTGCAGCTTGGCGTTTAGAGACATGTTCATCAATAACATGTCTAATCGTCGAAATGGAGAAACAAAAAAAAAAAAGGTAAGTGGTTCCTAGCTATCTAGGTTTTGGGCTTTTTGCTAGTCCCTTCTGTGGGAGGCCCGCTATCCGGACTCTTGCGCTTTTTATCTTGCTCGTCTTCCCGTGAGAAGCTGGGTCCGGTTTGCACAGCGGGTGTTGGGAACGTGAGAGGACTGGGGAGCAAATTTGAGTCTGGACCAGAGCGACCAAAGCCCCATTCAGGGAAGAAACTTGACGGTGATGGTAAGAGTGCATCAGAAACAAATCGACTCGGAAGCGCGGAGATGGGCGTCTCAATATTATTCGAATTGTTGCCGTTGTTTTGACTCCCGCCATTATTGGTGCTATAATTATTTTGGCCCGCAGAACCGGGCGGTGGCGGACGGGCGAATGGATTGGGAGGTCCTTGTGCACCGGCACTGAGAATGGCCCCGGCTGAAGGTGATGGAGGTGGCAGCACCACACCTGCAGGGGGATTGTCCTTGGCTGGTGTCCCCGTCTTGTATCCAGCAGAGTCACGAGAGGATTCACCTGTTGCACTGCCATGGTCGGAATTCTCGCTTGGAATCTGAACCTTCAGTTGCGGCCGTTTGGAACTCAGCGCGCCGCTGTTAGTTCGCGACGGCGGTTTTATATCACTGGTGGATGCTATCGACGGTGCGCGTGAGGTCTGGCTGGCAGCGGGTGTATGGATTGGCTTGTGGTCAGAAAAACCATCCTGTGGCAGCTCCGGCCTAGTCATATCATTGCTCTGCGGAGACTCATATGTTGGTACTCCGGCTCCAAAATGGCGGGCAAGGACAGATCCACGATCATCAATTGGGGTAAAGATGCTACGCGACTTCGATAGGGACTTAATCTGTGGCGGCGACTGGCCGGGCTCTGTTTTCAACATTACGGGCGCATTTTTCTGAGGACCCTCAGGAACCGATGCCGCGCGCTCCGATTGATTTTCGTGGGCGTATGCCGGCGCCGGTGGCACGGAGTTCCGGCCTTGTTCAGGAATGTACGGCTGGGATACTTGTTGTACCGGTGCATGTGAACCTGGTGGCATTCCCATCTGTTGCTGAGGAGCGATCGTGTGGGGATGTTGGAAGTGTTGGGGGCCCTGGTGGGGGTGCATCTGTTGCGGGGGCAAGCCATGTTGATGATGTATCGGTGGTGATCCTTGTGGTGCGTTTTGAGGGTGACCATACTGCGCATACTGACCGGGACGAGGTTGATTCATGTTCGAGTGGACATTAGGATTGTACATCGAAGGATTCGCCATGTAAGCAAACCCGTTTTGCGGAGCCGGAGGTGGTGGTGGAGTGCCATGCTGGTGCGAGGACATGTTTGAGCTGAGACGACGGACGTGGTTTCTTGACGATGGGCGGGAGACATGCGACTGCGGTGTTCCGTGGCGCGTTATCGGGAGACCATTCGGGATCGGAGGAGACGCGGAGGGGGCATGGTTGATGTGTTGGAACCCAGGCTGATGCAGATGGGGCGGCATGGCGGGGTGCCCTTGTTGCTGGAGTTGTTGGATCTCTTCTGGGGCGGGTGTGGCTTCCTCATCGTCATCGTCGTCATCGCGTTTTCCGGCAAAATCATCAGGTCCTTTGTGCTCGTGTGGAGGGCCAAACTGCAAGGAAGAAAAAGGTCACACTGGATTAGCACCGGTTGAAGTTACTCGCCACCACACCGAGATCGAGAAAAGGAGGGATGTTGGTGTGCGACCAGACCGGGCACCTACATATTGATAGCGACCGAGAGCCTCATGCATGTCACTCGAGGAGTACTCATAGAGTTTTTTGTTATGGCCAAAGATAATCACGGCGACATCGACGGAACAAAGAACAGCCAACTCATGCGCCTTCTTGAATAGACCACCCTTCCGCTTGAGGAACGTCCTGCACGGCAGAAAAAAAGAAAGAAAAATCAGCAACAGATATCGAGCGAGTCTTGAGCGAAAGACATGACCTACACTGAGCGGTTGCGATCATCCTTAATCGCTTTAATCTCGATCTTTCTGCGACCCATCTTGGGAAGCGGACGGGCGCACGATGCGCGCGTCAAGAAGGAGAGGGAGGACGGTCGACAGTGAGGCGCCTCGGCGATCGAGCGCGTTTGTCGAGCTGGTCCAAAAACCGAGACTGCCAAAAAGTCCAGCCGCGCTGGTGAGCACGACTCGGAATCGGATGGCAGAACTTTTTGGAGTCGTGAATCTCGTCCAGGCGAGAGTCGCGAGAATTGGGCGACGAAGGGGAGGTGACCAGGAGGAGAAAAGGGGGAAGGGAGGGAGGAGGGAGGTGGGAGAAGGGTGGGGGAGGTAACAATTCCGGACGTCGAAGGAGGCACGATCTTTGACGAACCACGATAGCGTGGAGAACCGGAGAACCGATGGGGGCAACTGATAGACGATGCAGAAAAAGGTTGATTCTAAAGATAGAATGGAAGGGAAGGAAGAAGGGGGAGACGGCGCTGACTCATCAGACCCTATGCGCCGCGGTCTATTTATAGCCCGATCATGTGACTCTGGCTCCATCTGAGCTGCAGCGGCGCTCGTTCGTGACTCGTCCTTTGCCATGCGCGACTCCACCAGTCCAAAAGCCCCAATGGCCCAAAAGGCACCCAAAGGGCACTCCCGGCACCCCCGGCGCCACCAACTGGACCAAATCTACGCTGGAATCTCGGCACCCGGACCTTCACCACCCTAGCGAGCGCCGGCTGCAGGCATATCCAACTCCCATCGCCCATCCAATCTGGATACGAGGTGACTTGTTGGGTGACTGGCGAGTCGCGCTAGCTGCTGCTTTACCGGCTGCTGCAACATGGTGGAGTCCCCCTGTTTCGCTCGCTGGCATTTCCAAGCGCGCTGTTCCTCGACTTGGGTACCAAGAGCAATTCCTTCTCTGGAGCCAGCAAATTTTCGCAGTCCTTTCCCGACTAATCAAATGAGGCTTCTAGATTCCGATGAAGAGGAGGATCCCCAGTCGGCCCCCCTCCCCCAACCAGTTCCCCAGTTCAGCCCTACCGTAGGCTCTTGGAGGGCATCATCGGCATTTCTGGACCCAATCGGAAGAGCAAAGTCTGTCTGTCCCGACCTCCTGAAGCTGCCTGTTCGTCAATGACTTGCGCTTGGGTGGGAAGAGCATCAGGTCGGGAGGATTGCCGATCGGAGGCTGATGTCTCGAGCCCGAGCTCTGCGCGTTTGCTGTCATTTACTTCTGCACTCCCCATCCCGCTTAAGCTGAGATCATGTACGATGTCGGTCCCATAGAATCCGACCACGTAGACTACCAGGAGAAATGGTCGACCTCCGTCTCCACGATCGGCGTCTTTCAAGTCTACTCGGGCGCGATTGAATGACCGGACTCTCGGACCGGAGTCGTTCCTCTGTAGAATAGCGGATGTGATCGGATCATCTGATCGAGCTAGGGCCCGCGATCGAGTCGATGGATCTCGCGATTCAATATCTCGACACGGGCCCGGCCCCCACTGCACTATAGAAATAGAAGTATAGAAGCACATACCTGCTGGCAGTCTGGACGGAGGATAGAGACACCCTCGCCATCAAGACCCTCATAATCTCAGGTTGTCCTTTTTCTCGATGATCCGTGCCTCCCTACGGAGTACAGATAATATGTTATGTCCGGAAATGACTCCTCTATTCCGCGACTCAATGACAAGACAGACTATGTATATGCATGTCCTGTTAACTATTGCATCTTGAGGCCTTTCTCGTCTCTTGCTCGGACCCAACGGCAATGCGCCAGGCATTCCCGAGGAAGACGCACCCATTTCCCTGATTGGAAGCACGCCCGAGTCGCCCCCCGGTTCCCCGGTTTCTGATCTGTCAGTTGGCCCTTTTGTCCCGCACAGGCGGCTGGGGATCAATGGAATGTTGGTTGACTGTACCGAGTACCGAGTACATCAAGAGGATCTGGTCTCTAGTACCTGTATTCCGGAGACCGGGAGACCCGACCGGTCCCTCGCGACGGACCATGGGTCGAGTTGCGCGGTCGCTCTCGTCGGAGGCGACCCAAGGTGGCTTTGTTTATCCCGGGCTCGATCTATATCTCATCCGCCTTCGGCTTCGCGATATGTTAGCAGCCAGCCACTTACTCGTGCAATAGGGTCCTGTTCCTAGCTTTCGTAGGGCAATTTGCTCTTGTATCTTAATGTCCCTAGCCCCCTTCCCCTGTGTCGTCTCCATTCCCGCATTGATCGAATCGGAACCCTGGATCGCCCTTCCCAGGGTTGGAGATGATGATCGCCGTGTGTATCATCCATTCGTCCACGCTCCCACACGACATAGAGGGGACGCCGTAAGCAATTGTGCCCGCATCGAGTGTCGCCAATCCGGGATTTATATCGTCTGCTGCTCACTTTGCGACTGCGGTGGGCTCCAGATGCACCTTGAACGAGAGCTCCAAGCCGTGGTCTCTCGTGTTGAGTCGGGACGGTCTCGACCCAGTTTAGTGCCTCACTGGCCCTCCCGTTTTTTTTACCCCTGAAACCCACGACTCCGACCTTCTTGACTTCCTTCGCCAGGGCCTCTCTTGTCTTCTCCGTCTTTCCGTCTTTCTTTTCCCATCCTTTTCTCTCTCTCTGTTTCGATTGTGGTTCCTCTCTCCCTCGCTTTCTCTCTGCCACTCTGCCAAGCACAGACGCTGCCAGACCAGGGGATCCTTTACAACTTTTTTTTCTGCCTGAGCCTGGGGGCTGCAGGACACATCCCGGCCGGGTTTGACTTTCTTTTCTCTCGCTGTTGCGCTCCTTGCCGTTTAATCAACCTGTCGGTCATCGCCCGAGCCTATTTCCTCCCTCCCCGTGGAGAATATCCGCTTATCTGGAGATTCACAGCTCCCCGACCCAAACGAAACTCCGCCCCTCCGAGCTGTTGACCGAGACGGAGCTCCCCCCCTCCCTCCCTCCTTCCTGCCCGACGGCCGAATTCGCGAGATCCCCCATTGGCAGCTCGACTCGTGTCCATTCGTTCTAGTCTAGCGGTCGCGTGGACCCCGCCGTCCGAACTGAACAAGACATAATTCTTCCTCGATTTCCATTTCTCCAACATGCCGGCCTTTTTCTCGCGGGTCTTTCGCAGCAAAGACGCCGGTGCCACTAAGAAACAGGCGAAACCAACCACCACCGCCGACCCGGTCCCCGCAAAGCCCAAATGGACCGACGCGTGGTCGCGGACGGAGGTGGCCCCCGAAGAGGTGCAGGACCTCATCCGAGGCTGCACCCAGGAATTGAAGGCCCGCGGTTGGTGCCATCCAGTCCCCGATTCCCACTTCAACCATGTGGTGGTGGGACGGCTGCCATGCGCATTCTCCGGATTGCTGATCATTCGTTCATAGCGCTCGATACCCCGTTCTTGCTTCTACCGTTCCGTCCGAGCTCCGATCCCAGCGCCGCCCGCACCTTCGTTCGGAATTATTTCAACCAGTCCTTCGAGAAGGGCTCGCCTATCAATGGCGATGCATTGATGCAGGAGTTGCGGCTGAATGAGCCAATGGTGAGGGGAACCCAAACTCTATTGTTTTTTTTTTCTTTCTTTTACATTCCAATTTTACTTGGACTTCCCCCTTTTCTTCTCTTTTTCCGGAGCCGATAATGCCAAAGACAGCCGCTAACGGGTACGCCTCGATGGTTCAAACAGGTCCTATGCAGCGTGATGAAATGGTGCTGGAGTAGATTGCCCGGCGGTGTCGTGACATGGGAGGCGTACGAGCTGTTCAAGGTTGGCGAACAAGGTACGGACCCGGCAAATCCCTCCTTTGCCCTGTCCTACGGGATCCTGTGGTCTCGTGAAAGGAAGGGAGGGGGAAAAAAAGAGACATGCGCTGAAACTGCAATGCTTTAGATTCGGATTTGGCCCGCGACGCATTTTCAACCTTCATCCCCATCAGCGTCGACTCCGATGCCCGAACTAAGATTATTTTCGACTTCTTTGACCTCCTCGCCGCCATTGCTGCCCACGGCAAGTCCAACGGTCTCGCTGGTCGCAAACTTTCCCGATATGCCGGATGGTGGGCGTTTGAGCATCATGACACCGGCAATGGCTTCGAGGCTTCATACAAAAATTGGGCGCTGTACGGGATCTCTCTTTTTAAAACCCGATATAACCTTTTAGAAGGGGCATTGAATGCTAACATAATTGACAGTTCCGCCGATGCCACAAGCCACTTATTCTTTGCTTACCTGCGTTCTCTCTCGCCCGATGTTCCGCGCGGTGTGACGGGCATCTCTTCCCTGCCCATCTCCCTCCAGAGCCTTGTACAGGCTACCGAGTACCCTCCTGATACCCCGACGCTTCTCCAAGTTACGACGACTAAAGTGGTGATGATTGTTGACACCGTCTCCCCCACTCCATTCTCTCTACTGCGCCGTGCAAAGAATTTCGAATACCGCGATGACCACTGGCATCTACAGGAGTTTGCCAACTATGAAGACCCCATCAAGGCTCTGACTGATGAATGCTTACGTGTATTGAAATGTATTTCATCTACGAATGAATCCAGCGTGTCAAGCTCGAAGCAGTCTACCAGTTTGCGGGATGCGTCATGGTCACGCTTTGAAGATATTGGATTTGGCGGTTCCATCGAATCGGACCCAGAGGACGAAGAGAACCACCCTCCGGCCTCAAAGACTGAGTCGCTTGGTGGTATGAGGACCGCACCTCAGTCACAGGGTGGGGACTTAGGTCGACCCACGACTCCATCCTGGGCAGATTTCATGTCGTCCGGCTTCTCGGATGAGGCCGACCTCAAGGACCGCGTAGGCCCCTTACTGTTGCCACCAGACAAGGTCCTCCCACCGATCGCGGCCACCCGAGGACAGAGCTCTCAATCACACAAGCGCACCCTGGACAGCGAACCATCGCTTGAGCCTGCCGAGCTGGCTAGCATCAACACTTTAGACCTGGATGACTCTTTCTGGTGGGTGTGGATCACCAGTCTGTCTGGCGACGAGCCAACTGCCCGCAAGGCCGTATTTGGCCGCTGTGCTCTCCTGGAGACTGTCATTCGTGATACAAAGTGGCTAGTTCTCGAGGAGCAGGTGAAGGGTGCCGCTCCCGAGCCAGAGGCGGGAGCTGAGATTGTTGAGAAAAAGCGATTTTTCAGCTTTGGCAGCCGGAAGGGAAACACGAAGCTGAGCCGTCGCAAGTCGTCCGCCAGAAAGGTTTCCTCGATTGAGGAATCGTACAAGCGTCCCGATAACCAGGCTCCGCAGAGCAAGACAAGCATTGGACCCGATCAACATAAGCGGATTCAAGCTGCGGCTGCTGCTCTTCAGAAGAAGCACCGTGAGCAGGAAGCCGAGGCCAAACAGGCGCAGGCTCACGTCAATAACGATACCTTTTCGACCAAGACCAACTCAGTCCTGACTCTCCAACCCGGTATCGTAAATGAGGCTTCGTCTGCTATGAAATGGGCTAGCAATTATGATAAGAATGCCTTCCGCGCTGCCTATCTTAGCAACAGCCGTGCAGGCACCGGCGCCCATACTGATGGTATGGATACATCGAACAACATCGAATCAAAAGAGGCAACCGCTGAAGCTGACGCTCCGCCGCCTGCCCCTTTGCCAACTAGCACCTCTAGGACTGGCCCGCCGCCACCTCCCAAGGATGCTACCGCTGTTGCAACCCCACTTCCGCCCTCGCCAGAGCCAGCTAGGAAAGAACTTGTGAAGGAGGACTTGCCGGAGATCAACAAGAAGACCAATGACAAGACCGTAGTTATCGAGGACCCTGCCGAGTATGAGTCAAAGCAATCGGTTGAGGAAACTGGAAAGAAGCTCAAGAAAAAGACCGGCAACAGTGGCTTCAAGAACATGTTTGGAGGCAAGAAGAAGACCGAGCAACCGCCTATGAAGAGCACAGGCGCCAAGGATACCTCCGTGGCTGCTGCTCGCGCCGCCCTGGAGGCGAAGGCCAAGGAGGCCCAGGAGTCTGAAGCTCGATCCACCCCCAAGCCCTCTGTTCTTAAGAAGAAGCCCGTGCCTGTGACGACTGCTATCACTGAATCTACTTCAGCCCCGGCCCCGGAGCCCGAGAAGCCCTCTACGCCCAAGGAAAGCATTGAATCTGCCGCTCCTCAGTCTCAGGCACCAAGTCAGACGATCGAAGGAAGCGGTAGTCCGCCCAAGACCCGCCGTGCCGTGGAATACGATGCTCTCTCCCGCGTCGATACTAATGAGCGTAACGCCGCCGATCAGGAATTCTCCAAGTTCGACCAGGGCCCCCTGGTTGAGCAGCCTGCCTTCATTCCTGATGATTCGCCAGTGACTCCAACCGCGGAAGCTGGATTTCCTGTTTCAATAAATGGACACGAGTCTAAGGCTGAGGCCACAACCGATGCCGTAGCTGAGGCCGCACCCGAGCACTCTGATCGGTTTGCTGCGGAGGAAGATCGGTGGGCGCAGATCAAACAAAACGCCGCCGAGCGCGCTGAAAAGGGCGAGGAGGAAGTCCGCACCAGCCAGTCTGAGGTAGACGATGGTGACACCAGCGGTGAAGAAAGTAAGTTTACTTGACAGTGCCTACCCACTCCGTATTTCGTGTGCTCATATCGCTTCCCTCCAGCTATCGAGTCTCGTGTTGCTCGTATCAAAGCCCGTGTTGCTGAACTCACCGGCAATATGGAAGCAGCCCGTTAAGCTGACCAGGTCTCTCAAAAAGAGAACTACTCTATTCTATTGACAACGCCCCCTGTCTATTTCCTTTCATATGTCATTCTTCTCTCTTCCTCTGAACTTGATTTACCTCCACTTCACGTACTTCTTGTTTCGGGCACAAGACCAGATCCCCTTTTTTTCTAATCATCATCATTCTTGCATCACCTTTTTCTCCCCCTCTACCGCCAGACCTCTGTTCTTCGTGTTTGCTTATAGAGCCCCGGAAAGGAGGTGTTGTGTGTTCAACTCACGTTTCCCCCCCCCCCCCACCCCTCCTCTCTTCACGCACCCCTCACGGCTGCTTGGAGTGATTGCCTCTATTTCGTGTCTTTTTCCCCCCCCTCTGGCAGGCCCCCGTTGTGATGCTTGGCACTCCACGGGAAACACGAAACTGGAAGTGGACCGACGAAACGCTGCGATACGATTGACGGATTTTTTTTTGGTTGTGATTTTTTTTTTATTCCGACCCGAAATGCCTTTTTTTGGACCAGGTCCTGGTTTTTGTTCTAACACCTCGTTTTATTTTCCGTGTCTTGTGCCGCTTTCTCTTTATTCTTCCTCTATTACTTATTACCCAGTCTGTGGCTGGACCAGATATCCGGTCTCTTTTTTGAAATCAAAAAAGGGCCCCTCTCTTTTCATACCTGTCTCTTTGTTCTTACTACACTCGACCTCCCTTTCGACTTCTGTTGTTTTCACTTCTCTCTCCACAATTTGGGCTCCTATCGAACTTGTGTTTCTCTGCTTTGTGTTTTTGCTCTATTCCCCTTTTGCTACTGGATTCTCTGCGCCGGTTCAGCTTGCTACAAATATGAATTGAATCGCTTCGTTATAGGAGTTCTGCACTGATTGGCCATAGCTTGGTGTGTAAGCAGCTTCTCACCTTTGTAACGATAAATAGGCAACCGCATGTGGACTCGTATAAAGGCCAGGAAAAGGAGCAATGTGCCTAATATCCAGAATCACAACGAAGGACAAAACAAGAGCAAAGACAAAGATAGAAGAGATTGGGCGGAATTCATATTACCTTAAGGCCCAAGCAATAGCCAGGCTGGGCCCCAATTCACCGGCGGCCTTCCAATTTAACCAGCGCATGCCGTCCAACTTGCAGAAAACCTTATTTCCATCCGATAAGGCTTATCGGCGATATCAGATATTCTGCCCCTTTTGACCGACAAATAAATATCAATTTCGCCTTTCCCAGGCATCCCCTGCTTGAAATTTTCTTTTTCGAGAGGCTTTTCGTCAAAGAATCGGCCTTTTGAATTTTTCATATTCCGATTTCTACCGCCCACTATGGACGGCCCTACCATTGGCGATGACGCCCTGCCCTACGCAAGCATGAATGGGAAGCTGGACTCCCACCTGCTTCAAGCCCTCGATGTGATGGGCTTCACCCACATGACGCCAGTACAACAAAAAGTTCTGACTGAGCTCCCGGACTGGAGCGCCGACTGTCTCGTTCAGGCTAAGACGGGAACAGGCAAGACCCTGGCCTTCTTGCTCCCGGCCTTGCACCGGATCCTGAACCCGGTGGATGGCCGGACACGCCGCAAAGGGCAGGTCGCTGTCTTGATCATTACCCCGACTCGTGAACTGGCGCAGCAGATCGCCAAATCCTGCGACCAGCTGACTTCGCAGTTGCGATCGCCACTGGAGTGCCACATCGCCGTCGGAGGCACCGCCCGTGCGTCGGCCCACAACCGATTCATCAACGGCGCACCATCCATCCTCGTTGCGACCCCGGGCCGGCTGAAAGACTACCTCTCAGACGACTACACTGCCGAGCGACTCTCCGACATCCAAACTCTTGTCCTCGACGAAGCAGACACCATGCTCGAGACCGGCTTCCTGGCTGATGTCAAGCGAATCCTGCAGCTGATCCCGAACAAGAAGAGCGCGGGCTGGCAGGGAATGTGCTTCTCAGCCACGATCCCGCCTAAAGTGAAAGATGTCGTCAACGTTGTCCTCCAGCCGGGCTACAGCAACATCACCACGATCGAAGCCAATGAGGCGCCGACCCACGAGCGTGTCCCACAGTACCACGTCCTCATCCCCGCCGTCACCGACACTTTCACCGCCATGACTGCGCTGCTCGCCCACGAAACCGCCAACAGTAAGAAAATCATCGTCTTCGGCGTTACAGCCAACATGGTTGCGCTCTTCGCCAAGGTCTTCGCGCAGGGCTTGACCGACCTCCCCGTATTCGAGATTCACTCGCGTCTGAACCAAGGCGCACGCACGCGCACCACGGCGCAGTTCAAGGACGCCGAAGCCGGCATCTTGTTCGCCTCGGACGTCATCGGCCGCGGTATGGACTTCCCGAACGTCGATCTCGTTGTGCAGGTCGGTTTGCCGTCCAACGGCGAGCAGTACGTGCACCGCGTTGGGCGAACCGCACGCGCAGGTAACGACGGCCGCGCCGTCATCCTGCTCACCGAGTCCGAGTCCTTCTTCCTCAAGGCGAACCGCCACCTGCCCATCAACCCGCATCCAGATACGGCGGCCATCGTGCAGGACGCCGCGGCGCGCGCGGAGGAGGTCGAGCAAGCGATGTACCAGGTCGACGAGGAGACGAAGCAGCGCGCGTATTCGTCGTTCCTCGGCTTCTTTGCCGGCTCTGGGCTGATGAAGCCGCTGCGGCTGGATAAGCCGGGGCTCGTGCAGCTCGCCAACGACCTGGCGATGCGCGGCATGGCGTGCCCAGAGCCCCCGCCCATGGAAAAGAAGGTCATTGGGAAAATGGGCCTGAAGGGCGTGCCGGGCTTCAACTATGCCAGTGGGACGGCCGACTCGAGGGGTGACGGACCTGCCCGGTCGCTTGGCAATGGCCGCAAGCCGAGGGATCCGTTGAGTCCCGGGGCTTGTGACGGAGAGCGTCGCGGCGGTGTTGAGAAGACGAGACGTGGAGGAGGAGGTGGTGGTGGTGGGCGTGGACGTGGAGGACGTCGTGGCGGACGCGGCGGGAAGCCCCGGGCGTCTTGAGGATGCTAGATGGACTAGTCTTTCTCTTTCTTTTTATTTTTGCTTTACGACCGAGCCCATGCGCTCCAGAACTTCGGGGGTCCTACTCGGGCTCGGCATCTACTGTCCTACCGTTTTTGGAGAGGGAACGTCCAGCCCGATTTTCTGGCTTGGGCGACGCGAGCCCACAGGCTCTGCACATCTACGATTCGCCGGCCCAATATTTCTCGTTACGACAGAGTTCGGCATTTACAGAGGAACCCACTCGGGCCCAACATGGTTGGTGTCCCCTCATCGCGAAATATTTCTAGAGACAAGCGTGCTTGCTTTTGTATATAGATCAACTGCATCTCTGCATGCGCACTTACCGGACCAAACACAAAATACATATAAATATGAAGAAATCTCATGAAGAGGAAGGAGGGAGGGGGAGAAATCAGTGATCCACTATATTTTCATCAATCGCAATCGCAATCCTAATCTAAATCTATAAAATCACTTCTCAAACCCCCAAAGCCTTCAAAATCTCCTTCCCCACCGCCGCTGCCGACGCCGGGTTCTGCCCTGTGATCAGCGGCCCTCCAAGCCCTGTCTTGTCCAGCACGACCTTCTCCCCCACGCTTGGTCGGCCTTGACATACTTGCCGCCGGAGATGCGGCGAAGCTCCGTCTCCAGCAGGAACGGCATCGCGGCCGAGAGCTGCACCTGGTCTTCCTCCTCGTTCGAGAAACCGGTGACCGTGGCACCGGCGATGAGCGGCGTGCCGTCGGGCGCGGTGGCGTTGAGCAGGACACAGGGGGCGTGGCAGACGGCGGCGATGGGCTTTTTGGCGATGGCGAAGGTCTGGATGAGGGAGAGGGAGGTTGGGTCGGTGGTGAGGTCGAACATTGCTGGTTGGAGGAGCGGGTGTTAGTTAGGGAAGGGGAAGGGAAAGCGGCTCGGTGAGAGAGAAAGAGAGAAAGAGAGAAGGGAGGGTTGTTTGCACGTACGGCCGTGGCCGCCGACGTAGAAGATGGCGTCGAAGTCGGCAGCGCGGGGCAGGATGTCGGTGAGCTTGTGAGTGTTTGTCCAGAGGGCTTTTTGCTCGGCGAGGAAGGTGGTTGCGACTGGGTCGGACTTGAACATCTCGACAGAGCTGGGATCCAGCGGGGCCTCGCCGCCCTTGGGCGAGGCCACGGTCAGCGAGACTTTGGAGTGGAGGACGTCGTGAGGATGGGCGAATTCCGGCTGAGAATTGAGGGAAAGGGTTAGTCCAAAATTGGTTGACCTAGATGTAAATCATATGCGCATGTATATAGGGAAGATAGCACAGCCTGGAAGCAGGATGTATGTAGAAAGTATGCAAGCCGAGAAGTATAGCAGTCCCAGCAATGGGGGGATGTGGCGCGTACCAGGTACCAGCCAGTCGGCTTCTTCAAGGCGGGAATTTCCCCGGCGGAAGTCAGGACGACAAGGACGTTCGGAGGCATGGTGATCGGTGCGAGTCCAGTTAAAGAGCTCAATTGGCGCAATCAGTGGAAGGAATTGCTTCTGAAGATACGAAAGATGCTCTTTCTCAAGAGCTCGGACGCATCCAGCCGGGTTTTATGCAGAGGCAGCTCCGGGCGGAGTTCGTCATGACTCCGTCATGCCCCCACGGCTCCACCGCGGATCTCAGCCGGGGCCAGAAGCTTAAATAAAGCGTGGCAAGACAAGGGAACAACTTCAATGCTACGTGGTACGGTCGGCCGACGGGCGAATCAAATTGAAAGATGTCATGATTAGAATTACGGTATCATCAAAAAAAAGGTATAGTCACATATACACACTCCCTAATGCCAAACTCCAAAAGGAACACGGGCCGTCTTAATGCAATCGGGGTATAATACGCTCTGGTCAAGGGCGATAGCGGGAAGGGCTTATCTCCCTTCCCCTTGTTTCTGTTTTCGAGTAAAGTCGGGCCATCAGGGAGGTAGCCCTGAATAGCCCTTCTCCTTGGGGGAGGCCCCACCAACGTTCTATCGGACGTACCGTAGTCGCCGGGTCGCCTCAGCCGCCACCAGGGCACTAATGGCCCCGATAAAGAGGCAGATGGAGATGGCATTGGGCTTGTCCTTATCCAGATTCATCCATTGCGTGTCCGAGGCATCGCTGTCCTTGTTCGGCGGCGTGGGTTCAAGCAGGCTGAAGACGATCCAGCTGATGAAGGTGCCGACGAATTGGGGCAGCGTAGTATACACGTTCAGCACGCCGAGGTAAATGCCCGCGAGTTCGCCGGTGGACGGGATATTCGACGACGGGTCCTCCTCATCGGTGTCACTGTCTAAGTCGCGGTGATTCAGCCGCAGCACCTCCAGCTCGGTGTCGGCCGCGGAGCTACGCAGACTGGCCGAGGTGATCATTGTCACGCCGGAGCGCGTGGCCGATCCGGCCATACCGCTGTTCCCGCCCACACCGCCGTTCATAGTGAGCTTATTGATCTCGACGCCCATAAACGCGAATGGCGCCCAGCCGCTGATTGCCCAGGGGATCCCGCAGACCGCAACGAGGAATGTCGCAAAGGCGCGCGAGTGGGCGAGCGGTGCGAATATCATCGTCGCGGCAAACATGATCTGGGAGATGAGCCAAGCGGTCTGCAGATCCGGGCGGATTGCCGTGGCGGCCTTAAGAAAGCCGGCGACGCCAGGCGGAGGGCGGGGCGTGAAACGGGTCCGCTTGGTATCGGGGGACTGTATACAGAAGGGGAGAAGAACAGAGCTCAGGAAGGTAATAGATGAAAAGACTGTCAGGGACAGACTGCCCACCCGGCCGACCTCGCCGAGCATGTCGGTGGTTTTGGTCATTTGGTCTTTCGAGACTTCATACCGGAAGTAAGTCTCGCCAACCCACGTGGTGCTATAGAAGAGGAAGGGGAACCATCCTAGTCATCGTTAGCGGGAGAAATTCTATTTCTTCGGATTAAAACATCGACACGGTTCATACCGATCCAGGCCCAGAATTGGGCCCAGCAAATGGCCTGAATGCGAGGCGGGAGTTCCAACGTCGTCTTGAACAATTGAGCGATCACTTGGATCGCGCCCGCCTTTCCATCCGAATCCCTATTGTGATCAGGTCTTAGTATGTCGGGCGTGACTAGCAGTTTGGAAGTCTGTCCGAAGACTGCTTACCTCGCTGAGATCAGAACACGCTCTTTGACTGAGTATGAAGTCACCGCGACCGCCGCAATCAACGAGAACGCGGCGATCACCGTCATCTGCTTGAACTGCGTGTCTCCGAGGAAGCTGCCAAAGATGCTGACCGTGTCTATCGAGCCCACCACGTAGCTGATCAGCTGACCAATAGCGCACATCCGTCCAGCTGATTGGTAAAGAGAAGAATGTGTCAGAATGATTTGAGATAAAAGGGGAGCGGATGTGATCAACTCACCCCAGGCTGACCCAGCTTGTTGCAAGGGAATGGGCAGCGTGTCTACAATGAGACTGCGACAACAAGCTTGGACTGAATGATCTATAAGCGCCGAGTCCGAATATGTTGAACTTTATAGACAAGATCACTCACCGACGTTAATCGAGAAATCCACCGCATAAATGCTCGAGACCGCCAATGCAATGGTCACGTTTTTGGCCTACGAATACGTCCAATCGTGTCAGCTTTGTCCAACATCCTATGCATGTCCAATACCACGCCTTCCAGAGCCCCCACTCGCAGTCTGCTCACCTTCTCTGGCTCCTTGACGAACATCGCCACGATTTCTGTCGTCCAACCAAGCACAAGTAGACAGAACGCCACGACAAATGAGCCAAAAACCATAAACGGCCTTCGCCGGCCCCATTTTGAGCGTGACCGATCCGCGATGACTCCAATCAGCGGCTGGATGATCAGCCCGGACAACGGGCCCGCAATCCAGACCAGCGAGGTCTTAGACTTGGTCAGACCCAATTGCAACAGGTACGGCGTACAATCTAATCCTCGCGGTTCACAGTCAGCCAATCCATCCCACTCGTCCAAATAGATCTCGCCACTTACAAGTCATCTCTGTGCCCCATGTGAACCTATTCTCACGAAAGAGAGACAAACCGTCAGATTAGCTATATGGGCTCAGAATTTCACTTCATTTCCCAGATGGGGGGAGAGGATGGGAGTGTACGAAGCGGAGCTTTGGCAGGAGAACAAAAAAAAGATCCGGGCAGAGGAACTCAAGAGAAGGAAGTAACGCACTGCAATCCCACCAAACTAAACGTCAACAGCGCCATCCGCGTTGACTCTGACTTCCCCTTAATGGAGGGTGTCCCCGCCCATCGTGCTGTCTGTGGCATGGCTGGCTTCGCGCGGGACGTGCCTCCCTTCCGCCACGCCTGCTGGCCACTGATTCAAGGGTTCACAGAATGTCGGCGTGGCCGAGCAGATGCCCTCGGGCTAAACAGTGTGGGGAGGCGTGCAGGCGGTTGCGGGTGCTGAGAGTCGGGGCGTTCGTGGCGCGCGCAAGGCGATGGAGCCGGATTATGCTTGTCCGGCAGTGATGCTCCGGCGAGCTCGGCTGGTGGGACAAGGGCAGAGGTCTCGGGAGCGCCGTGCGGGCTTCAATCGCAGCGGGACGGGAGGTGGGCGAGGATACAATGAGCGAGGAGTGAAGAAGGTTCCAATTGCGCGCCAGGGTTGTCTGTGAGAGGCGCTGAATGGAATGGCGAGGGCATGGAATTGAGCGTTGGGAGAAAGAGAAAAACGGAGCTGGCCTGAGCGTTCATGCGGGCCCCCGGGCTGCCTTATCGCTAGAGAGGCCAGACCCGCTTCCAGGGGCGCTGCCAGATGCCGATCCGGGTTTCAGATTGACGTCCGGGGTTGATGGTCCGGGGGTTGTATCCTTCATAGACCCTGGTATTTTGAATAGATGCCCGCCATGGAATTCGGGGAGCTGGTCGGAGAAAAGACGGTGCGTATCTACTCCGTACGCTGCGGTGCCTTCTCGCGTTGCTGGAAACTCGAGGCCGACCTGCTCGCGGCTGAGTCAGCGGGTCTTTTTATAGAAACAGTTGAAGAGGAGGCCGTCCACGTCAGCTTTGCGCAGTCTCACAGATGGTGGTGAAGGCATGATTGTGCGTGGGATCATAGATGTTTTATACAAAAGAACTAGGCTCGTCAGGACGGAACTCTCATTGAGTTAAGGTTCCGATCGACTCGGCCACCGACCTCACCGAGAGTCCAACAACTTCAATATCTACAATGACAGCAGAGCCAAGTGGAACAATCAGCAAAATATTGAAATAGATTGCAGAGTCGCTTAACGCCAGATATCCTATCAAGAATATGAAGGGGCAAGCCTGCCCGTGCTCCCCCCACTGTTACCAAGACTAGAGTACGTAACGGTCTTTCATTGCGTGCTCAGCGTGTCCGAATAGCTTCTACTCAACACTGGAGCCTAAGAGGCATCCTGATCACAGTCGCAGTGATACAAACTCCCGCCAGCCCGGCTAGTCAGCTAACAGAAGCGTACCAGAAGTGGGGTCTCAGAAAAAAGAAATTGGGAAATAGATAAAAAAAAAGAAAAAGGAAAAGATAAAAGCAAAGAGTTAACCAGGAAATTGGATTTTATTGGCGTTCGTAATCCCGCGTCCCATGTCGTCGTAAACAGCGCTTATGCCCTAGCTCGTATTCGCCCGTCCGCCTATCGTTACAGTCGGTTGGGGGCGGAGGTGGTCACCGGCCATTGGTAGCCGGCGGCATCACTGAACTTATAGCCGTAGGAGGCAGTGAAATCGTCGAGGACGGCGGGGCCACGGGAGCCTAGAAGAGGAAAAAAAGAAAACCGTCAGTACAATGGCTCAGAAGTATATGATTATAAGGAAGCCGATTCAGGTAGGATGGTACGAACCGTATGGGTACTCCATGGGGATGATCTCCTTGTTGTCATCCAGGTAGTGCAGAAGCGGGGTGAAGATGCGCCAGCTGGCATCCAGCTCATCATCACGGACAAAGTTGGAGTGGTCGCCCTTGAAGGCGTCCAGAATCAGGGACTCGTAGGCCTCGGGGATCTTGAGGTCGGAGAAGCGGCGGCGGTAGGTCAGGTCCAGCTCGGTCACTACCGTCTGCATAGACAGACCGGGCAGCTTGGAGTTCATCTTGATGTAGACAGACTCGTTGGGCTGGACACGGATGACCAACTCGTTCCGGGGGATATCCTTAAAGATACCGGAGGTGACGTCGCGGAACTGGATGCGGACCTCGGTTTTCTGCTCATTGAGGGCTGCAACAAAAAGGAACGAACCACGGATCAGTCAAAATTCAGGTGCAACGAAAACCGAAGACAAAAGGGAGCCAGGAAGGAAAAGCAAACTGAATGTGTACATACCCTTGCCAGCCTTCAGGATGAAGGGCACGCCATCCCACCGCTCGTTCTTAATGTAGGCCACCAGGGCACAGAAGGTCGGGCAGCGGGACTCCTTCGGCACGGTATCGTCCTCCAAGTAACCAGGCTTGCTGCCATCAAGCGAGCGGCCGTACTGGCCGATGATGACATTCTTGGGCTCGATCGCATCCATCGCACGCAGAACACGGACCTTCTCGTCACGGATATCCTCGGAGGAGAACGAGATGGGCCGCTCCATGGCGAGCAGGGTCAGCACCTGGAGCAGGTGGTTTTGCATGACATCACGGATGATGCCAAACTCATCAAAGTAACCTCCACGGCCTTCGGTGCCGAAAGGCTCCTTAAATGTGATCTAGAGCAGGACAAGGATGATTAGATCCATACATGTGGATGAGTGCGAGTCCCCAATGGTCGAAACCCGGGTCTTGGGGCTGCGCTGGAGGAGAGAGAACAAAAAGCATACCTGAACATTGTCGATGTGATGACGGTTCCATGTCGCGTTGAAGAATTCGTTGCCAAATCGCAGGATGAGGATGTTCTTGACCATCTCTTTACCGAGGTAGTGATCGATCCGGAAAATCTCCTCTTCCTTCCAGTTGGGGTCCAGGGCCTTCTGCAGGTCCCGCGAACTCTGAAGATCCTTACCGAAGGGCTTCTCGACCTGTGACGTGGGGGGCGGGGGAATGAGCGGCGGTGCCTCGGCAAACAGGATATTGGGCGAGGGACTCACAATAATGCGGGCGAGACCGCTCTTGGGGTAACAGTTGCGCTTCAATTGCTCAGACACGGTGATGAAGACACTGGGGGGCAGGGCCATGTAAAACACTCGGTTTTGTTCCTTGGATTGCCGACCCTTCTCGACCTCCTCGAGGTGCTTGTTCAGGTTGATGAACGAGTCATCCTGGTCGTATTGGCCCGAAACGTAGGTGCACAGCTGGCAGAACTGCTCTAATTGTTCTTCAATATCCTTGGTCGGAACCTTGATGTATGAGCGTACACGCTTGAGGTACTCGTCGTGCTCCATCTTCGTCCGCGCATATCCGACAATCTTGATGTCCTTGGGAAGGAATTTGTTGCGGAACTGGGGGAGTTGAGAGTTAGTCGACGTAAAATCGCATTTTGTGATTCCTCATCAAATCACATACCAAGCCGAAAAGTGCAGGGAACTACATTGTGACAAGTTAGCATGGTTGGCTCTATCGAACGGACCAAGAGGATATGATGGCCAAAGCCCCACCGCGTTCACAGGAGTAGGCTGGGAGGAGGAAAGCACGCACTGTCTTCTTTTTTCGCAAGATCACCCGAGGCACCGAGGACCACGATGACGGTGTCATCCTTTAACTCGACGGTGCTGCAAATCGAAGCCATTGTTAGTGTTTGTGGACAAGGGACTTAGTGGTCGAAAGCAGAGTTTGCGGTGGAACACGGTGGTATGGAGGGGCGACCGCGGGGGTGAAAGACGAGGGCGATCGCAGGGACGAGGAACAATGCGGGTTTGTAGCCTCAAAAATGGAAGCAGTGAAATGAAGCACGGTCTGTAGCGCAATGGGGGGTGGAGAGAGAGAGGGATTGAGGTGCTAAGTTGGAAGGTTGGAAGGTTGGAAGGTTGGAGGTTGCGGCCGGCGCGCTTCCGCACCGGCAACCCAGCCGGAGGGGGGAGGGAGGGGAGGTGATGTCAGAGACACCGAGACCGAAGAAAAAAAAATACTCACCCGGCATTTTGACGCTCATCGGCCTGAGAAATTATGCTGGTCATCTTGTCGTACACACGATATGCAAGAAAAAAGGTGAATCGAATGGGGGAAAAAAAAGAGGGGGAGGAAGAGAGAGATGAAGTTGTTGGGAAGAGGAATAGACCGTCCAACTCCGGCGGAGCAGGTACTTTTTAACAGGAGTCACTCTGTTCTCTGCCACAGCTTCGCTGGTGGGGCGGACGTATTTTATTTGGACGGTCCATGTTTCGTGCGGACTTCGGGGTATTACTGTTACTGTTCACGAAGCATATTGATCGAACTCCTCCTCCTGCAGAAGACTGACTCGACTCATTCTGCTATATAATGGGCCTGCTGCTCCTGCGTGGCCCTGTTGGCTTTCTGCTCGGACATCGCTCGCCCTGTCTTCCCTTCGCACCATGAGCGGTCCACGGCGGGCATGGGCGATATCCAGGCTCCTTCACCAGCCTCTTAACTCCGGCTCGCTGTCGTTTGATGACTGAAGACTTCCCCCCCAAAGGGCTTCCTGCTGACCTCTCCCCCCCTGCTTTCCTGCCGCCCCCTATGAACCAGAACCCCGCGTCCCGGCTGACTAGCTCGGAGGAGGCAGAGGACGTGCAACGTGAGCCATCCTCCCCACCGAGTGGTCGAGCCAAAGAGCCTGGTCAATGCCTCCAATCGAAGCCCCATGGCATTCTGGAAGAAAAAGAAAACAACCGACCATTGAGAAATCCGGGTACCACAGATACCCCTCATCAATACATACTAGGAAACCAGGATACCAGCTTACTTACTACACGTACGGAAGTACCAGGGCGACTTCCATACTTCCACACATACACTTTTCCACTCTTCCATACGGATACGCTGACAGGGCCTAAACAGGCTGAATGTCCTGGGGTGGAGCATACGTGTGTGTGAGAGACCCTCATCAACGAAGGGGGGAGGGGATGTGCTGGGCTTGCGGTCAACAGTACGCCGGGTGGAGCCCCAGCACCCTGGCATCCTGGCTGAGACTACTAATGCTTCTGTAAGACTGCCTGGGCTCCCGTTGCAGGTTGCAGAAGCCGGAAGGCCCGTACGGAGAACGGTATGTTGCAGGCGACACCCACGGCTCCACCGACTTCAATTACGGTCCTTCACGCCAGATAGTCCCAAGACCCCGAGATCGAGTTGTGGCCTTGAAAAGGGCATCTAGAACATGTAGGACATGTAGGACATGTAGGACATAGAGAACATATAGGACGTATAGGAAACAATCATACGGAGTCCTCCGTGTCATGGATAGAGAAGATCGAAACTATGATTTCGGGGCGAGGAACCATACCCAACGAGTAATTCAATTACCGTGAACGTCGATAAGAGAAGCAGCTCCCGGTGACCGAAATCGTGGGGAGCGATCGGCACATTTGTCATCGCCTCTCATACCAGGACGGATTCTATTTTCCCGCGCCGGGCTTGAATAGGCCCTGGGCCCGCGCTTCGGCCCAGTGTCTGCCGGATTCGGAGCCCATTAACGGTTCGACTCGTTGGGACTGGCCCTGCTGATGCGCTGGAACAGCACGAGATCCCCAATTTGACACAGCTCGGGTGTCTAGATATCGCCAGATCGCGCGGGACTCGGGATATCAATCTATATCGTCCAGGTAGCGACCTTACTTCGGAACAGTGTTCAGATCAAACACTGACGCCTAGTAGTATCTAGGTATACAGGATCGAGTGCAAAGTATTGTATATAGTATAATAGTATATCTAGTACACCGAACATGGACCGAACTCTAGGTAAAGATACAGTAGTACTGTAAACCAACACAGGAAACCCATGATAGGTTGGATGGATATCTCCATCCGTACCATCTCATTACCACGCCGGTCTTTTTGTCTCTCTTTTTTTCCAACTCGGACGAGAGCCTATCCTGAGAACCCGTCCGCTTGAAAACCGTCCCGAGTGCTCCAGTGGCTCGAGAGAGAGGGTCGAGGGGGGCGATCCCGACAGCCAGGACGGTGGGGCACAGGGGGAGTTGATCTGGGTTTCCCAATCAGGGCCGTCGGTCTGGATAAGACCCGGAGTTGTATCCGGCAAGCATGGGGAACTCGACCCGCGGAGACCTGTATAGAACCCAGCGTGATGACTATCGAGAACAGTCATAGGAACTACAGAGAGCTCGGAGCGGAAGGAGATTGAACAGCACCGAGCCGAAGCCACCTCCTCATGGAGACTCCATTGGCCGAGCCTGACGGTAACATCAAAAACCGACAGCTATAACCGGTACCTCGGGACTCGAAGAAGACAGCTCAACGAACCTGCGTGTCGTCATGCTGAGGGTCTTTTGTCAGCTCCCACGCTCCAGACTGGCAAGACAAGCGGCGGGCTCGGAGGACAGTAGCCCGAGAGCGGCAGAAAAATAGAGTCGCTGGAAGCGGTGGGGGTCGATGAGGTGATCGCCCCGCGATCAGGTGATTCCACAAGTCTCAGGCTGACTCAGGAACAGTCAGGTGACTGTATGGTCAGGTGAGGAAGAAGGAGGGTTGTCGGACTTTCAGTTTCACCGAATCTCAATCAGGAGCCCCAATCTGGACTAGGCGATCCCGTCACGGGACCTCGCTTACCCTGTCGCTAAGGTCCCGTTTGGGAATAGTGCCGAATGGCCACCACACCTCCCAAATTGATTGTGCGCTCGACTATCTCGAAGCGACGACAACCACGACAACCGGCAACGACTTCTGATCTCTTGCGGGTCATTCCTTCGACTTGTCTTCCCTGCCCGCTGCTCAGAGAAAAGCCGTCACAATGCCTTCGGAACAAGGTCACCGCCGTGAGTGTCCCCCCGACAGAGGAAAAGAAGAGCCACCTCCGTGATGGGCGATCGCCGTGGGAAGCCGGAAACGGGTTACAGGATGAAGAAACCCAGGCGCATAGACATACGGACTGGCTGGCATCGACCATGAGAAAAGGAACAGAACATGCTAACAGATTTCTTTTTGTGTTTCATAGTCTACGTTAAGTAAGTTGCCCATCGCTGCGCCGTCGCGTCTTGCCCGCACACACATATCCGATATCGAAAAATGAGATTTGGGTTGGAGGGATTCAAAGGATCACTGGAATATTTCCCTTCAGCCCATCAATCCATATGCAATACATCACCTCGTCGATGGGACTGGATCTAATACGGATTTTCTTTTACAGGGGTCGCCACCTGAGCTACCAGCGTGGAAAGCGTAACACCAACCCCAACACCAGGTACGAATGGCCCCCGCGCTATACAACACATTGGAATCCAAAGGACCATGTGCACGACGAATATTGAGAGAATTGGAAATCTGATTGTGCGATTTGAACAGCTTGGTCAAGATTGAGGGTGTCGAGGACCCCAAGGCCGCCAGCTTCTACCTGGGCAAGAAGGTCGCTTTCGTTTACCGGGCCAAGCGTGAGGTCCGCGGCTCCAACATCCGGGTGATCTGGGGCAAGGTCACCCGCCCTCACGGTATGTACTACACGCTTGTCGACTTCTTCTCGAATCAACCATCTCTAACATTCTCTACTTCCCAGGCAACTCCGGTGTTGTGCGCGCCAAGTTCCGCTCCAACCCTCCCCCCAAGTCCTTCGGTGCCACCGTCCGCGTCATGCTCTACCCCTCTACCATCTAAACGGCTTCTCTGTGTTGTATCTAGTGGGCGAATTCCCTTCCGCCTTCCTTCGCGCAGACGGATTTTCGGTTGTCAGGCAAAGGAATCAAAAAGTCGAGACGGAACGAAGAGCCGAATGTTGATTTGAAGGTGATGGGAGTTGGCGGTTTGATAACGTTTTATTCGTGGGAGAAGACAGGGCCCATTTATCCAAGCCCTACGAATCAAAAAAATTTATAACAACGTTCACTGTCCGGGGAAGGAGAGATCAGCCTGAACCCTGTGTCTGTGTTGTTTTTTGACGTCCAATACCGTTTTTTCTTCGACAAAGAACATGCGTTCCTCGGCTTCTCGCACTTTCCTTCCTATTTTGCACCTGTGTTCTGTTGATTGACACGGCGGAGGCGTGGAATCTACTTTCCTCTTACCTCCCCTAGCCTTTCTCCCACCTTGTATCTGACGCTCTTATACGCCAAATCTTATCCCAATCTCTTCAACAGCCCACCCCGGTTCTCTCTCCTCTTTCCGAGTCCCGATTTGCTGTCTCTTGCCGCCTACGCCCGATTTTCGTTGTGCTTGATGCTCTGTTATAGAAGAATTGCATTCTCTTGCTCTGGCTACTCCACCATAGCATGCTTCTCCAATCCTGGAAGTCTATCAGTGCTCTATAATTCCCATCGCGACCGTCTATCAAGCCGATCACCCATCACACGTAACCCGCCGGCCAGTATGATTCTCTAGTAATGTGCGTAGAGCAATTGAGTGTTTAATCAGGTGTACCCTTACCCTCCGTAAAAGGTGCTGTTGCGGCTCTTAGGGGGCATATCCGCAGTGGCTTGCCCTAAATGGCTTATTAGAGCTGCGGAGCCAAACTTTGTCCTCCCCACTGTTACTGACGATTAAATATATTGCTACAAGATCGGTGCGGCCCTATGTGAAGACTCTTATGTCTGATACTTAGTGTTTTTTTTGGTTTTTTTTTTCAGATCTTCCACATCGGTTACAGGGGACACACCGCCCCCATTCCTCCTAGCACCCACGATGCGAGCCTCGCGGAGTCGATAGCCCACAGTGAGTGGTAAGGCTGCGTATTTCCTTGGTTGGGATCCGCTTCCTTATGAAGACTGTTTCCGATCGAGCAATTTCTAGGGCTTTAGATGGGTGGATGGGTGGCCTTGCTTGGTTTTTTTTTTTTTTTTTTTTTTCTGGTCCTTTTTCGCGGTCGCTTGCATGGTTATGATTCTTGGGCAGTCTGCACGTAAGAGTGGCGGTTTTCCTTTCTGTTTCATCCCCAAGGGAATTTCCCCAGATGACATGTGTTTGTGGCCCGGATGGACCCGTCGCACTGTCCCTGTAATCTACGTACAAGTAGATGTATAAGATCCGTATTTTCGGTCATTCATAGAGAGATACTCAATCAGGTGGCAAGCATTGGATGGGGGGAAATGGAGCACATTTTGAGAATTGACGATGTCGGAAAGCAATCCAACTCCGCAAAGCTTCAAGATGTCCAAGGAGTGGAGTGATGGGATTTCGGTACGAGAGAACGCAGTCCCAGTAACAATCTTGGCAGCGGATCGCTCCAGTGCGGAAATATAGATTAGACATTCCAAGAAGAGAAGACCCGAACACTTGGCGTTGCCCCCCAAACGTAGATAGTGCCGTACCTGTGTTGGATATATATACCGGTCAGTACATGCATGCACCTGCATAAGGTTGTCCCGAGCAGTCTGACGAGAAAATGACCTCTCTGGTCCACCGAATCCTGCACTATCTTGATGTTGGTGAACATAATCGCAGTGTTCTCTGTTCTCTGTGTCGGTAGGGCAGATGTTTTGGAGTTCGTGATCTCGGGGATGAAAAGCTTGGATTGCGGGTCGCCGTTCTCCTCCATGTCGATCGCCCGTCCTGATGGAGATGGACTTTATGGTATACTGTATGATGTACACTTCAAAGAAACTGGAGAATCATGACAGCTACGCAACATGACTAGTGTTCTACTGTGATTTGACGCCTCCTGCTATTTGATCTGCGATGCCCTTTCTGGTCCACCCACAAAACCTGATTGTTGCACTGATGTTCCCGCACGATGTGCTGATTTGGCGGCGGCCAATTGGAAGGGCACGGATCGCGCGTGTGCATTGGGCTTTTCTAGAACGGTGGGGATGGGACGGGAGACTAGACATGGCACAAGCAGCGTTCTGGACAATGTCTCAGTACCCCAGGTCTACGCGGGTTTGCCTGCTGGTCTCTGGGGTTCCGATGGTGTTGCCAGCATCCATGAGTCCATTGTGTACGAATTGGGTTGGATTGGGTTGGGGGGGGGGAAGACCGGGAAGTATAGCTGCACTAGGCATTTGTCTGTCTGTGCCGGGGTCAGGCCCTGTTGGGATAAGACCAGCATCGCAGGAATCGGCTGACGGATTCTGGTTTCTGCTCTCTGCTCCATACAACTAGCCCGGGATGTCATGACGACCGAGGGTCCCTGAGAGTGTTCGTCCAATCTATTTTGGTCTGGGCGAGGGGACCCAGAACCTCACCAATCGCTGGCCCGCGCGTCCCGGGCTGGTTACCACGGAACGTTGCTCTTCCAGCCCTCTATTTCTGGGATGGAAAGAGATGGGCACTGAAAAAGAGAGACAGAGAAACCATAGGATAGGCGAGCGGGTCTGGTCAAGGCTAAAAAAGGGTTGAAACTCGGTATCGAGCAGGATTGCGTGGTCGATGGGGCTGGAGGGAAGAGAGAGAGAGAAAGAGAGAGAGGGAGCGGCTGCATGAGAGTTGAGCTGTACGCCACTCGCAGGCACCGTTCGCTTGCCTCCGTGGGTTGCGTGGCTTGTGTCGTCAACCAAACTGTCTATTTTTTTCTTCCTCTTCTCTTTAAATAGGCGATCATTCCTTTGATCTGCTTCCCAACGGTTCTCCACTTCACCACCCCCCCCGATCTGCTCCTCCGCTGCATTAGCCCGTCCGGAGAAGCAGCATTCGCACGATAGCACCGGCAGCATCGTTCGCCAACCAGTCCCCCGGCAGTCCACGCCAGTCCACACCAGTCCACGCACTCTACGCCTTCTAACGCACTTATCGCCCTCTACGCACTTCACCACCAACACCGCTTCTTCCTGCTTTCTTTTTCGCTCCACTTCGACAGCCTCCTTGTCACATCTGCGGTCCACCAGCGCACCGAGCCCGTCCTAGTGTCTCCGTCCGGTCCTTTCACTGGTGCTCTGCGATCGCGGCAGTTCCCACCGTTGCGCTCCACATCCAGAGAGCTCTCGGGCGATCCTGTTTCAGAGGCCCCCGCTCCAGCTGCCTTGAAATTCCCAGACGCTAAAGCCAAACTAGAGGCCGACGCAGCGAGGAAGATCCTATTAATATGGCAGCCCCCCAACCGCCCACGGCTCCTCCGCATCGGAGTCGTGGTTTCAGCGTGAAATCCGAACAGTCGCATCGCTCCAGTACCTCCGGTCACAAATCCCATCTCTCCGAGAGTTCCCAGGAGAAGGCCAAGCGCAATCTCCATACCAAAGCCGACCCACTCGTCGCCATGAACGAGTTGCAGCCCAGTATGTGACCTGATCTGCCCAGAAGTCTCTCGTGCCTCGACTGTGTTGATATCCCGCATTTGCCCTCTCCCCCTCCCTCTCCATGTGGATCCCCGCTCCACGCGGTCGCATTCTTCTCGAGATCGCATCCAATTGTAACGATAGTGAATGATGCTAACCGGTGAATTCAGTGGCCGTCGCCCTCGAGCAGGGCACGATAGGCTCTCTCCGTGATATCCAGCACAAAGACCAATTCGGCAATCCAATCAGTGCGTGGCGCTCTCCCTCTCCCTCTCCCTCCTCCTCTCTCTCCCTCGCTCCACCCTCCGTTCGATGCTCCCGAGACCCATTGATTGCTCCACACTTGCCACAATCGCAACTAACCTCTGCTTCAGCTGACCCCGATTGGTCCAACCCGACTCGGCCTCGATTTGAGCGTCCGCTCGATACTATCCGCTCCTTTGAGGCGGCCATCTATGGCACATACAATAGCACCCGCCCGAATTCCTATGCCCGCACAGGTTCGTTGGGCTCCACCTTCACCTCCACCCCAGGTCCCCAGTCTAATCAATTCCCAGTAGACGACGCCGCCTCCCAGATGGGAGATTTCAGCCGCCGCACCAGCACCTACGGTACGAATTCAATCCCCCTCCTCTCCCTCTCCTTCGCCAGTCTTGCTTCTTCTGTTCCATCTTGAACAGGACAGCCATGGTTGGGCACAAACTAACGTCAGCTCCGTCCTCCCAGGCCCCAATCCCTACGCCAACCGCGGCTACAGTGAGCAAAACGCCCACTATGGCCGTAGCGGACCCTCTCGTCCCGACAGCATGATCGATGCCTATGGTTCCCAAGCTCCCGACAACTACTATCCTCCGAGCAATCAGAACGGTGGCCGTCGCCCGCGTGGTGCGGCCCGCATGTCCTCCGACCAAAATCACGGCTACGGCTACCAGCAGCAGAACTACCAGCGTTCCTACGACAATGTCACTGCCATGTCCGGCTCCGGCTCTGGCTACACCGACCCGTCCGGACAGTCCACCGACCCCAGCTCACTGAACAGCTCCATGGACCAGTTGCAACAGGCTGCTCTGCAGCAACAGCGCCTTGACGAGCGCGCGCAAGCCGAGTACGGCTTCCAGGGCTTCAATGCGGGGCCTAATCTTCACGGCAAGGGCATGCCCTCGGCGCCGGCGCCGACGGCTGATCCAAACTGGGGTGGAGGTTCGCCATCTGGTTCGCAAGCCCCGAGGAGGACGCCCGTTGCAGCGCCACCGAAACCCCCGGCGGAGAAGCGGAAGAGTTGGTTTAAGAAGCGATTTAGCAAAGATTAGACAAGATGAATACAGGTATCTGCGAGATCAGCTGATCTGCTGCCTGGTCTACGTTAATGTTTTATCCCCTCTCCACCTTCATGGGTTCGTTCTGTGAGACTGGAGAGCTCTCAATCCTCTTCTCACTTGCAAAGAGAAAGATGTATTATCATCGCAACCGCTTTGCTTTCTTCTCTTTACCGGCGTTCTCGGTTTCGGGGGTCTGTTTGGGCCGCGTCGCTCTATTCTGGACCTGTTTCGTTTCACGTGCAAGGCAATTTTATTGAGATTGCGGGATATGTGTGATGCCCCTTTGACGTTCCATTTTCTTTTCCTTTTCTTGTGTTCTCTTTTTTTTTTTTTTTTTTATTTTTGCGCATCACATTTTTTGTCGATAATTTTTCCCTCTCTTTCCCGCTGGCTTGGGGTTGCTGCGAGTTCTATGCTTTTTCCTTTTACGAGGTTACGATACATAGGGGGTTTTTGGGGAGGAGGTTTTATGTTTTCTTTTTCATGGGGATATGCAAGACTTCTGGGTATTTGGGAAATCAGGGACTGTTTATTACTTTGTACTCTTTTTGATTCTCCCTCTTAAACTCCTTTTATTTTCCCAACTGTTATCTTGCCCTCCTGGGGAGGCTTCGTGCACATGGAATAGGGCTTCCAGTCTCCTGCCTGCTTCCTACGAGCCCATTATCCCACATATAATGCTTACACTCGGCCTGCCTATGGTTCTGAAACTGCAATGGGCACTGGGGATCTCCTCCCTCCCACTGCCTCCCTGCAGGCCTCCTCCACAATTGGTAATAGGATCGGCGCATCTTGGGGTTTAGGAAGTAGACGCCCTGGAACTTTGATTCTGGTCCCGGGAGTAAGTTCAAACAGAGGCACGCCGTTGATAGGAACAAGCCGCATAGTATGTAGCTATTTAAATGCTTAGATCTGCACTGAGAAAGCATCCCAAGTCTGTGGAGCGTGGCAGCCGCAAAATATCCAAGGCTTGGGCAAAGAACGCCTTTTTCCCTTCTCGAGTCTACAATGCCATCCAATGAAGCCACCCCAAGACGTCGAGTAAACCCGGGTGACATACATGAGCTCTCTACTCAAGCCTCTATACCCAAAGGCTCGAGATGAGGGGGATTCGACCACTGTCCCTCTCCCCCCACCCCCTCCCAGCAAAGATAATAATGATACAAGAAGTAGATAAAAAAGAAGTAGAAAGTATGGAAAATCCAATAAAGCAATTGAAAAGGGGAAAAAAAAGAGAATCACAAATCAAACACGAAAACCCAACAGGTGATATCCTCCTTACTCTTCCCAACCTCCCTAAATCCACACAGTAAAACCAAAACAAAGGAAACATAACAAAAATAGAGAGACATTCCTAGCCCGCCCATTAATTCCTCAGCCCAGAAGACTCCTCTTCCTGCTCCACTTCCTCCTCCTCCACAACCACAACCACCTTACTTTCGGCCCAGAAGCTTGTTCTTCAATTTATCCGCCAAACCCTCATGCGCCAGTCCTTTCTTCTTCTCCTTCTCCTTGCGTGCCGCCTCGTCCAGATGTACGTTGCCCTGGCCGCCGCGCTACAGGGTCCACAGTTAGCGTCGAGTCCACGGCCATTGCTCTGGGATTGCCGGGGAATATACGCATATACATATATGCAGAGGAGAGGAGAGGAAGGAAAGGGAATGTATCTTACGCCCGTGTGGTAGGTCTCGTCGGTGGAGTCGCGCACCGCCAGCTCAGGGATCATTTCCGCGTCGTGCGGGACTTTGGAGGTTGGCCGGACGTGCGGCGAGCCGATGTTGCCGACGCCGCCGCGCTGGTTGGCGAAGGGCAGAGGTTAGTTTGGGGACATGAACATGTAGCTGGACTGCTAGATGGCTTAGAAGCACCGGACCGGGAGAAGGGAAAAGAGGGGAGGGGAATGCGTACGCCGGCCGAGTATGCGCCGTCACCCTGATCGCCGTAGACGCCTTCGCGGACGATCTCGCCGTCGATGTATCTGGGGGTTGTGTTTGGGTTAGAAGGGGGCGTTTTTTTTTCTCTAATTGTTTTGGGGGGTTGGTCTCTTGGGAGAGGGTGTTTACTGGGTCGAGTCTTTGCCGATATTGCCCTGGCCTGGTGAGAGAGAGAGGGAAGATTTGGTTAGCGCATGGCTTTTTGGGGGAAGGGTGGTACAGTGGTGATGGTGGATGGTGGTACCTCCGCGGCCGTGGGAGACCATTGGTTCCTCTTGGTCACCCATTGCGAAAAGATTGCGATTGATCGAGTCTGTGGGGGTGATGGAAAGGAGAATTAGTTTGGGCTCGACTGTTGTGCGACGAGGAAAATGCGATGGAGGGGAGCGGTGTGATCGTGGTGCTTATCGCGCAGAAGGCGATGGCTAACATGCGGATGGGGTTCGGTGGGGGCGGGTTGGAGAGGGACACGGCTGCGATAAGACGCAGGTACAGATCTCCGGAAGTATAGAACACGGGCAGGGGGAAACTGACCAGGGAGGAGGACGTGGAAAGAGGAGGATCAAGGGGATCGAGAGATCACTCAGGCTGGCCCTGGATGGAAGATGCGGCGATGGGAGAAGAGAAAAGGAAGAAAGGTGGAGCTGACGCTGGAAGCTAGCAAGATGAGCTTAATGATATAAGACTGAGGACAGGATACGAGAATCAGTCGGGGAGATGCGATCTCGCCATCGGAGCTTGTGAGGTTGGTGTCTACGTCCCGACGCCATGGCTGCCAAGAGTCACCCGGGGCTACTCAGAATTGTCTATTGGACTCGTCTAGCGTCCGTCGAGGTACGAGGAGCTCTTTGACATTAGTATCTGGTGCACTTGATGAACCGGTCGAAGGACGGCTTGTGGCGGGACTCGAAGCGATTGGTGACGTCGGAACTGATAAGATAAGGCTGATTGGTGGCGGCAGTGACTAAAATGGGTTTACTGATAACGAGCTTGGCGCCGACAACAAACTACATATAGAGGGGGAGATGAATATCATCACACACGGAGCAGCGAGGACATAGTAGTGGAAGAAAATAAATTGTGAGAAACTGGTAAAAATATAGAGGTATCCAAGAGCAGATATATGTTTGTATATACGTAGCTCCGGCGGGAGGACACGAAGAAAAGAAAAGGGAGAGGAGAGAAAGTAAATTCTGTAGGCTGCAATGACACTAAGGAATAAATATTCACACATAATGGACAAGCAAAGAAGGAATGGCTGCGGGTCAAGGCACACTTGGACTTGGGGTACAGGTTCACTGGGCGGCTTTCTTCTTGTCTTCGCCGCTTCCTCCGGTCGTGGGCAGACCCATAAAGATCTTGAATGAGTCGTAGCTGCAAGGTCGGAGTTAGTATACTGGTTCGCTTGAAAATATAACAAAGAGGCGCGGGAAAATTCCTCATACATCATCCATTGGAGACCGGTCTGTCACGTTCATTAGTATCATATTTCACTTGTCTCTCTACGTTATCCTGGTCACGCAGACCGGCCACTTACCAGAGTACCAATCATCACAATACGAACAGGCAGTCCATTCCACAGTCCGCGGAATCCGATGTCGCCATAAATTCGGCTCATGGCAGCGCCAAAGGCCTCGCCCGCTTGGCGGTTAGCATTCAACTTACTCACCATCACATCGGCCGGGTGCGAGACCACCGCGCACAGAATACCAGCCAGATAGCCACCAGTGAAAGCGACCGCCGTCTGGGCACCTTTATTGTAGTCGGATTTCTGGCCCGGCAGGTTGTGATAGATCATCTCGACAATAGTCTCAAAAGAGGCAAACTTCATCATGGTGTATGGGATTTGGCGACCCCAGAGTGGATACAGGCCCTTGTAAAGACTGTGGGGTAACAGGGACTCCATCAATATCCTCCACATCATAACTCAATCTTAATGAGACTCGGACGTGTCAACGACTTACCCGGCTACGCCTTCCTTGGCAACAACGGAAGAAATACCACTGAAAGTGCCCTTGAACTCGGGAGGAATGGTAGTCTGCATGCGAACCTTCACGGACTCAAATGGGCAAAGGGCGATATCCGCAATCAGTTCTGCAGAAGCACTTGCTACTAGGTACAGAGATGTCTTGTATTTGGTCGCTCTCTCTTGGCCGACAAGGTCACTGTAGAACTTTTTGAAGAACTCATAGCCGCCGTACTTGAATGCTCCTTGTGCCTGTGACTGTGTCAGTAATCTTGACTTTCTAGCCTCCCCGAGATTCCTACTGACACTGTAACCAAAGAAAGTGGGGCTCCAACCGGTAACCACCCCTCGAAAGCCCTCGGCAGCACGAATCTTGTGATAAGCCTGCATATTACTGCTGTACAGCTTGGAGTCCACCTGGCGGCGACATTTGATGAGGTCGAGGGGCGTCACTGCCGTGTGTGTGAGACCCTATCATAAATTACATCAGCGCTCCAAGCCCAGTTGCAGTTAGATACAAAAGGGTCCAAAAAAGGAAACGAACACAGGCGAGCATTCCACCAAAGGTACAGGCGGCGTAGTACTTGGGAGTCCAGGGCTCAATCTTGCCGGTTTTTTCCTGAGCCTTATGACTTGCGACCTCGAATTCTCGGGCCGCTTCCTTCGCAACCGAGTCGGCCGTCTTCTTCACATCGTCGAGTGCACTCCAGGCCGGGAAGAGTTCACGTCCTCGGGAGGCTTGCTGAAACGAGTTTTCCGAGGTCGATTGTTTCTGCAACGACATACCTTGAGCACCTAAAGGATGCTGGGCAGCAAAGGTCGCGACAATCGAATCTGTGAGCATGATGATCTTGTTGATCGTCCTTGATGTACACGACTAAAGTGGATTCTCAAAAAGTGGAGACGCCGGAATCGTGGGTGCTAGGTCAAGTGTGGTTAACTCCACTCGCACAGTGTCGACAACGAACTGTTCTAGCCTCGCAAGAAACGAGAAGGGATTTTGAAGGTGAAGCAGAAGAGTTGGGAGAGAAAAGAAAAGACAAGACACCCAGGAGCGCTTTGAAACCTTTCACGGTTGCAGTAAGCCTTGGGGGCTAGCTTTAGATGACGTAGGAACGGGCGGGTCTTGGCGCGCGAAAAAGAGGAAAAGCGCCGAATTCGACCAAAAAGACTGTCGAGCAACGCTTGATCTCCTGCGCAACGCCTACACACCCCGCCAGTTTCATCTACAATGGCATCATATCTCGCTGGCAGCGAAGCTTTCACTCGTGAAAGCCAGACCTCCGCACCGGCGGTTCCACAAGCTGCCTGGGCTGACAAGTACCGCGGGGTTGGTTGCCCCTCAATGTTCTGACTCCGACTAGAAGCTCACTATGACCTGACAGGCTACTGTGGAAGACCTCGACCCCCCACCTGCCCTCTCCGTTTCTCCCAATGACCCGGTCTCGGCTGCTCTGATGGCCGCCTACGAGCGTGACTATACCCACCTGACCGTTACGTCTGCTGCGAAGCGGTCTCTCCTTGGCTACCTGAGTATTCCACGGCTCAAGGAGCTCATCCAGAACGGTACCGTCAAAGAAACAGACACAGTATCCTCGGCCATGCAACGGTTTAACCGGAAACGCGGCATCTACCAGGTGATCACCATGGAGACTCCCTTGGAAGAGCTGGAACAATTCTTCGAGAGCGAGACTGGCCCCAACGGCGACAAGCGTGACAAGGAGCAATTCGCCGTTGTCACTGATGTGGCACGCAAGTTTGTATTGGGAGTTGCTACGAAGGCGGATCTGGAGGAATTTGTGAAGCGGAGACCAACATGAGTCCAGGGATGATGCGATGTGGTCCGCGCCTCCAAGGTCGAAGCTAAGCTCATCGGCGTCCTCCATATTGAATTCGGGCATTGGGTTGTTCTTGCTCTTGTGTTTTGTTATTGCATTGGTTGCATGTGGTTCTTTCAACATGGACATTGCATGCTTTTAACATGTGTCGCTGGGAGGATGGGAGATTTAGGACTGCATGCATGAAACGTGAAAGGAAGCCGAACAAGTTGGCTGAGCCCAGATCTGTGGAATTATTGTTAAGATATCCAATACCAAACAACTATTCAAAATAATTTCTTTTGGTTTTCAAAAGCATCGAATATCTGGAAGAGATCGAGCGGACAGAAGAACGAGACCGCCGAACGAAAAGTTCCCCATGCCTTACGCAAAATATCCTGGAACGCCTGTTGGAAAAGAGATGCAACCGAGTTTGTCACCATATACGGCTCTAGATGAGCTTTGTCGCTCTACTGAGCCTTCTTGGACTTGGCCTTGTCAGCTTCCTTCTTGTCGCCTTGGTCTTCCAGCCAGGCCACATAGATATAGGCAAATAACACCACGTTAGCGGTAACCGCCGCGGTGATACCGGCAAATGTTGAGTTTCCTAGAGAACGAATGAGACTCTCTGGCCCATTTTCAATGTATCGTAGCAAATCGAGTCTTACCACTGAAGATGGTGTTCACAGTCAGAAAATACATGCCAATGGGGCCGAACACCATAGCGACTGTGAAGCCCAACAACTTGTAAATGACATCTCTGGGGAATCAAGTCAGATTTCGCCCAGCAAATTGTAAACTCGTCAGAGCTCCACTCACGCGGGCACTGCTGGCGTCACATCTGAATCCTGCTCGGGGGCCGGCTTTGCGGCCACATCGGCGTAGCTCTGCCCGTGAGGACGGCGGGCGGACATAATTGTGGACTGATGAGATGTGAATCGGGACTTAATTTGCTGTTATCCAGGCTGACTCAACTTCGTCTGAATCAGATGTGCTGATTGTTGCCTGGTCGATCTTTGTTGTTTGGAGAGAATTAAGGTGACGAAGCTATATTGCGGAGAACGCCCCAGGCCCCGGTCACATGAGTGCCTAAGGAAGCGCGTCCCCCTCCCCCAGATCTCTTAATTGCTATAAAGTTGAAGTTCGAGTTATTCTCCCCATTCCCAGTGGGGCCTTGCTTCTCAATTGTTTTGATTTCATGCTCTCCTTCCACCAGATTGGGCAGGATGACCTGCCCAATCGAGTAAAATCGCTCCATTGTCGGGGAAACACGTGATTCGCGGCGCGTCCGCTTCGCGTTTCCGCCGGCAGAAAAAACGATCCTGGATACCAAATTGAGTACGCAGTTCAGAGAGGAGGCTGGCCTCGACTGAGAGAAGAAGGGTTGCGACTGCCTTAAAAATGGACGACCTAGTGCCTGATACTCCCGTTCGGAACAAGAAGCCTGCTCCAGGCACCCCCAACGCGGACGAGCATGAGACAATCGCCACCCTGCCTGCGCATGTTCTCTCCCCGTCGCAGCAATTGACGCAGCCGACCCAACTGATCGAGTTGCCTTATTCGCGGCCAAACAATAGTATTGTCCAAGTTGCCGCTTCGTCTCCGACTGCCCCTGTTCCATCGCCGCCGCGACGTGTGCCCCAGGGCGGCCTTTTATCTTCACTCATGGCCCCCTCGGGAACTCACTTTCGTCCTCCTTCCTCCACTGTTCGCCCTGCCAAGCGCACCCCCAATTTCGACATGGATGATGGCCCGACATACCGAGGCGGATCATCTGACGATGATGAGAACCGCATCGACATCAAACCCTCCATGTTTGAAAAATCCGCTCGCAGCCCCGAGAAAGACAAAGTGGTTGAGTCGCCGGTTCGAGGTGAAGGCCCCATGAGCCGCTTCAAGGAAATTACCTTATCTGCCATGTACGATCCCAATACAGCAGGGACAAAACGATCCGCAGACCAAATGAGTCCTGCTGAGAACGCCAAGGGCGTTGCGATGAAGAGAGCCAGACAAGATGGGCCATCCCGTGCGCAGCCTGTGACTGCCCAGTATTTGACAGTGCAGGACATTGTCGACTTCCGGGTCCGCGTAAAGGTGGAGCGCATTCTCAAAATTATGCCAGACAAATCGGTTCAGGCGTGCGCTGATGCACTGATGCGGTGTAACGGCAACTACGATCGCGCTTTGGAATTCCTAGCCCGCGCGGACGGCAATTTCGTAGTGGATATCGAATCGTCCGATGATGAACTGAGTACCGGGCCTACGATAACGAGCAATGCGGGTCCTACTGCGAAACAAAATATCAAGGCACGGGGAACTATTCATGACAAATGGGCGTCCATGAACATCGCAGCATCGCAGAGACAGCACGAAGAAGTCAAACCTCGAGGCCGGTTGATGCGTGGTCCACGAAATCGAGACTCTGTTCCAACAATCTCCATCGAATCGGATGATTCTCCGCCGCAGAAGAAGGCTGGCCGCCTCCAGAAAGGTCGCCGTCGTGACCAGTCCCAATCCGCATCCCCAGAGGCTGTGCTGTCCGATTCGGAGGACTCCGACGTGCAAGATATTGATTCTTCCAGTGGCGGCTTACATGACAAGGTGTTGAGATTTTTCAATACTTGCAATGTCCACGACCTCGCAGACATCGCTTCAGTTCCCGAAGAAACTGCCAAGCTGATTACCTCCCACCGCCCCTTCTCTTCTTTGGACGAAGTCCGCTCTGTCAGTGCTCCTGTCGACCCAGACGCCAAACCGAAAGGCAAAGGTAGACCTCGCAAGGCACCCAAGCCCATCGGAGACAAAATTGTCGACAAATGTATGGATATGTGGACCGGATACATGGCTATTGATGCCCTTGTTGCAGAGTGTGAGGCGCTTGGCCGGCCAGTCGCTGAGGAGATGAAGAAATGGGGCGTCGATCTCTTTGGTAAGCGAGAGGGTGACTTCGAGCTCGTGTCAATGGGGAGCTCCCATGATTCTGGAATCGCAACACCCTCTTCTAGTCATCAAACCCCAGATGAGGACTCGGATGATGAGATTCGCCCTGTCGGCAAATCCCGCAAGTCTGACAGCAAGACTCAGAGTCGATTCATCTCACAGCCTGCAATTATGGCTGATACCCTGGAAATGAAGAATTATCAGATTGTCGGTATCAACTGGTTGGCGCTGTTGTTCGAGAAACAAATGAGTTGTATTCTTGCCGACGACATGGGTCTTGGCAAGACGTGTCAAGTCATCGCTTTCCTCGCTCATCTATACGAGAAGGATATTAGAGGTCCTCATCTTGTCGTGGTACCCGCCTCCACAATCGAGAATTGGTTGCGCGAGTTCAAGAAGTTTTGTCCGACATTGACTGTTATGCCATATTATGCCAATCAAAACGAGCGTGCGGAAATTCGAGAACAGATCGAAGACAACCCTGATAGCATCAATGTTGTCATCACTACCTACACCATTGCACGCAACAAGGTTGACAACAAGTTCCTTCGTGATATGGACTTCACTGTCTGCGTTTACGATGAAGGACACGTATTAAAGAACCATGATTCCCAAATCTACGATAAACTCATCAGAATTCGCGCCCGCTTCCGCCTCTTACTCACCGGAACACCCCTGCAAAATAACCTCCAGGAGCTGGCTTCCCTTCTCGGTTTCATCTTACCGAAGGTGTTTAGGGAACACAAGGAAGACCTGCATGCTGTCTTCTCCAACAAGGCCAAGACAGATGACGAATCCCACGCCACCCTTCTTTCCGCTCAGCGTATTGAACGTGCCAAGTCCATGCTTAAACCATTCGTCCTCCGGCGAAAGAAGCACCAGGTCATCGATCTGCCGGCTAAACACTCACGTGTTCAGTATTGCGAACTCAAGCCTTCTCAGCATGAGATCTACAATTTCGAAAAGGAGCAGGTTCGTCAGCTCCTCGAGGATCGCGCCGCCGGTGTCAAAACTGGCTCCAAGTCCGCCAATATCCTTATGAAACTCCGCCAAGCAGCTATCCATCCTCTTCTCGCGCGACGCCACTACACGGACGCAATTCTCAAGAAGATGGCTAAGAGCTGTCTGAAAGAAGAGAAATGGGCCGCCTCAAACCCCGCTATTATTGAGGAAGAGCTACAGCCCTATAATGATTTCGAATGTCACAAGATGTGTATTGACAACCCCGCCTCGCTGGGCAAGTTCAAGCTCAAGAATGAGGAATGGATGGACTCTGGCAAGATAGATCAACTACGCACCCTATTAACTGGCTTCATCGCGAACGGGGACAGAACCCTGATCTTCTCGCAGTTCACCATGGTTATGGATATCCTGGAGAACGTGCTGGAGACGCTGCGCATAGAGTTCGTCCGGTTGGATGGTCGCACCAATGTCGAGGACCGCCAGACCATCCTCGATACCTTCTACGAACGCGAAGATATCCCCGTCTTTCTACTCTCCACCAAGGCCGGCGGCGCAGGCATCAACCTGGCGTGCGCCAACAAAGTTATCATCTTCGACTCCTCCTTCAACCCGCAGGAGGACGTCCAGGCCGAGAACCGCGCCCACCGCGTCGGCCAGATCCGCGAGGTCGAAGTAATCCGCTTCGTCACCCGTGGCACCATCGAGGAGCAGATCTACGCCCTCGGCCAGACGAAGCTGGCTCTCGACCACGCGGTCGCTGGCGACGATGACGTTGGCTCAAAGAAGACCGAGGAGGTTGGTATGAAGACCGTGGAAAGCATGATGCTAGCAGACATGCACGAGAAGGGGGTCGCCGAGCCCAGCGCAGAATAGTCAAGATGGAAAGGGTGAATATTTCACTCGCGGCGTTGTTTTCTTTTCTCTTCTTTTCCCATTTTTTTTCATCCGTATCTCTTCCCGCAGCCAGGGAGGAGATACCCCAACCTATACACATGGTCGCGTTTGTCACGGTGCGGATATGCATAGGTTCGCATTTTCAGCGTGTTAGAGTAGAGTAATGAAGTCTTGTTGATGAAAAAAAGCTCACATTCATATGATTTGCGATTCTGTTACACTTTAGGATAACTCTGTATGGGGCGTTGTGAGAGTAGTCATGTGGTATAGGAATTTCTAGTCCCGCGCTACTTCGGGCAGTGCTGTTTGGCTGGGACGTTGACCAAGGGAAATATTCTAGGCCGTGGCTTCAGGAGAAACTAAACATGATATGTCTAGTTACTATCCTGCTAAATTGATTGGGTCGTATCAGGACCAGTGGTTGAATATGAAGTATATAAACCGAGGAAAATTTCCTTTGCTTGTAGCAACCATGCATATTTATTATATATGTGATTTGGGGGAATCTATGGACGAAGGGAGAGGAGAAGACACCCGTGAATGATGCAGAAAATACGACCAAATCCGGGTAACCAGGCTATGCAGAAAAATAAGAAAGAATGGAAAAGAAGAGTAAAGCCAGACGCTAGTCAGAAGCAATCTAAGCCATCACCTCCGGCTTCTGACCGACTTCCGATACTGGAATCGACGCGCCTACAACTGCCTCTTCGGCGGGTTTGCCTTTGGGTGGCTCGGGGATGGACGAGGTGCGAATAGGCCCACCGTTGTGGGTAGCAGGGGCTACTTTGGAGGACCTAGTATTGGCGCCCCCAGCGGCGCGCGCAGACTCGCTCTCCATCGCATTCTGAACAGCCTTGGAGCGGGTGCTGTTCTCGTCTGGTCCATCTTCCCATTTTTCTGTAATTTCGAGAATCTCATCGATACGGATGGCATGAGCGACAAGGTCGTCGAATTTCAGGCGGCGGCAGATGTCGGTGTAAGTGCGAGCTGCCTTGGCCTCCTTGAAGTCCTTGTCCTTGCCTGGGATCAGCATGTTGAGCAGGTACTTGGTGTTACCCAGTCGATTTTCGCTGTCGAGGGAGTACTTAATATACTCGTAGACAACATCGCGCCACGGGGCGAGTCCGCCATCGGCTTCGGAGCGGAAACAGGATGAATTGGATTCGGCTGCGGTGGCGATCATTGCGCCGTCAACACCGAACTCGTCCATCAGGGCGAGAGCTTGGTCGCGCGAGGTCACGTCGCCATTCATCACGCAGGCGACGCCAGCATTATGGCACAGCTCTCTAATCATGCGCAGCTGATGGCGGATGGCGCGCTCGCGAGGTCGCATTGGGGTGGTCCGACAGTGGACGGTCAAACCGGTGATACCGGTGCGCACGAGACGGGTGACCAAGGCCTCGGTGAGCTCGGGAGTTTCCAGGATACGGATTTTGACCGAGATACCGATCTTGAAGGGCTCGCCAACTTCTCGAACTAGGGTCTCCAGGATGGAGACGAGCTTGTCAGGCGTGCGAAGCAGCGCCGCGCCCATTCCACCACTGGTGCTGAAGGGCTTGGGACAGCCAGAGTTGACATCAATCCCCGACACGTCCCCGGCAACGACCTTGGCCGCTTGGACCGCAAGGTCAGGGTTGGCAGTTCCCATCTGGAACACGAGCTTGCCCTTTTCCCGCACCGGGTCGATTCGGTAGATCACTGATTCCTTCGCTGCTTTCTCTTTCCGGCCTCCGTTCGACGGCATACGGGTGAATTCGATGGTGCCGTTCCGGGGATTCACGCGGCGCTCTGCACCGATGAGCGAGCGGTCGATGGTCTCGGGACCCCAGACAAGATCAGCACCGTAGTGAAGGGCGAGTAGGCGCGAGGGCAGTTCACCAGAGCGAACCATCGGGGCGAGGACAATTTTACCACGATAGTCGACACCGTTGGCGGGGATGGGCACGCGCGGCACCTGGGCCGGCGCAGCAGTCACGGACTCAGTGATGGCAGTCATGGCAGAGCGTAGGAGTCGGATCATAGCATGCTGAGAAGGAGGGGCGTATTTTTTTTTTAACAAAAGAGTTAACTCATGAGAGGGACTTTTCTGGGGGTTCGGCGAGATCCGCCCAGTCACGTGCCGATAGGTGACGATAACCTTCTTTGATTAAAATTTTTGAAATTTGAATGCCTGATAGATGCCTGGTTTATGCCTGATTCTGGCCACGTTGTTTCGGGTCTCGTTTGTGTTGCCAGACTCGCGTTTGTCATTGTGGGCTCCACCTGCTCAACATTGTATGGCACACCCAATTCCCCTGCCAAGAAAGGCCCACGGGATTTGCCACGATCTCTGAGAAGGAGACTGATGGTGGGAACTGCGTATTGAACTTGCGTCGAGCAAAGGCAAACTAGCTATATTCCTTCCGCACGGAAGAGATACTATGGAGGTACTATAGGGTTTGAACTACGCCATACTTCGTATAGGGCGTGAGATCCTTCCGTTGGTTGGCTTTACCTGCGATGCCCACTATCCCGATATCGGTCTAGCACTCGCAGCTGTCTCGGGTACCGAGTACATGCAGAGTACATGCCTCGCCCTACGTACCGCCGGGTACAGCGGTACTCGCATGAAGCACGAGACCGTCCGGGGTATACTTTGATGTGGTCATCGTCGAGTTCGAAGATAGTACGGACTGAGCAGTTGTGGTGGAAATGTCAATCCTGCCTACCCATCACTAGGCCTTAGGTGTACATAAGTTCCCTGAAATGACGGCACAGAAAAAAAAGAGAATCGGACCCAGTTCACAAGGGCCGATCCCCTGGGCGACTCTCGGAACACGCAAGCCCCTTCAACTTTAGACTCGCACCTCCAGAGCCATTGACCAGCCGGAGCACTGACATCAGGGGCCGTGAGCACGTCTTCTCTTCCTGCCACCTTTGAAACCCCCGTTTCCCACTTTCCAACCCGGCCACGTCGCAGCCAATGGCTCTGGGCCGTCCTCCCTTGGCCCGACTCGGATTTTCTACCTCCACCGCCTCCCGCCGAGTCTGGCGCACATCAGCAACGCTGGCTCCCCCCACTTCAGCAGCCCCTCCTTCCTCCTTTTCTCCCCCCACTAGGCCTTCTACTTCCTCTCTCTCTCGAGTCTCTCTGCTTGCCAGACATTTCTCTTCCCCCGCGTCCACCATGTCGTACACCGTCCGCAAGATTGCCCAGCCCTATACGCTGGAGCACCGTGTTTACATCGAGAAGGATGGCGTCCCCGTCTCTCCCTTCCACGACATTCCCCTCTACGCAGATGAGGCCAACGGCATCCTGAACATGGTCGTTGAGATCCCTCGCTGGACCAACGCCAAGCAGGAGGTACGCTTATTCGCATCCCTCTCTTGCCATCACACCTCCCGAGTGGTGCCAATGCTGCACATACAATACCCCCGCAGCCGCAACTGACCCTAAGCCGAATGCTGATTGCGACATGATTACAGATCTCCAAGGAGGAGTTCCTCAATCCCATCAAGCAGGACACCAAGAAGGGCAAGCTTCGCTTCGTCCGTAACTGCTTCCCCCACAAGGGTTATCTCTGGAACTACGGTGCCTTCCCCCGCGTAAGTTGAGAATACCCCGCTTCCTGAACCTCCCCTTCGTCCGCCAAAGGCTTCCGCAAAAACATCCACTAGGAGAGAAGGGAACAGTCGATTGACCAGATTGTATAGACCTGGGAGGACCCCAACTCCATCCACCCCGAGACCAAGGCAAAGGGCGACAACGACCCTCTGGATGTCTGCGAGATCGGCGAGCTGGTCGGCTACCCCGGTCAGGTTAAGCAGGTCAAGGTTCTGGGTGTCATGGCCCTGATCGACGAGGAGGAGACCGACTGGAAGATCATCGTCATCGACGTCAAGGACCCCCTGGCTGCCAAGCTGAAGGACATCGAGGATGTCGAGAGCCACCTGCCCGGCCTTATGCGCGCCACCAACGAGTGGTTCCGCATCTACAAGATTCCCGACGGCAAGCCCGAGAACCAGTTCGCTTTCTCCGGCGAGTGCAAGAACAAGAAGTACGCCGAGGAGGTCATCAAGGAGTGCTCCGATGCCTGGGAGAAGCTCATGTCCGGCAAGGCCCCCGCCGGCGACATCAGCGTGTACGTGATTTCCCTTTCATTTCTGCGTCTTTTTCAATAATACCCAGTTTGATCTGGGAGTATCTTGCGAGACATTCACTAACTCGATGCATTCACAGTGCCAACACCCAGCTTGAGGAGAACCGCGCCGATGCCGCCCAGGTGGCTGCCATCCCCCGCGGCGAGAACCTGCCCCCGCTCCCATTGACGGAAGCATTGACAAGTGGTTCTTCATCTCTGGCGCTGCCGCTTAAATGTTGCCCTTCGCTTTTTAAAGAATACCAAATTCAAAATGCTGATTGATCGCCATGGCCGACATGCCGTGTTATAAAACGACGATCGAACTTTCGGAGCTTACTCGATTGTAGTACGGTCGTGCTAGAACCGGGCTGCATTTGCTTTAGGTTGAACAAAATAATTTTTCATATTGGTCACAATGACTACGGTAGCTTAGATTCTGGTTTCTTTTCCGATTGAGACATGAAGCGACTCATTGCACACCGTTCCTTGAATGAACCAAGTGACCCGATAGCTTTAGAGAAAGGCATCAAGCGAAGCGGCACTGGACGCTGTTCTCAGACTCTCGGACACATCGTATACCTGTTTAAGCATGCCTCATTTCTATAATCCACATAGAGCCATTGCTATCGGAATTGGACTTAATCAACGGGTGGAAAGCGAGCTACAATCGCCCTTTTCCAAGGCTGAAGAAATGCAAGTAATATAAAGATGTTGAATATCAGATATGGTATCTACTATACAAGCCTGAGAACACACATCTCCAATCAAACATCACCCATCTGAATCTGATGCAATGCAATTCGGGTTCCCCACGCGCCAAAATGAAACAAGCCAAGAGAATATGATACAAAGATCTAAGTCATATAAGAAAACACATGTCCCATCTTATGCCCCGCTCAACCCTTCAGACTGGCCTCACGCTCCAGCGCACGGCCAACGCGAGAAACCTCCTCAACGACGTCGCCGATCTTGAGCCCCCGCTTGCCGACCTCCAGGATCAGCTCCTTGCCGCCCTTGAAGCCGATGGTCATCACGGGCTGCTGGGTCGAGTTGCGAGGCAGCTGAGTCACCTTGATGTCGATGTGGGTGGGGCTGCTAGTCGGGGTTGTCGTGGGGGTGCGCAGAAGTGAGAGAAAGAGGCGACAAGGTCGCGAGGCTTGCGAGAAGGGGTTGAAGGTCGTGCGGAATGTAGTGATTGTGCTGATGGGGATCGTCATGGTGGATGGATTGAAGAGGATTCCAGACAGGTGTAGGAGGGTTGAGGTAGTTGAAATAGAGTAAAGGTGATTTCTTGAGGAATTGGGTCAGTTTTTGCATTTATTAAGCAACCACTGGGTGCCTGTCGGTGATCGATGCGTACCTGATCGGCTTCGATGGCCGTGCTGCAGGAAGGTTTTTTTGCGGAAGCGGTGGTGGTTGTCTCGATGGATGAGAGCAAATTGCGTGGGCAGAACTCAATCAAAATTATGACAATCTCCGAGTTATATCAATCAGATGCCTGGGATTTTGAATTCCTGGGAGAATATGGTCAACGGGTAGTCCGAACAAACGTTTCCGCTGAGTCGCGGGCTGCGACCCCGGGATGGAAAGTCCGACAATGTTTGCCGCAGATGCAAACATATCAATGGGCCCGCGCCGGAGCTCGTGATGCTGAGCATGCCAACTTGCCAACTTGCGCATGTTCAAAATAAACCTGCAGTCGGATGAAGCCCAAGCTCTCAATTATCTCGTTAACGATATTTGCCATTTGAATTGCAATTATTCAATCAGAACACTTGCCAGTCCTCCCTTGAATGTGACATCTTCTACCTCCCAAATATGTCCACTACAGCCGCTCTTCATGCCCGCCTGAAGGAGCTGTCGACTACGCTGGGGCAGATACATCCTCTTGTTGATCGACTGCGCAATTTCACCGCTTCTCTTGGGCAAGGTGATGAGGCCCGTGTGGAACTGGGTTCTGAGATCCACTCCCGATTGAAAGATGCAGAAGATGAACTGGAGCTCCTGCGCGGGGAAGCCGATGCATTAGCAGCTGGCTCAGATAGTCGAAGGAAGTCTTCTGTGAACGGTGGAGATAAGGAGGCTGAAAAGGAAAGAGTGATTGCCATGACAGGGCGATTGGCAGAGGACCTGAGGAGGTGGGTTAAACCTATTTCCTATTACCGCCAGGCTACCAAGTTCGACTGTGCATGACAGTTCATGCTGGATCCAAATTTGTTCATTTGATTCAAAGCTCACATTAATTGCAGGACTCGAGGGGATTTTCGAAATGCCCAGTTACAAGCCAAACGGAATGCCGAGCTTGCAAAGCGCACAGAGCGGGAACTGTTGCTGTCGAGATCACAGTCCTCTTCTGATCAGCAAAAAACTTCGGAGAAATTTACGCAAGACGACCTGGTACTCAACGCATCGAATGATGTGACCGCCGCATTGCGCAGAACTCACCACCTTATGCAGGCGGAGCTTTCCCGGAGCCAATTTGCCCAAGAAACTCTCGGTGAGTAACCATGAATCTTTCCCATCTTTCCTACAGCTTGTTCTGATATTGTAACTACTAGAGCAATCAACGGCCGCCATATCCTCTTTGTCCGAATCCTATACAAGCCTCGATACTCTTCTCGCCAATTCCCGCAGCCTGGCCAACTCTCTCCTTCGCTCCCAGAAATCCGACACGTGGTATCTTGAGACTGCGTTCTACATTTTGATTGGAACTATTGCATGGCTTCTCTTCCGTCGTATTCTTTATGGTCCTATGTGGTGGCTGGTTTGGCTACCCTTCAAGCTTGTCTTGAGGGTTGTGTTTACTGGATTGAGCGCAGTGGGGGTTTCCAGCACAACGAACCAGCTTTCATCCGGCACTTTTGGTAATGGCATCTCAGCGGCCATCCAGGAGACCGCTACTGCAATTTCCGGAGGAACTGTCCCAACCGGCAATACTGCCTGGGATCATGAATCTTCGACAGAGGCAGAGGAAGATCGAATCATCGATGAAATCGGACGCATGGTTGAGAGTGAAGGAAAGAAAGACATCAATGATCTGTCACCAGAGGAAATGCAGCAACAAGAGGATATCCCTCGGAATCCCAAGAAAAGAATGTTCGAGGCGGAGGAACCAGTTCGGGATGAGTTATAGATTTGGGAGTTGACATGTCACGATAGTCTTACGCCACTTACGAACCAGTCATTGTTCATTGTAATCGCCTTAGATGAAAAGTATAGTCTTGGAACTATAGGAGGCGTCCTCTAATCGATTGGACATTCTTCGTTATCAACTTGCCCGCGCTTCCCCAAGGAGTATAATTGCCTGGTGTGATTGGCTCATCTCCAACCTGTACCGACCGCACGTGTCACGTGTAGACGCGTCTCTTTCACCGCGACGGGCGTCTCTCGTCTTCCACTTCAAGTCTGACCTACAACAGCTAACCGCGGCTTAAGCTTGGGGATTTCTCAACCTTTTGATACTGTGACTCAAGTTGCTATGGCTGCCAATTTCTTCAACAACAAGGCTCGTGCAGCCGCTGCATCCAGCAGCTCGAAACCCAAGGCAAGCGACAACAAGGAAGATAACACCCGGTTGCAGCCCTGGGTTGAGAAATAGTATGTTTTTCACGAGGCTGAACGATTGACCGGACTCAATTCTGACCTGAAGCAGCCGGCCAAAGACCCTTGATGATGTGGCTGCGCAAGACCATACAACAAAAGTGCTCCAACGCACCTTGCAAGCTTCCAACGTATGCACAATCCACTCGCAAATGACTGCATTTCTACACTCATTGCTTACCTACAAGTATATAGCTCCCTCACATGCTCTTCTACGGACCACCGGGAACCGGCAAAACATCCACAATCCTCGCCCTAGCCAAATCCCTTTTCGGCCCGGCGCTCTACCGCTCCCGCATTCTTGAACTCAATGCCTCCGACGAGCGTGGTATCGCCATCGTCCGTGAAAAGGTCAAAAACTTCGCTCGCGCGCAGCTCACCCAGACCACTGGCCTTGATGCCGCCTACCTCGCGCAATACCCTTGCCCGCCATTCAAGATCATCATCCTCGACGAAGCGGACAGCATGACCCAGGACGCCCAATCCGCATTGCGCCGCACAATGGAGCAGTATAGCCGTATCACTCGTTTCTGTCTCGTCTGCAACTACGTCACCCGCATCATTGAGCCGCTCGCCAGTCGATGCAGCAAGTTCCGCTTCAAGAGTCTGGACAACTCCGCCGCGGGCGAGCGGCTGAGCGATATTGCGAGCGCGGAGAACCTTAATCTCGAGGATGGCGTGATTGAGACGCTGATACGATGTGGCGAGGGTGATTTGCGTCGGGCGATCACTTATCTGCAGAGTGCGGCCCGGCTGGCGAGTGCGACAAACCCGGCGAAGAAGGATGCCGATGATGACGCGGAGATGACAGACGCAGCGAGTGCCGCGGCGGCTCCTATAACCGTCAGTACGATTGAAGAGATTGCTGGCGTAGTGCCTGAAAATGTGCTGGATAGCTTGATCCAGGCCATGCAGCCCAAGGGCGGACGTTCGACATATGAGGCCATCTCAAGCGTAGTTACGGACCTTGTTGCGGATGGGTGGAGCGCTACACAGCTGGTTAGCCAGGTTCGTGATTTTCTATTTTTCTGTTTTTCAAGTTGGATGTGTAAGGTACTAACATCCTACGGCAGCTGTACCGCCGGGTTGTCTTCAACGAGGCCATTCCTGATATCCAGAAGAATAAGATCGTCATGGTCTTTTCCGAGATGGATCGGCGATTGGTGGATGGTGCTGATGAGCATCTATCCATTTTGGATCTGTCGTTACGCATTTCTGGTATCATTTGTGGACCTTGAACTTTGCATGAAAAGCCGATGAGTGCCATACAAAAAAAAGGAGCTTTTGATTAAGGCATGTGGTCTGCCGAAGTGACAGGATTTTTGTAAATGGCATCGAATCAGATTCCCCGAGGCGTGCCATTTGATGGACCTGAATGCATATATGGCGTTGAGGGTTTGGATTTAAATGATACATCCAGGCGTTATGTATCTATTTTTGAGCACCGTTTGTGCGAATGAGGATTATGATACCCTAAATCAGGCTACAGGTCGCTGAAATATATGTAAAATGGTAGTTGATGGCACAAGAAAGACATTGACCTATATGTAGGTCAATTTTTGTGTTGTAGTGTTTTTTCACTAGTATACTTCGGAATATCGCGGGCATTCGAGGCGACAATATCCTGTCTCCCCAGAGGTCTAAGGGTTACTATTTCATTGTGAATGATCCTCTCTTTGTTACGAAAGCTCTCTCTTTGTTCTCTCGCGTTCTTCAGCATTAAGCTTAACCAAACGACTAGCATAGATGGGAACTACGACAAGTATAAATACTATGGCCTGTTACGCCCCCTGCCCCTCCCCTTCCCCCAACTCTCCCCGCGAATTCGAAATCCCGAAAATCAAGCTTAACCCAAATTCAATCACAGATTCGCGTAGAAAAATCTGGTATCTGATCCACCTGGACCTGCAACCCGCCCCCGCTTTCGGGATCACTTCCTCTTTTAACCCCCGGTCCAAGGAAATGGTGCCTTCAACCTTCTACGGCCTCCTCGAGAAGCGAGGTTACTTCTACCAGCAATGTATTGAAGGTTCCACGAGACTGGAAAAGTCCAAAAAATATCTTGTTCCGCTCTCGACACTCACACTTGACCAATTGACCTTCTGGAAGCCCGATTTTCTCCCCGAGGCTGTGGACGCTCCCGTTCGAGAGAAGGCACGAGATCTAGGGCTTTGGCCGGAAGACGTGCGCGAGCCCAACGGCAACTATGAGAAGTTCCGTATCGCGCCTGTAGACCCTGTAACAAATCCGCTACTGCTTGAACGGTACGGAGGCATGATAGCCCCTGGAGTGGTGTTTGTAGATGAGATGTATCGAACCACGTATCATCGGCCATCCGAGGTCCTCAAGGTTTTCTACGAGAGAAGGTATCCTCTTGATACCCTGAAAGCTATCTTTGGACTGAGAATTACTAACATCAACACGCTCAATGTGCTGAAGGAGATATACCAGCTAAGGAATGCGCTTTCGTACCCCGACTTCCTGCCCCGGACTTGGGAATGGGGCTCCAAAGAATACAATGCTCTCCTGGGATCCGAGCTTGGGAACGCCGCTGCCTGCTTCGTTCTCTGTGCTTACGGCCAAAGCAGAGCTCGCATTGCCCGCATTACGACTTGGGCCCTTGACCCGTTGCCCGCTATCGAGTTTGACCTGGAGCCCATCGTCCCAGGATCCGAGAGGCTGGTCGAATACGATGGATGCGTAGTATGCGCTCCAGAACGATGGCCTAGGATGCCAGACCCAATTGCAGGGTTGCCTGGTCCAATGTTCTCTTCCATCATGCGAGAATCTGAGTATTACCGTCCCTTGACAGGGCCCCCAGCACCTCCAGCCGATCCCCGAATCCTTTTCAATCCAATCGTCTCTGAACCTCGCCTCAGCCCCGAGCCTCTGACAGATCCTAGCCTCAAACTTCTGTATCCCAGGCCACCATCTATTATCGAACCTCGTCTCCTCCAAACTGAGGAACCTTAGTTTTCTAGATCCGGTGCCAGATGAGCATCTGCTGTCTGAGTTTCTAATGCTAGAGGAGGATCTTATTCTAGAGTAGGCCGAGGCATAAATCAACCTGCAGATTGAAACCCCGTTGTTCTCTTTCGAGTCAAAGTCCACCTCCGAGTTACTGTTGTTTCTCGAGTTACAGGTTCCCGAAGCACAGGCTCCGCCCGATCCATATTGAGATCTTATTAGTCTCTTCAATTTTTCAATCTAATGTGAGTCATTGAAATAGAAAGTACCCAGGTTTTGATTCAACTGATTCAACAAGCCACTGCCTCGCTCCCATAAGTAGTCACTTCCGGAAGGGACGGCGGTATTAACCAAGTCATTGAAACCACTTCTTTCCGTTTACTATGTGAAAGTCATCCTAGAATGATTTGCGAAATTCCCACGCTCCTTGTCGTGTCTTCATACCGGCAAGGAGATTTCGAACGGCTTGGAAGGCTGAATGCTGGTAATATTCTGGAAACAATATTATTGGAAAAATGTTTACGAAAGTTCAGAAATGAAAAAAAGGCTCTTTATTTAGAGATAGGGTAAAACAAAGAGAAAACCCACTTCAAAATTTACTGTGTACTACATGAAATACCAAAGCAGTAACTGTTGTTAATGTGTTTGTGCACGATGCCAGCCATACAACAGTCTGCTCACAGCGAGGCTCTATATCTTTGCACGCTCGCTAGACTAATTCATTATTTTAACAGCGATACATCTGCTTTCTCATTGCATGAGCTCCCTTGTGATGACAAAATGCAGAATAGGCTAACTAACCAGAGCATGCTACTGGATGATTTTCGAGTTGGATATCTGCCGCTTATATTAATGCCATAGCTAAGCTTACTGTGACCCACTCCTCGCTAAATATATAACAGTTTTTTCAGTCCACGTATTGTTCTCTGATGCATGACTAGAAAAAAAAAATCCTGCGCTCAAAATAAATCCACAGGGAAACCCCTATAAATCGCCCTATTTCAAATTCTTTGCCAACTGGTTGTTTCGTTGGGTGATCAGAAACTGCAGCCACCTAAGCACTGGTTATCACATCACATATTTCATGAAGGTATACGAAATAAAATATATTCGCAATCTACGAAATCATTTCAAATAATGTTACGTATATCTTTCTGGATTTAACATTAGGTAAAAAAATTCCTTATTTTCATTTCCCTTTTCTTTCAAGAAAGGGCTGCTAAATTGTTAATGAAGCTAAATTCAGAGTATCCAAACAGAGAGGCAATTTGGGAAACTGGGGGAGTAGCTAGTTAGTAAGGAGGCGTGGAAAGTTCAATCAACTTTTGATGGATTAAACAGACAGAAGCTGGTAATAATGCCGGCAGCTCAAGACTGGCGAAAGAGAGCAACGAAAGAGGGCAGGGTGTCTAGTTCAGAGCAAAATCATGATCAGCAGCTGCATCGTAGAAATGATAAGAAAGGGCAAATTCATCAGACGCTGCATCCAGTTTATGAACAGATCCAATCTCCAAATGACGGCAGCAATCCGCTCGGCCACATGTCGAATGCCAACGGTCCCACGCTCAATGGGCCAAAGGGCTAAGCGTAGAATAGGTAGGGCGAGACGAACTGGTCTACTAGGGATGTCTTCAATATCAAAACGGAGATACAACGAGCCCTGATCAGTAACCCAAGAAATGATGCGAGTGATGGAACGGGTGCCTCGGGGGTAAGCACCCAACACAAGATAGCCTACTAATCGCCCGATTCGAGTCCCGAGAATCTCCTCATACTCCTGCGTGCCGTAGACCCAGTATTGTGGGTGCTCCGAGGGGGGGCCAGTCGTTGTTCAAGACCCACTGGACATGATGCAATGTCTGTGGGTTGATCACGGTGTCAAAGATTACGAAGCGAAGGGTGTTTCGGGGATAATATCGCTCATAGAGTGTTAAGGCGACCTCGGAAATCGGGGGATCGTATGAAGGAGCCACATGAGAACCAGCCTGACGCAACGCTCGTTCGATGCTCTGCATCACGATGATCCCAGGGGCTGTGACGCCGAGCCACGATGCAAACTCCAGGTTCACCTGGAATATATGCTGTTCTCGCGGATACAGGCTCGCAGGAACGAAGTGAAGGCCGAAAATTTCATTGACCGGGGGAGCATAATACCGTTCGTCAACAAACCTCGCGGTGCTCTCGATCGTTTGGAAGGTCAAGGAGGCGCGCGGAACGAGACAACCCGTTGCTTGAGCGTCATGGATCAACGATGCAACGCGCGCGCCCAAAACGCGAAGCTCCTGTCGAGATCGCACCGGGTCACGAAACTGCTGGCCTACGGCGATAAAGCTTCTTGTAGCATCGGATGAACCACCCACCTCATCACTGTTGGGCGCCGAAGACGAAAATGCGTGGTCTAGCGTTAGCTGTCCAAGTCGCTCTGTCAAAGGCGCCGCGCTGGCAGGGGGCGCACGTACCGGTTGTGGAGCATGTTCTACATGTTCAGACCGTGGAATATCTTCAAAAGTCTCAGCGGGCTCCGCAATGGCCTCAGCAGACCGTTGTTCTACAACCCAGACGGAATCGCCAGGTAGCTCCACAAGAGATTGGGCATGCAGCTCAACGGCAGTCCCGGTCTCCAAATCTTCAGACTGGGGAGTCTCCTCACCGGCTCCAGAGAGCTCAGCGGTCTCAATTGGACGATTTTCAGCATTTAAGAGCTGGGGATTCTCCTCGCCGGCCCTAAAGCGCTCCTCGTCGGCGTCAACAGCCTCAATGGAATGTTGTTCTGCAGCATGGGAGGGATCGCCAACGGCTTCAGCGGTCAGTTGTTTTACGAGCTCAATAACCGCAGGAGCTAACGCGACATACTGAGCCTCCCCGAGGATATTGGCGGAGAAGCTTGGATTAGGTCCAGAAATGGATGGAGCAAGGCTGCTGTGCCCGAAATCATCGTCACGACCATGTTCTAGAGACTCAGAAGATATCCGAGTCGCTACTTGGGAATTGAACATCATGTTAGTCTGCGCATCAGCCAGGGCGTTCTCCCAGGTCCCTAGAAGGGAAGTCTCAGATTCCGAGTCACTTACAGGGAGAAGATTGCTAGGGACAAGAGGTATAGAGGGGTCGTCCTCTCCAGAAGGGGAGCCTACAGAAAGATGAGAAAAGGACATTATGGAACTACCAGTCCCTGTCAAAGGGCCTGGAGATGGGTCAAACAAAAAGGATTGTAGGTTGAACAAAGACAGAAAGGTCAAAAGATACTCGGATACGCCGGTGTTACAGAAAAAGAGAGCAATTGTGAGGCGGATGAGGAGGGTTTATATATCTTTGGGGTCGAGCCAGTCCATCCATGGATGTAGACCAGAGAACAATAGAGACAAAGAAATTGTTCACAAAGAAATTGGTCGCCAACAAAGGAAGCATGTTCGACGCAAAGACAAAGTGGAAAACGGAGGGGGCTTGTTGACAGAAGAAGGTAGAGAACATCATTCAAGGAGAAGGCAGGCCAATCGGGAGGACGTAGAAGAATCAATCATACAGTTACGAACATTCTCCACTGATATAGAATGAGATGAGAATTTTAATGTTAGAAAACAGTTGATATAAACCTTCCAGCGTAAGAGACTCTAGATGCATAGATCAACTTTCTTTGACTGGAACAGACATGGAATATTCTTGTTCTGGTCTGCGTGAGACAACAAGCTGCAAGAAAGAGAAGTTGATTGCATACATATCTAAAATATCAACGTGAAAGGTATATTGGTTTATTGAAAAGCATTGGAGATGTCCGCTGCTGGTCAAGTATAATGTACAACGGGACTGCCAAGTCAACCTCCATCGCAGGAGAAAATGGGAGGAATCGTGATATGATATTATATTATAATGACTACCCACCGCTAGAAGAATGCTCCACCGGGGAATTTCTGTTTCAAGAAGAGTGTTTATAAATTACATGTATTGGTTCAAGGAACTCCCCTCTCAGAAATTGCTGAAGCCTCCACAAAGACAACATAGCTTCAACCCCTTGAGAGTCATCTGGTCTGAAAAGGAGCGCTGCATTCTGGAATTGCGGCGTTGCAGCCTCACGAAGCCTCGCCAAGTCAGACATGCCTAGGAGCACAGACAGATCAAACACGGGAATTCTGCTCCGTGTCGATGTATTAAAAACTGCCCTTGACCCCGAGATTGTATTATTATCAGGTCTGATAGCCAAAGTGCCAGACTCAGGTGCACCCAGCAGCAGAATTGCACCCGCTGCCATCCGTTTGACGGGTTCCAGCCGCCCCAGCGCCTCCTCTAGTGCAATATCTGAAGAGTCCTCCACATCAAGCATACGCCAAACACCATTTGGAGCATCCAAACGCCTGTGCATTTTACTGACTTTTTCGAGCTGTCGAACGACGTCGCCGCGCATGCATTGTAGCATAAACTGTGGCATATCGCTTCTCCACACCAACTGCCGCTCCACGCGTGACGTGACAGGACCCAGCGGGTGCTTCCAGCGAAATGGGAGGATTTTCGTAATGGCCGGTCGCCTGGTCTTCTTGCTTTTTGTAAGCGGTCCCGTGAGGGCCCTCAGCAGTGGAAGATAAGCTACTATTCGGAATAATAGCGTCCGTTGGGGTTTCTTGCTGGGACTTGATCTTGCCATGGATGAGACCTCGCTTTCGGGGGTATCTCCAGCTTCATCCGCTGCATCCGCTGCATTCGAAGCCTGAAACTGAGCCTGACCCGTGATAGTCGATGTCGGAACAGAATTGTGCGCGGAGTGCGGCGATTGGAGCGAGTCCTTCAGCAAGCCTACGGGTAGGATGTAGTTGGTCTCTGTGTTGGGCTTCCGTACAAGGCCCCATTCTCCGAGAAGGTCGCGTGGGAGGCGTGCGGCCGTGATCGAGCATAGGCGCACCGGGGATGCCAATGCGACAGCCCATGGGTTCTTGGATAAGTCGGAGATGTCTTCTGGCGCTGGTCGCTTTTTTCGTTGCTTGGAGACAGATCGAGGATGAGTGATCAGGGGAGACTGAGGAAGTTGTTTTGAGGGAGGCAGAGAGGATGTGTCTGTATCTTCTCCATTGGGGATGTTGTGTATTCTTGTGTGACTTTCATCACAAGATTGGCGGTGTTGCGCACGCGAGCTCGAAATGCCCCGGCGAGGGGACAGTAGAGAGGAGGAGGGGGACGAAGCTGTGAGCAGTTGGCGGAACACCTGGAGACGCCATGTTGCATAGGAAGCTTGTTGCCTGGCACACTCCATGCTGTTACCGGCGTGGAAGACGGAAGATCGAAGGTGTCGTGGATTTTCGCGGCCGAAGCTCCGTATCTTAGCGCCGATCGAGTTATCAATCGGCCACTCCGCTCTGCCTCCTTGGCCTCCTTTCATCACTCCTCTTCGGTATCTGTTGGAAGTGCTGGTCACCCCGGTCATTGTTGAAAATGCGATCAAGTTTATCCCTCCAGAGACTCGGCCGGTCGGTTCCTCGCTCTGTCATTGCGTTATCACGGTTCGCTGCTGTTTCGCGGCCGTTCTCGAGCTTCGGAGCCTCGCTCGACCGCACACCCCCGCGGGGATGGACACCAACGCCCTTCGTAACGGAGACAGTGGTATGTCTACTCCGGTGACACTTGATAGACTGTCATACCTCAGAAATGCTGATATTTTCCTTAGGGAGGTGGCTGGCACACCTGTACGTTGCGCAATGCTGAATGCTCCGACTAGACAATCCCTCCCTTCGCTAACCTGCTTTCTTTCTCGGCGCGGTCCAGACGATATCTTCTCCCGGCTTCTTAAGGTACGACAAAATACTCAATACCACTCTCTTGCAAGCACCCTCTCACCCGATCTCTCCACAGGAACGTATCATCTGCCTCAATGGCGAGGTCGACGAGACCATGTCTGCCTCCATCGTCGCCCAGCTCCTCTTCCTCGAAGCAGACAATCCCAAGAAACCAATCCACCTATACATCAACTCACCAGGTGGCTCTGTCACAGCAGGTACGCCTAAATGGCCTCTAGCACGTCCTGTGCGGCCCCGCTTAGCTGAGCTAACTACTCGCAGGTCTCGCAATCTACGACACAATGACCTACATTGCCTCCCCTGTTAGCACCATCTGTGTCGGCCAAGCCGCATCCATGGGCTCACTGCTGCTCTGTGGTGGTGAAGCTGGCAAGCGCTACTGCCTGCCGCACAGCTCGATCATGATCCATCAACCATCGGGAGGATATTTCGGGCAGGCGACCGACATTGCGATTCACGCGAAGGAGATCCTGCGTGTGCGCAAGCAGCTGAACCAGATCTACCAGCGCCACTTGACGGGCTCGAAGCAGCTGTCTCTGGACGAGATCGAGCGGCTGATGGAGCGGGATTACTTCATGGGCGCGAAGGAGGCGCTGGAGATGGGCATCGTTGACGAGATTCTGGACCGGAGGGTTCAGGCTAAGGCACAGGGTGGGGAGGGTGAGGGGAAACCGCCCGCTGTTTAGAGTCACTTATCCCTACTCATTCGTAAGTGTTTTTCGACGGCGTTGGAATTGAGTTGGCCGGGTATCATGACTAGAGTGGCCGCGAAGACTATCTGGGTTTCCATATGCATGGGTTAGGCTGAGAGTGGCAGCAAGATACCTGCCAACACCCAGGCCGAGCATCTCACCTCTTGTATGTAATATTATTATGACTCCGCTTATGTTCCGTAGAAATTTCGTCTTGAGTTTTATGGCAGTTGCTTAGCAGAAACAGACTGCATAGTCCGAGACTGAAGATCGGCATCCAGCACCGAATAATTGCAGCTGTGGCAGGCACATAAATTGTGTGATATTTAAAATACATATATGCCTGGAACAAAAACGCTCCATTATGGCGTCAACGGTCTATGCGTACAATGCGCCCGTCAGTCCCAACTTGTAGCCCGAATCGCTGCCGCAAGAAAGTCGCGGTTTCTGGAGACGGTACATAGCCCGTCGGACGTAATGGTGTCGTCGTATATTGCCACTGATCGCGGATCGTGCTCAAGAATCCCATCTCCAAGATCACAGCCTGGCCGGACGAAAATGCATCCAACGGGTGGCCGCCCCGGGGACATCTTGCAGAAATACACTCGCTAGGGTCCGCTAAAAGTGAGGAACGTTCATCATGTAAATCATTATCAATGGCAGGAAGGGGAGAGGAAGAGGAGCTGGTATTATTATCCGCTCCAGGGCTGTTCAATTCGTCCGCATTCTCGGTATTACGCACCACCCCGCGTTCCTCCGCATCGTGGTCTTGCCCATCCGATTGGGTAGTGTCTGTGTTGGTACTTGAACTCGTTGTTGCAGTTGTAGTCGGAGTCGTATTACTTGGCCCAACTGTCTTGACGCGTTCCACAATTAAAGCCAGCATGACAAAGTCGACTAGAAGGATAAGGATATCAAATGATAGTAGGCGGAGCACTGGGACAGGTGTCTGGCCAATGAAATCGATGAAAAAACCGCCATGCAAGTATCCCCGCGTGGCCTCGCCAGCTTCGGGGCGGATGAAGAAGGCATGGAAGATCATGCAAAAGACGTTGCTTGCAATGATAGCGCCGATAAAGGGCTGGTTGCGTGTGGGATCGAACGGCGATGCTTTGGGGGTGAAGAAGATGAGTTCCACAATAGCACGGACGGCAAAAAGAATGATGGAGCAGCTAAATTAAAATGAAAGTAGACAGTCAGTTCTTTCTGTCGTTGGGAGGAGGCAAGCTGCGGAGAGCTAGAAACTGGTGGTGACGCAGCGAGCCATTCTCAGGTAATTAGGCCTAACTCACTCCATATAATACAGCGCTGATAGTTCACAATATATCAAAATGTCCAGATCACGAAGCAGTCGGTCAATGAAAGCGATCTTTGCGGCGGACTGGAGTTTCCTCACGCGGCCATTGTCTGGCCCGCTGGTGCTGGATGGGGGAGTCGCCGTGGGAGACTCCGGCTCCGCATCGTCGAGGGAGATGCCAGACACGTCAGCGATGTACTCGGCATCTCGAAAAGCATCGACGTCGGTCATAGAGGGTCATGGGGGCATGGACGCAGTTCAAGAATCGGGTCCAGGGCAAGAGGTCGGGGTAGACGGCGCTATGATAAGGAGCTGTGGAGTGAGGGAGGCGCGGAGTTATCTCGGGCCGGCACGTGCCGATAACAGGCAACACAAGACTAACTATAACAACTAACCCAACACAAGAGTATTTCCCCTAGTCCATACATGATACACAAAACATGTTCGAAGCCTTCTACTTTTAAATTGGATTGCAAATCTGAATTTCAATTTCAATTGCTGATGCTATTTCGTTTTACCCGATGTTGATTGGTACAGTTGATGTGGGCTTAGTCGACGAAGATAGTCTTCGACAGCTCCGAGTAGTGCTGGAAGAATCCTGTGAAAAGACGGATGGCGTATCCTACATCATAGGTACCGCCAGTCTCACGGATGCTGTGCATGCTCAGCTGCGGGTTACCCAGGTCCAGAGTGCGAGCGCCCAGTGCAGCGGAGAGCATCGGGCCGATGGTGCTACCGCAGCTGGAGTCGTTGCGGACAACGAACAACTGCAGGGGAATAGGCTCACAGCTCTCAGAAGCAGCCTTACGGGCAACCTCCTGAAGCAGGACAATACCAGGAGAGTTAGTGGCATAGCGGGCATTGGCGTTGATCTTGATCACGGGGCCCTTGTTAATCTCAGGTTTGTGGTCCTGCTCGTATTTGGCAGAGTAGTTGGGATTAATGGCGTGGGCCATATCGGCGGACACCAGGAAGGAGGTAGAGAGGGTCTGCTCGTAGGCGGTGGCGAGGTCCGTCTCGGTCGATGCCGATGATGGGAGGACTGACAGACGACGGATGATAGCAGGGAGGGCGTTAGAGTCTGCACCTTGAGCAGTGCGACTGCCAATTTCCTCGTGGTCGAACAGGGCAATAAGGCGAATGGAAGATTCATTGTCAAGCGCGGACTCCTCAGCGACAGAGTCAATCAGACTCACAGTGGCGCAGTAGGAGCTGTTCAAGTTGTCCAGACGGGGAGAGAAGATGAACTCCTCAAGCATACCACCCAAGCAGGACTTGTGTGTATCAAATAGAATCAGTTCGAAATCCAAGATGTCTTCTGGATTGCACTCGGCCTCGGCGGCGACGAGTTCCACGAAGTGGGAGTGGTGACGCTCCGTCACGGCCTTTAGGGGCGAAAAGTCATCAACATTGACAGTGTCCGACTTGGATGGGCTTGAAGAGTTGGTACGGTTGAGCTCGGCAGCCACCAGACCAGCGATAGGGAATAATTGGGTTTCCTTGTTAAAAGCAAAGGTGTCCTGGCGGTCCAAGTGGATAGCCAGCGTGGGGATGCGAAGAACTAAACAGGCATTAGACGTAATTTTTTTTTTCATGATACAATGGGCGAATTGCACATACTGGGACGATCGACCTTGACCAACTTCTGCACAATGGATCCATCCTTTGCACGGGTCATCACTCGACCAGCAACACCGAGATCACGGTCGAACCCTGTTGGGGGATTGGTTAATAGGGGTACAATGATGGCAAGCTCGAGAATTTGTTGATCTGAAAACATACAGCTGTGCCAAATTCCGCCGCCATAAGTCTCGACACCGACTTGAATATAACCCTCACCACTCTTCTTGCTCACGGGCTTCACACGTAGCACCGGTGAGTCGGTGTGAGCACCGATCATGGCGATGGAGTTACCCGGCTAGAACGAAGCGTAAGCACTGCTGGTCGCTGCTACAGGTGGAACTAGACACATACCTGCCATTGCTTACCAATGGCAAAGGCCACGAGGGTGGTGGTATTTCTGGTCAGATAGTACTTGCCACCGGGCTGGCAGGTGTTGGCCCAGGAATCTTTCTCCTGTGATGGACGCGTCGGATTAGATCTCACGACGGTAAAAGAATTGAAAGTTCAAAAATGTGGAGCCTGCGATGGGGTAAGAGTACCTTGATTTCCTGAAAGCCGGCCTTGGCTAGAAGATCCTTGGCAGACTGGACGGCATGGAAGGCTAGATCCCGGTCAGCAGCAAACCCAGACAGGATTCGGGGAAAAAGACCTACGAGTGGGGGAGGCGTTGACGAAGGACAGGAAATCCAGAGCAGGCTGCTTGGAGGCCATGGTAGCAGATGTGGAAGAGTAAGCTCGGAAACAGAATGTCCGGTTCCAAGAGAAAGTGAATGTTCTGGAGGGGATCCGAGGCATAGAGCGATCAAGAGTTACGGATCTGTCTTGAAGTGGATTGCGGGAGGTTCCACGTTGGCAGGGTTTTCCCCGGCGGGTTCAGGCTTGGCGGTGACTGACGTTGGGACGGACGTGAAGACGGTTTGTGATGGACGTGTGGGCCATTGAACCGAACCGAACCATCTTCACGGATCCAACAAACTCGAGATCCTCTGCGCCATGGCTGCTTCTGCCATGATTGCCCTTTCCCCTCCGGGAATTGACCAGTCTGCTCCTGGCCCATATTTCTCCGGGTGCGTGCATTGATTGGTAGAGATGGATTGTTGCTATGGTCCAAGCTCTGCGCGTCCGAGGCGCGTGGCAGCGCGCTTTCGTCGCGTCGAATCCCTTGATCTCCACCAGTCCACTGTGATGGCTGCAGGTCTATACCGCAGTCAGCAGTCAAGAATCACCCAGTCGCACGCGTCCGACCCCCAAAGTAAACAATTCTGAGACTGTACTTGCAGTGAGAGGAGGGGTAGTGTCACGATTCATAACACCCCGTCGATCAGCATTGTCGTCCGAACCACTGTGAGAATGGAGATCCCGACCGGTCCGAAATGAGCCACTAGGCTCATGATAGAGGAGGAACGGTGGAGCCTGCACTACTTTATTTAATTGATGTGCTCCGTAGAAGATCGATGAAGGCCGATGAAGGCCGATGAAGAAGTGAAGGGACAAACAGGCCGCAGTACCGGATGCGGTTTAGCGTACCCGACGCGTGACCGGGACGATGAGAGGGATGCCAGCGACCCTCTCTCCCTTTGTAAAGACATTCATTCCTATTCTTCCACCCTGGGCTTTGGTTCTGATCCTCTTTGTTCTGCTGAAACACAGTTCCTCAGCTTGGGCTTTTATTCCATACTGGGGGAACTGGTGTCGAAGCGCCCGCCCGATCGTGGTGGCTTGGAACTCTCACATCACGAACCCGCCCTGGCAACCGCCGTCTCCTCAAATACCGCCATCACTCCCCTTTCGCCATTCCACGCCGATCCTTGATCACTTGAACCGGAAATCTGACCTAGGTCGCATGAAATCGATATTTTTATCTTGAGATCGCATCGTTTGCTGGGGCCTGTGATCCGGCAACCACCAGCATGGGGGATCATGCTCAGGATGCAGAGAAAGGCGTGAGCAGTGGGAGAGTCACTCGAGGGAACCTTCGCGCCCAGGCAGCCAATTTCATTTCGCCTCCTGGATCCAAGACTCCACCAAGTATGCCAGCAAAGAAAACCATCGTCTATCCGGATAACCTGGGGAACCGCCCCCGAACCGCCCAAGAGGGATCGCAGCCTGTCGACGCGAAGCAACTGGAAAAGGCACTGAAGGATTATGATGAAGCTGGACGTCGACGTGAGAGAACCCCAGGGACCAGCCCGTGCCGAAAGCGACAACGGGTCTATGGCGATCGGTAAGTGAAAGCACGTTCAGAAAAGGACCGGAGCTGTAAACCACACAGCGGTAGTAAGATGGATCGGAACTGACAATTTGCAAAACAGATTTATCCCAAACCGTGATGGGCAGGATCTCCAGGCGACCTTTAGTCTACTCTACGAAGATGGATGCCCATCCACGCCGTCCAAGTCCAAGAGACGCGCTCCTCACTCGGAACTGCATTTCCAAAAGAGTCCGCCTGCCCCTTCCCCTTTCTAATCGTCTTTGTTCTGACTCGAAGATATAGCGGAGGAAGCAAATCGCACCTTCTCTCGGGTGCTGCGCAGTGAGATGTTCGGCAACACGGTACCTCAACCGGATCTCCCGGCAGGCTCCCCTGACCCTCTCTTGGGTTTCAGCAATGGCATTAATGACAAAACACGATCACATACTCCTCCATCACATGTGGTGGCTACCCTTCCTCCTGCAAGCATTACTCCATCCACCCCACATAAGAATCTCTTCAACTATGGACCAACTCGGCCTGGATCTAACCACCCAACACCCTCGAAAACACCACGAAGCGCCCATGCGCCAAACCTCAATGTCCGATCAGAACTCTACAGTCTTTCGCCCATTCGATATGATAGCCAGCGCATCCTAGAAACTCCGCGCAAACAACCACGTTATGTCAACAAGGTGCCTTACAAAGTTCTGGATGCCCCTGACCTACAGGATGACTTCTACCTGAACTTGGTAGACTGGGGCAGTAGCAACGTCGTCGGTGTTGGACTGGCCAATTCCGTTTACATGTGGAACTCGCAATCCGGCCGTGTGACGAAGCTCTGCGAGCTTAAGGATGACACCGTTACCAGTGTGAGCTGGATCCAGAGAGGCACTCACCTGTCCATTGGTACTGGTAAAGGCCTCGTACAGATCTGGGATGCTGAGCACTGCCGGCGATTGCGAACAATGATTGGCCACACAAATCGTGTCGGAGCCTTGGCCTGGAATGACCATATCCTTACATCCGGCTCCCGGGACCGTCTCATTTACCACCGCGATGTCAGATCTCCAGATCAGTACGTTCGGCGACTGTCTGGCCATAAGCAAGAGGTCTGCGGCCTGAAGTGGAACACTGAAGATGGTCAGTTGGCTTCTGGTGGCAATGACAATAAGTTGATGGTGTGGGACAAGTTGAACGAGACTCCATTGTACCGCTTTTCCGATCACTCTGCTGCTGTCAAAGCTATCGCCTGGTCACCCCACCAGCATCATCTTCTTGCTTCAGGTGGCGGTACGGCTGACCGTACCATCAAGTTTTGGAACACTTCTACAGGCTCTATGATTAAAGAAGTGGACACCGGTAGCCAAGTCTGCAATCTCTCCTGGTCCAAGAACTCAGACGAAATCATTAGCACTCACGGTTACAGCCAAAACCAGATTGTTATTTGGAAATATCCTCGTATGGAGCAAATTGTCTCATTGACCGGTCACACATTCCGGGTCCTCTACCTTGCCATGAGTCCTGATGGCCAGACTGTCGTAACCGGCGCAGGTGATGAGACTCTGCGATTCTGGAAGATCTTTGACAAGCGAGCTTCGCGAGACTCACGGCGGGAAGGTAGCAAACTAGCTGAGTGGGGTACCATTCGCTAGACGTTGCATGAGTCGGCCGTTTCTATTTCGCAGTTTTGTCTCACATACCTGCATTCGACGGAGTTTTCGGTTTGGGTGTTGATACCAGGGTTCGGGCTACGTACCTTTGCATGGAATCATGGAACATGGGAGTACCTTTTATTCAACATCTTCTGCATAGCCATTGGCCATTGTCACAACATCACGTCACATCTATCGCATTTTCTCACCTTCTCGGAGCGCCTTCGTGATTCGATCTGAACTTAGGGGACTCGTCTTTGTTTCATTCAGATGGATATTCTACACAACATTTGTCTTCCGGTACACAATTTGCCCCGCTTGATTGATCTTTTTTTCTCTTTCTTTTTGCCCCACTTCGGCGGAGTGATGCGCGTTGTTGATTTCCATCAGGCGCACCTTATTTCGCTTTCATCCTTTCTCCAGCAGTGGCGCTCATGGTGTTATGACCAAATGGGTCAATGGGTACATCGGGCACTTAACAGTATTATGGAGTTGCGTCAGTGCGCAGGTGGTTATCTTGTTTTCTTTTTCTTTCTATCCTTGTATCTTTCTTCCCTCCGCTGGGAACTTGGTAGGGATGAGCTGGCTTTTTCCCCCTACTTTGATGACGATGAAACGACCTCTTTTGCCTGTGATTTCAATTCTGATTCTCCTTCGACACGGTGATCCTGGCTTTTCTGTTCTTCAATTCTATATCTACGGGCATATCACGCTACGGGCGTAAAGAGGTTCCTCATGCTGAAAATGACAATGAATTTAAGTAAATCGAATTGAAGTGTTACACATTAGTTTTATTCCTTAGGCTTTTCAGGGTGTTAGCTTAAAAAGTTCTTCTATTTATTGAGAGCGACAGTCTCTTCAAGCAGTCCGAATATATGGCAAAAGCACAGAGCCCGACGGGGCAATCGCATAGCAGGTCATGATCTCACGAAAACTAATTTACATCTCTTATCTTTTCAGTAATTTAGAGCAGGGCAAACACAATACAAGTGGAGTTTATACTTTGAATGAATGGCTGGGCTAAGATAAGTAAATCACATCTATTCAGCCAAGAATGACTGTAACTAAGATGCGTAGTGGCATACCCATTAATAAACTCATTTAGGCAGAACTTGATTGAAATGCAGTCATTATGGTGATCTATTGGCCCATTCTTTGAAATTCTACCATCACAGCATCTAGCACCCCAACCCCATGTGGGGCTTAGATTATGAAGGGCCCGCGCTTTCAGCGCAATTCCCCGCAGTCGCAATTCTCCGCAGTCAAGATCTCATTGAAATTGGAATCGGGTAAATGACGGAGAAAATTGCGGAAAATTGTAAACAATGGCACTGCATTTGGCGGTGCGATTTGCATTTTTACTTCCAAAAACATATTTACCCGCAATTTCTTTTGGCATCGACCCCTAAAGTCATAATAGAGTTGCCAGACTTCCTCTAGCGAACTCTGAGCGCGGGATGAAAAGCCCATGACACGAGTTGGAAGACAATATTTATCAATAGACTGTATCCTTGCCCTGGCGACTGAGCAGCTGACATTATAAAGTTCGATTTAATTTTCTCCTGTTTCAGCCAAATCTCTTGAATGATGCAGAGTGCCATGAAGTCTCTGCCTAGCACGGCGATTTTAGTTGCTGCTCTCATTTGTCTGCCTTTAGCCAGAGGATGCAACAAGGACGAAGATTGTGATCTCAATGGCATGTGCACAAATAATGTCCGCATCTGTGACGCCGGATGGACTGGAACCGATTGTGGCCAATTAGATCTACGTCCTGGACCAAGGGCGAATGGGTACAATCGCACCGAGGAAGGGATCTCATCCTGGTGTAACGGGATAATCCATGACCCGATCAGCTCTGAAATCTTCCATCTCTTTATATCAGAGTTTACTCATGGATGTGGACTCGATTACTGGTCACCTTACAGCCGCATTATCAGGGCTGAGTCTTCAGAAGGCCCCCTTGGGCCATACACTTTCAAACAGGAGATCGTTCCATCATTCGCCCATAACCCAACTGTTTTTTGGAGTGAAGATGATCAAAAATATCTCCTTTATAATATTGGTTGTCAACAGCAAGTTCCTTCCATTTGCAAGAACATAAATTTCACCTGTGGGCCTGGTAATACTTTGAATGGTGAGAGTGGAATTAGTGTTTGGTCATCGTCAAATCTCCATGACTGGACTTCACATGGCCAAGTTTTCCGAGGCACTGATGACAGTGCTTGGGATGCCGATGTGACTAATCCCGGTCCACTAAATCTTCGGTCATCTGAGAAGACTCCTTCGACTATATTATCCTATCGTGGCTGTGGCTTCAACTGCAGCGGCACAGAACTCATCAGCATTGCAACTGCTCCCGACTTCGCCGGGCCATATATACAAGTCAATCGCAGAACTCCTATTTTCACAGAAGCAAGTGAAGACCCATTTTTCTGGGTTGACAAACGCGGAAATTATCATCTATTGGTTCATTCTTTACTGCCAGACGCGGGATTTGGCGATGGACCCAATGTGGGACGCCACGCCTATGCCCGATCCTGGGATGGCCCTTGGACTTTTAACAAAAACACTGTGGCTTTCAATACTACTGCATATTTTAATGATGGCTCACATGTTGATTACTACCGACGAGAGCGTCCCAATATCTTCTTTAGCGATGATGGTGAGATGATACCATTGTCCCTTTCGACGGGTGTGCAGGAGATGAATTCTTCTGCAAGTTACTCGTTGATACAGCCAATCGGACGTACAAAGTTCAATGAAGAGGATTAAAAGAATCTGAGTGATGAATATTATATCTTTAGAATGCGTTCTCTTTGAAGTTTCATGATTAATTCGATGTGATGCATACAGACTCTATTCCTAAAATCGGATCACATCTCTCGCGAGGCTTTGTTGGTTAGCTCCAATTATGATGGGTACCTCGTCCTTTAGTCAAAATTGTTATTCTCTATCTTTTAAAAGCAAGAAATATTCATAACCGACGAGTCTTCCCAGTCTCCATTGATATTTGGGCCTTGAGAACCTCAGCCACATGATGGTTGTGCCGTGAATAGGCCGCATTCAGCGCATTTCCACAGAATCCACCCTCAATGCTCACATCTGCTCCATGTTCCAACAACAATTGAACAATACTTAGGTGCCCTCCTCGTGCGGCAGCCTGAAGTGCTGTGTGATAATAACCGCCCGTGGCATTGACATTCGCTCCTCGATCTAAAAGCTTCATGACAAGCTCATCTCGACCATACCGAGATGCCGCTTGGAGAACGGTCCCAAATTGGCCCTTTACGGCATTCACATCGGCACCCAGTTCAATCAGTTCCAAAGCTGCTTCCGGCCACCCTCTTGCTGCTGCAGCTTGAAGTGCGCAGCCGTAGTATCCTCCTGTGGTATTGATATCTGCACCATAGGTAAGAAGCAAATGAAAAATTTCGGTTCTTCTCTCCACGCAGGCTGTTTGTAAAGGTGTATTAAAGGTTCCTGCTTGAACATTGACATTGGAGCCATGCTCTAGCAAAATGCGGACAACTTCATCCTGGCCAAAATATGAGGCACCTGACAGGGGTGATCCATATTGACCCCCGACATAATTTATATCGACACCCTGATTTAGAAGCTTTTGGACAACAGAAGGGAGACCCAATTTAGAAGCATAGTATAGTGAATTTCCAGGCCGAACTGCGTCTTCTCCCAGACCATAAAGGGATATCCAATGGTGAAAGGCTGTATTGTTTTGATCCAAGAGATGGAGTATCATTGGTTCGATCTTGATCTGGTGTTCTGAGGGAACAAGGCGCGCATGAGTATACCATTCACTTGCGGAATATTCCAATAATGGGTAGTCATCAACAAGCTGCTCATATAGTGTGAGATGTTCGGCCAAAGTTGATGTAGAAGACAGGGCAGATGAGTGGAGAGATTCTGACCCGATCTCAGTTGGTATGACTGGTTGATCAAATGATAGAAGATATGTCAAGCATCGTTCTGCAATTGCTAGATGTGCTTCGGAGTCCCGTATAGCAAAATGACTGGCTGGTCCCTCACATATTCTCTCCGAAATCAAAAATTCTCGAACAGAGTAATGAGAGAGTTGAACAAAGCCTGCTCTTGATTGAGTAATAAGGCTAGAGCAGACCACCATTAGATCTTTAGGATCGAAAAGTCGGTCGATGTCGCTAAATATACTAGTTCCAGGTCGGATGGCCACCATTTCAGACAACTCCGCTAAGTCAACAGGGCGAGATGAGGCCATTAGGAATTGTAGTGCAGTGAAGGCAATAAGGTAGACTTCCTCATCAATTCCACAGAGAATTCGCCCGTACGTTTCATCTAAACTTTGAGGGAGGGATTGAAGCGTCTTTCGCACTGCGGATGGCGTTAAACAGGAACGCAAAGCATCAAGCTGGCATGATGCCCATCGAAACCTATATTCATCAGTTAGAAAATCAGCGGTGGCATAGTATGCTAGTCAATCAACACGCACATTCCATTGGCGCCTGCCGTTAAGGCCTGTTCAATCTCCTTCTTCATAGAAATAGGACGCTTAGCCAGAACAGGATCGTTTAAGAGGACCCGGTGAACCAGTTTTTGAATATCGTCATGTACATTTGGGCCATGCAGTGATATCTTTTGAGTAGCCAGGAAGGAGAGGCTCGCCTCAATTTGTTGTTCCTTGCGGCTGGAGATTAATGCGTTCACTGACCAACCTTGACCATCTTGGATCTTTGAAATAAGATCTAAAATATTTTCTTGTTCTCGACTTTCATCTAAAGCATCAAGGATAATATATGTTCTTCCGGAATGCTGCTTGAGAAGCAAAATTAAAGTTTCTTTGATCTTTTCTGGGCTTGGATCTTGGCCTTTCCGTCCTCGCTCCTCATAAAGCTCCACCACCTCTGATGGTATGTTCGTACTTTGCTGACAAAATTGGGCAAGAGCGGATTTGACAAGGCCATCCAGCGTTTGTCGCTTTGGATACTTGAAGTCAAAATAGTAATAGATGCAAATGGACCGGGAACTCTTGCCACTGGCACACAAGTCCTGAACATTTTCGATGATAGTCGAGCAATGCACTAGAAGGGTCAGAGTTTCACGAAGTTCTCATGAAAAAGAAGACCAAAAATACCTGTTTTTCCAGAACCAGGGATTCCATAAAGCCACATGAGCTCCATGGTTCCATGCAGCCATAGATTATAAGTATCAGATGTAAGGAGCCATTCCCCAGTTCCTGGTTCATGTTTATTGCGAGTAGCATAGTGAGTCTCAGTGACATCAACAGATGATAACCATTCAAGAAGCAAACTTTGCTGATTTTCTGGACGGGTTAGATACAGAACCTGTCTTGGCAGTTGCGATTACGAACCATCTTGTCTTAACTGCAACGTCTGGAACTCTTCGTGGATTTCTCTCGTCTCCTGTCGAAGTTCCTTTGTGAGAGCTCTAACATAGAATGCAAATGAGTAAAAACACGCAATTGAGATTCTCCCCAAAAGATAAAAACCGGCTGAATTCGCTGTCTAGCCGTAAGAGGACCCTGTTAAACAAAACAATACTTACAGATGATCTACTGCTAGAGCCTCAGCGAGCAACCCTCTAGCAATTCGTGCAGTCTTTAACATCTTTTGTGTTTCCTCTTTTCTCCATGGCCATGTAAGCTTCTTCTTCAGTTGCCTGAATTCTTTCTCCACGCTCGCTTCACGGTTCAGATGGCGTTCCAGTTTTGTCAAGAGATCCTCTAGCAATGGAACTGGGCCATTTTTGGTTGTGATATTCCGTAGGCACTCATTCCATCCTTCACTTGTATCTGTTAGATCTAAAATGCTCGACAGTAATGAGCGTGTTGTGCCGATTTCAACCGCCAGGGAGCGAATATCGCTTGACGCGGAAGCAATTGCAGAGAGCAGCTCGATGACGGCTCCTGAGACCTGTAGCAGGGCAATGATACTGGCACTAATGCTGAGAGGGTCCATCTTTTGAAAGATTCCCCAGGCATTAGTCCTATTGCCTCAGGGAAAGTAAGCTCAGGGTGTTTTGGATGTCCCTGATCAGGACCCACTACTAGATGCGGGGTTGTGCGGGATGAGGCTGTGTACTGACTAGGATCGCCCGCCAAGTTGCCCAAAGAAATCTACACAAACCTTGATGACTAGGGCGCGATTTCTGAAACGAAGAAGTCACCTGTATTGTTCAAAGAAACAATTATGCTGCCCAGGAGGTATTGAAGATGGGGCACGCAGCAGGACCAGAAGCATCATAAACTTCCAAAGAGTCTTCTCTCAGCTGTTTACGCTGGGCTTTGAATCTGATTAAGTCAAAGAGGGACACAAAGAATAAACAAGAGGACGCCCACATTTAATGAGCCTGGAATAACATCATCAGAAGGAGGAGGGTTAAACCCAATCTTGCAAGTACATAAAACTCTGGCGACATACAACTGTATCTTCTTTCATTAATGGAGAGCCACATAAATGGCGTATTGAACACGTTCTTCGAGCTAGGTAGAATTTAGCATATCATGGTCAATGAATTCAAAAGTTCTCTTCGACATATTCTTTTGGTCATGGTTTTCCCCAACAGAGTCTCTGAGTCCAGCTTTTAGGACTAGTGTGCGGGCAAATTTGATTGATTCGTCGATAATGCCCGTAAAAGTTCATCAAGACCACAAAATCAACATATCTCTTGAAGTTCCATAGTCTGTAATCATTTAATAACGAAATCTATCTGACAATATCCCATGAAATCGAGAATACACGATTGGGGGACATGATGGTGGGTAGCTGTCCTCAAGGTCATTTAAATTATATGGCCTTGGAGCTTATAATTTACAATTTCAATGTGTTTTTCTCGAGAAATAAACAAAGAAGGTATGTAGTAAATAGAAACCAACATGAGATGGATCGGTCGGCAACCTAAATCGAGTGCTACCACAGCGCATGGCTAAACTACAAAAGGTAACTAACTGATTCCGGCACCATGGCGGTTTAGTGAAGCTCACCTCCAAGTAGATAGACCTTCAGATGGTACTGGGAAACATCATCAAATTGAATGCGATGATATCAAATTACGGATCCAATAGACTGGGATGTTAATCAAATTATACAACAGAGGGAGTGTTGGGTCATATCAAGCCAATCAAGGCAGCATTCAATTATCTATGCTACACGAATACATAAGCCTTGAACCCCCCAAATACAATGGAGGCGACATGGGAAGCAAACAAAGAACAAGGTGCAAAGAGTTGGGGGAGAATTATAACGACACATGAAAATTTTTAAAGTACCAGCCTGGCAGGCTCAACCTGCAGGAGGGCCTTAATCCGCTCGAGGAACGTCTTGGCCCGCAGCTCTTCACCAACCGGCACGGTCAAGCTAAAGACGTTCTGAGCGACAGTGTTCTCGACAGCGACCGGCGACATAGAAACGGTCTTCTTGCCGGGCTTGGCGCTTAGGATGTCGATGATGTCTTCATAAACAGGCCCAGGCCGAGCATCAGTCGCCTCGAAGGCATTCAGCTCAGGAATGTAGTCTCCGCGTGATGTGTTAATAGGGTCCGCACCGAGAATCTCATCGAAAAGTTCGTCGGCGGAGGGTTTCTCGCTCTGAGAGCGGGGCAGATCATCGTTGGCGAGATCGGTAGCACTGGCCAGGAAACGCGAAAGAGGAACGCTGACGCCCAGGTTGGTCTCGATCTTCTTCTGCGCGGCGAGAACGGCCGCCAATGAAACCGAAATAGCAACCGAGGTCATAGGAGGCGGCTGGGGAATAGCTTCCTTCTTCTCCTCCGCGGCCGGCGCGGCGGGCTTCGGGGCCGGCGCCGCAATCTTAATGTTACTCAAGTCCAAGTGGGCGAGCTTGGCCAGAGTCGCGGCCTGCGATGCCGGGTACTCGGCGGCAATTTGGCCAAGATAAGCCAAAACGTCACCCTTCAGGAGGCGACCCTTGGGGCCAGAGGCCGGAATCTTGGAAACTTCCGATTCGGGGATGTTCTTCTCGTGCAGGAGCTGGATGACAGAGGGGTAGAGGGGATAGGAGGGGTTCTGAGTTTGAAGGGCGGAAGAGGATTGCAGGCCTATGGAAACACAACTGTCAGAACTAGCTCTATTCCAGGGTCGTAAAGGTGGGCGGAAATCTGGGTATGGAAACTTGATATGCGGCCTCTCTCACTACAAGCTCCCCGTATTTGTTTGACAGCAGCCGGGAAAACTCACGTCGGGAGGCGCGGAACACCTTAGGTTGCCGGCGGGCGAACATAACCGGCACCTGGCTCACAGGAATTCTGGCGGACATTCTTTATGGTTGTCTATATGGCTCCTCCGGGAAAAGAGCTGGATGGAGACGCTGGGCTGGCGGAGACGCTCAAGCGATGTCGCAACTGTCCGGGGAAGCTGGATGGTCGGCAGAAACAGACACAAGCAACCGATAGCCCACCACCACGTCAAGCCGCGCTGATTCCGGATGTATAATTGTGTGTGAGTTGCGTGAATTGGAGATTGGGAAAGAATGCCCGGGTTGGCGTTGAGGGTGTTGGGAGCTTTCACCGGCGACCGGGACGGGAACATTTTTCTGCCGCAGCGGCTTTGCTTTCGATCTGGCGGCGTTTTCCGAGGACAACAACGGTCGACTCCTCCGTTCTTTGGTAAGTCCTTCAACTGGAATTTCTTCCTAGTCCTTGTTTGCATGCAATTGGATAGTGCTATCCGACTTCCTGGGCTATCATGTCACCACCTTTGCTCCTGTTGTTGACCGCAGTGTGGACAGAGCTCACTCCATAATGTCCGTCCGGCCACCCACTTTCCAAATATTCTGGCAGCACTGCTCTCGTGCTTCCCTACGCCCTGGATTTCAACAACCCTTCTCCTCGTCATGGCGCACATTCACTTCAAGTGTTTCTCGTCGTGCAACTGCCCCTAAACCCCGAAGAAGAGCGGCTCCGGCGTACGAAATCAACTCAAAGCCCAGCTTTCTGCAACCACGGGCCGGGGGATTGGGCGGATTGTTTACAAGAGTCGCCAAGGAGGGAGATGTTGTGCTTTTCAAATCAGGATCACAACGCGTTTACGTCCTGAGTGCCTATGGCTTGTCTGCGTTCTGCTTCGCTTATGCCGTCTACAACTCAAATGCGGTTTTCCGGGACCCCGTTACAGTCCTCCCGGTCTGGCAGCAAGCCCTCTTTGGCGGTATTTGTGTTACAATGAGCGTTATGGGCACCGTCTTCTTTGTTCGGACGGGTAACGTTGTTCGAAGTATCAAGGCCGTCCAGTCACAAGGCCAGCCCCGTATCCGCTTCGAAATTCGGCGCTTGACCCCTTTTATGAAGCCTTATCAGTTTGACGTACAAGCCTCCCAGGTCCGTATCTCTCGAAAATTGGCAGTGTCTCCGGAGACGCGGGAGCGCTTTGAGAGTGACAGCAAAAAGCTTGGTTCGCCTGATGAACCAACGCGGAGTTTCTTCAAGGCTCCCGTACAAATGATGAGCTACGGACTCTGGAAAGTTTTCATATCTGTTCGGCAGGTTTTTAACAGTGAAGACTTCATTCTCATGCGGATTGAGGGCCGAAAGGGCACCTTCCGAGTGGACTCAAAAGGCTTTGTTGACCGGGACTTCCTGCTTCTCGGCGATCCGGTTCAATTCAGATCGAATGCCTAGACTCGGGTCTGTTGAATAGACAGGGCACCTACAAACTCTCGGAATGCAGTCGGTTGGTTCAGTCCGAGATCTCCCCCAGCTCTCTCAGTGATATCCTGCTTGTGCAACAGTCATGTATTTTAGCTTGTAAGATAACAAACATGCCATCCGGCATTTAGATCCAGACTCTCTAAGGATTAGGTTTTTTTGAAACTACAAATTCTCTCACATACCTAATTGCAAATGGATTCGGCCTGTTGAGAGAAAACTGCAGGTGGAAAGCTATCTGCCTACCGTATGTAGAAATTCTCAATAGAGAACCAGGTTGTGTTTCACGACACGAGGTCCGATATACAAGATATAGGGATATGGATAAGAGTTTTTGAAAAATTGACCCAAACAAATCAGTTTTCATAATTAGTTATGATATACGTGTAGCGAATTTCCCTCGAGTTGCATGATGCATGACCATTTATTCAGACCGGGATTGTATAGACCGTTCCAAAGTTCAGAAGGTTGAGGTTGAGTCGAGCGGAGTGGACTGTCCTGGGAACCACGTGATGGGACCGGCGCGTCGGGGACGCGATTCCCCATATCGCGCCCCTCCCACCATCAGGACCTGTCAATCCCATAGCCGAACACCATCCAGCAGGGACTTGCCCAAATATCCTAGTCGCTTCTTTAAGAAGCGGCTTTGTCTCAACATGGGGAAACTCATTCGGCTGGAGCTTTTCAGTATGGACTTCTCGCGACAACATGCAGTGCGCAATTCAGCTAACCATTGCTGCTTCAGATTTCAAATCCTACAAGGGCCACCATACTCTTCTGTTCGGAGACGCCTACTTCACGTCTATTATCGGACCCAATGGATCGGGCAAGTCGAATTCGTATGTGATCACCTTTCACGGCATGTTTTTACTTGATATTGTACTTTCTTACTGACATGAACTAGTATGGATGCCATTTCGTTCGTTCTCGGAATCAAGTCTTCACACCTACGTTCCACGAACCTCCGCGATCTTGTTTACCGTGGTCGTGTTCTGCGCACCTCCAAGGTCGATGGAGAGCCGGCCGCCAATGGAGACGATGGAGAACAGGAACGCGATGCGGAGAATATGGATATGTCGCAGGATTCTGAAGGTCTGAACGATCCTAAATCTGCTTGGGTCATGGCTGTGTATGAGGATGATGCTGGCGAGGAGCAACAATGGCGCCGCTCCATCACTAGCCAAGGTGTCAGCGAGTACCGCATCAACAACCGAGTCGTCACTGCCCAGCAATACAACGAGGCTTTGGAGGAGGAGAATATTCTCATTCGAGCCCGTAACTTCCTGGTCTTCCAGGGAGACGTCGAAGCGATCGCATCACAGTCCCCCAAAGACCTCACTCGGTTGATTGAACAGATTTCTGGCAGTTTGGACTACAAGGCAGACTACGAGAAGCTCAAGGCGGAAGCAGAGGAGGCGGCAGAACAGCAGACTGTTCAGCTCAACCGCCGAAGAGGCATCAATTCGGAGGTCAAACAATACCAGGAGCAGAAACGGGAAGCAGAGAACTATGCTAAGAAGGCCGAGGAACGCGACCAGGCTATTATCACTCATATTCTGTGGAAGCTTTTCCATTTCCAGCGACTGATCGACGCATCCAGTGCTGATATCCAGAAATATCAAGATGAGCTGAAGGAATATCGTCGCGGCGTCGAGAAGTACGAAAACAATGTTGAAGACGCCAAGAAAGAGCATGCTCGTGTTGGCAGAGATGTCGGCAAGGCCGAGAAGAAGATTTCAAATAAGGAAAAGGAGATTGAGGAGCTCAGTAACTCTTTAGTACCGATCGACGAAAAGGTAGATATCACTCAAAGGAAGGTGGAGCGCTATTCTTCCAAAATTTCCGAGATTGGCAAGGAGAGTGCAGCCCAGTCGAACAACGCGAAACAGCTGGAGAAAGACTTGAAACTTGTTGAGAAAGCACAAGGCCAATGGGAGGCTGAGTGGCAGAAGACAATGAGCAAGAAAGGAGGCCAGCTGAGTGAAGCTGATCAGCAAGAATACCACAAACTCAGGGAAGAAGTCAGCAAGCGGTCGTCGGCAGATCAACTGAACCTCGACAACCTTCGGCGGCAGAGAAAGACCGAAGCCGAAGCAGTCAACAGCTTGAAGGGTAAATTCGAGACCACCGAGTGGCAGCTCAAGAACCTGGAATCGGATGCCCAGAACATGAATGACCGTAACTTAACACTGAATGACATCATCAAAACGACCTCTAAGGATATTGATCGCAAGAAGAAAGAGCTGAATGCATTGGCCTCTGAACGTTTGAAGGTCTCTCAAATGCGAACCGAATTCGAGGAGAAACTTCAAGTCGTGTTGCGAAAGCTGCTTGAAGCTGATGATGGGAAGAAGCAGACCGAACGGGATATCCGTGCCAAGGAATTGATTTCAACATTGAAACGCATCTTCCCTGGTGTCAAGGGCCGTGTCAGCGACCTCTGCCGACCAAAGCAAAAGAAATATTCCGAAGCAGTTAGCACTGTCTTGGGCCGACACTTCGATGCCATTGTGGTGGACAACGAGAAGACTGCCAAGGAATGCATTCAGCATCTTCGTGACCAAAGAGCTGGACAGGCTACTTTCATCCCGCTGGAGACCATTCAGGTCAAGGCCTTTAATTCCAACTTGAAGGGCATGCACCGTGGAATGCGTCCTGCGATTGAGACTATTGATTATGATGACTCTGTGGCACGCGCAATCAGCTATGCCTGTGGCAATTCGATTGTCTGTGATGATCTAGCCACTGCCAAGTATCTGTGTTATGAGCGAAATATTGATGCCAAGGCTGTCACTCTGGATGGGACGGTAATCCACAAGGGTGGTCTCATGACTGGTGGACGTGGCCCCCAGCAGAACTCCAAGCGGTGGGAGGACTCCGAAGTGGAAAACCTTCACAAGCTCAAAGATAAACTCATGGCCGATCTTGCTAATCTTCCTAAGAGTCATCGCCGGGGCTCCGAGGAAGAGACTCTAGAGGGCGAGCTTGTTGGCCTTGAACAACGTCTGAACTATTCCCGAGAGGAGCTGAAAGCTCTTGAGCGAAACATTGAGAGCAAGCGCAATGAACTTGACTTTGTTAAGCGCCAGATGGAAGATCTGCGACCCAAATATGCCGAGCGGAAGGAGAATTTGGATGAACTGGATGAGACCATCGAAAGTTCTCAGTCCTCGGTGAGCTCGGTTGAAGATGAAATCTACCGCAAGTTCTGCAAGCGTCTTGGCTACGAGAACATTCGTGAATACGAGGCTCAGCAGGGCTCTCTGCAAGAGGCAGCTGCGCAGAAAAAGCTCGAATTCACGACCCAGAAAAGTCGCATCGAGAACCAGCTGAGCTTCGAAAGACAACGTATACAAGCCACGGAAGATCGTATCAATGGTCTCAAGGCTCAGTACCAGCGCGACATGAGCTTGATTAATGAGCTGAAAGACCAGCAAGAGGACATTCGGAACAAGCTGGATGAATGCAGTGCAGAACTCGACCTCTTGCGTGAGAACTTGGAGCAACAGAAGGAGATATACGCGCAATCTGCCGAGAATCTTGCTGAGCAGCGAAAAGAACTCCAAAAGCGGAGCAAGCACGTTGAAAGTGCCCTGAAGAATATCAATGCCCTTGAGAGTGAGATTCAGCGTAATTCGTCCAGCCGGTATGCCCTGCTGCGACGCTGCAAGCTGGAAGATATCGATATTCCATTGACAAGTTCTTCAAACCGCCTCGATAAACTTCCCATTGACGAAATGGTGCAGACCACTGACCCTGATGCTATGGACGTGGACGAGGCCGATGATATGGACGAAGCACCTGTCGTGCAAGACTATGGAATCGAGGTTGACTTCGACTCCTTAGGCGAGTCCCTGAAAGAGGTATGAGCCAGATGAGAGACAAAAACCGAAGCCAGACTGGAACTCAATTCACTAACGGCCGAGTATAGGGAACCGACGAGAAGCTCGAAGAAGAACTCCTCGACAAGGTTCGTTCTCTGAATAGCGAACTAGACAAGATGGCACCAAATACTCGAGCCATGGAGCGTCTTGAGAGCGTTGAGAACAAGCTTCGTAGCACCGAAAAGGACTTTGAAGATGCCCGAAAATATGCTCGAAAGGCCAAGGAAGACTTTGAAGGGGTCATGAAGAAGCGATCCGATCTCTTTAACAAGGCTTTTACACACATCTCTGAGCAAATCGGGCCGATTTACCGGGAGTTGACTCGCAGTGCCAATTACCCGCTTGGCGGACAAGCGTAAGATCCTACAATCGTTTTCGATGCGATAAAGCTGACTTTTTGAAGGTATCTGGATATCGAAGATTCAGATGAACCCTACCTTGACGGCATCAAATACCATGCCATGCCTCCACTCAAGCGTTTCCGTGACATGGAGCACTTATCCGGTGGCGAGAAAACCATGGCAGCGCTTGCTCTGCTGTTCGCTATTCACTCGTACCAACCTTCGCCCTTCTTTGTGCTCGACGAGGTTGATGCAGCACTTGATAACACCAATGTCGCTCGAATTGCCAACTACATTCATGACCACGCTGCCCCAGGCATGCAGTTCATTGTCATCAGTTTGAAGACCGGGCTTTTCCAGAATAGTGAGGCCCTCGTCGGTATCTACCGAGACCAGGTTGAGAATAGCAGCAAATCCCTGACCCTTGATGTGAGTTACGCCTCTCGATTGATCTCTTACTCCCTATTCAAGGACTGACTCTTCCTTCGCAGCTCCGGAAGTACACCTAAATCTCAGCAAGGGAGATTAAGTGAGACGGAATTTATGACTCTTTGTGCTTTTTTTTAATAGCTCGTGTAGATTATGTATCCATCTAACTTTCTTTTCGTCATTTTTATGACAGATAAATGGCATTTGCTCCATGGCTCTCTGGGGGCATCAGGCAATGTCAGATTTGTCTTCACTGTTGTTAATTGATACCAGTTTCCCGAGTGAAATTCGATCTATGTCTTCTCCATTCTCCTCGTTCTTTCTACATTATTGGCAATCTCCATAAGTGCTGCCCAATGACTTTTCAATAGCCGACTTGTAGCAACAACGATGCAACAATCGGCTCTCCGCAACCCCAGATGTAACCCCCGCATTTTCAGCCGAGAACCCTGGTACCAAAAGTATTGCTCGGGTAAATACTGCTCCAATCAATTATAGCTGGTTATGCACATTTTTGCTACGCGCTCCATCCCGTTCCAGGCGGCTTTTGAAAAGCCTCCAAGTTCAATAACCTACTTTGGTGCCGACTGCCGGAGGAAACAGTATATAGTTGACTTCAAGATGCCTCGAATTGGCTCTCGGTGGTGATTAATAGCTATAAAGCGACAAAGACACTCAAATATCTGTTTTTCTGTTCTCTCTTGTTCCCAAGTTTTGCACCATGCTTTTTACATTAATCACTGGAGCTGCGATAGCAGCTGCAATGCCGACAAATGTTGGCAGCTCATCATCTAGGGTGACTGTAAACAAGAATGTACCGCAATCCGCTGGAGCAGCAATTCTTGCTCCATTTGTTTCCTTCTCCATCGAGTTTTCATCCTTTCCCGATTTTGCAGGTATGTTAGGATAATCTTCTGTTTAAGGTGATAGCGTGATGACGTTTTTGTAGGCAACAAATCCAAACCTAATGGATTTTCAAATCAGCTCCTTGACAACCTTGCTGACCTACAAGGAGTGAAGCCACATATCCGAGTCGGCGGTAATACTCAGTAAGACAACCAACAATTGGCGAACAGGAATCATGATATAATGACTTGCAGAGACTTTGCACTATATGATCCAAACTTGAAGACCCAAATCAATGGCACTGTAGTACCAAGTGTGTCTGAAGATTACCCTTACATTATATCCATTGGGCCTTCATATTTTGAGGCATACTCTACTTGGCCTGGTGTCAAATTCAGTCATGGATTTAACTTGGGCAAGAACACAAGTGCTGCCTACGACACATTGATTGCTACCGTCCCCTTAGCCTGCAAAGCTCTCAGGAAGGACAACTTTGCCTATTGGGAATTGGGAAATGAGCCCGACTTGTTCACCGGAGCTGTTCGACCCTCTGGGTGGAATGAAGAAGACTATGTGGCTGAATGGTTGAACAAAACACCCATTATCAAAGCTCAGATTGCCAAGGCTTGCCCTGAAATGACATCGAATGCGGCATATAAATATATTGCGCCATCGTTTGCAGGATTAACCAATGATTTAGATCCGATCGAGACATGGGATAAGGGGCTGAATCAAAACCAAGATATTGGGATGAACTCAATGCACAAGTAAAGCCTTCCTATGCTAGGTGCTTACCCAGAGAATTTGGACAATTGACTAAAACCATGTCTAGCTACATGGGCGGCGCTGATTCCCCCGGAGTCACTCTTGCTCATACTCTGATGAACCATACTGCGGTTGTCCACAGCGTCTCTCAGCATGCCAACCTCGCCCGTACGCTGAGCCAGAAAGGCCTTACTAAAGATAGAGATATCCCATACATCCTGGGCGAGATGAACTCCCTCTACCACCAAGGCAAACCGGGTCTCTCGAACTCCTTCGGCGCCGCACTCTGGGGCGTCGATTTTAATCTCTACTGCGCCTCTCAGAGCATTCACCGCACCCACATGCACCAGGGGACAGATTACCGCTACGCGTCATGGCAACCAGTACAAACCGACAAGACCACCATCGGTACTAAGGCTCCGTACTATGGCAACGCCATGGTGGCCGCCATGCTGCGCGGCAGTGGAGACGAAGGGAGCGAGGGCCGTGTCCAGCTGGTCAATCTGGAGATGCCACACGAAACCGAGGCCGCCTATGCTGCGTACGTCAACGGGCAGCTGGCCCGGATCGCCATTATCAACATGCAGCAACATAATTATACCGGCAATAATGACAGCTCGGCGTCCCGTCCTTCGGCATCGTATCAATTCCTTTTACCCGAGACCGAGGGAAAATCCCTTTCGGTCCAACGGCTGCTGGCAAATGGTAGCGACGCTATCACGGGAATTACCTGGGATGGGTGGTCTTACAACTACGAGTTGAAGGGTGGTGCGCCAGTGCGACTGCACAATGTCACGACTGGGGAGACCATCGCGGTGGGAGCAAAGGGGGCGGTCGAGCTCGCAGTGCCTTGGTCGAGCGCTGTTATCTTGAACCTATAGTGTTAGTTCAAGTTCAGAACGGAAATAAAAGCGGGGGACAATGAAGCCAGATAGAAGTATGAGAAGAAAGATGGTTCAGATAGGAATCGGATCGGATGTAAACGTTTTAGATCTATCACGGTCGGGCTCCTGGGAGATTCTTCCCCTAGTTCGAGAGGAGAGATGTTAGTCCTAGAGGCAAAGCTTAGCGGGGAGGGTTTGAGTCATTATAGACCCACTCATTGCGCATGGAATATGGAACATGCGAGTAAGCCGTCGTGCTATACGTCGTATAGTTGGGCTAGTTCGCTGCTAGTTCCTTTCCAGGCGTGGGGACAAAGGTTCAGGTCGAATAATCATACTTCATGAATATGAGCTATAGAGCAGACTTAGTCATCTGATGACCGAAAACCTGTAATCTGCTTCGCTGGAGAAAGTTTCAGCCAGTAGGAGCTCTATGGTAGTCCTACTAGATTGGGACCTGATTTGCATGATAAAAATCTAAACACGAGCCTTGGCGAAGATGGAGCATCATGATCAATGCGACTGGTAAAAGAACGTTTCAAACATCGTAGAATAACCGTCTCCCTATTCTCTCAAATATTTTCAAATCCCGATATGAAGCCCGATATGAGGACGCCCTCGCCTCATGGCCGCGACATTCCGGCGTCACCGCCAGACGCCATTGAGGTATGATGACGAGATGCATATGTCATTAGTCCACCAATGTCATATTGGACAGCCTTTAGCGCCTGGCTGACATTTGTGGTGGGCGGGGAGATCCTGAACACATCGTCGAAGGGACAGCGCGTACGACAGTATGTACCCTTTGTCGACCAAGCCACCTGGAGTGAGCATTGAACCACCGCATTGTAATCCAGAGCGAACTACGTAAGTGAAGTGCTGATCCGATGCTCATGCAAGCCAATGCACAATGTTTCCTGGTACCAGGTGTCCCTAACCTGCACGAAGCTTGCAAAGGAAGCGCACGCTGGAGCTTATGGTCTAGCTCGTACTTTTGGCAGTTCAGCCACCTCCGCTGGATGTTGGAACCCACTCAAAGATACAGCTAGTCATCGCACTGGCAGTCTTCGAAGGCACCAGAATTGAAGATTGTTGAACGATGTGCTTTTAGGGGGCTTAGGGGTGGCCCCGCTGCCACGCAAGGGGTGCGGAGCGCCACTTTGCATCTGGGCGTCTGGGCGACTCTGCCCGGGGGCTCACAGCAAGCCAAGGGCCGATACGTGAATGGTGAATCAGGGAGAAGCTTTGATCTGTCCAATCCGCCCCTACCGGGGCAGGCTTTACTGTATATCATTCGTCGGTTTACCTTCAGCCAAGATGGGCCTGCACGGGAAGCCAAAGACCCCTGTGGGAGCCCGTCGATGGCAGATGCGACCCTGAGGGTGCGTCGATGAAAATGTGGGATTCTTTTTGAACAAATTGAAGTACCGACGGACTTGGTCAAACTCGAAAAGCCTGCTGGGTAACTTTTTTCCCGGGCAAGAGTCTGGTCTCATGCCACCAAATATCGATGATTGAGACTATTTCCCTAATTCGACTCCATCCGCTGGGTTACCGACAGCGTAGAACGTACTTTCTGCCAAACCTTGCCCAATCCTCTGTTTTTCAGACCCAAAACAACACTAAGGTATTACTGTACAGCTGCAATGCTACTGAGGTGGGGGGAAGAGGGCCTCACACCAGCCCTAAGTGCACCAATGATGAGAGAGAGGGTATATTTTCCGGGAGTGCGTGGCGCCAGCCCGGTTGGCAATAGTGTCGTGTACCTAGAATGAGGGAAAATGTTGGGGAAGCCCGGCTGGATACAGTAGGAAGTGCCCGCTGGTGCAGAGAACGGAGTACAGTACAGATGACCCGGGGGTGGGAATGTTCGCGAAACATTACAGCCACAATAGACCTGGCGGGTTGGAAATAAATAAAAACTCTCCATCGTAATGATCCGCTTCCCGATGTGTGATCCACAGGCCCGCGCGCACCCAGTGGATGACTTTTGACTGACGATCCAGGATCAGGAAATTGATCCTAATAGGTCGTCCTTTATGGTTTCTTTTCCAATTTGCTTTTTGATACGGCATAGGCAGTGTTTTTTTTGGATACTGTCGGACTTCACTCAGGATTCTATGTAGTGATGGCCCTCTTAGTGTCGGGCAAATGAAAGATGCACCCTCGAAGAATCTATGAGTGTGACCTTAAGGCCTGCGCGACATTTGATATTTTAAATGAAGAAGAAGAAGAAGAAGCAGAAGAAAGCACGACGTATTGTAAGTGATCCTTCACCGTGACTCAGGAGCGCATGTTAGGCCTCCTTCGTACGACTGGCCTTCCATGAAGGGTCTCAGCCCGCGCGTTCCATGGGTTTGGATAAGCTCAAGATTCGATGGTGGTTTCAATGGCCTTATCTGAGCAGCTTTGGACTACCAATGGGTTGTCCCTTTTAGGCCGTTTGGACCCTTTGGGCGTTCCTGGGGCTTGAAAGCGGAGACTCGATGGCTTGCCAGTTCTGTCGCTGGTTCATGATCAGATTTGTGCACAGACGATCGAACTGGGCCCGGTCAAAGTTCGGGGTGAAGATATCGAGACAGCTATTGGCTAACTGAACGGCTTGTTGACTCAGTTTAATGTACCTATACCGTCATCGATAGCTGTTACCTGTCCCACTCTAGGGCCTTTCCAGCGGCCGCATTACTCTGCTTGCGAGGCTTTCGGGGCGCTCTGCAGGTTGCTGGAAAGGGACTGAAAATAGACTGGAAAGGAACGGGCGACACTTCCGCTTTTTCCTCTTGGCTGACGCCGACTGTGGCATGAACCCATGAACCTTACAAGACGGATAGTCTCGCTTCTCACGAGTCAAAGCTCTATCTGTATGAGCTCTTCTGGTTGGCAGCCAATGCGTTCAGAGGCGCTCTGGCCCATGCCCCCGCCAGGAAGCCGCAGGTCGTGGCTGAGGCACAGCCTGGTGATCGCCGATCAGTCTCGATGATTCGCGGGGAGAAGCTGTGTATTGGGCGATCTGGTGATCGGTTACAGTTGGCCTGCTTCTGTCAAACCAGTATATCCGCTGGTGAATGCCTCGGTAGTGCAGCTCTTCAGCATGGAAGCTTGGGTTTGCCTCGACGGGCTAAGGGTATACCGGCTGAGAAACGTCCAACGTAGGGATCACGGTGCGGCCCAGGGACAAGGTTAATGCTTGTCAAAGAGTCTTTGTGGCTGGTGTGGCCGGTCCGAGCGCCGGATCGTCTGAGTTTGATACTCGGTTAAGCCCAGTGAGACGATCTCGGATCCCCCGAAGCTGCCAAACCATGGATACCTGGCTTTAGATGCGGCGAATGGCGTGGCGCAGAGAGACAAACAGCCCTACTGGAAGGCCCGGTGGCTCGTCCGTGCGCGCTGGCGCACTGGGGCTGGACCGTCGGTTACGAAGCAACTGAGAAAAAAAAAAAAGAAGAAAAAATAAAAAAGAAAATCTGAATAGGATTTGACGAAACATATCACAGAACAGAGTGGATTGCACTGGCGATCCGATCGCAAGATGCAGGATCGTCGAGATCGTATACTGCACTCCGTATTCCGTACTTTGGCTTCGCTCTACTTGTAGATGATACCCTTATTGCCACCGGGTCAGCTCCGCCGATATTTCCTTTTGTCCTTGCATGCGCATGGTCGCAGCTTCTCACGCAGCTCCTGTGCCGGTGTCGTGTGGAGACCTGCCAATACTCTCGGGTTTGACGGAAACCGTGGATCGTTCGAGGGCCTTCGTGATTCCCAGAACTACTCACCTGAGGTCCATGGTATAATTACAGTACTTCGCGTCCCTTCCCCCTCTGCTTCATCGCCCTATGGCCTCGGACTTGATTTCCATAGGCAGGCACCCGCGTCCCAAAGTCCCAGAAATCCACTCCTTGGTCACGTCCTTGTGGTGCAAAAAGGAGAGGGGAAAAACAAATCCCCAGATACTATATATCACATACCCCTGAGTGGGAATCGCATATTTGATTTCCTCCATAGAGTCCAGATATAGTCCAATTCCTACCGTGCACACAGCGTGACTATATTCTCGATCAATCTCAATCCGAACAGACGCACTCGGAGGGGCAGCCCCTAGCCCCGTCATTCTGCGTTATCCTACGTCTTGTACCATGGAGATGAATCGACCACCCCTAGGGCTTGGTGAAGGCCTGGATCGCAGGCATTCCGATAGTTCGGTGCCAACGCATTCACAAGCCATGGTAACCAATCCCAATCATCTCAGCGACACGAGAGAAGTGGGAGAGATGTTTGAAAAAAAAAACAAGACTAATCGCGTTGATGTTCTGAACAGGGTCCTGATGTTGAGTTCTCACACCCACACTTCGCCATGATCTTCATCAATCGCAATGGTGAGCTCCAGATGACGGCCTCGAAATCAATCGCAGGATGCGGTGGTGCGATCTTTACCCCCGATGTGACAGACCGGTTCATGGAACTGGCTGCTCCGAATAGCTCGGCTGCCATGCAATTCAACCCAAGTAAGCAGATCAACGACCTAATATTGGGATCCAGAGCATAGTTTGACGTAAGAAATGTTACGGGTAGACCTAAGTCAAAGTGTCCCTTCTCCTTGGCCGGCCCAGTCAAACGCAGGATTGGTGCACGCTGGTCAAACCAGACCGGCAGATTTGATCCCCTGCGAGTGGCAGTCCAGTCAAAGACAACGAAAGCGACGTGATATGAAGCGCACAGGAATGGTTCGACCTCAGCCGAAATCAGTGTCTCCGCCACCAACTCCACCTCCCGGGAAAACTATACTTCGCGTGGGCAATCGAGATCTTCTAAGACGATACTATGAGAAGGCATTCGAAGATTTCCAGCAATTGAACTGTCGTGCCATCGCCAAATCGTACATCAAGCTTGTTGAGCCTCGCAAGCAGGTTCATTTCCCATACAATGGCCGAAAGGTTATCTCGGGGGTCTCACAACGGGTCGATCCCGAGGAGACTAAGCCTGGTTGGTGGCCAGCCGGAGTTCTTCATCGCGAACCAGACCATCTTCTGAAACGCGGTAAGAGCTATAATGAAAACTTCACTTGGACTATGAAGCTGATGCACGCAATAGACCGACTGAAACTATTGGTGCACATTCTTTGCGAGCTCAAAGATAGTCACGAAGTGACTGCGGAAAAGCTACGTGATGCTGGCCAAGATGTGCGACGCCAGATCACCCCGGAAAACCGACTCCAAGTTCTTGATGAAATATATTTTGTCCGTCATATGGAAGAGCAGTATCTTGACGGGAAGATTGGTGAGGGAATTCTGGGCGAATCAGTCTTGATTTCTGGTTACTGACAAGACAATAACCACCTAGATGCAAACACACTGGTTCAAGTGACAAAGACCCATCTTCCCGAGGCCATTTACCAGGAAGATGACTTTTCTTCACATGCCCATGCCGCGCCCATTGCATCTCTCGACACTGAAAATGATGGCGATTGCTTCGTTGAAAAATCGAAGGCTTCGCTTAGGGATGGTGATCAGGCAGCTTACCCAGTCCGACAAGTTGTTCCACTTTCTCCTGCAACAAGTGAGTCCAGTGGCCCCCATAGCCCGACTTTCAGCGCCTATCCAGTCAACATGGGCTCCGCCGCGATGCAGCAGGAGTCTCCGACCATGCAGAAGCCAATGCCCACTGACCCTAACTTCATGCATGGCTTTTACGGACAACAATTCCTGCCAACAGAAAAGGCCCCTCCTTCCTACTGGCCTTCAGTACCGCCAATGCCCCAGGTCTCACAGTTTGGGTACTAGTCTTGCAAATATGGGAAACCTTTATTATCTCGATCAGGGAGCAATGCCTGTCGGGAATCTGGGTAGGCAATGAATTACGAATACGAATAACATCAATATGTCAGAAGGCTTTTTTTTAAAGGAGAGGATATTTTGTGCTTGGAGTTGCTGTGTGGTAGTCTGATAATTTTGCGGCTGTATTACATTAAGACATTTTTGTTGTACTACATTGAAACATCACTAAGAAATATGAATATAGTGTTGCGAACATTTTCTTGATTGAGGCCATTTTTTTAAAGCTGTGGAGTGATTCCAAGCCGGAAAACGTTCATATTCCATACCCCATCCAGACAGACCATCATCGTTGTATATGATCAAACTTCAAGGTCGTCATATTCCTTACTGGTGATAATTTTGTCGGCCAATTGGAGTCCTTTGTGTCCCTCAAATTGGCCAACCTGGCCCTCAGCCTGTGGAATATCGACTGAGGTTGAGTTGAATGGACTATGGCGGGTTGCAAAAACAGCATCGATTTCCTCAAGAGCACGTCCCTGGAATAAAATATCAGCCAAGAATATGCCAAATTTGAAAATTGCTCTAATCTTACCTTTGTTTCCGGGAGAAAGAAGAACGTAAATAGCAGAGCCAAGACTGAAATACTTCCAAACACCCAGCCTACCTGGAAGTGAATCTCATCCATCATATATGGAATAGCAAAGTTGGTCACAAATGCCCAGATCACGTTCCAAGAAGTTCCTAATGCCTGAGTTTTCTCACGGACAGCCGCATTTGGTATTTCTGTACCGAGGAGGTAGGGGATAGAAGCACCCCCCATCTGAATGTGAAACAAATGTTAGGTGAAAAGTGATTTAGGCGTAATAGCGCATGGTAACTTACATTATAACTAAACGCATAAAGCATGAAGGCAGCTACGATAGCGTTTTTCTCTCCATCAGACTTGCTTTCCTTTTCTCCAAGGCCGGCAAGGAGGTACATCCAGATAGCCTGAAAAATAAAGGTAATCATGAGGCTTGGCCGGCGACTGGTGATAGTAGATTTCAGTTAAACGCTCAGCTCAAAGGAAGATTAGTAAACATACCCTATTCTGTCTACCATATACATAGCCGGAAGGACAGCGATAAAGCCAAGGCATGCGCCTATAATGGGATATGTAAATGCTTGATCCGCATATCCGTTGGTCTTGTAAAAGGTTGTTTGATAGGTAGACACAAAAGCTTGACCAGTAGCCTATAACCCCCATTTGATATGTGATCGTTTTACAAAGAGATGAACTGCTCACCTGTTGAAAGAAGTAATAGACCATCACAAGAAATGTTCGGCGTAGATTACTTCCCTGCCAAACTTCAGACCATGGGGCTTTATGCACTTTTTCCTGTAGAGATACTCGAATAGCCTGGATTTCAGCCTCACAGTTACCATTATCGATGTCTTCTTTTAGTCTCAGACGACAGAGAGCAGCCATTGCTTCTTTATTTTGATCCTTGGAGAGAAGCCAACGTGGAGAGTTCGGAATGAAGAAAGTAAAGAAAGTTATTACTAGAGAAGAATCAGTAAGATCAAAGAACATAAAAGCCGAAGATATATGAAGTTCAGGCGAGCCTTACAGACAGGGAAGATAAACTGGATACCCGTGACTGTTTTCCAACCCAGCGACTCAGTAGTGGTGGCAAATGCCTTGTTGACAGCTGATGCAAGGATCGTTCCGACACTGAGAAATAGCTGTAAAGAGACGATGACCAAACCACGGAAAGAAGCCGGGACAATCTCAGATTGATATGTGCTGAATACCCAACTTTTCAGTGGTCCGTATATTTTATTTTGAATAGAAGCAGCACTCACGTCACATCAACTTCAACGAGGCCTACTGAAATATAAACAATGACTCGGCCTACTATAAATTGTGCCAACCGTCCGGTTCCATTGCCAGAACCAGCTGCTGTAATCTCAACTGAAATGGAGATCAATAAACATCCAGGGTTTCACGCTGAAATATATATCAAACTCACCAATAATCCCAATTACCGAAACAGCTGAGAGAAAAAAGAACAAGATGCGGTGGCAAAACCTCTCTATCGCTGGCCCAGCGGCTAAGCACCCAATAAGTTTTCCAATAAACGCAAGAGATGTCAAAATAGAGGTGCGAAATGAATCTATTGCATATGTTTTGGTGCCGGCATCATAGGCGCCGAATTGGTTCACGAAGCCCTGTAATGAAGTTGGTTAAATTATTGTTGTGACAATATATGAGAGAGAGAAGACTCACAGGATTAGCCAGAATACCACCAAAACTGCCTGTGTCATATCCGAAAAGGACATCACCAACTAGGAGACAGAAGCAGGAAAATAGGAGCATAGGGGTCAACATGGACCACACAGAACGTGGGTTCACCATCCTGAAGTTCGGAAGGAGCGTCGAACGCAATGATAAAGGTAGGGCTCAGTTAGCGCAAGAGCAGACGAACGATTTAAGCCGCCATCCTAGGGGACGAATGCGTTCCATATGAGTCTTGCCAGCTTCAGTATTATCGAGGTCCTTCCGTTATGATCGCTGGTCCGTGTAGATTAGAGCTCGCCCAAACTCAGCCCGGTATGCTTCCCCACAATATGGGGTGCATCATCAAGCGATCAAAGCACGGAAGCAGGAGCCACTGAAAGCAAGTCTTACATTTGCTCGCTTGGAGCGCCCTCGCGCAGCACATTAGCTTTCCGAGCGAGAAGCCGGCACTTATCCTGTTTGGATCCACCTCGCTCGGAAGCGAGATGAGGGGGGGCCGCGTAGCCAGCGACACTGCCCGAAGACTAGCGCACCGGCTAGTATTTTGTCATCTTTTTCCCTTTAAATACTTATCAGAAGTTAAATGTCTTGAACTTTTTTCATGGCTGATCTGGTATTTGACTGAGAGTACTTTCTACCGTCTCAGAAGTGACCCTTGACCGTATATCCCTGTACAAAGGCACCTTAATCAATCTGAGAACATACTACTGCAACAAAGACAGTGCAAGAACGAGTACTAATCTATCAGCCACAATTTAGAGATGGAGAGTGCCCCCAATGGGACGCAAAAGCGTCCAAACTTCCTTTTCATTCTCGCCGATGATCTGGTGAATTCGTCAGCTATAATTCCCTCAAAATGTCAACTGACGCCCATGCTTCTAGGGATTTTCTGATATTGGCTGTTATGGAAGCGAGATTCGCACACCTAACATTGACCGTTTGGCCTCTGAAGGCATCCGTATGCTCAATCACCATGCTGCCGCAGCTTGTTCGCCGACACGTGCAATGCTCATGAGTGGCACCGATGCGCATCTAGGTGGACTAGGCGTCTTGATTGAATATAAGCAAAATGCACACGGCGCAAAGCGATTCTCAGGAAAGGCTGGATATGAGGGGCATCTGAACAATGATGTGGCGACTTTACCTGAAGTTCTGGGGGATAACGGATATTTTACTGCAATGTCTGGCAAGGTCAGTAGCAGTGCTTGGCTGACCATCGAGATTCTATACTTATTGCTATATATGGTAAGCTGACATATTTATCAGTGGCATCTTGGACTGCGTGCCAGTCAGGGTCCTTGGGAACGCGGTTTTCAAAAGGCATTTGCTATGCTCCCCGGGTGTTGCAATCATTATGGCTGGGAACCCGTTCAAGAGCGCTTTCCTTTCGGAGGATCACCTATCCATGCCGAGAATGGGCTCAAGGCCGATATGTGGGTTATAAATGATGAAAGCCATGGTATTTGCGCGGACTGACCTAGTTTCATCATTAGAACTGCCAACACAACGGAAGATCCTGATGGCTTCTACTCGACCGACTATTATACCAACCAATTGATTCAATATTTCGAAGGTCGGTCGGAATCTGAGCAACAGAAGCCTTTCTTTGCATTTTTACCCTACACCGCTCCCCATTGGCCTCTCCAATGCTCCAAGGAACAACGAGACAAGTAAGAGTCAATTCAAAATAGTCAGACCCGCAACCTCCACTGACCTATCCGTATTAGGTACAAAGGCATGTATGACGATGGACCATATGCTTTAAGAGAGCGACGCTTAAGCAAGCTTGCTGAGATGGGTATCATTAATGAGTCTGTTGTTCCCCACAAAGTCGAAACAAGCACTGTGGGCGCCGGGGAGTGGGAAAACCTCACCGCCGATGAGAAGAAACTGTCCAGCAGAGCCATGGAGACATATGCCGGTATGGTAGACTCAGTCGACATCAATGTTGGTAAGGTGGTGGAATACTTGAAGAAGACAGGAGAGTATGACAATACATTCATCGTATTCATGAGTGATAATGGGGCCGAAGGCGCTGCGTGAGTATCACATATTCCCAAATATCAACCTTGAAACAAGCTGACGAAACGACACCCGAAAAGAATTGAAGCAATCCGTAAGTAACAAGAAGCTCATAATAAGCAAAACTCGGGGATTATTTTTCTAACTGAACTTTAGCCGTTATGGGAAACAAGGTTGTGAGCGCTATCCACCGGCACTACGATAACTCCCTCGATAATATTGGATCTTTCAACTCATTCACTTGGTAGGATACGTCTTATTATTCAACAAGGGGTTTCCATTAATATTCATTATTCAGGCTCGGCCCACTGTGGGCTCAAGCGTCAACTGCGCCATCGAGGCTATTCAAATGCTTCCCTTCCCAGGGCGGCATCCTTGTTCCCTGTGTTGTCAAGCCTCCAACCAACACTTTCAATTCGTCCTTCCAGCCAGGGTCTTTTAATAGATCGTTCTCAACAGTGATGGACTTTTTGCCCACCTTTCTCGAGCTGGCTGGCGTCTCGCTGCCTCCTGCATCGGAGAAAATTCCGGCTTCTGCTCTAAGTAGAGGGGCTTCCACCCGTTGCAAAATGACCACCTTTCGGGGAAGAGATGTTCATGCCATACGAGGCAAGTCCTGGGTCCCACTTTTTGTGCAAGACAAGAAGGTCGAGGATGAGGAAATGTGGCACATCCACTCGTCTTCAGAGCCTATCGGATGGGAGCTCTTTGCGCGTGGAGCACTACGAAAGGGGGACTGGAAAATTGTTCATTTCGCTAGAGCTCAAGGAGGAGCTGGCGAAGGAGATGAGGGGTGGGAGCTGTTCAATGTCGTTGAAGACCCTGGCGAGACCAAGGACTTGGCCGAAGCGGAACCAAAGAAGCTAGCGGAACTTCTGGCATGCTGGGAGGAGTACGTAGTAGAATGCGGTATTGTATGGGGCGAGGATGCTCTTGCACCCGGATTTAGCGTTGAGGAGGCTCCGGAACTGTGGGAAGATGAGCTGGAACTACAAAGATCGTGGATGGGGGCTGGGGCAGGACAATGTCCGGCTGCGTGCCGTTGAAAGAGGCAGGCCGTAATAAAATATCATTCACTAGAATATTTGTCAATCTTTTCCACACGTTTGTTCACAATAAGCTCAAAAATATAGCTAGGGAGGTGACTTGATGCTCATAAGCGGATCATAGCCATTGTAGCACCCATTTATTCATACGAGTTATCGGAACAGTATCTAGAAAGGGTCGGGCAAGAATGATCCCGTTGAATGCTGGATAAGATCACGCAATTGAGCGGGCCCATGATCAATAGACGCAGAGTGGATATGACGATTAAAAAGGAATGAGTTGCGTGGAGAATAGGGACGCGTAGCCGAGATGTCTCCGCTCGTTCCGAGCGAGAATAATCACTCCGAGCGAGACATTCCTTGGCGTTCTGTAGCCCCAAACCCACGCAGTCTTGTCAGAAGTCTCTAGCTCAAAGATGATCAGAACCCATGATCTTTAAATGAGATAGTATGCCCCATAATCTGTTCAATCCCTAAGGTTTAGGCTCTTTCAGGAAATGGCATCTTAGGTGGCCCGGTCAAGGAGCTCGAAAATGTGGGGCCCCGGATTTGTCCCCCCTCCGGACTGTTAGGGGGACTTCGCAAACTTCCCCTCGCTCCGAGCTCTTCTGTATTTCTTAATTCTCGTCCAAAAATACTTGAGCCACCCTGGGAATGGAGGACGTCGGAGTGGAGACTCAAATACAGGGCCACGCAAGATCCCATGCGACTTCACGGAACTGTGAGTCTCCCAGTACCAAGATACCGATCCGACGTACTCGAACCGGTTGCACTACATGCCGATCAAGGAAGGTAAGGCAACCCTAGAATTGGATAGCAACGAATTGAACTCTCTGAACTAATCGAGAGTCAGGTTAAATGCGATGAGAAGAGACCGGCCTGTTCACAATGCCAAAAAGGGAAGCGACTCTGTGACTGGTCAGCGCCAGGAAAAAAGAGAGTTCAATATTCACGAAGACCTAATGCGACGTCATGTATCACTTGTCGCGAGAAAAAAGTAGTTTGCTGTCTGTCAATTGCTGTCTGATCCTATCTAACTTTCTCCTGCAGCTCAAGTGCGTCGGAGACGTAACAGCTCCTTGTGGAAAATGTAGAATGACGGGCATAAAATGTGTTCGCGCTCTTGAAAGTATTGAACCTGCACCCGATGATTCTGGACAACAAGGGTATCATAGTGGTGCAACCATCAGAGATGCTGTTTCATCCTCTTCTCTTCATGTATCCTCTCTGAGAACGCGTCTAGATTTACCTAGAGCTTCCACTGGTGCCGAACTCGAGTCACAGTCATCCACTCAGCAGCAGCTCACAGGTCATCCACCACCATTCAAAGCACAGCTACCGTCCAAATCGGAACTTGAAAAGCTGATTCAGCTCTATTTCTCGTCTGTGCATCGTAAGTATCGCGCTATCGCGCTATAATGCTTCTAGTAGAATATGCTAATGTATAGGCTGGTCTGAAGACTTTGGGTTTCTTACTTTTATTCACCCGCTGCACTTCCACCGTCTTTTAGCTGACGGCAAAGCCCCTCGTGAACTCACTTTGATCATGATTGCAAATGCAATGCGGTATGTAGAACACTATTATGGGGATTATCCGGCAAGTACTGATGCAATAAAATCAAAGATTCGCTGGTGAAATCTCTTCAGAAAACCTGGCCAAAGCAGATGCTTGGGCTGATACAGCAATCGAGGCTTTGCTTCCCCGAATCTACCAAGGCTTCGGAGCCATACAGCTCATGGTATGTATTTGGTATCTGATAGGTTGCCCGTGATTCAATTGCTGTGCCGAAACAATGCTAAAAGCGTAGCCAGACACTTCTACTCGCCCAACACTACGATTTAAACCGGGGCAACTTCACATCGGCGTGGTTACTAGGGGCTAACTGTACCCGGTAAGTAATAGCAGCTCTGAGTACTTGATTTGTCATTCTTGGATATTTCGAATATCAAAATACTCGATAATCATGAAATACTGATTTACCTAGAATGATGCAAATGATGTCTCTCCAAGCCTTCGATCGCACTTATCCGGCTACGTTTCCGCCAAATTTGCATCTCTCGCCGTTGCTTTCCTGTGAAGCCCTCCGACGCCTAGCATGGAGCACATTTTTCATGGATTCCTTAGTCGACGGGGGGCGATACGGGTTTCACACTGTCGACGAAAATTCTTATCGCCTTCAGCTCCCGTGTGACCAAGCAAGTTTCTTAGCCAATGAGACTGTAAAGACAGAAATGCTTTTCCATCATCAAAACGATCCATCATCTTCCACCACTAATGAACATATTCAACGCGGGCCGTTGGATATGTCGGCATACCTCATTCGAATTGCAGCTGCTCGCCGTCGGGCCTTGCACTTTGCGTTCCGCGCCTCTCACCGAGAGGAGACCGTGGAGAGAATGACGACCGAGTTAGAAACACTGGAGGAGGATATAGGAGCGGTTGTTGCCGAATTACCAAAGCGCTTTCAATTTAACGCGGACAATATGTTTATTCACCGTGAGCGGCTCACTACATTTATCGTCCTTCATATTCTGCGTCACAACCTTTTCATCATTCTTGGTAGAGCAGCGCTGCTCATTTATCAAAGAGATCCTTATAAAGCAGACTTGATCGTCCAAGTACGACAGAAGAGGATATCCCATGCCTTGCCTATTGCTAGTATCATTGCCGAGGGTCTGAAAGCAGATATTTGCTTTGATACTCATGTGGGTATTCAAGCATATGTGGCATTAGAAAGTAAGTCGGCAGCATCTGGATGTGTACTGCCCCATGCCAGAATATCAGCATCATTCTAACATGTCATAGTCTTGCTATTTGAGCCCCGACGTCTTGCCAACATAGATTCTAGTGTGAATCTCAAATCACCGGAGCTGATGAAAGCCATTCCCTACCTTTTGACTGTCATCCGAGACCTTGGTCACCGGTCAGAGTCAGTAAAACAATTGGTATGTTTAAGACCACCCTACTTGAGAAAGAACACTTTCATGTATACTAAGAAGACGATCTCCAGCATATTGAAGCCGTGCACCGTCTCCTGCGCTGTGATTTTACCCATGTTATGAATCAAACCGATTTCAACGCATTCCACAGGTATCATAGAAACTGGATGATTGACATGATACATCGAAGCCCTGCTAATCCTTTTCTCTCTATTTAAAGTGAATACCGATTGGTCGGGCAAGACCCGGCCGAGTATGACTTTCGTGACTTTCGATGGGCGAAGCTCGAGCGCATCCGCCGAGGTGCGCGGACCGTGGCCAACAATGAAGGTCGCAACGAAGCATTACTGGAGTATCAAGTTGATGGAGAGGTGACTGATCAATTAGTGGCCCCATCCCCTCGTCTTGATGCCATGGATGTGAACAGTGCTGTGAACATCTCCTGTTCTAGCGTCTCACAGTCTTCCCATGGACTTGGTCTATCACTGTCCACCGGAGCTTCGGGGAGTAGCAACAATACGGCCATGTCCGCCTGGCACTCCCCTGGGCCAGAGAGTCAAGGTCAGGAATTCTCGTTCGACTGGCTATGGCTACTGGAAGAATCCGGTCAGTCGATCTACCAAACGGGAGACCCAGTCACATTCTGGAGTCAGTTGCAGCGGATCTGAGGTGAACATTCGAGATCCCGAGAGTTAGATGGTCAAAGGCACGCTCGGATCGATGTTGTATTACCTTTTATGGCAGTCCGAGAATCGTATACCCTAGTGTTGTCCACTACTGTACCTCTGCCCCGGTGCTCCACTCGACTGTGGCCTGCTCACACCATCATCAGGTTGAAATGAGTCATCGAAACCAAAAATCAAACGAAAAATATTCATCTGTGGATCTCAGCAGGCCATTGTGCTTATAATTTAAGGCATTCATGCTGATATTCTGCTCCGGCCGCTCTGTCCCTCAGTGGCGGAGGAGGTAGTAGAAGTACCGGGGCCTTCACGGCCGGAAAGAGTCCGCAATGTGCCTCGGCCGGACGGTGTGATTGGGCGGTGCTGGCCTGGTCCCGTGGAGCCGCCGACGACGGACTGCCCCAACGACCACAGCCGGTCGCTGAACCCTGGCGAACCACCGCCAGCCTCCCCATTGACCGTCGTTGACCGTCGTTGACCTCTTCAACCAACCACCAGCCACCGCGTCGTCAGGTGCCGCCGCCTGCCTTTCTTGCTGGCTGCGCGCTCATCCTGGTCTCCTCAGCGTTGTGACCACCGCTGCTCAAAATCTGCCGCACCCTCGCCGTTTTCGTGCACAGCACCCAGTCATCGCGCCCGTATTGTTTGGATTGCCAACCACCGCTGGGTCTCCTCCCCCGCGTGAGCCGTGGTCGTGATCTACGACCCCGATAAGGTAGGGTACATTTTCGTTATTTGCCCCTCCCCGAACCATGCAGCCAGATAAGAAGCACGGGTGCCGCGTCGTTGCGCCGCACCCAAAGTCTTTGCGGTTATCACGATGGGGATGTTAACATTTGGTCGTTTCCTTAGCCGGCCTTACCCTCACTACCGGGACGGCCCAACCATCTTCTCCTTCCAACAGCAGTTCTTGATGGAGGAATCCAGCGCGCGCGACCGCCGCAAGTCAGATGCCGCCATGGTCGTCGACTCGTTGGTCACCACCCCATCCGTCGATGAAATCGATACGCCGTTCCTCGACGACTATGACCACGATGACTTCTACTCCCCTCCTGCATCACCCGGCAGACTGTCGCGCACCGGCTCCTTCTCGAATAGCAGCTCCTATCAAGAGGACTGGGAAACATTCCCGCCACTCGATAAGCTCACCATTTTCGATCTCCTCGATAATATCCAACTGTCGCAACGCTTCGAGAAATGGCAACACGCCATTAGCATGCAGCGGGAGAAGGTGCGCAAACAACGTGAGAAATTACGGTCAACAGGCATGGTCGCCAGAGAGCGGGTAGTCGGCGAGTGGAAGCGACGAGTCCCGACAGCCGACGAGCAGCTTGAGAAGTATCGCCGCCGCATGAAGGACGGAGTAGAGCGCCTGGGGAAACAGTGGAACAAGACGGCCACAGTGACCCTGCGCGAGAAAGTGTCCTTCATCGCTGGTGTGCTCAACATCTTCATCAGTGGCTACCTGATTGGAGCCTTTCCCGAGTACTTCTACATTTGGTACACAGCCCAGCTGGCGTACTTTATGCCCATCCGGTATTTCACCTACCACGCCAAGGGCTATCACTACTTTCTGGCCGATCTTTGCTACTTTGTCAACCTGCTCAACATGCTCACCATTTGGGTCTTTCCCGGCTCGAAACGACTATTTATCAGCACGTTCTGTTTGACCTTCGGCAATAATGCGGCTGCGATTGCCATGTGGCGCAACTCTTTGGTCTTTCATAGTATGGACAAAGTTGTCAGGTATGTCAACCCTCAATTTTTTTTTTTTAAAAAAAATGCCTATCCGAAATCAACAGTGATTGGGAGTTAACATCAATTTCTCTTCTAGTCTCTTCATTCACATCATGCCGCCTGTCACGCTGCATTGTATTGTTCACTTGACCCCCGTCGAGATGCTCAAAGAGCGCTTTCCAGCTGTCTACGCCATTAAGTTTAGCCAGCCAGGCGACCCAGAACACTACTCACTGGGAGCCATGATCATCTGGGCCACCATCCCGTACCTGGTCTGGCAGTTGATGTACCACTTTATGATCAGTGTCCGTCGCGCCGACAAAATCGCTGCCGGCCGTCCAACCAGCTTCACCTGGCTGCGCAAATCGTACTCGAAGGCCTGGATCGGAAAGTTTGTTCTAAGTCTTCCCGAGACCTTGCAGGAACCAGCTTTCATGCTTATCCAGTATGTGTTTGCGCTTTCTACTATGATCCCGTCCCCCATCTGGTTCTGGTCTCGATGGGCGAGTGGTATCTACTTGTCTGCCTTGTTTGTCTGGAGTATCCATAATGGGGCAACCTACTACATAGATGTGTTCGGAAAGCGGTTCCAGAAGGAACTAGAGCAACTGAAGAAGGATGTTGTGCGCTGGCAAAGTTCCCCCGACTTCGCAACCAGCCCGCTCATCCTCCCGGATAGCTATGTCCCTGCCAGTGGTGCTCTGGGTGCACCGGCGCCACTGGAGAAACGGTCCAGCATCGACCGAATTCCACTGCTGGATTCCACTGCCGCGCTGACAACTGCCGTGGAGGAAGCTCCTCGGGCCTCCGATTCCACTGTTCGCGAACGAAACTAAGTGCTAGGGCACTTCCTACCTTATTCTCATCATGATACCCCTGGCGCACATTACATGTTTTGTATACGCGATGCTAATCTGCACGGTCTTCTTGACTAATGTTTTCCTGCTATTCTGGATCAATTTGAGCGTCGGGCCGTGTGTTTTTCTTTGGGCGGATGGTACACTTTTCCCTCGCCCCCAGTTCCTTTTCGGATCCTCTGCATAGAAGTTATTTATATTAGATCTTCATGATGAATGCTACGAAATGACTTGCTTTGTACAGAATGTTTACTGCTGCCTGGATCCGTGAATGGCGTTTGCAATGTTCTGGACCACCGAGTATTCTTGGAATGTCTTGGCTCCGATCGGGTCCCATCTGCGCCGATCACCACTCGTCCATAGAAAATTAAGTCCGACACAAACCCGAGACCGAATGCGGCTAGCGTAGAAACGTGATCCATGATCACGGCCTTAAACATCATCTTCCCAGGCCGCTCCGACGTCGCTATCCATCATCATTTATCAGATTGAACATTTGAATTATCGGTTGATCATCTTGGGACTGTTGATTGTCATATATACGCCTCACTGTCCCGGATTCTACCGTTGCCTGCTCGGTTCCCCGGGCTTGTCCCTTTTTTCCCACTCCCCCAACATTTCCGGAAATGTCCGCCACTATGAGGTCGGCCCGACTGGTGCGCAACAGCACGACATTGCGCCCGACACTGGCTGGTACGAACATGCTACATAGCCCAAATGATGCGGTACACAATTGCTGACAGCTTTGCTCTTTTTGATCAGCCCGCACTCGTGCTAGTGCGTTGGGCCCGGCCTCGCTGGCTGCGGCCAACAGCCTCCTGTTCAGCGGTCGCGGCATCCCATCGCAAGTGTCTGCTCTTGCGATTTTGCTTCCCCAGCGTGGCTATGCAACTGAGCACAACAAGTCGACTTCATCCCAATCATATCCTCCGCCCGGATTCAATGCCGAGCAAGCAAAGAAGCCGCTCCCGCAAGACCAAGCACAGTCCCAGACCGTCACCAAGCCTGCCATTTCTCAAGCTCCGCTATCCGATATCGCCAAGACACCTGCAAAGGGCATGTCGACGAAGTCTGTCGTAACAGAGGAGACTAAGAGTGTGGCCGAAGAGAAGAAGGAGGCAAAGAAATTGACCATCGGTCAGAAGATCAAAAAGGAGGTGCAGCACTACTGGGATGGCACCAAACTACTTGGAACGGAAGTTAAGATTAGTTCGCGGTTGGCATTCAAGATGGCGGCTGGTTATGAACTCAGTCGCCGAGAGCATCGTCAGGTTGGTCTTATGAAATGTTCGCGCTGAATTAAGTTGACGCAAGCTAACTGAACTTTTTCAATAGCTGCAACGTACTGTCAAGGATCTCGGTCGCCTGGTCCCCTTTTCCATGTTCATTATTGTTCCATTTGCCGAGCTTCTGCTTCCCATCGCTCTGAAGATGTTCCCCAACCTCCTTCCCAGCACATATGAAGGCCAGAAGGCACGCGAGACTAAGGCATTAAATCTGAGTTCGACCCGCAAGGAGGTCTCCGGCTTCTTGCGTAATACTCTACGGGAGACTGGTCTGCCATTGACTGCGGCCACTGTCAAGAACGAAGAGTTTGCCGACTTCTTCCGCAAGATTCGCACCACGGGCGAGTCGCCCTCCACCGAAGACGTCATTAAGGTCTGCAAGATCTTCAAGGATGATCTGACTCTGGACAATCTGTCGCGCCCGCAGCTGGTTGCCATCTGTCGGTACATGAACCTGAACTCTTTCGGTACTGATGCTATGCTGCGTTACAACATCCGTCACCGCATGCGCCAGATTAAGCGTGACGATCGGGCCATCTCCTTTGAGGGTGTGAACTCGCTCTCCGTGCCCGAGCTGCAAATGGCCGGCGCCTCTCGCGGCATCCGCACACACGGAATGTCTCCTGCACGTCTGCGTGAGGACCTCTCCATGTGGCTGGACCTGCGCCTGAAGCAAGGTGTCCCGTCCACCTTGCTGGTGCTCAGTAACGCCTACATGTATACCCAGGGTGGCAAAGAGTCTGAGATGGCCTCGCAGATTGATGCGCTCAAGTCTGTGTTGTCGAGCATCCCTGAGGAGCTCTTCCACGAGATCGAGCTGGAAGTGCACAATGCTGAGGGCGCCGCGACTAACAAGCAGCGTCTTGAGGTCATCAAGGAGCAGGAGGAGCTGATCGAGGAGGAGAATGAGCAGAACAGTGAGAACGAGGGCAAGGGCGTTGCCGCGCCGAAGGACACCGAGGACATCGATGAGAAGGAGGAGCACAAGATTGAGGCTGCCTCCGAAGGTACGGAAAAGCAGTCCACCGAGGCAACTGAGGCCATGGCCGAAGGCGCCAAAGCTGAGGAGGTCTCCAAAGACGACAAAAAGCCCAACCAGCAGTCGTAGGGCATTCATTCTATGACTAGCTTGGTATCTGTGCTTGTTCTGGCGGTTTCCACTGTTTCTTTTCTCTGTTTCGCTGGTAAACATATAGATCTGGTTTATTTTGTGCTGCTTTTTCTCTCCTTGTTGGGCGATCCTTCGGTTCTCATTCTTTGTTATTCTCCCTGATATGTTGATATAGACTCTTCCTCTCTCCTTCACTGTACCCTTCATCTTCTCTCGACTCGCCCTGGCCCTCCTTTGACTCTTTGTCTTTTTCATCTTGACCTCTTACCTCTTTTTCTGCTCCCTTGCCTTGAAACTCATCCTTGCTTGTTTGCGTTTCCTTTTCTCATTTCTTCAACATGCATCGTCGAGGAGCTGGTCGGTGTGCCCTTTTCGTGATGCTTGGGCGAGAGTGAAATATGGGATGCATTGGGTTGAATGGGGACTCTGGACTCACAATGGGTGCAGTCGATGTGGTTGTCTGGATGCGAAAAGCGCCTCTGTATTGATAGAACAACCCCAATCCATGTGAAGCATTTTCTTGGACTCATGCTAGTTTTTCTATTTCTGATACGTAATATCCTCGCCTCTGTCAGGCTCAGAGAATTGAAGAACACTATACGAAGCTCAATCTTCAAAGTTCCAGTTCGGTCCAGCCATTAGTCACCGGCTACTGTGTAAACCTCGCGACCTCGGCAAACCCCAAACTCCCCAAACCTTCGTTGCAACCGCAGTTCAATTCGGTAGATTCACTTCCCCGCCAAATTAGCCTCGTGGTCGGGATCCATTGCGGTTGATTACGCGATCGCCGTGATTTGAACCTAGATCCGCTGCGTCCTCCCCCTATACTGCTAACAACTACTCTCCACTATCCACTATCCCGCGGTCTACTATGCGGAGACGCCCGCTCCAGCTGCTCGACACTCTCCGCCACAGCCAATTTAGATATACTCACAGCTTGTTAACCCCTCCAGCCCGTCTTTTGCATTCTATTGGCCGGTTGCCCACATCCAGTCCGATGGCTCCGCTAAATCCCGCTTCCCAGGTACGTGTAACGGTGTCTTGCGGTGCCTACCCGGCGCGCACGTCTTGTTCTCTGAACCCAAGTTTCTCTATCCTCATCGTCATGCCAACCGGCCTCCCTGGGGTTCGCCTTGATCACCATCTATGCCATTGGTAGCCGCTTTTGGGAATAGGCCTACCTCCCGTGCCAAGGTCTATCCTGTCTGTGGTTCCCAAGCCCTTCTTTCTGGTCTTTGCTGTGCTGCACCGGTGCTAGACATCCATTTTCAACCTCCCTTTGCCCTCGTTTTTTCTATTTTTCTTTTTTCCCTTGGAAAAATGCCCTATTTTCTTCCTGCCCAATAGGTTCCCACGAAAAACTTCGACAAACCTGTTCTCTAGGTTCAGAAGTAAGTCGTGTCTTGAATCAGGGTGGATGGACATCCCGGGTCCACTATGGCTCTGAAACCCAACCCGAGGCCGCGTGGCAAGTATGTCGCAGAGCAAGCCCGAACAGAAGAAAGCAAGCTGGCATATGACCTGAAAAAGCAAAACTGAATCCCTGAAATGCGTGACCACTTCGAAATGGGAATGCCCCGATTAAGTCAATCAACGTCACTAACCCGTTCCCCGTGCAGGAAGCCATTGAGAGACTTCGAAACTATACCCCACCACCAACCGCATATGGCAATGTGCCACTCAATCGACGAGCAGCCGTGCTGATTCTTCTCTACGCCGACCCCCAGGGTGATCTCCGGGTGGTTATTACGATCAGGGCCAAGACATTAAGTTCCTGTAGGTCTGCCTCCACTTCCATCCAAGAGTTACTCCCCGGGTATGACCATGGCTTGGATCAACTTCAATCCCTGTGTATTATGTCATTATGAGCACCGCAATGACTAGAGAATTGGCTCGGCTATGCGCTGTACGGCCAGACTGCCCTCAAGACCAGCCGATGCTGCACAACATATGCATTATGCTGACGCTATATTGGTGCAGATGCAGGAGAAGCTGCTTTGCCTGGAGGTACGTTTTGACCTCTCCTACACCGTTATCCGTACATAGCATCCGAGCTCCAAAAATCCCCCAAAGCGCGCAAATTTAGGGGAGAAGAAAACAAACCAATAAACCCCAGATCTGGAATACGCTCCGTGAGATGAAGAGCTACCCCATCCCTGCAGCCTCGTACCCATGAAAGAAGCAATTCTCTACGAGATGCGAGAAAAAGCAATGCTATCTGGGGTAAAGCGAGGGGAAACAAAAAGGGGGCGGACAGATAGCGAGCTCTCTGTGCAACGTTTCCCCGACCATCCTCATTTGACTTCTTCCCAACCCAACCAAACCTTATCTCCGTCACCCGCCTCGAAGCAACCCCCAACCACTAACCACCTCACAGGCCGCGCCGACACCCTAACTGAAACCCCCTTTCAGACTGCTCGCCGCGAAGCTTGGGAGGAGATCGGCCTGCCTGACATCGCCCAGCCCCTGCCGCCACCCTTTGCCGTCGAGCACCTCTGCGAGTTGCCGGCTAACTTGGCCAAGACCGAACTGGTCGTGCGGCCCTGCGTGGCCTTGCTGCATGCCTTCGATCCGCGTTCCGGGACATCAGTTGACCCGGAAGTCGAGTTGATCCCGAAGCTGGACGCGCGTGAGGTTGCGGCCGTGTTCACAGCTCCATTTCGGGACTTCTTGCGCGCGCAGGATGATAGCGAGGAACCTGGGAAATGGTACCGCGGGTCATGGAGCCTATGGCATGATAGTAATTGGCGGAGTAAGTGAGATCCTTTCCATTGATATTCGATTGTATTGCATTCCGTGCCATGCGTTTCATTCCTTCCTCTCATGCTTCGTGGACCGTTTCTCCCCAATTGCACCCTCTAAGCCTCCCCCTTTCCGGGGAGGGCCTGATCAACTCGCCCTGTCGGAGCCTAACTCTTCCGAATCCTTTGCGGGACGCATGGCAAGGTACGACAGGGCCTGCGAACATGCGAGAAGCAGGGCCCACCGTCCTGCCGTCAAACCCTCCAGGAACACCCGGACCCACACCCCATGTTTGTTGGCTTCCGATCGCCCCTAAGAGATGAGAGCCTCCACAGCCTTAGCGGGTTGCATGTCTAAGACGTGGCAGGGATAGCCTGTCGCGCCAACCATGCGCCCGGGTGGATCGGGTTCCTCATCTTAATCTTACTTATCTGGCATTGGGGGCATCGGGTTGCCTTGTTTCTTTCTGGGTGGGGAGTTTTTATTTTGTTTTGCTTATTTTCTATTATTTTTCGATCTATTATTTTTGGGCTAACCTGTCGGGACTCCCCCGCACCAGTGCACCAATTCTTCGTCCGCCCCAACGCGGATCGGGTCACGAAACCCCGGCCACGTCGGGGCAGCCAGACGCGGGCGCAGAGCCGGGCGGCCGATCTGCTGGCGGCGCAGGAACATGCCGGCGCGATCGAGCGGTATCGGGTGTTTGGAATGACGGCGCGTATTATCGTCGACGCGGCACGGGTCGCGTATGCAGAAGAGCCGGAATTCGAGCATAACAGCCACTTCGGAGACGAGGCGATGATCGCCAAGTTGCGACGGCTGGGCCGGCTCAGCGCGGTGCGGCGCGCGTCGGATGGGCTAGACCGTGAGACGATGCAGAAGGCGGCGAAGTTGAGCTGAGCCGGCGAGGGTAAGTTAGATAGGGAGGATATACTTCTTTTGATCATATACGGTTCATAACTGGCCGTTCGGCCGTAGCTAGGGCTGAAATGCGGCCAGTGAACCGACCCTGTTCTATCCAAGTTGATAGATCTCGAGATGGGATTGGTAACGGATATTCCGTATACCATTACTTTACCATTACTATACCAATTATATACAATAATGTATCCGAATGGCTTACACTCATCGCTGTCTCTGCCTCATGGCCCCATACCCGAGCCTCTAGCCTCTGTTCGGCCAGGGGACATTAGAAGCGAGCTTTATACTAAAGCGGCCTAGCCTCGGTGGCCCCGGAGTTGATCCAGAGCGCCCTGGGAGAGAGAGAGAGAGGATGCCTGAATGGCCCCGATTCAGAGCCGTGGTTGGCTGGCCAGGTATTGTTTTGACCCTGGTCCTGACGACCTAGAGTGCTGAGGCTTTTGGCGTTCGTTCATTCGGACCTGCCAAGCGTCCGCAGCATTGCAAGGGTGTTCGGAGACTAGCGACGATCCGGCCATCCTGCCATCCTGTTGTCCCTCCTGCTTCCTTGCGTGGCGTCATCGTCCGTTCTCCGCTTCTGGTTTCTTTTGCTTTGCTCTTGTTTTTGCTGGCCTGGTTTCTCCGGTTCCCGCTGGTTGGGATTCGGCCGGTTCGGTTCACAATGCCCAATTTAGCCTCCCCTGGTTGTTTCTTTTTTCTTCTTCTTTAAGTCGATGGGTTCGATGGGTTCTTCTAACGTGCGATCCGTTTATTTCGGTCCTTGTCGCCGCGTCTGATCCTTTGATCCTGCGCCCCTTTGGAACGGGGAAGTATATAGGCTCGCGACGACACCTGAGTTATCGATAGCGAGCTCGACGAGGACGTGAGAGCACATACTTCGCGTCCTCCAATTTTTCCTCTTCCACATCCCCCTCTGGCCCACCGAACCAGCTCGGTGCCTGATCCGTTCCTGCGCGGAATCCTCTGCCAGGAGTTCGTGACTCCTCCAACGGACGGAAGAATATCCCTTGCAGTCCTCCTCCCCCCCGACGTCCGTGCACAAACCCATGACGGCGTTGCCGATCGCCTGCTCTGACTCGAAGTGGAGATAAGCCAAAGTTCCAGCCCAATACGACTGTACCGGACGCTGCAGGCCCGCATACGTTAGTATACATATAGACGCTCTATACGTTGGACAGGTTCGACATTGCGCACCCCCTCCACTCGACGTGGATCAACCCCGGCCATTGGTACTAATACCAATCCACGTCCGCGCTTCTTTGTTCTGCTTCGAGTCTCTTCTCTTTGTCGGCCTATTCCAGCTAACCCCTTCGTTCTGGATGGGCTCGTGTTTCGTTTGTTCGTTGCAAGATTGCTCCCCTTTGCATCGATCTACCCCCTCTCGAACTCGGATCTCTCGTGTGGAGGCTATGAGGAATCCAACTCGTCCTGAATAACCCCACAGCCTACAACTCGTCCAAGCCACATTTTGTCTCGTTCTTCACATATAACCTCCGAGGAGGTCTACAATCCGACTGTGCTCACCATGCTGTCGCCCACCTACCACGTCCACCGTCTGGCACCGCCAGTCAGGCCGTCTCGATCTTTGGAAGGCCTTGAACGGGTCATCCCTCCGTACTATCTCAAACAGCCTCCTTTTTCACCCTCGCGATCCGAACTCTTCCTCAATAAACCTCTTCCCGCTGAGCCGCTGCCCGAAGACCCGACCGAGGAATATTCCGGCATGTGGAGCGACTCAAGCGACAGCGAGAGCACTGTCGATTCCATCGCCAGCCCCAGCGATCCCCGCAATTCCACGGAGAGTTATCCTATCTTCGTCAGTTCCAGCTCCGACGACTTCAGCGATTTGGTCGATCACCCGACCCCCCACACATCAAAGGAGCTTGGGTCAGATCCGCTCATCTCCACCACGCTTCGTATCCGAGAAGGATTCGTGCACGGACTCGCCCTCCGTTGTGGTTTCTGCGGCCCCCGCTAGCAAAGCGAGTACCGGGGATGATGATGATGAGGATGTCCATTCCATCGCCGAAAAGTCAGATGCCCAATATGGGCGGCTCTCTCACTGGTCCCAGAACCGAAGTGGCACAAATCACTATTTCCGCGAGAAGAAATGGGATTTCTTCCCTGAATTGGCGACTCCGTCCGCTCTGCAAGCCAGTGGGCGAACGAGCCCCAGTCTTCGCAGTAGCAAAGCACGCAAGAAGGACGGACGTTTAAACCTTGCAGCGAAGCGGCGGCGGTGGCATTCGCTGGATCGAGCGGGATTGGGACTAGCTTATGGCGTCTGTGACTCTATCAAGACTCACGTCCACCGCACCTTGTCCCGCGAGTCGACAGAGCCCAAACCTAAAGACAGCCCTCGACCCGCAACCGCGCCAATGGATCGAATCGACCTCCCAACCAGCTCTGCCCGCTCTGGCGAGACCGTGAGCCTCGCCCCATCTTCCACTGACATGAATCTCCAATTCCGCGCCCTCTCTATCTCCACACTCTCCAGCACCAGCGAGGTCCCACCCAGTCCACGCTCAGTCGGCCCACGGCAGAAACAACTGGCCGTGCCCCTGTCGCCATACCAGAAATATGGGTCTGCCGTGTGGGAAACCCCCAAGACGCCGAAACCGCGCAGCTTGCGTCTTCCGAGACACAGCAAACACGCCACACCCTCGTCGTCCTCGTCGGATGTCTGCATCGCCAATCCGACACCCCCTCTTTCGCCACCACTGAAACTGCACCTCCAGCAGGGATCTCGGGATGCCATGCGTGCCTTGCAGGGGGCGAGGAGGAAGATGGTCGAGTCCAAGGACGATCGGCGCCGTGAGCTACTGAAGTCGCAGATTAGGCTGGTTGGGCCAGTCAACCCACATACGTGCCTGCAGGCAGATCCATGGCTCTGATCTGGCCGGTAATATGTCCCTTTTCCTTCATCTTTTCATTTTTTTTTCCCACGCTCATCTGTTCGTGGTGTATCTCTATACATGTAATACTCGGGGCTGGGGATGGGATTCCCCATGCCCTATTACGATCACTCATTTCTGGAGCTTTGATTTTCTTTGCTTCGCGCATCTGCCTTCTCTACTCTTCCTCGCCTGCTCTTTTCCTTGCTTCATTTTCTTCCAATATCGGGATGTCGGCTTGTTGATCTCTTCTTTGGGAAGGTTTGGTTACTGTCACTGTTTTAATTTGTTACTTAGCATCGGTCGATTGGCGTTGGGACGGGACGAAATTACACATGGCTGCTGGCCCTGATATGGCCTGGATTGCGGGGACTCATCGATTTTCTATACCTTTGGCATGCGGCGTTATCTTCCTTTGGCCTCTACGGAGTACTTTCTACCGCTATTATGCCAACTCACGGGACTCGTGAGTCGAGCCCTCGTCTTTGCAACACAATACATTTCTCATCCTCAAGTTTCAAAATACGTTGCCTACTTGTTCTCTCTAAAATCTTCCGTATCTTGCCACATCCCTGCATATCTTCCCTTTCCCCCTCCTCCTCTCCCTGCACAGGACTCTGCATTACATGCTTGAAAGCTGGTCCTGCTTGCCATCTTCACTCTTCACCAGTTGTGTTTCGCTGTGGCCTGCATGGTACAGCAGCCAGCAAAGCCTCCGATCCAATCGCGGGCCAACGTCCTTCAAGCCACCGATCGATGGCTGGTCCTCGCAGTCCTGAGCGCTTGGCTGTAGAACCCACCGAAGGCAACAGTGTGAGACCCTTCTACCACGACATCCATGTCCACCCTTCATGCGCATCTTCCCCGCAAATCGAGGCAAGGGCCACAAAAGAGCGGTGTCCATCTCACCATCACCCCATCCAACGCAGATCCTCGTTACATGCTCTTCGCCAATGCGGCAGCAGAATAGAGCCAGCTAATCTTGCATGTCTTGCATCTGGCCCTCCGATCCCGTCACCGACATTTGACACCGCACGCAGCCCAAGGCCCTAGCCTGCCCCGCTCTCAGACGTTTTATCTCTCTATCTCGCAGCCACGCTATTGCTTTCGTGCATGCCAACCGAGAGCGCCACGACGCCCCACGCCTATCAGTCCTCCGTCGTACGATCTTTGATCCGCCAATGGCTCCCTCCACCTCGCCATTCGCACGGAATCCCCCTACTGTGCATGGCCAAGTCCAGACTCCAGGCCAAGCCCTAAGCTCGCGAACCCTGACCCTACCCCCGGAACCGTTCGTGATCGAGCTGTTCGGCCGCTGGCTGGAGAACCCGACCACGGTGGTAATCCGCGAGCGCTTCGGCGAGGTCGAGGAGCAGGCTTGGTCGATTACGGCGTTTTTGCAGGATGTCGTGCAGGCGCGGGAGCAGATGGTGCAGGCGCTCAGCAGGGAGGACCGGGTACGGCTAAGGGATCCGGAGGGTTCTGTGTTTATCGCGGTCGTCGCCGAGGGCGAGTATGCGTTTGCCGTAATGGCGCTCACGGTCTACACCTTGGGTGCGGTGCTGGCCCCGCTGTGTAAGTTGCCCTGACAAGCATAATCGTATCTATGTATAGCGTAGAGATGCGGCGAGTGGGCTGGAATGGGGAATCTATATACTTCCTCCTGGTTCAATAACCCAGGACGATCTATAACAGCAAACAAAAGGCCAACAGTGGATGAACTGACCAAAATTGGAGTCTCTAGCACCGCGCGCCCACCCCGAGGAGGTGCAGTACTTCCTCACTACATGTGCGGCCTCGCTGCTCTGCGCTGTTCCCAGCACCGCAGCCCATGTCTGCGCCATCAGAGAGACCCTCCCTACACCCATCCAAACCTTCATCTTCACACCCACCCAAGACTACAGCGCTCCACTAACCTTCCAGATCTCCGACACCGAAACTCCCCTCTCCACAGACAGGGGCTTCGTTCTAATTTACACGTCCGGGACGACGGGCCCGCCCAAAGGCGTTCTGCACACCCGCGGAACTGCAACCACAGCCCTCTTCGCCCACCGGGATAAGCCCTTCGTGGCCGGTCCTGGAGACCTGTACTTGCACCACATGCCCGTCCACTGGGCGGGTGGGCTGTTCACCTTCTTCACGGTGCTGTTGGCGGGGTCATGCATCGAGTTCTGTAGCCGGGCGTTCAGTCCGGCGTGGCTACTGGCGCGGCTTGCTGACCCAGCGCTACCGCCAGCGACAGCGCTGTATTTGCCGCCGCCGATGCTGGATGCCGTGGCAGAAGAAGTGGATATATGGCAGGCAAAGTGGCCGGGGCGGTACGAGGGTGCGATAAAGGGAATTCGAGGGCTGCGGGCCTTGTCGTCCGGGGCAATGCCAGTGAGTGTGAGACAGAGGGAGGCCTGGAGGGGGATTTGGGGGAGGCCGTTGGGGGTGGGGTATGGGATGAGTGAACTGTTCGGGGTGGTAAGTCAGACGGAGGGGGTGGAGGAATGTCCGATGGTGAGTTTAATGGGTGGGACTGTGGTTTCTGTGTCGGAAGTACATTCAAACATCAGAGTTTGGCCGATGCTTACGGGCCTTTCTTCTAGGAGTCTGTTGGACGGATCGCATCTGGGATACAGGTGAAGATTGACGAGGAGGGTGAGGTTTGTGTCAAGTCGCCTGTTCTGTTCAGAAGGTCAGTCGTTTTCACGAAAGGGCAGTCCTACCTGAAGAATATATTGGTGTCAGTTTAGAGTGATATTTAATCGCAGGTTAGGTATATCTCACTGGATCCAGATATCATGAACGGCGTTTTCGACGCGGAAGGCTTCTTTCGAACCGGAGATGTTGGCAGGGTCGACGGAAAGATCCTTTATCTCGTAGGCCGAGCCTCTCACGATAGTATCCTGAACCTACTCCTTTCTTACTTTAAGACCTGGAATTAACTGGTTTTTTTTAGTTATTCGCTTTTATGCATGGAAGGTGTACGCGCCAGAGGTGGAGACCGCATTACGCCGGATCGATGGAATAGCGTACGCGATTGTGGTAGGCGTACCTGATCCACATTGCGGACAACGTGTGGCTGCCCTGGTGGTATACCATGATTCCGAGTCTCGGATCTGTCTTGAAAAGTTGCGGTTCCTGTTGGCTACGGAGCACGGTCTAGCAGCCTGTAAATTGCCGACACTTCTACGAGTCGCGCCATCGATTGCAGATATACCTTCTACTGTTATCGGCAAACCCATGAAAGGGAAAATCAGGGATGGGTATTTCAATGAGACGGCCCTGGCAGGAAGTGAGGTGGAAGTATGGAATATGGAGAAAAATGATGCGGGGGGTGTTGGGACCCGGCCATTCGATTGGGGTGGAATTCAAAGGTGAGTTTCTGCAGTCCGATCTGAACAGAAGTATGCATCCTGGCCCGCTTGAGAGGTTTCATAACATGTAGGACTTTGATGGACTCCCTACGGCTTGAAAATTGATATTTTTCCGAGTTGAAGTTCCTCCTTCCCAACACGTAGCTGCATAACCTCTTGTTTAACGCCATTCCTATGCTTGCATCCTTTTATCAATGAAAATTCCAATGAGAGAGCGTCAACGCAGCCACAATTTGGGAAACAGAGCTGATAGTTGTGACCATAAGTCTTTGGGCATCTACAGCCCAAACCGAGCTTAAGGATATGTGGGTGCAATGCAGGGATATGGTTTTGCTTTTGTTTTCTAGACGTCGCATGAAACACCATGCTCCATATTCTAGATCAGATAAGATCAGGAAGACAAGATTCACTTTGTGAGCGGCAATGTATAGATTTAATCTCGAGAGCAGTTTGAAGTTAAATTATAAGCAATATCAAAGATCTAAACGACCGATTCAATGATCCCATTTAACGGTCAAAGGGACTCACTTGGCAGCCCTCTCTTCAAATATGGTATGTGGTGCTGGAGGCTCAGTCTGGCCGTTTACCGCCCCTGAATGTCACTCCATCGCAACCAATCGATCGATATTAATAGCAGCTTACAAGATGACTCGCTATGTTGTGGAACCAATCCATAGGGAAAATGGGCTCAAGTTACACGATAGAATGCCGTTTGGATCCATTAAATGCGAGATCAATAAGCAATCCGCCAAAGAAAAATGCCATGAGATTCATATATACATAACGCACAAAACAAATCAAAATAATTATTTTATTGATTCGCTCAAAAATCGCTACAATACTTCTTCTTTCCGAAGAGAAAATGCAAAGGATGTCTAATCAGAATATTGAAAACTGTTCACACCTCTTTAAACTTGGCCTGATGCGCATGCGCTCTAACGGCAGGTGACCAAGGGAAATGGCCAAGAGGAACAGTGAAGAATCCGTTGCTCTTATCGAAGATACCCGCAAATGCGTTATACCATGCCGTAAAAGCTGCCAGGAGGCCAAAGTAGCCGCCTAGTCGCTGAGTAGTGACAGCTATGTTTCCTTGAGAATCACATTTCATATTGGCAATTCCAAGAAGTAGATAGTTCATGTCGAGAAAGAAAAACAAGAGGAACATGGCCAAGCTTGACTTCAATGTACATAGGAGCATCAGAGTGGTGAAGATGAACCATGCCTATAAGAAATGTTTCACTACGAGTTAATTACCAGTGCCTAAACTATTGGGCTCATATTACGGTGAGGAGGGTAGCTTACCAACAGAAAAAGTCCCATTAATGTTTCTTTCTGGCATACCGGGGTAGCTGAAGTACTTAAGGTATTGGTTCCTTCAAGATCAGAGATGACGCCGAAGGTGATCCAGTAAGCTCCGTAGGAGCAAAAGGAAGTCGCACCGAAGGTGTTTCCGAGAGCCATTTCCCTGATTTTGTTAATCATAGCTCATAGAAAGTTGGGTGGTCTGGTCCAACAAGTGAGTGATGAGAGAAGTTTGATGACATACCACATGCCAGCCAAGAATTGAGCAGTGCCCCCATATATTAGACCGGAGGCCACATTTTGCGCAGCAGTTGATAAGCCCATGTGCACGTTCATGATATTTGACATAAACGACGTGAGTGCAAAGGCACAGAGACCAAGAGGTGCTGGATTTGCGAACTTTCGCACTTCAGGAGGTGCAATTGTATGCTCAATCATATGAGGCAACATACGGCCATCTGGAATATTGGGTGGAAGAGGGGCATAATCATTCCCGGACTGTGAACCGACAGGGGTAGGGCTTTGACTATCTGACCCTTTCTGATCACATAGCTGGATCTTTGCGTGAGCTTGCTTTATTTCTGTCACGTCAATAACCGGTTCCATGGATGTTTGTTCTCGACTTGAGATCGTAATTGAAATTTGGTTGGGTGATCAGCGATATCGAGGAGTGATTGCAAAACCCAATAGAGACAAGACTATTCGGGCTCAAACTTAGAACGAAGAGCAGAGATTAGATACTTCATAGCTGGTGGGGGTCTGATCTGGTAAATATTCCTCCCTGGGCCGCAACAGACTCCATTGTTTTTCGTAAGTATCCATGCATGAGAAAACAGGTTTGCCACCTTAGCGTACTCTGGGGAGGGGGCTTAGACGCATAGAAGGAGCACGGCGAGGCCCGAGAATAGCGTCAGGTGCACATCATAGTTCGGAAATTGGCCAGTAATCTGTCATCTTTTCCGGGAATGAGTCATGAAAAGGTGTTTTTGATACTAGTGCTACAGTCGGGAATCAAGATTGGACCCGGAAAACGACTAGACTACGGGTAGGGCCGCAATGAAGGAAAAGTATATCGTGTCGAGAAGTTAGCTGATTGGACCCCATCATGGCCTACAGCTATAAAGAATATCTGAATCCATTTTTGACATCTATTAGTAGGGTGAAACTGACGTCTCCAGTTCTCTCTGCATACTACCATCCACATATCAACTACTCGGGCTGATGAAATTGTTGCAGAAACTCAATGTTTGAGTTATTGTTAGACTATATTAGGCCTGAAAAATTGACCACGTAGCTTTCTATCGTCTGTAGGCGAGAGCTTCTCGCCGAAACGCCGAAGCCGACCCTAAGACTAAATGGACTTTTTAACGTAATACTCCTAAATTTCCCGACCCACATTTATGAAGACCCATCCTCAATGTTTAAGACCGCTTTATTTATCAAAATCAAGACCAGGCAATCTAAGTAAGCAATAATTTAAGAAGCCATTCTATTGGAGTACACTATGTATATATTCTTGGGTGGTTGATGTTTTAGATCAACTGAAATCTTCCTCGGGTACGATGAAGCAATACATGTTGTCAGTCGACCGGAGTACGCCGGCCCCCGCAAAACATGAACCTTGACCCACACATAATCCAATTGGGGACATTTCAACCTACGAAGAAATTTTGGCACGCTACCAAAATGCAGCGAGGCTATTTAGCCTAGCTTAGGAATATGCAGTTCAGAATTACAATTCTGGAGTCTGTCACTTGACCAGCTCAGCACAGCCATCGCACCTAGCCCATGCCTAGAAGCATCTAGGCTATCGCTAAATAATCTAAGAGGCCTTGGCTGTCTCTCTAGTAGAAATTTGACTCGTGAGTTTTTCATTCGAGCTCCATTTTTGATGGTCGAACGTTTTTCGAAATCGTTCAAGTGAAAAATACTCGAAATTTGCCGGCATAAACCCTAGTCATCGTATAACTTTGCGCCCAAAATGATGCGATTTGAGTGCTAAATCAAGTTTTTCGCTCAGTAGCGTAGCATAAAATATCGACATCAAATAGAATTAAGGGTAAGTTGTCATCTGTATTTTGCTAAGACACACTGACTTTCATATGAGCTTGAGCTTCGGATTGGGCACCTCCATTCCCATAAGTCTCCTCGAATGTCTCATCCTCGCCAACACAGATTTTGTACGTCAGTTTCGCATATTTCCTTGCCTGAAGTTCTAGATCTGGGGCAACTGCATTATATGCATAAGACAGAACCATCCAACAACGAACAAGATTGTCATAGAGCAAGCCCCACTCTTTGACAATGATCGGCGTACCTGGTACCAGAGGCAGCCTTCCACCAAGAATGACATAACCCAGTGATTCAAGGCAGCTAAGAGCCGAGCTAATGACTTTGATAGGCTTAGCCTGCAGAACATATATCTCTGTAAGAGCCAGATGAAATCTCCAAATACTGAGTCGTGGGACTTTAGAACTTGGCTTCAGGTATGTCCTTTCAAGCTTCCCTATCTCTCTCTTGACTCTCTCTCCATCTGGGACTCTTGATGTGTTCAAGTACCACCACAGTGAATCCTTCAAGAGTTTCCTTTCCTTAATGGTGGTCTTCTTCGTATCCCGAATGTCTTGGCATATGATGCAACTGCAGGCAAACCCCCAGTGCTGGAAGTCTCGATCTTTTGTTCTGCAATCATCAACTGGCTGTACATAAAACACGGTAAGCTCGGTATGCCTCGGAATATCTCTGATTGCTCGTAGGATCATCATATCTCCAATGAAACTACGCCATGCATTGGGGTAGCAGGAGTGATTGAGTAATGATGCTGTAGGCCACAATCCGCACGATTCTAGCTCCCAACAAAGAAAATGCCCTGGGATTTGATTTTTATGGCAGTTTTGAGCGGATAAAGGTGAACCAAAGCAGTTCAGAAATGTAATCCTCTGTGCGAGAGATCTGCGTAAAGTTGTCTCAGATGACCAGCCATGATGCTTCTATACTTTCCGATGACTTACCTATCCATGGTAGAATGATTAATGCGATCAACGACTCGTGTTGGGCTTTCTATGCCGGGATGTAGGTTGATAATCGATGGTGTCAAGGACGGGTTCTGGGACACCTTTTGGAAAATTCGAGAACTAAGCTCCCTTTCTGCGCTGATTATTGCCGAATTCGTGGGTGGGCGTGTCTTCTTGATCTCATCGGCATGTAGACACAGGTATTCAAATGCTCTCTCGCAAAATAGTAGGTCGCCGACTTTTATTTCTTTGGTGGTAAACAGGCCACGGCCCCAACATTTCGTGGAACGCATAGCAATGGCACCCACGTGGGTTGCATGGTCGGAAGGTGCTCTCAGAGACTTAGAGACTTGTAGCTGCATTTTAGCAAATGCATATTTACCCGAAGTCAATTCCTTGACTCTGGCAATGGTTCGAATAAGCAAAGCCTTTGCAGCCTCGTTGTTGGAGTATTCATTGCAGCATAAGGCGAGAACATTCCATGTTTCCTGGTACCGAGAAAGGGAATAGAGGGCCAGTGCCTTCCGGTACAGAGCCTTTTCATACAGCTTGTGCGCTTTAGGTATATCTCCCAGATCTTCCAGGGCTGCATCAAATAAGCCAAGCTGGATATGGGCAAGCGAGCGATTGAGTTTGATTGTTTGTTCCTCTTTCTTTGCTGGAGACGAATCCAAGGCCTGTGAATATCTATCGCTCAAGTTAGTCTCTGCAGTGACCATGAAGTTGAGGATTGACCAACGATTGGATCGCAAGTAGGTAGTCTTGTTGACAAAAATGTCTATTTCCAACTTGCTTCCACTCATCGGCCGATTTTGATGAATCTTTGCTTTCTGCATCGTGATGTAGATGAGACTCCGACGGAGTTGCTCCTGCATCTCTGTCAATGTTCGCATCCATGATAATCTTTCTCGGGTGTTGATTCGGCTTGGTGGAGGCTTGATGACCAGCATGAGTAATTGAGAAGAAAATATGAATGTAAGGCACATTGGTTTACCTGTTTGATATGAGATGACAGTGGTAAATTTTCAACAGAGTTGATCAAGGTCTCAGAACCATCGCTCATTCACTGAAGGAAAGAAAGAATTCGGGTGAAGGCAAGGAATAGGAAGGAATAGAATGGTTCAATCTCAGTCCAACTTCAGTACTCGTAAACAAGCGGGCGGTAGCATACAAATATTCCTGAAAGAAATCATAACTAGTCTGCCTACACGTCTCAATTACTGCAAATTTATTTTCGGACCAGCAGGGGCTGCACGTATATGTCCTATGTGTGGTAGTCAAACAGTCTTTGTCGAATAGCATCTCCTATTTCTCATTCTTCTTAGCCAGGAAAAAAGTAAATTTGCCTCGATTTCTTTTAACGAAGCTCTTGACAGCCTTTTTTTAAACATCTCTCATATCTTTACGTATTTCTGGCCACCAAATTGATTAGATCGATTTATTGCTTTCTCTATTTGCATATTTGTAAACAATCAATTGTTATCACCTGTGATCAGTCAAAGTGCCTCAAATAGCAAGAAATGGTAATTTGGAGTCCACCAAAGCCGTGAGTGTGTTCTATCGAGAACCAAATTGCGATCATAATCGGAATGCTCGAATCTCCGAGACACTCTCAGACCTTATCTTTCAAAGGACTTGGATTGGTTGGTGATAAGAGGAGTGGATCCGATAGTTCAATTGCCGGGGGAGTTTCGCCGACATGCGGCTTGCGGGGAATCAAGTACCCCCCGGACTTGTTCCGGCCTTCTTTTCCACCTCTCTCCAACAACATTACACAGCTGCTGGAGCTGCAGAATTGGCATACTGTGCTCACAGCCATGGTCGGACCTCATGCAGGCAAGAGAGCTCCTGCATATCAACCATTCCAATGCCCGCAATGCCTGAACCGGTTTACGCGGCACGAAAACCTCAAACGCCACACTGCTCTCCATTCTCGTTCCCAGGCTGAGGCCTCAGTCCCCTGCGAGTTATGTCCAGCTACCTTCTCTCGCCCAGATTTACGACATCGCCATATGAAAAGGAAACATCCCGAACATGAGCATGAATGGATCAGCAAAAGCACAAGACGCAGGTCTCCAACACATGATAATGATGCATGGGCTACGGTAGATGAAAGAGTGAACTCCTCATCACCTCCAGATGCCCAGGAGGATTGCTTTTTCAGTGACAGGGGGAATAAGGTAGATTTGGGAAAAGAAAAAGTGACCTGGGAAGTACGCCGGCAATCTCAGACCGACTTTGGCCATCCCATAGAGAGAACAAACAACTATGTCGATACAACAACAAAGACTGGACAGATCCCTCTTGGATCTATCATGGATGACATGAACTCCATTGATAGGATCGTACAGGATGCGACGGATCTAGAACGGAGCCTCTTGCTGGAAACATCCCTGTTCACATCTGGGGGCCCGACCACAACCTTGCACCCAGAGGACATTTGTCCTTCAACATCATATGGCCCTAGTTTGGCTAATCTCAACATGAATTCAAAAATTCCTGACACGCTGCTGTTAAGTGCCGTTACTCCACCCCGTGAGGATTGGTCTCCATCTGCATTGCAGATCAACCATGGTTGTGATCTGTTTTTCCGCCATGTCTCCCCTTTCGTCCCCTTCATTCATCATCCCACATTCGACACAAACTCCGCCCCTCACAATTTGCTTGTCAGTATGCTATCTATCTCCTACCATTATGGCGAGGATCCAGAATGTGTTGGGCAAGAAGGTTCGGGGGTGGACTTATCACGACGATGCTTTCACAGAGCACGGGGCCTTCTCGCCTTGTCAGAGGACAATACCCACGCTTTTTCAGATAATGTCACCATGGTGCAGTCATACTTGCTTCTTCAAATATGTGCTATGATGTATCTATGTGGTAACGACTCTGCATATGGGCTCAAAATGCATTCGAATATGATTTCCCTAGCTCGCACTAGTGGCATGATGCAACCAATGCCTGCACAATCAACAGTAACTGAAGATCTGGAGTCATTATGGCGCCAATTTGTGAAAGCAGAGTCGCATAAACGGACTTTATTCGCTCTACACCAAATCGATGCGCTGTGGTATCAATTTCTTTCTATTCCCCGCTCCATTTCCCACCTGGAAATCAAGCATGAATTACCCTCTCCACGAGAGATTTGGAATGCGAGTTCTTCGTCAGAGTGGGCACATAGACGCCTAGTGTCAAACAGCACCGGTCCCTCCGTTCAATATGCAGATGCCGTTCGCCGCTTTCTCTCCCCTGATGCGGATATCAACTCCATTCCGCCGTTTGATCCATATGGAGCAATTAACATTGCCCAATTCTTGATTTCAAGCGCCCGCGAAATATCCGGCTGGTCGACGATGACAGGGATCATTAGTATGGAAAGGTTTGGTGCCTTGAGATCCTCCCTGATCGCCCTTGGCCCCTTCATCTGCCCCGAGCGCAATTCGTCTACTAGCGCCCCAAGCGGAGCATCCTGGGCTACGTGGCAGACTGCTATGATTGAGTTGCAGATGTGGTCGCCGTCACATACGGGAGGGATTATAGAGGGAAGCATCGATGCATTGTTGACACAATCGACCTCTCTCGCCCCAACGTTCGACTTTCTCTGCGATGCCGGCACCGCGAGCTCTATCCAGCCACATATTAACTGGTTTCTTTGCTACCTGGATGAAATACCTACACCACAATCAGAAGCCCCGTGGATTTTGCTATACGCTTATAAGGCCTTTTTGATTGCTTGGCAACTCGTGCGTGGGAAAATTCCTGGTGCAATGTGTGCCGTTGGGGTCGCTGATGGGGATGAGCATGCAGCTCTAGCTTGGGCAAGAAAGGTTTTCGAACGCAGACGGCAGTTGCAGCTTGTAAAGCTTATAACGTCGTGTCTTGCCAATCTAAATAAGCACTGAGAAGCGAAGAAGATCTGATTGAAACATAAATAAGGACGTCCAGTTGAAAATAATGTCTTGAAACATATATCTATAGCTCACCGGAAGGCACTTTAAGCCCATCCAATCAAACTTCAACTTCCATCATCCATGAGTCTTCATTAATTTCTAATTAACAGTGACCGTACAATGGAATACAGCGGCTGTTTGAGCATTACCGATAAAAGCCACGTGCCGGTCCTCGTCTGAATTTCAAAATTGCATTTGAAGACATAGCCCATGGTTGTAATGGTCGACCGGGAGACGTGGAGTGAGAGCAACATAGAACAATTAAATATTTTAAGAGCTTACAGAACCCCAAGAGGGAGACAGAAGCAGCATGGCAAAGCGGTGATTGTATTTTTTCAAGTTGCAATGCTCCGCCATCAATATTTTCAAAAAAGGGGGGGAAACTCCATCAGAATGCCATTCTTAACGTTAGATAGATGATAGAGCAATGAAAGGGAATGTTGGCCTAGGAAATGGACTAAACTCGCTCTGCCAAATGGACGGGGATATTCTTTTGATAAATAAACCACGAGTTGGTGAGCTTCCATTCGTGCTCTGGACTTGGGAGTTTCATCTATAAGTGCGAATTAGCCAGTTTCACTAAATCATAAGGTTGAATATCACTGACATCGAATGTATCAAACAGAGTAGCAATAAGCTTGAAGCTCTCCAACTGTGATAGATAGCGACCCAAGCAAGCGCGCGACCCCGCACCGAAAGTAAAGTCGGTACTCTTCATCTTAGAAAATCGTGCTTGAAAGGCTTCATCGGGCTCATCTGGGCTCTGGAGCCAGCGTTCGGGTCTGAAATCCTCCGTATTTGTACCAAATACCTCCTCGTTTTGGTTGATAACCCAGGGGTTCATGCCAACCACGGTCCCTTCGGGCACAAATCGCCCATCAGGAAGGTTTAAGCCACCAGTGGGTACCACACGCTCGAGAATGAGACCAACACCTGGGTTCACGCGCATTGTCTCACGCATCACGGCTTCTAGATATGTAAGCCCCTGAACTTCCTTCCACTGTGCAGGGAAAGAAAGATTGGCAGAGTGCAACTCATCGCAGAGTCTCTTATGCACCGACGGGTTTTTCAAGATATGGTAAATGGCTGCGCACATCGTGCCTGCAGTCGAGTCGCTGCCTGCGAGTACATTAGAAAGTAGATATAGAATCACAGTATTGTCATCAACAAGTTCCGGATTCTTTTCCTTGATTTTTAGAAACTTCGACAGGAAGTCGGCACGCCCCGTGGGGTCATTTTCTTGGTAGCGCTTCTGGAGTTGTTCCAGACTGAAGATGTTCGCCCAGACGAAGGTTGGCGGTCCGATGCGTGCGATTGGATTCTTATCGAGGAACATATCCAGAATGGGAACTTGACAAATCTAGGTGGGCAAAGTAAGCCATGGCTCTTTGAATGACGGATTAGTTTAAAAGTAATCGAACATACAGGAGCGAAGTAGTCGAGTGTTTTAGCTGATCTTCCGAGGAAGCCCTTGTAGTCGCTGCCAGCTTCAAGGATTCCAAGGTCTTGTGAGAATGTAACTTGGCTCATGACATCCCATGCAACTATCAAGGTCAATTAGCCTGGGCTTTGAATATCATAAGATCCGCGTGATAACATCTGAGGGGGGGAAATTTAAAACACCATTCGCTTTCTCTGATGACTTAAGTCGGTCTCTCTGCTCAGATTTGGACGCAAGCAAATAATTGATGTTGTCCAATCCACCCACGGCGTTTGTCAAAGCTAATCGAAACATAAACTCACAGAAATTGATCCAGTCTGACATCTCGCAAGGTTTGTCGGTACGGACGAACCGTTCACGAAGCTTATCAAAAAATAGATTGATCGTAATGTCCATTGTTGTCTCAACATCTTGAACCTTGCTCATTGAGTATAAATTCTTGACAGGGCGGATATAAGTCGAGTGCCATTTCTCGTCTTGGCTGGAGAAGAGGTTGCTGAGGCGATTACCCCCGACAAGAACGTCATTGACGTTATACATATTACTCTAATTGAAAATAAAATTATTATTCTGATTCAAACGCCATCGAAGCAAATCTTTTACCTTGATCCATGGACTTTTGGTGTTGTAGACCAAGTTGATCAAGCTTGGATCGGAGAGACTCAGAAGATTGGGTCCCATACGAACGGCTGTGCCATGCTTACGATGCAGCTTGTTATGGGTTATGTCGCAACGCCCCCTGAAGACATCTTGCATGCGCCAAATGTCCGTGAAGCTAGAAGGAATAGGTCCAGGGAATGACTTCAATGGCGATCGAAAATAATTCCAGAGAAAACGAGAGACAACAAGAATCGCACCGCAAAGGGCTAGATTTATGACAAGCTCCAACAGAGAAATCATCGTGATCACAATATGGTGTGAGCGATGGAGGCGACATTCACAACATTGACGAGATTTTTTTCAATTGAGAAGCAAGCACCCCCTCTTTTCATGGTCGACTAGATAAATCATTATGAAATCCACTGGGATAATTTAGCCCATTTCCCCTCTTTCATTCTCCACGTCAGCACAAGAGGGTGATAAACCTCTTCAGTTGTGCAGCAGGCCGTTCGCACGGACAGTAGAGTGAAATGGGAGAAGAATCATTTGACAGTCTATTGGCCGCATAAGCCTGCAGACGGAGCCCCCGCTCGGAGAAATGATGAGATGTCATCTCACTGGGCGGAAGGAATTAGCGCGATGTGATAGATCTCACGGCCCAGTCTAAAGCCCCCCCTCAAGTCGTACTTTTGTATACCTAACAAGGTTCGTTCTGGCCCTTGGCTTCCCACCTACGAAACATGGGTTTTGAGGTATCGCATGGCAAACTACTAGGTCCAGGTCTAACGTTGCATGGTATGAATTTGATCTGCGATGATGATCATTCAGGGCATCATTGTTAATTATGTAAGAACCACAAGTTGCTTTGTTTATCAATTTGATAGACCACGTCCCCCAAGATCAATTTTTTCAGTCTCCATGTGGAGCGGATACCAACTAGGTGGTCTTGGCCTGCATTTCTCCTTTGGCCAGGTCTCCAAGAAAGGTGGGTATACAGGAGATCAACTCTTCGACAGATTTTGCTGTTTTGACTGAAGTTCATTTTCCTCACATTGCTTAAGGGGATGAAGGGGAGGTTGGGACTCATTCACACGGTTCGGAAGGAATTGGCGTTTTAACCGTGGTCGGGAGGCGCATGGGCCGTAATTGTTCCCGCGACGCAAGGAAGCCGCCCGAAAACCTGATAACCGAAGCATAGAAATGTGCTCTATCCAAAAGATCGCGGGAGAAATCTCTAGAATACCAAAAAAGGTTTCTGGGAAACTTTGTGGAGAGCTTGGTGGTAAAACAAGATTTTGTGAGTTTGAACCTTGTGCGTACGGGTGGTGGGCCATTGAAAATACCTGGCAATCATCAATGACCCTACAGTAGGTTCACTTTTGAGTCATCTTGTTTGTACTTCACTATGTGCGCGGTCAGATATCTCCCTTTAATGTGGTCAAAACCAGTGGCTAGTTGCTTAGATGTATCATACGTGTTAGGATCTGCAACGCGCGTGAGCTGTCAATATACTGTCTTTGTATTCTCGTTGGATATCTTCTCATATTGATCTCCAATCCCACCGTGCAACTATTGGTTAAATAAAATAGCAGTATCAATAGCCGAACTGATCGCTGGTTCTTCAAGCTTTCCCGTGACTGGCTCATCCTGATCGTCACATTATAGACTCCGCTGGCACCTGTCAAATCCGGGAACAATACTATTCATCCGAAGCTGCAACAAGTATAGACTAGTGATCTCCTTTGATGAATGATCTTCGACCTCGCCCATGGCCCTGGAGTCTCCCTTGGGTCTAATATGACAAATATTCTGCCTCCACTTCAAATAAGGATGATCCGCTTCGCATTTACTCTTGACTTGATGCCCTTATAAACTTCAGTTCAGTGCAAGCAAAACCCTGATTTCCTGTGACTTCTTCAATCTTTCAAGTTGTGATACCAGGGTTCCTTTTGGTTGATTCTTGATAATGACTACAGCATCGGCTGCCCTAGAGGCTCAGGACTACGGTCCTACCATTCTTGCGGCATGTTGGGTCTTGGTCGTTTTCCCCGGTTTGATGGTCGGAGTACGACTTTGGTGCAAGGGCATGATTAGCAAAAGCCTTGGACTGGATGATATGATTATTTGTCTCGCATGGGTTTGTCTACACGTCAAATATTCGCTGTTCAGCATTCTCTAACGTTTTTCTTGATGACAGTCTTTGCTTCTTATTTATACTGCCCTTATCACCAAAGCTGTGCAATTGGGTGTAGTTGGTAGGCACGTCTCAACCATCGAAAACACGGAGAATATATCACCGGCACTCAAGCTTGTGTACATCAGTTTTGTTGTCGTGATATTTGGATGTGTCTTCAGCAAGACTTCTTTCGCCTTCACACTTATGCGTATCGTTACACGGGCTTGGATGAAGGCTCTGTTGTGGTTTATTATCATCTCCATGAACGCTATCATGTGGCTGTGTGGTATCTGCTACTTGGCTCAGTGCAAACCAGCTGCTGCCCTGTGGAACTCGGAGCTCCTGGCTACAGCCAAGTGTTGGCCAACCAGCGTGTTTGAAACCATTGCTCTTGTGGCCGGATGTAAGTGAGCTTCATAATGCAAATTTTTCGATAGCTAACAAGGGATCAACAGCATACTCTGGTTGTATGGACTTTATTCTCGCTTTACTTCCCTGGGTGGTTCTCTGGAAACTTGAGATGAAGATGCGGGAAAAAGTTGGCATTGCGTTGGCCATGAGTATGGGTATCTTGTATGTTCACTTCTGCTTGAACCGATAAGGAGATGAACTGACTTTTTCCCTCTAGTGCTGCCGTTACGGCATTCATCAAGACTTCGAAGCTTGTCAATGTTTCCCAAGTCCAAGATTTCACTTGTAAGCCTAGCACCGCCATCTAAATTTGATAATTAAAATGCAAAGCAAACTAATTTGAATAGGGTTCTGTTCCACTATTATCATCTGGGCTTCGGCAGAAACTGGATTGACAATCTTTGCCGCTTCGATCCCGTCCCTCCGCATCCTTTTCATTCGCATGCGCTCCAACTACGGCGAGAGCGGCGAGCCATCCTCTACCTACAATTATTCCGCTGATGAAGAGACAATCACACTTGAGAACCGAAAAGAAACTAGCAGCGAGAAGAGTATTCTGGATAACCCAATGAATAAACCGGACGGGGTCACCGCGACTTATGATGGAAATTCTCACGCCTGAGGAACTAGAGAGCATCATAGGATATAATTGATCCCGACCGAGACTTCACATTGATCTCATTGTGGTTCTTGGCGATTGAAGGCTTCAAGGATCTCGCTTTCGCCATGAAGTCTTGAAACCAATACGTCACCTAACGTTCGCTCGGCGCACAAGAATGAATTTTAGAATCCTACGAGCTCATCAAATCTGCATTTCTTTTGCTAATCGTGACACGTACTGAAGACGGAATTGCCATTAATTTTGTGCAGGGGTTTTCTTGTACTATGTTCTTAATTTCGGGCTTCTAATTTCGGTATCAACTTAGTCTGATTCCAACCTTACCCTATGATCTTTCTGTTGGAATTCCAGAGAGGAGCATGTCAGCTCCCTAGATCGTTGGCGATGTATAGGGTGACAAAAATCACTTTATACTCCGTCCTGTCTTCTCCTTTACAACCATCATCTGCTGCCACCCAGAACAACACTAGAATAATTGTATTAGAGCAGAATGATATGCAAATGAAGGCGTTAGAGGCACTTAGGACGAAGTGACACGCATTACTCTGATTTTCGCTTGCAGAAATCGTGTTCCAAGTCTAAAATAGCTCTTATCAAAATGCAGTAGGCTACTATTTATAACACATCAAACGCTCATAAAAACCGAGAATCATATTTTTCTTCCCCAAAAAGGATGTCTAAGGGTTTAGCACTACTTTTTGCTATACTTTTTTTTAAATCCAAAATGTCTAGTATTAGGTACGAAAGATCTTATGAAATCTAATATTTGGCGATCAACTTTTCTAGGCATAAACAAACGCGTTTTGAACAAAATATCTTTAAGAGGACAAGGCATCATTTTAAATTTATGGACATTCTATTCAACGGAAGTAGAATTGATAAAATAATTTATACACCATTTCGACAGCAAGTAATATGAACGGCCCCTGGAGGATCAGCCCCCGTATGAACGGCCCCTATATGAATGGCCCCTATTACGCAAGGTTTCGATTGGGGGCCAGAATAAGATATACGTTCATACGACGTTCAGCAGCTACTAGTAGGCACGGAAACCAGATGTTGGTGCATGATTGGTTAGATCTTGCTACCGGGGCACGGTGGCTAAAAAGAAGTCGGCGTATATGTGGGGGTGGTTTGATCAAAGCAGTAAGCAGTAAGGATGGGTGGAGTCCAATTGGGGCTGAAGCATGACTAGGGAATCTTTTATCTAATTAGGATATGACACACACATTCGCCCCCGGCCGTCATTTATATGTAAAATATAGCTTCGAGAATTATACAATATCACTAAGTTCTCCATATACGTAAAAACAAAACATGATTGGTTGAATGAACCAAAAACCATGAACGGGCTGGCACACTTTGGACCACTACTAAACTGCCGATCAATCCACCCAAGAATGATTACCATTTCTTTTTATGTCAAATAAGAACCCCCTTCCCATGCTGACTCCAGTCTGACTTTTTTCTCAGCTTCCTCATTTCATTGAAACACAATGGATGCCCTTCAACGATTTCTTTACGGATTCCCCGAACCAGCACTACACAAGCGCAGCAGGCCCGTCCAGGTTCTGTGTCTAGGCCTGCCGCGCACTGGGACCGAGTCATTAAGCGTGGCCTTGCGCACCCTAGGCCTGGAGACTTATCATGGCTGGGATGTGGTCTTTGAGCCGGATGGTAGCAAGCTTCAACACCTCCAAAAGCTAGTGCGGCGAAAATACAACGGCATCAATGGTGGTGACGTGCATATCAGCAGCGCCGAGTTCGACATTGTCCTCGGCGACCACCAGGCCGTGATCGACTCCCTGCCGGCATTTTTTGCCCCCGAGCTGCTCGCTGCCTACCCGGACGCTAAAGTGATCCTTAACCTTCGCCCTGACGTGGACGCCTGGCACCGTAGCGTCGAGAAGACCATCGTCCAGAGCGCCGACCAACCCTGGTCTCTATGGGTGATGCACTGGTTCTCCGCAGAGTTGTTCTGGCTCTATAGTCTATACTTAGGCTATGGGTATCCTGCCGTGTTTCGCAGCCTCACTGGTAGCACTAAGGACGGCGTCCAACGGAACAGTAAATGGGTCTATCGCGATCATTGTAACATGGTTCGGGGCATGGTGCCCAAGGAAAAATTGCTGGAGTGGTCTGTGGAAGATGGCTGGGAGCCTCTGTGCAAGGTATTTTTCAGAATTGTGCCTCCAAAATTCATGCTAATGAGAATAGTTCCTTGAAGTGCCCGTTCCGAACGAGCCTTTCCCCAAAACAAACAACCCAAGCAATTTCGCCGACCGCACAGATAAAGTTATTAAGCAGCGCATGATCCGAGTCCTGCGCAACATGTTACTTACCACCGCTACTTTGGGCGGGATCTCCACCGCAGCTGTGATGTGGTGGCAAGGACGGATCCCAGAGGTCACGCAGAGGCTGGGCGATTTATTCGGGGGATTTATCAAGTTGGGCTACAACTAATCACAAACCTGATTGAAATTACTGGCAGAGCATTGAGTCGGTCTATAGTATGTCTCCCTTATGGGACAACTTTGTACATATACTACCATCATTTCTTGTCCGTTCGTCAATTCCAAGTAACTCGCATATAAAGAATCAAATACATACAGAATGGAGAAAAGGTGGGAACATATGCATTTAGGATTTGCTTTTCTCATTCAACAATCTTTCTATACTGAGCAAGAAAAGGCACGTACTATGATAAAGCGATTCTTATTTATTAATTAAATCGTAATAATAAGTGAAAACATTTTAAAAAGTCATACTCGAGGAACACCACAGTCTATCTTAGGTTGAGTTAAGTCGAAGACAACGAAGGATGGGACTCAAAAGTTTCCAATGAAATCAGTGCTGCTCTTCCTATTTGTTCGTAGATTATCCAAAAAAAAATACAGTGCTCACCTTTAGTGAGCTTAAGTTCGAACTAGCATCTTCTCGGTAAGCCTAACGGTGAGCATGCTGAGAGAAGGCGGCAGCCAAGAAAAGTGGCCTCCTGGTCAACGTAAATATAGTGCTATGCTCTAGGAGGGAGCTGAGGTCGTAGCCTTCACCAATATTCCTCAAAAAATCTTGAGAATAGTCTAGATTAGGGCCGACGAGATTCTTCTAATCCATGAACACTATTAATTTTTTTTAGTAATATAGCAAGCTGATTGATTCAGCAAATCTTACACAATGGTGAATCGAAGATCGACGGACTAGACTGTAGACACCCTCCTTGTTCACCGAGACGAAATTCAATTAAGATTATTCATTTTGTATTATAATGCAAGCCAATGAGCTGCTTATGTATACTACATCCAATTTTTACTAAGAGAGGAAGATCTGAGCTAGATTAGGATTTCTTTCGACAAGTAATGCAAGAAGCTTAGTAGGCACTCAATTGCGAGAAGATTGACAACTTAATTCGCTAAGGCCTAACCATCCGAGTGGTAAAGATAGGAGAACATATTGCACAGAATATTAGTGTTCAAAGAAATTTTATATGATCAAAGAAGCAATTAAATCAATTTGAAGCAAGAAATCCTTACTAGAAATGTGTCGAGAAAGCCGCATAATACAGGCGAGACCCACATATCCCCATGTGCTTCAGATTATTACAAGAATACTCGATTTACTACGTGTTTTGTATAGTATCCCTGATATACTCGGAACCCAGTGCCATAATGCGTTAGACAGCGAGGTAGGGGATATTCAACATTCCCCGGCCTACACATTCAATTAGTTGGACATCATCAAATTGAGCATCTTGTTCCATTGGATCCTAGGTTTCTTAATTGATACCGTGTCCTACTATATTTACACCATAGTTATCTACCACTTGCTTACTAATTTCTAATATCATGCAACTTCCACCTACCGTCTGGACCACACCCTAGATAATGAGCCTATTTCCTTGCATTATATATATTCATATTCCCTTTAATCCTAAATTACTGCCCTTTGTCTACGCTCTATATTCGCACCCTAATCAAGGTTCCCCCCTAGCCCTATTTATTTTAATTTATCTTAGTTTAAAATAATTAATAAAGCTTAAAAATAAGTTGAAACTCTTAGATAGAAGAACAAGAAATTAACTGAGCACTTTCTAGCTTATCAAACCCCTTTCGTCTTATCTCGCTTCCAGCTAGGAGCCGTGGCCCTCTCTATCTTTGTTTTGACCCTTCTCCTTCAGGAAATCACTTCTATATATCAGATCTTAGCTTCCCATCTTTGAGTACTCGAGGCCTTATGTGACACGTGATCCACTAGCACCGAATCTCCAGCAGAGCTAAAGGTAGTAGCCAGTAGGTGTTCAATATTCCGGGAAGGTGGATCGAGTCGACGGGAAGCGGTACAACATAAGGGTAGACCACTGTAGCGACATGAATATACGTCATCTCGTTAAGATCCTAGGAAAACTGACTATAGCCTGGCTAGCATCCAAGCAGGCAAGAATCTAGAAGCAAGATGACAGACCGCAGGGACTGGCCCGGGGTAGGCACTCGGGACGTGCTCAGGGAGCGCTTAGGGCGGCACCCGGACTTAACTCAGGCTGTGCTCCGGGAGCCGATCGTTACCCGAACCGGCAGCCTTACCGTCAACAATATTACAGTAACAAATATCTACCATTTATGTTTCCAATTCCAAGGTTCAAGAGATGGCCCAATCAATATATTTTTACCTCAACGAACTTCAATCTCAAATACAGGGGTGGTGGAGGTGGGGGCCAAGTGTCTTACCATCTCACGTGATTGGATGACGATGAAGTGCATTCTCACTAAATCTCGACCCAGACCTTTCTTGTGATTCGAAGAGCTGAACTGCGATCTCCTGTTAGACTCGGTAAATACCACCCTATTGTATGACACGTGGCGCTGGATCGGACACGAAAGCTGAGAACATTATTGCTATTCATCTCTTGGACGGGCTCTGTGCAGGTCGTTGAAGCTGAGTCTACACAAGAAAGTTTGAAATCTAAATTACTTGCTCCTCTGTCGCCTGCAGAATGGTTCTTGCCTAACTTAAATGCATCGCTCGAGTGATGCAACACATGATTCACTGGGCTTTCCTTTTCACACTTTTCTTGTGCTAAGTACGACTTCAATTTCCTTCACAGAAAGGCAAGCTGGCGCCGACTATTTCTTTTCGCCAATGATCGCCCCTACTGTGGCGAAGGTCGTTCATGCATTTTCAGACCAAAAGGGTTGGCTAGTGGCAAACTAGCGCTTAATATTCAGCACACCATGGCTTTCAAGAGGTTCGTTTGATAGGTCTCTTTCTATACTTAACACGTCATAGGACGACTTCTAGATGACAGCGAATCAGAGAGAAGAGATGATCGGTTCCCAAGTACAGTGAGCAGCATTGTGAAACCAAAGTGGCTGCTGTGCACTTTTTGACCATAATGCCCTTTTCAAGAGAACAATCCTTTGTCAAAGCATTCTAAAGTCAAATAGGAAAGCTTTTAACCGGCGTAGTAATCCCTTAGCTGCGGTAATTTCTATTTTTTTTCTTTTTGTAATACCCCGCCCCATTCTACAAAAAAGGCCATTCTGTTGCTCTTTCACAACATTTATTTTCCAGCTAATCATGGCGAAAACAAATATATCGCCAAAGTGGCATGCCCATTTGCTCAATGTCACTACATCCATGGATTTTCGGACTATTTTAGCTATTACAGTGGGCTGCGTGGCCTTATATCTCTTTTTCCTGAGAATCTCCGGCACAAGCTTGAGGAAGTTTCAGACCAGCAATTCTAAGGAACTCATTATTATTACCGGTGGTAGTGGTGGAATCGGGAAGCAGCTCTCCAAAGACTTAGCCAGCGAGAAAGCAAAGGTTTTAATTCTCGATACCAAAAGACCTTGTTTCGACCTTCCAGAAAATATCCACTTCTACGAGGTTGATATAACATCAGCAGAAGCGATCTCAAAAGTGGGCTCCGAAATCCGAAAGGCGTTTGGCAACCCTACAATTATCGTGAATAATGCGGGCATCTTTCATCATGGCCCTATTCTTGAAAAATCGGAAAAAGAAATACAAGAGACATTCAAAGTAAATACCTTGTCTCACTTCTTTCTTATCCAGGAGTTTCTTCCCTCAATGGTCAGGCTAAATCGTGGCCACGTCATTACTGTTGCAAGCATGGCGACCTATGTCACTGTTGGCGAAATGGTGGATTATTGCTGTTCTAAGGCTAGTGCTCTTTCATTTCACGAGGGGTTGAGACAGGAGCTTGACTTATTCTATAATGCCCCCAATGTGAAGACCAGGTCAGTCGTACCAGGCCGTTTAAATGACTCCTTCGACTGATATGTTGCAGTATCATTCACCCTCTCTGGGTACGGACTCCCATGATCGATGGGTTCACGCGATACCAGTCTCACTTTGGGCAGCAAATCATGGATCCCAAAGAAGTTTCCGAGGCTATTATTGACCAAATTACCTCCGAAAGAAGTGGCCAGATTTTCTTGCCCAGAAGACTGGTCATTGTTGGGTTTTTGAGGTCATTGCCGCACTGGCTGCAGAATTCGATCCGGGCATCCTTTTCAAGAATCGTGTGGAAAGTGAGAAATGTGCGCCTTGCCGACGAGGATCATACACGGGGCAAATTATCTAAAGCGAATGACAAGACTTTCGGTTGATTCTGTCTCACTACAATTCTTGAAAGTTATGGGAGCAGAGATGCTTAGTGGAACTTCGGTCTGCCCTTCCTCATTATATATAATGAATAGTTATTAGCAGTATATATACACCAAAGGCTTTAACCACCTTATCACTAAACAAGAATGACCAGCGAGATAATCATGACCATACTCAAAACCTGGAAAATTGATTGACCAGTTAGTTGTATAGGCAGCTCCCGTATAGACAGGGCTTGCTGCAATTCTAGTGTTTGAAACGACCGTGGTACTCAAGTTACCACATGAGTGCTATGTGGCGAGGGATTAGTGGACTGCTTCCCAATAGAGTAGATAGTGGGTGATGGAGTGGTCATGGTGATCGAACCTCTGTGCCCTGTGCAGCTGCTACCTTCAGTGCACAGTGGAGCTAAATCACGCGAAGGACCGGTAACACCAATACCACTCCCTGAAAGACTAGTCCCATATTATGAAGGAGACGTGGAAATCGGGGAGATTGTGTAGACTGTCGTACCAAGTACAAGAGTTTCTGTGGAAATAGAGGATCCCTGAGATGCATAGACCGTGGCAGCCCGCGTGCTGAGAATTGTAAATGTGGTCACATATAGGATAATCCCAGCGAGTAAAGAGGTATTCAGGTATACGGTCATTGCTAGTGACGCTTTCTCTGTCCTGGTATACGTCGTCTTTGATCTCAGGGGCCAGTCAGTCACCGAGGAAGGGCATGCGGTAAGGGTCTTCGTGCGTGTGCTGAAGATAGTGGAGGTTACACATGCGGGAATATCCGTCTGAGTAGCGGTAGTACCTTCGGCGTCCGCCAAGGGGCAGACATTCGTGGAAACTACCAGGGTTTCTGTGGTAATGAATGTGGTCCGGGCTGTTGCGGAGCAGGCCAGAATAGCCGAAGGACAGGCCGTGACAGTGGCAGTGCGGGGTTGAAAGAACAGTCGACATCATTTGCTTGATCAAATCATCTGAATGAGTTATGGATGATGCTAATCCCAAGGAGAGACATACAGGCGCCATCAATGACGAGGATTCGTTGTGATATGGCCAAGAAGAGGCCGACAGAGAAGGTGCAATGATTGATGATGGAATAACACTGCAGGTCTTGGTGATGTGCACTGGGGGAGAAACGTACGTCCAATGGTCGTGATGGGGCTTAGACCGCGTAGGAGTGTGCGTGGATGTGGACGTCGTGATAGGCTTGGAGGATACAGTGTGAGACACCGTGGGGAGTGCAGAGCTCGCTCTGCACGTCTTGGTGGTGGGTAAATGGCGAGAATGGAAGGTCTACAAACAATATCGCTAGCTCGCCGCTCTCGGCGGAACTTGGGTCCTTGGCCGGCGAGTATATTCACGAAGTCGTGTTCACCCATATTCCGGGCGGAGGATACTCCATCTCGGGTCAAGACTTAGCCTACGATCGCTGTTGTTGCCTGTCAGCAGAACTCTATGTGCGCGTTTTCCTATTGGCATAATTCCTCAACCTCGACTTTTTCTTGCTATGTTTTCACGACGAGTACATGCTCATCCTCCTCTGACTATGCGACGGCAATCCTGAGCTCGTCATCATCCACGGGTGGTCTGATTCTATCCAATGGGAACTGCGCTCGTATCGTTGATAATTAGTCTTGCCCCCGTCAAACACTTGACAGGGACCTACGTATTCTCTGGTTCTAGAGAACGCACAGTATATATTTCAAGAATAAGTGATCATCTTTCTCGGTTTCTCAGTACAATCCTCTCGCGTATTCTCAACTGCAATCTCCTGTCTTATCTTTAGTTTTGCATCAACCCAATTTCTTTAACACAACTACAACTCATCATCAACAGATTCTCCGTACACTGATCAATTTCCAGAACCTGAATGTATTGATAATCAATGCTTTCAAGATCTAGAGACTGAACAATGATGGCAAGGGGATTTCTAGGACTCGGCAAACTTCAACATTCAATGTCTCAATTAAACTCGTTGGTCGAAAGCCTGGACCAGGATTTCCAATCGCAATTCCGCCATCTTTCTCTCTCGTTAATGCTCTGATAGATTCAAACTTTTGTTTTCCTTTTTCTTTCCCTTCTCTCGCTCTAAAAGGACCCCACATTGGCTATGTGTCTCAGTGATTCCGATATCAGATGGGTAGTGTTGAGATTGCGACTGAAACGGAGCTTTGGTGGTGACGCCCCTCATTTCCGCGTCGCAAACCCCCTGCTTTTCCTGCCGAGCGACGCGTTGGGGTATTCGTCGCCAAGCTTCCACCAAGCTTCCACCACGCTTGTGGCTGGGTGGTTTCTGAATAGAAGACGAACTATTGATCCCTTCGCCTGTTATCAGCATCCTCAAAGCGCCCGGCAGACCCTCTCTCTTTCTACCATTCAAACTTCGGGGATGCCGGCATCGGGTAAACATGTCATGGAGACCCTATCAGACCCATCCGAGCTACTGATCTTCTCGTGTCAGTCTCTACCACATACAGGGAGAAATGTAAAGAACTTCTCCTAGCCTGTTGATTTCCGAGGGCGGGGAGCTTTCGATGTTTTGGTTCCTGAGAAAATGATCCACTAACAAAATCCGTGCCTTGGCAGCGGATCATCAACAACTTGGTTGTTGGTCGAGCGACCGGGGCTCGTCTTTCACCGCGATGATGGGAAAAATGGGAAAAGTGCCTATTATTTCCTTATCCTTACAGAGTCTTTTGAAATTTTGCTTGCTCACTTTGAATATTTATCTATTTCTGCGATCTTTTTCACACTTCAACATTGATTCCACTATGAGGTGGTTCACGACGATTTTTTTTCTCTCAGGAAGAAATTCAATCTACGCTCTGGCTTGCCTCAGCCTTGCACACCTACTATTAACTACCTCTTTACGGCTGTTCCCTGGGGATAGAAAATTATACATTCAGGGCACCTCACACGACTTCTACCTGGGTATGATGCAGGCTTTCTCGTCTGAGATGCAGTGTGCAATTGCATCACGATTTTACTCGCATCATCTTACAGCCGGTGGACCTAGTTACACCATGCAACACACCTATATCTGTTTCCTGATGCGCCGAGTCCAATCTATCACCACTGTTAAAAAAGAAACAACCCCCCTCGGCGCCGGTGCCCTCTCCCCCTTCCCTTCAGCTGGCAACGGACTAGATAGTCACATTCGCCGCCCTTGAGCTCAGGGCAGAAACAGCTGTCATCTAATGAATGAACTTGATCCAATAGACTATGCTTATTATCTCTTATTCGGGATCTTCCCGTGACTTGAATTTTTCAAGACTCGCAGTAGTTTCATCACGCTATGTGATTGAATCAAATTAAACTAGGTAAAGAAAGCTTATCCTAAGCAGGCTAGTTTCAAAGATCAATGATGCTCTTCGCTCTTGGTCAGGGTTTCATTGGAGAATTCTAGGAAGTCACTTAGATCAGCACCCCGCAATACAATAGCAATGTTAAAGGAGGACAAATACTTACGGTCGACCACAGTAACCTTGAACTTGCGTGCTGGCGTACGACGATCAAAGAGAATGTCAATTTCGCCAAAGGTGCGGTCTTTGGTCTCAGGTAGTCTGAACCAGCACCAAATATTGCAAAGTAAGTTTGTACCGGCATAAAAGAGCCCTGCCTTAGCTCCCCAGTTCCAAGCTATCAAAAGAGAAATTTTTTGTCAGTTTTCAAAGAAACGGTTTCCTGGTCTTGCTTCAATCAAGCTTACCGGTTGCTGAGACCATGCGCGGGGTGACGCTGTTATGGAAAATGCCGGTGAGGTTGTAGACGAATCTCCCGATGACAATGGTCTTGTAACGAAGCCGCCCAGATGGTGTCTCGGCTACAATGGGATAACAGGCGGGCCCGACAGTAATCATGTTGCACAATGTGGAGATCACCAGGAGAATGCCAACTGCCATCTGGGCCCCGTTGCCTTTCACGAAACCCAGAGCACCAATTACAACCAAGCAAATGAACATGAAAGTGAGGCCTCCCATGTAAATGGTCGCACGGCCGACGTGTGGGAATAGTAACCAACAAATGATGCCGCCGATGATGTAACACGATGACAGCGCGATATTGAGATCAAATGCTTGGACCTCGGAGAACCCGGCGTTCTCGAGAAATTCCACGGCGTAACCCAGAAGAGCATTGCCGCACAAGATCTGAGCAGCCCACACGACACAGTTCTGATTGGAGATTGCAGAGTTAGTCGACCAAAATTCTGATAGTAAGGTTAAATAGCTCCGTATTTCAAGAAAACTCACAATTTCCGTTCGTCGCAAGTTTGTCCCTTTGAAACAATCCAGAAAGCTGGCATTCTCGGTCTCTGCCTTTTCCAACTCAGTCGTATGTATGATATATGCAAGCGTCTTCTCAACTTCTTCACCCCGATTAGGTGCTTCCTGGCGCAGACGAGTCAATGATTTCCGTGCCTGGTCGATAGCGCCGCGTCGCACCGCATTCCACGGTGATTCTGGGGCAAGATAGGCTCCGATAAAGAGTGGAACCGGCCAAATCCACTGAAGCATAAAGGGAAGCCTCCAACCAAGATCACTGTCCAGATTTGTCACAGCTCGCACAACCCCCGAAGAAAGCAAAATACCAGCTCCCCAACACATGCATACATATGCAGTGACATAGGGACGAACGACAGTAGGAACGACCTCTGACGCATATGTCGTTGATAGAGTCTGCGTGCATATAATAAAATAAGAATCAGGTTTACTTGAAAGGGGGACAAGATGTACCTGGAAGACTCCCCAAGGAATACCGCACATCGCCTCGCCAAAGGCCAAGACTGACAAGGACTGGGAGAAGACAGGAATAAAAATCACTATGGCCATCCAAGCCATAAAGAACATCATGGTCGGTCGGCATCCAAAGCGATCTTGGGTATATGCGTTGATGAGCAAGCCCGCAAGCTGCCCGACTACCGATGAGTTGGATAGCCCGGACTGCCATGATGCAGGGATGTACTTTAACCCAGTGGCTTTGTCCACGATTCCGAATCGTTGTTTAAACTGGGTCTGTCCATAGAAGGATGTAATCTGTATGTCGTGAAGTCAGCGATCTCAAACATATACCGATGTTATTTCAAAGACTACGTACGATGACCAAGTCATACCCTTCCATGATCAAGCTGGTTGAAAGAAACATTGCCCAGAATACGGCCTTTTTGTATTTTTTCACGGCCTGCATGACTGTCAAATGCCGGTCCGCGGCATCGCTTTGTTGAGCTTGCTGGACTAGATCTGTGACGGACAGATCCTCTATTTCCAGCCTGTCTGTCTTGGGTTCAACTTTGTCAGATGCCATGATGATCGGTGTGGGGCATAAATTCGGGTCAAAAATTGATAGTTGAGGATGCTCTGGTCAAGCTGGAATTCTCAATGGAATGCCAGCGTGTTCATCCCTGACCCCCAATTAGCGAGGCTGTTCATGGACTATAAATGTGAACCTGGGGCAAGGGGTTCAAGCGGAGCATATTTTGAGCATCTGATGACCAGGAGTTCCGGAAGCGAATGGATTGCCTAGCTTGACTCAATAAGGTAGATTCCCGAAATCGCGCTGTCTCCCCCAGCTTCGACCATCGTAGAATGCGGGGCCCCGCTGGAGCATCTGGCGGGAGGGATAATCTGGGCGGATGGGAGGGATCAAGAATCACCTGTTTGAAGGTATGATGGGAATGCATGCTGCAAGAGTTCATACGAATTAATAACTCTTCATTAATCTTTTTGCCCAGCGTTTGTAATGGTAGATCAATGACAGTTCGAGATGCCGAGATCCACAACTGTTAATTGTGCATACCGAAGACACCCCAGTTACCCTGTCCGAAGTACCCGTCTGAAGTACTGAAGAGGCCGAACAGCCAATTTCCATGGGTTGAATTTTACATTACTGGAGTATTGTGTAGAATATTGACTACGTTTAATGACCTGTATATCTTATGATCTTTATTCTAAGTTAGTTGGGTTACTTATAGTGAGTGCTTCATCATATCGTGGAACATGAATAACGAGGACACTTCCCATTGAAGCAATCTTCCGGTGTTCCGGCGGGCAACCGCACCCCGCTTTTGGCTTAGTCTCAATTGACTGCGGGGCTCCGCCGCCTTATCAGAGGCCAGGAGACCTCAAATAGCCCACATACGGTCACGTCTATAGTTCAGAAGAACAGACAAAAACAACATTGACCTGTCATTAATGCCAATAAAAACTCCATATCTTTCTTCTCTCCTGCATTAAGAGAATTCAATATGATGTTTCACCAATTCGGCGGTATCTCTAGGACTCTTACATCGACAGCAGAGGAGCACGGGGCTAAAATACATCTGTGCAACTGAGTTATATCTTTGGAATTTTCGATATGGGGTAATTGGCCAAACTTTACTTTCATTTTCTTCATTGATTTCTCGACTGTGGGAAAACCTTACTCAGCTCCCCCGGATCCTCCAAAGGAAAACACTATCTGGACTTTCTGACAAGATACTATTATCAATAGCTTATATACCTTCTACATACGATGTAGCTTAGATCTCACTATGAATTTATCAACACTTTCCTATTTTTGGCCTTCGAAGTGACTCGGTTATGTTCTCTGGAAGACATGAATATTCCGTTTTTGAAGTTTTGGAGCTAGATATGCCAATCTACTTCATATATAATGTTTACCACCTCTCACAAGCTGAAAGCCTCGTGATATCTCGCCATCTGTTCAACCTATGAGCCAAATTGCCCTCTTCAATGCATCCCAGAGAGGGAACACCCCTTTTTTTTCGGTTACAACTAGAAGGGTTTTGGGAGGGCTGATATCACTCATAAAGTTTACTTCCCAAATCTTGAACCGGCTATGAAGACCTATGATATTCCGCAGATTTGAATCGCCTTACAAGCCATGTCTTATACTTAAGTTGAAGTCGGCGCGCCTAGAATTGCTAGAGCACATATTATCTCACTTTTTCAATTGACAGGCGTATATGCGGGGATTCTTCGGGCATTGGGTAGATATATAAATACCACATTTTGATTTGAACGGTGGATAGTCAAGATTCTTTTATTGTCATTATGCGTGTCTCTTTTTGGTTATCATTGGACTCTGCATCACTACGATCAGCCGAACCCGGCTTATCTTGATTTATTCCTAATCATGGTTGTTCAATTCGCATGGGCGGAAACCACTTCTAGAGGGTGAAGCGAACTTTCGCTTCAGATCTAAGCATAGCTGACATTTATTGAGAAACTATTGAGGGATCTCACTGAATGAATCATTTTGGGCTATCATTTGGATAGCACCGAGATATTTGGTTGTGGCTATCTGGTGTGGGGATAACCTAGGCGGAGCTCCGCCCACCGTGGGCTTACCCAATGCTCGGGAGGGTTTAACAGCAAAGTACTTGAACCGCAATATAATGATATGGGCATGGCAAAATAATCTATTGGAGTTATCAAATTCTTATGTTATAATGTCTTTGAATGATATTCGGGGCCGACTCGCTCTGATAACGGGTGCCTCCGGTGGGTAAGTCGGAGCTGTTGGAGGCTTCAACGAGGCGAAACCACTGATAAGATCTTCAAATGCAGAATCGGTGCAGCTTGTGCAAAAGAACTTGCGAGCCGTGGAGCTCACCTCGCTTTAACTTATTCCACAAATTTAACATCTATGGAAAAGCTTATCAACAGCTTGCAGTCCGAATATGCCGTTCTCAAACTTCGCATTTCATCGCATCAGGTTGATGTTGGATCTGCAGATCAGCTCGAAATTATGTTTGATGAAATCGATAAAGTGCACAATCAGCGACCCGATATCCTAATTTCCAATGCAGGATATGGCAAAAGAACAACTAATGTGTGGGATATCTCTCTTGAGGAATTCGATTACACTCTCAACATCAATCTTCGTGCTTCTTTCATTCTGGTAAAAGGTGTGGTTGAGCATATGAGAGATCAAAAATGGGGGCGTATAGTTTTCATGTCTTCAATTGCTGCCTATGGAGGAGGGATCAATGGATGCCGTGAGTCATTCAAGTCCAAATTCCGATTACATTTTCATCAAAGCAGAGCAATCCTGACTTAAAGCAATAATGATATAGATTATGCGTCTTCAAAAGGTGGACTGACTGGAATGATGAAAAACCTGAGCTCTAGGCTTGCTGAATATAACATCAGTGTGAATGATGTTGCCCCAGCCATGATAGGAGACACAGGCATGCTCCCAAATGCGAAATCTGTACCTGGTGTGGTCGACAACTTACCTTTGGGAAGGCTTGGAACGCCCGAAGAGACGGCAAATGTCGTCACTATGCTTGTGACTACGGGTTATATGACAGGTCAGAGCCTTCTGTTGGCCGGCGGTCTGAAATGATTTACCTGAGATTCTATGTCATAAGACATAATTAATCTTAAATTCAAACTAAATAATGCATATACATATGATTTTACATTAAATGCCTAGGATCTTTGCTTTCGAAATTTGAAAAAAGCCCTTAGTACTTTTCCAAGTATGGCCCGAAGCTTTGTAAGGAATGGTGACGTAAAGACTATGTTCTTGTTGCCTTTGAAGGAAGTTGGCCACTATTCTCATTTACAAATCACTCTTGCTGCCAACGTAGGACTTATACACAGTTACACATCTCCTTTTTCCTTTATATTCTACAACAAGCTTTCTTAGGAAGAAGATTCAGATCTTAGATCTGAATACAATTCTCATAACATTCATTCAAGTACAGTCGTATGTTGACAAAAATTTAAAAACTCAATGCGACAATGAAGAACCCTTGAGCATAGCCAAGGCGCAATTCATCTAAACCGGCAGCACAACTTTAACACCCATGTACTCTCTTTGATGCATAATCTTGCCATCAATCATGACCTGGTGAGCTCCAACCCGATTATTGACAGTATCGGTGGGATCAGTGCAAGTGGCTATCTGAATCTCACGCCATTGACGATTAGTTGGAACAACTCTTCCCTCCGACGTTAGCCTCTTGAACTCCTTATATACCCCTTGTTCCTCGATGCATCCCTCTCGCTGAATAAGAGGAGATTCTGATAAAGTCATTAGAAACAAGGGATTATCTTTGATTATTTGGGTTACTTACCTTTTGCAGGGGTCATGCGCATGTCACCTAGGGAGCTGTTGAAAAGAACCAAGGACAAACGCTCCTCATTCAATTGGTCCACAGGCGGCTTGAAGACACGATGACGCGTAGCCTTAAAGTGGCCACCTGAAACAATCTCCAAAGTATCACCAATGTTAATAACCAGTGCTCCAGGCTTGTAAGGCACGTAGTACCACTTTTCATCCCGCCCCCAGATTTGAAGGCAGGAGATTGGAACAGAAAATAGCAAAGTAGTAAGCCCAAAGTCTGTGTGACCATGCATGCGGAGGCCCTTGGATGCCTCCTCGGTTTGCTTCTTCACCGGACGAAAGAGAGCATGACGGAAATAACCCTCGCCAGTTGGGCTACCATGCGATTGAACATTGTCCCACAGATAGTCGTCAGGCAGCTCAAGAACCCGAGAAAACAGTGTAAGAAGGCGCTTGTTAACGCTTTTTGTCAAATAATTACAGAAGCTTTCGATCTCATCCATGAATGGGTGAAGGCATTTAGGCACGCGGTCGATGTTCTCCCAGTCGGGTTTATACCAGTTGAATTGCTCAATTCCATCGGCGGGCCCGCGATGACGCTAAAGGTTTAGAAATGAGCTTGATTTGATATATTATATCGTATTTGAAGAAATTTCTCTATGGGCATCTTACCTTAAAGCCGTATGGATGCTTGTAGCCGGACCACACTCCGGTCGTATCTGGGTCGAAAAGAAGACGCTCTTTATCTTCTTCGCTGATATTCTGATACATATACTGCGCTAGCGAGAATTGGCGGTGAAGCTACCATAAAGCAAGCCCTGAATTAGAGCTTATCTCCAATTGAGTCGGTAGAGCGTTCTCTTTACTTACCTGCTCCAGAGAAACACCGTAGTTTTCAAGGAATAAGAAGCCATCGTCTCTAATAGCAATCTTCACTTGCTGAATAAGATCTTGTACAACTTCTGGGTCTTCCGAATCGAGCAAGGAAAGATCGATAGATTTCAACGTAGCAAAGTTGTGTTTCTCTTGTGTGACTGGTGGGGGGACCCATTCTGGCACAGATGGTTTGCCAGGAAGTGTGGCAGAAGGGGGGTTGAATACAGCTGCGGGGGCCATAGTTTGTATTGCTGATCTAGAAAATATAGGAGATAATACCCATCAGAAGAAAAATATCTTGAAGTAATATATATTCTCTCCCCAACGTATATTTAATTGCGTACCGGGGCGATAGTGCGATGGTGGGTGTGCACATCATTCGGCAGAATTCATCCAACAAACGAGCTCCTCATCATAGCCAGAGGAGCACAAAGTTTAATGTCGCCCAGTATCTTTTCTTGACCTTTTCGTCCACTCTGCGAGAACTTGCTAGTCGCGTTGGATCCACATTGTCGTAGTTTCACTTCCTTTGGCTTGCTCCTCCGACGTCTCCTTGCTCCATATTGAGAGCTCCTCTACATTATCGGCGTTATCAATTCCATCTCCTGAGAAGATCGATTACAAGCTTATCAATAGACTTTGAATTCACGAGGAGAGGGTGGATATAGAAGTGTCAACCTTTCGGGATCTAAGGGAGGAGCTCCTCCCAAGTGGGGCGCGCGGATAGACTCTTCCCTCTAACGAAAGAGAGATGTAGAGCTTTATCGATCGCAGCTCATGCAGAGCTCCTCCGTTCTGATAACGACACTCGGTGGGGCTTCATACCCCTCTTGCGAATAATTGTTTCTTGAAATAAGGACCAGGAGGAGGAACAGCGACCGTCAAGCAATTTAAACCGAACAGCTTGTCAACTGTTCCTCCTTACAACAATCTCAAATTATCTTTGTCCATTTGAACTTACTTCTCTCAATTTCTTCCTCCTCTCAATCACTTCACAATGTCCCGACAACTCATCTCGAGCGAGAAGTTCCCTCCCAAGCCACATAACTGCCCGGCGACTAAGGTTCCCGGTCTCGTCTTCTGTGCAGGACAGACTGCCACTGGAGAGATCAAGCAGGCTACTGTGAGCTAACGGCCCAACCAAGATTTTCTCTTTGAACAACAGTCATACTAATCATTCCATTTTTTTTCCCATAGAGAACCGTGTTGCAGAATCTAAAGGAGGTTCTTGAGCTATCCGGCTCGTCCCTCGAACAGGTCGTCAAATACAACGTCTACCTTGCCGACATGAAGGATTTCGCGGCCATGAACGAGGTTTACATCGATTTCCTGCCTAAGCCAATGCCTTCTCGATCCTGCCTCCAGGCTGTTCCCCCGGGAGATGGGACTGTCATTGAGATCGAGTGCATTGCCCAGGCTTAAGCAATGCCATTACGGACTCAATGACAAAATATAAAAATAAATGTTCAATTATCTAAATGAAGGCCAAATTCTATACATTCCAAACCGTGCTATGAAATAAAAACATAAATAGACTTTGATGACGCCTCTGTCTCTATAATTCCGGAGCCTGATAGGTTTTTAAACAAATTTCTAATTTCAAACTCAGCTACGTAACTTCAAGGAACCAACATCCCAGTGACTTGGCCGTTCCATGTTGAAGGCGTAATAAGACATTCTCGTGCAGCTTTGTGAAGATAGATCTTTCAAGGTCCAGGGATATTCGATTACCACAAAGAACCTACTTGGCTATTGTGTGAAAGATTCTGAAAGTCCAATCATCGACTACGAACTAAATTTTGAGATTCATAAAACGGTCGTCTATTCACATGAGAAGTCTATTCGAAGCATAATACATATCCAGCAACTCATGAACGAGCAATATCCAACTCTGCGATGTACCAGTTTTGAATTGCCTTGGTATCTCCGGTAATAGCCACCATGTCGTATCGCTCCCTGGCTTCCTTCGCCATCGTCCCGTTATTCACCATGCGACCAGCCCACTTTCCGTGCTTTCGTGCCGCAGCAATGATTTTGTCAATGGCAGAGAGAAACTCCGGCTCATCGCCGCGGGCAGGAGTGTATCCCAGGAGGGATTGAGCCAAATCATTGGGTCCAATAAACACAAGATCGACGCCTGGCACGGCACAAATAGCGTCGACGTTCTCCACACCAGCGCGCGTCTCGATCTGAATCATTGTCACAATTGTCTCATTGGCAGACTTCATGTACTCCGGAGTAGTGAGGCCATGAGCAATTGCAGGGAAGGCCGACCCCTGTCCACGGACACCCTGGGGAGGGAACTTGCTAGAGGCAACAATTTGCTGAGCCTCCTCAGCGTTGTTGATCTGTGGGACCATGATACCATGAGCACCGGTGTCGAGAGCACGCTTGATAATATCGTGAGCGGGGCCTCGGATTCGAATTATAGGAGAGACTCCGAGTGAAGCAATGGCCGCGACAGAGTTATGCATCGCGTCATCTCCAATGTGGCCATGCTCAGCGTCGATGATAATTCCGTCCAGGCCAGTCAGAGCAACTATCTGAGCCATGCGCACTGAGGGAATTGCCTTGAATGTGAGAAGGGGATATTCTCCGGCCTTGAGTTTGTTGAGAAGCCTCAATCGAGGATTCTCAATCTGTGTGGTTTGAGGAGTTGGGTAGCTCATTGTGAGGGTTGCGCTATGACGACGACAAGGTAGATTTCGAAGAGGGAAATGGTAAGATGATAGAAGTAGAAGAGTTAATGATGAATTGAACAGCAATATCGCAGTTCTATAGGTCTACTTATCAATGCTTCTTTTTTGATTCACTCGTTTGACTGCATTTCGAAGGACCCTCCGATCCCGCCATCGATGTACTCCACAACTGGCCAATTGTAGCGCAGCCCGAGACCCCACCAGAGGGAGGAGCTCCTCCCGTTTATCTCTTCCGTTTATCTCTCAGCGTTCAACGGGTGATCGGACCGCTTGACTCCTCCCAACGCATCTGTACGCGGCTCATGTACCCCGGATTTGGACCAAATGCGCTGATATCTGGGGAAACGGCTACCCATTGGGCCGCAAATGTGCGCTCCTCCCTGCGCTTATCTCCTAGATTCATCATGGACCCGCTCGGCGTCGACCAATCAATAAGTCACAGTCCTTTGTAAAGGGGGCTCGATCATTAGCCGGCTGATATCTGAGATACCGGGGATGTATGGGAGCCATTGTAAGAGATAGAGCTCCGGTCCTTATTATACAGCTAATCCTTTGGGGAGAGCCCTCCTCCCTAAGGGTGTACTTTGCGAGGCCAGCGGAGTGAGCCTTTTTTTTTCTTGTCTGCAGTTTGATAGACACCTCATACCTTTCCTTACCATCACACTACTATGGACGTCAAAAAAGAACATCTAGATGATGATAATGTATCATCAGCAGAAGGTCAGGTCGATGTCACCACGGCAGCATATCGTCGGATGCCAGAAGATCTTCAGGCACTAGGGGAAGACGAGATCAAGCGCCTTAGCAAGAAGATTGTTCGCAAGGTCGACCTCATGGTTTTGCCAACCATTGGCATCCTATACATTCTCAACTATGTCGACCGTCAGAACCTCGCTGCAGCCAAACTTCAGGGCATTACTGAGGACCTGAATATGACCACTGAGCAGTTTGCCACCGCTGTTTCGATCCTCTTTGTCGGATACCTACCCTTCCAGATCCCTAGCAATCTTCTTATCACAAGAATTTCTCGACCAGGCATGTATATCTGCTTTGCAGTCGCAATATGGGGCTGTATCTCGGCTGCCACGGCTGCTGTCAAGACGTACGGTCAACTCCTTGCTGTGCGGGCCATTCTAGGGGCCGCCGAAGCTGTTTTCTTTCCTGGGGCCATATACTACCTCTCTGCCTGGTACACCAAAGTCGAGCTCGGAAAGCGTATTGCTGGGCTGTATATTGCGCAGCAAGTTGGTAATGCTTTCGGTGGCCTCTTTGCAGCCGCGATTCTTCAGCTCGACGGCGTGCACAATATTGCCGGATGGCAATGGTTGTTCATCATCGAGGGAAGCGCTACGGTTGGAATTGGTGTTGTGTGTGCTTGTATAATGCCGGAGTTCCCCCATAACAGCCGAATCCTCTCTGACACAGAGCGTGCACTGGCTGTCTGGCGCATAGAATCTGAATCGGGTGCCGCAGAGGGAACCGAGAATGAGAGTGTGTGGCGAGGCTTTGCAAAAGCTTTGTCGGATCCCAAGTTACTCCTCTTGGTCCTCTGCAATATGCTGTCTCAGGTCCAGGGATCAATTGCCAATTATTTCCCGACCCTTGTCGCCTCCCTCAACTTTTCCAGCACGATTAGTCTACTTTTGACTGCACCGCCCTACATTCTTGCCGGCATTGTTTACTACGTGGTCATGTTCTACTCCGACCGCAAGAATACTGTCTATCCGATTATTATTGGATGCATTGCTATCTCAATTGGCATGTATATTATTCCGATGGCTACTCTCAACGTCGGCGCCCGATACTTTGCCATGATGATCTTGCCTTTTGCATCAGTCGGTCCACAGCTGCTGCTATACAAGACGATCAATCTGCACCTTGCCCGCCCTGTTTCCAAGCGTGCCGCCGCCTCGGCACTTGTCAATGCCATCGGTGGCACATCCAATATTTGGGCGTCCTATCTGTACTACGCATCTCCACATTTCTATGCAGCTTTTGGAACACTGATGGGCGCTGCATTTCTCCTGGCGGCCACCATTACTATATACCGCTGGCTTATCTTGCGTGAGAACAAACGCTTGGACTCTGGTGACCCAGATCAGATCGCAAAGGCCATGAAGGGTGGAGTGACCGCGGAAATGGTACAGCTCAACTGGCGCTATGAAATGTATTAGGTAGTATAAATGAATAGCTTTTGAGAACGTCGACTCCAAATCATGCGATTTGTCTTGGATCTACCGTCTGGTTATCGGCACTAGTCTCATCAATGAATTTTTGTTGCTTGCTGGGTTCCTATTGAATTCCATGTGCTTACTACATGTAGGCATTGCCTGCCGCGAGATTGAATGGATCCACATCTCCTTTATGTTAATATTTGATAATTGCGGAACCTGATTTCAAAGTTAAGACTATCAAGGACTACTATAATTAGAGACTCCTTATATACGTACTTTAAGGCCTTGGCGTGGATGCAGCGGGGCCCATGATATTTATATGTCAGAGACAAGTTACCTCAATCTACCACCAAGTTACGCATTGGTCATACTTATTCGGCCAAATAATGAGGATCATGGGCGGCTAGGGCGGTTAAAGGCGGAAGGGCAGGATCCTGGGCTCAGAACATAATCCCTGACTTGATCTATATACCTTGCTGCCGTATACAGACGATGCCTGCACGATGTTCTCACGAAAGAACAAATACGGTCTTCATGGATCGAAATGATGCTTTAATACAAGAGAATAACCCAGAGACACAGACTGAGGGACTTGGAAATCAGCATCCTATTGAAAATAAATTTGTTATGAAATTGGTTAGAGGATATTTTAATTCATACCATTTAGAGTTAGAATCTTTTTTATAGAATCTCGAGAGCAGACTATGAAACGTGAATGACAACAGTTCCATCGATACAACGGCGGGTCCAAGGTTCCCCGCTGATCGGATGCTCCGCATTCCGTCATGCCTCCGCATCTGGAACACTGAGCTCCCTCCTTTCCTGTAAGCATCCTTCCCTCCTCGAACTTTTGCATCTTCTACTGCTTTCCAGATTTGCTCGCACCATTTCTCTCATTTTCTTTTCTCCCATCATTAACCTCTATCCCGGATCTCATTTCAAATCACCACTATCATGGGTGGAGAAGCTTCGCCACTTGCCCCCGCCCTAGCTTCGCGATCGGTACCCCGGCTAGCTGAGCGCCCGGTCGGCCAGCGCATCACCAAGATCTACACGGACCGACTGCGCCAGTTGACAGCGTCCGGCCAGTATGAAAGCCAGAATCTGGTCGCAAAGTTCCATGAAGCTGTCAATTCCGATGAAGACCATGTCAAGCTGTCCGTTTACTCGGTCCCGGACCTGCAGCGGCCATCCTTCGAGGATGCAACCTCACACGAATTCCAGCCAACTCATATCGGACAATCCTTTGGCCCTAGCTGGTCTACCCATTGGTTCCGCATCCAGCTCACCGTTCCTGAGGAGATGCTCCGAAAGGAACGCCTGGAATTTCACTGGGATGCGAATAACGAAGGTATGGTCTGGACGAACGAAGGTCATCCGCTACAAGGTTTGACAGGCGGCGGAGAGCGTATCGAATGGATCATCCCCGAAAGTTGGCGCGATGGAAAGGAACATATCTTTTATATCGAAATGGCCTGCAATGGCATGTTTGGCAACGCCCCCGGCGGCGACTCCATCCAACCGCCGAACCCGGACAAGTACTTCCAACTCACCAAGGCACAGATCACAGCCGTGAATTTGGAAGCACGCGCACTCTATTATGATTTCTGGATTATCGGAGATGCCGCCCGTGAATTCCCTGGAGATTCGTGGGAGGCGCACGAAGCTAATATGGTGGGCAACGCTATGATCGATGCTTTCATTGCCGGCAATGGAAGCCAAACGTCCATCAAGGAGGCGCGCAAGATCGGACAGAAGTACCTGGGTAATAAAGTTGATTCATCATCTGTCTATTCAGCCGACACAGAGCCATTTGTATATGCCATCGGTCATTGCCATATCGATACCTGCTGGCTCTGGCCCTGGGCAGAGACTAAGCGCAAGGTTGCACGATCGTGGTCCAACCAATGCGATCTGATGGATCGCTATCCGGAACATCGTTTTACTTGCTCACAGGCTCAGCAATTCAAGTGGCTCAATCAATACTATCCTTCCGTCTTTGATCGTGTGAGAAGATGGGTGCGAAAGGGCCATTTCCAGCCAATCGGTGGTAGCTGGGTTGAGCATGACACCAATATGCCCAGCGGAGAGTCGCTCGTTCGGCAGTTTCTCTATGGTCAGCGATTCTTCAAGAGCCATTTTGGCAAGCGATGCACCACTTTCTGGCTGCCGGATACGTTTGGATATTCTACTCAGATCCCGCAGATTTGTCGCCTGGCCGGAATGAGCCGCTTCTTTACTCAAAAGCTTAGCTGGAACAACATCAACAACTTCCCTCACACCACCTTCCAATGGGTTGCCCTGGATGGCAGCCAAGTTATGTGCCATATGCCGCCATCAGAGACTTACACAGCCGAGGCCCATTTCGGTGATCTCAGGCGCAGCATCACCCAGCATAAGTCGATGGACAAGGATAAGTCTTCTTTGCTTGTATTTGGCAAAGGTGATGGTGGGGGAGGGCCGACATTTGGTCACCTGGAAAAATTGCGCCGTTGCCGCGGGCTCAGCGACAAGATTGGCACACTTCCCCGAGTCAAGATGGGCGAATCTGTCGACGACTTCTTCGACAAGCTTGAAGCTAGCGCTGCCAATGGCACGGAGTTTGCAACTTGGTATGGAGAATTATATTTTGAACTCCATCGCGGAACCTATACGACTCAGGCGAATAACAAACGCAACAACCGCAAATCCGAATTCTTGCTGCGCGAGATTGAGCTTCTTGCTACTCTAGCAACTCTTCATGGCACGGACAAGAAGTACAAGTATCCCAAAGAGCAGATTGATCAGATGTGGGAGGGCGTTCTTCTTTGTCAATTCCATGATTGCTTACCTGGAAGCTCAATTGAGATGTGCTACGATGACTCAGATAAACTCTACGCTGAAATCTTTGAGACTGGAAATGAGTTACGCGAGAAGGCTCTTGGTGCACTAGGAATTGCTGGAGATTCCGGAAGCCTTGTTGCTCTCAACACTTTGCCTTGGCCACGCTCTGAACTTGTGAAAATCCCGGAGACTCTCGCTGCTTCTAATGGATCTAGATATGCTTTGGCTGATGGACCGACTGGCGTCATTGCATGCAAGCCAGTTGATTTCAAGGTCACCACCGCGGTCACCGTTTCCGAGATTGAGCCCGGTGTTTTCCGCATGGAGAATGGCAAGCTGAGAGTGAACATCAACAACGGTGTGATTACGTCGTTGTTTGATGTGGAAGCACAGAGAGAGATCATTGCTAAGGGCGGGAAGGCTGGTCAGCTGGTGATATTCGATGACAAGCCTCTTTACTGGCAGGCCTGGGATGTAGAGGTCTTCCATCTCGATTCTCGAAAGGAACTTCCTCGTGGCAAGACAGTCATCATAGAGAATGACCAACACAGAGCCAGCGTTGTGACCGAAACCCAGATTAGTGACAAGAGTTGGATCAAGACAACAATCAGCCTTGCAGCATCCACTTCTGGAGAACCCTCATTCGTGGAATTTGAAAGTGAAGTTGAGTGGCGGGAAACCATGAAGTTCCTTAAGGTTGAATTCCCGGTGGATATCACAAATACCGAGGCGTCCTACGAGACACAATATGGTATCGTTCGCCGCCCGACGCATTACAACACCAGGTAAGTTCCATGGAGGCCTATTGCAGAATCGATTCTAATAAGGCTTTTTAGCTGGGACATGGCGAAATTCGAAGTCTGCTGTCACAAATGGGCGGATCTGTCTGAGAATGGCTACGGCGTTTCAATTCTCAACGACTCAAAGTATGGCTTCGCAACCTGTGGCAACCTCATGCGACTGTCTCTTCTTCGCGCTCCCAAAGCTCCCGATGCTCATGCAGATATGGGCCGTCATCACATCCGCTACGCGATCCTTCCTCACATTGGTCCCCTTGATGCGCGTACAGTCCGAGCTGGATACAACTTCAACCATCCGCTGGGTGTAGAGCAAGCCAGCTCAAACATTTCGAGCTATAATACTGCTTTCAGATCTGTTTCCGTTCAAGGTTCCTCGTCTATTATCTTAGATGTGGTCAAGCGTGGCGAAGATGACGCAGATGTTTCGACTGGCGGCATTCGCCCCAGACCAGGGAAAAGCGTGATTGTGCGTGTCTACGAGTCTCTTGGTGGAAAGGCACGCGCAACAGTCCACAGCACTTTGCCTGTGAAACAAATCTTCAAGTGCAATATTCTCGAGGACGACGAGGAGGAAATGTTATTCAAGAAGACTCGAGAAGAGATCACGACGGTGGACATCGAACTACGGGCATTTGAGATTGCAACTTACCGTCTACAACTGTAGTTACTTCATGAACGAAATGCTGCTTCTTTTCGCGGCACATATTGTTACTTTTGCTTACCAAAACAGTATGGCTGAAATAATAGTATGATCAAGTCTTTTATGATCACCTTGTCTACTACGAGAGAATGGTAGTCCACAAGGATGTAAAATGTACATGATATTGGTATCGGATATCTGGGATGACAGGCCCAACCTCCCGTCCTTTTAAACCAGCGCCAAGCTTCTCGAATAACGCCTCAAAATACCAAGAACCCCAAACACCATACTATAACAACAGGAGAGAAACAAAAATCTACGTGATTTCACGGCCAGTCTGGAGTCGGCCATCTAATCACGTCCGTAGCTGATTTTCAACCGCTTCACAGGCGGCTTGCTATCTCCATCGTCGGAAAATTCATCGGTCTGATTTTTGCCCTTGGTATTTTTAGATCCGCCACTTGCTTTCTTCTTGTTTTTGGAGGAACCACTGCCTGCCTTGGATGCGGTCGCCGAATCCCCTCCATTGCTCTTATTTGAGGGGGCGTTGCCACCGGCGGTAGATGTCGGGGTGGCTGCGTGGGAAGGGGTTGTTTGCACTGATGAAGGACCAGGAGAATCCTACAGGGCAAATTCAAAGGTCAATCTGGAGAGTTTATGTAGACGACAATGGCTTCTTCCTTTCAACTTACGACCATGTAGCTTGCCGAACTCCGGGAGAAGACCCGGTCTGCCTCCGTCACCTGTGCCTTGCGCCGGCCACCAATACCCGTCCCAAGGCTCAGCCCAGAAGCACCGAGACTAGATCCACTTGAAGACCCTTTGATGTAGTTGTCGAAGCCTTTGATGATATTGCCGGCAGTCGTCTCCTCTAGGTAGGATTGTTCGAAACGGAAGATCTGATCTTCCAGTTGAGCCTATCCAGTTGCACAAATGAGCCCCTGTGTCAGTCGAAAGCTCCCTGGGTCTAGAGGAAGTTCAAGAAAGATGTTCAAAAGTCTTTCTTTGCGACCAATTGCCGGCGAAGTTGAAGGACAAAGACGCGAGTGGGCGTGATGCGACTTACCATGCTCTTATCCATGAGGCGCTTCTTCTGTATCGTATCCCTCAGCTCTCTCCGTAGCTTCTCATAATATGGCAGCCCCCGGCTGGCAGAAGTCTGGTCGCTGGGCGCATTCGAGGTCCCTGCGGTTGCGGTGTTCGCCGGCGCCGTGGGTGCACCAGTCACAGGGGCCGTGGTAGGAGCCGTCGCAGTTTCCGCCATGGGATCGAATAAAGGGAGGTCGCGTATTAAAGACAGTTATTTCAGCTCATGTAAGAGCAAGCAATGTAAGTTCAGACAGATGCCAAGGAAGCAGTGATGGCGTGTCTGGAGGTTGAAGCTCTGTCCGCGCCATCTGGAAGCCTTGGCAGGAGCCCAAATCTTATCGTGTGTGGTGTTTGCGTGGTTTGCAGCAACATGCCGCCCGCATTCTAATCAGGTGGAGCGTTTGGCCAGTTGCTGTCTCACAAGCTCCATGTTTACTCTCCGTTGACCTTCACCCCCTAGAGCACTGCTTATTTTCCTTTGAGCCTGCAATATTCCAGTCCTCCATCCTCTCAAAATCCTCACATTCACCATGGACCACTCGATGCACATGGATCACGGCGATATGGACATGGGTGGCCAATGTAATATGAACGCAAGTATTCTGTGCCGGCAAACAACGCTGCCCTTGCTAACTGTTCCTTTTTGTGGCAGATGGTCTTCACATGGTCCTACCAAAATCTCTGCGTCATCTTTCGCCAGTGGCGGATCACTGGCCCGCTGTCATTCATTTTCTCCTTGATCCTTATTGTTCTCCTCACGGCTGGCTACGAAGGTGTCCGGCAAGTAACCCGCAAGTACGAGGCTTCACATAATCAACGTCTGAATGCATTCGTTGCGACAACTGCTACTTCTGGAGGTACGTTTGATGCCCCTTAGCTCGGCTTCCTGGATTGATGAGAGCCGTTTCGAGGGTGGTACTTGGCTCATGGCTGCGGGCGTTGCATATTGATTTGGTTTCTTGCACAACCCGACCTATCCCTTGCGCATGCCTGCTTGAGCAAGCTCTCATTGATGTCTTGCGCTGTAGATGATGGGATCCCCAACCCGACCACCGTCGGCGCCCCTGAGGCAAACTATCCCGTTCGAGACGAGAGCTCACAACTACTTGTAGGAAGGGACAACAGGGCTGCGCTTGCACGTCAGGGGAAGATCACACTAGCTGCATTGTATGCTATTCAGGTCTTCTACAGCTTCTTCATCATGTGTGTATTGGGTCTTTTCCGTACCTTTGAAAACATACTAATATGGCCAATCATTTCAGGCTTCTTTTCATGACATACAATGGCATGGTCATGCTTGCTGTGGCGGTGGGTGCTTTTGTTGGGTACTTGGCTTTTGCAGATGGCACCCCAGCTACCAAGAGCGTTGCTTGCCATTAAGCATTCTTTTGCGAGGGATTGGTTGTACTGGCGTTATGAGTCTTCTGATGGGATGACATGGCATCTGCATAAGCCGTCGTAAATTTCATTTCACATATGCAGTAATTAAAGGACGCCAAACAATGGCTCTCATTTTGATAGCGCACAATTTTCATGGGACTTCAACATCACTATCATCATTTCCAAAGCCAAAGCTGAAGCCTCCCTCTGGGGCTTCATCCCCAGCCTCCCCTTCTGCTTTTCCACGGACAATATCCTCCCATTTCCGCTTTTTGCCTTCTGCCTTCTTCCGTAGCTCTTCCGCTTGCTCCAGAAGGTTGGGATATGTCTCACGCATGCCGTCGACAAACCTTTCATATGGATTCTGCACGTTCTTCCTGAATCCCGACACCTGGTCCGCCTTGTTCAACATGAAGTCCAAGGCAGCCCCAAGATGGGCCCGGGGAATGAAATTTTGGGTAATGGCAATCGAGGCCTCCAGGTTCACCACCAGATGCCACCAGCCCGACGGGACATGCAATATCTCGCCTTCTCCACAGATGCCCTCCATACAGCCCGGCTTTCGACGAGCTTCAGCATGGAAGTTGAGAAGCCACTCGGCGATGCTGAGCGGAGAAGTGACCTCACTTTGGTCATCCGACACGAAAACACCCGGGGGCGGCGGTCGCGTATCACCCGATGGGAACATAATCCAGTATTTCGGCCCGCGCAGCACCGCGTTCCACGCACTGGTTGCGTTAGGATCCTTGTGGAATTTGCTGCCCGAGCGTTCGGGTCCCACGATCAGCCACTGGTGGTCCGGCCGGTCGCTCCCCACCACCGAAAAAAGGTCTTCCGCAAAGCATGCCGGCGGCCAGTATGAGGCATCAGGGGTCTGGTCGGGCTGGCCTACTGTCAGGCCCATCTTCGGCACGAACGCGCGATCGAATAAGTAAAGCGGGCTCTCATCCGCATTGTCGGCCATGTAATCGCCATAGGTGCGCAATGGCCAGTCCACAGCCTCCGCCCGGAATTTCTCCTGTCCATACCGAGAGAGCAGTGTGCCGACCGACCAGTTCTTGTAGACCGGCCAGGCCTTAACTGGCTCCGTCAGGATAAAGGGCCGGTCTGCCCAATCGGCATCAAAATCCTCGGGTGATAGATCAGACAATCGTGGGATCTGATTCCGTACGGGAATGTTACGGACATAGGGATCTAGCGCAATGTGTGCGCAGTTGAAGGGACGATAGAGCACATCGGAATAAAGATGGGAACAGTCCACCATGGGGACTTTGGAGGGTGGCAGGTTAAGATAAGTTGATCGCCATGTTCCTCGCCATGTAAATCCCTCCAAGTGTGATCTGTCATAGAAATTGATCTGTTAGTCTCAACTGTTTCGTGATCTTCGAAGTGTTGGTTAGCCTAGTGTTGAGCCGCATGCGCGTTGCATGGACTCTTGACAATATATAGATCGGCAACTCCAACCACTCCAAACAACCAATCCACGCCAGCGTGCCTTTTGTTCCGCTTTTCAGAGGAACCAACCCACGAGAATTCAGATAGAGTCTTAAGGGTGTCTTACTCAACAAAAAGGGCCTTCCACAATTCCTCGGCACGTGTAAATGCATAGAAGGCCTTGCACGTTCGCCCGATGCGCAGTAGATCGGTACCGCTGAAGCTCTCCAACAGCAAGATGATCAACTCGTCCGGTAAGCGTCGAAACTGTCCAATCGCATCGCGGAGATTGTAGGTGGCCAACAATGCATTTCCACTGGGTTTGACACCCAGCGGATGGCTTGGGATAGCGTCGTCGCCCAGATCCCGTTCCTGGGCGGGCGGATAAATGGGTAGTGTCGTGATGTCAGGCATTCTCCGCCAGGATTCTTAGGGCTTCACGATTTTTTCTGGATTCGACCCGGTTCAACCCCAACAGCCCCGTTGGCAATTAGCACACCACGTAGCCCAACCAGGCAAGACACAAGAAAGCCAGCAACCCCCCCCGAGGCCTAAACACTGCAGAATGGATGCAGCTTTAGGCACACAAGAAGCCTTGGGGGGTCTTTTTTCGCTGCCCGCTCGCTTGGCCCCGAGCGGGAAGCCCCACAAGCGGCAGGCGGTCAGGCCTCGCCCCGTGAAAAAAAAAGCGCTGCAGCAAAAGGCGTTTGTGGCCGACGATTTTTTTCCTCTTCTCTTTCCCACCCCATTTGTGACCCCATACCACCACTCGTCACCACTCTCCCCCTTAGTATCTTGTGCGCTCTTCTTGCTGGAAGAGCCTTGATACTAGCTTTTTTTCGACTGCGAACTACCCCACAGGGCACGTTCGCTTTAAATCCCTCTCACCCCACCACGATCACAGCGACCAGTCGCCTGTGATCACTCGACCCCCAGTCGCAATCATGTCGAACGATAAGGGCCTTGAGGAGGTCCCCGAGGGTACGTGCCGGATTTCTATATCTTGTGGTTGTGGGAGTTCGTTGGATATTGTCAGATAAGAGGGGATCGCATGTCGAACCCCTCTTGAGACGACAAAGGGGAATCCCGAAACCGAGATAACCAAAACGGAGACTAACCTCACTTGCGCCCATTATAGGACAGATCGAGTCTAACTACGATGAGATCACCGACTCCTTCGACTCCATGGACCTGAAGCCCGAGCTGCTTCGCGGTATGTGCTTCCCCTGGGGCGATACTTGAGCCTGTTCCCGCCCGCCCTGTGGCGGGGTATGCAGAAAATTCCTAACATCCCATCAGGTGTCTACGCCTACGGTTTCGAGCGTCCCTCCGCCATTCAGCAGCGTGCTATCATGCCCATCATCAAGGGTGAGTCATTTGAGCCGATATGTATTTTCCCACCCAACTGAGGCCCTAACTTCCCTCAGGCAACGATGTCATTGCTCAGGCTCAGTCCGGTACCGGCAAGACCGCCACCTTCTCCATCTCCGCTCTCCAGAAGATCGACACCAACCTCAAGGCCTGCCAGGCTCTGATCCTTGCTCCCACCCGTGAGCTGGCTCAGCAGATCCAGAAGGTCGTTGTCGCCATTGGTGACTTCATGAAGATCGAGTGCCACGCCTGTATCGGTGGTACCAACGTCCGTGAGGACATGACTGCCCTCCGTGACGGCCCCCAGGTCGTTGTCGGTACCCCCGGCCGTGTCCAGGACATGATCCAGCGCCGCGTCCTGCGCACCGACCACATGAAGCTGTTCGTCCTTGACGAGGCTGATGAGATGCTGTCTGTAAGTAGTCCCGTCGACTTTTTTCCACCGTCGCAATCCATCAGATTGGACCGCATGGAGCACGTCCGAGCGAGCGAGAGAGAACGAAAGAGAGTTTAGATGCTAACCTACCTATGCAGCGTGGTTTCACCGAGCAGATCTACGACATCTTCCAGCTTCTTCCCCAGTCTACCCAGGTCACCCTGCTGTCCGCCACCATGCCCCAGGACGTCCTGGAGGTCACCACCAAATTCATGCGTGACCCCGTCCGCATCCTGGTCAAGAAGCAGGAGCTTACCCTTGAGGGTATCAAGCAGTTCTACATCGCCGTTGAGAAGGAGGAGTGGAAACTCGACACCCTGTCCGATCTCTACGAGACCGTCACCATCACCCAGGCCGTTATCTTCTGCAACACCCGCCGCAAGGTCGACTGGCTCACCGACAAGCTCACTGCTCGTGACTTCACTGTCTCCGCTATGCACGGTGACATGGAGCAGGGCCAGCGTGATGTTATCATGAAGGAATTCCGTTCCGGCTCCTCCCGTGTCCTGATCGCCACTGACCTGCTGGCCCGTGGTATTGATGTTCAGCAGGTTTCCCTGGTCATCAACTACGATCTTCCCGCCAACCGCGAGAACTACATTCACCGTATCGGTCGTGGTGGTCGTTTCGGTCGTAAGGGTGTTGCCATCAACTTCGTCACCGCTGACGATGTCCGCATGCTCCGTGAGATCGAGCAGTTCTACAGCACCCAGGTTGAGGAGATGCCCATGAACGTTGCTGGTAAGTGCCATTCCTGGCTTCCTCTGATTTCTCTTCTCGTGTACTAATTAGTTCCTACAGATCTCATCTAAACATCCTCACCCCTTTTATGTCTTGATGCGGATTACGATCGCAGAACCTGCGTCAAAAGTGGCTTTCTGTGTTTCCCAACGCATTTCCGCTCGCGGTGGCACAATGGGATTGGTCCGGGCTATTTTCCGCGCCTGTTTTATAGGTCGGTGACGCCATTCCGGACCTGCCATTTGAGTGCACCGCTATGGTTTTCCTATGTCCCCCCTTCTGCACTTATGGAGATGTGACATGTTTATGCGTTTTGTTGCTGTCACGGTTTTCCTTTTCCTGCATTTCTTCCGTTTTACTCTGTATCTAGCTCGCTCTGGTTGGTTAAGGATGCCGCAGTTATCGTACTTAATCAAATAGATCGGGCCAAAATGTGACTTGAATTGTTCCTCACGGGATTCTCCATGAATTTTTTTATTGTTTTTAGTACTTCATATTATACAGGTAGGCCCTCTACACTTCAATTGCTGCATCAGACCCACCCGTCAATAATGGCCCAAACGACTAGCGTAGAGGTTGTTTCAAGTGATTATTCAGGCCAGGAAGATTGGTTAATACATTATTACACTGTCCTAGGTATTTGCGATATAACGCTGGGCCAACCTTGAGAATAGAGACAGTGTACTTCAAGCCATTCTGCAGAGCAATCTTGGCCCAGTCTCCCATCAGTATGGGTGCTTGTATACTATCCTATAAATGATAACATATGCTGCTTCAAGATCACTGAGCTCTACCTTTCCTTTGTCTTCTCATGGCGCCTGGCAAGATACCAGGCAAGAAGCATGCGTTAATCCTCCGCTGAGAATGCCTATCCGGACACCTCCATGTGGGTTTGCCTAATATCAAGATGCCTCTCATGTTACCTGCGTGGATAATCCTAGGCTCGGTCACTACTTAAACGATCCAAGTCTCTCACTCACCAAACCTCCTTGAGCCGTCTCGCACCAAGTCTGCCCGTTGAAGTCTGCCTGCTGAAGGGCGTCCGAGGTGCGTAGCCTTGAGGCTTGTCGCCAGCCCCAGGGTTAATGAAAATGAACTCACCATCCTCACCTCCTCCCACATTATAAGACGTGCATCCAAACCTTCGGATTCTTTCTTTCAACTTCCTCCACAAGTGCTCTGAGATTCCTGCCGTTCTCAATTTCTGTTCTTCCGCTCTCTGTTTCCCGCTTCATCTCCATATATCTCCCATCCCCACGGACAGAACCTGTCTTCTTCTCATTTTCACAGTATTCACGACCCTCACCGCGCTCGCACGAATTTTCACTTCACTCTTCGCATTTAATCTTTTCACTTCCTGACTCTCTTCTGTCGGCATGTCCGAGACTACAGGACCTAATTCATCTGAAGGCTTGAACGCCCCTGTCTCTCTCCTCTGGTCCTACGAATTGCAACGCCAGAATGGAATCCTCTCATCCCGCCTCCTCGATGTAAAAGAGGAGCTAGGCGCCTCTGAGAAGCTCACCGAGACACTCTCTAAGTGTCTGAACAACTTGATCGTCATCATCGCATCAGTGGCCACAGTGCTGGTGAGCCAATCCCATACCTCAAAGGAGCGTCTGCGCTCCCTCCATCGCCAACTTGCAAATGCTATCGTCCTTTTCTACAACTGCAAACAAGAGATGTACATTGATGTCGATGCTTTGAGCCACTGCATTGCCCAGCTGGAACTTCTGTACAACTTTCCTCCAACCATCTTCTCTTCGGATGATTTCGAGGCCTTTGACTCGCTCTCACCTTATCTCACTTCTCTCGCCAACGCACCACTTGTGGCATCAAATGCCAGCTCAAATCGAGTAGCCTCAATGCTCGATGGGCAACTATCACCTGCTGAAATCACCGAAATCACCCTGGCCATGAAGTTAGAGGCCGTGATGAAGCAAGAAGGCCGCCCGCTGGGCGAGTACTTCGACGCAGCCAACGAGTTCCGTCGGCACCAGCAGCGCCTGGGCCAGGGCAATGACACCCTCTTCATCGAGGCGTTCCTGGCCGGCTGCGATAACCGCTTGTATCGACGACGCCTGACTCATGCCCTGCGCCGTGACGGCTGGTACTGGACCTGGCTCACCCACGAGGTGATGTTCCTGATCCTCGAGCAGGAGTACATGGATAAGCAGGAGTACGCCATCGGCCATTCGCTCGAAGATGGCATATACCAGTGGCCGGACGGTACTTACGCTTACCGTTTCCTGAACCTGCCTCCCATCACGGAGGAGGATCTTACTGCCTCCGAGGAGGAAGCTTGAGTTTGGGGAAGATATGAGAAACGAACTTAATGAGTGTATGGATGTATGGCGGATAAGCTACGAGGTGCAATGAACTTTACGAGATACCCGATACCCCCTTTAATATCGGCGAGTAGGTAGTCTGATTGAGATAGTGAACTCATATTTGTTATGCGATGCACATTCCAGGCAGTGCAGTAATTTATATCCCGTTAATTTCATTTCAACTAACATCCAAATGCGAGAAGAGTCTGATTGGGGTGCAATCGAGTCCTGAGAAGAAGATGTTCTTCCTGCACAATATTGTATTTTTATCTGGTACCATAGCGAGAATGCGCAAAGTGCTAAGGCCATGCTACCAAATCCCATAGTCTGTAATTAGATAATATTCCAAGTGAAATATAGATGGAGGTGCTAGTTAATTCATCTTCAATGTATCGGCCGTAGCAAGCAGTCACTCATCTTCTCTTCGGCCTTTCATTGCTCGAACCACTGTGACGTCTTCGTATATCACCATGTTGGAAGCATGTAGCCTGGGAATGGCCAGCCATTCTTATTCGATGCTGGATGAGAGAGGAAACTAGTGTCGCCATGGCTCAGCTTTCTTCTGTCATTTTTGGTTACGTGTCCCACATAAATGCCATATCGCAAATAAAGTCTCGTGGCTTTATACCATGCTTACCTTCATTTGTTTGAAGTTGCCTCATACATCATGCTTCACCAGAAATATCTTGTCAATCAAGCTAGATTGGCCTTATCCAACCGAAATATATAGTCGAAAGATAAAAGTAGAAGTGGTATTAAGAGGGCTGGCTTCAACAATAAAGTCATTCTTGTAGTCAGGATTAAATCAATCATCCTAAAATCCTGAATCGTTCTCTGGATCTTGATGTCTACATGAGACTTTGGCCAATCTTGAAATATACACGTAGACACCATATCCCAGAATAGTATTTTATTGGTCATAGAGTCTTCTGGGATTCAATACCATCAACATATGCCATTCCTGATCGGTGAGCCATGACTGGAGACTCTCCAACCAGGCCCGGTCGTCGACCTCCAAGTATGGAGTCACCTGCAACGCTTCTTCTCGCGTCCGCACCTTCATCAATGGCGTATGAGGCCTAGATAATACAGGTGAGCCCCTATTTGTTTTGTTCATCAGATGCACATGATGTAAAGGTGTGCTCGATACGTACCAATCACTACCCCACAGAACCTGCTGTGGATTTGCCTCAAGTAGGGCCCGCACCAAGGGTCTAAGATCCTCATACCCCGGTGCCAGGGTACTCACCCGATACGGCGCGCTAATCTTGACGTAAAGATACCCTGCACGGACAAGCTCAAGCACCTCCTGGAGCCCAGTTTGCTGCATGATGTCCTTGCATCCAGCCGGCAGCATACTCTGGCCCTTGAGAAGCGCGAAATGATCCGTCACCAGCTGAATGCCGCGTGGCACGACCTCCCGCGCAATGACCGGCTCAAGCTCCGCCCAGAACTCCGGATGTGTATGGGTAAACGCCATGCTCCAGCCGAGGCAGTGAGTATCCAGGGCGCGCGCGTGGGCGCGCAGTGCCTCCTTTTGTCGCTCCACGTCGTGCATGGCGCCGTAGCGGTACATGTTGACTCTGATGCCGCGAATACCGTTAATGTGCATCTCCTTTAGCTGTGTTGATGTGACGGTACTGGGATCAATCACGGCGATTCCTTTGGTCGCATCTTGTCCGAGGTCGGATGTAAAATCAGTGAGACAGGAGCAGTCAGCCCCGTAGGAGAGGCCGTGCGTTAGGACGGAATGTGTGATGCCCAGCCTGTGCTTGAATTCGTTGTATTCTTTGACTGTCGCGGGTGGTGGAGTAAGATGTCGATTGGCATCATAGGGAAAGCGCTCAGCTGTCGATGAGATTTTGTTAGTCGGCGGCACGGAATAGTCTGGGGCTTATGGCAGACTTGCGCTCAAAGATGTGATGATGCACATCCCACCCACCATGGGGGAATAGCTGCGACATTTTGTATATTTTAAACGTTATCGCTAGAGGCCGGGGTCACGCTCGATCTTGGAATGCAGATAGCTTGAAGGAATGGCGTGGATACTTCGGCCTGAACAGTAGACAGACCTTGTCATCCTACGCTCTTTGTATATTGTTTTGTTTGATTTGATTTAAATTGGCTACTACTTGGCCAATTGGACTCAATATTCCCTGCCACTACCCTGGAGCTCCCCGAAACTGCAGTCATAAGGGCTTGGAGGTTCGGCATCAAGCATAGTCGTACGTTGAACTCGCGGAGTCTCCGAGTGGAGTCTGGAACGCTCCGAGACCCCGCGAAGGCGCCACCCGGAGCACTCCAGGCAAGTTCCGGTCTCGCTGAGTTTGGTCTCGAGAACCAAGCTGATGATTGGACTTCCATTTTTTAACTGGATGTCGAGGGTGCCCAGTTCGAGTATCCCCTCCGGGTCTACAGAAACAACGAGAAACATAAGGCCGTCATCCGGCTAGATGCGACATCAAGTATTTCGTCATGCGCCATGTATATGCGCACGCATTATAGAATGTGCTCTCGCAATTTCTTTCTCCCTTTATTGTCACTCCTATGATTTGAAAAGAATGATGAGATCTGTGTTCACGTGTCCAACCAGGGGCGAATCCTCGCCGCCTGGACGTTGGCCCTACCGGTTGCATCAGAGTAATCGGGACCTATGATGAACAATCTGGGGATTATAGATAATCATATCAAGCATCAGTACACAGTGATTAGGACTGACGATGTCGGATATTTCAACTCAACTCTTGAGAGGTCGGTCGCAGTTCAGGTCTCCATTTGAAATGGCAAAATGCGCCCAAGTGCAGGTTATAATGACGCATTCTACTCAGGTGTCATGGAAACTGTCCTACAGGCAGTTAGATTCATATACGGAGCTACATAAGTGCTCCAACATGCTATTTGGCAAAGTAGGAGCTCTCTAGAGGCGCTGACCAGCTCATTTTTCGCTCAAGGGCCGGGTATCAACGAGACCTGGGCTGATTTGGAAATGCAAAGACCCTTCCAAGTTCGACCTTGTCTTGCATAGAAATATGTCTACGAAATCACGTATCACCAAATCGAAAGATTTATATGGACATTAATAGTCTCTATTCCATGTACTCTGACCACGAACGAATGTGGCAAGGTGGTTGTACGTTGAGGCTGGGAGTAGATTATAGGACTATCAACATGGCGCATTGATTATAGGAGAATCAGGTACCAACCATGGACTAGCATCAAAGTTCAGCGGCAATGGCGAGCTAAAAGTTATCTCTACATTTGACCTGCTCGTAAATCGCCGATCCGTGTTTTGGGTTTGCGCATGCGTCCATGGGTTGCTGTACCTCAGAGTCCTCGGTTTCGAAGCCAAGCCTTCTGTTTCCCCACAAAAAAATCCCCCATCTTCTTTCATTCTCGACGTCTTGCTTCACTACCGGCACCATGCATTGACTGGGTCCCTAAGGGCTCTGGATAATTAAGTAGGGTATTCATGAGATCAATTTGACCATGGCTCCAGAAGATGGCGGTGCCCCGCCATCTCGGAAGGTTCGTTCCGCCTGTCGCCGATGCCGGACAAAACGCGTGAAGGTCAGCCATTCCATGCAGCGTAATATTATGCGGTTGCTCATCTCATAGGCAGTGCGATGGCAGCATCCCTGCGTGTACTAACTGCGCACGAGCAAAAGTCCCTTGCATCGATGTACATACAGGCAATAATGATTTGTCTATTCCTCGCGAGTGAGGATCCTCCAGTCGCTCAATATCAGCAACAAGCTTGAAAGACTCCATGAACTGACATTTTTAACAAATTAGCTTTGCAGTAAGATGTTGCTCTCGAATAAAGTGGCTGGAACGACAGGTGAAGGCCTTATCCCCGGATTTCGACTTTTCTCAAGGTCCTCAGGTCAATATGGATTTCCTGGAGAGCTTTGGGACTGCGCAGGATAATCCGCAACCTGAAACAGTTCTCACTGGCCCCATTTCTACAGCAGAGTACCTTGTGCGTGGCAGTAACCAAGATGAGCCTGTAGCGAACAAGCGCTCGCATTCAATTATGGAGTCAGAGGCAGGCTCGCCTTTGTCTGCCAAAGCACGCTCCGTGGCCATTGATCTTGGAATGCTCTCCTTGCAATCAGACTCGCGTCAAAGACACTATCTAGGGTCTTCCTCAGGGCTTCTATTTACTAAACTATTGGGGCTGGATAGTGAGCCCAGCCCAGCACAAGCTTCGTTCCAGGCACGACCGTTAGCACCTCGCCGTATTCCAGATGGAATTTACAGATCTTTGTATGATCAACTACAAAAAGTAATTTCAGACCAGAAATCTGAATGATTTTTCAAGCCAATGCTCACGATGCTGTATAGGAACTTCCATCTCCTGAAGACGCCTGTGTCTTGTTGGAAGTTTATTTTCAAAATATCCATATTGACCAGCCTTTCCTTCATCCAGCCTCTCTACTTAATGCATATAAGGCTCTTTATAAATGCGCTCAACATGGGTATAACGGCTCTGTCGATCAAAGTGGCTGGTCTGATATTATCTCACCATTTCCGTATAATGCAAGGTTTGATGTTGTACATGGTCAGGAAACCACACCGATCTCTATATTCACGGCTGTTTTTCATGTCTTCATGTCCTTTTCTCTTGCGGCAACTGTTTTGACCCGAAAAAAGAACTACGATTATTCTCCAACCAGATTTCATCGAACTGCACTATCAGCTGCATCGGAGACATTCTCCAACATCTCCTTGACGTCGCTCCAAGGGACCCTGCTCCTAGCTGTGCAAGCCTTGGTTGAACCAGCAAGCGTTAATGTTTGGACATTAACCCATATTGCCATGTCTCATTGTATAGATCTTGGTTTACATCGAGAACCCAGAGATACGGAGTCTTCAAAGGCCACAACCACGATTCTAAGATTCGTGTTTTATACTGTGTACTCGCTCGATCGGTAAGTAATTTTCACTCCCAAATTTTGTCCCCGGAAGTAGCGAATTCTAATTTATTCATTCAGGTCAATATCGACGATACAGGGGCGTCCACTAGGGATTCGGGACGAAACTTTTGATATTCGGCCCCCCGATAATGCAGACATTCCGGAGATGGCCGGAATCCCGGATCATGACACTACCATCCAGCTGCCATCTTCGGAATTTCTTGCTTTATCAATACTCAGGTTTCACCTAGATCGGCAGGTCTCCGAAATTAAACTTCTGCTTTATCACTTGCCAACCCGGAATCAGAGCTTCGTGTGGCCTACCGATTATGTTGAAATCCAAAGACGGATCAATGCCGAACTGGACCAATGGCTTGTTCAAGTTCAAGAGATTTCAGCCTCTGAATTTACGGATGATGATGAGAAAACTAAGCTGAGATTCGAAAAAATGCGGCACGAGCAGCTCTACCACTCTGCTATCACTCTCTTATTTCAGCCATCACAGATGTTTCCTTCACCGTCTCAGAATGCCCTTTCAATATGCTATCAGAGCTGCAGCAGACGCCTGCAGATATATGATATTGTCAGCACCAAGGATATGTTATACTACAACTGGCGCAACATACATGGAATATTTTCGTCAGGATCTACTATTGTTTACTGTGCATGGGTCTCTCGCGACCTACAACGAACAATACCGTTCGCAAAGCTGCTTCGAGATCTACGAATATGTTCAAACCATCTCAGCATTGGCAGTCAATGGTGGCCATCTGTGCGTAGCGGCAAGGAGAGTTTCGAGATGATGATCGATTTGATCATTAAGTACTTCAGCGAATTACAGCTTCAAGATAATGCCCTGCCCCCTCATCGACGACTTCGCATTGGAATTGAAAAAGACATCAGCGAAGGCCGCGATACTCCATCTCACCACACATGTAACACTCAAAATAGTGGACCACCTCTTTCAATGACGCAGAATATTTACTACGAACAGGTACCCACCCAAACACCGAACTTTGAGGGGAGAAACATGTCTTTCATGACTGGTGAGCCCTCAATTCTCCATCCAGCCCAGCAGATCCTGGAAATATACTATTAGATCACAAAGAAGAAAAGCCTAACTTTATGCGAGTAGAGGACCCTGTTCAGTCTTCCTTCGATCCTGCTTTCGACCTCTCAATCCCCTCCGAATGCATGCATGAGTTTCATACTCCATCTATCGAGACTGCAATGGAGAACTTCATGGCAGAACATCTACACGAAGATTGGGGTTGGGACCCTTTCTCTAGCTCTACGGATCAATTTGACAATATAGGCCCGGGTTAAAATCACTTCTCAAGAGTTCTACTGCGAATGTTTGTTAAAATTAAATGAGAAAACAAGTCTTATTATCTTTTCTCCGATGTCAAACAGTACTTCTTATTTCCTGAGTCGGTGAATGGTTGGCCCCATCTCCTCACCATTTTCAAGACATCTCCGAGTTTCCTCATCAATAGCATAGCGCTCCTGGCATAGCTGCAGACATTTCTCGACAAGTTGAGAAGGGATTGTGACCACGCCATCCGCGTCACCAAGAATATAGTCACCTGGCTGAATTGTGACTTTTTCATTGATATCCTCGTTTTCGTATGTCACGGGGACTTCTAACTCGGAAGATCTGGTGAACGTGTTTGATCCCAAAATGCTAATCCCCCGAGCAAAAAGACCCATATTCAACGCGCGATGCTCCTCGATGTCTCTGAAGCGACCATCAATAACTACACCAGCCGCTCCCCGCTTTTGAGCTCGGGTACTCATCAATCCTCCCCAGCATGCGCTGATCAGGCCTCTAGGTTGTGATACGAAGACAACACTACCAGAGGGGATTGAGTCTGCGAAATGGCATGGAGGCGTAGGAGAGGATCGATCCGCGGCTGGAACCATGCGAACTGTATATGCCGGGCCAAAAATCTTCGAATTCCCACTTCTCGAAGGAGGGCTATACATATGTAGACCGGAAAGGTACCCGCCGTCCTTGACGCCGAGCTTCACAAGAGCATCGCCAACCTATGGAGACAAAGTTTTATCAGCATCAGGGTATTTCGACAAATATTGTTGCCCGAGAGAGTATTCTAGATTCATTGCTTACGTCACAGGACGCGAATTTGCCCAATGCTTGGATTATCTTAGATTTGGCTGACATGGTGATGATTTTGAGTCGTATCTATTGATTCAAGTTTTGCCGATGAATGGGTAGAATAAGCTGGTCGGGGACTAACTGTTTGCCATTAGAAGTACAATCGCCCCAAAGGGATCCTCAGCCCTGCTCAACGGCCCTCAGGCTGCCGGGCTTGGGGTTGGATCTGGTGCCACCGGAGCCATCCTGACCCACCCGGAGCGCTCCGTGATGGTTGGAGCTGCAGCATCCAGATTCTCAAGCTGGCGATCCTCGGCAAATACAACCAAGTGGTTGGAAATAGCTTTCTTCGTATGGATGGAGCTCTTTTTTTGTTGAAATGTAACCTGCCAATCTTTGTTTCTGCTCTCATATTCCCAACTCTCCGGGCTTCTAAAGAGCGCATCGAGTTCAGACCGTGCAACAATGTGGCAAGCTGCCCAGCATCCACTGGCACTTCGAGGCCCACGCACATTACGCCCCTGCACCGGCAGAAGCTTCAAGCGCTTCTTCAGCACCGATCGAGGTAAAGATGTGACGGGGGTCAATTATGGAAAGCAAATTGCGAATCTAAACATTTTGCGACGTCACTCAAGACGCCCACTGACCTTGACGGAGAAGCTCATATATAGCCACTTGATCAACGAAGGAGACCGACAGTGGGACTTGGAACGGATTGATCGCGGCAAGACTATTCTTGCACTGCGACCAGATCGCATTGCTTGCCACGATGCGACCGCGACAATGGCCCTCCTGCAATTCATCAGCGCAGGACTTCCACGTGTCGCGACACCAACAACCATTCACAGTGATCACTTAATTATTTCGGAGAAAGGCGCGGAAGAGGATTTGAAGCGCGCGGAGTCTGAACACGCCGAGGTATACAATTTTCTTAGCAGCGCATGTCGGAAATATGGGATTGGATTTTGGAAGCCGGGTTCAGGCATCATTCATACTGTGATTTTGGAAAACCATGCCGTGTAGGTTTTCATGATGGCCTTGCATACCAATCCTCAACTGACATCAAATTTACCCCAGGCCTGGAGGATTGATTATTGGAACTGATTCTCATACCCCGAACGCTGGTGGTCTGGGAATGATGGGAATTGGTGTTGGTGGCGCCGATGCCGTCGATGCAATGTCTGGCATGCCCTGGGAACTGGTTGCCCCGAAGGTCATTGGAGTTCGACTGACAGGCCTACTGAAAGGGTGGACATCAACAAAAGATATCATCTGCAAGATCGCGGGCATTCTTTCTGTATCTGGTGGAAAGGGCTCAGTGATTGAGTTCTTTGGCCCCGGAACAGAAACACTAGGTGCAACTGCAATGGCAACAATATGCAATATGTCTGCAGAGATAGGTTCCACGTCCTGCATCTTCCCTTACTCCGACTCCATGGGCCGCTATCTTTCTGCGACCAAGCGAGAATATGTGGCGAGGTCCTCCCGTCAAGTCAAGGATGTTCTGTTGACGGCAGATGAAGGATCGCATCATTATTACGATCGGCTGATTGAGATAGACCTCGACAGTCTCGAGCCTCATATCAATGGCCCATTCACGCCGGACCTAGCGCATCCAATCTCCCAGTTGAAAACTGAACTTGAGAAGCAAGATTGGCCCATTCAGCTAAGCCATGCTATGGTCGGAAGCTGTACAAATAGCTCCTATGAAGATCTCGACAAGTGTCGGCACCTTGTGGTACAGGCCAAGGCTGCTGGCTTTTCCAAATTCAAAGTTCCCTTTCTTCTAACTCCTGGAAGTGAGCAGATTCGTGCCACAGCTGAGGCTGATGGCATCTTGAATGAATTAAGAGCTGCAGGAGCTGTGATTCTTAGCAGCTCGTGTGGACCGTGTGTCGGCTCCTGGGACCGCAAGGATGTGGATGTGAAGGGCAAAGAGAAGAACTCTGTCATTTCCAGCTTCAATCGCAATTTTATTGGCCGCCATGACAGTAATCCAGCAACTCACTCCTTCGTGACTTCGCCAGAAATGGTTACGGCTTTCGCTTATTCAGGGCGTCTTGATTTTAACCCTTTAACGGATTTTGTGGAAGACTCATCCTTCAAGTTTGCTCCTGCGCTCGCACATGATTTGCCGGTGCATTTCGAAACCGGCTTAGATTCCTTTCAAGATCCACCGTCCGATGGCTCTTCTCTCTCCGTTGTGGTGGATCCTCGATCTGACCGTCTCCAACTTCTCAAGCCGTTCCCGAAATGGCAACCAGGCCATGCTACTGATATGCAGGTACTGATCAAGGTCGCTGGGAAGTGTACCACCGACCATATTTCGCCCGCGGGTCCATGGTATAAGTACCGTGGCCATCTCGAAAACATCAGCAACAATATGCTTACTACTGCTACGAATGCGTTCCTTCCAAATCTCCCCCGGACGCTAGGTCACACAAGGCACCCTCTGACTGGAAAAGTAGAAGCGGTACCAACAGTGGCACGCGATCTACAAAGACAGGAAGTCCGCTGGTGTATTATTGGAGATCACAACTACGGGGAGGGTAGCTCACGCGAACATGCAGCCCTCGAGCCACGTTATCTCGGGGGAACTGCAGTTATTGCGCGCTCCTTTGCACGTATCCACGAGACCAACTTAAAAAAACAGGGAATGTTGCCGCTCACATTCCAAGATATGAATGACTACAATCTTATTTGTGAGGGTGATATTATCACGCTGGTTGGTGTCGAGCATGGGGAACTTCATCCTGGAAAGTCTGTCACCATGCGAGTACAGACAAAGGACGGCAAAGCATGGGAAACCCAGCTCAGCCACAGCTATCATGATGGTCAAATTCCTTGGCTTCGTGCAGGAAGTGCATTGAATCATATTAAAAGGACTTTGCTTTGATTTTACGTTGTGGGCATGACTTGTATTCTCCATTGGAATCGAAGTGTTGATTGGAACATATTTATGTACAGATGATATAACTCTATGTTGTGGTTTATTACCTTGCTTATCCCCAAATATAGAGAGTTTTAAAGGAATAAAATGGTTTATGATAATTCTCTTGTTCTTCCTTCTTGCGCCTTGGTCTTCATCTGCGCGAGCAGCTACCGCACCGTAATGTGTAGTAATTTATGAAAGGAAGTACGTATATCTGTCATATTTGATAATTCCAATGCTACTAGCACTCATGGCTATTAGCTCTCTTTCCCAATATCCTCCTGTCTTTCCAGCTTGTACTGGCTGTCCGTGATAATGCGGAACATAAAAAAGTCTCGTGGAGCTCGGATACTTGTAACATGAGCAAGTGAAATCACTTGGTCCCTTCTACCTGTGAATAGGTCTTTTCGACATCGGCGTTAGAAAATTAGCTCATCAATAATTATTAATCATAACTATCTTATCCTAGTTTCACTATAATCTTAATTTGATCTCTTGTATATGGCTAATCACATGTTTATCAAACCCACCCTCCTCCCCCAAGTGCGAATTTTAAACCTTTTCTCTCTTTGCAATGGGCAAAACTAGAAATTTGTTCGAGGCCATTGTAATTTATTTGATTATTTGATGTGTTTCGTATGTTATGCAGTATCCATAGATACCAAATAATCTCTTGTTTAAAGCCCAGGTGACATTTTCGCAGCATAGCGGGCTGCTCCGCCCACTTCGGAGCGCCCCTTACCCCAGATTTTACTGTCCCGCTCGGAACAATCCATCCAATCTCACAAACCTTTTTGGTCATCTAGTGAGCCTGTAGGCTATTGAATGGTCTCAATATGCAAATCTAGCCCCATAAATTCCCCCACATGGTCCATTTTCGAACTTGCCCCCTTCTCCGAGTCTTTTCATTTGGGATTTCAGGTTTGCTCCTCGGTAAGTGATTGAGAAATATAAGAACCTACAAGTTTTCCATTCTCTTTCCTGATATATGACGCCGATTCATTTGGAAACCTGGTACTTCTTCAAGACTAATACTAGTCTTCACTTTCTACATTCTCAATCCATCTTTTATAATGGGTGCTGCAAACGGCGGCTGGTCAAATGATGCAATCAAGCAAGTACCTCCTCCTGCGAGAAGAGCGTATATATGGCTTGCCACAACATGGGCATCATACTGTGGAGGTCTTCATGGCTTCAATACTGCAAACATTTCCGGAACTATGAGTCTCGTTCCATTCAAACGAGATTTTCATTGGACCCATATTTCCGACTTGGCTATTTCAAACTATTCAGGATGGGTAGTCTCTTCGATGTTGTTGGTAGGTTCCTGACGGACGAGCACTCGATTTTTGATACTAGCGATACTGACAAGGAAACGAAACAAGGGTCAAACAGCCGGTGTTGTGATATCCGGTCCCTTGGGTGAGCGTCGAGGTCGAAAAGCTGTTATCATGGCTGCGGCTATATTCTATACGATTGGTGCGATTCTCATGGCTGTAAACTTCGGCTCCCTGGCGGAGCTGCTCGCCGGCAGAGTTCTGTCCGGGGTTGGATCCGGACTTGGGATGACGGCAGGAACCATATACATCTCGGAAGTTGCACCCACAGAAATGCGCGGCATGATGACTACTTTCTACAATATCAATATCATGAGTGGAGTTGCTGGTAGCTACTGGATAAATTATGCTTCCCTGGAGGTTCTTTCGGAACAATCCAGCTGGCAGTGGCGAGCGACATTGGTCCTTCAGCTAATTCCCGCGATTGCTCTCTTTGTTGGTTGGCCATTCTTTCCTGAAAGCCCCCGATATCTGATGATGAGAGGAAAGGAAGAAGCGGCAAGAGCAAGTTTATCATCGCTTCGTGGGCTGGACCTCAGCAACAGCTATTTCGTCCGCGAATATGACGAGCTCAAAGGCCGAGTTGATGCTCATGTTGAAGCAAAGTCCGGATGGCAGGCCCTTCAATCGCTGCTTGGGGCCTGCTTGAGAGACCCTCCGACTCGAAAGCTCCTTCTTTTTGTCATGACTGTTCAGACCTTCTTCATCATGTCAGGAGGCAATTCTATCACATACTATGCACCGACGATTCTAAAATCCATTGGATTAAACTCGCAGCAAAGACTATTATTCACGGCAGTCTATGGTTTGATCAAAGTTGTCAGCGTTTTTCTGTATGCCTTTGTACTGACAGAGCGTCTCGGTCGTCGTCCTCTATTACTTATCGGCTCTGCCACAAACACCATATGTTTACTCTATTTATCGATTTAATTAGGTGTTGCCGACTTATCCAGCCCTTCTGCCAGCCCGTCACCAGCTGCATGGATAGCGATTGTGGCTATCTGTATATTTGCCGTCGGCTACGGCTTCGGGTGGGCTCCGGCTTTTTCTCTCACGGCCTCAGAAATCTGTCCCACTTCAACTCGGGGAACGGTGGTCACTATCGCCTTCGTTTATCAGAATCTGTTAAACTTCGGTATCACGCGTGGGTTTCCGACCATGACCGTCGATATGCACGCATGTGGACCGTTCGCTCTCTTTGCGGGCTTTACAGCCTGCACGACAATCTGGGTGTGGTTTTCTTTTCCCGAATGCAAAGGTCGAAGTATGGAAAGCGCAGACACCTTGTTTTCTCTGCCTTGGTACAAGATCGGGTTTGCCAAAGTCGAAGAAAGACCGCAAGTGACCTCTAAGGCGGCTGTTGACTTGGAAAAACGCGGATCCAGCGAGCATGCTGAGTATGCTGAGCCTAGTGGCCTAGAGGCGTCTAAATAAATACGCTAGACAGGATGTAGTTGTATCAGGCGCGTCAGTCAATTGAAGTGTTCACTCTTTATATTGACGATCGACTCCGTAGAAAAGCCCGAAAGCACGCGCCCGTAACCCCTTGTCGCGCCAAGACCTTTCTGCTCCCTCTGGTTCTTGCCAAACCTCGCAGCTTCAACCTCTCATCTTCTAACGATCAAGGTGCTCACCACCCACATACTGCTTCATCATGCAGATTGCAGAGATTTTATCGGATATCACATCGCTGCAAGTGTGTGTAAGTGTCAAACTGCAGATTCCTGACCTGGAGCGTCCTGCCCCTCCCCCGCTTCCAAGAAGCGGAATTCCGCGCGATGCGGATGCTATAGCGCAGGGCCCAATAAATGGTCCAAGCACGCATGCTTATCTAGTACAGGGCCACAATGAGGCACTTGCCCTCGTGAACCTGGATAGAAACATTCCAACAACAGAAGGCGACGATAATGCTGGAACAGATGTGAATATGAGCGAACTGGGCAAGGCAGACTTGCATCGAGCAAAAGAACTTGTCGAGCTTCATTATGAAGTCAAATCGCGGCATGTCAACGGTGAAGTGGATGACGAGCTTCAACAAGCGAGGGAAGATATTAAGCGGGTGATGGTGGATCTGAACGAAGTATAGGCGCTGAGTGGCCGAAAATTGACAACAAGCATGCAAATTGACCTCTATCACGGGAACGTTGTGTACTGTATTGGGCAATTCTTTTCTATATGATATGATTCATTTGACATTCATATGTGTTCGCCATGTACACTTTGGACCTGTGGAAAGCTGGACGTCAATTCCGCTTTATCGCCATACTTCGCTGTTCGGTTCCTATTCTCCTCTCTCTGGCCGCGCCTCGACGTAATACCAGACCTTGCCCTTTTCTTCCTCCCCCCCCCCCCCCATCACCCCTCGCTCTGTCTTGCACTTATTGTGGTACCCTTGCTAGCGCTTCGACCCCACTATGCAGGGGCCTCCAGCCCAACCCACCGTTCGGAGATGCCTTTTGACCAAACACCAAAGCCGTCTGCATAGCGTTAACTACAATGCCATCGAGCCGCTTAAAAGCAAAATATAGGACACGATCCGCCCCCACCCCCTTTCCCTTACACTATTATGAACTCGTGTCCATTAATTCCTAAAGAACTTCAGATATCTTGAAACCTGTTTTGTAGGAAATGGAATTTCTCTTTCCTATCCGTGCTAGCGTGGCTCATATTGGTATGAAGTAGATCCTGGATCGAAGATCTGGCTAGCACAGACAAAAATAACGCAGCGTCGTTATACTAAGCGCCAATGATTTAGGCCTGAGGCTGAGGAAGTCTTGTCGCCTAAATAGGTGGAGTGATAGCGCCAGACCAAAATGCACTATCGGTAAACACCCACGGCCTATACGGCATAACTTAATTCCAAAAAATCCAAACCATTCCAATACCCCCAACCAAAGCCCAGCCCCAAAGTTTCAAATTTGTTTCAATAGATACCCCAATTCAAAGAGCCCAAGAGGTTGAATCCTCTGGCCCCAGTCTGCGTACGTGCTTGTGACAAGGATTGCAATGCACGACAACCGACTAGTCTGTGGGGGCCAAATCGAGAATGGAAGGAATAATTGTCAAATATGATATTTTTTTTTGAATGCCCACGCTCATGATCATACGGTAGAAAGGAATAAACAGCATTAAAAGGCTACTGATGAAGGATCTTCTGTTGTCAAGATAAATTAGTAAGGCAAATACGCTTCCAAGAGAGGTCGCGTATAGCCGTTGTGGAGTTATCAGAAACTACTGCAGCGCTACTACTGCATGAGGGCGCAGCACTTGCAGTAGAAAAACACGTATCCCGAGACAATTCAGCGTCTCAGGTTCCAAAAATACAAGGCGGACTAAATCGCTCCAGGTTCAAGGTGTATATTATGCAAATGCCCCCAACCCAGGCTTTCATTTCAAACCATCGAATCCATGATGAGTTTTACTTTTTCCGCCCATAGTTCTTTATCGGGAGTTAGGACCCCTTCGTCGTCTTCCTGGGATGAAAGGGATACTCCCCCTGCAAGCAACGGCCATTCACCGAGTGTACCACGATCACTCGTAAGGACTTCCCCGCCACCGATCTCTCGGTTCCAGGGTCTGAATATTGCGAATCAAATCAAACCTGCGACTGCTTCGGGGACTTCTCAACGTGATGCGTCTCAACTAACTCCTAGTCGGTCCACCTCAACTTATGCAGACCAGCACAATGCCTCCCCAAGCCCAGCTCCTTCACGCGTCACGGCCTCTCGCATCAATCAATCCCAAGATCGACAGAGCTCAACATCATCCCGTCCTACCTTGTTTTTTGCTGCACATGAGGGTCGAGCTAAGTCGTTGGCATCTGAACCCCGCACTGAAAATATCCAAGTGCCTGGAGCATACCCTGAAAGTTTGCACTCTCCAGATGAAATCATACGACCAGTTCCTAAGGTGCGGGGGAAAGGGAAGCAGAATTCCATTCGCGAAGAGCCCCTTCCTAAAGTTCCAATCTATGACAGTCGCCTCCAAATCCAACTCAAGGAGCTGAAAGGCAGCCTGGCCAATCTTGCCACCAGCATACGTTCCTCCGCGCTAGTGCATGATCAAAGCTCCAGTTTATACTCTCATTATCAAAGGGTGCAGAAAGCCAGCAAGTTTGTATATCCTGAATCTCGGACAGTGGGATTCATTGGCGACTCGGGAGTTGGTAAGTATCTTCTTCACAGTCCCGCATTGAATTTGGCTTTCCTTACTCTCGAACTAGGCAAAAGCTCTCTAATCAATTCACTCTTGGATCAAGGAGGTCTATCGCGCTCGGTAAATTGCTTGTCTCCGTAATGAGAAACAAAGCTAAAAATTATGCACAGAGCAGTGACGGAGCAGCATGCACCTGTGTAGTCACAGAGTTCAGACACACAGATGACGCCCATACCGGCCCGTTTACCGTGGAGGCGGAGTTTATGACCACCGTAGAAATGAAGGAACTCTTGGAGGAATTGCTCTTAAATTTTCGACAGTTCTACGTTTCTTCAGCTTATCGCGAGCTTCAAGGAGAAGAAGCCCGACGACAATGTCGAGATGCCGCCGAGCGAGCCTGGGAAACGTTCCAGTCTTTATTCCGTAGCCAGCCAAGGTTAACTATGGATTTTCTATCTGAAGATAAAGATGGTGCGTATGAAGCAATTCTCTATGAGTTAGAGCGGTGGGCATATGCTGGTTTGACTCACCGACCGGGTGGAAACGATGCGCTTGATTACTCTGCTATTGCCGGCGATCTCAGGGAGTGTAAGGAATTGCTCGATATGCTCACAGCGGATCACCAAGAGGGTGGTAATCCCGCACTCTGGCCATTTATCAAGCTAATTAGGTTCGTATCATTAAGTTGTTTCTAGATGCTGCCTATGCTGAGGATACCAGGGTTTATCTCAATTCGCCTGTTTTACGAACTGGCCTGGTGTTGGCTGATCTTCCTGGTATGGCTTGATGGTTGAAAGTCGTAACTCTCGGAAAAACGTTGATTCATTCTTTCTAGGATTCCGAGACCTGAACTTTGCAAGGGTCAGAGCTACTGAAAGATATCTGAAACACAAATGTGATGAGGTATTCATCGTCGCAAATATTTCCCGAGTCTGTTCGGATCAGTCAGTACATGACATTATCAAAAGATGCAACCCCAACCAACCACGACGAATTGTTTGCACAAGATCAGAAGTATTTTCAATCCTGTACCTCAATACATTCTTTTTTAACACATTCATAGGAAGTATCAGCTGAAGAAGTTGCTCGCGTCAAAGATTCAGACGGTCGGCGCGTTAAACAGATGAATCAGGATATTGAGATGATCAGAAATAGTATCGAAGAGACCGAAATTGCTCGACAAAATGCAGATGAGCGTCAGAAAGCAGATTTTGCTCTCCGGGAATCACGTCTGCGGTTTGTACATGTTGTTAGTTATATCATCATCCATCGCTAATTTCGGAATAGTGACCGAGAAAAGAGGCTGAATTTTGAGTAAGTGCGAACTCCTTGATGCTTCTCTTGTTACTTTCTCATCATTTGTCCAGAGTCACACAATTTTTGATTACCCGAAGAAATACCAAAATATCTCGAGAACTTTTGAGAAAACATGAAGATATCAGAGTATTTTGCGTCAGCAACACACTATACACAACACATCGTGCGAGTCGAACCCAACAAGCTGAGGAATATGTTAATTTGACCGGGATCCGAGAGCTTCGTCACTACTGTCAGCGTGTTCCTGCAGAGGCTCAACTGCGTGCCACCAGCGCCTTTCTAAATCTCGAAGTACCCACACTCCTACTGTCCTTACGACAGTGGGCCTTGTCTGGGGCCGATTCTGTGACGACGGAGAAGGCTAGGACACTGCGCGAACTTCTAGGTAATGTGGAAGAAATTCTTCGTCGGGTATGGAAATTCCACGAACATGCCAAGTGAGCTGGAAAACTACCATCAATGGAAATTTTCCTGATGATAAATAGGATTTTACCTCACCTCAAGGTCACATGGCTCGAATAAAAGACGGACTGAGAAGTCTTTACAACGCATCAATCAATCAATCTGCCAGTAAGTCGAGCCATATAATGTGCTGACATCTCTATTAATTCACTCTCCCCAGGAAGCTATCGGGATGAATGGAAAAATAAAAGCATCGTGACCAGCTCTGAATGGGCTTCTGTAAGTTTCGCTATCACTAAGTCAGAAGCCAAGATATATCTAATTCGGCTGCTAGTGGCATCATTCCACGTACACAGCCTATTGCGCTCACTTCGGGACTCACTCTACGGCCCAACAGCGTGATCGCTCTTGGAATGATGAGTTAATAAGTCCGACTCGCGATCATTTATACCCCCAATGGGAAGCGCTCTTAGAATGGCTGGAATTACAGATAGATAGTTCAGGCCAAGATACTGCCGCCACTTTTCAGGAAGTTTCCAGGCAACTTACGCGTGAGTAATTCTCTGTCTCTACAAGATAAGCGTAGTCTCTCAGTGTTTTTCCCATGCAGCGCACATTGAAATTGCACCTCGTGCCCTTGAAAATCTTCTTCGCAGCATCCTCTCCAGAAAGGATTATATCAATCATCATATTGAGGTCTCGATGAAAAGCCTCATTGCTAAAACAGAGTACGGCCTTGTCTCTATTTATGCTTTTCTAGGCTTGGAAACTAATCTTATAACACAAGTCTCATCAAAACCGATATGATTTACGGCCATGACAGCTCATTTATCTCTAATCTAATGCGGCCAGCTTATATTTCATGTCAAAGAGAATATGGTATGCTCAGTCAATTGTCCATAAATGTTTCCATAATCATGGCAACTATTCTTACTCGCATATTCAGGAACCGGTAGTGATCGAAGGCGGAAGAACATCATGCACAACCATCTTCAATGTTCGAGCCTTTTCAATAATCTTTCTCGGGTTACGCTGGAGGAATACAGGAAGATAATGATGGCTTGCTTCGAAACTTTGCAGGCCAATATAAATCAGGAGGTTGAGACTATTGCACGGGACTGTCATTCTGTTGTCACAGATGCAGGTCACATCCCTGAGGCCCAACAAGATCCCGAATTAGCACGAACACTGGAACTGGAGATCAATAGAGTAGAGGAGACTTTGGTTAACTCTCAGAATGTGATGGAAGTGGTTTCGAAGGAACATGAACACGAACCAAGCTCTTGAATCTAGTTCAAGAATGCTATACTTAAGCAGTTGCTACAAACGGCTTTTGATGGCTTCACATGCTCTATCACATGTTGCTTTATATGACTAGCAGTATTCTAAATTGATTCTTTGTTGATTCTCTCGCGATGGTGATTTCTTTGGTAGCTATGGGTGTTGGTAAATAAATGCCCATAATACTAGAGCCCAGTAATCGTTTCTACGAAACTTAATATGTTTTTTTTTAAGATTCAATGAGTTGAGTATATGATACCACACTGAAAATCGGCATGCTAAGCTGAAGACATGTCCTGGGTTGCCAGAATTGATATATCATAGACGTGAAAAGATATTTATTTATCGCTATTAGTTGAAGCTCCCTTGCATATATATTTGACAGGGATTTTAGATCTAGAAAAAGGGGATTCGTAGGGAAAATATGTTTGCTAGCCAATACCGGGCTATCCTTCACTAGTTGACCTTGACCAATTGATGCGGTCTCCGGGAGCGGCTTGGTAGCATTTTTCAAGACTTGAATGGTCAACACAGTCACTATGTGGGTTTTCAATAATACGGACTGGTAGCCTGGAGATGCCAACGGAGTTTCCTGTTACCACGCTTTCTTTAATACTTCAGCACTTCGAGCATGACCCATATTATCAATCTCATTCCACTAGGCCTAGGTACGTGCAGCTTAATAAATTTATGGAGGACTATATTACTAAGTGAAACTCCACATCACTACCCACTATACGTATAAATATCATGTTTCAAAGGCACGCTTCGACAAACAAGTACCAAGTTACGCGGGTGGGAAGGAGGGCATTTCTGGCGTCAGATGTAGTCATTTTTGGTAATGATCTCACAGATACTCATATTCTTGTAAACTTACAAGATATGCCAATGAATGGGGGAAAGAAATTCTACTTAAAATCTTCTAGCTCGATAGCAGTCTTTTGAGATCCGCGATGTAGTCCGTCAGGGCTGGAATCAAGAAATCTGGACAATCAATCCTCATCTCATAGATTATAAGACAAGAAAATAATCTCTCAATGTGTCGAGTATATCTATAGAAACAGAGCATATCATGTTCAAGTACTAATTCAAACAAAATTTCACAATGCTGTCATGAGCCTTCACCCGGCCTTCTGTAGTCTTACAGAGATGCTTCATGGCAGAAGATTTTTCCCGAATTCTTTCGTCTGATAAGACCTGGAGTAGAGCATGGGAAAATTCTGTAGCTTCAATTTCAGGTGCTGCAGTTTTACTGCCATGAAGTCCAATTCCCAGCCATTCAACTCGTGTAGCACAATCATATGTATCGAGCCATTGAGGTAGAACCACTTGAGGAACACCCACCCTATTGGGAAGTCAGAACGAGTTTTGATATTGCTTTCTGTTAGAGGATTGAAGATTCTGTTGTACGTACTTGCAAGCTTCAAAATAGGAATTCGCTCCTCCGTGATGGACATAGGTGATAATCTTTCCACTTTTTAGGACTGACATAATGTCAGATTGGATCCAAGGAACTACCTTCACCGACCCTGAAGTGATGAGCGAGCCGAGAACCATTTGGAATGAAACGGAACTTTCCCATTCATATCGTAGTTTCCATAGAACTTGCATCTCAGGGCGCTTCGCAAGTGCATGCTTAATACCTTTAGCCATTTCAATGGCCACACTCTCGGTAAATTTGACATGAGACCCAAGGTTGATGAAAATAGTTGGCTTCTTGAGCCAAGCATCCATCTCAGGATCGATTTCTGACAGGTTTTGGCATTGTCGAATGATCGGCCCACAGCTAACAACATTGTCTGGAACTAGTAAAGGAAAATCCATCTCCGGGAACGAAGGTGTTAAGCTCAATGATTCCTTTGAATAAGCGTTTACAAGAGGGAAAGGACTTCGGCCCTCTACCTTTTCACCAAGTGAAGAGTCATCGGGTACTTGTTTCCCAAATGCCAAAGCTCCAACAGCACGGAATACCAAATAAATATTTTGGAGGAGGAATTTCCACGGCACTGGGAAGGGGTATCCTGATCCAGTCCTTTCTCAATGGTTCAGCAGGTGAAAACCTCCATCACGATGTATCTCTTGTGGAGAAGAATACATACATAGGGTACTTCCAAAGTATTCCAGCCTTTGGTTGAATCGTAATGACCACATCTTTCAGCGGAACTGGCCAAAGCACGACGACTCGAGATTTGGCAGTACGACACGCGTCCAGACCAACGTGAAGAATTGGATCCACCACAACTATATCAGGGCGCACGTTTTCGAGGATTTCCAGGCAACTTCGGTAGGCATTTTCATACTCCGATGGCCTCCAATTTTTCATGGCCGTGGCAACCTTGTTGAGCCCTTCCACTGCTCCTTTGATACCCGCTTTATGAAAAAGAAGGCCGACTTTACTGCGAACGGCCAGATCAGTCATGGATGGTCCAGGAATTTTGTGGAACTCCGCAGGTCGCGCATAATTATCACGATTGTTGAGTTCCTGTACTAGCCCCGCCAGCGAGCTGTACGAGCCAATATGCACCCTAAACTCTCCCCGGTGCAAAAATTCCTCGGCAACTGCGAAAGCAACATTGCATTGACCTAGCTCGCTATTCGTAAGGAACAAAATGTTCCTTGTAGGAGGCGACATCGCAATTGACCGGAACAGTGGTCAGCAAAGAGAGAGAGGAAGCCAAAGGGGGGAGCGTCTTGCGAATCATAAGAGATAGATCAACACAGGTGAGTGGCCATTTAAACACTGAAAGATGGAGAAAATAGAATCACCTCACAGGGCTTACAGTGTTCATTCTCGTCAATATGATGGGTTACACGGACATCATTGCTCTTTCGTAAACCTTCGTGTTCCCGCCAATGGTCAAACGTCTTGGTGAATATCTTATCGGCATAACTCTTTTTACAATCTTTTCGACTATGATCTCACCAAAGATCGTTTTCTCCGATATCTCAATAGGCTCCGACAAATAATTGGTAGAATTACCGATAATCAAGTCAAAACTCCATCAGATAATGATTGAAATGTTTTCGGCGGTGAGACTGAATTTTGGGCTGCATGAAACCACGGGCGCGGTCTCGGGACGAACAACGGTGACTGGAGATAAAGTATGCCGCAGGTCTGGCCCTTGCCTAAACTCAAACTCAATTTCTGTTTAATATTTGATGAACTGCCCAGAGCTGTTATTAGTTCTCGAGGGGCTTGGACGGGTGGGTTTAGTTCCTCGGCATCTCTGAGGCACAGTGACGACCCTCTACGTAGTACAAGCAAGTTGCAGGGATTTAACTGGCCACTTTATCCAAGCTATATCATCAACTGTTCTAAATTGGCGATAGGATATGAGAGATTACGGAGGGTAGGACTTGGAACTTCAAATGATCCTGATCTACAAATTCTATGATTGGTATTAATTAAATTCAAATTCATGAATTCTCGGCCTTGGTATCAGGTCTATCTATCTTGTCTCGGACACTGAGCTCAAAATCACGAATTTTCATAACATTATAAACTTCCAGTCCAGGCGACTCTACATCAATCTAATAAGAATATAGGGCAGTTTAGCTCTACGCTCTGGTAGATTTTACTAGTTCGAATGTTAATGTTCACATGCACCATTTGCAATTTGGGGTCATGAGAATTCCTTCAATCACTTGGAAGAATCTTAAATTAAGATTTCTAATATTATCCGATCTACATAGATACTAGCTTTGGGGGAGGGGGAGGAGATGTGAATATATTTTGAACAACTGGCTGAAACCAGCCCTTTCTTAGCTATCTAAGAAAGGAGATTACTGAAATGAATTCCCTTCATACGAGAATATACGTATATCTTCCAAAAGTTCATAAATTATCGACCATTTAGTCCCGATTCATACCGAAGCTGCCTATATGCAGCTGCTTTCACAAATCCACGGTGTGTCTCCGTACTTGACTACCGATTTCCAGAGTAAGATTTTCTTTTCTTGCAAGGTCCTTTCTGGTCGGTCGATTCGAGAAAAAGCGGCCTTTGACGAATCCTATCGAAGCATTTTATTGCAAGGAGGAAGGTCTGTCAGTATCCTCCAATCTTTCTTTATGTTGGTGTTATTTGAGATCTTAATCTTGTTAGTTCATATATCAACGCTAGATTTCGCCATCACGTCCGCTGTCCCCACTCCGGCGGTCATGAAAGCAAGTTCGACTCGCCCCCTTTTCGAAAACCAAGTCGACGTTGGAAACTAGTGTAACATATGCCTTCAAAAAGTGGACACGCCCAAAGGGTTTAATTGTCCTTACGCACCTAAAATTAAAAAGGCTCGAGACCGGCACAAACGATCACACAAACTGTACGGCTTTGGTATTATGGACCAACTGTAGTAAAGCGCTTTGCTTGATTTCACTAGTTCCGCCAACTAATAAAACAATCGTATTAAAAAGATCCAGTAGTTCTTAATTAAATCCTGAATTGCTCACTTTGAACACCATGGTCTTACGCAGCAGACCATAATGAGTCGTACATCCCTTCTTTGTAGGCATCCTTTCATTTAAATAACACTTCGTAAAATAAATTTTGCCTCTGATGGCTTTTTGGGCAAGGAGAAATTGAGAAGTTGGCCTGTTATGCTCAGTGCGTAATGTGTAGCGTTTTGATCAGTAGACTGAATGCCAGCAGGCAATAATCACGAGAAGCGCCGTAAGGCTGCGATTACTGCGACATTAGCCCCACTTCTTAAAGAAGAACTGGTCGGTCCGCTTGGGTTTCGGTTAACTCGGGATAAGAGTGACCTTTGCGTATATCGAGTTCGGGGGCCAGTTCTAAGAAATCCCCGTATGGACAGAAAGTTGATCCATCCGGAAGGTTGGAAGAGATACTGAACAAAGTATCACAACACCGGTAAGAGAAATTCTTCAGTTCCCAGTTGTATGGCAATATCAATGATTGCAGTAATTCAGACCTTCCCTCGCCCAAATTTCTCTTTCTTTTAAGTCGAACGAATGCGTCTGGTACAGTAATATCTCTTGTACCTCTTTGATTTGCCGTGCATATTCAGCGAGTTGATGGATAAACTTGAATATAGGCTAATTCTAAATAAACAGCCAGATTAGAACAAGTATCATGGATTGTTTTAGATATAATCCCACCTCTCTAGAGACATACATTGTGATTTAGGGGTATCAAGCCTCTGCCCGTATCGTGGTGATTTTAATGGTGATTAATATTATCCCAAACGCGGACACGAATATAAAAGATCCAACAACAAATAAGAGAATTAGAAAGGGCTTGGGATTTACTTCCTCGATGTCGTCTAGTCCAGGAAATGTTATCAATTGAGGATGATCCTCTCCGTACACCCCATAGCGTAGGTCGTCTATAGACTGTCGAGTTATTGACGTATAGTCAGGACGAAGATAGCTTTTATCTCTCCACATTGTTTCCGAGAATCATACTTCTCAAGATGGGTTGTGAAAATGGATTCAAAGGGGACTTTACCGGTTTTTTAAGGAGTGTCTGCCGCGCAAAAGCAATAGGGATTATTGAGGTCAAGAAAAGCAAATTCGATACAAGGCTTCACCTTCCCGGTGATCATTGAGCGTTGATCGCTCCATAATTAAAAAGTCAAATTCCTGGAAGACGAAGATTCCTGTTGATCTACAGTTATTTTCCGTATGAAAAAAAGAAGAAGAATTGATCGAAATGAACAGCAATTTCACGACCTATCTGGGCTTATATGCATCTTTGACCTTAATTTATGCGGAAATTACCTATGTGTTACACTGATATGAAATTAATGAGTTACAAGGGGTATTATAGCAACAAATAGCATCAACAAATGCGTTCGAGTAGGTCACACATACAATATTCCTGATATGGGCTTCACTCACATTCATCACAATATCTTCTATTGCGACATTTGTAAGTCAAAAGACTGAATATATTGGACTCAACATAACAATGCAATATATTCCCTGTTACTCATAGCCTAACAACTTTAGGGGCTCCATCAAGGTTCATAAACTTCATCATTTATCAGACTAATCTCTCTGACTCGTTCGTATTGGCCTTGCCCATTCAAAACTAGCTAGCTAGCAACTTTCAGTCGTCGACTCTCTGGCATTCCACTTTCACTTCAGGATTGACGCGTTGATGTTCGTTAGACCAAAATATTCACAACAGTTTGGAACATGATCATTATCAACCCGTCTCAATGTCTCTCATTGAGGAATGCAGAATATTCGCGGCCACTGGATCTTGATTGGATAAACAGAGCATATCAGGCACATAGATTTTGTATTGTGATAAAATTTCCGTTATCAAATAGAGCGGAAGTTGCCTGTCTGTGCACCGTGATACCTTTGGAAGGAGATCTTGAAGTGAGAACATTACTTGGTTGTTTCTATCAAGTTTTAGCATAGATGCTACAGGATGGCTTTTTTTTGAAATGTAAATCAATTCATATAAATGAGCATTATGACGAACTTAGATGTACCAGAACAGAGACTTTTTCCACGGGCACTTCTATCGATAAGTCAACTCTGTCGATTGACGAAACCGATGTTGATCTTTCCTCTTTGCAGTCTATTGATCCAAAGAAGAAGTGTCAGGCCAGCATCAAAGAAGTCGAAAACCATTGCCCCACCAAATATGATGGCATAGTAGGTCCAAGACATGGATGCAGGCAATGAGGCTTCTGTCATGACAATTGCCCACGGCAGCATCCAAAGGAGGTTTGACCCAAGAGCCTGATAGAGGAACCACCGAGGTGAAGCAGCCAGCAAGACTGCAGTAAGTTGGTAGTTCAACCCATAAAAAACGTAGGTCCAATCGATTACCTGAAGTGACAATATCAGTGAACTTGAAATCTCAAGGCGTTCCAGAAATAATCAATACCTTCCACATCCTCTGCGTTATTTCTGCTATTTGCCTTGAGTCAGATAGGTAATAGGCAAATTCACCGATTCCTCGTATTGAAAGAGCGATGCAAATGATGACTTCAAAGATCAAGGCAATAATGCATGATAGAGCGGCAGGACGAATGATTTCTAGGTGGTAAATTTAGTCTCAATGCAGTTTTGCCTTAAATTTTCAATACCTGATATTTCTCGATGGGACGCCTTGGGAAAATCTGTTTCCTGGGAGGCTCGAAACTGTCCCCAATTATGTCCGACAAATGCCAGGGTTGATGCCTGTAAGGCCTGCACAGGAACCATAACAAGACCCCAGCGAATCGTGTTGAACACACCCCAAGCGGTAGCATAGTCTTGTCCAAGCTGAATAATTCTGTTGACAAGCCACAAGTAAATAGCATTCCGAATGGCAGATTCGGTAAGGGTGTAGACACTTGGACGAAGAATAGTCATGAAGTCGAAAGTACTCAGTTGAAATCGCTGCTCTCTGTCAGTCTCTTTCCGCTGCCTCCTAACGACCACCAGTTCAAAGTAGATCAAGCCAGCAAGAGCGGATATTGTGTCACAAACGAGCCTGATAATGGCTTGAGTGATCACCGTCGGCTTTGAAGAGCCGACATGATACTTGGAAATTATTAGAAAGTCAAGCAAGATATTGACGGCAAATTTGCTTGAATTAATGATCAATGGAACATCAGGGTTGTCCAGTGCTCGGGTGGTAGAGGATAGAGCAGCTTCGGTTGCAGAGGTGAAAAATTGAACTGAAGACAGTCGTACGTATGTAAGAGATGACTTTCGAACATCCTCCGGCACAAATGCGGATGCTAGGCTTTGGGGATATGCCAAGAAGATAATCATCATGATGAAACCGAGTGCCATGGTAAGGCCGATTATCATGTGTGCTAGATTCAAGCGGTGTTGATACAGCCGTGTTGCCTTATCACCAATAAGCAGCCATGCAGAGCGGGGGAAGCTGTCATTCAAGACCTCAACGATGACGCCGATATATGTGTAAACATCCGTAGTGGCTACTTGGCCGGAATCAATATCGGCCACCCACAATTTGCTGAGGGTACTGTATAAAGCTGGTAGAAAGAAGGTTCCAAGGTTGAAAACGAGAGACCCAAAGTATCTATCATGCGGTATTCAGTATTCAGTATTCAGTATTCAGCATCTCATTCTTAGTAATTGTGACCCACGTCTGTCGGCTCCAGAAATTGTGAGCTGGAGAATCCGGCTCTTCGGGAATTCGATCATGACTCATCTGGCTGGGCTCTGGGTCATCCACTCTATGTTTCGTAGTATTCTTGGAGCTTATCATGATGCTTTGAAGTGCAGCATCAAATCTCAAAGGCCAGGGCGCATGTGGGACAGGAAAGTGGAGGGAAACATGGACGAGAGGTGGGGAATTGCCATTTGACAACTCACCTCCTGGGCAATATGTGTCTCTAATAAGAGGGGCTAACTGCGTCTGGAAAACTGCATCAGAACTCCAGTAGACCAGTAAAGAGCTTTCACAGTGGAAGAAGTAGAGCGCGCCATGAGAGTATCGGTGAAGCATCAAGACTCCCTAATTGGGGCTTCTCGATCAACAAAGCAATTCTGAATACAGATTAATTGTTTCTCTTGTTTATATCCTACACATATCGAGTAGGAGCTGTCTGATCGATAGAACGCTCACCATCGAGTTGGACTAGATTTGTGCTTACTCGTCAAAGTGGGACCCCGCCCGCTGAGCCGCATTCGCACGCTCTGGAATCCCGACTCGTGTTAATAACTATCTTGGCCATGCACAATTCTATCAGGTCTTGGAATGTTCAAACCTAATGCATTGATCTGGGTCGCTCCTCCTTATCTCAATACTCCATTCCAGGGATTCATAATATCTGACAAATATGCCCCCGGTTACTGTACCTAGGTGCCATCATCAATCTTCTTGTTACTGGTCGTCCCCGTATGCCGCCCAGGTAGGGTTTGAGAGGGTTTCCAGAGAAGATCGCCTGGCTGCTGCAAGACCAGAGACTACGAAGAGGTCCAAGTTGACCAAGTCGTCCATGAATGAAGACCCTGCAACATTTCCAGCTCCCTTACTTCTTCCCGGAGACGATTTGGCTGAAGATCCTGACTATCCTCCTCAGAGCTTTCAAGAATGGTTGGATGAAGAGGAGCGCAACCCAGTGACACCCAAACGACAAGTGATATACATCGCTTATGCGCCACAAATCGATGGACAAGTCCAGTTCATGCGAAAGTGGGACAAACCAGAGAGACGTGATGGACAGCCGTCAACCGAATTGCCTGCTCCTCAAAGTATTCGAGAGTATATCGCCGCATTTTACCACGGTTTGCTTGTCAAATCGCTCCCTATAACCACTCTCAGCTTCACTACATGGGAAGAGGGATCCCAGAAACTCCCTGCCAGGCTCCGCCCCCCAAAATATGTCGGCCTACGGTTTGGCGACGACTGTGTTCGCATTCGCGCCCGCGCTTGTCCAGACGGCATCTTTGCTGGACAACTCAATCTCAACGATTTACTTGATGCTGCAATAGAGATGCTGCCCGAAGATGCCTTTTCACTTTTGCTCCTAGTCAATCAAGATCTGTATGAGGATGATGACGATGACTTTGCCTGTGGTCGCGCATATGGAGGCAGTCGTGTCGCGGTCGTCTCAAGTGCTCGCTATAACCCAAATATAGATGGTCTTCAATCTGTCGAGCTTGAACATGCATGGCCAGCATCCCACTGCAAAGACTACATGGCCATGTGTTATGCCTCTTCCGGAACTCATGTTAAGCGCCAAAAGAGATCCGGTTCTAAGAATGCGCTTCGAGGTGAAGAGCAAAGGGACAGCGAGACATGCCCCCTCGAGGCAGCGATCAGCAGCTACAAATCTCTTTCATCCATAGAACTATCATCAGAAGCCATCACCTCTCTCTGGCTTGGTCGAGTCTGTCGCACAGCAGCTCATGAACTGGGTCACTGTTTCGGTATAGACCACTGTGTGTACTACGCTTGTGCCATGCAAGGCACTGCCTCCATGAGTGAAGATGTCCGACAACCACCCTATCTGTGCCCGGTGGATCTGGCCAAGCTTCTCCATGCAACCTCAACCACCGAAACCCAACGATACCAGGCTCTTTTGGCTTTTTGTGAGAAGTGTGAGTACAAAGACACTCTCTTCTTTGCGCCATTTGCAGAATGGATTCGAAGGAGGCTAGTCAACATCCAGGCAGAAAAATCAAATATTTAGCCAAACCAAGTATATCTCAGCGAAAATTATGAACCGTTTCCTATGGGAATTTTGAAAGCATTCACACTACCCAATTTTGACAAGAGTAGCGAATAGACTCGCAAGTTACGCCGTCCAAAATAAAAATTATAAGATCGTCAGCCAATGGTTTTGCCTGTATCAGACCGCCCGAGTTGGCGATAACTGGGCAGAATCCCGACCGCCCCCAGAACGCCGACTTACACAGATCATCCGCGCATTCGTTTTCCTCCAAGCCTTCCTCTCTTGCAACTTTTCTCAGGCCAATATGGCGGCCACTGTGGATTCGAAGCTGCTGAAGCAGACCAAGTTCCCTCCCGAGTTTAATAGGAAGGTGGACATGACCAAGGTCAACATTGAAGTCATGAAGAAGTGAGACCTTTCCCCGGATTTCAGAGATACACTTGAAAAGCAAGTACTGATTGCTTTCTTGCGTCGCCAGGTGGATTGCTGGGCGAATCTCGGAGATTCTTGGAAACGAAGATGATGTGATCATCGAGCTTTGCTTTAATCTCTTGGAGGGCTCACGCTATGTATGAATCTCACATGTGCCCTCTGTTTCTTTGCGATTGGCCCATCGTGCTAACCCGGTGATTCTTTCTGGCCAGCCCGACATCAAATCCCTACAAATTCAGCTTACTGGCTTCCTTGACAAGGATACCTCCACTTTCTGCAAGGAACTCTGGTCTCTTTGTCTCAGTGGCCAAGAGAATCCTCAGGGTGTGCCCAAGGAACTCTTGGAGGCCAAGAAGCTCGAGCTCATTCAAGAGAAGGTAGCATAGAACCCTTACCCTTCAAGGACTTTGTCTGACCATTGAGATGCATAGATCGAGGCCGAAAAAGCTGCTGAAGCTAGTCGCCGCCAGCAAGAGCAAGACCGTGTCCGCGAGCGTGATTTGGATGATCTGAGGAGACGGGAGCGAGCTGATCGTGGACGTGGACGACGCGGCCCTGGCCGTAGTGGTTATTATGGACGTGATCACAATCGCCGCTCTCGTACTCCGCCTCTGCGCAATCGCAGCCGAGATCGTTATCGTGAACCCCCATCTCGGCGCGACTTCGATTCTTACGTTCCGTCTAGCTCTCAGAGAGGTCGTCGACCCACCCGCTCTCCTTCTCGTTCCCCTTCCCGCTCTCCCTCCCGTTCTCCGTCCCGTCGTGACCGCCGTGATGATCGTGAGCGATCTCGTTCTCGACAACGTCGCCGTTACAGCAGCTCCCGATCCCCGGATCACCGAAACCGCAGACATAAGAAGGGCCGCTCTTCGGACCATGGTGATCGAGACAGATTTGTTTCCCGCAGTCGTTCCACACGCTCACGTAGTCCCAGAAGAGACACGCACAGACGGCGTTCTGTCTCCCGCAGCGTGACCCCACCCCGGCACAGCCGTAAACGATACTCTGCTCGCTCCCGAACACGCTCGCAATCTCCTCGTCGCGATAATGGCCGTAGCCGACGTCGCAGCTGCAGTGGCAGCCGGAGCCCTAGGCGAGATCAGATTCGAAAGCGCTCCCTGGAACGATATGGCCTCACCGCCCACAAGCAGCGCGACTCCTCTGCGTCTGCACCTGAACACAAGCGACAGAAGACATCTGATGACGATAACGAATCTGTACGACCTGAACAGACATCTACCAACGAGACATACAAGGATAAAACTCCTAGCCCAGATGAAATCGAAGATTGAGCCTTCTCAAGTCATGCGACAAGGTTGAAGGAACCCGAATGAGGACAGTCATCAGTCCTCCCTCCGTTGAGCATCCTAAGCACTATCCACTTGAAAGCATCATGATCACACACTTGTACTTTTAGTAATCTTGAGCATCAGGCTCAACTCATGTTTGTTGCCTTTCACTTCTAACTTTCTCTGACTGCGATTCTAATTTTGTTTCGCCCAGATCTCACGAATCTAGGGATGGACATGGACAATGTTTTTTTTCTGCTAAATAATGTCCAATTTTCGAAGAAGAAAAGACTGCATTACTGTACCAGGGCCGGCAATGGGAGGAACCATTTCAAGAGACCATGATCGCCAAGTCTTCAACATATGGACAAGGTAGGTGTGGCAGCTAGGGAGCAAGCGTAGCTGATGTTTCAGAAGCGAGTCCCTATTTACTACCATAATATGCCAACGATATCATTTTCTAACACCAAAATCGGTTCTACAATTCAAGAACATTCAAAACTAGAAACGACAAAGTATCTTATTCTTTCTCAGACCGTAGTCAATACCTAGAAACACAAATTTGAAACAGATTCAAATAATCACCTAGGTAAAATTGTCCCAATATAAGGAGTATACTCCATTGACGGGAAGACAAAGACAGATCTTGAAAAGTTGATTGTAACAAGTGATCTTCATCGGACAAATCCAAGGCCGTAAACTACCCGGCGCCATACAGCCAACTCAGGGCCAGAATCAGTACCCCAGGGCAGATTAGAATTAGAATTAGATATCTACACAGATAGCAAGGACAGAGCCGTGTGACCAATCCATCTACCTCCGGGAGTCAGCCTGAGTCTAGATAGATCTGCAGGTCACGCCATTCCATGGAATTGAAGGTCATCTTGTCATGAAAAAAACAAAATAAAAACAGAGAATGCGGAAATTGAAGAGCCGGAAAATCTCTTCTTTAACGGGTCCTTGCAAGCACAAGCGTGTTTACTCGCAACCGCAGACAGTCTCGGTAGCCGTGACGGTGACCGTAACGACACCAGAGCCAGAGCCACCCGTGGCAGTAGGCGGGCTGGTGGGGGCGGGGGCGGGTTGAGAGCCAGAACCACCGCCGGGGTAAGAGGTGCCGGCAGGGGCAGTCTCGCAGGGAGTAGATGAAGCGCCAGCACCAGGGCCACTAGGGGCACCACCAGCAGGGCCAGAGGGCGAGGGTCCAGAGCCAGAGCCAGCGGGACCAGAGGGAGCAGGGCCGGAGCCAGAGCCACCGGGGATAACGGAGGAGGTGACAACTGGGATGGTCTCAGTCTCGCAGGGGGTAGATGAAGCGCCAGCGCCAGGGCCACTAGGGGCACCACCAGCAGGACCAGACGGGGCAGGGCCGGAGCCGGAGCCAGCAGGGCCAGAGGGCGAGGGTCCGGAGCCAGAGCCAGCAGGGCCGGAGGGAGCAGGGCCGGAGCCAGAGCCACCGGGGATAACGGAGGAGGTGACAACTGGAATGGTCTCAGTCTCGCAAGGAGTAGACGAAGCACCAGCACCAGCACCGCTCGGGGAACCGCCAGCGGGGCCAGTCGGGGCAGGGCCAGAAGGAGAGCCACCAGAGCCAGATGGGGCAGGGCCGGAGCCGGAGCCAGCAGGGCCAGAGGGAGCAGGGCCGGAGCCAGAGCCAGCAGGGCCAGTGGGAGCAGGGCCGGAGCCAGAGCCAGCGGGACCAGAGGGGGCAGGGCCGGAGCCAGAGCCACCGGGGATAACGGAGGTGACAACTGGGATGGTCTCAGTCTCGCAGGGGGTAGATGAAGCGCCAGCGCCAGGGCCACTAGGGGCACCACCAGCAGGACCAGACGGGGCAGGGCCGGAGCCGGAGCCAGCAGAGCCAGAGGGCGAGGGTCCAGAGCCGGAGCCAGCAGGGCCAGAGGGTGAGGGTCCAGAGCCGGAGCCAGCAGGGCCAGAGGGTGAGGGTCCAGAGCCGGAGCCAGCGGGACCGGTCGGAGCGGGGCCAGGAGAGGAACCAGAACCGGCAGGGCCAGTAGGGGCAGGACCCGAGGGAACAGAGCCGGAAGCACCAGGGCCAGAGGGAATGCTGCCAGTGATTGAGGGGATGACGGGGGTGCCCGAGGGAGAAACGCCAGTGGAGGAGGGCAAGCTGGGCACGGAGGAAGGAGAGGGGGCACCAGGGATAGTGCAGCCGGTGAACCACTCAATAATTATGAGTTGAATGCTAACGCTAATGTCAATGCCAGTGCAACCACCGAGGAAGGCAGCCAGCTCGGCGCGCGCATCCCAGGACAGACAGTCGAGGCTCTCGCCAGCGGCAAGTAGACCAAGAGCGCCACGGAGGTTGATGCTCAAAGAGGCAAGAATAGTCTCGGTCAAGAAGCCGGTGATATCGCCAACAAGGCCAGTGACAATATCGACGGAGACTTCAGCAGTGGTGGCAACAGACAACCAGAGCAAGACGACAGCCTTCAGCTCAACACCAAGGGAGCAGTCAGAGCCGGACAGCCAGACAGCGAGAGAAGTGCGGACATCAACATCGAGAGAAGTAGCAAGTTTGCCACCGGCGCAGGCCTGGAGGCCGACCAGAACATCAGCATCGATCTTAGCGGCAACACCGGTTTCAAGGAAAGCACCGAGGGTGGCCTGAGCGTGAAGAGAGAGAAGACCGCCCTCGCCAACAAAAGTACCGATGGAAGCACCAACGGAGACAGCAGATAGAGCGGAGTCAGAAAGGGAGCCAATCTCAACGAGATCAGCGCCATGGTTGCCCTGGCACCAAGCGAGGACGGAGGCTTGCAGAGCAGCGCTCAGAGGACAGTCATCCGCCTGGACCCAGGCAAGAAGATCAGCCTTGACATCGACACCGATGCTGCTGACGACACCGCCAGCAGCGCAAACCCCAAGACCAGCCTGGATGTTAGCACCAAGGCCGACATGAGCAGAGATGAAAGTGGATAGAGACAACTGGGCCGATGCGCTCAGAACAAGCGTGGCTTCGAGTTCGGCAGAAGAGAAAATACCATCGACAGTGACGTAGATGGACTCCTTGGCAGCAATATCAGCGCAGGTGGGGATGTAGACGGACAGCGCAGCGACAACGTCTGTGTCCAGAGTAGCAGAGCCGGAGCCCTCGCACCAGGAGAGCAGCGAGGATTTCAAAGAACCGGTGATGCCAGTTTGGCCAGCCAGCCAGGTCTTCAATTCAGCACGGGCACCAGCGTGGATGGTGCTGGCAGTGCACCCGAGAGCACCACCCTCCAAAGCAGCGGCTCCGTGAGCACTCAAACCGGAGAGCAGCTCGACAGAGGCATGAGCACCTCCACCGAGAAGGCCTTCAACGAGGCCAACCACATCCTCAACAACCTCGGTGGCACCACCAAGGATGCTGGCAAGCAGGCCGAAAGTGCGGCGCTCGACAGCGACGTCTGTGGGATAGGCAAGAGCAGAGCTCGCCAGACTGGCAAGCAAGAGAATATCAGATCGCATGTTTCTCAGAGAATGGTGAAATGGTCAATGATCTGGAATGATAAAGAGCGTATAGCACGATGGCTCAGTTGGAATGTTTGTACAGAGGGGGGCGGGTTTGATCCCAATGGAAACAAGTATAAGAAAAGAAAAGAATAGGAATACAAAGCGAAGGCGTAGGAACGGACTGAATGCCGTACCGTCCCCAAATGCTTAACGATAGACTGTTGAAGAGAGGTTGAGAAAAACGACTGATAGAGCAATGCCATCCGGAGCGAAGATCCATGATGTTTATATACCCCTGATCAACTCAAGGCCCACGAATGGAATAATCCTTGGTGAGCAGGGCAGCTCTCCACTTTTTTGCCAGGATGCGATCCATCGGTGCAGGAGTACAAGCCCAGGGACCCCCTCAGGTACCAGTCCAGAACAGCGCAGGAGGGGCAGGCTAATGCGTCATGGATGGAGCTGTGCCTAGTCCGGTCAAGAGTTGAGAGTTACCCCGGTCTCGACGCCGCAAATCCCCATTTCCGCCATTCGAGCCATCTTCTTTGTGCACCTACACACCCCCTTGGGGCTTTGCGGTCACGGCTTCCGGGCCTCAAGGATCTCGGGAGTGGTGGGAAGGCGAATCGACCTGGATCTTCCTTGACCCAGTGGAGCTTGAGGCTGCCACTCAGAAGGCGAGAAAATCCTCATATCCCCCGGCTGGCTGGGTCCAGTCGGGTACAGCATGGACACTGCAGCATGGGTGGGCACATCTGTGTCCGCTCGTGCCGTCTAAGTGTGGCGAGGCCGTCTGAGAAGGTGTCAGATTACAGGATCGTCATGATTCATAGAATTGCCATACGGACTTATGTTCCTCTCCGCACGAGACCAATTCCATTTTGCAGCTTCCGAGAAACGAATGTCCCCTCGACAGCGTCTTTTCAGCTCAGACAATGACTGGGGCGAGATGGATTGGATGGGCAAGATGAGCCGCTTGCCCGGGCCAGAATTGCGCGTTGCGGTCGACATTCAGTGTCAACCACGAGAAGCGCCCGCAGCGGGAGGGGGCTGCCAGGGCCCAAGGGGGCAAGCCAGATGAAGATCCCAGGGGGCAGCGGAGAGAGAGCATCGATCACAATTCCATCTTCGAGCCGGACGGGGGGGGAGAGACGAGGCAGGATAGGGCAGGAAGAGCGGGAGATGCGGTCATCGGGCCCAGGAACACCCGGAAGCCAGGGGAAATGATCGTCAGGCCCCACAACAACGGTTGACGGGTCAGGGCCCGGATGGGCTCCATTGGCTCGCGCGCAATCCCCTTTTTGGGGTCCTTTTTTTTCTTGTTTTTCTCTTGTTTTTTTTTTTTTCTTTTTCTTTTTTGGTTTCCTTTTGTTCTTTTTTTACGATTGCCTCGAGGCAAGTTCTCCGGAAGATTGAGGCGTCCGCACAGTCAATTGAGTAATCACCAATAGTATCAACTCCATAGTCTGCTCAAGCTCGGCGCAGCCCAGATTTGGTAGTGATCTATAGTTCGTTCCTTGTGGTCTTTGTATGCTCCGTGCTCCATACTAGCAGTTAATATACGCCGTATCGATCTATGGGGCTCCTCGACGAGGGGGGGGGGGGGGGGCTCCCTTTCCCCTTTCCCTTCTCCCCAAGAACCCCCAAGCGATTCCTTCTGCAGGGACAGGGGTCGAAGGAAGAAATGGGGACTAAATGGGGACGGGACATTGGAGCCCATTCGATACGAAATCATTCCGAGTGGCCGGTTGAAAACGCGTCCAATGAAGCTGACAATCCTTTCCGGAGGTACGACTGCAGGTATGGAGTGCCTGGACGGGCACAAGGTATCGGTACATGTTTGCCTCGGGAAGACCTCGGAAGTCGCTTGGTCCCTGGTACTTCTGGCGATGGAGCATGCAGTAGTATGTACAGTAGTGCGTACCCACGGCACACCTCTCTCTCTCCATCTTGTTTTTCTCCGCACAAGTGGATTAGGCACCAGGCTGGTATGCACTGTCTTTACGCTTTCTAGCTTAGCCTTGCCACGCCTCTCGACTTCTCAATCGTTGCGGGGACTCGACCGAGACCAGTCCAACGATCGGTCTTAAGACCAACACCATTGGCTTTGGTGGCTACTCTATCGTTTGCTTTCCTCTCTTTGCTCTTTCATATTTTGATTTTCGATTATCTAGCCGCTTCGGGCCTCATTGGAGAATCAAATAAATATATCGATTCCTGAAACGCCCTACTGGCTTTGAAAAGAGTTCATACTACAGTAGGGTACCAAACATCCTGAAGTAAAATAGATTAACTTCTCTATTTTTACATCATGTGTATCATGCCATGCGACCTACCTATAATATGATATGGCAGATGGTTGGAAAGATGATGGTCGGATTGCGGATAGCCTGCAGACGTCGGGATTTGCTGAGCCCAATCCCATGGTCAACAGCAGGTTCAACCTGCTGAAAATGGGTCCAGATGCATTGCAGTCGGCAGAGCCCAGACTTGGCTTCTCCTGCCCAGCAGGTCCGGCACTAAAGCACGCCACAGTTGGAATGGTAATGATAGTCCAGGCCCATACAGTTCACGCAGAAACAAACTCCACTCCCGAGAGCGCCGGCGTCGCAGTCCTACGGCAGGACCCGTGGGCCCGAGATGGAGCAACTAACCGCCACTATCCAGGCCTTCATATTATTCTTTCTAAATCAAAAGCTAGCGTCGAAAACCCCTCAAAAATAGGGTCAAAATACGGAGTACCGAGGGGGAGACCGTCATCCCTGGGCCCTCATGCCAATATTAGGGCTTCAGGGGCCTGGAGGTTCCCTGGGTGTCCCACCCACCGGCCTCGGCGTGGCCTTCGGGAGTAACCAAGTCACAGATGCATGCTCTGTACTCCGTAAAGCTAGCTATTCCGTCCATCCATCCAGCTATCTCGCCATCTATGTAACCAGATCAGCCTCCGCACAGGCGACAGCGTCGATGGATTCAACTAGAATACGGTGTAGTGCTACTCGGAGCAGGAGTAAATTCCAACCCTCCTGAGACCCTCCGAAGCGACCGCGTGTTTCGCAGGACTTTAAGCTTCTTCGCGCGTAACGAGCTAGCCCGTTTCTACTTTTATGGGAAAGCCAAATAACACTAGCGTCACCGCCACTGGCGTCCTCCGAGCGCCTCAGATGGAGAACCGGTTCGTTTGATCCGCGAGAAGAAATCGGAAGAAGGGTCAATTCAGGCGATCTGGAGGCGATCGTGGTTTCAGTGCCCACCGTTCCAGCTAAGCCTCACAAGGCGCAAGACATATCGCGACAGGCACTGTGTGAGATAGAATACTCGCCCGAACTTGGTTCCATGGGTTCGCGCACCCTGTTAATCTATGATGTTAAAAAAAGAACACCCTATAGATCTCTTGGGTTCAATTGACTTTTCTCGGACGCTAACATGACCAAATCCACTCCAGCCCTTTACTCGGCACGCGAAGAGTCACCGCAACCCCCTCGGTCAAATTGCGACAAGTCCGATTTCCAACATGTCCTCATCCAAGAAGTGAGACGCCTCTAAAAACTTTCCCTGGCGCCCAAAACCTTGGTTGCAGTCATTCCTAATGCCGTATCTTCCGCTGATTACCACGGTCGGTAACCGTCCGTGAGATCAGGCGGATCGGGGGTAGTTGAGGACGAACACCGTGATTTGCTCATTACTGACCCAAATGTCTTAGATCGACGGCCTCTCTGGTCCTCCTGGTATCCCTTGGGCAGAATAGGCGAACGTAATTTCGAAGTTGTCTTAATCATTCGGTGTCTCATGCTGCCCCTACTCTTACTAAAATTGATTCCTCCGACAACCGTTCCTGCTGTTCCACGGTAGGCATACACAAAAATTTGGGCAACCGGTGAAGTGAAGCTCAGGATCGAACAGATATTGAGATCTTATTCCAGAAAAATAATAATAATAATAATAATATAGCAACAAATCTGTGATTGTGGAAGATTCATATCCTACCTCGGCCTTGTGACCGAGATAAACACCGGTGAACGGAAGTCTCCATTTTGCGATGAATCTTTCTACGGCATCACATGCAAACATCCCCTTTTCCCTTAAACTGCTTCAAATTACTGGAAATACTCACAAAAATCTACTTCACATACATGATTAGGTTCTACTCTAATAGATTCTTCACGTCCCACCGGTAGACTGCAGTCATATTTTGCCATGCTGTAGCTGCATCACAGCTCATCTGATCTCGCATACGGAACGAGGGAGCATGCCATATGTACATGTAGGAAATATTTCTTGAGTTTAGGAGCTCACATGCAAGTTTCGTCAAAGAACAATACCCCTGTACCCTTTCCGCGTATCTTCATTCGTGGCTATAGTAGCCGATGCGAGAGCGCAGGAATTGGTCAATGAACTGCCATTCCGGACGCCACGGGCGAGTTAAGCCCCCGCTGCTCGCAGAAATAGTCTTGGCGGTAATAATATAGGGCGCCTGGCCTAGGTTTGGGGTGCTGTATCTGTCCAAGCCAGTTACTGAGATTATCAGATGGAATTTTAATGAGCTCAGGGGTTCTTGGTGCAACTTGTCTGATCAAGGTCTAATTACTTGTGTTTAAAGCTTCTATATTCATCTTTATATTGATATATGCCATTTTATGGGGTTGCAGTGTCACTAACGAGACATATCTAGTTCTATATTATCAGCGAATAACTGTATCTTTAAATAATCTATCTAATCTATAACGGTGCATCAGAGAATTGTCGAGCGTCTACTACACAGAGCCTCAGGTTGCTATACTAGAAATTTAATCAAGTATGTCATTTGTTTGGCCATGGGCTTTAATATATTATTCTGCATCTGACTTTGCTCCGTAAAGGTCTGGACAAGCACATGCTAACCCTCTAAAATGATATATATATGTTTGGATGCATATGAAGAAATACGTACGGTGATCATGTAGTCAAACATACTATATGTACATATAGTGCATAAATTTACTCACATTGTCGATATATAAGTTTACCTATTAGGTACTCTGTGTATATATGTCCGTGTCTATCTGATTGTGGTTATATCGGTCGTTGGTTGTTGTGTCTCTTTCAAGAGTGCGCCATCTGCAAGCCGGGAGACCAACTGGGTGTTTCAAAAAAAACAAGTATTATATAGCTTAACCCCATAGGTCAATATCTACTTAATTTCCCAAATGAAATGCGAGCAGCATACAGAATGTACATGTCTCCGATGTTGAGTCTACCCAACCAGCGAGGCATTCTTTGTTGTGACTGTCGCCATGGTAACAACCATACACGTGACCTTTAACGCGCCCGGACGGAACCTCGACTTCAGATGAATACGCTCCTCTTTCCCCTGTAGAACAACAAACATTCGACAACGTTCGGGCCACTGGGGCCAACATTGATACGCGACTTCAATGTAGGGCAAAGTCGCCATGGCTTCCCCGAATTCGCTTTCTTCAGCTTACAATACCGGCCTATACCAACAACAATCGTCCCGATCGATGTCCCGATCCACGGTTTCACGTTCGGGTTCCAGACGGGCCTCTCCGGCACTCTACGCCGAGCCCAAGGCAGCGATATCGAAACATTACTCGGGAGATAGTTCCGACGATGAGGTGCCTGAGCCGAAATTCAGTGCATCCGTGAAGGCGCTTTTAGACGGAGATGGACTTGGATCTTCACCACACCTTCAACCAGGACAACACACTTCGTCATACGAACGACGGCCTGGGACAATCTCCAGACATAGCAGTCAATCGCCACGCAATGTCTCACCCCATGATCAGTCGAATGGCAGCCCAGCACCCCGGGTTGTTCGTATTGGAGCTGTTTCATCTGCGTCGAGATTCTCGCGCGAAGGTTCTCCACTCTCCAACAGCTTCTCCAATAACCAACTTGTTGAGTCAGAAGCCCAGCACCGTCCGAATGACTTCATCACCCCCGCGCCTCGACCGCGAAGTGTGAGAATCAATACGTCGCGTAGCGGTACGCGATCCCCATCTTCCATCTCGCCATCTTTGAAGCGTTCCACGGAACGCCATCCAGTCGATGAACATGGCAGCGGTGATCGATCAGATAGTGACCGCAAACCGCTATATGATGATGATCCCGCAGCTCGCCTCGGCGCGTCATCTGTTTTGCGTGGCCGCAATGGTGATGATATTGGTCCGCAAAGCTCCCTACGAGTCAAGCGGGTTGGGCGACTCACTGGTACATTTTTGAATGGACCCGCTCGCCGAGGTGTCTTGCGTCGACAGAGTGAAGAGAATGAAGAGAATGATTTGCTCAATTACGGTGCTCGAGAAAATGTTGACCAGCATGTTGACAATGTTGAATACCAATCCCGAGAGCCAGTGAAAATGTCTTCGCCAAAGGTCTCGTGGGCAGATCCCAGCCCCCAACTTGCAAGTGAACTTCCTTATCGCATGGATCAACCGGCAAGCCGGGCTGGCGAGGGCCTTTTTTCCAGATCATCCTCGCCGAAATCTTACGGTTCTCAATCCAAGTCAACACCCGCATCCTCGGAAGTATCTTCAAAGTCGTCGAGCGCGAAGGACCATCCGGCGTTCAAGGTTCCATCATTGCCGCCTTTACCGTCGACAAGAGACCAGGAAAATGAGCCGCCGCCAACCTTCAAGAGGGCCAAACCCCAAGGCCTCAACTTCCTTGACAAACCAGAAAAATTCTCGGTCATCTATGACACGGACAAGAAGGAAGCTGCAGAAACTCCAGCCGGCAACTCTCCGCGTAAGATCCTTGCTACCCGGAGTAACAATACACCTCATAGACCAGCGCCTCCGCCTCCAAAAATGTCGGTGCTTGAGACTGCAACAGCCACCGGCGGCGCCTCAAGCTCACAATCTCGAAAGAAACGCACCCAGGTCTCTATTAATCACAAACATTTCACTCGGCTGGACTGTATTGGCCGAGGAGGCAGCTCGCGCGTCTATCGTGTCATGGCAGAGAATTACAAGATCTTTGCTCTCAAACGCGTGAACCTCGAAGATGTTGACCCTCTGACCTTGACCGGATACAAGGGCGAGATCGATCTTTTGAAGAAGCTGGAGAATGTGGATCGTGTTGTGCGCCTCTTTGACTGGGAGCTAAACTCCGATAAGCATTCTCTTAGTGTTCTTATGGAGATTGGGGAGTCTGATTTGGAGAAGATTCTCACGTATCGTCTCAATGCCGAGGATGCCGTTTTCGACATCAATTTCACCCGGTACTATTGGAAGGAGATGCTCGAATGTGTACAGGCTGTACATAATTTCAATATCGTCCACTCTGACTTGAAGCCTGCAAATTTCTTGATGGTTCAGGGTCGATTGAAATTGATCGACTTTGGCATTGCAAATGCGATTCAAGACAACACTGTTAATGTTCACCGAGAACAACAAGTCGGAACACCAAACTATATGTCGCCCGAGGCTTTAGTTGATTCGAATGCATCTCTTGGTCTTCCAGCCAGCGTGGGCAAAATGATGAAGCTCGGGAAGCCCAGTGATGTGTGGAGCTTGGGATGTATCTTGTATAAGATGGTGTATGGCCAGCCGCCATTTGCCAAGATTGCCAAATACTACGAACGTATCATGGCCATTCCCAATCCCCGTGTACAGATCGACTTTCCAACACACGGCATTGGTGGTGTACCGGTTCCACCCGGTTTGCTTCGAACCTTGAAACGATGCCTCCAGCGTGACCAGACGCTTCGTCCAACCATCGAAGAAATGCTCGGCCCACGCGATCCATTCTTGCACCCAGATGCCCAACTCGAGGGTGCCGTACCTGTCACTCAGGACATGCTTGGCCGCATCCTTGTCAATGTGGTCAACCACTGCAAAGCTCGTGGCATTCCCAAAGAAGAAGAGTTGGCCGCATGGCCCGCTGGCTTCTTTGCGAAGATCAAGGCAGCATTGGAAGAAGAAAATTCCTAATATTCGACTGGTCATTTTATTTTCCTTTGTCTCAACTCAAACTCTAGCCTGTTCCTCTCCTTGTTCAAACGACTTAATGACCGGTGTTATGGTGTTCTCATATCCTTGTTCCGTTTGCTTCATGTCTAAAGCCGAGCAGTGGTAATTACTTCTGATCTATCTGACATCTATCTTGACCGGCTTCTTATTCCCTCTTTTCTTCATGCCCTATGTCCCGCATTTCTACTTCATCACAAGTTTGGCCGCTCCTGTTGGAGTCTTGACTTTTTGGAGTGACTCAGCGCAGCGTTTATTTTGTATATGACCTTGGTTCCTTTCTGATCCACTTGCATTCATGGGCCTTGAGCCAAACATTGGGTATTCTTGGAGTTACACATCTTGGCTCTAATACTTAGTGACCGCTTTAATAGAACCAACGATTCTTTCCCCCCAATTTTCTTCCTATAACTGGATAACTTAATAGGCTTTGCAACAGAGCCGTCTGTAATTTTTCATCAAATCATTGCTGAAATGTAATTGTGCAACTAAGCGGGGCTCGTCTAAGTACATCCCCAAGACATGGGAATCGAGCATGCAGCATACTTTTTATAAAGACCAGAACTAAAGAGAAAAAAAAGCGCCACAAAACACCAAAAAGCGGTCCCTATCAACCATATGAACCGTTGGAAAATAAATCACAATAATGCCTGGGATGTGGTATCGAAGACAGACAGCTGTCTATCAGGAATAAGGAAAGGGCAATGGCCGTTGTGATAAGAGTATGGATTAGACGAGAAGAACAGCATTGACACAGCCGTCATTTTCGGGGCTAATTAGAATCAATCAGTAAATGGTCAAGAAATAGATCGAAACAGTACATTCAGCAACTTACACATTGGTAATCTGAGCCCATTTACCCCAAACGACCTTGCCGCTGGTAGTCACAAGACCGAGCTCGGAAACGTTAACCTCAACGATAGTACCCTTGGTCAGAACACCCAGCTGGGTATAGAGCGGGTTCTGGGGGTTCTTCTTCACAGAAAGAATAGGAAGCTGAACGGTGACACCGAGTTCGGGGCTGGAAAGACATAAAATTAGCATTCATTTATGCAAGACAATGCACCCATCGTCAAGACAAACACCGGTTATCTCAAGAATGTGCATCGGGATTCAAGGGCACGTACTGAGTGACGTTGGCCTTCTTATAACGAAGACCCATAGGGCGAATGAATCGCTCGTACTTGACGGGGCGGCGAGTGAAATCGTTACCGACGAAAGTGGGCTTGGTGATCATTCGCTTCCAAGACTTCTTATGGGTCTTCTTTCCAGTGTTGACAACCTTGAACATTTCCTCTTCACTGATACCCTTGACCTTGGGTAGAGGGACAGCAAACTTGGCCGCCTTCTCTGCACGCTTGTCCTTGATGGCGCTGGACAGGGCCTTGGCGTTGGTAGCCTGCGAGCGGTCGAGCAGGTACTGGGGCAGAGGGGTCTTGGAGGGTTCATCGGGAGCGGCGGACTTGACATTCTTCTCCTCCTGGGCCTTGATACGCTTCTTCATCTGAATCTTCTCCTTGTGACGCTTCTGCTGGTACAGCTTGGCCCTCAGGCCACGCAGGTTTTGAGCATCATATGACTGCTTGTGCGACTCACGCGCCTGACGCTTGCGGACTCGCTCATCATGATCCAGACGTTTTCCGTGCTGCTTTTGCCAGCGCTCGATATACCTATCATGTTATTAGTTTTAGGAGGTTGGGGTATCAGGCGGCGGGGAGGGGACGAACTCGTTCTGAGGCTGTTGGTGCGATTTTTGTCAGTCTCGCCATTGTATAAGAAATTCTTGCAGTTTGAAATAGGGTCTTACCATGGTGAACGCGAAATAAGCAAAAGTTTTGGGATAGTCGAAGTTGAGGGTTTTGCCTGCAAGATCTAATCGCAGACCGAAAAAGTCGTTTCTGCGGCAAAGATAGCGTCCACGTGACCCTCTTATCAGCCAGGTCGAAGACAAGGGCCGATTTGGCACAAGGTCGAACAAGAGTCTGGACAAAGTGATTGCGTACTATTAATTGAGTTGGAAGAATTATAATCTTGTCTTTATAGTTTATATAAGTTTCTGAGCCCTTCTTCTCATCAATTCGTTGTTTGTGAGCAATTTACTAGTAGAGTGTAAAACACGTGACTATACGGGCGACAGAGCGGCCACAAACGCAGTGGATGATTTTCTCGACGATACGACGAGCCGCTCCTGTAATCCAACCACGAAGGAACCAACTTCACCTGCAATTCATCTTGATTGAAGGGAAGGGTTCAATTGACAATGTTCTCACGCTCTGTGCTTCGGAGTCTAGCCGCCGATTTACGGTTGACGGCTCCGTCCTCGATTTCATCTTCATCTCTCCTTCAGCAACGAGCTTGCCTTCACCAGACTGCCTTGCTTCGGGCATCGCAACAAGATGCTCAGTCCCAATCCTCGTCACTGAAACACGATGCACCATTGAGCGCAATCCCTCGGGCTCAAACATCTCAGCCCACGATTCAGAACTCTCCCACGGTGCTTTCTTCCGACCCGACCACATCCTTAATCCCTCAAACACGCGCAGATGCCCCGATTGCCAAGCAACCTGTTCCCCCTACTTTCACTTCGCCGCTCGAAGTGACCAAGTCTCTTATCTCGCGCCTCCCACACCTGAACGGCCAGTCCCCCCACTATGTGGTTGCCGAATTACACGCGCGGCCTTACCTCTTGACTGAAGGCGACCACATTCGTCTTCCTTTCCTCATGCCCAAGGTCAAGTCTGGAGATATTTTGCGTTTCAATCGCGCTACCGCCATTGGGTCGCGAGACTTCACAATGAAGGGCTCGCCTCATATCGATGAGCGCATGTTTGAGTGTCGGGTTCGGGTGATCGGCGTTGAGTCCGAGCCGATGCGCATCAAGGAGAAGACCAAGCGGAGACAGCGACATATCAAGCAGGCTCGCAGCAAACACCGCTACACTATCATGCGTGTCATGGAGGTACGGGTGAAGACTCCGGAAGAATTGTTGGAGGAAGGTGCGGTGGTGATTGAGGATGGGGAAGATACACCTAAAATCGAGGCCCGGTCATGAAATGATGGGTCATTTTGGAAGATCCCAATTCTGGCCGAGGGTGAAATCACTCGCTGGCTAGGTTTGGTTCGAATTTCTAAGACATGATGCATTGATATCTTTGCAGCATGTTTTGTACAGGTAGATGGATTTCTTGGAGCTGACCACTATGTGCATTGTATTCTATATCTATTTTTTGTCCATCGAGATCGGGATTGTTCACATTTCTTCGAAAGCTGTTTCTATTCAAAATGTATCCAAATAACTCATTGTCCAAGCCTGACTAGGAATAGAACGTCATATTGGATTAAACTTAACAATTTTAGAGAATCGTTTCTTTCTCAATTGGAAAAGAAGATGCATTGATTTGAAAACTATATGGGTATCATCATAACACTAGAGGCTAAAACAAATCAACTTCCACGTGGAATATATCAAGCAAATGACTCGGGGCGAGGCATGTGCCCTTCGGCATCCCCGCCGTCGAAAATTTGGGAAACTGCACTTCTTGGTACTTCTTCTGGTGCCAATGATGCACGAGATTTGTTCTGGACTGCATTCAATTCGGGTGACGATGGCACACGCAGGTCGAATGATTGCCTAGGAGCACTGGTGGACTCTGGAGATTCGAGAGCGATCTCTTCATCCCCCCTGAAATGCGTCCAGACAATGGAGATCTTTTTGGGAAGTCGGATTCGCCGCTGTCTCTTTTCCTCGACTTTTCCCGCGAGCTACCAATTACCCACCTAAGAAGTGGCCTGAGAGTAGGGAGACAAGCGCAGACAATCCCAACAGATTGCTCGATAGAGGACCAGGTAGATGGTTCTACACTGACGAAAGTTCGGTCTTCGAGGCTGAGGAAGTTGAAACTTGTTATGCGAAGGACAGATATTACACAGACACTAAATCAATATTAGCAAAGATATGGTAGCGCCTTTATTAGATGAAACTCACAAGCCTCCGAGAAGAAATATTCCCGTAAGAATCAACTTCTGTCGTAGAGTTACTTGTAATCGCCATGCCATAGGATAGGGAAGACAAAGAACCACGACGTCCAGGATCATGTTGCCAGCACCATTCCAGCGAAAAAAGGCAATCTCATTAATGCATGTTCCTGGAAGAGTTGGGTCCCAAAATTTGGCTATGGGAGAGCACTCTGTGATCGAAACAATCACACACACGACAAAATAGGATAACACAAGACTGCCAACGATCCAGAGAGCCCATCGAAATCCTTTTACTACACCGAAAATACGGTAGTAGAGAAGAAGAAGGGATGACTTGGTAAAAGCTGCGTTGATGAAATAGACAATTTGAGATGCTAAGAAGCTCTATGAATAGACTCTTAGAAACGGAACTTTCGACAGAATTGGAGACGTACCTTTCCAAAAGCCTTGATTTGTTCAGCAGGAAGTTGGTCAGCATGTAGGCCGAGGCCAAATTTCGAAACTTGATGCCATCTAAGAGCTGCCATAGTCCAGTTCAATATCTTAATTGAACCCAAGGTCAGCATTCTGTATTACTCGTTCATGTGCTATCCTTACCAACGCCGCTGCAATGGTGTAATCATCCCACCAAAACCCAGCTCGAGCGATGTGGCGAGCAAAATATCGAAGGAACACTACGATAGTAGCAGGGACTATCGTGACAATTGTTCCGATATAAACGCGCCCAGAGATATCTTCGTAAGGAGATGCCATGCGGACCGGTCTTTATCCGCCAAGACAGAAGCGACAATGCCATCCATGCATCGAACGGGATCTGCCATTACTTATGTTCTAGTTATTTGTCTTGAGTGAAGAATCAAATCTGGAGAAGATTCTGTACAGATCGAATCTAGATCTTTAAGCGATCGTGCTCAGCCTCATCTCATTTTCTACTGAATAGTGTCGTCTCGGCCGGGGAGCGGGAAGTGCCGTGACTTTCCTCAATGTAGTAAATTCGGATCGGTTTGCCGCGCCACCGGGCACTTCCGACTGTCCTGACGCGGGATTCCCCCGGCCGAAGATCGCTTAAAAGCAATTAGACGAGGTTTGCCACGCCATCTGAAGGCTTCAACTCTGGATTTTTTTTGATCCAGAATATTTCCATCATGGACTTGAAGTCATGACGACACACACGCCGAGTCTTGACTATCGGGATATACAATGCTATGGATGAAAGCCCGCCAAGAATATTGACAATAATTTCTTTGGGCTTCTTCTATATCTTGACTGAACTAAATTTCATCAAAACATATGTAGGCTGAGACCGTGTGACTAATTTTCCTAGCCTGCAACTCAAGATGATGAACGGAAAAGATGGGAAATGAGGATGTCAAAGGTTGAATTCAAGATATAACTCCCAGCCAACATCCATAAGTGTGGTGTATGGTCCTAACCACAGCTACTACGATATGCCTTTGCGTGACCATATCTTGGCGCTGCTCCTTAGTCTCGGAGACATGAGGCGCATCATCACCTTTGCTACCAATTCCATTGCTAGCCCTCGGAGTTTTCGAGTTCATGCAACACCCTGTCCAGCATCTCTTTCGACGATTCTGACTCAACCTCATTTTATCCCCATTTCCTTTGAATTCCTGCATTTCCATCCAATGATCCAGCACTTTCCTCATTTGCTTGCAGTTTCGTAGAATATTTCTGTTGACACAGAGGGTTGGTCCTGTTCGTTGATTATCTAGTATAGGGTGGTCTGGACTGCAATTAGCTCCTGTTCGACTCTAGCTTGAGCTCGTTCCGCGTCAGCTACTCGAGCATTGAATCATGCGAGCACCTGAAATAATTCCTCGCATGCTGCTAGATAGAGCCCTTGTACCCATACAGGACCTGGAAAGTCTCATCGGAGCATCTATTGTCAGATCGGGAAGGTGCATTTTCTTTTGGGTTGTACACTTTCACAAATATCCCGAGATTACTTGCTCAGACTGTACCGCAATCCCGCGTGTGCTCGATTAGCTTTAAGATGAATAGGGGTTTCGGTAGTCTCTTGAATATATATTAATTATGCATATTCGATCCACCCTGGTATCGTTAAAAGATTGGACTATCCGGTTGGAAAGATGGAAAAGAACTCCCTTATTTCACCACTCAAATCTAGTGAAACAGTAAATACCATCTACTGTGTGTGTGGCTGATTTCGAACTCCAACGCCAGTCAATTAGTACATAGTCAATAGAAGTCTGTGTAGAAAATGACAGATCGCTTGCCTCCCAAAAGTTTCGCTAGGGACAAGTCGGCTGAGGAGGCTTTTGGCGGTACTGTAAAAGGTATGCTTTCACCAAATCTTCAGCTCCTCAAAATCGTTCCTAATCCTACGCCATGGTTGGCACTTGGAGCCGAAGCTTTTGGGACAGCGTAATGGTAAATTGTGTGACGATTCCACCTTCGGTGCAATGCACACTCACATCGGACGGAACGGCTGACGGCATCTACGATCCGTGCTAGTCAAGCTATGAAATATCAGACTGAGGGATACTCCGTAAAAGTTGCAATGCTATATAGTGCAGTGCAACTTGGTACATCTGGTTTGTAGGTTGGTTGATTTGATTTACCCTGACCTCTCACAGAAAAGCGATACGCAGGATACGAATAATTTATAAACATGTAATTACTGGTCCACTGAGCGTGCTCTCACCTTCCTGAACGTTGGAATTTGAGCTTCATTTGAGAACGTCTTTCTTGGCCGTTCGCCGTTCGCCGTTCGCGATGGTAAGCTGCGCTTGTGGCGCGGCTATAATGGGTTCCCCAATAAGGCGGCTAACTGTCCGTGACTGGCTCATCTCGACTTGGAAAATTGGAAAATCCCAGGCATAGATAGGTCGTTGGCTTGATATGAGGGTAGCAAGAATAGGTACGTAGAGAGAATTGAGGAGGCTCCGAGACTATGTGCGCTACTATGACGTTACCCCATGACGAATGGAAAGAGCAAAGAGCCTTGGCCCTGGCAGGGTCCATCAGCCTCCATCGTGTTCAAGCGGGGTATGTACAGATACCTTGGACAATACCGCGACCCGAGCCGAGGGCACACAAACCGGCTGAATCTTCGATCCTAAACCGACAAATTCCTTGATTTTACCATGCTCCCAGACCACTGGATATCATTTAACAAGAGCTACAGCCCATATTGAGAAATTGGCGGGGTCACGAGGTCGATGTAACGCTACCCGGTGCGATGTCTTTGACGCGGAGTGCATGCAGAGGCGGGGATGTGCATGTCTCACCTGCGACTCGTATTGATTGGCCATGGAACGGATCTTCAGGCGGTGGCCTGACAATCCAAGACATGAAATGGGTGCCATGTCTTACATAGCTCATAGGCCTCCCGGGTACACTCCATCCGTACATCGTATAGTCTACTGCATGGACCCAGGCAATAGACCTATATGTAGGCCGCCAATTCCTTTCTCTTGTCGGAGAGGAACAGATAATCCAAGCTTCTATTGCAAAAAAAGAAAGGAAAAAACCGACCATGAAGACCTCCCTGATTACATTTGGTGCTCTCCTCGGCCTGGCCGCGGCCCAGAATGCTGTTGTGCACAACCACTGTGACACCACAGTATATGTGCAGTCATTCCCTTACGATGGCAGTGCCGCTGGCCCTCTCACCACCGTTCCTAAGGGGGGAACTTTCTCAGAGAAATTCAGAGCATCTGGTTCGGTATGTCAATCCATCCTATTTGGTCCGCACAATTTTCCATATAGCAAGGGGAATTGACTGGAGATGGAATATACAGACCGTCAAGATCGCCAAGACAAAGACCCTGAGTACGCCTCTCTTCTTTGGCTACTCATTCTCGTCCAACCCGGACTATGCATACTGTGAGTGCAGCGAATTTATCTGTCAGCTAGGAATATTTTATTAACCTCGTTATGCTCCAAGACGAACTGAGCACGGAATGGGGCAACCCCTTTGCTGCGAATCCCAACTCGCTCAGCCCGGGGGATGGCTGTGAGGTCTTTGACTGTGCGGCCAATGATCCCGCCTGCTACAGTACCCCAGCTCATAAGAAGGTCTATGGGTGCCCGCAGCCAGTCACCTTGACGGCGGACCTGTGTCAGTAACTGTGTCGCCTGTACCCGTATAATGTTGTAGGGTTATGGGGATATCTCTGTTCTCTTGTCCTCATTTCAGCCAGTCTCAAAGCTAACAATGTGAGATAATGAGACATTTTTCGGGATATTAGTATATGTGGGAGACTATATATGGTCATAATGAAAGAAAATACAACACATAACCATAACACTAGTAGTACCTTATAGTCTTCGATATCCGGAGACTGTCGAGTGACTGTCTGTCTACCCAATTTCAATCCATAGCCGGTTATAACGGTCAAAGCGGGTTGTTGTCAGCCCGTAGTTCAAAGTAAATAAATCCCCAAAGACCGCCGCATGCCTGGAATGTCACGGACCATGACAAAATCCTCGAGTTCCTCTGATCTTCTTTACCTGCGTGGAGTAAACTGCGCATGTGAATATTAGATGAAATGCATGGGTCTCGGATTGAACCAAGCATCACTCAAGACATATGCACCGTCATAGTCAGTCTGTACGAGTGCTCGATATAGACTGCTCGATACTTTCGCACGTCAAATTAAGGCCAGATTATTAAACATAAATGATATACCAGTTTCAAGGCTCCGGAGATAGTCTAATAGTGTGATTGTGTTTATAAAAAAACGTTATATTAGGCAATTTGAAAGGTAAGGGACGATGATTTTTTAGGACGCGTTCTCTCTAAATTGGGACTTTTTGTTTAATTCCTGAATGAACGGGAGACAAAGGACTTGAATATTTTCTACTCTTTGTTTCAAAATGGCTTTTTATTTGCTTGCCTTGGGGTTCAGAAAGTCTGTCATTCCGAAACCAAGGATTGTTAATTCTATAACAGAAGAAGATGCAATCCTGGAGTATAAAGTTGATAAGGATCCCTGAATAACATCTCCCAAACACAATAGCTTTCCTCACACCGGTCATTCAAGGACTTGGAAATACTGACAACCTCTGACAATATCCTCTCCTTTCCCACTTTAATGGTATTCCCCTTGGTAGTCGTAGTCCTAATGTCTGCTACCGCCGAGACAAATATGACTGGGACCGCCTCCGAAGCAACAAATTCCCGTCGGATAAGTCTCGAACTCTTCAAAAAGCGACGGAAACATATCTCCTGGTTCTTAATTTTTTTGGCCAAGTATCCACATTCGAAATCCAGAATCGTGCAAGAGTTGCAGTTGAAGGAGCTACAAAATTTCGCGGATGAAATAGCCGAGTACAAAGTCTGTCAGAATGTCATAGACGGCGCAGGCGAATGTTTTGAAGTTCGATGTGATCGAATCAAGGATGCTTTGATTGAGCTGATAGAAGAGATCCAACGGGACAACATGAACGACAAGGTATCTGAAATGTGTGTTCTACTTTCCACGGCCATTAGTTGTCTATCACCTCATGGGTATGAAAACATTGAAAGAATGCCCTGGATTTATTCAGCGAAGGACCTTTCCGAAGAAGGCCTCCAGAGATGGCGCAATTTAAATCCTGGACTTATTGGTTTCTGCCTGAATATCTCACATGGAGTAGTTGGCTGTGAGTGTTTTCGTTGCAAGCCCTTTGATTATGAAGAGCCTCCTGTGGAGCCTTCAACGCTAACACTCTCTTTTCACTTCGCTGATTAGGCTTGTCATGTCTGCTTTCGGGTCTGCAACTTATTTTTTATTTCAAAATTGTTCCATGATAATTATCCGCAACAATAATTTCTGTTGCATCACGTTAAAGGTCTTCGCGCAATTCAACATTTCAATTAGCTTTCTCAATCAATGAGATATCAGATCTTCAATGACCACATTGGAATATTCGGACAGTATCGTATCGTGACTCAAATTAAGGGATTAGATAGGAATTTATGATAGATTTCATAGTAATTCAGAGTACGGAGATAGAATGAAGTATTTTGTTCTTTCCCTCTGTCTTTTTACTAATTCATTGTCCGAGTCGAAAGGCCGGCAGTCCAATTTCGACCTCAATTCTATGATCTCGGTCTTATTTCCTGCAAATATCAAAATTTTTCATTTAAACAATGTCTAGTCCGAGGACTTTCACTATAAACTAATCTTGTTAAAGACAAATAAATGGTAGAAACAAAATTTAATCAATTAAAAACCATTTGAATATACGTATGCTATATACCCTTTGATCACGGAGTTTTCCCTCAAAAGGCTTTTTTTTCACCACATTGGCCCGCTCTCCAACTCAGATTCTTCGGGTTGCGCCGCCGAGATTCTCTTCTGATCTAACTATTTGAAGGTAGCCAGAGGGTCATAATTTTTTCGCTCCCAAATTGGACCAAGGCCAGTCCAGATTTTATTACGCCGTAGCTAATTGTTCTTTTAAGAAAATATCCCGTCAACAGCCAGGACGGGCCTACGAATTTCCTGATGCTCCCCTCAAACGTATGGTTGGATAACTAACTCTCTCTTACCTTTGTACATATACAATGCCCTTTGAAATTGAAGATATATCTGTTAAATCAACTTTGCGTCATTATAGATAACGACTGAGATGGAGAGAAACCAATAAAATCTAGAGGGCTACTTGATCAAAAGTTGAATTATCAATAGCTTCCGAGTTTCCGTTCGAATGCGGCTCCACTATAATGTAATATCCAGCCCAAGGATCCTTGCACAATGTCTAATAGACTTCGCTTGCATCTCGGCGTAAATGTGAAACTCATCTGTGATGCAAGCACCCATGCATCGTTGAAACCCATCAAGATCCGGTTCCGCGCTCATTATAAGCTGCTTAGATTGAGAAAAGTTGCCCAGATTAGAGTTGAAAATACCACCTGCAGACAATGGCAAAAAATCTTCATAAGTAAGCGGCTCGTATGACAAGATATTATTGTCCAAGAGCTCCTGCAGAGATGCTGTGGTTTTGGCATACATTCGCTCGTCCGTTTTGTCCTCTGCAAGCCTCTGATCATTTGGCACCAACTGATAGCAGAAATATGCTAGTTTTTGGCTATGAAGATCGGCAAGGTTATCTGGAAACAGCTTGAATTTATTTTCCAGAAGTTGTTCGTAGTCATCCCCGGTCAGCTGATTCTTCGCCGCTTCAAGATTGACGCGATCCAAAATTTGATCATAAAGTCGACGTCCTTCTCGCGTTAAAGCATAACCCCTTTGTTCAACTTCTCCAAATCGTGCCGTATGTGACCCTTTTATATAGTTATTAGATGCATCTCGGAAGTAAACCGTCTCCTCCAAGGCTTTGAAGCTTGTCTGTCGTAGCAAGATTGGACAATTTCGCCTAGGTGGGCCTTCAATCCGATCTTTGGCTGGCATTCCACGATCCACCATGAGCTTTTGCACCAAATCGATATCAATTGTGCGAGGGGTCAGATGATTAATATGTGAATTGGGGAAAGAGACGACATCAGCGATAAGGGGGTGCTCAGCCTTGAGCTGTATGTAATCATCTAGTGTAACAGTCGCTTTTGAATGCCACCTGAAAGTTTCTAATCCATTTTCAATGAACTCTGCACACTCCGCAGGAGTCAGGAAAGCATTTGCTTCGAAGACATCCAATAGTGCAATGAGTCGCGGGGTAAAGATCTTTCTCTTCTTCAGTGCCTTTTGAGCGAGCGCTCTTGTTTTCTCAGTCAAAATTTCCATTCGTAAAACAGTTGTGAAGACACGAAAGGGGTTATGGGAAAGTGCTTCTTGTGTATCCGGTCGAAAAGCGGTGGCATGCATAGGGAAGCCAGCAAGACTTAGGTCATAATATCCCACAGGATACATTCCCATAACGGCAAACATGCGTCGGATAGTGCTTAGTTCATGTGCGGTTCCTAGACGAATCGCGCCATGTCTTTCAACCCGGTGTCGCGAAGGAAGAATATCGTCTGGATCAATCGACGCGTTGCTTCCCCCGCATTCTTGGGTGACCTGGATGGCTTTCGCATCTGCCTCCCATACGATATCAATCAGGTCTCCGTATAACGGGACTTCGCTTTTGTACATCTCCGATAAAGCATGACAAAACCGCGTACGTAGTACGTTCGTGTTCCAGGGCTCACTCATAATGGGCTCAGAGCTGTTCGTTTTGCTGTGAAGTTTCGAGTGGTTGGGTCTCACAAAAATAGTTGGTGAGGGGAGAGAATAATCAAGTGTGTATAATATAGTTATCAAGAAGACCGGTTTTTAAGGATGCCTCTTGCTAAATATGCTTCCGACTTGAAAATCAGATTGATGATAATAGACTATATACCCTTCTCCACGCTTATCGGATGCCTTCCGTCGGAGTCAAAGATAAGTCAGATAGACTTATCGGGATCGTCAGGAAGGGACCGAAGGCAGTGTGGCTTGGTACCTGGACTTCCATTCGACGATTATGTGATAACGAACTTCGCATACCCTCGGCATCTTATGTTCAATGCGGAGAATATCAAATGGATTTGGTTTCCATTACAAATTAGCTCCCCGGAATTTGAGAGGCATGACGACAGGTAGGGGTGTTGTAGGCCAATAGGATGCTGGTCCGTCGGAAGACAGACCTGCTCCCTATCGCCGAGTAATCGCCGCCTTACCGACGGGCGCCAGGCCGTTGCTCCCGTCATAACCACGTAAGTAAAGACTGCAGATGAATAATAGGAGTAAGAAGAGTAATTTTGAGGGAGAAGTAATTGGAAAGGCTTGTTGAAAGGCATATTTACTCTAAAGCGTGTGCTGTAGAACAACGCTACAAAAAAGTTTGAAATATCTTTTTGTTTTACTCTAAAAGTCACGGTACTACTTCCTTTCTTGGGTTGAATCATACTAGTAATCTCTACCGGAACATAGGCCTCTCCAAAAACTCCTAATCCCGGGGTAACATGGATTTGTATTCACTCACTAATACACAAACGGATCATATTCTATCCAAATTGAACTCTCTTCCCATAGCAAAAATGATTGGTCTCACTACAAGAAAAATGAACTAGTCAATATCTAGTCATCTTTCACCTTACGCGGAATTGGGGCTCTCTTTTCCACTAGCACAAAGTCGCGATCCAGCAGCCAAAATCCGGTCGACTCTCGATTGCCAATATTTTTCACTATTGGCACGAGTTTATGCTCCCTCGCCAATTCAAGATCTTCGGACCATTTGTATTCCACAATCAAGCTCTTCTTGACACCGAAAACGGTGTCACTCTCAACAAAGTCGCTATCACACGAGTACAAGGCAGTGACTAACTTAGTATAGTCAGGGTGTATAACCATGAAATGCTAAAGCTCACAATTAATAACTGGAAAATCTTCCATATAGACGATTATAAAAGAAAGCCTACCATGTGCGCAGGCCGATACCAGTGCCTCTTCAATTTACGAAGAAGCTCTCCGACCGGACCGTCGTTTGAGATAGGATAGGCCACGGGCTTCACGCATTTGAACAGAAAGTGGCCTCGCGTATCAGTGAGCACCTTCCCGCGACAGTTCGGATCTTGACTACCTGCATACTCAAGATCATACACACCGTTGCCATCGGTTTCCCACACATCGATCAATGCCTTGGGAATGGGGTTGCCATCCGTGTCACGGACAAATCCACGCACCATAGTTGGCTCTCCAGGAGTTCCTTCGGCTGTGATAGAATCACCGTATCCAAATGAGTGGGCGTCCTCGTCATGGAATGGCCCCAAAACAGACGACTCCGTTGCGTCTGGAACTGCTGGGTATGATATGGCATCAACGAGGGCAGATATGCCAAGTATATCGGAAAGCAGCACAAATTCACGTCGAACATCTGTTGATATTTGTCCAACCTATTGTCAATGAGTATGGGAGGATTCAACTCGGCATTCTGTCCAACCTACCCGAGTTAAGAACTCACAGGCCTCCTGCCACTCATCGAAATGCAGCCCCACATCTCGCACATAGTCGTGTGAGGCTTTTACCAATTTTGTGATAAGGTATCTAAGGCGTGGATTATCACACATGGAGTTGATTTGCATCACATTCTCCGTGATATTCTCGATAGTTAAGTCGAGCATTGGAGGAAGGTGAGCTGCAATGTTTTCCGGGGACCCGGCAGCCCATTTGGCTTGTGTACGATCGCTGAGCTCACTTCCATTGTTGAATCTTTGGGCTTGATCGGTTTGTCCTGAGTGCGACATGATGAAAAAGAACTGGATGGAAACTTGAATTCGAACTTTTACATGGGTAGGGGAGAGGTCCTGAGGCTTTATATCTGCAAAAGGGTATATCAAATGCTAAACTATCAAGAAAGCTTGCTAGTGCAGATTTATTCTTCCGTTCTATATGTTTCCTACAAATATTCCTCTCCAGCAAATCATGGTCCTGCTCGTTGGATCATCGAGATCGATTGCTGTCACCCGACGGGTGGTAAACCTCCGTCGGAAGTTCGCGGAAATCACTAGATTATCCCTTTACTGTTCTGGAATTTCTTTGAAATCTATTGAAACAGCATCTTCAAACGCGAAATAGCAAGAGCTTGTTCTTGAACCGGCGAAATGGTTGGGAACTTCGACTCAAGAGATCGGATCGCTGGCGTTTCGGTGGAACAGCACCCGTTGGCAGGTATCTACTTCGGAATCGATGTTTTACCAAGAGGGTCAGCAGACATCAAATAATGTACGAATATAGTATTCGTATCCAAGCTTGAAGAATTCCCCAGACCCCACAAGATACCCCGCGCTGAGATCAATGGGAGGAGTTGTTTCGCATAGATGATGATCGACCGGGGTGGGCGGTCGGTTCCGGCAGTCGGATCGGATGTTTTTTGCACCCAACTTCCGTCGCAATAATCACCTTCACACAATATCCCAACAGAGAAGGGGAAATTGCCCGCATATATTGATTGTCGTTACTGCGGATCCCCGAATACGCTATGCATACGCCTGGACCTAAGCCACGGTGGGCGTCTCAGCGTCGCGTACCCCGGGCTTCGCGTGCGTGCGAAACTTGCCGCACTCGGAAGACGAAGGTAATGGGGTCGTGCTATGCATTTCCTATTTTAAAAGAGAGGCCATCTAACTCTTTATGGCAGTGCGATCAAGCTCAACCGTGCTCATATTGTGCTTGTAATATTTTCTCTTTGCCCCTCTCCCTTTCCTTGCTGTCGAGGCCGAGAACCGCAGTTAATAGTCGTTATCACAGACCACTCTTTCAATTGTGTCTATAGAACTACGGGAGGCCGTGGAACCCCTAGAGAACATCCAACTGGACGAAAACAGGCCATCAGAAATGCACAGAATAAGTAAGTCCCTGGCTCTATTCCAAATATTCTTGGTCTTGTTTCGTCTATCTGAAACTCGGAAAGTCAGGATCAAACTACTCGCCCATCACCATGGCCCGGCATGTCTCAAGATAGCGCATCGAGCGGGCTCAATGAATCCGAGAAACATCTATCTTCCCAAAGCAGGCCTGGATTGGCCAAGTCTCCTGCCTCGCCGATGAGAGACATGCGTCAAGGACCTTATCGGCCGGACATTTCGAGACTCGATACGCCAACCGCTTCACCTGGTTTTGACGGCGAGGAGGCTTCAAGTAAGATGCCTGCTCGAAAGCAAGAGCGTGGTATAATTTATCTGACCTATCACGACAGCACCCTCTGAGATCGGTGATGCTGCCTCACGGGATGGCCTCAGCGGAGTAAACTTACACACAAAGGGAACTGAATTTTACGGCAATTCGTCAAATCTTGCCTTTCTCGGCAATCTTTTTACCAGGGCTCAAGCCCAAGCTGATTGCCGGCCCCTCGAGGATCTTATGAGCCAATCCACGAGCTCAAAGGAAAGATCTATGGCTCACCGCACGCGGGCGTCTTCGCCACCGGCAAAGTCCATCTCTAGTAAATCACAGCTATCGATTGTGAATCTACTATATAATACAGAGTACACGGGCCACGTCTCACCGCAATCATATGACAGTGTGGCTAGTGGAACTTATAAGAGGCCTGGTGTTCCCCGCACAGAAACTGGCGCAGCCAGCCCTGACGATGGTAGGCTCTTTTAGGTCTTATTTGCGCAAGCCTGGTTCATTGACGAGACAATAGTCCACGATTGTACACTTCCGGTTGTCTTTGACAATATAACTGATGCAGCACAGATGGAGATCGAGAAGATTTTCATCGGCAGCTTCTTTACCAACAAGCATTACGTTCACCCCGTTCTTACGAAGAGCATTTTCATGCGACGCTGCGAGCGGGAGGCCTGGCCTCTTTCCAGACGAAATTCTCTGTTTCGTGACCCTCCCAAATTTGCAAGGCTTTACTTTGCTGTTGTTGCTCTGGGGGCGATTAACGCCAGCCCCAATGAGACCTCACTGCTAGATCACTTCTGTCAACAGTTGGTAGATCCTCAGAAAGCACCCCCTTCGTGTACTACCTTCTCTGCGCTGGATTTTGCCAAATTCTACTTCAGTCTCTCGAAGCAAGCCTTGGGGGACTTGTTTGAGAGTAGCTGTTTGGAGACGGCGCAGACTCTTCTACTCTTGGTTCGTGCATTGACTTGGTTGCTAGCATTTAAATATGGCTAAATCATGACTAACTTGACTTCCAGAGTGTTTTCCGCCAAAACTCCCTGCAGCCACACAGTTGCTATATGTATAGCGGTATGGCTGTTCGAACCGCTGCTGCAATTGGCCTAGCATCCAGCATGTCCTCTTTGCCGCCGAGTGCAAGACGCGAGGCAAAGCGCACCTGGTGGTTTGTCTTACCCCCAAAATTCGTATGAGTATTACTGACCGTGCTCAGGTGCATTTATTCCCATGAGATGTAAACATTCACCGGCTCCCAAATAGGTATTGGTATTCTGACCTTCCATATAGAGAAATGTGCTGCTCCTCCGGCCGTTTGGATAGCATGAAGGACTTGCACTATTACCAAGTATCCTTGCCCAAGCTGAAGGTATTCATCAATGTCCCACGCCCTACAATTGATCCAACTATTTGCTTGAATCATATATCACATGTTCCATATGGCTTCTGATAATTCTAAATCTGCCACAGGCTGATGTGGGACCCCTCGACCCGGATGCAGAAGACAACGACATCGCGATGATCCCAACAATGGTCTCGCTCGCCCAAATTATGTCCGAGGCATCCCATCAACTCTACCATTCCACCCAGCGTTCAATGCACGAAAAATCCCAGCTCGCAATGGCCCTCGACAGCCGCCTCAGCTCTTGGAAGGCAAATATCCCATCGTTCCTGAACCCAGATATTCAGACCCTCAACGATCCCGAGTGGGCATTCAAACAAAAGCTCGTTCTACGCCTAAGTAAATCCATCAAATTACCTATCTCTCTTCAGTCGAATGCATCCTCAATCTAACCCCCTCAACCTCCCTTTCGCAGGATACTATAACACGCGCATCCTCCTCCACAGACCCTTTCTCGTCGCCGCAACCTCCAACACCGACTCGACCGAGTTCCACGACCATCTGCACGCCTGCCTCGACGCCGCTCGAAAAAGTATCCATATGCAATACGAATCCTTCGTGCACCGTATCTACATCCGCACCTGGTACGGCCACCCCCTTCTCCACCCCCAAGCCTTAACCATCCATCTCTAACGCTCCAGGCTCCAGGTGGTACAACACCACCTACGCCCTCTACGGCTCCATGATTCTGCTGCACCTCGTTCTTTCCAACTTCCCCGGCCTCCCAGACGCCGCCCTCCTCGACGACGTCGAAAAATCTCTCGATATCTTCGCCTCCATGCACGATATCCTAGTCGCCCGCCGCTGCGCCGAGATGCTCCGCGAAGTCCTTAACGTCGCGCGTGCCTGCCTAGCCCGCCGCCACACCGGTGCCCTACCCCCTCCGTCCTCCGCCGCGGCAGGTCTTGACGCTCCTCCCGAACCGCCCTTCCCCGGGTCTACGGGCGCAGCGGCGGGCTTCGCGGCGGATGAGGGGCCGGTAGGGCAGCCAGACGAGGAGAACTTCTTTTTCTCGTTGTTTGGGCAGGGGTCTGCGGCGCAGGCGGATCGGACGAGAACGGAGATGTTGGCGAATCTGGTAGATCCGTCGATTCTGGAGGACTTTGCGTTTGGGGGCGAGGGCGTGTCATTTTTTTAGAGAAAAAAATAGTGCGTTGCAGCACGACCTGTAGATTGGGAGCACTGTTGTATAACTCAAGGACATGACTCAACTATACAGCGACCTGTGAGAGAGATGGGATGGGGCCAGAGGCTTTGATCACATCTTCGCACTACGGGATTTTCAAAGGGAAGACGACTCGAGGGACGGCGCAATTGCAATAATCTGAGTCATTACGTCTAAGGAGGGGAGAAAGGCAGGTACAGTTCGAATATATCGATCGTAATTCATATTCATAATGTCGGTCTATGGTCCCAATCGAAGAAAAAAGTCCGATCTATTTGCCAAACAATCCCAGTCCAATAAAAATTTCCATATCCGAGCACAGGCTATCCAAAGCCAAACCAAATCATGTCAATCCGGGCCAAGAGAAAAGAGATAAAGAAAACAAGAAAGGGGGGGGGGGGGGCAAAGGGGATAAACAGATGGTAATGGGACAATTTCGACATATCGCAGTATTGTCGCTGTCCATGCAAATAATTCAAGATATTCAATCATGCGCTTTCATCCAGGTATTCAAGGAACGCCGAAAAAGAAGAAAAAAATGGTCGTAATTTGGGAGGAGGGAAGCGACAAAGAGGTAGTTGCAGTGAGGTGGTGAGAGAGAGAGAGGAGGACGTGAGAGGTGAATTAAGAGGAACCGGTGTAATCAGGGCGATATATAAGTCACAAGTCTATAGCATTGACATATCGTTTTCTTCGTCGTCACTGACCGACGTCGCAGGCGATGCCAGGCCCGAGATCACCGACGAGGATGCACCGCCGGGCAGATCTGCATCACCCATGGAGTCGTCGTAGGAGCGCGAGCCCGGTCCCGAAGGCCCTGATGGCTGCTTGCTCGAACGGGCCATCAGCTCGTCGATGGTGGGCTTCTCGGGGACGTGCTTGTCCAGCATTGTGGCGTGGTCCAGACTCTCGAGCGCGAAGCCCATGAACTCCGCGTTTTTGTGGCTGACGCTCAGCGTCCAGCGGTACTCGCAGAGCCGCACGCGGTAAAACTCAGCTTCCTCATTGGTCGGCGCGCTGATCCGCAGCAGCATGCCGAACGAACCGATCAGAGAAAAGTTCGTACGCGCAGAGGCGGGCCAGAACGAGCGCAGGTGCGCGGGGCGGAGGCGGTTCACGAAGTCCATGGCGGAGATCAGACGGGTTTTGGCGGCGGAGCGGCAGATGTGCGCGAGATAGGAGTCGGTTCCGTCGCTGGCGAGTGAGCGCACGATGCATCGGTGGAGGGTGATCTCCGTAGCGAAGTAGGCGAGGTGCAGGGCACCGTTGCGCGCGTGTTCGTCGGTGATGGTCTCCACCAGCTCACCGCTGGAGGATTCCATTTTGAGAGCGGCAGGAAGTGAGGAGAACCATTCCTTGAGACGGATCTGGGCCGGCTTCGCCTTTTCAAGGATGATCCGCGTGCGCTGGTTGCCGGCGGCGCGGAATTCCTCGCTCGCCTGCAGGGTATAGAAGCGATCGAGGATATCCGACAAAATGGTGGTCAGGGCCACCATATGGCAGAACAGCAGAGGACCGTGGCCGACTGCAGCCTCATCGTGGGCTGAGTCCGTGCCGGACAGGAAGGCATCCGAAAAGTCCTGCTCCACGAGATCCTTGACTGTCCAATTGAAGGAGAAGATTTGCGAGGGACGGCCGTGCACCAGGGAGGACCATTTGTCCTGCATGTACAGGGCCCAGGCCAGACGTTTCCGCAGGCCCTTCTCCCAGGTCTTCATGCGCCAGGTAGAGCAGTCCTGATGCAAGCCGAGCTCGAAGCCGGCAGTGACCAGCTGGCCGTTGAGCGAGGCCGTGGCCAGTGTTGACTTTTGCGTCAACAACAGACCCGCCTGGATTGTTGAGATGCTTGGGAACGGTAACGAATCGGTGAGCAGCTTCAGGGCCGTGCTCTCCAGGCGCGACGCCTCTGGCCGCCGCACTGCTTGTGACGACACGCCGACATCCACGAACTTGAGCGTCAGCACATATACCGCTGCCAGCAGCAATGGAGACAATTGCCGACGCTCTCGGTAAGACTGACGGAACGCATCCTCCATCAAAATAGGAAATGATGGGTGGACGTGCTCGAAGAACTTTTCGATCAAGGTCGAGCCATACGGCGCAACCATGCTCTCAATGGCATCGAGCGACACGGCCTGCGAGTCGCCAATTGGGACCGTATCAACGACCCGCATGAAGGTACAGTCGTCAGCGCAGCGACGGATGCGCGACGCAGACACGGTGCACTCGTCGTACTCGTCCAGGGGTAGATACTCCAGCAGCGCGGGCTCCAGCTCGGTGGTCATGCCAATGTGCTGGGTGGTCTGGTTAAAGAAACCTGGGCGAATCATCGCGTGGGAGTGTTGCGGACGGGGGACGTCGGCGTCAAGCACGGCGTGTGATGCTTGGACGGTAGAGGGTCTATTGTGACGGGTCAGTCTATGTGCGTTGCTCGTTGATATGGATAATTGATTGTGTAGGTCTTTAAAACACCACGCTAACAAGCCATTGCGTTCCCCAGGCCAGCGCCGAGGGAGAAAGACGTACCGTTTCACTGAATTTGCCTGGTCCTGTGCGGCGTCGTCTAATTTCCTCTTCTTGGGGACGCCCTCGGGCGAGCCGGCGGACAAGGTGAAGGTGCAGTCCTGGCGGTGGAAATCGCAGGAGTAGCACTTGTTGACCATTTCATTCATTGCGCAGCGGCTCTTTCGGCGGAGACAGGCGTCGCAGCTGGCTCCATCCCGGCCGGGAACACGAGCAAGGGTAGACGAGACGGAGACGGGGGACGGCGAGAGCGTATTGGGGGTGGAGATGGAAGTAGGAGGGCGACGACGAAGGGGATCGGGCGAATGATGGTTCTGAGAATAAGCCGGGGTCGCACCCGCCGTGGCAGAGGGCTGGATCGTGATGACGGTGGCCATTGGGGACAACGGGGTGGGCGTGGGGAAAGTATATAGATCTCGAGCGCTATCGCCCACCAGGATGGGGCAGGTGCACTAATACGAAATGGCTCTGGACCGGGAGGGGAGAGGCGTTGATAGGACCGGAGCCGGAGATAAAAAATAAAGGGAATATCAAGGGAATTGAATAATTGATAGGCTGCGATTCGTGCAAATCGGCCCGCGGAGACTCGGCAGGGTCTTGCGGTCTGGGGAGGGGGGGAAAGGGAGCTTGACACTACGGAGCAAGTCGGTTAGTCTATGTCGAATCAGGCCGGATCCTGGGGAAAGAGATAAGGCAAGCGCAGGACGCGGATTGGCAAGAGACGAGATTGGCGAAGGGAAGGGGGCTGAGAGGACATACGATTATGCTTATCAGCCCCTCAGAAAACGTCGTGTTATCTCCGGGGACGATCAGGAACCCCGGCACCGGAGCAGATTGGGGGGGGATATATCAAGGGCCACCGAGGAGCAGATCGTATAGATTCGGATCTATCAGGGCGAGGCACCGGCCAGAGACTGCAACAAGATGAGGTGGCGGATTGTTCGCTCCGTCATTCCTACACCTTGACAGCTCCGTGCGATGGTGATCTCCGAGGAGAATGAAACCACCAAAGCTTGGGGGAGGGACACCGGAAGAGCACAGGGCAGGTCGCGGCGCAGTCGTGGAAAAAGGAAATAGTAGAGACAGTATGGGAGTAGAAGGAGTAGAATTGGGAATCTGCGGCAATAGACCCACGTTTCAACAGAAGCCGCGGAAGAAAGAAGTAAAAGGAAATCAAGAAATCAATCTACTCAATCATGGATATGGAGAAAAAAAGAAATGGGGGGGGAGAACGTCAATACATAGTCGTGATGACATCGTTGTGCTGAGCGGTGGCCGTGGTCAAGTCGAACCAGACGATCTGCTTTTTGCTCTCGTAACAGAATTGCAAGTCGCGCGCGTGCGAGTCCCGCGAGCCAGCGCGATGAATAATAATTAGGCGGGCGGAATTGTCACACTTGATAAGCCCGCGGCTCGTGATTGGGCCGCCGGGAAACCCGCCATCATATTACGTACGATGAAACCCTCTGGCCTTGGGATGAACGAACTCACAGGAGTCATTCTCACGCTGATTGATGCTTCTTATGGTAGTTCTGATCAACCCTCCGGAAGAATGAGGATTCCTATGACTCCCTTTTTTTAGGTATTTCCTAGGGTCTACATCGATTACTCACCATCGATGGAGTCAAAAGGAGAACGGAGAAACAAACTACTCCTGGTCGGACATAAGAGAGGGTGGAGTTGCGAGGCCCCGATGAATTAAAATGAATTAAATGAAGGGCCACCCGCAGCAATCATAATTTATTAATGGGAAACTAGCTATGGGCGTACGGAGGAGTACCCATGGATTCAAATCCTATGATCACGATCAAGATCGAGTTCGTCGAAGGCACAGGGGATCGACGACGACCCATATTCGGAGTCGACTCTCTATTAATATGCTTATAATCTTATCATCGTCTGGTTTTTCTCTCCATGCGCTCCCATCTATGGGCTCATTCTGCCGTGCCCCGTCCCAGGCCAGACCGATAGTCTATTGTTGTACGACAAGTCATGCACTCCTCTGCATCCTCCCAGACACTGCTCTCACAAACTGGTGGTGTATAGATCTAGACCAGATCAAACGCTTTCCGGGCCAACCCCAAGGACAAAACCCAATCAGCTCCCAATGATAACGCCTTTGCCCTGGGCCAATCACCACCGTCGCAAAAAAATAGAATAAAAGCCACGTGTGGGGTGGAAAGTCGATCGTCCAAGAGCAAAAACGGATTGATGTACCCCGACGCCCTTCAGGCCGCTGGGGGGAAAAGCAAGAGAAGCCACCAATCATCACAATTCACTGACTAACGGCCTCGCGGGAGACCGCGGCTGTGCAGTGGCCACACCGGAACCGTCTGACTCGAACAAGAGTTACTCTAACCTGTACCCTGGCCCTGGCGGGTCGGCATGCTTACATTCCTGGCGTGCCTATGGCTGAGGTTAACTCGGGCTTGAACGGCGTTCATTGGTGTCCCCCGCCCCCGCCTGGTGGATCACGGAGAAGACGAGCTCATCCCCGGGACATGTGCTCGCTTGCCCTGCTAAAACACTTAGCCCCGGTGGCAATGGCAGAACTCGGGAAACTCACGGACAAGGAAGATGATTACGACTATGAACTCTGATTGTCCGGAATAGTCTCTCTCTGCAGTTGTGGGAGATGAGCATGTAGCGATCTACGAATGATTGACACCGACGCAGAAAAGAAAAAAGAAAAGAAAGATTTGTGAATGTACGATTCGGTATAACGGCTCTATGTACAACCCTTCCGGAAACCGGCCCTTCCCCGTGTCGGAAATCCTCCAGGAACCAAACGCCCATAAACTCCATGCTGTACCCCTAAATTGCAAGAGTGATCGAAGCCCCGATCCAACCCAGACCCAGAGAGAGGAAGTGAACCATTCCATGGAACTGACCCCCTCTCCCCTTTGCGTCCTTCCCTGAACAGCCGTTCTGCTCCCTCTCGCCCGAGATGGGCGAAAGAACGGACTCGCCCAAGCAACAGCAGGCTTGATATGAGATTGCTGTTCTTTTACTCGGTAAAATTCCGCAGCTTGGTCAACTCGTCAAGCAACTCCTGTAGATCGCCGTCGGAGATCTTATTCTGCAGGCTAGGAATGAGGGACTTGGCCTCCTCGGCATTGTCGCAACACAGGCTCCCTGTTTGGCAAATGCCCCGGTTAGTCATACATCCAAACCTCCATATGTAATCATAGTGAATGTTCAAAAGACCCCCGGGGGGGGAAGGAAAATGGAAGAGAGACCCCTCCAAGATCCCCTCTCCAACCGGTCTCATCTCCCGTGCTCATTGCCACTGCCCAGACCACCATCCAACGTATGGGAGCTAGGGTGGTTGCTTTCCGACGGCGAATTGCGGGATGCACCAAGCCCATTGAGCGGCGACATGGGGCCCTGCACGTCCCTCCTCTCGGAATAGACAAATTAAGAAAAGGAAAGCACATCACTCACCTAACTGCGACCGCTCAAACATCTCCAGCTCCGTGTGCGAGTTCAGTAGTCGCTCCACTGCCTTGATATTCTCCTCATCCTTGAACCGGGCAAACACATCCAGGTAGTCCAATGTCTTGGTGAGATTCCTAATCACAGACGTCCCCACATCAGTAAAAGATCTCCCCAATCGCATTCCCGCGCCTCGGTGGAAAGGGACATCGCGACGGGTGGGCTTATTCAACGTACTCCGGCTCCTCGTACTTGTTCCCTCCACGACGCTTATTCTCCAGCACTTTATGGATGACTAGACGCGCCTCGGACAGGGACAATGTGTGTGTGTGCTGATCGGCGCCGAGCTTGAGAGTGCTGGCGGCCTCAAGATCGCCCTGGGGCAGCGTGCGCTTGCGGTGGGTGGCCGGGGGAAGTTGCAGGCTCATGGCGGGCGGGTCGCCGGGGTAAGTTGATAGTAAATTAAGGTCGATTAGTGGTAAAGAACGCTCGGATGGGACGGGCGTAATGATTCCGAGGAGAGAGCGCGATGAGATCTCTTGTAGTCTTTGAGGGGCGGTTTGGATGTTGAAACTGCAGGTTTGCGCGGCAGTTTACGGGCGGTGTACTCACCGCTTTACAGCTGCGCAAGCTTCCTTGTATACAATTTGGACTTGGATCAGGAATGTCGACTTCAAGATCCGATTTGGTATTGATAATACTTTCCATGCCCATCCTTCAAATTAAGATTCAAATTAAGAAGGAATACAAATCATTTGTATCGTCTGAGGCCGTTTTCCACCAAAATCTCATGCAAAACTTTGCGCCCTGAGGTGGAAAAGCTGAGGCTATGAAACTAGATTGTCCTACCTTATCAAGGTAGTAAAGAAGATATCTAGGGGTATCAAAAGTGACATTTTATCTATACCAGCGATGCTAATTTTTTTTTCTTTCGGTCAACCTTCTTTACGCTTCTCATGCATCAGCTCTCCAGCTCCTATACAGCCCTTATCTTATACTTTGCGGAAAGCAACCTCCGGCGGCACGCGGAAGCTAGCGCAGAACATCTGCTTATTAGGGCTGACCAGCCGAACGTTATGAATAGCCAGTTCGATTGCCGGGTTCCCGCTTCCACCCACACAGTCCTCGGGGGTGATTGTGTATCCAATGCGTTCAGAAATCCGTTGGCAGATATCGATGTGATCGTCCAGCTCATTCTCCGAGTGGCCTGAAAAACAGTAGACATGCACCATTGGCAGCTTTTGAGAGGTGTTTGGGACGAATCGTGATTCCTGGCCGACGTACACACCCTGGAAGGCATCCAGGAACTCGATAGCTGTGGCCGGGAGGTTCATCACATAGTGGTCGACAATCGAGGGGCGGATGTATTCCTGCACGGGAGGTGACTGCTCGCTTTCCTGGCCATCATCCGTCTTTCTTCTCTTTGTCCGGCTGACCTTGGGCCGAATGGTGACCTTGGTAGGCTCAGTCTCCAAGAGAGACTTGGCCGCAAATTTGATGAAGTCCCGACCATCTTGGTTGAACGGAGTGACAAAGTCCTGTACCTTATTACGCGGAATAGCATCTTGCATCACTTCGTAGCCATGCGGGTTCAAATCATTCGCCCAGACAAAGATCCGTCTACGTCCAGCAGGCACGGCAAACGGGCCGACGCCGGCCATGACGTCGCAGACCATCTGGCCAGGCTTGAACTTCTCTACAAGCCGACGATGTTCAGTCTCCAGGCGGCTATTCCAATACACACGGGCATAGTCGAATCGAAATTCGCAGTCTTGTTCGTGTTGAATGACGTTGAGGTCGTTGTCGCCCGCCAGAACTTCGAAGGGGAATGTGCGGAACTGGCTCTGCGAGCCGACATCTTCAATCTTGTTGATTACAGTGCGGACAGAGGGGTTTTTGTCCTTGATTATTTCGGCGATGAGGTATTTATATGGCTGCCAGTGCTCTCGGAGGTTCATATGTACTATTTATTCATCAGTATCGAGTTCCATGGGTTCCGAGGGTTGGGCAGAAACATACCGACATGCCCCACTTGCGTGAATCCCTGGGGAACCTCCTCAAGTTCTTCAGGGAGAATCGAGGACGCAATTTCCGCTGTATAGTATTAGCGGCTTATTTCTATTCCGTGTCAATGCGCCAGTCGGTGTCCGTACCGTATGACCAATAGTCATAATCTAAAAGCAGATCGTATGGTGTCACGGCCAAAGTTCCCTTCTCCACGAGCTCATTGATCGTTGGCGACCAAGTTGACTTATCTGTACAAAAAATATCAGCACGTATACTTCCGTTGCAGGGACTCCGGTCCAATTGCAGATTGCTTACCATCGTGCTTAAGGTCATCTCGCAGTAGAAGCGCCTTCTTCACCAACCCCTCGTGATCTGTCACATCGCGTACAGTGTTGAGTCGTGGGAGGACTAGGAGATCTCGACTCTTGGCTAACTCCTGGCGCACGCGCGAAATCTCCGAGTTCTTGAAGACCTTCGCGGCAGCGATGGGCACGGTCTTGCGGAAAAATGATCGGTCCAGCGTGCGCATAGCACGGTTGACAGGAGGGCGAAACATGGCGGGAAGCTCGCGGGGAACGGGCTGGCGTACGTCACTAGCAGACTCCATTGACAAGAGCAATCGCCTGTGGAAGTCGGGGGATTGTTGAGTCAGTGGACGGGGTCTAAATCGCATTGGGCGCTGGCGATAATTTGTTTCCTTATCGGGCACGTGACACTATCAGTCGAGAAGCTTAAGTAGAGAGCACGGCATAGAGATTCTGGAAGTTGGTTAGGAGAACATTGATTACTCTGAATGAATTTTGTTTTCTGATGACATGTTCGTAGAGTATGGTCCATGATGCATTTATAAGCCTCTCGTTATATACATCCTCTTTATTAACATATCATGCGGAATATCACAAGCCTTGGCCCCGCTCCCAACTCTAGGCACGGGCATTATGATGATGCCGCTCGGTCAATCTGGCGAGCGATATACACGAGGTATCGACTCTCACTAGGGAACCCAGTAATGTTGATTGTGACTTTGCTTGCCCACGTCGAAGAAACCTTCCACTCTGTCCCTGTCGTCCTGCCAACCTCATCCCACAGCTCTTGAAATGTCACGGGGTCATGTAAAAAACGTGTGCCTCCGGTCACTGCAGTGGAATTGCCTGGTTTTAAGCTACCAATGTGACCTCCGAGGATTACTGCATCGGTAACACCTGGTTTTAGAAACTTGACCATTCTTTTCGCAGCCAACAGTTGCTGGTCCCTGTCAAACAAGTGGAAGAAGTTCCCCGCACTAATAAGCGTAATCTTGCCATCCAACTTCTTTGACCCTTCATCACTGGGATCGAGCAAATCGGCGGCAACAAATGAATCAGGTTCAAACTTCTCGCGGTCATTGAAAAGCTCAAAACCGAGGTCTAGAAATTCCGGGGAGAGGTCTGTCCCATACAGTCTTGCTGGATCGACGCCGTCAAATGCCAATTTGCGTAGAACTTGTCCGAAGCAGCAGGCTACATCGAGGAATGCCTCCTGTGAGCCAGGTTGCTTCAGTCGGTTGACGATGGCCTGAAATGATGGATGGTCTAGCCCCTTTATATTGGTGAAGGACCAGCGTCCAATACATGGGTAACGATGAATAGCCCAGCCTTTGTCGCGCTGCGAAGAAAGTCAGATCGCGGTTCCTGGGCTGCAAAAAGGGACAGGAGATTCATACAATAGAATAGAGATGCGCGTCCACTTTTTCGGGCTTAATATTGCTATATTTCTCCAAAAGGTCTCGGAATAGACCTATATCGTCTGGAAGATCCTCCATGTAGTTCTGAGCTCGCCATTCGAGGGACCGAGCAGAAGCATCTGCCGCCATCTTTTAAATAATGGCTTGGTTATTGGGGCCGATAATGCCTGGACTTTGCCAGCTGTTTCGATGTCGGAGATACCTCGATATGTTCTTTGACAAATGTGTTGATCAAGGTCGCAAAACGTGATTCAGCGAATGCTGACTGCTGTTGTGGCTCTGGCATCGGCGTTAAAGAACGCCGAAATCCCGGGGCTTTGTCCCCGCGACGACCATTAGTTGTCGAGCGGCTAGGAAACAGTAGCAGCTAACAGACTTGCTGAGTACACTAAAGATCAATCTCGAGAACATTATCCAGAAATTCGAATGTTGAGGATTGCTATTGGGTCTAAGGCACTGATTATGGGCTTTGATATATCCCACACATACCTACCAAATACTGTCAAAGTTTCAAGGGACAGAATAATATGACATAGCACGCGATACTTAGGGTTTTCGTGAATGAAGCCAAAGAGCTTAAATTTAAAGAAACAACGACTCTCTTCGGTAGTTATACCATGCCTTGAGCGGACACAACAAGCTCACTGCCAGCGACACATGAGGCTTCTGCGGGTCTAATTACACCGCATTCAAGAGCCTCGATGGCACCTAAAGCCCACAAAGGAGGAGTGAAACTGAGACTGAACAAATTTTCAAGTCAAAGAAAGCAAGCTATTTCATTAAATCGTTATGTGCTCTTACTCATAGCACGTCATATGAGCAAAAGAGGCCAAGACAATTAATCGCTGAAAGGAGTCAGAAAAATCGCTGAGTTAACATATTAACACAATTTTGCTATCAAGCACCCATTCTGCCAGAACATCCATCTTCTCATCTCTTCATTCCTTCAATGATACTTCGATCCATCTCATTCTGTGCTTGTAGATTCATATTTTTCTCCTTCAGCTGCGCAATCGTGGTATCTTTTTGTTTGCACGCCGTGCGAAGGATCTCTCGCCCCCGATTAATGCCATGCATTTTCAAGTCGTACCGGTTGAGTAGCTCAATGAGCTCGTCTTGTGCACTGTTTGGCAGAACAACGCCATGATTCTCCAGTATTGCTGTCGCATTACGTGCAAGGTCTGAGATATCAGGTTTAGAGTCAGAGCTCAGGACGTCGCGATTCCGCTGCGGCGTAGGCGTCATGCACACTTCTGCCGAGAGGGGTGGGGGTTGATTCGATCTCGTAGAGAAGGATGTGTGTGGTGTTGGAATTTCAGAAGAGCTGGAGGTAATGTGATCGAATGAAAAGGCGGAGAGCTTGCGCTTGCCGGGGGAGGTCATTCCGGGCGTGCGAGGGGTTTTGGACGAGGGTAATTCGGGGTAGTTGAAGCTTGGTTGCGATATAAAAGATTCTCTGGGTTGGCTGGAGGCCAGCGCCTTTTCGAGTTCCTCGTCATCATCGGAATCGTCGTTCCACCCAAATTCATCTGTATCTTCAGCCATCATCCGGGCCTTTGCGCTCTTCGGCGGCGTTCGGGCTTGACGGGGTGGAATGTCGATTACTCGGCGCCCTGTCTGAGGAGTAAGCAAGCCGGGTCCACCTTGCCGGACTGATTTAGGAGTTCTTGTGAAGGAATCGCGCGGGTCATCTTCGGAGTGGGAGTTGGACAGAAGGACTGCCTTTTCGCGGGGCTCCGCCTCGTCGGCCCAGAGGAAGAAACCACACTTCTTTGGAGGTAGTTGCTCACAGGTATAGACTGAAAAGATATGTTAGAGCCTGTATTCCCAGAAGAGTGAGCAAAGACCCTTTCAGGTCATTAACTCACACCACCGGCCATGGTTCTTTCCTCCATTCTTTGTCTGCCGTCGTGCCGCCGGTGGCCGCGCGGGGCAGTTACAGCACCAGATGCCGTCTTTAAACAAGCCATGAAGGGGCACCGCAGTGCGCGGTGACACTGGCGTCCTCTTACTTGGAGAAAACATCTTGACTGTTTATCCAGAAAAGGACTTGACGAGTCCAGATCTATTCAACATGATCCAGCTTGCCTTTCGGCATGTCGGTTGTCACCCCGGAAACCCGTTATCGATAAGCAACCCCGGACAATCATCAGCGCGACCGATCAGTCCCCTTGAAGGCTCTCTCACATCAGATCATCTTAATGCCAAGAACCATTTGCCAAAAATGACCATAACGGCCCTCAGCGATTATATTAGGGACTTCAGTTGTATGGATGCACAAAAAGGACATAATGAGCACTACGTTTGAACAGATGCAAAGCATGCAGAACGCAGTGTATCATGATTCACCCCTTCTAACTAGTATATGAAACTCCCCCATGTCATGCACATCTAGGTAATCTTATCCATGCCCAGTTTCACAACAAAGCCAGCCAGAAAAAAAGAACATCAGCAACAAGGTATCCATATCACACAATACGTCAGTTCAAACAAGAGGGTGGGAATCAAGTCAAAAAGCTGTAGCCTTACAGCGAAAAAACGATGTGCAAATATCGTCATGCATGGAGTCTAGCAGTACGGTTGCAAATTCTTGTCTTCAATCAGCCAGAACGTGGCGCAGCATCACCACAAAGGGGTCTGTCAGTTTGAGAATTTCTTGGACCTCTGGCTTGACAGGCTCGCCTGCGGTGCGCCGCAATTGGTCCTGCTTCTTGATGCGGCGACGGCGCTCAATAGCAATTGGGTCATCCAATTCATCTTCTTCTGAGTTCTCATCTTCACTGTCGGATGCCTCATCAGAGATGGTGAGGTCTTCAAGGTCGGCCTAGATTGGAGATGTTAGATGGACTATTTCTGGAGAGGAAAAGTAGAGCTAGAAGTGTTGCATACCTCATCAAGACCAAAGTCGCTACCCTTGAAGGCGGCGGAGCCCGAGACTGTATCGGTGCCCTCGGCGGCCATTTTTTGACGGGTCTTGTTCAAATGCCAGCGCTTTCGATCCTCTTGCCATTTGATAAGGGCATCAATCTCGATGATGGCGACATCCTTGTCAATTTGACCGACTCCGACCGCGCCCTGGAAGAGTGCGTTCATATCCAGCTTGCCGCCCTGCGCAGGGCCCTTGCGAAGGAACTCCAGAATTTCCTCGATCCAGGCCATCAAGGACTGGAAGAGACCGTTGTCATGAATATGTACCTCATGGATGAACTTGTAGAAGTTGTCCTCGTGGCGAGCACACAAGTCAATAAAGGCCTGGACGGTCTGGTTAGGGTCAGCAGAAGCATCCTGGCGCTGGGCGCTTTCAATTACGGCGATGGCATCATCGGCAAATTGGGCAAAGTCTGTGATACTGTTGTACACGTTGGCAGACTTGTAAACGCGAACCAGAGGCTCGTAGAAGATGGTGAAGAGGTCGCGGAAGAGTTGGAGAGTGACAGGCTCTTCAACGATACTCAGCATCATCGACTTGTCGCGCTGTCGGGTATAGAGCTTAAGCAGTTGTTTCATGTTGGCAAACCATTGCGCTCCTTGTTGCATCTCCAGGTCAACGTTATCCACAGCGTGGTTCCATGCCACATAGCTGTTGAACACCTTGCCAATCTGCTCCGGATTGAGTTCTGGCTGCAGAAGCTCGGAGCGGAGGATGGCAACAATAATGTCAACTTGTTCAACCTCGGCCTCTTCCCGGATTTCATTCTTGATGACCTCTCCAGCCTCCACGAAATTCTTGAGTTTCTCTGTCAGTATCGAGTCATCAACCTTAGCAGCCAATGAGTTGATCGACTTGTGGAAGTCTTTGATGCTATCATTCAGCGTCAAAGAGAAGATGCGCTGCAGCAAGGATCGCGAACCGAATGGCTGAGCCATGAAAAGGTCCAAAACACCTGTCATCACAGCGGCTGGATTGGCAATGCGGATTACGTTCTTCATTAGGGTGTAAGGAACCAGGCCGTGAATCCGCTTAGCCTGCGCAAACAGTTCCGGCGAATTATCCTCGGCAAGAAAGAGATGATACACCGTTGCAGCAACTCTGTGTTCTGTGTTAGACCAGATTCCCGATTAAATGGCAGACAATTCTTGGGGCGCGGACGTACTCAATACGTAGCCACTCAGCAAACTTTTGATATTGCGGACTCAGCTCAGCAATGCAAGACTTCTCCCGAATCTCTGCAAAAAGCTTGGTCAATCCATCTGTCCAGCAAAAGTATTAGCAAAGTCTTCGTTCTCATGAATCCAGGCTAGCCTTACTGCTCTCCACAATATCCCGTCGGAATTTCTCCATGTAGACGTCGAGCTCTGCCGCTCGTTGTCTAGCAATTTCGTAGAAGCGCTTCTGCTCCTCTATTCTGACTGCATCCATTTCCTTTCGCCTCCAGACGTCAACTAATTCTTCTTCATTCAATGAGATAGGCTTTGCAGCCAAGAACTCCTCCAGTGACCTTGACTCGGCGATACGCTTGTTCTGCAAGAGTGTGCGCAAGAATGCCCGTAAGGAAACACGCTGCTCCTCACGATAGAGCACGGTCTCTCTCGAGATGGCCTCCGATGATGCGCGGGGGGACTTGGATGATCGCATAGAACCGCGTGAAATCGAGCGTCGGTGACTTCCGGGAGCCAGAGTCCGGCCAGAGGTAGATGTGGGGGTGTTGTCTTCAGGCTGGCTGGTGCCCTGGGTGGAGAGCGAGGATACGGAAGAGTTGTCATCATCAGCGGAACCAAACCAACTTGAGGTCGTGGACGATTTGTTCTTGCGAGGCAGAGGGGGTAGATGTTTGCCCGGGAACTCGGTACGCAGTTTCCGGTGGAGCTTGACGAATTCACCGTATCTCCGTCCGATGTAGAAGTCGTCTTGGCCCTCGCGGCGAACTCGGATGATAAATTCCTATTCTCGAATATTAGCCACTGTCGCACACCCAACTCGGCCAGTGTAGACATGGGTATGGGTAGACTTACGGCATGAGGATGATATCGGACAGTCCGCTTGACCGAGGTGACTCGAACTGCGGCAACATTCACATCCCAGCCATTGATATAGTGGCCTTCGGGCATATTCACAAGCAAGCCTTTGTCGTTGGCGCCGCGCTCGACGACCTCCATCTCGGAGAACGATATCCGTTCTTCGTATCCAGATGCTGTCGGTACTCCGGAGACCATCATTAGCTCCACGAGCTTCTCGCACTTGCGGGCCAGTTTCCGGCGCTTCGTCTCCTCCAGCCGGTCCTCCGACGATGACACATGTTTGTTGGCGAACGACTCGAGGAACTATGCCAGATAGCATCCATTAGCATTTATTATTCTCTTGAACTCTTCACCAGCGACCTCCGGTCATCTTTCCCAGTGTAAAAATAAAAGGGGGGGGGGGGGGGCGCCGATGTGACGCACCACTTGTAGCTTGTCCTGCCAAAATTGTTTCTCTTGCGCTTGGTTGAGGAACGGGAAATTGCGAACATGGTGAACGAAAATGTATCGGAGAATGGGCAACTCCGAATCGACAGGCGCGACCTCGCCAAAATCGGATTTGAAAGGCGCGCCGAATCGTTGCAGCGCTGTGGGAGAGTTTAGCTCGGAGATCTCGCTGCGGACCTGGCGGGCAATGAGCTCGCGTTTGAGATCTAGATGTCATAGAAGCGCGCAACGTCAGTCAATCCATATTCTCCAATTTTCTGGCTCCAGCGGACGCGCAGATTTCTGAATATGTCTTACAGTGTTCCTGCTTGCCCGTCAGGATCTGCCCGTCGGGCGGGGTTGCCGCGTGTGCAACGGCAGCTCCGCCGTTGGCGGTTGCGGCCTCGTTGTGCATTTAAAGGAAAATATGGCGGTCGGTGGTCTCGAGGAAAGGAGTCTCACGACTTAGCTGTCTTAAAACACTTGTGGTCGTGGTGGTAAGAGGAGGAATTCGTCTGCCTGGGCCCTGCGTTTTCTGGGCTGGTAATGCCGAGATTCGATAGTGGCCGAGCACCGCAGCGGCGCCCCGTAGCTTCCCTGACAAGGCTTGCCGATCACCGGGGTTGTTTCTCGGCGAAATTAGTGCGCAGCAGGCCGAATGAGGTATGTCGTGTGGCCCAAGGGTAATTGCGGTAATTGCCAGGTTTCGGGATTGTCTGAACGTTTGGAGGTCAAGGAGTTTGGTTTGAGCGGGGGGCCATGTCGTCACCCGTTCACGAATAATTTGACTAAGACCCAACACGGTCGGGACCCGTCTCGGATTCAGCCTTGTTCGTCATGATATAGGGCTCGCGCTCCGCCATGCTAGACGATATGATGATCGACGGGCTCGTTTGAGCCCGCAAGCGACCGGTTGGGGTCATTCACCGTCCCGAATGATCGCATTCCATGGCCACGATAGGTTCCCGCTCGGTCGCATATAACTCAATTGAATATATTCCATACTCCCCACAGCCTTCCTTCAGTCCTTCTATTTCTCTGTCGCCGAAACTCCTGTGGCGAAGTGGCTGCCGACTCTTTTCGTCTAGAAAAAACCCATACAACGGTTCAAAGACCGCCGGGAAGCTAAGGGTGAAGGAGATATATTATGGACTTGGTTTGATTGACGTCCCCAAGACAAAATCATAGTGTCACAGAGTCCCAGATCAAGTGAGTCAAGTGACAATTTACGAAACGCCCTAGTGAAAAACCACCCTACCATCTACGAGTTTCAGAATCATGGTCTTCTTTCTTCCTTCAACAGCATTAAAATAGACTGGAGGCCATCGAGAAGGGTGTATAATAGTCCTAGGTAGTGCCCTTCCTCGTATTCGAAACATCATCCGCATTTGTAGTGAGCTGTCTAATAGGTCTACAAGGATACTGGGTAGATTGGGGCTTCGGGCCTTCCTCATGCTGTTGAAGTTTAACTCTGTATTTTTAGATCATTGAAATGTTTCTTTTTAAAGTTCATAGATATGGCACACCGATGATTCGTTGATGTAGTGCGAGGATTGTTATATCTCAACACAGGCATAGTTCAATGCCAGTACATGTAGGTCCGTGTAGTTCTAGTCGTAAAAATATCAAACAAGTGCAGGGAAGCCAGGCAATCCTTACTACACTAGTGGCACTGACATCGGGCTTGCTGGTACAAATTATGATTTTCTAAATACGCTAAATTTGGGTAGTTGAGGGTGGCATCGATCTAAGTAGCACAAATTTGTCAATGGGCGCCGTCGGGACCTACGATGGGTGAGATTCGAGTTCTAGAATATTGTGTCTTCTATGATATTTTGATCGCAGGTATGAGTAAATAATAAGAAGGATAAATCGCCGAATGGTAATCAAAGCAAAATCAGAAGATATGTGGTACGGATTGGAGATTTGACGGGGAAAAAAAGAAGGATAAAAAAAACTCCGTATAGGGGAATCGAACCCCTGGCTGTCGTGACCTTCACGTGTTAAGATGAAAGACGACGATGTTAGCCACTACACCAATACGGATTAGCTGATGAAATACAGCCTTAATGAGCTATATCAAGCTCAGTCCTATTACTTTCACTCCTCCAGACACGCGCAACACCTACCACTTTCAGCGTGATAAGGATTTTCATTAGAAGTTATCAATTTGTCTTAAATGGATTGATCAAAATTTTTGCATAAGGAAGTAATTCAAAGTTGAAATAATAAAATAAAAAATAATAAAAATCTCCGTATAGGGGAATCGAACCCCTGGCTGTCGTGACCTTCACGTGTTAAGATGAAAGACGACGATGTTAGCCACTACACCAATACGGATTAGCTAATGTACTAATTTTCGTATTATGTCCTATACCCTAAAAAATATTGTCCAATTGCAATTTTTCCATATCAACACGCCGAGTAGCTATGCACGCATGTAAGGAAAGTTGCAATATCATAAGAGACGTTTATTATATTAAGATTTGGAAGGAGTGAAAGGATGCTTATTAACAGATATAACCATCTTCAAGGTCCCACGGGTCCATAGAATGTATCTACAACCAGAGTATTATGATTCACAAGCTTTTGAGTAATGTTGAGAAAGCATCATAATCACTCGTGCTTCACTTCCTCACCGGCCCTCGGTGTGGTTGAGAAAGTTGGTGATTATTCTGACGTTGTCAGATTTTCCTTTTTTCCGCCTGCTGATTATATATTTTCAGCTTATCTCATCTAGAGCTAAGATTTACTTAACATTTTCTTTATCTGAAAGATACAATATATATAGTACCCACTGAAAGCGAACCAAAACTCTTACCTACAGGCCATAGGTAAGATTTGATCTGAGTAGAGGGTAAATTTAGTATATAGAGTTGAAAATGGATAAGTAGAATAGTATGTATTGTCGACAAGGAGAAGGCATTGAATACAGAAGTTGCACGATTGGCTGAACGATGGGCATGTGAGGGGAGGAATCCATAGGGAAGCGTGATGAGCCAGGAGAATATTTCGCCCCGTCTGGAACATGGTGGTAACTGAGGGAGAAAGCAGCGCAGATTGCACTCAGGCGGGTGTGGGGTTCGCAGAGATGACAAGTCCCGCGGGGCACAAAGCGATGGCGGAGCTCGATGATGCTGTATTCTAATCGCTCGGCACCCTCAAAGGCTGAGGAAGGAACATGGCTCTTGAAATAGACGTCAAATGTTTTGACACAGCTCAATCGACTCGTAATTGCCAATATATTTTCTCGGATAGCATGAGACTTGCCAGAGGAAGGGGGCGGTAATACATGCATTATCGGGAAAGCGAAACCTTCATGTGGGTCAGGGAAGAATCTACGAACAAAATTCCTAAAATTCCTCGGAGCTGAGATGGCGATGTGCCGAGTTATTATCCACGATAGATTGATTAGGCTCCAATCACCAGATGTTTCCCAATATAGGCGAGAGGACAAGATTATGCCGAATTAACAAGGAGACCCGATTCCCCATTCATTTTTCTCTCTTATTCACATAGCGCTGCTAGCATGAGTAAAAACCTGATTTTGGGTCAGTTCAACCCATCATCTCTGCCAATCGATTATGGATCTAAAAGGGATTTCGGGTCCCAGGATGCCGGTGATAACAAGGGTTGGGATTTCGTAAATCTCCGAAATCGGATGCGCGATATACCGTGGTAAAATTTTGCGGTCATCGCGAAAGCAGGAAGCGCCATTGCGTTGACCTCGTAAATTCTCGCGTACTGAGCACTCCTGGTTGACATGATTTACCGCCGAGACAGACTGATTATTAAACCAAGCCATGTGCTCTGGCCTCGGACACTTCCGTTCCAAATTGAGGCGAGCGGCCTTAATCTCAACATCAACAAGGCTTTCAGCGCTAGTGTGTTGGCCTCAAGGCAGATACACGGCGGGGTCATTGGGTCATTGTTCGGAGATTAGGGCGAATACGCTTGAGTGTGCGGGTTAAAGTCTTCATAAAGTTATAATCTAATGGACAGCAGGAGCCGATTCACAACGGAAAAGAAAGCACATGGAGTTGTTTTGTGCTTGAGGTTCTATTGGAAAAGGGACCACAAGCTATAGCCCAGTGCCGTGAGGCATTGAGCTCAGTATTATCAGGAAGTGTATAAGATAATTAGCTGTAATAAACTGTATTTCTGATATAAATTGAATTTATTTTGTACAGATTGATATGCGTGCTTACTTCCAAGATTCCGTGAAAGTATAACCAAAGGATGAAAATCAATATAGAGCAGACTGGCGAATGGCTAGCCGAATATTCTCCTATCGAGGAGCTGAAACAAGCCAGTAGCCGAGCATATTGAGGTATTCGGCTAGAATAGAACTAAATTGAAAATAATCATTGCCCTTGCTCAGTGAAGATGGGAATGTGATGTGACTATAGGATACAACTTTATCCAGGAATACACGAAAATGGACGACCAGGGCGAAGATTCCACGAGCCCACCAATCCAAGTAGTGAATGACCTGAGACAAAAATTTATGACCACATACAAAATTTGACTGATCGTTAATTCTTGCCAGCTTTATGCACCTGTGAGTTCCAGAAGAGTCCCTCTTTGAAAGCAAATCTAATTTACAGGACACAACATGAGTCATATATCTCAATTGAGATATCAGTAAATCTCCACACCTTGAGGTTGATAATGAAAAACATTGGGTCCATTCTGCTACTATCTTCGAAATTGCTGCTTGAAGGGTATTAATATAAGAGTCTAATGTCGTAGAAAGGTCTGATTGGATGAATGATTATTGTTGCTTTACGATTAGAAGCAGAGCACGGAACAGAAATAACATATTGCAAAATTTCGCACAACGCCACATCCACTTAAGCGCCAATTCTCCATATTAAGTTCTTCAAGTATCCACGCAATCGAGGTATAATAGGCCCAGTCTTGGCCTGCTGCACTTGAGACACACAGTGAAGATATTCTCAGCGAAAACGACGTGGAAATAAACAGGATGAGCTGACGAGAATGGCAACTCTCGAATCATTGTATTTTCATGCAGATTCGGGACCGACGACTACTGCGGACATAACGTACGGTGGTGATCCTTCACCACGAGTTCCCTTCATGGCTATCACTAATCATAGTGCCATAGATTATATTACAATTCAACCAAGCATCCGATATGGTGTAAATGGAGGTGATGATGGCGATGGAACGGCGACGATGTGACGTGCCCTTAGGATCGAAAACCGTGGTGTTTCTACCTGGCCGCCGTGGCCAATCACGCGCGGCGCTCCTGGAAGGGAACTATGAGCGGTCCCAAACAGCTGTCATAAATGGGATTTAAAAGGCTGCATTCGCCCTTGAGGAGCGATTAGTAACCCACCTCACCTTCTCTACCCATACCTGTTCTTTCTGAAGTGGTCAACTGCAAAATATGAGATGTTCCTTGATTGAAATCTGTTTATTCAAAACCCTGACCATACAGTCACGGCTGATCTGTCGAAGCCGACGAGAGACAAAATGCGGAATATTTGAAATACCTTTCGAAACTAGCTGTGCTCTCACGTTACCGATGGCCTTATAGCTACGACTAGATACTGCTAGCTTCAATTGAGCTACGTCATAGTAGGAGGCCTATTATTAGCCCCCAAATCTTCTAGGCGGACTTCCCATTTCATTAGGATTCCTAGCGGGTAGAAACCCCACGGGAAATAGACATACCACGATGATTCTGTGTTCCTTGAATTACTAAGAAATACTCTGTTTTGTTTTTGTTTTTGTAGGATTCTTCCAGCATGGTGGCTCTTACGACTGCTCTGGACAGTTATCATACTGAGGTCGCAGTACTGTGTTTCCTAAGCCTTGAAGCTGATCTCTTTCTAGCCGATGAATAAACGGAGAGAAAAAATGCCTACGCATGAGCTTCATATTCAGGTTCACATAAAATGTACGGAGTAAACAAAGCAGGTCAGGATATTCCCTCGAACACTACGGCATTAGTGCTTCGCCCCCCGTGCAACTTGAGGGTAGATTCAGCCGACCACAGGTCTCGAGGTTCGGGGTTTGCCGTTATATTTTCACAATGAGAAAGTGGGCTTTCAGTCGAATCCTGCACACCACGGAGAAATTCTCGCCTCAAGGACTGACTATTGTTTTGGTGGCGGTGGCTTGCCGCTAATTTCTTTGTTTCCCTGTTTCCCTATTTCCCTGTATGACCGAGAACTTCCCGATATCTACTCTGCCTTTGGCCGATACTTCTACAATCCGATTTCGAACGGGTGAGGTTTTTCAAGCTTTAGCGACAATTGCGCATTCTTGACTCGTAGGGACTGGATCGAAATTGCGATCGATCTGCAGAGAACCATGTCTCCACACTGTGTGTCTGGATTCCGCCACCAGATAAAATAGGCGATGGGTGGGGCTTTCTAACGCTTTTGTCCTCGCTTGAGCTGATTACTGTATACCAACCCAGCTGTAGCCGGATGGTTTGTCAACCATCCCCTTTAGTAGTAGTCGAACCTCCTAGATCCAGTTCGGAGCGCCCGACGGAACCTCACGAGGCTCTTGGACCCGAGCGCTCTCTTCCCATCTCCACTTGCAAGCGGGATCCATATAACCCCAATGTTCCAAATCTGAGTCCACTGAACGAAATCTTCTAGGGATTGCCGCTCTTTCAATTGATGTTTACTCATATCCCTCGATATTCACTCTTTTATATCGATCTTCATCCTTCATCCTTCGACTTCGTTCGGCGATACCATTCTTTAATATCGACCGAGGGCCCATTCGCCCTGTTCTCTCCCTTACAATGAAGCTATCTACAGGCCACAAATGGACTCTTCTGTGTGCTTTGGCCCCAGTCAGTTTGGCATCCACTCTCCACCTCCCGGTACCTGCGGCCACTGCGACTGAGAGCGTGTCGTTGTCCACAGTCACGTCGTCCTATGCCAGCACCGTGACGAACGTTGTTCCAGTTACCTACTCAAATGTCATCACGACGACTACTTGTACTGCTAGTGCAAGCTCTCTTGGCTCTGGTAACCAGTGCTCGGACTATGTGTGGTCCTCAGGTGGCACATACTATCAAGAACGATGTGACTCGACCGTTACTGGAAACCCTCTAGCTACCAGAGCCGTTATGAACGTTTACTCACGCCAGGCCAATATCAATAGCTGCTGGGTCTACTGTCATATCTTCAGTGGACTGTGCAATAATGTCGCTTACAACCCTGCATCAAGCTCCTGTGCCTACCTCTGGAACACAAACGCGCAGTTTGTTTCGGCTTCAGGCTATCAAGCCATCGCGTCCTTTACCACCAACCCTTGCACAATCACCACCACCGACGTTGAAACAAGTTATATGACACAATATTCCACCACTGAAGTTATGACCACCTATACGGTGACTGTCTCAGTCTCATCAACCCCGACCTCAACGCCGTCTGTCGCCACCCCAAGTGCCTCCATCCATTCCTCTTCCATTCCTTTATCTGTTACGGCGAGTTTGAGCTCAACCCCAAGCATCATCACGCCCTCCAGTTCTCATGTTGTGGTAAGCCCCAGCTCCGTGATGCACAGTCCATCAAGCGTCTCACCCCAGTCCCGTGCATCGTCATCCGCGGGCATTGTGTCCGTTCCTCAGACACGGTCGCAAACTCATGTGCGATCTGCCGTACCAAGCTCGAGCATAAGCCCACTACACTCGCAAGCTATCCCAAGCTCTGTAGCTGGCTCGGCTATCCGCTCTTCGACTCCATATCGCTCTTCGTTGGCTTCAGTTGCTAAGAACACACCGACATCAACACCTCTTCTGCCATCTTCTCGGGTCCATACCGGCCATCCTTACCCTAGCAGCGGCCCTCACTTCGGCAATGGTCCTCATTCTGGCAACGGTCCTCATTCTGGCAGCGGTCCTCATTCTGGCAATGGTCCTCATTCTGGCAACGGTCCTCATTCTGGCAGCGGTCCTCATTCTGGCAATGGTCCTCATTCTGGCAACGGTCCTCATTCTGGCAGCGGTCCTCATTCTGGCAATGGTAACGGTGCTCAGGCTGGTAACGGTTCTCACTCTGGGAGCGGCCATCCTTCTAGCAATGGCCATCCTTCTGGCAATAATAACGGCAACGGCTCTCAGCCTGGCAAGGGCTCTAATAGTGGCAATGGTGGTACCGAACACAGCGGCGGCTCCCCGACTCAAGAGAAATCCACCACCTCTACGATTCTCTCCACCAGAACTGCGACTATCACAGCTTGTCCCTCTACTGTGACGAACTGCCCGGTCTCGGCCAAGACTACATTTGTCACCACAGAGACCCTGGTTGTCTCGACGACCGTTTGCCCTGTTACTGAAGAATCGCATGCGACAACCACTGCTGCCCCTGAAGGCAATAGTGGTGCAGCACAGAGCAGCCAGTCTTCGCAAGAAGAGCTGACTACTTCTACCATTCTTTCAACCAGAACCGCAACTATCACAGCTTGCCCCTCCAGCATAACCGACTGCCCTGCTTCCAAGAAAAGCACTTATGTCACAACGGAGACTATCGTGGTTTCTACCACTGTTTGCCCTGTAGCAGAGCTTGCAGCCGCTACCTCGATAGATAATTCAAACTACCCTGGTGCTAGTTCAACTTCTACCACCATTGATGTTGAAACCAGCAATACAGTCGAATATTACACCTCCTCGTCAGCTTTCAGCACACGGATTTCCACTGTCACTGCTTGTCCATCGGCAATGGCTTCTTGTGAGGCATCCGCACAGACTGTTTATGTCACTACTGAGACCTTCCTTGTCTCTCCTACCAGCGTGCCCAATGGTGTTGAGGCCGTAGGAAAGTTGCCGACAAACACTGCATCGACTACCTTGATTGCATCTAGCTCTCAGGACGTTGGCGCAGTTGAGATCAACACAGCTGGCTCCATTTCCAACCATGGATCACTCATAGTTGAATCTAATTCTAGCATTGAGACTGCGGGTATTACTACTGAGATATCAGATTCATCTTCTATTTCTCAAAGTGTCCCCGTCAATTCGTTTAGCAGTTCATCTTCGCCAGTTCGCCCCGGAAGCACCAAACCTGCTGCTCACTATTCTGGCTTGCACACTTCAGTCGCACCATTGAAGACCTCCTCGAGCTTCATTCCCAGCGCAAGCATGACCACCGATGCTGCAGGCGCACTGTTTACCGGCGCGGCTGATATGAACCGGTGGTCGATTACTCACTTTATAGGAGTTGCTGTGCTAATGATGGCGGCTGTCCTTCTGTGATTATAATCTGATTTATCCACATATATAAACTTCATTCATAGACCCTGCCTTAATAAAATCTTTCTCTTCATTATTCTATTCCTTTCAAAAAACAGAACAAATTGCCAGGGAAAACTAAGCCCTCCAGGGTTCTCAAAATACGAGTCTAGTAAGTAGTCCTTGAATAGACTTTACTATTATTAAATGATTCACTCCGTGGATGAAAACTAAAATTATAACAAGAGGAAATTCATCGATGGATATATGCCTCACGAGGTATCTACATAGATCATACGAATCCTATATCCCTTAGGAATGGAAACGATAGATCGGCACGAATCCCTAAATCCTTACCTTATTCCCATAAGTATCAGGACTGTCTGAAAATATCATAAGCAACAACGTCGCCTGTGTTGCATACGACCATTGAATAGGTTACTACTCTGTTACTCTTTCTATTTTAGAATGAATTACGACGGTGGCGGGTTGGTTGGCGGCGGGATAATATTCTTAAACTTTTGATAGTACTGGTTGTTATCGAGGGTTTTGCCATGGATGCGATGTTTATATATAGATTGAAACTGATATATAATGTCAACAACTCTTCAACTAACCAACAACACTAACTACCACAACACGGATTTAGTTATCAGAGCTGTAGCCCTTACCATAATATAGTGAGCCTAGAAAAAGGAAGTCGCGATCAGGATCTAAACCGAGGATATTAAAGCAATTATACAGGCGCCAAAAATGGCAAGATATAGGAACGCTAGTCCAGGTAAGGGGTAACGAGCGCTAGAATTCAAGGTAAGTAGACAAGACCATAGTAGAGAAGCTTTAAGTCGTTGATCCAGACTTTGGATCGCCCAAGAAACAAACACTGTTGTAGGTAATGTCCTATTTTGTGGAAATAAGGCACAATGATGTACCTATAGGTGACCGGGGGATACAACAAATCAGAAGTCGTGCGAAGAACCAAAATTGTGTATCCCGGGGCTTAGTCACCCGGGCTAATAGTAAAAATGGGTCACTGGTAGCGAGATGCATGTATACCCAACAGGATACTATGAAAAGGCGAGAAAGATTGGAAATCCTGAAATCTACCTACCCAAGTGCGTTGGTTTTGCTGATGTTTTAGTCATAATGTCATATATGAAATCACACTTCATCCAAGAATCCGATATGGTGTAATTCGGGGTGACGGCGAAATGGCCTCGATTTGTCGTGGCCTTTTTGAACAAAAACGGTGGCGAGTTAACCTAGGTGAGGCATAACCGCTGATCCACTTGGGGAACCATCGTAGTATGTTGAGGTCAGGTCCGACCGCTAAATTCAGTTTAGCCTCGATGCACGCTATGGCCTTTATATCGCAGCGGCTCTATTATAAGTTGTCAATATAGTAGGATATAGTATGGACTAGTAAAAGATAGGATCTAATAGTATCGTGATCTGAATGTGATGATGTCTAAATAATCAAGTTCTCCTAGTGAGCAGGATTGAATATCTCCTACCTCTATGACTAGCGTGTTGCGACGCTGGACTCTAGGTGTACCCGAGATACTATATAAAACCTATAGGGAATCGAGTATCCTTATATTCGTTGAACATATATTAGAATATATTGGTTCTCGTGGTATTATTGCTACCTTTCCTCCTGACATAAGTCGCTTTTAAAGAGGTGATCTTACTCTTTCAAGTTATCTCCGATCAGGCTTTAAAATAGTCCAAACCTTCTTACTAATTCCGAAGGTGTTAAAACCTGCTAATTGGATATAGGGGTTAGAATCCATAATGAGTTGGAATATATAATTTGATTCCCACTGTCATTCTGCTAATAAGATGTGTCGAACTAAAATGACCGCTAGACCACAAAAAGTGTGAACACACTTTTTGTGCCTATACGGTGTGATACAGTATTCTTTCTGATTGACAACATGTATAGAGGCCTAGGTCTATAGAAGCTGGCTCCGTAGAACAGGTCAAGGTAAAGCTCCATGGACACAATGCAGCCTGAATCGTACCGTGATGTTTATTGTGCGCTCCTTATAGTGAAAGCACAGGCTGTTCCTAACGCCATCCCAAGCAGATAGCATGTCAAATTCAAAAGTAAATAGCAATTTGCTGTACAAAAACATGTAATCACACACGCGCATTCTCAGAACTTCTTCACTTCAACAGGCACCTCGGTTGGTTACAGCATATGGCACCACATCGCCATGCTCCTAAGTCCATATATCACCACTACCTCAGTATCATCTCCTTCTCCGATGTGCCAGCGAGGCAGGCCTCGCTTTATTTGATTCGTTTCCGTATCGTAAAATTGCGGCCGCGTAAGTTTTCGGCGAGCGTTAGGGATGGCGTTCCTGACACCTAAAGTCTTTCTTATGCTAATCATTTCGCCGGATACTTTCAGCGTGTCGATTTTCGGATCTCCCTTAGCTTAGTTCTTGGAATCGGAGTCGGCTTTGACTTGACGGAACCGGTGGAGGACACCGGTTTGAATCATACATGTTGCCATGTAATAAATAGCTTGCGAGTTCGACACGGCCGTGTCGTAGTCCGTCAGTTGGTTCTGGCTCATATTTGTCCGAGCCCCCATGGAACAGGCAACTGTGTTCTGCCGAAGATAAACCTCTTCATTCAGCTTTGCTTTTTGTCTAGTTCACACCAAGTCGGACAAGATGCAAGCGTGAAACAAAATTATGGACGTTTGGGAACGAGAAGGCAAGAACAGGTACAGTCTGAACACGTTGAATATAGAGCGACCGATACTGACTGCTCTGGCCGGCTTTCCTGTGGACTGACGGTGCTCAATGTGGCCAATGCAGACCGTGTTGATCTGTGTCCGGTGATGAAGTAAGATTGAACAAGAAAGCGAAGGCCAGTACACACTGAAATGGAAGAAACGGCTTTGAATGCTCTAGAAGAGAGGATATGTGATCATAGTTAGCTATGTAACGATCGTGGCCAAACTGCAGGATGTACTCGCCTTTATGTGATTCTTTTCCAGATTCCCAGGCCCGACCCAACCACCCAACCACCGAGCACCGGGATTTTCTTTTCTTTTCTTTTTCTTTTTTAGTGTTAATAAATATAGCGAAAAAAAGCGAAAGAAAGGGGGGGGAAGCAATATATCGCGAGGCGCTGAGCAACAAATCGCTTTTGAGCCTTCATCGAACTTGATCAGCCGAGAAACAGGCCCCTATGGCTCCTGCAACCGCCGTCACAAGCGAGCGGCGATGTCCACCGGAATGCAGGCCCCTATGGCTCCTGCAATCGCCTTAATCGCAAGCCCAATTGAGTGGTTGCTCACACTCAACGAACTCATTCAAGATAGCAGCATCAACTCCACCAACTCTTCTGCCCTTGAATCACTCCATGGCCGTCTGCGAGCTATCGGAGCTATCAGCGGGATGTTTAGAGGCTGGCCGCGTTCAGCTCGCTCCCTCTTCCGCTCTTTGCTTCTCCGCTCGAGCACGGCCATGCCGCTGAAAGCCGCCGATGCCCACGAAGGGGGCGCGGGATTGTTGAAAAAGCGTTTCAGCGCTTGGGAAAGACGAAAAGAATTAAATGGCATATTTAACGATTCAAATTCTTGAGGAGAGAAAGAAGAGAGGCTTCATGGGTTGAGGATCTGTGTTTTATCTCTTCCAAAATATCTATAGGGCAGGCGCGGCGTTCAACTTCTAAGAAGGTAGGTAGAAGGCATGGCCGGTTGCGCTCTCTACAAGGACATGATTAGGTCTCAATTAAAATAGTTCCCAAGCTTCTGTGTAGGCCCCAGATCCGAGGACGAAAAATCAATATGATAATTCTTAAGCCGACGATAAACTCGTAGTAACTAATGAACTGGGGGAGGCTCAAGACCAGATCTGCTAGAGGGGAAGAGGTCGATAGGATCATCAAATCAACCACCAAACCACCACACACCACTACTCAATGCAGGACCTCTCAGTAAGGAAACCGGAATTCGAATATCAAAAAGGGGAGGATGAGAAGTTGATTTCTATCTGTCTGGCCAGCAGAGACTATATCTATAGCGACCGTGCCCAATTTCATCCACACCAATCAGAGCGTTCCCGAGTTAGTAGATTCCCTATTACACTAGTTATGTATCAGGTAATATTACAAGAATATAGCCTAGTCAGCCCTAGGTTCAAATCAAATAAAGACTCCCCAAGCGGACTATTTCATGACATAAATAGCCACTCTATAGCGAAGGGAGGCTTAGAACCAAGCAAAATAAAAGATGACGACTAACATCATAGGCCATTAGCAAGTTTAGAGCGCTAGCCAGCGGTGGTGTGCTTAAGAATTAGATATAAGCAATTCCGATTATTTAGGATTAAGGGAAAAAAATTGTATACTATTTCTTCCGTATTTCTCTTTGATATAATAACGCGGAAGTCCAAATTCAAAATTGTATAAATCAAACAAGCAATAAAGCTATTCCTAGCACGAATTTCGCCTCTTAGGAATGACGGAAGATAGTAAAAGCAATTAAAAATATTGATCCTAGAAGGCCGGTCAAGCTAGTATCAACATCTCTTTAAGACAGATGAGGAGAGAGATTAGATTTCTCTTGCGACTTCGGCGTATATTTCCGATCTTGAGAGAGTTTTAACTGGGCCATATCATCTTCGAGGATATCTAGTCTTTGAAAACACTCTTCAGACACAGTCTGAGCTTTTGCACTAACGAAAATACCCAAAACACAGGCGAGAAGTGCTCCATCATGAAACAAGGCTCGTGCTGGAGAGGGAGGCATTCTGAAAATAGTGATAAGATAAAGTAGTCTCTTAAAGCTTCAGTAAATATGAAGTGAGCGCGGAGCATTAAAGAGGAGTGAGGGAGGAGGAGAAGGAAAGAGATGATCGGGGGTAGGAGTGACAAAAGGAATAGAAATATTTTGTTTAGGTAATCGATGATTGAACGGTCGAATCACTACTTAACTAAAAGGCGTACTAGGCTAAGTTTGTAAGCGGGTCAGCTACTTCGGGAATTTTCTACTTTAAACTTACTAGCTGTGTCTCCGCCTACCCCCACTCAGACCGTCACCCACAGTCAAACCGTCATTTTTTCCTATTTCTCCTATCTACCGCTGCATCCCACTAGTATCTATGAAGAAAACCTGCCCGTTCTGACGTGCTTCCTCTGCTCTATCTAATGATGCCTGGGATTCCTGTGTAAGTTCTGGTGGTGGTGATATTCCATGCGCTTTCTTCCACTGCTTCCTCACCCGCTTCCGCTCTGCCTCCGCTTCCTTCTCGTTTCTTTTAGCAATAGAACGATTTGCATCTCTAATAGAGAGTACCCCTGTTTTGCTAAGCGGGTGTTTTAACCTGGCGCTTAGTGATTAGGCGCTGTAGTGGTTGTTGAGCTTCCCTAATCTTGCGAATAGTATCGTTCGCTAGATTTAGGTTCTCTATAGCAATCTTGTTATGATGAAATAGGCGATCAAGATTACGTTGCTACCTTGGTATAAGATCTTCTTGTTGATATCTAGTAATCTTCTTTTGATTCTTCTCTAGATCCTGTATAGATCTAGGTGGCGATTAGTCGATACTAGAAGAAGATATAGTAGTTTGCGGTGGCGGCGAAGGTGTTGAATAAAGCGTTGAATGATGAGAAGTTGATTTCTATCTGTCTGGCCAGCAGAGACTATATCTATAGCGACCGTGCCCAATCTCATAGTTATATATTAGGTAATATTACAAAAATATAGCCTAGTCAACCCTAGGTTCAAATTAAATAAAGTCTCCCCAAGTGGACTATTTTATGAACATAAATAGCTACTCTATAGCGAAGGGAGGCTTAGAACTAAGCAAAATGAAAGTGTTAGAGAATAACTACTTGTACAGGGTAGAAAGCCTGTCGACTAGGTAGGAAGATAAACGTCAAGTAAGGAAAGCAAAACACTGTTTCTTGCTATCATGGATCTCTCCATAATCCTCAATTTATGTACAAGCTTCAACACTTTTCCCACATAACCAAGCAAAGACGATGGATCACATTATAACATGCGGTCTGACGTGGCCCCTATGTGTCATAGATAAGCAAAGGCTACAGAGAAGAGGGGTCCACGAATCCCTAATGGAAGGGCACCGAACCCTTAGGGTCTTGTAGGTCATGCATCCTTGTTGGGGAGACGTAGGGCTGTCATGCCGAAGCCTGACCGATAAGGTGTCGAGTTGACACCTGAGGCGTGAAGTTGGGAATAGCTTCATGTTGTAATATCATATGACAGAAAGATAGCGACTAATATCATAGGCTATTAGCAAGTTTACAGCGCTAGCCAGCGGTGGTGTGCTCAAGAATTGGATACGAGCAATTCCGATTGTTTAGGATTAAGGGAAAAAATTGCATACTATCTCTTCTGTGTTTCTCTTTGATATAATAACGCGGAAGTCCAAATTCAAAACTGCAAAATCAAACAAGCAATATAGCTACGCTAGCGGACGAGATCCGCTCCTTGAAAATAACGTAAACATAGTAAAAACAAATAAAAATATTGATCCCATATCAATATCTCTCTAAGACAGATAAAGAGAGGAATAAGATTTTTCTTGCGACTTCGGCGTATATTTTCCATCTTGAGAGAGCTTCAACTGGGCCATATCATCTTCGAGAATATCTAGTCTTCGAAAATACTCGTCAGACAATCTCTGAGATTTTGCAGAATAAAAATAACCGTAAACACAGGCGAAAAGTGCCGCATTACGAAACAACGCTCGTGGAGAAGGAGGCATTCTGAAAATAGCGATATAATAAAGTAGTCTCTTAAAGCTTCAGATATAAGAAGTGAGCGCGGAATATAGAGGAGTAAGGGAGGTAGAGAAATAAAGAGATAGTCGGGGATAGAGGTAATAAAAGGGACAGAAATATTTTATTCAGGTGATAGATGATTAAGAGGTCGAATCAAAGCTTAAAAGAGGTACTAGGCTAAGTTTGTGAGCGGGTCAGCTACTTCGGGAATTTTGTACTCTAAGGTTACTAGCAGTGTCTCCGCCCACCTACACCGCTGCCGCATTGAATAGGAAGGTAACGTGTTTGTTAGGGAATAACTACTTGTACAAGGTAGAAAGCTTGTCGACTAGGTAGGAAGATAAACGTCAAATAAGGAAAGCAAAACACTGTTTCTTGCTATCATGGATCTCTCCCGGATCTCTTCATAATCCTCAATTTATGTACAAGCTTCAACACTTTCCCACATGACCAAAACAAAGACGATGGATCACATTACAACATGCGGTCTGACGTGGCCCACATGTAATCAGAGGTAAGCAAAGGCTACAGGGAAGAGGGGTTCACGAATCCCTAATGGAAGGGCACCGAACCCTCAGGGCCTTGTAGGTCATGCATCCATGTTGGGGAGAAGTGGGGCTGTCATAACGAAGCCTGACCGATAAGGTGTCGAACTGACACCTGAGGCGTGAAGTTGGGAATAGCTTCATGTTGCAATATCATATGACAATATCCGAGTCAACATATGAGCATTCGATTCAGGTCGAATTATCCGCTATTCTATACGATAATCTACGCTTTCTTAATTTCATACAATAGAAGTCAGAATTAAGGCCTGTCTCAAAGAAATACTGATTCTGAAGCAGTTTTCTAATAGAATAGTGCTCCAGACTACCGAAAAAGTATGATATAACTCGACCTCCCTTAGATTGCTCAGTCTTGAAGATATCCGTACCTATCATCATTTTATCAACTCTCGCTGATCAAACTATGTTCCTCCGTATAACGATATAAAGGTGACCGGCTAGGTCTCTCAACACGCTCGCGCTCGATTTGTGCCCGATAGTGCAGAGGGCCGCAGATAGCCTCGCGGTGCGCGCTGGCAACACAGGAGGTGGCGGAACTCGGCGATCCGGATCAATAGCAAAAGTGCCTCAACTGTGAGGCGCGGGCGAAAAATGGCGAGAGGTGCAGGGGGTGGGAGGGAAATTATGTAGAACGACGCACGGCAGAGCATCGGAGATAACGTGACGCGAGACGGCAAGGTTCATAAATTAATTTACAATAACTCAGTTTATATAACATTCCGATATGGTGTAGTGGCTAACATCGCCGTCTCTCACACGGCAGCCGGGGGTTCGATTCCCCCTATCGGAGTTTTCTTTTTTGTCTTTTTCTATTCAGGATCAGCTTGAGACTCACTATTATGACGTCTTTCGTGAGTTCTTCTTGTAAACCAGCTTCGGTATATCAGTCGTTTATATTATGACGACTTATCTCCTATAAATATGGCTTGGCTCTAAAGGAACATATCAAATCCGAGAAAAGTCCATTGAGATAGATCTCTCACGAACTTTAACCAACTTGTTGATCACTGGACGGAGGATTCCTGAATATTTTTTCTCGGACTCGACATTTTCAACCATTTATGGATGCTCCTGATGAATGATACAAAAGAACTCAGTTTTATACATATTTGTATTCGTCTACGGGTAATGCGGTTCGGGAACAAAAGATTCATGATCCTGAAAAGAAAAAGACAAAAAAGAAAACTCCGATAGGGGGAATCGAACCCCCGGCTGCCGTGTGAGAGACGGCGATGTTAGCCACTACACCATATCGGATTCTTGGATGAAGTTTGATTTCATATATGACATTATGATTAAAACAATAGTCCAGCATATGTTCCTATGCTTGGCATTGCATTGTTCTGTATAACTTCGTTCCCACTCTTATCCTTCTCGCTAGTTTTCGCCCGCTCGCTTGTCAGCTCCACTCTCGAGACATTTTTTTTGCAAATGATTCGGATCCCAAAGCTCCCCACTCCTCCTCCATCTCTATCTCCTTAGTGACATGTCAAATTTCTCTACAACTTGACCCTGTTTCGGTAGTACATAGTGTAGTGGGGAAACAGCCTGTATGGAATCCTTCACCGCTCTCTCATTTTGAACGGGCGTTGAACTGTCGATAGCTTCTTCTGGGCTCTTCTTGTCTGGTAATTTGTGTACGTCGAACGAGACCCACGGACTAGAGAAAGTGTGAAAGGAGCGTTCCGTGAAGGCAGGCACTCCTCGCTCAACAGATGATAAGATGCACAAGAGGTCGAAGTATTGATCTGTATTCAGATATTTTCAAGTCGCCAGACCAGTCGCTAGATTCGCAACGTCGGTTGAGCAAAGAGCTGAGGGCTAGGTGATGAAAATGAATTAATTAGGGACAAAGGGGACAGTCCAGGGAGACTGGAATAGGGTGGGATGAGAGCATAGAAGTATGTCTGCTTTCATATTTGATCTCTGCTAAGCTCTTATACCCTGCCAGAATAACTGGTATTTCTATAAACCATTCTAGCAAACAGTCCCTGGTACATGTAAGTATTGTAGATGGGTTTGCCTCGCCAGGGTAGAAAGCTCCAGAGAATATCAAAATATACCACCTGGCATGCCTGATGAGAGACATAACTGAATGAAGTGGCAGCCTTTTTTGGGATAAATGGTGCAAGCTTGCCTCGAGAAGGGCATCCTCGCATAAGGAAAAGGCAAAGGAAGCCGAAGGCCGCCATTCGTTACCCTTGAGTACTATGGGTTGTTGACCTTCGTGGCCATCCAGTTTGGCTCCAATGAATATCTGGTTTCTTTGAACCTTACAAAGCTCGGAATGAGAACACCATCAAATGAGGGTAGAATTTGGCATTTTATGGCCTCTAATTCTACCTAAATTATCGCATCTGGGATTTTGCTGAGGAAACGAGTAATACCAAAGGTAGATCGATCCTGCATCAACCACCATGAGCCCCACCCTTCACAATCCAGTCTCCGTCCATCGTCCAAATTCTGACTATGTCCAGTCTCTGGTTCTCTGCTGCGTTTACATTTATTTCCTTCCAGTGTGTCCCGGTCTTACGTGCTATGAGATCATGTGGTAGCTTGTTCCCTAGCCCTGTTTTGTTGTCGGGCCAGGGAAAGCATGCGTTAGGCTTGTTCAGGTAAGCCTTCCACCGCCGTTGGCATCGGGTGATTCCTGGCTCTGCGACGAAAGAACACCCGCTTGGCCCACTTCCAGGCTTCGACGCCGATGAAGAACAGCACAGCCTCGACGGCCACGATGGCCCATTCCCAGGTGATGGGCTTGTGCTTGAAGACGACGTCGTTGAGCACGGGGATGTAAAGGATAGGGAACGTGGTAATCCACCCGGCCATGATGGACCAGAAGAGGAACTTGTTGCGCCAAACATCGTGAATCCACTGGGTGAAGTATTTCTTGGATTTCGGTTGCATACGGAAGAATGAGCGGCGCATGTTCACCATCTCCCAGGCCAGAAAAAGCGCGAACCACGTCAGACACACGAAGGTGGTGGCGCGTGCTCGGAAGACAAGTTCACAGTCCTGAATCTCTTCAGACCATTCTTTGTTGCAGCCACGAGCCAGGTTGCCATCTCCGAATCCCCACACGCGGATCGAGAAGGCTGACAGGCAGAGTGCTGCGGTCCATAGGCCATACACCAGGATGTCGACTATCACCTCCCAGGTGAAGATGCCTTGCTTGCTCTGGGGAGGACGATTCATAATGTCCGGGGCAGCCACTTCCATACCAAGACCCATGTCCGGCATACCGGATGTAATCATGATAATCCAGAGAATTTCCACGGGCGCCAGAGGGAAGACGGATTGATTATCGGCGTCTTTGAAAGCCAACCCGATAAGCAATGTACAGGCCTGAGCAATGTTCTCGGCTAACAGATGGAGCACGAATTTCTGAATGTTGTCGAAGATACGGCGACCTTCTTCAACAGCGTTCAAGATCGAGGCAAAATTATCATCCATGAGGATAATGTCTGACGCATCTTTCGCCACATCTGACCCTGCCTGTCCCATAGCAATACCTACGTCAGCATGCTTAAGCGACGGAGAATCATTCACACCATCTCCCGTCATCGCTGCAAACCGGCCGCGTCGATGAAGGGCGTCGATCATGCGCACCTTGGTCTGTGGGGCACAGCGTGCAATGACCAAAGGTAGGGTAGGAAGCGCATCTATCTGCTCATCACCAAGTCCGTCAAACTGGCTAGCAGTCATAACCATAGCGTCCGCGACATCACTCGCCACAGTGCCAAAGTCAGCAGGCAATATACCCACCTGCTGGGCAATTGCTTTCGCAGTGCCGGGGTGGTCACCAGTCACCATATGGACAACCACACCAGCCCGGTAGCAAGCCTGAATCGAGTCTGCGGTTTCAGGCCGAGGCGGATCGTACAAGCCGATCAGTCCTAGAAAGCACAGATCTTTTTCGACATCTTCACGTGCCAGAACGGAGCTTTCAAGCACTTGTGGCTGATCAGTGTACGGTCGATGGGCCAAAGCCAATACTCGAAGTCCCATCTTGGCGAGCTCTTCCATGTTCTGCAGGATTTGCTCGCGGTGGAATTCAGTCATTGGCACGGGCAGAGACGAATCGTGGTCCCAAATTACAGTGGTACACGCATCAGCAATACGCTCCACTGCCCCCTTGGTAAACACCATCGTACGATTCTCTTGCTGGGTGACTTTGTTGAAGATGACGGACATTTTCTTGACAGTGGAGTCGAATGGAAACTCAGCCTTTTGATGCCATACTACGCCCCTTCCCTTCAACCACCGGTCGCGATTCCAGTTAAACCTCGATGCAAAAACTTGGATGGCAATTTCAGTGGGCTCGCCTCTCGCTTGCCATTCACCCGCTTCGGACTTATAGACATGAGAGAGGTTAGCCATAGATGCAACATCCAAGAAGTGTTCGAGCTGGCTATTTTCCAAGACGAGACTCTCCACATTTTCTGTGGCGGGTCCTTCTTTCTCCTCATCAAACTGCAAAGGAGGAACAGGAGTGAAAGTCACATCTCCAAGAGTAGGATTAAAAGGCTCGTTGGATGCGCCGACGGAGTACGTCCCACAAGATGGAATCCATGCCTTTTTAACGACCATCTTTCCTTGAGTCAATGTGCCTGTCTTATCAGAACAAATATCTGTGACTGCACCGAGGGCTTCCAACGAATCTAATTTGCGGACGATCACATTCCGTTCCACCATGCGCTTAGTACCGACCGCCATAGTGATAGTAAGCACGACAACCAAGCATGCTGGAATCATACTAATACCAGTAGCAACGGCATACATAATGACTTCAGTATTGCTGCTGAAGAGATTTGCAGCCATGCAAACAATAGCAAATAGGACAGCAATTCCAAAAAGGAAACATGCTAATTTCGATAGTTTCCGTTGTAAGGGTGTGCCGACATTGACGCCGAGGAATCGTCCCACAGAATCCGTCCCCGTGAGAGTCCAGGCCTGGATGTACCACCGTTTCTTAGTCTCGCCACTGGAACCGCGCTTGACTGGTCGACGTTTGCTGTCGCTAGCCCGCAATGCGAGAGCAATCGAACCAATCTCGGTGGACATGCCTGTACTGACAACCACACCGCGTGCACGACCGCGAGTCACAGTACTCGAGCTATAGGCAATATTGAGACGGTCTCCGGGGCCAGTGTCCTCTTTGAATATCGAGTCACATTCCTTCTGGACGGGTAGAGACTCGCCAGTTAGGAGAGCTTCGTCGGTTTCGAAATTGACCGCTTCGACGAGTCTATGATAGTCAGCCAAACATCACCACTTCGCTCAATATAATCGATATCACAAGTATCTGAGGCAAAAGACTCACCGAATGTCCGCTGGAATGGTATCTCCCGTCCTCAGCTCAACCATATCACCGGGCACGATCTCCGCAGACGGTACCGAGAACGTGTGACCACCTCTCGAGACACTCCCCGTCGGCGACGACAAAGAATGCAACGACTCCATGGTCTTCTCCGCGGCAAACTCTTGAAAAAAACCAACAATGATGTTTAGCACGATGACAGCGCAGATCACTCCCCCTTCAATCCAGGATTGAATACCGAAACTGACCGCCATGGCCAGAATCAGCACCTGCAACGAACAAATTGGATCAGATTTCGGAAAATTCTAGAGCTCCGAAGCTATCAATTCGGAAAACATATTGGGTGCCTCACTAGCATCATTGCGTTGGCCACCTGGCGCACGAGAATCTTGACCACTGACACACCTTCCCCTTCATCGAGCTTGTTAGGTCCATATCGCTGGAGACGACGACTAGCTTCGTCGGGAGCCAGACCCTCATCCAGTTCCGTGCTAAGTTCCTTAATCACAGCTTCCCAAGTGAGCGTGTGGGCTGGCTGGCTCAGCGGGCTACCGACCGGCACGCCTTTGGGGACAATTGAAGGCCTGTCGTCCGGCATTGGGGATTTCTACTAAATGAGTAGCTCGCTGTGGCTGTGAGGATAAAAACCTTTGGACGTCTGTCTTCAGAGTGACCACTGGTTGAAGATTTGATCAGAAGCAACCCTGGGGACGAGCCGGGGGTTACTTAAGTCCCCAAGCTAGCGGCCCACTCTCGCGCCAGAGCGTTGGTAAAGACATCACAGGTTTCTGCCGTCAGTCTGGGCGATACTCCACTTCCACGGCGAACAGTTCACAGGGCGTCATAGTTGGAGGAGAGAACATTGGGGACTTGGCGCCGAGAAGCTGGGCATGATTTGAGCACTTGGCCTAGAGACGTGCGTCGATTCTTGGCAGATTATAGAAGTGGTCAAAAAGTCTTGCATGGGACAGGTCCAATAGAGGCAAAGGAGCCAAGCATATTCTCCATTTTGACTAGATCATAGCTGGAGTATACCAACTTACAAGACACCGCCAAGGACAGTTTCGATGCAATAACGTAATTCACTAGCGAGCTGGCCACCCTATTACTTACTAATACCGTCCAGACCAGAATATAATTATAACTCCATGATTAAAGTGTTGAAAGAAGAGAATAGCCCCCTTATTTGCCTAATTTAAATCCAATTAAGGTTACATAGTTTATGCTAAAACGAGAGCTATTTAAAATCTATCCAAGCCAGCCAAATCTTACTGAACGAAGAAGATATAAGCTAGATTGGAAGTTATATAGTGAGATTATAGTGTGTAAAAAGATCTTTCTCACCCTATGTATATTGATTCAATTTATCTACTAAGGCACTGATTCATCTTATGTCCTATAATATTACATCCAAAACACTATTAGTGCCTTACACCGCCCCCCCAACCCTTCCGGGTTGTGGGTGCGCCACGTATGAATTACCACCCACACATGAAATACTATTTTTTCATATTTCCCCTATCTACTACTGCATACTACTAGTATCTATAAAGAAAATATTACCTTCCTGACGTGCTTCCTCTGCTCTATCTAATGATGCCTGGGATTCCTGTGTAGGATCTGGTGGTGGTGATGTTCCATACGCTTTCTTCCACTGCTTCCTTACCCGCTTCCGCTCTGCCTCTGCTTCCTTCTTATTTCTTTTAGCAATAGAACGATTTGCATCTCTAATAGAGAGTACCCCTGTTTTGCTAAGCGGCGTTTTAACCTGGCGCTTAGTGATTGGGCGCTGTAGTGGTTGTTGAGCTTCCCTAATCTTGCGAATAGTATCGTTCGCTAGATTCAGATTCTCTATAGCAATCTTGTTATGATGAAATAACCGGTCAAGATTATGTTGCTGCCTAGGTGTAAGATCTTCTTGTTGATATCTAGCAATCTTCTTTTGATTCTTCTCTAGATCCTGTATAGATCTAGGCGGCGATTGGTCGATACTAGAAGAAGATATAGGTGGTGGTGAAGGTGTTGTATGAAGTATTGAATGAAGCGGTTGTAGATCTAGCGCTATAAGATCTGGGTAATCTTGGATAGGAAGGCTATTAATAACCTTTCTACTATCGACTGGATATATCCCACGATCTTTAAACGATTCACGAATGATTCGCTGGCTAAACGCTCTATTCCGAATATCACCGATTATTCGAAGGAACTCGGATCTTCCGATAGGGCTTCCACCCTAAAACGCGTGGTCGTTATTCGCTAAGCGGAAGTGTTGCTTATAGCTTAGAAACGGCTTACCGTCTAGCGGCTAGCAAAGATGCGTAGTATGTGGTAGGAATCCTATAGGTAGGATATTATTCTCTTCGCAAAGGTGTAGGAATTCGAATGTAAGATGCGAACCGTGGCCGTCGAATATTAGGATACGTTTTTCACCCGATTTCGTACGGTCGCATGTTGATTCTATAAAGAATCGAAGCTATTGAACTGCTATACTATCGGTTATCCAACCGTTTGGCGATGTAGTGATAGTAGTTCTTGGTGGTAGGTCGTCTGTTCGATTAAACCAAGATTCTATAAAGACCCCGTTGCCTTTAAAGATGAACCAGGGTTCCATCTGCCACCCGTCGGCAGCTATATACTCGATAGACGTGATATTTTCGCCTTGGTCTGGCTGAGGAAGGTCTACTATCTTCCTACTAGTAGTAGTAGTAGTAGTAGTAGTAGTAGTAGTAGTAGATATGACGTTTCTAGACCTTCCTTCGCCTGGTTGAAAGCCGCATTCATCAAAGTTATAGACTAGACGTGCAGGCGTAGTCTTCTTGATAGTTTGGGCTAGTAGATCGTACCAATGTTGTAATACTGCTGGATCCTCTGCTAGAATTCGCTTTGACTCCTTCGTATACTGCTTAGTAGGCCCTAATTGAAGATGTTTAGGAAGCCTATTAATAAAGCGGTACGCCCACATCTTGCTAACTAGCGGCTTCCCGACGCGTTGGCATACACGATTTGCCCACGCTTCTAGTATCCTAGGAGTGATAGGCATATAGCAATCGTTCATATATTGAATCCAGCGAATAAGAGCTTCTTCTTGATAGGATTCGAGGGCGTATTTAGCATTGCATATAGCTGTCTTAGGCCTTGCTCCTTTTTTGATTCGATTCGAAAGCGTACGCCTAGGCACGCCAAATTCGCGTGCTAAACGCGCGAAATTCGGCTTCTCCTCTCGTGAAGCTGCTAGGCAGGCTTCTGCCATACGTGATTCATCAAATTTAGGCATATTTAGATGGTGGTGTTGGGTAGGGAAGCAAAAATAGGGTGGTAGGGAAAAAATGGTATTTCATGTGTGGGTGGTAATTCATACGTGGCGCACCCACAACCCGGAAGGGTTGGGGGGGCGGTGTAAGGCACTAATAGAAGCACGCATCCTTGCTCGCTCAGCGCGCTTAGTAAGCTACCGAGCAAGCTTTGTAGCATCGTTCAGTAGCTTCAACATGCGCCGGCAACATTGTAATGATACGCAGCGATACAGCAAATGTTTTGCCTATTTCACTGTCATTAGAGCCAAACCAAGTTAGAAAACATTAATATCATGACACTTACGACTTGCAGTGCATGCGACCCTGTCGGCATGGCCATGAAACCCGATCCCGATCCACACGGGACGCTCGACTTAGATACAAAGCGTGCTAGAAAACTCAGCGCCAGACTTGCTATTTCTGGTACCTGCGATAGAATTAATAGTCAGATCAAAGCTTCAAGCCGTTTAGATCTATTCATAGCTGGAGGGAGGGAAGGGAACGTGGCGCTAAAAAAGCCAACAATATTGTTACTCGCGGGCAAGACCGACAGAGTGCTAATTTTATCACGAAGACCGGGGGAAAGTCTTTAGTCTTAATATAGCCGAGTGAAGTCAAATAATATAGCTCAGCGACAGATAAGTTTAGGAAATAGCTAGGAAATAGCTAGAAAAAGATGCAATTTTCTATAACATTTTGTTTCATGGTTCCCCTCGTAGGGTGCTAGGGCCTAAATTTGAAAGTTATATTTTTTAAGACGGATTTAAGAGATAAATATAGCTTAGCTATACTGCTGAGTGTTAAATAGCGTCGATGAGTGTATTTGCTGCAAGTAGGAAGTACGAAGCCGATCCCCCTATTGCCTTAGATCGGCACGAGTCTTAGGATTAGCTACCGTTCTAGCTATCCTCTATCTATAACCCTCTGCTAAGCAAAATATTAATCTCTATTATCGCTGTTAGTGCTTTGAATATAGGCGTCTAGTTGCAGGTCATCTAGTAGGCTATAAGATATACCTTTATTTTTATCTCTGATAAGTTATTATAAATACATAATAGTCAAGAAAGGTTCTATAATTATTCCTGGGCACAGATAACGACGTCTTTATAATACCTTACATATATTATATAAATACTATAATCCGAGGTTTTATTAAAGGGCAGTTATAGACAATGCTCTTCGACCGCTACTACTTAAGACTAGTCAACGCTGTGAACCGGGTCTTGTCTTTGCAATTTTACTATCCCCGGTACAAGATACGTACAGTCGTTTTGGACCAGAATTTGCCTTAGTGCTTATTTGCTTGTTATTCGCCATCTAATATACGTAGGCGGATCATTTTGAGCTTCCTTTCGAACACTACCGTCTCGCTAAAATTTGGTAGCAATGTCATCCTATCAGGCGCCTAACGGAAGGGCGGGGGCGGGGACGAGGACGAGGAAGGAGCGCAGCAAGAGCAGGTCTGTTTCCAAGCCCAGGAATCGGGACAACCGCAAACCGGAGAATTCTCAGATTTCCGGTGATGGCGAGGCACGACAGCCAGACGAGGTTGCCGAATATCTCGTAAAGGACTGGCATGTTCGTGACGGAAATATAATGTTAACCGTAGAATATCTCGGACATGAGCGTGCTGACGGGTACCAAGCCACATTGGCCAAGAAGTTGGCCAAATTTGAAAAAAAGAAAATGGAGGTAATATTCAAAGAAGAGGACTCTCTGGCACTTGAAAGAGCCTATTTGACTGGTGATATCATTGTGGACGGAGAAACTTTACTCCAAAATGATTATGCTCATGCGCTGTTTCCCACGAAGTCGTGTTGGCCGACCTTACATAGGGGGAAAAACGTGTGGCACCTCGATTTGGGGATGAAATATAGCCAGGACGTCCGGAGTGATGCTGAGAGAGGCCGGCCCCGATTTCGGAATTGAGAGAACGACCTGGAGCAAACATGGCAGCTAGGAGAAACCCAGTTTACCATCAAAAGGAAGGGGCACGAAGTTTCCGTAGCAGACGAGATTGGCTACTCCAACCAGAAAGACCAGAAAGGCCAGGAAGGCCGGGGAGACAAGGAAGACTGGACAGATCGGCGCTAAACTAACCAAAAAGCTGTCGAGTCATTACCACGTGCTACTGATAGACACTGGTCCAAGGCGTTGAGCAGGCCCTCAGTCATGCGATTCGATCTCAGCCAATATCCAAAATCTCAGATAGCATCTTATTTGTCGTCTAAGCAATCATTCAATCAATTTTCTGAATGCCACTTCACTGGTTTCACTCCCGTGCCCGCCGGAAAGCGTTTTGACATTTCAAATAGTGAGCCTGTAAATCATAGAGGAAACTCATAGAAAATGGGATTTTTCATCGAGAACGTGGACTCCATGGCTGTTCTGCATTGATTGAGCTGATGAATGGCTGGCTCTGAATTGGGTCATAGATCTTCTGCAGGGTATTGATCACGGGCAAGGCGGGCGGGCATAGTTTGATCGTCCCGCGACCCAAGCCAAAGGTTGAATTTGAATTACAGCTACATGGCCAAGATATCACCCAGACGATCCTGGTGCATGTGTATTGATCTAAATAATTATATTAAAGGGTGCTATTTTCGGGGCCTAGCGATTTAAAATAGATGGCTTTGAGAGAGGTAAAAATACCCGCTATATAGAGTGCGAAGTATATTTTCAGTGGGCTATTATCTAGAGGAGTTCAAGCGAAAGCACTTGGACGCACTCAACAAACCAATAATCAACCAACATTTAGCAAGCAAACGTAAAAGACGATGATGATGCGAATGGGTAACCGAAAGAGCAAAAATATAGTATCATATTGAGTGCACCGGTCGGACCTGTGGATCTAATAAGGCCAGGTCAGATTGACGGAGATCACCGAAAGAGAGTAAAGCCCTAGTCAAAGGTGAGAGAAGCTCTTTATTGCTGACGAACAGACACGAAATGAAGGAATGAGTGGTGATAAGACTCATCTCCGCTAAAGGACTCAGAATAATGTTATTCAAGGTCGCGTAGAATAGCCTCGGTATGGGGTGATATACTAGAAAAATCTTAACCATCTCACAATGTCAGATGTAGCCGCTGGAGGTGAGTATAGCCCTTATCCGGGTCAGCCTAATACAGACAAGACAGATTTTGTATATAAATAGAATCCAATGATTTTGCCATGTTTACTGCTAATAATAGTAAATGGAAGGGGTGTTGGATGGAATAAAGTTTTAACATGGTCTATTAACCATAAATGGTTGAGAATTAATTATTGCATCAACCTGACATGCTTCAGGTGAAGGATTATGGCTATGTTTATCCTGCGCTATAATATGGGCCTATCGTAATTAGTTTTATCCCAACAAAGCCGCATATGATTAACCATGTTAAACATGCTTCCCAACAATCGTCAATTTTATTCACTTATATACGTCATAAAAGTAAGTAACTAACTAGTTAAATAATACAATTTTCACTCATTTGATAGCGTATTCTAGGTCGAAGTGAATATCTACTTTTATTTCAAATAAGATCTCCAAGTCATCTAATATACGTAAATAATTCCTTCATGTTTGAAAAAACAACTCAACCAAAAAAAAATAGAAATAAGAATCGTCTAATAATAAAGGGGGTAAAAGAAAAAGAGTTAAATAGCGACAGATTTTCTGTCTTCCTCTGGTAACTCTAGCATTTTTTTGAACATCTGTTTCTCCTATCTACCATCTGACCATCATCTTTCAACCTTGATTTATCTTTACTGAAAAGACATAAACCAAAATGTCTCAGAACACAAGCGCGAAGGCCACAGCAACAAGTAGTGACGCAAGAGTCCCGGAACGCTCCAGACATGCCTGGTACCCTACCAATCTAGATCCAACCGTTAGAAATTATTGTTGGAGGTCTTCCTGCCCCAAAGATGGCACGGAAGTGATAGAATGGAGGCATTGCAAATCTTGCGGTACCATAAATTGCAGACCCTGTGCGACCAAATTCAGAGATGAGGTGTGTCACGGAAAGAAGCTCGCTCCACCTATCAAATTGTCCAAGGCCAAAGACGCCGAACAGGCCAGACAGATTAAAGATTTCCAAAAGAATCAACAGCTCTAAAGTGCCCGCAACCTATTACTTGAGTACTATGACTTGTTCTAGCTATAATAACATGGTGTACCTAGAAATTTTATCTACATCAGTATATAGAAAGCCCTAGCTCAAGTGAGCTTGTGGTCAAGCAATGGATTGGGTCATCTGCCTTGAAACTTCATGATAGATAACCGACGGAATAAGAAAGAGTATGCACCTCGTGATAAAGCAACACAAGTTAAGAGATCTCCATGAAGACTTAAAACCCCCGTAATAAGTAATTTGCCGTGGCTGGTTCCAGTAAGTGTTGCTTTCTGATTGTCACTTTCATCAACAATTTGATTAGTACAGCAACCAGTTATCGTCCCAAGATTAATAGAATAGCCCTTGTCTCCGGATATTGAAATTTTGGAAAATGATGTGTAAATAATGCTTGATGGGAAGGTCTTGATTTTTAGTAGGCTAGTTCTTTTGATAAAGACAGCACCGGATCTTTAGGTCTAAGAAAATCTGTAGAAAAGATAGACGCTTACGTCCATCAGCTGCAGAAGTATTGAGAGACAACCGAATTACCGGAAAAAAACGCCGAAATCAGGGTCCTGAAAATATTGACACTTACTAAACCTTACCAGTGGAACCCAAGGAGGTTGTATGACGATGCCGATTCCTTTCAAGTTATGTAAAGAATCTTCTTGCTTAGCGCGTTCCTTTCTCGGACTATTATTGAACACCAGGTAATAATGAGATTGGTCCAGGCCCGAAACGTAAGATGTTATAACCATTATTCTTTGATTGTCATCCTCATTGATCTTGCATATATAATAAAGGGAAAAAAAACCCCACACTTGAACGGGATCTCTTCAAAATTCACTTATTGATTTTCCATATAATCTTTCAAATAAGCCTTACTTAATAGATGGGCAGTACCTTCATAAGCGTCTCTTACATCAAACGCTAGTATTACTTCATAGCATTGTATATCTGACCTGGAAAATATGTGAGAACTAATGAAACTTCGTAATAGGTATTATATATTCTCTCTTTTCAGTCAAACTTTGTGGAGAGGCCATACGTAGGATATAGCCAAATCGTTAGGTCATTTTGCCCTTTGAGATAGAGTGATGAGTATCATATTGAACTATTTATAAAGAGCGGACCAAATAGCCCATAGCCAGTATCGGGCGCAAGTGAAATTATCGCTAGCTCTCAATACCCTTTCTTGCTGGAGAAAACTATATACCAGGGAGTTTAGCGTAATTAAGGCTGCGTACCATGCGACATTAGCCCTATCACACACGGCCAAGTAATCCCACTTCGGAAAAAGAGATCATTGAACCCAATCATAGGGCCCAGCTTACCCGGCAGAATACTAACAAAGTTTCGTCATAAAAGCTATTTGTATATCTCCATTCATTCTAAGAATGATGTGACCCTAAACCAGCCTTTTGAGTATCACGGGTATACTTCCTCTTAGAGTAAATAGTATGACTAATAGAGTAGTAGGAATATGGCGAGACGATGGGTAGGGGAAGTAATGGATAGAAGGGGACATACGGTAAGTAGGTAAGTGCTCAGGAAGACGAGGCCACAAGAAAAAAAAGTATTAAATTGCATTGACGTTTCTCATTAGGTAGATTCACTAAGATTTGACTTTCAACTCCAGCTACAAGACAATAATCAAGCCATAAGAGACTAATTCTCGGTAAAAAACATCGAGGTATCACCATACAATGTAAAATCTTGGGCGTTGCAGGCATTGGTCATAGGATACGACAGCATCGCATCTTCAACAGGATGAGAAAATTTCATGCCAGGCATGGTCATGTCAGAGTAATCCTGGATAGGCATCTGCATGTTCATCACGGTGTAATCATTGGCATTGATATCAACATTGTCAAACATGCCCAGGTTGTTCCACTCGGCGTCGAAATTGAGGCTAGTAGTGTCGGTGGTGGCCATCGGAGACCCGTTGAAAGACATGGAAGCACGCACGAGATCAGGGACAGATTCAGTAGAGGGAATCGACATGGAGTTCATAGACTGGCGGTGAGTCTGCAGTTCAGATATCAAGCCATCCGGTTCACCGGCAGCGAACTGGGTCTGCAGAGAATCCAGATTGAAAGAGGTGGGGAAGTTGAAATCATGACCCAGGCCGCTGTTGGAGTTGGTGGAAGATGGGTAGGGCGAGTTGGTCTCAAACAGAGGAGGGAAGTCCTCCAAACGAGCCGGCGCCGGAGGATCAGCAAAGTTGAAATTCATGTTGTCAAAGAACAGAGAAGACTCATGAGGAGAAGGAGTGGGGCCGAGACTGGGGGTAGGGAAGTCAGTCGGCTTAGAGGAGGGAGTGGAGATACTGGGAGTACGAGGAGTGGGCTGATGGGAGGAGCCGCGTTTGCTGCCGTTGCGAGCATTGTTCTTGGAACGAATGTAGAGCCAACCGTGAGCCTTCTCCATGTGCTGCTTGCAGTTGCTCTCGCGCTTGGAAGAGTAGGTGCAAGGCTGGAAGTGGCAGCGGAAGACAGCAGGGTTCTCGGAGTGCTTGTCGTTGATATGGCGGTCACGCTCCTTCTCAGTGGGCCAGCCATAGGTGAAGTACTTGCATGTGGGCTCGATGCACTTCCAGGGGCGTGAGTGAGTCTTTTCATGCTTCGTCATATCGCAAGGACGCTTGAAGACCTTGTCACAGTGAGCACACTTCTGGTTGATGTCCATGGGAGGAGCATTCTTCTTGCGACGAGCCATTGAGCGAGCAACACCCTCGTCCAGATCCTCATTGAAGCTGAGATCGCGCTTGAAGGAGGGGGTCATCTCGGGAGGGGGGGCTGTGTAAGGCTTGCCGCTTGCCAGCGAGATCTCCTGGCCATTTTCATCGACGAAAATGATTTCAGCAGGGCGACCATTGGCAGAAAGGCCACCTTTGAGAGAGGCAGAAGGAGTCCTGTTAGATGGGTTAGTGTGCTGTTGGCATGAGACCAAAGTGAAAGTGGTATTAGGACATACACAGAAGCCAAGGCAGTTTTCTCAGCATTGACAGCTTGAGCTGCGGCCTGAGCCTGCATGCGTTCACGCGAAGCCTGGATCATGGCTGCGTAACGGCGAACCTGAGAGACGAGATCGATAAAGTATCCGTTAGTGTATGGGCGGTCAGCAGGTAGTCGCTGGTCACGGTCGTTGAGATGCGAAGCAGAAGTGTGAAGACACTGGATAGTGAATTCACAGAAGCCGAGGTATGACGATCGTGAAGAAGAGAATTTCTGCAAGACGAATAAATATTTATACTCCAACCATGAACACCAAAACGCCAAATTGGGAAGAAAAGCGAAGGAAGAACAGAAGTTGATAGAAGAACAACAGAGGATGTGCAGGTGATGAGCCAGGATAGGAAAAAAAAAGTGGAGAAGAATGAGGACGAATCTGGGGAAGAGAGGACGACCAAGGCGCACGAGGCCTCATGATTGATCCAGATGGAGTGAACCCCCACTCAAGAAAGGACAAGAACGAAGGAGGATCCACTCAAGAACAGAAAACCATGAAAACCATGAAAAATCCACTCAAGAATGGAAGAATTTCAGGAAGGATCCACTCAAGAGCGGAAAACCATCCAGGGAGATCCACGCAATCATGGACTAAGAGGAAAGATTTGAAACTCGGGCTGTGTGACTGGCCAGAAGCCAGAAAGAGGCTGGGGAGGAGCTGATAAGAGACAACAACATGGTACTCACCGGCGCTAACCACAACAAGGTCTTTTCCAGATCTCTCAGGCAGACAATCTGTTTCTTCACAATACGTCCAGGGACGCTCTTCACCAAAGGATGGAAGGGTTTCAACTTCTCCTCCTGGAGGAGGGGCACTAGTATATAGCGTTCAATCTGTTTACAGGCAGCGTACGCTAATTGACGACGCTCTGTCGAGCCAGTATCAAAAGAGATCGAGGTTGTGATGGCTGACTGCTTGTCATGAATGCCATCGTCCGCTATGTCCCGGGTCAGTATACAGTTATTCAAGGTCAAGATATGGTGACACCCACCCTTCTCTGTGGATTCAGAGAGAGTCTCGGCACTGCCGACAGAAGATCCCAATCCACTGTCAGAGTCCTGTGCCTGTTCTTCTTGAATCTTCTTGTCCGTGAAGAGATCCTGACCATCCTTGTAGGACGGCGAGGCGCTGGTCGAGCCAGGTTCTGTGGGAGCAACGAGACCGTGAGAAACGGGATGATCCTCCGTTTCCGCTGAGCCTTCAGGCTTGTCCTCTAGAGTCAAACGTTCTAGGATGGATGCCATGCGTTGTTCGCTGGCAGCAATAGCCTCAAGAGAGGTGGGAGTTCGACGCGGCAGGGAACGAATGGTCAAGACAGGGTCTCGATCATTTGGCGGCGAGGTGGGTGTGTTAAAAGTCTCGCCTTTCTTCAACTGCATCTTGGAAGAGACAGGTAAGGAGTCTGTGTCCAGAGCTGGGAGGGCGGTGTTTATGACAGGCCGGCGGCGCGGGTGCACCCGAGCGTTTTCAACCTGGGTGGAAGTCATGATTGACTGGAGCGACCCCAGGATTAGCCCGATGTTGTGCAAAAGCCCGGGCGCAACTTGCTGACCGGGTTGATTGGTTGTTTCTCAATGACTCACCTCGCGAGACTCCGCTGATTCGAACGGGACGTACGGTCGAGTCAGAGACTATGGAGACTACGGAGACGTGCCGGACTCGGGGTCCAGACTCGGTCGTCCTGTAGGGGAATTTATTTAAATCGACAGAAGTTCCCAAGAAAACTTCTCACGTATGAGATCTTCCGACCACTGAGCCTCCGGGAGAATCTTTCCACGGCGACTTCAGGATCTAGAGAAACTTAACCAAGTTTTGGCGGGCGCTCTATCGGCTGAATTCAATCCAGCATAAGCGGTTTATACGACGGGCAGATCAGACACACTTGATGCCTCGCTAAGCCCACAAGGAAACTGAGCCGCCAGTTTAACGGATGTCGCAAGTAACGGAGGGGGGGGGGGGGGAATCAACGTAATAGGATGACAATGCGGGGGCGACTTCCAATACGTTCCCAGCGACGGAGAGGATGTATAAATCGGCGGGTGCAAAAGTTGAGTTGGAATGCTTGAACGATAGATGCGATAGATGGGACGACAAACAATAACCAGAGAAGGGACAAGAGATCATGGAAAGGGAGAAAGAGCAGGAAGATGACGGGGCCGACGGACTGCGCGTTTGGATGTCTGCCTGATAGACGAACGGCGCTAGTCTCAAACAGGCATGGACGGCGATGGCTGAGCAGAAATATCGCGGCCCCTGATTGGCGGGCGGTGAAGGTCCAAGGAGGGCCATGATTGGCCTAGCATGGTCCAGTCTGACCCTGTATGGTCATGTATGGTCACATGTGGTTGTGTATGGTCACCGGGGGTTCCCTTCGTCCCGGAGGGTTACAGACAGTCTTTGGTCGGGTCGCGGTATGGGCCGGGGAATCAGGCCAACTCCTCGTATTGCGGCGGTTTCGGCCGGGCCGACGCCTCGTGTTGTGTTTTAGGTGTTTCGCTGGTACGGTATTCCACGTGTCACGCCGGGCTCCTAAAATGGGAACACTTCGGGGTCCGCGGAGTCGACGTTGTCCCGGTTCATCCTGACGCTTGGCAGGATCCGCGATTCTTTCTTTGGTCGGACTCGTCAGCTCCGATGCTGCTGCCAATCGTGAGAGCCTCAACGACGTCGACAAGGTTTTCCCGCCGGATTAGGTCGTTCGTTGCTCACGCTTCCGTTCTTCCATCCAGAGAATCTCTCTGCCTGCCGTTGTCCGCTTGGGAAGGGAGGATACAGGCCGAGACTTAGGATTTGGTCGCCCTTACGAACAAAAAAGTCGATCATGGCCATGATGATATGAGAGTCGCGGCTCCAAACTACTCGTACAAACAGCCGTTCTTTTTCTACCTCGTCGGGATTGATCTCCTGGGAGTCTCCCGTCAATCTCCACGCCTTCTGTGGGCTCTCAGCCTTGCGAAATCAGGGACCTTGGATCCTCCGGGGACAACGTAGCGATCGATCCACATTCCCGCCGGGCAAATAATCGGCCCGCCAGCCTCATCGAACAGCACCAATCCAAGTCGACGCTTGGGATTCCTCAAGTGGGCCTCCCCCATCCACACGTGAATTGAGCCTCCCGGCTGGCCTGCACTGTGACTGGGTCTCGTTTTCGGGACTCTCGTATTGTTGCGTGTTTCTTGTCTGCCTGATGTAACTTCGTCCTGGCCCGACCTGGGCCGTCGCAGATCCTCCTGTCGAGCGGTACATCCTCTCGATGCATGCCAAGTGGCAGACTCCGCCACTCTGCCCCCAAATCTCACCACGCCAGTGGGATGATTGTGGAGGCGGAGAAGACGGTTGTTGGGAAAAGGAATGGGTCTGAGGAAAACAGAGATTAGGAAGCGTTGGCAAATAGTAAGGATGGCCAAGCCTTTCATAAATCAGATAACAGAGCACCTGAAACCTTTGATGGGGCAGACAATCCCTACAGATCTAATTGTAGAAGAATCATCCAGGCCAGGGAATTCTGCCCTGGTCGGGCCAAAGATTGTTCTGTCCGCGGCCCGTCAAACTAGGCCACGAATTCTGAAATCCGATTACGAAATATTCCTAGCCACTTTAGGCCGAACAAGGCGACAGCATTTTTCGATCTCAGAGTCATGTATAGGTCCGTTGAGAAAACTAGTAATGTGGTCGCCTATGCATTCCGGCTATGCTCAGGGACTTCGAAATGCCCCTGCATCGTCCCTGACGTTCAACCACGCCCTTGCAGGTCCAATATATCACCCATTCGCAAGTATCATGATTTCGGCACGCTTATCATTTGCCCATTTTTTCAATCGTGCGCTCAGACATGAGCATGATAGACGATAGCGATAACCGCTGACTACCCTATCGATATATACATATATTTGTCTGGCCCAGCTCGACCATTTCGGGAGTAACTCATAACGACTTCTCAAGCCCGGAGTGAGTACTACTTGGTGATTCAAAAACTTCTTCAATTGTTCTCATCATATTGAAAGAATCAATTCGGCAGAGTAAGGTCACCTAATTTTCATAGTTCGTAGATGCAGGGATAATGTATCGGAGACCATATAGATATCTTATCAGTGGAGATGAGCATTCCCAAAAATGATCGGATGTCGTGCTCTGTTGCACTTGTCATTACAAAAAAAGACTCCTGAAACCTTCGATCTTGAATCATGTTAGATGCCAAACCAAAGGCAGCTCTCGGAAACTGCTGCACACTGTTGCGTCCATAGATCCGTCCAAAGATCACAAGCCGAAAGCAGCCAATGGCGTCACAGAACGTGCTGCGAAAGATCTATACTCCATCGTCCTAGGCCGAATGGCAACCCGAACCATCAAAAATTGGTTGACTTTCAGCATCAAATGCGATATAGAACATTTAGCGATGGCCGACCTCATGGAACATGATCTCTACGAACCCCGATTGCCAAACGGGTAAAACCTGCCCATCCCTGGACCTCGGCTTCGGGAGTGGCAGAATGTCGGGCGGTGCCGAGTTGCCCGCGTGTTGATTTCCCCCGGATTCTGGATCCGGCGCATTTCGTTCTTCCCTCCCCGCGATTCTCCAGACCCGAGATCCTGACAGTTGTCGAATGTGAGCCGGTGGCCTGTTCGTAGGCCGTGATATCTTCCTCCTTTCCCCTTTCCTCCTCCCTGAACTATAACCACTCTCCCCCGCGCTCTTTCCCGACGGCAATTGGAGTCATCGCCATGGACCTTGAGCATTACGGGCAAAGCTCCCAGCAGCCCAGACAGCGGCGGAAAAGGGTTGCGAAGCGGCGGTTACGGAACAAGCCTCCTATCGCCGCCCGCCTGGCCTTGGATTCTCAGCTGCGTGGGAATGTGGGCGTCTTATCAGAGGACTTGGCGAATGACCTCTTTCCGCAGCAGACGCTTCAGGGTGAGTCCGACCTCGGCCCGGCGATTGACAAGGAATTGATCACAACAAAGCCACTGACCTCAATCGCTCTCCTTTGATATAGATGTTGCGACGCACGACGGTGTGCACTATGTCGCGGTTTCCCCGCACACTCCGACCTTGGGCTCGGTGGAGGACCAAGCTTGGACGATTCTCCCCGTGCGGATCCAAACCTCCGAACGTTCTCAGTCGCCAATATCACATTCCACAGTCCTTTTCCCCGACTCCGCTGATACCCTGCAGCCTTTGCTGCAAGCGCTCGGAAAGCTGGATTCATCACGTAATTCATTGCAGACTCATCACGCGGTGGAGATCCGGATCTTAGACGTGGCCCCGCTACACTTGGAAACAGTCTTTGTGACTGTTGAGCGACATCTGCTTCGCAACCATGACGACGTACAAAGCAAATTTGGTGGTGGGTTCACGTCCAATGCTCACGGGCCGAACAGCCCGTGGTCCAAGACTGGCAAGGCCGCCGACACGAGGAAATATTCTAAGAAGGCAGCGGCTGATGCTGAATTGCGTCTCACTGCGGCTGTGCGCGAGGCATTGTCTGTGCAAAGGATCGTTCACATGGGTGACGTTCTTCCTCTTCCTCTCCCTCCTCATCCTATCACATATGCACCTGCCCCTCCGGCGCGCATTTCCTTTTGTGAGCCTGTATCACAAGGCCTTTTGATGCCCACAACGAAGATTGTTCTTGTCCAGGCCCGCCCACAAGGTCATCGTGCACAGCCAGCCCTTCCTCCACGGTCTGCGCTGCTCAGACAGGTTGCCGAGGATGAAGCCGATGATACCTCCAATGAACAGTTCTACTCCGCCGCTGAAGAGAAGCCCGGGGAGAGCGGAACCGAAGTAGAAATGACTTCAGCCGCCGAGGAGTCAGAAACTGAGGGTTCTGCAGGTTCAATGAGTGACTCGTCCGATGATTCCCTTGAGGACATGATATCTCTCTCCGCTCCCGAGCTCCCACAACCTCCCTCCGGCGTGATGTCGTCCATCACATCGGCTACACCTCGCGCAGGGGGTCGACGTGTCGATGGAATCCACACTCCTGGGTCTGTTGCCTCCAACTTTACATCGGCGACTATGCGCCCGGGCCGGGGCGGCGGAAAGGTCTTCAAAGTGGAAGGCCTTCTACAACAAGTTCCGAATGAGGTGCTCCATCCGCGGCCCCGCGACGATGAAGATGTCGATTCTTTCGTGTTCGTTGATATCAGCACCCTCGCCAAAATTGGCTGCTTTTCGGGCGACTGGGTCCGGATCGAAGCCGCCGAGGAGCCCCAGCTAAACATGTTCGCCTCGCTCAAATTCGGCTCCTTTAATGAATCTCCCGAGGATGCTGGAGACTGGCGTCCGGTGAAAGTCTTCGGTCTCCCGGGGCTCCCGTCTCCCAAACCCCGGTATGCCATCAACCACTCCGGTGGTCGGCGATCAAGCTTCTCCCAGCGTCCGCCCACCCGCTTGACACCTTCCATCTTCGTGCCCCCGTTGCTTCTTAGCAATATTGAGAACCCCAAATATCTGCGCATTTCACCAATGACTTTTGCGGCTGCCAATGGCGCTTCAAAGGCAGGCCTCTTGCACCATATGAAAAACACTGCAGCAAAAAACCCTCCCCTGGCAAAGGAGGTTACCCTGCTCAAGGTTTCCACCCCTCTCTCTATGGACAGGGTTCTCCAGCCAGCTCTGTTCGCTGGACTCAAGCATTACTTCGAATCTCGCCGTCGGATACTCAAGAGTGGCGATTTGGTCGGTATTAGCGTTGACGAGGGCTTGGGCAGAGCTATGTTCTCTGGAACCTCTGGTGGTGACGGTGCGAACCAAGAAGACGATATCACAGCTCGATTAGGGCAAGGCCCTGGCATGGAAAGTTCCGAGGCACGTAAGGTTGGCGTGGCTTGGTTCCGTGTCGGCCAGGTGGCTCCTATCAATGTCGAGGAGCTAGAGGACACAGGAGAGGACCAGTGGGGCGGAGTCGCGGTCATTGATCCCTCCAGCACTCGCATGGTGCAGGCGGGCAGCGACGTTAGCCGGGTTCCTGGAATCCTGGGCAATGGCTGGGAGTACTGGCTGGGCGTCAAGACCATCCCCAAAGCTATTGGAGATGCTCCGGCGCCTCATGGAATCGTGGTCGAGCCCCCGCAGGCTTTCGTTGCCCCTCTCCAACAACGAATTCGCGAGCTCATGGCCGCAGCGACAAGCCCTCGAGCTATTCAGCTGGGTATGAAGCCAGTCGTGATCCTTCTGAAGTCGCAGCAGCGCCACATCGGCAAAGCAACCGTCGTGACACGGGCGTGCGCCGATATTGGCCTTCACACGTTCCCGATCGACGCTTATGATATCTTGACTGAGGGTGGCGCGAATGGCGGCGACGTCAAGACCGAGGCTTACTTGAAAGCTCGGGCCGAGAGGGCTTTTCACTGTGGCTCGAACTGCACCGCCCTGCTGATCCGCCATGTCGAAGTATTGACCGCTGATCGTATTGTCACAGCTCTGAATGATATTCTAGCTGAAGCCAGGGTGGTCATTGCGACTACTACTGACGTGGAGCAGATCCCGGAAGGCATCCGCAGTCTCTTCACACATGAATTCGAGATGGGAGCGCCGGAGGAGAAAGAGCGTGAGGGCATCCTGCGAAACGCAGTTGCCGAGCGTGGAATCAAGCTATCTTCCGATGTGGAGCTGGGCACTGTGGCCCTGAAGACGGCTGCGCTGGTCGCAGGCGATTTGGTCGATGTTGTGGAGCGTGCCGCTGGTGCGAGAACGGCCCGCCTTGAGAAACTCGCCGAGACTGCCAGCAAGCAGCTGCAGAACTCCGAGGTCTGCGTGAGGGATGTGCTGCTCGCCGGGGGCGAAGGTGCGCGTGGGGTCACCAAGGCCGACTTTGACGCTGCTGTTGAGGCAGCCCGAAAGAATTTCGCCGACTCAATTGGCGCCCCTAAGATCCCCAACGTTGGTTGGGACGATGTGGGTGGACTGACCAATGTCAAGGATGCTTTGATCGAGACAATCCAATTGCCTCTTGAACGGCCGGAGCTGTTCGCCAAGGGCATGAAGAAGCGCAGTGGTATTCTCTTCTACGGACCGCCTGGAACTGGCAAGACCCTTCTTGCCAAGGCCATTGCCACTGAGTTCTCCCTTAACTTCTTCTCCGTCAAGGGCCCCGAGTTGCTCAACATGTATATTGGTGAATCCGAAGCCAACGTGCGTCGGGTCTTCCAGCGTGCTCGAGATGCTCGTCCGTGTGTTGTGTTCTTTGATGAATTGGATTCGGTTGCACCTAAACGTGGCAACCAAGGTGACAGTGGAGGCGTGATGGACCGTATTGTCAGCCAACTTCTTGCGGAACTAGATGGAATGAACGGCGGAGAGGAGAACAGCGGCGGTGTCTTCGTAATTGGCGCCACAAACCGCCCGGATCTGCTGGATTCTGCACTTCTCCGTCCTGGTCGCTTTGATAAGATGTTGTATCTGGGTGTTTCGGATACGCACCGGAAGCAGGCCACGATCTTGGAGGCACTTACGAGGAAATTCGCCCTCAACCCTGATGTTTCACTTGACCGGGTGGCAGAAAAGCTACCTCTGACATACACCGGTGCCGATTTGTATGCGCTGTGCTCGGATGCTATGCTCAAGGCTATCACCCGCAAGTCCACGGCTGTAGATGAGAAGATAAAGCAGCTCCCAGGTGGCCCGGTGAGCACGGCATACTTCTTCGACCACTTGGCGACGCCGGCAGATGTTGCGGTCACTGTGACTGAGGAGGATTTCATGGAGGCGGAGAGGGAGCTTGTTCCTAGTGTTAGGTGAGTCTTGGAGCAGAGTTCAGGGATCGCTGGACGGAGGTGGATCATGAGACTGACAAATTCTTATAGTGCGAAGGAACTAGAGCACTTTGAACGGATTCGGCAGACGTTCGAATCCGTCGACCAGCAGAAGCAGGATTCAGCAGGGGCTGCCCCGCAAACTATCGCTGATGCAATGGAGGCTTTCAGCTTGGGGGCGTCGCCGTCTCCTGGAGACAGTCCTGTGCTCAACGGTGATGGCTCCTTTGGTGGAAGTATCCACGGCCGGATTAAAGGATTGAAGCAATGGCCTGGGGGTATCGTCCGCAGTGCCAGCAGCCAGTCGGCGACAAGCAGTAAGGGCAAAGGCAAAAGTGTTGCCGGCAGGAAGGGGAAGGGCGCACGCTCTGGCGGCGATTCAGATGCATCTGTGGATGGCGACGACGAGAATATGGCTGATGGCCGCGTGGAAGATGAGGACGACGGGGATTATGTCGTCCGGACGGATCACCTTGCAAATCCGATGGAAGAGGTGGAGTAAACTGTGTGTCTTTATGCAGGACAATCTATATCGCAGCATTACCCACCCATGACTGCCCGAGCCAGGCCCGAGATAGTCTCGGGCTACTCACCACCGCATTCTATGTCACATACTATTATTATATCTTATTTTTGCGCTCCTGGGGTTCGGTGGTTTTCTTTGGTGTTCCGTGACGACCGGGGCGCTGGTCATTGTCTGTTGTCCATCAAGTGAGCCTATTCATGTGATTGCCCTACCGAATCGGGACGTGTTGCTGAGTTCCCTCGTCCACCATTCAGTTTATGATTTAAATTCGGTGTTTCGTTCCTCTCTTTCCATCCATCCATCTCTCTCTTCTCCTCCCTCCCACATCTCCTCTCCTCTCTTTTCTCTTCACACATCCCGGAGACGTCTTTTGTCTCCTGCTCACTTCCTGTTTCCCTCGGCTGCAATCGCCGAATAGCCAGAGACGCCCGTCTTTGCTGGCTGCCATGGAGGCTGACCTGGCAAACCAGGCCCCCGACCTGTTCGCCAGTGAATGGGACTACCCCTTGACTGACCCATGGCCGGCGTGCGAGATGATGAAATGGGTAAGCTTCCGCACCTACGATGCGGGCTCCCAAGACTACCACCCGAAATGGAGTGGTATGTATCCCACAGCTGTGGGGGTGCTGGTTGGCGGCCCGGGGTCGCTTGTGAAATTGCCCCTCGAATTGATCTTCCGAATCATCGAGGACATGGACGTCATCTCGGCTGAGCTCTTCTCTCGGACCTGTACCAAGGCCCGGTTCCTTCTCCAAAGCTCCACCACATGGCAGAAGATCATGGCCTACATCCCCCAGGTCCGGTATTTGTATGTGCAGAGGGGCGTGAGGCACTGGAACACTCTTCGGGCTATTATCAACGAGCTCGAGTACTCGCGCTGCCGTACTTGCTCTCGACCCGCCGACATCTTCTTCTGGCTTACCTGTGAACGGGTCTGCTTCAACTGCCTCACTCAGAACACTGGGTTCCGCTTGCTTACCCTGAGCGAGGCCACCCAAGCATACTGCCTCACCCCTAATGAGTTTGCAAGTATGCCAAAGTATGAGCACCACGTTTCACGCTTTAGTTCGTTTCCGGAAATCCAGCCCGAAAGCACCATCTACGTCGCCGCCAAGAGTGCCTACATTGCCGGAATCAAGCTCTGGGGCAGCAAGGAAGCTATGATTGAAGCCTCCCGGCGCATTTCACTACCAGCCTGGTTCTCCGCGACTGACCAGTCCACCATCCATGCCAGGATCGAATTGATGTGGAATATCAGCCTCAAGACTGCAGACGACGCCAGCCAGTGTGCTGAGCTGTATTATCAACTTCGTGCACCAATTGGCTGCATGGCATTCTATTTCCCCTGCGTGAAGCCCTATGAGAAAAAGCCCACTCAGTTCTACCGATGCACCGGCTGTGCATTTCTAGTGCATTATCGCTACGATCTCGCGGCTCAGATTGAAGCCATGACTGGTGCTGTACCTTCGTTCGAATCCCTCGTCAAGCGGCGAGCCTTGCGCGGCCAAGCCCGCATGCTTCTTCAATCGGACAACATTCTCGAGCACATGCAATCGTGCACGGGAACTGGCTTCTTCAAGAAACAGATGAACCTTGAGAAGCTGCACCCTGAGTCTCTGGGCACTGGTCTGATCGCGCACGTCAGCGGGGACCCGAATTAAAATAGGCTGTGCGCAGAGCCGTTGCGCATGCATCGGCTAATCCCCCGGTCGACGTCGTATTTTTCGGTGATCCATCCGACCTGCGTTTTTTGATTTTACCAATTTCAGTGTGACAGGCAGAAAGATGGGGTTTAATGATCTGGGGTTTAATAATCTGTCTTTTCTCGATTCTTATTTTTCTTTCCACAAGTGTCAAGGTGGACGTGAATGTTGTTCTAGATGCCAAAATCCTCAATCATGGCTGATGATGCTCTTTTTTTCTTTCTGTTTACTGGGGGTGGATGAATGTACATTAATGACCCTGATGGCTTCCTGCTAGGGTTGGCCAAGGAAGTGGCTTTGTCACTAAAAGCTCTTCTTGCGGCTGATTTTCATTAGTACTGCCCACCAATCAATGCTGCTTTAACATACATATGCATCGGGATCGGTTGTTGTCCTCTGTAAATATCTTGTGCCCGAGAGGGATCTTTGATCTCCATATTTTCTTTTTGACTCTTTAGACCCAGAGGATTCTAGTCTCAGCTAATATTCAGTAAAATTCGCGACTGTATAGACCGCTTCACGATGGTTCATCTGTGACGGATGGAAACGCAGCGGCTACGAAGGCGTGACCGGGCGCTAGCCGCGCCAAGCGACGCGGCGGGACATCCCTGCCTTCCCCGAATCATTCGATGCCACGGCTATCGACCGGAACGCTGCAGACGCCCTCTCACGGCAGCGACTGAGTTGATACGCGTGGATAAAGGCCAGACTGATTTTTGAGATTCAAAATGAATGCTCGGAGGGGTAACGTGCCCAACAATACGCCACAAGAAGCCCGCGTATCTGCGAAAATGAACGGCGTTGACTCAGCGAATGCGCCGATATACTCCTGCCCCGAATGCCAAAAGACCGGTTTTAAGAGCATCAGTGGGATCAGAAAGCACTTCTATGCTCTGCGTCACAGCAGGACCAATTGCCCGACTTGTAATCGAGACTTTCACAGCCCACACGCCCTGCTGCAGCATCTGCACGTTCATGGTGCTCAGAAGCCAGCTGGCCAACGGCTGGCGCCTGCCCCGACGGGGCCCGTAACATCACCTGCTGTTGCTACTGCTTCTTCTTATTCTTCTTCTCCTCCTCTCGTTGGTTCTACTGGGATTCCTTTCTCTCCAAAAGGCAATTCTCAACTATCATTGCGATCTACCACGCGTCAGAGCTCACCACCCGCATCACTGACCCACAAGGCAGGGGAGCGACAATGTGCCAGACCACCGCCGACAATCATGGCATCTGGAATGGGACAGCCTCAAGGATTCAAGAAAAGAGTGCCGATGCCGCGTGATGGGTATATTCAGCAACCGCCTCCTGCTGAAACATCACGACATCCAAACCCCACCAGGCAAAGTACACGATGCGTCTTCGCCTGATTTTGAGATCACATTAGCTGACGATCAATATTCAGATCCATCTCATCCCATAATTAAACCGGTACCTCAGCCAGCGATCGATGAGCCAACGCAACAGGCTGCTCTCACCCATTGGCTGTCGGATCACTGTCATTCGGATGCTCTGCTGAGCCTACGAGGTTTCGCTTTGGAGTCTACTCCGAAACAGCGCAAGAAGAAGGGTGAAACCAAGACTGTTCCATTTGATCAATTCCATGCAACACCTGATGCAATACCTGGCTACGGGATGAGAAAAGCCGTCGCTCTTGATTGTGAGATGGTCGAATTAAAGGCAGGTCGCATCGTGGTCGCTTTTCTGACCGCTATCGACTTTTTCACCGGCGAGATTCTCATCAACCACCATGTACAACCTACGGAGAGAGTTGTCCGGTGGAATACCAGAAAGAGCGGTGTGACCCCACAGAGCATGCGGAACGCCGTTAACAGGGGCGAGGCGCTGTTCGGTTGGCAGAACGCTCGTCGGAGATTATGGGATTTCGTCGATAGTCAAACGATTCTCATTGGACACTCTCTCAACAATGATCTCAATGTGCTTGGTATCTTTCATCGTCACATTGTGGATTCTTCCATCGTCACGGGCCAGGCTGTGTTTCAAGATAGGAACCTGAGGCGCACTTGGGCACTGAAGACTCTGGCCAAAGAGCTGCTGGAATACGATATCCAGGCAAGCAAGGCAGGTCATAGTGCTCTGGAGGATACCCAGGCAACAAGGGATATTCTCATTTGGTGTTTCCGATATCCGGAGCGGCTGAAAACATGGGCGGATGATAATCGGATCAAGGAAGAAGAGCGTTTCGCAGAGGAGCAGCGCAAAGCTGAGATTCGGCGCAAGGAAAGGGAAGAGGCGAGGAAGAAGAAGGAGGTGAAAGAAGCAGCTCTGCAGAAGGAAGATGTCGGTCTTGTTTCTGCACATCCACCGGGGCAACAACCCGGCCCTGGGCTTCAAAACAACCCTAGTCTCGGCTCAAGTCCTTCCCATACGGACCTTGAAAATGGTCGGAATCAACGACGACGGGGCAGAAAAGACCACACTATGATATTCGCGTCTGCAATCAGTGTTAGGGGGCCATCCTCTTTCCTATGATGCCTTATTTTGACCGGAGCGAAACCGCGCCTTGGGGTGATCCTGGGTCAAGTACTTCTAAACTATGAAAAAGACCATGGTCCTTTTATTTATCTGTCTGAGACCAATAAACCGAATACAGCCTTTATAATGAGCAATTTTCTTCAGGAGTTTTACTATCATTTTGTACATTTAGCTTGACTAAGCTCACGGCTAATGGGGTCGATAGGTTTCCCCGATCTTATCAAACCTAAGAAGTAGAAGAGAGATATCTGTTTAAGGATCGTTATTCCAAAGAAAGAAAAAAGCCTGAGTCCCCGCTCATCATCTGTGCCCAATATTATAAGAGAACAGGTGTAATCGATTTTGTCAGTGTTGGAAGATGTGGTTTTAGGTCTATGATATTTATTTTTCTATTTGAATGCCTCGAATATTACTTTCATATTCTGACGACCTCTAGCTATACGGATACGGATATGTGACTCTTTCGATGAGCTGGGCAATGATTTGCTTGTCCGTGTTTCCCTATCAGCCTCGGGGCGGCCCCCCGCTTTTCCGACGATTGTGTCAACTTATCGCGCCGGTCTCTGGGGCGTAATAATTTCATGTGTCTTCTGCCCCCAGAGCGTCAAGTCTAAGCATACTGCATAATGGATTTACCTCATGAATCACAATCTTCTCCCAGGCGAGTGAAACGACAGCGCCCTTCGTATTCCTGTACGGAATGTTCACGCAGGAAATTACGATGCTCGAAACGAGTCCCTTGCCTCGCTTGTATTGAGCGTGGCACGGCAGACAAGTGCCAACGACGTCCGACAGCTGCGCAGAAACAATCAAAGCAGACGGCCAAGAGCAGAAGAACTACAGATAAAGCCTACGCTTCCTTGGAACCACCGGAGGTGATGGATGGGTTCTCTGGCCGCGATATGAATCACAGCTCTCATAATACATCAGCCCCGAATATGCCTGTTGTGGCGCTTGAAAAATCTACTTCCGTAACTTGGAGGCCAGAGAACTGGAAAGAAAGGCCAAGATTGACAGACACGGTCACTCAAGATGCTGCTGTCATGCTTGAATTTCTTGCACTTAGTCGTCGACAGGTTCTGCGATCTGTGCAAATGGAGCAGTCACCAATCTCTCAGACATTGCCTAAAACCATAAATCTGGTAGATTCGCTCTTCACGTGGACCCAAATCAACAGAATGATGACTTATCATGAAGAATGCATTGCTTGGATTCATAATGTGGTTCATATGCCAACCTTCCGCAAGCAGTGTGAGAGACTGTTCGAAGGCGACGACGGATCAATAGAGGAAGCCTGGGTCAGCTTATATTATGCAATGATTGCAGTAAGAGCCCCGATCCTACTACATGACAACTACCTGTTGATAAAATAGATAGGTTACAATCTACCATACCGATTCTTCCAAGTTAGCCGAATTTGGCATTCAGTCTGGGTGTAAGTTATAGCATCTGACTTGCGAAGATGATATCACTGACAACAAAGGTACAGACGATTTATCCATACAATACTATCAAAAAAGCCTAAATAATCTCGACGATGTGGACTTCATGAAAAATCATAGTCTATTCAACCTTCAGGCTATCTGCTTGCTAATTTATATTGGTCACAATCTTGGGCAATCAGACCGGATGTCCGTACTCCTCGCAAGCGGTACCCGTATTGCCCAATGTTTAGGCCTTCATAGACTCGGGCCAGATGGCTCCTGTTGTTCAAGGCAGGAGATGGATCAAAAAATCTTAACACAGCGGCTGATAGACCGTGAAATATCCAAGCGAATTTGGTGGTTCTTTGTGAGACAAGACTGGCTGCAGATCCCCTTTAATAATACGTATAACATCCATCTCACCCAATTTAATACGCCCATGCCAGCAAATTGTGATGAAGATATATCTGCAATGGTCAATTCAAGTCAAGTCGTGAATCAGCATAAGGATCATTTGACTCAAGGAAGCTATACGTCTGTCCTGAATCAAGGTACGCAATTTTCGATGTGATACATCTTGTAAACCTTTTTGACTGACTTCAGAGGTAGTTGCTATTATTATTTGGAAGATGCAGGATCGAATATGCCTCCACTTCAACGAAAATGGAGGCGAAGACGGCTTACGAGAGCTTTATCCTGAGATTCTACGAGCAGACCAAGAGTTAAAGGATCTCATTAACAAAATGCCAATTTTCTTTAAGCCAAATTATGATATGACTGAAAGCCCCAAAGGGTTGAACACGCAACAAAGTGCCGTTTTGATGCTGTCCCATGCGCATAAAGTATGTCTCTGTCTCCCGCTGTGTCATTTCTACAGAAGTTTTGCTCACATTTAATTTCTAGTTCTATTCTATTCATCGCCACTTTCAAATCCCAAGCTTCAAAGAACCATGGTTCGCATACACCAAGGTACTTGTTACAAGTAATCTTGATCTCCGCATGATCGTTCTAATTTAATATAATAGATATCTTGTCTCCCAGCAATGCGTCGATATCTAAGAATGTTTCTTGATCTGCCACAAGATCAATATACTACAATAGTCAAAAGTCTCTGGACTGTCAACACTCAAGTCCTAACAGCAGCCGTGTGGCTTCTATTCGAGCTCATTCTTTCGAAAGACGAATGCCAAGGCCTGTTGGATGCAGAGGAAATCCGAGATCTCGCGTTAAGAAGCTTGCAATTCTTGCATGAAAATCAAGCAAAAAGCAGTATTGCTAAGAGGGGATCACGACTGATTGAATGTCTCCTTGAAATGGATGGGTTGTCAAGAATGGGAACGGCTAATCGGTTCTCCTTGAAGGAAATTATTTCTCGGGTAGAATTAAGCGACTCTCACATGGACCAGCAACCGGCGGAAATGAGTTCTGAGGCTCGTTTTTCAGACATGATGGATTTTGTTTCGCTTGATGCCATTCAATGGGATAGTGTTCTCAATACGTTTTGTGAGATATGAGGAACAGAGTACCCTCGCATTGGCTTGTTTGCTATACAGACACGGGGGGTCGGAAATGAGTTATTTCTTTACATACATAAATATTAAACTGATATCCACAAGTCTAATATGTTCTCTATGTGCAGGAAAAGACAAATTCAAGGTTTCAATAAATCGATGTGTTTCTAAGATAACTAGTTCTAGGATTTCTGAATACTGGCAACAAGTTCCTGCCGGAGGTCTCCGATCCCCTTTCCATGTGTCGAGCCATATGTATCCGCAAATCGCCCTGTCATCCAGTCGTGGACTTTTACAGGGGGGTACTTGGCGCCTTTCTCCAAGTCAACGCAGCTGGGAAGGCATTCAATAGTATAGTTGGGGTTTCCGGAAAAGAAAAATGGTATGCTAAATCTTTCCCGCCCGCTCTTGTTGATGACTCGGTGGAGATTCGATAGGTAGCGATCATTCGTCCATCGCATCATCATGTTACCTAAATTGATCACATATGCCCCAGGAATTGGAGTAACATCTACCCAATCGGACGAGCGATTGTTCCATACTTGCAGCCCACCGGTTTCGTCTTGTAATAGCATGGTGACCGCGCCGAAGTCCGTGTGTGCACCAATACCTAAATTCCCATCAGCACGTGAGGTATCAAGCTAATACAGCGTTGGCGACACTGGTTCTGACCTCTTTCGGTTTCCAGTGTAGTTGGGTCCTGTGGTGGATAGTGAAGCAGCCGAAGGGCGGCGACAGGATGCTCACAAAAGTCATCGAAATAGTTCTGGTCGAGGCCTAGCGTGCATGCCAGAATACAGAGAAGGTTGACAGCCAAGCTGTTCATGGCGGAATGGTACTCTTCCATCGTTCTTTGGAATTCTTTCGGATCGGGCAGCTCCGCAGGATACTTGTTCGGCCCTTGCCCAAACCGCCTTTGAATAACGTATGGATCATCTAGGCTCAGATGCTTGCCCAAGTAAAAACCCTCTTTGAGGTCTCCTTTCCCTTGCTTTTCAAAGTTCTGAGACCGTATGTTCTCATATCCTCTCTGAAATCCCCCAATATCTATTTTCTTCATCAGAACAATTATGTTCAATCTGTACATAAGAAATAGCGATTGACCAAACCTTTATCATATTTCTGTTTTATCTCCAAGGGAAGTTGAAATAGCCCTTTGGTTTGGTGGAGAATGCGTTGCTGGAGATCGGGCGAAATGGAATGGTTGATAAGCTGAAAGAACCCCAAACTCTCACATGCTTCTCGCACTTGGTCCACAAGTCTTGCTTTCGCGGCAGGATCCGAGCCAAGAAAGGCTATGAAGACGACTGAGTCAAAAAAATCTGTGAAAGTTTGTGATTGAAGATGCCGGTAAATAGCTAGAACTTACGACTAAAATCAATCACTGCAGGCTCGTTTTGATGCATCTTGTTGGATTTCCCACTTCCTCAAGGCTATGTATAATCGAGATGCAATACAGTAGACATCTATTGACATTTGTAATCGCTGTTCTACAAACTGACCTAGTTTTGTTGAAGCAGCACCCGTGCGGCTCTCGGCCGCGGCCCACAAAGATCCCCTCTCAAATGCCAGATTGGTCTTAAACCCGCGGCCGAGAGATCAGCCTGTATCGTGCCCACGTAATGTCGATCGCGATGACGTATGGCTGCATTGAGTGAGTTCCGTCATAATAAGGAAAACATCAGAAAATTTCCCGTTCATTTGATTTGAAAATTCTCGTTGTTTGGAGATTACTACGCATTCATTGCTAGTTCAAAAAACATTCCATTCTCGGCCTGACCCCAGAATTCTCAAATAAGGAGAATTGGTCAGATGACTTTAATTCTAGGCGTTCTTTTTCTTTTCTTTTCTTTTTAATAAAAATAAGAGATAAAAAAAACTTAGCCGAATCAAGGCAGTAGGAAAAAGTGGTCTAATGAAGAGAAGTCATGCGGTGAGATCGTATGGTGCAAGACTTCCAGAACCCTCGGCAAATAAAAGCCTTCGGGTCTGGTAGATGGTTGACTTCGTATATATATGTGTGTGTATGTACAATTGGCTGTATCCAGATTCTTTCACTGATCCCTGATATCCAAAACTTCCCCCAATACTGCTGTATTCTCCAGGAGACCGGCTTCCAGGATGGGACAAGTAAAAACATATCTAGAGAAACAAATGGAATGCCAAATAATTGAAGCCCGTATAGGACCGATTTAGTCAGTGTCGTTTCGTCATTCATGCCTTAATATCTTCCTTCACGGCCTCGTCATTAGAACCAGTGTTATAACCGCTCTCGGAATGTGCCTCGCCGATTTGCATCTTTTGCATTTCACGAGCGATGCGAGGTGGGTCGAAGATGTTCTTCGACCGCGAAAAGATCTCGTCAATCTCCTCCAGGGAGCGACCCTTGGTCTCAGGGAAGAAAAAGTACACTGCCGGGACAATAGCGGCGTTAATTACGGCGAAGATAATATAATAGCGGTTTTCGATGGTTGAAAATCCAACTGGGGTGACCTGGGCTAGCAAGAAATTGAAAGACCAGACGGTAGCAGTAGACACGGCGCTGACCGCCGCGCGAATTTGCAGAGGTGCCATCTCTGCCGCATATAGGAAGGTCAGACCAGAGTATCCCACGGTGAAGATAAACTGGAAAGCGTAGAGGAAAATCACTGCCACGACCAACGCGCCGGTATTGCCCTTCTGGGAGGTTGTTCCGGCGAGAATTGCCATGCAGATGGCCATGGCTCCGGCACTCCAGAGCATCAGGGGCCGGCGGCCGAGACGGTCAATAGTGGTAAAGGCCAGGAAACCGCCCAGTGGCTGCATCAGCCCCATGGCCGCAGCCAGGATACGGGCCTTGACAGCATCGAGACCAAGATACTGTTGGAAGATAGTAGTCGCATAATAAGTGATCAAGTTCACGCCGCACATTTGCTGGAACATCTGGCCTGTTGCAGCCAGGTATGCGCGGTGGAAGAGACGCTGCTCGCCGTTCTTGAACATGTCCGTCCAGCTTCCCGTTCCGCAGTAAGCTAGGGAGGCTTCAATCGACACGACGCTCTCCGTCACCACGGCTGAGTCGGGATCGGCCTCAAGCAGTGCGCCGAGAACCTTGCGACCTTCTGTGACCTGGCCAGTCTTGATCAGCCAGCGAGGAGATTCCGGAAGGACGGTGATGAACACCATCGCGGTCAACGAGAGGACGACCTGAAAGGCGAGCGGGAACCGCCAAGAGACGGAGCTGCCTTGCACAAAGTAGAAGCCGAGATCAATCCACAGGGCCAGCGTCACGCCCACGCCGACAAAGATCCCATCGGTCACGACGTTGGATCCACGTTTGTGCGCTGGAGAAATCTCCGACTGCCAGACTGGGACCGTGGCCACATAGCCACCAATTCCGAGACCGAGAACTAACCGAGCGACGATAAACTGGGCAAAGTCGAAGGAGGTTGCCATCAAAATGGCGCCGATGATAGATATGAAGTTCGTCACGAAGATGACCTTCCGTCTTCCGAGAAGGTCACCCAAGTAGACGCATGAGAGCGCACCGAAGATTCCTCCGACCGTATAAAGTGCAATCACCGTGCCTATACCCGACGTCGGTTAGTTGGAGCGTATAGCGGTGTTGAGGCCGGTACCAACGAAAGAGCAAGAGCGCGGGAGTGGTCGATCGAGGCTGTACTCACCTTGTATTTGAGAATTTTCGTGTTCTTGTGCGCCAGTTGTGTGAATAGTGTCCATTTTCGGGAATTGCTTATTGAAGGCCTCGAGGGTCAACAACCCTCCCGCCACACTCATGTTGTATCCATAGCAAGTAAATGTCGGGCAGACCACCAGCATGACGGCCGCCCGGAGTAGGGCATTGCCCTGGAGGCCCAGATATGGCTTCAGGCCCATGATCGTATATATGTGATGTTTAAAATCCCCCACGCAAAGAGAAGAAACTTGCACCAGATCGGAGGTAGGGCGAATTCGAAGACTGGATCGCGGGTTGGCAATGCGATCAGGAATTTCCTCATAGAGGTGATATAGATGTTGAATGGTTGTCATGTCCCAGGGCCCCCGAGCCACGTCTAAGTACGACGGGTCACTTTTCGGTGCTCGCCGGTCCCCGTTGATCCACGAAACTGAGCGCGACGGTCGCCCTTGGCGGAGCGGTCGGGAAACCCATTAGCAACCGACTGGTGACCAATGAGGCTGCCAGTGGCTGTCCCAGCGGGCGTCCTTAATGGTTGTTGGGTTTTACCCCACGTCCCCCAGACGCCATGCGGCTGCCTTGGCCTGCAGACCCCAGAGTTGCGGTTTGGTGATGCCGAAGGTGCACTCGTCCTCGATCCCGGGGTTGATGATCTATGACCCGATTTGAGGCCGTTTCGACGACGCTTTGGCGCTTTGGCATTGGCTGGTGGGAGTTCGATCCTCTTGTCCCCATTGCATCCGTGTTTTCCCCACAATTCGCTCTGGGGGGGGGGGGGGGCGGCGGAGACCGGTTGACCTCGGTTACCGCACCCTCTCTGTGCACGCGGGGATCCGGGGAGAATGGGATTGCATCGTTCTCACTCTTTGGGGTATTCCGTTCGGGACCTTTGGTTGAACTGTGCAGCGCTCTCTATCAATCTGCATCCCTGTCGTTCCCGAACCTTATGAAGCGGTTAAGTTCAGGAGAGTCGCGAATAGACTTTGCACCAACAGAATGCCGGCCCAAGCGCTTTCGGCACTGCAAACGCCGCTTAACTATTTCTGTCACTGTTATCGCCGACACCGGCGGTTCTCGGCTTCCCGGACTTTCCTCTTTCGCCAACACAGCGAGATTTGGTTTACGAGAAGCTCCTATGTGATGGAATCAAGAGGTCCCGATAGAGAGCACACCATCCATTCATCCATCTCTGCCCGAAACTAACTGGATCAGCGAGTCCGGTGCGATGCCCTCGATCTGAGACACGGGCGGATTGGGTGCACACTGTACTGCTGTGCTGGAGAATCTTATTCACGCCTGCCAGCGAAACCTGGGGAGGTCGCCGGCCTCCTAGGATTAGCTAACAGCAATAACAAGCTACAGGGCGTCGGATGATACCATGGGGTCGGAGGCCCGGGCAGGGTGATGAGAAATCAGTGTAGCACAAGGCCGACGAGGATCTACAAAGGCTTCGTCGACACGCGGAAATCCTAGGAAGACGGTATGATGGGGACTATGCAGTGGATTCTGATCGACCGTCCAGTCGAAAGAAGGAGAAAGAAGATGGGAGTGGAACACGGCGAAACACCTCATGCGGGCGCTCCCGTCTCTTGGACTTTTCCACCGGCGGCGAAGTCGGAAAAGGTCTCCAGACGATCGGAGTGGGATTGCTCGCGATTATGGGAAGCCATCCTTGAACGATAGAAGACATAATGAAAATGGAGTCCAGAGAGAGCACAACATGTGAAATCCCGAACTACCATAATTGATCCCATGGCAATGATAAAGACGGGTAGGTCGATCAGATACTCCTGACCCCCTGGCCTCTGAAGACAATTTTGGGCTTCGACTGGACTGAAGACGAAAATCGTGGCCTACTGGTCCCTCTCGTCCGTCATCTATACCACGCATTCAGACGCGAGAGCTATCGAGAGCTTGCACAGATCCTCAAGATCTCCACAGGCGCAGAATGAGTCAATTTGTAATTGATTGCTCGCAACTATCTCAATTCTTCGAAATTGCTCAGAAACATGATGGAATGAATCATTTGCTTATGTAAAGATTGCTTTCCATCTGTCACTAGAAAGGAACGAATCGGCTATTCCGAAAGCCATTCACGGACCTCTCAGCTAGATAACCAAACGTTTTGATCCGCACCGTAGCCAAAGGGAATCCAAGAATCATCGAAATATTTCTGCAGCACAGTTTGCGTATACGTCATATCGTCAACACAGTACCCCCCGCCGCTAGGGCCGATATGTGGGCAATGGACATCAGGTCGATACTGGACCATGTGTTCGTGGACCTCGCGGCACAGCAGCGTGTTACGACCCAGCTCATAGCTCTTTCCAAATCGCACTGTTTTAGTCAGAAACTCATAGCAAGTAGAGGTATCTGTGTATTGCTGGTTGGATCCCGTGCAGTACTGCTCATGCGTGTTGCAGATCGTCGTGGCCAACGTATTCGAGACGTACGCAACGGCTTGATCGGACGATGTAGCATTGATCTTGGTCGCAACACTCCCCACCAAGAAATCCAAGAGATATTCAAACCAGCGAAAGACAGCATCGTACTGCGAAATCTTGCCGTCGGCATCAAACTCGATCCATGTATCAATGGTCACTGGAACAAGGACGCCAAATGTCGTGGCGTTGAAGGTTACGACAGTGGTTGCGGAAGCGATATTGTCATTGGCAGCGAATTGTGTGATGCTGTAAGAGATAGGAACACCGACAAGGCTGACATGGGTTGGGTCCGCGAAAAGGCCGAAGATGTATTCGCGATTGAGCTCGTCGCCATCAAAAGTGCGAGTAATGTCAACGCGCCCTTGGACCTTGTGTAGACAAAGGACATTAGTTGAATTTCTCGTCAAGAGATAGGCAATCTAGTCTTACATCAGAAGAGAAGATAGTTGATTGATTGCCTTGTGTCTGTTTCAAATTTGCGGGGTAAAGAAACGAATCCCAAAAGTTCTTTTCAAGGTTCCAGAGCTGGTCATATGTATATTTTGGTTTAGGGTGTTGATTACCAGAAGAATATTTGCATTCAGCGGTCAAGAATAAACATGAAAGTATGAGTTGTAGTGCGATGCACCTTGTAATAGATAATACACCCATCATTGTCACTAGGGTGCTGTTTCAAAGAGCGATAATTAAATGGCAATAATAGCTGAGAGGAAGCAGGCTGTGCTCTCAATATAAGCAGAATAACTTGCCTATGCTTACGAAACCCAAGAGATGCATCAGACACCACAGCGCCACATGCTCACATTTCTGATCAGCTGAAATTCCCAATCTGCATGAATACGAACGAGCCAGGGTTCCCATGCTCTGCTCAAAGACAGCCAACCGACAGAAGCTCACAGGTAGCTATTGGCTTTGGTTTTGTATCACAAGACTATGAGACTATTGTTTTTATGCGGCCTGAGTTTCCTGAAATAAATACTTGTTTCTGCAATACTTTTCTTTTCAGCTAAACCTTCCGTATCGCCGGCACAGCCAGCTCGAAAGCTACATATTCCTTCGGGTAAGCAATTGCCTTGCAAACAATTTTAAGAATCATCTAGGATATTTATAAAGGGCAGATACTACATTTCAGAATTGCCCAATCGGATGATAGACACATGCTCCAGTCCCGCATGTTTAATGGTGGGCCTGGTCTCCTTACAGCCAGCTGACTAGGGGTTAGTGGTTCTTCGTCTTGGCCCCATAGTGGCTAAAGAATGTGAAGCCACTCTAAGGACTTTGGAAGGTATGCAGTTTCCATTCTCTTTTGTTCTTTGCCATATTTTGGTCGGATTTCAGGCTTGTACAATATAAAGAAGAAGAAAGGTAGCTTTATTGCCTAGCTTAATCCATCATTCTTAGCCAAGGTTAGGTCACGCTCTTTTAGTTCTGATCCCATCGCTTTGCCAAGAGATTTGTTCCATATAGAAAACTATGTGGACATCATGGTTCTAGGTCGAACCTCGATTAGATCGTTACTTGAAAATATCAAGTATAGTGAAATTGTTGTTGAAGCTACTTATAAGACTATTCTGTACATGAAAACTATCCTTTTTATGAGAGGTTTCAATGAGAACGTAGATAAGATATGAGCAGCATATTGTCGTCAAATTTGCAGGATCTTGTCTCAACCGACTGGCTTGAAGCAAGTCAATTATTATATTGAGATTGACACTGTATGGATTTGTGCTAGACTGAATCAGCGCGAGCGTTGTCTCATGTATGTCTACAGTGACACAGCAAAAGTATTTAACACACCCGCGGACCCACATACCCTATTACATAAGATTCTGCCAGTCAAAAACTTCCTAATTTCTATTCAACACTACCACCACCACTACTATCTAGTAGGGTGTATACCACCCCTGACTTTCTAAAATAGCTGCTACCCTATTTGGCATTGTCTCGGATAGATGCTTTAGATGTTGAATATCTAGTGTTTCCCACGCTTGCTGCGCTGTTTCCACTAATATAGCCTTTGTTGTATCGTTATTTGGCATATGTATAAGATCAGGCCGAATCTTATAGATTTCCTTCTTAAGTAGTGCCCAGAGATTCTCAATAGGATTGAGATCTGGCGAATAAGGAGGCCAATCCATAACCTGGATACCGAGCTCTGCTAAGGCTTCCCGTACAACGATTGCTGTGTGTGTAGGAGCATTATCATGTTGAAAGATAGAATCCTCGTATGCAAGTAATGTTGGTAGGATACGACGATATAGCTGCTCGATAACAAAGCGGTTAACGCCGCCACGTTGAGAACTAGGGTCTCCGAATAGTGGGATTAAGCCAGTCTTTCGTTCAGCACCCGAAAATGCAGCCCAAAACATCTGCTTAACCTGCTTTCCACGATACGGTAAACCCTGGCATTGACCCTCTCTTGGTTGATTCTTCGGGCGTGTAAAGGTCCACTCCCGTTGTATTCCAATCCCTCGCTCAACTGTGCATTCGTCAGACCAGAAAACACGGCTCCAATCCTCGGGTGTAAAGTGTTGATATCTAAGTGCCCAGCGGAGTCGTTTTTGAGCATGTTCCTCGGTAAGATAGGGCCGCCAGCTGCATCGCTATTTTCGCATATTGTGGGCGTTTAGGAGCCGCCTAATTGAATCATATTTAACCTTATCAGATACTGAAGCAAGAAGATCTTTTTGAGTAACCTTTGGGTTCTCAGCAATAGTGGTAAAGATACGTTGTTGATCATTTTCTGTAAGCTTCTTTGGGCGACCAGAGCGTGGCTTTGATACACCAGATCGACGTTCTGATTCCTTAATAATAGTATATCGAATAGTTGACAGTGGAATCCAGGGATATCGCTTATGAATGCGTCTATATCCCCATTTAATATCATGCAGCTCACATATACGCTCGCGTAGCGCAGGTGTAAGCTCTTTTGAACGCGCCATATCGGTGGTAGTGGTAGTAGTAGTAGTAGTAGTAGTAGTAGTAGTAGTAGTAGAAGAAGAAAGAAAATAGGGGGTCTGCATGCGCGTGTTGAATCCTATTAGTGCCTTACACCGCCCCCCCCCAACCCTTCCGGGTTGTGGGTGCGCCACGCACAGATGCATAACCACACACAGACGCATAATTTTTCCTATTTCCCCTATCTACTACTGCATACCACTAGTATCTATAAAGAAAATATTACCTTCCTGACGTGCTTCCTCTGCTCTATCTAATGATGCCTGGGATTCCTGTGTAGGATCTGGTGGTGGTGATGTTCCATACGCTTTCTTCCACTGCTTCCTTACCCGCTTCCGCTCTGCCTCTGCTTCCTTCTCATTTCTTTTAGCAATAGAACGGTTTGCATCTCTAATAGAGAGTACCCCTGTTTTGCTAAGCGGTGTTTTAACCTGGCGCTTAGTGATTGGGCGCTGTAGTGGTTGTTGAGCTTCCCTAATCTTGCGAATAGTATCGTTCGCTAGATTTAGGTTCTCTATAGCAATCTTGTTATGATGAAATAAACGGTCAAGATTGCGTTGCTGCCTAGGTGTAAGATCTTCTTGTTGATATCTAGCAATCTTCCTTTGATTCTTCTCTAGATCCTGTATAGATCTAGGCGGCGATTTGTCGATACTAGAAGAAGATATAGGTGGTGGTGAAGGTGTTGTATGAAGCGTTGAATGAAGCGGTTGTAGATCTGGCGCTATAAGACCTAGGTGATCTTGGATAGGAAGGCTATTAATAACCTTTCTACTATCGACTGGATATATCCCACGATCTTTAAACGATTCACGAATAATTCGCTGGCTAAACGCTCTATTCCGAATATCACCGATTATTCGAAGGAACTCTAATCTTCCGATAGGGCTTCCACCCTAAAACGCGTAGTCGTTATTCGCTAAGCGGAAGTGTTGCTTATAGCTTAGAAACGGCTTACCGTCTAGCGGCTGGCAAAGATGTGTAGTATGTGGTAGGAATCCTATAGGTAGGATATTATTCTCTTCGCAAAGGTATAGGAATTCGAATGTAAGATACGAACCGTGACCGTCGAATATTAGGATACGTTTTTCACCTGATTTCGTACGGTCGTATATTGATTCTATAAAGAATCGAAGCTATTGAACTGCTATACTATCGGTTATCCAACCGTTTAGCGATGTAGTAATAGTAGTTCTTAGTGGTAGGTTCTCTGTTTGATTAAACCAAGATTCTATAAAGATGCCGTTGCCTTTAAAGATGAACCAGGGTTCTATCTGCCACCCGTCGGCAGCTATACACTCGATAGACGTAATATTTTCGCCTTGGTCTGGCTGAGGAAGGTCTACTATCTTCCTACTACTACTACTACTACTACTACTAGTAGTAGTAGTAGTAGTAGTAGTAGTAGTAGATATAACGTTTCTAGACCTTCCTTCGCCTGGTTGAAAGCCGCATTCATCAAAGTTATAGACTAGACGAGCATGCGTTGTCTTCTTGATCGTTTGGGCTAGTAGATCGTACCAGTGCTGTAATGCTGCTGGATCTTCTGCTAGTATTCGCTTTGATTCCTTCGTATACTGCTTAGTAGGCCCTAATTGAAGATGTTTAGGAAGCCTATTAATAAAGCGATACGCCCACATCTTGCTAACCGACGGCTTCCCGACGCGTTGGCATGCACGATTCGCCCACGCTTCTAGTATCCTAGGAGTGATAGGCATATAGCAATCGTTCATATATTGAATCCAGCGAATCAAGGCTTCTTCTTGATAGGCTTCTAGGGCCTGTTTAGCATTGCGTTTAGCTGTATTAGGCCCTGATCCTTTTTTAACACGGCGATAGAGAGTGCTTTGATTAACACCAAATTCGCGTGCTAAACGCGCTATATTCGGCTTCTCAACGCGTGATGCAGCTAGGCAGGCCTCGGCCATACGAGATTCATCGAACTTAGGCATATTTAGATGGTGGTGTTGGATAGGGAAGCAAAAAATAGGAGATAGGAGAAAATTATGCGTCTGTGTGTGGTTATGCATCTGTGCGTGGCGCACCCACAACCCGGAAGGGTTGGGGGGGGCGGTGTAAGGCACTAATAGCGTGTTTCCTACTGCGCGTTTTTGGTAGGCGGTGATGGCGGTGAGCTATGTGGGTCCGCGGGTGTGTTAAATACTTTTGCTGTGTCACTGTAGATGATTCGGCCGTTTTAGCCTAATCAAATAATAGTTCATTGTTGGGACTAAAGTGTGAAAGTTTTCTTGATTGGTCCACTATTTGTAAACCCTGCTATTTCGTTTTCCCTGGAAGCTGCTAGTAGGGGAGCTGGCTGACAAATAAAATATCTTCTGTATAAGTCGCACGGCTGCGCCGAAAGCTACTTAACTGACTTGATGCTAGTGCTGACTTGATATTTTTGACCTGACTTGATTTGCTCTAGTGCAAGGCTTGGATACTACGGATTCATCGTATCTGCTCCACATGATCAAACCAGTATGGTTCAAACCCTTTTGTGATGGGGGGAGGGGGCGCCTTGTTGTTATTGGCTTGGATACTTGTATACCTCATTTGGACACAATTTATCAAAATCGCCCCATGGGTCCATTACTCTCCATCTGTTATAAATTATCTTCCTTGCGTCCCCGACCTAGCCGACCATCGCTTTACATCTTATTACCTCCCTTCCTGACCTCTAAAATTACAAAGTGATCTTCCATCACAATGGCCAACCTTGAGAAAATCTCCCTCTTGACAAAACCCAAGGCACAGATTAGTTATGCCTTCCACTCTTCCACCTCTACTTCCAGCCCAGCGCTGGTCGTGTTCTTGAACGGCCTGGGACTTCCACAAGTCGCCTGGAATCCTACTATTTCCATCTTGAAAGAAACGAATAAAGATAATGGCACTCCTGCTATGCTCACCTATGATCGATTTGGTCAAGGTCAAACAACCGATAGAGATCCCAATGATGAGAATGCTGCGGATCCGATGCATGGCCATGATACTATGAGTGCAGTGCAGGATCTGCGTCAGCTTGTCACCCAAATTGCTCAAGATCGGATGGAAATTTCAGATATCGCTACTTTGCCTATCGTTTTTGTAGCAAATTCTCTGGGATGCGCAATCGCTCGCTTATATGCCCAGGAATACCCAGGCACTGTGGCGGGTCTATTACTCCTTGACAGTGTCTTGGCCAATTCAGACTTCGTGTCGATATTCCCTGACCCTGACAGTGAAGGTTTTGATGTCAAATCGATTCCGTCGGATATCACTCCAGATTCCCTGCGTGGTGCGCGTGAACGAGCACGCCGAATTTTCCACCCAGACGTCGGCAGCAAGGAGGGGCTGAGCCGGAAGAATTTGAGAGACTTGTTACCTGCAAGCGACGCCCCCGCGCTAAAGGGACCCGGGGGCCGGGGGCCATTTGTCACTGTTGTTGGCAATGACTTTGAGGCCTTTGCAGAGGAGTCATCCAAAATGGGCGTACCGAAGCCAATCACCTTGACGTACAGCAAACCATACTGGCAAAAGTACAACGAGGGATTGGCAAAGATTACGGAGGTCGAGAGGAGCAAAGGCCCTCTTATAGCACCCGGGGCTGGCCATTTTATCCAGAAAGATAACCCGCAGTTTGTTGCACAGGAGCTGGCGGAATTGTTATTGAAGGCGCTTTAAACCAGTGGCCCATTTCAGGAGCTTCTAAATTCAGGAACAATTTTTTGAATTGCTTTTCGCATTCCGCTCCGAAGATTCATATAAGCTGTAGGAGTAGTGATAATTGTCCAACTTTTTGATCGTGCCGGGTCCGGGCAACCTGCTGAGAGGGCTATGCAAGGCGAGGGCTATGGTCAGACCTAGTGCTGTAGATTCACAAGAAGGGGTATCTTGCCCAATTTCGACAGTCTAGAATCAAAGTCCCTGAGCCCCAACAAAGCTTCGACTCCACCGGAGCCGTGGGACTCGAGCTCGCCCGTTGAAGTAATTGATTGCCCCACGTGATGGCGCGACCGTTAAAACTCTGCTCGATCGCACTCTTTCTATTCCCTTGAATCACGTTGGAGCCAAAATAGTCGAAGAGAAAACGGCCTTATCCAGCTACGCCTTCGCACACTAGTCGGCTGAAAAGAAAAATAAGTATGGCTTTTACCGATTCTGCAGCGGCCACGGGCGCGGCCAAGACCGTCCAAGACGTCGACACGGACCACCGCTTGTCTATTCTGTCTGTTGATAACGAGGATGATCGAGACCTTCTCAAATTGGGCTACCGAGCCGTCTTGGCCCGCGGCTGGGGCTCGTTCGATAATTTTGCCTGTTCGTTCTCTGCATTGTACTGCATTGGAGGCATCCGTGTGCTGTTCTATATTGCATTGAGTGCAGGCGGGCCTGCGGCACTGTACGTCCTCCAAAAGTTGGCTGGCAAAGCCATTCCAGACCGAAACTGACATATTACTTCTAGATGGAGCTCTTGGGTAACCGGTAGCATCCTCTCCATCATAACCGCCGCCTGCATGGCCGAGGCATGCTCCGCCTATCCCGCTGCCGGATCTATATATTATTGGGCATTTAGATCTTGGGGTGGCGGACGCATTGGTCGCTTCGTCTCCTTTCTGGTTGCGGCTTGGACTCTCGTCGCATGGACGGCTTTCTTGGCCAGTGATTCTTTTGGTGTCGCGAACTACCTGGTCTCCGAGGTGGTGGTTTTCAACCCGCAAACAAGCTTCCCACACGACACCTCAGACGTGCGTGCACGAGCAATCGCCTGGGCCTTTTCACTTCTGTTTCTTGCAATTGCGACCTCGTTGAACTTTCTCCCATCGCGTATGTACTCCTGGGTGTTCCGAGCAGGAGTCATCGTCATCATCGTTGACATGCTGTTGAACTTTATCTGGCTGCCAATTGGTGTCTCGAAGACATACGGGTTCCAGTCAGCCGAGTTTGTTTTCACGTCGACTTACAACGGGGGCGATACCTCGTCTGGTCTCAACTGGGTACTGTCGTGGTATCTCGTCTCGAGCTGTCTCGTGGGCGAGGATGCGTCCGGTCATGTTGCAGAAGAAACCATCTCCGCTAAGAAAGCTGCCGCGAAGGGAGTCTTCTGGGCTACCGTTGCCTCGGCGCTGTGTGGATTGCCCATCATTATCCTGTTTCTTTTCTGCATGCCGTCAATCGAGACCTTCTACGATACTACCGCGCCTCAGCCGTTCATTAACATGTACGCAATGGCGCTTGGTCCCCATGCTCATGTGGTGATGACCATCGTGTCCATGATTGGTGCTATTCTCAACACTTCGATTTCGCTGGTGGCGGTGTCCCGACTCGTCTTTGCCGTCGCTCGTGACGGCGTTTTCCCCTTCAGCGATGTCCTCTCTCGGGTATCAAAGTCGAAGCAGCCTCATAACGCTGTCATATTCATCTCCACCATCGCCGCTCTCCTTCTATGCACCCAGCTGCCTTCTCAAGTCGCCTTTTCTAGCTTGATCTCAACCTCTGCTGCTGGTTCGATTGCGGCCTATGGCTTGGTCGGTCTGGGCCGCACATTTATCACTCGCAAGACCTTCCGTCCTGGCTTTTGGGACATGAGTTGGTTTGGTGTGGTAGCTGCTGTTGTGACGTTTATCTGGAACGGGTTTGCTTTCGCTGTGCTGTGTGCTCCTCAGTATTCCAATGCTGCTATCGACCAGGATTCGAGTCTGTTCAATTATGCGATCGTGATCATGGGTGGCGTCACTATCATCGCACTTGCAGAGTGGTGGCGAAAGTCCAAGGAGGAGTGGTTCCAGCATCTCAAGGTTGTTGATTCTTCGTCGGAGGCAGACTCCGCTGTTCAAGATGAGAGGACAACCTCTGCCACCAACGCCCCAACTGTATAGGGCGTTGATTTTTTCGGTGATATCGAGACGATGATTTGGAGGAGCAATCAGTGGCTGACGCAATGTGGTGAATGATGAGGGTGGCTGGATTCGTATTCTGCCATTTTGCGGAATACCGGGTGAGTACACCTGACACGACTACGCATGGCGGGTGTTCGAGGCTTTACTGCAAAGTAAGCCTCGTTCTGAGAATTACCGTTAGAACTTGATCTGGACAATACCAGCGAAAGGACATGCATGCTTTGTTTTCCCCTTCTTCCCATCCACGAGTTGTGTCTTGTTCCCTGGACCCTGTCCGGGGCGGATGCTACTGACGGTTTCTGTGTAGACTTGCAGTTTGCTGTTGGTGGGATGGTAAGTGCATCCAGACCAGCTGAGTTTTGGATCTCTTTTGTCTCACAAAAGATGCCCCGGATCCATGATTTGTCCCTGGTGAGTCCCGATGAAACGCTTGGGGTGTGGTTTATGTGAAGCCTGCGCCCGGAGAGCCCCCGACAAGATCCACCGCGCTCTCAACATCCTTTCTATGGGTAGTATTTGGCACAGGCGGCTTCATGATCTGCGCCCGTTCTATCACTGGGTGGTCGTGATGTCGCGTGCTCGGCTCGGTCGGAGGCTTTATCCTGATCCCTCAGCAAACTGGCGTAGTGTCGTAGAAAGAACGTAAATTGTAAATCAAGCCCCATCGGAGCGTTGTTCCCTTGAGCTCACCAGTGATCTCTGCCACCGATTGTAATGAGACTGTAGAAAGCGAGGTTGATCCACTTTGGTCTTCAAGTAGGATGTACAGGGGGTACCCAAAAAAAAAAAAAAAAAAAAAGAAAAATGGAAACAACGGTACTTAAAGCCTTATATTTTGCCGGCAAAATATCATTTCATAATCTGTAGCCTCCCCTCTCTATTTCTTGCTGCACACGTTTAGGTATAGATATCACTAGATTTTCTAGCATGTCCTGTGGTATCTCCAAGCCTATGCAAACACCAATTGAAGATTCTCTTCATTCATCTCCTGCTCCTTCCAACACTCCCCAATTCATTTGTCATCCAATTCTTTATGTTTTCAACAAGTTTAAATCTTGCGAGCAAACGTTCAGTCCACCGAATGTGAGCCTCAGTCAACGAAGCACGCGCCGATAAAGACCAGTAGCAACTGGCACCATCTTGTATTAAGATTGTGTTGATATTATCAAGAAGTAGCTAGAAAGCAAAGTAGCCTATCGCAGGTAAAATATGAGTGATTCATATCTCTTAATTGAATCTACCCTTACCTCTTTGCTGTGCAACATTAGGTCCTTTATAACCACTACCAAAGGAATCCTAGAATATGTAGAAAATGATACCATGTCGATTCTATATCAATCAAGATAAAACCGCAGTCAGAGTATACCATTCGTCGTTAAAATTGATGAACTTACGGAGTAGTAGTAGTAGTAGATGACGTGTGTTTATTTACATATGAAGTCAGAAGTTACTACAGCAAGAAAAGCGGAAGTTGGGTGGTGAGTTCGGTGCTTGATCATTTCTTTGGTACCTACCTCTAGAGTGCGGAACTTGACGTCAAATGTTGAGAGCCCCATACTTCATCGCTCGATCCCACTGATCGACAATGTCGGCGCAATCACCGATCCTTGCCTGTTCCGAACGCCCAGTGACGGGAGAGGGGGCGAGCGGGCCAAGGAACTCGCCAACCTGTTGATTCAAGGCCACTCCATACCTGTTGCCATTTTTCATTTAAAAAATCATCCGTCAATCATTGTTCCAAGTCGATATCGATCCCTTTGTTGAGAATTTCTCACCACTATTGCGTACTTCGGGTACTTCGCGACCATGGCGTTTGCCGGCAGATTAGCCATCCTCCCGGGAGGGCTAGGTAGGGATGAAAAGGCATCGTACAATCCTAGAATTTTCTAAGTTAATTTCTCATTCTAGGTGGACTCGGATCGAAGATCGGCAAGAAATTTCAGCAGCAAGGCGCTCGCCTAGCGATCTTGTATGCCCCCTTTGAAGCTGCTCGACGCGACCACCTACTTGAAGCAGGGTATGGTGGTGGCTCCGACACGGCTGATATCCGGACCTATGAGTGCGACATCACGTCGCCCGACTCAGTGCAGTTGGCTTTTCTTTCACTTCAGAAAGAAATGGTGGCTCCCGATGCCTCGTCTCCCTCCGAAGGTGTCTTCCCCAGTATTCTGATCAACACGGCGGGATATGTCTCGCTAAGTGACATGGAGAGCACGCCTCCCGACGAGACGATGAAGCATCTCACCACAAACATCTTCGGACCCATGCTCTGCTCACAGGCTTTTGCGAATTTGTATTTCGCGGCCTCGAAGATCGCTGAATCGACCGCGCACCCGCCACCCCCAGGCCGAATTGTCAGCATTTCGTCGCAAGCGGCGCATGCTGCCCTGCATCGACATGGCGCATACTGTGCCTCAAAGGCAGGATTGATGGGCTTGACTCGTAGCATGGCGTCCGAATGGGGAGGCCGAGGGATCACCTCCAACACTGTCTCTCCCACCGTAGCTTGGACCGAGCTGGGCAAGAAGGCGTGGGGAGAGGCTTCGGTGCGCGAGGCCTTCTTGAAATCCATCCCCACCGGCAAGTTTGCGCTGCCCGAAGAGGTTGCCGATGCTGTAGCCTTCCTGTGCCAGGTATGTTTCCCTCGTCTATGCATTCATTCTTTCTGTCTTTTTTTCCTTCCTTCTTTCTTCCTTTTTTCCGGTACTTTGGCTTGAGAGTAACTTGTCCTACACAATAGGATTCGAGCGGCATGATCAACGGTGCAGATCTTCGAGTGGATGGAGGATTCACAATTCGGTGATGTGGGCATGGCTGTCTTGTTGGTTCACTTGCAGGATATGGCGGGATGACAGTGTTCTGCATCTCTGATCTTCCCTTTCCCCCGAAGAGCTCCCATTGCGTTCCTGAGATCAATTATAGAAACTTGATTATCATATTCGTCAGGGGTTTAGAATTGCTGTAGTTAATGACATCCGAAACGCTGAATGCGTGGACTTCGAGTGTGTACCTGAGCGATCGACACGAAGGTCGATACAAGCTCGACGCCCCGTGACCACGCGTGATTGTTCGACAAATCAACCTGCATCCGCATAAAGTTCTAACGAGCTTCCAATATCTCTGACTCGGCTCTTGTCAATTGGGATGTGCTGCATACTGCCAGGGACTTTGCAGATGACACGTCGCTGTTGGCTCCCCGCGATAAGCTAAAGAAGCGCGTGATCTGCGCCAACAATGGCGCATGGCCACTAGCGATGACTCTTGCCTTTTCGAAATCTCCCGCTGATCCTCTGGTAAATCTCCATCATGGAAAAGCAACTACCTGCCTGTGCAGGTCCGCCTCGCGCGTGGTCCTCCAGGACCATTCGATGGATAGTCGCAACCACGATGATGGTTGGCCTGGTGGGGCTCCGTGGGCTTTCAACGCCAGCACATCGTTGGGTCGTCCCCAGCTGCCAGAAACCGATCTCGGGTCCAGAGTCGCCCTACGGAGAATTTCCTCGAGAGAACGACCCCTTCCGATTCCTTCCCTGCACGAATACAAGTCGTCCACCGCCCCTTAATGACCCTACTCCGGAAGAGTCATGGGCGGCTCTCTTCGACCCAAATCCCGACCATTGGAGCTGGGGAAGCACCGGCCGGGGTATCTACCTGTGTGGATACCTGGACCTACCCATCGACTATCACAATCAATCCGATCCGCGTATAGTCCGCATTGCGGTGACCAAATTCCAAGTCGCGGGTTTGGCCCACCGCGACGATCGGGAGTCTTCATCCAACCACCGTAGTGAACGCACCATCATCATCGAACCTGGTGGTCCAGGAGGTAGCGGAACATCATATCTGTGGGAGACGGCAGAGGAAGTCACCGACCGCTTCAGCGATGGACAATTCGACGTACTGGGATGGGATCCTCGCGGTGTGAATCTCTCCCTCCCCAGCGGGGCCTGTTTTCCTCAGAATAAATTCCGGGACCGGTGGTCACTCCTCACACTCCAATATCGTGAAGAGGCTCCAGACAATCAGTTGGAGATGGTGGATGCCATGAACAATGCCACGTTCTTTGCCTGCCAGCAGGAATTAGGGGATTTTGGTCGCTTTATCAGCACGGCAACCGTTGCGCGCGATCTCGATGAAATACGGAAAGCGCTTCATGAAGACGAGGTCACGGCATACTTCGTGAGCTATGGCACTGGAATCGGCCAGACATATGTCAGCATGTTTCCCGACCGAGCTGGCCGGATGATCCTGGACGGCACGGAATATGTCAGGGATCATCGCTTGTTAGGCGGCTTTGGTTGGACGGCTCTTGACAATGCGACTGATGCGTGGCGCGACGGGTTCTTGGGCGAGTGTGTCAAAGCTGGCCCGGAATCGTGCGCGTTGGCAAAACCAAGATCTAGTCAGGATGGCCCAGTCACTCTGGCGCAGCTGGAGGCTCGCATGGCCCAGCTCCTCCAGTCACTTCAAACTCGCCCACGATCTGCCTTTACGAAATCAGGTGGGCCCTCCCTCGTTACCTACTCGGCTCTGGTAGAGAGGATTCTCTATTCGGCCATGTACAAGCCGATGAATTGGCCTGCTACCGCCCAGATGCTCTATGAGCTTGAGGCGGGGAATGCGACCTTAGCGGCCAACCTCCTGGACGTGTCGTGGAGTGATCCCACTGAACTACCCTCCTATCCTTCTCTCCCTTCTTCAACCGAGCTCGAGCTTCTCGTGATCTGCGCTGATTCCTATGATGCGCCTCTACCGGATGGACTTGATTGGTGGGACCAGCTGTGGAAGAACATGACTGCTCAGAGCTGGGTGGCCGGCAACTCCCGCTTCTTCTCCGTGCTTCCTTGTCGGCACTACACAACCTATTGGCCTGAGCCTTCTGAGGTGTATCGTGGTGCCCTCAACCACACTCTGAAGAACCCAGTTCTTCTCATCGCTTCCCCCTATGACCCTGCCACGCCATTGCGGAATGGACGAAGGCTCCTGGAGGAGATGGGTACAAACGCCCGGCTCCTTGTTCACCATGGCTATGGACATAGCACAAGGCGCGATCGTTCGGAATGCACCGATCGAGTGGGCAAAGCGTATATCTTGCACGGCATTCTTCCCGAAGATCGGGAATCCAATTGCTATGCTAATAGCAAGCCTTATGTGTGTTCTATTAAAGTTGACAGATGAGAAGGATGCGTGTAAGCAGCCGTGCCTTCAAACAATTGAATATAAATGAACCATGATAGCATAGTACACATTTGGAAATAAGATCCGGTTTCTTTCGTATGGTATAAATACTTCAACTTCAAAACATAATCCGTGGGTCCACTTCATATTGGAAGCCCCTCAGAGCGCGGACGGGCTGCCGAAGCTGGGCCGCACCGGAGAATGTTATTGTTGTATTCCGTCCAACACAACTGCAACGGCAGAAGGTAAGCACTTTCTATACTCTTTCCCACCGTGTTACATGTAAAGGTATGACATTAAGCATAGCAGCTTAGAGAGCCTCAAACGAGTCTGGCAGCTTGGGCAGCCAAAGAAAGGGATCCGCCTCCTGCGTATCTATAAGAGGGGGCCTGATTTAATTTGCGTAAAAACTCCAGTATAGCTTCCCCGTCATCAAGACATCACCACCGTGACTACAAACGCCATGCAAGCCACCTTGTATGATTCGATCTGGGTTGCACCCGCCCCAGTCTCAAACCGGATTCCCCAGAGCCACGCCGGCAAATTGCGGGGCAGATCGGACACAGCCGATCCTGATAAGCTCACCCAGCTGCACCTTGTTTTCCCCAACTTTCAACTCCCATGTCAGTGCCCTAGGAGCTTCCAAAAGCATCTTTCAATAGAGCGAGCATGACGGCGACGACGCTGCGGGAAATCTCCGCACACAATCTGCGCACCTTCAAGCAACATTATGTCTCTGAAATCTCCGGGTCGCTGGGGGACCTGGGGACCTTCCTGCCTATCGCGATTGCCCTCGCCGTGAATGGGACTGTGTCGTTGGCCAGCACGTTGATCTTCTCCGGCTTTTATAATATTCTGACAGGGCTGTTCTTTGGCATCCCGCTACCCGTCCAACCGATGAAAGCTATTGCGGCCGTCGCCATCGCGCGCAGCTTCTCCAGTGGCTCCATTGCTGCGGCGGGTATCTTCGTGGGTGCCTGCATTCTGGTCTTCAGCCTCACTGGACTGCTGCGCTGGTTCGCCAATGTGATCCCGATCCCTGTTATTAAGGGTATCCAGGTGGGCGCGGGCTTGTCGCTGATTATCTCTGCCTGCAGTGGCATTCTCCGTCCGCTGGGCTGGATCAGCCCCTCATGGGCCGACAATCGAATCTGGGGGATTGTGGCATTTGTCGCCCTGATCGTCACCAACGTATATCGAAAGGTCCCCTATGCACTGGCATTGTTTGTCCTCGGTCTCGTCTTTGCGATCATCCGCGCCGCAGTAGCCCTCCATTTACCGCATTTCGAAATCTGGCATCCGTGGATTGTCATCCCGGGTCCTCATCAATGGCGCGTGGGTGCAGTGGACGCAGGAATTGGCCAGATTCCACTGACAACTCTGAACTCTATCGTAGCGGTTGTTCATCTGGCGAACGACCTCCTGCCAAATGTTCGAACGCCGTCAATCACACACATTGGACTCAGTGTCGCTGGCATGAATCTGTTGGGTTGCTGGTTTGGTGCAATGCCTGTGTGCCATGGATCGGGTGGTCTCGCGGCACAATACCGCTTTGGTGCGCGCTCAGGTGCCAGTGTGATCTTCTTGGGCGTGCTGAAACTCATTATCGGTGTCCTCTTCGGAGAATCTCTGGTTGATTTGCTGCAGCGCTTCCCGATGGCATTTCTGGGTGTGATGGTCATTGCTGCCGGCTTAGAGCTAGTGAGCGTTGGTGAAAGCCTGAATACTTCTGGTGCGAGAGACCTAGGCCAGCCCGCCAGTGGGATACTCGGCCATGCAGAGCAGCACCTAAGTCCCGTCTTGAGCGATGAAGAGCGCCATCGTCGCTGGACGGTCATGATGGTCACTGTCGGCCTGCTGGTTGGATTCAAGAATGATGCTATTGGTTTCATAGCCGGCATGTTGGTCCATTGGGCCTATGAGATCCCTGGCTGGTGGGGAAAAGCTCGCAGCCGCTGGTCTCAGGGACGTCTCCGTCTGCGCTAGCCCATGCATGTCTCGTGTGCGTCTTTAGGGGAACAATTTTTACCAATCATTTCGGGTACCCGTATATATTCTTAAGATTTTCATCCACATATAGGTATGATCATATATGGCCTTACCTAACGGACTGAAGGTGATCGTCATTTGCAAAATTTCAATCATCCATGCTAGCAGAGGAACTTGTGCATAGTATAATCATGACACCTAGCATCTTCATTTCAAATTCGATTTTGAAAACACCCGGTTTCTTTGTATGGAAGATGTCAAAATGAATATCACCCCCCCCCCCCCCCCAATATCCTTGTATTGGCCCTCAAGACCCTCACTAATCACAACATAACTTCCGATAGGTCTGGGACTCTTCTTTTGACTGGAGTATCTGAGATATGCTGTATGCAGTTGAAACTTCTTCTCATCCGCCTCGTGCTGTAACTTTCTCACCTCGTCGGCAGGGTGCTCCCTGGCTGCTTTTTCCACGGCTGCTCTGTCCCATCCCACGAAAAGTACCTAAGTCCAGGGCCCAGAGGATCTCATGTGATATATACCAGGGATATTGCTAGCAGCTTCAAGGATCAGCCTGGCGGTATCTTCCATGAATCGCTTTAGGTAAAGCTCAATGCAGATGTCTTCCTCAAGGTATGCCAACAACTTCATGTGCTTTTGTATAGTCAGGTTGGCCATCAGACAAGAAGTAGTTTTCCGCAAATAATTCGGGTTTCCGATAGAGTTGTTGGTATGTGCTTCCTTTGGGCCGGAACCTGATCGCACTTCCCAGCCAGGAGAGCAGCGCGCATCAATTTAGTCCCGTAGCCAAATAATTTTTGTTTTTCAAACTGTACACCATAGTGTATCAGCTGAAAGCGGACGAAATTCCGATTTTCTATCAGTTTGGACCGCACTCCACGCGCGAGCTTTGGCAAAAACATGGCCCGGAGTTCAGAAACATCCTTTCGCGTGCAGCGATCACACTCTGTAGTGAAATTGCCAAATGCTGAGACAAAATTGTCAGGATGAATAGCACCAAACTCATCCGCATACATCATGGTCGGTAGCCGTGGAAAGAATAATCCTCAGGAGTGACGTGCAGCGCAGCCAATATTCACTTGGATGAGTTAGCTCAGTTGTCCTGCTTGAGGATCGATATGTAGCGGTTCACCTGGGAAAGGAAAGGACTTCTATGAACTAGAGATGAACTATTGGAATCTTGTCATGCTTGTGTGATTGATTTGATTTGAAATCTTGAGAATAAGTAGGGGTGGGGTGAGATGCTTGTGAAAGGTCAAAGTGCAGAAGTGAGAGAAGCCACCGTAAACAAGGGCCTGTATCTCTCGATTACCAACTGAATCAAGTAGGACTTAAATAGCCACAGCCAAATTGTTTGACCTGATACAACTTGATATTCAGACCTGGACGATAAGATACGCCTGTATATTGTGGAGTGGCTACTTTGTAGATAAGGCAATTCTCTAATAGACTAAATTCGGGTTTTAGATTATTAGGAATAATAGGAATTATATACCTCAATAGCGTTTTCTATAGTAATAACAGCTGCTTTAAGGGCCAAATCCTGTCCCTTTCGCTATTAGTTTTATACGGAGATCGTTAGGATTTTAGTAATAAATCAATATGTATTTCCACCTGCAAAAAGAAAATCTAGCGCCCTTTGTTGAAAAGGGCAACTATTCCTATATTCTCGATGGCTAGTAGACATCTTTGAATCTAATCTCTCCAACCGTAAACTGGGTTGCCCCTGCTGCTCTACACACTAGGCTCTGGATTTTCATCCACGGTTCCTCCGGTCTCCCTGGCAGCCTACACAATATATTCTGACGCTCCAAAATAAGGTAGATGCTTGCATGCTCCTTTTTGCTCTTGTGGGTACAATAATGTCAGAAGAGCCGTCTAGCACCCGGCGCCGGGGTTGGCAACGGTAAAAGGGCTGTCTTTGCCCCAAAGACTCAGAATTGTAGAGTAATCAGGCGGGAAAGCGGCGATTTGGTACCCTTTACTGTATTCACGGGATTGTCAAAATATGTACTGTACGTTATGAGATTAAAGTATCAGCATACCCTCCGTTGTTTGCTCTGAAGCCTCGTGCCACCTCGGCAGAAACCGGGGGCAAAGTGTAAGTATTCACGGATGCGGAAACAACGAGAGGTGCCGATCCCCCAATTGGGTATGATGCGTTCACTGTTGGAAATGCTCCAGAGTAATTCCAGAGACTGAGGGAAACGGTGGACGACGGGTCATCTCTAAGCATGAGTAAGTAGTCTCGTTCTGTAAGTCTTCTAGAGCTCTGCACTCTTTCGGCAGTCACCATACGGAGACGTAGTCCATTCAACAATCACAGGCTTTGTGAGATCAATACATGAGTTTGGGGGAGGTTGCTTAAAGGCAAACCCTATGAGAGTCAGCTAAAGGAAGTGAAGCCTGTCCATGATATAAGATTACCGTTAGTAGTGGCAGCTAATGCCACAACAAAAGGTATAAAGAACTGCATGTTTGGAATCTGATATTTTAATTTTGATTTCTAGGAAGGTAGTTCCTGATGATGGCCGGCGGGCTATTTTATAAACTCGCTCTAGTAGGTGACACGAACTTCGTATGCACTAGGCTTTCCACGTTCCTGGGCAACGATGCGCTGACTATATCTTACTGTTAGGCAAGCTCTTTACGCAAGCCTTCTGCTTCAGCTGATTGCAATTTAGATTCATGTCTTCTAACATTTATCAATAGTAAGTGGCAGGCTAATTCGTTAGTTAATAGAACTTTAATATAAGCGATCACGTAACACGACATGGATCATGCTGTATCGCGTAACGGTCGAAATCTAGGCATTCATCACCCCTGATATAATTGGCTACTTTTTCAAATGAGCACTTCTCAAAATCGAGGTTCCCATGCTACCTTTGAGCTTCATGGCGTGTTCAGCGTTTTAGATTCACCTGCAACTCTGACCTGGCCATTAATGAATGAGCTCGAGAACTCTTAATTGGACACAGAAATTGCATACATTTTGGATGGTGATATGATTATTATTACCATTACCTAGGACCAGTATCCACTAATATTGTGGTTTTATTTTCTGGGCCGGTCATGAGGCTCTGGATAGCTTTCTGTGTTACCCAACTCACGACTACGATCTCGGTCACGAGCTTACCAAGGCTGTCTCGAGATCAAACTAGGGACATCCTGGTGTTGAAGAGATTGTTATGACTAGAAACGTCGAATGGCGATGTGGACAATGTTCGAACCATGGGAAGCTGAAAAAATCGGTCGTAGTATATGCAAATACGAGTCGAGGGTAGGTTTGAGGTAGCTCGACGTCTCCCCTTAATCAAGTTTCACAATCGGATAATGCTAACATACAATAATGGTTTCAGTAATAGCAGATTCAGGGGCTTGTCTTGACCGCTCAGGTGTATAAGTCATTCCTACTAAATGATTCCCCAACAGCAAGACCTAGCACAAGAACAAAAAGTGCTCTATTTATTATATAAATTTCCCCCTAACAACATACAAAATCAATTTCAGAGGCAATCAAGAATCTTCTCACATAAGTTCCGAAATATCAACGTCATCATCCCGCTGCAGCTTGGTTCCTGTGCTGGGATTATCATACTGGCTATGTCGATGCGCTATAGATGACAGACCCGATGAGTCTACATCAACATCCCTATGTATTCTTCGTCCCGCCATGTCTCGTAATTCTCGGTGATGCCGGGATGAACTACCGGTGTCGTAATCGAAGTGCTGATCGAAGGCCCCAGTTGACGAATCGTATATCGTACTCCCAAGTGGTGTCAATCCAAGATCGTATGAGCTTTGGTCTTCTCCATAATCATCCGCGAGCTGGACCGTCGATCCACCATACGCACTGCCCGCATTGATGGTTGATGACCCTGACGAACTGTTATCGTCTAGATCTGTAATACGTCTCACTCCACCCGCCAAACTACCCTCCGGCCCCGGTAATGCAAGTTGCTCCTGCCCTGTGCTATCGTAACGATGCTCTTCAATAACAGCTGGCTCGCCCAGGTCCTGACGTGCCGTACGGATGGTGGTAGTGCCGTCTGGCTCAGTAAGGGACGTTGTAGTGTATCGGTGTCCAGTTGTTGCTGCACTTCCATCATTATTGGTGGTGGAGCTGTAATAATAAGAGGAGCTGGTATAAGAATCAGACATTTTCTTGGATTTCTTGTAGGTTCATATATGATAGAATATATGAGTGAAATGGACTGAGGTGATTGAAGACTATCAGTTATTGGGTATGATCTGCGGGTCGAATAAGAAAACTCTATGGCGTGTAGGGTAGGGTATTATATGCTTGGATATAGATTCAGTAATTCTTCTGGAATACTTCGATCATATATAGTTTGCTTGGTGGCAAGCATGAGCGAATTTGCCATCATTGCCTTGAGTGGCAACCACCTCGGTTGGCAGAGGTACCTTTGAGCCCCGAAGTAGAAGACGGGGCAAAAAGGCGGCAAGAGTAACGAACCCCACCACAAGCACATAATAGGCCTGTGATTGACTTACATTGAGAGTATTATGAATCCTAAAGTGGGGACCTTGAAGTTCCAGATCGGAGAGTTTGCTGCCCGAGAGTGCGTGGTATGGGTGTCGTCTATGTCATCGCGAATTAAACAACCCGAAGAGATTGCCACGCAAGTATAATTGTGGGGGAAGAAAAAGATAGATTAGTTGCACAGTATGAACTATCCTTTTTTCGCCAGTTCTTCCAGTATTGAGGACTTGTAACATCGAATTTTGGTCATTGAAACCACTTGAAGGGTCACATTGAGATATATGTATATTTAATCGCTGCTCCGTATGAGTTGTCCCGACCAAGAGATTATGAGCAACAAGAAAAATATCATTAAAACAGCGAAAGAGGCTATCATTAGATTGAAGATGTTTCAATGGAATTGGCATGAGTGGCTCAGCTTTGTATCTTGAAGACTACAAATGACTGCGTCATAACCAACGTAACTATTGATTAATAAATCGCGGGAGCTCTCCTTCGACCTTACGAACTGGATTTAACAAATGAGGTTGGTCTTCGGGGTATGACATCTGGTTGATTACTTCATATCTGTGTTATTAGATGTTTGGAGATTATTACTTGAAAAATATAACAATTAATGATGATTTGGGAAAAAAAAGGTACGTTCTGTCAAGCCATAGGAAGTTGTAGTCAATTGATATTTATCGCACTCAGCCTAATTTCCTCGGCCGTGGAGGGAATCCTATGAAACTATAATCTCCTTGACGCCTGTTCCTGAAATCTAGAGAGAACCCCGAAAAATGCTCATGACTCTTGAAGCTTTTGACCCCTTACTCATCGTTCTGATCATCCGAGTCACTGGTGACCAAACCATCATCGACTTCCATCTTCTTCATCGCAGCATCGCCATTGCGACCTTTTTTCTCTGCAGCGAGCCATGCTTCACGTCGCTTTGTCTCACGTTCCTCTTTCCTTGCTTGCCGCAGGACCTTGTCACGATGAGAAGCTTCCTGCTTCTCATGCAGCGCATTGATGTAATCCTGCAGCTGAGCAAGGTCCGAGCGTAACCGCACAACCTCATCACTGCTAGCATGTCGAGCAGTGTCATTGACTGCCACCTTCTTTTTGAGCATTGCAACCTCTGCTTCCAGATCTGCAACGTGGTTTTCCTGTGCAGCTGTGTCTACATGGTTGCCTGTAAGGGGGGAGCTGCAGCAGATACAACATGGGCCGAATTGGCGCCACCTAGTTGGCGGAATGCTGCCAGTTCAGCAAGGCCATCTTCAATCATGGAGTCCGGGAAAAATGCATGAGTGAGAGCTTGAGAAAATTGGGTCGACTTGCGTGATTTAGGTTGTAATGGTGCGACGATGTGTGAGTGAAAGGCATACTCGGCTGGCACAGCCCCAGGGGCATGCGACGGATCTGCGAAGGCGCTATCATGACGAGGTTTGACGATGGTGTGAATGGTTCTCTTCAACTCCTGCGATGAGCTAGCCAAACCACTGGGTGGCAGCATGACCAAGTTTGTAACCGGATGGGTGTAATCGGCAATTGAAGATGAGAATTTCCGGCGCGAAATGTTCCACGACAGCACCTTACCACTCTGGTGGGCCGAGAATAAGGTAGTACCGTCGTACGATAGTCCAAGAGCTTTAGCGGCACCTGAGTCGGCGGCGGGTGGGAGCCATCGGTCCTCGGTAGACACTTGGGCAGGTATAGATTGCAGAGAAGAGTCATGAAGAGGGTGTTGAGCAGAGGCGTTTCGGTAGAAGTCGACCGATTGTACGCTGCCGTCTTCATAGCCCACATAGAACGCCCGGTCAACCGGGTCAAGAGCCACACATGTCGCAGAGAATGGCAGGAGGAATGTTCGTAGAACTCGTCCAGTTTGGTAATCCCATGCAATCGCTGTGTTATCTTTGCCTGTGGACACGACGATATTGTGGCGGCCACTGCTATGTCCGACAGCTAGAGATGTAATGGCCGCGCGGTGGTTGGAGAAGGTTCGTACGGGGGAGTTCGAGGGCTGTCGGTCCCGGGAAGCAGCGGGCTTCGAAAAGGAGAGGATATTCGGCAACGACCAGACGTGTATGCTCGCATCAGAAGACCCAGACAGGATGAAATTGGAGGTGGGGTCGACGACAAGCGAGGTGACCGGTTGCAGATGGGAGGCCGTGGTCGCCACTTGACGTCCGGTACATGTCTGAATTCCCACCGGAGTTAGATACGCTGTGATACATCATTCTGTTCGCTCGGGTCTAGAACCAGTCATACCTCCCAGAGTATCAATCGACCGCCCTCGGTTCCTAGCACCAGCACGTCGCCATACTTGCCGCCAGCTACGGCTATGCTGCGAATTCGCTCGGGAAAGGGCACCAGGGCCTCCTGATTTCCTTTCTCTCTGCTGTAGACATGGACGATTGCCTTCTCGGCCTGAGCGGAGAAAATATGTGACGGGCTCACAGCCAGACAATTGGGGTTAGTGGAGCTCTTCTTGAAAGCCGATCGCAGCTGGGGGGATGGCTGGAATTCCTGCAGGCAAATCCCGACATCACGCAGCGTGGCTGTCGGAGTTTTACCGGATGACAGCGTCGACGCGACAAAGGATTCAGAAAGCATGGGGAATGGGGCGCGGTGCATGAAATATGGGGGGGGAAGACAGCTTCCCAGCCGCGTCCAGTTTTTTTTCCTTTGCGATAAGTCGGATTGCACGATAACGCCTGGTTTGCACTGTTTGCCGGCCGCCGACCGGGAAATGCGCGCTCTCGTCCACGAGCGAAGTGACCAGTCCAAAACTCTAGTCCTGTAGAATCTGACCAAGTGGTCATGCAGGTACTTTAATTTTACATAGCGAGCCTGAAACTCAGATCTACCGATTTCGCTACGCCCCGCTGGGCCGCGATGGAGACAACGCGGGCATCAGGCGAGACCTGTCATTCTTCGGGCGGTGGGCTTCGCGGTGTAAGAAGCCGGCAGATTGGGAGATTCGAGGTATACGACAAAGCGCAACTTCTCCGCAGGATGACAGGGCCTACAGCAATGCCTACAGGGACTGTGCGTCATATCGTCTTCATTTTCTAGGGAATAGTCCTCGGAGTCTAGATGATGCCATGAAGAGACAGGCACCCATGCCATGGCAAAGCATTTTTATATTCGAGTTTCAGACCGCTGCCAGGCATGAGCAGCTCCGATGCAAGGGGCCTCCCTCAAACCCTAAGAAGGGGTCGCGATTGCGAGCACGACGAGACACAACATGCAATACATCCAATGAGGACCCGCTCTCACACACCCTATCGGCGATCCTATGGCCCTTCTCAAGGGAGCTGATTCGCCACGGTTGCTCTCTCCCCCTCTCTGCATCCCATTTGTCTCATTCCGGGGCTCCACCCAGATGCTGAACTATGACGCTGTTAGGCGACGGGCAACAGGCTTTCCACGTTGACGGGGGCCTGCAGGGACAGTGTGCCCATCGAGTCTGGATCTGGAGCCAATCAAGGCTTGTCCAGGGCCTTGGATCCTACCTTTCGCGGGAATGCAAGGATGATGCGAGCTCATTCTCGGTATTATTATGATGGCCCGTGCCGGAGACGAGTTGGGATCGTTGTATCCTGGAGGGAGAACACTTCAAGAAGGGGTGTCGCTCTCCGCTCGACATACCTGGGCTTTCCCCATGGCAGGGTTTCGGACGTCTTGCCTGCCAAGGGATGCACGATTCATGCCCTGGTGACCCTATCTTCATCTGGAACAACTGCACTAGCGCCACTCTGAATGTATAAGGACAATTTGAGCCCCTGCATAGGCGATGGTTTCTTCTGTTTTGACTGATTATTCTCGTTGCCGGCTGCATCGTGTTTTCATCTAGGTAACTCTTGTGCAACACCTTTTTGCTTTTTCGTTTCCTTCGATCTGGAACTAAATATTGCTTCACCTCAAAAGGGACCGCGCCATGTCCGCCATGGACTGCGGCACCGCTAAAATGCCTGCCAGCGCGTGCTTGCCGGCTCGAATTCAAACTCATATCAGGAACCAGGGCTCTCATTCGTCTTCTTTGAGCCATGATGCCATGACTTATGAGGAACCTATTCCATCGCCACGGAGATGGTCGCCTACATATCAACCACGACGGAGAAGCAGACAAATCCCACCGCCACTCTCGTTCGCACAGTCTCCGGCACTACCCCGACTGGAAACATTAGAACTTCCAGCAACACTACCTCGTCGACCAGGGGATCGCGGCCCCATAATATCGCCATTTCGGTCGGTGCGCCGAATGAAAGAGCCTTTTCAATTGATGCTACCCAGCTCGCCGGCATCTGCTTCCTCACCAGTGTCAACATCCTGTGACGGCGCACCGCCATTTGCTCCTAGATCCATCAGATCGTCCAAGGCGCCGGCCGGTCATACTCTGCGAACGTGGCGGTCGGACCAGAACCTAACATCAGCAAGCATGGCTGCATTTGGTCTGCTTCCCAGTCCTCCAATTTCCGAATCTAGACTTGCAAGCACGGGCCCCGAATCGTCGTACTTTGATTCTAAGAGTGACGAGAAGGCCGAGACTGAGAGCATCGCGAGTGCTCCAGATCCCCCGGATGATTTGCTAGAAGACGTTCCTCTCGAGAGCCACGAAGACGACAAGCTCTCTTATCAAGTCTACCGACCTCCCGGGTGGCAGGAACCCCCGATAGAACAACGGCGAACAGATGTTACAAATGTCCATGAGGCACATTCAAATCTCATTCGACAGTGCAAAAACGCAAACGAAATCAACTCCACAGACAGGAAGCCCGACAAACCGCCCGTGACGGTTACTTCACCTAAGTCGGTGCCTAGCACTACGGAGCCAATGCCAGAAGGCTCTCCCAGACCTCAACGGCCAAGAACCACGACTGTTTCAAGCGAAGCGAGTTGGATTCCAAGCAACTTCTCTTACTGTGAGACATGGCTACAAGGAGTACCTTTGGATACCCTCAATGATAAAAACAACAATCCCAAAGAGTTTAATCGTCGAAAATTCCAGATTGTGGAAAAGGATCCGCCAATGCCGAAGCCTGAGGTAATTCCCGGAGCGCGGGCTCTAGATGAACCAGTTGTGAGTGCCTAATGCCCAGCTCTTTGAGTACCAATTTCTCACCCCATCTAGAGATTTGCTGTCGCTAGCAAACCAAAACTTGTTCAGATCGCTCGGCAGTCGTCTCCGTCTATAGCTCCCTCGCCATCTATAGCTCCGCCCCCGTCTCTAGTGCCACAGAACGTCGCTGTTCCGATGACACCGGATCACCGTCAAGAAGTGTCCGCTTTTAGTCCAGACACTCCACTTGAGATGTCTGACAGCGGTTACGGTACACGGGAATCCGGTTATTCCATGGACAGCTATCCGGACAGCAAAGATGACGACGCCTACACTGATCCAGGGTCTTTGACATCCGATAGCGTGACTTCCACTGTTATTGGTGAACAGCCGGACTTTGCGCAGGGAGAGCGCGAGGCATCACCACAGCCAGAAATCCGATCGGGCAGCGTTAGCCCTAAAGCCTCACTGCCCTGTCATTCTCCTCGGCAGCCCTCACATACCTCCGATGATGATAAAGGAGAAAAACAGCGTGTATGGGACCATGAGTGGACTGTTGATGACCATGAATGGACTCTGGATGAGCTCGACCATTCCGTTAAGGACTTTCCTCGTCACATGCTGCGCCTTACATCGCCTGTCATCGTTTTTCTACGAAAGAATGACGAAAAGACTCTTCTACGCCCTTTTCGAACTATTTTCCCTCAAGTTGCAGAGAACCTACTCGACTGTCTCTGTGCCGCACTCCTTGCACGAAATTACCTTCTTTCCTTAGCCACTATCCACAGACGTAAGCCGTCTATCTCAGCCAGAAATGATGCCTATGCAGTGGACGGCATTCCAACCAAGGCGTATTCTACGCTTGGCATCCAAATTCCCACCGCCTCTCCAGGCCGAATCAGTAAACGAGCTCTCGGCTCTCGCTCTTCAGAGCTTTGTCGTGATGTCGAGCGCATCGTGGACAACCTACTGTTCGCTATTTGCGGGCGTTCAGATAGCACTTTGAAATCTGCCGTTGAGGTCTTGGCTCAAGTTCTCGAGCACAACTTTCATTGAATCATTCCCTATTTTCCGTTTCATTGACCGTCTCCCGTCTCCTCTCCCTCAAGGCATCTTCACCTGTCCTTGCCTATTCACTTTCCTATTCTAATCACCCTTCGAACATTCATTCTACCCTTCGCAAAGGCTTGTTCCTTCCTGAGTCTTGATTTTGCCAATATCTCCATCGACGTGTTTCTTTTTCCTTCTTATCTTCATACCCTTGCATCGCGATTCGCTCCTTGGACGTGCATTTGTCTCCTGATGCATGGAACCTGTACAATCAGTTTTGAGTAGCATAATAAAGCATAATCATAATGATTCCTAGCTATCAATACTTGGTGTACATGGCATAAGTGTTCGAAAGAATAGAGTTGGGAGGAGAAACCTCAGTATCTAAACTGCCGGTAAAGTTCACCGGTTGATAGTCGGAAGCGATCACCGATGGACCCGGAACAATAATATACCGCCGATCGGCCAAGCTGAGTCAGGATGGTTTCCCGCGGGATTCGATTCGACTGCTATCTTTCTCGTGGTCGTTGTCCTGCTCAGTTCTCAACACAACGCAACCGACCTCATGGCAGCACCGACACGAAGTCTACGACACTTGTCGTCTGTGAGAGCGAACTTCTCTCCAGCGACCACATCCTTTGCTTCCACCATTGGCTACAGAAACTACGCCACCACCGATGCCTCGTCCGCTACCTCCAATACACCGTCGGGAACCACACGGCGGCGGGCAACTTCCTTCAAGGACAAGTTGAACGCAGGTCCTTCGTTCGCAGACTTTGTTTCTGGTGGCCAGGATGATGCGCCGCTCGACCCCACCGAAGCCTATGCTCTCAAGACCGCTATGGTCGGACCGGCCGGCCGCAAGAAGGAAATGACTCGCCTACCCGAGTGGCTGAAGACGCCGATCCCGGATTCGAAGAACTACCAACGATTGAAGAAGGATTTGCGTGGATTGAACTTGCACACTGTTTGCGAAGAAGCTCGGTGTCCCAATATCTCGGATTGCTGGGGCGGTGACAATAAATCTGCAGCCACGGCTACGATCATGCTCATGGGCGATACCTGCACTCGTGGATGCCGTTTCTGTAGCGTCAAGACCTCGCGTACTCCGGCACCCCTGGATATCCACGAGCCTGAAAATACCGCAGAAGCCATCTCGCGCTGGGGTCTTGGCTATGTGGTTCTGACGAGCGTTGACCGAGACGATCTGGCTGATGGTGGCGCGCGGCACTTCGCCGAGACGGTGATCAAAATCAAGCAGAAGGCTCCCAACATTCTTGTTGAATGTTTGACAGGCGACTACCGGGGTGACGTGGAGATGGCCGCTTTGGTTGCCCGGTCCGGCCTGGACGTCTATGCGCACAACGTCGAGACCGTCGAAGCCCTCACCCCGTATGTTCGTGACCGTCGTGCCACTTTCCAGCAGTCGATCCGCATTCTCGAGGCTGCCAAGGCTGCTAAGCCCGATCTTATCACCAAGACTTCTCTCATGCTTGGTCTCGGTGAGACGGACGATCAGCTTTGGGATGCCTTGCGCCAGCTCCGCGCCGTGAATGTCGACGTTGTGACTTTCGGTCAGTACATGCGTCCTACAAAGCGCCACATGGCTGTGCACGAATATGTGACTCCGGACCGGTTCGAGGCCTGGCGCCAGCGTGCTCTGGATATGGGCTTCCTGTATTGTGCCTCGGGACCTCTCGTCCGGAGTAGCTACAAGGCTGGCGAGGCATTCATCGAGAACGTGCTGAAAAAGCGCCGCGCGGGCTCTGGAGCCGCGGAGAGCACCGTTGACCAAGCCGCCATTGTCGATGAGGTGACTCGCTGATTTCATCCTCGTGTTCCTAAATCACAAGGGTTGGAACAAATGAATTATAATTTTGTATGGCAAGCAAAACCCTTTTCAACCTCATTTTTCCGCGGCGGATGGTTTATCAATCATTCCACATCGTTCGGCGTTGGCTTTGCATTGTTTTGGTTTAGGCTGGCTGGTTCTGGGCTCTCTTCTTTCTTCATGTCGACCAAGACTTCAACATTGGTCCTTTTTTTGGTATCACCATCAACGGTTTCAATTCTGTACACCTGATCAATTACACACAGGCTCGACATAAGTTGCAATTATGTCAAAAATAAAGACATCTACATTCTTCAGCGTATAGAAAACAAGTGATGTTTTCAGGTCATCAGCCTGTGCAATGAATAAGATAACGGTCATAGCAAATACATGCGCGCTGATGGGTATACACATCCGGAGATGCCCTTTGGACTCCAATCCAAAGCTGACTGTGCAGATGTCGTAGCAAATAACACCCGGCAAAAGCAATGCCACATCCGCACACCTGACTCCCTCCACGTTCCTATTTCCTTCTGCTCAAAAGCCATTCATAACTAACTCCATGCTGCTCAAAAGAAACGTAAAACGAAATGCTGATGGTGGCCTTCACATAGTGCAGCTCGTGTTCATGCTGTGCAAGGAAGGCTCTGAACCAAGTGGACATCGGCCGTCCAATAGAATGGGACGTAATGGGTATTGCGTGGTGGTCTATAGCACGCAGGGAATAGACTTTACTGTTTTAGCATGTAGCCTAGTCTCCCTTCATCGTATCTCATTTCTTGTCCGAGGACAGCTCAGCAATGTCATCGCTGTCAAGACCGAGCAAGTAGAGAATATCAACCAAGCTCTCACCGTTGATGCGAGTGGGAGCTTCAAGCTGAACCTTAGACTTGGCGCGCCAGGCAACACCTAGGCCAGCAGTATGAAGCATCAGAAGGTCATTGGCGCCATCGCCCACAGCCATGGTCTGGGAGAGGGGAATGTTGTGCTCCGCAGCGATGGACTTCAGCAGAGCGCGCTTCTGAGCAGCGTCAATAATCGGCTTGTTCGGGACCAATTTACCAGTCAAGGTCTGAGTTTCGGGGTCAATCTCGAGCTAAAAAATAATGTGAGTATATAGTTGCTCAAATTGGTGCAAGCCACTTACGTGGTTGGCAACAGCGATGTCAATCCCAAGTTGCTCAGCAAGCCATTCCGCCAAAGGCTGGAAACCACCACTGAGAACAGCCATCTTGAAACCGAGGGATTTCAAGGCACGGCAAAGTTCTCGCGCACCGTTCGCAATCGTCAAGACAGACTTGAGCTTGTCGAACACATCAGCCGGAACGCCCTTAAGTAAGCCGACACGCTCGCGGAGCGATGCGGAGAAATCCAGCTCTCCATTCATGGCCCGCTCGGTAATATCCTGGAAGCAAAGGTCAGCTTCGACGTCTTTCGCTTTAGTCGGGGTTGATTGTCACTTACGGAAACCTGTTTTTCCACCCCAATGAACTTGGCAATTTCATCAATGCATTCGTTGTTAATAAGGGTGCTGTCCATGTCAAAAATGGCAAGACGCTTATGTCGGCGGAACACGCTCTCCTGCTGCAGGACCACCTCGACGTTCCACTCACGCTCAAATCGCCAGATACTCTCGTGCTTACGTAGGTCATCGAATGACAGGTATGCTGGGTCCGGTGGCGGGGAGAACGTGACCTCCACGACGCGGGGATGCAACTGGCGATCCAGACAGCGGTGCGAGGTGTTTGTACGCTGATACGGGGTTGGCAGGGATTCGAGGATCTGGAGGAAGTTGGTCAAGCAGAGCTGCGAGACGAACGGTCCGTACAGATGATCCAAGGGCTCGGGCTCGGGTGCCGGCGGCTCGCGGGGGATCTTTTCAATATCGTCGGTCGGCGCAGACCCCTCAGGAACATGCGGCGCGGGGAGCTTGTCTCCAGGGATCAGGCTGGGCGAGACATCGGGGTGGAAGTGGGGGTGAACGGGATTGGAGGACTTGTAGAAGATGGTCGCTACGATACGCGCGGTGCCCTCCGGCAAGGCGTTTCCGTTGTGGTTGAAGATGCTGTGAATGACGCCGCTGTCGGTGACACGCTCTGGGTCCGGCTTGATCGGATTGGTCAGGGTCGACAGACTGTCGTCCAACTGTGCACCCAGGACCTCGCCGATGTTCTGATTGATGGCGAGCGGGACCGGTGGCTTATACTGTTGATGGTCCTGGAGGAAGGAATTGCTGCGCATCTGGCCCAGCGAGGGGCGCTGGCGAGTATGAGTTGAGTCGGCCATGGAGGGTTTACAAGAAGATAACAGAGAGCGAGTACGGTCCTCCTGCGGACTTTTGATCCCAACGAACCCCTCCGCCTCCAAAAAAAAACGTCGCTGATCGGCACGTGGCTGGGGGTCCACCAAGATCACATGATGAAATTCTTCTAAGTATCACGTGCCTATTATTGTGATCCGGTCTTGGCACGTGACTCACTAGGAGGCTCCATCTTCACCGCCAGGCAGAATGGAAACAGGAATATCAGAGATGGCGAGTTGTGGACGAGACGGTGGAGGAGCAGACCCAGCAAGCTCTCCGCCACTAGGCACTCCACCATGACATACAACGTAGATCATACTACCTCCTGCTTGATCGATCGGGTAACATCCAAGATTTGATTCTCTTGTTTTCGGACCTGATTGCTAATCGGATTGCTTAGATAGCAACGGGCTTAAAAACTTCTTCATGGGGAATCGACGCATCAGCGGAGATTAGATCAACCGGGGAAACCTGTCCGGAGTCTCGCGGACTTTCACGGAAGTGCATGAAGCCCGGAGTACGACGGATTTATCAGCTTGAAACCCAAGCTATACTGTTTCAAAGCTAGCTATGGCTGGGGAGCCCAACCAAGCCCGAGCAACATCCAATCTCCCGTCGCGCCCGCGGCTCCCAGGAGCTGCGGGTCGCCACAGGGACCACCAGTGCAGGTATTGCGTGATTTTGGCTGGTGTCAAAACGCACTGAATTTTTCAGCAACAGCACCGATTCGGCAGGCGGTGATCAGCAATGTCGTGATCGTGCGGCAGAATGGACGGCAATGGAAGGCCGTCGGATGAGATGCCAGGCACGAAGACCCGAGATGATGTCGTGATTGCCCCTGCGCTTCTTATATTCTTGCCATTGTCATTCTAAAGGTTCCATCCTCAAGCTTCTTGTGGTTACCCCAAGCCCAGTACGGTGTGAAAAGATTCCTATTTGGAACATTATATCATTCTATTCTTCTATTCTTTCACATCGTACTCTCCCATTCTACTACGCCCCAAAATGCCGGCCAAGATGCCTAGCAACTACCCCTCCGATGTCGAGAATGGCATTGACTCTAGGGATGCCATGACCGAGTCGGGATACGTGAGTGGTGGCTCAAGTGATGACTACGTCCCGGAGATTGTCTTCACCAAGCCTCATCTTCAGTTCCTCAACCGCCAGCTGCAATTCCTCGAGCCCCAAGGTATGTTTGGCGTGATATCCCATGAAACCCCCCTTCCTGCTCCCTCAATTTGGGTGGTTGAGGATCGACCCCGCTCCTGGATATTCAAGGTCTGACTCAATATCATTAGATATCTTAAGATGGTGCATCACATCTCTCCCTCACCTTTTCCAGACCACTGCCTTCGGGTTAACTGGTCTGGTTACTCTGGATATGCTGTCCAAGCTGAAGGTCCCCCGCCCCCAGATGGTCGACCTGATCTTCCTGGACACGCTGCACCACTTTCCGGAGACCCTGGCGTTGGTCGACCGAGTCCGAAAGCGTTATCCTAACAACAATGTGCATGTTTACAAGCCTCTGGGTGCTGACACTGCTGCCGAATTCGAAACCAAATACGGTTCCCGTCTCTGGGAAATGGATGACCAGCTCTATGACTGGGTCGCCAAGGTCGAGCCCGCTCAGCGTGCCTACCGTGAAATGAATGTCCATGCTGTCCTCACCGGTCGTCGCCGCAGCCAGGGCGGCAAACGTGGTGATCTTGATGTGATCGAGGTCGACGAGGCTGGCCTCATCAAGATCAACCCCATGGCCAACTGGTCCTTTGACCAGGTTAAGCAGTACGCCAAGGAGCACAACGTTCCCTACAACGAGCTCCTTGACCGTGGCTACAAGAGCGTTGGTGACTGGCACTCCACCCAGCCTGTCGCTGAAAACGAGGATGAGCGCTCCGGTCGCTGGAAGGGTCAGCAGAAGACTGAATGTGGTATTCACAACCCTCGCTCCAAGTACGCGCAGTATCTCATGGAGATGGAACTCAAGCGCCAGGAGGAGGCCTTGACACAGGCACTGCAATCGTCGCTGTCGACGGCAGCTGAGTGATTTCCTTGTCTTGCTCTCTTTACCCTCCTTCCGTTGCATTCCCCTGGCGTTTTGTACATGATACCTCTTCGGCTTGAATAATTTCCCTTCCTTCAGCGCCCTTTCCCCGATCGACGATCGACTTGATTCCCGCGGAGCTCGCATCTCCAATAAAAGAAATGAGGCAGACCATTAACACTGCCGGTTCTGCATGCCAATTCCCCTACCACCTACCTTGTTGTGGATTTTTTGTATATAGGAAGTTCGGCTCCACTCTCGGACCTTGCGGTCTGCTGAGACACGATAATGACCCTTGCATGATAGAAACAAAAGAACAACCCTGTTATTTCGATTCAAAATTACATGAAATATGAGTAAAAGTTTAATCCCGTGTATATCTCTTGAAGTACATCCAAAACATCCGATCTTCTGGTGGGACGTTGTTTTGAGGAAAATGATCACGTGAGGGGGCAACCCTAAGTGAGGGGGCCTTGTCTAACAAACTCCCAGGATTATTATTCAGGACTCCAGTGTAGCTCTAGTCGCTATTTACTATCTTGTTATATCTTTTGTATAACTTACACTGAAGGGCTATTGAATCCTTCGATCCAATTGGATTCGAAGAGAACTTGAAGTGCACTTTTTCCACGCACTCATCGCCTGAGCATACCCAAAGCAACTGGCTTGTCGCTTGTTGGCAACATTGTAGCCCCGAAATGGTAATCAAGGTAGTGCTAAAGAAAACCTTCCAAGGATTTCCAGATAGCAGATTTCCAAAAGTTTGATGTCTATAAGATGAATATTCTACAGAATCATTGGGCCCTTGAACGCGCAGCTTTCTTGCCAGCGACCGCTATAGCCACGTCCAACGCATTCTGACTGCTCTTCACACTTGCAATATTCTTTCCGGCAATATCAAAGGCCGTGCCATGCGCTGGAGTAGCTATGACGACCGGTAAACCCCCTTGCACAGTCACACCGCCATCAAAGCCAATGACCTTGAGCGCGATCTGACCCTGGTCATGGTACATGGTGATGATACCATCGTAGTTGGCGCGCCCAACAAAGATCGTGTCGCTGGGGAATGGACCCTTGACGTTGATTCCTCTTGACTGGGCAATTTCCACGCCCGGCCGGATCTCGTCGATCTCCTCGCGGCCGAAAATGCCATTCTCGCCGTTGTGGGGGTTCAACGCGCAGACACCGAGGCGGGGGCTCTCGATGCCGAAATCGGATCTAAGTCACACATAAGTATCTTGGTGCCTAAGGCGTCGTGGAAAGGCTCCTCACAGTAGATGATGCAGGAGCTCGATCGACTCGCAGACCGTTGCTTTGGAAATTCGGGACGATACATCTTTCATGGCGACGTGACTGGTCACCCGTGCCGTCCATAGCCCAGGGATTATATTGACCTCGCTTGTTGTTCCTTGATGGTTGAGATGCATTGCAAACCAGCGCAATTCGTCCTCCTCATGCATGCCAGCCATATGAAGAGATGTTTTGTTAAGAGGCGTAAACACAATCGCATCTGCTTCATCACGATTGACCAGGACTACCGCCCGTTTCAACTGATGTAGTGTTCGTGCTCCTGCTTCCTTCGATATCTTTCCTCGTTGGATTGGTATCTTGGGGGCCGTTCCATCATCCAGAATATGGACATCATCGGGGATGAGGACATTCGCAGTAGCCGCGGCAGCTTCGACCTCAGATCGGTCCGCGAGAATTAGCAAGTCTGCACGCTGTCGATTCCAGGGGTCTGCGATGAGTTTGGCTGCTAACTCGGGGCCAACTCCGGCTGGGTCGCCTAAGGTGAGGGCGATGCGAGGACGGAATGTGGCCATTTGGGGCGGTTAGTCTTCTCTTTTGATCGGTCGGGTATACTCATATTTCATCTTCAGCAATAGCGGGATTTTACATTTAATAGATCGTTGATTTCACGATCAAAATTGGCCCATATGGTCTTGATGTGTAACTGTGATTGGCGTCCGTCGGCATAACGCCGGTCAAGTCCGTGTCCGTCAGTGCGGAGTCCCGACAAGATGCGGGGAAGCCAGCAGGGCTCAGCATCGAGCAACATGCCTAGCGACTGAATTATCGAGAGGTTTTGGGAGAATCGAGCAAACAGGGAAGTTTTATGGAAATCATCAATCTCGAGTAGATTGTATGAGCTCAATTATCGTTTGCAAACTCGCGCGCTCTTCATCCATGAGAATGTAGCAAGGCTAGCCGGAACGCATGACGATGAGGTCTGGCTAATCCTAATCCTGGTAGAAGGAAGTTAGCGGACCCAAGCAATCGCTTCGGGTGGCCCAACCCTCGAAATTCAAAAATTCTCATAATATCTTCCTTCTCTTCGTGCGCATCTAAACGTTTATCATGGAAAGCTACTCTCCAAATAGGCTCCCTGCCACTGAAGCACCCTCGCCTCCGAGAAAAAGACCGCGAAGGGCCATAGATGACGGGAGTGACATTCAGCCATCGCGCAAAGGAACTGCTTGCTCCACATGCCGCAAATTGAAGGTCAAATGTGACTCCGCAGACCGCGGTATGGGCAGTTGTTCGCGCTGTCTACGACTCCGGCTGAAATGCGTCAGCGAAAAGAAGGTCTGGATCAACGCCGAGCCTACGGAAAAACAACACCATCAGCCATACAATGTTGATCTAGTGAAACTTGAAAGAGCTCTTGAAGATGTACTGGAGAGGCTGAATATGCCGGCACTGGAATTATATTCACAATCAGAGATTGTGGAGCCATCGCAATCGCCTCGGCCGACGAGACAAAATTCCCAGGACTTAGTGTCTACGACGAACAAGGCACAAGAAGGAGAACTCTCGCCTGGTCCAATGGGGAGTCTGATTGAAGCAACCAGGTTGAATGGACTACGAAGCCAGCTCAGGAGTGGCAAGCAGCGGCGAAAGGGGGGGATGAGAAGGATGGACTCGGATCTAATCTCAGAGCGGATTCTAACCTATGAAGAGGCGGGGGAGATGCTGAAATTGTCAGGATTCTTTTAATTTCGAAACATTTGCCAATTAATAACGGACACTGATATGACCTCATGCTATAGTTTCAAGGCCGTCCTATCGCCCTATCTATTCTCCGCCACGATCTCTCAAGATGCTACGCTGGAATCTCTGCGCACCTCTTCCACCGTCCTATTTACCGCCGTCATGCTCGTCAGCGCTCTCCATATTCCTGGTCGTGAATATACACATGAAATTTGCCATAGTCGATTCTTAGGTCTGCTCTCCTCCGCCATCTTCGATCGTATGCACACCTTAGACGACATCCGAGGCTTATGTATCGCAGCCTTCTGGGAACCGGACTTGAGCTGGAAGTTGAGTGGTATTTGTATACGCATGGCCACTGAGCTCAATCTTCATCACGCTTTCTACGAGGCTTTTTATACTTCCGATATTAGTGAAGACGCGCGCAGGGATAATCTTGAAAAAGCAAGGCTGTGGTATCTGCTGTTTGTTCTTGATCACCAGTCGAGTGTTGCATACGGTCGCCCTCCAGTGATGGCGGAACTTCGACCGATCAAGGACTTTGAGGTCCTTCTCAACTCACCCTGGTGCACGCTGTTAGACCAAACACTAATTTCACAGGTGACTGGTCTGGTCATCCTGAGCAAGGCGTTCCAGACATTTGGGTTTGAGCCTAAAAGAACCATGGGCGGAGATGATGCGTCTGTCCTGAATCATTTTCGCTTTACAGAAGATGCTCGCTCATGGAAAGAGCGATGGGATTTGCGAATGCTCAGCCTTGGCGGAGGTGTCGATCTTCATTACTACTTTAGCGAGCTAGTGTTACATTCACTTGTGCTGCGAGGCAGGCCTCTTGATACACTTCACGATCTGCCTACAAGCCTTCGGCCTTTGACTCTGAGGGCAATTGAGGCCGCGCATTTGCTCCTCCAGCAGTTCATCGAAGAGCCGGGATATCGCGATAGTATCGTTGGCATGCCATTATATTTGCATTCCATGATCGCCTTTGCCGTGGTGTTCTTAATGAAAATGTCAGACCGCTGGCAAGTCATTGGAATTACCATAGACCCTGCACAAAGAACTCGGCCTTTGGTTGAGAGAATTATCAGATTACTTCGGGGCTGCAAGGCCGGGGCAAACCATATGGTCTTTAGCATGGCAAATGGCTTTGAAAGAATGCTGAAACAAGCCTCAAAGCTCGGAAAGTTTCAATCGACGGGGAGTCCGAAGGCAACCAAACGTTCAAATACGTGGGCAGATACCCAAAGATCACAGCTGAGTCGACAACAATCCGACATGCCGGGGTATCTTCTCGGCCAGCAGCCCTTCCAAGAAAATGTCAACCCTCACACAGGGCCCGAATATCATATTCAATCGACGCCCGACGTCTCCCCTTACAATAACTGGGGGTTTCAAGACGAAGAGCTATGGAGCCTCGGTATGGGATATGATCTTCTTGCGCCGGGTGGAGAAGGCCTCGCAAACGCAGATTTTCCCTTTTTTTTAAACGAGGACAACCAAGTAAATTTCTGATCAGTTATAGCGCGGATAGGATGCCTGTCTATATAGTTTTATTATTTGGCATTTCCACTTAATGGAAGTGCTCTGACACGGAAAGGGCATTATCTAATTTCTGAACGAATCCACTCGAATACCATCCCTCCAAAGGCCATCCACAATAGGAATATCACGATTTCCTGGTCCGATGAGGTTGCCGTCCTTGTCGTACCGCGGAAGCTCTCCGAGCCAGCCCCAGTGGCATCGCTCCTTTAGTCCCTGGTTTTTCCAGTCATTGATATCCTTTTCTGGTTGATGATTGAATATTGGTAGGTGATCCAGCAATGCTGTGTCATGTGCAAGGCAGACCATGATATTGGGGTCCGCGTCAAAGTATTTCTGCATTCCCTCTGTAGTCACCACCGCAGTGGCTGGATCTTTGTAGGTTGAATGTTCGTGGGTAGAAAGCTGGTAAAATGGGGTCGTTTTCGTATTAACCGAACTTCCAACTTCCCGTAATTGTGGGTGATGGCCCAAAAAGAATTCGCATGGACAAGGCGCAGGATACTTTTGACTGTTCAAAAGTGATTCCCCAGGAATTTTCTCCGGAAATGGGATCGCCTCACTTGGTCTAAAATCCCCCGCAAAATGGCAAATATCTCCTCCGAGGAAGACAAAAGTGTCCGGGGTTGTGCGCGCAAGAGCGCATAAATGGCCCGGCCAATGTCCAGGAGTGTCCAACAAATAAAGCGAGCCATCCCCATAAAAGTCTGTTGCTGGAAAAGGCCCAATATATAAATCAGTGCACCCGATTTCTATACAGTTCCGCCCCTCGAAGTCGGCCGCATTGAGGTTGGAATTTGAATTCTCAGGGTACGCAGGGAATGGGCCGGTGCCCTTTCCATAACAGAGGTTCGTAGAGGAAGGGAACAAGTATGGGCTTCCCATATGGTCCCAATGACTGTGCGACCAAATTATATCATCTTGGGTTGATTTAGAATTTCAGGCAGCTTTTCAACAAGTGCTACAAGTCTTACTCACGTACCTATCTCGCTCAGCTTCAAACCTTGTGCTTGTAAAATCTCAGTCACATCCTTATCAACTCTGACACCAGGAATTGCGGCTTCAATTCGCGTCAAGGTAAATGGCGGTGAATTCCAGTAGTCTTTTCGAGTTCCCAGGTCGAACATTGCCTTTTTTCCAAGTCGCTCATTCTCGATCAGGAAAGCAACAGTTGTCACGCTCATGCGCTCATGCCCAGGCATTACAGGTTTCACAAAAGAAAATGCATGAAGTGACATGATAGATGTCGTGTCTATCATCCGCACACGCACCGTATTGTTTGACGATGGTGGCGGATTAAGGGCGCTCACCCCAATTTCGGGGTTCATAGTGTTTGAGGCCAGAATGGGGACTTGGATTCTCTGAGAGGTGCGACTGATCTATATTAAAATATCCAATGCGGGGAAATCAATTGGCTAAACAATTTCGCTCCTTAGGTGGACTTCAAACTGAGTCGGAGTTGGTCGGGGATGATCGGGCATGGAGTCTCAGTCGGCCAAACCCCCGGTTACAAAGAATAATGCGAATTTCCGTGCCGGGCAAACACCGCCGCCGCGGGTCTGCGCACGAGAGTGGATCCTTCCACATGGAATCCCCATGGGGTAGTTAGCAGGATTTCCTTCTGTATAACTATGGACAGCCTGACCACTCCCAATACCCCTTTTGTCATCATGAAGCTCAATTATTCAAAATCACAGCTACAGACGAACCGGAGAAGCCCATTATGATACCTCAATATAGCCATGTTGAAGTTATGTCAGGCAACGGAGTTAATCACAATCCCTATGATGTTACCGAGATGGAACTCGAAGCTGGAAAGGATCCGACTGCCAATAAAGCAACCGAGTATACCAAAGAGGACGATGAAGCTATGATAGCATTGGCAAATTATGACGGCCGGCCTTTAATTCTGGATGAAGCGACGAACCGAAGATTGCTTCGGTCAATAGACTGGCATTTGATGCCTATATTGTGAGTTGCTTCTTCCAACTTGAATAACTCCCCTTTCTAATATTTCCCAGGTGCTGTGTATTTGGGCTCAATTATTTGGACAAAACAACATTATCATACGCTAGTATCATGGGCATCAAACATGACCTCCATCTTGAAGGCGACGAATATCAGTGGCTTGGATCCATCTTCTATATTGGCTGGCTAGCCTGGGAGGTATGAGATCGTGACCTCCATCTTTATACTCATATCGCTAATATTCATTATTTAATTCAGTATCCTACAAATCGACTCCTACAACGTCTTCCGCTCGCCAAATATTCTGCTTTCTGCGTTTTTACTTGGGGAGCAATACTGGCCCTCTTCTCACTTGTGTCAAATTTCCATGGTGCTGTTGCCATTCGGTTTCTCCTAGGAGTCTTCGAAGCCGCCAGTATGCCGGCATTTGCTCTACTTTCATCACAATGGTATACAGTTCGGGAGCACAATCTAAGAGCAGGGCTATGGATAAGTGCAAACGGATGGGGTCAGATAATCGGAGGTTTAGTAGCGTATGGAATCTCTCGTCGGCTTTCGGAAGTGGATAGCTCTATTGCAGGGTGGAAGCTCATCTTCATTGCTACAGGCTGCTTCACTGTAAGCTCCTATTTCCGTGTTAATGAATTTACTTACTGATACGGCTTCTGGTAGACATGCATTGGAGTCCTATTTTTCTGGATAATTCCGGATTCTCAGATCAATTGCCGCTGGTTGAATAAACACGATAGGCTACTTGCCATCCAACGTGTTCGAGAAAATCAACAAGGTATCGGTAATAGATACTTCAAGTGGTATCAGTTCAGAGAAGCCTTTTTTGACCCACTCAACTGGGCACTTTTTCTATACGGGGTTCTTTCAGATATTCCCAATGGAGGTCTTACGAATTTTTTTAGTCAACTAATCGTGAGTTTCGGTTATACAGAGCAGCAAAGCCTTCTATACGGTATTCCAGGAGGCGCTGTTGTGATTATAGCATGTCTCTCTAATGGCTGGGCTGGCAATCATTTTCAAAACCGAACTTTATTTGCATGTATTCCAATGATTTTTGCACTGATTGGTATCATTCTCATTGTCGCTCTACCTATTTCAAAAAGTGGAGGCGATGGCTACAACATCGGTCGATTGTTCGGTTATTATTTAACGCAGGCAATCCCAGCCACCGGTGCAACTGTCCTGTCTTTGATCTCGAGCAACATTGCAGGCTACACGAAAAAGACGACCGTTGCCGCTCTTTATCTTATTGGCTACTGTGTTGGAAATATCATTGGTCCACAGACATTCAGCCCCAGCGATGCTCCTCGATATATTCCTGCCGAGATCACGATCATTGTTTGTTTTGCTTTGTGTATTTGTGACTTACTTTTCATCAATTGGTGGTGCCGTCGAGAAAATAAAAGGAAGAACATGATAAGATCAAGCCCAGGATACATTCGGGTGGAGAACCAAGGGTACAGTCTCACGCTTTTTCATCATGCAATAGGGATACTGACGTTTTTATAGCTGGCGTGATCTTACAGATAGAGAAAACCCCGAGTTTATATACGCAGTGTAAGCTTGTTACACACCAGGTAATGAGACAGACTTCGTCTACATTTTGGATTTTCAATACCACCCCCGCACACCATTCAGTTTACCATTGAATCAATTTATGTAGTCTCCGATACTTATTAGCTACCACAAAATGGGACTTAAATTCCCTTCCGCAAAGCCATGTGTCTCCTGCACATTTCAAGTTGAAGCGGGGAGCACCCAGGTGGTCACTGATTCAGCTGGAATATTTCCACTCCACTCTTCTCCGCTTTCAGTAGAAAGAGTAACATAAACATCATTGCCAAATGTGTTCTCAATAACAACTGATCGACTTCCATCTGGGTTTAGTGAAGCCACAGACTGTATGCCTCCTCCATTTGAGTAAGTGTAGCTACCGCTACCACTCAACACGATCGCACCAGGTGGCATAAATTTGCTGAATTGTGCCATCATATAGTAGGCAGGATTGAAAGTATATCCCCCATTGCTTATGGTGACTAGACCTTGGCAATTTGAACATCCACCGCTAGAAAGATGAGGACCATCATCAGAGTTAGTCCCAAGAGTCCATGCAGTGACACCGGATGCCCAGTTCTGTAAGGGGCCCATAGTGAAGCCAACTGCCTGATTCCATGTACCTGATGGAGTCCAACACTCGGTCATATATTGTTTAACATTGGGATTGGTATTGTGGAATTGGGTGAGTACGGTCCAGTCAACATTTGTCGCATAACAATGCCATGCGACAGAATCAACGTATTCACCGGCATTATTTATAACAGTCTGGGGATATGAAGCGACATCTATTAAATAAGTTAACCCAGTAGTCTCTTTTGCTGCGATTAAACGACGTACCAGTGTTGTGGTCATATGCCCAAATATCCGTATCAAGATTCGCGTTCTTTAAAGCAGGCCCAATGTAGTTCTGAATCAGCTGTGCAGATTCGTCCGCATAGACATACATAGTAGGATAGCCTGATTGACTGTTCAAAGGCTCGTTCTGGATCGTGATGGCGTCGATGGGAGCGCCTAGGCTTTTATAAGCCTGGATGTACTTGACAAAGTACTGGGCGAAGGCGCTTGCATATCCTGAACTTCCAGTTCCTCCACTGAGGTACCCATCATTCAGATTGTTGTTTGTTGTGGTTCCATCTATGACTCCATTCAACTTCATCCAACCAGGAGCACTCCACGGAGAACCGAAGATTTTCAAGCTAGATTGCAACGACTTCATCGAAGCAAGCATCTTTGCCATCGCAGTTCCGCGATCTCCCAAATTGAACCCAGTCATCGATGGATCAGCAGCGTTTCCATTGTCATCGTATGTATATGCCGGGTCTCCAGACAAATCAGATGCACCAATCGTGTGACGCATCAAACTGAAGTCTGCACCTGAAGAGGTCATCAGATCATTCAAGAGAGACTGGAGGTCGGAGCTGGATAGGGTGTTGAAGGAAGTGACGGTGGCATCGGTGACAGCTGCACCAAACCCAACTATAGTCTGCTTGTGGCCAGAACTGGTATCATCGACGCTCAGCTTCCAAGTTGACTCTGATCCGGGACTACCGGCACCTTGAACGGGCGCAGCAACCGAAGAAAGCTTATAGTTTCCAGCGGAGTTGGAGCTATATGCCGTCGCGGATCCAGCCCTTTTTTGTGCAGCATAGCTAACCGCAGCAAGACTCAATAATGTCCAAGCGGCGTATACCATTTTGAAAGACAAGTAATGGATTTCCTTTTCTGTACAAGATAATATTTTCAACGGATTGACAAGCAGAACCCACAGAAGAGAACTACAAAGTCTGGGGGGAGTGGCACCATTTTATAGAGCTATGCATGATCTAAAACGACCGTAAATTGTCCGGATTTTCAGCCAGCACGCCTGATTCGCAAGGAAGCTGACCCACGCCCTAGGCCGATGAGAAGCATACCAAGAGTCCAATCATCATTCCCTAAAAGCCGGACATGAGTACTAATGCGGCATTTCACAAACTCTCTGCTGAAGAAAATCATGATGATGGATTCCAGCACAGGCGTTCCAAAGCTTGTTCCTGAATTGGTGGGAGTGTTACCCTTCGAAGCAATCCGGAACTCCGCTGAAGACCCTGCTCCACCTCCCCGCAATTCCCCCCCTCAGCCACGGCGCAACCTGACAATGCTACGGCATGCGGAGAACTAATAGCTCAATAGTCACTGAGGGCAAGACCTTAGCGCATCACGTTCGGACATAACTTGCCAGGAAACCCGCTTGGTAACTTCATTCTGACTGGCTGGGCCGAATAGGGAAAATGGTCTATGAGGCGCTCGTTCTCGTATTTTTCCATCTAGTTATCCACTCTACTCCTTGTAATAAAACGATCTCTCTGACCTGCAGAACTCAACGCAGGAAATGATCTGATGAAATCAAATGCCGAATCTTGACCAAGCTCCACTCAAAAGACGAGAATCTTAACACAGTATTTCCATTCTCCCGTAAAATCCGGGCAGTCCACCGTCTCGGCAAATCTGCCTGCCGATCGCCTTCACCGGGATGACAATGAGTAAATTTTCAATGTTTCCTAGCTGACTGGTATTCGTAGATTAAGCTGACGGGAATCTAGAAATAAAAGATTCTCTCACGCTCAGCTAGGGTCAATTTTCTGCCGCCTTGGATGTTCTCGGGGTCCTATCATATGCCGAATAGTCACCAGATAACGCGTGAGATTGTGATGAAGCCAACGGCTTTGCCAAGGTCCATTGAATTTTGGAGCCTGCGGTTCGCAATATTTTGAGAACGTATAAAACAACTTGACAAATTGATCATGTCACTTCTGATTCTTGAAACAAGATGGCAGCTCCTCAGTATACCATTGCCCCTTTCAGGGAAATCGAGCTAGCGTTGCTAGTAAGTTTCACCTTCTCGATGAACCTTGCCCTTGTCATCGCCCGTCCTATAATTCTCGATCAATCCAATGAGCTTCTTCAAAAGAAAAGTGTATACCAAAAATATATACCGAAGCCGTCAAGACAGTTTTTGAAGACCCTTTGCTGGAATTTTTAAGGTGGTTGATAACGAGTCCAGAGAAACAATCGGTCCCTTTGTGCTATGACAAATAAAGTCATCAAAACAGGAAGTGTAACAGCGCGAAGGACCGTTTAATACTGATCGGCGTCACGATGTATCTCAGAATACCCCAACAGAGATTCATCCCGGCCGTTTGGCGAGGTTAGCAAGGCAACATCCATCATCACACAGGTAATAGAATCAAACAATCATCACGGCAAGTGGTAATATACTATTTTATCCGGCACTTCTAACCTATAGCTGAGATATTTCTTACATGTGCGTGAAGCCCACTGCTTAGCGACATGGAGTTGAGTCCATGTTGGTTGAGGTCGAATTTGGCAGGGAAAGGACGACTGGGATCCCCTGGGATGTCTCTTCATTCGAATTCTTCCAGAATCTTGGATTCAAAAAGTCGCCCAGGTCGAGATCGATGTGCAAAAGCATGCACCAACTCTCCCGCTATCTAGAATGATACATCCGTCATAATCTTTTTCTTGGAGGACCGTCAGTTAGCCTTTCGGGGGAGGTCCATGACTAGAAATCTCTGACACAGTGCGTAGAATAGGTAGCTAAGTTGTTAAGAGAATTCCATATACACAGCTTCTTGCGGGACTTCAGAGAAATAGTAGCAGTTTTACATTTCAAGTGAGATTTAGATTGAATTAAATAGATATCTCGTCATGATAAGACAAGTTCAATATGCTGGATCATACTTAAATAAGTAGAAATAGGTGCGCAATCCTTTTTGAATCATGAAAAGCATGGTGGCAAGACGGGATATCAAAGCATCAGGCTATCCAGGGAAGGCTCGAACTCTCGAAGTCTGAATCACAGGAAAAAACCAATCTTGATTGTTCCTGAAATTATATCAAAGCTGATCTTGTGCTTCGCTAAATATACATTAAAGAAGGTTGGATTGAGGAGGTCTCCCCTTTTAGACTATCATAGCTACTTCGATGTAGACGTACCAAACATATCAAAGAGGGGTTCTCCTCTCGGGACTACGGAAAAGTGATGAATCAGGGTGATAGTTGGTAATCGAGTGGATTGATTGCTTGGTTTCCATTGAGTGAATGTCAGATAGCGCTTTGAGAGGGGAGAGAGGGTAGTATTTAAACCATCTAGTATCTTTCTTCTTGTCTTCCCTCCTACTTTGTCTCTAAACATCGCCATCTCACCACGATCATAGCTTGGAAGAAACTTCTTCTACTTCCGTCTTGACAGCAAGCTTCATCCATCAAACTTCCTTTACTGCCATCCTGAAGATGTTGCATCCTACCTCTCGTTCGAAATCATCTAGAGATATTTCTCCCTCAAACACGGCTCCAGCCACTCGCCACGATTTGATGCCGCCTATCTCATCTCCAACGATGGATGATCCTGATTTTCGGCTTCCCTACCTGTGGGCAAGACATGACGAAGAGCCCCGCGACCTCGTCATTCGCGAGCGAACAGCACAACTGGCCCACGATAATCCCTATCAAAAGCCTAGTGAAAATCACCACAGCCTTCCTGGAGGTCTTCCATCGCTGACTTCAACTGCCGATGTTCATAGAAAAAGCAATTCTGTCCATGATAATCCCCTCATGCTACGCCTGCCCCCCATCCAGTTCAAGACCCTATCCAGTTCTGAAATATCTTCATCTCCAACACTCATCCTTGAAAGCCCTGTCTTCAAGCATTCTCCAGAAAGCTTCACTGGCAGCCTTGAGACTACTGCAAGTCCTGAAAACAGTGCTGTGAAGGTCCAGAAAGCGGAAAACCCAACAGTTTTTGATGAGAAGAGGAAACTCATTCCCATCTGTGAATTTTCATCTCCATGTCGCATGACTCCTTCGCCAGATGGGATGCACTTCCGGAAGGTTGTCTCTCATGTTTTCGGTCGAAACAAAGCTTCCACCAAGCTCTTTCCTGCTAGTGTCTGGGTCCATTACTGTCGGAAACATTACCAGCGCGCCCGGTATCGAGCTGACCAGTGGCCATTTACCCAGTGCGAGCTCCTTCTCGAATCTCTCAGCCGTATGGAGCGTTGGAATGGTGTCGATAGCTTTGAACTCATTCTTCGTCGACGTGAGGTGATGCGGGTTGAAGGTGAGAACCGAGGTGCCGTGGCCAGAAACACAACTAGTTCATCTGGGTTTCTTCAAACTGGCCGCAAGCACCCAACTGCCATAATTTCCCCAGTGCCCGAGTGGCTTCGTGATTATGTCGGACACGGAAAGTCTTTTGGGGAAATTCGAACCATCATCCTCAACATCCGGGAGCACATGGTGCGTCTACGAAAGAAGGAAAAGAAGAGCAACCATGAAGAGAACGAGACGACAAATGAGTTTGTTCAGACACATTCCGCCAGCAACCGTATCCGGAACAGTGTTGTTCGCTTTCCAGATATCGAGATCCTGCCCACCTTCAAGAAATGGGTACTGGACGCTGCTTTGCGACAGCGGGAGACTGTGAAGGAAGCCGAGAATTATTCCGTGGATGAGAGTGAACACCTTTCTGACGGAACTACCCAGAGCACTGTGCAGAAGTATGATGATGTTGTCAACCATGGGCCCGAAATTGGACGTGCGGGCGTCAACCAAGGCTCGTCACAGAGCCAGCGCCGGCGCAGCCAGCGAGGATTCCTGCATATGGTCAACCGTGTCACACGCCGTGGTTCTGTGAAAAAGCCGATTGCGAAGTAGACTTTTGGTTGTCTTTTGCAGAACTTGATTTGGAATGTGGAAGACTGTTGAATGTGTATCCCAGGACTATCGCGAATGGGTCCAAAAGGCGCAGGATGCAAGAGAACAATGGAAGAAAGAGACAAAAAGAGAATATCACAATTCATTTTGCTAGCTGGAATAATACTATTCAAGTTGAACCTTCCATGTTCTTTCTCTTTGTCTTATCCTATAATTCTTGTGAGAATTCTAGTGTTTCCCATCTTTCCAGACTTGCTTGGGGCTTGCTTTTGCCCTTGAAAGCCATCACTCAGTCCTCGGAAGAATTGCAGTGCACCTTTAACTTTCTGGAACTCCCTGAGAAGGTCGTTGTCAACAAAACTTTTCTATAATATCTGACAACCGTATCTCATACATCGGCTTTTCTCAGAGGGAAAGGAAAAGATTTCGCCAGTTATGTCCATTTTATACGAATAGGAATTGTCGGGTTTGCTTTTCAAGACAAGTCCAGCATCTTATCGCGAGCTATGGAAGAATATAAATGGAGGCAACAAAAGAGAGCAATGAATGGACTAACTAGGCCTATATTTAGTCAGCCGTTATTTTACAAAGTCATCTCCCATGCATGACTTTCGACGCAACATGGTGTCCACGGCGCTCTTCCCTGCCGAGACTTGCGTATAGGTTTGCCGAACTTTCGAGGTGTGATATGTCCAGGGCAGTAATGGCTTTTCACCTAGTGTGAACCTTTGCTAGAGAAGTGAAAGAGTGAGACAGAGTCGAAGGTTTTCTGATGGTATTGCGTCAACGAGAAGCTCTGCGTACGAAGAACAGGTCCAAGAGAACTCCAAAGACAACAGCTTCATAAGCAGCCCAACCAGGTACTCGCGAGCGCGTGAGAGCTTACGTCTCCCCAAGAGCCAGCTAACTACACGATGTCGTTCGACCGTAGAAGTTGCTTGAAGAGATTCGCGGTATCATCCCCTATATCCGGGATGATCTTTCAGAAATGATGGCTGCTCAAAATGAGAATGGTGTCAGTGTCCGGTCTGTTAAGAAGCCCAAGCGGGAACAATCACTCTTCAATTTCCAGGCACTGGTATACTTCCGGTTTTTAACCCTCAATTACTTGAAGATGCATAGCGACGGCGGGCTGAGAAACAACCGAAGAGAATATAAGGGCTTCTAGTTAAGTGAGATCACCTCAGGACAGATCAAAATCACGGTCTTGTATACAATTTATTTTTAAACCCTCTCTCACCCCCTGCCCAGTCTTGCTGTGCTTTGCATTGATCTCAGAAATATGATGCAAAGGATGCGATCTGTGATACAGGTAATATCTGGTAATAAGATACTGTGCAATTCATCCAAGAAGTCCAAGAGAACATGTTTCTAGAGAAAATGATTTTGTATATGAGGACAGGAAGGGAAACGAACACCAGGTAATGTAAGAGCACCTATTAAACACGCTTGCTTATGAAGAAAGAGACACCAGATGCAGACAAAAACAAAAGTATTCGATGTACAATCACACCCATACATTCCCAACTGAGCAGATAGACAAGGTAATTAATAAAAGATGACTATGGTAGGAGATGTCATGATCGTCGTTGAAGCATCATGAAGATAAATAGAAGTCGACGCATGGCGGCACTTAGCTAGCCACTGCCAGCTGAGCCACCAAGTCAGATGCCACATCGAGGAACGGGTATGGGCTTGTGACCTCCTTCTCCTTATTTTTCAAGCGCTTGCTGATCGGATGCCATTCGGTGTCACCATGGGCGCGGATGACGTTCTGGTATCCGTCACATTTGAAATCGACCATGTAGTTGTTCTCCTCAAGCTGATACAGCTGGATGTCGATGAAGACCCAGACACCATGTGAAATGCTTGGAAGTCCATTTTGTTGAGTGGCCGAGGATGGTGCAGAAAGTGTGTTAGTCTCGGGTGTCGACGATTTCAGATCCTTGTCTTTGTCCTCAACTGGAGCAGCAATTCCAGCGATGTTGAATCGGCGACGCAATTCCTCCAGATCGCTGCGGCTATTGTACACACTGGTCGACGCTCCTGGGGCCTTCACGCCCTCTTTCAAAAGACGAGCACGAATGAACCAAGGATCCTTGGGGATATAGTAGTCCGAAGGAAGGTCGGGGTATTTGCTCTGCAGTGGTTTGGGTTTGTCCGGTGAAGGCGTGGCGTCAGGCCCAATATTAGTTCCTACGCACAATAGTTAGAAAAAGACACTTCATCTTCCACATCGGATCGCTGGGGCTGTTCTTACCGGACTCCACGGGTTGGATATCCCAAACGCCACCTTGGGCAGCGATAGCTCGGTACAAATACAACATGGCTTCGTAAGGCTGATTCCGGGACCGGATGCCGAACTGCCACTTGCGTGATTTCTTAGGCTGTTGAGTGATGGGGAGCCCGATTGGAGGCTCAAAACGGAGTTTATCCAGATCCACCACACTTCGCGCATGAGGCTTCAACGCTCGGACAGTAGCAGCCTGTTCTTCCGGAGAGAGCTCTCCACCCTCAGTACCCGTCCGTTCCTCATAGGCTCGAGCAGCTTCCTGCCGACGCTCTTCCATACGCGCCCTCTGTTCTCGATCACGTTGTTCCATGAGCTGATCGTGGACATAAGGCAAACTAGTGGGCAAAATTCGGACGTGGCTGGGACGAGGTTCCTCAAGATCTTCGGGGTCTGCTTGTTGAGCCTCTTCTGGCCGTGTTCGCCGGGTAACACTTTGGGTTCGAGCAGGGGTTGGTGAGGATGGTGTCTGAACTTTGGGTACAGCAGATGCTCGCTCTGCGGCTGCTGATCCGGATACCTTGGGCTGAGGAGAAATACTCTGAGCTAATAAATTATCTTCGGTTGGAGCTGTTGCGCATTAGCTGCTGGATAGAAAAATACGATTGTCGAAAGTCTCCACTCACAATTAGTTTGCATCATCTCATTCTCAACAACAATTGAGAACGCATCCTTGATGGCACTTGGTTCGGGGTGTCGCAAGGCCTCTTCAATATCGTCTCGCCCATAGCCCATGCTGCGCTCCAGCTTTGACACAGCGATCTGGTGGATCTTCTGCTGCACCGGCGCGGGTTTGCCTGAAGCCGCCTTACGAGGATCAAGGGCTTTTTTGATATCTAAATCGGTGGCGATGTATTCTTCCGGTGGTGGCTGGAGGTAGCTGGGGAGATTTTTGGTGAACCATGGGTCCTGTCGAATCTCGGGGATGGTGATTCTGTGGACAGGGTGAACTTGCAGCATGGCGCGGATGAGTCGGGCGGCACCAGGAGAGATATATCCGGGGATGTGAAAGTTGCCCGCTGCGATTTTCTTAAAAAGGGCGGGAATATAGTCATCGTCGAAGGGCAATCGGCCCACCAACAGCACATAGAGAATGACACCACAACTCCAGACATCCACCTCCGGTCCCGCATACAGCTTTCCGGAAATGACCTCAGGAGCGGCATAGTTTGGACTACCGCAGCTAGTCTTCAAGAAATTTCCATCCGTCATAATGTTGCTCAATCCAAAATCGGCAATCTTGACGTTCTTCTGGCTGTCGATGAGCAGGTTCTCGGGTTTGAGGTCGCGGTGAACGATCTTGTGTCGATGGCAGTACTCAACGGCACAGATTATCTGTTGAAAAAACTTGCGGGCCTCATCGTCGCCACATTTTCCCTTCCGAACTAAGTAATCGAACAATTCTCGCTCGGCGTATTCGAGTACCATCACTATGTCGGTTTTGGTAGCGATGACTGTGTATCTGAAAGCGGGGCACAGACCATTAACAATTCCATCATGCATGAAGAGATAGACAAAGAGAAACAAGTGGACAAATATTCCATGGCGACCAAATGGATGGAGGACTCGAGTTCCTTACAATTTAATGATATGCGGATGTCGTAGCAATTGGAGATACTGAATCTCTCGCTCTACACGCCCGACCATGTCCCGGGAAAGCAGCTTGCGCCGGGAGATGATTTTGAGAGCAACTTGGCGTCCACTGGGCTGGTGAATGGCGAGCTTCACCTTTCCGAACGATCCTTCGCCCAGAATCTTGACCGTCTGGTACTGATCCAAACGTTGCATATCCCGTGTAGTGGCAGGGGATTGGGTCGCGGGGTCGGGCCTGCCGGTCGGGCGTGAGGGCGGCGGCATGGCCATGGCGGAGGGGTTCGAGCTTGCGGTCTTGCTCGCTCGTTCACGCGGACGGTCGCGGTCGGAGGGAGGAAGAGGGATCGAGAGATCTTCCTCGTCGAAGGCGGCGGCCATGATGAAAGGACAACGTGACGTGATTGATTTTCCGGGTCGTCCAGTTCCAGCGGTCCGGGTTTGCTGACTGTGCCGTGGTTCCTTAATTTTTTTTTCGGCCTCAGAGCATCGCCAATCAGTCGGTCTCGACCCTCTCCACAGTCGAACCGAGGGTGGAGCTGGGACAGCTGTTTTTGTTGCTCAGCAGGTCGAGCGGGGCGGGATGGAGGGGTGGGCAGTGAAGCACGATGCCAAGGGTTAGCCGAGAGAGGGGTCCACGATGGAATGCTGACCGAAGTTCCCTGATACGAATAGAATTTGAAAGAGGTTTGGTAGAAGACGATCACAAGAAAGCGCAGGAGGGGGCAAAGGAGAAACAGGCTAAGGATGAGAGGAGGTTGAAATGCGGTTGCGGTTGGACCTGACGCTTAGGCACATTTGGGTGGTCCATCGCCCCAGCCCGACCAACATGGAACATGAGAACGTGACGAGGACTTCAAGCGATATCTGCGGCGAGGGACTCTATAGTTCAGGCTGATATCCAACAGGGGTTATGGGAGTATAATAGGGATAGCCAAGAGTTGTATACATAGAGTCCACAGAGGCTAATCCTAGTCTTCATACAACTAGTACGTACAGGCAGGAGAGAAACCTTCACGTTCCTCGTGCACTTCATACATGATGTACTGTTCCACCTCCCGTCGTATACTCCTCAGGTCTTGTTCAGTGGCTTGCTGTTCTCTATGAACACTTCGACCAAACAAGCCCTGTTCTGAAGTCATTTGCATGCCGCAGAACTCATCAGAGTTAGCTTAGGGTCTTGATATTATTTGGAAGCCATCGTGTCCCTCGCAGACCGCCACTTTGTAGTAGCAACGATGGGGCTTAGGGTAATGGATCCAGGCAAAGAAGTGGAGCAAGAAAGAAGACTCAAGACTCAAAAGGGTGGATAAAGGCTTCGTAAAATGCTGAATGGTCGACTTTTGTTTTCTCTATGCATCAAACTGTACAAATCGGCCAAAGTGGCCCGCCAGGTATACACCGACAAAGATGAAAATCCCCAAGACACCTAGTCCGAGAAAAAAAAAAAAAGAACTCCAAGACCGTTGTACATGTGCAAATGGACCCCCTTCCTGCTGATCAGGCCTTCAACATATCCAACATACCCTTGGTTTGGCAGGCATGTTGGGCCATCTCTACTTCATCGCGCACTCGGCGGTGCAGACGGTCGACCAGCTTATCAATTTGAGCCGATTGGCCAAGGTTTCCCGAATAGATGTCGAGCAGGTTCATGGCGACCTCCACACAGAGATCGACTAAACGGGGCTCGCGGATGTGCTTGTGGATCCATTGGAGAACGGGCTGAAGAGTGACTTCGTCGCGATCGCAAAGCGAGCTGCGCAACGCGGAGCGGTGCCGAAGAGTTGTAAGAAGGGTGAGCTGGGCGGTCTTGTCGGTCGATGCCAGAACTTGGTCCAGAGCGACGGAGTAGCGACCCTTCCGAAGATCATTCTCCCATGGCTGCTCCTTCTTCCGTCGCTTGCGGTCCTGGCCTTCAATCACGATATCCACGCCTTCACCAATGAAGTCTCGACCACGAAGGCGCTTTTCCCACCCGGATCCGCGCAGCTTCTGCTTCTTTGCGACCTGTCGGTCATGCTCTTCCAGCTTGCCCTCCAGGAGAGCTTGCATCTCTTTCCGGCGCTCGCGCTCCTTGACCTTCTGTTGGCCGGAGAGCCGAGTCTTGACCGAGAGCAGACCTGACTGCATACCCACAGCGACATGCTTGTCCTCGTATGCTACACCGGACGTAATCACCTGGAGTGAGAGGATGGGTGATGGATATTTGGATCCGGAGACCGTATTCCATCCCGTAGTCTCGAAAACCTTCATATGTCCATCCAACGCACCACTGAGCAATCGCTCGCCATTAGATGCCAGCGCAAGCGATGTCACAGTCTTCTGGTGACTCTGGATCATATGCAAAGGCTTGCCCGCAACAATATCTAACACCGCGATCTTGTTGTCGGCGGCCGCAAGCACCGTGGTGCCCGCTGGCATGGGCAAGACGCTCTCGATCGGAGCGGCCATTTTGAAGGTCATGGCGGCCCGGCTCTCTACACGGGGATCCCAGAGGCGAACTGTGCGATCGTAAGAACCAGAAACCAGCAGCCCTGATGAAGCCATGGAGCCAGGCATGAATGAACCACTGCGAACGTAATCGGTGTGGCCAACAAAGGTTCGGGCGCTGGTATCTCCCGGAAGATCCCACAACCGGACAGTGCGATCATCGCTAGTTGTCATGAGGGACGTTGGATCACTCGGCGAAAACTTGCTCACCCACACCGGCTGCTTGTGGTCCTTCCATGTCTTCAAAATCGCCCGCGAAGTGACATCGAAAACCTGCACTGTACCCGTGTCATCACCTGTGACGAGAATGCGGCCATCAGGCCGGACATCCGTACCACGAACAGTGTCGTCGAATCGTGTGATTGTTCGCAGGAGCTTTCGGGTGCGAATCGAGTAGATTTGGACGCGGGCACCGGTTGTGACGGTAAAGACGTCGGGGGTTTGTGTCAAAGAGGGAAATGCTGCAGCTGAGGATGGTGCAGATGGCTGGGTAATCAGATTTACCGGTCCATTGGCAGGCGAAGGGATCAGGAGCGGATTCTTAAAGGTTCGCCAGTATTGCTGCTCTGGTGTCAGGCGGGTTGAGGGCAACGAGGCGAGTTTCACCTGCTGCAAAGGCAGGACGGGCGCCGCCATCGTAGGCTAGGAGTGTGCGAGTTCCAACAGAATGGTTGGAAACCCAACTAAAAGACAACTGAATTGGGCCCGACCCTCGTATCTCAAAGAGGAGTCTTGGTGAAGTTGAGGATCTTTTTTCTGCCGATCAAAAAAGTTCTGCCCCATTGGGAATGGCGGCGGAAGGTCGTCTCTGGCCTCAGGCGACAAGGCCACAATCACCGGTATGGCATTCAGGCTCCTAAGGCAGCCAGGCAGCAAGGCAGCACGGCCCTTCTCCCAATTGATTGTTCGAAATCGCAAGAATAAAATGAGAGTTGTGTATCAAGACTCGAACAATGAGCTTCCAAGTGTCATGAATCGTATACTCTTTCTCGACATACCCTATTGACATAAATTCACCAGCTACTGGCAGTCGATTGGATCTAGGTTACGAGTTCGCCTCGCGCCAACATCCCGAAGTCTAGAATTGCCCCCCTCAATCTATCTACAAGTGCTGGGATACTTACAATGCTGCTAAGTTCAGATGAGAGTCGACCCGGTACTAATGGGTGCAGTCAATGTGATTCGGAGTCGATGGCGATAACCGGCCAAGATCTCACCCGCTGTTGGCCGAGAAACTCGAGAACCCCTCTCGTGGATCCTGCAGGCCCCCAAATTCTGCACCTGGTTTCTCTCTTTTAATAATAGCACAACTCCCGTCGCAACCGGTAAGACGGGGCTGACTGTAGATGCTCCATCCACTGGGGCTGTGATACAGGCAACCGTCAATGTGTTTGATCCGCGCAGCAGGGGATGGTGGTACATTGTCGAGATCTGTCTCACTGTGGGATAAAGCTATTGACAATAAGATCTCGGATAATTTCTGATCTCCGATCCAGATGTTCAATGATGATCGAACGAGCTGCGGAGCTGTGGCGCCCCGATGTACTCTGTACGGAGCAGTGTGTTGTGGTGGTTTGGGCCGTCGCTATGGCAATTCGGTGGGGGATGAGCATCGTGTCAACCTTACAGGTGGGGGGGCGCGCCTGACAGCTGCGCAGCGCTTCGAGTGAAACCGGATTCACCAACAAGACTATTGATGGATGACGATCACGACTCTGGGCCAGTCGCCAATCGTTGCACTTCCTGGTGGGTGTACCCCCTGTCTGCTCTTGGAATGCTTCAAAGTGGTGGATCACGGTGGCTGGGGACGTGGTGCGAGCTGACGCTGCCGATCCACCCTCATTCTCAATATTTGCCTGGGGTTGGGTGAAATGGCAAATGAATTGGAATGATATGGAGACATGTAATCTATTCTTCTCAACAGTGAGAGGCTGGAAAGAATCGTAGCATGTCACCAGTGACGAGCCATGAACAGAGGGAAGAAGGCAAAGACGCAGCTCCTGACGATGAGGCATCGTTTGTTTATCGATAACCTTGTATCGGCGTATGGTCACGTATGGTTACACTGCCCCGATCCACCGCGGTCGAGACGCTTGATCCAGGGGACCCAGCCAATCAGCATGTGTATAAGGCCCGTTCCCAGCCACCCCCAATACCGCATCGAACATTCCGTAAGGCGGTCGCTTTATCTTTCTTTTCTCGCCCCTCGTCGCTCTCTTCTTCACTCTTGATCTCTGGAAAGTCGCCAATGCTGGACTGCACCCTCTTTGTACTCAAACACTTGACCGGTTGAGTACTCGAGCACTCGAAAGACCTCGACTCAGCTTGTCATGATGTCAAACCTCACCAAGCTGAACCATGCGGCCGGCATCTTCGCCGACATGTCGGTCGATGGGCCAGCCATTGGCACCCTGGTCGCCATCATTGACCGTGCCAAAAACCTTCCGAATCGCAAAACCATGGGCAAGCAGAACCCCTACTGCGCGGCTCGCCTTGGCAAGGAAGCTAAGAAGACACCGACGGATCTGCGGGGTGGACAAACTCCCAGATGGTATGTTACTCGAGACTTGATGATGGTCCGCGCTAGGAGTTTCAAACTAATAGACGCCTGTATAGGGATTATGAACTCCGCTTCACGGTGCATGAGTCACCAGACTACTACAAGCTCAAAGTGTCCGTGTTCAATGACGACAAGAAGACCGACCTGATTGGAGAGACCTGGGTCGACCTGCAAACCCTCATCATTCCAGGCGGAAGTCAAAACGACCACTGGCACCATCTTCAGTGCAAAGGCAAATATGCTGGGGATATTAGGATTGAAATGACCTACTACGACACCCGTGAACAAGATGAGGGAGTGAAGAAGCGTCGGGAGAGGGCTAAGGAAAAGGCCGAGGGCAAGGTAAGCCCCGCGTCTAGCTCTGGTTTCTCGGGTCCCAGACAGCTTAAAAGACGTCCGCTACCGACTGATCCATCTGGCGCCCCTGCTCCGAGACCACTGCCAGTGGAACAGCCTGTCGTCGCTCCTGCGCTGCATCATCCGATGCCCTCGAGACCGCCAGTGCAGGATCATGCCCAAACCATGGCCACACCCCTACCACCGAGTAACACAGACGCCCTTCTCTACACTCCACCAGAAACTGCTTACGACAATCCGTCATATAACACGCCGTCCTCTGCCATGCAGACACAGGGAGCATACGATGCCCCCGATAGTTATCAACAAAAATGGGACAATCCAGCCCCGACTCAGGCCCTTCCTCCTGCGGGCACAATGAGACACAACACCAACGAAGCACCCTATTCCTACAGTGATAAATCCGAGCCTCAATATCACTCCCACCCTCCCCGCCAAATGCGCAGTCATTCCGACTATGATCAGCGCCCCCCTTCTCAAGATTATCGCACAACATCTCAGGAACTAGATTATGAGAATAATACGCATGGAAGAAGTCCGCATGATGCGTACAGCGTGGTTTCTCCTCAGTACAGTGCCAACCCTATGACATTTGGACATGTATCCACATTCTCGCCTCGCCACCCTAGCCATGAAGATCTACCGGCCCCCTGGACTATTCTCGACCAAATTCTTCATCTGGCCCTGGAGATGAGATTCGGTACCAGCCGCGCATGATGAAGGCACTGCCTGCGCCGTACCATCCTGAATATGCCACCATGCAGCCCCGAGTGGAAGATGAAGATGAAGATGCACCCCCTCCTCCACCTCCAGTTCATCGCTCCAGAATGGCGCAGCCGGCTTCTCCCGCCCAGCCGCCGGTTGGCCAGTCACCATCTCCTTACACACCATACAGCCCTGGGTACACCAGCAATACATCCTCCATGCCAGCGAGCTTAGTGGCTGGGTATGAAAGCGAAGAACACGATAGAGTGTTCGAAGGCCGAAATAGCCGGAAGAACAGCACCAGCCACTTAGAAGACGAAATGATGATTCCCGAGCCCCTGGCTCCATCACCCGCACCGGTACCGACCTCGATGCCTGCACAGGCATCTGTTCCGATTCCTATGCCATATGACCCCCGGTGTATCCCCTCCGAACATCTCCTCAGCCTATTGATGACCGTCCAAGCTCTATACGGAGTCGAGGCGGCTCAGTCAGTCCAGATACCCGAGTTGTGACTCGGAAGTCAGTCAGTCCGCGACCATCGATATCTAGTGCCCGTACAGGATCTTCGGTCCCGTTCTCTCCTGATTTTTATAACACTCTCAACCCGCAAGCTTCACGATCTATCACTAGCCGAGAGCCGTCGCCGGCCTACGAGACTCCTTCCCAGGCCCGGGACGCAGCAGTGCGATCAGAGGTTACACCTGTCCGGGATCTAGATCAGCCTATTATTGGTGATGACGGTCGTGAGATTGATCCTTCAGATCACCTCCCGACAGACACATGGGCTCCCGAGCCAGAGAGAAAGAGCAGGAAACCTGAGGTGATTATTCGCTTCAAGCACTCTGCCCGGCCTACTTCTCGAGGCAATGACACAGCTTCTCGCTCTGGTCCCCCGCCACGAGTTGGATTCAGGACCACTGATTCGGATCGCCCGAGCATGAAGTACACTACAACCCATATACACTCCACTCACGAGTCCGTTGACCGGACGCCTCCCCGAGCCGATCGTGCAATTGACAGCTACGGCAGCTACACTCACAGCCGGAGCTATAATACCCCCACTTCCGCCGAAAGGCCACGATCTTCCCGAGGCTCCGTCTCCCCCTCTCCGGGTTCTCGCTCCCCTCTGTATGATTACAGCCCCGGCCCCCCTATTCCATCCAAAGTACCGATCTCGAGCGGCTCTCCGGGATATCCGGTTGCAGTGAGCAATCCTCACAGCGGAAACCCGGGTATGGATGCCCTCAGTCGAGAACTGAAAAGCATCGACATTGGGTCGGTTGCATGCAGCCCAAGTCGAGCCGTGCGGAAGTATGCACCGAAGCCATCGGCCACGATGGGATATGCTCGTTGAACAAAATCTCAAGGTTCATATGCTGATGTGTTATGTATGGCTATGTGTTTTATCCTGCGCGGGAGGCTTCATTCTTATATCCCGGGACTTATGGTCATGATTTCAGAATGTGTATTTGGCTCTTCTTTTTTCGGATATCCCGCATGGCGGCGTTTTTTTTTCTCCTAGGACCAGTCTCTACGCATTGTTTTAGTACCTGCTTGTGCAACGATAGCAAATGATACCTTTGACTTTCTCTTTTTTGGAGAATATGACTACTTTTCAAAATCAAACGGAATAATTTATCTATCTTTACCTTTCCACGGAGTTCTAGCGGAGTCTTTAGACGCGTAATTCGTCCTGTTATCAATAGACACGATTAACTTAGGGCATTCCTCCTGATAACCAATCCCGCGGCCGATGGATATCGCTTATCACCTTCCCCCGCCTTTACTCGACTCGTGGAACTTCTCCGACCTTCACTTCTCCTCATCGCAGTAATGGTCGGCCTCACAGAATCGCAGGTAGCTTCGTTCCACGAGAACGGCTACCTAGTCATCCCTGACTACCTCGCATCAGCCGAGGTCGAGTCCTTGCTGGCGGAAACCAACACACTGCTCAATGACTTCTCTTTGGACTCGCACCCGCTCACCCAATTCACTACCGGGGATGATGACCAGGCCGATCACGTTGGTGATGACTACTTCCTGAACTCCGGCGACAAGATCCGGTTCTTCTTCGAGCCGGACGCGTTCTCCTCTGAGCCGGATCCGCTCACGGGGCGCCCCGCGCTACTCAAGCCCAAGCATTTGGCCGTCAACAAGATTGGCCACTCGCTGCACAGTCTGTCGCCGCCATTCAAGGCAGTTTCGCTGAACGAACGCAATGCGGCCGTCGCTCACTCGTTGGGCTTCCAAGATCCGCGCGTGCTCCAGAGCATGGTGATCTGCAAGCAACCCTCCATTGGGGGCGCAGTACCCAACCACCGTGACTCGGAGTTTCTGTACACGGACCCACCGTCGGCTGTTGGGTGGTGGTATGCGCTGCAAGATGCGGGGCCCGGCAACGCGACGCTGGGGATGTGGAAAGGATCACATAAGGGCCGTAAGGGTGGCCATATCACGCGCCGCTTTGTGAGAAAGAGCGATGACAAAGGAACGGAGTTCGTTGAGAACGCTGGGCCGTCGCTGCCGAAGGGTATGGAGGAGGATAAGGTTGAAGCTCCGGCGGATGAGGACCTGGAGATCCTCAATGTTAAGAGCGGGTCACTAGTTCTGATTCACGGCAACGTGCTACATAAAAGCGAGAAGAACACCAGCCCGAATAGTCGGTATGCATACACGTTCCATGTCATCGAGGGCGCTGATGGTTGGGATTATGATAAGAGGAACTGGTTGCAACCGCCTGAGGGTGGGTTTTCGAAGCTTTATCAATGATATTTAGCATCGTCCCTTCTTGGCCGTTCAAATTTTTCAACACGAGTAGAAGTCCTCTGAAAATTGTACATAGGCGAATAAAAGTGACCGCTTATTCATCTGTTCTTGTTGATTGTCTCGCGTTAAGTGCATGATTAAATGCCTTCTATGAGGAGTGACTCATGCGTTGCATTGATACATTACCGTATTGTAAAGAGGGAAGGCTATCAAATATTATTTCACATTGTAGATATCTCATAAGGGACCCCATGACCAAAGCATGCAATATTCAAAGCCACAATGGGCTGTATTCACTCGAACCCTCTTTAACCCATTGCTACCTCATTATTAGACCTTATTTTGATGATCTTCGTAGTCCTCAGGTGAGCGTCACACTAGTCGAGGTACGTAGATTCGATATTAGGCTCTGGATGTTTGATGATGGCACAGCTGGGCTGCCATCCTCTGCATTGAAATGGATACAGTCTTTTGAGGGCAAATTAACTTGATCAAAAGGACCTTGACTCGAAGTTTAAAAGAATAGAAGGTATGCTGTTTAGCAGGTCTTCAGATGCCTGAGACTGTATGAAGATAGATCCCAACGCTCCGGAGAGGGAGACAAGAACGCCTCACATCATAGATCGGTAAAACAACGACTGGAGGCACGGTAGATCACAGAAGGAGCTGTCGACACTCAAGGACTGATCCGTGAATTCGAATCAAGGGCAAGCTTCTAACTAACCGACTACCGGCGTCTTTTCTCAACCATACTTTTCCTCCGCTACACTGCGATTATCTTCCGTCGTATTCTCACACCTTCATCCTCCCCGCCTTTCCACCAGATCATCGTTCTTTGTGCCTATATTTCTGTTCACATATCACCTCCATCGCCATCCTTCTCATCTCTCTATTCTTTCTCTGGTCCTATTCTTTTCTTTATCGTCTCACTTCTTACACGCGTTTACTATTGCCGCATGTTTGACACTCCCCTCACTCGACATCAACATGCCGAAACCAAAGGCAGCCGACGTCACCACCGGCTCGTCTACCAACTACGTGGCCGTCAACTTAGACTGTTCATGCTGTCCAATATCTTTTCACTCCTCGACTACCGCTGTTTCTTCAGCGAAAGAGAGCACCAAACTTATCCCTATCGAAGCGGCAACTCATCCGCGTCGACAATTCAACCTGAAACAAATAATTTTACTGTTGATAACAACACAACACACCGAGCCAAGGATATATAAACGGCTAACTATATGCCGTGAAATCGCGCAGTCAGTAATCTGAATTAACAGAGGAAGTATCTTGAGGCTTACATGATTTTATGGAAGTGGTGGGCCCGAACCCTGCGCTCATGTGGAATAGAACCATTTCCTCAGCCCTATATTTCCCAGTTGCCCTGCTGGTGTTAGTCGGCAAATCGGCCACCGGAGGCAAGCTCTGGCTCTCTACAATGAGGGTCGATGGTCAAACGACAGTCACATCTTGTGTCCCATGATTTCCAAGTCAGATGGATTTATTTGAAGCTGGTATGTAACACAGGGGAGCGAGTGAGCGAGGAGGAGATGAGTTTTGTGAGTGGTGGGCTGTGAACATAAATAGAGAGTAGCGTTGACGTGAAAGGGCATTGCCGTTGCATTGTTCCTCAGTTTTGCTTTAGAGTTCCTTCATCTGTTACTATCCTAGGCCCCATCTTTGTCCGTCTCTGCAGGTTTTCTCGAAGACATTGATATCTATTCTGCGATACTCGGTCTTTGTAACAAAGGAACTACAATCGAGAAGAATCCTCGATCAAAGATCGTTGTTCTTCCCCAAGACATTGATCTCAACGAAACTCCTTTCCATTCTCATTCCTGATGGCCGAGGAATCGAGAGATCGAGCAACTATTTAACCCGTCTCCTCGCCATGATGCTCGGTTCATCCGCAAGATCCTAGTCTTCTAACAGTCAGCTTCAGCACAAATTCCGCGAACATCCTGCTGGACTCTTTACTACCGAACCAATTAGCACAATTTATCACCATGGAGTATTACGTTCACTTCCGTCTCAAGCTCGAGGACTCTTTGTTAAGCGACGAAAATCTCCTTCGTACCATGAGAGATCGCGCCTCGAGTGAGTCGATTACAACGACGTTTCAACCCTTGGATGACAACAATCGATTATGTCTTTCTCTTCACATGTTCAAGGTAAATCCTGGCCATCCCATTAGGATGGATGAACTAAAGTCATGGACGGATGAACTATTCTATAAATGGCTCGTATTGTTCCCCGTCAACAGGCTTCCATTTGATCGCAAAAAGCTCTTGAACATAGGACGGCCCTTAATATTGCGTATTCCTTTAGTTAATCGCTAGGTAACTTGGAGGTAGAGTCCAACACTGCAGCTCCCACGAAACGATCTATTCATTCCTATTTGCAGCCTTCGAATAGAGAAAATATAGAGTCAAACTCACAGATAAACAAACGCAAAAGCTCGATCATTCCTGCAGATTGTTATAGTAGCTCCGAATAATTAATTTTAGGTAAACGTGCTCCGATCAACTAAGCTTTACCCACCCATTATATAAATTGGCAGGGATTGGTCCCATTGGAGAAACATTAACGCACCCTCATCAAAGGAGAAAAGAGAAAATGCATACATAGCGTGCATGGCCTGAATGAGAGGCTACCAAGAGAGTAAATAACAGGATTTATAGATCCCTTTAGCATTGCCCTTCACCATTCCCTCAACACCACGACGTCGGTCACAAACATGGTTCCATTTAGCAGGGCGGTGAGAGCTGTCCCGGCAGAAAAAAAGTTCGTGGCCAACCCCGCCGTCACACTTCTTCCTCACTTCTACCATCGCCGTTTCTTTTCCATCTCCATCGTCTCGAGGTGGTATTGCTGGCTCTCCAGTTCTTCGCTCACATTCAGCGATTGAAGTACTGAGCTCAACCTCTCTCCCACTATTGAATCTCGTCGATTGCGGCCAAGACCAGCCCCCCGACAACCGAAGTCAGCCTTTGAGTCACCCTGCCATGTCCCACCGTTGACAACGGCGCAATGCAGCCTCCAGAGAGTGCGCAGATCGACCTGGGTAAGGCCCAGGTCATTGATCGAGTTCCCAAAGTTATCAAAGAACTGAAATTCGGCGTTTTGTAAGTGGGCCCACTTTTATTTTTGCTTGACAACCGAACAGGAGCGATTTGGCGCCGAACCGATCGCTAACGAGTGTTCTCTCCTCCCTTCAGAACAAACGATGATATTGCCGGCCAGGCCGTAGTTGAAGTTTCGGACCGGAAATTTTTCGACCTTGAACATGACCGCGCAGTCGTTTCCCATGGCCCGCTCGACGCGCGCATGGGTATCTCAAACAAGACCGCAACGTGCAAGACCTGTGGACACCACTTGAAAGAATGCAACGGTCATTTCGGCCATGTGAGACTGGTTCTACCAGCTTTCCACGTTGGCTACTTCAAGCGCGTCATTGGCATTCTCCAGGAAGTCTGCAAGGAGTGCTCACGCATCCTTCTTCCCGAGTCGGAGCGCCGTGCCTTCCTGCGTGAAATGCGACGCCCAGGTCTGGATAACCTGCGGCGCATGCAGATTGCGAAGCGTATCAACGAACGTTGCCGGAAAACCCGAGAATGCGAGTACTGTCATGCGATTAACGGTGTGGTGAAAAAGGTGGGATCAAGTGCACTGAAAATCACCCATGATAAATTTCGAGCATTCAACAGCTCCACATCTGTCAAAAAGCAGCCTCCGATCAGTAAGACTGTGTTCGATGACTCCTTTACTGAAGCGCGGAATGCCAATTCGGAAATCGAGAAACATTTCAAGAAAGCTCAGGATGACATGAATGCCTTGCGTGTGCTGAAGCTGTTTAAGAAGATTTCTAACAGCGATTGTGAGCTTCTTGGGTTAGATCCTAAGGAAGCTCGACCGGAAATGTTTCTCTGGCAGTTCATCCCGGCCCCCCTGTTTGTATCCGTCCGTCTGTGGGTCAGGAGGGCGCTTCCACCGAAGATGATCTGACAGCGAAACTGGGCGATATCGTTCAGAGTAACATTAACCTCAAAAACGCTTTGCTGAAGGGTGCCCCAGTGCAGACAATTATGGAATGTTGGGACTATATGCAGCTCCAGATTGCGGTCTATATCAACAGTGACGTGCCGGGTCTTAATAAGGCAGATCTCGGAAAGCCGATTCGTGGATTTGTTCAACGACTCAAGGGAAAGCAGGGTCGATTCCGTGGTAACCTTTCAGGAAAACGTGTGGACTTCTCTGGGCGTACGGTCATTTCGCCTGACCCGAACTTGCGAGTTGACGAGGTTGCTGTCCCGGAGCTGGTAGCCAAAAACATGACATACCCCGAAGTTGTGACTCGATACAATAAGGAGAAGCTACAACAGTGTGTTCGAAATGGCACCAAGAAATGGCCGGGTGCAAATTATCTTGTGAAAAAGGATTCCAACTTTAGGATGATGCTCAAGTACGGTAACCTTCAGCATGTTGCTAATGAGCTGCAAGAAGGCGATACTGTCGAGCGTCACATTGAAGATGGTGATATTGTACTTTTTAATCGACAGCCATCTCTCCACAAACTGAGTATTTTGTCGCACTTTGCAAAAGTTCGACCCCATCGAACTTTCCGGCTGAATGAATGTGTCTGCAACCCTTACAATGCCGATTTTGACGGAGACGAGATGAACTTGCACGTCCCTCAAACAGAGGAGGCCAGAGCAGAGGCGATGGAGCTGATGGGTGTGAAGAACAACTTAGCCACGCCCAAGAACGGCGAGCCCATCATTTCTTCTATTCAAGATTTCATCAGTGCTGCTTACATACTGAGTAGCAAAGATAACTTCTTTGACCGCCGCTCATTCACCCAAATTTGCCTCTACATGCTAGGCCCTGAAACACGCTTTGATCTTCCGCCGCCGTCCGTCCTCAAGCCACAGATGCTCTGGACTGGAAAGCAGGTGTTCAACATTCTGATGCATCCCAATAAAGATGATCCTGTTCTTGTCAACCTTGATGCTGCTTGTCGTGAGTTCAAGCAGCCCAAGGATGGCAGACCCAAGGATTTGGATCCCAATGATGGTTGGCTGGTCATCCGTAACTCCGAAGTGATGTGCGGTGTCATGGATAAGTCCACTATCGGTTCTGGAAAGAAGGACAATGTGTTCTACATTATGCTTCGAGATTTTGGTCCACCTGCTGCTGCCGAGGGCATGAACCGCTTATCCAAGCTGTCGGCCCGTTGGTTCACCAACATTGGCTTTTCTATCGGTATTACCGATGTTTACCCCAGCGAGAGACTTATTGCTTCGAAGAATCATCTGGTGGAGACAGCCTACGCTGCCTGCGATGAAGTCATTGCTAAATACAAAGCCGGTACGCTGGAGAAGTATCCTGGTTGTGACGAGCTGCAGACCATGGAGAACCAAATCTCCGGTATTCTAAGTAAGGTTCGTCAGCAAGCTGGTGATGAATGTATCGCGCAGCTCAGCAAATACAATTCTCCCCTGATCATGGCCACATCCGGATCCAAAGGTTCCAGCATCAACGTCTCCCAGATGGTTGCGCTTGTGGGTCAGCAAATTATTGGTGGTCAACGTGTTCAGGATGGTTTCCAGGACCGTACCTTGCCTCATTTCCCAAAGAATGCCCGGCAGCCCCCCTCCAAGGGTTTCGTTCGGAACAGTTTCTTCTCGGGTCTCAAACCTTTCGAGTTCATTTTCCACGCCATGTCCGGTCGTGAAGGTCTGGTCGACACCGCTGTCAAGACTGCCGAAACTGGTTACATGTCTCGCCGGTTGATGAAGTCGCTTGAAGATCTTTCTACTCGGTATGACGATACTGTTCGGAACTCTTCCGCTGCTATTGTTCAGTTCCAATATGGTGATGACAAGCTGGATCCCGTCGATATGGAGGGCAAGGCCAAGCCTGTCCATTTCGATCGTACCTTCATTCACTCCGAGTCCACCACCTACAACAATGACGAACCAAGCTTGCTGCCACAGGAGATCATGGAAGTCTGTGGTGAGATGCTGGAAAAGGAACGCGAGAAGTTGACTCGTAAGGATCTGCTCGGCAATGAGCTGGGATACATGGATCGCAGCGACCACGGAATTGATCAGTTCGAAAGTGCCCGCGATTTCCTTGACTCCATTGAGCAATATGTTCAAACGAAGGCTGACAGGCTGAGCTACCGTGGTGGTGATATTGATCCTTCTGACGAGCGAAGCCGGAAAGGCTTGGATCATACCGGAAAGTTGACTGAGAAGACCCTCCGGGCCTTCATCGCCGCTTGCTTGCTCAAATACAAGAGAGCGCAGGTCGAACCCGGTCATGCTGTGGGTGCCGTTGGTGCCCAGTCCATTGGTGAGCCTGGTACACAAATGACCTTGAAGACTTTCCATTTCGCTGGTGTCGCCGGTATGAGTATCACCCAAGGTGTGCCACGTATCAAGGAAATTATCAACGCCTCCAAGGAGATCAGTACTCCCGTCATCTCATGCGAGCTGGTCACGAAGGATTCCGTTCCTGCCGCTCGCATTGTAAAGGGCCGTGTCGAAAAGACATACTTGCGTGATGTGATGCGCTCAATCACTGAATGCTGGAATGATCATGAGGCCTATATCAGTGTCAAGATCAACTGGAAGACGATCATCGATATGCAACTTGAGATCAAAATGCCACAGATTCTTCAGGCCATCAAGACTCACAAGCGCTTCAAGGCTGATGACCTGAAATTCCGAGCTGACCGCAACCATGTCTACCTGGTTATTGATCTAGATCCGGTGAGCAAGCAGGGCCTATCGAAGACAGAGATTGCCGCGACGAGCAGCGATCCCTTCCTGCGCCTCAAGCACCTGAAGCGCATGCTTCCCGATATCCAGATATTGGGTCACCCGCAAGCCAGCCGGGCCATCATCCGGACGAACGAGACTGGAACAGTCAACACACTACTCGTGGAAGGCTACGGATTGCGCGAGTGTATGACAACTACCGGTGTCGACGGTTACCACACCAAGACCAACAATGTCATGGAGGCACGCGAGGTCCTTGGCATCGAAGCCGCACGAAGCACGATTATTACGGAAATCAGTGAGGTCATGAAGGAGATGGACATCGATCCCCGTCACATGCAGCTTCTGGCCGATGTGATGACATACAAGGGTGAAGTGCTCGGTATCACCCGATTCGGTCTGGCGAAGATGCGAGACTCGGTCCTTCAGCTGGCTTCGTTCGAGAAGACTGCAGACCACCTCTTTGATGCCGGTGGTGCCGGCCGCACTGATCTAATCGAGGGTGTTTCGGAATGTATTATTATGGGCAAGACGGTTGGGCTGGGAACGGGCGCGATGGAAGTTGTGCGCAAATTGAACTTCTACCAGGGCCAGATCGGCCCTAAGAAGACGGTCTTCGAAGATGCTTGGACGGAGCTCTGTGAAGCACCACCGACCAGAGGCAAGAGACGAGTCCAGTAGTGACGGTACTTTTGATGGCCTATTTTTGGCTGGCCACTGGATATTTCCTGCTGCCCGATTGTATCAGCATTTCTCACGGCGTTGGAGTGATTTTTTTTTCTGCCTGGCTCTCATTTAGCCATCTTATTTGGGCACATTTTTTGTACATCTACTCCCCCCACTAGCGCCTATCGGCGACTGTTTTCTGTGACGTTAGCGATAGTGATGATATGGATAGACGATTTTTCTTTTACCCTCTTTTTCTCATTTGTCTCAGCCGTGGAAGTCGATCTTCGTTCTTAGTTCTATATAGTTGTTGCCAGACACTTCGGACTGATCTGAGAAACAGCTTGAAAACAGCATGATCGTGTGTGTTTCATGCATGCTTATTTTCCCCTTCTTTCGCCAATGCAAGGTCTTACTGCGTTTCTTTTTCTAACAATGTACTTTGCAGATATCCTCGCCCAGCTGCGGTGCCCATTGGGCCTCCCACATCCGGGATACCCCGGAACCAGTCACCCATGAGCCGAAAGGCGTGGTTTCACCCCAAATATCGGTGGCCTCCCCCTACTGTCACCTCGCGGTCCCCGCCATCCCCTTCTTTTGCTTGTGTCCGCTCAATAGCTCTTGCGAGCGGCCCGAACAGATGTCACCGTCCCGATGGGCACGCGGTGTGTCCAGCAGCTGCAGCTACCGGATCCTATCACTAATCGTCGGGGAGACCAGCGCCTGACAGAACCTCGCTGGCCATCTAGTGCCCGATACTCTCCAATCACCATCCGGGGATCCTGGTTGAACCATGGGGCTCGCAGGCTCCCGCAGTGCACTGTCGGCCTCTCGCCGCTGCGATTCTTTGTTCGCGCAGGCTTTCTAACTTTCCCCAAGGACGCCACAGCCGTCAACACATGCCCAAACTGCCTTTTTGCTGGGATCAACAGGGCATTTTTTTTGTTTCCAGGCCGGAGTCGGGGGCGGATGCTGCGAGGTGAGCTCCCCTAAGTATGCCACGCCGTCCATGGGTCACACTTAGCTCTGTTGAAACATTCCTTTCCCTCACGCTGATCTCCCCGATGCTCCCCGGTTTGCATCTTGCGTTTCCTCAGTGTAGTTCTTGTGTGAAGTGACTGTGATGATGGACATTGCCCGGTCGCGACTCGCGAGGAAGCGCGAGAACCGGACGCGGGCCCCCACGGCCTGTCAGACCTGCCGTCTGCGCAAGACCCGGTGCGACAATACCAGACCGGTCTGTAGCTACTGTGCCATACAGGGGGTGGAGTGCATCTATCCCGAAACCTCACCACGGTCAACCCAGTAAGTTTAGTAGCCCCTCCTTTTCTTTAACCCTTTGACGACGTCGCAGCAGCTAAGAGCCTGTCGTTCAAAGAACGGAGTTTGAGTCAGCCAGTGAAATCCTCCAGCGTTTGGGCCATATCGCATCGCTTCTAGAGGAGATCAAACAAGATGGCGCCTCCACAACTGCATCGTCAAGTCGCTCCCTCAGAGGCTCTTTTCTAGATTTGAACCTGCAACTTGATAATAGCCCCACCGGCGATCCACTTTCGGGGAGCAATATACGGGGTAGTAGCAGTTCCGGGGCCGAAGAAAGATCGGACGACCATGACCCCCTGACCCTGTATGCTGCAAACTCCCCGGAGTACATGCTGCGATGGCCCATCTTCAAAAAGGTTATCACGGACGCAGAAAAGCATATCCGGTCCTTCTTGCTGGATTCACTCGACAGTCAGGCCCAGTCAGGCCAGCCGCAGTCTCGACAGGTGACGATTGGCCCATTGCTTGATGATATCCAAAACCTGTGTCGGAAATATCTCCGATTAGTTCACCGTCGGAATCCTGTCGTAGATGTGGATAAACTTGAGCGGTATGCACGCGAAGTGACCGTGCAAGGGCTTGGGTGGGACGGTCCGTCGTGCCAAGTGGTGCGTTGTGCTTCATACAAATCGAGTTAGGGGTGAAAGACTAATTCCGGGGGGGGGGGGCAGCTTCTTGCATGCGCCCTAGCCTGCAGCACTTCGGCCTTTGTGCCCTTAAGCGACATCCCCGAGGATCTAGATCGACTGCCAGGGCCACCGCCGGCAGACACGAGCATTGAAATGGCGGAGGTATACTTCCACGCGGCGAAGCAACGATTCGGCTCCTTGCACACGTCACCCACCGACATCCAATGCTTTCTACTTGCTGGCTTCTATCATAGGCATGCGATGCGACCGTTGGAGGCTTGGTTTTGCTTCCAGCAGGCATCCTGCAGATTGGAGGTTCGTCTGCGATCCCTGTGCAGGGAGCAATGGACCGCAGATGCCGACTACCATAATCTTGAGTCGCGTCTGTATTGGTCATGTATACAAGCAGAACAGTGAGTTGTAGGCCCTGTCTAGGATGAAACATTGATTTGGAATTTCCACTAATGGGACCTAATAGCGAAATGCAGAGTGAACTTCCTCTGTGGAGCAGTGGTCTGGAAAGTTTGGGCTACTCAGACCCTTTCCCGACCTTCCCAAAGTCCACCACTGCGTCCCCAGAGGATAGAATAGAAGATGAAATCGAGATTGAATGTACAAATGCGCCTTCCGAGCTTAGCGGGACTGAAGAAGACAAGGGGTGGAGATTCTATATTGGATCGATCTGTAATCGACGGACAGTGAACGATATGCTCATTGATATGTGGCGATGTGGCGAGCAAGAATGGATCACCAATGTCAGTGGCATAGTCGAACGAAGCAAAGAGGCTGTAAAGGTTGTTTACTCATGGTAAGCTTCCTTGACAATTTGCTCATGAGCAAAGCGAGCATCATCTCATCTCACCATATCAGGTACCAAATTAGCCAAAATCAGATGTCCCTGGCCGATGACTCAGATCTAAACTCTGAGAATCAAGATTTGGAATTCTTTCTTTGGGGTCGGCGCGGATTCGCTCTAGAAAAGATCTACCGCCCGGTTCTCTATCTCGCACTGCACTACCAAAGCCTACCAAGCTTTTTGCACAGCAATCACCAACTCCTCCAGGAATTACACCGTCAGGCACAGAGAGCCATTGATAACTGCGCCGAGCTGATCCCGCACTGGTGGTATCATTTCCGCCACGAGTGGATCTGGAATATCATGCGGTCCACCTTCGGCATGGCTATCCAGATTCTTGCTGCTGTGCTGAGCACTTTACAGCCGGGGGGATTGGGCCTGCGCGCGCCGCACAATTGGCCCGCGCTGGTTAGAATGTCGATCAAGACGCTGCATCTTTGGTCGCGGGAGTCCATTGATCTAGAGATCATGCGGTCTACGTTGGAGCGTATGTATCAGGGGACTTGTCGGCTGGCTGGAGTGCGAATGAATCTTTACCTTGCATAGAGCGACGGGATGATATATGGAATGGCTATAGCCCATTTTCTAGAGATGGGATATTCCACTTAAAAGGAGTATGAATAAGTTTGATTCTGCTCTGTCTGTCTTTGGACACTGATTGGATCTTCATTAAAGAAGATAGATAAATCTTAATGTACATTTCCCAGCTCCCAAGAACCTTCGCGTGCGCCATAATATGATCGCCCTGCATTGCAAAATCCCTCGGTTAAAATGCGCCCACAATCCATGAGGATGAAATGCCAGCAGTCAATGAAAAACATAGATAGAAAAACACAAACAGGATGGGGAAACGTAAAACGCCTGGTTGCCCCCCGTTAAATAGAGGGGCCATGCAAAACGGTTGCTTAAAGTAATCAAAACACGGAAATAAAAGGCAGGTCTTCCAGAGCCTTTTTCTTTTTCTTGTCTCCGGGATCTGTAAACCCCAGTGTTTCAATCAACGTCTTGTAAAATCCATCAGAGAAACTTCTCTAGGGAAGCGCTATGCATCGTCGTCATGGAATATGGAATAAAGAGAATACAGGAAGGAATATGGGGAGGAGTAAAAGGCAAAATAAAAGTCGACCGTGACAAAAAACCAAGGCAGAAATATCTGCTGATAGAAGCCATAACGCCGTCTAGTCGCTGTGGGGACCTAATTTTCGTGGCGGAAAGTGCAGTTTTCTCCTTTTCTGCATTTACCTTCGGCCCAAAACCTGCAAGCAACAAGTCCAACCTTGTACTGTTCTGAAATCAGTATATTAAAATAGGGGATTTGTCAAGAGTCCTAAACTTACAGGTTTGGGATCATTCGACTTGGTTCGCTTCTGGCGACTCCATTGGCTGTCGTATTCCTCATCATATTGACCACCCTCTCGCATTCTCTTGCGTTCGGGATCTTCATATTGAGGCTGTGGGGGGTATTGAGCCACCCCTTGCTGATTCTGTCCGGTAAATTGAGAAAATATGGCACCAAGATTGGGCATCATGTTCGGTTGGCTCTGCTGGGGCTGTTGAGGTTGTTGCAGACCAGAACCTTGCTGCATCTGTTGCATAACACTCAAGAGCTTTGTAAAATCCACGCTACCCGGAGCAGCCGATGGCTGAGTGGAAGGTATAGTTGTCGGAATCTGCGGAACTTGGGGGACCTGGGGCTGAGCTTGTTGTTGACGGAACATACTGATTGTCCGTTCCAGGTCCGACATCGGCGCTTGCTGAGGAGCAGGCTGGGGAGGCTGCGGTGGAGGAGTAGACTGCTGCTGATTACTATTGTTAATGAGCTTGAGCAGGTTGGAAATGTCAAAGCCACCAGTTGTAGAACTAGGTTGAGCTGCTGCGTCAGAGGTGACAGCGGGTTTAGGGTTCATGAACTCGAAGTAACGCTCATCCCGAGCCTTTTATTGTAGTTAGTGAAGAGTATCTTCGGCATCGTGTTCATCAATTCAGACATACCTTAATGTAATCAGGCACCTCTCCAAAGGCAACTTTCTCAGGCGCGACTTCGTCGGTATCAGAAGCAGGGGGTTCTTTAGGCGAGGGAGGAACATCGGCAGGAGAGGTATAAAAGACCATCAGGGTAGTCGACTCGCGCTGATCTTGAGCTTCCTTTTCGGGGCTATCGGGTACACGTGCGCCACCACCTTTGATGAAGTTGCTTTGCTTCAGTTCCTCAGACTCGGTAAGAATTGCTAATTGTGAATTAGTTTGAATACGATATGAAAAATACATTTGAGACATATCGGGCTTACCAGACAGACCAGTGTAATCATCAAGAGTGATTTCACGAATACCACCGAGGTCGTCTTCTTCCAGCTCCTCCAGATCCTTGTGCAGCTTAAGCACGCTGCCCTCACCTTTCACATCTCCCAAGCCATGCATGGAGCCATCACCCGGGCCCAGCTCTTCATCAGGGTCGTGTGTAAACAGCCGGACTTCAGTAAGAGAGTCATCCGGCTTCCAAGTGACCCGCATTTTACGCCGAGCTTCCTTTCTAAGGCGCTTCGTGCGCTCTTCTTCTGTCTCCGGTGGTATATCCTCGGCAGGCTTAACAACAACATTCTCCTTCGGTTTGTTAAGGTCCGCCATGAGGTCACCGAATGAGAATGCAGGTTTTGGAGGGGGTGCCACTGGCTTCTCTTTAGTTTCTGGGGGAGGTCTAGGGATATAATCAGTTAGGCTATTTTTTATGTTTGAGGTGGTGAATCACCATGTTTTGAGGGGGTACGGGGGGTACATACGTTGGCTTTGCCGCAGCAGTAGCTTTTCGCTCGGCGTTTGTTGTTCCTGGTCTCTTGGAGGCGGAGTTCAATGCACTGAAGAGACTGGTGGGCTTTGGTGCCACGATGTTGGTCTTGGGACGAGGGGCAGTCGTGTTCACAGCCTTGCCATTCTGCACGCCCTCAGAGGGACGTTTGGCTGAGCCGTTTGCCACAGTGGATTTGGCCGCATCCTTTGGATTTGAGGTGACAACCATCCGCTTTGTGGCCGGCGGCACATTGCTTTCGCCATCTCGAGGACGTTTGTATCCCGCGAGCTCCACGGAAGGTGAGTCTCTTGCTGAATTTTTAGTTGGTGAATCTTCTTTACCCGACTTCGTATTGTTCTGCTTGCGTTTTGAGGAAGCAGCAGCGTTGTCTAAAATGGTCTGGGCAAGTTCTTTAACAGAAGGGCTGCCCTTCTTGACAAATCTCGGTAACAGTTTGGCCATGTTCGTTTTTTGTAATAATTCCTCATCTACAGTGATAAAGTGGGCGAGAAGCTGCGGGTGCACAAATGGTTAGGAGAAATCATGGGAAAGAAAGACACAAGTTGATGTAGGAGAAGTATGAGGGAGTCCAGGAAGATGAACAAGGAGAAAACCAACCTTGAGAATGTTCAGCGTCAACGAGCCTTCCAGATCCGCCGCCTGGAAACGATCGGTCAAAAACGAATAAAACACGGACAGTGCGACAGGGTGTTCGCCCAACCTAGATTTTAAATTAATTAGTAAGTGAAAGACGAGATATTAGATGAAACAAACGAAAGGCGATCGCAGGAAGGCGGAAAAGTTCACTGGAAAGAATCATTAAAAGAGCATGAAATAATGGCATAGAGCCACTACTCTTCGCCTGAAGCCCATGTTGATAACGACATTAGGGCATTGAGAGCTCTGGCTTCTTTCAATGTATCCTCAGTGGCCTTCCAGGCCAAACATAAAGGAATGGATGGTCATATAGGAAATGCCCTTTATGTCTAGCCGAATCAATGGTAACAGAGTCCATTTCCACAGTAGAAAGATTACGTGGGGGATTTGCTCGATTGGCTTCGAAACTCTATGGCCAGTGCAACCATGCGATGCAAAAAAAGACAGAAAATACAGAGCGAAGGGATCATACTTCTCGATAACCACAGGGTGACCCGTATCCAGAGTGGTGGTGACAATCTTTTCCATAATGCGCCGTTGTAGAGCCACATCTTGCTTGAGTTTGGTGGCTTTTTCGTTATCCCCCTGATTCTCGGCCGTCTTCATAGCTTGAACTTGATCTTTCCAGGAATCTCGAAGCGCCTTGACGACATCCTTGAAGGCTACCAGGGCAGCTTTAACAGTATCCGCCGAAGCGCGTAGGTTGCGCGGAGACCATACCGCTTTTATAGTATCGTAATGTGCAGCTCCAATGGGATCACTGGGACGAACAGAAGGGGCTGGTGAAGGCTCAGGGTCGACTTCAAGATCCGACCCATCCGAGCTCTCGCTGTCTGACTGCGCCTTGACCTTTTTGGATGTCTTTGCCCCGGCCTTCTTCGGCTGGGTCTGTTTCTTGGGTGCGGTCTTCTTGGGTGCCTCAATCAAAACCTGGGATTGGGGGTGCGAGGGGAGTTTCGATGGGAATCCACCTGAGCTCAGTTTAGTAGATGTTACAGGCGAGGAAAGGGTGGGAAGCGGGCACATACCAGCAGGCATCCCCATCGCTAGGTGGGGGCTGGTACTTATCTGAGGCTGAACAGCGAGATCGTTCTCAAAGTAATTGAAGATTCTCCCATCTGGTCTATCGAAGTTCGGTGGGTTCGTGTGAAGGAATGAATTGGCGAGAGATTGGGGTTGGTTGGAGGATTGTACGGGGTTGAGAAACTGAGGATCGATGGTTTGATGAGAAACACCCGGTTCGGAACTGGAGAAATCGCCCGTCAAATCAATTGTATCGTGCAGGATGTCCGAGGGAAACCCCGGGGGCATCGTAAATTGTGGCATCGCGGATTGGGGGGTCGGCGCAGCATACTCAGCCGATTGCTGCGGTTGCTGGGGTGGTTGTGGCGGTTGGAAATTTCGAGCTGCATAGGAGTCTTGCATCGACAATTGCTGTGGATGGTAATAATTCGATGGGAAGGAAGAGTAGGAGGGAAACGACGAGCTCTCGGATGGAGTGAGGGGACGAGTGTCGAAGGCCATCTGGCTCTGTTGTTGATATTGCGGAATCTGCTGGTGGGTCTGGTACTGTGGAGATACACCATATGCTCGTGGAGATGGTTGCAATGGATTTGACTGCCTGGTTGGAGGCATCGAGGAGTAGATGCCATGGTTGGGGCTGGGCTGTGCAGCAAGAGGATTCCACTGGTGCTGAGGTTGTTGCGGCTGTGGTTGTTGCTGCTGAAATACGGGGTGATCCCAGCTAATACCAATGGGGCCTTGCGTGGATGGATCTTGCGGCTGGGGCACTTGGGTTTGCAATTGGGAGTCTGGATAGATGGAGTCCAGGGTATTCCAGTACTCCGCAGGAAGAGCATCCTGAGGAACACCGACATGAGGCAGACCCGGCATGGGATTCTGTGCCGACGACTGCTCCATTATTGTGCCCGACACGACCCAAGCACCAAAGCCTGTGGAAGCTGGATACTTGAACTTGAAGCTTGAAGCTTGGAGACGTTTATTGCTACTAGCCCAGTATCACGTGCATTCAAAGATGATGCAGCTCTGGTGTGTCACCGCTTGCCTGTTTTGGGTATGGATCGGTAGCCGGAGGTAACTTTCCCCGAGTGGGGACGGGCACGCAGACAGATGCTTCTGATTGGGTAGTCGAAATAGGAGATCCAACCTTGATAAGATGGAAACGATCGCGAATTGGGTGAAGGACTGGAGAGTAGGTGGACGGGCGAACGGTCAAAGGAGTCACAACTGACGAAAAGACACAATAAGAAAACCGTCCCGGCGGAATGTGAGAGCTCAACGCGTGAACACGTGAATACAGCGAGCTGTGAAAGCCAGGCTTTTGAGTATTCCCGTACTTGGTGTCAATCCCGTGACTTATCCCGTTTTAAAAGCAAAAACCTTGGTGCCTCAGGTTCTTCAGGCTCTCAGGCACTTAGGCTCTCAGATCTCAGGCCACCCAGTTTCCTCAAAGTTGCCGGTCTGGCTTTAATGACGCTGTGTACTCTGTACACCGACAATTGCAATAGAACTGAGCCCTCCCGATCTTCCAGGATCCTGACCAGTTTTATTTTTCAGGGCTGCTCCTTCTGATCCCTTTGTACTGGTTTCTGGTCCTTGCCCGTGTTCTCGTGTTCTTGTGTTCCCGCAGAGCTTTCTGCGCCCTGTCTTTGCTCCTTAAGACTTGTCTCGGCAACCTCTTTTTGATGGAGAAACAGAGAGATCGGCTCTGGCTCTTATACAAAGAGCCACTCTAGCATCATTGCCATTCGCTTTACGAGAGAAGATTTGGGGATGCGGGAAAGGGGGAATGGGGGAATGGGGGAGGATGGATTGGTGAAAGGTGATGGATGATGAAGGGAGTTCTGAGAAGAAGAGAACTAAAAGCTGCAGGGGCAGGCGGTCGCCGGACGTCTGTGGTCTTACGTATTCGGTACTGGGTCTTACTAGTACGGAGTCCGCCTTGACCCCGTCGGAACTTCCGTTCAGTAGGACTAGTAACTACTACCTGCCCGGGCTGCTCTCAGCAGGCCGCGGACACCTAGTTTCAAATAACGATCTTCAGTGATCCATGTCAGAGGTGCCGCCATTTTTCTTCGAATTCTTGCAAGATCCGAAAATCAGTGACTCTCAGGTCGATCTGGCTCTGTGGAGGGGCCTCAGGTTCTGGAGTGATGTAATACCTGTAAATTACGGTATTGCTGTAACCTGCCCCCGGGATTTTGCCATGTGATCTCCGTGTTTGCTCCTGTTTGTCCTTCTTATGTCAGCGACCTGCGGTTGCGGCCAGGTGGAGCGACCATGTCAACAGTAGGCAGAGCATCGACACCATCCAGTGCGAGACCGATCTGTGCGCGGGTTCCATGTCGTAAGCTGGCCTTGCTCTGACTTTGTCCCCTACGTCTTCTGTGGTGCCTTCGCCATGGCCCATCCTATGTCTCTTCGGGACCGCCAAGTCGGTAGGTGAAACGCATCGTCCCTCCCCCGCCGCCTATCATCACTTGCTCAAAGCTGACCCAACCCGTTGCGATACAGCTTCGATTCAAAAACTTCTCAATCTCAATCACGACCCAAGTCCGACCGAAGATGCGCCTCATGATTCCGCCGTTCATGGTGGCCTCATTTCTCACTCCACCCCGATCTTAAACGAAGATGGCGATCCGATCTGGAAGGTCCTGGTCTTTGATGGCATGGGCAGGGACGTCATCAGTAGTGTCTTACGGGTTAACGACCTGCGAGCATGGGGAATCACTATTCATCTGTGCGACTCTACATTCCGGGCGCCTCACAGCTGTCCCAATCGGTCGTCTCTCCAAAGCTAACTTTCAACGACCTCTACAGAAGCATCAATTCCCAGCGATACCCCATTCCCGATGTTCCCGTCGTCTATCTTGTGGAGCCAACTGTCGCCAATATTCAAGCCATCACGCGCGATCTTTCTCATAGTCTCTACTCTCCCGCTTACGTCAACTTCCTTTCTTCCGTGCCGCGGCCACTTCTGGAGGACTTCGCTTCCCAAATAGCTACTTCCGGTGCGTCGGAGCACATCGCACAGGTCTTCGATCAATATCTCAATTTTATTGTGGCTGAGCCCGATCTGTTTAGCTTGGGACTCGGAAATGATGCATACTACAAGATAAACAGTGGCAAAACCAGTGATGAGGACTTGGATGCAATCGTTGACAAGGTGGTTGGCGGCTTGTTCAGTGTCAGCGTCACAATGGGTGAGTGCCTTCGCATATATGAGCAGAGTCCATGTCTAACATCCACTGCAGGTGCCATTCCTATCATTCGATGCCCCAAAGGGGGTGCTGCAGAATTAATTGCCACAAAACTGGACCGCAAACTCCGCGATCACATCCTAAACTCTAAGGACAACCTCTTCTCGGGAAATCAAAGATCTCTTCCGGGTGTACCTTCGACTCGCCCAGTTTTGATTATAATGGACCGAAATGTCGACTTAGTCCCGATGCTTTCGCATTCCTGGACGTACCAATCCCTCGTACAGGATGTACTTCAGATGCGCTTAAACCGAATCACCCTAGATGCAGACGACCAAGATTCTGGAAAGGCCGCGAAGAAGGCATATGACATTAACAGCAACGACTTCTTCTGGCAGCGAAATGCAGGCGCCCCTTTCCCTCAAGTTGCAGAGGACATTGATGCCGAATTGACTCGCTATAAAGAGGATGCCACTGAGATTACAAAGAAGACTGGGGCTTCATCCATTGAGGATCTCCAGAATGACACCAGCGCTTCCGCTCAGCACCTTAAGGCAGCCATTACTCTGCTCCCGGAATTGCGGGAACGCAAAGCTATTCTTGATATGCACATGAACATTGCCACGGCTTTGTTGAAGGGCATCAAGGACCGACAACTGGATAACTTCTTCGAGCTGGAGGAGAACATTACCAAGCAGTCGAAGACCCAGCTTCTGGATCTAATCAATGACCCAGCTAAAGGGAGCAATCCACAGGATAAGATGCGCATTTTCATCATCTGGTTCCTGAGCACCGAGACTGAGCTGAACCGCGCGGAGATGACCCAGTTTGAGGAGGCTCTTACCAAGGCCGGTGTGACAGATGTCACCGCTCTCTCCTATGTTCGCCAAGTCCGCGAAATCACTCGTATGACTATGATGACCACTGCTGCCCCCGAGCAGCAATCCTCGGATCTTTTCCGCGGCTTTTCATCCCTCTCTAACCGTCTTACCGATCGCATCGCCTCAGGGGCTTTGGGTGCCAACTTTGATTCACTGATCTCGGGTGTCAAGAACTTCCTACCAGCGAACAAGGACTTGACGGTGACAAAGATCACCGAGTCCATCATGGATCCTTCTACTGCATCGAGCTCGGCTATCGCGAAGACGGAGAACTATCTCTACTTTGATCCGCGGAACGCCAACGCCCGCGGCGCCATGCCCCCTGCCTCTGCGTCTCGCAATGCACAGATGCCCGGCGGCATGGGCTCTGTCGGCCCTGGCACCGGTGCTAGTTTCGGCCAGCGTCGTCAGGCTTTCAACGAGGCCATTGTCTTCACCGTTGGCGGCGGCAGCATGGATGAATATGGCAACTTGCAAGACTGGGTGCGCCGGACAAGCGGCCAGACAGGTGCAGATGGCGCTTCTACTAACCGTGCTTCTGGTGCTGGAAGTCGCCGTCGCGTTGTCTATGGCAGCACGGACTTAATGAACGCGAGCGAGTTCCTGTCGGATTCCTTGGCGCCTTTGGGCCGGGAGAGCTGAATACCCTAGTTTTTTTCGCTTGGAGGACAAAAGGATTCGTGTTGAGATAGATCCGATGAGTGTAAAACATACTTATAATTCATATTCCTCATATCCCATTCATTTTACTGAACCCGCCTCGCTACATAATCCTCTTGCGACAAAAGGTGTCTCATCACACACTTTAGTGACATCGCCGGTCAATATCCAGGAGAGTGTCAAGAGCTAACCTTCCAGGGCTCATTCGCCTCTTGAAACCAATGTTTCATCTGCTTCACTCTCATGCGATGTGGTTGGTGCCACGGCAGGCGCTTCCATGCGTGTTTCAACTCCATGTCGCGGGATCTGCACGCCTCCGTGCTCAGCACCGTTCCTTGGCCCCACCCGGCAAAGTAGCCGCTACGCAGTTCCCCAGGCCAACTTGGGCGCAAACCCTCCATTATCGTCACAGTGAAGCATATTTCATCTTCTCAATCCACCTATTATAATGCAAGAGAGACTATTAGCTGCATATCTAGGCAACAGAATGAGGATTGCCGCATCCCACAGTAGCTGTCTATATCAAACATTATAGTGTTCATGGAAATCCACGGTTATGTCACAAAAGAAAGTGACATGGGATCCTAAGGCGTTATTTGACGCGGGTTTCTGGAGGATATGAGAAATTCACACCTATTGCTGCAGAATGGGGGCCAGCGCTAAGCCACCATAACACCCCTGTCCCAGTGGGCAAAAGATGCCTGCAGGTTGGCGCGTGGATCATGTCATGCTTTAAATAGAGAATTCCCCCACTTTTAAGTACCGTAATCTGAGGAGTTATAGCTCTGCCTAGGCTCTTTGCACTATCAGTTCACCCTGGCCATGGCTGACCCTGTTGGGGTCGTTTCTTTCGGCCTGTCAGTCTGCGGGTTTCTCATTTCTTATTGCCAGTCTATCCGCTCGTTTTCCCCCGAAATTCAAGAAATAGAATGGCGTGCAAAGACATTGAAAAGCATTCTTAGGATTTTGAAGAAACGTTTTCCGGGGCTTCAGGGAGATCCTTCTCTGGACGAGGAACAAAAGTTGGTGTCCGATGCTATGTCGAATTGCGAATCTGGATTGTGCAAAATACAGGAAATGCTCGAAAAATGCAACAAAGCTGGTCCACTCGAAACTTCAGGACTCAATGTTTCACAAAAACCTCCGCGTCGGCGGGATAAGTTAATGTATCATTTTCGGAGAGATGACTTAAAGAGTCTGGTCGGGATCTTGGAAAGATTACATATAGATCTCAACACTGCGATGCAAGTCACGGATTTGTGAGTCAATTTCACTTGAAAGGTTATTCTCTTGCTCTTTCATTTGTCCTGATATAAGGTTCAAGTTGCAAACGCCAACATGCCTCTAAAATCTCCATCGTCCAAGAGTCGAGTGTGGCCGAAGGATTGCACAAGCTCAATTCACAACTAGCTCAAATGGTATATATCGTTTTCACTTCTCAGCTATTTTCAAATCACTAATTCAATATCTCTAAGCAGGGTCCCCTTATCAGTCTTTCTCCTCACTTGAAGCAGCTCCTGGAAGACAATCAGCGTTTATCGCCTCTGGAAAGTACATCGAATTGTGGGAAACCTCTGTATGACTCAACAAGAGCATTGATGCGACCCATAGGCTCTCCAAAGAAGTGTACATGCGCTCTTAAATCCATTTGGGTCCCTTCTCTGCGAGTCGTTATATCCCACAAGTACGGGTGCCCCTTGTATGGGTCGCATGAAAAGTCGCTATCGTTCCAGCTCAATAGCGGGTACCTTGGTTCTCTTTTTGGTCTCTCTCTCCAAGCATTCCTAGAGATTCGCACTGGGAATACCCTACTATCTATTTCTCGAAGCTTTACATACTCCTGGGTTGTAGAAGAGAGTTCACCTGCCTTCAGTGTTGTCAGGAAGACAAAGAGAATCCTCGAAAATGATTCCCAGCCATACGATAGGGCTATCCTACAAGATACCATTAGGGAACTCCAGCGACTGTTTCAGGAAGGCAAAGCATCACCAAGGGACAAACTTTCCAATGATACCACGCTTTTACATGTAAGTCATAAAACACATAATACACCCTGGAAATTACTTGATCTTAATTATCGTATCGAATAGGAGATTACTGACTGTCACTGGAACTCATATAATTGGAATGCCATTAGAAAGCAAGACTGGCATGCTTTTCTTACAAATCTTCTACAAATGGGTTTGAAACCAAATTGCGCTGATAGCAACGGCTTGACACCATTAGATAACATAATCAAGTATCTCGCGCTTGAGATGGATGATTCCTTAACACAGGCAACGCAAGGCATACTCTTGAGTCTGTTAAATGCTGGGGGATATTTTACAATCGACGCATTTGAATACTTCTGGCTTGGAGATGTTCACACTCCTGAGTCGGAAAGAGCAAGTTACGTAAACAAAGCCCCTGGCATCCGACTCGTTCAACAGCTTGCCTTCAAACATGGAATTGAGAGTACGTCTTCTTGATTACATTCATTTCAAAGCTAACATATATCCCTAGGTATTAATGCACCAGAGAAACTTATACCTCTCTTTTGCGAGTCTGAAAAATTGCTTGCTTTGCTTTGTCAAAAAGGTGTGGACTTGCACAGCCTTCTAGAATATTACACAGAATGGCCAAAGGGGTTTGCGATGCTGATAGAAGCTGGAAACATCCCTTCTCAATACACATTCGATACAGCCTGCCTTTCGGGTTCGGCTGCGTCTGTCAGAATCATGATGAAAATGGGCAGATTTCCTCTGACAGAAGAATCCTTCAGTATGGCCGTTGATAGTCACGAAATCAAGGACATATTTTGTGGGGCGTTGATCGATCGAAGAAAAGAACTGTGGAGACTGGCTCAAAAACATCTCACAAGGCAAGAGATTGCACAGTTTCACCAGCCTTCCGACCATCTCATAGGTTACCATGCATTTGAAATATATCGGCTGCTGAGCTCCAGAGGCATTGAGCCTGACCATGCTCCTGAGCAAAGTCGTTGGTTGATTTACAGCTCAATAGCTGCAGATGCAACCATTGCAGAGCGACTTTGGGATGCTGGATTCCGTGACATCGATGAGATAGATGACAAAGGGAAAACATCATTGATGCTTGTTACTAGCGGGCATTGGTCAAGGGGGATTGCGCCATTACTTGATATTGCAGGGTGGCTTATCAGCAAAGGAGCCGACCTGTACCACTTTGCAGAAGGCTTGCCAGCTGTATGTTTCTTGGCAAAGGAGCTAGGATCCCTTTTGCATCAGCAGATCAAAAATCGTGTTTCACTGAAACTAGATCAATTATCCCCTGACCACAAGGAGTTAATGTGCAAGATTTTGTTTGACGAGGCGAGAGACTCTTGCTGTTGTCCTTGTTCTTCTGGGGGGTGCAATGGACTCTCACTGTTTCTTGGTGAGCTATTGTCAACGAAGGAAGGTAATGACTTTTTCGTCTTGGAAGACAATTTCTATTGGACCTTGGAATTAATGTCACTTCTGGAAAGTCTTGTCACCAATATTGATTCAACAAATCCAACCAGGCTTTATGACAAGTTAGCTCCTGGTTTGCTTCACTTCATCACTTTCTCTAATCTACGCATAGCTCACACTTGCGTCTGCCATGGAAACACGAGTCAATCAACCACCATCTCAGAATCTTTGGTAGGCCAAGAAGAGAAAAATCATGGACTTAAAGAGCTTTTGTTCGAGCTTCTTTCTGCATATGATGAGGACACTAATTTCTTGCCGGACTTTGTGAGGGGTTATTGGTCAAGACGTCTATTCAAAATACTTTGCCCAACACCATCTGAATCAGAGAAGGAAAAGATTCGTCTTCTTGGAATTATTTTGCCATACGATTTGGATAATTGATGTGCGATGCATTGATTCACTTTTCAAAGTTCCTGTTTCGGATCCTCTTTTTAATTTGGAATATAACCTCAAGGGGGAAAGACTCAGTTTGATGAAATAACTAAGTGTATAAGACCTTTGTAATTTGCCATCTAATATTTCATCCCGATAAAATAATAGTAGAACCCCTCTTTGGCTTTCAATATTACCGACTGTTCATTCAATCTTAATTAATCTATTGGTAGGAGTTGCGTAAAGTCATAAAACTTTTTCTCTTTGAGTATTGGTCCCTTTTAATTAAAAATGGAGACCACATAATTTTTCTGGTATTTTTGCGCCCACGTGTCCTGCAATTCGAGATCAAAATCGATTCCTTGTGGGAATATCGATGGCGTATTCTACTCGGTGGGAGAGTAGCATCTTAATTAGAAATTCAAATTTAGCAATTCCCATAGCGAGCAACATTCTGCTGCTGGTTCGTTGCGTTGCACCAACACTTGCCGCCGAACAGTGGCGGTTGCTCATTTCGGCGAAACCTCATCATCCGCCCCTTAAGGCAAGAGTCTGGATGCAACCCTCATAAGAATAGCCCAGTCATAGATGTTTCCATTGATATTCGTCAATGGTTCAGTCCTTGTTCCACAGTTGTTATCGCCTCAGTACGGGGGAGTCATTTCGAAAATAGACTTATGATGTCAATCGCAAGTCATCCAAAATACCAAAAACGCCACAAAATAAATTATATATATCGAGGACCGTGACTTTCTTGTTTTTCGTATCTAGTTTTCTTCAATTTACATTTTAAACTCTTCATACACATCCCAAACTGCAGGCCTGATTTTATAGTACACACCAAAATGGCAGCTCGGTACGACGAAGACACCTCTCTTGGTAGCACCTACGATAACTATGACTACGATACATCCGGGACAACCTACGATACTACAGGCACAACATACGATGCAAATGCCTATGATACCTATGGAACCTCTGGATACGGCGCAACCGGTTATGGTACCACCGGTTATGGCACCGATGTCACCGAAACCTCTTATGGAAACGCTTATGACACTGGATACGGCACCACTGCCTATGATCCCAGCAGCGGCGCCTACGATCAGCATCTAGACTATCGTACCGATGGTTCTCGGCGACATCATCGTGAACGACTTGACCCTAGTGGGGTCTACCGCCATCGAGACGTCGATCGCCGCGACGATGGAACCACTCATGTCCATAGAGAGTACGATAACCCGAACACTGGCACCAGTTATCACCGCGATTATGAACGTTGAAATTCAGAATGGTTGATTTCAGAATGGTTGATTTCAGAATGGTTGATTTCAGAATGGTTGATTAATTGGAAGCTATTGAAGGATTTTGGATTTTACCAGAAAAGGGTCTTGAAGAATGCAGAAAACAGACAAAGCGATATCAAGCGAGTTTGATAAGACTTTTTGAGCACGGGAAAATTGTTAAAACGTGTCTCGAGGTATCATAGTTGCCGAGAAAATATAATGATTATAGTGCAAATTTAGATAAGCATGTAGACCAAAGCTGACCGTGTACCGAGAATCAAATAAAGTCTATAAACTCTTGGATTTTTACATATTTTCGATTACAAATATCTATGCAGTTTATTATGTGTGATCTTCGATTCGAAATTGCTAGTTTAGTCGCAGAGGGAATTGCCCAGATCATCGTTGTGTTAGATTAATGCAGCCTCGGCATCTATACATGACCCAAGAAAATGAAAAGCGAATTTAATAGACAATTATGCACTATTTCCAGGTCAAAATGGTTCCAAATGCTTAATTAAACTAGTTGGGTTCATAGCGTAAGCTATACGTACTTGGTCCATAGCTCCTAATTCTAAGAGCCTGAGAGCTTCTGGCCTCAGGCAGAAATATGCGTGTCAAGGTCTCCACCGCATCGTCACCGGCCCCAACTCAACGCTCCAACGTCTTTGTCTTCCCCCGGGCTCCCAACCCTGTGCAGTCAACCCGATGGTGCTCTGAAGTAGCTTTCCTATCTGTCTCCTCTCATGTCCCCATAATCATGTCCCGGAGGACGCTGGGTGGAGGCCGTGTTCTGGGCACTCCGAGCGCGCTCGCATCAGCCCCGTCCCCGCAGCCGAAGCCAAGGGTCCTGTCGCCGACTACCAGCAGCGTTTCTCTCAGCTCCCAGACATCTGCATCCCAGTTCTCATCGGAAACTCAAGACCTGACTTCCCGGATCTCCGTGGAGAATGGCGGCACATCGATATCCGCGGTGCCCGCCGCACCCGGAGCCCAGCTCTCTTGCCCGATTTGCAATGAAGAGATGGTATGATTATATTCCTCTCCATTTCCTTTCATTTTCTGAAGAACGAAAAAACTGACATCCCGCAAGTTGACTTTACTACAGCTCAACAGGTACCTTTATCGTTCCTAAAACTACCCTTCGATCCCCCCGCGCGACGATAGTTAACTTGTTGCCAGGCATCTCGACGACATTCACCAGAATCTAGAAGATGACAGACAAGATGAAGTCAAGGATTGGTTCAAAGTGCAAATGGAAAAAGCGAAACGGTTTCAACCCCTTGCTGTACTCAATCAAAAATTGAAGGGTCTTGATGTTTTCGAGTCAAACGAGAATCAGACCACAACCATCAGCAGTCGCCCTCTCGCGCCTCATGTGGGATCCTCCGATACCTCTACCACCCCGAAACTTTTGGATCCCGAGGACCTGATCACAAAGGAACACTGGCAAGTTGGTTCTCTCTATGACACCTGCCTGGAGCCCTCTTGCGGCAAGCGGCTCAATGCTACCAACGGATGCGTGAATTGTCGGAAGTGCGGGAAACTCTTTTGCGAGGAGCATACAATGTATCAAATGAAACTATCACGATCAGCACAACACGAACCTGTGAGGGGCATTTGGGCCCGGGTCTGTGAAACATGTTACAAATCGAGAGAGGGTTATAACGATCATGCCGGTGAGTATAATACAACCTCAACGATTCGGCCCAAGTTAATGGAGAACAGGTACCGTCAGAGATCAAACAAATGCTTTCAAATCTATCAGAAAGCAGATAGTTGACAAGGATTTCTTGGAGGTCTCTCGACTCGAAAAACGGCTGACACGTCTCACGCAACTGCTGGCTAGTCTACCGCCAGATCAAATCCAAACGGGTGGTACAAAGCTATTCGCTATGGCTTGGCAAAATGATCAACGAAAAATATTAGAGCAAACAGTTGTCAGCTGGCAGGACGATGCCAGTGTTGCACGGTGTCCTTTCTGCCAGCAAGATTTCTCGGGGTATTCTTTTCGAAGACATCATTGCAGAACTTGCGGGCAAGTTGTCTGCGGTGACATCAATACAGGCTGTTCAAATGAGGTTGAGCTAAGCATCTCCCCCGGTGAGCTCGCATAGTTTGGATTTCCAGAGCGATCTGCATCTAACACCCTTCGATAGTTTCAAAAACGTCGGAAAAATCTGCCGCCGGCCATCCAATCAATGTGGACGTACGCATCTGCAAAGATTGTAGAGCCACGCTATTTGACCGTCGAGATTTCGAAGCGGATGTCGCACGAAAACCCCCTGAAGTCAGGGCGTACGATAATCTGATCCAATTCGAGAGGGGTATTCGTCTGCATTTACCCAGGTTCCAAAAACTTCTAACCGCGTTACAGTATGCTTATGAAGACCAATATATCCATATCGTGGCTAATATAGCTTTAGGGATCCGAGGCGACCACCATCCTCGGCACAGATCGCCGATGCTTCTAAAGTCCGCAAGCGACTCATTGATTCTTTTGCCAAGTACGACGTTGCAGCTCGGCGGATCCGCGATCTACCTACCAACTCCCCTACTCAACAACGACTGCAGAAGGCTATATACCAACAAGCCAGTAATTTTCTCCATATTCATATGTTGCCGTTGAAATCTCTTCCCAGAGTTCTCAAGCATGCTTCTCCGTCTACAAATCTTGTGACTAGTCGCCAATCCTCCACAAGTACTCCTGTCAATGGATCTTCGTCTGGGCTCCGGCACCAGGAATCCGCACTAGCCTCCATCAAATATAAAGCTGCTGCTGCAAATGGAAGCAACAGTAGCCTGGCCAGTGATGCTAGTAGCGCTTTATCGGCGCTTGAGGCAGAAGAAAAATCATTGCGGGAGCAGCTAATCGTTTTGGAGGAACAGAAGTTTTTTGTCTCTGAAATGATTGCAGATGCCAATCGGCGGCGCAAATTTGATGAAGTTAGCAGCCTCGCGGTGAATGTTGAAGACCTGAGCCAAGAAATTGACCGAGTTAACGGCATGCTTGCCTCGCTTGACTTTGAAGGTGTCTACACTGCCAATCTGCCATCGAGTACTTGATGCCATGATGGAAAAATTCATTCTTCCTCCCTGTCTGAACAAGTGCATATTCTCGCATCATTCAGCTGCCCGGTCCTTTCTTTTCTTGATTTTTTCTCTTGGATCTTTGACATTCAAATTGGCGCATTCGAGCATTCGAGCACCTTATGATGATATGTGCATAGCATCGGGCGTTTGGCAGTCGTTCATGAATTATATAATACATGGCCTTTAACAATATATATATGCAAGCTTTGTCTCTTCTCTCTCTATCTTCTCGCGTTTCCGGGATATCTGTCACCTACGAAAGCCGGAGCCGCCTGTGTTGACTCCTCTCGGTGCCCCACTTTTCGCTTTGTATAGGCCATATTTACCCCCGTCTTCTATACGAAGTACATCAAGGGAAAGCGACCTTAATATACTATACATGGTATTCTCTAATGGGACTGCTACCAAACAATGTTTTTGACTAGTCCCATACGATGTGCCAATGGCTTTCCTAAATATGAGCTCAGAATGCACCTATGGCGACCACGAGAGTGACACACCTGGCTGCCAGCAACCTTACATCGGATAGACGGGACCACATGGTTCAGCGGACGTTCCATGGTTCAGTGGGGCTCGAAGGTCTCGGCAAACATCCTAATGATAAATGAGGAGCATGGTTATAATTATCATTATGGTTACGGAAACACAGGTCCTTGCTGGGGATCGAACATTTAATTTAAACGCGATCCACTGGAGTATAACGGGTCTACAGCATGGCTCGGGGGATTCCGTACTTTGTGCTGCTGGCAAGGACTTTAAACTGTCCTCTATTGATCCTATACTTAACAATAGATTGGCTTCGTGGAGCTATAAGAGCTATAATACTATTTATTTCCATGGCCATGCACGTATTAATAGCCATACAGAACTCCAGAAATTATACTGCGTTATTGAATTCGCGGCGAAAACCACAACAAGGCTTGGGTATAGTGTTTTATCTCGCACGAACAGATTGAAATGTCAGGAGATCCTTACACCCTTCATAATCCACCTCTTTCCGATGAGTGGAGACTACAGAATAGTCAAGTAATTTCCGACCTGCCCACTGAGGTTGCAGATCATACCTCGTTTACACATAGCGGAGCCCTCTTCCTGGTGATCGGCCGTCTAGGAACCCACCATTTGGCCGCTGGTCGGATAGGGATCTCTCCAAGGATTTCCAGAGACATCCAAGAGATCTCGATTTCGATTTCGATTGCGATTGCGATTCCGATTTCACATCGAATTTCTGAGATCGATTGATACGTGTCACGGATACTCTTGTACACAAAAATACCCACTGCATCAAATTCCTAAGGTTCTGCTCGGTCGCTAACTTTTTCTAAAATCGCTTCTATGGTGTTTCCGTATCGAGCGAGGGCCACGAGTTGGATTCCGAAAGCCCATGGATCGGATCCCACTATTGAACAAGGAGGCCACGAGTCCTTGAAAGGCCTGGGTGGCGCACTCCCCAGAGATCGAGTTCAGCCGAACTGTTAATGTTCCAACGCTCTGTTCGCCTGTAACAATAGTGGAAACGGTCTCCTTTTTCACGGACTAGAACAGCTAGAATAAGACTAGTAGTGACGGACTTGGTTTTGCATGTGGCGGCCAAGAACTAGCCCCACTTGGTGAGATATATACCCAATGCCATTGGTTCATAGAGTTAACAGTTTTTGGCAGGAGAACTTGTTCTAGTCATGTCGCCGAAGTCTCCAACCATGAAACCCGCAAATTTGGGGGGAGTGGGAAGGGAATCAGGCCTGAGCGGCATTGATCGAAGCCATCTCCGACCACGCGGGATGTGAATAAGTTCCAACAAATTGTCGGAGTTTCAACCATCGGAGACTCCGTGTGAGGGGCAAATGGCACCTGGTCGGTTCACTTGGAAATGCTTGGAAGGGTTTTTCTGGTTCAACTTTGTATCTCTCCACATTGTCATGGTTGATGGCTCTCCTTCCACGCACATGACCCCTTAAACCTTTACAGGCAGGGCCTGGGGGGATATCCAACATGTGCAAATAGTAGAAAGGCGAGATGGTTCGACCCCACAGACTACCCTTCGGCTCGTAGTTTCAGAGCCCAGACGCCTCAGTGCCTACCGACGCGGGTCGCCCTGGTTGCAGATGGTCCGTTGATCCCACTAGCCTTGCTGGAGCATGCCTATCACCCGTCCGGGAGCCTCAGTGAATTTTTCTTTTAAGTCGTGTTGGTCGTAAATACGGAGAACCGCGCCGTAGAGACCCGCTTGACCGCGCTGACCCTGTTCTTGCCACTGACAACCACAGTGGTAATGCTTGGCTCTCGGCAGTGGGTTTTATTATTATTCTCTTCCCGGTATTCTCTCCTTTCTTTCCCTCAGAGCGCTCTGTCAATCGGTATCCTTACAGGATTGGGATCAAGGAGCACACTCGAGGTTCAGCTAAGTGGACTATGAATTGAAGGTGACAAAGTCCTTTCACTCGCTACCACAATGTTACCCTTGGAGGGTCGCAGCAAGACGATCTTCATCGTTACTACTATCTTCCTTGGGATTTCATTTATTGCAGTCTGCCTGCGATGCTTTGTCCGCATCAAGCTTGTGAAGGCCTTTGGCTGGGATGACGCGTTGATGGTATTTGCAATGGTAAATTGAAGCGGTCCTCGTTTTTCCTGGTCTATTTCTCATCTATGGATAGTTATTGAACGTCCTTTTTGCACTGTGTGGGATCACGGGCGCATTGTATGGAATTGGCCAGAAATCTGCTGCACTCGTTGCGCGTGGCTCTATGGAGACCGCTATGTTTGTAAGTTTCATCCTATCTTGTCACCTGGCGCTCTGTAGTAAATCATGAAAATGGGGCTATTTTTTATTAACCTGCATTTCAAAGTGGTGGTGGCTTGGGCAAACCAGCTATGTCTGGGTAGTGACCATCGCAAAGATATCTATTGCTGTCGCTCTCCTCCGCCTCACTGTCTCCAAGGTTCATGCGACTGTCCTGTGGATAGTAATCGGTGTGACTTCAATCATTGGCCTGATCTTCTGGTTCATGTTGACCCTGCAGTGTCAACCAGTCTCTTATTTCTGGCAACGCGTGCGCTCTGAACTAGATCCAACTGTCATGGTCCATGGTCATTGTATGAATCTTGACAGCGTCATTGACATCGCATATGTCTACAGTGTCACTGCCACGTGCTGTGACTTGACATTGGGACTTCTGCCTATTTTCCTTGTGTGGAACCTGCAGATGAGTACACAGACCAAGGCTGCACTTGCGGGTATCCTGGGCATGGGATGTGTTGCGAGTGCAGCCGTCATTGTTCGAATTCCTTATTTGCACGATTACAAGGACGAGGATTTCTTATGTGAGTCTGGCCATTCATCACTCTATGGCATTTGAACATGTTTTCTATGGCCAACGGTGGGACACAGAGCAGCCATGCTAACAGTGTTTGTTTGACTACAGATGCAACCACCAATATCTCCATCTGGTCCAATGTCGAGGCCGGTTTGGGTATCGCTGCCGGTAGTCTTGTTACTCTGCGACCCCTGTTCCGTTGGTTTCGTGATCCCAGCTATGGGGGCACTCGAAGCAAGCGAACTGGTGGTAGTGTACCACTCTCGAGCGTAAATGCCGTTCGGTCAGACCCCTCCGGACCCCAGTACTGGCGTCCTGATCTGGATCCGGAAGACTCACACGCCGTCATCACCACCATCCACACTTCTAATCAGGGTAGTCGCACGAGCAGTCAAGAGGATCTCAATCCAAAACAGGGGCAAGGGTTAGGGACTTTTTTTCGTGGAGTGAATGTGCAAAAGACTTTCTTCGTTTCGGAGAACGAAGAATAGGATCAGATGTCTATGGCAGAGGCTAACGAAAACCTGTAATTTAATAATTATATCCATGACTTTAACGTTCGATGGCTATTTTGTAGCCTATTTTTACACTTTATATGTAAGGACTTTGTTACCCTCTAAGCTGGGTCACCTGACCCTTAGCCCCCTCTTAGCTAGCTTAAGACAGAACCAATAAGATTACCTTTACATCTCCCGACTCTGTCACAGATTTGATAGATATCCCAGAAGAAATGCTCCGTTGAGCATGATGATATATATAATTAGATGGCGCCCTGCGCAGACATTCATGCGTCTAAAACCTCAATGCTAGACAACCATTGACTGAATGAGAGTGTACTAAGCCAATGTGTAGGAGAAAATAACTGGGCCAATATATATAATACATAATATTAAGTAATTAAGAAAATAGTCTAGCACGAAGAATAACCTAACCGGCAGGGGTCTTTGACAGAAATACGAGAGATACCTGAGAAAAAGGAACTTCCTTCATGATACATATTTTCTATTGCCCATTCAACCAGCCCTGCCGGGCTAGCTCAATCGGTAGAGCGTGAGACTCTTAATCTCAAGGTTGCGGGTTCGACCCCCGCGTTCGGCTATTCCTAAAAATAACCTGAGATCTTTCTTTTTTTTTCTAAAAATTTTGGCTAGCCTCACTCACAGTTATTCGTATGATTTTTGTTTCATTACCTGCCTTGGTGTCCTTTCTTGTACTATCTCGTTGTCTAAAATCCAGATCCAAAGAATACCAACAACATAATCGTGGGATCGCGCTTTCGGCAAGTGTGCGCAATCCATGTTGGTATGTACTTCTCTACGTCTACCAGAGCCGTTTTTCCACCAAGATCGGGAGCTCAATCAAGTCCTGAGCGAAATTAAAACTGAGATTTATTTTCCTTACAGTAAAATAAAGCAGAATCGATCAAACATGAAACAGATATGCTCGCAGAGAGATACAATATGTACATGCCAAACTAATACCAGGGCATTCCTGCTAATCCAAAAAACCTGCCATGATGCATTGGCTACCACTGGTTCTTCTTGTCTGCCTGGAAGGTCTGTAGAATTTCCACTACCTTCTCCAGCGCGACAACTTCCTTCCGCATAGCCGCGTTGATCGCGTCGGGGTCCCCGCCCAGCTTGCCGTAAAAGACTTCCCGATAGGGCGCCCCAGATTTGATAGCTTGAGCAATACCCTTACCAGCGATCCAGTTGTGAACCTTCTGGAGAGTCTCGGCGTAAGCCTCGCTGAAAGTCTTGGAGATTTCGACGGAAGGTTTATCGAGTGTGAGGCGAAGGGCCTTGACGGTGAATTCGAGACCACTATTTTGCATCAGATGGGATTGACAATGACCCAAAAAGGCGGTCATGCTGATATCCAGGCCTAAGTCCGGCAGGGATTTAGAAAAAGGCAAGGCGACAAACTTACCGGACCAGCCAAAGAAGGCCTTCTGAGGCGGTGTGCTTTCCGGTCTTCAATTCATTCGACACAAGAGCCTGGAGAGTCTGAGACTCAGCAGGAGCAGCATCATATCTCTTTTGGATTTTCTGAGAGGCTTATTAGCACCACTCTATACTTCCACTAGGTTAAACCAGGGGACAGGGCAGGACGCACGGTGATGTTGTTGATCAAATCATCCTTAACGAACTTGAAAGCCACCGACTGCAGCGCGTCTATGTATATCATGCCTTAGATCCAAAAATTTGCCATGTTGTTAGACAGCAGTACATACCGAACATGGTTGTCAGGGCCTGGGCGGCCTCGAGAAACTCGACGGTAGAGATGCCATTCTCAGCGTCGATTGGGACCTCCTCAAAGGACCGTTGCATAGTACCAAACCAGGTACCTTCAGCGTGGACCTCAGTCCGACGGGTAGTTCCAGTAGAAGCAGGTTCAGCCATTGTGACGAGAGCGAATGCGAGTAGATGAAAGGTAAAAAGGGTGAGGCGTTAAAAGGTACCAGGAAGGCCGGGGATTTGCTATCAACAGCTGTCCCGTCCCCCCCTTCACCGCTGTCTGCCACGCAAGCCAATCGGGGGCTTTGGCGGGGCACATTTAGCCAAACACTGCAAACAATTGCATTGTTGACAATGTGAGGTTTGCATAGTTTGTATTTTACGTCATCGACATCACGTTGCACCGTGATCCCCGATCGATCGCACTATTCAGCTCACTCATGTCTCAATGATATTCCCTACTACGTGAAACTTCACCCTTGATGCGCTCACCTTTGCTCCCTTCAAAAACCCCCAGCGGGTAATATAAAGAGTGCTATGAGCACCTCGGACCAGGCCAATAGCTGGCCGCGGTCAGAAGCTCTGCGCCATTCGCAGCATGAGCACTACCATGGGCTACAGCTAGGATCCTATACGGACCAGAAGCTGGTAGGTTGGAACTTTGCTGAACCAAAATGAAAGTATTACTATCAGCACTTACTTATCTTTTCTTCTTGAATAGCGCCATGCGTCCGCTCACCATCTTCATATGACAAGTCGGCGTTTCTTCATCGGACCGATTCCGGAGGGTTGGGTTCACGGCCACCGCAAGTCTTGGTATCGATCACGATTACGTTTTAGGAACTACACATCACAAACACTTTCCTTCTCTGTAGACCCTGTCGCATCCCATTATAGTCAGCAACGTGATTCTCACACCAGCGTCCATACGTCTGATTTGGAGCAAGAAGTTGCCCTGGCTCTCACCAACACCAACGAGGGGCCTGAAGATCTCGAGACCGAACAAGAATTTCCAGAAGAGCCTTCAGGAGAACTTCGAACACTATCACATCCCACAGAGGAGACGGAGGCTATTGAAACATCTTCCAAAGAAGATTCAGACGAAACACCCCGGCCAGGAACAGCTACGAGTTCAGGCTGGCATAACAGCACGATTGGCGACGGAAATGCATCATCATCATTTGTGACCGCCAGAGAAGACATGATTAGCACTGGAAATTCAGTCCAATCAACTTCCACGCTTCAGCCTTCGAAGTTGACTGCTGAACAGCGACCACAATCGCAAGGCTCGCAGCAGTTGAACATAACAGGACACGATGGTGGGAGCCCATTGATCTCAAATATGTCTACAGTTCCAAGTGAGGCAGATTCTACCACTCATCTGATTCGGGGAAAATCAAAAAGCCAGCAAAAGCTAAAAAGCAAGGCTTCTGGCATATCTCATCTTACGCTGGAGCCTCATGAACCTCAGAATGAAGAAGATATTATTCAACAAGAGGAGTTGGGTCGCAATGGGCACATCCCGCGACGATTAAATCAGAAGATTGCAAAGTTCAACCTGGATGACAATGTCATGGACAAACAACAGAGGTTACGCGCAAAAATATCGAAAACACAAGATACCATTTCAGCGAACCGTCCGCGTCGGCGAAAAGTGCAAGATGGGGACATCGTCAAAGCCGAAAAGATGCTCGTTCTTGTTGAAGAGACTATGCAAGAGAGGCTGCCGCATGATTATACTGAAAATGACAGTCTTCGGATGGAAACTCGGAATGTGGATAAATGGCGAGAGTTCCTAGTTGTATGCCGAAAAAGCTCAGCGGAGCACACACCTTTTGCTTTGCAAATGTATCGCACGCGTGTCATCCCTGATGCCCACAGTCCAAACAACAAGTCGGCTCCCTACTACGAGGTGCGATTGAATCACAGGAACACCCGAGTCAACCTGTATTCTTCATTGGATAAGACCATTGTGATCTGGCATCCTCGCAGACATGGCACTAAAATCTATATTATCCGCCCAAAGTCGACTGCTCATGCCGCTGAATGGTACACGTTTATTCGACAGGTGTTAGGATGGCGACGCCCGACCAAGTTGCCGATCAATGTTCCTGACCTTGGGGTATCGCTCATTTTCAAGCATCCCTTTGACCGACTTGAAACCCAAAATAGAGTAAAGAACGATGATACTCGAGACACTACTATATTGAACCGGGCTATAATCGATGAACAGTTTGCTGCCTCGGCCATAATTCGTGGCTGTATGGAGATGCTCGAAGGCCGCCCCGAGTGGTCTGAGGTGCTGAAAGTCTGGTCCAAGACGGAGAGGATGGGTCTTGCCTGGAAGCGATTTGATCGCCTTGAATGGGTATACGGGTCCAACGAAGAGAATATGTATGGAACAATTGCCATGCAGTCCTCTCATGAGCTTGAGCTACGGCCCCGGCATCATTACCCGACCACTGTCAAACATCCTGATGCGAAGGAGGAAGAACCTCCACCAGTAGAGGGATTTCTAATTCGACTCACGTCACGGAAAGGCATGCACCAGCGCATGAACAGGATGTTCTTTAAGCAGCTTTACTTTTTCACCCAGGATCATTTCCTGCTATTTTGCAGGCCAGCAAAGGCGTACCCGCCCGCGCCGCCGAAGCTCACTCATATAGATGATGACTCGAATATCCCGTCCTCTCGCGAGATCATGGAAGAAATGCCGACGTCCTGGGATGTTGACCCGTATCCAATTGACAACGGAGATATTTCATGGCTATCCAGCGGAAATCCCGAATTCGTACAACGCCACGATGAAGAGGCATATGCTCAGCTACAGAGGAATGCACATAACATGGGCCAGGCGGATGGCTATATCGACTTGTCTCGAGTACAAGAAGTACGCAATCTTCAGCGCGGAAGTAGCCCTGCCGACCCTAATATCCAGGAAGGCCCTGCTGTGAATTTTCATACTGATCCGCCAGACACTCGAGAAGATGATGGCGCAACCAAGCAGTTTGATGACGACCGGACATTTGAAATGGACCTAGATAATGGGCTTGTGATTCGGTTACAAGCATATGATGTTGCCACTCGAAATGAATGGGTGAAGCGACTGGGTGCCCTGGTCAAATACTGGAGAGCACGCAATGCCGATGATGCAGCCGAGCTTCAGGCCATGCGGCAGCGGAACCTCAAGATATTGGATATTGATGAAGAAATGGAATCGATAATGGGCCAGTTTGCGAAGAAATGGGAAGTGAAGAAGGCAGAAGCCTCTCCACACTTGCACAATATGTGCGCCCTATCTGGCTGCCGCACAATCAAGATGTCTGGTCAACTATATCGCAAACCCCGCCGCCATGCCACGTTCAGCCGGAGCCATGTCATTCTTACTGCCGGCAAACTGCTTGTTTTCAGCAGTACACTTCGCAACCGGAATGGCGTTGAAATTCCGCATATCCACCAAGACCACGACGCTACCATTGACTTGCGCGACTGCTACATCTACTCTGGACTCGTCACTGAAGCTGACCTGCTGTATGCCAACCAGACATTCGACAGTAATAATCCTGGTGTACACGCCCTCCCACGCGTCTACCTCTCATCGGATACATTTACCAGCCGTGATGAAGACACGGCTATTACATTCGTTATTTGGCAGCCTCTGAAGAAAAGTTTTTTCCGTGCACAGGAACATGGTGCTAAAGGAAAAGCCAAGCGGACCTTGCGACATGTCTCAACGCTGGGAAAACATGGTCGAACGATCGTTTTTAAAGCTCGCAGCAGAGTTGAGAAGGATCGTTGGGTTATGAGCATTTCCTCAGAAATTGATCGCCTGCAGGAAGAGAAGCCGGAGGATATTCGGATTGTCTCGTTATAATACCCATTTCGTTTATGTTTTTGATTGTCACTCTTTGTTGTTTGTTTCCCGAGCACGAACACGCATATAGCATTCGGGGTGATTTTGGATTTGCATTCTCCAGCCTTCTTTTCGGACGGGTTTTTTTGATTGTTATTCTTTATACATATGTACAATGACGTGGATGGAGGCAATGATACAATGATGTCTCAATGTCCCATCTATCAATTCTAGTATACAGTTTTTAGATGTCATCCTGATGACATCGACACAAGTTTATGTGTATTAGAGAACTGACTCAAAAGTCTGCTGGCCGCTCAATCTGCACTGCTTGCTTAACAACCCGGCCGCGCACCTCCTTTCGATACTCATCCTTGAACGTGTCATTCGGCGCGTCACTTCCCACCTTTCCTGCCTCCCAATCTTCCCAATTCAACCATCGCCTCCGTGGCCCAAGAACAGCAAACACTCGCCCTGTGATCAAGCTGATACTGACTGGTCCATATGTATTGCTATCGAGAGATCGGTTAGGGTTCTCGGCATCACCCTCCAGCCACACATGGTTGAACGGAACGATCTGAGTAGGTTTCAGGCAGGGCTCGCGGGTGGAGATACGATCGCCGGGGAGGCCAATAACGCGCTTGATAGCAGTGTGGGATGAATTTGCGGGTGACCTAGAAAACAGGCATTGTCAATTATTAGGCCTGTTCGGTCTCGAGTGCCCACGCCAAGCTGGCGTCAAGAAGAGAAATTCTATACCGAAATGTCACCACCATCCCCCTTTCTAACCTGCGCGGACTGGCCCAGGGCCAGAGCTGCCCGAATGGCCACATGTTCACCAGTACCATGTCATATTTTGTGTGCATCTGGTCGTAATCTTCGTTCAAGTAGGGTGTCATTGATGGGCCCTTGACCCACATTATTTGCATGACATGCTGTGAAAAGAACATGCAAATAGGAATCATTGGTGCAAGTACACGTGCGCTGCGACAGGCCAATCGGACAGGCCGTGGGAGTGCTGCATATCGCTGGCGGAGGTTGGAGAAGAAGGAGCGGAAGCGTGGTTTGGGAGCGAAGCTGGGGCCTGCGGGCTCCGATGATGGACTTGGTAGAATAGGTGTCAAATTTGGTATTGAAGGGTGTTTCTTGCCGCTAGCGAGTGCTTTCGCTTCTCTAGGGTTGAGGGCGCGGAGGGTTGAGGTTTGTGATGTGAGGTTGGGTTTTGACATGTTTGAGAAGTCAGTCTAACTGAGACTAATACCATATAAGTGTTTGACCGGCTGAGAGCGATTGAGTTGGTTGAGTCTTGTACTATAAGACCATTTTGAACCGTAAAGGTGGAGTGAGAGAGAATTAATATCGTAGATTGAGAATGATACGTAAAGCTAACGCGAGCAAGCAATAATCGATAATTGCCTGGATAATTGATCGTAAGGGGGCAGTTTGCAGTGTTTGTTTCCCATAATAGTGCCCACGACGGGCAGGTCGGATTCACCGCCCTGCAAATGGACTATAACCTCAAAGCCCATGAACTCCTCTTGTTTCATTCAGTCGTAATTCATGCTTCTCATAACTTAATTTTGGTAAATTGTTGGTCTCATATCACGCATCGAAAGGACGGCGTTTCTTCTTATCACCCATGAAGTCATTGCCGGAAAGACAACCTGGCCACATGCACTTGTTCGTCAGAGATGGATCTCTCGCAGTCAGGTCCTCTGTAGTGGGAGGAAAGACCTCACTATGACTGATTAGCAGATGACACTATCAAAGATAATATGAATGAATGATAGCTCACGGCAGTGCAACTTTATAAGCAACCATGTCCCTTCTTTCAAAATTGCAGAAGATGATTCGGTCCAGCTTATCCACGTTTTCTGGCCTTTCTAAGAACTTCCGCACTTCATCAGTGGCAGAATTTGCAGCGTCCTGACTAGGCCAAGCATAAACTCCAGTGCTGATAGCTGCGAAGGCGATACTCCTCATCTCGTTTGCAACTGCAAGCTCTAGGCTCCGTCGATAGCAAGAACGGAGCAATTGCTCGGGGCTGTCAGATTCATGTTGACGCTCTAGCCCATACATTGGACCAACGGTATGGATGACCTTTTCGCAGGGAAGGTTGTAAGCCGAGGTGATTTTGGCTTCCCCGACTGCACAGCCATCCAGAAAAAGGCACTCTTGCGCAAGTTCTGGTCCGGCTGCTCTGTGAATTGCACCGTCGACACCACCACCGCCTAACAGAAACTGGTTGGCAGCATTTACAATGCAATCAACCTGCAGTGTAGTTATGTCCTGACGGATGCAGGCAATGACATCGTTGAGAGTTTGTGATGGAATCCGATGAGATTCCCCAGCATCCAGCTGGCCCCGCCGATACAGGGAGGACAAAGTAGGGATCTCCTCCAGTGTGATAAGCTGGGAAGACATTTTGCGTGACTTGGAAATGATACAAAAGTGAACAGATGGGTAGACAAATCGAGTGAAAACAGCGTTGTGAAAGAAGTAGATTCATTCACTTCACTTGTTGTGATAGTTCTAATTCTCTAATTTGCCGGCAGAATCAAGGCGGTGATGAACGACTATCGATAGATACTGACCGCCTTTTATAGCCTAAGACGTTAAACGACGAACGCCCTTTGCTCTCCTTCCCTACCACTACGTATAGGTAGATTCCCCCTGATCGAGTAATATGTTACTCCTAAAAAGCAGACAGAGGAAACTTGATATTGGTGCGTATAACCATGATTCTGTGTACAATCAAGGCTATACTATTAAGCAGTAACAACGTATAACGTAGAATAACTCGAGAGATAAGTTTCAAGCCCAGAGCCCTCAAAAGGGCTTACAATTCGTCAGTTGAGCCCGAAATTTACTCTACTGAAAAGCAATATTTTGAGACAACTAGAGCAATCACTGTCAGTCTCTTGCTACCTCAAAAGTGGCTTGCGTTAACACGCATAGGGACCCATAGGGGAGAAACTCCAATACAGCAAAGGGGTTTGGAAGCTAGCCATGGGCTGAAAACATGGGGCTAGCAAGGTTTGCATCTAGACCGGTGGCCTACGTCTCAAACTCAAACGACTACGCAAGCCAGTCCAGATCGAGCATACATCCGCTGTCATAAACACCCCTGTTCCCACTAAGAGATACATGGCAAGCCAAAACCAAGATAACAAAAGACCGATAGGTCAAACAGTCCTTGTGTACAAAGCTTAAAAGGGTGAAATCATATGATTCCTGCAGCGAAACAGGGCCCACGACACGGCAGGCTCTTACGGGCCACCTCCCCCGCGATCAACGACAGTCCAGAATGAGATGTCATATCGCGGATGGATTCGATCGCACGGCTCTCTATACGGCAACATGCATATGCAATCTGCACGCGACCCAAAGGGACGCGCCCGTCCAAGGGCGGCCCTCCGGTTCTTGTTTGACGTCCGGGCCTCGTTCACCCCCAACCTCCCGGTTTTACGTCCCTGTGTGGGCCGGAGGCCCAAAGTACAAAGTACCAGGGCTTGGCTGTGTAGTGACAGCACAACCTATCATAATGATCCCAGGATCGGGGTTTGCTCTGACAAGCCCAGCCTGGTATACATACATGGCACGCTGTTCAATGCAATGTACCAACTCCCTGTTAGCTTCGTTATGGAGTGAACCCCGGTTGGCAGTGGATAGCAACGGGTGCTGAGGTGAATATTCGCCCAGAGGCCTCGGTGACACATGACTAATGAATATGGGACTCCCAGAAGTCATGAATACAGAGGCCGCATCCCTTCCGCTCGAACACGTTGGGACAGACCCATTGCCACTTTTCTTGGCTGCTAGATCTCTCCTGGGGAATGAGCAGAAAGAGTATTCATTGCTGTCGACTCATCGACCGCACGAAAGTACGAACAATCGGATGCGAAGGGCCGAGAGCGAGGCGAAACCGGCTTGACTGCCGCCCGAAATATTTCGCTCTGCCAACCCCTAACCCCCGGAGGGGCGTAACGCTACTGGTTTGGTTGGAAAATTAGGAAGGAGTATTTTGTTCGCTCGGTGCCACTGCTGTTCGCACTAAATGATTCCAATCTGCATCCACATCGCCAGCCACCGTGGGATGGACTACGTAGGAGCCATCCCGGAGCCAGCAGGTCGGGACCGGTATGGTTGGTCTCGTTCGTAGAGGAATTGTATTAGCTCCTGTCAAAAAAAAAATTGTAATTCAATGAATACGTGTAAACAATTCTGGAAACAACTCCACCCGCGCCCGAAAAAGAAATTCCTAAGCAAGAGAAGGAGAAATGCCAAATACAAAATAACATGGAAACGCGAACGAGCGGCATCGGGGATCAAATTACGGGGTTCATCACCTCAAGATGTGATTGTATGGTTGACCAGTGTGGAGCCCGTAGCTTGCCATTTCCTATCCTTTGGCCTTTCCACGGAATTAGAGGCTGGTCGATGGGGTACGAAGTCCCGCCTCTTGGACGAAATAGGATCGAGTACAAACTCCCTCATCGGATGCCAAAAAAGAGGAGAGAAGCGTTCCTTTTGGGTCATGATCTGTATGGGCCGGTGGATAATTTCCAACGGAACCCACAAACCCACTAGAGCACCAGTCAAGCGACAGCCGTTTTGCTGTCATAGAGGCTGACATGGCGAGTACCGTGGATCAGCGGGGCCCAGGCCATGTGTCCGTGGTCGATAGTCGCGCTGGTTGATTTGATTGAAGATTGCCGATCCTTCGGCTGTTCTGTTGTTGGTGTCGATCGCACGGATCTGTCTCATTTCTCATTTCGCGGGTGGCCGCTAGTTCGCCTCGTCTCCTTCCTTTTGAAGCGACTGGCCATGCGCGTTTGCCTCTACCATTGGTCAATTGCGGTTCCCATGGGGTTCTTTGCAAACTCCATGCATCGAGACGGTTGCCGCGATACGTGCTTTTGCTGCGAGACCCCTCTTAGCGGGGACTTGGGGTACTCGGGGGCTCGGGGGCCCTTGTGGCGCCGGGAAGGATGAAAGAAGGGGGCTCGGGGCCGGGGGCTTTGGCGTGTCCAGCGCAGAAAGAATCCGGACTACTCCGTACAGGATGCGATGTGGATGTGGCTCTGATCGAACTAGACCGGTTCCTTTTTGCCAATTTGTGCAATTTTTGCTTTTTCTTTCCCGTTCTTTTCTTTTTTTGGAATGCGGTTCCTTGAAGGGCTTTCGGGGTTCTCGTGCAGCCAACCCTCGTCCCTGGATCCGGGACGGGGAACTCGGGTGGATACAAACCGTTGGGGGGTGTTATTGGTGGTTATTTCGTTGCCATTTTTAGCGACGAACTCGAGAAGGAACTGGGAACCATGAGGACCCATGATAGGAGTTGGGTTCAGAGGGTATAGGTGGTGGGAGGCATTCTATACTACCTGCTGTCCCAGTACTACCTACTACAGCCTCAGCGGGCGCCACGATATTGAACAGGAAGCACCTCTGGACGCACATATAGGACACTGTCGAATCCGCCCATTACCCCATGAATGCATGCATAATATCGATCGACACCCCGGGGCAAAGTAGCACAAATCGCTTTGTTCATGACAAATCCCGGAATTTGGAATTTGGATGTTGCTGGGCGGTTTCCGATTTGCAGGCAGTGCAGCTGTCACACAAATTCGATTTTTTAGGATCCCGTTTCTCTCTTTGCTTTTTCGTCAGCCCCTCATTTTCAGCCATGTTTCCCCCGGTATTTTGCTTTTCTAGGATGTATTTCAGAGTCTAGCCTTTTGGGACTTATGATTATGGAAACGGCCGAGGTCTCAAAAGCGGTCTAGATTGGCTGCTAATGCCGATACCCATGCACGAGCAGCTGTCAAACACGCAAATGGGAACTTGCACCTGCAGCTTGCATATAGCCATTCTTAACATGACATACACGCCCGCACAGAATGACAATCTGAGTCCCAGCGCCCAAAAAATTCATTGGGGAGATCTGCATCCAGGGCTTATAGCATAATGCAGAATGACTGGGATGCTCAACTCCACTGTTGACAGTAGACAACACAAAGGTTGCCTTTTCGACGTGTACATTCAAGAAGTCTGGATTTGAAATACATCCTTGCCTTCAAAAGAGCAAGGCAAAAGGCCAGAACAGAACAGAGGATGGCTTAAACCTAGTATTACGATACATACTGCCACCTTCTGGATCCTTGGTTGCATCATGCTGCTCCGTCAAGCTGGACTGTTGGATCAAACTGGACATTCAGTCTTTCAGATGCACCTGCACCCGGAGAATGTTACGAATTGGAAGTCTTCCCCGGTAGCGCAACTTTCTTTGGACAAGGCCTCTAAGGAAAGACGGCCTCCAAACAGATATTAGCCTTTGTACCAGTCCAGAGTTCTCATCCCAAGAGCAGCTTTTGAACTTCGGTGCTGATCTCTCCACTTTCCAGGATTTGTGATGCATGATTCCGCTCGCAAAAGCTGGATGACAGACCTACAAAAGGTACATAAAGAGAGGCGGAAGGATCCCGATGTACAGGTCTTGTGAGGGGAAGTAAAGTCGAAGCCCTGCTATGTAACATGTCTCCTCGGAATAGTTTCGGCCGGATTGATGGCGCTATGATTAACCTAAAAAAAAGGGCAAGCCTCCTGTTACCATTCGTTAGGACCAAACCGCCTGTCATATACTAGTCGAGACCACTGCAAAACAAGCCCACTAGCCTAAATCAATACAGAGACATCGGCATTTGCTTTGAATTGCATCCATAATTTTGATATGGACGTCGACATGTCGAGGACGGAGGGAGTTTCCACTCCAGGAGGTCATCAGCGAGGCCGCTCTTTCCGGGGCTCGTGCGGGACCTGATCAGCCATCGCCACAGTGGTTCTCTTCCCATCCTGATTTGCCATGTCTTGTGTTGTTGTTCCGCCGGACCGAGGAAGGTTGCGCAAGCGTGCTGATGGCTTGTCCCAACAAGTCTTCCTTCCCGTTGAAAGGGTCAAACAGGGGGCCGTATAACTTGAATCATGTCGACAAGCAAGAGTAGCAGACACCGATAGATGTATGAATAATTCCCGAATAAAAAGGAGAAGCAAATCGCCTTGGAGCTAATGTCAGTAAGTCCTGAATCCACCGATTCCATTATGTTGGGATGGCTGGAAATCGCCCCAAGGCCGTGGATACTGGCGAGTTGTGGGTGTGCAGGATCGGCACCGGCATTGCCTGGCATATTAGCAAAAAGCGAACCAAATATTCAAAATAGAAACAAAGGGCACCATCAAATGCATCGTATTGATGATGGCGTCTGTCTTCGCGATTGAGGATGTTGATAGTCTGAGAAAAAGGCCCTAGAAAACTCCGTAGAAAACCTGGAGCAATAGTCGCATCCACACTGTCCCCACCGTCGGAGGATCACAATTAGAGCATTTAATTTATTCCATCGCGTGGCTAGTAATGCACCGGGTGC